TATATATATATATATATATGCCCCTATAATTGAAAATTCTAGCTAGCTATGACCTTGCTTTCTATTGACGTGATTTGGGCCAGCGGTACTTACTTGCTCAACCTTTTGCTCAACTCTATGACAGGGTATAGTAAATTGCATTTTAAACGTTTGCTTGTAAGGTTGCATCTGTGAATTAACCTTCTATTGTCTCTCTGCAATTACTAAGATTATATAGTTGGCGACGTATGGAATTCACAGCCTGCATGTAGACAAAGTTCAGGGAGGAAAAACTGTGCACTTCATGGGGTAATCCCCATTTCCACCCAACAATTTAATTTTTGGGTTGCTGCAATAATTCTTTATAGGTTCCCCGTTAATTTTCACCTTATCGCTCTTCTTACGTTCGTTGGATATTTATTCGCCCTGTGCACTCGTGTTTTCCTGACAACACAGATATTAACATAAATTATTTTGATACTTTGTTGGCTGATAATCTTTAATTACCTACTCGAAGGTATGCAAACGGTGCTGCACTACCACCTGGTACTTCTTACAATAAACATGTAACTTGTCGTTATCACGTTGCTACTCAAGTACTGTCTGTCCTTTTAAACATAACCATCTTGTCGGCCAATTCAGGTCATGCGTTAAATTTTGGTATAATTGAGTAGTGTGCCTCAAAAGGTACAAGGATGGGGAAGTCAATGATATATCGTAAAGGGAACCGTGTACTATTTATGATGCAAGCTTCTAGCTCATCCCAAAGCAAAATTTCAAATTGGACCACAAAATTACAACATCGAGGAAAGATATTGGCTAGGGCCTCTGGCACGCTTTTGAACAGTATAAAAGAGGTTATTTTGATTTCTATTTTTTGCATTTGACGACACCTTCATTACAAAGTCTGATTTGAGCTGTCTTAAAGTCTTTTGAGAAGTATCTGAGTGCTGGACTGAGCTTGACATTATTATAATCCTAGAGAAAAGTTCGACTAACAATTCACCTCTCGCCATATGAAGTGGAAAGACGCTCATAAACACCTATTTAAGTGACCATGTATTACCAGTGAGTTTATCTGATTAAAACTTTATTGAAAGTAGGTTTCATGTCTTATAGTAATTGCAAAAGCGTGGAGAAAAGTGACTTGATGGTTTACGTTGATCCAGGAACTGCATAGGAGTGAAATGCTGGGCGGACAGATATCAATGACCCTTCAAACACCCGACAACTTGAACGGTGGTGCCACGGGTAATAATTTTTCATTTCCAAGGCTCCTGCCGCTTTCAGATGATGATTGCAAGTAAAAAGTCCTTCTACACGCTGGTCTGATTTTTTGGGGTTTTTTAACCTGAATTAAAACGTTTCGAGTTTCTTATGACTTCTGAAGTCAACTTTAAAAGTTACGGGGAGGCAAGCCTAATCTTAGGGTTAAATTTAGTATGGAGTCTTCTTTTCTTGGTACGCCTCTTAAGAAAGTGCTAAAGGGCATGGACAACACCCCTCAATTTGCGCTCAAGTCTTAAAAAAAACATTATTGAGCCTACATCTAGCTTACTTCATGAGTCTTTTTGAAACCGTTTTCCATATTGTCACACTTCAATCAGCTGCTATTGTCGGTGGAAGATAATTTCGTACTATTGATGACACAATTGTCATTCCTGTTAGCTCTCCTAAACAGAAAAAGATACTGTTATTTGATTATAAAAAGCTTCGCTCCGTCAGGTCGATGAGCTGTATCATGAATGACAGTTATCGATCAAGGGAAAGGGATGGACATGCACTTGAATGCCTCCTAACTGTTGATTTGAAGGCACTTAGAATTGACAGAATGAGAATGCGCTCAGCAAGTTTTATGTCACGGCGCCAGGGTTTTGTTTCCCATTCAATATTGCCCATCAGGGAAGGGCAACATCCCACCCAATAAATATAGAATAGAAGTACAAATTTATAAATTAACTCTCAAATGGTCTCTTACACCCTAAAAATGCTCCGGGTTATGACGATCAGCCATTACGATAACGTCTGAGTGCTCTTACCAAACTTTAGCGTACTATTACATGAAATTGATTAGAAGACTGTTTTCACGCACGGGATACATGTCAACTGTCTAATTAGACATCCCGAATATTTTTCGGGAAAGCTAGAAAAACATTTATTCAGCTTCTACTTATGGGCTAAATATTGGCACAGCATGAGGAAGGTATTGGCATGTGAGAGGTGCCGGAGTAGTAAGGTTAAGTGCCGACACCAAGGCTCGCCTCCTTGTGAAAATTGCACTGGCAAATCATATGAGGTTTTGTGCGCATTGAGCCTCCCACTTTTAAAAAGGATCACAAGGCCACCAGCTTCAAGGACAGACCAACCTGAGTCTTCTGGCGAATCTCATGCCACTAATACAGAGGCCGGTCGGTCAAATGTAAGTTCAAATGTTATGGAGGCGACACCTGGTGACTACAGCTCCGCGTCGGCAAAGCCGTCAAGAAGAGGCAGCAGAACTAAAGTCGAAAAGCCTCCTTCATCGACAGGTTTGCGTGGGAACAAGGAAACCTCGATGTGCCAAGCTATCTTGAGAGCAACATCTGAGGATCCTCCAACACCAACACCAATCAACCTGCTGCTCTCGAATAATCTCCCGAGTGATCCCGAAATGGTTACCAACTCTGAAAGACTGGAGACCATGGCTGAGGTTATTTCAGAGATTCCGGAAGCCGCTTTGCAACTCGTTATTACACAAATGTCGAGCAGTTTTCCCGAGCTCGCATTTTTACATATGCCCTCCTTGTTACACAATGTGAAAGCAACAGATCCCCTGGTTACATGTTCGCTTTTGGATCTATTCACTTCGTTCAATCAAACCTTTGACAGTGGTCCTTTCAGTGACTGGTTAGGTACAGGTTCTCGTTTTGTAAAGAAAAAGATCTACGGGAAAATTATGGTCAAAGAACTTCTCTCGCCCAATTCCCTGCTTTATGCGCCATCAATTGAAGTAGTTCAAGCACTTGTAATTTTGGCCCTCTCTTATTGGGGAAAAGGTGATTATTTCATGTGCTGGATGCTGCAGGGTAATGCTTCAAGAATGTTACAAGCTTTTGGTTTTTGCCTTCCCCCGTCCGGTCTTTATAGCGAGGACTCGTCTTACAACAACGATTGGCACATGTCCAGCTTAGGAGAGCTTGACTCTGAGATACTATGTAGGACATATTGGTCCTGCTTTATGATTGATAGAATTACAGCATTTGGAAATAACAGATCCTTTGCATTTTCGAAGTGTCGATATGAAAAAGTACCCCTACCTCATGACAAGCGATCATTTGCCCTCATGACAAATTTGACATGCGCACAACCTCTAACTGATATAATAACAATTAAGAGTTATAACGATCAAGTCACTTTTCGTCACTCCCCTCACACAGTCGGTGAACACGCAATCTACATCAAGATTTTTTCCATTTGGGGAGAAATAAATGAGTATTTGATGCAAGGAGGTAGATACAGTCAATCACTTCCTCCTTGGGACCAAAACTCGGTCAATTACAAAATTCATGCTGAATTGAAAAAATGGTGGGGTTCGTTGCCAATCCACTGGCGCTGGACAAGCGAAAGGCTGACCCTCCACCAAACGATGGGAACAGACACAATATTTACTATGAGTAACTGCTTGTATCATTTGTGCGTAACATATCTCAACAGAGAACACCTGCCATTTTTGCCACATTCTATTGAGTGCCCTTCTGGACCAACAGAAGAACCTCTACTTCCCGATCCGCCTGATGAAGAATACTGGACTGCCAGTGCTACAGAATGCTTTCAAAGCACGCGCTCGTTGAGTTCAATACTCAACACCCTTCATGAAACGGAGGTTAAGGAAGAGCTAGGAGGATCTTACAGCTCAAGAACAACAAATGGTTTTTATTGTTTTTGTGCATTTGTCGCAAGTATTGAATCCATGTACGGAACAAAGTTCTATTGGATGAATCCTACCACGGATTCGCATTCCCCCAGTCTCGAAACATGCTATATGAAAATGATCAGCTTTCTTAAGGTAAAGAAGGAAACTGTGAAGGTAGCTCAAAACTGGCTTAAGATTGCCAATAGAGTAATGGAGCTGTATGACTTCGTGGCAAAGAATAGAGAGCAGGCTGCTGAACTTAATTTGGGAAGGAACAATTTAAGACAACTTGTTGATCTCGTTCAACTTGTGAACACTGGCACTACTCGGGAGAGTCTGGATCGTAGCATGCATTTCGAAAATCAAACGGCCAGAAGAGAAGGCGAATTTCATGTTGGAGATCATTTAGGGTTCAATATTGAAGATCTCGATTTTTTCTTAATGAAGACGTAAACTTTCTGCAACAATTCACTTTGTAGGCCAAATAACATAGTTTTCCCCTGATACTGATTAATTCAAAACCCCATCGCTATGATTCGTAAGTCTGACTGTGTTAACAAACTTGTCACAGCTATCAAGTACCAGTGATCTAGTACTGTTTGAATAGTTTTGAGTTGCGTAATAATGTAATATTCGTTGGGAATAATGTGAGTAAACTGATGGTCATATGCGTCTATTCCCATAATTAGCTTAAGCATATGTGTCATTTTGGTAAGCGACGATACACAAAAGAAAGCGACGGCCAATGTAGAGACCAGAAACTCTACGAAAACCTGATGCTTGATCTCTTATGAGACAGCATCAATTGCCAAGCCTACTTGCATCATCCTAGAACTTCTGTTTTGGGATTGATGAAGTCTGTATAACATGCGAGAATTAATGGACATAATAAGGTTGGCCCCATTTCATCTTTGAGGCCTTAATCACAAAAAGAAACCTTTGCCATAAAAACACTTTGACGTCCATCGCCATAAACGCCTCTCGCCAACTCTTTGTTAGTCCAAGTGCCGAGAGTGTAAAGGAGTCAGTAAGTGGCCATCGTAATTTGGTGATGTGGGTAGTAGCGGCCTTTGGACCACGTCTCATACTCTGTTGACGGAGCATGATAACGCGTCACAATGTTCAAAGGGTCAAAATGGGAGGCATATTCTAAGATGCCGGGAAATATATGATGCTCCAGCACAGTGAGTGTACAACTCCTTGCTCATGTTTGGCTTGCCAGAATTGCAGCGCCAGCAACTTTGAACGAAGCCGCAGAGAGTGGAACGCGGTCCATCATGAACACTTTGAGGCCAACAATCGACTTACCAACTATGTTACGTCCAAGGAGCCAAATAGCGTCCGTACTGTCGGCGATTAGTAAAAAGTCAGTACTGACCTAAACGGACGCTCGCTCAATGTGCTACATATAGCAGATGATTGCTTGAGTAACTGGACCGACTTTAGTTCCATGAAAATCAGATAAATAGAATTCCTTCAATGCAAGCTTCTCATCTAAAATGACTCTGAATGGCTAAAGTGACTTCAGTAAGCTTTCCCTTACAGAATCAGATTTTCCTTCAGCTACTACGTGCTCATGAACCTCAATGACTTTTACTTCTGCGACACCGAGGTAGATGAGAGACACAGCACTGGGGTGTGCTGGTCCTGGAGAAGGGAAAAGCAGACTCTCGAAAGTCTTAGACGTGACGCTCAAGGTGTCCAGCATGCGTCGCCCATACCCGGACCTTTCGTCTGTCTCTGCGGTTTCAAATCAGACGGTCTTCTTCCAATTACGGACTCACCCGACGAGGTTCAGGGTATGCTGAAGCGCTCAAGCACTTTTTAGTGTATTCGACGCTCTACGCCATATAGCTTTGCTGTGGAAGGCACATTGTTACAATGATCTTGGGCGTAAATATCAAACAATGCATAGAGTGTTGGACAGCAACTTGTGCCAGAGTTCCAGCCAACAGCTGTTATTATCACGGTCAGAGACCGTTCTCGAAGCATTTGGCTAAATCCAGCCTGCTTCCAATCCGTACGCAGTTATGGTCGTTACTATGAATAAAGCAGCTGCTAAAAGGCCGCCTGATATAGCACATGCAGCGATGTTGTCCTGGTCATTAGTGTCCTTGGTTATACCGACAGCATCAGTAATAGCAGGCCCGCAGGCGTTTGCATATAGAGTAGTCGCGGAACCAAACACGCCGAAAAAAAGCAAGATAATGATAGCCCTGATGACACTAACCTTAGACCAAGAGGCTCGCTTGCTGAGGTGTACTATGTATTTGTGGGCTCCCTTTGCCCCCGCCATGGCAATGAAAGTAGTACCTGCATTAAAATCCAGGTTGAGTGCCCATATAGTAATCAGTATTGCAAGACCTACCAATGCTCCTGCTAATAAAGCCAATCTGTTGGCGGTGAAAAATTGATTTAATTTAGTATCTTTGGTAACAGATACCGCAGTTGACATGTTGGGTGGACTATTTGATTGACTTGTTGATTGCTCTAACTCAAGGCCTTTTCGAATTCAAATTTTTGCAGAATAACCCACGCGTATTTAAACAATTTTTTCGTCTGTGAATCTCAATCACTTGCTTCTGAATCTGCTGGCGCATCGCTACCTATCATGTCAACTTGTGACTCAGGCCCTACATATAATGTCAACGTGGCAAGGGGCCATTACATCATTAACGTATCCTAAGTCCGCGATAACTGTTATTGTTTTGCTTGCTTCAGTGCTAAGGGAGCGCATGCATTTCCGAGAGTTCAGTAATAGTAGTCAGAAGTGGTCAATTAATTCCTCGGTGCCAGAAACGGTCTCGTCAAATTGCGCTTTCTCGAAACATCGCTGACGATACGTTGCATGGTTAAATGAGACCAAGGTTTCCAGAAAATAAAAATGTCGTTTCCAAAATCGAAAGCTGCTTTCGACAACCATTTGAGGTTCTTAGAGCTGTTAGCAAATACTCCGAAGATGTTGCTTTTGTTGGGAATATTGTGGTTGACTATGGAACTATTGGTGATGTGCGCCAAGTCGCATAATAAGGGCCAGGGCATATGTGGCACAACGGTATAGAAAGATGTTACATACAAGGTCAAACGAATTGACCTACCAACTTGGTCGAGCCGAGAAGACCGACTAGTGTCCAATAAGACCTGAGATTGATAAGTTATCGCTAATGAGGCTCAGGTTTGTGATAATAGCATGGATAAACCAATCGATTAATAATTGACCTTTTGAAGGCCACCGGGTAAGGATTGTATAAACACAGACGTCTCTTCAGGTAACTGAACCAATGCTAGTACTGAACAAACCACGGAGAGATAGAAAGAATTCCCCAGATCCGAGTTACTCATTATACAATGACTGTGAACAACTCTCAAGACAAATTTAGGAAGCTTCTTCCTGAAGATTCAGATTCGCCTCAATAAGTAACTGAACCAGCTCAAATGCCTAAAAAAGTCACGGAGAGACCAATAGAATTCCCTAGATCCAAGCTACTCATGTTATAATGACTATTTCCGACTTACAAGACAAATTTAGTAAGCTTTCTACTGATGAATCAGATTCGCCTCAATAGTTTCATATTTATTCATTAAGCCCGATTGCACCCTCATAAATATCAATTTTGCGTCAGAATGGTATGTCGTGATATCGATCACGCCAGTAAAACATGCTTGTGCATAGAGAAGGATCTTCCTCCGGAGCACAGCGGAGTAGCAAGTACATAGAGACAGCATAGCTAGCTATAAGGTTCTGCAAGAGACTGTCCAGCACTCGTTTCACCCAAATTGTTCTTGCCAGATATTTGTTTATACCGGCTGTCGTCCAGTTACGAACCAGAACTATAATCCAAACAGCTAAAGAAAGGCAGCCAGATGTCGCGTCATAAGATCCACCTTTAACATCAAGTAGGCAGAATATTGTACTCGATGTGTACTCGATGGTTATTAATACAATTGACCGAACAATTCAGCAAGTTGACTACTTCCGGCGCTGACTCACTCCAATAAAAGTGCTATTGCAAAGTAAGCGGCTTTCTGGCTCTAAGGGGATCCCCAGAAATATCGAAGTGACCTCTTGGCATAAAAAGGAGATTCTCTTTTGGGTTTTGCTCAAAAGTCGGCCAATTGTCAAGAAACAATAAAATGATTACTAAAAATGCTGTTTTTAGATTCAAACCTGTAGTCTGCACTTAATTAACGATCTCAGTAACCTTATTGTGGAATCTTCTTGAGCGAAGGCTTTCGTGGGCTAGTCATTCACGCACCAGGGTTAGCGGGGAAAGAATTTTCTGTATTCGCGACTCAGAGTTGATACATCAGTACTATAGAATGAACCACATTATGGCACCGCGATAATCAAGACGAAATGTTATATTCTAATGAAGATTTTTAGGGGTATGATATAAAAGTATACTTCCTGCTTTGGCTCACTATAGTTTTAAGAATCTCTGACGTGGCTTGCAGGTGGTATTCACCATTCAAACAAAGACTTGACGTTTCAACAAGTGACTGGGCAAAGCGCTCAACAATGTGGGGTTCAAGGAAATTTATGATGTTCAGCGCCTTTCGCAATTTCCATTCTAATATCAACCAATCTTCTTTGCTGCTTCCCTTCAACAAAGTTATTATCTTTTAACCAAGCCTCGAAACTCTTCTGAATGATTGGCCATTCATAGTCAGTAATTGAGAGCCAACTAGTATCTCTACTACGACCCTTGTATACTGCTGCATTACGAAAGGTTCCCTCGAAGTGAAATCCCAACCGCTGAGCACATGCTTTTGAAGGTTCATTCAAACTGTCACATTTCCACTCCAACCTCCGATAACCCAAATCTTCGAACACATATTTCATCAACAAAAACTGACACTCTGAGGCCATTGGGGTACGTTGCAATGCAGGCGAGAAGACCACAAATCCTATTTCTATGCTGCCATTTCCATTGTCGATCCTTATTAATGCTATAGTGCCAATCGGAAGGTCAGTTTCCGCTGTTAGAATCGCGAAGTGAAGCGCGCTACTGTCTTGTGCCAGTTTGGCATAGACATTCTCAAAGTCATCATAATCTTTGAAAGGGCCCAACGGCACATATGTCCACAACCTGTCATCTCCCATTTGTGAAAATGACGAGAATAGGTTTCTACCATGTTTTTCAACCTTCAACGGCTCTAATCGACAAAACTTGCCCCTAAGAGTTTTCCTCTCTGGAAAAGTGCATACTTGCCAATTAGGAAGCGCATCGCCTATGATTTGCCCATATGAATTAACGCTTACCATTCCTTCTAAAATAACAGATAGCACAATGTGCCAGCTAACGTCTTCCAAGCCTCATGCCTTGTTGTTGAGTTATTATATATGGATTTTTTCTCAGCTCGATTGAAGTCAAGTAAATGTGACTCAGTTGTTAATCATCTGGAGGGCCACCGCGAGGGAAAAAGTGAATCGAATCAAATTGAACTCAACTGTCACATGATACGCCACAATGTACACAATCAAGATCACTCGATGAGATCCTGGTGTTGAATTTAAGAGGAAAAGGTTACCATTTGGGTACAGCGGGTAATGGCGATCGAAATTAGCGTTGTAGTGAAAATTTGTATTTCAATTATTTAGTCGACTCAAAATGACTCATCGTTCATAGATCCCTGGTTTAAATAGCAGCATTTCTCTCCAACTTGTGAGTAAGCGCTTAACAACTTCGACTTTTTCTTGAAGTTGTTTCGCCCGCTTGCCTTTTTTTATTTTCCAACTGGTAAACAAGTAGCTCAGCAACTACAGCTGCTTCTGTGAAGTCTGACAAGTGATCGAGGTAAATTATGATGTGAACATTAGGCCCATTAGGTAAGAACTTCCCTGGCGTAGTTATTATTAGGCTTTGTACTTCAGTAGGAGGACAACAGTGGAAGAGAAAATTTGAGCCTTGTTTATTCTTTCGGTCTTAATGATATCCATTTGCTCCATTAATTCCTTGCGTGCTATCTATCAAATGCTTTGAGACACTGTGTCTTATCGCAACGTTTTTTGTCATAGAAAAGTTGTCAAGTTAAAGAAATGTGTGCACAAGAAGTAATACCACACTTGTTCCAGATAAACTAATGGCTTGCCGAGTTAGCCGAAATATGTTTCCTTAACCATCGGCGCTGTGAAATTTGAAAGACGAAAAACAGGGAAAATGCGTAGCTCTGCATTGGGCAAATACTTAAGGATTACACCGTGGCTCAAGCTATTGACCTACTCAACGTGGTTTTATGGTAAAGTACACAAATAGATAGTGCTTTGACATCAAGAATGGATCTTAGTTATCGTTCTTGTGGCTTGATAGCTACTATTATATGGTGTGAACCTGTACGGGCTAACTCGTTCTACCTGTAGCTAAAGAAACTAGCACTGTTCATCAAAAACCATAAATTTTTCCACTCTAAATAAACCATTACACATTAACTAACCACCGATATATCATTAAACCTCCTATCAATAGAACCTCTAGTCTAATTGGCGTAGCGCGACCTGCCCCGCATTTTGGGCCCATATTTGTAAAAGAAGAATGGGATAATCGCCAGCACAATGGAGAAAAAGCCAACCAAAGATGATCCCCAAGCTACTGGGTATTTTTCACTCCCCAGGTTACGGTACATAGCTTGACCAAATAATGGAAATGCACAGGCGAAAACGGACCGACAAAATCCGTTACTCGCGAACACAGACGCCAAGTAGCGAGGGTAGACCATGGCTAAATACGCAAACGCAGATTGGAACAAGTTAAAGACATTGAGCACGAAGAACATCTCTGAAATCACCGGTAGTATCCAATGAACCCGCGCAGTCCATCCAAAGAGAAAAAGCGACAGGGGTAGTGCCCAGCAGACAGCCATTGATAGTGGTAGAAAGTCTTCGGGTGTGAATGTACCATTTTTGAACTTTGGGCCAATGTATTTGGCAAGATACACCAGCAAGGCTACGTATGCAATTAAGCACCCAACGCAGAACCCCATGTAAGCCAAACCCATCTCCACCAGTGTGAAGCCGTAAATCTCAATAAACACAATGGGAAAGGCTTCAAAAAAGAGGTAGAACGCACCATAACAGAGAGCAATGTACACGTCAAACGCCAGCACTGCTGGTTCAAGAGCCATGATCAGAAATGGACGCACGAAAACCTCCTTCATAAATGATGACAGTGGAACTTCTGAGTCTAGCCTTTCCTGCTTGGTATAATAGCGATTGTCGCCGGTCTGTTTCCTCAATCGAGCTGCACGCCTGTGCAAGATATTCTGATGTTGTGTCTCAGGGAAAAATATAACAAGAAGGATCAGTGTCGCCGCGCTAATCCACATCAGTAACCAGAAAACATACCGCCAGCCTTTAGCCACGACCATAGCGGCACCTAATAATGGCGCTACCACCGGAGCTGCAACTGCACCGATTGCCCACAACCCGATGAACACAGGAACAACCTCAGGCTGAATGATGTCACCCATTGTACCCCCTCCAGTGGCAAGTGACGGAGAACAAAGCACACCAGAGATGAATCTGATTACCGCCAAACCACCTATGTTATTGACTGTCGCGGCTCCAACTTGGAACATCATGAACATAAAGAGGGTCACAATATAAATATGCTGGCGGCCGACCCTGGCCACCTCAGAGAGGGGCGAAAACACCACCGGACCCAGCCCGTACCCGAGAACGTAAAGCGACAAGTTTAGCGTTCCCACAACATGACCTACGTGAAAGTCTTCTTGAATAGCCATTTGACCAGGCGTATAAATAGACGCACCCATGTAAGTGGCACACGTTAATAACATCATCTCAAACACGACCAAAGCCTTCTTACCACGTTTCCAGTTTAAGGGGTTTTCCGGATCCTTAGGACCATTCCAGTCGACCAGAAACGGGTCCTTTTCGTCGATGGGACTGTGGTGTGTGGAACTCGTTTCCGCGAACGCTTCCAAATCCTGAGACTCCTTGCTGTCATCTTCACTCGACAACCCACCTTGTTCCACGAAGTGGGGATCAATTGTAACCAATCCCGTATACTCTAGTACATCTACCAGGAAGGTATTTGTGTAGCTATGAATGTACCCCATGATGTCTTTCCTAACAGAAGGCAATGGTTCCTCGACAAAGCAACGATTCTAATTCATAGCTTCAAACATGCCCAGCTCTCGTACTTTGGGAAGCTTACCACGACTTCTTATACAAATTCTCCCACTAAGCACCTCTTAACTTGTCGGCCACCGCTGAGAAATAGGCTATTTGCACTCCAGGGAACACTTAATATTTATGTCCATTTTACAAGCGAGGGGCTTTTTGTAACAAGTACTGCGCAGAAGCATTAGCAAAACCGAGCCACACCATACTTTTGTGACGTCCCAGATACTTAGCTCTCTACAATTTTGACTACCGAACCCTTAATCTCGGCCGGCCCCTTCATGGATTAGCCCTTTCGTATTTCATAATTTATTCTTGGCAAATTACTGTCCTAAATAACTTAGTGTGCCTATGCGATGAGATCACAAAGTGAGAAACAAGACCAGCGTAGCTCAAATTAGAAAGTGTCTTCTAATCAAGAAAGATTCATCTATATCCCTTAAAGGGGTTTCAAGCTCCGTTCATACCCACCCGCCGGTGCGGCTATATAGGCCCTTGGATGACAATTTGGATTAAATCTGTCCCACGTAAACGACAAGGGGAACACCGCAGGTAGGGCACTGGTGTAGGCTGTGTAGTCCGATTTATCGTACGCTGATATACAGACAGAACCTCGGGCCGGTATTTCCGAGTTGTGGAGGTCAATGTGTTTTGTCATTCACAGATGGCCTATGTAAAATGCAGAGAATAACAATGTTGTTAATAGCTTTGTCGCAGAACCCCGCACTACAACATTCATTACCTCCCCTTGACAGCGTTTTTACGGTCGCATGCTAAGGTGCCTTCTTAGACCCATGGTTTTAACGCTGACGATCAGCAGCCTATCGGAGGGCACTGGGAATGCATATGCGCAGTGGTGTGACACCGAACAGTCATGTGGACAATAATTACCGTGGGAGCTCATTGTGGGAACTCGGCATATTTAGACATAGTCGATCCAAGAAGCTTACTATTCAGGCGTTGAGAAAAAGTATTCTCATGTATTCTGTTCTAGATCCTATGTTTTCTATCTGAAGGCAAATTTTCTAAGTAAGGCGATCGGAGGCTGTGAAATCCAACTTAGCAGAAGGGGGGGCAGAGTTTAAGCAAAAGCATTGGTGCCATAAGCTTTGAACCAGGAGAGCGGCCGTTTAGGTATTGGTTTGGCGTGCCTTTGATGCCATCAAAATGGATTGAACATCTAGATTGCACCTGATTAGCAGTGGTCTGTTATTAGGATCAGCAAATAACACACCCCTCCCACAGCAGAACGCAATCGCCAACTAGTATATGTACTGCATTATATATATCGTATCACCCTGGACTGTGTGCTTATTGTCTTATGGGAATAAGTGACACTGACAGCGCTAAAAGAAGAGTGTCGTCGTTCTTAACGTTGAAAACTAAACTTGACCGCAGTTACCGACCCAGGTTCAGGCTCGCTTCTGGCTTTGCATGCTTACTCAAGAGGCGTTTGCCACGGTGAATGGGAAGTATGATGCTATAAAAGCCCGGAACCCTAAAGCGGAAACCCACTTCGTCTATGCGGTCAAAACCACCGGAATCGTTTGCAGGCCAACATGTTCAGCCAGAATCCCACTGTTGAAAAATGTCACATTCTTCAAGACCACTCAGGATGCAGTCGAGGCTGGATATCGGCCTTGCAAGAAATGTAGGCCGCACCTTACAAAAAGATGGAACAAGCAGCGGGAGATGGTCCTAGATTTCCTTAACTTGGTGAGCAGAATGAAAAATGACGGTCAAACGGTAAAAGATTTCAAAATCGCACCCATAGCACAACAGCTACATATTTCGAAGTGGCAACTCATCAAGGTTTTCAAGCGCTATACTGGCACGACGCCCATGAAGTATATCGAGGGCCTTTTGAGTGGAAACAGGGCCTTGTTAGAGGGTGCGATTCCTGTGGTAGAAACTAAGAGAAACTGGATCATGTCGCAGAATTCCAACCAACACGAAATCGGGGCATCAGATATGTTTCCTCCAGCTGACATCAACTACCCGTTGGGCGACGACTGGCTGGAACAGTTTTTATGGATTCCGGAAACACATTCTGGTTGAGAATCGTCTCAAGTTGAGAAGACTGCAGATATGCATCTCATTGACTGACATATTTACTGGACTAATTTAAAGGCTTAGGTCGGCAAGTTCAGGAATCTGGCCTAATGCCAGTGTAATGTCCTCCTTTGTAGAACAATGATCAACTTGCGCCAATATACTCACGCCATACCTTTCCAAGATTGCAACGTTTCCAGGGTTCTTTTGTCCATTCACGATGCATCCTAACGTATGGCTTAGAAGACCGGCGTTTTTAAGGTGTTCCATGGTCAACAAAGTATGATTCAAAGTCCCCAGGCCACTCCTTGCCACCACAATAATCCGCACGGGACGGGACGTGCTGGTAATAAAGTGCTTTATGAGGTCTGTCGTGACGTGTAAGCCTCTAGTTATGGGTACGTAAATGCCACCGGCACCCTCAATCACTAGCGGCGTATTTATTCTTTCTTCTGGGAGTTGGAAATCCGATAGCTGAATATCATGATGTGGCTCAAAATCCATAGCCTCCAGTGGGCAGAGTGGTTTCTGGAGAGCATAACGCGGCGGAAATAAATGTGGCATGTGTCTGCCACTGCTGCAAAAATCATGTACGGTTTTGGTGTCCCCAGTGTCCGACTCAAGACCAGTTTGGGCAGGTTTCCAATAATCACATTGCCATTTTGATACTAGGAGGGCGCTAGTAAAAGTTTTTCCAACGTCAGTGTCAGTGCCTGTTACAAAGATAATAGGCGCCGTCATGGTGTAAAGAGCGTTAGCGAGAGAAAAACGCTACCACACAAGACGTAAGTTCAACAAAAAATTCAGACGTACGCCTTTTATAGTGTTCAGGTTATTGCATGAGCCGTATTTCGCTCCAGCATTCTATGTATGATGTGATGATTTATATATTTTATTCTTGCGCGCCAATGAATCATCCTAACAAGACTCAATTAAGAAAGAATGTGTACTTCAAAAACAATATACAGACGCCAGAAAAGTATATAAACTCACAGCGTGGCGCCATATGGACCAATTAGGCTTTCTCAAAATGGTTTGAAAAAGGCCCTCAGTCATGGACAGCTTCACGTTATCCCCAGAGGTAAACGATCTTTTGGAATTCGACAAAAGTCACTTATGGCATCCATATACTTCTATGAAAAATCCTTTACCCGTATACCCAGTAAAATCAGCTAGTGGATCCCTTATCACCCTGGATGCCTCGACGAATGGGCCATTGAACCCCACTTTAGTGGAGGCAATGTCGTCTTGGTGGTGCATGATCCACGGTTACAACAATACGGAGATTAACGAGGCAATGATCTCGCAGATTCAGCGCATGTCCCACGTTATGTTTGGTGGTTTAACCCATGCACCAGTAATTCATCTGGTGCAGAGATTGTTGGCTTTAGTTGGCCATAGAAAGCTCCAATGCTGTTTCATGGCGGATTCTGGCTCGGTAGCAGTTGAAGTATCAATGAAAATGGCTTTACAGTATGAATTCACCAAGAATGGTGACAAAAGTGGAAAATGCAAATTCTTAGCGGTTCGGAATGGATACCACGGCGACACATTCGGAGCTATGAGCGTGTGTGATCCTGTAAATTCCATGCACTCCTTGTACAGCGGCTATTTACCTGAAAACATTTTTGTTTCAGCTCCTTCGATGCTGGACACACTCCCTACGTCAAAAGCCTTCAAGGAAGCGCCTGAAATCTTCAAAATGGCAGCCAATTGGCGTTCGTCGGATATTGACGAATTGAGGGCTACCGTCGAAGAGCGGCACTCCGAGATTTGCGCCTTGATTCTGGAACCCATTTTGCAGGGAGCTGGTGGTATGAGACTCTACCATCCCCAGTACCTAATTGAGGCTCGTAAGCTGTGTACAAGGTACGCTATTCCCCTTATCATGGACGAGATCGCCACAGGGTTTGGGCGGACTGGTGAGATGTTTGCTTTTCACCATTGTAAAGTGTACCAAGACGGACTGAAAATCGCGGCTGAAGATCAAGTGGATGTCTACCCGGACATTCTGTGTGTGGGAAAGGCATTGACAGGTGGCTATATGACATTGAGCGCAGTGATCACCACAGATCATATCAAAGATGTCATTTCGAGTCCTAACAGCGTCACTGGTGGGTGTTTCATGCACGGCCCAACATTTATGGCCAATCCACTAGCATGCAGTGCTGCTAACAAATCCTTAGAAATACTCGCAAGAGGTCACTGGCGCGAGCAGACCAGCCGCATCGAAAAACAATTGGTACATCAGCTGTATGTTCCCTTGAAGAATGATGAGCAGCTCATGGGCTCCCTCATTCAAGACGTGCGAGTTGTAGGGGCTGTAGGAGTGGTGGAGCTTCAAAATCCAGTAAATTTATCGTGGTTTCATCAAAGGTTTGTGGCCAAGGGTGTTTATGTGAGACCATTCAACAAGCTTATCTACATTATGCCACCATATATCATAACAGAGAATGAGTTGACGAAGGTAACTCACACAATTATAGAGGTGATCCAAGAATGGAAACAAGAGCTGGATAGACGTAAAAATTGTTGAAAGTTTATCAGCGTAGCATAGTTATAGTAACAGGATAAACTGCGAACTTCCGAAATCTGCTCGCGCACGTGAACTCGTCACGCTCTGATGTATATCACTTTATCTTATAGTGTCGATGATCTATTTACAGCTCAGTCATCTCCTCTGAAAATCAGGCCAATATTGCCTCCACATGGGTGAAAATCCTCACATTCCTCCTTTGAACACCGTAGGCAAGTGCGAGACTCTTTACACATGGACATGCACTTTAAGGAATTGGCATGTCATTGATTATTTGTTAGACTTCCGAGGCACGTTTTGAGAGCAGCTCAAACCTCTGGTGAACCTTTTTCCATATCGTGTCCATTTTCCTAAGCCTAGAAAACGTATAGTTGTTTTCTACTACTATGAGCTGAGGATTATATTTGCAGCGCTCAACCGCCAGTGTCAATTTGTTTTCGTGGCCACAACCCATTGATGTACCACATTGTCAACGTCGCGCCAAGACAGAGCATCAGCACTTCCACTAAATTGCCTAATTGATTTTATTGCGGCACGCGTGCACCGGTTTGAATCAAAATGTCTCACCTTAGTGATAAAGTGTAATCCTTAGTATGTCCGCGACACCTAATACCTCGAAATACCTAACGGTTATTGTACTTGCAGCACTTCTTCCTTCAAGCTGAAAGATGCACCGCTAGGGCCTACCATTCTTGCTATGTAACTAGCTGCCTGTAGTCTCTTCTAGGGTTGTGTTGATCTTGGCATTATAGGTTGTTTATTACACGTGGTTTCTCGTATCTTCATTAGGGAACTGCATGCACAACACGATGGTCATCTCGAAGAATTGATGAAAGAGCTTCTACCAATTGAGTCAAAAAATGCTAACCTGTGGTTGTATTTAAGTGCTGGCTTTTGAAGACAGGGAAGGTGCAGAACTCTTGATAAATTGGATTGAGTGTTGTTTGCTCTGTTTCGAAGATATCTACCTTGAGCAAAATCCAACATATATTAAAGGACGGTGATGCATTTAAAGCTCCTTTATTGCACAGTTTTATCACTGATATATGGCTTGGCCCTTGGCTCGCCTGCTATATCGGATTCCTCAGCTCTCGCAGATTTACTTGAATCCAGTGACAAGTTTAATGACCACAGCGTAGTGCAGGCATTTGTTGAAGAACTAAAGGCCATTTCACATTCGTCGAGAAACATTTCAAAGTGCGATCAATGCGTGGCTCGGCTGGCAGTGGGGAAATCTTTGGCATTGCTAAGACCAGACCTAGTCCCGCCAGTCTTCACTCAATGGTGTACCGAAACACAGTACATGTCAAACTCTACGTGTTTGTCAACTTTCAGCAGAAATACAGTGAAGTCTAGCTACACAGGAACCAATTTTGCGGATATGCTGACACTCATGGATCCATTTGGTTACGATGGACAACTGTACTGTTGCTACAAAGAATCCGCCTGTTCCAAACCAAAAACCCCCGACGTTTCTCTGTCCCACAAGTGGCCTGCGAAACAAACGAAGCATAAAGTTGCGCCTGTTCCATCGGCAAATGACACTTTTAACGTCCTCCACTTGTCAGATTTCCACATCGAGCTGGACTACACCATTGGTGCGGAAGCCAACTGCTCAGCCAGCATGTGTTGTACTCCACACTCCAAAAATACTTTCGCTAACCTGACTTCTCATTCTCACAAAGACTGGAATTCTTACTACGATTCTCATTATGAGGGCAATTCATTAGTGAAGGGAAGCCTGATTGATGTCTTCAAGAACGACTCCATCTGGTCACCAGCCACTACCTTCGGCCACTACGAGTGCGATGCTCCAGAAATACTGATTAACTCTTCCTTGGATTCTATTGCCAACTTCAGCTCCACAAACAATATAGATTTCGAGTTTGCAATTTTCACTGGTGACGCTGTTGACCACGATGAACTTTCTTTGACTAGTTACGAAGTTACGGTAAATTCTGAGGAGGCGGTTTTTAGAGATATCAAGAATAAGCTGGGAGATGTTCCCGTGTACTCAGTTTTGGGTAATCATGATACCTTTCCTTATGGTGAGCTTGGTCAAGAAAACCATGGATTCTCAAACTACTTCGCATGGAATGCAGAGCTGATGGCGGACCTATGGGAAGATTACGGCTGGTTAGGATCTGACGAGTCTCAATACGCTCGTAAGCATTACACCGGATTCTCTGTTGAAACGTCGATGGGTCTCAAGGTCATTTCTCTGAATTCCAATGTTTGGTATAAGAAAAATCACTACGCTTATTGGAATGCCTCCCAACCTGATACCTTTGGCCAGCTTGATTTTCTCATAGATGAGCTGGTTGAAAGTGAATCTAAAGACCAAAGAGTTTGGATCATTGCCCATATTCCTTTTTCGGCTGATGCGCTCCCATTACCAGCAAAGCTCTTTGCTGAGGTAATTGAGAGATTTTCTCCCTACACTATTGCCAACATATTTTTTGGACACACTCACTTGGATCAATTCGAGATTCTGTATTCTGGCCCTGGTGGCGATGCTAAGACCATTGAAAACGTGGTTGCTTCTTCGTGGATCTCGCAAGCTGTTACACCTTGGGTTGAAAATAATCCGTCCTGGAGATACTACTCAGTCGACAAAAAAACTTTCTCTATTATGAATGCCTACAACTACTACACCAAATTGAACGAAACTTTCACAAATAACGGTTCTGCGCCGGTCTGGGAATTTGAGTACTCCTCCAGAGAGGGTTATAATGTTACTTGGCCGGAATCTGCCCCCTTGAACGCAACTTACTGGCATAAGGTAGCTTCCATGGTGAACGAATCCGTTGAGTACAACCAGGTGTATGAAAACTACGCCAAGAGGTTTTCGCCCTATGTTCCAGATTGTGCAAGCACAGACGATTGCGCATTGGACTACTGCTACTTGACATCTTTTACTGTTGACCAGTATGACAGTTGCGTTGAGAACGTCAAAAATAACAAGTAGAGAGCTTATTACTCTTTTGATACACCCTGGTCATTAATACCCTCACGATATGAACTTATATTATAAAACCATATCATGTATTACATGATACAGATAAATAATTAACTTAAAATTTAAAATATATCATAATCCTAATGAGTTTCGTCTTTGAAGTACTTGACAAATTTGAGTCCCAAACGGCAACGTTTGCTCATCATTATTATCCAGAGCTAGATGAATTTAGGCTTAGATCCAAAACCACGGAAGCACCAAGTCAATAGACGGCGTAGAGGAAAAGGTAACAGTGAACTGAAAGATTCGAAGAGTCCGAGCGCTGATGATGTGGATTCAAAGAGACCCCCTCACCGGAAGTCGAACAAAAACCAAGTCAAATCTAGACCCGCTAAGAAGGTCACTTCCAATGAAAAGATAGCAGATGTGAGGCGCAAAGGAACAACTTTCGCGAAAACATCGATGTCAACAGAACTAAAGGATCAGGTCCAACAAGTTGAACACCTTTTGGGAGTGGATGGCTTCAAGGTCTTCAAGAAAGGCAAAAATAGCACGTCCTATGGACTTGCGGCTCCTGGAGTTTTGGGATCTGATACCTTTATATTTGTCGTAACGATCCCGTTCTCGTACCCCCGCCAGCCTTCTAAATTGGACCCAGTAAACAATTTGGCCGAGGGGAAAAGAGAAATCCAGGTCGAGTTGGGCCACATTGTGAACAATTTCAATAGCAAGGCTCATGAAATGACTTCAGCAGGTCAACCGCTTATTTCGCAATTCAATTATCTGCTAACGCAGTGGTCAAAAATGACGAGTCCTAATTACAAACAGAAAGAACGGCTAAACAAAGAATTTCTAGCAAACATTTAATGATGAGTACTTGCCGTGCCTGTCTTACAGTATCACCTTCACTCTTTAACGAAAACAGCAGCGGCTCCCATCCCGGTCCCCACACACATGCTCACTAGGCCTATTTGGCCGGGTTTCAGCTCCCTCAAGATCGTGGCTACTTGTCTGGCACCTGTGCAACCTAGCGGGTGCCCCAGTGCAATTGCACCGCCTCTGGGATTGACTTTTTCAAACGGAATTTGCAATTTGTCAATGCAATAGAGTGCTTGGCCAGCAAACGCCTCGTTAATCTCAAATACGTCAATTTCTTCCAATTTCAGCTTACAATCTTGCAGCACCTTTGGAATCGCGTATGCGGGCCCGACGCCCATAATTTCAGGTGGTACGCCGACCACTTGGCATGCGACATACTTGGCAAGAATGGGGAGCTCCATTGACTCCGCTACAGAACGCCTCGTTAGCAAGACGGCTGCAACACCGTCCGATATCTGGGATGCGTTACCGGCCGTTGTTGTTCCACCATCCTTGATAAATGCTGGCTTAAGTGTGCCGAGGTTTTCAGCAGTTACGCCCTTCCGAGGACCCTCGTCGGTTGCGATAACAGTTCCATCCGGCAAACGAATAGGTAGGATCTCATCTTGGAACAGTCCTTGTGAAACCGCGTTCTCTGCTTTACGGTAGGACTCGGCTGCAAACTGGTCCTGGCTCTGTCTGGAGATATGAAACTTGTGACTCACATTTTCGTTCGTGAACCCCATGGGGATCATGCACTTGCGTGCACTTTTATTCTGCTTCAGCTCCTCTGAGACATTGCCCAGAGCTTGCGGCCCATAATTCTTAGTCATCGACTCTGCACCCAGGGCCAAACCAGCATCTATCTGGCCCACTCTGATCTTGTTTGCCACGTCGTTGATGGCGGCAAGCCCCGAAGAGCACTGCCGGTTAATGGCCACGAAAGGTGCAGTGTAGGGCACCCCAGCGGCTAAGCACGCAGCCCGATGCTCGGTGGCCCCTGCTCCTGGATTCAAAACATTGCCGCATGCCACTTCCTGGATAAAACCCTTATTATCACGAACGGCAGCCGGAGCATTTTCGAAAAATTCTAGTAGAAACTGGTGCACCAAATAGTCCGAATGCACGTTTTTGAAGCCGCCTTTAAATCCTTTGGCGATTGCCGACCTATACGCCATCACAATCACCACGTCATCTGGTCTCGCGTCCGTTACGGACGGTGCTATTGCTGAGACAATGTGGTCTTTAACCTGTGTTAATCTTTCCGCCATTCCTGTGCTAATATCGAAGCTGTCGACTTTTGTAAGTTGCTTCCGAGTCGTGTGTTCTAGATTTTGAACTCGATTGTAAAACTTGCTTGCAAACCTCCACCAATACCTCTAGTCCAATAGAGATAATGCCGTGGTTAGCTTAGTTAGTGTTTGTAGTGAGTGAACTTTATCCTCGCCAACCTCGTTGATCTGGTCCTTATATACGCTTCACAGAACCTATTAATGTGTCACCCCAGGTCATTTCAATGGCACGCGGCTACCCCAACGACCTCGTCACGTTCAACGACTATTCAATTGATTGTCACAAAATGCGAAAGTGACGGAGCGTCAGGGAAGCTTAAAGCTCCTATCGCACAAGCACCTGGGTAGCCCTGGCATATGTATTATTACAGAATTTATCTATGTTGGGAATGAAGTGAGGAGACTGATGGTGATGTGCGCCTAATCGCATAATCCGCGTCCGGACATATGTGACACAGTGGTACAGAATGATAGTACACAACAGAGGCCATACCATTCGAGTTACAAGCTAGGGCAAGTCGAAGAGAACAGCTGGTGTCCAATGTGATTGGCGATTGATGAGTAGTTGGTAGCGTACGGCATTGAAGCCGTAATCCTTGGGCAATAGAATGATCTAGAATGGGTGATTAATAAATGTGTTGACCAGAGCCACCGAGTGAGAATTGTATAAATACCAGGCTCTTGTTCAGGTAACTAAACCAGCTCTAATGCCTAAAATAATCACGGAGAGATAAATAGAATTCCCTAGATCCAAGTTACTCATCTTATAATGACTATGTCCGACTTACAAGACAAATTTAGTAAGCTTTCTACTGATGAATCAGATTCGCCTCAATAATAATGACTATGTCCGACTTACAGGTCAAATTAAGTAAGCTTTCTACAAATGAATCAGATTCGCCTCAATAGGAATAATCTGGGTGCAGTTAGGGCTTGGCAGTGCAGCAATTGAATCCAACAGGTAGCATTCTGAGCTGTTGGATGATTGAATGGCTGTTTAAGTTATTTTTGTGTAATTACTGCCCCTCTGAATCCCATTGGTTGATTATTTCACCTCATACACTTTCGATTTACTGCCGTCGCTGATATCACTTCGTACCATACTGACACTAATTATTTGATTACGGTTATATAACTCAATACTTTTCAAACACCTATCGATCCCTACCACTCGGAAGTTCCAACAAGCTCCATGCTTCATGTGGCACGCCATATAGAGTCGTTCTTCGACCATATTGCGATATATTGTAATAATGAGAACTTTTTCGCCTCACGGGTAGTTGGATTGGACCATGTGAAAACTCTAATGTGCTTTTTATTTCTGGTGTGTATGTTTAGACAGCCTCGAGACGTCACGTTCAGCCAATGTTGACGCCTCCATTTCCATCTAACCTCTACCATACTTAGACCAGCCCAGCATTAATTTCCGAAAAAGAAACGTCGCACATCTAATGATTCATTCAATAGTCAATTTGATGTTCATTAAACTATTGAATCGGCAGCTATACATTGAGGGGATTCTGCTTTTGGCCGGAAGATTGCCAAGAATTCATCCTCTTTCGAGCCCTCATTTATTATTTAATCACGACATACGTAAGAAGAGATCAAGATCAAAACTGGGATCAAGCGCTACGCGAGACACAAAGAGCCACCTCAAGGCCAGACATACTCCCCCATACGTTGCGTAATTATTTGTACTCAGCTCTGAGGGTGATACTCTTGATACATGAGTAGGCCCAGGGATCAATGGAAGGAGCCTCATGGTTACACTAGTCGATCATTTTCACTGGACGATGCCATCAACCGCGGAAGTGTACCGATAGAGAGAACGTTGCCACCAATCGATGATCCCGTGGCTCTAGGACTTCAACTAGCTGGTGTTGGATTTACTCACGGACCTAAAGAAGTGCACCCTAGTCCTTATGTTCGCAAAGCACGTAACTTTTCTACTAGCGACATCATGAGTGTTAAAGTCCGCGATTCTAATTCCGCTAGTCGTACCTGTGATACAACTACGACCTACAATCCAGATATTCTTCCCAGCGAAGGTGTTATTGACGATACCTTCAAACAGTTGCTCGAAAGTAGAGCTTTCTTCTGGGGTAGCGCCCGCTCAGGCTTGCAAAATTTAAGTTACAAGCGCAAATGGCAGCTGGTCTGTAAAGAACGGCTCATGCGCCTAACGGAGAGTGAGCCAAAGGGTAGTAGCATGGTTTCGGACGAAGCACTTTGGAACGTTTTGAGAGACAGATTAAGTTCCGATGAAAAGATTGCTGGCAATCTATATCAGGTGGAAAAGCTGCTGCGGAGATCCGACGTCTGTGAATGGTTTTTGAAAGAAGGTGGGACATACCGGCTCATCGATATTTGCGAGGTTTTGCAACCCAATGATCTATACGTGTATCTGAGGTGCTTTAAGACGCTCATGAATCATGAGAATGCAAGATCAGCAATTGCGAGTAGCAACAAGATAGTTGAATACTTATGCTCCATCTTAACACAACACAGCGAAAATCTGAAGGTACATCTTTTGAGCGTAGAGCTCCTTCTTTTACTGACTTTTGTCGAGAACCATGGTGGTTGGGACAAGGTAGCTCAACACCTTGGCGCTCGCTATGCACTCTGGTTTTCCAACATTGAAAATTTACTACAGCAAAGAGAAAACTCTACAGGTGCTCCGATGCTGTCACCAGCACTGAAACCTCAACAATTGCTCAAAGACTACTGTCTAACTTCTTTATTTCTGATAAACTCTATTTTGCAAGTATCTCCATCGGTCAGGGAACAGCTGGTAACTTTCAAAACCTTGAAGGAAAATAAAATTCATGGGTTATTTTACCTCATGGCAAACCTTGGTTGCGAAGAATTGGCCAGCGAAATCGAGAAGTACAAAGCACTGGAACAGAAGGTGGTACAAGACACTAACCCAGAGCTGCCGCAGTTTCTTGACACCTCTTATGGTCAGTATCTGAATACTATTGTACAGAATACCCATCATAACCCCTTAGAACATTGCATGCATCAGATTTTTGAGCTCATTTCACAGATTCTGATTACAAGGACGATATCAGACAGTTTGAAGATCCTAACGCTTTTTGGTTCGGTGCTCAGTTACCTAAAAAACTACAGCTATGGCGAAGAAACTCTTAATATCGAATCTGCTATTAATCTCTCGTTAAATCAATTGGTGGATAACCTTCAGTCGGATGAAATTGCCCAGAGGGCTTTAGCCGAGCTTTCCGATATGCAAAGAACTCTAGAGCAACTAGAAATGGAAGTCGAACGTCTACGTAGCGAGAAGGACGTATCAAAAGATAGTGTAATGGCAGAACTGCGAGGCTGCAAGAAAGAGTTAGCCTCGAAGGAAGCTGAAATTGAAATGCTTCGAGATGAATTGGAACTGAGCAACAAGCAGAGGCAGCAAGATAAAAAGGAGTTGGACAGAATCTCCAATATTCGCAGTAGTAATACACCCTCAAGGGCTCTCACTTGGAATGCATTTGATCATCTGAAAGCCCGATCGCAGAAGGAGGTACAGACTTCACACAAACTTTCCCGGCAAAGCTCTTTGTCAAAGAGTACCCGATATAAGTCATTATCAAATCTAATGAGTGTGCAAAATAAGGATCCACAGAAAATGCCCTCTCTGGCCAGAGCAAAAGGTTCTGGCTCCTCTACTTCTCCAATTCCATTCAATAATTCGGACGATGAACCAGAAAACAACAATTACCGAGCGGAACCCCTGCCGAATGATGGTAGAAGCGTCACTAGTCGCTCAGTGCCCGAGCGCTCACAAAACGATTCAAATCCAGCTTTAGGTCCTACTAACGCTTTCTTTGCTGGTAGTCTTCCGCAAGAATTTGGCATGTCATTATCGACACCTACTAATAATTCAGATGAGAACCAAAGAACTGTTAACAAAAACCCTGGGGTTGAATTATCTTCACGAACTAACAGCCGTCCTTCTCCTTCAAATTCAGAAACTGCTGCACCACCACTACCTTTGTCTCACGTTATTAAAAACGATATCCAAACTGAGCACATTACAAGCACCCAGTCTACCTCCGGATTGTTTCCGCCACCACTTCCTTCTCCCCCGCCGCTGTCAGTGGCCATTTCCTCGGCGCATGCACAAGCTAAACGAAATGGTGACGCGCGCCTGAGCCTAGCTTCTACTGCACCACTAAAATCATTACCACCACCTCCACCTCCACCTCCTCCTCCTCCACCGCCGCCCCCTCTTCCCTCGACTTTGAGTGTTGGCAGTAATTCAACAAGCGACCGTAAGGGAAGTGGTCCGCCCGCTCCTCCTGCTCCTCCTGCTCCTCCTGCTCCTCCTGCTATACTGCTAAATTTATCAGCATCCCCAAATCAACCTTCTGCGTCTTCAGACATAGCTGAGAACCCAGTGGCGCAAGTTCGGTTGAAACAAATTCACTGGGATAAATTAGACAACGTTGCCGACACCATTTGGAATCAGCATGATGAACGCAAAAACGTAGCAGACCACCTGGAACGAACTGGAATACTAGAGGAAGTCAATGAGCTGTTTCAGGTCAAACAATCGAAAACTATCAAAAAAAAATCTGTGAGGATCCGAAATGAAGGATTGACATCATATCTCCCTCGAGATCTTGCCCAGCAACTTGGAATCAACTTGCATATGTTTTCGAATCTTTCTGTGGAAGACTTTGTTCTGAAGGTTTTGCATTGCGACCGCGACATTGTGAACAACCACAGCGTCCTTGAGTTTTTTGCGAAAGACGATTTCAACACCATTCCACATAGTATTGCTGCGAAGTTCGAGCCCTATTCGACGAATTTTGAGTCTGGAGTAGCACCGAAAGCCGACGCTACCGGGCTTGAACGAGCCGACAGAATATATCTGGAATTATGTTTTAATTTGAGGGAATACTGGAAGGCGCGCTCCACTTGCCTATTAACATTAGCCACCTATGAAAAGGACTATTTTGACATCATGTACAAGTTGCAACTAATAGACGATGCGGTTACCGCAATTGAGGGCTCGGTGAAATTAAGAGACGCGTTGATCGTTATTGTGGAAATTGGTAATTACATGAATCGCAAGCGTGCGCCGGGCATCAAATTGAGCTCACTGCAGAAGCTCGCATTTGTGAAGTCAAGCGCAGATAGTCAAACATCATTTTTGCACGTCATTGAGAAAGTTTTACGGCTGAAGTGCGGTGACGCCTACGGATTCGTCAACGATCTCTCGAAACTAATGGGTCTTGGAAACCTTGTTGTGGCCCAAGTCGAACAGGACTGCCAGGATTTCGTTAAGAAGATCAACGCGGTTAAAATCTCGCTAGAGAGTGGCGTGCTTTCTGACGAGAAGAAGTTTCATCCAGAGGACCGACTTCTCTTAAAAGTTGGACCGAAAATCGCGGGAGCTATGCGTAAAATCAATTTGCTACAAAACCAGTGTACGCTGACGATGCGTGCTCTTGACAACTTGATGAAGCTCTATGGCGAAGACGCTAGAAATCCCGATAGTAAGAGTGAATTCTTTCAGCATTTTATTCGGTTTGTTGCGGAATTCCAGAAGGTTGCAAAGGAGAACTGCGAAAAGGAGGAAATGGAACGTGTATACCAACAGCGGAAGGAGTTTTTGCGTCACAAATTGGACACTACCTCTAATTCAGGCGCGAACGCTGCTGACGAGCTTGAGTGCGACACTGTTGACGTTTTGATCAAAAGGCTACGAGACTTGAACAGAACTGAAAAAACAGCAAAACCGGAAATCTCTTCGAAACCCAAAACGAAAGACCAATTACTTACAAAGACTCAGCACATGCTGAGTACCCTTCAAAAAATATGATGTTAAAAGGCAGTGCCAAGAACGACGAAATGAGGACTTCTAAGAACACGTCCTGGTTTATTTAACTTGGGGTTTCTAACCTGCAGACTGTCTCAGGACTGAAGCCGCTTCACCTTTATTTGATGAAAGACTGTCCTGTCGCCTTACCTTGTCAACATCGATGCCTATTTTTGGTCTCTCTCAGCCCCAATCGCTATTACAGGCGTATCTGTTGGGCTCAAGGCTCTCGGAAATCTCTTGGCACGAGGGTTCGAGTATGTGTGGAAACAAAAAATGGTGAAAATTAATAGTGATTTCACCCGTAACACGCTAAAGCCGAAAAGGTCAACTCACTTGATAGCTTCCTTGGCAAAAGCATCGACTTTCGCGTGCGAGCAGGATCCGGATTTTGTACCTTTGGGAAGTACTATAGCAGTAACTTTGAGATCCATTGAGAAAATCTGGTGGCCCTTGCTTCCTTATTAACCGAGACAAATTTATCTTCTGAGCTTTTTAAATGGTGGATGGAGTATCGCTCGCGGTTGGATGTGCCGTTGGAATTCCTTGTGGAGTTGCGGTTGTAGTGGCCCTCATCTTTTGGTTTTATATGCAGCGCAGGCTCAAGAAGGAGGTGGAGGAAGATGCTGAATCGATGTCGGACGATAGGGCTATCAGCTTCAACAACATGGAAGCTCTTAAACAAGTTGAGAATTCCGAGAAAGAAGATCAGGCTCTACAAAACGCGGACGTATCGTCATACTCGGACAATACGCAAGGTGTGGAGTCCGGTCCGGCTTCAGCCCCGACTTCTGCAGGCGGTGTTTTCAATGGGCTGAAGAAAACAAGAGGAACATCCGTTTCGAGGTCCAAAACCAAATCAGAGAACAAGAACACGTATATGCCGGCATATCGTAAAAAACTCAACTCTTCCATCAGTTCACTACAACAGCGCACCAGGCACCATGACGACTTTAAGGGTACAACTGACAGTTCTAGTACATCCCTGGATACAAAGCCGAACGGTACCCAGCGAAGTGAGCCAACAGTACTTGATCAGATGATTCCGGTCTTGGGAAATCCAAATGGAACTGATTCTGGCGCTGCTGCAACCTCAGAATTTAGTCTGTCGCATGAAAAAACGGCTAGCAATGATAATTTGATCAAGAATCTGCACAATCACGACTTTGGGTCTTACCCGAGAAGGAGATCATCCGCAAACCTCACTAGTATGGCTTCGGGTAATGTGTCCAGCACTTCTGTTCGTACGCGCTCTTCCTCTGCTCACTCCCCAAAAAATAGTACTGAAAATGTCTTTGATACACCCAACAGTAACGTCAAAGTAATGAACTCACTACCGAACCATACCGGTAGTCCCAACGGAAACATTTTCCTGAAAGATGAAAATAGTGATGATAATGAGAAACCAAGCTATTACATGCTTAAAAACAATTACGATGTTCAGAACTCAAGTGAGATCGCCGAAGAGGACCAGTATGAGAACGACTTCACGAACTACTCTGAAAGTAAACGCGAGTTCATAAACAGCTTGAGGCCTCGCAAGAATTAGAACTGATCGGCAAGACGTTAAAGTGCTTGCCCACTATTTGGATTTATTATATACGACATACAAAGGAATCATCAATTCATAAGCTTCACAGAAGTCTCAGCAGAAAAGCAGCGCAATGCATAACTTTACTTATTTACAAGGTGAGAACAGCATGGTGCCTTACAAAGTCCTGGTACCTTCCTCGGCCAGTATGTCGATCTTCTGTCCGCCCACCGACACACTCCAGTCATGAATCAAAAACTCTTGATGTTTGTTCTCTCTATCTGCAACCAATTTTACTATTCCCTGGACGTTTTTTGAACCACGAATGTAGAAAGATATGTCAACCTTTCCTGCGACTTGATTCAACTCACCATATACCCAAGGTACTAGTCCATCGAAGTCGATACTGTCACCAAGTAACTCCCTAATAGCCTGCGATCTGCGCATATGGTACAAAGAGTTCGAAACGATAGGTGACTGCGTCTTCTCGTAGTTGAATATGCAAGCAAGCGAGACCCCGATCGCCACGACAAAAATACCAAGCTGAAGTCTGTTCTTGAATTTGTCTTTTGTGGGATCAGGCAACTCCCGTTCAATACGCAATGGTTTCGACTTATCTTTCAATACCAACGGTTCCGCAGCTCTATGGGTCGATAGCGACCGTAACAGCACAGCACCAAAAGACCTTCTCGAGCTCAGAAATTGCTTAGTACTCACCCCTGTTAGTCTCAACATTGTTAAACACTCCTAAGGATCTTTTGGTTTCTGTTATTGGTGTTACGATTTCTGGTGTGCAATGATAGTTTTATTCTAAACAATATCATAATTTTCCTTGCTCACCAGAAAACTATCAAACAGAGCCAAGATGACCATAGTAAGTCCGACCACACTGAATGTGAGATCAGGTTCAGCCATAATCTGATACTGAGACTGATCTTACCTTTTTCAATTCACTACTAACCGAGGTGTGCAACAGGTTGGTAAAGCGCTTCATTTTTCCATTGATTTGGCCCTGGTGTCTGTCTGTTTGGCTGGAGTAAAGAGAAACACGGGCCTTACTCCCAAGTTGGATTCGATTGAAGATAATCATATGAGAGGCTGGGCTCAGAAATACCTCAATGTGGGCGAATCATGTTACGATTACGCCGTTGTATCCCTGGGAGCATCGCAGTATTTCGTGAGAAAATAGAGTGTGCGGGCTGACGACCCCAGAACTTGCACCCTGATCCCTGCTTCTATAAGTCTTGGGCACTGCTACTCAGCAACAAGTAAAGTTGGTTGTATAATAATTCTAAGATTTAGCTAGATCTTTAGTTGCTAATCTACTACCAATCCTCTGTGCCCTTCATGACAGAGATAAACCGCTAAACTTCTGTCACAAATTAGCTGGGATTAAATGGCAATCCTTTATGTACGAGATCCGGATTTGTCACGTAGGTGCTCAATATGCGATCGCCATCTTGGCCACCTCGATTGTGGTTTGCGCTGTCGACCCGGTCGGAGCTCCTATGGGTGTGCTGATTGGAGGGATAGGTACTATCACGTCGGTCTTCGTAAAAGTTGTAAAGATAGGCATATTTGTCGGTATGATCATTCTGAATGGACCTACGAGTGTTAGAGCTCGGAACAGTAGCTAGGGACCTTAAACTTTCCCAAAAGTCTAAATCCTCTTCTTCGAATAAGTTAGACGAGCGACCACCGGAGGACATAGTTTCAGTCTTGGTGTGTGGAAGCTGCTGAGGAGATACTCCAGTCTCTCGCGGGGTGGTGGCTGTCAATCCCTGTGGCCCATTGGGTGTACTGCCTTCAGATGAAAAAGGTTTCGTTCTCTTCCGTCTTTTCTGGCGACTATGGGAAGCATTGGGACTCTGGTTTGTAGAATGGCTTTGTTCTTGGGTTTTAGCCAGATCCGAAGAGTTCAACTGTGGTTTCACGGTTGGTGGTAAGTAATTGAAGTGATATTGTCTGTGAGGTGGTAGTTCTTCCATCTCTCCCCCAGGAGTGGATCGAGACTCTATGGATGTTCCATTTATCGGTGCTCTGTGTGCGTAGCCAGCAATAGCCGGGTAGCTGAAGGTTGGTCCCTGGTTTGCGGCAAAGAGGTCGGGATCCGGATAGAGAGCCAAGCCAGGAAGATTAGGAGATCTTCCGGGAAAATCTGTTTCAAAGCCCCGAGGGTGTGATGGCTTTTGAGTCCGATAACCGTTGAATGGATGAGCTCTGACGTCTGGACAGAGGTCATCGTTTATAGAGTCACCCTGAAAAAGTGCCGATGAAGCATCGGTACCATAATGATTATGGATATGTTGGTGAATGGAAATGGTCAACGAGCTCTTACGGGCTTGGTTTATTAACTCCTGAACTAATTCTGAACTTGAAATTACTCCATGAGCGGCTGGTACGCCATTTTCGTCATGTAAAGCATAATTCCAATCAAGTTTGGAAGACTGCGATCGTATCCTAGCGGCTGGTGGTCGGCCGCTATCTGTATGGATTTGTTGTGATGATTTTTGCCCTTGTGTACTGTGCGTCGGTGAAGGTTGGTGGGGTCCTTGAGCTTCAATTGATGTTGGTAGCTCATTTCCGTTCCGTGGCGGGTCGTTTTCTTCTAAATTGTGGAAAGCTTGGGGCGGGTTTTGCGCGCGTGCTCGAGTGGTGAATTCGGGACTATGCTCTTCTCTGATCGAAATATTACTCATAGATGACTTCGGCGCATCCAATCCATCAGCTTTGACCAGCTTCTGTACACCCATTTCGACATCCTTGGTTGGCCATTGTGCCTTGCTAGGATGTTCGTCACCAGATTGTGAGTTATTTGAGGGCGATGAACAATTTGGTGACATGCGAGAATTTGAAATTGACTTTTCCTCGGGATCGAGGGCATATTCTTCAACTTTCAGCTCCTCGGAAAAAGGACTGTCGTCTTTCATGTCTTCTAACTTTATTCTCAAACTTTGCCGCAGTTCCTCCAACGATTGAACAGAACTGCCTGAGGATGTTTCCTGGACTGCTTTTGTAATCTCTTCAGAGGCTTTACCTCTCATAATCATAGTTATGATTTTCCTCCACCGGTTGCGGCATGTCAGACTTGGTCGAGACTCCATTTCCAAGGAGATTTTCCGCCAACTGGTGCCGTAATGCTTCACCTTGCTAATGAGAGCCAAATCCTCCCCCAGAGTCCAATCCCGTAATCTATCCTTTGTACTCGGATCTAGCACTTCAATGTAACGCTTAGCACATTGGTCCTCGGTCCTACCGGGAATTTCAGTTGATACCTTGAGCCAATGAGAGCCCCACTTAGCAAAAGACTTCATCAGTAACTCGTCTTCCTCTGAGGTCCATTTCCCCTTCCGCAAATTGGGATCCAGTGAGCTCATCCACCTCTTTCTGATATCCTTCGGTTTTCTAACCTTGCGATCAAAGCGAGCAGCGATCTCGTCCCAGGGCATGTTCTTGCATATCTCGTTTGATTGTTCTATGGTTTTCATGGAATCTATCCCATTTCCGTATCCCATGTCCAGAAGGTGCTTATTGACACAACTCCTGAGTAGCTCATCTTCCTCCTTGTTCCAAGGTTTACGAGCTTTTATCCTGTGCGTCTGATATCCCAAACTGCGAGTTACGTCCAACGGGTTTATCCTTATCTTTTTTCCTTTACCAACACTGCCTTCCTTCGTAGCCGTTTCAGCCGCACGTTGTGCATCAGTGGCCATCTTGTTGCGAAGCTACCGGGGGAATTGTCCTATCAAAAACTCTTATTACCTTTTGCTAGGCAAAGCTCATCGGATGGATCATCGCTTCATTGCAGCTATATTTTCAGCCAGTCACTTTGTACTAATATTGTTGATTCTTTCAATCACTTTTTTTTCCTGACGCTGCTCATCCTTTTTTTACCATACCGTCATCAGTCTCCGCTCAAGTGAATAGACTTGCAAAAGAGAGCATTGATTGCTTACACTATTTAGGGTCACAAGTGCCATCACAACTGTCGTTCCAGCCATTTTAGACTGTGATCTGGCCACTCATCGCTGTCTAAAAGCACCCATGCATGTTACGTTTTGTATTAGTCATGAGCGACGAAATTAATCTAAATAAGGCTTATTAGTAGTCACCGCAGATCTAAACCAGTGACGGAACCTCGAGTCGCACCTGTGGAGGCTCTATCTTTGAAGACTGTCCTTCAATTCATTAGTCTTCACAACTGGCAGATGGAAAATCATATCACACCAGAATACTCCGATGAGCTTCTCCGATATATCAATGAAGTTTACACGCAAGACATCGCTCATTACTTCCCTAAGCTCAGACTGGAGAAACTGATAGATCTCTTGGAGCATGCTGAATATCTTTTTGAATCTTATCGGAATGCGCTAAAAGCTAATCAGCGGGGTGAGTCGTTGCTGGCATTCGTTGTGGGCTGCTTTTATATTTACCTGATCATTCCCTCGTCTATCCAGTTCAACTCACGGGATAAATCGTATGGGATCTACGCTGAGCTCAAAAAGTACTACAATGATGAGACACATATGCTCAACGTTTTGTTGATGGTTACTCGAGTCGTGGAGTCTGTGAACAAGCAGGTGGAAGAATCTGCCATAATAGTACGGAAAAGGGCGTATTCGGTACCTCACGCGCATCGGGTGTTGACAAAAGAGATGGAGTCAATGACTCTTTCAGACAATTGTTCGAAAAGTGGCCCTACTCTGGACAACGAACTGGATAACGATTCCATAATGTGGACCGCTCCAAACTTAAACCCTAATGATCATCTCAAAGTAAGCTTGGCTCCTTTGCCTTCTTCTACTACCCTAGCCTCTGACAACGGTAAAGTATTGGACCAAGCAATCGATATTCTATCAGTTGAACGCGCTGATAAACATTCCACAGTCTCTGCAGACTCTCAAATCCGAAGGGGCTCAGCTCCAGCGAATACCGAGCATAAACTAGATCTTAAAACTAATTCGGAGTTCAAAGACATCCATTCTCAAGATGTTGATAGGTATCAGACTCACAGGAAAGATTCTTATCATTCAGTCTATATGATGAATGACGAACACGATAGCTTCAACTTTAACTTGGCAAGGTTACAAAAACAGTCCGTCATCGGCTGTGAACAACTTTTCAAAATTTTGGCCGGTGATGAAAATCACAAAGTGCTAATCGTTGACTTGAGATACGCGAAGCGTTTCCAGTCGAGCAGGATTGTGGCTACAAATATTGTTAACTTGGATCCTAGAGTACTCTGGGATCATGAGAAGAACATTCCAATCGAAAGTAATACTCCAATTGCTCAGCATTTTACCAAAAGTCTTTTGAACAAGCTTCCAACATTTAAGCACATAATCTACTACACAGACATGAAAACATTGATGGGCTTGGCATTCGACTATCAATTTATATTCTTTCAATTGTTTTACACGTCTAGTTGGAAGCTGAACTGCGTTCCTGAGATACTTTTGGGGGGCTATGAGCAATGGAAGAGATTTGTTACTAAAATGGCCCAAAATCGGCAAATTGAAAAAGAAGCATTTTTGTTCAGAGAATCAAGCAAAGGTGTTCAAAAAGAGAAATCCCACACCATTAGTGATTTAAAAAGAATTCCTTTACCTCCCTCTGCTCCTCCTCCGCCCGTTCCTTCTGAGTGTGAGAATGTGAGGCAGGAAGTATCCTACAACCGGGCTCCTTATCCTTTACCCGATGAAGCAAGCGAACTTTGGAAAGCAAACAATGCATATCAACCGCCTACTTCTGAAGGTAACTTACGGGCACATCATCAGACAGTTCTTCGCCAAGCCAATAGTTTCGCACATTTTCGGGTTCCCACTATTGAGGATAGCCCTAATGAGTACGTAGCTCTATCTGTTACTGGACTCCGAAATCCTGGCAATACCTGTTATATCAACGCCATGATGCAGTGTTTGTTTGCTACCACGGCATTCAAAGGGTTGTTCCTTTCAAGTCAATATGAAGGGTACTTCTCCGATAATTATAAGAACCCTAATCAACTCTCGAAATATTTCCACCTTCTTTTCAAAAAAATGTATCTGAACGGAGGATGCTCCGTAGTTCCAACTGGTTTTTTGAAGGCATGTAATTCTCTTCGTCCTGACCTCAAAATACCTTCGGATCAGCAAGATACGCAGGAGTTTCTTTTGTTCCTTCTCAGCCAGCTACACGATGAGCTTTCTGAGCCTAACCATGTTGCCAGTGACTATCCCGAACTCCTACTTCATGATGACGAGAAGCTAGCAGTGGACATGAAGGAATACGATAAATGGTTTGAGAGGCATATTTCTAAGAACGGTATATCTCCGATTGACAAAATCTACCAAGGCCAGATTGAAAATGCTCTGTACTGTGAGCGCTGTGGACATTCCTCTTATAATTACTCTGTTTTTTATGTTCTTTCGTTGGCGATCCCTAGCACATCTTCGCCCTTTGGTCAAAAGAAGAAAGTAAGACTTGAAGACTGTATCAATCTTTACACCAGTGATGAGCAACTCACAAATGAAAATGCATGGGACTGCCCTAAATGCGGGTCTGCTGCCTCTGGGCAAGGCCCCGACGATGATAAAAGAAAGAAACGATTCCTTTTAAACCCAGACGGGCACACAAGAAGTAGCAGGAGCAAGCTCTTCAATTTAAGATCTAAATCCCGAAGTAGATCAGCGTCCCCATTTGGGAAAGCAACAGCGCAGCACTCAAACCCCAAAGACTGGAAGCAGAAGAAACTAACCAGCATAAAGACTATCAATTTTATTTCATTGCCGTCTGTTCTCACCATCCATCTGTCGAGGTTTTTTTACGACCTCACCAAGAAAAACAATAAAGTCGTAACTTACCCTTTAACTTTGAGCATTGTTTTGAAAAATGACGAGGTTGTTAATTATCGACTATTTGCATTGGTAAACCATTTTGGGAACCTAATTAGTGGTCACTATACATCTTTGGTAAACAAGGATTTGAGACATGAGCTTCACGGAGATCATCAGAAATGGTATTATTTTGACGACGAGGTTGTCAAGAGAGATAAAAACCATGGAGATATTGATGCTGGCATCACGAGCGTCTCTAGTAGCGATGTCTATGTATTGTTCTATGAAAGGATACGGAACTAGGCTGCTGGCTAATCCTCAAGTATGTAGCGCCAAAATAGAAAGTAGGCTTTCAATCTTCACCTTTCATCGCGTCTAATATTTTGATTACCTTGTCCCATCCCAAGACCCAATAACAAATCAGCCACATCTAGCCTTACTTTTATTTATAAGTTCGTTTGTCATTATCATCACCAGAATATATACTTTTACGAAAGTTTGGGGTCGCAAGTGAGCCGGCTATTTTAAACACCAAATGTTTTGATAAATTCCGACGCTTGCACTCTCTCAGCTTCTCTTCTGTCGTCATTCCAATTCAACTCATCGCCCATTACAGAAACTGTTCCATCCACCGCAGCCAAGGCTTGTCTAGCATCTAGGAAACCGAATCTTGTTCTTCTCATCAAAAAGTCTAAGGCGGTTCTGGTGTATTCGTATTTGATACTGTACTTCAATTCGCCAATGGTGAAAGGGTAACGGAATGAATCAAAGTTAACATTTTTGAAGACAGTCACATTTTCCCTGCCACCGAAAGTGACAGGTAGTTGGTTTTTCTCGTCCTTCCTGAACATTTCGCAAATGATAGGTGAACGGGTACCGTAGCTGTTAGCCAGATGCCCGGCCATTTTTGAGGAGAGTCCGTATTCCTGGGCAAGCATGGCAACAAAGTTGGGATCCCAGCCTTCGGCACCAGCCAATTTAATTTTTTTGGTAACACATGGCTTAGCTTGAAAATGCCCAACCTTAATTACCTCGTCAATGGTCTGTTCTGCCATTTCTCTATAAGTAGTCCACTTGCCACCAGCGATAGTAACAAGGCCAGTGTCCGAGGTGAACAGGAAATGATTTCTCACGAGACCTTGAGTGGAGCCAACGTCCGCTTCTGTCAAAGTCCTAGGATCCCTCACAAGTGGTCTAATACCAGCCCAAGCACTCAAAACGTCTTCTCTTTTGACTGGGAACTTGATATAATGTTGCAACTCTTTCAAAATATCTTGAATATCGGCCTCGGCGGCCGTGGGGTTTTCAGGAACTTGCTTCATAGGAATATCAGTTGTACCAGCAAGAACTTTACCTTGCCATGGCAGAAAGAACATAACTCTGCCATCCGAGGTTTTGGCATCTAGCAAACCAATTTCCTTTGGACAGTAAAACGAAGGCAAAACGATATGAACACCGGCAGATGGAACCACCATACGTGGGTTTGAGACGGCAACACGGGAACCAATCGAGGAATGACCCTCGTTAGCATATTGTAGCAAATCGTTTCTGGGGAGTCCATCTTTGGCATTGTCCATCTGTAGCAGGCGATCACTAAAAGGACCAGTGGCATTCACCACAACCTTAGCTTTGATGCGGATTTCTTTGCCAGTTTCGCGATCACGAGCCATGGCGCCTTCGACATGGCCGGTTTTCTCATTTTTCAGCAATTGGGTAACCTCAACGTAGTTCAAGACAGTGGCACCGCGTTCAACGGCAGTGACGGCCAGGGCCGCATTCATTCTGGAGTCGTTAAAAGAGCCGTCATGGTATACCAAGCCAGCCTTCAACTTGGAGGCGTCCAGCATGGGCGCCACTTCGGAAGCAAGTCCTGCGCTCATCATGTAGGAGCCCTTCAAGTTCTGCGAGCCTGCAAACAAATCGTACATCTTACACCCAACGTAGAAGTATGGCACTTGCCAGTAGTTGTAAACGGGGATCATGATCGGCAGCACTTTACAAAGATGAGGTGCAGTTTCTAGCATGTGAGCGCGCTCGTTAAGAGCCTCGATAACCAGGTCAAGCTGGGCCTTGGACAACTCCCAAAACGCCTTTTCCAAGTACCTGACACCGCCGTGCGCCATCTTGGTCGATTTGGAAGACGTACCCGAGGCGAAATCGTTCATCTCGACCAGAGCCACGTTGAGTCCACGCGTAGCGCCATCAACGGCCGACCCCGTCCCTGTGGCACCTCCGCCGATGACCAGCACGTCAAACTCTTCGGTCTTGGCCATCTTCTCCAGCAGTTCCGCCCGCGTGGGCAGCTGAGGCGCCTCCGCTCTCAGCGGCACAGGCGTGCGAACTTCGTTCTGAAACTGCGACTTCTGCCACGTATACGCAGTGTACCCACCGGCCGCCAGCGTGGCCGTGGTCAAAACACGTTTGGACAGCGTTCTCGCAAACATATCACAACAACGTCAGCCAAAGGAGAAATGGGATCAAAGTACCCGCAGTCCACTAGTCGCCCGCGATCCGCCTTCGTATCTCAGTGGAGCTCGAAATACAGTCTGACCTCGGCTTCGACCGGATATAAAGTCACGTGTTATACTCCGATTCACCACCGTGGTCCAGTTGACAATTTAACCGCCAACGAAACACTTGCTTTTCTGCGTCTATACACTCTGTTATTACCGGGTACTCCGTAAAGCAGTGCCCGTAGTAAGAATCTAGCGTATTCTAGAGAAACTCTGCTTTAAAAGTGTCTTGCAAAGAACTACCTTTTCCCCGCCCAGTTTCTCCCTTTATATATGTATTTTTTTACAATAGCAAATATATATGTGCCACTATAATCATCATAATACTACTGGTAATATACACCTCATATTAATTTATCGCTACGTACATCGAGCAAGCCTGGTCAGTGTCGAGGGAAACTCAAGCCATTTCTCGAGGATTGCAATAGCTTGGGATATCACAACGAACAAGAGTAAAATGGTCGTTTTCGGGGCCAAAAAACCCGGGGTTGGATGGCCATCGTGTGTATAGTGGTAGTAAGTGGTAGTGAGTAGTCTTGCACGGGAGGTTTGTTGTTGGGCCGGACGTGGCCAGCCGGACTCGCGGAGTGACACAGTGTGCGGGAATGTTGGATGGCTGAAAATGCCCTGTCTCGAACGGACAAGGCTGGGGAAGAGTGTGCCGTTCGGAAGAGTGATTGGGCTTAGATAACGTTTGTGTGTGGAAGGAAAGAAGGGTTGGACAGGTAGAACGGACCAGGACGGGTGTGTGCGTGTGTGCGTGTGAGTGTGTGTGTATATGCGTATGTGTGACGTACCTGTGTGTGTTTAATGCGGGCTCGAGGGTTGCGCAAGTGGTGGAGTTGATAAAGCGGTGGACGGGGAATTGGCTCACTTGGTTGGTGACACTCGTTTGTAGACGGGAAAAGCTGCAGACCTGTCTGGTGACACATATTCGCGGGCTGTTGTTCTTGACTGTTGCTCGTGAGGAGCTGGTGGATTTGGTAGCCTAGCGAGCGTTAGTTAAGGCTAGTACAGGGTAGTGCTGGTCAGTGTAGGTACGTGTAGGTTAGTGTAGGCTAGTGTAGGCTAGTGTAGGCTAGTGTAGGCTAGTGTAGGCTAGTGTAGGCTAGTGTAGGCTAGTGTAGGTTTGTGTTCCAGCTGCAAGGAGAGCGCGGGCTGAAAAGCACAGCGGACGCCAAGTGGGTTGGCTTTTGGTCGTTTCTGCACACAAGATACTGTCATAGTGCATTTCAACACAACGAGCCGTCGAGGGTGAAAATTAGGCATCCCGGAATCGCATCAAAACGTATTTCCCAGGGCCTGCTTTAACCACTTTCCGGTTGGATGTGGGGAATGCCTTTCACGCATACTTCACTTATTTCTATGTCTACTTGGCACGCATTGTTACCGGTTCAATGCGTACGGCACACACTCTATGCAGTCCCCTAGGGCTAGTAATCGTTTTATTCGGTAGATGACGGAGATCTGGGGAAAACTGAATATTGTTTTCTACAAACTACGCGCCCCGCGGCACCATGGTGCCCAATAGTGAGAAATACTGTGGATTCTTGCAGAAGCGTCAGCGTCGCATATATACATATTTTTATATGATCAGGCCCTATTGAACTGCATCGTCGCATGTCAACATAACTTCATATGATCAGGTCCTCATCAAACCTCGGGAATAAGCGTCACGAAAAATACCAGATCAGGAACTGCACTTCTGAAGATTCCGAGATTTTGCGGTATTAACAAGGTTATCAAGGGCTAAAATGCTTACAATGGCGCTTGTACACGGAAGCCATCCAGCTGCACCGATACAGAGTTACAACACACAGGCAATGGCAATGGTTCTGATCTGTGAGTTAAACGATTTCTCTGGGCCACATCTGCAACAGGAATCATCGCTAAGAAAGACGATGGTACTGTGGCGACTTGAAATTCTACAAGTTCGTCCAACCTTGAGACCGCAGTTTCTTCACAAATAAGAAATATTATCCGCGAACGCTTGTGCCCTCACGGACGCTAACTTCGTCTCGGCCCCTAATGTCCACTTCGTCACTATCAATACTAGGTACAAACGATCTGCCTCCTCCTCAGCATTTCTAACCCTTCTCTTTAACGCCGTCCGCGATAAACCCGTTTGGCTGGTACTTAAAAGTGCCATAAATACATGCACTGACTATCGTTCCCCGAACAATTCCAGCTCTATCTATCTTTTACCCATACGGTCGTCTAAGCCTTTCTCTACAAGCTACTCCGAGATCCCTTTCTTCTTTACTCGTTTCAGTTTTCTTCTGATAACCACCGTCGGGATCGGACAAACATAGTTTTGTAGCGAGGATAGTACCAAGGAGAGCGGCACGCACAATGCCAAGGGCTCCACCGCCAGCACCATCTCGTTCAGCAAGTGTTTAGGATAAGGATGTGAAACCGAGAGCAGGACCACACTTATTGAATCCAAAATCGCCGCAGAAGCGTCCAGAAGGTAGGCGGTTTGTGCTTTCAACCGCGATACGTTCGACTGCAACACGTCGTTCGGCACCCGCGCTGAAACGTGGACAACGTAAAGTGTATCTTTGGAGCTCAGCACAGCCCCAAACACATATAGTAGCGCGTAAAAAGACTCAGTCGTGAGATCTAGGTACAGAATGTACGAAGAGCCCTGTTCCACACTTGGAGAGTCGCTTTTTGCACCATGTACTACCTCCATGGCCCTAGCGTACCCACCTGATAGCTCATGAACTGCTGCCGGTGCGGCTTTGCCATCCTGCCGCTGTTGGTATTGTGATGTCCACATCTTTTCGCCCTGCAGCACTTCCCACAGACTCGACACGAAATTGGGGAGCACGCGCGCACCAAGATCGTATCCCAGTGCCGTGTCTATGTCTAGTTCGTTGTCGACATCACTGACCTGCTCCTCATCACTTACATCTTCTTCGTCGTCGCTTCCTTCTGCGTGGCCACGCTCACCAAGGGTGAGCCTTTCCGACGGATCGTGATGTAGCACAGTCCATTTCAGATATTCATCCATGTCTCCGCGCATTCTACTCATCGTTCGTGACCCATTTCGCGAACCACTCGCGCTGGAGGGACCTCTCTTTTCTCTAGTTCGTCCTCTCTCTCCCCTGCCAGGGACTTCGCTCTCCAGAATGCGAACATTTTCGCCTCCCGCGCTTTCGGCCTTGCTTGGAAGCAGAATACTGCGCTTAGGTTCTCCGGTGTCCATTGGTCGTTGGTTTGAAGGCACCTTGGTGTCACTTGGTTCTATTGTGTACAGATCGAGGGTCTAAATAAGTGGCCCCGAATAGAGGGCTGGGGAAGAGCACTGATGAAGTTGATGCGCTCCCAACGTATGAAATTACTGGAAATATCGTGAGTCGGCTCGAGAACTTGAGATAGCAATACAGCTTTAAGGTGTATGGTCGACCAGCGGTTGGTCATGCCTCATGGCTATTCACATTGAATCTACTAGTCTGCAGTTAACAATTACTGTTCGGAAAGCTTCGGGTTGCAAATTAACTCTTGTGTCATACCAGTACGAAGTGATAACCGATCGGTAACCTGAGTCTAGCATATTTTGATGTTGTTCTATCCGTCTTGATCTCTAAGGCACAACAGCGGAGCCAGTTTTTCTAATTTTTTGGTGGTTTCTCCGGTCAATTGTATTTTTTACGCTAAAACTAACCCCTTTGCAAGCTGATTGCAATGTTCCGTATGCCTCTTACGCTAGGGATAGCGTGCGTTCTTGGTAACAGGTTCGGTAGTAATTGAAGAGAAGCCGTTAAATTTTGTGGTTCAGCTTCTGTACTCTGTGCTCTCATTATTGGAAGATCCCTGGGTGTGAATCCCGACTTCCTTGCTGTGGTGTAGACCTTCATGATCACCAGGGATACATCGACAGAAATTGTCTGGTTCATTTTACAGAGAGTTCATAGGCACATTCCTTTGAACATGGGGTCTCAGCGACCATGTATTTCTATGATGCGAAGGGGCATAATAATTACGCTTCAGCTTATCATAATAGCACAAAATCATACTCTCATGGACGTACTCCATCAATCGTTTATTCCTATCACGGTTGGCAGAGCAATTGGTTTAGTACGAACAGTGACCAATGTCAAATCATCCAAGCGCACATATTAAAAAGCTATGCTGTTTATCACCGAGGCTCCGCAACTCTGGTACCTAAGCCGGAATTTTCATTCTGGCCTATCTTCAATAAACTTGCATATATGTCAATCACAAAAGTTCTGAGGTACTACTGGCCTGAGATTATCTGCGGTTAAATGCTCAACTACACCCTAAGTATTCAAAGACCAGTTAAATTGTTGTCAAGGTCTACCTTTTCAAATGCAATTAAACTACAAATGAGAAAATTCAAGCCATGGTGAACTGGCAACAACTCTCATTGCAGCGGAGCAAGGCTGTAGTGGCCCCTTGTCTGGTCCACCTGGAAAATAAGCTGCCAAAATTAAAATCAACCGGGGGTCGCCATTCGGGAACTTACGTTTCCGAACCGCTTGTCAACTGATATCTGATAGTACGCCAGCGAGGTAATTGATTCAGCTCTGCTCATTGGGGCAATGGGCTGAAGTCCTTCGTGGCTAATGTTTGCTCAAAGTATCAAGAAACCTACACTTCATCCTTGAGAGTGTAATCAGCTTTTTGAAGGAGAGCTCAAAATACATCACAAACTATATTGTCTTAAGCAGATAATATAAAGCGAACGATTTTGAAACTTACAGATGTAGGAAGGAGGTAACTAGGTTTTTCCAAGATTTGATCCGATTTTACTTACGCTCGCCTATGGTCCTGCTAGCGGACGTAATTGATTTCAATCGCCGAACTTGTGGCGTTAAGGTTTTTCGGCCGTAAATGGGTTGCCCTTGCTATCTCCGCTTCCTCAGCATTAAATTATACCACACCTGCTGACACCAAATGAATATATATATATAGATACATACGTGGACATATGGGGGCATCGCTGCACATATGATATTCTGAATGTGTGGTTAGTTCAAGTGGGCACCTAAAAACATCAAAAATGTTAAGTAAATGCTGCTTTACTGGAAATTTGCACGAGGGAGAATCTATTGGTGAGATTAAAGAGCTTTTCGGCTTAAAGACTTATGTTACGGGATCCGCTTCCAATGATAAAATTGTAATTATCTTAACAGATGTTTTTGGTTTGAAGCTCGTCAATAATAGATTAATTGCTGACCAGATAGGGAAAGCCGGGTACAAAGTCTTGATCCCCGATATTCTATTTGGAGATCCCGTTACTGCGTTGGATGGTTCCGTAGACTTCAAGGATTATGCTTACAGGCACAGACCCGAGGTTACAAGACCAATCATTGATGGCTTTCTGCATCCTTTGAAAAAGGAACTCAATCCCAAGTTTCTGGGTGTCATCGGCCACTGCTTCGGTGGCAGATACGTTCTTGACTTGATTCAATTGCCAGCACCGTTGGCTGATGCTGCTGCAATTGCACACCCAAGCTCCTTGGAAAACCAAAAATTCGAGAATATAGGCCAGACTCCTTTGCTTATATCTGCTGCACAAGTTGATCGTAGTTTCAATACTGAAGCGAGACATACAGCCGAGAAGATTTTGAGTGAGAATGGAGCTGTGTTTCAGGTAGATTTGTTCAGCAATGTCAGCCATGGGTTTGCTGTAAGGGGGGACATTACGGATGCAAAAGTCAAGTATGCGAAGGAGAAAGTTCTATCAGACCAGATTCATTGGTTTGATCATTTCTCTAGAGCCTGAAAAACACAATATACCGTCGCTATCGAACTACAGTGGCCATCTAAAGCTCCATTTTTGGTTTTACTTCTCTAGAATGCACGGTTCAACTTTGGTCGGCTAAGTGGCGGAGTTCCTGAATGCACTGCGTCCTCGTCATACAGATATAAGTCTCAGCCCTGAGTTCAAAAAAACTGCATTGCAAGGCAGAATAGAGAGGGAAAGAGAGTGTTTTTTTAACGTCGATAGCTGGCTCGAAAGTACTTCCTGCTCTTATACATTTTCCGGAGCTGCATCGTTGGCCATTGCAGATCCAATTATATACATCAGCTTAACAGTAAATAAAAACTCTGATACCAATCAGAAGTGTGACGGTTCCGTCTACCGTCATTTTAGCTTTCATTGTGTCAAGAGCTACCATAAGTGCTGCTATAAGTGCTGCATGCCGCGGCACTCGAGCCCTTGTCGGACTGTATATCCGCCATCAACGTAGGAGTGTAGGAAATAATTTCGCTTGAGCATAAATGGTAGCTCTCTACTATTCTTTGATGTTGGCTGAAGCGGCGTTTGTAGTTCCAACTGAGGAGCCTGCATGTGCATATAACACTTATTTAGTGCAAATTCCACTGGGAAAGTAACATTCCCCAACCCCCCCCCCCCCAACTTTGGCCACACTCGGGCCATAGTTGATCACCATAATTAAACTCAATGCTTTTCAAACCATACTAGGTCACTACCATTCCGTAGCTCAAACAAGGTTACTTGTTTAGATCAACATGTTAAACCGACGCATTGTGAGGTATAATAGCTATCACTATGTACAATAATGTCATTACAATCAACCTAAAGCCGGTGCTATTGAGCAGTCTTTCACAAGTGTTCTCGAAACGTTTAGGCCGCCGTATCTACAGCTGATCTGGGTCTCTTACTTAATAGAACTTGATTTACAAGTTACTGTCTGGCTTCTTGGACTGTGGTGATATCATGAGTACAAGAGTATTTACATACTATTAATAACATGGAGCTCAACTGCACAACATCACTTACAAACCGCACACAGATGCTAATATATGGAGACATGAATAACGGAGAAACTGAGATTGCAATCGATGCTCGTACTACGTCCTTCGAGGAGCCAACCAAGCGAGTTTTTGATTCCCGCGGAACACAGCTGTTCCAAAACTCAGTTGCAATGTACCGGCTGAAAATGTATCTGCACCGCTATATGGGCTTGATGCACAATGTAAAGGTACCTCAGCAGAGCAATAACGCTAAGATAGTGGAGTTTATAGGGATTCTACAGAAACTCGAGACATTGGTCAACCAAACACCAGCAATACCTGGGCCCAGACGATACGGAAACCTCGCCTGCCGAGACTGGCACGACAAGGTAGAGGCTGTGATTAATACCACCCTGGAGGATTTTCTACCAATTGAGTGCCACAAGAGTATTGTAGAAGTGCGATACTACCTGGCAAATGCATTTGGCTCACGCGAACGGCTGGACTACGGCACCGGCCACGAACTATCATTTTTCGCATTGGTGTGTGCTCTGGACATGTTGGGGGTGTGGCCTGTGTCTCTCACAGGTGCTGACTTGCTTTTTCTATTCGATCGCTACTACGCACTTGTGAGAAAACTAGTGCTGGCGTATAGCTTGGAACCAGCGGGTTCGCATGGGGTCTGGGGCCTGGATGACCATTTCCACCTAATGTACATTTTCGGCGCTTCTCAGTGGGCAGACTCACGCACCGCTCCTGTAATGCCAAAGGATGTGCAAAGTAAATCGGTCGTAGTGGACTATGCCCCTACCAACTTGTATTGCCAGGGGCTTTCGTTTGTCTTCCAGGTAAAGTCAGGCCATTTCTCAGAAAACTCGCCTATGTTGTATGACATCTCCCAGACAGTACCTACATGGTCTAAGGTACAGCGCGGACTATTGAAGATGTATTTCGCAGAAGTTCTTAACAAATGCCCCGTGGTTCAGCATTTCTGGTTTGGCACAGGGTTGTTTCCGTGGACTAGTCCCGAGGGCGGGTTCGACTTACCTACTTATGAGTCAAGTGCAGAAGCACAGCCTGCTCCCACTCCTATGATAACTGCAGCTACTATGAGGCCGGCTCCTGTTCGTCACTCCATGAAGCCACCAAATTTTCACACAGTAGGCCGATTCACTTCCCAAGATCGTTTTAGAAAAGGTTGAAACATAACCCAAGAAAATATACCTAAATTCGCCCATCTAACTAAATATACCTGGCGCTCGTGAGTATAATTCGATGTACCTACATTAAAGGGCCCGCGCATATCACCTCAGTGGCGGCGTGATCAGAGTATTTCCGGAAATTGGCAACGAACTGCTGGCCCAATGTGCGAACTGCGTTTTGATATTGAGCCTCACCGCCTCCCCAGTTCTTGGCAGGATTGAGTAAGCCATCTGGAACATTCCTAACGTGGCGTGGCACCTGCAGGTTGAATATGGGTAACGTCTCGTAGTGGGCTTTCGCGAGAGACCCATCATGAATAGCGTCTAAAACTGCCCGCGTGTACTTCAGAGGGCATCTTTTGCCCCCGCTGCTAAAGCTGGCCCCGATCCAGCCCGTGTTAATTAGCCAGGCATCGGCCCTGTGTTTCTGCATTTTTTCGGCTAACATAGTAGCATAATGCAAAGGATGAAGAGCCAAAAACGGTTGTCCGAAACAGGAGGAAAATGTCGCCTCGGGCTCTGTAACTCCTACTTCGGTACCTGCCACCTTCGAAGTGTACCCGCTTATGAAATGATACATCACCTGGGCCGGTGTGAGCTTCGAAACTGGTGGTAAGACACCTGAAGCGTCACATGTCAACAAAATAATGTTTTTGGGATGCGAGTTCGCCAAGCAGGGAACCTTAGCACTGGGAATATACTCAATGGGGTACGCGCATCGGGTATTTTCTGTAACCTTGTAGCTGTCAAAGTCAACTTCCCTTGTCAATGGATCAAAAGTCACGTTTTCCAAAACAGACCCGAACTTGATAGCCTGGTAGATCTCGGGTTCTTTCTCCTCGGAGAGCCCAATACACTTGGCGTAACATCCACCCTCGATGTTAAAAATACCATGGTCCGACCAGCAATGCTCATCGTCGCCAATTAATCGACGCGCAGGATCTGCAGACAACGTAGTTTTACCGGTGCCACTGAGGCCAAAGAACAAAGATACATCCTTTTCGCGGATCCCTTCGTTTGCCGATGAATGCAACGTCAACACGTTGTGTCTGACTGGCATGAGATAGAACATGACAGTGAAAATGCCTTTCTTCATCTCCCCAGCGTATTCAGTCCCCAAGATCACCATCTCCATCCGCGCAAAGTTTATATCGACAGTTGTCTTGGAAGTCATCCCATCGGTGTGCGTGTTTGCAGGAAACTGACCGGCGTTCCACACCGTGAAGTCCGGCTCGCCAAAGCTTTCCAGTTCCTGAGACGTAGGGCGGATCAACATGTTGGACATGAACAGTGCATGGTATGCGCGCGCACAAACAACACGAATTTTTATTCGGTAGCGAGGATCCCAACCTGCGTATGCGTCCACGATATACAGGTGGTCGCGGGTGCGCAAGTAGTCCGCGGCACGCTCTCGGTTTACAAGCCACGTCTTTTCCGAGCATTTGTGGTTGACCGGACCCCACCAAATGTCATCCCGAGACGAAGGCTCGTCCACAATACGTTTATCGCGGGGTGACCGGCCCGTTTTCGCCCCGGAAAATGCTATCAGCGCTCCGGACGAGGCGATGCTGGTGCGAGACTCTCGCAACGCATCTTCATACAGTAACGCAGCCGGAGCATTGCGTCGGATCGTCACGTCCTCCTCCCCTAGAGCCAACTCCGTGCGAATAGCGTCCTGTGGGGAAGCCAGGACTTTACTTCTCACAGGCATTATTGAACCAATCTCACACCGAGTGCCAGTCGCAAGCAGCAATCAAGCTCCTCCAACTAACAACGTACGGTGCCACAATCGTGACGCGAGCTCGAATAATGATGCTTTGAATGAGGCGAGCCGGTTATCCAACAACGATATGCCCAAACCACAATAGCTGCACTATACACAAAACTAAACACTCAAATCTTAGAAATCGCAAGCAAACTGCTCTGCTATAGACATCCAAACTGCTTTTTTGAAGTTACTTACAAAGGATATACACACAAACCTCTGATTCCTTCAAACGCCGTGCCTTTTATACCTGGGGCCGGCACTCTCACAGAGACAGGGTCTCCGTGTTGTTCCGACTTGCTCCGATATGGATGAAATGGGGAGCAATTGGAGCTTGCAGTTCTACCAGAGCAACTTCGGAGCCTGACTCGGAACTGTTAAGGGCTACTACCAACTAGAAGGGAGTAATGGACTCAGGTCAACGACGCTGCCGTACACTCGGATTTGCGCCATTGATGATTTATGAGTCAAAGTTAGGGGTCCGGGACATTTGATGGCTTAGGTAAGCACGGCGGATTGTCTTGCCATTGTTCCGACGGGGTTAGCGGCGAAAAGGCTCAAAGGAAACAGACGAGTAGAGGAACGAAGCGAGAATTGCATGGAGAAACGGGTGGCTGACGCCCCGATCGAAGTCACGAGGAGGTCACGAGGAGGTCACGCGGTCTGCTGGTACTAGGGACAACGCGAGTACATGTGGTGGAGTCATTATATACGGGATGTTTGTGGTGGTGTTTGTCTGTCCGCTAGGACCACTTCCACGTTAAACGGTCAACAAGTGCGTCCGAATAAAGCTCGGACTCGCTACACTTGTGGCTTGGGACGCGGTGGATCAGTACAGGATCTTCACGTAAGGATGGAGGACATAGACGCTGAATTCGGGCAGGTACGGAAATCGCGGCTTCAAGTCGACCCCGACAGTATTACACGGGATCTTTCCGCAGACTACGAGCAACAGGCATTTCTGCGGAAAATTCAACTGGTTACAGGTGGGAAATCGCGATCCGGAGGGCACACTGATTCACAACTAGTAGGAAAACGGCCTATCTCTCAGGATCTCTCAGAGGAGCCGGGCACGAAGCGCAGCAAGACCAATACATCGGCGATCCAACACGCCAGTTTTTGCCAATTCCAGACCCACTTACTCAAACAGCTAAATAATACACTACCACCGAGCAAGTCGCGACTGCCTGGTTTTGTCCAGGAGGCCAATCGGGAAATCGAGCGTATTCTGAAGCAGTCGATTGTTCAGAAGGAGAGCCATTCGGCCATCGTGGTGGGTCCCAGATCACATTACAAAACAGCCATCATCAACCACAACCTGGCGTTGATGGCCCAAAAATACGCCCAGCAATTTGTCACTATTCGCTTGAATGGGCTCATCCACACGGAACACGCGGCCATCAACAGTATCGCCTACCAACTGGAGTCCAAGCTGCGAACTCTGCATGGCAATAAGAATGGCGACCTGCAGATAAGCTCTGGTTCGTTAACCGAAGTTTTCGAGAAGATTTTGCGGCTCATCGACGCCACGACGGTAGGGAACAACAACTTCTCAAATTCATCGCGGACCGAAAAGGTGTCCGTTCTGTTCATATTTGACGAAATCGACACATTTGCGGGACCGCTACGACAAACGCTTTTATACAACCTTTTCGACATGGTGGAACACGCGCGAGTCCCGGTCTGTATCTTAGGCTGCACCACAAAGATCAACGTGGTAGAGCACCTAGAAAAGCGAGTGAACAGTCGTTTCTCACAACGTATCATTCATATCCCGACTGTAAAAACACTAGAAACTTTTGTCGATGCCACTAGAGAACAGCTAACAGTGGAGCTTCCGAATGAGTTTACCGACACTTGGAACCAACTTTTAGCACAAAAGTTGAAAGACGAAACTTGCAACTTCTTCAAGATGATTAAAAATAACTACGAAACTTTCAGGTCACTCGTTCTTCTCAAAAACAGCATGTTCGGTCTCATCGCCCGGGCCAAGACCATAGAAGAACTCATTGAGGGTCTCGAAAATTGCAAACCGATGGATGCCTACAATCAAAACCAATTTGATAACTCATTGAGTGCTAAAGTGAAGTCTCTATCTGATCTAGAGCTAGCTCTGATCATCGCTGCTGGCAGAGTCTCGCTCAAGACGGAGGACAATGTTAACTTCAACCTAGCATACGCGGAATACTCAAACATGGTGAAGGATGTCAATAAAAAAATGCCAATTATTCCCCAGGCATCAGGAACTTCATTGGTGTTAGAGAGCACGCTGCGCGTGTGGGGCAAACAGGACGTGAAAAATGTATGGGAAAACTTAATCGATCTAGACCTCCTTGCCGAAAAGGGCTCGGTAGGACTCCGGATATCAGCACTTGCCGCCTTCCAAGCCAGTAACTATCATGCCATGGGAACCACTATCCCGTTTGACTTGAGGACCTATCAAATGCAAATAACCCTTCAAGAACTGCGACGCACAGTACCTAAGTCTTCCGTTTATTACAGTTGGACTCAATTATAAAATGCTATAATCGAGTGAACTTACTAAGGAATATCACTTTGGCTCCACATTTTGCGATCTTAGTATATAGAGAATTCAAACGTACGTCCTGCGGGCAAGACTGAAAACTCACTCCAATCGATAAGCGCTTTAGAAGCTCATCTTGGGAAACCACACAGAAAGGATCTTTGATTTGAACTGAGTGATTGCACAGTGGAATGCTGTACCGGCATTTCGAAGCCAGAATCGACTAGTCACGAGACTGAGGTTTCTATACTTTTCCACGGTTCCTAATGTTCGGATTAAATTCCGAAGTCATCATCACAACTTCTTTGGCTGGGTTTGAAACTACAACAGCTTTGTCCGCATAGGCTTTCCAGCTCTGCTTCAATATTGACGTCTACCATGAGTTCGGAAGAAGCAATTCCCAAGAGGACCGATTTTAAATATAAGATTGGGAAGATCAAGCAAACACCGCCAGTGCTAAAAGATGACAGAACTGGAATGGAATACATAGAACTCAAGCTAAGGCAAACCGAACACGTTTATGGCTGTACTGTATTCCAAGGGCATTACAAGGAGGAAAAAAAGCTTGGTCAGGGAACCTTTGGCGAAGTGTATCGCGGTGTTCATCTGGAAACGAAACGACAAGTAGCAATGAAGAGGACTATTGTCAAAGCCGAGAAAGATCTGTTTCCAATCACAGCACAACGTGAAATCACAATTTTGCGGAAATTGAACCACAAAAATGTCATAAAGCTTATAGAGATGGTGTATGACTATCCTCTGACAAATACAGATGGCAGCACTAGTGGCTCGGCGGTGCCCAACGCTTCGCCTTCGAAATCTTTCTATATGATTCTGCCCTATATGGTTGCAGACATGGCAGGTATACTGCATAACCCTCGCATTAAGTTGGAATTGGGCGCCATAAAGAACATCCTCTTGCAAATATTTGAGGGTGTCAACTACATCCATTGTCAAAAATACATGCATCGTGATATTAAAACTGCTAATCTACTTGTGGATCATAAGGGCGTGTTGAAAATTGCCGATTTCGGCTTGGCTAGAGGCTACTATGGCGCTCCTCCGAATCTGAAATATCCAGGTGGTGCCGGGGTAGAAGCCAAGTATACCTCGGTGGTGGTAACCCGGTGGTATCGTGCTCCCGAGTTAGTTTTAGGGGACAAGTTCTATACTACTGCAGTGGACATGTGGGGCGTAGGATGTGTTTTTGGTGAAATTTTCGAAAAGAAACCGATCTTACAGGGACAAACTGATATTGATCAGGGACACGTCATCTTCAAGCTTCTAGGTACGCCCGATGAAGAACAATGGCCACTTGCACGCTACCTTCCTGGTGCAGAACTTACCAGGACGTCATATGCTGGGAACTTACGTGACAGGTTTGGTCCTCACCTCAGCCCGACAGGCCTTGATCTTCTAACTAAGCTTCTAAGCTTGGATCCCTATAAACGATTGACAGCTATGGCGGCAAAGCATCATCCTTTTTTTACCGAAGAACCGCTGCCCGAAACTGTGCTTCAATTGCCATGTGAAGAGTGCCACGAAGCGGATATCAAAAGATATAAACAAGAGCAGAACAAATCTTTAAGCCAGCAACCCCCTCCTGCCCCACAAGGACACGTAGCAGAGACGTCCATGTCTACCACGCCACAGCTGCCGAAGGGCCCCAAGGGCTCTAACCACTACAGAGGTGGTCTCAAGCAAGGCGCGGCTTCAAGAGATTTTAATGAGACTAAACGTGGTGGCGCCAGAAATGGCATTGTAACCAACCAGCCCTCTGACAGTAACTCTAGAGATGAGGCTGGAGTTTCCGAGTTGCCTCGAGTTAGTCGTTATTCCGGCGCATCTCAAACGAACAGTCATGGGATTTCCCACCGAAGCGAAAGTCGTTTCAACAACGCACCCAGAAGCCGTTTCTCGGGCAGTGGCAGTGCGGATGCCTACCAAAGGGGGGCTGTATCGAAGTCGGGTTTGCATAAAAGCTACGCAGATCCCGAGAAAAACGGACATCCTTTTTCATACGACACATCAGCGGTGGGCCAAGATCGGGCCCCGGCTTTTCCAAAAGGTTCAAGATATGGAGGCAGCAGCGGGCTACCCAGAGATCCAAGACTGTACGTAGGAGGTCAGGTGGGTCCCGCGGCTGACAAAAGAAATGCGAATGAGACTCCGCTTGGCAGATCGGACAAACACAAGTCTTTTCTTCCACAAGAGTCCATTAATGGTCAGGCAAGAGGACCAGACCAATCTTCAAGAAGATTATTTCGTCAAGACAATAAAGCAGATCAAGCCCAACCCCGTCAAACTTACAAATCGGCGAAAGAAGATATCGCTGACCTGTATTAGACCAATTTTGAGCCTAAAACGATAACTTTCTTACGTTTCCCCTCAGCCGAGCCTCAACTAGTCTAAGTAGCAGATGCCGTCAGTTTTTATTTCTCTCGAGAGATAGGATTGCAACAACGAGTTGCATGTGTGGCACCCTTTCGTTTGAAACGTTCAACGTTTTGAGGTTCACTAATCACCAAGTCCATGTAGATTCCTGAAACATGTTTCAAGTTAAAGTTCAAAAGCCATCGGCTAGGGTCTAGAGTCTAGAGTCTATCCTATGATTAGTGTTCGAGTGCTGGTGTCATCGACTGAATGACGTGGAGCTAGAAATTGGTATTAATACGTCGTTCTCTTAATCTGACAAAACGGGCTCGAAATGAACGACACCTAAATAGCCGGAACTAGCGATGCTATCTGGACTGATGAACACCGAAAGTTGCGAGCTTAGGCACTTCAACCCAGCGGCCCACGAAGTAGCCTCGAAGGCTTTCAAAAGAACTCCCAATGGGTTGATCTTCACAGAAGATCTGAAGCGGGTTTTCTCAATTCTGCTGATATGTCTAGATCTCAAAGAGAAACCCGTCTTACCGTCGAGACATCAGCTGTTTCCTGCTTTTCAGAGAATGTATCCTTTTTCCTTCTGTCTTAGAGATGCTATATCCACCATGGCGAACTTGAAACTTCAAATTAATATGAACTATACCAGAGTTTCTATGAGTTATTCGATCAAAACTGAGCTGGCCTGTAGGATGTTGCAAATGATGATGGATGCCAAGCTTTTGCATGCCCCAGCAGACAGGACTCGCGCTGAACTCAAAGAAGGTCTAGCGATTCAGCCCACCCCAAAAGGGGTGGCAGTTTTACAGCGTTATGTGCGCCAAGTAGGGCTAAAGAACACACCTGCACTCTTGAAGTCTGACCTCAACTCAATGGAGCTTTTCACGTTCGAAAGAAGCTCGATGACTGATGCAATAATACACAGTGACTACTTTGTATCGCTACTCTTTGCCAGGATGATGGGACCCGTTCAAAATGTGTGGTCCCCAGATAATCGCCCTGACGACATTCCCGCTTTGTCCAAACTCCTCGAATGCATTGATGATACTTTTAGCCTTGAAGGTAGTACGCCAGCTTTAAATGCAAGCCAAGATTGCCTGGGATCATTTCCCCAGATAGTCGCTGAGGCCACCGGGAATATACTCAATGAACATCGGAGCTCACCTCTATCTCACCGTTTTTTCACCAATCCTGACTCTACCTCTCATGTCCAATACTATGCATCCACCTGTGGTTTAAGGCTCTTCAATACAAAAACCTTTAATAGTGAAATTGCTGTTCATGAATGTACTTTTTCAACCAAGGCCATATGGCAGTGGCTCATGGATTGTACCGACATTATGTATCCAAAAGAAGCTGTTACGATAGCTTCGTTGTTTTTGAAGAATGGTTTGATAAAACCGATTTTTTGTACACCATCAGAAAACCATAGGAATAGATTTTCAATTGGACCCAAATGCTTCTTCACCTTGACTGAATTCGGCGGGGAAAGTGTTCAATGGAAAGCTGAAGACACTATGAAGAACTTGGCTGATGGTCTGCCGCCCCGCAGCCAAGCCATTACCCACCTCACGTTGAAGAATGATTATACTCACGAGAACAAAACGCTGCTTTCACCTTCAAGCTTGGAGTTTGTTTCTGGCCGCAAAGATGGCGAATCCACCAATCTCGCTAATGTCCTACGCGACCCTGGGATGAGGTACTTATTTAAAACACATCTTGAGAAAGAGTTTTGCGTTGAAAACCTGGATGTCTTCATTGAAATCAAAAAGTTTCTGAAGCGAATGACGGTACTCAAGAATTTGCTGGAAACCAAACTTTCGAGGGAGTCTGATGGTAAGAACAGCTCCAGGTCAAAGCATTTCAGCGATTTGGTTATCAGCACTATCAATCATGCACTCTTTAGACAGGCCAGTGAATGCTTGGAAAATGCATACCAAATTTATTCCTCTTTTGTTGCACCAGGCTCACCCTATCAACTCAATATCGACCACAAGCTGAGAGAGGCCATTACAGAAGTAATCCTCCATCCCCAGCATAGCATTTCCTCAGACGAAACCACACATGTGGGTCATCGGACAAAACATACGGACAATAAAGCGGGAATGACTATTGAAGGCGAGAGAAAGTCCACTATACGATCTAACTTGAAAGATGTGCTAACAACAACTGATCATACAAACCACGAGGCTACGCCTCAAGAAGTGAGTTTTGCGAGCACTTATTATGGTATAGGCGTCAATGATAAGTCGGAAGGCGATTTTTCCAGCATTTTGAAGACGCTGAAGCTCATTTATCCTCTTTATGAAAACGTAGCCGGCGTTATGTACCAGCTTATGGAGGTGGACTCCCTCCCAAAATTCATAAATTCTGAAATATATCAGGAGGCAGCAGCAATGTTGAATTTTGACGGAACGATGCCATAAATATGTGTAAAGTGTAGCATTTTCTTCTCAAGTTCAAAACAATGTGAAACGATTACAATATACAAGGTTTTCTGACAAACTAAAGCATTGACATGCTATGTTCTACCACGCGAAACTATGGTAACGTGAGGATGAGTGCGTGCAAAGTTATGTTACTATATGTACATAACTGTTCATGATGTACAAATGACTATTATTATGCCTAAGCAATTGGTTCCAATGTAGTACCCTTCTTGATTGTTGCCCAACCGATCAAACGCCAATGCTTTTCAATACGTCTTGACAAAGCGATCTTTTCGTTAACTTCCGTACACGCTGGAGAGGTCAACTGTAGACGAGCCATATCGGCTTTAACAGCAACAACACGGGCACCTGTGGCGGTGGAACCAATGTTGACCATTAATACCTCATTAACGTCCAAGTTTCTGACCTTGGCTTGCTTTTGGTTATCAGTCTTGACACCCAATAGACGACGTAGCAAGAAGTAGTTAATCTCGATATCGGTGTAAATGCTGGGCAAATGTCCTTTGGCACCGACCACTTGACCGACAAGACGGTCAGCTCTACAAAGCGTTGGGTCGACCTTGGTACCAACACCAATCAAACCACCAGGAACGGCGAACTTCAGGTCATTATGTTCGGCAAATAGCGAAACGATGTTGGAGAAAATAGGTTTGCATTGAATCTTGCCTTGTTCATCTTTAGTAACGATACCGGGTCTAATCTCGATTTCGTCACCTAGCTTGAAAACACCCGTCAAAATCGAACCACCAGCTACACCACCCTTTAGATCCTCAATCTCTGCACCAGGCTTGTTGACATCGAAAGAACGGATAACGATCAGACGAGGAGAAGCTGTGAAATCTCTTGGTGGTACAGGGATGGATTTAACAATAAACTCATTGACAGCATCAATGTTGTATTTCAGTTGAGCTGAAATAGGCACCACTGGGGCACCATCGGCGATAGTACCTCTGATAAACTTGAGAATCGAGTTATGATGTTCTAAGGCACTTTCCTCCCGCATCAAATCTACCTTATTTTGGAGAATGATGACGTGCTTCAGTTTCATGATTTCGATGGCGGCCAAATGTTCAGAAGTTTGAGGTTGAGGACAGGATTCATTACCAGCAATCAGCAGGAGAGCTGCGTCCATGACGGCAGCACCAGACAACATGGTACTCATCAGAATATCGTGACCTGGGCAGTCCACAAAAGAAACGTGGCGTACCAGTTTGTAACGTCCACTACATCCGGGGCGTTGACATTTTGGACTGATTTCTTTGTCAGATTTGAATGAGCGGTAACAGTCTGGCTCTGGACATGATGAGTCATCACACTTGTAAATCTTGGCATTGGCGTAACCTAACTTAATTGTAATGTTACGCTCCAGTTCATCCTTGAAACGCACAGTCTGCACACCTGAAATAGCTCTGACCACCGTCGATTTACCGTGAGCGACATGACCAATGGTACCGATGTTGATAGTTGCCTGTCTGTTGATGATCTCCGGCGAGAGAGGATTTAGAGCTGTGAAATCTGGGTTTAGTGGCTGCTCCGGTAGGCCCCCACCTTCTTCGAATTCGCGCTTGCGTTTTTCCTCGTCTGACTCAAAGTCGTCAACACCGCTGAATGTGACGCTCTTTTTGGGTTTTTCCTCCTCATCATGCTCTTGATCCTCCAGACCTACATCCTCCTCGTAGTCAATGGGCTCGTCGTTACCCAAACTGTTGCCCAGCTTGTCATTATAAACCATGGTAGGCTCTTGATCTTGCAACTCAGCTACCATTCTGTCTGTCTTAAAATATGACCTGGTCTATATCCAAATTCAACGGCTAAAACTGAAATTTAAAAAATTTGACGGGATAAATTTCACAACGCTTGGGAAATGGTAATACCAAGTACTGAAAACCCTCTTAGGACGATTGATCAAGATTGTTCGTTCAACTAAAGACAGTTTTCGTCCACAATTCAGCTGAGTTCTCTAATAAAAATTTTTTTCAAGATACCTCGAATCGCTATATACGGAAGAGAGGCACCAGAGAGCGTCATTTTATGAAAAAGTGATGAAGGTTTCCATCAATCTAGTTTTGGTCAGTCGAAGGCTATTAAACTCATCCGTCACTGATTTACTGTGTTATTTCTCTCTATTTTAGGCAGTGTTGTCTATCATATATATATATATATATATATATTCGTCAAGTGTCGCTGCTTTTATACCGTGGGATTGAACGCAAATTCGTTCATCAAAATATCCACATCTTTCCAAACAGTGTCAGATTCCCAGTTATCCCAATGATCCATCGGCGTTGGTGAGTTGCTCCGGTGGGAAGACGAGATTGTAGTAGCTTCTTGTACCTCTGGTCCATCACGTGTGATGAACCGTGCATCAAAGAGATTTCGATCGATCAAAGCATCAGGAGTGAACACTGGAGGACCAGCGGCCAGTGGCTGTTGTGCAACGTCAACATGTCCGTACTGATTGGGGATTGATGGAATGCTGTCGGTGGCAGGAGTGAGAAGCCTTTTATTAAGTACGTTTCGTAGCGACACGACGTCCGTCGGCTCGGTAGTCGACGTGGTCGGCTGAATGTTTCCGATCGGGGCATTTATGGGCTCGGGATCCAATGGGATGGTCTTGATCAATTTTCTAGCATTTTCTTCCGCTTCCTGTGTTCCTGATAACCTTCTATCACGCTTCCCTAACTCATTTTCACCCAGGCCCCCGTCATCGTCGGAGTCAGATCGTTGTTCTCTCTTTAGCTTAGCCATCCCACATTTTTCTCGCAGTTTGTACAAACAATCGAAGAAAACACTAGCGGCCATCCTTGACTTTATGGTAATGTCCAAATTGAAGTCTTTACCTATTTGCAAACGATCATGGGATTGCTGAGCATCCCACTGACTATGCATGTTGCCAAACATGCTCCATATGCTTCTCATAATTCCTGAGGATCGATACGCCATATCGTATTTGAGTACAGAAGCGTTAAGCGTTAATGTAACAGCTTGTTGGTAAACTTTCCTTCCCAACTCTAAATTCAAAACCGGACGCAACGAAGAGTGTGAGAGTTTGCTGATGATACACGCTGTTTGCCATATGTTGATAACAAAAACCCCCGGAAAAAATTTGATAATCTTAGGATCCGCGTCACACATTGAAGTCGTATGTATCAAAAGTTCCATGGATGCATTGTACACTTTTACAAATCCTTGCTTGACTTCAAAATTCATCTCGGCATCCCTTACCGTTATTTCAAATCCAGTACCCTCTGTTGTGCTTTCGAATGGCTTCACCCCTGTGAAGCAATACGTTAACAAATGAACTTTGGCCACTAGCAGCAGAAATTTACGAATGTCGTCCAAAGAACCTTGTCGCAGTCTAATTTCAAGTTCTGCCAATTGTTGTTCTAAAACATGTAAGAGTGGCAGCTTCTGCTCACCTCCAACCATCCCCAAGGCATTGACTGGGTTTGAATTCATTGTTTTGGTGAGTTGGTTTTCGAAGTGAGCAATATGCATCATCTGCTTGATTGACTCTGGAACTGTGGCATGACCTCGCGGGCTATCAGATCTTGAGCTAATTCGGCAGGAACTGATTACAGTATGGTCGAAAGATACAAAAGCTGGAAAGCCAAATGACGATGCAATGGTTTGCGATACGACGTTACAGCAAATCCAAGTTCTTACCTGTTCCTGGACGTGATCAGAATTTGTTGTAACATACTCTTTTGAAAACTCGGCACAGTTCAGACCCACCCTAATTGCTTGAAACATGGCCGATCCCATAGTATTCCATGAGGTGTCCGCACTAAGTGAGGATGTGAGCGGTGGCCAAAAGGTGTACAGCAGAAAAGCTTGCACTGAGTACACTGACGCCACATTTAACACGGGTTCGTCACTTTCAGTGGGAACATATCTAATGATCGGTGATATTGTAATTTCGGCCAGGATAGACTTGACCAATTTGGACAGTTTTGTCATGGTGCCAGTGCTCCTGAATTTTCGACGGAGCCCTACAAGCATTATGACCCAGAACAGACAAGGTGATAGATTAAAAATTCTTTCGGGCCCCTTGGATACATCTACCACAGGCAGGAAAGGATGATACCGGTGAACAAATTCGGTATATATTTCAGCAATGTCCTCGGTCGACATATAAACGTCACCAAGCGATTTTGGGGCGCATCGCAAAAGTTCGCTGCTCGCAGCTTCTTCCTCAAGTGCAGTTGAGGTGATTGGAATGCCTGGTGTAACGTGAAATTCTGTCTTAACACTAGGACTGTCGTCGGCCGATGTCAAGGCTTCATCACTTCTGGAGTCAGGATTGGCACGTCGCAGTTTTTTCACTTTTTCCTTCGTGAAGTTACTTTGATCGAGCAGTGCTTGCTGTTCCTCTTGTATCTTCTTCAGGATTTCGTCTGCGTCCAAGTTACTCAACGATTTTGTTAATTCTTTGAATCGTTGTTCAATGGCCTCATTTCTAACCCTTTTATAAGTCCTTCTAAAGTCCTTCTGTAAAACACACGGGATCTTTTTTTTCTGACACCTGGTACATGGTTTCGGAGCCTTCTCGTGAGCGTCGCACTTGGACTTTTGTTGTCGGCACTCTACACAAGCAAGTTTCTTGCGCTGTTTTGCCTGCCCAGGAGTCAACACTTCGTCGAAACTGGATGGTTTCACCTCCGAAAAAGGTTGAGGATCTGACATTAGACGCTACCAAGCAATTTAAAAGACTGATAGGTGCGTGATGTCGATGTTTCCTTTTTTGTATATTCGAGTTCTGCACAGCGATGAGCTAGCTATTATAAAATATAAACTTTGTCTAATTAGAAAACTTGATGGGAAAACCCATTCTGATGAGTTCAAGATTGACGTGCACACAATGGGTGCTTGGCTGATGTATAAGGCATCCAGTTCGGATGTCAGGTTATGCTGGATCTCTGCATTTTTGCGATTGACATCCTATGGCTTAACCAACCAGATCCTGACGCTGTTTTTGAAGGAAATTGGTATTTCGGACAAAGAAATGGGCTGGTTTATGTCCTTAACACTGGCAGGAGACGTTTTGATCTCTTATATACTGACGTGGCACGCGGATGACTGGGGTAGACGCCGAATTCTTACTTACGGGGCGATCATGATGATATTGAGTGGGGTGGTGTTCAGTTGGTGCGAAAACTATTACATTCTACTTGCATTTGCGATCTTCGGAGTTATCTCGCCCTCGAGTGACGAAGTTGGACCCTTCAAATCCATAGAGGAATCTATGCTGGCCCACCTCACGCCCCACAACCGTCGTCCTGAGATATACGCAATCCACTCCATGGTCAGTATTAGCGGAAGTGCTCTGGGTTCCATCAGTTGTGGCTGGTTTCTTCAAATCTTGCAAGATTGCAACATAATAGAGACTAGTTTAAATCGTTACAAGGCGGTTTTTGTGCTTTACACGTTGCTTGCTGTTGGGAAGCTATTCTCCATTCTTCTGCTGTCAGATGCCGCCGAGTTAGACGCACACCACCAGGAGGAAGATGACGTACGGCAGGTGCTCGATGAGACGGCTCCACTTGTTGATACCAGCATCAAAAAAGTGTCCAAGATGGCACCAGAGACCTTTTCCGTCATGTCGAGACTCCTATTCATTTTCATGCTCGATTCTTTCGGGTCTGGCTTCATGACCAGTGCATGGACCGTTTTCTATTATTCCATTGTTTTTGGACTTGGTCCTGCAGCACTTGGGTTGCTCTTTTTTGTCGCTAAGATCGTCATGGCGTTGTCTTCATTACCTTCATCGAGTATCGCCAGAGTTTTTGGCCCTGTCAAGGCAACTTTGATCGTACAGATTCCATCTGCTCTATTTTTCATGGCCATTCCTTTTTTTGAAAGTCACATATTCCTATCGGTATTGTTTTTCAATCTCTACAACTTAACGACTGCTATGGATGTCATACCCCGCCAAATATTACTCACGAACATAGTGAAACCTCGAGACTTGACCAGGGTAATGGGGATAGTCAACATTGGTAAAACTTTCGCACGCTGCATCGGTCCTATCTTCACCGGATTACTGGCAGATCGGGGTCTGCTTTGGTGCTGTTATTTGATTAGCGGGGCTTTTGTGATTCTAGCCGATTTAGTTCTCGCTATTTCATTCATCGGCATTGACGCGCATGTACTTAAATCGACAAATAGCTGAATAGAGAGATTATTTCTCAATTCAGCTAGGAAGTTTAATATCACTACCAGCTGTTGAAGTCTTGGAGCGGGGGTGGCAAAGGAGTTGTATTCGCCAAAAAGATTTCACGACCAATCCTCCTCCTGTCTTCGCATTTGATAGATATTTCTGTAAATTCTGTCGTTGTTACGGACCCTTTGCGCTTTGACCTGCTCCTGTCCGTCGGACTTGAGCTAATTTCTGAGTTGGTTGTGCTCTCCGTGTAATCTTCAGTATTGGAGTCTCCCCATGCGCTGACAGCATCCTTACAGTGTATCAGCTCGTTCGCTAAGGTCGAGTCATCTCCACAGCTCTTCATCTGTCGAAACATATCAGCTGTAGAAGCAAGGACCTTTGTACCTTCCAAGTGGAGCGCACTATTAGCATTTTCTCTGTAAGGCAGACAACAAACTAACTCATCGAGAACCCATTTCAATGCCAGTAAAAAACGTTTTCCTTGTTTAAATTGAGATGTTATAGTGAGATCACATCGATCTAAATCTAGGCTATACCCGATTCCAAACCCTTGCGAAACAGGGGGGTTAATTCCAAATCCGATTGTAGCTGAACTGCCACAATGTGCAGCAATAATTTCAGGGCTCGATATTGGGTCTAAAAGTTGATTTTCAAACACAGCAGATGAAACTTTTAAGTCAGTTTCACTTAATTCAAGATTGAATTGTTTGTAATTTTGATAAAGGTATTTGAGCGTATTATAATGTTTCTCAAACCCTTTACCACTTCTCGAGAAAATGACATTCTGTCTGTGTTTCTCGCAAGCCATTACAAATCTGGCCAATTTGGACCGCTTGTCTAAAAGACTGGAACTGAAGAGTTGACACAATTCAGATAAGGATTGACTTTGAATGGGAAGAAACGAGGACCTAGAATTTCTAAATGATCTGGTAGAAATTGGTTCGAACGTAAACGTCATTTTGCCGTAGAGGACGTAATGGGCAATCTGTATAGCAACTTGGATCATAGAATCGGAGTGAATACCCAAGGTATGAGCTATCCTTATTCCATATGGAATGTTCTTGTGCACTACTTCATGCCTGCATATTAGATCAATCAGACTTGTTTCAGACATCAAGATGCTATTCTTTAACGTATTGCAAAAGTTCCATTCAATTTTCTTTGGCGCGCGAGGTTTTGGGCCACCTTTGACCGCTTGTGCGGGCCAAAGCGAAAAGAGAGGATCCTCGTTTATTTCACGCGCGAGCCTAAGCACTGAGTCTGCATAAATATCAGAGGCAAACCTCAGTACAGCAGAGCCATCGCATGTAAAGGAATCCCATATAATGGCTGCTTTGGCGTCTTTCGTTATGATCAGTTGTAGTTTGTCGTACCATCGTGAGCAACATGACCCAACTTGTCGCCCGCTTTTGTCATCAGTTGCGCTAGTCCCGTAGAAAAATCGCTCGCATTCCACCGATTCACTCTGTGTCGGAGAAGATTCATCTAAAATTAAAGTGAACAATGCGGAGTCTACTGCCAAGAGTTGATCATGACATTTTTTCTTCAAAATTCCCCTAGCATGTTTCCAACGTCTTAAGGAGTATGCTGTGAAACTTCCTACGGCTGTGGCCTGATGTAAATGTTCATCTTTGAGAGAATCAGCCACTATAGCTTCAAGGACATGCGACATGGTTGTATCATCGTACAGCGGGCAGTCTGCCTCGTCAAGCACGTCCACTGCATAATATTGGCCTCGCGATATAACTATGACGTGCTTTGAACCAGGAAAATTCTCTTTCGTGATGCTACTGTGGTCTAGACCCTCGTTTTCGGGGTGCTCGAAGGGCAACGTTTCGTCGAGATTTTGGATATCTATCGGAAGAAGCGCAGGGCATCGTGTGGTAGCGAAGAGGTCCGTGTACGGCTTCATAGTAAGTGGCTCTCCGGAGGGTCCCTTATCTGGTTCTAACACATTGTGTCGCAGGGCGGATATGAATTTCAAAGCAGAGTAACAGAGAACAGCCGCACGGTCATGCTGGGAGATGTTTTCATCCGCATCTTCTGCGAGCAGCAAAAACGGATTTCGGGGCAAGACGTCACCTTCGACTTCTCGGGTCAAAGAGTGATTGTATATGTCCAACTGTAAGTCATCTAACTGATGTGATCCTTTGTGGTTGAGCTCCTGCAGTTTTGTCTGGAGTTTTTGGGCTGCTTCGGAGACCAAGAAAGTCGATACTGCCTTGTATAGCTTGTAGCCATTCTCGACGCAGCGAAGAGGTCTATGGTATCCATCTGCAACATTAAGTGGCTTGATGCTCTCCTCCAGCTGTTCAAAAGTAGAGTTCAAATCCGGTAAAGGAAGGGTTGGCAGCGTATCTTCTAATTCGAAGGTGGCCGTCATGAGAGCAGATAATGTGTGGATACAAATCGAAGGAAGATGTGGCCATATCAGGGTTTACATGCCTGATATTTCATCTTTATATATATCGAAGGCATTGTTGTGGGGTCATCAATTTAAATGACACTTTCTTAGTTGACCCGGGTGTCAGTAAAACCAAAGACGATATCAAAAATCTCAAGCATATCGTTAAACATAAAGTGTTACTCCGAATTCCATTTGTCTATTCTAATCGATGGGGCTTTAACCTTTCAATGTCGAGTCCGTAGTGAGTCTAGTAAAATACCTGGTAATTTGAATTACTATGCCCTCCCCAATTTGTGTCTCGATGGGAGATGAAAGTCTCGAGCTACAATAATGACACCATCATTTTTTGAGTCCCCTGATCAGTTGTTTGTCAACGAAAGGAGGGATTTTGAGTCCGAAGCAATTCTGGCGGGCTGTTGTCCTGCTCCTACCTTCTGAGGAGAGATACCACCATTGTTCTTCCGAATCTAATTAATGGGAAGCGCAATTCAAGCGGTATGAATAGGTGGGGGTGTTGACTGGGTTATATAACTGATTTCTACATTTGGTGAACCCGTGGCAAGTCGTCAGCTCAAAGTTACTGTTTTTCACAGCATATTTGACATTAAAAAACTTTAGTGCTTAAAAAAATGTGCGTTGTACAAGACTCCTAACTGTTACTGACACTGTAAGCCAGGGTAGAGCGTACTGCAGATTCAAGACTGCACGATGCTTATAAACAAGCTACTCACAGTTGATGTTAACATCTTATTAATAGATTTTTCCCTTAGCATCATTATTATAGAGCTAGAAAGTGTACAAATACAAAGAGATAGTAGAACCCCTGAGCGTAATGATTTTAACGGTTAGACTTGGCAACACGTTCCAATTCGTCCTTCTTCTTGATGGCGTAAGAGGTAGAAGAACCCTTGGCAGCGTTGATCAATTCTTCAGCCAAAGTTTCAGCAATGGTCTTGATGTTTCTGAAAGAAGATTCTCTGGCACCGATGGTCAACAAGGCAATGGCTTGGTTGACTCTTCTCAAAGGAGAAACATCGACGGCTTGACGTCTGGCAGCACCACCACCACCGACTCTGGTGGTGTCTTCTCTTGGACCGGTGTTGGTGACGGCGTCAACGACGACTTGCAATGGGTTTTGGTCAGTCAAGACGTTGATGATGTCCAAAGTGTGCTTGACGATTCTGACGGCCTTCAATTTCTTACCGTTGTTTCTACCGTTCATCATCAAAGAGTTGGTCAATCTTTCCAAGACAGGGCACTGGGCCTTTCTGAATCTCTTGTTGGCGTAACGACCAGCGGTGTGAGGCACAAAGATGGATTGGCCGATTTGGATGTAGTCCACCAAAGATGGGTCCTTGACTTGGACTTCTTGGAAAGACCATTTGTTGAACAACTTGATCTCGGCTTGAGCCCTTTGGACGTCCTCTGGGATGGCGGTAGCCAATTCAACAGGGGTGAATTCCTCAACGACTTCGAACTCTTCTTGTTCTTGAACTTCGACTGGAACTTCTTCGTGCTCAGACATCTTGGCTTTGGGTTCTTTCCGTACTGTGGGTATTAAACACTATGGTGAACTAGGACTTATTTTGTTGAAATTTACCCAATATCTCTTGACAAACCGGGAAATGGTGACTGTAGCAGCGGGACTAGGTGGAGTCCCGGACAGAAGCTAGACGGGGCCCGTCGAGGGCTAGGCCGAAGCTGGCGCCAGCTAGGCGGGGGTTTGCGGAATGTCCCGGTGGTATTCCAGCGAGCGCTTCCCACTGCCGGGCGGTGGAGCGTGGCTCCCTAGGCAGAGCTCCTTGCGGCTCCGCCCAGCACTCTACCTAGACGGTAATTCCGCTTGGTAGGCTCTCACTAGCACGCAGAGACAGGGCGATTTGGGACTCTTTTTTTCGAAGCGTCGAGGACGCAAATATCAATTTTTTCAATTTTCATAATAAATTTCAGAAAATAAAAAAGTCGCTCCAGGATGTACGGATGTTTTGAGAAAGCAGTCACAACCTTTCGGAGTGCTGGACAGATCCACCTACCAACTCCCATTCTAGTCATGGAGAGTCGTCGGTATCTTCGGCCCATTCCTCATACCACCACGGTTGTTGTGGAAGAACAGTGACCTTTTCTTCACCGACCTTGATGTAGAGTTCAGAAGTATGGCTTTCAAAAGCCTTTTTGAAATGTTCATTCCGTAGTACTGCCACTCCACGGTCTTTCTCGAAGCACAGCAACACGCCAGCAGGCCGCTGACGCTTGAACTTGGAAGATGGGGTTGCAAATGGACTCGACCCATTTAGTGACTGTGGGCTGGTCATTGACGATTCGTCGGAGTCGCACCAGATTTGAATGTATTTCTCTGAGCCCGACAGCTTCTTCAACGTAGGCCAGGCCTGCAAGACGACGGGCACGGCCCGCTTTCGCAGAATGCCAGTCGCGTACGTCCTGGCCGTTAGTTCTTGGCCCACGTAGCAGCCCTTGTCGAAACTTACAGCGTTCGGAATGAAGTCGAAATTTAACTCTAAAGGCAATGAGGTCTCTGGTTTGAAATCGCCCACGCCGTCCACATAGCCATGTGCAAGACGCTCGTATCGTACCTGCTCCGCTCCAATCTTTTGAACTTGAAACTCAAATGGTAGCTGGGCGGCATTGATAATGTCATGTAAATCGGTGACGTCGGCCTTGGTCACTAAACGGAAAACCTGGGGGTTCGTCGGGCTCTCGTGAAGCACCTCCGTACTTCTGGGGTCGATAAAGCACGCCAAAACCCTCGCCTGATTTCCTTCAAAGAAGGTCGTCAATACATGTTTGGCGAAGTTTAGGGCAGCCTCGGGGGCCTTGAGCGTTTCCATGGGATTGATCAGATTTGATAACCAAGGGTTCTCTTCCGAGATTCCAGATGGGAAAGCTATAGACAGATACCATGTTTTGAGGCTCTCAAACGGTTCTGCTTTACTTTTCACCTTACTCACCAGGGTATGGGATTGAAAGATTTGTCCCACTTGTGGGATGAGGCTGCGGTCCATCTCAACGAGATATTCCGGGTACTTTCGAGATGCCGTATCTTCCATCCATATTGGTGTGGGATATATTACTGCGTCCGTCATCAACTTCCCTTTGCTATTCAACAGGGTAGTGTAGGTTCCAAATCGTGAAATGTACGGACCATGGGCGCCAAACTCTTTGAAAACTCCCCAGTTTCCATTCGCCATGTCGAAATCGGCAACACTCTGGTATTCAGCTGACTCTTCATCCTCGACCGATATCGTTGTCAGATTTTTCTTCACATAGGTGGGTAACATCTTCGAGGTCACCAGCCCGTTAATGAACTTAACAGCATCGGGTCCCTTGATGTGCAAATAACCCTTATTCGGCAGCTCGCAATAGTCGATCCGGGCTTGTGAACTAGCATAACGAGCGAACGGGGCTCGAAAGAGCCATCTAGCACCCAAAAATGCCATACTGCGATGGGCTAGTTAGTTTTAGTAATTTAAGGCAGTTATAATATTAAGGCAGGTCTTTACTTTGTTAAGGGCAAGATGTGATATAAAACTGTCAATCAGGGAAACCGGAAAAACAGGGTTCAGCAGGGGGCCCGCACACTGCCGGCTATGATCAGAGTAGTGAACTTCAGAGGCAAAAATCGCCCCCGGCTCCTTATAGTAAGGTCTTGTTATTTGTATTTTGAATACTATTTGAATATAAAGAGTCGATGTTCTAAGGATTTGATGGGTGACAAAATCGTTACACATACCGTTGGAAGGGTACATGGACCATAAAAAATAAATTGAAATCTTACCAATCGATTAATGCGGTCGCATTCAATTTATAACAATGCCCTTTTTAGAAATATCATCATCATCATCATAAAATGTCTTTTTTTGTCTTCAAACGCACGCTCTATTTGGTAGGAGAATCTAAATGTTCGTTTCGCTTGTGCTGTACATGGTGTTTAGTAGTAAGAAACAATAAGGGTTTATCGAAAATTTACTACTCTAATTAGTTAGCTTCGGAAGCCAACTTCTCAGCCTTAGCAACAACATCTTCAATACCACCAACCATGTAGAAAGCGTTTTCTGGCAAATGGTCGTACTTACCATCCAAGACAGCCTTGAAAGAGGTGATGGTGTCCTTCAATCTGACCAATCTACCTGGGATACCGGTGAAAACTTCGGCAACGGCAAATGGCTGAGACAAGAATCTTTGGATCTTACGGGCTCTTTCGACGGTCAATTTGTCTTGTTCAGACAATTCGTCCATACCCAAAATGGCAATGATATCTTGCAAAGACTTGTAGGCTTGCAAAGTCTGTTGGACTTGAGAAGCAACGTCGTAATGCTCTTGACCAACAACGGAAGCGTCCAAAAGTCTGGACTTGGAGTCCAATGGGTCGACAGCTGGGTAGATACCCAACTCAGAGATACCTCTGGACAACACAGTGGTGGCGTCCAAGTGCGCGAAAGTTGTGGCGGGGGCAGGATCAGTCAAGTCATCGGCTGGCACGTAAACGGCTTGAACAGATGTGACGGAACCCTTCTTGGTGGTGGTAATTCTTTCTTGCAAGAGACCCATATCGGTAGCCAAAGTAGGTTGGTAACCGACGGCAGATGGAATACGACCTAGCAAAGCAGACACTTCGGAACCGGCCTGGGTGAATCTGAAAATGTTGTCCACGAAAAGCAACACATCTTGTCCCTCTTCGTCTCTGAAATATTCGGCAATGGTCAAACCGGTCAAAGCGACACGGGCACGGGCTCCTGGAGGTTCGTTCATTTGACCGAACACCAAGGCGACCTTGGATTCACCTTCGAGGTTGATGACACCGGTTTCACGCATTTCACGGTACAAATCGTTACCCTCTCTGGTTCTTTCACCGACACCGGTGAAAACAGAGAAACCACCATGGGCCTTGGCAATGTTGTTGATCAGTTCTTGGATAAACACAGTCTTACCGACACCGGCACCACCGAACAAACCAATCTTACCACCACGGGCGTATGGAGCTAGCAAGTCGACAACCTTGATACCGGTTTCCAAAACTTCGGCAGCAGTGGATTGCTCGACGAAAGCAGGAGGCTCGGCGTGGATAGGCTTCTTCTGCTTGGTCACGATAGGACCACGCTCGTCGATAGGCTCACCAACAACGTTGATGATACGACCTAGGGTTTCTCTACCGACTGGAACCGAGATTGGAGCACCGGTGTCCTTGACGCTTTCACCACGAACGAGACCTTCGGTACCGTCCATAGCGATAGTTCTCACCGTGTTTTCACCCAAGTGTTGGGACACTTCCAACACCAGCTTTCCTTGCTTGGTGTCGATCTCCAAAGCATTGAGAATTTCTGGCAACTGGCCTTGTTCGAATTGAACATCCACAATGGCACCGATCACAGCACGCACCTTACCGGCGGCCGCGGCTTGAGTCGCTAGAGTTCTGACGGCGGACATACCTGCGCGTCTCGCAGCGTACAATCTGGGAAGAACCATGGTCACAAGAGCACTGAGGACAGAGAGATGTGATGTGCGTTGGTTCGCTCTTTGGGAATCCTACAAAATAAAAGAAGTTATAGTTGGGAAAAAAGACCACGGTTTTTTTACTAGTTATATTATACTCCTAACACACCCGAGAAAAAGTCGCGTGTCATCATCTACGAGCTGCTGCCCACAGAAGCATTTTCATTGGCCAAGGCACGCGATTTGATTGGTTGGCCGCGATGAGAGGGAAGGGCCAAGGTACAGGGAGCCGCAAGCGAAGGCGATTGCAGTAGGACAATGAATGAGTTTATATCTAGTGCAACTGGGGTGTATAATGCAGAAACATTGGTTTTTTTGGATGTCTGGGGCGGGAGATAGCAAGACGAGCGCGTTACAGAGAGTGGGAGACCAGCTAGACGCCGCGGGTACCATGGATAAAAGCGCGAAGGATGAGGAAGCAGAAGGCTAGTAGAGCAGGCCACTGCCCTGTACCGATTCAGCTACACACACCGAATAGCTAAGCTGCTTTCGTCACTGTCTACGAATTGAATTCGAGGTTTGTAGTTGGCGTTAAGGCGTTCACACGGTGGGCACGCGAGTGGTGGTGGTTGTGGTTTCAAAAGCTCGTGGTAGACAATGGGTAGTAGCGGCTTGCCAGCGCGACCCGCCTGTAGATAAGCACTGCCGTTATTTTTCTCGTCGTGACCGGGCACTGACACCTCTATATCACGTGCACGGTATCGGCGCCATCTAGTCGAACATCTACCCGAGTACACTAGTCGCAAGGGCCCGCCGGCGGCCGTCGCGCCTAGAGCGTTGCAAACTGCCTATCATAAATCTATTCTCACCGGAGCATGCTGTCGATCTTGCGCTGTGCAGTCTGCAAGATACAGCGTATCTCGTCCGGTTGCCGTATATAGAACACCTCGTCGTGCTTGAATTGTTGAATTGGGTCCGCGTCAGAGTCGTCGGCGTCGTTAGCCTGATCAACGTCGGCTTTCTCAACCATATTGAAGTAGTCCTTAGCGCACAAAATTTGCATGTCGCCTTTTTCCGCTAACCGGTTCCATTGTCCTGGGCTCATCGCCTCCATGTGTCTTCTTCGCTTGGTAGTACAAGAGTTCTTGCGATGAACCACGAATGCGAAAGTGCAGATAGTCTTACATGCACTGCAAAAGATGTCGTCATCGCCGTCATGGTCGCTGTCATTTTCAACATCGTGTATGTATTCGTCGTCATAACCTGTGTTTTGGCTCACTGTCACCCGTACATCAACGTGAGTATTTAAATCGATGTGTCGACGTGTAAACCCCGTGGCCAAATTTTGCGTTGCCAAAACACTCCCCAGCTGGTCCAAAGTCTTAATCTCCTGGTTGAACATTCGCAGTAGCTCTGCATGACACTTGCGCACCAGCGCTTCGTCAAATTTCTTAGGGTTTTCGATATATTCCACCAAAACGGTCAGCATCAGCTCCCACATATCAAACACACATCTCTTACCCGTATGTATATAGTCCCTGGTAGCTTCCACGCCGTAGGGGAGCCATAGATCAAGTGTGAAGTTTACAGCCTCGTTGAAATTGTAACCAGTATTGAAACCGGAATGATAGCATTTAGGGAACGTAACGATATACTCCCCTGGGTATTGAACTGCCTTAAAGCAACTGATGTTGGCCTTTTGGAATTTTTCGTCGTAGGGCGCTATCAGTGTGACCAACTGATGTAGTAGATCTGGCTGTTTTTGGAATAAGTCCGGGGCAATGTTTCTCATTAGTTCATTAAACTTCTCGCACGAACTCTCGGGAATGCTATACCATACCTTTGGATCTCCTTCATGTTGGTAGTTTGCACTCAGCGTGTATTGATCCTCCAAGTGCCAACAGAAAGTGGAGAAGGTCGATCCGATGTACATCCAAGGAACTGTCATGCCCGATATTTTCCTGCCGAAAATGGATAACAGTGATCCTTTGGCACTTGGTAAATTCACCAAATTCATAGGGTGTGTGATATACTCTTTGTATTTTTCCATCTCGCCAGGATCATTTTGGATCTGATCGGGTACAAACTCTGCTGTAGGAAACCCAGTCATTTCACCAGGACCTGCGTTATGAATATCAGCCCCGTAACGTATAGGGCTAGATCTTTCTATCTGGTAAACTTTTCCCCAGAACATTCTTTCCAGCTCCTCTAAATCCTCAAGCTTATCTCCATTGGGCCAGAGCTCAGTATCAAATTCCTGGCACTTAGCTTGGAACTCCTTCCTGGAGTAGAATTTATTTTCTTCTTTAAAGCCATAATAACCATTCCCAAAAATGCAGTTGTTACAAACCCATTTACCTCTCGGTACCTCATTGAGCGGCGGGTCAAGACAAAAGATGTGGAAAGGCTTGTCACAGGAGTCGCACAAAATGGTGCGTGACTGGTGGGATGTTCGGCTGCACATCGTACAGCCTTCTTCATCGTCGTCATCCTCCGCCGAGTCATTATCCTCCGAGTCATTAAGTAAGGACTTGGGGAACTCCTCGCTATATATCACATTCGATAGCAGCGATGCATGACCACCGTGAGCCTCCATCTTGCGTTGCATAAAATCGTAATAGGGTGCAAGAACTTGTAAGAAAGTGGACCGTAGCTCGTCTGCACTGGCATTCAATACGCTAGATATCTGTTTCCACAAAGCCATATTATCGCTGATGCTACTCAAGGGAGCCATGATGAGCTCTGACGTATCTCTGGATTGTTCTTCGTCACCAAGTCGCCGAGACCGGGGCCTCTTGCGCCCGGAATATGACAGGCCAGATGACTGGCTCTCTTTCTTGATGTCTTGATTGAAAAACCGCACAACCGCTATGAAAAGGTCATAAAAATAAACCTTGCCCCCTGGCAGCTCTAAAAACGGTTTGGCAAGCTGGAAATCGGGTCTCCGTTTCCCCCGCAGATAATAGTTGTTCAACTGCTTCATCATGAATAGACGTCCCCGGTTCAAAATATTGAGCTCGTTCAAATACTGCAATCTGACTCGAAATTTGAAATTTTCCTGGTCGATGGATAGCGGTGGCTTGAAATCCTCATGCGGGACCAGTTTAATCATCCCATATTTGTGACCCAAAAGACGAACACTGGGTTTTGATAAAAATCCGATCGGATCCTCCATTTCACTTTGTGAAACGGATAAAATAGGAATATGCTCCAGCTCAACCATTTTGAAAAGTAAATCCACTCAAAAAACCGTTAGAATGATCGAGGATTTGTTGATATTCAGTTTTCTTTGATGTGCCGTGAAAGTGAAAGATGACCAGGTTAATCTAATTTAATGCACTTAATCAAGTCAATCATCCTTTATTAATGAACACACTTTTGAAAGCTCACGAAAGTTAATAGATCGTATCCACACCCTTACTACGTTTATATCGAATAAGTAGACACATTATGGGTTACACTTTGGCTATTTTAGGCTGTGGTGTTATGGGCCAGGCTCTTTTGTCTGCCATCTACAACGCGCCAGCGGCTTCTCCAGAGACCAAAGAGTTTTATCCGTCAAAGATCATCACCTGCAACAGTAGCAAGGGTTCTGCTGGTAACGTAGAAGAGTTGATTAAGAGTTTTGGCAAAAGTGCAAACGATATTGAAGTGGAAACCACTTTCGATGACAACAAGAGGGCCGTTAATGAGGCTCAAGTGGTTTTGCTGGGCACTAAACCGTACCTGGCACAAGAGGTGCTAAACAGCGTGAACGTGAGCGAAAAGTTGCTGCTCTCGCTCGTGGCCGGTTGGACCATTGAGCAGTTGGGTGAATACTCCCAATATGTGACTAGAATTATGACAAACACCCCGGCGAAATTCGGCTACGGTATGGCCGTGCTGTCCCATTCCGCGAGAGTCTCAAACCACAACAAATCGTTGGTTAAAGAACTAGTTGGCAACATCGGTGACTGCATTGAGCTACCCGAAAAGAACATGGATGCAGCAACTGCGCTAGTCGGCTCCGGCCCCGCTTTCGTGCTACTGATGATGGAATCCCTTATGGAAAGCGGCATCAAAATGGGCATTCCTTTGAAAGAAAGCAAGCAGTGTGCGATCAAGGTCCTGGAGGGCACTGCGAAGATGGTTGAGAAAACTGGTGAACATCCCAGCGTGTTGAAGCATCAAGTTTGTACCCCTGGAGGCACCACCATTGCAGGTTTATGTGTCATGGAGGAGAAAGGCGTGAGGAGTGGAATCGTCAAGGGCGTGGAAGAAGCAGCTGCGGTTGCCTCGCGCCTCGGAAAGAAATAGATGAGGGAACGCATATAGATTATTACATGATATACCTATATAGGTGAGTTTCAATGCAGATGGGCTTGCTAAACTCTTGATCTTGGCTATATAAGCTGAACTGGCATTGTCTTTAGGTTGTGGATGGGCCTTTATAACTTAGGCCTTCCGCATCACGTTTTCCTTAGCTCACGTTGTACCTTAGCTCACGTTGACCTTAAGAAAAGCAGATTCGTATCCCGAAAGCACTGAAATATTCTACCTATTGCAGCTCACAGACACCAATATATTTGAATACTAACTTTGAAATGGCTGTTCTGTCGTCTGTTAACGTTACTTACTTTCGGGTGGGATTTCTCTCGTTTCTGGCGTTTGCGTGTATCAAGGATGTAAACATCATCCTATCAAATCAATCCGTGCTGATGTTCACCCAAGCCATGCATCTCCCGGCCTTAACGTTGTCCTCTTACAGCGCTCAATTGGGATTGTTTGCCATAATCTTCGGTTTAATGGCCCTCCATGACTTAGTGCCTCTTCTAGAACAAAACAAGATGTTCTTCGAGTCCATCGTTCCACTCAGATTGATGCTGTTCTTCATCCTTACGACCATATCATACTATGTCGAGAGTAACCTCTTTGTTCATAACAATGCCGTTTTCATCTATGGCTTTTGTGAAGTTTGGATCAATTTCCTCATCTTCTCTGCATTGCGAGACGAAAAGAACGAAGAGTTCAAAAAGGCCAACCGCATTGTACTCGAAAGCAGCCCTGAGGAACTGGAACCATTGGCAGAGCTGGAGGAGCTAACTGGCGACGACTCTGTTCAGATAGTGGAGGAGTAGCTCTACCATTTTTGAATGCATTCAAAAACCCTGCATCTTTAGCTATGACGATTATTGTTATAATGAGTTCTCTATATAAACTAAACCTGTGTACCGTTCTCCTTTACATATTCACTAACAATAAAATGTAAAAAGTCCTCCAATTCCTTAAAGTTTGAGAATTTTGTGTTGAATAATGTTGTACCGGAGTCGTTAATATATTTGACTGTCGTACTAGCATTGCAGTAGTTAGAGCTCTCGAGACCAAATTCAATTTCGCCAGCAGACGGCAGCAGTAATGTGAGGTAGGTCCGGGGCTTTCTCAAAATGCTTTCAAACAGTTTGATTTCGCGATCGAGCTTGACAATGTGCTTGTCAAAGCCTTGTTCGCCGAATGTATCGCTAGATTTTGTTTTTTCGATGGTAGAGTCTTTAAGGGTAGCACCTTCAACTACATCAAGCACATACGTTTTGACAACATTCTGTAGCAAGTCCAAGTAGTTGGCATGCCTGAATTTACCCAATATTGGACGCAGTAAAAGCACCTCATGGTTTTGTGATCTGGGGGAGTTCTTAGGAGCGCTTTCGCCTTTTTGCTCCAACACCAAGTTTCTTTTTAATTGTTTTTTAAACATTGTGACCAGCAACATCCTTAGCATCACCAAAATTAGGCGAGCTTTCTTATCATTTGTTTTCGGAGCGTCCTGTTGCCGATTCATGACTATATCATCGGTTAGACTGATCATTTCGAACTCCATCTTTTCGGTAGCAAATTCAACTGTAATTTTGTTTTCATTCTCGATACTGACCCCGTACGATATCAGATTAGCTGCTTCCTTTTTCATATGGAACATCAATTCCTTTTCAAAAATGAAGAATTGTAGTCTTGCAATTTGGCGACGAATGTCCTGTTCCTCAGCGAGATTGTTGCTTGGAATCAAGAGTTCATCTAATGATGTCTCTCCGCTCAATATGTAATCATCTTCTTCTTCGATTTTGTTGAAAATTCTTACCCGCAGAAATCTTTCCTGGTTCAGTCTGCCTAACGCGCTAGCCTGCTGTGTTTCCGATGGAACAATCTCTAATGTATTGTTCTTAGGTTCATGCCTTAGGATAGCTATACCACGCTCTTGCTTGTATCTGGAGCCCGAGTCCTCGTATCCGTACTTGAGCCCTAGCGTCCTTTCGCCCGTTTCTTTATCTTTCATTCTAAACACAACGTCTTTACGGGAAATATAATGAGACAGTTTAGACCAGTAATTCTGTTCTCTCTCCACAGTCAATTCCAGCGCTTTGTGTGTTTCCTTCATCAAAAGACGAGATTCTTCGAGACTCCGTAGTTTCCATCCCTTTGTCACAAGGTTACCTTCCATTATCTCCGACTCCTTCGGTTTTTCATATGGAACCTTTTCAGCATTCAAAGAAGCAGATGGTACAGTTTTCTTCAAAAATGGTGACATAGAAGCAGTGGCTGCTGAAGGCCGAACAGAGGACAGCAAGAGTGATACAAACTCTAACGCCAAAGAGGATTCGTTGAGCGCGAGGTCCAGCGATAGGACGGCATTCTTTCTCAGTTGTTGAAATTGTTCATGTGTCATATCGTTTTCTTCATCTTCATTTAAAGTACCTTCAATCGGTTGTGGTATCAAAATTTGATCCCCTGCACTACCTGTAGCCTCAGAATCATTCATATCAATGTCTATATCACCATTTGCTATTGAATGCGTTTGAGTAGGCTCCTTGGCGATTTCCTCCAGCAGAGCCTCCTCTGAGAGGTCAGCAAATTTAGAACCAGGTCCTCGACTTTGTAATATAATAGGTATTAGTTTATCCAGCGGCAAGTTTCCATAAGTCTCATACGGATTGTTTATCAATGACTGTGAGGCCGCAGGTGTTTGTTCTGTGTTGTTGTCTAGCTGATCTTCGCTTCCTATATCATTTGTAGGCGGGACAAAGGAGGGCAGCGGCCTTATCAGATTAGGATCAATTGCAAGTGGAATCTTGCGGACATCTTCATTCACAACATGATCAGCCTTAGATTGATTTTCTACCATTGACTTGTGGGTCACCTCTGGTTTCCTTTTCTCAGCTATATATCACCGTAAGGCTTATTTTCAAGTTTTGAATTTCCAAATATTGATATAATCTTTTGAGACTGTGAAATCTGTCACTGAGGAGATATTTGCGTGATTAATTCATCTATGTCTTACTTACTCATTAAACGATGGCCAGGAAAGTGCGCTCGCAGTAGCCACCAAGCTTAATAGAAATCACCCAGGTCACCTAAGTCATCCTCGTCCAGATCCGCGAGATCGATAACTTCTTCTGCCTGCTCGAATTGCCCAGAGTCTTTGCCTTTATCCTTATTCCCATTATCTGGGTACCTCATGGCCATTACGCACTCATCATGTAACTGACTGACAAACTTGATTCTTTCGTCAAATAGTTGCTGTGGTTGCTGGGTTGCATAAACATTCAACAGCTCGCTGCTCTCGATATAGCCTTCTTCATGATTGATCTTCGCCTCTATGACACCATCTCTAATAGCTCTAGAAACCATGTACTCTACTGTCTGTTCAGATTCCAAACGCAGCTTCAGGCAAATGTCTTTTAGCGAAATCTTCTTGTAAGTCAGCGAGATTATTCTGATGCCGGTCTTTATTACACTAGATCTTAGTCGGACACAAAGCTGGTAGTTTCCATCATTAAGAAGCTCTTTTTTGTAGGTAGAAATAGCTGATGTGAATTTGTTTAGGTCACCAAGTTTGACGGCTTTGGACAAGTGGTAATAGGGCAGCAAAGACCTTTCCATGTTTTTTTGCTTGAAGAACGACAGTTCTGGAATGTCTCCCATCAACAGTTCTATAACGCAGTGCAATTTATTGGCCTGTTGTAAAAATCCAATGCTTTTTTTGGTATTTGGCGCTTTGCGAATTGCAGCCACCACAAAGTCGTTGGCGCTTGAGTAATCTAGTTGGATAGCGTTTACCTTTGACAAATAGTAATAATAACGGGCTTCCAAGGGGCTGGACACATCGTTGGATCCTGGAAACTCGATTTTGCTGATGAAGTCGGCGGCCGTGTCAACTTCACCAGTTTGTAAAAAGCTTCTCAAAATGAAAGTGATTAGCATTGCCCTTGTTTCATTGTCATGCTTAAGAGTAGCAGTTTTCAAGAACTTGACCATTTCTGCTCTAATTGATATGTCGAAGTTTTGTCCCATAAGCTCGCGTGCCCTGTACAAATAAAACCAGAGCTTGGCATTGACAAGGTCAAGTGTCCGTTCATTGTAGAAATTCAAAACTTTTGGCAAAACCACTTGTGCATTAAAAGAATCTAGAGACTCCACTTGTTGTGAGTCAAGAAGAAATAGTTGCACCATCAGATGCACAAAGCTGTTTACATCTGCAGAAACATCCACAGTATTGCTACCATTCTTAAGTTGATAGAACGCTGCAGGATATTTTTGGCGCTCGTCGCTGGCGTTTTCTACCCTGCTTTTTTGATTATTGTTGATATACTTCAATAGCGGTACCTTAAACCCGGAATCGTCAGGATAGAGCAAGTTCACCACTATAGAAAGGGACTCCTTGTCTAGTAGAGTTCTTAGTGTACTCAATCCACGGATAGCTTTCCAAACAAAGCGTGAGTCCAAGCTTGTCGTAGTTTTAGAGACGTCGGTCAGAAGGTCGATGATTTTGTCGACAGTGGTTTGATTCGACACCTGAGCTTGAGATTCATGAGCAGAATCCACCTCCATTTCCTCGGTCGTCATTAGTACAGTGGATTGATGATTGAAGTTGATTCGATAACCCTCTTCGACTTGAACCTTAATGTACTATGTTTGGTTCATGTTCGTTACGGGTGGCAAAATGTAGGAATTTGACTATCAAGCAATCACGTGGAGGAAACATAATTATAAAGTACTTAACATGAGTACAGCGAAAGTCGTGTCGAAGCTCTCCTGCAATTGCAATTGGATCCGTGATTTGGACGACTGTGCTCCAAACGAGATATAGCTATATAAACTGGAGAAGCACCTAACGCGCGTTATGAGGAACAGGTTTTTTTTTATCGTGTCATTATAGTACAAAATGATGACAAACAGTGCTGGTAACGGCCACATATTCGAGTTAAACGCTGGAGGCTTCGTAGAAGCAGCATAGTCGGGGCCCTGATGGTTAACGAAAGTGGAGAAAAAGCTTTGATTCCAAATGCTGCTGGCTGAAGAAGAATTTGCTTCGCCGCGATAGGTGATACATCATTGTTGTACAAGCTTTCCTGTGTGATACCTGATGGCCCAGTTGTTTCTGTTAATATGATGAGGGCTATGTTGCTTTCTGGTGACTTGTGGCCATGTTTTAGGAGAGGTAGTGGCCTAACCCGTGTGTTGGATCCATCATTGTCTGTAACTACCCTTATAAGTTATTTCCGGGCTTGCCTTGGGAGTTATAGCGTGCTGTTGTGCTATTTGATAACCCAAATATTGATCCGTGGGTGTTGCATAAGGCATTGCTAATTTCATTATGGTCGCTATCGCAGATGCATTTTACATTAAGGGACATCGTAGACGTCAAATTTGACTAAAGGGTAAATTCCAATGGACGTTTTGGTTCTTAGATTATCACCATGCTCTTTTTTTCTGGCCCTAATTTGAAAGAAGTGGATGATGCTGAAAAAGCGAGTATGTGTCTTAGTTTGAGGCTGATGCTTTGAACTTATTCTGGAGTGCAATGTATCGGACCATGTCGTCGTCAGCGGCAAATAGCCTGTCGTATTGTTCCTGTTGTCTGTTAGTAGGCATCTCAGACAACATTTAAGTACCTGGCACAAGTGAATTTTCCCTTCGACTTCTGTGCGTCTCACCGTGACTTTTTTGGCCACAAATGTGGTTATCCAGTACACCAAAAAAACCCGTCCTTATGTAAAAACAGAACGAAAATGACCGGGCCGCGACTGGAGTCTCCAAACTTGACTTCGAGATATCCGAGAACCTAACTAATTTGAAGGCGGCCAGGTCCTTCATATATGTTTCGATTCCTCCGCATCCTCCAGATTGGCAACAACCGCAGATCTATCACTTCGTACTATTCTGACACTATTTGGAGATTAACACCTCGGCACTCACCAAATTATAACAAACCGCTCTCGAACTGTTAGCTTTACCAGATGGGCATCTGCGGCAAGAACATGCTGGCCTACAAGAAGAGATCCAGTTACATTAATTCTGCACGCTCGCCCTACAACGTCCGCTCCATTCTTCTGGAGAGGTTCGGCCAGCTCAACTTATCTAAAAGAAAGGTATAGCCTATAATGTGAAGGTCATTTTCGGCACCATGACAATCATTACGGCTCCTTCATTCAATAAAAATACTCGATTCACATTTTTTGGTATATTAAATTGGAAATCAACTCATATTAAGCATTTGAATGAATTCCATGTCACTGTCCCCATATAATTACACCAATTCAATACTTCGAGACTTTCCAACAGATAATCAGAGTGTCAGACACCATGTAAGAGGCTCACTGGCAAATTACTCGGGTCGATGACTATATAGATTATTAATACCCACGAAGCACATTCTCATACTCTTAGCGATAAACACAAGTTCGACAAGCAGAACTTACAAAGCAAGCGAGAATACTCACCCAAAAGTATCCCGCAACTGTGGTCATTGGATGCCATCCATGAGTGTTGGACATACAAATATCCTTTACATCGTCGTTTGTGATGATTGAATATAGTGCTCAATTCATGTCCCCACACGCATTATCTGCTTGGCCAACCACAGGAATGAACAGGACTGGTGCTTGCTGAACCTTCCGTGAGGGACTGAAAGACGGTTTACTTACTCTTCTGAGCTCTGTTTTGAAAGCAGAGTGCCTGATACAGTGTCTTGTGGTCAACGAGCCGTCAATTTAGCACACACAGAGCTATAGCAGCATTAGCAATGGTAAAGGGAGAGTTTTCGTTAAATGGAGAGCCTCTAGATATAACACAGAAACTAATCCACCGTTACTATAACAAGGGCCTATGGCCTACTCGGGATGACAGCGAGTCGAGTTTGACCTCTGAAAGTGACGACAAACCCGACAGTCGTGATCCTGCAAGCAATGGCCCAAATATGGACGAGGCAGAAGGTGGCGCGCTGCGAAAGTTTGCATCACTTTTGAAACGTATGTTCAGTAGAGATTACGAACGCAATGTCCTCATAGAAAAGCTAGCGCAAGAAAAACAGCACGCGACATCTTACGAAGAATGGCTAGCCGCCGCTCTACAGTTAGATGAACTCACACGTACCAACGAATGGAAGGCCCGCGACGAAACAACGCTCTATGACTATAAACTGATTGAAACACACACCCAGAATATGCGGCGGGCCCGCCTAAACGGGGACTATGCTGAGCTGCTGTATCTCATACGAACCACCTGGATTAGAAATTCGGGTAATATGGGTAATGTCAATTTATATCGACACTCTCACGTCGGCACGAAGTATTTGATTGATGACTATATGCGCGAATCGAAGCTGGCTTTGCAAGAATTGGTCAGGCATTCGGATTTGGACGAAGAGTATCTACTGGGAATGTTAGTACAAACCCGCAAAAACATTGGGCGGACAGCTCTAGTTCTCAGCGGGGGTGGGAGTTTTGGCCTCTTCCATATCGGGGTACTAGCAACTCTTTTTGAGCAGGATTTATTACCACGGGTGGTAAGCGGCAGTAGCGCGGGCGCTATCGTTGCAAGCATTTTATGTTCTTGCCATAAGGGAGAGATCGTTGGCCTTGTAGAAACTGTGCTCGAGAAGGAACTCAATATTTTCCAGGACGATTCGGAGAAAACCCAGGGCGAAAATCTTCTCATCAAGATATCTAGATTTTTGAAGAGCGGGACGTGGTTTGATAATAAAAATCTTGTCAAGACCATGATTGATTTTCTGGGTGATCTGACGTTTCGGGAAGCTTATAATAGGACAGGAAAGATTCTGAACATCACAGTGTCCCCAGCTTCTGTTTTTGAACAGCCCGGCCTTTTGAACAACCTAACAGCTCCAAACGTTTTAATTTGGTCGGCAGTTTGTGCATCTTGTTCTTTACCCGGTATTTTTCCCTCTACACCACTCTACGAGAAAGATGCCAAAACTGGAGAAACGAGGGAGTGGAACAGCAGCACGGTTAAATTCGTCGACGGTTCTGTTGATAACGACTTGCCGATATCCCGACTTTCGGAGATGTTCAATGTCGATCATATCATAGCATGTCAGGTAAACCTTCACGTGTTTCCCTTTCTTAAGATGTCAGTCTCATGTGTAGGAGGGGAGATTGAAGACGAGTTTAGTGCTCGCTTTCGTCAGAACTTATCATCGGTTTACAACTTCGTCTCCAACGAAATAATTCACGTCCTCGAACTGGTGACAGAATTGGGGGTGGCCACAAATGTTCTCACAAAGTTCAGGTCTATTTTATCTCAACAATACTCGGGCGACATCACCATTTTGCCTGACATGAACATGCTTCTTCGTATGAATGAGCTGCTGGCGAACCCGTCGACCGATTTCCTTCTGAGGGAAACGGTGAATGGCGCTCGGGCAACTTGGCCCAAAATATCTATTATCAAAAATCATTGTGAACAAGAGTTTGAGCTCGACAAAGCGATATCATTTTTGAAGGGAAAGATCATATCAAATCCGTCCTTCAGCACGAAAAACCCATTTCAGTTTACGGATTTGTCCATATCCTTGATAAATACTCCAGAAATGCCTGCCAATGATGGCCACGCTCCCAATGTTTTAGATGATACCATTCTCAACCCTCATGCAACTGATAGAATGCTAGTGATCAACGATAATTCCAAAAGACCGCATTCTTATGGCAAGACTAGTATTTCCATTGCTGAGGCGAGCAAGAGTATGTATCATCACCGGCGCAAGTCAGATTCATACACGAAGACCAAGAGCAATTCAAGGTATGGCTTGCCACATCCAGGTGGCTCAGCTTCTCATATTTCAACAAAACTCCTTCCCACTTTAATGGGATATAGTCCTAGAATGGATCGGAAAAAAAGCGTTGGACAACTTCAATTTGGTCCAAGCGCATCTTCAGGCTTGCCAGAATATCAGAGCAAGCTAGAATCAACAAGGCATAGTAACAGTTTTACAACTTTACATGGTCAAAGGGGCATGGGTATGAATTCGTCAGATCGAACAAATCCGCCATCTCCACTTTCTGCTCCCATCAACACGACATTCGAAGATAGTTCCAGGAAAGGCTCTGTCACTTCGCATGATTCACCACTGAAAGGTTACAAACGGGCCACAAAGTCCCACAAAAGTAGACCGCCAACGCTCAACCGCTCGAATACTACCAATACGCTGAAGACAAAGGCATCTACAAAAATAAAGAATGGAGTTAAGCCTGAGCCTAAGGTTAACTCATATGTGGAAGACGACTCTTTAGACCCTGCTCAAGCTGAGGAGGATGAGAAAGATGAGAAAGATGAGAAAGAAAGTAGTACTTAAGTAAGCGTATTGCTGCAATACTTGAATCTTACGGCCAGATTATTTTACAAGGGTGTTTACCCCGTAAACTTTCCAGCTATCTTTATCGTACATGCATGAGAATTCTCTGACAAGGTCGCCCTGTTTTAAAGCCGTAGCCGTACGTTCCATGATTGACGGGCAACCATCCACTACAACTTTTTGGAGAATCATAAATTCTTCCTTAAATGCGCGTAGAAGCTCATAAATAGACACGCCGGTTAGGGCCACGTTGAATGAGAGGTCAAGTTTTCGGAGCTTTTTGAGATTTTTGACATGCCGCGAAAATTCTTTGATAGTATGATCATCAAGTGCCACCGATTGGTGGAGTAGAAGCTCTTCGACGTGGGGAATCAACAAAATCAGATCTTTTATGTTCATAAATCCGTTTCCCTCGCCCCGCTGGAAATGAATATATGGGCAGTCCCCGATATTCAATTTCTTTAATTGATCAGTTGCAAATAGTGACAGCAGCTTTAACAACCCTCGAGAGCCGATTGATGTGCACATCAAATCTAAACTTACCAAACTTTTAATATTTTCAATAAAAGTCGCATTTTCGAGCAAGTCGGGGTACTGGATCAAGTTCACGGCTTGATTAGAAACTCGATGCTCTCGTAAAGTGAGTTTTGTAAGGTTTCGAAAAAGAGGCTGATAAACAAGAGCCCGCAAAAAGTCATCTAAAAAAATGTTTCTGTTATTCTCCAGCCAAAGCTCACGCAAGTTGGGCATTTTTTTTAGCCATTCGAAGTCCGTCGCGTAATCAAAAGACACGCCGCAAATATACACTTTTGTCAATTGAGGTAAATCCCCTAGGGAAAATAAAGACTTCAAAGGAAACGAGGCTCCCATCAATTTCAAGTCGCATATCAGTTTAAAAGTTTCCAGATTTTTCAAATTATGATATTGCACATTCAGTGGCCGAGGCTCACTCAAAAAGTTTCCTCGACTAGGACCAGCGCAGCCGGGGAAAATCAACTCAAGCTTGCGAACATTTGAAAAGCTTTCCAAAAAGAGACAGTCTAATTGTCCAGCACGATTAGTTCGGAAATCCACGCACAAGCTCAACTCCTCCAAACTGGCCACCAGTTTCCGATTCGCCGCGAGACAAACAGTCAATTGCTCAAAATCAATTGTTTTACTATTCAATATTAGTGTCCTGAGACGAGGTTTTAACTTTCGAATCAAAGAAGAGATTGTTCGTGCGTCCACGGACGATGAGGAGCTCGAGTATTTTATCATTTCAATCAACCCCCGTTGATTACCTCGGTATATGACGTTAATAAACTCCAGAAACGATGAAATAGCTCTGGTACTGCAGGGACTCAGATCGAACTTACGGAAAACTTCAGGCAACATGCAGATGCGTGCATGCCAAATTTTGCTTACTTTCATGCAGTGAATCAATTGATTCGTGTCCAAGTTTAAGAGGATGCCTTTCAACATCTCTAGCGGACACTGACCGACGATATCTAACTTGATAGACGATCCCCGCTTGTGGTTCTTAGTCCTTTCTAGAAAGGACTCCTTCGGAGGCAAAATTGGAACTCTCTTGGCCCGAGGCTTTTCGTCTTGGAGAGGCACTGCTGGCTTCATTCGTTCTTTCACCAATGTTTTCTGGCCTTTGAGCAATCCCACAAGTCGTGCTGGAGGAGTGGTATACCATTGGGTCTCCATTTCGTGCACTTTAGAAAGACCACTGTCATAATTCTCAAGAGCTTCTTGGTCTTTTCCCAGCTTCTGTAGAACCTTTCCTCGCCGTAGGTAGCATTTTAAGTTGAATGGCTCGTATCTGACTGCTCGATTAGCATCTTTCAAAGCTTTGGCCAAATTGCCCAATTTTTCCCAAGTAGCTGCCCTATTGTCTAACAACTTCACCAACCTAGCGTGAACCAGCTCCCCCATACCAGGAACCGGCCGCTCACTCAGTCCATGCGAGATACGGATTTTTTCTAATGTTTCTTGATCATAAGAAAGGGCAAGTTTAAGAGCTTTAGTAAAGAGGTTGAGGGCACTATGAAAATCTTCGTTTTTGAAATACACAGCACCTAATTCCAGAGCTTTCTCTACAGGATCTCCATGGTCCATCGGCACTTTAGAAAAGTCTCAGATAGCTAAGGCTTTACTGTCATTGTGGGAGTAATATAGCTAGCTAGTATATTGATATATAGATCAACACATTTATTATATATTGATTTTCGTAATAAGGCTCAACAAGGCCATCGCCAATTGAAACCGAATTAGGCCAAGCGAAGCTAACGCTTGTGTACTTTCCGAATATGTCTGCCTCTATTGTGGAAATAATTGTAACTAGTTTCCTATTTTTCGCAGTGGTATCTGCCATTGGTTGCGTACCTATATACTATGTTAAGAACACACAATCATTGGGCAACGAGAAGTATCTTGGTATACTTTCACTATTTGGAGTAGGTATGCTGTTGGGGACTGCATTCATGCTCGTAATACCGGAGGGTATCAGTGCGTGTTTGGAGCACGAAGGAAATGTGGGTGTCAATTTGCTGATGGGATTTTTGGTAGTATACGCTTTGGATCGGGTAGCGTCGATGGTATCTAGAAACTCGGCACATATAAGGTGGTGTTCGTTTCTGCAGGAAAGATGCGAACTAGAGTCACTTAGAGACATCTTGAAACCCAAAAAAGTGGTGTCATTGGTGGTGAGAAACCAGGTAGTATTTGCCCTGGTGGTGCACGGTTTTTCGGACGGCTTGGCCATGGGCGCCTCCACAAATAATGATTCAGTCAAGGTGGCTACTCTGGCTGCCATAATAATCCATAAGATCCCAGCTGTTCTTTCGTTGTCTAGTTTGATGGTCACGAAGCAAAAACTTCCTACTTTAGAGGCAATTTCTAATCTCTTGGCATTTGCTGCCTCTACGCCCCTGGCCTATTTTGTGGTTTCTTTAATCAACATGGAAAACTGGGGTCCCTTGGAATGGATAAGTGGTAATGTTTTACTTATGAGTGGTGGCAGTTTGTTGTACGCCGCCGTTTCTGCGCTATCTGGTAATCACAAGAATCACGAAACCTACGAATATTCCGAAACCGAGGTAAATCTGGGGCTTGAACCAACTGCACTTGATATCAATTATAAGGATATGACTCCCTTCCAGTTGGTTGACGCAGGCGTACCGAACGCTAGTTTACCTTACGACGAGTCTGTATATGTATTGTGTGGGGTTATAGTACCCGTTGTGGTCTCATACATAATTCGCGAAAAGGATTAGGATGCGAGGGGCAACTGAAATGTATGTTTATATAGGTCCAGATACAAATGCGGTGAACGATTATGGTATTATGCTATGGTACAGAGAGGGGCTTGGCTTGTTTTTTTCACCTACGTCCGAGGGACTTGCGCTTGAGCCACTTGTCCTTCTTGTTAAGCACGACTGGGTCTTTTTTTGGCGCTAACGACCGGCTGCTGGCCATGGTCGCCAAAAGATTAACCGTGACAGGGCCTCTTTTCAAGGTTGTCTTCCGCAGTTTATTCAGCGTTTTCTTCTTTTGTTTTTTGAGTTCGGCTTTAACCTCGGGTGTGAAGTTTTCGTCTATGTCATTGAAGTTGACGTGTGTGGGCTTGGTTGCTATTTGGTGCGAGGCTTGCTCGTCTAGATTTTCAAAAAATCCTTCGGGCAGTTCTTCTGGAATTTCCTCATCACTGCTTGCCCCATTTTCTAGTTCCCGCTGTTTCATGAGAAGCTCAAAGTCTTGAAACTGTTTGGTACGTTTCTCATCTTGTTGCTTAGCAAATATTAGGTTCTGTTTACGTCTTTTATCCTTTATCAGGTCTTGCTCTTTCTTGGCAGCTCGTTGTCGTTCTAATTCTCGCCCCTCGATCTGACTCTTGGCGTCAACAACACCCTCTTCCTCTGGGGCTTCATCGTCGCTGCTGGCATCGTCTTCGGAACTATGGTCATCTGCAACGCTTTGTTCTGGAATTTCCGATGGAATGTTTTCCAAGCCCTGGGCTTGGTCGTCAAATTTGCGATGTAGAGCTTTACCGGCCATTTGATGTCTTCTGGTGGTTGAATTGTAGGCACGGGTGATATCGACTTGACTTTGAGCCCAACTGCTCTTCTTTCTAATTTTCAAGATGCTAATTGTACTGTTAAAATTTTATAAACAAATATAATATACCAAGTGACAGCATAATACCCAAATCATCCAACTGTGAGAAACAGCTCAATTTGAAACCATCCAGAATGTGATCCTTCAATTAAAATTCTAGCATAGTCCTATAACGGGGCGAAAGGTATATAGCGGGACTGGGTCGTTTTGCTGGCGTCCCATATTGATACCCACGACGGCAGATGACGATCAAGTTGCTGTACTTTGATTTTGAAGGCCATTGCTCAAGTGAGCATCTCTCTCTTGGTATACTTTTTTCTCAAAGTGAACGTTGTGATCTGTGCTCACCACATTGGTCTCCAAACTCACAAAATCCTGGGCCAAAAAGAGTTTCAGCTCTGTTGGTACCAAACACGTAGCAAGCTGAAGCCTTAAGAATGATGACGTAGTACTTTGAACCTTCGCCGGTAAATGCGGTGTAGAAAGTTGAGACAACGATGATGAGGCCCAGAAAGCAGTAAAAAAGCATTCTATTGCTATAGTATAGGCTCCAGAGCCAGGTAGCGACTGGGGACACATAGGAGCCGACATTTCCATTAGCCTCTTGGTTTCCATTGCTAGGAGGCCCAAAATACGAGGGACTCCTGGGTAATTGAACAGGCGGTGAACTTGAATTCAGAGGCCCGGCGGGCGCCGACTGTTCCCGTAGTATAGAATTGTAATCTGCAGTCTGGCGTCCGCTAAGAACTGGCCCTCTCTCGTCACTGAATCTTTGATCGAACACCAAATCGCCTCTTTCAAGTTTGTTGAAGTCGATGTCGGGTGGTATATACGACGCCGTTGAGCCCGTTGCTAGAGCCTCCCGGTGATTGATTTCGCTTAACAGTAATGGAGCAGATACTGTACGGTGCATTGAGGTGTTTGCAGACATGACAGAGATTCTCTACGAGTGAAATAGAATTCTAGAAGTGAGGTTTGAATAGGGCGTTTTTGTGTGGTATTTAAGAATTTGGTGACGCGTAGGCGTCAGGATATAGTAGCTTAAATTATAAAGGAAATAAGGAAATAATGCCGCTCTCGATCACAGTAGGACCAAATTCAGATTCAAGGTAGGGCTATTTGAACGTTTGAAAAGTATTTAGTCGCCGATGTAGGGTGAGAGCATATCTTTATTGAACGGCGACGGGGAATAGCGCTCATAAATAATTGTTCAAGGCGACAGCTTGTTATTTGCGACCTCGTCAGGAACTTGGCAATCAATAAGTACTTTAAAAGATGTTTACATGTGAAAGTTCAAATTTATGTTGTAAACATGAAAACTTCTTAAATGTTCCCAACGTTGAAGCTTTCGTGATCCTTTGATGACCGCTTCATACTTTTTAACCATCGAGAGAACGAACAAAGACCCCCTCGATGTGTCTTTGAGTTAGTAACACCTTGTACTCGTCCGCGCTGCCTCAACAAACTGGTGCGACATTGTTCTCCAGAGCGTCAGTAAAATACGTTTGATTTTTTTAGACGAAATAAATACGTTAACAAATTCATTTGAAATCCCAGAAGGCTCAACCGATTGCTACATCTATACTACCCACTCTGCACGGGGATTACTGTTGCGCAAGCCACCTTAATTTTTCCTGTAAAAACTATCATTTATTCGTCTCAGCTAGCGAGACCTGTGACTATGTACCATCGCGAACACCAGCGACTGATTTCTATGCTTATAATTCTGAATGATTCTAATTCGACCGGTTGCTATTGCTCCCGATCGCATGCATTTGGTTCTATCAATATACGTCCTTCTCGGGGTTCTACATGCAGCAGTACCCACCATCCACGATGATATCGGTACCCGTGGTGTATGTGGAGGCGTCCGAGCACAGATACAAGTATGCACCCACCAATTCACGTGGCATGGCCTCACGGCCCATGGGGGTGAGTTTGTGCCATTTCTGCTTCTGTTCGCTGTCCGCAAACTTGGTGATCTCGGTGGCGATGTAGCCAGGCGAGACGGTGTTGACACGAGCAAAGCCGGACCACTCGACGGCCAGCGACTTGGCCAGATGTAGCACACCGGCCTTGGCAGCGTTGTACGCGGCCTGCATTTGCGGAACGTTGACCACGTGACCAGACATCGACGCTGTCACCACGAAAGTGCCCTTCTTGTTGGGATTGCCGAGACCCTGTTTCTGGAACACGGGACCCACAGCCTTGGCCACACGGTAGATACCGTTGAGATCCACATCCACCACTTTGTTCCAGGCCTCGTCGCACGCGTCTTCGTCGCCCTCGGCCAGCATGTCCAGCACCGCACCCTGCGTCCACGCCACACCTGCGTTGGCAACCATGATGTCGATGGTACCGTTGAAGTCTTTCAAAATCTGGTCGATGGTGGACTTCACCTCTTTGGAGCTGGTCACAGAACACTTGTAGGCGCGCACCGTGACACCGTACTTCTTGGAGATATCGCCCACGACCTCGGTGATGTGAGGGTTGGAGTTGTACCACATAGCGACGTCAGCGCCAGCCTGGGCTAGGGCGATGGCCACGTCGTAGCCGATCCCGGACGAGGCCCCCGTGACCACGGCTACTTTGCCCTTGAGCGAAAACATATCCAGCACGTGATCAGCCAGCTGTGGCGCTGGTTGTGGCGTTGTCAAATTGGTGGCAATGGTCGTGTTAGCGGACATTATGATGTGGAGGCGCTATAGTAGTGAAGGCACAGAGAATAAGCTAATAAATAGGAAAGAACGAACTGGTGGCGGTTCGAGTTGCTTAGTTTATCGTGTTTGTGGTCACAAACAATGTGGGCCCGCTACCGTCGTGTTTGCGGGTCGAAGAAGCTCCTTATATAGTTCGAGAAGGGTTTTTGTGGCAATCGCAAACGCAAACCACATGGTCGAGCAAAGAAAAAGGGGACAGCAAAACCGCAAGCTTACATAACAGGGTTACGTACTTGCGCCTGCGCCCCATGTCGCGTCACGGTGCGTAACGGTGCGCCACTGCGCACCAAGATGCAGCAAGACTCGTCATTATGCGGAGAACAACGGAACAAAACGGGCAGATGGAGCCTGGGCCTCTTTTGGCGTGTGCGTGTGCGACACCGACAGCAACGTAGTGATGGTGAGCAGCAACCTACGTGGGTGAGCAATCAAAAGAGGCGCGCAATCCGGGTACCTGCGTCAGACCATAGAGTCGTGTGTGGACGAATGCGGTTGGTAATCAATGCCATCGAATAACAAAACCAGATACTTATCAGGTTGGGCAAGTGAAGAAAACGGGTACTTTTCCGGGTAGCGCACGTGACCGATGTCAGGAGCCGATGTCCTGACTCGAGCTGAGTTGCTGCTGCTATGTTGGGCAGAATAATTGAGACAGGTCACGTTTAGGCAGGTGTCTAAGTGCTGAAGTGTATCGTTCAGGCTGTTGAGGGCGATTGTGATGTGAGTGTGGGAAAAAGGATCTGTGGAAAAAAATTGTGATAAAGGCTCTTTGGCCATGTCTCCGTGAATACCAATAGGGCTATATATCTGGCCGGTATCTGGCACGTACTTCGGGTACTCGTACAGATTTCTGGCGGTAACGATACCTGGCGGACCAGTCGTTGTATACGACGACTGGGTTTGTCCAAACCATTGCGTGATCTTCCGCTGGGCTGGGCCCCTTCGTATTTTACTGGCGTCGCGAGCATCGCTGCTCATCACACCGACACCTGGTTTGATGGCTACCATAAGCCACTCGATGTTCTTCAAACGGCACAGGAGCACTACCAGTCGGTTTTTCTAACCGCACTGCGGTCATTTGCGAAGTTACAGGGTAAGCTGACTTCGTCCAGCCTCAAGCTTTCCCACATTCTCTTTCTCAGCAGTTGGCAGCTACCAATGCTGTCCCCCAATTTTTGTACTGCGCTGGTTTTTCAGAACCGCGTAGAGAGGTGACATTCGAAACAAAGCGTCTAACACAAGCGAGGAGATTAATCCGAATTCAATCGACTCAGGCCAATCGACTCAGTTCAAGCCTCCTCAACACTCACCGTGGACACTGGCCTTGGACGTCAGACCTTCAAGACTCGTCACGATGGACGAAAGTGATCTCGCAACGTCCCTGAAAAAACAATGCTAGCAGCTTGTGTTACAGGCGTGGAAACCCAACCGTTCAATCTGCGCTCACGTCCATGTCGGAGGCATACGAGGCTCGAGTAAACGCCAATAGACCTTTCAACGAGAGTCAGCCAATTTTATTCTCGACAAACGAGGACTTTGATGACCTGGACGATGACTTTCTGGATATGTACACTATGAACCCCAGACAGCGCCTACTGCGTCAACTGCAGAAAGTCAGGAACAAGCTGATTGATCATTTCCAAAGACTTCCGGCTTGGAAGAAATTTTTAGTAGTAATCGCGATTCTGTTGCAGATGACTTTGACAATACTGGTGTTAGTTTTCCACGATAAGATCCTACACGCCATGATCACCGCATCCAAAGAGCTCAGAGCAAGGTGGTATACTCCCTTGGTTTGTGTGCTCCTTGTGTTTGGGGTCTCCTTCCCTCCGCTGATTGGATTTTCATTGCTGTCAGTAACGGTCGGTATCATATACGGCGTGAGCTTTTTAGGCTGGTTTATCCTGTTCATTGGATCTTTGAGTGGTTCGATATCGGCATTTGTTCTGTTCAAAACGCTGTTGCGGTCGCAAGCAGAAAGGCTGGCCCATGCAAATGCTAAATTCGAGGCATTGGCCTCCACTCTACAAGACGATGACGGCTACTGGATGCTCGCCCTGATAAGATTGTGTCCTTTCCCTTATTCATTCACAAATGGTGCTATTGCCGGCATTTACGGAGTCACCCTAAAGAATTTCTCGCTAGCCAACGTGCTTACTTCTCCCAAACTGCTGATGTACCTCTTTATTGGATCTAGACTTAAGAACATGGGAGAAGACAGCTCAGCTTCCTCAAGAATCTTTGACGTTGTCAGCATTCTTATCACTGGTATAATTTTGGCTTTGACTACTTGGCTATTGTATACCAAAGCTAAAAGAAGATACCAAGAAATGCAAAGAAACCAAAGCTTGGATGCTTCCTTTGAAACTGTCTTCTGAGGCTGCAGATGTATATTATATAGAATCAACACCGCTATTTCCGTCCTGTACACTAACAACAAGCCCCCTACTCAACGACCATTTAGGATTTCACTTTTTCAAGCTTTTGAACAAGTTCTTCTTTTTCTTTGTAACTTTTCCTGGATGCGACGGCCTTGAAATCTTGAGCGAGATCTTTCCAATAGGGTAATTAACGTCGGATGTGGTCTCAGCATCCCCTTCTTCTTCCTCTTCTTCATTTCCATCAGTAGGGTGTGTACCGGCCAGCGCTATCTGATCTTTTAGCATTTTCGTCTTGATATCTTGCTCAGAGCTCTCTGATTTCTCCAATTCCGATACCCTATCATTTCGCAGCATGTTCTCGAAAGAATCGTCAATGTAACTTATCAAGATTTTACCGCTTTCCATGTCGATATCCTCTTGGTCTTCGCTGGCATCATTCAAACCATGTATCCGTATTTTTCCTGTTTTGCCCAAATGCAAAATGAACCTTGTAAGAGAGTGAAAGCTCGTAGCATTCATGTGAATGTGATCGCGGTCCTGAATAAACTCGTTGTAGAACTTGTTAGCTTCGATCTTTTTTTCGCCATGGGACAGTCGCAGTAATCGGAGGAAATCCTTTTCGAACTGCTCTGTATAATTAGCCACATCTTGAGGTTTCAGCTGAGCGGTATTTCGCACATGGAAAGGGGACCTGCAATGTGATTTAAATCCGTTTTCATCTCTGCATTGTTTCTGACAAGTTTGGCAGTAGAAGCGCAGCTTTTGTAGGCCTCTAGCCTTCATCTTTTTGTTTAAATATTTGGCTGAGCCAAAGTCGGCGGCTCCCATGATTCTGAGGTTTAGAAGGGATGGTAGATCATAGTACTAGGTGGGTGCAGTACCATTCTGTTACCGATCTTGATAGTTGTTGATGAATCTTAAAATAGATACCTATACACGAGCTGGATTATTATGCTGTCGTCTTCCATAGGTCATAAATATAAGGATAGTTGTAAGGTGCGCCGGGTATATTTTATTGAGTTCTGTAGGCTTTTATTTTGGATCTGAGCCTGATTATATTGTCTCTTTTCAAGAAGGTAGCTTTTTAATACTTCCTAAAAATCAAGTTCGAAAGATCTCATGAGAAAATGTCATTTATACTACTGTTTGTCTCAGTGGCCGATCACATTTGTTTATTCATACGCTTTTTGAGCTGAGTTCCCATCGGGTGAAGACTAATTTGAAGGCCCTTGATCGGTTTCACAACTGAAGCCCAACATTGGCCCAGAGTTTTACTTTGAAGAATATGGTTAGAGTGCAGATCCTAGACTATACTAGCTGCTAATGAGCCCTCAGAATGAATCAAAAATGGAAATGAACATGCTATTAGGCTGCCGGCTTAGGTATTTGATCTCACTCTGTCACTATTTACCCTCGAGTCGTCGTTCTTGCGCGAAAATCACGAGCTCGTGATAAAAGCTCTAAAACGTACCTGCTCGGTAGAAACACACACATCGACAACTGCCACTGTGAGAACAATGATTCGGAGTCTTTGCAGGGGAAGGAACGTAGGGTTTGCGACTCCACGGTTATCTTTAGTCCGCCCTAATCGCTTGGAGTTTTCTAGAAGTGCCAGCTATCAACGGTTCAATAACCGACAATCTAAGAGCTTTGTCCAACTACTGGTGGACCCCGCTTCGAGAAAGTACCTTGCTTTCGTCTTTGGAGGCGGTTCAATCTTTTATCTCACTCATTTAGAAGAAGCTCCAGTGAGCGGGCGGAACAGGTTCATATGGCTGCCTCGGTATCTTGAGTTGAAGATTGGAAGTTACTCTTATAACTCGATGCTCAGCCAGACCCGCGGATCCATGTTACCGTCGAACAGCAGTTTGACCGTTAAAGTATCAACGATTTTTGAAAAAATAGTCGAAGCAGCACGCAAGGATCCTAGCATCGACAGAGAACTTTTGGACGGAGTCAACTGGCAAGTACACATCGTGAACGATCCAAAGGCTCCTCCCAATGCATTTGTATTACCAGGAGGTAAAGTTTTTGTTTTCAGCAGTATTCTTGGCATTTGCAAGAATGACGATGGGTTGGCAACAGTCTTGTCACATGAATTTGCACACCAGTTAGCGAGACACACTGCAGAAAACTTGTCAAAGGCTCCGATTTACTCTATATTGGGCGCGGTTTTGTATACAGTGACTGGTGCAGACGTATTTAACCGCCTAATTTTAGACAGTTTCCTTAAGATGCCGGCCTCGAGACAGATGGAAACCGAAGCAGACCACATTGGTCTCATGATCATGTCGCGGGCGTGCTTTAAACCCCAGGAAGCGGTGGAGCTATGGAAGAGGATGGCCGAGTTCGAAAAACAGCTAAAAGGGCGCGGAAGCTTTAGTCCGGAATTTCTAAGCACACACCCTGCCAGTGATAGAAGAATAGAAAACATGCAGTTATGGATGCCTCAAGCCCAGGAACTCTACTCGCAGTCTGATTGTGGTGCAATGAGCAGTTATTATGATAGTTTTCAGGGCATGATAAGTGGGCGCTTGACAACTGAAGGGCCAAATTCTTTATGGGGCTAAACGTGACAGCACATATTTAAAAAGGACGTCTCCTCTTGAACCCTATTTTAGCACCTGGCTTCTTTGTGATGCTTTCGTTTTGACCTTTTGCATCGTCAAGGCCATTGTTGTCTTGTATTGACTTTGCATCTTTCAGTAAGCGCCTTTTGATTAGCTCTTTTTTCATCATGGCCTGCTCTATGGATACGTCTACTTCATCTTTCAAATGCTGTTTGGATTCAGCAGCATACAATCCAACATCCTCTTCTTCATCTACCCTGCGGCTGGCGTTATAGTATACTACACCATAGTTCATGAGCCATAATGGGTCCACAGCCGTTACCACATTAATATATTCATTAGACGTGAGCAACATTTCATGATAAACAACATACGACGGTAGGTCACCGGCACCAAATAATGCACTTGCTGGATGTACGCGTAACTCGAGACCGTTTCTAAGTTGAACATACTTGTTTAGTCCTGATAATCTAGCTGCTTGATCTGCAGAGCCCGAACATATGCATTTTCTTATGACATCCCAGTCAGTTCCCGACGATACTATCGAAATGGATTTCTTCTGCATCAGGGCGCTTAGCTGTACTCTAATGCTTTTCGCTCTCTGTAAGGACTTGTATTGAAGAAAATTACGTTTGCACCAACCTGCCGAATACGAATTTGCTTTCCATTGTGCGTAAACGTTCAGTAAAGTGAGATGGTCTGATTCAGGCACAAAAAATCTCGTTCGCGCTTGGTCCGATTCTTCCTCTCTTTCTCGGGGCCTATAAAAAACCTGAGGAACTGACAACATCGAAACTATTGTTAACATCTCTTCGCTACATCCACTCTGAGACGCAATCAAAAGCATTTTTGATAGCGATGGTTGTAATGGGAAAGACGCCATCTGTATCCCAAGTTTTGTTAATGCACCAAAATTATCTAAAGCTCCAACTGTCCACAAGTCGAACAACGAGGATATGATACTTTGTTCAGGGGGAGGGTCAATCAGTGGAAAGGCCATAAGATCCCGAACTCCTAAATGTCTCAGGAGTAAAATAGTATTTGACAAGTTTGTTCTTTGAATTTCAGGTATCGTCTGCACATACATGTCGTCAAAGTAAGAGTCTTCAGTGAATAGCCGATATGCAACTCCGGGGCCTGTCCTTCCTGCTCTCCCTGACCTTTGATTCGCACTTGCCATTGATATAGGAACAATTTGCAGGCTGTCCAGTCCAATTTGAGGATTATACACCTTCAATTTCACATATCCACAATCAATGACGAATTTAATGCCGTCGATTGTCAAAGAAGTTTCAGCGATATTAGTTGCAACCACAACCTTACGTTTATTTGGAGTAGGCTCGAAAACCTTATTCTGAACGTCTGCAGGCAAAGCAGAATATATAGGTAGGATTTCGATGTCACTCAATTCGCTATCTGCAGAATTGCGATTTTTTTTCTTGGAATTGATATCTATCAGCCTTTCTTTCAAGCCTTCGCAGGTTGCTTCAATGTCCTCTTGACCGGTCATAAATATAAGGATGTCACCACTTTCAATTGGATTGGATAAATGAAGTTTGCTGGCCTGTAGTATCGTCGATTCCACATAGTCACTAACTGGCTGCCTCGAGAATACGATTTGAACAGGATGTGTCCTTCCCGGGATAGTAAACATCGGTGCACCACCAAAAAATTGCGAAAATCTATTGGCATTCATGGTTGCAGACGTCACAATTAACTTCAGATCTTTCCGACTTGACAGAAGATTTTTGAAAATACCAAACAAAATGTCAGTACTCAGAGACCTTTCATGTGCCTCGTCCATTATAATACAATTGTATTTTTCGAGCATCTTGCTGGTCACAAACTCTCTGAGAAGTATACCATCAGTCATGAACTTAATTTTAGTACGCCAAGAGGTTTTGTCTTCAAACCGAATAGAGTACCCAACTTCGTCTCCAATTTCAACGCCGACCTCTAGGGCAACTCTTGTGGCTACTGACATTGCAGCGACCCTTCTAGGCTGTGTACATCCGATCAAGTGACCATCATTACAGTAGCCGTCCTCCTTCAAGAATTGGGCCAGTTGTGTTGTTTTACCTGACCCTGTCTCACCAATTATAATAACTACCTGGTGATCTCTAATGATTTGAAGAAGCTCGGAACGTACTTTATATGCTGGTAGCGATTTTCGCATTCTTTGTATTTCTGCAAAACTTGCAGCAGTGGCGTGCTCTTGATTCTGATTTATGGGTTTTTGAATATTTGACGAAACCTGGCCCTCCTTTATGCCCATAATTTCACCTATAGCTGTACCGGACAACTCGCTTGTTTCTTGCATTTTGGTTTTTTGTACTTCTTTACTACGTCGCATCGCTACGGTAGTACTTCCTTTCTTGGCGTTCGATGAGAATTCACTCTCCGCATTACGTATCGGATCTATCAGTCTCTTAGTTGAAGAATCTTGAACCCCACTAATGGTGCTTATGCTTGCAAAATATGCCGGGTCACTGTTATATTTGTACAAGAATGGTGGTATGAACTCTTTTCGTTGACTCATTGACATAGATGAAAGATGAATTTGCGATTTATCACTGCTTCTTTCCTTCCTTTTGAATGATTCAGATACCTTAAACTTAGCATCCGAGTTCTTTTCGACGAGGCTGAGAGCTTGGTGTCCATAGTCACCATCATTATCATACCATTCGCGATCTTCTTCTAAGATCTGACCGTCGCTTTCGTTATCACTCAAGGACAATACCTCGCTGTCATCGTCTCTCTTAATATTCTCGACATGCGTTAGGTCATTAGAGTAGGAAACTAAGTTAGGAATTTCCATGTCTGTAGATTTGGACAGCTGGCCTCCCAAATCTTTATCCACAGGCTCGGAGTATTGTCGTAATTTTTGGGCTTCATCTTTGCTCAATTTTTTGAATTGGAACCTACTAGGGCGCTGCGGTTGTTTCTCCGGAGCAAGTGTATTGTTCAATCCCTGCTCATCTGTATCCTCGTCCTCAAAATACTCGTCGTCAAAGTTCAGTCCATTGGTTTTCAATTTTCTAAAACGAGGTGGGGCGGGCATGGCGACATCCGCCTGTGAACCCTCTCCAGCAACCCGCAACTGAGAGGTTTTTGGCCCACCATTAACATTTTGACAAAATTCTGCGTGTAACTTAGCAAGAAAGTCCTCTTGCCCTTTGAATCTTCCCAAGGCCATGCATGCTTTAATGAACATGTTGACGTCGTGAGCATGAGCTTTCGCCAAATTCTGTAGTGTCTTCACAAAGTTATCAGTGACATTGGATGTCGTGTGCTGTTGGATGCGATGTAGGAGCCCAACGGCCATCTTCGACTATTAAAGGAACGTGAAGCGGCTAAGAAACCTGGCCTGTCGATGCTTTATGCAATGGGCCATCATGAAGATTTCCAAATCATACACGTGACCCAAACTAAGACGGACTTCAAATTTAGCCGTTTAAACGCTCCCAACATCTTTAAGACTTAAACCTGTTGTAACGATATAAGTGTTGAGAATAATGTGAGGAAACTGGTGGTGATGTGCGCCTAACCGCAGACTCAGCGACAGTAAATATGTGACACAGTAGTACAGAATGATAGTACACAACAGAGGCCATACAAATCGACTTACAAGCTAGGACAAGCCGAAGAGAACAACTATTGTCCAACGGGATTGACGATTGATAAGTCATTGACAGCGTACGGCATTAAAGCCGTAATCCTTGGGTAATAGAATGATCTAGAATTGGTGATTAATAAATATGTTGACCAGAGTCACCGAGTGAGAATTGTATAAATACCAGGCTTTTGTTCAGGTAACTGAACCAACTCTAATGCCTAAAATAATCACGGAGAGATAAATAGAATTCCCTAGACCCAAGTTACTCATCTTACAATGACTATGTCCGACTTACAAGACAAATTTAGTAAGCTTTCTACTGATGAATCAGATTCGCCTCAATAATAAGAATATGTACTTAGTCATGATATAGTTCTCTAACTACTAATATGACTGGCCCGCCCCAGTAAATTTCAAGATAACTTTTGGGGCATTGAATTTTTTTGAACTAATGAAAATGTCGAGCTGGCTAGATACTCTTTTCGCGGGATCAAAGCGATATGATCTTTACAAGCCCTAAGATGGCTTGAATTTGTTCGATAAGTGATTAGACTAGGAACCACTTTATGTAGAGTCTCTCTTACACTTCCCTACCTCCACACTAGTGATCTTCACTTCAATAAACGAATAATCGCTTTTTCCGACATCAAATCTGAAAACACCATTATAGCTTTTGGAGCAAAAAGTTACTGAAAGCTTTGATATGCTTGAGCTACAACAAGCTAGGTATCTATTGAGCATTATCCGAATACATCGAATAGCATAAGGAAACATCAACGTGATGTCATAATGCTACAAAGTGATGTTAGGAACGTCAGTAAAAAGGAATGTGGGAAATTAGTCGCCAACCGAAGGAGTTCCGGGAAACAGTAATGAAACATTGGCCGTCTTTTCTGGCAGTAACAAACTATGTGTCGCCGGAAGCAAACAACGATAATTGTTACAGTGACACAGTGCTAATGTATAGTATTATTTATCTAATGCAGAGTGCCCACAATTTATGACTTGATTAAGGTATTTGAAATCGGAAATCAACCATCTGAAATACACACAGTCATTGCTATTTTGTTCTGCTCACCGGCCGCACACAGGCTCACTGCTTTTCTTTGTCCTGAAAAACCGCAAGCTCTTAGACTTCTCTTGGCCACCGTCGTCTAAGCAGCTGCAAGCAATGCTAACTAAGTATGGCTTGTTGTGATTGAAGATTTGCTGCGATCGACACCATCTATTAAATATTCAAACCTTCTAAGTCATACTGCCCTCATTTAGTTCGGAGAAAGTTGCATGTTTTGAAAAGTTATGTCGCACGCTTGTGGCGCAAAAGGAGTTACGGCCAGGAATTCAGATTATAAAGAGAGCCATCACAATCAGCAGGCTGGTGAACAGAAGTCACGTCGCTGAAAATAAGAATCTCAGGCTTTATAGGGTTTTTTTTGGATTGGTTCTCAACATTCGCCTGATATCAACTAGCAAATATCGTTCGAAGATTAATGGGAATGCCATCAGTAGGCTCTTCCTAGGTACAGTGACACACGCCTTAAAGCGCTGACTGCAATGGTGGAGCATTTTGTAATTTTGACCCACTTGCCCTTTGAAACCTTGATGTCCATGCAATGATTTTATATTGAAGGATGATATGAGTCTCAATGGTTCATGGGCCCTTCAATAAATATTGATGGGTGATTGCAGAGATGTTAAATCATTTTTAAGTCAGACCGGTGTTGAATATTACACATTCATAAAGCAACCAGTTTTAAAGAGAAGAATATGTTAAATGTCCGAAACGTAGTGCCAAACTACATCAGATTGGTTGGTGCCTGCTTCACCGAAGAAGAGCCTTTGCTAACTTCACAATATGACCACAAAGAAACAGGTCATATAGAGTTAGCGTTTTATGAAGAATCGATCCCAATAAAGTACAAGAATGGCATAATGCTTCACGTGAATCGAACACCTTATTTGCGCTGTGATATCAAAATATCGATAGAACTACGCCTGCCTGTAAACCAGAAAGTTGAAAAGCAGTAATGAGTGGCAAATTTAGATTTTCACTGTTCAAGAAGTAAAATGTTCAGTAGTAATGTTATCCATGACGATTTCCTTCGGGGTCTACATAATACGAATTTCTAGACGTGGTTTGCCTCAAAGTACACCAGGAGCGTTGGCAAATTACCGACATATCTTACCGAAGGCTAAAGGGATGCAACATGTCTGCTATTGAAACCATCTCAACTGTAAACCAGATAGCTTGAAGATGCGAATCACTTTTCTCTTAGCTGTCCTGTATTTTTGTCGTATTTGGTGTTATGAAATATTAAGAAAAAACGTCTAAATCACCAACTTTTCACCCATCGGCGCAGACTCAGACAACGGTGACACTCTCTTACAATTCCCCACACCATGTTTCATTTCAGACAGCTGCACACCAGTTCCAAGCTTGCTTCTGAAGGAACCAAAGCTGTGAGATCGGGCCAGAAGATACAGCATCTTAAGGCCCCGGCCAATCTATACAACTCCAAGTCATCAGCTTCTAACTACAGAGGTCTTCTAAGAGCCAAGGTTGAGCCTGGGTTTTATCATCATCCAGCTCAGTCATCAGCCACTGGCTCAATCAACAGCGAAACTCTTCCCAGGGCCTTCTTGCCACGAGACGATCCAAGAAGGCAATTTGTTCAGAAAATAAGACCATCTGAACATCATCAAGCAAGCTGGGCACCTGCACTCCATCAAAAGAAAGACAAGTCATATCATTTGAAACCGGAACAGGTGGCTGAAATTCAAAGATTAAGAACGGAAAACCCAGACAAATATACCAGAAAAGTGTTGGCACAAAAGTTCGATGTCTCGCCCCTGTTCATATCCCTGGTATCTAGTGCTTCCAAAACCAGAGTTGAGGACATGTCCCAAAGACTAGAAACAATAAAAAAGGACTGGCACCCCAAAAGGGCGATTGCAAGGCAAGATCGTGAGAAGCGTAAGGAACTCTGGTACAGGCCATGAATAATAGCGTGGCCGAAGAGCATGAATTGGCAAACAAATATCGATAGTCGTGTAAATAAATGTGTATTAATCAATTTATTGGAAAGAAAAACCTCGTCTGAAATATGTAGTCCGCGTTTGTCATATATGATACATTTACTATTACATGTTCGGTATACAGTACTATTACAACTTCGAGCCAGTTACTAAGCTCTTACCATTACCCCACCAACTCACCAAAATCAGTAGAATCGCTACTGCATCATTTCGTCTATCATCTCATATTCCTCCCGTATTCGGAATAAAAGATCCCGAAATTTCTGATCTTCTCTGGGATCCGATATTCGCAGTTCCAACGTAACCATATTGCCATTTGAGCACTCCATCAGAATTTCGTAATATTCCCCGTTGTTATACACAGTTTCGACCAGGTGTTGCGTGCCTTTCATGATAATGGTCTGACAGAAAAACCGAGCCTCCGAGGATGTTACCACTCCTTCGTGATCTTTCCACTCGAAGACAAGGCGATACCACGGTAGGTCATCGTTTTTGCTCATGAGCTCACACACACACATTTGGCCTTCGAAGAGTCTGACTTGAGGCTCCCAACCACCGCTCAAGTTTCGGGGTACGACATTATATAACCCTAAAGAGCCGAAAAGCTGTTTCCGACAAACAATGATGCCCAGAGACATGGACACAAACAGGCTCCGATATTCACTGCTCAAAAGAGCTCTATCGTGCTCGTCCTTCTCACTTGTTATAAACGGCAGTTGGCAGTGGTCCGCAAGATGAGCATAGATAAAAGCCAAATCGTACACAGTGATAACAATACTCATTTCTTCTTTATATAGTTTGACAGAGAATTTAGGAACGCCACTAGTCAGAATCCAAGTATGGTCTCTTTTCAAGCAACTGTGAGCTTCTAAACTGTGTGTTTAATGATCATTTAGTTAACTAGCTAAATGTTCAAGCTACATCACTACGGACGACTATGATGCTTTCATCATTAGTGTTAGAGAAAGGCCACCGGGTAAGAGAATCAGCACTTTACTGGGTGTCAGGCGTTTATTTTACTGTCCACTATAAACAACTACTGTAAGTTCACTTACTCATAGAATGTTTTGCGTTGACTACCAAATTTACTATGACTACCGTGTTTTTTACTTGCAATCTCGCAGTGCAATAATGAAGAATTAATTTTAATGATTCTACCCTACCGACTTGAAAGTCTCTTTAACAGACATAAGTCTGCAACTCCAATACGGTTTATCCTGTACTTGCCACAATGCCCCCTGCTTATGATGATGAAGCTGATTATGAATACCATGATGAGGTCCCAGAATTCCAAGACGAGGCGGAATTTGACGATTATATGAATGATGAAGAATATAACCTCATGAGTGAGATGTTTCCGCGTGCCACAAAGGAACTGACAGATTACCAAGGCTGGGACAATTTGAAGGTAAAGCTGGCAATTTTTGACCATGAGTTTGACTATGAAGAAGCCATGATTGACTTGAAAAGAACTTTGAAGAAAAAGAAAACAGAAAGTATGTGTAAATTGTGAATGGAAATGGACCTCTGACCTCGGCTTCCAATTGTTATACACTCCTGCTCAAGGTAGAGATGGTGCAGTAAACTTATTTTTTTTTTTTTATCACCTGGGAGTGTGGGAAGATTGAGCAGCTTTGCATGAGATCAGCCACAAATAACAGTAGTTACACTCTTAAAAGTGGCTGTATTCAGCCTGCATAATCCATTGGGATTTCGACATGAAGAGTGAAAAGGAGTGTTGCAACTAAGTGAGTGCTGTTGGGATGCAGCTCTGTCCTATTCGAATGCTGAGCTTGTTTTTTATTAACGTTGAACCTTACCTGAAGAGCCCCAGCCAAAAATGTCTGCTTTAGAACGACTGGCAAGAGATAGAGCTAAGAATTTTAAAAAAACCCAAGAAACATCTACTGATGTTCCAACTCGACTCAACAAGCTATCATCTCTGCAACGGCAAACGAAAGACACCGCATCGCATGCGTCGTCACCTGCATCCCGACTTGCTCACCTAGCAGCATCGACTAGAAACAAACCGAGCCAAAAGTATAGCGGTCCCACGTTGTCCGCGGACACAGAGAAAAATTCTAATGCACTGGTCGAGCCGAGAAACACAGGTTCTTCTTCTAAAAGTAGGATGACCTTGGTATCGAGGCTCTCTGACCTACGAAAGACTCACCGTAAAGATCATAGTGCCGCTGAAAATGTGTCTGTGGAAGAGACAACCAAACCAGAGTTCAAAGCTGTACCGAGACTCACGCCTGCAATTTCACAAGATTTGGGGTTTGGCGAACTTACAAAAAACTACAATCTTCTCCACTTTTCTTCGCAACCATCAGAAGAAGTCGAACATCTTCATATCACAAAAATAGTAGTAGGAAGTGACGCAGGACCCGTAGTCCAAGATTCAAGGTTGAAGCGCAAGCACAGTGAGGTATTTTCCGTGTATTATCCCGATACTAACAAACAAACAGCAAAACGCCAAGCTCTGAATAACTTCCAGAAAAAAAGTCCCGATGATGTTGTTATGGAAGCTCAAAAACGTGCATTTGAAGCTACCAAAGGCATCGAGTCTCTTTCTCTCGACAAATCTAATCCCGCTAATGTGTCGAAGGGGAATGCAGTGCCCAAGAATTCTCTATCCGAGGATGAGGAAGATGACAGGCCTTTTGAAGCTGAACCCAAAATTCGTACTTACAAGAAGGCAACGGTCGCAACAAAACCTAAGAAGCCCGTTGACCTCCAAGCATTTATTGCTAGCAAGAAGCCACACCTCAGTTTTGTTGTCATAGGTCACGTAGATGCAGGTAAGTCTACCCTAATGGGCCGTCTACTTTATGACGTTGGCGCTGTTGATAATAAACTGATCAGGAAGCTGAAGAGAGAAAGCGAAATGATCGGTAAATCGTCGTTTCATTTAGCTTGGGTAATGGATCAAACTGCGGAGGAAAGAAACCGCGGAGTTACGGTTGATATTTGCACGAGCGACTTTGAGACTGAGCATGCTACATTCACAATCGTGGATGCCCCTGGTCACAGAGATTTTGTTCCCAATGCTATAGCTGGTGTGAGTCAGGTGGATGTTGCTGTCCTCTCCATCGATTGTAGTACGGATGCATTCGAGTCAGGCTTTAATCTGGATGGCCAAACTAAAGAGCACACTCTACTTGCCAGAAGTCTTGGTATTAGACACATTGTGGTAGCTATGAATAAGATGGACAGTGTAGATTGGTACGAAGGGAGGTTCACTGATATTAAGTTTGAGTTGCTGCAGTTTTTCGAGGACATTGGTATCAAAAGCGAACAAGTAAGCTGGGTGCCTTGTAGCGGCCTATCTGGTGAAGGTGTTTACAAGACCAAGTATCCTGCGGGACAAACTTGGTATAACGGCCCCTCGCTAGTCGAGTCTTTGGAGGAAATCTCAAAAGTCTTTAGAGTCAGTGACCATCATGACATTTTGGAGAAACCGTTTCTTTTTTCCATATTAGACGTTGTACCAGGTAGCAAAGGCAACGACGCAATCCTCTCTGGTAAGGTAGAGTCGGGTAGTATACAAGGCGGAGAAACAATAACAATTTTTCCTTCGGAGCAAAGTGTAGTGGTGGACCAGATTTTGACAGGCAATGCGCAAACACCGACCCCTGCCGCTATAAGAGGTGACTTTGTGAGTGTGAAGGTTCGCAATGCATTTGTTGACGATATTCAAAGTGGCGACATCGCTGCTGTTGTTGGTTATGACATCGGCAGTGCCCAGGAGTTTTCAGCCCAACTCTTAACGTTCAAGTTGGATAGGCCATTGCTACCAGGAACGCCATTCATGTTTTTCAGAGGAAGTTGCGAACAGCCCGCCAGAGTCAAGAAATTGATTTCACTAGTGGATAAGGCGGATCCCGCAAGAGTTGTCAAGAAAAAGGTAAAACATCTTGGTTCCAACCAAGCTGCAGTTATAGAGATCGAGCTCGTAGAGAAGAAGAGGAGGATTCCAATGCTGACCATTGAACAAAACAAACATTTAGGTAGAATCGTGCTGAGAAAAGAAGGAAGGACGATCGCTGCTGGTGTTGTGAAAACCCTTGAAATGTAACATACATATCAATTAATGAAATCTAAAACCAAAATCAACATCCCAAACAGAACTGACAGATAAACTATTAGCCGAGCGGATTTTCCGCCGCGTCGCTGTGCCTTCGTTAATTGACGATTTCCTTGTTGTATGTTCAACTCAACGTTATCGTGATTATCCATGAGGCCGAAAATACTTTGAGTTTGGGCTTGTAGGTGTGTTGTTATTTCGTTCTGTAGTGAGGCAATTTGTACCATAGTTTTGCCGAGGTTTTCTACTTTTTGCAATTCTTGTGTCTTTAAATTCAGTAGTTCATTGTGTTCGGTCTCAAGCATTTGAAGCTGTTCCTGAGAAAGTTTTCCTAGCGTTTCCTGGTATTGGTGTACTTCTTCTTCGGTTGTTTCAATAGCAGGGGCTTGATGCACGGAGCCAACAACAGTCGCCATGGGTACGTACAATTGCGCATTAAAGTCAATTGACTCCAACTCTCTTTGTCTTGTAAGTCGCTGTTGTTGCATTAAAGAAATTTCGGAAAATATCGACGACAATATCAGGCCCAAGGACTGTAAGACACCGCTCCTGTGCTGGATATTTGTAACGTGAAAGGACGAAAGATTCTCGTCTTTGTGGCGGAAAATCGATAGTAAGTCACCTTCTTGAGCATCGATCAGATACTTTGTCGCTACCACGGACTGGCGTTTCTGTTCGTACTGTTCCAAAAACTTGAGCTTGTCGAAATATTGTTGTACCAGTAACCGAACTTCTGTATCAAAATCGTCCTTTTCACGATCTGTGAGCTCGACTTCGCTGGTGTATGACACTTTTATCGACTCAATTACTTTTTGAAGTTCTAGGGCGTGTCTCTTAAGCTCCAGGCATTCTTTGATGAATGTGTCTTCTATTATGTACTTTTTGCCTGGGCTTCTGAATTCTTGGCTATCCGCCAACCTTTCTACCTCGGGGTCTTCTAAGAAGACATTCACGTACTTGTGGAATAGTGGGGTCAGGTTCGACATGGGCTTGGTGAATGTGGTAGGTGTCTCCTATAAGGCAGTAGAATGATAATCTCGTTAGTTATTGAATAATCATGAATGACTCCGACTCAGTATGTCATGTTGTACTAAAAAAAGGTCAATAAACCTTGCCCAACATCGCGCTAACTAACTCCAGGCTAATAGCGACGAGGGTCTAGCTCTACTTTGCGAATTGAAATGAGCTTTATGACGACCACCATTTTCGAGAGCAAACAGAGGACTTTTCAAAGAGGAGGTTTTTAAATTTGATGTGATCTATAAAAGCGCAAGTTGTTTGGCTATCAAAGTTCGAATTATTTCACAAATTGATGCTTGTACTACTAAATCTTCACGACTTTCAAGGATTTTGCCCTACTTTCTGTATGTCATAGGACCGCTTTTCGATGTTCATTGTGATATTTAATAGTTTAAGCTGTGTGTCACGTAAATGAATAAGATTAACGCGTAAAAAATAACATGGACTTAAGACCAGTCTCAACTTCTAACAAAGCACAACAAACACTGCTGGGAGTAACTATATGGCAATGACTGAACACGAGAGCAAGAAACAAAAAAGAAATCAAGAAGAGGATCAGGTTTCTGAAGGCAATGCAGAAGAACAGCAGTATTTGAAGCTGTGTCAAAATATCATTGAAAATGGTGATCTCAGACCGGACAGAACCGGCACAGGGACATACAGCCTTTTCGCACCACCGCAGCTGCGTTTCAATCTTCAAAACGATTGTTTCCCGCTTTTAACCACCAAGAAAGTGTTCACGAAAGGTATCATATTGGAACTGCTATGGTTCATCTCGGGCTGCACCGACGGAAAGAAACTGTCGGAGCAAGGGGTCAAAATCTGGGAAGGTAATGGGTCAAGAGAATATTTGGACCAGCTTGGTCTTACAGACAGACGCGAAGGAGACCTGGGACCTGTTTACGGGTTTCAATGGCGGCATTTTGGAGCAAAGTACAGAACCTGTGACGATGACTACAAGGGCCAAGGTTTCGACCAATTGCGTGATATAATCCACCGCATCAAGACCAATCCGACAGATCGCAGAATAATTATGAGTGCTTGGAACCCTCCAGACTTTGCAGCAATGGCGCTTCCCCCGTGCCATGTGTTCTCCCACTTTTACGTCACTTTACCCAAAATCGATGGAGAGAAACCCAAACTTTCATGTCTTCTATACCAACGATCCGCAGATATGGGCCTGGGGGTTCCCTTTAATATTGCATCATATGCTTTGTTGACCAAGTTAATCGCGCACGTTTGTGATATGGAACCAGGTGAGTTTATTCATACCCTAGGTGACGCTCACGTCTACAAAGACCACGTCGAAGCTCTCCAGGAGCAAATTCAACGGACGCCAAGACAGTTTCCGAAGTTGAAGATCAAGAGGCATGTTAGGAATATCGATGATTTCAAATACGAAGATTTCGAAATCACGGATTATCATCCTCATAAAAGGGTTCATATGAAAATGAGTGTATAATGGGATAGCTCGTAGTTTCCAATGTATATAAAAGTGTGGTATATTGTACACTACAACCTAAATGCAGTTTTCCGGCTACGTTTACCAGCTTCTTCTCTTTCCCTTGCTCTGGCTCTATGCGTTCTGGGAGCGGAACTCGTCTTTAGATCGTCTAAGAGATCGAATACAGAAAGGTCTTCTTCATTGACCCTGAAGCTTGTGCTACGATTCCCAGAACTATCTTCTAAGCTGCAGGAGTTCTCGCTTCCCAAGTCGCCAACTATTGCCTTCCTAAACAGTTTTTTGGTTTTCATGGATGATTTTGCTGGCGCATTATTCGTAATATCTTTTAATGGATTTAATTTGGGTATTGTAGGGGGATTCATATCAATTTTAGCAGGGTTTGCTAATTTCTGCGGTTCAGGATCATTCTTTTTCTCCGTGTTCTTGTTCTCTGATTCAGTGGTCTCGTGGGAGGCTGGTATGGCGCTATCTCTCTTGGTGCTATCTTCGATAAAAGGTGTGCCATCTCTTGACCCAGAACGGGACTTACGACGATTACCTTCGACTTGCATATCACGAAAATTTGTTACAGTCGTTGCGTCTACTAGTTTTTCCGTAGGTCTTCTCATTTTGGCTCTTAAGGAAGGCTGTGCGTAGTTGATGGCCTTCCCACGGGTTCTCCTTGTCCTTGAGGTATCGGAAAGCTCGCTGGTCGACCCACATGTTGAGGTGGGCATAACTTCGTCAATCATCTTCTTTTGAGAGCCACGGGATCTCATAGAATGTTTCACTTTTTCTTGCGAAGACATTGAACTTTTGAATGAAGATTTATGGGAATCAGGATTGGCCACATGTGCCCTTTCTATGCTGTTTTGTAGGGAATCTGGTAATATGTGCGTGGTTTCGGTTTGAGTATCTTGAACGCTATCATGGTAGACAGGTAATTTAGAGGAGGTGTCGGACACAATAGAATTTTCGACAGCTCTTTCAGGAATTTCTTCAGGTATGGAATATTCTATTAGCGAGTTTGTAAAGTTGCAGACATCTTCAATAGGCTCTGGCGGTGTAGCACTCATGAAAGTGTCGGCTTCTGTCGGCACATCAACCTCATTTTGATTAGACGAACCATGGTACCCGAGAGGTGGTGCTGTAGTACCAATATATGCAGTAGGCTCAGGCGCTTTTGCTGAACTCTCCTCGTGATCAGAGTTATCTGAGAACTCGAAATCTGAAGGGTGAAAGAGAGATTCTCTCCGGGAACTTTTGCGGCGCTTTTTGGGAGCTGGGCTTAGTCTAGGTTCCGACGCCGATTTTGTGGGAGAGTTGTGTTCCGGTGAAAACACCTCATTCTGGAGCTCATTGAATGCAATAGTGGCGACCGAGGACCGGTGACCTATGTGAGAGGTTTCAGCTGACCTAGGGTGTGATGACCTATTTCGCTTCAGTATTGATCGCGGCTCGTTGAAAGGCGCAGATCGGTGTAGTAGCGATTCTGCCGGAGCCTCAATACCTTCACGCTGACGTACAGATGCAAACATGTGTAGAATTTCATCCATTCGCTGAAAAACTCCTCTTTCTAAGGTCGATATCGTTTCCTCGAGCCGTTGCTTAAGTTGACTGTCTTTCATAGATAACTTTGAACGCAATCCGACATTCTCCTGTATCAGCTCACTCACAGATGTATCCATTTCACGGATTTTGACCATGAGTCCACTGTTGGAACGCGCTAACTGCAGGTTTTGTTGAGACAGCCCTACACGAATATTTTCGAAGTCTTCCTTCTGCATGTCTATCAAATCCTGGAATTGCTGTATGGCAGGCACCTCAGCACAATCTAAGGTGCTTTGATTGCTGCAATAGTCAAGTGTGTCACTAGCATCGTCTTTCTTGTTGGCTCTGCTGTTGTCAGCTTTCCCGCCCACAGTTGAAGTTGCGCGCGGAGTGCGTTTTCGCACCGTTTTAGCCATTCTAAGGTAAAGTTCGCTTGCTCAACCACTTATGAATATGTTAGAGCGTGGTATAAGGTCGGTGGAGCTCTGAACAATCTTACACCAAGGTTAAAAGAACTTCTAAGGTTTTTGATATATTCATTGTTTACTTATTTGTGGTAATCAGCGAAAACATAAACATCAATGGACTATCATCTATCACGAGAATCGACAGAGTGGACAACAAGTCAGTTCCAATAACTTAAATCAAAGCTTGAATGAACATACCAACAAGGATTTTCTGGTGTATTATTTGGCTGTGTGAGTAAGGTTTCGGGTGGTGATTTTGATTATAACAGAAAGCGGGTCTTTTTTTCAATCTCTACTTCACCTTTTACTAGCTTCAAATGACATTAGAAAAGGATATCATTGCCAAACAAAAAGAGCTTGATGCTTTGAAGAAAATTAACTCTCTCACAGAAGCAATGCGCTCTCAGCTGGATGGACTAGCTAAGGAGGTTGTGGGAATGCACGAAAACGCAGAAAGCGTCGCCCAAGTAATGCGGAATTGGGACTCGATTATAAGATCTATCTCACAAGCAAGTTTAAGTCTACTTCAATACTCAGAAGGCGACTATGAAGTTGGTGTATGGGGACAAAATTCAAATGATTCTAATGAGTCTCACTCGGCCGAAGATGAGGCGAAACAACCCCCCTTACCCGAAACGCTTGTAAGAGTGAAAGTAGACGACGATCAAGAGGACAAGGGATGATGGATTGAACCCAATATCAAAATTTTGGTGCTGCGGGGTGCTACAGTTTGAGCTGTAAAATGCATTATGGAGCCGAAAAGCACTGGAATTAGAGAGCGCAATTCAAGGCATATGTGAACTGCTGCGGAAGAAAAGACCTCTCGACCACTTATCGAAGAGTCATTACATGAAAGCTACACTGTATGACTCTCTTTCAATCAATTTGCTTGCATTAATAGGCTTTCCTGCCTGCGAGAAAAGCACTACTCTTTCGAGATACGTGATGTTTCCTCAATTTAAACTTATATTGATCGTTTTGAGAGGCTCAGACTTCTTCTTGTTACCTTTTGAACCACAACTGTTTAGATTTCACTATCCTTTCATTATCCGGTCTGAGAGAAACCTTGCATGCACAGTTTGAGGATACAACAAAAAATTTGAAAGCTGTGTGGTGACATTTTGTGACTGCAGTCCTCAAATGATATCCATCCAAATTACTTGCCTCCCATTTTTTTGGTTTGCTTTTAAAGTTACGACCCCATAATTGCAGTTCTCTTCCTGGTGCTACATATTATTCTTACGTGACCTCGGGGCCCAAGTGGGCAATGGCCTGAATATTCCTGGTTTGCTTGCCCAAAACTTAGGAGCTTGCGCACACCTACGATGTACACATATGAAGTCTCGACACTTCTTCCATCAATATTTAGTGGGAATGTTATTGACGAGCTCTTTCTGCAACTGTACAGGGTTGGGAGGACATTCACAAGGCCCTTCTTTGAAGAGGCCTTGTTCACGCCAGGATCAAGTTTGAGCAGGAATCGGTATATTAGGTACCATCACATGCCCGACGACTAAAGTTATCCTCGTAAATAGAAGATAAGTGCTCTTGACGGCCGAATAAACCTCTCTCAATCCTAGTCGTCTACAGAAAATATCATTCTATTTTCAGAGGCTGGCATCATCATCTACTTGAGGACATAACTTTGACACTCTAGCCCCCCCCCCCCCGCTACCAATTCACTCCATTCAAAATTAGATATGATGAATATCAGGTGGATATCAAAGTATAGCTTGTCAGATACCGACACCAAGAGTTGTCTTCGATTTGTGCATTATTAATATCAGTATAACATCATATATATAAACTTTCGGATGGCGGGGCACCATATAGGTAACTCCAGGTGGTACTTCCATTCAGCTTTTCTTTCTTGCTCTCGTTGTGCCCGCCTCGCAGAGCGCTTTCAACGCCACGAAGATCCAAAACGAATAGCACTTTACTTGATAGCTGCTCATTCATGGGGCAGAGCGTAATTCTCCATGACGCCCTTAATATGTATAATAGCTTTCGCACCTTTTAAAGAAGGCGCTTGAAAATTGTCAAGCAACACCGAGAAAATGAATGACGAGATGAGGGATTTATTGCTAGAGTTGTTGGCCCTCAAGAATGAGTGCAATCGAAATTTGGAAAACAGATATGTAACCTTTGTGAAGCGTTCATCCGATCTTGCTTTCGGTTGCGCGAGCCTTTACTACCCATGGATATCTTTTTTTTTTTGAGTAGTCAGTCATTATTGCGGCATCCGCAGCATATAGACTGGGATTCATCAGTTATCTACCATGTGTGTTTGGGGCAACAATGACAACTTGACGGCCATTGGAGACCAAGCAATTAAAGCCAAAAAATCGTTAGCAATGTCTTCAAGCTATGCTCCTACCTCCTCGACGAGGCCCGTTTCGTAATCTATCACACATGTATGCACGCTATTATCATTACTAGCAGCAATTACGGATTGAAAGCGGCTATCGAAGCCTGAACCCAAACTGTCAATCTTAGAACATTCCTCCCGCGCATGGTTTAAGAGTGCTTGTAAATCGATCCCCAGTAAGCCATACTCAGCTTCAAAGTATTGTGGAGTCAAAATGGTCTCATCGACGAGAAAAGAGATGCTGGGTAATATTGATCCTTTCTCAAACAACTTTTCATCAAAGCACTTTTTCAGAGTATGATACAGCTCGGTGTCAATAATGTTTATCTGGGACCTCCAGTCGTCGCGCAAAACGCACCTTCTCCATATCATCGAAGCCAGGAACTTGGAATTCTCGAATTCCAGGCTATTTCTGTTGAAGATTAGTAATTTCATTGCCTTATAAAATCCGTCTTTCTCATTAAGGAGTGTAAACATCTCTATTATCTCTGATATGCTCAATCTTTTTCCCGAGGTCACCTTAGCTTTTAAGAGATCGAATAAGTCCTGCACAATTTTTGGAGTTTCTCCACTTTTAATAAGCGAAGCTCCTTGCTCCAACAATGAAGCTAATTCTCTTTGTCCATCTATAACATCCAGTTTGGTTTGAATGTTCTGCAGTTTGTCCACATTTGGCGCTTGATCATTCACGAGGGCGCATAATTTTGCTATGCTCAACCTCGTCTGATCGGTAGCCAAATCGTAGTCTTGATTAGTCTCATTCATTGTTATTTCAGTCAAGACCTCCGAGGCTTTCTCATATTGTTGGTCAAAAATTTCATACATCCAGCCTACCTTCCCATACTGCGGGTTTTCATCAAAGAACTGGCCCAGATTACGGTGCTGTGAAGGGAACCCCCCATATAAAGCCCTCAAATTGCCAGAAGATATAAAGTTAGCGAATACTTCCACAGAAAATGCGTATCCAAACTTTTCAAAATATGGCTCATACAAAGCAGCAGACGAGTCATGAGGCATAGCGGCAAGCGTTGCTGCTAGAGACGGCAAGTCTGCGTAGTACTCAGTAATTTCTAGGGATTCCACTTTCTTATCGAAAGAGCATAGTGTTCTATTCCAGGAGAGTTTGTTTTCTTCGTATAACTCCAAAGCTTCACTGCAATATTTGGTGGCGTTGTTTCCAGGTAAGTGTTGGGACCACAATGATGCTTGATTGCAGATGTAATAAAGAATCTTCACTAAGGAGAGAACTTGGTCAGCATGTTGTGACATAGTTCCAGTCGAACTGGCATAATCACTCAAACCTTGAAGAAATTGGTTCACAATTATTGCTAAACTGTTCTGCACGTACCATGGTGCCGATTCGCCAAGCTCAAACTTGCTCATTTCGAACATGTTAAACCTGTAAAATTCCTCGCCGTCTTGTAAAGCATTTTTCAAAACACATGATATAATGAGTTCAGCACACAGTGGCCATATATTAGTGTCTGAAGAAATCCTTGACAGGGATAAGGCTTCATGCAGAAAATGCGACAGGGCCTTGGGAAATATATTGAGACTTTGTTGGAAAAAAACCTCGTCACTTAATTTAAGAGAGGTAATGACACTTTGCCAAATTCCGTGGAGCTGTTCAGACCCCCGAATAAATGATAACAGCTCTTTTGAGCAGTTCAAAATTTCAAATGCTTCGATGAGCTGGATTTTCACAGCAGGTGAAATCTTGTTGAAGAAATTTGACTTTGTAAACTCTAGAAGCTTTCTGTATAACTCTATCCTCAAAACCAAGTGCCTCTCGGTAGATTGCAGCGCTGGTGGGATGTAGATGGATCTCGACAATAAAATATCCTCGCTTGAAGAGATTAAATCTTCCTCAATTTCTTCTCTTCCCAAAGATATACAGGACGGAAGATTGAAATTGATTGGTGTTTGCGTTAAGCCAGAGAAGTAGACTGCCTGATCGATGTGAGACTTAATAAATCTGATATCCCGTAGCTCATTTGGTTTTTGGGAGGCGGTAATCATTATGACGCCCATCGTTTTGCTCATTAGGTAAATTGACCCGGAATCCATCCCACAACCTACAATATTGGCGTCCGGACGGAAGCTTATAATATCCTCCCACTTCCGTCTCAATAGGTATGACTGGTCAAGCTTGGCACTGACTTGAGTAAGAACGACGGCGTTTTGAAAAACTGTGTATACAGAAGTGAGAGAATCTGAAATTGAGCTTGATTTGTTTTCAATGGGAATCAGAAGCCTGGGAGGTTTCGATTTATCGAATGAAGTGGAATAGGTATTCAACCTATAGGTTGAGAAAATCACGAAACCATTGGCCCCTTCATCGAGCTTTATGGTTGTCAAGATATAATATACGGAGCCATCAAAATCTTTAATAGAGGACAATATCATATGAGCCGCGTTATCTTCACTTAAAGGATGAGAGTCTAGAAGGACCAATGAATTGTGAGCGCAGGGATATAGATCTTTCAGTGCTTCCAAGATTTGATCGTATACGTTGAAGTCGGCTCTTTTGTGTGTATTAGCAACAGCTGATAAGTTCCATAAGTGGAAGTCACCATTGTTTGTCAACAATGAAACCAACCTCTCTCCTTTACCTAATACAGGCCCTGGTTTAATAGAGACAACACTTTTATGTTTGTTTAACATGGAAAAGAAGCCAAAATGAGACTTGAGCAATTGAGCTTTCACCCTGAGGCAGGGCTTACCCATGAAATCACGAATTGTGACAAACAAAAGCCTGCCGCTAGTAGTAGATACAAGAATGCCAGCAGGCTCTGTATTTACGACGTCAGTCACATATTCGGAATCTTTCAGCCCCAGTGAGAGTTCGTGGCATTTGGTTTTAGAGATCCGGGAAGAGAGTTTGTTAATAGTTTCAATATCTTCATAAAACTGCACCAAACCCGACTTCCGATTTATGATACAGATACCACAGCTATTTGCTGTAGAATGATTCGAGGTACCCGTTGAAAGAGTCGTCTTGCTGGTGGGTGTGCTTGCATTGACCTTATCATTGCCTAAGTCGTCGTCCAGTGCCGGGGGCCACGTTATGATCGCCTTTGGGACGCAGCTCAAAGATACATGTCCCTCATGAAGCGGAATGCTATTCACAATTGGATTAAGCTGTGCTGAGGCATAATCCCAGACATACAAAGTGTCTGCGTTGTTTGCAACGGCCCTTTGAGAAAGGCCATCTATATACCCGTCCACGTCACTTTCACCTTGCAATTGGCGAGGGATGCTAGCAGGTAGTTTGGCAACCGTGTATTTGGCATTTTCGGTGAGCACGATTTTATTAGAAAAATCAGTGGATAAGCTTGTATCTGCGTGGCTAAAACTCTCAAAGTGTTCCGCGAAAGATTGTGTTATGTTGGCATCGGTCGTTGTATCGCTTGAGTCGTTCAGCTCTTTCCTCAACTGGAAAAGAGGCTTTTCGGACATTCAAATTTAATGCTAATATCTGAAGACTTGTTGAAAGGACCAAAGGTGAGTGCTCGATTTACAATTAAATACCTTTACGGCCTTCAGCTTGGTCCCAGTAACTTTCGTTAATGTTTATAATTTTGACTTTCGTTAGCTGTGATATCACGAGACTGAAAAATTTTTGACGAAAGCTCATCGCATGAAATTGAACTTGAACTGAACCGATGAGATGAGCTTGACACCCTGGAAGAAACTTATTTGAGCATCGATCGAGGAAAATTAAACATGATCAGGACAGTGTATGTACCTTAACTCTGGCTTTTTCAGCCTATCAAGCTAGTGATATTGTATATCAAGATCAAATCTGGTTGATTATAGCTCTTCACTTACTAACATCTTTACAGAAAACCAAAGAATGCAAGAGCTAAAAGAGCGCTAGACAAAAAAGAACCCAAGCTTACAGAAAATACCAAACAGGCTCTTTTTGTTACCGGTAAAAGCTCCTCTCAGGTTTTACACGATGCCATGGTGGACTTGAGCGCCTTGAAAAAGCCTGATATGAAGCGCTTCAACAAGAAAAATGAAATCCGCCCATTCGAGGACGCTGAACCACTAGAGTTTTTCAGCGAGAAAAATGATACATCTCTTTTGGTTTTGAGTACCAGTTCAAAGAAGCGGAAAAACAACCTTACTTTCGTTCGCACATTCGGTCACAAAATATATGACATGATTGAACTGCAGATCGCTGAAAACTACAAATTCCTTTCAGACTTTAAAAAACAAACATTTGCCCTAGGACTAAAGCCAATGTTTTCTTTTCAGGGTGCGGCATTTGATACTCACCCAGTGTACAAACATGTTAAGTCTCTGTTTTTGGATTTTTTTAGAGGAACTGTGAGTGACCTGCAAGACGTCGCTGGGCTTCAGCACGTCATTTCTGTTACTGTTCAAGGAGACTTCGAGGATGGTGAGCCCCTGCCTAATGTTCTCTTCAGAGTGTACAAGTTGAAGACTTACAGAAGTGAACAAGGTGGGCCCAAGCTTCCTCGTGTTGAACTAGAAGAAGTTGGTCCTCGCTTCGATTTCAAGATCGGTAGAATTCGCACGCCTTCTCCCGAAATGGAAAAGGAAGCTCTCAAGAGGGCCAAGCAGCTGGAACCTAAGACTGTCAAAAATATCACAGCAGATGGCATGGGAGACAAGTTTGGTACAATTCACATGGGTAAGCAAGATTTGGGCAAACTACAGACGCGGAAAATGAAAGGTTTGAAGGCAAAGTTCGACCAGAACAACGTTGACTCTGAGACTGAAGAGTACCTTGAGGACGCAGAGGAGGGCATCCAAAATGGTGCAGAGGAAAGCTACGGCGAAGATTTCGTCACTGCTACGGATATCGATGTGGGCCCTCCAGCTAAGAGGATGAAGAAATAGATAACGCAATAAGCGAATCTAAAGTGTTTCGTCCTTCTGTCGTTAACATTTGTACACTAGTAGTCTCTAAATGCATATTTAATGTTCATTTCCTTAATTTTATGAGTCGTTCAAATATATATCTTCCTTTATCTATTAATCCATTGCCCCGCTGCAGGATTCCCTCAAAGCTGGTTCAGCTTTTGTCTATTCTCCACAAGTCTCAACATATTTCTGAGCAACATAGAGATTGTAACTTTTCCAGTGCTGGGCACGTACAAAGAGGCTTTAGTTTTGACCGTTTCGTCAAAATTTTTGTGGGAAGAAAAGTTTATGCAAACAGCACCCTCCTTGATGAACTCGGTAGGAAACTTGTAGTTCTCTGAAGGTACACCTGTAATGATGACATCAGCATCAGCACAGTACTTCCTCAAAGCTTCAGGAGAGAAAGCACCTAAATCTTCAACATGATGTTTTTGAAACTTGAGACCCTCACCACGAGTGAATTTCTGGATATTGTCAATGTCCGCGGAATATACCACCGCCCCGTCATTGGCTAGAAGGGCGGCCAGTGGCCGCCCAACGATTTCGGATCTGTTGACCACGACACATTTCTTCCCGTATAATCGGTTTCCGACGGGCAAAAGGTTGTTATACGTTTTCAAGTACTCCATTATTTTGACGACAGCCAGTGGGGTGCAAGGAAGGATCGACTTGAGCTGTTGATCGTCATCCAAAAAGCGGATGTTGTGGTACATATTCTGATAGTAGACGTGGTTGAGACCCTCGACGTCCTTATCACGGGAGACCACTTGCTGGAGGTACTGATCTTGTGCGTTTCCGAAGACGGGAAAGTATATCATGATCCCATCGACAGATTTGTCTCTATTGGCCTCAATGATGGCCTCTTCCAAGAAGTCCTTCTCCTCGATGCGTCTTAGTTCATAACGGAATCCCATTGATTCACACGTTTTAGAGGTCCAGCTAGCGTACATTTCCGCGGCAGGATCATCGTTAGCCAAGAACCCTACTAGAAGGGGACCATCTGGTCTAATTCCTTTTAACGATTCCACTTTGGAAGTGATTTCCTCCACGTAGGTTTTCGAAATGGATGAAGCTAGAATGGTACGGCCAGGTTTAGCGGACATTTTTCTGATTTAGTGTGTAATGTGTGTCTACGATCTCAACTGAATATTTCTGCCAGTTGAGATTTGTTTTTGGGCCTTAGTCAGAAAGCCTTTTCTTATATAGAAGATGTCTATATAGTATTCCAATATAAAATTAATTGGTAAATTACATTGGCTATTACAGGGTTAATTAATTAGTATGTCAAAAATTTGAAGAGCGAGTCAAGAGATATCAACATCAGCTCTTGCACGTCGAGGTGTAACAAACAGCGAGGACGTGGGTGTGAAGTAATTCAAAGATCTTCGTGAGTGACAAGTTCCTCTTGATTTTCTGTTAGTTTTGAAGAAATTCTTGAACTTCTCGACACGACCCGTTTTCGATATATATATATATATATGACAGGCGTTGTGCTGACATGTTGTATCAATGCTGTATCTTCGTAGCCGCTTCGCCCTTTTGTTTGTATTTGTAGGTTAAGTTATGCTTTCATAGCATTTATTCTATCGCACACAGGGCTTGAATGGTGAGACCGTAGGGGACCGACTGGCGGGTCGGAGGAAAGAGTGGTGTATAATTTTTAGTTTATGGAAGCTGTATCGAAATGAGGCTCTCGTCAAATACTCGGAGCCAGTCGTCAAGGTAAGATGGCTTTGAAAAGACTAAGCGGAAGACTTTAGAAAGTAACGCCAGAAGCACGATGGAGCCTTATTCTTGTCTTAGCGTCCCCTTGTCATTATCAGAGTGCGAAAATAGGTTTTGGTGCTGGGTAGACGACTACAGTTGATATCTTTTCCACTGAAACTGAAAAGTCACAACGTCATTTTGAAGACGAACAAATCCATGAGCAGAACCTTTAGAGCTGGACGACAGCCAATGGATAGTAATACCCATATTCAAATCACATCACGCGTAGCGATAGCCTTCCGAGTGTCTCACATGCCTTCACCATAGGACGGAGGTCGAAGTCACTGGTTTTGGAGAGTACTTTTGTATTTACCAAATCTCAATATAGCACCTGGTTTCATGGAGCTCTTCTTATTTCCTTACCCACGTCTGGCACTGACACGGAACAAATCTCAATCAAGCCAACGATGGGAGTGAGGCCCACTACGACGTCTACATCTCCCACACCGAGGGAGATGTATCAAAAATCCAATAGCTCCTCTCCGTCTTTGGTCGGATCAATCATGAGGAGTCTCAAATCGTCGCATTCGATAAGGCGTCTCAGCGCAGGGGAAGACGCAGAAAACGGTAACCATGACTCTCTACAGAAATCTAACTACCATCGGGCACGCTCTCTTAATTCTAATGGTAGCGCGCAAAGCCATGGCCGCGGGGTGAGCCATATCCACTTGAGCCCTCTTAGAAAAAGCTCCTCAGGCAATGGCAGCTTCCACAAGGATAAACATAGCTCACACAGCCAAAAACGAGACAAATACTTTGCAGACTTGGATGAAGACTGGAGTGCTGTTATTGAGGATTACAACATGCCCATTCCAATGATCAGTAATGGCGGAGTAGAGCTTAGACCCCCCGTCACCGTAGGATCTAGGCGATCAGAAACGGGCGAATCGCGCTCTCCCTCTGCGGGGTACCCAAATCTACCACAACTCAATAAGTCTCGAAGCTCGGATCTAAAGTCCCAATACGAACAGGAAAATGAACGTGAAGTGCAGGCACTAAATTCCCTGATGCATCGGGTTGCCAAATTCGACGCTATTCTGAATCCCACCCATGGCAATCAAGTCAATGTGAGCGAACTTCGCCGACTGAGTTGGAACGGCGTACCAATGGTTCACCGGCCTTCCGTTTGGAGACTGCTGATAGGATACGCCTCAGCAAATATCAAACGTCAAAGTTCGTTATTACAACGCAAACGTCAAGATTATCGCGACGGGGTTGAGCTCGTTTTTTCCAAAGATCACACTCGAGACTTGCCAACGTGGCATCAAATTGAAATAGACATTCCAAGGACAAACCCATTCATTCCATTATATCAGTTTCCGCTCGTTCAGGAGAGTCTGCAAAGAATCTTATATCTTTGGGCAATCAGACACCCTGCTAGCGGATACGTACAGGGAATCAATGATTTGGTGACCCCATTTTACCAGACTTTTCTCACCGAATACTTACCGCCGGCTCAGAAGGAAGACGTCGACAAAATATGCCCTGATACGTATCTGTCTCGCGAACAGCTCTTGGACGTAGAAGCTGACTCTTTTTGGTGCTTGACGAAATTGTTGGAGCAAATTACTGACAATTACATTCACGGACAACCCGGTATTCTTAAGCAAGTCAAGAACCTTGGGCAGCTGGTCAAAAGAATAGATTCGGATCTTTATGACCATTTCTCCCAAGAAAACGTGGAGTTTATACAGTTTGCGTTCCGTTGGATGAATTGTTTACTGATGCGTGAATTTAGTATGTCTATGGTGATTCGGATGTGGGACACGTACCTTTCGGAAACTTCACTGGATTCGACCTCCTCCGCAGCTGCAGAAGCTCCCAGCTCATCCTTGCCGCCAGATTCTTCTCTGCAGAATTCGCCTGGAGGCGCATTCAGAGAAACCGTTACATCTGCAAAATTTCAAGGCAAGCATAACGCAGCGGCCACTTCTCGACAAACTTCGCTCAGTGAGTTTCATGTCTTTGTATGTGCAGCGTTTCTCATCAAATTCAGCGAGCAACTCATTGGTATGGACTTTCAAGAGACAATCACGTTTCTACAAAACCCGCCAACAAAAACCTGGACTGAAAGTGAAATAGAGCTCTTATTGAGTGAGGCATACATATGGCAGTCTCTGTACAAGGATGCGACTTCTCATTGGCGGTAGTACTGTAAAGATGTCAGTCGTTACTCCGTGTCTGATGATTTAACAATTGTTCCCGTTTTCTCTACTGACCAAAGCGATGAGATGTTAACCAGCTCCGAGGTGGATACATCACAGTAATAACATAGGCGGTAACCTAGGCCTCTACGTTTCTGTAATCCATTCAAAGTGTGGTGGTGTCGTGAATTCAAGCTAGAGTCAAAACATTGGTGCAAGGTTTTTGTTAGAACGCACCTTTCCACGTCAAGGAAGAACTTGACCACTTCTCAAGCAAAGAAAGTTCAGAAGAGGAAGCATCAGGAGGCCACAAGAATTTCTACAATGTTCACTTTAACACATATTACCCATCCTACGGTCGATACGAAGGGCCCATTGCTCCTTCTGCAATCTGAGCATGGAGATCGGTTTCTCTTCGGGCAGATCCCCGAGGGTACCCAAAGGACGTTGCCAGAAAACAAGACAAGACTCTCCAAGCTAGGGCATATTTTCTTGACGGGCCTTATGAGCTGGGACTCTATTGGAGGTTTACCGGGCATGATCCTGACGCTGTCTGACCAAGGCATAAAAGCCATGAATATCGTTTACGGTCACGATGTTGTTAATTATGTGGTTAGCACCTGGAGATACTTTGTTTTTCGATTTGGGATGAAATTAAACACCAAGGTAGTCACGGATGGCCAGTCTTTTGATAATGAACTTATGCGGGTGCGTTCCATCGTGATCAATGAGGACTCCACAAATTCAGCTACCTTTCCCAAGGAACTCGTTGGTGCACTCAAAGGCATCGTCTCCAGGATGTTCCCTCCTCACGAACCTACTGCTCGCCACGATCCAGCTTCCGATCCTCACATGAACGTTGAACTCCCACTGAAGTATACCATTCCTAAGCAGTCTACCTCATACGAAATAAATCTAAAGTCTGTCAGAGGTAAGTTCAAGGTGGAGGAAGCCATAAGGCTAGGAGTTCCCAAGGGCCAGCTTTTCGCACAACTTACGAAGGGCAACAGTGTCACGCTTGATAATGGCACCATTGTGAGGCCCGAACAAGTGCTGGATAAGCAGAGAGACTTTGCCAAGATTCTGATTTTGGACATTCCATCAGACTCATTCGTTGCCGCTTTTCGCGATAAACTCAAGAACTATGATTCGTCGTCACTGGGGGCGGTATATTATTTTCTCGGTGACGGTGTAACATTCAATAAATCACTATCGGTGCTTATGGAGTCTTTAGACTCTCAATGTACCCAGCATTTCATCTCCCATTCAAACGTTTGTCCCAACTCAATTGTATTTCGGAGCTCAGCTGTCACCGCACTGAAGCTCAAGACGCTACAACCCAAAAACTATAATTTGCCTTTGTCTGACAGAGTGTTTTCGAAAGAATTTTATGAATGCTTCCAGAAACCACTACCAAATGGCACTTCTGTTATTCAGCATTCTGATGAAGTTTTGAGATCATCAATTAGTCCAAGTAGAGTGCATATTATGTTACAAAACGATGTGGTTGCTATTGAGCCCTTCACTCCCGGTGAAGAAAACTTAAAAGTACGCCACTTTCAAAAGTTCAAGAATATGCCATCATGGTCGTCTGTTTATGAAAGGCATATCAAATCATTGAATCTATCGGGGGTTTCCTATGAATCCGTAGCCCCTAAGGGTTTACCTGCTAACAACTTCAATAACGCGCAAAACAGTGGAAAAGTCGAAGTTGTTACCCTCGGTACAGGCAGTTCGTTACCCTCCAAGTATAGAAACGTCATTTCGACATTGGTCAAAGTGCCTTATAAACAAAATGGCAAAGTCATTGATCGCAACATACTTCTTGATGCGGGAGAGAACACCTTGGGATCAATAAAGAGAAATATACCGGATGTCCAGCTCCCGCGATTGTTTCAAAATTTGAGGCTGATTTACCTAAGTCACTTACATGCCGATCACCATTTAGGCATTGCTAGTCTTCTATCGGAGTGGTACAAACACAATAGTTCGGATCCTTCTGCTGTAATTTATGTTGTTGTTCCCTGGCAATTCAATATATTCCTAAAGGAATGGCTCGTAATGGAAGACAAAAACATAATTGATCGGGTCAGATACGTTAGCTGTGAACACTTGATCGAGGGAGGATTTGTCAGAAAAGAATTTAAACCAGTCTCTTTCGATACCCTTGTGTCTGAATATGAACCGAAATTCAAGAAGAGACGTCTCGAGTATGACGACAAGTCTTCATATAGAGACCGCGAGACAATCACTCAAATGTATCGAGATCTGAAAATCCTCACTTTTCAAACATGCCGTGCAAAACATTGTGACTGGGCCTACTCCAACTCTATTACATTTTTTACAAATTCAGATTCTTCATCTGTATTCAAGGTTTCTTATTCTGGTGACACTAGACCTAACGTCGACAAGTTTGCTAAGATTATAGGAAAAGATTCAGACCTTCTAATCCATGAGGCTACCCTGGACAATGAACTTGTAGAAGATGCCATCAAGAAAAGGCACTGTACTATCAACGAGGCAATTTCCGTTTCAAATAGCATGCGAGCAAGAAAGCTGATCCTCACCCACTTTTCCCAGAGGTATCCTAAATTACCGCAAGTGGATAACAACATTACTATTGAAGCCAAGGAGTACTGTTTTGCATTTGATGGAATGATTGTATCTTACGATGATATCGGGGAACAAGCTTCAAGACTACATGATCTGAATAAGGTCTTCATCGAAGAACAACAGGAAGAAGCTAATGAAGTTGGGGATCTTAGATAGACTAACTGTGCATCACACATAATAAATTACTGGATCTTATCGAACCTAGCATACAAGTCTATAGATTGTTTTGATAGAAAGTTTCCCATAGCTCAATGCATTCTTTTTGAGTCTCTATGCTGGACTCTAAGAAAATTTCAATGCTGTTTCGGAAGTCGACAATTTTCTCATGCTCGTGTTTGCGCAGCTCTCTTCGAATTCTGTCACCCACCTCTTGCAGCTGTTTCTTAATCTTGGAGTGCCTTTCCTGCAATACTTGTAGGTCCTTTGTCAAGGCATCAACTTTATCCGATGGACCCTTATGGCTATTCCTGTCAAGTTGAGCGCGCTTCTTCAGAAGGTCATTTTCAAGGACAACAGAAAAATAACCCAGCTTAGACCTCTGATTAAAAATGGCCCTAACGCTAGCAAGGGACCTCATATACTCATCGATTGTGACGCCAAGTGTGAGAGATTCTTGCATTGTACTTCTCTGAAGTGATTCTTTTATACGCATGTGCACCTCAGCAAAGTTATTCAAGGTTTCCGACCCTTTTTTAGAAACCTCTAGCTCCTCAAGAGACTTGATAGTGTTAGAAAACTCTTCCATAACAGATGCCAGGTCATTTGTCTGAGTGTCCACAATTTCTAGAGATTTGCAAAGTTGCTTAAGTTGTTCCTCTAGCGTTTCGACAGCATGTCTTTGTTCCACAAAATACGCATCGGATTCAACGTACTTTGGAAGACTTGCAAACGAAATGTTCATAAACCCTTTTTGAGACTCATCAAGTCCGCCATTTCTCATCACGCTCGAGGCATCTTCGCTTCCCAGAAGCTCAATAAGGCTAATATGAATTTCGGATATGTCATTACTGTCGCTTGAAGCGTTAGAGCCTGTCAAATTTTCTCTAACCTTGGAGTCTTGGCTAAAATTTTGACTTTGTAAAAACATGATGAAATCCTCGTCGTCCTGCAACTCCCGGTCTTGGGCAATTTTTACAAGCATTCGCTCCATTTGAAACCTCCGGCCTTCAACAAAATCATCTCTGAATCTACCCACAGCTTGCTTCTCTGGTGGAGGCGGGATGATTTTGCCCCAGTGGTTATTTTGCAATTGTCTATAAAGCCATCTAAAGTCACGATAACGACGCTGAACGCGCACTTCCGAAGGATTTAGGTTCTCAGATCTGGTCCAAATGGTGTATTCAACGTGAGCAAATGTGAGGTCTCCTATTTTCAGAGGATCTACCACTTCAATTGTATATTTATTGCTGGGTGGTTCGAACTTGTCCAGTACAGGTGCTGCTTCCGGCCGGGTTCCAATTACAGGTTCTTCTCCCATTACCCTTTTCACTGATGGCGTGGAGCTCAGACTTTTACGCGGGGATATCCTGAACAGTGGACCGTCCATCTGCTGCAGCAGGTCCACTTTATCTTTTCCAGGAGCACTCTCATAGTCCAAGGACTCCTCGACAAATTCATCGTCGTTCTTGTCGTTTGTAGCATTTGATGCCAGAGGATCTTCAAACATGTCAGCTTTCTGTGCTTCCGTCAAAGGACGGCGGCGTTGGCGCACAGAAGAAAACAATTTTTTGGGGCGAGCGTGAGACTTTCTTGACGGTGAAACTACTGAAGGCTGGCTGCTCAGCGAACTTTTCTCAGCATCATTTTCTACTACCTCCAAGGGAGATTTGATGGCACCCCCAAAAAGAGATTCGCCTATCTCCTCTGGTTGGGTAGCATCCGGGGCAGCGATTCCCGCCAGGGGATCTTCTTGGGGAGCTAGTGACATCATGAGATCCTTTTTCTCAGCGACTGGCGTCTTCCTTTCACCAGATTCGTTGCTCCATGGCTCCTGCTGGTATTCCGAATCTACTTCTTCGTCTGTCTTCACTTGATCTTCTTGATCGATCGCATGTAAACTAGCAAACGTTTTAGCCAATTCGTTGTGGCTATCCAAATTCGATGACTCATTACCGTCATCCCAAACAGGGGCCCCCAGGTCATCGTCATAACTCATTGTCAATGTGATGTATGTAACGCAATTGTTGTGTTTCTTCAGTTGATGTTATGAAGCTCACCTACCAGTGTATTATTATTATATGTTATATTTAATATTGTACCCAAAATATCATCATACATAATTTATACCTTTCACACCATATAGTCTCTCTAAACCATAGGTAACAGATGGCTAAGACGGCCAAAAAGGCTAAGGCCTCAGTCTCTGTATCTCAAAATAATCCCAAGTTTTCACTGTGGAATTTTTGGGTTAGCGGAACACTGTTGAAACTGCTATTAATTCCAGGCTATTTCAGCACTGATTTTGACGTTCATCGCAACTGGCTTGCCATTACAAACAAGCTTCCGTTGAAATTATGGTACGTGGAAGATACTAGCCAATGGACGCTGGATTATCCTCCCTTTTTTGCGTACTTTGAGTGGTTTTTGTCGCAGGTTGTTCCTAAAGTAGTCCAGAAAGATGGATGTTTGGACATAGTAAAGGTGGGAAGATTTGGCATGCCTACTGTCATCTTCCAAAGATTAACTGTGATTGCAAGTGAAACACTTTTGTATGTGGTTCTTCAGGTATTCATCAACAAGAGCGAGATGACGGATCGATCGGCGAATTTTGTTGTGGCGAGCAGTATTGTTCTGTCTCCAGGGTTTTTGATCATTGACCACATACACTTTCAGTACAATGGATTTCTATTTGCAATTCTCATCGCATCAATTGTTGCCGCTAAACATCAAAAATACCTTCAGTGCGCTTTGTTCTTTACGATTGCTCTTTGCTTCAAACACATTTTCCTATATCTAGCACCCAGCTTCTTTGTCTTTCTACTGAGGGTCTACGTGCTGGACTTTTCTAACTTCAAATTCAGAAGCTATAACGATCTAATATCGGTAGTCCAATGGAAGAATTTACTCAAACTCGGCGGTGTGGTTGTGACGGTATTCACAGCATGTTTTGCACCTTTCATTGCTCAGTGGCCACAACTTTTGAAAAGGCTATTCCCATTCTCTAGGGGTCTCACGCATGCTTATTGGGCGCCCAATTTCTGGGCTATCTATTCCTTACTGGACAAAGTGCTGACGCTGTGCGTAATGAAAGTTCCGTACGTTCACCGGTTTTTGTCTCAGTTTATAGGCCCGCCCCTGATCCCTGAGACCCTTGCGGAGATTCAATCAAGACTGCAGCAATATAATGGAGGTACGAAAGGTCTTGTACAGGACGTGAGTTTTGTGATATTACCTCAAGTCCAACCCAAATTAACTTTTTTCCTTACCTTGTTTTACCAAGTACTTGCTTTAGTGCCCGTTTTATTCAGCCCTTCATTTAAAAGGTTCATCGGATCTCTTACGTTGTGCGGATTTGCCTCGTTTTTGTTCGGCTGGCATGTCCACGAAAAGGCCATTATGCTCGTGATAATTCCCTTTTCGTTTCTTGTCACGTCAGACAGACGGCTACTGACGCCATTTCTCCTAGCCGTTTCCGCCGGGTACGTCTCGTTGTTCCCACTGCTGCATAGCTCTCAAGAGTTTTTGCTAAAAATTCTCTACACTTTGGTATGGAGCATTGTGTACTCTCTAGCCCTTCGTCAAGTCACCAAGATTTCCTCTAGTGTCCAACGTAGGGTGTTCTTCTTCGACAGATTCGCATTATTTTACATCATTATGCTCTTACCTCTGGTCATTGGCGTACAATTACTAGAAGCTTTGAAGTGGAGATACAGCGTTCTCCAAAAGTTTGAGTTTGCTGGCTTGATGATATACAGCATTTACTGCTCGATTGGCATATTAAGCTCTTGGGTAGGCTTGTCGTGGCTCTACAATTTTGATGAACCTCTGTGGATGTAACATATTTACGATCTGTCATGAAAGGTTAATACATAATATAGAAATACAAACGCTACATTCAAATGTAGCCCCAGACCTGTCCTAAGGTTGTCAAAGGTACAAAAAAATAATAAACTGCAAATATTGTGGTCTCACATTAAGCAACTCGGATTGTCTCTCCAAACAAGCTTAGACTATTAATTGGACCCGCCAATCAACTTTCTTAAAGCTAGTCTTGCATCATCGTGTTCCAGCACCTTGGGTGCCTGCGCAGTATGCGGAACGCTATTGTTCATGGAATCACTCATAAGCTTGCATAAGGAACCTGACATAGTTTGTTGTATTAAGGGTGTACACTGCGCGGACACTGAAAACTCATTAGAATATTCTGGAATTGGGGTCGTCGGAAGATTGTTCTTACCACGCGTGCTTCTGGAAGCTTCACCTGAAGAATGGTTTTCAGGTGCACGATTATGGTTGTCTTTGGAAGCTATGGTTTTGAAAGACCCTGTACTAAGTAGCGAAGGAGGAGAATTAAAATATGTCAACGGCTTCCGGGGAGAAGATAACAATTGCTGAAAGAAATGTTCGGCTGTCAAGGCATGGTGGTTGTGACTACCATAAAACTCGGTATTAGGATCGTCAGTCATCAACAAAGGGTCTCCCGACGAAAATTTGAAGACCGCAGCATTTGAGGGAGAGCGAGAAATCCGACTACTGTGAGACTCTGGTTGCTTGGTGTCCAAAACTTCATCGATGGCATTATTGGGGGTGAAACCGGTTTTCAGTTGAAACACAGAAGTACAATTAGGAGTCCACGGAAGAGACGGTTGTGTGATCGAGGACTGCTTGGGCGACATGGGCTGAAAATCGCTAAAAACTTCACTTGGACGAATTACCGATGTCTTGTTTGCGGTGCCAAGATCCCTGCGGTTGCTTTTCATTTTCTTGAGAAGTCCCAACACTACGGATTTATCGAACCCGTTCAAAGGAGGCTTCTGGCCGTTGACGGGCGGTACTTCTGAAGTCTGCGTACTGGCAGTCGACGACCCAGCAATTTTGGCCTTTCCGTCGTCGTCGATGCACAGGGAGAACTTGAAATGTTTCTTAGCAAACCCTGGGGTAAACATCGACCCCGGTTTTTTCGCGGAGCGAGGCGGGGTTTCTGAGAGATGTCCTATCGGTTCTATCGGTGAGCTTCGCGCCGGCCTCCTGGGTTCGGACGAAAAAACACTATCTGTAGGAGTTAGTGGAGACGATGACGGCAATGGCCGTTGTTGGTGCTGCTGTTTCACAGGTGTAGCAAGAGCCACGCTGCGCTGACGACTTCTTTTTGGCCCTATGGGGGAAGAGGACAGTGGAGACACACCGTTGACACTGCTGGTTCGTCTTTTCTTGGGCGATGGAGAACTGCCCGGCAGCGAGACTTTCATCCAAGGCTTGGTGAACTTCTTCCCTGCTCCGGCTTTCTGAACCTGCATGGATGAAAAAGCCATGGGGCTTTTCATGGGATCTGCGTATTCCTTCAACAACGGGGGTCTTCCCCTCTTTCTCGGTTCGTGTCTTTCAGCCATGTTTGTGAAGCCAACAAAATGGGTGATGGGCAAGTATTTCTCAGCAGAGATAAACGCGACTTAGTGCTTGGGGTCCGAACGTCTCCAGGTCGCTGCGTCTGAACTGTACCAAGGACGATAGCTGAGCAGCTGTCTTTGGAAGTGAGAGTGCTATACAAATATTTAGCCTTTTCTGGTCCCAACCTGGAGGTGTTACAGGTGTGCAATGTGTGGCACGACTTTTGATGGTTTTTCCCGATGAGGTGGGCCAATTCTTAACCCGAACGCGTAAATTGATTAGTTCGTCTACTGTGACTGTTAGAAAACGCGTGAAGATCTCGCTACTTGGTCACGTGGAAGAGCCGGAACGTAGCGTTAATACTTGTACAAGATGGCCGGGGTATTAACTTGATGGTTGTGACTAGCTTCGCACTCATGTCACCGAATTATTGTGCTTTTGGTAAAGTTCGCAGTTTCATTTTAGGTGTGCTGGGGTTCTTTCCACACAAAATGCTAAAGTTTTGTAAATCCTTTCACGCTACACATACTTCCAGTTGCTAGGTTAAACTTCACGTAGCGCGCACGATCTCTCAGTTTATTTAGGGTGGTGCATTGATTTGTTTGATCTTTCGACCTGTTGTAGCGGCCACTGTCTTATTATCACTTTGTACATTGCTGACAGCACAGTAGGTTTCGAATTCTGCCCTGCTAAGCAACGCTAGGCGACTGGGCTAGCGAGTTGCGGACTGGGTATCGTCAATTGCCAGATAGCAATTATCAGGATTGACCATCTTTGATTGAACGTCCCTGGTTAATGTTTTTGTCCGCTAAACCGATATTCCATATAGCTATCAAAACATGAACGGGAAATGCACAATCGGTATTGTAAGCTAGTTCGCGCGGCCAGATCAATAACCTCAACAACCTCAGTTGCCGGGTACCTGGGCACACGCTATGGACAAATTCCGAATCGTTTGATAATAATAATAATAATAATAATAATAATTAAATAAAAGATGGAGGAAGAGAGTGCTCGGACAGGGAAAGATCGAGATGCAATAAGAGGAAAGGAGTTCGATGATATGATAAATCCGTGATTTCGAAATTCGAATATATAAATATGGGAAGGAAACATTAGTGCTTCGCAAACTACTGCTTTATCTCGCTTTTTGATATTTTTAGATTTTTGTATGAGGTCTTTCACAACTTGCTGCAACTTCGACCAACTTGGTTTGTATCCCTCGTTCTTTCTCTTTGTTTTTGTTTCTCAAAAGTTCTCATAAGACGTAACAGACACCAAGATGAAATGCTGAATGGGGGCGTTTAACTCCGCAAACGTAGAGCTGGTGAATAAATATAATCAAGAGCCTTCTGAACGTTTGTGACGGGCCTCTTCAAAGTTATTTTTTGGGAGGGTTGAAAACGTATTTTCTGGTCTTGATACCGGCCCACTTGAATTTCTTGACCCACACGGAGAGCAAGTACAAGGAGGACAACACGATGACGGCCTTTAGACCCAATCTCTTTCTTTCATCGTGCTCAGGTTCGGAACACCAATGCAAGAAAGTGGTGACGTCCTTGGCCATTTGAGTGGTGGTGGCTGGGGTACCGTCCTCGTATTCGACCAAGTCATCGAACAAGACACGGGCCATGGCGATGGATCCACCTGGGAAGTAAGGGTTGTAGTTGGACCCTGGAGGCAACACGACACCGGCGGGAGGATCGTCTGGGTAACCAGTCAATAAGGAGAAGATGTAGTCGGAAGCACCGTGTCTGGCCTTCACGATCAAGGACAAGTCTGGTGGAAGGGCACCCTGGTTGGCAGCGCGAGCAGCCTGCTCGTTGGGGTAAGGGCCGGGGATGTAATCGGCCAACTTACCAACACGCTTCTTGGGGTTACCTTGCTCATCGGGTTCGTCGTCGTATTCGAATTCTTCGGCCATGTCACGGACTTCTTGGTTAGTGTGGGAAACACCAACCAAAGTACGCCACGCGACTCTCTCGAGAGAGTGGCAAGCGGCACACACCTCGCGGTACACCTGGTAACCTCTTCTGATGGAGGCGTGGTCAAAGGTCTCCAGAGGACCGTTGTGAGACCACCCGTAAGAAGGTGGATGTAGACCGTGTTCGGCAGCCGTCATGGCATCGGCAGTGAGCGAATCAGCGTAGAGCGCAGCAGAAGCAGCGACACCGGTGGCCACGGCCCCCGCAACGCCTGCGCGGCGGATCCAGCCGTTCGAAACCGCACGTGAAGCGGTCGAGAACGATCTCTGAAGAGGAAAGAAGAGTTAGTACAAGTTCTCAGATACCACTGAGGCCGGGAGCTAACCGGCGGTGCATCCGCGCTGGAACGACACAGCTCGAAGAGACCAGGAAGGACACACCCACAACAACCACAGCCACGGCTGCAAACGCCCATTGGGATCGGTCGCACGCGCTCCACGCACAACCCGTCAATAACACGGCAGATCCCACTACCGCCCTTTCAAGCGTTGCCCTGGCCCACCCTTCACGCCCTGCTCACCGCCTTGCGAGTCCAGTTCTGGCGTCCCCTGTGTTTCTGACCAGCGCGGACCTATCGCCGTTCTGCCCACCCAAGGCGATCTAATTCAACCACATACCATATTGCTGCCCTTAAGGCTATTTCTCATGGAGCTGAACATTGCAAAAGAGTAAAACTAGAGCCTCTGTTAGACGTTGAACGTTATCCAGAAGTGTCAGTCAACAGCTATGAACACAACAATTCCAAGTCACTTAGTAGTATGTGCTTGTAGTTCTCAATTGACAATAATGTAGAGTATACTCGACTTTTTTTTCCTGGGAGCTGGTTGGTCGAATACGTGAAAAAAAGTGGCCTCGGTAATATCGCAGTCGTACGCGTATGAAGCGACATTCACCTCTGCGTGCAAGATGATAAAGGGCTCTGGTGGTGATTTCCAGCGATCTGATTGGCTGAGAGGCGCGCCAGGCCGGTAAAGTGGGTATAGAGCAGCTGCAGAGGGCAGAAGAAGAGACTCGCGACGCCATACAGAGGGGAGACCTCTGGTGGACTGGCGGCTTGAACAAAAACCCCCCGCTCCGGGATGGTACTCGACATTTTTGCTTGCCGGACCTCCAGTCGCGACCGCATGTTCGAGTGGAGAGACAGGTGAATGACACCCGTACCAAGTGATAGATATCATGTGACAGACAAAGGACTCGAAAATCGACCGGAGGATCGACCGAAGAAGTGGGTAGATAGCCGGGTAAGAGTTAGCCAGCGTAGGGCTCCCGCTAGAAGGACGGCCTATAATATGTTTACATGATGGGACGGACATGCTACAATAACAGCCCACATCCGTCACTGTCACTGCCGCGCACGGTCCTGGCGTGTGGAACTACCAGAGCAATGGAAGCGGACGTACGATATACTTTTCTGGACGCGCTGGACCACCTGCCGTCGGATCTTATCCGAAGCCTATGGGTGATCCAGTCCCTGGGCCTACGCAGCGAGCCGGATCGAGCGTTTGTGGACCAAGAAGCGCTGAAAGAAGCGCAGCACATCGAAAGAATGCTTCAGCAGCAGCAAGAGCGACTGGAGTTCCAGATGCAGGAAATGCAGGAAATGGCTGCGATTCAGGCCAGGTACATGGCGCACGAGGGCGCCATTGAGGTGAAGACCAAAACTGCCAAAACAAAGAACACCAAGTATGCCGCGCAACAGCAAGCAGGACGACTGCCACAGATCCCAGAGCCGCTGAAGATTAAGATAAACCTCAAACCCAGCCACCCGCAAGAAACGGTCTATTGTACATGCAGGGACGTTTCCTACGGTGCCATGGTCGCATGCGACAACAAAAAGTGTCCCACCGAGTGGTTTCATTACGGATGTGTTGGGCTGACGCATGCACCCAAGGGGAAGTGGTACTGCAGTGAACGCTGCAACCGGCAGGCCAACAAGAAGAGGTTTATGAATTTATGATGTGTAAACGATAGGCGAACGAACGAAGAAACGGATGAATTAAGTAGTAAAAGAAGAAATTTGGAGAAAACTAAACACACATAGACATTACGAGTACACACATGCGTCTAGGGAAAAACGCCAAGTCAATGCTTCATTTACAAGTCCTTCTTCAAAGTACCCATGAAAGCGTGCTTTTCAGCAGGAGTTTGGAATCTACCCTTACCGAACTTGGAGGCAGTGTCGATCCACTTCAAGGTAACTTGTTCCAAAGCCTTTCTGGAGGTGTTGGTGTACATGGACTTTCTCAAAGTAACAATTCTCTTTCTGTTACCTGGGATAGAACCCTTGACCATGACAAAGTCGTTGTTGACAGGACCGTAGTGGACGAAACCACCCATTGGGGTGATGGTCTTCTTGGTTCTGTCGAATTCGGTGGCACCGTTGGATTCGTCGCCGCCCTTACCGACTCTGTAGACCTTGTGGTTGATAGAAGTTCTGGTGTGGAAACCGTTTTGACCGGCTCTGGCAACAGTCCACATGACGTGGGCTGGATGCCAAGCACCGATACAGGCAACCTTTCTCAAACCTCTGTGGGTCTTTCTTGGAAGCTTCTTGGTACCCCATCTGTGGGTAACACCTTCGAAACCGTGACCCTTGGTTACGGCGCAGACATCGATCATTTCGTTTTGTTCGAAGACGGAGTCGACGGAAACGGTCTTTTCGAAGTGTTCACGGGCCCAGGCGGTCTTGTCAGCGACGGAACCACCGTTCAATTGGATTTCAGCCAAGTGGGCCTTCTTCTGGGCCAAAGGAGTCTTTCTGACTTGGGTGTGAGCCAAGACTCTGACGACAGTGGCGTACTTGTTGATTCTGGCCAATTCTCTCTCGATGGCAGCGCCGTCTTGAGCGTACTTGGCAGAGTACTTGGTGAAGGCCTTCTTCTTGGACTTGTACCAGTTCTTGTAGAATCTTCTCTTGATCTCGTCCGACAAGTGCTCAGCCCAGACGGTGGTCAAGGATCTCAAACCTCTTGGAGTCTCGACGTAACCCACGACACCGACGACAACCATTGGAGGAGTGTCGACCACGGTGACGGCTTCGACGATCTCACGCTTGTGGAACTTGGAGCCTGGACGGTCCAAGTCTCTGACAATGGTGGACATACCAGCCTTGTAACCCATGAAAGAGGTCAAAGCAACTGGCTTAGTCTTGTCGTCCTTTGGGAAAGATCTGACCTTACCTCTGATGGAGGCAGATCTCTTTCTGGGCAAAAAACCCAAGTGACCGTGACGTGGAGCTTCGTACTTTCTGTGAGACATTCTTGTAAAGTTATGTTGATGGGATTCGAGAACGAAGAAAAGTAGAACAAGATGAAGTCCTGGAGCTCTTGGAATGCTCTTTTTATATATGCGATGAGCTAGCTAGCTTGGTGAAAAATTTTTCAGAAGATCGAAAAACTCACAAATCACAGCTGTCGAGTCAGCTGACAGATGCCGTACACAGGGATACAAAATAAAATTGTCAAAAGTGTTGGAAAACGGGTTGATCCGTTTTCTGGCAGTTGCAATCCGAAAAAAATAGCAGATACTTTTCGGATACATTGCTGGGCAAAATAGGATACCGTGTGGGTACCGCTCGATGACATTTTCACAACTCACGCGATAGAAGTAAATAGTTGCTAGAGGTGTCTGAGGTGGGGCCAGGTATCGTGCATTGAAGGGTCAGCGCTTATGAGATAAAATGGCTTTCAGCAAATTAGTAGTAGCATCCAAGACCTCTCTGATTTTAGATCATAGTCCTTAACAGACATGAGCTCATACTTTGGAACGTAAATATCTATGTTCCTGCCGTAATTGCGTGTCACAGCGCCTCTTTACCTTTGTAATTACTACCGCGTTCTTGTCGTGGATCCAAATTTGCTCACTGTTTTTGCGTCGAGAGCGTTGGGCCTTCCCAGCATCTGAATTTTTCACTTAGCTCTGCTGACAGTTCTCTTGCCACCCGAGCCACGACTCAACGTCCTAGCTATGCCCCGCTTGGAGTTTGTAGAATTAGAATATCAAGCGCATATATTGTAGGTTAAATCGAACTCCACTGTGTTTTCCAAATAGAGAAAAGGGTCACCTCTCTCTCTCTCTTAGCAGTTGGCTGGTGTCATATTATACAGCGGCATGAACTTTAGGAACTACAAGTCGAGATTGTTGAGGCGAATCAGTAGGCGTTGCCGAATGCTTTGCTCAACCTAGTGATGGATACACTATCATATCAAGATCATATATCAGAAATTGAAGCTATGTCTCCATGACTATTTGGACTACTCTTCAGTAGCGCTTATTGATACTATATTCAGGCTAGGGGAACACTCTGTGCCAGCTTCCAAAGTAGCCTATTTGGATGATCTGAGTCTGAGATAGTATACCGGGCTATGTTTGGACATCTGCCGGCTCCGCAAACCACCTTATAGAGACTTTCCCTGCTTGTCTGTCTTTAACCTCGCTGACACTTCACTTATCATCTTGTACAATAATGGCAGGAAATGCGGTTGCCATCATGCAATTCGACTTTATAAGAGAGTATGGGATGTGTGCCATGCAATTCGACGCTATAAGAGAGTATGGGATGTGTGCCATAAGACCATTCAGGAGAAAGCATACTTCCATCACAGGTAATCATTATCAAGACTTTTTACCTTAGCATTGTTGAAACTCTGCTCTATTTAGTATATGCAGCCTTGCTCGTATCAGCGACAGAACACAAAAAGATGAGAAAGAGTCTAGGCCATGACTATCGGCCAATTCGAATGAGAAACTATGCAAGCCAACCTTGGGCCATGTACGATTATTTAACCACTTGTCAGTCGACTGGAAATTATATACAGCCGTGTATAACCCTAACCACCTTATGAAAAGGTAGTGGCGAAGAAATAACCAAATAGCTCATGCATTTCTTAAACTTGAAGCCCCACATATCCTGCGTTTCGGGATATGCTTATCAATACACACCCAATGGAAATAAAAAACCACGACAGTGGATACAACTCTAATATACCTGCTGAGATAGTTTGAAATACCAAGCTGGCTTTGGATTATGAAGAGCGAATTTACGTGCGATGCATTTTAGTGAAAGAGATTGTTAAAGCCGGTTGTTTTTTCGTTTTGAGAGTTCAGCCGTTTAGGTCTTCATATGCTACTAATATAATCAGTAAAAAGTTTTAAACGTTTAAAGTGTTTAGCTGAACCTAAAATCCACTAGTGCCAGCTATAAAAAGCCAGCATACATCGGTCTTAGGTTGTCGGAAGGTGTTATCCAATCAAACCCGCTTAACAAACAATGTCTCTTCCTCCTTCGGCGTTGAACCAGAAGAGTAACCGAGTTTACTCGGTGGCAAGAGTGTATCAGGATGCCTGTACCAATCGGCCTCAGGACTATTGGGACTACGAACAGGGCGTCACAGTGGACTGGGGCAAAATTGAGCACTACGAAATCGTCAACAAAATCGGCAGGGGTAAGTACTCAGAGGTGTTCAGGGGCAAAAGCGTGGTGAACGACCAGTACTGCGTCATCAAAGTTTTGAAACCCGTGAAGCTCAAGAAGATCTACAGGGAACTGAAGATTCTCACGAACCTGACAGGCGGGCCCAACGTGATTGGACTGCTTGACATTGTGCAGGACCCTGGGTCGAAGATCCCAGCACTGATTTTCGAAGAGGTGCGAAATGTGGATTTCCGCACGCTGTATCCAAAATTTACGCTGCGCGACGTGCAATTTTACTTTTCGGAGCTGCTGGTGGCACTGGACTATTGTCACTCGATGGGAATCATGCACCGGGATGTGAAGCCGCAAAACGTGATGATCGACCCTGTAGAGCGCAAACTGCGGCTCATCGATTGGGGGCTCGCGGAGTTTTATCACCCGGGCGTCGACTATAATGTGCGGGTCGCTTCGCGATACCACAAGGGTCCAGAGCTGCTAGTGAATTTAAACCAGTACGACTACTCGCTAGACCTATGGTCAGTTGGGTGCATGATAGCGGCCATCGTGCTGAAGAAGGAACCATTTTTCAAGGGCAGCACAAACCCGGATCAACTAGTAAAGATTGCACGTGTGTTGGGCACCAACGAGCTGCTAGCGTACCTACGCAAATACGGGCTCAAGCTGCCTCACGAGTACGACAATATCATGAAGGATTTCCCTCGCAAGGACTGGTCGGAATTTGTATCGCACGACACGCCCATGGCCTCAGCTGAAGTGATGGATTTGATCGACAAGCTGTTGAGATACGACCATCAGGAAAGACTTACTGCGAAAGAGACGCTGGAGCATGGATTTTTTAAAGCTGATTATAAGAAATAAGAGTGGATAGAGTGGGCCACTACAGATAGACTAACAAATAAGATGGCTGCCGTTCATCGAGTTGATGCGAAACAGGGGAGCGGCGAGTGAGATCTTAGCTGTAATGTATAATTATTCTAAAGTTGGAAATACACACGTTAGAAATGTTTGGGAGTAAACTTCATATGACAGAAGCAGCAAATAGTTTCCATGCTTTGGGTCAAGGTAGCGAGGGGGCTCTTTGTAACAAGTGTCACGACGCCATGTAAAAGGTATTTTCAATCGTCGAGGTCAAAAAGTTAGCATTCTATGCGGGCACATTCGAGCATTAACTTTATCGAGGTTGGCAATTGTCCTATTGGGAGTGCCATTCTTTGGGGTTCGTCAATTTGATTGTTAAACGGCCACGAGCTATCATAAAGTATCACTTTGTACATTAATGGCATCACACTGCATTTCCACGCACATTTGGGACGCCATACGATAATCTGCGTTAACACCTTCTGAGATCACATAACATCTAAAAGAAACTCGTCATCACTGTCCCAGTCTTCAGCGGAGTGCTGTATGTGGTGGTATTCGGGCTCCAGGTCCGAATTATCGTCCTCTGGAAAGCTCATGTAAGTGTCATTAATGCGGATTTTGCGCTCGTAAAGTGATCCGTAAACGTCTATGTCTCTTCGCAGTACCTCGCTGTCGAATCGCAAGGGTCTTCTGCGGCCGTAACGTTTGTGCGAGTTGCGTCTCAGACACGTTTTGTTCGGAACATCGTCGAAGATGGAAGAGTCGCGGGACTCTAAAGACGACGAAAGACACGCTGCTGCTAAATCGTCCACGTCTGAATGGTCTTCTCCGAGCCATGATGCAATATTGTTTTGTCGTTTCGTCGTGGTGGAATATAGACCACACAGCGCAGCCTCCCGGTGACCTCCTTCCACGCCCGGTCCGTCTGTGCTGTCCCCGACACACAGCGCGGGCCCATAGAGCACAGTGAAATCTAGCTCTTTGTGCCAGTTGATTCTCCTTGGATCCAATTTTTTTTCTTGCAAACGGTAGTGTGCGATTGACCAGCGGCGCCACAAGCAGTGGTGTAACCTTTTCACGTACATTTGGTAGTCAGAATCGTTCTCCGCGGAGCACGAAGGAAGCCGCAGTAGCTTATGCTTCCCCATGTGCAACAGAACGTTCCACGTCTGTGGCATCGCCATTGGATGTTCGTGGGAAAAGTCAAAGTGGTAGTAATCAATTGCGGGCCGTTCCAGGTCCGCTACGTTCTGCAGCAGCATCATATTTTGGTGTATCAAAACGCAATCGTCGATACTTTTGAGTTGACTGCCTGCTATCATGCGTAGTGGTACTCAGCTATCCAGGGCTGCGTTTATTCAGCGATACAGTTATCTAACTTGTCAGTTCTCTTGTTCTCTAGCTCTCTAGTACTCTGCTCTCTAATATTCAGAACCCAGTACTCAAGCTCAACCTTCCAAAGACCATAACCGTTTTTATTAACCACCTCATCGCCTCTTATTTCTCATAATATAGCATACTTGGCCCATCGCACCCATGATTTGTCACTTCGCCGACCTCCCGCTATTTCTCAGCCAGTCGACCTCGAAGAGAAATCATTGTGGGGTGCTTTAATCAAAGCGCGGCCTTATAATAGCGCTGGGATAAAACTCACGAGAGACATGGAAAACAAACCGGAAGAGACGAGTGATCAGACCGTTTGTTTGAGAACATCAGGCAAATGGCAGTTGAAACAAAGAAGGTAGATATTAGGTGGTGGAGGTGGCACTGAAGGGGTCAATTTCCGTTGTCTGTGGGGAAAGCATGGGAGTTAGGTATCATGTCTGACGAGTGTGTCGCGGGAACTGTAAGTGTAGCGGGAAGAACAGAGGCAGTGTGAGAGCATTTGTTAGAGCTACCGACTGGCAGTGGTGTGGTACTTTTGAATAGCGCCGAGCTGCTTGATGTTAGAACTACAGAGTGGTAGTGATCTGGTACTGGTTGAATAGCATCGAGTTGCACAATGGCAACCTTGAATCGTGCTGTCAGTATAGTACAAAGTGATAACAGCGAGGCTGGCAAAACGAAAGTGCACAGGTTGGATGGCCAATCGATGGGATTCAGAGGAACGGTGATTACACAAAAAGGCCCCGGCCCGCCATTTCAGTTGTCCAAAAGCCCAACACTTCATCTGTTGGGGGCAATGGCTAAATTGACCAGCTCTGACCAGTCATTCCCGTCAAAATTTTGTATTAATCCCGGCTACATGTCCCAGGTATGGACCAGATTTATAGCCCAAATAATCACGGAGCGAAAAAAAGTTCCAGATTTAGCATCAACTACTCAGAATACTATTTACGATGTCAATTACCAAAGTGAACGAACAATCGAGCAAGTTATTCGCTGTCGACGCTGGCTCTCTCCAGTAGTTCACATGTTTTATTTGGCTCACCTTTTTGTCTTCTTTCCGGATACGCATCTACGAATGCCCATCTCGAGGCCCACCAACGTAAGTTACCCAAGGCTAACTGCAAAGCGATGCATCGAGATAACCAAGTGGTACAGAAAAAAAAAAGGGCTCCCTCTCGACTCTTGGCTCCCAGCTATTGATGTTTTTTGGAAGTTCGATCAGCAATCAGTTCATGTCAAAGCGTTCGCGTTTTCATGACTGACTTATGTCTCCTCGAAAGTCTGCCTCTCAAGAGCCTAAAGCACTACAACCAGGCTGAAAAAAACTCTGGTGAGCACCGGTACTTTCGGCATCCTATCACGCCGTTGGGAAGCCCAGTCGCCCAACAGTCTTGCGTTTTCGAACACCCAATAGCTTCGCGACGCTGACACTCACTTTCTACTCCTTTATCTACTCCTTCATCTACTCGTTTATCGACCCAGAGATATGTGTCTCGTCATTACACACGTATAATCACAAAAGCACTCTCACTCTTTCAATTTATGTAGGCTCTCTCGAGAAGTAGTTGCATGCCAGCACTGGCGGAACCGATTTTGACAGTTAACACAAGCCGATGAGCTTGATTTAGGAGAATATATGCCAGTAGAACACGGTTTGAAGCTTGATGTTGGAGATGGAAAGGTTTTCTTAGAGCTCTACCTGGAGCGTTTAGACGCCGATGCGGAAGGAGCTGGTATGCAATCAAAAGGATTGGCCCGCAATGCGCGCGTGATGAGCTACATCGACCGGCGAAAGTTGCCATTGTGGGTGCGGAGAGAAGAATGCTATGCTTGTGGGAGCGAAAGCACGACAACAGCGGCTTATTTCAGGTCGAAATTAATGAAACAACGACACGTCTACCGGGGCATTGTAGCCACCCAGGGCTCTGGGTTCTGTATGTTTTTTGCTCAACAGACGCAGGATGGTGGGGTGTACCAGATTCGGTGTGTCGTGCTTGATTTCACCCTCAAACAGCAGCTGGATCGCGGGCTTTGGCAGGCTCCAAAGCGCACGACCCCGCTCGAGCTGTTGGTTGCCCGCAGACGTGATTCGCTGCTCCGAAACCGCTCCAGGGTGTCTACACATGCGCAGATTGCTGATTTCCGCCGCCAGTTTTCCAAGACGTGCGCGAGTTGTGTTTTGAGCGGGCTCCGATTGCGTGGGATCCCCGAAACACATCCAGAATTTCAAGCGCTGTTTAAAACCACTCTCGCCACGGTTGAATTTGCCCACAGACACGACATGAGTGCGCCCCGCGAGCCGCTTGGATTCGAAACCGTTCAGGAATCGGTGGAAACAGTGCTGAAGCTGTTTACCAGCTCGTGACACGTGACCGTGTAGCTGCGTTCATGGTGATGACATTGGGCTATTTTTTACCCAGCACTCCACAGGCTGATGGATGACTGATGACGGACAGTGAACGCGAGTCGCAGATCACAGCTTATAGGCCAAGAACCATTCATTGGCTAGGTGCTTATCAGGACTGACTAGCTAGAGACATTTGGAATCACACTTAGGTCATTGGGCGGAGTCGCAGTTTGTACTCCCTTGCACACGGTATTGTAACAACTTTCTAACTGCATATTGTTGGGTCAGCCGTCTCGTTTATCCAGTCTCACAGCGCTCATTTCAACGCTTCTTGTTGCAGTTTCCAGATGGCCAAACACTTATTCGTGCTAGTGCATGGCCTATGGGGCAACTACAAGCACATGAACGCAATCAGAGATGTATTTCGCCAGGAGCTTCACGATCAGGAAAATATGGTGTTTTTTTCGCCGCGGCAGAGTGGCTATTTCAAGACCTTTGATGGGATAGAAATCATGGGTTACCGGACGCTGCTGGAAATTTGCCAGTTTATCGACACCTTCCCTAAAAATGAAATCACCAAGATTAGCTTTGTCGGGTACTCCATGGGTGGCCTTATTGCAAGGTTCATTATAGGAAAGATGTTTACGGAGTGTCACGAGCTGTTCCAAAATATCGAACCGCAGCTCTTCGTCACTTTTGCCACGCCACACCTTGGCGTGCACTTTTTCCTGAGACAGCATCGTTCGGGTCACCATAGGGCTATATCGCGGCTTCTGTCTACATTGGGCACCACGGTCCTCGGAAGGACCGGCCGACAACTCTTTATCCAGGACAATCTACCTGAACAATCCATTCTGGTGAAACTAAGCAAGGGTGAGTATCTGGAGGGTTTGGGCCGCTTCAAACACCGCATATGCATAGCCAATGTGAAAAACGACCGGACGGTTGCCTTTTACACCTCATTCATTACAGACTGCGATCCCTTCTTGGAGACCGAGAACCAGATCAACTACCACTTCGAACGCAACCTGCCCGGTGAAAAGCTGTGCATGGTCCCTCGCGTCATAGACATGAACAAGCTAGACCCCACTTCAATGAGGCAACCGCCTGAAGGTCAGCAATTCGCACGCTGGGCCTTTATATTTGTGATTTGTTGCATACTGACGTTTGTTTTACCATTGATTTTCGTGGCCAACGTCCTGGGAACGTGCTATTCCTACCTAGCCACTGTCCACTACCAAAATCTTTTGCATCAAGGGGAGGGCCGCAGCTTACTCCGTCGTAAACTGGGCCTTGGAGATAAGATTGCAGACACTTTGCGGGATACGGTCGGCGTTATAGCGAGCGAGCACGAAGACAACTTTGGAGCTGACAACGGACAGACTATAGTCAAAGCAAACATTACATGGGAAGATTTCATCACCAAATATACCAACAAATGGAATTCGGAGACTAAGCCCAAGTTTAGCGCGTTGAACTTCGACGACCAACGCAGAGGCATTTTGTCCAACTTGAATAATTTGACGTGGATTCGGATACCGCTTTACATAAAATCTTTGAATGCGCACGATGGGATCGTAGCAAGAAAAGGAGTTAAGGGAGCTAGCCCTTATAGCGTATCCGGGCTTCAGTTCATCGCTCAACTGGTAGATTTTCTCATCTCACATTAACGGAAAAAAGGCATAAAGTAAAAGTTGGGGACGATGTCCCAGTTACAAAAGGTTTTGATTTATTACACTTGGGAGAAAGACTAATCGGTCTTCTCTCTCAAAGAAAAACGGAAAGTAAAAAAGTTTGTTATAGCTTCTATCTACAGGGATGGTGAGCGATTGTCGCTGTGCCACTGGATCTTTATGTTGCTCTATAGGTAGTAAAAATTATTGGTTTGTTGCATCTTTCTTTTCAAGCAGACAAAAAGACTGAAAGCTCTTGATCAATGACTAGGGGGATTCCTAACTGTTTACAGCCACTTCTCCTCAGGGTTGGCTTTGAAATCCAGATAGGCTTGCCTGTTGAAAAGTGAGATTTCCGTTTCGTTGCCAACGTCGTAATCAACCAATTTCTTATCCATATTCTCAAAAACCCAGTCATCATGATCGAAATTTATCACCAAGTTCACGGTCTTGGAACCGTGAGCATGTGTGTACACCTTCAACGTATCGTAGTCCACGTTGCGAAACGCTCTGAACCCGCCTGTGGATTTGATATGAGCGACGGAGTCTTCCATGAGGTCTCTCGCACTTTTTTCAAGTAGGTTATAGTCGTTGAACACAATATTCTTGACATTTCTGTATGGGAACGATTTTATCACCCTTACCGTGATTGTAGCGTTGGTCACTCAAGCGGAATGTTAGTTAAATGATCGTATATGATACTCTAGGAAAAGTGGTAAAAACATACAGGGCTTAACTGAGCTTGTCAGAGGCTCATCTACGTCAAAGTCAATTGCAGTAGTCATACCTTGACTCTAGAAGCTCCACTAACTGGGATGGTAAGCAAATGTTTAAACTTTGGACATCTAGAGCCCTCAACATTGGCGATGAGCTTGAAAATTGTTCTCGGAATATATGAGGTAGCGATAACCCGACAACCAAAAATAAGAACTCCTCATAGGGGGCTCGAACCCCTGACATTTCGGTTCCTTGCGAGCAATGCTTAAAAGCCGAACGCTCTACCAACTGAGCTAACAAGGACGAGTTCTCGAGCTTTGTGTCAGCTACATACTATATATACAGATACAATTGTCACGCAGTATTTCGATTCACGCTTCAAGACAACGAATGGCTAGATTAGACGGCGGCAGAGTTGTTGAGCCACGATAGCTGACTTATTGAAACCCTAGGTTTATATGTTTTGAACCGTCTTCGAGTTTTATATTGTTGAACAAGTTTTGGTGTTGAGTTGAAACTTCACAGTTGTTGCCCTTAGCCGGAAAATTTGAAGGGTACGATCGAATACGCCACTTCGCACAGCCGTTAGCTAAGCACACGCTTACAAGTTAACATATTTTGTGCCACTCTCTTTCTTTCGAATGTCTAACTCTCTATTTACATTTAACTGAATCAAGAAAATAATAAACAATCAACGACAGTTCAAAAATATAGCACTATGCTAAACTCACTAGCACAAGACAGAGAAGAGACGCTTTTGAACCCAACAGACACCCTTAAAATCACACGACTGGAAGAGCAAGAATATATAGGGTCTCATTTTCGGCGATGGATGCATCAGAAAAGCGTTCACGTTCAGAAACCAATATAATGGAGCTGGGAGATTTGAATCAGCTCCAAATTCCCACGAGTTTACAGTCTCACCAGCCACAGCCGCTACAATATACGGGCTCTTCACACCAGTCCTCGTCTACAGCTGTTTCAACCTCTTTGAGAAGTCCTCTTACGTTCAATCACCTCTCATCTGAAGCAACCGAATTTATGCGATTAACACCAGTCAACATAAAGAACTTAACGTCGCCGATTCGTGATGTGGAAAAAAAAAGCGGCTTCCTTACTGGCGATGAAAATCCGGCATATGCTGCCTACAAAGATAACTTCAACCTTATTAGCCGCAAGTTGGAAAAGCTGCTTGACGAACTTACTGTTATTTACCGCGAGATTGGTTATTCGAACACAGAGATATGCGACAAGGAAAAACTGATATTCAACCACATTTCAGATTCTATTACCGGGTTTTTCGAACATGCCAATCAAGAGCGTGACAAAATTAGCGCAGACAATCAGGTGGCACAACAAGTCTTACAACGCATCTTACAAGTCATCCAGGATCCCAAAGGAACTGTTTCCATTCCAGACCTGTACACGCGCAACGTAATTGTCAACTCAACGGAGCAAAACCCTCATTCCCCGAAGAAGCCGTCGTCTCTGCTCACAAGACGCAAGATCATCACAAGGGCCAAGAGCTATGTTCTCAAGACGTACGAACCTAAACTCAACGCTTTCCTCGACAGCGCTATCAAATTTCAAACTTTGAAATCTGTTACTGAGGACTATGAGCCTTCAGAGCTAGACAATAGAGGTGTCGGGCAGCTAATGTCAGTGGTGCCGCCTCTTGATACCTGCAAGTATTTCAAGAAATGTCTGACCAATGCGTTCAAAGACGTAGATAAGACCTGTGAGTTTATTATTGAGAATCGAAAAGCGCTTTTAGGCACAGTCAACTTCAATGACGTTTCTGATAGTATGATCGACCGCCTTGACAGCGTAATAAAAATGTTTGAGGAGGAGTTGGAATCAAGAATGAAGAGACTCTACTCGATAGGTAAAGGCATTATTAGTCTCCTCAAGGTCCTTAGTTTAAACGCTGAGACAAGTCTGGATGCACAAACCATTAAAATTTTGAAACAACTTTCTGTGGAAAACAGCAGCGAACATTTATCAAGTACGCAAAGCGTCGCCTTTTCTTCTTCAACATTAGAAAAATTAGACCAGGCTCATGGTGAGCTTAAGACCATCGAAGAAGCTCGTAAGCAGGAAAAGAGCAAACATGTTCATAGCTGTACTCAATTGTGGGATAAACTGAAAATCCCCAAATCATACACCACCAAATTCGAAGAAAGTAACAAGGATCTTTCAATGACGTCTCTGCAAAACTACACTGACGAACTAAGTCGTCTTCAAGCAATGAAGAAAAAGCTCATCAAGAATCTGATACAAGACTCTTGGACCAAGATCAAAGAACTTTGGGCCGCGATGCACTTTGCTAATCGTGACACTGCCGCGTTCCAAGAGATGTTCAATACAATGACTGAAAGATCTATGACGTTGGAAGATGATGAAAAGGTTTTAGAAACCTGCGAACTCGAGATAAGTGATTTAGAGAAAAAGTATGCCCTCTACAAACCACTTTTGAAGCTTATCAACGAGTTTCATTCCCTCCAAAACGACAAGCTAAATCTGGAAAAGAGTAGCAAGGACTCATCCAGATTGTTGCTTAGAAACTCTCATAGGATTCTACTAGAGGAAGAAAAAACGAGAAAGCGAATTACGAGGCACTTTCCAAATGTTATTCAAGAACTTATTCAGAAGCTGACCAAATTTGAGGAGGACGCTCAGAGACCATTTGTGGTTGGAGGTGCGAGACTGCTCGACATTGTGCTTCAGCAGGAGGAGGAAATTATAAGCAAATACCCTAGAAGCAGAATTAACTCCAACTTTAAGACTGGCAGTGTGGCTGCAGCATCCACAAGAAAAAAAATATTACCGGCTACTCGATCGCCCAAAAAAGATAAGAACTCGCTGCGAATTCAACCCAAGAGTCATAGGAAAACTATTCAGAGAAGTCCCATGCGCAGGCCAAATAATGGAGGAGTTCCGCTATCTGTGGATGCGGAAAGAAGTGATCTTAAACTCTCTTATAACCGATATATGAGAGCTACTCGGATGTCGAGTCCTATTAGAGAAGCTGTGCAATACGATCCAACAACGGCCTTTATGCGTAGCAGTCCGTCAAAAATTCCAACTCTTACAAGAAGCTCAACTTTCCCAAAGGACAGCATGCCATTTGGCTCGCGCTTGAACTCGAAGGTGCGCATAGAAAGGCCCGAAGGACTCACACAGATATCTCCCAACAAACTCAATTCAATGGCTTTGAAAGGCCCCAGGGTAGTAACAGAAAATGAGCCTGAATCTGCAAGCAAGTTTAAGGTATTGTCTTCAACAACAACCGCCAATAACAGAGATAAGGAGAACATTTTCACACCTCACTCATTGAAGTCACCAATAAGGTTGGTGGAGAAGGCATTTTCGAATATGTCATCACCTCAAAAAGGGGCCGAGGAGTCAGTTTATAGAATAACAAGATCTCCGGAGGGGAAATTTTTGTTGAATGTCGAACCACATACAGCAGAGGGTGGTAATGCAGAAGGAGAAGATACGAGTATAATGGCAGACGATGAGAATTTCGTAAGTTGGAAGAGGGAGAGATTGGCGAGAATGAACAGCGTGGAAGGTAACGATGATCTTCCTTCAAGTGTCAATTGGGACACAGATGTATTTTGAAAGTATGTAACAATAAGGTAATAAGTAATTCTGGTACAAAATCAGGTATTTTAACCACACGAACCAATCTACCACTTTTTCGCCTCTGAGCCTTCTGGAGGAACAGTTTCAACCTTCTTTTGCGACACCTCTTCCCAATTTGTATTTAACGCAGTACCGTTGCTCTCGACGAAAGATTTCATCATGGCACGCCTGGTATCAGGATCAGCGCCCGAATACAACTGCTGGAAGAAAGCATCGGCTGATTGGTTTTGTTCATCATCATCAACCTCTAATTTTGACCAGTCGATATTTTTCTTTGACGACGTGGGGTAGAGCTTGGCAGATTCAGTGTTGCCGTGTGCATCGGATATAGGTAACGGGGAAGATCCTTTTGAGGTAATCGATGGGTCAGTGGACTTAGCAAGCTGTTTCCACTGAGTCTTGACCTTTTTCGCTAGTGAAATTTCGATCTTTTTAGACAATATACTGACTCGGATTTGGTCAGGATCCACCTCATGTAAAAGTTTTGCAGTGTATTGGAATTCTCCGCCCGATGAAGGAATAGGATATGTGACTTCCAGATCTTGATGGCCAGGAGAAAGATACACGTGAAGAGAGTCCTTATCTCTCGGAAGCGACGATGTGAACAATGATATAGTTATTGTTGTGGCAGTCTGGTACCAGTCCATTTTGAAAGTAGGCTTCTTGGACACTTCGTCGTTTTTTGGATTTCTATGAAGTGAGGATTCATTCACGCTGCTTCTCTCGAGTTTCCCAGCTTCCTGATCGCCAAGACTAGCGGGCCCGTGCCTTTCTTTCCACTTTTTCATTTTATTTGCAAGGTTTGCCTCCCAGATGGGCATTGTGTCATCTTGGTACTGAAGTTCGCGAGCTTTTCGGAAGTACTCATCAGCGGCTGGGTATTGTTTACGATTGTAAAAGTGCACACAGAGCCGGAAGTTAGCTAAAGCCAGTTTAGACCGATCCCCTCTACGCTGTGCAATCTCTACCGCAGATTCCAACAACTCCAATGCATTTTCCAACGTCTTGTCACTATGCCAGCTCTTGAATCCGTAGTACAACTTCTCGAGGCATGCGGCCTTGTATATATGTGCCACAAAATTGGCGGGCGACTGCTGCAAGACCGAATCGTACACTTCTAATGCGTCGCCGGGGTTTTTTGCGTCATACAACAGGGAATACGCCGTTTTGAGATCTGTTTCTACTGGCATTGTATAAGGCACTAATCCCAATAATCGTACTAGCCTGTGCGTAGCCTGAGCTTTGAACTGAACTTGTCTTAAGAGCCTTTAGGCAGTGTCCAAATGTCACAATGTGATTGGTAATTTTCCATCATCCATAAACGTCTGTTTGGGTAAAAGTGATATACAAAACTTCGGAATTGAGAAGGAAGCTCTGTAGTTACCATGGCTGAAGGTCAAGCCACCAGAGCCAGGTCAGTAGTAACTACGAGTCCTCCAGCTAGGAAGGATACCAGGGAGCATATACAGGGCTTTTCTTTCTGCCATATGTTTACTTGTGAATATTCAGACAATTTTTCAATTTTGTAATATAGAAAATTTTGGCCGATGAGCTAGCGATGAGCCAGCTACAATAGAGTAAAAAACCCAACGAAACAACCATTGGCCTCATATGTCCTCTTCCTCGGCTGCACATGTAAATAGCTTGGTGCTGGATGCGACGCCACTCATCACACAGTCGTACTCGCACTATCAGAATTATGCCAAGGAGTTTCACACTACACCTACGGTTTTTCAAGAAATAAAAGATGAGCAAGCGAGAAAGAATTTGGAGTTATGGCGTGCACTGGGAACTCTAAAACTTCGTCAACCTTCGGCCAACTCCGTCAAGAGAGTGAGTGATTTTGCTAAGCTCACAGGCGATTACTCGGTTTTGAGTGCCAATGATATTCACATCATCGCACTTGCATACGAACTGGAAACGGAATTAAATCAAGGGGACTGGAGGCTGCGCAGGAAGCCAGGCGAGGACCTGACGGTGGCATTGGCTTCTGAGGCAACGATAGAGAAGACTGCTCAGCAAGAAACTCAGACAGAGAAGAATAAAGCCAAGAAAAATCGCAGAAGAGGAGGCAAAAAACAGCGTGAAAAACAGCAACAGCGGGAGCAACAGACGGAGCAGGAGCAAGAGCAAGAGCAGGTGCAAGAGCAGGTGCAGAAAGTTGAACAGACCGCCGACACGCAGGCTGAAAAGGAACCCGACCATCGCAGTCTAGGGGAGCCAAGCGCTGGGGTAGTTGTCGAACCTTCAAATCTGGACTTGCCAACGACCTCTACTGGGATGAGAGAACCTGGGAATGTGGATTCAGCATCCTACTTCGAAGATGACGATGATGGGGATTGGATCTGTCCAGAGAACCTTACAGAAACAATGATAAAAGATAGCGGTGAGGACACGACAGGCTCGCATGTTCGTGAGGATCTCAATGGATACATGTCTGAAAACCACTTGAAACTTCCACAAAATCAAGTAGCATTGGCAACTGGCGATTTTGCAGTTCAGAATGTGGCCTTGCAGCTGAATTTGAACTTGATGAATTTTCTGTCGGGCCTTAGAATCAAAAAGCTTCGTAATTACATGCTCAGGTGTCATGCTTGCTTCAGGATTTTCCCTCTCCCCAAGGATGGAAGCCCCAGGCACTTTTGCTCGTCGTGTGGAGGCTACAACACTCTAATGCGATGCGCAGTCTCCGTTGATGCTTCTACGGGTGAGATAACTCCACATTTGAAAGCTAACTTTCAGTGGAACAACCGTGGGAATAGGTACTCGATGGCGAGTCCGCTGTCCAAAAATTCCCAGAAACGATTTGGCAAAAAAGGATTTGTACACACGAAGCACGGACAAGACGTGGAATTACTAAGAGAAGATCAGAAGGAGTACGAAAAGGCGCTTAAACAGGAAGAATGGACTCGTAGACATAACGAAAAAGTTTTGAGCGATTGGACTGGCGGTGGCTCTGCGGACAACTTCATCTCCCCATTTGCCATTTCCGGTCTCAAACACCATTCAGTAAAGGTTGGTCGCGGTCGTCAAGCGAACAGTGTCAAACGCAAGAAGTAGATAACATACAACTCATTGTAATCACTGATTGACAAGCACAATGTATGAGTTGTTTTTTTTTTTTTTTTTAATGACAGAAAGTTCGCCAGAAGATCCATTTTGCCACGATATGAACTTCGACTCTCAAGCTCTGTAGCAACAAGAACCTTGAGTTGATGCGAGGTCAGGAAGGCTAGCGAACTGAGAAGAAAGCCTACAATCACTAAATACGGATAACGAGTGGTTGACTGACTTCCGCTAGTTTTCTGTTTTCTGACGCTTCCAGCGAACGTATAAACTGTCCAGAAATTGTATAGACCGCTTATGCTATTTTTCATGTTTTTGAATGCCTAAGTTTCGAAACTCTGGTTACTTCTTTTCAAAGTTATTGCTAATCCGCTATTCGCATCACGTGAGACGAATGGAGATTAAGAATGTTAAATTAGCTATCGCATTCCAGTTAATGTCATCGAAGCACCTCAGGAGCATTATAAAAACAGCAAGTCCCCACTTTCGACCAGTTTCGCCGTCGTCTGCCCTTTGAATTGGTGTTATTATCATAAAGAATGAGTGGCTCTAACAGTGGAAGCTCAAAGGTGCCCGGAATAGTGTCGCCTAGGTTTTCAAACCCGGGCACGAAAGCCAATCCAGACGGATCCATGGGGCACTCCGCTCCTGGAGCGAGTACCCCTGTTCCCCAGGGTAGCGGGAGCCCCGGACTTTCCGCAACCAAGTCTATCATGAATGTGTCCGGTACCTCAGGTGCAGTGGTTAGTAATACACCGGAGCCAGGGCTGAAAAGAGTGCCTACAGTAACTTTTAGCGATTCGAAGCCTTTATCACTTAAACAGCAGGCCGTTAACAACTCTGCGACACAGCAATCAAAACCGACGACAGGTGAAGAGGCGGAAAAGGTGGAAAGTCTCAGTCCCAGGTTGAAGGCCAGTACCTCGCCTCCTAACGTCAAAGATACGTCGCCACCACCATTGTTGGCCAGTGGTGACTCTGCTTCATTTCAAGGGCGTCAAAACTCAAACTCTAGCTCTGGGCGTCCTGAACCGAAGAAAGGAAATATAATATCCAAACTCTTGCACTCCGCAGACGTTTTGCACAACAGTCCAAGTCACCATTCTCACTCGAACGATCACAGCACCGCGGGCGAAGAATCACCTAAAGCCACCCCAGTCACGTCTGATACGGAATCGAGGAGGGATTTGAAAGAAGATCATCCACATTTTGTGGTGGATGACGTATTGCATTCCCCTAATTACAGGTCTAGGTCGAACAGTGCCAGTCCTATGCCCACAACTACCCCAAACAAGGCTTCTTTTGCCCTAGGGGAGAAAAGGCAGGACTCAACGACAAGACATCAAGAACCGACTATTCTCGAATCTCCGGACGAGGGCCCTGTGGAGACTCCTGTAGATCCGCTTTCCAACTTTCACCAAATTGCGCCGAACATTCCCAAACGCGAAACCGGCAAAAATTCCGAACCAAGGTTGCCGCAGGACGACGGAAAGTTACACGTTTTGTTTGGAGCCACAGGCTCGCTGTCTGTGCTGAAAATCAAGGCTATGATCAAAAAGCTGGAAGAGATTTATGGACGGGATAAGATTTCTATTCAACTAATTCTAACCCAAGCTGCGGCTCAATTCTTCACAAACAAGGCCAAGAAACCCACCAAAGTGGAATCTCGTTCCATTTCAGAGAGCGGATTGCCAGTAAGCCCAGGGACTTTCCGTACAGAACCGGCCCTTTCTAAACTTAATGCTACTACACCCAGTACTGCCTCGCATAATCATAACGTCAATGCTACTAACCACAATGGAGCAGGAGCTTCTCTCAAAATCGAACTACCAGCTCACATTCAAGTTTGGACAGATCAAGATGAATGGGATGTATGGAAACAGCGTATGGACCCGGTGTTGCATATAGAGTTACGCCGCTGGGCTGATATCTTGGTTGTTGCTCCTTTGACTGCCAATACCTTGTCAAAGATTGCACTAGGGTTATGCGACAACTTGCTGACCAGTGTAATTCGCGCTTGGAACCCCACCTTCCCCATCTTCCTAGCACCTTCCATGGTAAGTAGCAGCTACAACTCGACCATCACGAAGAGGCACCTGAAATTAATCAAGGAGGAGATGCCTTGGATTACTGTTTTCAAGCCATCAGAGAAGGTGATGGGAATCCACGGTGATATTGGATTAGGTGGCATGATGGATGCAAATGAAATTGTGGATAAAGTGGTCATGAAATTGGGCGGGTACCCTGAGGACGGCGATGAGGATGAGGATGAAGATGACGAGGACGACGAATACGACGAGTCCAAGAGCACACATCAAATGCAAGAACAATCCTTGGACGATGAAGACGAAGACGAGGACGATGAGGATGAAGACGAAGACGATGATGACGAGGAAGATGAAGAAGAGGAGAGAGTGGCTGTAACCAGCTCTCCGAATGTTACTGGTTTCGAGCTGGGGCCTCAGATATCGGCTTAAACATGCCATCCACATCCAAAAGTCATCACACACGGATTACATTTTATCTTGCACTCTGGAACGCATTTCTCATTTCTGGCACTCTGAAGGCTTCAAACCTATTTTTATAATCGACACCGAAATACATTCTTAATGTCCTGATAATACATGTATTATTTGTGGTGTTTCATTGTTGTAGTTCAAGATCAAATGACTCATTCGTATTAAGGGATAATACAGCTGCTATTATTTCCACTGTCTTATTAATGTGTAAGCGATGGAGTATGGGCTACATATAGCGCTCACGGATCTCAAACCTGAAGATTTACCAAGCAAGGTGTTCGACGTCTATTTATTGGGGACCTAGGTATAAAGAGGTTTTTGAATCCACCAAAAATGACTGAAATGCAGAGCAGTTTGTTAGTAATCCACCCTGCGATGACAGTGACGCCAGAAAAAGTGGCAAGCGTGAAGAAGAGCGCTCTCTTTTCGAACTCTGGGGTAGTAGACCAGTTTTTGATCAACAAGTTAAACGATTCAAGTGTGGTCTTGGAAGATGGGAAGTACGATCTGGTATACTATCTGACTCCGGAGATACCCAGCCAAATTCAGTTTCCTACCACACTGATTCCAGTTCTTGCAAAAAGCTTGCAAGCTGGAGGAAGGCTGTATGGATTGAGCGATAGTCTGAAGATTGATGCCCTGATAAATGGGCTGGAGATTGTAGATGCCAGGGATGATTACCATTGGGTGAAGAAGGCGGGTTTTCAAGATGTTGTGGCCGCACCAGTAGCGCTCAAAACAAAAGCGTCGTCAGGCGCATCCAGCATACAGGGTACTCAGAAAATGCTCCCAACATTCAAGAAGGCTAGTAGCTCGGTCACTAAAGCCCTTCCAACTTTCAAGAGAGCGGACTCTCCCTCTGTTAATCAACTTGCAGAAGATTTGGACAATCTTGACGACGCTGAGGAAGGTGACGATTCCGACGAGCTTACCGCAGCGAAATCCAAGTTTTTTGATGATGTTGAGGGTCTGGACTCGGCCGAGTCCATTGATGAGGAAGATCTGATCGATGAAGCCGAGCAAAACCTCATCACCGTTGTGACCTGTGGTAAGACCAAAAACAGAAGACGTAAAGCATGCAAGGACTGCACCTGTGGGATGAAAGAACAAGAGGAGCAAATGCTAGACGCAGCGAGGACGGTACAAGACCAAGTGCTCGGTAAAAAGGTCGAATTTGACGAACAAGAACTGTCAGAGATCGATTTCACCATTCAAGGCAAGAAAGTTGGCGGATGTGGCTCATGCTCGTTGGGCGATGCTTTTAGATGCTCTGGGTGTCCCTACCTCGGATTGCCAGCATTCAAGCCTGGCCAGCCCATCAGCTTGACCAGCATAGACGACGACTTGTAGGTGTCAAGAAAAGCATCAAAAGGTATTCCGGTAAAGATTCGCGGACATAACATAAATATGTATTATCAAAATGACAGCACTTGATTTGATAGATGGCTCACCTTTGCCGAAATGTGCAATCGCATCCGAGTTGCACCCTCACGTATTCCCATGATCTCTATGGATCTGGAAGCGAGCTGTGCTGCACAATCTCAATTGGAAGGTCTCGAGGCTTCTGCAAATCTGCGCGCCTTCTCTTCTTCCGGTAAAATATGATTATCATTCCAAGCACGATGAGTAGCAGCGTCACTGCCCACCACGCTGGTCTGACCGCGTAGAAGTCCTTGATACCCTTGTTGTGCGACGAGGGCTGGGTCATTTTTCCAACTATTGTCACTGAAGATGTTGGAGTTCATACCTGCTCTAGCATGGAACGTTGTTGCAGTTGCTCCAGGGTGGAACAACGTAATTTGGACCCCCGTGCCAATAAGCTCTTCCCTCAGCCCATGTCCAAAGGAAGATATGAATGCTTTTGTAGGGCCATATATCGATTCATAGGGAGTAGGAGTAGTTGCTGACAAAGAACTCATCAATAGGACCCTGCCAGAGCCTTTTTCGACCATGCCAGGAATTACGTTGTAGGCTATCTTCACGAGCGATGTAACATTAAGATTCAACAGGCTCAACTGTTTATCCAGAGGAATGTCCAGAAAACCACCTCCAAGTGATATGCCTGCGTTGAGAACCGCATCGTCTATTGGCCGCCCCTTCTCATTAGCCTTGGCCAGAAAAGTTGCCACACCTTCTTCAGTGGACAAATCAGCCTTGACACCAACAACTGTTGTCCCGTAGTGCTCCAGTTGCTCTACCGCTTCGAACACACGGTCGCTTACCCCTCCTATCAGTAGGTCGTAACCATCAGCTGCAAAAAGTTTGGCAAGCTCAAATCCAAGTCCGGATGAGCCCCCGGTAATTACTGCGTAGCGATTGTTCATGTTTCTGTCCAACCTATGAAATACTTCTTCTTCCTTTGAAGTTCCGACAAACCTGCCCGGATCCTCTCCTGTACTTTTTAAAGGGCTGGACGCCAGCTGATTTTTTATACACTGCTTCGAGACACAATGGCGACCCGAGATTATTCTACAGAGAGAAACACAACCGGCTGTCTCCAGCAGCCTATGGTGGGCCAGTGAAGCGGAAACAAGCGATGAAGTTTGGATGTCGCTCAAAAGTCCCCTCGTACCGCCTGCTCATCGAAAAAAGCAGGTGTGGAAAATCATATGGTGATACTAATTGGACCCACAACAGCTGGAAACGGCCGAAAGTTATTCCACCGCTAATCAGAATTGCTTACGTTCAATTTTTGGTCGCTAGCAGTCCATTCAGTCCCAAGAAAGAAAGTGCCATCATTTGAAAGGACATGCACCACCCGTTTTCCCAAGTGCATAGCATCCTATGAAATGCTATCCTTTGAAATGCTATGAAGATGGAACTAGTTTTGCCATTTCACCCAACTTACTTTAAGGCCTTGCCTTTCCCAGATCATTGCTTGTGAACGCAATTTGGAGACCCATTTGAGAACAGAAATCGATTTTTGGACTTCAATCTCTCCATACCATGGTTGACTCACTAATGTCATGGGCAGGCACTTTCATGCATGTCAGAATGAGGATTCTCGTCAGGCCTCTCAGATAAAATACATTCAAGACGAAGATTTCCTGAAGCGATTCATTTGTAAGTCAGAAATGCTGGAGGCATTCTCTACAGTTCACCTTACTCTCTTATACCATTTGAACTGAGTCAAAATTTTTGATCTGGCTCGGTAGCTCCAGCCTATCATCACTTGGGTGATCCTTAGATTGTGAACGCTTTGGTAGAAACATGCGGTGTAAGATGTTTTCTGCGAGATTTCAATGCGTACCTCGATCAAGTATTTCAAAACGTTGAGGCTTCCCAAACGTTTTGAAGGCGTAAAAACCCAAGCTCGTTAAAAGGTCGAAGTGCCCTTTGCAGATTGTCCGTGCTAACCTACATTGGACAATGAGTTCTGTTGGGAGAAATCCTACGTGGCTAGCTTATTAGCACCGAAGCACTGACGGAGTGGGCTTCACAGGGCTGGAATATCCTATCCTCGCCATGGGAATGGAAAAACCTAGCTTTCGACTATCATGAATTTCTATGTGGTGCCTTTCTAAAGGGATATTCAAAACCTAACACACGTAAGATGCTTCACGATTTTGACGGCTCACTCAAAGCATTTGCAGAGAATCATACAGAGATGCTTTCAAGAGTTGACGACTTTCATTGCATCCTGCGAATGTCGGCTGTACTTGACGAAAGCTCGAGAATTTCTATACCACTTTCTCGCAACTGTAGACGCATATTCAGCCATGAAGGCGGGTTCCCACTGAGAGCTACCAACAAAGATATAGCAAACGATTATCGGAGAGATTGGGAGGACCCTTCCAGTACCTCCGCTGTAGTCATCTCCGGCATATTTCGGCTGCTGGGTGGCCGAGGGGCAGCAAGGAAGGATACACGAGGCTTCTACAGCTGTTGGTCAACGAGGCGACCTTCTTGCCAAGAAACTCGTCTCAAGACAATGCTTAATATATACTGACAGTGGACCTTACGAGTTGCTAGAAAACCCGTGAGAGTTAAAGTCGTCGTTAGTGAACATCTGGAACTACGAGGAAATAAAAGCTAGTACCTCGCATGAACCATAAAAAGGACTTAGACAAGTTCCGATGCCCTGCATCGCTGGCTCGTTGGGTCAACTGCTATGGACTCCTACTTGGTACCGTACACTCGTATACAGTGATTATAATTAAATTGACCTTTCTCATCGATCAGCTGATGCGACTGCTATCCGTCTAAATGAAGCTTATCAATCACCGTCTAAGCCGGCACATAAAGCTCCACACCCAGCACAACGTCCGAGCAGAGACCTATTTGACCCACCACAGGTTCCTCAAACCTCCACTAGCGTAACATTTGTCTATGGCGACTGTATCTTCTCACCTATAACATTGTAGTCATTTCCACCATCTAAGTAGAAACCAAAACTTCTAAATGACCACCCCACAGCTTAAAACCTCCAGTAGAACGGCTATACTGGTGCTGTCTGTGTTGGCCCGCACATCGCAACGCAACATTGCCACAGACGTCAGAATTGTAATTTCGACATCATATTTCGACAGTCAAATGCCACGTTAGCTTCCAAACCGTTATTGCTCGTGATCAGTCGCATAGGGTTCGTCCGATAGAGCCATTAAAACAAGGGAGGCGGTGTTTCCCAGATAACGATTATATAAAGACAATGACTGTAGTTTCCGGGCGTAGCCCGCCACCTTCCGTAATGCTACAAAAGTATAGGCTCAAGCAACTAAAAGGGCCTATTTAGATAGTAGTGTATACCATCGAAACTCAGAATGGAAGACAGCAGAGTGTCTATTAATGTGGAGAAAGTGGGATCAGTTGAAGGAGCTGAAGGAAGCGGGTCGGCTGGGAAAAGTGAAGTCATAGGACATAACTGCGATGAGGATATGGTTACTAACGTCTCACTGAGTCGAGTATCAAAAAAAAGCGGCATAAAGAAGAAGAAGAAAGATAAATGCTACTACGAGAAATGTGGATTTACAGCTCTTAAGTTCATCGGTGACTGCCAGTTTTGCCAAGGGCATTTCTGCTCTCGCCACCGGATAATGGAAAACCACTCTTGCCAAGGACTCAAATCTTGCAAAGAACAAATGCATCAACGCAACGCGGACAAGCTGGCCGCAGAGCAAACAATCGTCGCCAAGATCCAAATATGAACGGGACATCGTCATTCTTGGAATTAAGATTCTTGATGTGGAGGCTTTCTTTTTTGATTTTACTTAAGAAACACACTCGCGTGAGCAGGGCTTCGCTGGAGTGATGGCATGCCAACAGTCATATATCAGTATTGTATTGTATTGTATTGTATTGTATTGTTTCTCTGTAAAAACTATTATAACACATGCATCGGACTTGCCGAGAATGCCGACTAGACTGAAGCTATGGCGCGACGCACTGCGTCCAGGACGTTGTGGGCAATTATTGTGGGCTCGCACGGTAATTTGTCACCATCGCGATAGACACCCGAGCGAACAAGACACGTAGACCAGCCATAGTTATGCGCACCTATTATATCACTGGCTGGGTTGTCTCCTACCATAAACACCTTGCGGAAGGGGGACGTTTCCGGTGCCACGCCGAGGGCCGGCAACGGAATGTCCTCTTTTGACCCACTCGCCAGCTTTTCGCGCCAATTTATCAATATATGGTGTGCGAAATCGTAAGTGACTCTCGTAGGCTTGCCTATGATTGTATTCTGCAACTGCGCACCGAAATTTATCTCTGAGTAGAGCTTTTCGATCACTGTGCGGAACGCTCCTTGGCCGATCCTATTCAGTTTGTATTGATTTGCCCATAGTAAATCATTGTTGGAAAAGTAGATGGGAACAGAGGGCTTACCGAGATCTGCGACTTGTTTTGAAGGGCGTGCGGTGTTTAACATCCCCTTCTCGCTGTTCAGAATGTCCAGAATAATTTGGATGTCAGCTCCCCAGTCGCGAGGGTCATTGAAAACCAAGATGGCCTCGAATGGCTCTTTATCTAGACCGGGAATCTCTCGGGTAATCTCCATCAATCGTTCCGGAGAAGTGCCCGAAAAAGGTGCAATGCTGGGCTCATACCTAACAATATCCATAGGATGAACAACTTTCTCGAAGCCATACGTTTCAGCCACATCTCTTACTGTTGGAGAGCCCACAGCTAGTACCTTCTTGTATTGCGAGACAAGAGTCTTGAATGGCGTATGGCTTTGAATGATCTGGGATGGTGACAACGGAACTCTGAGCACATCAGACATGAATGCAGTGCGTTGATTTTCCAAGGTCCCACCACCGTTGGTGAGTAAGATGAATGGGATTTTGTTCTCCTGGCATAGTTTCAGGGCCTCTGAAGCCTGTGGGATTGGTTCCTTACTTCTCAATAGAACCCCATCAATATCAAATGCAAAAGCGATATCCGAATGCAGTGATCTCGTGGTCAAAGAGAGCTTTCTCGGCACAAGGCGGAGGGGTTGGCAACTGGAAAACATAGTCGGGTACTCAAATTGTATCCTTTAGATCTCTGACTGACCTCAACGTAAATTTGTCATTAGGGTGGTCATTGTTCGAGACCTGCATGTGATGCCGGTAAATATTAATCTACATACGTCTACAGTGGATAAAGGAAAAAGGACGACCGAGCCCTAGAATCCCAGTAGGGCCTCGTTGAATCCTTCGAAACCTTCAGTAATTAGGTACTTATTAGTGTCATTCAGATTCGAAAGATTTTCGTCTATAAGGGCCACCACAGCTTTCCCGACCACTAGCAACCCTGGCGGACGTGAGCCTATTTCATTCACCACGTCGGGAACATATTTCAATAAGGTTCTTGTTATTCTTTGGTCCGAGCACGTAGCACGCTCGATAATAGCAGTTGGAGCATCAGGGTCCCAATTCTCTTTTAATAATGCGTCGACTAATACTTCTGATCTGTGCAAAGCCATCAGAAAAATGGTAGTTCTCGAGATCACATATTCTGGGATCTGTGGTAGTGCCCCTTTACGCCCAGTTCCAGTGCAGATTAACACCTGGTCTGCCACGTCTCTTTGAGTGGCGGGAATATTCGCGACCACGGTAGCGGTTAATGCAGAACTCAATCCTGGGAACACCTTTGGAACGTATCCATGTTTAGAGAAAAAGAGGTATTCCTCTCCCCCGCGTCCGAATATGTAAGGGTCGCCTTGCTTGAGTCGAACAACTTTTTTGCCCTCCAGCAGTCCAGCTAAACCTTTTTCCAAGAGCTCTTCTTGTGCTCTTTCGGCATTACCTGGAAACTTTCTAGCTATAAAGACTTCGACACGTTCGGGTATAAGGTCAAGCACAGTCTCTGGTACAAGCTTATCAGCCAATATCAGGTCTGCGCTCTTTATCTCCTCAAATGCCCCACAAGTGAGCATCGATACGGAGCCTGGACCACTGCCAACCAGTGAGATAGCTCCACCAGTAGTCACGCGAGCTTTTTCGAGAGGTGCACTGGCAGTAAGTACATTTTCCGGCGTCTCTCCCTGTGTTGCCTGCTGATCTGATGAAAACTGAGGGCACTGAGCCTGTGGACCTCCGTGGATCGTGGACTTGTCTGCAATAGAAGTTGTGTAGCTGTCGGCGAGTTGTGAAATAGAAACATCGGCAAGTTGGGCTAAAGGGTAGTACTGCATAATCTGGGAGAGCCATCTGGTGCGCTTAAGTTTGCGTTCATTTTCACTCATGGAAAACTCACGCACGAGTTTGTTTAACTTTTGACTGTCCCAGCTATCCTCATCAAGACCATACCCCAAATCTTGTAGGTCCTTATTCATGTAATAATTTGATATTAAGCCAGAGTTGTCCTCATTTATGATCCTGTCTCGTAGATTTCCCATATTTATGACCGCCTGGGATATTTTGGCGGGAAGATTGGATACGATCTCGCGCTTAATCCGATTGGCCAAAAGACACCCTTGACCATTCGTAGTGACTGCAATTTGTAGGCCACTCTTATGAGGATCGGTGAAAGTAGATATGGGACTGAAAGTGGAAAACTCGGGTCTCTGCGAAGTGTTTATAGGTATCCGAAGCTTGGCGCACTGCTGATATATTTCCTGCATTAAGAGGGCCTGATCCTGAGCCAAACTCACAAAAACTCGATCCACAATTTTAGCAACGAGCGGACGGCCCAAGGTCATCAAGTGTTGTAATTCAAATGCAGTATCGAGAATCAAGACTCGAGATTCGCCAGCAAATCTCTTGCGAAGACTGTCGACGTCCGAAGGGCATGACACACCGGTAAAAGTAGCAAAGGCTCCGCTGTCAATGATCGCCCTCGCTCTTTTAATCGTGGCACTCAGTGAATGCGTACCAACTAGCAAATGCACTTCATTTTCGCTATTCAAGGATGCAATGAGTGGGACAGTATCCGTCAGCATGTTTGTGCAGCTTTCAATTGGGACAAGTGATTTATTAGTAAACAGAGAACCAAGAGCCTAACAGAGCTTTGAATTGAAGTGGGTTGTGGCGAGCAGTATTCCCATTAGATGTAGTTCTCGATGGGCGATTGTTCTTATAGTGAAAGCGCTTACTGCCCGGTAAAGCCACAACTACCTGCTCATAACTTGAAATGGCTTCAGATCACATGAAGTTGTGAGAAATTGATTACCGTGAGTGATTACCAAATCATCGACTTTAAGATGCAGCAAGGTTTTCTCCCAGCTCTTCATCTAGTTCTCTTCTCGATATGACTACTATCTTCTCTATGAACTTTCACATATCCGGTTATTTAGTCCTTAGGTTCTTGTGTTGACCTGTTAAATCTTCATGAACTCTGTTCGAACGCAGACCTATCCAGGTAATTTTGCACAGATCATCAAATTTACTCAGACTGTGTACACCGGTCTCTAAACCCACTATAGTGTACTGTAGTACTAAGAGGTGCTCTTATTACATTTTGGTGCGTGCTCTATTCTCCGATTGCTTGTCGCTTTCGGGTTTTACTTCATCAGATGTCAGATTAGTAAAAAGTGATCTTGGAATTTACAACTACAATAGAGAACTCTTCCCGGAATGGGGAGAGGTTATGAGTTTAGACCGGCCATTAGCCCTAAAATTAGCTGGTGAACTACTCTAGTGATGTGTTAGAGCCACGTTATAGTTAAAAAAAATAGTTCATAATTGTTAAAGTGTGCAGCTAAGGTCACCACTTATAGCCGCACCAAGTTTTTAAGAATACGCAATAATGAACCGCTATTCAATTCATGGACCGCAGTAATCAGACAGCCTTTTGTGAAAAATGTCGCTGGGTAGTATTTTCTTAATCGTTGATGGCGCGTGATAACATCAGAATGTCCATCGAAAGAGCAGCGTTGGTGACAAAGAACACTGGTCAAGTCAGTCTGTGGCAGCATCAGCGCATTGTGAAAATACAAAATGCATTTTAATACCGAGACCTGGGCATTAATTACTGATTTGTGGCCATTAGTTAGTTATTTCTTCCTGGATCTGATGATCTTTTATGCCATGGAAAAAACATGCATGCATCATCAGATGATAGAGAGAATTTATGCTCATCGCCGCCGGCATAAAAAAGGACAGACCAACCTTGCAGCTCAGTTTCGTAGTGCTACCTGCGAAATAGGGAAGACCCACGAATAAAGCTACATAATTATGGCAAAGAGAACATTAGGTGTTGGCAAGCAAAGTAAGGGCTTGAAGAAGCTAAAGAAATCAGAAAATTCTCCTACGCCGGAGACCACTCCTGCAAACCAGATCACCGTTGAGGTGGAAGAAAACGTGGATCCTGAAAATGAGCTAGTGCAGTTGAAGGGCCTATGGAAAACATACTTCGACTCCGACAGAAACGATGAGATGGTTTTAAATGGGATCGTCCACGAATGCGACCGTCTGGTGCGCAGTGCCGCTCCATCAGAAGCAGTTTCTGGTTCTGAAAGCTCAGAGACGCAAAGTTCAGATGCTCAATTGGTACACTGCAGTGAGTTCCATGCCATCTACGCCCTTGCGCTGAGTGAATTGACTATTTTCAAAGCTGGTGACGAAAAAGAGGAAAAATCCGTTGCTGGATTTTTCGACGCTGCCGCTGAAAGGTGCCAGAACGGCCTTAATGAACATCCCAATGCCCCCTTGTTAAAATTGGTGCGAGCCAAAGTAGCTCTCCAAAGAATCCCGTTGCAATTCATTTCTAAGATTCAGGTGACTGACACGAACGCCTCGCAACTACGCATACACGAGCTACTAGAAGGTGCAAAGAAAGATTTACAGACTGTACCCGAGTATTCAGAGCTAACTTTCGAAGTGTTACAGTCTTTTGATGACCTGTTGGATATAGTGGAGAATTTTGGGCACGAAAACGAAATAGACGAGGGTCTGGATAGCGATGCCGAAGACGAATTAGACGAGATTGAGCTTCCAGATCAGCACCCGCTTTTCCAAGTCCGCGCAGAAGTCGCATCCAATTATTCCTTCTTGCGCCAGAAGCTTCAGGAATTATTTTCCACCATCCCCAAGGGCACGAAGTTGTATCACTCGGTCGCTAAAAAGCTTGGTCAGCTACATTTAAGCGCAGCTCAACCTTCGTCACAGATCTATCTAGAACTAACGTATGAGAATGATGATGAAGATGTTACGGAAATTGATGGTTTGAGTGCTACAGCGGCACAGGAGCAAGCCTTAGGCTTGGTCACCGACGCAGTTCATTATTTGGAACAGGCAAGCACCGATGATGAACCGCAGAGCTGGGTTGATGTCGCCGAAGCCCTCACCGACGCTGGTAACTTGTATGCTGCTGAGTCTAAAGATCAAGAAGAATGCTACGATAAAGCCGAAAAGCTCCTAAGAAAGGCCAACAAGGCTACTCACGGAAAATACCAAAACATCCTTGACAACTTGCTTGGAACAAGTGAGGATTCAGACTAAATTGTTCACCAACGAACGCTATTCCGGATATAGACTAAATAGTAGCTTCTTGTACGAACGGTAAGAAATACCCCATAATTAACTTTTGAATTTAACCTGGCGTAACTTACTCGAAATTCATCCTGTGCAAGACCTTATATACTGCCAAAATCGATGAGCGCTAGCACAAGTGGTACTTCGGCACCAGCTGCAGCCTCACGAAAGTCGTTGAAGGCTTTTAGCGAAGACGTATGGAAAAACAAAACCGCAAAGATCAATGCAGAGCTTTTCACTTTAACTTACGGGTCCATCGTTTCGCAGCTTTGCACAGACTATGAGCGCGATTTTACAAGAGTCAATAACCAACTCTATTCAATGGGATACAATATAGGGGTTAGGCTAATCGAGGATTTCTTAGCCCGTACCGCGCTTCCAAGATGCGATTCGTTGGCAAAGACCAGTGAAGTTATCAGTAAATGTGCATTCAAGGTATTTTTGAATGTCACTCCTCAGATTGGCAATTGGTCAAGTAATAAAGATTCTTTTTCAATCTTTTTGGAAGAAAATCCATTGTCAGATTTTGTGGAGTTACCCATGGATGCTGCGAGGGAGCTTTGGTATTCTAACATTGTCTGTGGAGTACTCAAAGGTGCGTTAGAAATGGTGCAAATGGACTGTGATGTGTGGTTCGTAAGTGACGTTTTAAAAGGCGATCAATTGACAGAAGTGAGGGTCAAACTTAATAGAATTTTGAAGGACGAAATTCCAGCCGGTGAGGATTGAGTGAATTTTTAAACGAAACCAGCTTACATACGTATCATAAAGGAAGGCAGCTCAATTCTGATATAACCCTAGTCTTTTTTGTCATATTGCATCTTCTGTCTAACAAGCTTTCCAATGAGAGAATCTGTTGCAGGGCTTACCACGTCCCATGGTGTTTCTTGCTGATCATCTGTCAATCCTTCACCTAAAATTGGGATATCAGAAAGCGAGGAACGTGAATTCACCTTCGATAGGGCATTCGAATAATCTGAGCTGACAGAATGCACAGATGACGATCTGCTTCTGACCTGGGGGTCCACATCAGCTTCTCCATGCTTCGCTGCTTCTTGCGTAATTAAGAACCTTCCAAAGTCGGGGAAAACTGAGGGCCCCAAATCGTTGCATACTTGCGTTACTTCCAAGCTTAATTCTTCACGCGTTTTCTGTAGTTGCTCGAGATGACGCTGTGGATATACGACCGAGATGGCTAAAGGTGGCAGAGATTTAAAAAGGTCCATTCCAGACTCCCCGGTCTTGAAGCTTGCATACGTCGCTGCAACTAGTAACGCATAAAAGTAGGCAAAGTTTCCCATATTGCGACAACTTTCTCTTACCCCCACAACCCAGATATGCTTGAAAAGGGTAGGATATACCTTCACCAGGTAGCATAGTGCTAAGGAGTATGTCACGTATAGGGCAGGAGCAAATACTAAAGCAACCAGAAGTTTCCAGGTAGCTAAAAGATCAGTCCCTTTGAGCTTCACCAAAGATTTTCTCAAGCCATCTTCGGCCTTCCTTTGCGCATAGTAGTGGCATGTTACAAAGACAGGCATGAACAAAACGGTGCCCGGAAGTGACAGACAAAGGTAGAAAAAAATCAAGAGAAGTCGAGTTGCAAGAGTAAAAAGAGGTATCCACTTGCCTCTTTTCGGGCTCAATTGCGGCACTTGATGGTCTCTCAATCCAAGTGCAAAAAGTTTAGAGTTATATTGAGATACCATTGCCTTCAAATGCTTGATCCTAGGGTCCTCTTTGTACTTCGAGTATCCGATAAGTAGTCTTCTATTCATCTCAACAACCAGAGGCAGTGGCAGATGTCCATGGCCCTCTTTGGTAACCGATGGTCTGTAAAGTCTCCTTGCAGCTTGGATGGTCATCAGGGTTTCATAGTCTGGGGCATTGACGGTCACCGCGTACAGTGCCTGCGTTATTTTCTCCAATAAATCAGAAGTTTGGCTTCTAGGGTTCTCTTCATATTTTTTACCCATGGCACCATCCACTACGATAGGCTGACCAAATTCAAGAACTGCTCTAGACCTAAACTTGTTTCGATGAAAATAATTTATACCACAGGGTACGACTGATATTTTCATACTGGGGTCTGCAGCTGCAGCGCCAAGGGCCATGATAGCAACACCGGCTTTTATGGGTAGCAAAGATGGTCTATCATGAGAGCCGCCTTCGGGGAAAATCCCAACACAGCCATTGGTATGTAAATGGTTGAAGACGCTTTGGAAAACCTCCGTATTGTCGATCTTAGGGGCATACTTGAAATTAGTACCGTTTGTTAGTAGTTCGCGAACTTTGGGAATATCCTTAAAAGCTTTTGACAGAATCAAGGTCTCATCATCTGGTATTTCGGCAATCTGCGCGTTTCCGAGGAAGAAGGGCAACCCAACCAGAGATTTAGCGGTGAACCGAGAAGTGAGTGCTGGCGATTGAGTTTCTCCAACGCTCCGACACTTCAACACAGTGGGCGATCCCCAATCGGGCACGTAAATTTGCAGATCTGAATCCACGGGCTTCAAGTTGTCTTGCGCTCTGGGGACAGGGATGCCGCCGGTACTCTTGCTAAAAATGGAAATAAATCGTTTTTTATAGCTGGACTCTGCGGTTACCAAACAGGTCATCTTGTCGCGGTTGCCCTTGAGTTTCCGGACTTGAGACATCACCAGGGCGCCGTCAACAAACTGATTGGCGTGCGGAGCGCACACCAGAATAGTGGGCACACCTTTGGCAGGAACGTTGTGGGTACCGCGGACTTTTATTTCGCGAAAGAAGATCGCGAAGATCACGTCGAAGATAAAGACCATCAGGTCGTAGACCCAGGTCTTCAGCGTATAGGAGACTCCATCGTAGTGGTTTTTGTACAGCTGTTGCCTCGGGACGTGGGAAACCATGCGTGCTCTACGAATTCAGCGAGCGGAAGAAGGAAGTGTCCTGGCTGGCTGGTCTAGAAAGGTGCCTGAGCTCCTTCGTTCCCATTTGATACTTTTGGCCTTTGTTGGATTTGGCACGTGACCGACACTTTTCCGGGGTTGCGCGGAACAGTAACACGGTTGGTGTCGTTAAACATTTTTAGAGCCACGGCAGCTCGGGGCGTGCCCGACACACTGGCCAAGAGCTCGTTGAAAGCCGTGTTCATATCCTGTAATGCCAGCCCATGCTGTATGCCCGTCGAAAACGAACCACGGATAAATCACCGGCCGCTGACCACCTTATGACGCCGAGGAGGACGGGGGATAGGCCAGCCATCCGTAAAGACCGCCACTAAGATCCCACACCCGGTGCGGTCCCGCGTTAAGAGCCCTAGGGCGACCAAGCTGCTGTTAGAGGAAAACCACCGTGGACGTTCCCAGCCTCGGCGGCTACGCACGTGATCTCCACGCCCACCCTGCGGGCAAAAAACTTGCACCACGGCCCGAATCCTCCGGGCGGCTCTCCCCGGCCCTGCGTGCATATAACAAGTCCCCCACAGTCTAAGGCTCATTGCACAGCCGTGTTTTCTTCCAGCCGCCCATGCCCCGTAGCTTGCGAAACGTTGTTTAGTCGTCTCTTTATTAGCTGCTGTAATCGAAATCCCATCCATATAACATCACACGAAAAAAATTAAGGAGTAGCTTTGAACGGCTGTAGATCCAGCTCCTCAACCTAAATTGAGAGTCTTGTTATTACGAGTAACGTGGTTCGGGAAGACGAGGGCGGATACAAGGTGTTTTTGTGCTCCTCCGAAGGTTCGAACACATGTGTAGAAAGGGTTATATATCTACAGTGACCACAGTAGAGTCGTCACATCACATTGATGGGGTGTTGTGGGCTGCTTCTCATGGAGCCCATTTTATCGGCTAGTAGGGAAAGTTGGCTTTGAATTCGGCTGGCAGATTTGGGCTTGGTTCACCCGCCGGGATGCGGCGTGGACGCTACGGACAGCTGAAAAGAGCTGTAGCCTGTGGCTTTCAATAAAAAATGCGTGGAGACCCAACGCTGCAGTACGACAATAGCTGCTGGAGCCTGGAGATCCAACGCTGCAGTACAACATGTCCTGCATCATTGCCCTTGCCATTATCTGCTGATTAGTAGTTCTACTGTGCTATAAGTATATCGATGGCTAGAGACACTTTTTAATGAGCGCGCTAAGAATCAGCGAAGCCGGATCCTCGGACGAAACTGTCAAAGAGCTTATTTTGTCCCATCGGGCTTTGTATGGTCGGCTGTATGACGGCCTCTTCGAAAGGTAGTCGTGAAGCCTTACAGCCAAAGGCGAGTACTGTTCCTGCTCGGCTGAGTAAACAGCACTTTCAGACGTTCAGACTACTGTTCATCGGAGTCGTCTACAGTATCTACTTGCGTTGTAAGCAGCCACGAGTAGCCCATGTAGTCATCTCGAGCCGTTTGCTAGTGCTCTATCTTTTAGCGAAGCTTAAATCCGGTAAAATACGCGGCGCATTGATCACTTGCTACTAACCCCGCTATTCGTCCAGTCCCAACTGCAAATAATTCATTCGATGCCTCCACGCACCTACACGGTGTGGATTGTTCACGCCTATATATATTGCATACTCCCTTTAGCGATCTGGGTTCTCTACGCTAATATTAGGAACACATCTGGGGCTCGTCCAAGCGTCAAACTTTGCGGTCTACTCGGATACAGATAAAGCACACGGTCTGGTCTTCGCCTACTCTTCGCCTCTTGCCTCGCTTCTACCTCACAGAGCTGTCGGTGGATTTTGGCCCAACGAACTGGTACTGGGACAGTTGGGATCGGTGAGCAAGGTACTTAGCCACAGCAGGATTGGTCCAGTTTTCGTTGCGTGGCTCCGGAAACCCATTTTTACGGCCGTAACAGCACATCTCGCCAGACGAACATAGCACGTGATGTCGTCGCTGCAGGTTACGTCAGCAGTGCCGTCGGCGGCTGCTGCATCTATGTCGGCGGCTATGGCGTCGGCATCGGCGTCGGCAGTTGCCGAGGCTGCCGAGAACTACTCGCTGTATGGTCCCATGAACCCTAACATCGCGTTCAACTCAGCCATGGCCGCCATATTCGGCATCCTCTTCATCCTACAAGCACTCGCTGGTGTGTGGACGCGACAGTGGTGGATGCTGGTGTCCTTTCTGTGCGCGTGTGCGCTGGAAGTCATCGGATATGTAGGCAGGTCGCTCAGCCATGACAACACCTCAGACCTCAACGATTTCTTGCTGCAGTTTATCTGCCTGACTATTGCGCCTGTGTTTACGATGGCGGGCCTGTACTATCAATTGGGTAAGCTGGTTGAGATCTACGGCCACGCGTTTGCGCTTTTGAAAAACCCCATGCTGTACTCGTACATCTTCATCGTCTGCGACTGGATCTCGTTAATCATCCAGGCTGTCGGTGGTGGGATGTCAGGCAATGCGGCCGCCAACTACGACGACACCTCTACGGGTGACCACATTTTTGTTGCCGGACTTGCTTTCCAAGTGGCTTCGATGACCATGTTTCTGTTCCTGTGGTTCCATCTACTCTACCAGATCTTTGTGGTGACTCGGATGCAGCATGTGGGTACCACCAAAGTGTCAATATCGTTATTCCGCATACCTCAGAGTGAGATAGATTACAAGTATCGAGCCAAGTTTGAATCTCTTCGACTGCACCCGCAACGGTGGATTTTTCGGTACTTTCCTTGGGCCTTGACAGTGTCAGTGTTGCTAGTTTATGTGCGCTGCATTTATAGAGTTATTGAGCTTGCAGAGGGATGGAACGGAAATCTGATTACCCATGAGGTGTACTTCATCATCCTAGACGCACTTATGATCTCACTCGCTACCACTATCATGACTGTTTTCTACCCTGGCTTTGCATTCAAAGGCCGGTCAGTCAAAATTCCCATCCAAAAGGATACCGGGGCCAGAGAAGCCTCTGATGATGCAAATGCTGGAGCTGATTCGCCTACAGAAGCCCTTTTTCCTACCGAAAAGGAGCTATCCTCGCCACGTCCAGCTTCCAATAGAAGCTCAAGCTTTCATTCAAGCTGAATCGCATGAGGATCGATGGAAGGTTTTACGTTGTATAGTCAGGTTTTATGTACACTTAGCCTAATGCAGTGATCGATTTAAACAGGCACCGCGTGGGCCTTTGCTCGAGAGGAAAGTATTGGGAGAAAGACCTCAACCCTACCCCGTGCTCGGGCTCTTGCGAGCACCACTCAGTTCCATTTTCATCAAATTTGTCAAGCTTTGGCTGTTCACATAGCGAGAGCCGTACTGTTTTTTTTTTTTAAGTAGCTCAGCTATACAGAACGTCAATACCTGAGTCTTTCATCCATTGAGCTTTCAGATGAAGATCGTGCAGCCCCAGTATTTGCTCAGTCTCTTCTATGTCAATCCAATTGTCGGTAAAGGAGTTGAGCGTCTGTGACTGACATGTTTTAGTACCGTTACTGGTTGCAACATAGATTCTTCGCAATTCTGCAAAGTCCGATATGAAGGTAGTCGCTGCCTCGCTTGATATTGAATTATCTGGACCACATGCTACACTCGATCGAAATTTCTCATCTCCCGAAAGTAATCTTGATAGTAGTTGTTGGTAAATGGAAGAAGCAGGGCTCAGGGCGGCATCCATTGCCAAAAGTTTGTGTTCAGGAGCACAGTTATGTAGCAGCTGAAAAAGCTGCAGCAAGCGGGAAGGGATATAGCTTTCCTGAATGCCACTGGCATTCAACCTTGGTTGCAACGTGTCAAGGGTTATCTGGCACAAATAGTCAACGGACTTGCTGAACCTTTCACAACGAGTCGCATCGGGGTAAATATCTGTAAAACGCTGTTCCCACTCATTTTTTGAGTTTTTGCGGACATAATCCTGGGGTAAATGTCGTAGTACGTCGTTGGCCATAATTATATACACAGGGTCTTCAATCCACAGTGATTGGGGGAATGATAAAATGCCGTCCTGCAATACAGTGATTTTATCGTCAGGGACAGATACTTTCATGTTTCTTCCCAAAAGGTTGTTGCTATGGAGCGGCAACAAGAAACAATGGACGCGTTGATATAAATCGTCAGGCGTTGTGTGTTTGAAATAATTCAAGATGGATCGTGACAGTCGAAGTGATTGGTGCAGATCTGTATATACCGTCAAGATATTCAGATCGAAGTAAGGATACGAATTAAGCTTATAGTCCACGGCTAGCCATCTGGCCATGCAATGTGCCAGTATCTGCTCGAATTGTGAAAGAGACGGCATCAAATGTTGTTGCGTTAGGTTGCGGGGAGCGAAGAAGTTCTGCGATCCTATTTTTTCGATGCTGATCCACTCCAAAAAATCTCGACTAGGTACGGTCCCTCCTTCAACCGGAATGCCTCTCGAAATGAGCTCATTGGTGTCCAGCAAGGCAAAAGTGTGATGCCGTCGACAAATGACTCTCTTAGCTGCGCGAAAAAAAGCCATAGCTCCGCACAAGAAGCCACTCAATTTAATTTCGTAGCTCGCCTCAAGCAGAATAGCTCAATTTAGTATACATGTATCGGTTTCTTGCTCAGCTTCACCTGTTTGCTTACCTTGAAGTTGTCACCTTCATTTCTATAATATAAAATAATAATAAATAAATACATCGAAAAATTTCAGAATCTTGACATCTCTCTGCTCATAATATTTAAACTCGCAGTTCGGTATACCTGTTAAAAGTTCCATCAAATGGGTGTTCCCTCATTCTTTAGATGGCTTTCCAGGAAGTATCCCAAAATCATATCTCCAGTTCTGGAGGATACGCCTCAAATTGTTGATGGGGTAGCGTTGCCAATAGACTATGCAGGTGCTAATCCCAACGGGGAATTGGACAATCTTTATCTGGATATGAATGGTATTGTACACCCATGTTCCCATCCAGAAAATAAACCACCCCCAGAAACAGAAGACGAGATGCTTCTGGCGGTCTTTGAGTACACAAATCGGGTCTTAAACATGGCAAGACCTCGCAAAGTCTTAATGATTGCCGTCGACGGTGTGGCACCAAGAGCTAAAATGAACCAACAGCGTGCACGTCGGTTCCGAAGTGCGCGCGATGCCCAGATCCAAAATGAAGAGCGTGAAAGAGCTTTACTAGAACGCGAAGATATGGGTGAGATTATTGATGAGGGCATCAGAAACAAGAAAACCTGGGATAGCAATGCAATCACCCCGGGAACGCCATTCATGGACAAGTTAGCTGCAGCACTGCGATATTGGATCAGCTTCAAGCTTGCCACGGATCCAGGATGGAAACATTTGCAGGTTATCATCAGTGACGCTACAGTCCCAGGGGAAGGTGAGCATAAAATTATGAATTTCATCAGATCTCAAAGAGCAGACCCTCAGTATAATCCAAATACGTCCCATTGTATATATGGGCTGGATGCAGATCTCATTTTCCTAGGTTTGGCGACTCATGAACCACACTTCAAAATATTAAGAGAAGACGTATTCGCTCAAGACAATCGCAGAAGACAACGTGTACAGGATACCATCAACATGACAGAAGAAGAGAAGCAAAGCATATCTGCTCAGGATGCTGAAAAGCCATTTCTCTGGCTTCATATAAGCGTCTTGCGGGAGTATCTCGCGGTAGAGCTCTTGGTGCCTCGGCTATCTTTTGACTTCGACTTAGAAAGAGCAATTGACGATTGGGTATTCATGTGTTTCTTCTGTGGTAATGACTTCTTACCTCATCTCCCATCGCTAGACGTGCGTGAGAACAGCATCGACATTTTAGTGGAAATCTGGAAGGCAATCCTCCCACGCCTTAAGACATATATGACGTGCGATGGTGTGCTAAATCTTGAATCTGTGGAATTGTTGCTGAGTCAATTGGGAAGTCGGGAGCCCGAACTTTTCAAAGGCAGGTACTTGCAAGAAGTGAGGAAGCAAGAGGCTGCCAAACGGCGCAAGATGTTGAAAAGCAACAATAACGTTACTAAGGGGAAAACTGATCGTAACTTCACAATGCCTTTGGAAAACATGCCTGTATATGACGTTTCGGGAACTGCTGCTGATGGCTCGCTGAACTTGTCAAACCGAGATTTCGTAAAGTACAGGAAGGAAATGAATTTGGCAAACGAGGGAGATGATAAATCTGCAGCCGCTTTGCGGGCCCAAAGTACGCAAAACATGAAACCTCAGAGTCAATACACTGAGGAACAAGTTTCTAGTGCAGTGGAGACTGCGAATGTAGCCAACTTTTCAGCTGCAGCTATCATGAAGCAAAAGTTGTTGGCCAAGTCTCTCGAGAAGGCGGATGAGGAGGTAGGTACAAATGGGAATCCCGAAAAAGTTAACGCTTCTGAAGATAAAGAAGGTGCTACAAAGAGAACATTTGATGATGTGGAAAATGGCGACTCAGCAACTCCAAGTGTCGCAGATGAGGATTCACAAACACCTGCAAGCTTTCAGGTGGTTCACACTGGACTTGTGTCTAGTGGCGTTATTGACACAGATGAAGAGGTGAAATTATTCGAACCTGGTTATCATGATAGGTACTACACGGCAAAGTTTCATGTCCAAGAACGCGATATTGAATCTTTGCGTAGAGACCTAGTGAAGTGTTATGTTGAGGGTGTTTCTTGGGTTCTTTTGTATTATTACCAGGGCTGTGCATCTTGGGATTGGTACTATCCATACCACTATGCCCCCTTTGCATCGGATTTTAAAAACATCGGAAGTCTGGAGATCGCATTTGAGAAAGGTGAACCATTTTTGCCTTTTGAACAGTTAATGAGTGTTTTGCCAGCCGCATCTGGCCATAATTTACCCGAAATTTTCAGAACTTTAATGAAGAATCGCGATTCTGAGATTATCGATTTCTACCCAGAGGAATTCCCTGTTGATATGAACGGGAAGAAGATGTCCTGGCAAGGAATTGCATTATTGCCATTCATTGACGAAAAGCGCTTACTAAAAGTGGTACGTCAACAATATGAACATCTGAGCGAAAAAGAAAGGCTGCGCAACGTGCGGAAGCAAGAAGTGCTACTGATCAGTAACAGAAATGCCAACTACGAAAAATTCTCTAAAAAACTCTACGGATCGACTCCAGTTGAGACTATCATTTTCCAGCATTTTAAAAGTGGTCTCTCTGGGAAGGCAATCATCGACAAGGAAGGGTTCTCACTAAACAGCAAACTTGTAAGCCCAGTTGTTGGTGGTGGATTGCCAGACATTAGCACAAATCTTTTCTTGAAGGTAGGATATTGTATGCCTGAACTTCCAGCTCCAAGTAAATCAGTTCTTTTGAATGGATTTATTCCTCCGCAGATGATGCTTACTCCTCAGGACCGCGATGCCATTGCTTACCGCTATAGTCATAGGTGGAACGCTATGGATATGAAACACAATATTGTCCCCACCGGATCCTGCAGCACTACGCAATACCAACGGCGCGTAGGAGGGTATAAATCCTTTTTGTTCTACCAACAAGCGCATAGTGGGCCCCTTCCTGTGGCTTCGCATGGGCATACGAGCTATGGGAACGTGCGTCCTCTAGGGTCGAGATATAACGACGGTAAAGGTAATCACCGAGGTTACCAGAGTAGATACCAGGGGAATACTCAGAATGCGCCGCCAGTAAACCAATCCCGATTCTCACGACACTCGAACTCAACTCATAACCAGCCAAATCCTCGCAAAGTATGGAGAGGCTAGGCGATAAATGCAAATCTATAAGTGTCGGCGTCCCCGTGTAATACTCACGTGTCGAACTTTATATACCTGTTCCGAGGAGAGGGCGATCATGTACGGTATTTTGCTTAGCTGGTCGATTATGTATACAGTTCAAGAATCATCTCAGTACGTATGATATTAAAACAAAAGCAGTTTCAATCACCAATGGCGACTCATGCCGCATTCTTAAAGTAGCCTTCTCGTGGGACGACTGAGCTGAGAATAATGACAGGACCTGGGTCATAGACTATCACGTAGCCATGAGGCACCGATGAGATAGCATCACGCAAGCTCAGTTGGGATCCGTCGAGACACCACGATGCCTCAGGGCCATCCGTCAAAATGAAGATCCTCAAAGTTGAGTCAGAGCAATAGAAAGCATATAAAAGGAAACTAATCGATTTCACCAAATAGGGTGATTAAATTTTGAAAGAAGCAAGCTGCTGGTGAATAGTAATATGGTCCACTGGCTCCCATAGTCTCTCAGTTGACGTGATAAATGTTCATAAGACTTCACATGCCAAAAACCTTTGCATAGTGTGGAAAGTCAAACCATGCCACACAATTACTATCCGATGTAGTGTAATGGCTATCACATCACGCTCTCACCGTGGAGATCGGGGTTCGATTCCCCGCTTCGGAGTAAATTATATTTTTTTCTGTTTGATAGAAACGAAGCTAGCAATGCCAAGGTCCCCTTTGGAAAAAATGAATTTCGTCGTCCCTCGTAATTCGGTCCTGCGTACTTGTTGAACGTGTTTTTTCAAGCTCCATGAGACTAGTAGAGGTCGATGTGTCTAACAGTATAATTCATCTACTCTGGCTACAAGTACCTCAAAAAATCCCCTTTCTAGGACCCTTCTTACTACCAATATGATTTTGTGCATTGAGTGCGAAGTCTCAGCCTTAATCCGGCTGCCTCATTAGAGCTTACAATTTCTATCTCTCTGACTGATCTTTTACAGGGTCGTTTTTGTAAGGCGTGTATGCTCTTTCATGCAAGAATTCGGAGAAATGTTTTTCCGGCAGGGATAAACGTATATCCGGAGTGCAACACAAAAATATTATATAGGAAATAGCCGGTCCTCCTAGTGTGCTACCTTAAAAACTCACGGGGCCCTAAAAAAAGTTCATCTCCCGGGGATCCGGATTTTTCCCATTCGGAAAAACTTTTGTTTGGCCGGAACAAATGCTCGGAATATATAAAAAAACACAATTAGTGCGGGGAAACCCCCATTGATATATAAAGGATGATATATGTTCCGAGTTTCTTTGAAACTGAGAATGTTACTTGGTTGACGAAGAACCTTAATAAAGATCAAGCACAGTTTAACATTAGGTCTGAAGAATTCTTTGACGAAACTTCGGTAAGGTTCTAGGGGCTAAATCTTCAGGATAAAGAACTTTTTTCTCTACCATACATTTAGTCTTATACATAGTCTCGATCAAGTTTGAGACGCGGTCTAACGTTTACGGATTATTAAAAGTTCATACAAGAAAAAGCGTCAGCAGTACTTTAGTGGTGAGGAGTTCTATATGCAATTGGATATCGCAGAAAGAAACGGTCAAAAAAATTGGAGTTTTTTTAACCTCGATGTTCGTACTTCCCCCACCACCGACGTCTACCAAACAGGCTCTTCCAGGGCTTTTGTCGAAACGAAAAGGCCCAGAACTAGCGCCTGTCCCGGAGGACCATGAGTTTGTGAATGCCCCTCCGGAATTTGCTTCGCGTGCACGTGACGAGATCCACAAGCGTCTGCTCTTGGGCAAGAAAGATGGACAGTCCAAGGGGCGGCAACAGTGGCCTGTGTCTCGTCGTGGGGCTCCTGGAGATAACTATGACACGGTCTCTTTGGCTACCACCTCAACTTCGGGATCCAGTCTTTTCTCGACCTCTGCGGCCACAAATTCCACGGGCTTCACTAATGCTAGCTCCGCTGCCTCATTTCTTGACTATATGGATAAACCTCGTACGATATCGTTACAGGAGGCTCTTCCGAAAACATTCTATGACATGTACGCATCAGATCTGTTGCTGGAATCTCAAAATTTACTGTGCAACGGAAGGCCCAACTTTACAAAACGTGAGCTCCTGGACTGGGATCTCAACGACATTCGGTCACTTTTGATAGTTGAAGCCCTGCGTCCCGAATGGGGTCTTCAACTGCCTATAGTCGAGTTCGACACTTCCTCTATTGCGCCCGCTGCCTCTTCGTCAGATAATAGTATGCTCCCGCAATTTAGACTTCAGCTCCTGCCACTCGATTCTCCAGATGATTTTATTGCCCGAACTCTAGTGAAGTCCGATATGTATCTAGAGGCAGACCTTGATTACGAATTTAAATTGACGAGTGCTAAATACACTGTGGCTGCTGCGCGAAAGCGTCATGAAGAGTTAGTTGGATACCATGAGCCCATAATGAATCTCTCTAAACCAGAATGGAGAAACATCATTGAGAACTATCTTTTAAATATAGCCGTTGAGGCGCAATGCCGATTTGATTTCAAACGTACTTGCTCCCAGTACAAAAAATGGAAACATCAGCAAGCCCTCGTCAAGAAACCAGATATGCCGCCACCCTCCACAATTCCATCTCGTAAACGTGAAGGCTCCTTGCTGAAGAGAACCCTTTTGAGAAACACGGCGATGAAACCGTCCTCTGACGAGCAGAGCCCAGTCACAAAGCCTGAGACCTCTTCTTCAGGATTAAAGATCTCACTCACAAGAGAAGAAAAGTCCATGCTTTGGTCTCAATGTCAGTCTCAAATATACCAAAGATTGGGACTAGATTGGACCCCTGATAAAATCTGAGCTGGCCCCAACTAGCTAAAATATTATTTTGCATAGAACACAGGATGTTCAGGCCTTTAGGTCAAACTTACGAAACGCATAAAGCCGGTGAAGGGACAGGAGCCTTTTATAATCGGTCTATTTCATAAATATCCTAATGATAAGTTACACACATAATTATTTTTGTACATAAGTCATGAGGGAAGAAGGATAGTAGGGTGTATGAGACGCCTGTGATCGTGGTGGAATTCTCGAAGTATGGAAAAGTACGGGCATGCATGGCAGTGAACCTGTCGCTGGTCTTTAGCATAACAAGAGCTGGAAACGCTTAGTTCAAATTCACATGACGTTCGGAAATCAGAACACCACGCGCCAATACAATAGTTCGTAAAAACAGCCAGCTGTGAAAGTCAGCTCTGAGGGTTACTTCCGAGCCTTATTCACCTAACTCTCTCAGACACGACTAACTTCTTATGTGTAGAACAGTCCGACTTGTTGGTGCTTACTACTCGGTTTTTCAATATTGTTGAAGAATTTGGTATTAATCGCAAATGAGCCGCCAACTTTATTATCCGTGGCTCTAGGCGGGAACGTATGATATTCTTATTGACAGGTAAATCTTTAGCTATAAAGGCAAGCAATGATGCCACAATGTCGTTCATCACTTTATACTATCGTGTCGCTCGTGGTAGGAACATCAGATTGTGTGGGTTGGCGATCGAAAGTTGTTGACCAAGCATTTCATGGGCCTCAATCTAAAGACCAGCTACTGCTCTCTACATTTGAATCTTAACAAAGGGGATGACCCATATAGGGCCTGATCTTGGTAATTTACGTGAAAAATCAACAACGAGAAAAGAAACAGTAAGCAAATATCAAAAGGATGAGGACTAATGAAGGTCAATGATTACAAATATCGTTTGAGTGTGTCATTAATTGAGTAATATAGCGCTCAAATGCCTGTTTTTGGCATTTGGTTCGTGAATACCGTCAAACATTACTCGCATTTTACAAAGTACTCATCAAATACTTTCGATATTGATAAATACACATATCAAATTTTGATCAGTAAGACATCAAATAGATACAAGTGCTCTGATTTACACAATTGACATGACTGGTATGCTATGAATGTACCACTATTTCCGTGAGTCATCTTCCGTGCTTTTCTTGATCATTACTAACTTTCCCGACTTTCAATGTAGAGAATACAGGCGAGAAACAAGATGCTGCCGATCTACTGGCTTCCCTGAACATTGAAGGAGCAAAGAAGCAGGTCGACACATCGGCAGCAGCAACTAAAGAACCCGACTCTAAGAAAGAGGCTCCCAAGGAGGAGTTGTCAGACAAAGCCCAGAAAGCCGACGTTGCAGATTCCAATCTGGTCAAGTCGGAATATGAAGTGAAAGTTAAATTGGCAGACCTTCAAGGCGATCCCAACTCTCCACTTTATAGCATCAAATCTTTCGAAGAACTAGGACTTGCGCCAGAGCTTCTTAAGGGACTATACGCCATGAAATTCCAAAAACCCTCTAAGATTCAAGAAAGAGCGCTGCCCTTACTATTGAACGATCCTCCCAGAAACATGATTGCTCAGTCACAATCCGGTACCGGAAAGACTGCTGCCTTTTCATTAACCATGCTCTCACGCGTTGATGTTGCCCAACCAGCAACGCAGGCTATATGTCTAGCCCCATCGAGAGAGCTGGCAAGACAAACACTCGAGGTGGTTCAAGAAATGGGAAAATTCACCAAAGTCACTTCGCAGCTTATCGTTCCAGACTCATTTGAAAAAAACAAACCAATTGCCGCTCAAGTCATTGTCGGTACCCCGGGGACCGTGCTTGATCTGATGCGCAGAAAGGCTATCCAACTGGGCCAGGTAAAGGTGTTTGTTTTGGACGAAGCTGACAACATGCTGGATAAGCAAGGATTGGGCGATCAGTGTCTGCGAGTAAAAAAGTTTTTGCCCAAAGCTACTCAATTGGTTCTATTCTCCGCCACTTTTGACGACAGTGTTAGAAACTACGCTCGTAAGGTGGTGCCTAATGCCAACTCCTTAGAACTGCAGAAAAATGAGGTTAACGTCAGTGCCATCAAACAACTCTTCATGGACTGTACAGATGAAAATAACAAATACGAAGTCCTCACAGAACTCTATGGACTGCTGACGATCGGGTCCTCGATTATTTTTGTGCAAACTAAGCAAACTGCTAACGTCTTGTATGCGAAATTGAAGCAAGAAGGTCACCAAGTGTCGATATTGCACGGTGATTTGCAGAGCTCTGAGAGAGACAGATTGATTGACGATTTTCGTGAAGGCCGTTCGAAGGTTCTCATTACGACCAATGTGCTGGCTCGTGGTATTGATATCCCTACAGTTTCCATGGTTGTTAACTACGATCTTCCTACAACCGTTCAAGGTAAAGCGGATCCTTCAACATATATCCACAGAATTGGGAGAACCGGTAGATTTGGCCGTACCGGTGTGGCAATTTCCTTTGTTCACGACAGAAAGTCTTTTGAAGTATTGACTGCAATTCAAAAGTATTTTGGAGATATCGAAATGACCAGAGTTCCTACCGATGACTGGGATGAAGTGGAGAAAATTGTCAAGAAAGTCTTGAAACAGTAAGGGGACTCTCTTCGAGTTGAGTGACGATTAAACAATGCTACTCTCTTAGTGGAAGATGCTCGCACGCCTATCATGCCTATGTAAATCTTATAAAAATTGAAGAAAACCTTTATTCAAATTAATAAATGAAGCTACAACGCTTCAGCTGGGTCAGTATCTCCCAATGGACAATACAACTTATAGAGCCGTCTTATTCAGGTCATTATTTTTTTTTTATTTTTCCGGATATTACATAAAAACGAGCCGTTATCTAAGGCAATTCAATTAAAAACAAACTCCTTTTTAACATATTCACATTTTCTCTGAAACTCATCCCAGCTTACCGGTCTATTTCGCAAGTCACTATGAGATCCGAGAAAATTGTTAACTTCATCATTGGTATGTTAGTATAAATGTAGGGCGGTTTTTCTGTTGTTCAAGGTAGCGAAACTTTATATGAAAAGGAAGCAAATTACTAACAAGACCCAACAGCGTTATTCCTACCTCCTCTAGCTGTATTCCTTGAAAAAGGATGGGGTAGTGAGTGTATTTTGGATTTGATCCTCACCATTATCTTCTTTTTCCCTGGTATGTTGTATGCCCTGTACATTGTATTGAGTTCGTAGAGAAGAAACTAGGTGAATGCCTCTACCACAGTCGGAGATTGTGAATTTATTTGTTGGGAAGAAATTGCTGCTTTTCGCTACGGCACCATTGTGGCCTTGCATGAATTGAAAACGCTCACAGCACATTGCCGCTGTGCGCTGACACATCACGCCGGCCTTCTGTAACTTTTTAAGCCTTAATGTCTAGCCTATAATCGATACTTTCTCGGATTGCGGCTGCGAGATGTGCTATGGAATTTGCAGACGGGCTCTGTCCCTTAATGCTCCTCTCATGGGATTTTCGTCAGAATTATTTTGTTTGCAACTAGTTACTCTACGTAAGTGGCAGAACTTGGGAAGGGGGCTTCCATCGCCTGATCGCGAATCGTGTTTCTCTGCGTAAAATTAACACAGCGAGAAGAGCATAACCACATGTTCCTATTTACAAGTCTCCTTCGTCATCGTCATCTCAGTCATTTACAGCCCTTAAAGTTGTGGAGCCATCATGTCCATCAATGGTGACTGGATAAAGGCCACGCCAGCAACGAACAAACTCAAGTTGACCAAAACTGGGAAAGCTGGAGTCTGCTTGAATTGCTCAAATCTGGATTGTTTCTTAGCGGGAGCGCTAGCGCCTGGTGCACTGAATCTGGCAGACATGTCTTCGTTGTATAAATGCTATGGATAAGGAGTCGAATGATACAATTCCTGATCCTAACTTTCTGCTAGCTGGTAGACTGGATACCAACCAGTCTTCCAATTCAGAGCTAGCGATATTAAAAATTTTGTGTTGATCATTAGCGACGGTGAAGTCAGCAGACCGGTAATGGCCAAAGATCCATTAGAAGTCACCAAGTTGAACGAAGTTGGCCCTTGGCATATGTTGTAAGTCCTCCGAGATTCTTCTGGGATCTCGGTGGTTCTCTGGTACTTTTTGCGCTTGTAATGAAAAATTCATTATACATAGGGTCGCGATAAATAGCCTAAAAGTGTATATATTAAAAACGGTAATACGCATCGCCGCATAGACCATCCGGGGCCTACGATGCCAGCTGCTTGGGAGTCCGTCTCCCCCTCTAATATGTCCAGCATATATTCAAAATGAGAATGTTATCATATTGCAAATCGGAATTGAAAACCAAAATCGAGCGTGCATCACTCAGGCTCGGCCCGTGACTAGCTTTATCTCGTGTTCGTACGTCTCCACCTGCCTCGATGTGGTTGACGTCGTGTGGCCACCGCCCGCAGATATGGTCACCGTGATGAGGTCCGAAAACTTGGTGAAAGAGCCCTTGACGCCGCGAAACGGCGGTGTGGGCGCTGCACACGCCTCCGTAACAGACGTTGCGGTGATTGAGTCCCAGTCCGTATCGCTGTTGGAGACGGAATCTAAGTTTTCAGTTTCGATCTCGCTGTCGCACGAACCATTGCTAATCACTTCGAAGTCGCTAGTGTAGGTCTCCGCGTCTTTGTCCGGCGTTCCAGCATCCAGGCTCGCTGCAGCAAGGTCCACAGCCGGAACGTCACCCTCCAGAAGAAGCCCACGGTTCAATACCACGCGCCACGTATACAGCCCAACATCATACACATACAGCAGCGCCAAAGGCCCCAGGAGCATTACTACCACAACGCTTAATCCCACTCTCAGTACTTGTGCCAGCAGACAAGCCAACGTCCAGCTGTAGCTGAAGAGATTTCCAACTTGATCCATCATTCGCAGATAAATAACAATCGAATAATGACAAGCCAATAATCAATATCTCCTTTTGAGATCCTATTTCAAGATACTTCTGCAAGGCTTTTTGGTCCTTTGACTTGTTATGTCTGTTGTTATACTTGCTCTTTTATATTTCATTTAACAAGCCAGTGCTCATCTACTCCATCAACCAAAGAGGATAATATTAACATACAAACAAAGCTTATATATACAATATGCACTCTTAACAAACTACCTGTAGTCTTGACACTATCGCCACACCTCACAACCGTATTTTTTCCGGTCACATTCCCTATCAGCCCACGATGTGCATGCTGCTGCTGCTACTGATAGGACTTTTGGCACATGTGGTAAGCAAAGGAAAATATGGTCTGGAAGCTTAAATGTCTCCCGTCAGGTGCAAGAGGGCTTTGCGGCCAGTCCCAAGCCTGGTTGAATGAATGGGGTTGATAGCGTGATCAGCAATATTGGCGAAGGCCCGATCAGCCAAGGATTCGTAGGCAAAGGCACAGTAGAAGCTTGTGATCGTTCCTCGACACTACAGAATTGTGGGTCGCAGATAAAATTGCTATGGTAGGATTCAAAAAGGGCTTGACATTGTGTCAGGGGCGATCACAAGACTTGTTGATGAGTGGGCAAACTAGCAAATCGGTTTTTTTGAACACACCAATAGTATTGGAGTGTTCTTGGCCTCTGTATGGCTCGTTGAGTAAGTGGAAATGTTATGTATAATATAGATAAAGCCCAATTAGTGCTTCGGCACGCGCCCATATGTGAGCTGGGTGACACCTTATTCGACGCCGACGACGCTCAGTTCCAGAGTCCAAACTCTCCGTATATGCAGTTTGATTGGGACTTCGACTGTCACTATTGGCCCATCGGGCAGCAGTAGGAGCTCCCCAGTTTCGGGGTTGACTTGGCCGTAGAGTTTTAGAGGAAGCTTCAATTCTTCTTCGCCCCACCAACATTTACGAGCGGGTTTCTTCCAGAACAGTAGCAGCTTGGAATTGATATCCGGTTTGGATACTAGCTCATACAAAGTAGGGGCCTGGTCCTGGCGCTGCCTGGATGAGGACCGGTGGCGGGAAGCTGACCGGGAGCGAACGTTGTCGGCAAGGGAGGATAGTCTGGATTTCCGCTTGGTGTCATTGTGCTGTTGCGAAGGCGATTGGAGTGGCGTCAAGGACGGTGACTCCGATTGCGCGCGAGTGCTGAGCATTTTTTCTTCATGGTTTTTCTTGGCCTCCTCTACTTGATCACGAAACTCCTGCGTAGTTTCATTCATCAAACGGCAAAGTGACAAGGAGCTGATGACGCTCTTGCCGGGTTCTTGTGCACGGTTCCCCCAAACTGAAGTGCCTTGAAAACCAGAAGAGCACAGCATGTCCATGAGGTGTTGTTCTGCGGGTCCCAATTTGGGTGTAGGTTGATCTGGGGAGTCGCTCTGAGGCTTTTTGAGTCTGTTAGAGCTATGAAGCCCCTGGAATACACTAGTTTGTACTGATAAATAGCTGCCAGCAGCCAGTTTGACCTGGGAGATAAAATTCTCGTCCAGCCCTGTCTTCAATTCGTCGGAGGCATCTTCAGGATACGACAATGGTTGGAATGGAACGCAGTAGTAGTCCAGATCTTCTCGTAGCACAATGATACTGGGCTTTTCATGCAGAATATCTGCTTCTGAGTGGCCTGCGGGAGACAGAGCGTTAGGCGAAGAGAAGCCAAAAAAACGAGAAGGCTCGCGGGAGGACAAACCACGATCGAAAATCTCTTCCACGGGAAAATTAACTAGATCTTCCTGTGCCCGTACGTAATTTTCCATGATGTACTCAAAGCAGTCGGGCGCGAAGTTGCCAACGTAGACTTCGTCCTGCGAGGTCAAATTTGTGATCACCTGGCCCGTCCGGTCCATAAACACGCCAGAGGGGAACAAGCACAGCAGCAGCGACTCTGGAAGGGACATGAGCTGGTCTCTGGTGATGTAATAGTGGTTTTCTTGGATGTTCATATGAATCAAAGAATCGTCGTCCAGAAAGTCCTGCCCTTGGTCTTGCATTACAGGGGGCAGGCCCTGGTCCGCCGAAACCTGAGTTATCACGCTCTGAGGTTCTGCCATTATTCTATCGCGACTGGCTAACCGGTGCAATACCAGAAATTGTGTGAGTCTTCAGGGAGTGAAAGGAGAGAACAAAGGTGCAACCAATCAGCAGTCGTGGAATTTCTAACAGATGTGCTTATCTAAAGCCAGTTCTCGTGAAGCTCAATGGGGTCCTTTAGCCTTGCTTTGATGCTTGCAATTGGGAGTAACTGGATAACTTTTCATCACTGATGAGCAAAGCGTTTTTTTGATGGGGGATTTTCACCGGGTAATAATGAACGGCAAAGCTGGCATTGATAGGTCGAACATGGTTAAACTCAAATGACTTGCCGAACGGCAGTCGAGCATATAGAGACCATTCCAGTACTAGCGTCCGATATTTGCTAAATCATTCGTTGTCGCTTTCCAAAGAGCCTGCCAACCGCGCAGCAAAATGGAAGAAATTGCCGGTTATAGTTTTCTCTTGTAGATGACATATGGGCCTCCGCGAGCACAGGTAACCTCCCCTGCTTCCTCGGGTACAGCCACATCCATTCAAAATACCAGTTCGTATGATTCGCCGCGTTCAACATTCTGCTAGTCATCTCTCCTGTCACGTTTACCTAAACTGACGCGGCCACGCCGCTGTTCAAGTGAGGCTTTTGCATGTAACGAAATAGTCACTCGGCTACGTAACACGGCTTTGAGAGTCTTGAAGTCTGTATGTAAGTGATGGATTTATACAAGCGAATTGTCCACACGAGTTGCACGATTAGTTGGACCTCAAGATGATCACATCATGGAGTTGATGGTGAGTATTTGGCAATAACGATCAGATTTTATCTATAATTGCTATCTGGTTTTAATGATATGTTGCACCTTCTAGTGCAAGTCCTCAGCTTCCTGCCTCTCGGCTGGAGGTAGAAACAGGTTCGACGACAGTTCAGCCCGCTTGGCTCGGCTTTCACAATGGGTTGGGTTACCCGAAGGCCAGTAAGCAGATCTCAAAAAATTTATATATATAATGTGTGTCCTGTGTTCATGTAAGGTTAAGCTCCCACCACATCAGCGCTCACCTCCGTTTATTACTGAATAGAGGATGCCTTGAATCTTTTTGGAGATGTAAGTCTACATCCGTTGCACGCTAAATCATGCCGTGCAATCTCCTATATGATGAACACCTTTACAATCTTATCTACATTATCTGAAAAATATAACATTGGAAGAGTATTTGAAGTTCTGATTGGAGCACTGTGACGGTTTAGCTAGCTATAATTCATCGTCACTGTTGATCAAGAAGTCGTTTTCCGCGTCATTGCCATTGTAGTCTGTTTCCTTTTTAGTAGCCTTGTTGGCAGTAGCATTGACTTTGCTGGGCGTCAAGTTGATGGGCTCAGGAGGCAATGGTTGCCATTTCTTGCGGGTGGCTGCTTCAGGCGTATCGATGTAGGTTGTCTCCGGTTTGACCTCGGTGTGTTTATTTCTCGAGGGCAACTGGGGAGGTATATCCTCATCTTGACCGTCGTCGTCGAGATCTTGCTTGTTGTATATGGAGATTCCGTGGCTGGCCAACTTATTGAAGCCTTCTCCGCTTTCGTCGCCTTCTTTGGCACCAAACGAATTGAAGCGGGCAGTCCTGTGCTCAGGTCTCGCATACCTTTCATACTCCGAAGCCGCAGACTGGTTAGAAGAGGTCCTTCTTGCTCGCTGGGAAGGATAATCGGAATACTCTGAATACTGGGAGTCTCTGGCCTGGTCTTGGTTCCAGTTCTTGCGGAACCCGGACAGCCACTCGTTAACCTTCTTCCCTGTTTCTTGCACCTGGCGCCCGACCTTGTCGCGAAACTCAGGCAGATCTTTTTCCATCAACTGACTCAGGAAATCGTCGTCCTCGACTTCTTGTCCCATCTCGTGGTAGTATCTTCGTTCTTCACTTGTGAGTGGTCGGCGGCCCTGTGTCGTACGTCTTTCATACTCTCTCTGACGGTCGCGTATTCTGCTCTCCCGAGCAAAGCGTTCGCCCTCCAGAGTGCTGGAACCGCCGTCACCACGCTGGTGTCGGGTGCGAGATTTATTGTACTGCGCGTCTAACTGCCTAGCAAGCATTTCATCCTGTTCCAATTGGCTATTGCCGGAGGTCTCCAACCTGTGTGGCTGGCCAGCTCCTGCTTGAGGCTGTAACGTAGGAATAGCTGTTTCTGCCTCAACATTAGGATCAGACAGGCACAGAAGGGCGTTGAATGCCGGGTCCAACGCACCCTGGGATGCGATAAGCACCGCTTTCACATATTTTACTTCGATTCCCGGAAAGGCTTCGGTAAGCTGTGTAAAAATTGCGTTTTTTGGGATATGGACCGTAGCAGACTCCCGTTGCGGCAGAGGAGGTCTTTCTTCATCCGACAGGTCCTCAGGCGCAGAATTGTCTGCGTGCTTGCCGACTCTGGCGACAACCTCTGCGTCAGCCTGCTCATCCTCTTCTGCTGGCACTTGAGTATCCTCCTTTGGAGTGTCTTCAGCAGTTTCGCTAATGTCAACTTCGCCGGGACTTGTCTCCACTTTTGAAGCACTAATACTCTCTGGGGACGTTGCTTCAACTGGGGGAACTTCTTCCAAGCTCCCTTTCTTGCTAAGCGATTCAGCCATTGTAATTGCTCGTCTTGCTTTAACACGACAACAACACCGTCGGATCCTTTCGTATCTGATTTACTATCAATTGCGGTCAGTCAGAAACAGCAATGGATCCTCTTCGGATGTTGTTAGTCTTGTACATTGTCGGCAAGTTGTCTTGTCTTGAGATGCCCCCTCCTTTATTTTAAAGCCTGATCACGTTGTTGCCGGGTAGCGATTCTGTTTTGTCCTGTACATACTTAAGATAGCTATCAGGGCCGCAAGTGCTCTCCCACGCCTTGTTGACTTCTTTACTCGCTGTTAGTGTTCAAGATCAGAGATTGCCAGTACTCCAGTACTGGGTTGAAGAGTGTTAGCTTGCATTATGGTTGTATCACATAGGTGTCATAATAGTACGAAGTGATATTTGCGCCTTCAGTAAAAGATGAGCCAAGAACCAACAATTGATATAGTACAGAGGATCGTAATTGAGCAGATATAATCTATAGAGGCTCTAAAATTGGTGAGTCAAGATAATACTAATGTTTAAGAATTAACAAGACCAATTTAACCTAAACCCAATTTTCAGCTCGCCTTCCGCATGCTTATACTTATCTTAATTGCGGAAAACCCTACAAGCCTCCCTCCTAGAGCCTATCTGTATATCCACATGGTTTAGCAACCTAGATAGTCGTGCATATTTGCATGCGTATGTCTCTGGCACAAAATGCACATGCTCATTTACTTATTTCGCGTCACTAGCTTGAAAACTCTTCGCTATATAAAAACAAAAAAACTACAGATATCTTTACCAACTCTCAACGACTTTATTTTAAAAGGCCAATCTCAATATCCTCCGACTTTAGATAGAACTTCCTATGCCTTTACAAAGCCATGGCGTTGGAAGTGTGGACAGCGGAGTGAAAGCAAGGTTCTCAAGTCTCTCAGAATAAAACATGGGGTTTCCAGGAATTTATAACTTTTCTTCAATCCTCTCTCTGAGATCTTGTACAAACGTAAGGTCAATTCTTGTAAAGTTTTCACGAAGCAGAGTGTTTTTGAAGTGGAATTATAATGTGTTTTTATTTACGTGCTAGCATTATACCTCGTTACATCTACATGGAATTCTTGATCTTCCGTAAACGGTCCATGACTTTTGCCCTTGACAACGAGCCTTGGGAATCGTCAACGGCATCCCTTACCGACGGGTCATCCAGCCGCATGAACGGGTTGTAATCCAACTCGTCTTGTATGGTGAAAGAACCGGTGGTGACTTTGTTCTTACCGCAAAACTGTTCTAAACGGTCCAGCGCTGCGTTGTCCCCCAAGTTCTTGTAAACTGCTGTCCGCACGAACTTCACGTTGCTCTTAGTGTATTCGTGGCCCGGATACACTTTAGTGCCATCCCAGTTGGGTTCTCCAACGCCGTCCAGAATTCTACGATTCAAGGCATAATCCATTTCTTCGCCTGTACCTTCGAAAAAACGTCCGCAGCCCGCCGTGAAGAGTGTATCGCCTGTGAAAATACATTTCTCTCCAGTCTGGGGATCGGAAACGTAGTAACATACGGAGTCCTGTGTATGACAGGGAGTTCGAATGCACCGAATGGTCAAGTCGCCCAAGGTGTATTCCTGGAGGTTTTTGGGGATATCAGTGGCCCCAGGGGACGTATGGCTTCCACAGATAACTTTAACATCGTGCCCGCTACTCTCTACAAGCCGGCTCACCACGGCCTGATTGCCCCCGGAGTGGTCATAATGATGGTGCGTGTTAACGACCGCCTCAATAGTCACTGATTCTTCTGGCTTTAAATTTGGCAAAACCTCAACCGCTTCTGCTGGATCAATCAACCATGATTTGGTCTTGTCCTGGCTCGATAGCAAGTAACTATAATTAACGCCCCCAGTCAACCATCTCATTTTGATAACTTTGACGTGCATCCTTCTTGTTTGAATGTTCTGTAAACGTAGCGCTCCCGAAAGTTTCAAATACTTGAACAGTTCGAAAGATTTGTGCATATATTCTTGACAGCGGGAGTTTTCAATTCACCATACTTCTATAGCATCGATCAATAAGGCATTTAATTTAGCAAAGTACCCTTCAATCGTTCGGGGTGATCAGTATACCACATACCAGCCCACAGCGCACCTTGGCAAGATCAGACTAAGACATCACACTCGTATGCCCTTTTACTTACAGTTTTAGCTGCCTCTTTCATCAATACGAACTTAGATGCTAATCCTCTTGCTGAAAGAAAATCTCTAAAACTCATGACATGAGGCCCGTTTGTAGCTCGATGTCATCTAATTCCGCAGTTTGGTTTCGCCGAAATATTCTAGCGAGCCACGGGGGCAAAAATCTTGATGAATCCGTGGTACGGAATCTTAGTCGGTTTGCATTTTCAAGTGAAGGTGGCTTCCACTTGTTGAGCAGCAGCGAGCTTCCCACAACACTAACAGAGCTGGCTGCCATACACGCAACAGCGACTATTGGATCCAGAGTGATACTCCAAGGGACCAGCACGCCCATAGCAATAGGAAGCATGAATACGTTGTAGCAAACGGCCCAAAAGAAGTTCACACGAATTTGGCGTAAAGTAGCGCTTGCGATGTCCAATGCGTAAACCAGCTGCTGAAGAGAAGCCAGGTCTGGCTCTGATGAGCTCAAAAGAATAACATCGGCGGCTTCCATTGCAATATCAGTACCAGTGGAAACTGATATTCCCAAGTCGCTAGTCACAAGCGCTGGAGAATCATTGATCCCGTCGCCTACGAAAGCAACCTGCGTTTGGCCACCGTCTTGGAGTTGTTCTACCATTTGGTTTTTCTCAAAGGGAGTTAATTCACTGTACACATTGTTCGCATCAATGCCCAGTTCTAATGCAACTTTCATAGCCGAGCCATGATTGTCTCCTGTCACCATACATACCCGATGACCTTTCGAGATAAGGTAGTTGACCACTTGGCGCGAGTCATTTTTGATGCGGTCACTAACCTCAAACCTGCCTACGAGCTCTCCATCGATTTCAACAAAGGAAACGGTTCCTTGGGGATCAGGTAACAGAGAACAATTTTGCAAAATGGATTTATTCCCCAGAATGATTGTAGTCTGCACACCATTGATTTCACAGTCACCGATAACACCGCCACCAATGACAGATTTACTATTAAGCACTTTCGCGGTCATAGTGGAGTCATCTAGGAACCTAGATGTATAGTCAAAGATAGCCTTGGCCACTGGGTGTTCGCTGGTGGCACTGATAGTCTTGATACAAGCAGCTTGCTCAAGTGTCAGCGATATGCAGCCACCCATGGGAACATATTGATCAACCACCATGTGTCCTGTGGTCAACGTTCCCGTCTTGTCAAACAGAAAAGTCTCTAACGAGCTACATTTCTCAAGCACTTCCCCGCCCTTGATCAAAACGCCATGGCGGGCACCGAGGCCAGTGCCTACCATAATCGCTGTTGGCGCAGCTAATCCCAAGGCGCAGGGGCACGCAACAACGATCACAGAAATGGTCATTTGAAGGCATATAAAGAACTTGCCATTGGGATCATCGAATATAACGGGCGGGTTTTCGAGTGTGTGACAGAGAATATACCAGGAAACAAATGTTATCAATGCGAGCGTCAGAATGAAAGGTACGAATTTTGATGCGAGATAATCCGCGTAATGTTGGATAGGAGCTTTGGAAAGTTGTGCTTGTTTCATGGTCTGGATAATATGTGATAACTTTGTATCATCACCAACTTTGGTTGCTTTAAAAAGAAATCGACCGGGTCCGTTGATTGAACCACCTATCACTGTGTATCCTACGTAGCGGGGAACCATGAGCGATTCACCTGTGATCAAGGACTCGTCAATCTCACTCTCGCCTTCTATTATTATGCCATCGGTTGGAATCTTGGCGCCGGGTTTGATCTCTATTATGTCGCCTACCTGGAGGTACTCAACGGGAATCTCTTGGGGGGTATCGTTCTCTATTATTGTACAGTTTGATGGAGCCAAGGAAAGTAGCTTGGACAATGAACTATTAGTTTGGGACTTGGCCTTGTTTTCAAGGAGCTTCCCCACGGATATAAATCCAATTAGCATGGTAGAGGCATCAAACACTACGTTCGGCAGCCTTTCAGAGCGCTTCCATATGTTCGTGGACAATGAATAAAGAGAAAAGGAGAAAGCACACATAGTAGATATTAGGACGAACGTATCCATAGATCCCGAGCCATGCCTTATAGCCTTCCAGCCGGATATGTAGAAATGACGACCAACCCAAAACTGGATGTAGCAGGAAATTAATAGTCCGATTATATCCCTGTAGAAGAGGCCAGGTAGTGGAGTTTGGTGATAGACGAAGAAATTCCTCATCACTTGAGGAGCCCATTTCGGTATCAGCTTGTATAACAAAAGCATGAGTGTCATTCCGCAGCAAGCCTGGATACAAGAATTTTGCCAAAAGCGAATTTCGCGGATCTTGTCAAGAGCTTTGATCTGCGCTATGTTGTCGAAAGAGCTCGAGGGCGAACTGTGGAAGCCCAGGTTATCAATTTTAGACGCCAAAGAGCGAACACCTGTGATTGAGGAGTCATAATGTAAAGTTACCAATGCTGAATCCAAATCCACGTCAACTTTCGACACACCTGGCTCTGTGCTCAGTGACGCTTCTATGGACGCTTTACCGGCATCGTCATGCAGCCCCACAACTTTGAGAGTCGTTTGTTTTCTGTTCGGCAATAAAGACTTATCATCAAACCCATCTTCAACCCCTTGCTGTTCGTGTTCTTCAAGTAGTCTAGCGTCAAACCCACAGTCTTCTATAACTTGGCAAATCTCTGCTGAAGTCACCCGCGATTTTTCAAACTCTACACAACACTCCTCCGTAACGAGCGAAACAGCCACGTTCCGCACACCATCAACTTTTTGCACATTTTTAGTAATGCTCATAACGCAGCTAGCACAGGTCATTCCTTGTATTTGAAACCTCGCACTTTTGCACGATGCTTGTGACTCATGTACCTTAACCACCCGAGCGTCGAAACCGCAATCCTCAATTACAGTGACAACATCCTCTGCACTGACGACTTCACTGTCAAATTTAACTCGGCATTCATTTGTGGCCAGGGAAACAACAACTTCTTGCACACCCTCCATTGACTGCGCTTGTTTCTCAATTGTGGCCACGCAAGCACCACATGTCATTCCCGAGACCTCCAAAATTGCTGAGCTAGTACCCACCATGGCTCGCAGCAAGTACAGCCTAACTTCGGATCAATAAGTGTTGTCAAAGAGCTACTTTCAGGGTTCGATGAGTTCCGGTACAATTGTACAAATAGCTAGCTATTATATAGTGAAACATAATTAATGCCGGTAAAGGAAATCTGGGTGTCAAAATCACAAGTCATGTGACAGGTTGTTAAAGCCGCCTTTTAGCTTGGCAACGACAGCGTAACACATTTGAGCTTCGTTCAGTATCAAACAGCTGCGATAAGTATCTCCCATGAATGTGGTTTTTTTTGTGCGGTACCGTAAGTGTTCAGACAGGTAAGATTCCCTCTCCCAGTCTGAGAAAAGTCCGACAGAAAAATCTAAACGCTTGGGAGGGAGGGCACAGGATTGGCCGCTATACCTGAAATCCACCATTTGATCAGTTTGGACCGAAGCTCCGCGCCGGCTGGCGTGAATTCTTTCTGGTCCGTGTCTATATTCATGGCCGTTGGTGTCCGAGGCTGAGTCACTTGTATCCCTTATTCACACCCTTGGAGCCTAGCGTTTTCTCAAGCTTGAGGCGTTGAAGCTCCTGCCAGCGAGCCATCTGTGCCTGTTTGTGCAGCTCAAAGCCAAAGATTTTGGGGACGTACCGCTTCACGGGATGCTTAGGCACCATTTCTGGAAACGCCTGAAGGAACATTCCCGCGAAACTGGTTCCAAAGTAAGCACCATCAATCGAGCTGTGGCGCGAAGACTTTGGAATGTACAGATCTTCGCAACAAGGGCAGTACAGTTTCACGCAGTCCACGCCGGGACTGTCGTGCAGGCCCACGGGCAAAAGTGGCTGAAAATTGCAGTACACTCGTGGACACCGCCCGAAGTCCGCTTCTTTGTATTTTTGTAGCATTTTCTGGAGACCCTTGATCGTAATGATGTATCTCGCATGGATCAAACCGTATAACTTACAGGCATCATGCTCCAGTTGGTCAATTCTCGCGCTCGACATTTGCTCCAACGCGTTGTCGTCCAGTTCATCAACAATGTACTGGATCACCTGGGTGAATTTGCTTACCGTTTTCTGCAGGTTTATCAGGTTGAAGCGGTCAATGATGTAGTCAGTATCCACATCGCAGAAATATTCATGTCCCTTTCTGCCTAAAAACAAGTCAATCCAAAACTCTGCGTACTCTGACGAGTCACTGCCATCCACAGTGTCAGAGTGAGCTTCTACCATCTCGACGTCGGCCATCCTTTTGGGGTATTTCTGTTTTGATTTAGTTTGTAGTTCTTGGTAGGTTTTCAATAATATTGTAATGAAATTGATATCGTTATAAAAGTTGGCACTGAGTGGAGAACACGAGCAGTATGAGACTACTCAGATATTCGCAGACTTTAAATGGTGGGAAAGTTAGTGGCAGCTGCTTGTCGGATGATATTATTATCGCAGCTGGTTTGAGCACTATCGTATGTTTTGCAAGTCAGCAATTGGTGAACTGTGCGTTGGGTAAGCAAGATGCTAAACAAGTGGAGAAACTGTTCCATATGCAAGTCCCTGTCGCTTCAGATGACCAAATATACGATGTAGTGGCCACCAATGATCGTATGTTTGTTGTACTGGAACGTTCGGTATACTTAGCGGATCATTGGCGGGAAAAGCGCGACGCCAGCGTATTTGTTAAGTTTTGCGAGTTCGAAGCACCTGCGTGTATTACAGATGTTAAGCTAGATCCTTCTACAAGCTTGCTTTTTGTGCTGGTAAATGTGAGCCCTGAGGAGAACTCAGTTACATTGTGGGATTCAAGAGCCGGCGAAAACCTGGGCCAAATTGGATTAGGCCAGTCTAAGCCTTTAACAGCTGTACTGGACCCCAAGTCGCAAATATTCACAGTTATATGTGCTGATCGTAATATATCAGTCTTTCAGTATGACCACACTGGCAGCTACCGACTAATACACAAGCTCAATCACTACGTGCAAGTTGACCCACTGCGTTATAAAATCACTATGTCGCCGCAATCGGACAGACTGCCGATTTTGAACTCTATGAGCACTTCTGGCACCCCTGCCATATTGCTTCTCGATCGTCAACAGCAATTCAAGATTGAGTCCACGCTTGTTGGGCATTTCGACAAATGCCATATCTTCAAGTATTCTCCAAAAATATATCGTAAGACTACGAAATCGGGTGCCAAAATAACTTATAATCTGGCTGCGTCCGCAGATTTTGAAAGTGGCTCGGTGGTAATCTGGAATACGAAAAGGCTGAAGCCTTTACTTAATACTAAATGCGCACAGGACTCCTATGTAACTGACCTTCAGTGGGGATCTGATGGATTGTCCTTGATCGTTTTTACAAGTAACGGTCAAATGATTATATTTGCATTTCGACAGGATGAACTGGGCGAGATAATCTCTGATGCCGAACTTGAAAAGTTAAGAGCCGCCATCAATTTCCTGCCCCCTCTTCCGCCTGCTCAAAGCGCACTGGAACAAATTACAGAAAATGCCGAAAAGGTGCAGGTAGCTTCGGCTGGAAGTAATGCAAAAGTGGGGAAGAAAAAAGTGGCCCCAACAACATTGCAGAGCACTTCCATGGAGTTCAATATGCCTTCCTATAGCGTTCCTAAAGATCTCAAAAGGAAGCCCAAAGACCCTTCCCAGCCATCGAATGGTAAGAAGCAAAAGCACGACTTGGAGCCGATGGATTTTTTAGACACAAGCTTGTTGATGCCTGGTGTATCTTTTTCTAAGATGCGCTTAGCTACTCCCAAAATCCGGCTTACATTTTCATACACTGCCAATATTAGTGACAATATGATCTTGACTGTAAAGAATGGGTCAGGAAATGAACAGACGCCGAGTGTTATTTCGCTCAAACAAACTGAATTCGGACATGAAAAGACGCTATTCGAAGAGTTTTTGCCCAAACTCATTACGATGTGTACCTCTGGCAAAAGCTTTTGGAGCTGCTGTAGTGAAGATGGTATCATATACGTTTTTTCTGATTTAGGAAAGAGGTTGTTACCCCCTTTGATAATGGGTGTGCCTTGTAGCTTCCTTGAAGGCTGTGGTGACTTCCTCTTGTGTGTGACGTCTACGGGTCAAATGTATTGTTGGAATCTCGAAAATTCAAAGCTGCATTTTCCTCCAAGCTCAGTATATCCCCTTCTCAATCCAAGCCTTCGATTTTCGGACGATGTGTTGACTCGTGCGGAGAATATCACTCTGTGTGCCATTACAGCAAATGGAGTTCCCATTATAACCTTGAGCAATGGCGATGGCTACATGTTTGACAAAGAAATGGAGACATGGATGTTGATCAACGACACATGGTGGGCATATGGGTCCCAATATTGGGATATGACCGAGACAACGACGAGTGGTGCATACCTAAACGAAAGCAATGGAAAACATGAAAAGAAAGATCAATCTTGGAACTCAAGAGCTCAAGGATTAACCGAAAAGTTGAAAGGAAATAGAGCCAGCATTCTTAATTACCTTGAGAAGAAAACCAATGATGAACTTAATAGAAAGGGGCGGGCTCGGAATATACAAAAATTTGCGAAGACGATATTAATGAAGGAAGGTTTTGAAAACCTGGAGGACAGCGTTACACTATCTCATTTGGAAAACAAGCTATTAATTCTTCTCAGACTCGGTGAAAATGAAGAGTTTGTTAGTCTGATTGTAATTTATTGCATACGACTTAGCGAAATGGGCTATAAAGGTAGATTAGAGACTGTGCTTCAGTGGCTTTACAATGATGGTGACTATAAAAATCTCAAGGTGGCCAACGTAAGCGCGGAAGATCTATTAAAGAAGATCTTGGTAGCGTGCGCTGAGATCCGGCTGGTCCAAAGAGTCACCACCAGCTATGCTGCTGCCATAGGTTTAATAAATGATTCTCTATAAATTTCATATAGTTTTCAGCTGTAACTTTTTGATGCATCTAGAAACCCATCAGTTGCTTTATATCTTGTAACTTCCTATGGGCCATTTCTGAAGCTGCCTGTGCGCCTTCTGTAGTCACTTGCTCCAAATATGAGGGCTCTTGCATGTACATGTTGAAATTTTCGCGCGGTTGACGTAGTTTCTCTATTATGATTTCTGAGACGTAAGTCTTGAAATCACTATGACTCTTAAAATGCGAGATATCTTTCTGCACTTGGGCAATTGACGTTTTTTGAAGCCCGCTTACAATGTTGATAAGATTCGAGACGCCTGGGCGCTTGAGAGGATCATAAAAAAACTCGTTAGAAATCGAATCAGTGACTGCTTTTCTGACTTTCTTAACTATAGTGTCGGGATCATCGTTTAGGTAGAGGGTAGCCATTTGATTGGTGTCACTTTTGGACATCTTACATGTAGGGTCTTGGAGGCTAAGCACACGTTTTGTAGGAGCTAAAATAGTGGTTGGAATTGTTAGAACTTGCTTCTTAAATAAACTGTTAAAACTCTGGGCCAGCGAACGTGTGAGTTCAAGGTGTTGTGCTTGGTCATCGCCGACCGGTACGTGAGTGGATCCGTACAGTAATATATCTGCAGCTTGCAAAACAGGGTAAGAGAAAAGCCCGAGCTTCACATTCCCTAGCACGTCAGCGTCCGGTCCGTTTTTCATTGCTTTAGACTTCCATTGTGTCATTCGATTTAAGAGACCCATTGGGGCAATCGTGGAGAGAAGCCAATGAAGCTCAGCGTGCTGGTGAACCTGTGATTGATAGAAGACAGTAGCATTAGAGGGATCTATACCCAGCGATAGGATGCTCGCAATTGCTTCACGTCTACTTTGTCGGAGCCTCTGGCCATCAGAAATCGGAATCGTGATGGCGTGCAAATCTGCTACACCAAAAATGAGTTTGTTATCATCTCGCTTTAAATCACACAGATCTTTCCAAACCCTCACAGCACCTAAGTAGTTACCGAGATGGAATTTGCCTGTGGGTTGCACTAAGCTGAATATAACAGAGTTTTGAGGTATGTCACTTGAATGTACCTTGTAATCAGTGGTTTTTACAGTTTTCGAAAAGTGTCGGCATGTTCTGGACAAGTTATGTGACCTGCTCATTGTAAAGAATTGTAGTCCGGACCCGGTGTGATCCTGCTTTTGAACCACACTTCTTTTGTTAACGTCGACAGTATGACATTCAATTTTCTGAAAACTCGTCTTGATATTATCTTCACAAACAAGATCGCAGGTCCGAACTCAACAACATGGCATACGCAATTCAAGTACTTTCAAGAAGAATTCTGAACTATTTATCATTTTATGTGAGGCAAAGCTAGCTCACGAAAGCTTGCTGAAACTATCCACGGTTCTCACATCGTTAATCGTCATCTCTACACATTGATTGCTCAAAATAATCGATGCTGAAACTCTATTGTGACCCGTAAGGTTCATCGTACTGTGCAGGTGTTTGTCTGTATTTTAACGCCAGCTCAAGAAAATTTGAATACATTCGAGTTGTTCCAACCTTTCTCTGCTAACAATCCGCCAACCGGTCCCTGAGACAAGTCAAATTTCACGCCGGAAACTGTTGATATGTATCCGTCGGGTCCACAAACTAGTGACAGAATTGGGCGCAAGGGCCCACCAAACCCGTCAAAAGGGCGTTGCTGGTAAATGGTTGGGGTCGGTATAAGACTGAGCACTTTTTCGGAATTATTTCGGAGGTCCCGTCCCGACTGTGACGAGAACAAATGTAGTTCAAGGCGATTGGCATGCTGCAATCTTTCTAATATCGGCAGCAAGGGACCTAGTTCTTTCTCGGTTCTGCAAGAATGAAAAAAAAGAATTCGCCCAGCGAAAGGATATTCTGTTAGTAGAATTTGCATTATGGGGGCTATTCCCGTTCCTGCTGTAAACGTCGCAATGTCGTATGGCTGGTGTGAAAATTGGTCCATGGACAGGTCGCCGCTGTCGCTCGCGCTTAAATATCGGCGATCTCTCTGCTTCTCAGTCTGTGACTGAAGTCTGTGGTCCAAGTAGGGCCCTCTTAACTCGATTTGGTAGCCTTCAGGTAAACTGCTGAGCCACCGGGCAACCTCGCCGTATTGGTATTTTTTCATATAGAACAGTAGCTTGCCGTCTCGATGCTCATCATCTGGAAAAACTTGCAGTCGCCCTCCGCCTACGTGTTCAAGTGGGAGCGGAGTGTAGTTTCGCACAACCATGATCTCAGGTTGTTTTATCTCCACAGACCATACTCTATCTGAAGTCATCGTTTTCCACCAGTTCTTTCGCTGCCGCTTCAATGGTATTAGTTCAAGAACGAAATGGTCTGAGTCAATCTTTCCATTGTAAGAGATCCTATATTTCGTGAAGTAGTCCGGCGATAGCTCAACATGGTGCCAATATTCGTAATAATACCAAGCTGCTCCCAAACTGGTCACCAATCCACTTCCAGTAGTCCATTTTGAAGCGTTATATTTGCGTTTTACAGGAATAGAGTCCGACAGTTTCCTAAGTTGAGGCTGAAATCGCCGGATCCACATATTTGATTGTGCGATGCCAGCCCTCACAACCTAAACTCTTTAACAATGAAATTTCAAAACACTTTTTATTGATGCCAACAACCAACAACTACCCAAATAAGTGAAAGAGCCAAGTACCTGGTTTTATTTGGGATGCCTATTACGTTACTCAAGTCCCTAGAATTACACAGTGACAAACTATGGTCAATTGACAGCGCCAAGGGATTAATGGCCACGGCTTCTTCTGATCGAAAAATCAAATTAGTCAATCTCAGAGCCACCGATATTAGAGAAGTTGAGGAACTTGATGACAGTACGCACAAGAAGTCCGTAAGATCAGTAGCTTTTAGACCTCACTCATCCATACTGGCAGCCGGATCGTTCGATTCGACGATATCAGTATGGGGACAGGATGAAAATGAAGATACCCAAGGAACCTTCCAAGAGACAGAACTGCTGGCGATTATCGAAGGTCACGAAAATGAGGTGAAATCTGTAGCCTGGTCCCATGCGGGAGAGTTTTTGGCCAGTTGCTCGCGAGACAAAAGTGTCTGGATTTGGGAAGCTGATGAAATGGGCGAGGAATACGAATGCCTAAGTGTCTTACAAGAACACTCACAAGATGTTAAACACGTAGCATGGCACCCATCGATGAATTTACTAGCTTCGAGCTCGTATGATGATACGATCAGACTTTGGAGAGAAGACTCAGATGATTGGGAGTGTGTTACCGTGCTGAATGGTCATGAGGGTACTGTGTGGTGTTCGGCTTTTGAAACATCAGAATCGCAGCTCAGGTTGGTTAGCTGTAGTGACGATGCGACAGTTCGCGTGTGGAAATATGTAGAGGAGGGCGATGACGGTGAGGATATATGGACTCTGGAAGCAGTGCTTCCTCGTATCCATTCGAGAGCTGTGTACAGCGTGAGCTGGAGTCCGGGCGGGTTTATCGCGAGTGTTGGTTCTGACGGGCTATTGGTAGTTTACAAAGAAACAGAACTTGGAACATGGGAGGTGGTTGCCGAGAAGGAAGAGGCTCATGGTGTATTCGAGATAAACACTGTAAAATGGGCTAACGTGAATAATAAAGAATTATTACTCACTGGAGGTGATGATGGAAATGCCAACGTTTGGTCTTTTGATCCATAAACCATAGTTATATCTACCTTACACAGTAATATATGCACACCTACCCGTCATCTAAAATACCACCAATATAAACATCAACAGAAGAATAATGAGAACGCCCAGCATGACCAAACAGCTTCGGCTAGAGCCTCTTTGATAATTCATTGCCTTTCTTAGTTCCCGAGCCCCTGACTGTGCACTATTCGCCACGGAGTATATGTTACTTTCAATGTTATCCACCAAGTGTCCTTGCTGTTGTACAATTGTACCTAGATCGTGAAAAATTTCGTTTAACTCAATGATGCCGCTCTCGATGTGTGAAATTTCTCGATCTCGATCTTGTATCAGATTTTGCTGGTAGGCAAACTCTTCGTTGTTTATTGCTTCTCTTTCGATCACCACCTGTTGCGGTTGAGAGTTCTGGTCATTTGTTGCCAGAGCCTGTTTAGGATCACCGTCTATTGCGCTTCGGGCTTCTTCTTCTTCCTGTGCCAAGGCGGCCCTGGCTTGTTCGTTCATTGCCTTAGATGTGCTAGTAAACTCCCGCTGTGCTTCTTGAAACTCCTGGATAGAGTACTTGACATCCCTTATCAGCTTATCTCGTGAAAGCAACTGAGCTTTGTTCAGAGCAGATTCCTCAATCGCACTTACGATGTGAACAGATGCATTCAGTGCCTTGATAAGCTTTGTTATCTCATTTATATGGAAAACAGCCTTTTTGTCTATGTTTGCCACCATTTTCGATTTCACATTTCCCTCCTCTTTATTCCTTCGCAAGGCACTTACGAACTGCTGTAGGGTATTGAGGTGGCCGTTCATCTCAAATAAGTTGGTCATAAGCTTTTCGACATTGTCTTCAAATTCAGGATTATCAGAAAAAGAATGAGGTACCTCAGAAACCTCATCAATCGCCATCATCTCGGATGTTTGAATTATTTACTTGATGAGGCTGCTTCGCAACTGCTTGGTTTACCTACAGTGTGTCAAGTTGGCTAGTTGGCTCCGGTTAGGATCCTCATTAAACTAGTAGTACGTAGATGGTGATCATCCAACTGATGACAGCGCTAGCAACGAGCACTCCGGTGAGTTTACCTGTGAATAAAGTGCTGGCGTTCATTGCTCTTTGAGGTCTAGTGCCGAATCGTAATAATCATCTTTGTCATAATCCATACTTTTTCATACACGGCACAATCCCGCTCTTGCTGTGTTCTCGTTGATAGATGGCTGCGCCATAAGAACTTGCTGCGCCATAAGAACTTGCTGCGCCATAAGAACTACCTTGCCATCTGATTTCTTGAATGCTGCAGAGCCCGCGAGCACCAATACCTCCGTAAGTACTGGTGAGATGCAAATTACTGTTTTTTTTTCTCGACAGAGACCTTTCCATGACTTGGTTCTCTCACTTTCCTCCTCCTGATCGTTAAGAAGATCTGCAACATTGCGTAGCCCACGGTTGCGGCGACTACAATTTGTAAGGTCGAGCGATGGCGATTCAAAAATTCAGGATCCAATGCACTAAGACGTTCATCTGTCATGCCACTGAATTTAGGCACCCGTGCGTTGAATGAACCCCTTGCGAGAGCACTGTGGGGGTTCTTCTCATGATCCGAAAGTTTCATTGGATCCTGGAATACCTCGGGAAATATTCTCACGCCTTGAAACGCCTCATGAATGCTCTTACTCGCAGCTCCCCCAGAAGACAGAGAAGTCAAGATTACGGTGTTGTCGGGAGTAGGAAGCTGACCCAGAACGTGCTTCAAAATCTTGTCACAATAAGAAAAATAGTCCTCGCGATACTCCTCAGGAGCTGGTTCAAATTCAACCCGTATGGTGCGTGGTCTCCAATCGATGTACCTCTCAAAATTCTGAGTGTGATTCCCACGCAGATCGATGTGATCTTCAATTTCCCATTCTTCTTGCGCGTATGCGATGAGCTTTTGGTAATTGTCAGTCCCATCCCCATTAGTCTCTGCCTTCTCGAATCTCAAGGCGGTAGAGCTTGATCTAATAGAGGTTTCCAAAAACTTGAGACTTGTCCGATACATACTGAAATCTGAGGCAGTCAAGCCGGGGATATTAATGAACAAGTACGCATCAGATCTATGCCCAGAAATCAGTAATTCGGCAATTTCCAAGAACAAACTTTGGGGCAGAATAGTAGATTCGTTGTAGTCAACTTGATAATTTAAAAGCCCTGGTGTTCTTATTTCGTGAATCTGCAGGTTAGCAACATGATCTCTCCATTTTCTGTTCTTACATCGACTCAACAATTCACACATACAGTTTGTAACTAAACAGAAGCGCTGGTGCGCTCTCCTTGCTCGAAGAGCCAGCCATCGCCAGGGTTAACTGGAGCAAGGTCCACCATAAAATGCGCATGCCTGTATACTCTAAACCTTCTTTTTCTTGACTTGATACAATAGTTTCAAGGTGTTATTATTAAGTACTTGATTTTGATACAACAGAAAGTGGGCCACAGTGTAGCAAGCTACAGAGGAGTATCCATCGATCGCTTGCCTGGACCTCCATGACTTACACTTGAGTAGTAAGTTCGATATGAAATGCAGATAATATATTGATGAGCTACATAAAAGGATTCATTGTTTTGCAGGTTCGATATTGTGCGTTCTCTTGAGTGATCCCATTGCCTTTAATAGCTCATTGGCAAATCCAGTTGTTCCTTCGATCTCTTCTTCGATTAAATCGCCTGTTGAGAGTACATCGACGTCGTCGAATTCCTGGCCTGTGTCGCTCTCATTGAGAAACGCAACGTCAGTATCCTTTGGAAGTTGCCAATCATTTTCAAAGGCACGCTTGATCAAAAGTTTATGGGTGATTGGGAATCCTGCAACTACTATTTTGTCATACCACACTTTGGCATCTTCGACTTGCCCTGACCTGAGGTTGTGGAAAACTAGAGAGCATATAACTTTGAAGTCCAATTTTATTTTATGTGCGTCCATAACCACCAGTAGAGAGGATAATTCGGTCCTAGTTAATGTGTAGTTGTGGTATATCACTAATCCAAATGGAGATGACCCACGATTGCGGCAGCCACCTTGTGGCAGATTTTGATAAAAATCCAGCAGCAATTGAAGCGTCAAGTGGTCTTCCTTCAATGTATAGCGCAAATGGTAAATAAGTATCTTCAAGATGCCAGTATCTGGGAACAAAATTCTGCCGGCCTTCAAAAGATTCATGTACTGGTGATAGAGATCAATGATAAGCTGTTTGAGGTTTGTTGGACTCGTAGTACTGCTCAAGTCTTGCAGTGTTGTTCGATATAATTCGGTCAGAACCACCGTATTGGGTAAAAGTGGTCGGGTCAAAAACATGGAGAGCTGAGATTTATGGCCCTCCATATTTTGCATATCGGCTTTTAGCTGTCCAAGAGTCAAACGATCCACGGAATTATGATGCAGAAGCCCCCAGATGCCTAACTCATTCAATAAGGGTACAGTTTGAGGGTGGGTGTATACAGCAGTGATATAACCTAGAATGAGTTTCGGGTCGTTGAAAGATCGGAGTGTGGCGACGAGCTCACCTATGAGACTTTGTCTAAACTTGAAACTTCGCCCCAGATTAAGCTCCTCAGCAAGTGATATGAACTTTAACACATGCGAGTGCTCATTGAGGAGCCGCAATTGTTTTACGGCCAGTAGAAAAGGTCTGTGTAGCAGTCTTGAGTCAAGCTTTTGCGTACGAACAAGTTCCACCACCATTTTAAAGCTGTGAATAAACATATCTTGATTATGAGACCGTTCGAAATATTTCAAAAGCGTACTCGTGAATTTAATAAAGAGCGTGATGCGTTCGTTTTGCGTTAGCCCAGGCTTTTGGAGCTCGTACTTCTCCATTCTCTCCAGCAGTGCTGTGAAATAGTGTTTGATATGTCGAAAGTCTTTTTTAGAAAGTAGAGACGCTGTGATGCGAATGATCTGCGCGAAAGTGTAAACCTTAGTGAAAGACTCACTAAATATGTGCTCATGCCGAGCTTCATGCAAGAATATCTGGAACGTTGCGAGCTGCTGGTCCATTTCAGAGCCTTTGAGGAGTCTATTCAAGAAGCGATTCGCATATTCGGACCCAAGCAGCACATGATTTTGGATCAAAAACTGGAAATGCTCAAAGCTTGCGTTCTTGGGTAGCTCGCGCCAAAACCACTGGTGCGCGCTTTCGGGTAGCAGAATTCCTGACTTTCGCGCAAGTTGTGGGAATAGCGCCTTTTGCAATTGGACCAGTGTGTAAAGTTGGCGTCGCTTGACCTCCACCGAGCCAAGACTGCTAATCACAGACTCCAGCGACATAACAAAGGCCTGGTACTGGCGGGAGCCAGCCTGCGTGAAAAATATCATTTGCACCAAGTCCGGCTGCAGAATTCCCCCTCGTCGCACTTCTGCCACGTATTCCGGATACCTATTATTCAGATGCCTCTGTAACTTATTTCTGATCGTTTTTAGCCCGGAAACCTCATTCTTGGCCAAGTGCAACTGAATTGCTCCTGCCAATTCCTGAGGCCCCAGTTGCAGCAGATCCCCACTAACACCCAGTGTTTTTAGACCATTTGAAAAAGAGACAAGCCTTATCGATGATCGCAGCCCATTGGTTCGGCAAATCATCAGCTATGTCAAGCGGCAGAGCTGGGTGCCACGAGTGAAGTCAGTTTGGTTTACATACCACTGGATGCCATCCCAACGATATCTTTTACTACGGATTCTTGTAAGATTTATTAAAACGTAAGTACTTCTGTACTCACATAAGCTTCAGTGATCACCTGACAGAAAATGTAAGATCAAATGCTCATGATGAATGCCATTAAATCAAGGCGACAAACATCTTTGATTCCATCGCCTCATCTTCTCACTCAAGACATCCATCGCTGCTTGCTGCTTATGTATGGAAAGAAATCTACTAACGGACACGGCAAGAACGCTGTCGATCAGCTCTTTAAGCGTACTGATGTGATTGGGCAAGGAAAGTTTGGGATTGTCTATAAAGGTTACTATGTCAAAACCCGACAGGTGTGCGCAATCAAAGTTCTCAACCTAGACTCAGCAGATGACGAAGTTGAAGACGTGCAGAAAGAAATCCAGTTTCTTGCATCGCTGAAAAGCGTACCGAACATCACACATTACTATGGCTCGTATTTAAATGAAACTAAACTCTGGGTGATTATGGAATATTGTGCTGGGGGGTCATTGAGGACATTGCTGCGACCGGGAAAAATTGGTGAGCATTACATAGGCATCATTATGCGTGAGCTTTTGACTGCTCTCATGCACATCCACCGCGACGGAGTAATACATCGTGACATCAAAGCTGCCAATGTCCTGATAACCAATGATGGGCACGTCAAGCTGTGTGACTTCGGAGTCGCGGCCCAACTTTCTCAGACCAAAATCAGACGCCAGACTATGGCAGGCACGCCGTATTGGATGGCTCCAGAAGTGATAATGGAAGGAGTATACTACGATACAAAAGTAGACATATGGTCGCTGGGAATAACACTTTATGAAATAGCGACAGGAAACCCGCCGTACTGTGAGATTGAAGCTCTTCGAGCGATGCAGCTGATCACGAAGTCGAAGCCACCGCGCTTGGAGGGCCGTGAGTACTCCGCAGCATTAAAGGAGGTCATCGCACTATGTCTAGACGAGGATCCACGGGAAAGGCCGACAGCAGAAGAGCTGCTGAAGACGAAATTTATGAAGTTGCATAGAAATGCTCCTGTGTCTACATTGAAAGAGCTTGTAAGTCGATATCTGTTGCACAGGGACCAACAGCCTCAACGAGAGGCTGCCACCGTTCCCTTAGATGGCGAAGAAAATGGCAATGAAGGCGTACCCAACAATGAAGAGATGGACCTTGAAGTAAAGTGGGATTTTGACTCTTTGAGCTCGAACGAGTATATTGTAGAAAACGACATCAACATTGATGCCATCGCTGATGGCTCCCCAAATGAGCACTTTAATTACGCGTACCCAGAAGATGGTCCGTTTTACGAATCTAACAAGAGACACCTTCCTAACTTTCAAAACACAACTATTGGGAAAGGCACTTCGCATGGTTTGACCAACAACCATACGATTCAGGGCACCAATAATAACAACAATACAACGTATCAAAATAACACCAGTGCCAATTATCAAAGCAAGCAAAGTTGGGTCAATACGGGCAAGAAGTATGAAACAAAGGCATCAAAAGCCCTGCAGCAGCTTTTTGAAGATCACGACACTACAGGGGTGGATCTTGATTACTCTAGAACAGTACCTACAATGCCGCCGAAGCTCCCGGAGGACAATATGAGGGTAGCTTCTCCCTTGGCGGAGCGCATTCCATACCTTGATGCACATAAGAACCCCATGTTCGAGAGTCAGAGCACTCCATCGTTGCCAATGCTACAGACAAATTTCAGTCAACCCGTACTTGTAGGTCCCCAGAGCTCTACAGCATTGCCGACACCTATTGAGATCGAGATTCCTGAAGAATTACCATCCAGTCAGGAAGCGATCGTTGCCTCAATCACCAAACCCAGATCCTCAACCATATCCGGGCCTAATAAGGCCCCAACGTCGATTTTGGCAAGAAGACCGACTGTTACCGGTGGGGGCACGACACGCGATGTTTCTCATCCCACCATGAAAATTGTACCGGACGATAGGCAGAGGCCGTTGGCACCCATGTCGACGTCCAAGCCAAAAGGTAGAAGTTCATCACCATCTAAGGTTGGAACTGGATCGCCAGGGAAGTCTAATGCAATGACACCAGCAGCGACCACCGTGCCTCTAGCCATGAAGCCTATCGTGAATGAAAAGGCTGATGTGTTACTCAAGCCCTTGAACGGTGAAGAGAATGATGTGGGCCGGACCAGAATCAATCGCGATTTCAAACGACAAAACCCGAATTTGAAACTTCAGATGCCCTCACCGACCTCTGCATTACCCAACAATTTGTTAGACACTGTGAGCGGTGCGAACACGAGTTCTGAGGATGCCAACATCAATCAGTTCGGTTTCAACACGAGCTCCGCACTTCCAGTTGCAATGACCCCTGTCATTGAAAAGGGTGATATAATGAAGAGAAAGGTAAGCCTCGGGGCCAGCGTCGCTTCCAGTAGCAGGAATAGTAGCGTTTCCACCGAAGGTGGCGGCGCAACTGCGCAACATCCTGCTGCGATTCACGGAGTTTCCAACATTGTTACCACTTCATCTCAGAACACTGGCGCCTCGGCAAGTGCGACCATCCATGGCCCCAACCCTGTGTCAACAAGCACCACTGCGGGCACAAGACCTGTGGCCCACGTCATTCCGTTCATGGAAAGGCCGCCCCGATTACTGCAAATGGATATGTTCTTAGACTATCCTGAAGATCCTGCGGTCGAAGAATCGATGGATCACGATCGCGATCGAAAGTTCTTAGTTTTGCGGGAGCTGGACTCTTTGCTTCGAACCGTGGAAGACAGCTTTCCGGCCATGGAGTATGCACTAAAAGAGGCCCTGAGTAAGACTGGTGATACCCACTAAGCACTAGGGGATTGCAAGCCATTGCTACTCCGGAAGTAGTGAGGGCACCAGAAGTCTTCTACGCGACGAATATTAAGAAGAAGCGGCGGCACATACTCAACTGGGGATCTACCTTGAGAGTGAGCTCAAAGTTCTGCTCAAGAAGACAGCTTCCCTGTGAACCCATCGGATATGTGAAGGTACGACAAAAATTTGTATCTGTTATTTCCAAAATGCATAAGTTAATGGTCGCGGCGAGAGAGACGTGCCGATTCTGAATTTCATATCTCATTGGTCTGAAATTCCAACACACACCCGTAGGCAACTCTGGACGTGGATCCTCTCTCCATCAGCTCTGCTCTGCTCGTATATCCACCTGCCCAAATGGTTGGGTAATGTCACTATTTACGCACTGTACTTCACGTAGGTTAGCATTCTTTGCATTAAATTGAACAAGACACGGACGGATTCGAAATCATATTATATAGAGTAGTTTAATAACTCGTCAAGACACCCCTACCGACAGAGTTGCCCTGATCTAGTTATCATTACAGTAGGACGGCTAGATAGGCACTTTAGAGATACTAAGGGGCTGGTTTTTTTACTGGGACAATCACCACCACGTTCGCTATACTTCCCATATACATTTGTCACCTATTTCTCTTGGAAGAAAAGTAGCTATGAGCAAAAACACCTTGAACGCTACTTCGCTCGAGACGCTGCTGGAGGAATCAAGAAGTTCCGGAGGTTCCGGATCACCCGTGAGTGCCGGGTCTCAGCCAACGCAGCAACACGGCCAAAAGCTTCGAGGGAAAATGGAAAGTTATCCGGAGCCCAACGTTAACTTTGTTAGTGCCAACAGTAGCAGCGGGGGCAGTAGCAAGACCATTGGACTCGGCATAGCACGTCGTCCCAGCGACAATTTGTTGATGAATTTAGCACAAGAACAGCAGCAGCATTCGGGTACGATGCCTCAACCACCTTCGCGTAAAAAACTCATCTCGAGCCAAGAACGCCCGTTGTCCAACGATTCAATCGTCACCCAAAACTCCAACATTTTTTCATCCAGCACCAGCTCCACGGCGTGGTCGTCTAACGACAGCTCGCGTGGCTCGTCTATTATCGACGATCTGACCACTGAAAATGTTAAGCGCGTCGGGGAAGAGGTATCTTTTGCCGAGACTGATGGTGAATCGACTATTGATCTAACGTCTACAGCTGCATCGGAATATTCGGCATCAACTCAGCAGAACCTGGCATCTCATATACACAAACAGCCCCAGAATACGCAGCAGCAGCCATCTAAGACCAGATACATGTTCACCAATAGTTCGCTGGCGCGTTCGCAAACGTCTTTTTCTTCCAGCAATCCTTCTCCCCTGAAAAATAACTTCAGCCGGCACTCAGCTCCCAACAGACTGTTCTCTAAGTCAACGTCCGCGCTATCTCAACAGCAGCAAAGGCCACAACAACAGAGTACACAACCGGCTGTTCTGACTCCTTCTCAAAGATATCGCCTGCGAAGAGAACAAAATAAAACTGCTTTACAAAATTCCATCAAACAAAAAGAAAAGTATTACGACGAGCAGGAGACACTTCCCTCCAGTCCTTATTCCCAAGCAGATATCAATGAAAATTTTATCTGGAACATACCCGCAGCTTCCAATAGCACGAACTCATTTCTCATGTCCTTGAAACCGCCGCCGATGAAAAAATCGCAATCGAAACAGAAAATTGGCTTTTCCAGATCATCATCTCAAAATTCAGCATTATCCAGCGAGTCGGGCCAGTATTTGGATTACAGCGAAATGCCTCCGATGCCAATAGCGGGCCTGAGTAGTACATCGGATTTCCAGAATTTCCAGCAAACGTCGGAGAATCTGTCATCGGTCTACCAGCACTCGTCTAGTAAGTTTTCTAAAAGTAAACTTTGGGAACGTACCAGTTCCATGGAGGTGTTACCATTACAGTTTAAATCAGCAAGCGACGAAGGAATGGAAGATTTGAGACTTGTTTCAGAGGACAAAGTCCAATTGTGTAGTCCGTCAAGGCCCACATGGTTACCTCCCAAGGCTGAAATCGAACGAAAAAGCCACGAGGAAAAGATCAACAAGACCATGAGCATGGCGTCTTTGGATCAATTGGAGAGAAGCCGAGGACGCGAAGAGGCTCTGGTGAGAGATGAAACCAATCGACAAAAGGTCGTGCTTCTGTTGGACAGGGGTATTTCGAGGCAATCTTCCTTACGCGATCTCAAAAAAATTGTGTGGGACACACCGTTAGTATGTGATATTCGTGGTGATGTTTACGATATCTTGCTGCAAAGCGATGCCCGAATTATCAGTCAATTTTACATTCAACCTTTTGACAAAATTTCAAAGGTGATGGAATCGATGCACTTTCCTAGGGGCAAACACATCGAGATAGAGAAACTCATATCCAAAATTCCCGGAGCACGTCCACACAGCCGATCTGAAAACTTAATGTTGCTTCTCAAGCTGAAATCTATTTCCAACCAAGGTTTACTCCCTGGTGACGCTGCGTTGTTCCACCATCTGCTAATCGATAATGCGGAATCAGACCTGGGAAAAGTGTGGGAAATGGCCAATCTTATACAACTAACATGCTTCAATGATAGTACGGGTGCAAAGTTTGACTCCAGAGTTGTAAGTCCGCGAGGCGTTGTGGCCAGTTATCTAAGCAAGCATGTTGAATTTAAGGATGAGTTCAATTCAGAGTGTCTAAACATTAATACCTGGTGGAATATACTACAATGGATGGACCACGAAGTATTCATGTGGTGCCTTGACGTGATCGTTGTGCACAATAGTCAGCCTTACAAGAATGCGCCGGTAGTAGCTGAAAAGCTTGCCAACCGAACCTGGGATTTTTATAAATCGCAGCACGTTGTAATAAACTACAAGGTACTAGCATCGCTGATGCTAAATGTGTTGCAAAATTATCACTTTGGTTTTAACGACTTAAGATCTTTGGGAGACTTGCAGGATCAAGAATTTCGCATCCCCAGTGCCGTGGGCGAATTGTTGGATACCCAATTCGACCGTGAAATTTTCTTCAAAAAATGGAGACATTATTACAAGAAGTTTTGATCGATGGCGCTCGGTGGCCTGTAGTTTGTTCCGAATATTTTTATTTCTTCATTGTATTGTATTTATCAGATAAAATATATTGTAAACTAACTCATCGAATTTTATCGCTCCCTGTACAAGGAACAACAAAAACAGCAACGTTGCCCTTAATGTCCTGTTCGCACAGCATCCTTCCTCATGTTTCTACAATATCAGGATCTGTTTCATTTTTAAGCTCGTTCATAGCCCAAATTCCACAGGTTTTGGAAACTTACGAGGACAAGACTGTGGAAGGGCTTTCCCCCTACTTCCTCCTTGCCTGGTTGCTTGGGGATATAACATCACTTGCCGGGGCAGTTTTGACCAAACAGCTTCCTTTCCAGATTATTCTTGCCCTCTACTTCTTAACCAACGATATTTTTATCTGTGGCCAGTACTATTACTATGGGGTTCTGCACGAGAATAAACTGGCTACCCCAGGCCACGAGCACAAAGATGCCGAGGAAAGAATGGCTGCAGTAAGAAGCCGGACCTCTGATGTCTCCATAAATGCCGCCTTAAACAGGAGATCGTGGTTCGCCGGCATTTTGTGCATGATAACAGGCGCTAATGGCTCTCCAATATCAGTCGGTATCGATAGTAAAGGAGGATCCAATTTCAGTGAACAAGCGGGCACTGTGTTGGCATGGATAGGTGCTCTGTGCTACGTGGGGGCCAGAATCCCCCAGTTGCTGAAAAACTATCAGCGCAAGTCTACGGATGGTCTTTCACCCTTTCTCTTTATCAATACTCTTCTAGCCAACACCACCTACAACTTGAGTATTTTTACGAGCTGTGAGTATCTGGAGAGTCTTGACAAGTGGGATTTTGTGATGAGGGAAATGCCCTTCATCGTAGGCAGCGCGGGAACTGTATTGTTCGATCTGACCTATTTCTACCAGCACTACATTCTATATTCAGAGGACATGCGTCTACGGGAGCTGGAAGGCCGCTTGGGTGTTGATCCTACCACTCGCGACGAAACCTCGCCTCTGTTGAGCTGAGTGTATAGATTTCTACTAAAGAGATAGATTAGTGTGTAAATCGATCATTTCTATCACCTTGAGTGCAAAAGCTTCGAGTGGTGATGTCAGGCCTGCTCAAGGACCTATTCCGTGAATCCGGTGAATCCGGCGATCTATGGTAGAACAAACGGACAGGTCGAAGGTGGTTTTTTTTTCACTTTCTTGCATATATAAGGGACAATAATAAGTCAACAAGGCTACAACCTCCCTACAGCTTATACGATCAAGGACACCAGCTAAATATCGACTCAACCATGGTGTACTTATCTGAAACTGTGAAACTCAACAATGGCTTGGAAATGCCTTTAGTAGGGCTGGGGTGCTGGAAAATCCCCAATGATGTTTGTGCCACGCAGGTGTACGATGCTATCAAACTCGGCTACCGGCTTTTCGATGGAGCTCAGGACTATGGTAATGAGAAAGAAGTTGGTGAAGGTATTCGCCGGGCCATTGGAGAAGGCATAGCCACTAGAGAGGAGTTGTTTGTGGTGTCAAAGCTTTGGAACTCTTACCATCATCCAAAAAATGTGAAACCAGCGTTAAAGAAAACACTGGAAGACCTGGGTCTCGAGTACTTAGACCTCTTCTACATCCACTTTCCCTTGGCCTTCAAATATGTGCCATTTGAGGAGAAGTATCCTCCTGGTTTCTATACAGGCGCGGAAGATGAAAAGAAGGGTACCATCACTCTAGAAAACGTGCCCATTATCGACACCTACCGCGCTTTGGAGGAGTGTGTCGAAGAGGGGCTTATCAAGTCCATTGGCATCTCTAATTTCCGCGGCATCCTGATCCACGACCTCTTGGCCAGCGCGAAGATCCCACCTGCTTGTTTACAGATTGAGCACCACCCATATTTGACTCAAAACAATCTGATCGAATACTGCGAAGGAGCGGGCATTCGCGTGGTTGCATACTCGTCGTTCGGCCCCCAGTCTTTCCTGGAACTAGACTCGGAGCTCGCTAAAGACACACCAACACTATTCGAGCATGAAAGTGTCGCGAAAATTGCTGCCAAGCACAAGGTTTCTGCTTCGGAGGTCCTGCTGAGATGGGCAACCCAAAGGGGCATTGCCATCATCCCCAAATCGTCCAAGAAGGAAAGATTACTTAACAATTTACAGATCAATGAAAAAGTGACCTTGAGTGATTCGGAGCTCAAAGCTATCTCCGCCTTGAACAAAAATATTCGTTTCAATGATCCTTACACCTGGCGCGGCTGCAAATTCCCGGTCTTCTCTTGAGAGCGTCACAGACATCCATATTTACGATATAGTTATGCAAAACAAAAATGAGTACACTTTAGTCGCCCTTTGGATCGCGTATCATCGGTAGGACTGGAATCAATGGAGCTGCAGGAACTAGCTTCTACTGGTCCAGTGCTATCTTTGAGACACCATACATACAGCCCGTATGCCTTCGGCTTCTGGCCTTGGCCTTTAGCATATGGTACGTAAAAGTTTTCTAGGCCATTAGTTGTGCTCATATATAATCATAGCAATTAGACAAACCTCATCGGTTAGGGTGAGACGGCTTGGAGGGTCCGGTCGGAGGTGGTATGTCGCACAACATCAAGTTCCTGGCGCCAGAACCTATAAGTCTAGAGAACAACGAGGGGTCTTCAGAAGATCTTTCGGTCCCGTCGCTGCATTTCAGAGATGTCATTGTGGGCAACTGCACGATCGTTAATGGTCAAAACAACAAGTTCACAGTGTGGCAGGTCGAGCTGACGCTGGCCCCTATGCAAATGAGTGGTCGCAGCTGTCCCAAAATCAAAGTATACAAGCGATACACGGATTTTGTAAATTTTCGCGATGAGCTGGTGCGATCTCTACCGGCCGATCTGAGGCCCAACGTGCCGAGCCTGCCGCCCAAGGTGTCTTGGTATGATTCATGGCGCTATGGGGACGCCAACTTCAACAACGGATGGCTTGCACATCGACGGTCGGGATTAGAGCTTTTTCTCAACCAGCTGCTGCTCAATGATAAGATAATGGCAGAGGCGCTGGAATGCGTGAAGCGATTTCTGGAGGCGTGAGGTGAGGCATGTGACTAACGGCATGCGGACGGGGCACTGGCGCAAGACGGAGACCCGTTCAGTGCATCACTATGAGGTTGACCGGTAAATGTTTCACACCGTGCAGCTCGGCATGAAGGCATTCGCCCAATATAGCATAATGTACATATACAAGCATAACTAATAGCAAGTAGGACGCTAGACAGCTTTTTGCTGGCCACGCTCGCAGAATCAGAACAAACTCATCGTGTTTCCAGTTTATTTCCCATTCGTTTCCAGATACGTGTTTCCAACGTGGCGCCCACTGTGGAGACGGAAACTGTTTTTCTACAGCGGCAAGGAAGGAAAAAAACTCACGCCAAGCATTAAAAAGAACGAACATATTCCGTGATAGGCCGGCGGTCTGTATTGATCTACACGGTGAGACAAGCAAAAGACGCCCGTTTTGTCGTGTTACGGTGTCGTTGCTGTGTACTTATTGAGGCGAGTCTGGTTCATTAGTAGGAAGCTTACTAAACTTTAATGAGCCGAATCTGTTATTAGTGGAAAGCTTACTAAATTTGGCGAATCTGTTATTAGTAGAAAGCTTACTAAATTTGTTTTGTAAGTCGGACATAGACATTGTAAGCTTGGATCTAGGGAATTCTATTTATCTCTCCGTGATTGTTTTAGGCGTTAGAATTGGTTCAGCTACCTGAACAAAGACGGTGGTTTGTATGGCCTCTGTTATGGACTATCATTCTGTACCACTGTGTCACATATATACTGACGCTGATTATGCGATGAGGCGCACATTACCATCAGTTCCCTAGTAATTCACGTTCTTCCCAACCTGATCAATAACCTTGCCTTGCCCATCCTTTTCTTACCGACGTCGGCATTGTCATTCTGTATTATTCTGGCACCGCTTCTACTGCGCCCGATTGATGCCATACCCAGTAGTTACCCAGGGTCCTCCTGAGAGGTTGATGTGATTTCTTGGATAGTGATAACATTGAGCATTCACAACTGTCTACATTCCCCGAAAGTTATCATCGCCCGCCTAATCATAATACCCAACGCGATCACATCGAAAAATGACGCGTAGCTTCAGTAACTATAACGTCACGTAATAGATGTAGGAGCTATAGAGTGTTAGTGATCTAGTACTTGGCAAAGCATCCAGTTGCAACAGAGTTGACCACCGACCCAGTGTCAGTATAGTACAAAGTGATACAGACGGCGTCAGTAAAACGAAACTGCACAAGGTGAAAGATCCAGAGGAGCAACACACAATGCCCTGGCGAGACATTTCGATTATTGAAAGCCCAAAAACCAAGTCATCGCGCCTTAACTTCAGTGCTCTCGCCTGAATTTTGTGTGTCGAGACCCTCACGCCTCTGTGTGCTGCCGAGTTGCCCTGGGCCGGGTAATGGCACGGCCCACAACCTTGGCACCGTTCCAGAGCTGTGCACCAACCAAGACCCGGAGAGTACCCGAAGTACCGCAACATTGGGTCCCAATTCCCACCTAACTACTACGTTCGACGCCCACCCGCTTCGCTTCCACCAGCTCCACACGCCTGTTGTCCCCGCTCTACCTACACACTGGGCCAGGCCCCGTCACTACTCACCTCTTGCTGTAATCAACTATAACCACCACTAGTTCACCGACCACCACCACAAACCATTCCAGCGATTCACTAAAGTACTTTGTGCTCTGCTGGAGTTTGCCTACTATCTAACTCATCATCCAACCTGTCTCTCTAACGTCTCTCTCTCTCCTATCATCTATACCTACCTCATCCATCTCTTTCCTCTCTCTCTCTCTACTCATCTGGACTCACCACGCCAATGGCATTCAGCCGGGCTCTCGGGAAAACATCCTTCTGGAAACCAACTGGAAACATCCTGGAAACATTGGTAATCACACACGAATATCACCCCAGACGAGATCTGATTGGTAATTCACTACGATCCAGGCCTTTGGAAGCATTTGTAAGTGTTCGAGACATGGCCATGTTACATATGGTGTAATTTTCAGGACTGTGGTATATAAGGAATAGGAATTTGACCAATATCTACCATCCGCATTACAGTTGGCTTAGCTTGTCGTTTGTATGTTCAAGAGCCCAAAAAGCTTACGATCACCGCTCACACATCTCATCCACAACGTCAGAATGGTACACAACAGAGTAACTATCATTGGGTCCGGCCCAGCGGCTCACACCGCAGCCATTTACTTGGCCAGAGCAGAGATCAAACCTACTCTATATGAAGGTATGTTTGCCAACGGTATCGCCGCAGGTGGACAGCTAACCACAACCACGGAGATCGAAAACTTCCCAGGGTTCCCCGAGGGCCTGACGGGCTCGGAACTCATGGAAAAAATGAAGCAGCAGTCGGAGAGATTCGGCACGGAGGTGATCACGGAAACCGTGGCCAAGGTGGATCTTTCGTCGAGGCCCTTCAAGTTCTGGACCGAGTTCAACGAGGACGCGGAGCCCAACACCACGGACGCTTTGATTTTGGCCACCGGTGCGTCGGCCAAGAGAATGAACTTGTCTGGCGAAGACACCTACTGGCAGCAAGGGATCTCGGCGTGCGCCGTTTGCGACGGTGCCGTGCCCATCTTCAGAAACAAGCCTTTGGCCGTGATCGGCGGGGGAGACTCTGCGTGTGAAGAAGCGTGCTTTTTGACCAAGTACGGCTCCAAGGTCTACATGCTGGTGAGAAAGGACCACCTGCGTGCCTCCACGATCATGCAGAGACGTGCCGAGAAGAACGACAAGATCGAAATCCTCTACAACACCGAGGCTACCGAGGCCAAGGGTGACGGCAAGTTTTTGAGCTCTCTAGCGCTATACAACAACAAGACCAAGCAGAAATCCGAACTTCCCGTCAACGGGTTGTTCTACGCCATTGGCCACACCCCTGCCACCGGCATCTTGAGCGGCCAAGTCGACCTATACGACACCGGCTACGTCAAGACCGTTCCAGGTAGTGCCATGACCTCCGTGCCAGGTGTCTTCGCCGCCGGTGACGTTCAGGACTCCAGATACAGACAAGCCATCACTTCTGCCGGCTCGGGCTGCATGGCTGCTCTGGACGCTGAGAAGTTCTTGGCCGAGCAAGAATAGATGCTGCTCCCTGGGGACGTCCATGATGTACATATATTGTTAGATGTAACAAAAGAGATAGAATTTTGGAAGAAAACGTAACTCCGCGTAACTCACTAACTGGCTCTGCTTGACGGTAAAGCATGCGCTACTTTCATTTGCTGACTAGTTAAACTAAGTATGTGTGACATCCTGCACGTATCATCGTGCACTACAGCGAACGCTAGTGCTTCCTCAATTGTAACGACCTAACTTGCTCTTCCAACTTTTTAACCTTTGCCTGGACTTCCTCTAGATCACCGTTCAACCTGATTCTCTCGTTGACAATGTTCTGTTCCCACTGTCTGAACCTTTGCTCCTCCGCTTTCACTTGATCTGTGAAGTACTTCTTCAGAGCATTCTCCTCTTCTTTGAATTGAGGATTATGCGAAAGCTTCCTAGCAGGTGCACGGGCGGGCACCGATTGGTCGTCGCTTGCGCCGGACCCTTCCAGGCGAAGTTTTCTGTAGGCTTCAAAATGCAATTCTTCTGTGGACAGAACTAGATCGAGCAGATTCGTTCTCAGTAGCAAACTTCTTAGCTTACGGAAATCGCAATGGCTGTCGTTTTCCACCTCCACTAAACCCCATGGGTATTTCCTTGCTGGTACCACGGAGCCCTGCCCGTTGTCGAACTTGGCCTCTGAGCCTACGACGGCAAACGGCATGGACTCGATCAGTTGTCTGGCGTGCTCCATAACTGCAGGATCAGGAACTTCGGATTCGTCCAGAGGAGGGGTGAAGATGCGGATCTCTTGGGCCTCAACCACCTGCCTGATCCGAAGCTTGAACTCTTGTAGTTCCTTGGCAGTCAGGGTGTCAGACTTGGCGATCACGGGGATCAAATTGGCCCTCGTCGAGATGCGTTTCATGGTCTCGATGTCCAGTGGCTTAAGCCCGTGGCCCGTGGGACGGATGAAGTACAGTACGGCGTGGACCCTCAGGTCAAACCTCACGTCGCGATGGGGCTGTTGTTCCTGGCGCATGTACGAGTCGTGTTGCTCGTCGATAAAGTCGACAATAGTTTGCCAGGATTTGTTGTTGTTGACGTTGTCGCCGAACCCTGGAGTGTCGATGACGTTGACTCTGAGCGAAAAGTTCTTTTCCTCCAAGACTGCACGCAACACGTCGATCTCCACAGTTCTCTTGATCGGCTGGTGGCGGCGTTGCTGCGGGTCCGCATGCTTCAGCGTTGTTTGGAACAAGGTGTTGACGAAGGTGGTCTTTCCAAGGCCAGATTCACCACACACCATCATGGTGAAAATCCCACCATTCTCAGAAACGATTTTGTACCGTTGGTTTGGCAAATTCGAAACGCCTACTACCACCTTTTCTGAAGTCATATTGCACCTGAGTTACTCAATTGACTTTTACCAGCAGTTTATACTATTCGAATGATCTCAAATCGATGGAATGGCCTAACTGTCCTGCTGGATCAGCTATGTATGTTTTAAATGTTGATACGAAGTCATGGAAATTATATTAATTCTTCGAGCGTGTATTCCGGGTAACGTAAATTATATATATATAGGAATAGATCACAATGACAAGAAGTAAGTTGGTTAACGATCCTTTTGGGGAGGCAATTGGAGCATCTACAGCCTGCTTCGCATGGTTGTTAGCAACCGAATATCGATATTATGCTTTCAGAGAGTGCGTAAATCTATCTGGCCTTCTTTCCAGGCTTTTCCCGGCGATATTCACTGCGGTGGTTTAACCGCTCACTAAGACGAAACACGTAAAGAGCTTTAGTTAGCCCTTACTTCATCTCGCTGGGATATCAGAACTATAGGAATGATATCAAGCTGACAAGCGTGTTGAGTTTTGGGTGATTTGCCGTTATCTGGTTATTTTCGTGATCACAGTGGTTATAGGGATGCAAAATACTTATTGGGCTCTCAACCACATAACTATCCCCAGAAAGAAAAGGCAAAAGAGGAGCTTGAGTCAATTTGTCTGACCACAGACCTCCTTGGCGAAGCTTATTTGCAACAAAGCACGCGGAAAGCTTTCAGGTGATTCTAGGACCTAAGCTACCTTCTCAAGCGTTTCTGCCACACTAAGGGGTATCGCACAGCAGTTCTGAAATTTGGAGCACGAAGGCTACCGAACTTGAGCCATGAGAAGAATGTCGGATTACCAGGCCACGGGCGAAAACAGAACGATTTTCCAGCGGAAAAACAAAGCCATCTCGTTAGCTTTGAAAATCGCCGTTCTAGTGATTCTCACTTTGGTGTCACTGACCGTTTACAAGCTCGGCTTCGACTCCGAAAATGAGGTCATCTGTACCGAGTGTGACTCCTACGGGGCTTTGGAACCCGCGTTCACTTCTTCGCTAGATAAAATTCTATACAACCGCGAGTACAAACAGTCCATTATCGACAAACTGGCGGGTGCTATTCAGATTCCAACCGAAATATTCGACGACTCGCCTGAGCCATCGCCTGACGTGCAACTGTGGCAAAACTTCCAAAAGTTGCACGATTATCTGGAACAGCAATTCCCTGAGTTGTATGCCGAGGTCGATGTGGAAAAGGTGGGAGGGTATGGACTTCTGTACACCTGGAAGGGCCTTAACAGCACTCTAAAACCGCTAGTTTTGATGGCTCACCAAGACGTGGTTCCCGTAGAGCCTAGCACAGTTGATTTGTGGACACACCCACCATTCAGTGGCTTTTACAACGAGACCGAAGATCTCATATATGGACGCGGGGCTTGCGACACCAAACCACTGGTTATCTCCCACCTGGAAGCTGTCGAGTTGCTGATCAAGGACGGGTTCAAACCGCAAAGAACTGTCCTCATTTCACTAGGTTGTGACGAAGAGGCTGCAGGAGCCTGTGCAGCGAAGCTCGCCGAACACATTGAGAAGAAATATGGCCGTGACAGCGTGTATGCTATTTTAGATGAGGGTGGGGGCGTTTTAGAAGAGAACGGCTCTTATTTCGCGCTTCCGATGACGGCCGAAAAAGGTTACTTGGATGCCGAAATCACTTTATTTACTCCAGGCGGGCATTCCTCAGTGCCACCGGACCACACATCCATCGGGATTCTCAGCGAGTTCATGGTGGATCTGGAAAAGGATATTTATGAAACACATGTCGGCGAACATAATCCAGCATTGGACATGTTGAAATGTCTCACGAAATTTGGAGCTATCAAGAATAAGGATCTTGAACGCCATCTTTTGAACTCTGCCTCCAAGAAAAAGCTGGCTGAAGCTTTAGACGCCGAACCCGTCTACAAATATCTGTTCAAAACGTCTCAGGCTCTTGATATCATCTCCGGAGGTATAAAGGCGAACGCCCTCCCAGAGTCTGTCTCTGTCCTGCTGAACAACCGAATTGATATTCAGTCCTCTGTGAATGAAACGGCGGAACGGATTTTGGGGCATATCAGGGCCACAGCGGACAAATTTGATCTAGGCATTGAAATTATGATTGGGCGTGACGCCAAAGAAGGGGAAGTACAGGTGATCAAACCTACGACCCCCAATGGCCACTTCATATTCAAGTTGATGGATCCATTGGAGCCGGCACCCGTTTCCCCCACTTTAGGAAGTGAGATTTGGAAAATTTTAGCCGGGACAACAGTTAGTACATATAAAACCAAGGCTTTTGGCGGTAAACATTCCGATGTCTACCTGACTCCAGGAATGGGTGGGGGAAACACTGACACCAAATCGTACTGGAATCTGACTAAAAACATCTACAGGTATGGTGGAGCATTAGCACTCCCTGGCTCTAATGAACACACAGTCGACGAGAAGAACTCAGGAGCTTCGCTCGTTTCGGGCGTTGCTTTTATGTATCAATTTATCCCCAACGTGGACATCTACAGCACCGAAGCTTAAGCGGAAGTGCAGCCCATCGAAGGAACAACCCAAGATCTAATATCAGGTCAATCACATAACATTTACATACTTCGAACCGTGGTTTGAGACTGATACGTTCTAATAACAGGAAACGTCTGTTTCCTATACTACCGGAACAGATGAAAGAAACTTTGTCGTGTCACAAACGACAAAGTCCTTTCCTATAGCGCTACAACACATTATAAAAAAATTTTCGCCCACCTACTATCAAACTACGAACTGTGGGTTTCAGTCGTTGTTAGCGAAAAGGGCGTTAGGAATAATCCAATTCTTGGCTACTTGAGCTTATTCTTCATGCGTGGCGGAATGTTCCTGACACCTTGTTTTCAAGAAAACATGGCACTCTAAGAGAAATACTCCCAAAGAGCTCCTGGCAACAGGGAAACATATTTGAACATGTCGAAATGTGTTAAGAGCCGATGATTTTTTAGGAAAAGTAGTTAGCAGAGTAGGAAAATCAAAACTTAGTTCTCTTTTTTATAGCTGAAATTATGAGAAAGACCGGGTAAAGGTAGTATTACGAGGGCGGAGAAGAGCTCGATGTGAAGTTAAGTGAAAAATCGAGTTTTGTATACAACTCTATAATGCAACCTACATATTATTCTGCTGATAACAATGCTTTCCTTTTGCCCTTTTTGTTCTTTTTGTTGTGCTTCTTTCCATCGCCAGCATCTTTTTGAGCCTTATGAAAAGGATTAGACAGTTGCCCTTGTACATTGTTCATCTTGAAAAACTCTCTATCAAGGTCTTCAGCGGCGTTGTACAGAGCAGCTTGCTTACCACCATAATTTACAGATTTTGCCTCCGTACCTTCACCCTCCTTACCGATATGGGCGGAAAATGTCAGTTTGCTCAGATCACGAGCTAAATCTAGTGTCTGAATATGCTTGCCCTTTGCCGCTTCAGCGAGCTGTTCCTGTCTCGATTGAGGAAGTTTATCAAAAGTGTACAGTTCCTTGTTAAACTGCTCACATTCTTCTTTTGTATACGGAGAATCATCGTCCATGTGAGGGGGAGGATTGACGTAAAGAAGCTTGCTATTCACATAGTCTTTCAAAATATATCTGCTTGCCCGAGATTCGTCTGCAGCACCAAACCCTTGTGTCATGTAGCCACGAGCTCTTGCATACGCGACTAAAATTTCTTGGGCAGTTGGGATACCGTTGCCACCCTCTTCTTCTGACTTTGTTTGTATATGTATACCATATGTGGCTTCAATGAAATACTTGGGAATTCTTTCAGCCACCAAACTGCAAGGACCAATGTAGTCTCGAAGCTGGTCAATTGGCAGGACACCATTGCAAACAAGCTCACCCTTGTTGTACGCGAAGTTAGGGAACACCAAACCGGGACAATCGCATAGCATTACCCGATCCGACAGTCTAATCGTCTGAAAGTGCTTAGTCTTACCAGGAGTTGCAGACACCGACACCTTTTTAGCGCCAACCAGCGCGTTGATGGTCGAAGACTTACCTACGTTAGGATAACCCACCAGACCAATTTGAATTATAGGATCTTGACCTGGCAGAGGCGTATGCAGTGGCTGCTTTGGAGCTTTTGAGAGAAATAATTTCTCTAGCTGGTCGATCTTCAAAATTTGAATCTTCTCCAAAACTTCGAGGTCGACTTCCTCGCCGTCAATTTCTGTAACCTCCTCCTCTTCGATTTCCTTATGAATATATTCGTCACCAAGCTCATTCTGCTTCTCTAATATTTCATTTGCTCTCGCCGCAGAGAAAAATGTGAAGGAGATATCTCTGGAAATAAAGTATTTTGCCCATATGATTCTCTGTCTGCGCGTGAGAAGATCAGCTTTGTTCACCAACAGTAAGTTTTGCTTTCCTTCGTGTAGTTCCTTAACATACAGCTCCAAATCTCTTGAACGGAAGAGCAATGGATCACGAGCATCCACAATTTGTACTACCAAATCCGATCTTTCAATGACTCTCCACAGTTGTCTCCAGACCTCGATGTTTCTCTCGAAAGGCGTCAAAAGAAGATCCTCATTAGTTTCCTGGAGAGTGGCCAGTTTGCGCCTCCAGTCCAAAAAGGCCTCTTTCTCCTGCCTCTCCAACTGAAACCTCGTCATATTTTCATCCCACGCGGGCCTCCTTGGAACAATGAGGTTGGCCGCTTGTTTTCTTTGTTGCTCATTCAGCTTCTGCTTTTGGGCATTACTCAACGATACTCCCTGGGACCTTGAGTCGCTGCCAGCGTCCATTCTAATGATCTTGACATTAGAGTGTCTGTCAGCCGCGAAGTCTTTATCGGCAAGTTCGGCGGTGTTGAGGAACTCATCCAGAGCCGACTCCTGAGTGACAGATCTCAGCTTAACCCAGTTGGCCTCATGTTTGTCGGTCGTGAATCGCATTTCACCATCTGGCAAAACTTGTATTTCATTTTCCTTCGAACGAGCACTTTGAATGGCTCTACCAAGCCCAATCGTGTTTTTGTTTTTGCGTTGAATAGGTTTTGGACCTTTTGGTGCTTTCCACTTCTTCGTAGATTCTCTTGGAGGCATGATGTAGCTTTTTCAGTGGTAAATGCTTGCGTGGTCCCGGTACGACATCGCAAGCGAACAGGCGATGAGCTTGCTAATACTTAAAATTTTCGGAAGAGCAGGATAGTGTCTTCGTTACAGATGATCTAACTCATCTTGAATCAGTTTGAATCAGTTTGGTTCATTGGTGTCACTTGATCGGTTTAGCCAACTGGTCATTTTACCAAAGCATCGGAGATATAGTGCGATTGACACGGTGTATCTCTACCCCTTGCTAGGTGAGTTTCTTTTTGGTATTAAGTGGTCTGTCCATTCAAGGTTTTCAGCATATATCAAGCGATTGTCAGGCGAGCTCATTCCCATACTTGAATTACTTTATCGTAAAATGAACAAGTAACCTTGGCACTGGAGCTCCAGTCACCCCCGTAACACATGGACGTGTGATTTTTCTTGATGTAACCTTCGATCGTAAATTTATCATCGTCATCCACGCTTACGATCTTGGCACCATCGTACATGCAGCAGACGAGAAGCTTATTGCAGAAGTTGTCATCAGAATTTACAGGTGACTCCGCGAATCGCCAGACTCCGCCACCAAGATTCAGGCTAGTAGATTTAACGGGTGGAACATTTTGGCCTGGGTACAATGCATCACCAAGCATGCGCAGGTCAAGGGTACGAATCTGGTCGTCATAAGAGCCCGTGATGATGCTGGTGGGCTTCGAGGTTCTGAACGTTGGTGTGCTACTTTTGATAGCCACGACGCCGGCTTCGTGAATCCTTGAATTGGTAAATATAACGTCACCAGAACGGAGGTCGTGAGCTGCAAGAGTTGAATCATCTCCGCCTGTGAAGACGGTGCTTTCTAAGGGCGATAGCGCGCCGAACTCTGCGGTCCAACATTCGAGAGCATGTTCGTGGCTCAGCCCCCGGGAAGCCAGTTGCTTGACGCACACAGAGCTTCCTTGAGCCTGAATAGAGCTTGAATCTATCTTTTCAAACTCGTCCCCCAATGAAGCCGCGGAGAATGTCGTTTTTCCCCCATTAAGGTCGACTACTCGCGTTTCACCAGTAGTCGATGTTACCAATACGCACCGAGGATCCGTAGGGCTGAAATGTACAGACGTGATCAAGGTTTCTGGGTCGAAGACTTGAAAATTGGCCAATTCTAGCAACTTAACCATGCCATTCAATTCTTGAAGGTGCCAAATTTGAAGATTCCCCGTTGAGTGCGCAGACACCATCACAGCATCATCGAATGGAGATAGCTTAAGATCTAGAACAGCCCCATACAAATCTTGTTTCAGCAGAATGTGTAGTTCAAGGTCACGGATCTCAATAGAGCCCGTTCTCATGCCACTTGGTTTGTCCAGGTCATAGGTACCCAAGATTACGTATTTATCGCGGAAAATGCGCAATGCACAGGGGGGTTTTTCAGTGTAGCTCAAAAACAGAGCACTTGACTCGGAGGCAGACATGAACAAGTGCAAATGCTTCCAACAGTGTTCGACTTATAACGAGTGGTTCTCGAATCTCAGCGGGTGTGAATTAAGACTTTGAGAATCGCATATCATGAGGCACGACATTAACGCGATCACATAATTTGAAAAGCTGTTTCCTGTTGATGCTAAGTGGACAGCCTCTTAGTTCCGGCCGAGCTTCTGACACAATCCAGACTTCACTTCTCTATTGTCAATGGACAACCCAGAGTATTTGAAGGGACTTGAACCCTTTCAGGAAGGAATTCCTGCCTGGGATTTGGAAGCTAACAGAGAGCAATACCTTTTGAATGATTCAAAGAAACAGCAGTTCGATTTAGAAGGGACAATTAAAAGGTTTCAACATTTATTGAATCTCAGTGGGCTTTTCAGGCACTTTATAGAGCGAAAAGCTGCCAAGGACGCTAGATTCCAAAAAGTACTTCACATCTTGGACAATCCGGCCGGGAAGAAATCCAAAGCTGGTGCCCACCAAGACAAAAGAAGACGGAAAACTGAAACTGAGGAGGATGCAGAACTTCTGAGAGAAGAAGAGGATGAAGTAGACGGCGAAGTGGACTATATTTTTCGGGAGTCGCCGCCGTTTATCAACGGATCGCTCAGGCCTTATCAAATTCAAGGTGTGAATTGGTTAGTGTCACTTCATAAAAACGGTCTGGCTGGTATCCTGGCTGATGAAATGGGCCTAGGGAAAACCCTGCAGACGATTTCCTTTTTGGGTTACCTGCGGTACGTGGAAAAGAAGACTGGTCCTTTTGTTGTTATCGCGCCAAAGTCTACCTTGAATAATTGGTTGAGGGAAATCAATCGATGGACTCCTGAAGTGAGAGCTTTTATCTTGCAAGGGGACAAGGAAGAAAGGGCCAAACTGGTCTCGAATAAATTACTGTCTTGTGATTTTGACATTGTAGTGGCATCTTATGAGATCATCATAAAGGAAAAGTCCTCTTTCAAAAAGATCGATTGGCAGTATATTGTCATAGATGAAGCACACAGAATCAAAAATGAGGAGTCGCTCCTCTCGCAAGTTCTAAGAGAATTCAGCTCTCGCAATAGACTATTGATTACTGGTACTCCGCTTCAAAACAACCTTCATGAATTGTGGGCTCTCTTGAACTTTTTGCTGCCCGATGTTTTCTCGGACTCACAAGCATTTGACGATTGGTTCTCGTCGGAGTCAAGTGATGAAGACAAGGAGAAAATTGTCAAGCAACTGCACACAGTATTACAACCATTTTTGTTGCGGAGACTCAAAAATGAAGTCGAAACATCATTGTTGCCCAAAAAAGAGCTCAATATCTACATCGGGATGTCAACAATGCAAAAGAAGTGGTACAAACAAATTCTTGAAAAAGATCTGGATGCCGTCAACGGTGCAAGCGGAGCCAAGGAATCTAAAACCAGACTTCTTAATATCATGATGCAGTTGAGAAAATGCTGCAATCATCCCTACCTCTTTGATGGTGCGGAGCCAGGCCCACCTTATACCACGGACGAACATCTTGTTTATAACTCTGCTAAGTTGAAAGTTCTGGACAAACTGCTGAAGAAATACAGAGCAGAAGGATCTCGTGTTCTGATTTTCAGTCAAATGTCGAGAGTCTTGGATATTTTGGAAGATTACTGCTACTTCAGAGATTATCAATACTGCAGAATAGATGGTTCGACGGCACACGAGGACAGAATTGAAGCTATCGACGAGTACAATGCTCCAGATTCTCAGAAGTTTGTATTTCTACTGACTACACGTGCTGGTGGTTTGGGTATCAATCTAACCACTGCAGATGTCGTCGTGTTGTTTGACTCAGACTGGAACCCTCAAGCCGATCTCCAAGCCATGGATAGAGCACACCGTATCGGTCAGAAAAAGCAGGTCAAGGTATTCAGACTAGTGACAGACAACTCAGTGGAGGAAAAAATTCTGGAAAGGGCTACTCAGAAGCTACGGCTGGATCAACTGGTTATCCAGCAAAGCAGAAGTGCTGCAAGCAAGAAAGATACCAAGAAGGGTGATTCGAAGGATGCTTTGCTATCGATGATTCAACATGGTGCTGCTGACGTGTTCAACTCCAACAGTGAGGCATCAAGCAGTAAGGGAACTCCTCAGCCAAATGCATCCGGCGACATCGATGGTGACTTAGATTTAGATGGCTTGCTGGCCAAATCCGAGGACAAAACCCAAACTTTGAACCAAAAGTACGAAACTCTTGGCCTGGACGACTTGCAAAAGTTCAATCAGGACTCGGCTTACGAGTGGAATGGACAGGACTTTAAAAAGAAAATTCAAAAGGACATAATCGCTCCTTCGTTGTTGAATCCAACTAAACGTGAGCGGAAAGAAAACTATAATATTGATGGGTACTACAAAGACAAACTGAACCCTGGCCGTTCAACGACTCCTGCCCAACCAAAAATGCCAAGACCCCAACCTTTTAACAGCCACCAACTACTTTCACCACAGTTGAAGGTAATCTACGAGAAAGAAAGAATGTGGAACACTAAGAAGAATAACTATATTCCAACGATGGATGATGTCAAATTGACATATGGTGAAATTGCGAGCGAAGATGAAAAGCAAAGAAAATTAAAGCTTCTTTTGCTCGCAGTTAACAATGCTCAACCATTAACGGAAGAAGAGCTCAAACAGAAGGCTGATTTAGAATCGGAGGGATTCACCAATTGGAATAAGAACGATTTTAGAAAATTTATTGCATCTTGTGGCAAATTTGGAAGGAACTCGATCAAGGCCATTGCCTTGGATTTTGCACCCCAGAAGACGGAACAGGAAGTTCGTGATTACGCCAAGGCCTTTTGGGCTAACATCCAGCGCGTAGAGGACTACGAAAAGTATGTGAAAAATATTGAAGCTGAGGAAGAAAGGATCAGGCGTGTCAAAATGCAACAGGAGGCGTTGCGCCGCAAAATTGCGCAATGTAGCAATCCATTGTTTGATCTCACTCTCAAATATCCCCCTTCCAATAGCAACAAAAGGATCTTCTCTGAGGAAGAAGACCGATTTTTGTTATTGATGCTGTTCAAATATGGAATTGATCGCGAGAATGTGTATGAACTGGTCCGGGACGAGATTCGGGACTGTCCGCTTTTCGAGTTGGATTTCTTCTTCCAAAGTCGGACACCTATCGAGTTGAACAGGCGTGCCATTACGCTGTTACAATGCCTGGAGAAGGAGTTCAACGCCGGGGTGACATTAGACGATCAGATGAAGCAGAGATTGGAAGATGAAGACGAGTATGCCAAGAAGGTCGCGCAGGATGAGAAGGAACGGGAGGCGCAGGATACACACAAAGCAGCAGAAGCAACTGCTGTACCAGCGCCGGTTCCCCAGGATTCCAACGGTCACGGCTCACTTAAGCGTGATGTTGACGATTTCAAAGAAGAAGAAAAAGACGGCACGAACGAGCCCAGTAACAACTCGGATCCACCAGCTACCAAGCGGACTGCGAACGACGTGGCGATTCAAGATCTGGAGCCGGTCACGAAAAGGGCCAAAGCAGAGTAAATACAGATGATATTTCAATAAAATGATTAATAATAACACACACAATGGGCGAATACGCCCCTTACGTTCTACATAACATCGGAATCATTAACAAGCACGCGCGCACAACTGCTCGTCCATTGTTATTTTGGTTTCCCGGTCTGGCTCACAACTGCGCTACGTCAAATGCCTCCCGCGAACTTACCTGTTGATTAGTTTCTCCACAGTGTGGTCCAGGTTCGCAGGCTTAGTCAACGAGGAGTAGCGGTCGTGGACTTGGCCATGCTTGTCCACCAAAAACTTTTCGAAGTTCCACTTGATGCCCTTGAAGCCCAGCACACCTGCCTTTTCCGCCTTGAGGAATTCGAACACAGGGTCGGCGTCCGGCCCGTTGACGTGGACCTTCTTCATGATCGGGAAAGTTACGCCGTAGTTCAACTGGCAGAACTGGCCAATCTCCTCAGCCGTGCCCGGCTCTTGCTTGCCGAACTGATTGCATGGGAACCCGATAATTTCCAGGCCCTTATCGTGGTAGCGTTTATAGAGCTCTTGTAGTTCCTGGTATTGAGGAGTGAAGCCGCATTTTGAAGCAACGTTCACAATCAGCACGACCTTGCCTTCTAGTTTTTTGAATGGGAAAGGCTCGCCTTTCTTGTCTAGCGGAGCCAGCTCGTAAAAAGAGGAAACAGGAGCTTTGGTCATCTTGGTCTAAGCTGAAGTAATATGAATCTGGCAACGATGGACGACCAGTAGGGAAAATGAGACTAAAATGTAAAATGCAGGAAAAGTATCAGATCTCGGTGCTAGTATTTAGATAGTGAACCTTGGTTGGACTCTATACAAGCTGTGAATTTTTTTCGGCGTGAGCGTCAGATTTTTTTGCGAGGCCTATGACAATAATTAATGATAGATAACTTTTAATCGGTAAGAGGGGCAGTCGCATCCCAAACTGTCTTCAACAATCAACCTTGGCCTTTATATAGATAGCAAGCGAATTTCGTCTGGAAAGTAGTTGCTCGTTGATTACATATTTAACGGTCGGTGTGCATTGCTGTAAGCCACCCTGGGCTGTGCCAAGTTCAAGTTCCAGTAAATTCTTGCTCTATGTCAGGCGTACTTGAGCCCGCAGCTACGCAGCAATAGCGCTGCAAAATGGTAGCAACAAAGCCAAAAAAGGTAGCTTGACTTTCCTCCGCGTGTCAGCGCCTGAAGTGTTAACGTTAAAGTAAGCCACCGGAATTTGCTGCCATGGCAAAACCCGTGGTTCGTATTGCGCTGGGGACTCGGCAAAGTGAGTGGGGCTGAGTACGAATGATCTGGGCACGGGAACAGCACGGGAACAGCACGGATCGGACTGCAGGTTATACACGAAATAGCAGATATGGATGGATGGTCTACGAATAGGAGCGAAATCCGCAAGATGAGACGCCTGTTTCTGGTAGCAAGATAACGGGGTGAAGACGCGTTGGGATACGACGCCCGAAAAAACTTTCTGGCGACAGAAAAAGAGTCCGGCTGGATGTGCGCAGCTCTGCCACGGGGCCCGCCAGAGCCGGTTGAAACTTGTTTCGTTGCTGGGGAATGTTTATGTAGATCGGTGAGAAATAAGCGTTGGCATTGGCATTTGAAGATCATCTATGCCGGTAGCAATAGCGATTGAGGATATCGCTAGCGACGGGAGAAGTTGGCGCCAGCGAGTCGGCCGGAGGGGACGAGAGAAACGAGTGGAAGAGGGAGTGGCTGACGCGGGGGCGAGAGGCGTGGTACTTGTAGTAGTAGTAGTGGTAGTAGCTGTAGTAGCTGTAGTAGTAGTAGTGGTAGTAGCTGTAGTAGTAGTAGTAGTAGTAGTAGTAGTAGTAGTAGTAGTAGTAGTGGTAGTAGTAGTAGTAGCTGTAGTGGTAGCTGTAGTAGCTGTAGTTTAGTGCTAGCTGTAGTAGTAGGAAGAGTAGTAGCTCTAGTGCTAGCTGTAGTATCGTATTATATCTCGAGTCTACAGAATCCGTCTCTATTATACACACAAGGCCGCGCTTGGACCTCCTCATGTCCTCTGCTGCGCGTTGATCACAGACATGCACTTGAAGTCGTTGGAATAAGACGCCTTCCACAAGCGGACCTTACCGTCGTCGCCCGCAGAGCTCAAAATAGTGCCTGTCAGATTCCACGACACGGACCAGACCTCTCCCCTGTGATCCGCACTCTCGCTCACCAGCTCGACGTTGAGCTCCGGAGCGCCGCCCTTCGAGTCAGACCGTTCCTCAGCCTGGTCCACGCTCATGGAGTCGTCGTCGTCACCCTCGCCGCCCTTTCCTTGCAACGTCTCAGTCAGTTTGAAGATCCGCACCTTGCCGTCCTTGCATCCGGTTGCAATCAGCTGGTACCATCTGCCGATCGAGGGAGCCCAGCTTACGCTTCTAATCAGCCCCTCGTGGCCCTCCAGTTTCGCAGCTACATACATCTTTCCGTTTTTGTCCTTCTGGTATATCAACGCCTGGTCCAAAGCACACACCAGCAGCTTTTCCGGCAAAAACCTCGACGGACACCACGTTAGACAGAAATCCGATTGCAAGTGCGAAGCGGGTGGTGTGCGCAGGACTGAAACCTCGGAGGTCAGGGTCCACGACCTCAGATCCGAAGGTTCCAGGGCCTCGTATACTCTAAGCGTCCCGTCATTGCCAATGGCCCCGACTTTGAGCCCCAAATGTCCTGGCGCAAACTTCACGCTAAAGAGAGGCCCCGTTGCGTCATTCAGGGTACACAGTTTCGTCCATCTGCGCCCCGAGCACTCTGGAGCATCGGGCTCTTCTTCCCACAGGTTGATCAACTTGTCGTACGAGACGGACGCTATTATCCTCCCATACTCTGGACTGGCCCAGTCCAAACCAACCACAGAGCTATCGTGTGCCTTCCATGAGTCACTTAAATGCCATTCGTTGGTCTCTCTGTTCAGTCTGAAAACCTTGATGTGTTGGTCCGAAGAGCAAGTGGCCACATGTCTGCCATAGAAATCATACACGACATCATGCACGAGATCTTCATGGCCGGTAATGAATGGTTTCATCGTCCTGGTTGTTCAGTATCCCCACTCGAACCTCTTTGTTGTTCACGATGTTGAATTAGTATATCATGTTACCAATTATATGAATTTATTATGTTGGATAACTGGTCAACTTTGAACAAAGTAGTTACTACAATCAAGCCATTGAGACACTAGAATGCTCCAAAATGCGCTTCTGGCGGTAGCAATAACTTTGCTATACTTTTCAAGACATTATTCGCCCCTTCTGGCAGCAATTGGATTTTGTATCATTGGTTATCAAGTTACAGATGCGTTGATACCCCGAGTATCGCCTTCTTTTGTTAAAATTGGGCTATTTGGGAAAGACTTGAGCAAACCAGGACGTCCTGTGATCCCGGAGAGCATCGGGGCCGTGTCTGCTATGGTCTACCTTTTCCTTTTGTTCTTCTACATCCCATTTTTGTTCTACAAGTATTTGGTAGTAATCACCTCTGGAGGAGGGCACCGCGACGTTTCTGTGATGGAGTCAACTCACGACGAATATCTGTTCCCACATGGAAAAATGTCGGAATACCTTAGTGCGGTTTTGTGCCTTCAGAGCATCGTGATACTGGGCATGGCGGATGATTTGTTCGATCTGAGATGGAGACACAAGTTTTTTCTTCCTGCGATAGCAGCGATACCACTCTTGGTGGTATATTACGTTGATTTCGGCGTCACCTACGTTTTGATTCCCGACATAATTCGCAAGTGGGTGGATACTCCAAGAACCGCAGTGAATCTTGGAGGTTTTTATTACTTATACATGGCGTCAATGGCCATTTTTTGCCCCAATTCTATCAACATTCTTGCTGGAGTGAACGGACTCGAAGTAGGACAGAGCGTCGTCCTGTGCATCATATCGTTGATTAACGACTCGCTATATCTCACCCTGGGAACAGAGGCGTCGAAGGAAGCACACCGCTTCTCAGCTATTTTGATCATTCCATTCTTAGGAGTTGCCCTAGCGCTTTGGAAATGGAACAAGTGGCCCTCTAAAGTCTTTGTTGGAGATACTTTCTGCTATTTTGCCGGTATGATATTTTCAGTGGTTGGTATCCTGGGACACTTTTCCAAGACGACTCTTCTCCTGTTCATCCCACAAACTTTCAATTTCGCATATTCGTCCCCACAACTCTTTGGGTTGGTACCTTGCCCTAGACACAGAATGCCACGGTTTAACGAGAATGATGGTCTGATGTACCCATCAAGGGCGGATTTAATAGAACATCCACCTCAGAAAGTTATGGTTCCTGTGCTGAAAATATTACACGCTCTGAAACTGATAGATATTGAAACTGACATTAAAAAAAACATGATTATAAGCTGCACTAACATGACACTGATTAATCTGGTGCTTGTCTGGTTTGGCCCCATGCGTGAGGACAAATTGTGCAACCGAATTTTAACAATCCAATTAGCGGTAGGTTTGCTCGCTATATTTGGTAGACACGTCGTTGGCTCTCTGATATATGGCCATGACAACATTCAGTTTCTCTAAGGCCGTAGAAAATCCCAGTTCTAGTCGCGCGCCGTTTCCCTTGAGGTAGAGACAGTGATGGCTGCAACTTTCCCTCTGTTTTCAATGATACGTGTTATAGACTACTGTAAAATTCTTCACGCTTTTTCACGAGATCTAGGGCCCAGCTCTTCACCTCTTCAGTCTTGATAGAATTGAGTGCAGACCAAAATTGGTCGAGATCTCTTTTTCCACCCGCATTCTTTTCGTACTCAAAGCACTGTACCAACATTTCGAACTTATCGATGTCCTTCACATACCGGGCTTCTAGCGAAGTGATATTCTCGTATGCCAGCCAGTCCTCAAGGATTTCTCGGGCGGCCTCTGGGTTATAAGGCTCGATCAACTCATCGCATAGATACTTGATAGTAGCGAGTTCTCTACGGTGTTTTTCTTCTTTTCCCACAGGGTCAAATGGCGTGATGTCCCCCACTAGCGATTCTGCAATATCGTGAACCATTGCAATTCGTACACACTTGTCTCTATTAACTCTGGCGTCTTTGATGAGCATCGCGGTGATACCCATGCGGTACATGTGATCTGCGATGCTTTCGCAAGGTTCTATGTTGTGGTCGAGCCATCCAGTCCTCTTCTGTATTTTCAGCAGCTGGACAACGTGTAGAAATGCCAATACATGGCTTTGCTGGGAGCTTGAGAGTAGGTCTTTAACTTCCTTTGGTACATGGTCCTGAGGTCTCCAAACCGGCGTGGCCATTTTGGTAGAGCTAAAGCGTTGGAAACGGGGAATAGATATGTATCTTTTTAGCATCTACCACATCCACATTTCAATTCAGAAGATTCTTTGTTTACCATCTGCGAAAATTGACAACATTGAAAAAAATGGACCACAAACAAGACGATTCCGAGGCGATAAATCCAGTGGCGACATTCAGGGCCATTAAGTGGTTTGGAAACATTCATAAAGCCTCATTAAATATGGTACACGATTATAATTAAAGTCAAAGATCTGTTAGTTTTCCTACACACTATTAAAAGAGAATTAGCAGTCGGAATTAACCGTTCTCCGCTTAGGCAATCAATTCAACGACACCACCAGCAGCTGTGATCTTCTCTTCGGCCAACTTGGAGACAAATCTGGCCTTGACAATGACTGGAACTTCTGGAAGTCTACCCTTACCCAAAACCTTACCGTAGCCAGCAGCCAAAGTGTCAATGACTGGGGCGGCAGACTTGGAGGCGGATTTCAAGTACTCGTCTCTCTTGTCCTCTGGAACAAGGGTCCACAACTTGTCCAAGTTCAAAACTGGTCTCCAGAAGTGAGCACCTTGCTTGTGGTAGTATCTCATACCAACCTTACCGAAGTAACCAGGGTGGTACTTGTCCAAGTTGGTTCTGTGGTGGTGTTGACCACCAGCCATACCTCTACCACCGGGGTGCTTTCTGTGCTTTCCGATACGACCCTTACCGGCTGCAATGAGTTAGTACAACGTCTTATGAACAGCAGGGACTGTAAAGAGTAATTCATCAAGAGTTGGGTTTTCCTGGGAACGTAGAAATGCAGCGCTGAGACGGAGATTGGAAGCCATGATTCGCCCACGCATGGGAGACCACGACTTCCTGGAAGAGAAGCAAAAAACGCCCTACTCCAAGAGTAAGCATTCAGATAGAAACAAAGCCCGCTTTGTTCCCTCGAGGCTTCAATGCAAAGGCCCTTACGGGCCCCGCTACCTCCGTCTTATATCACGCATCTGCACTTCACGGTAGCCCCAGAAAAATCAACGTCTTGGTTCTTTCGTTCCCTCTTCCAAAGAACTACATACCTGAGACGTGACCTCTGTGTTTTCTGGTCTTGGTGAATCTGGATGGCATTGTTGATGTCCTGAGTACTGAGTGCTGTAAAAGAGTGCTAAGTTCGTGACAGGATCTGAAATAACTATTGGAAAACTAGCTATAAACTACTAGACTCTGCTCGCCCGCTGGGCTTGCGTGGGTGAAAAATATCCTATGACAAAAAGTTGCGTGGGTTGAGATTTTTTGAAAAAGATAGATAAAGTTTGAAAAGTTTCAAAAATAACATCGCTGGTCACGAAAAGCAGTCACAAGATAATTCAAAGCGATGAGAAAAGTGGGTGGAGAATCAAATAGAAAAATGCATAGATGGCGCTCAACAAGCGAAAACCAGAACTCGGAAGAAAAGCGTAGTGACGACAGCCAGGCTGACGATGATGCACCTTTTTGGAACTTTAGATTAGCATTGGAACTGGTGGGAGATAAGGACGTTTGTGCGGAGTTGTGGATCGTTCGTGGGCCGCAAAAGATGCGTCAGAAGACTGCGAAAGGAGGGAAGCTTTGATTCTATTTGAGGGATAGTGCGCTTAAGCATGACACCGCACGGTAGAAGTGAAGCAGTAATTTGGATTTGCCAGACGTCTGCAATGGCGGCCAGGGCTCGATCAATACAATTTTCCAATTAAGGTCGACGGTTGCGCGAAATATGCTCGACCAACTGCAGAGCAAAACCCGTACAAGCCCTTTAAACCATCAGGCACAGCAAGAAACAGAGTGTTGCCGGTGTGGGGAAGAACCTCTCGGTGACTGCGATATTTGGGGCCCATATCTGAAGGGGAGGTCGAAACTCGTTTCTCCGTGGAGCAGAGCGAGTGTCTGGACGAAACCAGAAGCTAAGCTCCCTCTAGAGAATTGGTTACCATGTTTTGGAGGCATGCTGGTCTTTCATGATGTTGGATTCGTTCCCACGTAATTGCAGATCGTGCATTTCTTGGCATTTCTTGGCATCTCTTATGAAATAGAGCGTATTCTCAGTACTTCCGTTACCTCCCGCTTTGTCAACGCTCAACAAACCACAGCATTTTATACTCATACCATGAGAGTCCTCTCTTTTATCACCACTTGCTGTCAAATCGTTACTTTATATTGTTGATCTTCTTATTTCGGTATGCTATATACTTCAAAAGGTACAACAGAATACCAGTGGTAGACAAAGGATCGACCTATAGAGTAGGACCAGACTGCTTAGAGGACTGCACATATCCCGAAGCTCCCTGTTGATACATAGTCCGTCAGAAACACAAGTTTGCCAACTTTTCGATAGACAAAGCTATATCCCTTAATATTTACAAATATTATCACAGCCAGCTCGTTCTTTAGCGCACGCAGTACACCTCGCGCTCACTAACTGGAAGTTATAGAAATATCTGGTTTGAGGAGAGACGTCATAACGCCCGCCCTACCTCGACCCATGCCAGAAACAGACGCTCTCATGAAATCCAAGCCTCAAGTGACAGCCTCCCTTGCGTTCGCCACGCTCGTCGCTTGCTTCGGGTCGATACAATACGGCTACCATATGGCTGAACTCAACGCGCCCGGTCAGGTTCTTTCTTGTTCCAAATACGAAGCTCCCTGGCCCGAGATGCCCTACGACGAGACGTGGCTGGGCAGGCATGCATTTAAGCAGTGTATTGAGCTTTCAGAACAGCAGCTGGGTCTTGCTACGTCGATTTTCTCCATCGGAGGACTCGCGGGCTCACTGTATGCTGGCCGGTTGGCGGATAGATATGGCCGCAAACGTTACAGTTTTGTCAACTGTGTGACAGGAATTCTCGGTTCCCTAATCATATTTTCGGCCAATACGTATGGACAGCTTATTTTGGGGCGATTCGTGGTAGGCATGTGCTGCGGGAGCTCTATCGTGGTAACTCCGTTGTACATCAATGAAATGTCGCCAAAAGAACTGCGCGGCTCCCTGGGATCCATGAACCAAGTGTGCATTAATCTCGGAATTCTTTTAACACAGCTATTGTCTCTGGAACTAGCTGACTCTTATCGCTGGAGGTGGCTATTGCTAGTTGGTGCGCTCCTTGCTCTTGTCAACCTATTGTTGTTGTTTCGCATCGAAGAATCGCCCTTATGGCTGGCATCTCAGGGAAATTTGGAGGGCGCAGAAAGTGTTCTGCGGGAACTACGTGGCGGTGACTCTCGGAGATCCCGCGAAGAAGTAGAAGAGTGGCTGACTGCCCGTGGCGCTTCCAGAAATGGCATCTCCTACGCAGCTTCGATGGATGGAGCGCCCTTGAATGCTCGAGCCGCTTCGCAGCAGTCATCTTTGAGGTCGTCAGAAGAAATGTCCACCGCGGCCAAAATATCACTCGCGCGGTATTTCACAGATCCACGCTACCGTCAGTCCCGGTGGGCCGTCACGGCCATACTTGTGAGTCAACAATTCTGTGGTATCAACTCTATCATCTTTTATGGTGTCAAGGTCGTGAGTGGGCAACTACCACAGTACGCCATAGTAGTCAACTTCGCCATCTCGATCGTTAACGTTATTGTGACGTTTGGTGCTTCGTTTTTGGTGGATCACTGGGGGCGCAAACCACTTTTGATTACGTCTGCCGCAGCAATGTCAGTAGCGACTGCCTTTGTCTCCGGCGGAATTGTGGCCAATAACGCGGGCGTGTTGGTGACATTCACAGTCATATACGTGGCAGTCTTTGCAATTGGACTTGGCCCTATTCCGTTCCTGGTTATCTCGGAGCTTTCTCCACCAGAGGCTGGTGGGATTGCACAAAGCTACGGCACAACTTGTAACTGGGTTGCAACGTTTGCAGTTGGATATGGATTTCCACTACTAAACGCCTGGCTTCAGGGCTATGTTTTCTTGATATTTAGCGCATACGCTGCAGGGTTTGCTGCCTACGTGTGGCTCAAGATCCCGGAGACGAAGGGAAAACAAGAAGAAGAGCTTCGGTGGAGACAATAGTCTACTTTGACAGTCTTCGCGAGCTTGCTGAGGGTATGTTCTGCCATTGTAAAAGACCAGTGACACCTCCATGTCAATTGTTTCTCAGTTCATAGATCATTTTGTCCTTGTTCCGTCGCTGTCGTCGATAGGATATTATTTTTTTACCATCAAGTTGCATGTTGACTTAGAGGAAATAAGTGCATTAAGGCTAGAAAGCGCTAACCTCATGAACCAGACGTGTAGCAAACCGAAATCACTCAATTTTTCACGCCTGAGGGCAGAACCACTTTTCATATATATAAAATGTAAGCCTTGATTATTATCGGTACACAGCGCTTTGCATTGATTGTACAAGTAAACTCCAGACGAACGGCTGTTATATTCACCGAGCCATACTCAGATTCGACATACTCAGAGACCGTTGAGTAAAAAGCAAGCGCCATGGCACCGGCAAAGACAGGGTCTCGAACATTCAGTGGATGCTGGGCTTGCCGCTTCAAGAAAAGGCGATGTGATGAAAAGAAACCGGTGTGTTCGTTGTGCTTGCTGCATGGCGATAAGTGTAGTTTCGATGTTCGGCTAATATGGCAAAACGAGAACACCTTCTCGGTAAATAAAGCGAGGGAGCTGGTTTCCTGGAAAGAGCTCAAGAATCTCAGCAGAAGAAGTAAAAGCTATAGAATATCGAAACGAGATTTTTGCAAGATGACGCAGTTTCGCCAAATGTCCCCTCCAAACTCCGGTGATGAGGACGACGGTGTAATACGCAACGACGACGGGCTCGGAGTAGAAGTCAAATCAACAGATCCCGCCGCTTTGGAGAACGATGGGGGCGCGTTGGGCGCGTATGAAAATAATGAAGAAAGGTCCCATGACCAAGGCAGCTCCTTCACAATAAGCGTACGCAGGCTCAAAATCTATCAGAACGCCTTGGATTGCGTGCACCGTAAAAACGATGGCCACCTAGATTTTGATCAGGGCTTTGTGAACGACCGACTCTCCAGCTTGCTTACTTGTCTTGAAGAAGGTAGAGAAAGCTCGCCGATTTGCAGAAGCGGACCTTTTGGGTTGTTCACCGTAAAATTAGAGGATTCTACGTCAATGAAGAAACACAAGGCTGTAGCTGAGCCCCTCAAACGTCGCAAATCTGAGTCTGTTTTTAGCTGGGCTTCTGGCTTACCAGATACGCCTTTATCGCAAAACTCCACTGCTCGCCCTTCCACTACAGACACTGCAGACCAGTTTCTGGCATACCACTGGCCTAATCTACTTCTGAACAACAATGGAAACTTTTGCTTGCAACAAGCAGGATACGTCAAGTGGCTTACAGGCCACGTTAGGGAATTGGTCTCTACGCTGAATCCAGGATTCATGGAAGAAATCATGTACGATAAACTCCAAGCCTCCCACTGGCTGCGCATAATTCCTCAATTTTCGACGGAATGCCAGGCACTATATCTTCTGCTAATAGTTATGGTGGATAAAAAGCAGGACTTCATGCATTACGTTTCGAGATGGGTTCAATCTCAAACAAAGGCCACGTATCTATCGTTTCCCTTGATCGCCCATACTTTGAATCGCGATACAAATATCACAAATCTTATTCATTGCCATGAGCTTTTATCCGAAGCAGGTCTTCAAGATTTATATCAATATGATATGACGTCGATGCTTAAGATCAATACCGTGAGATTGATTTTGCAGCATTGGAGCAATGTGATGATGGACCAAATATGCCAGTGCAAGGAGACAACACATGCGGAAATGCAATTGAAATTTTGGGAATTGCAGCTGCAGTGTAACGAGGAATTTTATAGAGATATATGCCTAGCATGAATAGGCGTATAGAGTTTATATGTTTAATGACTTTACGAATTACCCAATCAGGCTATATTACGAAATGAAGACTACCGCGACATTTGTGCATACGTAAAACTTATCAACGGACATTAGCGTTAACAATGGAGTCGACTTTAAATGATTCTCCCTTGGCATTAGTTAGCTTCTTGAGCTTGCCATTCTCTTCTTCGTCTTTTAGGAAGACCTCTTTGTTCTCATTAGTGGAAAAGTTAGGTTGGAATTGTTCCCAGATTTTTTTCTTTGGGTTCAGTTGCTTCGCAGGCTCCTCTTCACCGTATCCTTCAAAGAAAACCTTATCACCAGGCTTGCTACCTTGTGGAGGTTGAACGAACTCAACGTCGTTTTCGTCAGAACCACATAAGACCATCGCAGTGGATTTGATACCTCTCATGTTGACAGGCTTCAAGTTGCAAACAGCAACCACGTAACGCTCCTGCATAGCTTCGAGAGGGTAGTATTTGACCAACCCTGAGCACACGGTTCTGGGGCCTTCTTCATCACCGCAATCAATGGTAGAAACATATAGAGAGTCGGCATCTGGGTGCTTGATACATTTTTGAATGAAGCCAACGCGCAGATCAATTGCCGAAACTTTTGGCTTTTGGGCCTGCTGTTCTTGTGGCTGCTGCTGGGCGTTGGCGGCCTTTTTAGCGGCTTTCTTGGCCTTAGCTTCTTCGCGTAGTTTTTTCAAGGTTTCTTCATCTGGCTTTCCTCTTGGACCTCCTTGTTGTGGCTTCTCTTTGGAAGCAGATTTACCAGCGGCTTGTTTAGCAGCCTCGCCTTCTGCAGGTTTCTTGGCGTCCTCCTTCTTTTTCTTCTCTATAATCTCACGGGGCAATTCGAGTTCAAAGTTCAAAGAAAGCTTGATGTTCTCAGGAACGTCAAGCAGCTCTTGTAAGTATGCGCTCCATCTGATAATGTGTCTGTACTGGGCGTAATGGCCTTTGACGTCTTTGGAAGAGGCTAGGAGCTCTTTGATAATGGGGAAAACAGACTCAAAGACGACAGCATCCGTTTCCGATGGCGTGATGGTCGCCAAAATAAAAGAGTGATCTCTCAAACGCAAGTTCAGTTCTTCTAGGTTGGTGTGGACTTGTCCAGATTTAACCACGGTTTCCCATTGAGTGGCCAACGCAAGCTGCTCCTTGTCGAGATCGCTAGCCAGCGAGAGACCTCTGAATTTTTCCAAAATAGCTGACATCTTGATCAATTGAACACTAGCCAAGTAAAGGGAAATGAGATTCGTGATACAATGTGTCGTTGAGCCCTTGCCATGATTGTGCCAAATCGATATGATCCCAAAATTTTTGCATTCAGTTCCGAGGTCACTCAGAACGAAGCACAGTTGAAAATCCACTTAGTTCATTATTTAAACAATATCGTGACACTTCATTCTAATCCTGTCATAGACACAGCGCACCACCTCGCACAAGTTGGCATGAGTTTAGGTTGCGTATAACGAGTGTTCTCATTTGTGGGAACGTAGCCGTCTAACGTGGAAATTACGTTTGAAAGAGGCTAAGTGAGACATACTGAAGCCAAGACATCCGAAAGATTTGCAAAAGACTGAAGCTTTCCTTCCTTTCACAAAATTTCTGAAGGTCTGTTTAAGCACACCTTGTTATACCCAGTCTGTTCTCAATATTGAGGATAGTTGCGAACATAAAACGTAGAGCTGGTTAATTTAATCGGTGGAACAACAACAAATCTCAATAGGTGAAGTTATGCCGAGCATTTAGTTTGCTCGTTCTAATGGAATTCAATTACAGCTCCCTGTGCAAACGTTACATCGTGCCTTGCGGTACCTTGACTCTGAGCTGACCACTTGTAAGAAATGTTGATCGAATTGATCGCAAATTTGACTGCTTAAGGCCCGCGAAGCAACAAATACCCATTGCAGTACCAGAGCGTAGTCCCAATAGCGCACTGGGGTTGAGTTAGTGAGCGATAGTCTAAGCTCAGTCATTGTGTACGCGGCAGATCATATATCTGAAATTTTGGTATAATCAGGACATAACGGCGTATCCACAGCACTTGGCGATGAGCAGCTGTTTGGGTTAATGCCCCCCAGGAGAAACAAAACCAGCGTCGCCTGTACCAATTGTTCGAAGGCCCATGTTACTTGTGAGGCTCACAGACCTTGTAGCCGTTGTGTGAAAAAGGGCATTGAACAAACATGTGTGGATAAACCGAGAAAACGAAAAAAGTATTTAGCAGATGTGCCCGTGGAACACCTTCAGGGCAATTCGGGTCAGTCAAACTCTTTCCCAGATCAATTGCCTTATAAGACTGGAGGAGGGGCAGCGCTAGGTAAGCCGCGCTTTTTGTCCAGCGCAGCGGATTTAGAATATTCGATTCTTTCTGACATCACCCAACAGGATCCTTTAATCAATAAAATACCATTGGATCTGCTGTATTCGAACAATGATGCAACTGCGGCGAAGGAGGACCGACTCTCGCCCTCGAACTCCCATTCCACCGCCAGTGCTTCTGCCATGTTGGACCCCACGGCTACACCTCTGGGCTACGGCACTGTTGTTGCCCCCAGTGTAACCTCTTCTGTCAACTCAAGTACCACAATACTGGCCCAGAAATCCAAATTCGCAACACTTTTGGGCACCCGCGGCCGTGAAGCGCTGCAGTTGGACGTTGACATTTTTACAAGCCATTTCCCGCTTGTGCCTCAGGAGATAGGGTCACCGGAAATGACATTGACCCCTACCAGCATTGATGCCAACGTTCGGCAGTACCATTTGAATCATAGGCATCCTCTTTCTCATACCCTTGAACGGATCGTCAGCGCAGACAACAAGATAGTCTCCTTAGCGCTTGATGTAACGTCTCAAGACCAGCGCGCAGTTCAAAACTTTCCAGACATTACACACACACTCCGATATGGTACACCCATGGAGATATATACCTTGATTTCAACACCATTCTCTCACACACCAGGGTTCCACTCGTTATTGCAGTACCTTAGATCACGCTTTGATCGAGCTGATATTGTGGAAATGTGTCGGTCTCTTGCCGAATTTCGTCCCATTTTTATCGCCATTGCAGTGACACTCACGGAGGAGGATATGATATTCATGGAGCAGTGCTATCAAAGAACATTACTAGAGTATGACCAGTTCATATCCCAAATTGGTACGCCGACTTGTATTTGGAGGCGGAACGGCCAAGTTTCATACGTGAATGATGAATTCTCACTATTGACTGGATGGACTCGACCGGATTTACTGTTCAAGATGACGTTTATTGTGGAATTGATGGACGACGAAAGCGTGCGAGAGTATTTTAAGACGTTCAACCGCGTGGCATATCAGGATTTTAACGGCAGCGAGAGAATGAAGACGTGTAAATTACTCACTCCGATTCGAGGCCGTGAAATCGAGTGCTGCTGTATATGGACGTTGAAGAGAGACGTGTTTGGCTTGCCCTCGATGATCATCGGCAATTTCATGCCAATCTTGGACGGCCTGCAATAGCTGCATGATTTTTAAAACTCATCACGAAAACTATACCATTCGATGCTAGCTATAGTTAAGAAAGCTAAAGGATATTTAGGGGAGACGCCACTACCCGAACTATTCATCTATTGCCTTAGGATATCTTCAATGAACTTACGGTAGTCGACGCCACCATCAGAATCCACCTCCACCCCTTTCAGCAATTCATCCACCTCGGCGTCCGAAAGGCGTTCTCCAAGACCGGTCAGCATGTATCTAATATCACCTACCGAGACTTTGCCCTTGTTTTCTTTGTCAAAGACCTGGAAGGCTTTGATAAAGTCATCTACCTTTCCCTGCGTGGTTTTCTCCAAGGCTTCATGATGTTTTGTGACCAAGGCACTAGTTTCGTCGAGTGTCAAGGCGTCTGGGGCATCAGCACCAATTTCTTCCACGAGTGCATTGGTAGGATTGAAACCAATGGCACGCAAATAATCCCCTAGTTGCTGTTTCGAAATCTTTCCCTTAGCTTGTCTATCGAAGAGCGTGAAGATATCCTTTTGAGTTTTCTCTGACATGGCAAAGAAGTGTTTAGAGAGCAACTGTTGTGAAAGTGAGTAATGCCGGTATAATGAAAAATGACAATTCCCTGTAAGTGTGATGTATGCACTCTGGACAGCTTACAACAATTCCTCGGTGATGTTTAGGACCAAGAGGCGGTCGATCACTTGGACCAAGTTTACCTACCGTGTTTTCAAAATTCCAAATCAATACTCGTCGAAGGTGATTGTACGGCAATTCAAGCAACGACGAGATAATTGAGTGGATACACGGGTAGATGGCGCCTGTCGCTACCTCAATCAAAAAAGCGAGCGAGCATGGCAACTGCATACAAAACGTACTCATGCTTACCAGAACGTATTTGTTTCTGGCTAGTTCAATGATACACCTAGGGCCCGTTCGCGAGGAGTCTAACTCAAAATTTTCATTTTAACGTGGAAGCCACACGTTCCAAAGATCCACCGAAATAACTTCAAAGATAATAGCCATGGAGACATAGTAGGGGCCTCCTCTTGCCGCTGTTTGAAACATGAGCAACGACTCGAGCACCTTACTTCTCAGATCACTACATACGCACATAAACGGCCTAAATGCCACTTATTCAGCGGCTAACAAACTCTGAACATAGCTCACCACAAACCAGAGAGCTATTGTGGTAGAGCAGCGGTATCCAAAGCTCTACTAGGGCCAAAGTTCGATGAGCTTGATGCGGCATCTGTGATATGGGGGATTGACCCACATCGTGCCCCTTAGCGCGTCTATTCATCAGATGTGGCGCTTTGTATCCTTACTTTGCTGAAACAATGACAATACAGTGCTGAAAAGCTACAGTGAGAGAATATACAAAGCCCTTATTCAAGTGGCAAGGTGAGTAAGGGCTTAGATTAATAATCGTCTTCACAGGCACGGCAAACTACTTTCTCAGTCTGAAAATACGTCTCACAGTGGTATTTAAGCGAGCTACGATATCCAAAAAGCTACGCTTATTCCTTCTGTGCCCATTCTATTCTTGTATTGGCGGCCAGGCCAAAAGAGTATGGGGTTTATCCAAGTTAAAACTCCCAGTAGAGGGCTGGCTCATTGCTTGGCCCAAGGCCGGGAATTTATCCGCGCGGTTGCGTGCAATAGCTACGTGTCCCAACATTCTGAGCTGTATGGATTCTCCGGAAATGCCAGCAATTTCGTGTGCCTGATCGAGCTGCGACAAGAACTGGGGAGTTTGTCGTACATACTCGCGGGGCCTCTAGTCACCTTCTTGAACGAACCATCCAACAGCGGGAAAAGTGATGGTCAACAGGATGAGCAGGTTTTCCGTTTCTTTTTTTTTCCCTGTGACATGCCAGTATTTTTTTTCACACCACCACCTCATCATTTCTCACACCATGTTGTGAAATCCTCTATCACCACCATCTAGTCATTAAACTGCGTTAACAAATCCAACTGTCTTTCTCCTTGCTGCTCGTCATAGGCCATCCAATCGTATTGGTCGCGGTGTCATTCCAAGGAGCTATAAATACAAGTGTGCGCGTTGATTCAAAGTGATCATTGCGAGGCCAAAGTCTAATTGCTAAGGTGCTGAAACAACCCAAAACGCTCACCCATATACATTTCACTAACACAATATGCTGAGATTTGTTCAGCAATCGCATGTTCTAAAGAACAGGGTTTCTAACCAATTTGTGTCGGCCAGTACGAGGTCACCGTTCCATCACTCACTGCGGTTCAATTCCGCAGTGACGATGGAACGAACACCATCCCAGGAGGCAGCGGCTGCAGCGGCTGCAACTGCACCTCCACAAGTCAAGAAGGCCGTTGACAAAGTACGCAATATGCGCAACAATATCAAGATAGACAAACACCTTGCTTCTACTCCAGATTCCCCATGGTTCCACAAAGTGTGTGCATTTGAGGATTGCGTAGCGCAGACGCTGTACATGTCTCAGACTCCTCGCAGACGTAATAACAACAATGCAAGGAAAGGCCAACAGCAACAGACATTAGCAGGTGGCAACACTAATCCTCTCTTCTGGGACTCCATAGGTCGTGCCATGGACCTTTATCGTGAGCTTCTGGGCTCACCTGAACTCAACAGCGATCGAGTATCAAAGCTCGTACATCTTTTACACAATGGGCTGCGTGCCAACCGCAATCAACTCACCAGAATGAATAAGAAACCAGATTACGATTCTCAGTCCTTTCACAAAGAAATGACCAATTATTTGTGCGAGTCGTTACGCGAAATTTCGCAAGATGTGCTATCTGGGAAAGTGGAACTCAACGAATATGGTGCCATGCACCTAGTGACCGCGTTCAAAGAGCTTTTGTTGCTCGAAGAAGCTGTCAGCATATGGCGTTCGGCCATCAGCGGTAGCCATGTCTACACAGCCAACATCTTTCTCAACCCTCGAGTTGTTGGTGTGGTGCTGCCTATTCTATACGACAACGGCGTTTCGTACGCTGAAATTCAAGCACTTTACGAGAAATCCTCAGCTATGATCAATTACTTCCACCCTAACTTATCGGTGGGCATGATACGCGCGTCATTGAGCGCTGGTGAAAATCAGATGGCACTGACGCTATTTCAGAAACTTTGCGAAGAGTCTAGTGAAATGAAGTACGGATATTTGATAGAAACTCATCTCTCGTTCATTGGTGAGTGTAAAGACTTGACTATTTCTCAAGCCTTCTTCGACAAAGCTTTAAACAACGAAATGCCTTACAAGATCGATCTACAGGTGTCTTACGTCAAATCGTTTTTGAGAAACATATGGTCGCAAACGCGTGATTTCCAAAAAGTTTATGACATTTGGTACAAGTCTTCAGTACACTATGGCCGCGATGTGAACCATGGTATCTCCTCGTCGCTGAATGATACCTTCTTCGACATTTTCTTCGAGCACTATTCCCAGGATAAGGTTTCGGGCTTACAGCAGTTGCAGGAATTGATCTCTACTTACAACCACATCAAACCCATAGACGAACCTTTTTTCAATATCATTCTAGCAAAGTGTACGATATGGAGAGATCGTCAGATTATTGAATCAATCGACAAAGCTTACGAATTGTACCAAACGCCCAAAACTATTGTGGCTTACCGTATTTTGTTGAAATCAATGGGGTCTGTCGAGGCCACCAATGAAGAGATTTTCCAGCGCTGGTGTAACTTGGTCTCCAAATCTGATGAAATTGGTCAGAACTTCATCGCTAATGCAGACTGGGCGGCTTTAAGGGACGCCACTGTTACCTGGACGCAACATTGCCACGACATCAAATCTATCCAAACTGAGAGCAGCGACGGCTTCGACGCTGCCATGCAAGCTGCTAATGCTTCTGGCGCTTTTGACGATATTCCTCAGCAAGCATCTAACCAGCAACTGCTTTCCGAAGATAGACTTGAGTTGTACATGAAAATTGTGAGGCGCTATAGCCCATTTTGCCGTGACTCTCGACAACTGTCACGCTTGACATCAGGAACAGCTGTCAAGTATCCGGTGTTGCAACAAGCCCTACCCAAATTTAACGATTTGGATGTAAGCAATGTCTATATTCCACCTTTCCACAATTTGAGGCCTCAAAGCTAGAGCGGCCCAGTGCCGCGCTGCTTATCAAAAGGTTTCCCCCCTTATGATCTTTGTTTATGATGTAAATATGTAATGCCATGATTAGAATTTTTGTTGACCAGCTGATGTAGCTGAACTAGATAGCTGCTTAATTCCGCCTATACCTCAAAGGAGTGAAAGGAAGAGGAGGCAACAAAGAGGACCTCATAGTCAGTTAATTTTTTGGGCGAGCTACTAAGTGGTCTAGTTTGGTACAAAATTGCCTTAGTGCTTTATTCTTGCTCGAGGCTTCTGAATGTTAATCCAAAACTTCGAGTCTTCCAGCGTTTGCCCTTGGCTAATTTTTTGACACATCCGAAATAAGCCTTGGGCAATCCTGCGCATCCTACTTGAACTAAAAAAACAATGACAAGTAATTGGCAGATAACAATAGCATAATCACCAAGATGGTTTGGTTGAAATATCAAATTGTATATATAGACACCAGCGAGCCACAGTGCGACGGCCCTGGTTAATTCGATAGTACTCGCAAGTACTCACACGAAGAGCTCAATTGTTACGCAAAAGTAGTGCGAAAGTTAAACCTTGGGCTCACTGCAACTTGATCACACCAAAGAAGCATCAAACGCAAAAGGGCCTTTATGGGCTTGTGTGCCAGTAAGGAGGACCGCAATGAATCGGCTGAGAAACATAACGTTCAAAAGGTCAAAAGGACTGAGCCAGCTCGTTCGAAAGAATTGGGCTCAAAATTACAAAAAAGCACACCTGGCGCCATTCTAGGAGGAGCCGACGAATCTGAAAAAGAAACCTCTGCGCGACGGGCGGCTGGCTTGGCAGCCGCTGACAGGTTGGAAAAGTCGCAAAAACAGTTTGGGAAAGGTGATCTGGGCAGAAAACTAGCGCAAGAGCGCTCCAAAACATTGAAAACTCAATTAAAGGAATCTGCCGAGAGCCGGAAAGCCGAAAAGTCGGCCACCCTTGTGTATGATTAATTGAGTAATAAGCAATGGCTACCTTGGGTATCCGTTTCCTTTTGAGCTTTGATTGTGTGTACGTACTAGAACTTTGTGCTTCTGGCTTCTTGAACGCTAAATTTCTTCACACCTTCTCTGACTTTTTCCTCCAGTAGCTCTATGGCAAGCCTTACATCCTTTTCTTCTTGAGCTTCGATCAGTAAATATAATTTTGGTTCATCGCCAACTTTGGTTGGCCCACCCCCATCGGGGTAAAACTTACCTCTATTTGTAATACTACACGCTGTCTCGTGGATAACAAAGGACAGCGTTGTGTTTTTGGTAGCTTCCCATCTTACAACTTGAGGGAGATCGTTAACGTTCACTTCGGCGCTGTATGTTGTATGGCTGGAGCCTGTGTTGCTTTGATGAAACACATAGTCTAACTTAGGGACTGTAATTTGTTCGAGATTTTCGTCAGGCTCGTGATGGCTTCCAGCGTTTGCGTCTCTTTCGCCCACTCCGTACTGCTTCAGCTCCTCGTCATGTTTTACATCATTTATTTTCTCCATATGCTCCAAGCCCTTGCCCCCGAAGCCCTTGGTTAATCTGTACTTTCCTGTTTTCATTCCTGACTCAAATTTTTCAGCCATGGCCTTCAACGAAGCAGAGGTTTCTGATGGCAATGCTTCGACTTCATTATCTCTGAAAGACTTATTGAGAATATACGAGGCAGCAAATTCATCGGCCAACAGTAATGTGATAGCAACGCCATGGTTAGCTCCCCTCGCTGTCCTTCCAGTTGTATGGACGTACTGTGCAAATGTTTTTACTGCGTTGTAAATAATTACAAGCGACACTTCTGGCACATTTAGACCTCTAGATAAAACCTCGGTGCAAAGAAGTATACCGTTCTTGGTATTTTTGAATTTCTCCAGATTCGATGCTCTTTCGTTGTAAGGCTTGCCAGCATGAATAGCATAAACAGTATAATTCGCGTCAGCCAACTTCATTTGGATCAGATCACAGATTTGTTGGCTTGAAACAAACACAATCGTCTTTTCATCTTGTTCATCGTTATCAACATTAGAGCTACTCCGGCGATCAAGAAGATACAACAGCCCCTCGAACTTTTTATCATCAGAATCATAAATCTCTAGTCGTTGCTCAATATTTTCGTTTATCAGACTCTTGGAGTTTATCGTTATGCTTATAGGCGAAGTCAATATCCTGGAGGCAAATGATTTCAACTTGGCTGGGAAAGTAGCACTAAATAAAACACATTGTTTGTCCGGTCTTACTGTTTTCATTATCTCTGTAATTTGGGGCTCGAATCCAAGGTCAAACAATCGATCTGCTTCATCCATTACCACAAACGTTACTCGTTCTGTATGCAAAAGCTTTCCAGAATTCAGAGTGAGAAGGTCTATAAATCTACCAGGGGTTGCCACAACAACTTCAACTCCCCTTTTGAGATCATTTATCTGTTTTTTCAGTTCAGAGCCTCCGGTACAACAAATGGACCTTACATTTGGCATACCTCTAGTAAATATGACGAGTTCCTGGTGAATCTGAACGGCTAATTCTCGGGTTGGTGCCAGAATCAGCCCAAGAGGGCCTGTTTCATCTTTGGAGAGCGGACGCAGAGATCGTATTTGTCTCATTAAAGGCAGAAGAAAGGAAACGGTTTTTCCGGAGCCAGTCTTGGATATGCCAATGACGTCTCTCCCTGACATTATCGCTGGAATAGCCTGCGCCTGGATGGGGGTCGGAGATAAAAATCGCAGCTCTTGCGTGATGAGGTTCATGATATCGGTAGTCAGGCCCAAGTGAGACCACTTCAGAATCGGTCTTGGGCAATCTTGACCTTTGACTATTACGTTGTCGAGACTCAACCTGAGTTCGTCCACCTCCGTGTCGGTCATATTCCTGATCTCTTCTGGTACTACATAAAAGTTTTTAGTAAAAGGCTCAAAACCTCTGTCGCCAAATGCGATCTTCTTAACCCTTTTCTTCGACTTGAGCTTTTTAAGCCGTCTAAATTCTGTTTCCACCTCATCAATATGATCACCTTCCGTACCGTGGACAAACTCGTCCCCGTCAACATCGGAGTTGATATCTTTGTTATTACCTATTCCATGCAAGACCTCTGAGCTTGCAAAAGTGCTAGAGTCGTCTAATTTATCCAGCGTATTCATGAACCTTTCTAACGGATCGTCACCTCCTTGGGGACTGTCATTCTTTGAAATCAGGTCAGTCTCAATTTTCCCTCTTTCGTCATTCTCAACACTGATACCGACGGGATGGAACAACTGCACTTTAGTAACGTTTTCTTCCTCATCGCTGTCGTCAAAGATTCGTTTCTTCCCAGCTTTCCCAGTTTTATTTCCACGTTGACTGCCCGTGAGTTTGGCCACATCCGCTTGAGCATTTTCACTACGTTTCTGTCGCCAGGATTCTAGTTTGGACTTCCTCTCAGCCAGCTTCCTGGCCCTGTCACTTTCATCATTACCATCGCTAATATTTAGGTTAGTTTCTTGCTGAACTTTCAAAGCGTCGAACTCGGCCTTCTTCTGCTTCCACTTATTCCTCCTTTCCAGCAGTAGCTTCTTCTTCACGTCGGCACTTACAGCACTCATTTGGAATGAATCAAGGTAATCTTTCTAGATCTTCTTTTTCAGTTTGGTTTGGATTGCTGAAACAAGCAGTTCAGCATTAAATTTAACGAAGTAATAAAGAGTACGTCTCATTGACATTTGGATTACTTCACCGGTATAAGAGCTAACCATGAGCTTACTACCAGAGAAACCGGTCTGGATGAGCCAGGAACAATATGACAAACAATACGGAACAGTTATAGACAGTTTGAAGAAGAAGCCAGTCGCCAAGCCCTTACCAGAACAGCCAACAGATGAGGCGGCTAGCGACAACGTTGCCATCAAGGATAAAGACAGCGAAGACCCCAAGGATAGCACAGAGATTGAAAAACCAGTGTACAAGCTTCAGAAGCGGAAGCGGCAAAGATACGATATCGACGAAAGGCGTAAAAAGAACCAATTGAACCGCATGCGAGACGACCAGATCAAGCGCCATGAAATTGATATGACTGCGAACAAAGTGGTCAACGTGGATCAAATCATCCGCAAACATTACAATGAGCGTACGTTTGTGGCCAAGCGCAGGCGGAGACACTTGTCTCCGATTATTAAGCTCAGAAATTTCAACAACGCCATAAAGTACATGCTTATCGACAAATTCTGCTTCCCTGGGAATGTAGTTCTTGAGATGGGTTGCGGTAAAGGTGGCGATCTGAGAAAGTATGGTGCGGCTGGAATTTCGCAGTTTATCGGGATCGATATTTCGAATGCTTCTATAGTGGAGGCTCAGAAACGATTTTCGTCTATGGGTAATTTAGACTATCAAGTGATCTTGGTGACTGGTGATTGTTTTGGAGAGTCTCTTGGGGTCGCTGTAGAGCCCTTTCCTGAGTGTAGATTTCCATGCGATCTCGTATCCGCACAGTTTTGTTTGCATTACGCCTTTGAATCAGAGGAGAAAGCAAGACGCACACTACTAAATGTGACAAAATCGCTTAAAATCGGTGGTTACTTCATTGGAACTATACCAGATTCCGAGTTCATTCGCTACAAACTCAATAAGTTTTCGAAAGATGTGGAAAAGCCCTCCTGGGGTAATTCTATCTACAAAGTGACTTTCGAAAACAATGACTATCAAGTGAATAACTACGAATTCTCTCCGCCATTTGGCCAAATGTATACCTATTGGCTCGAAGATGCCATTGACAACGTACCCGAGTACGTCATTCCCTTTGAATCGCTCAGAAGTTTGGCAGATGAATATGGACTTGAACTCGAGCTGCAAATGCCTTTCAACACATTCTTCGTGCAAGAGATCCCCAAGTGGATTGACAAGTTTTCACCTCGGATGCAGGAAGGACTCCAACGCAGTGACGGCAAGTTTGGAGTAGAGGGTGATGAAAAAGAGGCCGCCTCGTACTTTTACACTGTATTTGCATTCAAAAAAGTCAAATAAATTTTTGAAGAGGTTAGATATTTTGAACGCCATTCTCCTATAGTGCCGTTGTAACGGTTGTAGATTTAGAGTTTATCAGCATTGTAGGGGGCAGCTCGGCCAACCAAACGTTTAGATTTTCAACGTATTCTAGACTTTCTTCTTCGTTCTTATGAGTATTGAGCGCAGGTAAAGGCAGTGTCGAGAATATCAGATCTGACCGTCTGGATACCTGCGTCATGACGTCGTTCAGAATTAAATGTTGACCTCGGCTGGGTACGTCATTGAACGATATCCTTTGTAGATCAGCGAGCAAGCTTTCGCTAGACTGACAGGGAGAGAGTGGGGGGAGAGGTAGATTCCGACCACTTTCCTTCATAGACGTAGGGTGAATGTTGTCTTCAACAACGGGAATAAGAGATGGTTGATCTCCGCTTGCCTCCTCAATCACTTTCGTCTTCGGAAGGGCGTCGCTAGAGAACACTGGCATAACAGACCTCACAGATCTTTCATCTGAAAACTTAGTATTTTTAGGGCGTGTGGTGTTCTTCTGTCCCACAACCCAGGGAGGAAGGTTCTTTTTGCCGGAGTTAGAGTCTTTTATTGTTCCAACAGTATCTGTCGAACCTTCGAAGAGGTCGGAGTCTGGATCCGGATAATTCTCGTCATCATCAGATATATCAGGAATCTCTAGGTGGTTTTTCAGGACATTCGAAGTCATTGACATCGAGACCCCGAGTCTTTGTAGTTTAGAGACATTGTATCTTGGAGCATTCCGAGTAGAAATACCTTTTGTGGCTAATGTGGGCACCATAGCTGTACTAAATCTGCGTCGCGTGCGATGAGTTTCTCTTGCCGCCTTCAGTTCATTCCACCATGGATCGTTATTCAGAGCGGAGGACACCTCTTCCATCTTGATTTTATCTCCTTTGATTATGGTATTATAGACCCTGAACTGATCTAGAGATAATACAAGAACTTCAGCTTCGATTCTAAGAATTTCCAACAAGCTGCTGATTCTCCTCTTCTCATTATAAGTTTCAGATTGGTTTTCTGTGAATACCACCACGCGTAAGCGGTGCGTTTTTTTCCAAGAAGGGACGGTGACCAAAATAGCTCCTAGTTGTAAAATGAGGGTGTATGTGTCGAAATTGGTGGCCAAAATACCCTCTGGATTGTCAGAATTTTCTTCAACAACGACTTTGGCCGACATTTGAATGGGATATAAATCGATGAATTTCTTTTCCTTGACCTTATCATGCTTACTGGGAAGCGAAAGATCTTGAAAACCTTTAGAAACAGCAATGTTGCTTCTCATGAGTGAGAGATCCTCGAGGATCTGAACCCACTGTTGTACTTTAATCTTGCGCTCATTTTTGCAAACGTCGGTCGGAAGAAGCCCTGGATATTTAGGGATCTCAACTGCAACACTTCCATTTAATTGACTTGCAGATAAGCTTGATTGCTTTGCTCTTGGCCTGTCATCCGCGCCGCCTTCCCTGGACCTGTAGTAATTGGCCAAATCGAAAAATCCAAGTACGGTAATATTGGGTTTCATTCCACCCAGCCCTGAGCCCAAAAATACATTTCTCACACCCCAAGGAAGTGTTGGGCCAGTGCCGACCTGAACAAAAGCTTTTATATTGGCCATATCTCTAATCTTAACCCAAGCTTTGTTTTGTTTGCGCATCTCTTCATATTCGCTTTGGAAACTTTCGCCGACAGTAACATGCCCCAATACATAAAGGCCACCCTTTTTCAAGTTGTTACAAAACTTGATCAAGTTCCAGCTTGTTCTGGGATTGTCCACTAGCAGCAATATTTGCGGTCTCCAATACTTTACATTATCCTGTCGTAATCGTAAGAGATATTTGCGAACCTGATGGTATATGATATTTTGAGAAACATCGCCCCAGGGTTTTGGTGCAGAAAACAAATGGATGACGACAAAGATCATTGAAATCACAAGCATGACTAAGCAAGCCGTAACTGGATCTACAATGAGCATTGCAACTATCGCTAGGCCACCACCAATACAAGCGGTATACCAGTCAAAATATGTGAAAGATGGCCGGAAATTGGGCGCTGAGGAAATTTCTAGAAGAAAACAAGCCAAGTTCATAACCACAAATGTCATCAGAAAAGTCATTGTAATAAAAGTGGCAATGCTATTCACATCGGAAAATAGGCACAATTGCGTCAGGAGCCAAGTGAATAAGACGGAGAATAAAGGACGTTTTTCGAAAATTGAGATACCCGGAAAGATTGAATCCTTGGCAATTGCCTCCAAAACATAGGCGGCCCCAACAATACCAACGATAATTGAAAATAGAGACGTCGACAACTCACCGATAAGTATAACAATTTGGGAGGCGCTAATCGTTTGAAGAATCTGGACATCCCTATAAAGAGATTCACGCGGAACGCAAAGCCCAATCGTCAAAATTACCACGAGGTAGCAGACAAAAGTTAAGCATAGTCCCCAAAGTGTCCCCTTCGGTATGGACCTGGATGGTTCTCTTAGTTCGCTGCTCATTCCAGCACCAGCAAAAATACCTGCAGTAGCTGGAAAAAAAATACCGAAGAGATCGTTAAACGTCTCCGTCCCTTTCAACAAGGACCCTGCAGCGTGCCGAGTAAAATGTGGATACAAGTTTTCCCTTAGTGTTTGTAACGAAGGACCTGAGTACAAAATTTCGCCGTCATCAAAGGGCGAAACTAGGATGCCCGAAATGGGGACGGATAACGTTGAAATCAGTAGCAGCCAGAAGAGCACCTTACCCGCACGAGAGACAGTCGCTGAACCAACAAGGGCAACACCAAGGCATACCAGAAGAATCACAGAAGCGTAGAAAAACTCCCACCAATAACCTCTTTTCAACAATGGAAATAAGACGGGAGTTTCCTGGTCAATTTTGGAGCCAAAGTTATACATCAAGGGCTCAATAATACCCAGTACATTCATTCCACTATTAAGCATCTGGCCCAAAAAGAAAATAAGTCCAATTGAACCTCCAAATTCTGGACCTAGACTTCTCGATATCATGTAGTAGGCGCCTCCGCCGCGGACGGTGCCGTTAGTCGAAATAGCTGAAATGCTTAAAGTAGTCAAAAGGTTGATCCCGTAACTTAACACAAGCAAAAATATAGTTCCCAGCACCCCCATCTGTCCTATGATGAACCCAAATCTCAAAAACATCAAAATCGAGAGAACATTTAAAGTTGTCGGAACAAAGACCCCATCGAATGTACCCAATTTACCCTTACTTGTATCCTCGGATTCTTTTACACTAGCAACCCGTTCTGTAGCACCGTAATCGAAATAGGTCATATCCGCGTTACGTTCGCTCAATTGCCTTTGCTCCTCATTTTCCGCCGTAATTGGCGGCTTATGCGATCCAGGAAGGTCGAAAAACTTAGACATCTAGTGCTTTGCAGGAGCAGTCCCTCTAACCTTCTTAATGCCCTTTGATCGCTGACCCAAATGTCCAAGGTCCAAGGACAAGTATACCTTTCACTATTGGCCAACTCCGAAAAGCACGGGAACTGTCTCAGAGGGATCAACTCACAACTGTCGAGTATGCGTTGCGTCAAATAAACACTAGCAGATGTTGAAAATTAGCCTATGTTAACCGACCAAGTTCAAACGTCCAGGATATATGTCCTTTTGCAGTAATTGAATAGTTGGTTAGTAACTAACTTATATTATCAAATGTTAAATATTAAATCAGAACTTGACCCACAGAGAACAGAGTCAATCAGCCAAAGCTTTCTGCACACAATATGAATTGGAAGACACATCAGCGAATTCTTGAAATAAATGGTGGCGAGAAGATTTCACAACCAATAGTAAAGTTTCCTCCCTTCAAGCTGCGAGCAGCAATGGTTGAAAAGGATCCGGTCATTTGGCTTCATTTGCTTGAGACATATAACCGATTCTTCAGTTACTTGATGTCAGAAGGGCGGTTGGAGCAACTGGACGACTCGACTTATGAGAATCTTTGCATTTTTGTGCGCGGGTATCTAAAGGAACTTTCCGACGAAGAAGGAAAGCTACTGAGTCTGGGCATGAATAAAGATGTTGAACAGCAGCTTCATACTTTGAGGAGCTGGATTTTGGCATTGGCGAAAGAATGCGGTTTGTTGCATCTTCAAGTTTCGTGTGATACCTTGTGGGACTTTGTCCGTCTTTACGTTACTTACAACCCGGAGACAGTTCGCTCATTGATAGACGGATCCCTGAAGCCTAAAATCAATACCCAGAAAGCACATCTAAATAGGACTTACCAATTGCATCAGCATCTAAAACAGCTAATTGAATCTAACAAGTTCACCAGAGTCGACTTAAAGGCCCTCGAAAGCTTGCTGTCCGCTGAAGATCGGCGATCGCCGCATTTTGCAGATCAATTTTTGAATGCCAAATGGGCGGCGATCTTGGAATCGTGGTTTTTGCAAGAATCTAAAGATATTAGGATCATTGCTACAAATCTAGGTATTCTGACATATACCAGCGCGACCGAGAATCGTATAATAGAGCTAATATCAGAAATGCGCATCACTCTGGAGACGCTGCAACAGTATCCCTTGCTCGCATCGCTACTCATGAATGACAACTTTAGAGCCCATTTCAAAGGGCTCGCATCAAGACTGCCACTTATGAGATCACTTGTCGGAAGCAAAATAGTAACCGAAAATCAACCTGCTTTGAGCACAGAAGCTGTTGAAATGATTATAGAGGTCTTCCCATTTCTGACAGTATCTCAGGCAGAGAAGCAGCTTCAATTATATGATGGGAATGTGGAACGAACTATTGAAAGCTTATTCGAATCACCGCTGCCGCCACCTGATGAATCGAGTGCAACTACTGCCACCCATAGTGCTGCTGTCAATGGTAACGAGCAACTCAAACCAGCTGAATATGAGAGTGAGCTAAAACAGACTGACAGGTTGTCGAAGGAGGAGTTGGATCAAAGAGGGGAAAATGTTCCCGATGCTTTGCGAAATAAAACCTTGGCTAGGGCCTTGGCTCTTCTCTACCAAGCGGATGAGGATGAAATGGACGATACATACAATGAAGCTGACTCTCAACCATTGGCTGATGGTGATGAAGGGGATAAAGGAGCGAAAGCATATGAGAATCGTGAGGGATACTTATGGGAGTTGCTAAAAGTGAACAAGACACTATTTGAGCGACAGTCTAGGGGGACGAAAGGCAGGAAGGATATGAAAAGTATGACATCATGGTCTGATGAGCAGATTGAAGGTTGGGCCCGCATGCTAGAGCGGAGTCCCAAACGAGCACAGTTACTTGAGGAGAGATACATGTTTAGGGGAAATGCCCGTACTGGCAAAAGAGCTTTTGTTCAAAACAAGCACAATAGTTTACAGGGCCCCCAGCTCGATGACACCCGAGAAGGAATCAGAAATGAAAAACAATCTACGAATAAGACGTCTGTTACCGGTGGTGGGGATAAAAGACGCCAGAACGCTAGAAAGGAGAAAAACAAGAGCACTCGCGCAAACCACAACAGAAAAAGTGGACACGATAAAAAGATCGCGAGGGTATTGCCCTAAAGGTATCTGTTCAAAGAAGCGTTAATTAATACATTCCTTAAACAATACGTACATTCTCAGTCAACTTTATTTTTCTTGCTCGACTTTTCCAAACTGTTCCAAAGCTCTTCGTCTTCCTCAGCATCTGCCGCATCGTCCGTGTTTCTGGTTTTGCGTTTCTTCGTCTTGGTCTCTAGTTGAGGAATGTCAATCTCTTTGTCGTCTAATAGTACAATGGAGCTCACTTTGGCTCCGACGTAGCACTTACAAAGCACATTTCGAGACTCGGCATCAAAAATGCGAGCATATCTATCAAAACCACCTTGCAATACAAAGCGTTGTTCGATCACATCAACGAATGAAGCAAAGCCAGTGATATCCCCGTTACCATACTTGCCTATGACGTTACCAGAAGTATCAAATAAAATGATGTTCTTTTTGGAATCTGTGACCAGAAATTTCAATTCCTCAAAATTGGCTGCAATAACGTTACCGGATGATGTTAATGAGCGATTTATGATCTTGATCTGAGAAGCGATCTCATTTTTTGGTAAGAGAGGTAAGGATGACATTGGTTTGCGGCCTCGGGCAGTTTGGTATCTGCGGAAGTGCCCGAGGTGGCTTATCGTTAGAAATTGGTAATTTTCACCTTCCTCCTCTGCACTGGGTAGAGAATTTAGAAATATGAGTTCCATCGGCCAGATGGGCACTTTTAAGTCAAGTCTGTCATTGGAGACATTTTTCGCCTGCCAGAAAACGTCAAGGTTTTCAAAATCACTGGATAACTTTGCTAATTTGACCAAGTTTTCCTCTCCACCAAAGCCTATGGTGATGCTGGTCTGGGGTTTCGCCTTACCCTCAACTGCATTATTGTCGTAAATTTGTACGAATTCAAGTGGCGCCTTGACAGTATGGGTTAACATGCGGTGGATGCTGTCATTCTCAAGGGCCAACACATGTATAAGTCCAGACCTAGATGCGCACAAAACGCGATCAGGTTTTCCAGGAACCACATGTAGCGAGATGAATCCGTCCCTGGCTTTCGACCTCCGCTTAGATTGTTTATGGGTGTTCAGGAGAGGCTCATCGTCGAGAAGGCCCTGTATTGACGATATCACCTCTAGGTCGGATACCGTGAAGACAGGCTCCATGTCTGGGTTTTTACCGTCGGAGTCCCTTGGCAATTGACTTCTCTTTATCAGTTGAACTGAGCCATTGGCCCTAGCCACAAGAAGCCGATCTTCTGAGATTGATTTCATGATCTCCACACGGTGATCTAAACTTTCTGCGAGATGCGTTCCAACATGGAATGGTTGAAGCGCCGTTTGTACTGAAGTGTTTGTCTGGCGGTTACATATCACTTCCTTTATGCTACCACCATCATCGCAAGCTACCAAAAATCTCATCTGATTTCAATCACGTAGGAATTTGAATTGATGATCGAGCGAGCTCCCATGTACCTTGTTCCCGTTACCGAAGAGATAGATTGGCGATGAGCTTGATGAGCTACCATTACTCAAATTTTTCTGAATCATATAATACGTTTTTCGCATTTATCAAAATCCAATGAATTAATCTTGCTGTTCATAAACGAATCCGTGGCCTTTAAGTTTTCACTCTTCAAAAAACGGCCGTGCGGTTTTCACTGAACCTCTGATAGGTGGTACGTTCAAGCCTAGAGGTCGACCTACTCGTTTCGATAAAGTACGTCATTGTTTACGTGTGTGTCGCTCATCGCCCTCTATCATCGAGTTAGTTTTAAAGAGCACTGATGCTCCAAACATAATTCCGCTGAAGAGCTCGACATTTTGATGCATTCGAGTGGGATATATCAACTGAGATACAGTCTCCTATGCTTTGACTTGATGGAATTTCAAGTGAGACCAACTAGTGAATTCGTGCGTAGGTATCCATATCTCATATAATTCTCGAAACTCAACCTTATTTTATTCCCCTATCCTTTACAACTGCATCAGTGCTAGTTGAATCCGCCGTGTTTCCCTGAGTCACTTCTAGTTCGTTTGCATTAGTCGAGAGTCTCCTAATGTCTGACAGTGTTATCGCCAATTACAAGCTTGCCAAAGCTCCTATATATTCGCACTGCTTTTCGCAAGATAGGTCGGTGTTGGCCATTACGCTACACACTGACTGTTTGGTCTTCAAAATGGTGCCCAATGGCAAGCCACAGCTTGTTGCGAGTCTGTCGGATCACGATAAAACCGTCACTGCCGTGGACATGTCCGTCCATGGGCGAATTGTCACTTGCTCGCAGGACAGAAATGCCATTGTGTGGGAGCCATTAAGCGACGGCACCTACAAGCCCACGCTGGTGCTATTGCGTATCAATAGGGCTGCTACTTGTGTGAAATGGGCACCCAGTGGCTACAAATTTGCAGTTGGCTCATCCGCACGAATCATCGCAATCTGCTATTACGAACAGGAAAACGACTGGTGGGTTTCCAAACACATCAAGAAGCCTATCAAATCCACTGTGAATTGCTTGTCATGGCACGACAATGGTATCATTCTAGCTTGTGGTGGAACTGATGGTTACGTTCGCGCCTTTTCTGGCTTCGTCAAGGGTCTGGATTCGAAAGAGCAAGTTTCCAGCTCTCCTTGGGCAGACAAGTTTCCATTTGGGGCTTTGATCCGTGAATGGTACAACGGATCGTGGATTCATGACGTTCAATGGAGAAGCTCGCAAGAAAAACTGGCGTTTGTCACCCACAGTGGGTCTTTCTCGGTAGTCGATCCCTCGGACCAAATCTGGGCTGCTGATTATCCGGAAGGCCTGCCTCTAACATCGGTGGTTTGGGTGAACGACCACGAGGCTGTGTGCGGTGGGTACTCTTGTCACCCAGTTTTGTTCACAGAGGGTGCCAACGGATGGCAATTTTCTAAAAACATCGACAAAAGCGTGGCTGCTCGTACTCCCGTTGCTGCTAGCTTGGACGAAGAAGATCAGGACGAAGGTGCGTCATTTGGTATATCTGCATTGAAGAAATTCAAAGATTTAGATCTCAAGGGCAAAGTTTCGACTCGGGTGCAGGAATGCACGCACGAGAATGCCATTGAAGAGCTAGCGCCCTACTCAGGAACAGGTGACCAAGTTACAGAAATTTCATCTTGCGGTCTTGATGGGAAAGTCGTCATTTATAGAGTCTGATTGACCACGAACTTGGCAAAACAAATGGATCAAAAACTTGTGTCCTCCCTTTATGGCCTATATAATACAATTTCACAAAGCTTATAAGCTTCTATATCTAGTCATTACCTATCTCCGTAGGTTCTCGAGTTTTGAATAACCTGCCGTTGCAAAACGAGCGAATATACGCTTCCCTTGAAGAGCGTTCCAACCAAAGCGATCTTTACCTCAATTTCGCGAAGCTGACGCAACACCTGCTCTGGGGACTCTGATGAGCTATTTTCTCTTAAGTTCTTGATTGTTTCGTCCAGATTGTGCAGAGACTTCGACAAAGTTTCGTACTTGTCAAGGACGCTTCGTTGCAACGGTGATAGTTCCATTTGGAGGAGCTATAGACGTCTATATCGTGGTAATATTGACTCTGTTTGGTCAAAACCAGATTTGTAGCACTGATCGACGTTCAAGATATTTACACAATTCGTATATTCTTGACAAGAGTTAATTAATGTTAAAGTGAACTACTTGGAAAGTTCATCATATCAACACAACTGCAAAAGCAAGCTCAAGGCAATCCCCGATTCATGACCAATCCTCAGCAATCTTACACTATTTGGTCTCCTCAGGATACAGTCAAAGATGTGGCAGATTCGCTTGGTATCTCAAACATAAGTGACGATGTTTTGAGATCACTAGCTATGGACGTTGAATATCGTATTCTAGAAATTGTGGAACAAGCTGTGAAGTTCAAGCGGCACGCCAAACGTGAGGTATTGAATACGGAAGATATATCGCGGGCTTTGCGTGTTCTTAATGTGGAGCCACTTTACGGATATCAGGATGGCTCAGCAAGGTCCAAAGACGTTTCATTTTCTAAGGTCGCTGCACAAGGTGGACAGTCTCTTTACTTCTTAAACGATGAGGAAGTTGATTTCGATAAGATTATTAATGAACCATTGCCCAAAGTGCCTCGTCTTCCCACGTTCACGACCCACTGGCTGGCAATAGAGGGTGTTCAGCCAACCATTCCGCAAAATCCAAATTTAAACGATATCCGAATGTCGCAGCCTCCAATAGCGCGTGGCGCCATTGTGACAACTGTGAATGACACAAGCTTGCAAACTTCTGCCTCCGAAGAAAAGGAAACACAGCACGTTTCTTCGATAAAACCTGGTCAGGTCAATGAGGTCAAGCCTTTGGTGAAGCACGTTCTATCCAAGGAATTGCAAATTTACTTCGATAAGGTAGTGGGCGCACTAACTTCCAAGGAGCAAGACGAAAAGGCCCAGCACTTAAAGGCTGCGGCGCTTACTTCCTTACGATCAGACACTGGCTTGCATCAGTTGGTTCCATATTTTATCCAGTTTATCGCAGAACAAATCACGCACAATCTATCTGATCTTGGGCTTCTGACAACGATGCTAGAAATGATATATTCCCTTTTGAGCAACAAACACGTCTTTCTGGATCCTTATATTCACTCTTTAATGCCTTCCATTCTTACGCTTCTGCTGGCCAAAAAACTAGGAGGAACACCAGCCTTGGTGTCCAGCAAAGAAGAACAGATCAATTCAGAGAGTGAACTGAAAATTGCCGATAATGAGTTTTTGGATAAAACAAATGCTCTTCGTGACTTTGCTGCCTCCTTACTTGACCATGTTCTCAAAAAATTCCCAAAGGTCTACAAATCCTTGAAGCCAAGAGTTATGAGGACGCTCTTGAAAACATTTTTGGATACCAATCGTTCATTTGGGACTTATTATGGATGCATAAGAGGCGTTACCGTGTTGGGCCCTGAATCAGTAAGATTCTTTTTAGGAAATTTGCAAAGTTGGGCAAGCCTGATCTTTGAAGAGCATGCCAACCTGAACAGTAAAGATGATGTGCCCTACTCGGGTAGATTTACAGAGCTTGAGACTAGTCTGCTATGTGACGTGGTTATCGACTCTCTGCTCGTCTTAAAGGTAGATTTGCCGAGCGATCAAGAATATCAAGGAGATTTGACAGATGAAGAGAAAGAGAAACTGAAGAATCGTTGCGGTCGGACTATTTCTGCGAAACTGATGGATAGGGCAGATGCAAAGGTACTTGTAGCTGCAATTTTTTTTGGAGAATGACAAATGCACTTAAAACACCTAACGTATGTAAATTACTTTCAGACTCAGAGTACACAAATCGTATACAATTCAGTCTTCTATTTTGAGGCAAACAATCGCCGGCGAACTCTCCTCTTTTCGACCTTTTCGGAATTGACGACGCCAGTCTGGCTTTGAGTAGCTTTTGAACTGCTCGCGGGAACTTGTAGAAAGTCAACAGAGGACTTAGAGGGTGTATTGATAAATGGAAAAGTTGGTAGGGCCCCTTGAAGTGATCTATCTTGCCCTTTAGAAGCAGAGCCTGAAGGGGACTCTACGATTTGACGGTTCGGGATAATGAACGCGTTGTCCATTACTTTTTTCGCATGCGGGGTTGCTTCAACTTGGACTGGGCCATTGATCTCTAGTGTAGACTTGACTTTCCTAGGCTCAATCCTCCGCCTCCTCATTCGTTGGAAGGTTCCAGAGGTCATACTCCTATCCAGTACCGGCTCTTGAATAGATGATTCTCGAAGGCCACTTAATTCCGACTTAGATCGATTCACAGTGACTTTGCCATCTGGTATGACCAGTTCATTCGCCGGTAGTTGACGCCTTTGTAATTTATTGAGAATGAGATCCGAATTTCCACGGCCTACCGTCGTATGCTTTTTGATATGCCCGGATTCGAACTCCAAGATGTCACTAAGTTGAGAATTACTTCTGGAAATTAAGGTAGGGGGGCGTTGCGACAAAACGGTTCTTTTATGAATCTTGCCAGACGTTCTGCATTGATCACTTGCCTGTGGTGAGGCCGGTAATGGTGTGATATTTGCATGGCTTTCAGGTGGAGGGGAGTTTGGGGGAACATGCCCGGTATAAGCTTCGCGGAGGTTTTCAGAAGATGCCCCCAAAGCCTGCTTTTTCTCGATTTTAGAAGAATGGTGGAATCGAGGGCTTTTCAACCTCTTGGACACAAAGGACACTGCATGAGGAGCTCTTTTCCTGTAGTAGGGTAAAAGGACGTAAGTTGTAAAACCATAACTTGAAGACTCTTGGCCTGGGTTAGCCATGCTCCTAATTAGGCCCTGACTTCGTTCTATGGCAGACTTAGCTGCATCGTTGTTATTTGGTTCAATCTTTTTGATGCTTATATCATTCACTAACATCATGTCTATGATGGACAGCTTGTCTAAATAAATGTCCAGCTGTTCACAGTAGTCGAGAGACAGGGTTCTAGATGTTTTGTGGGCCTTTTTGCGACGCAATTTTGAGGAAAGTCCTTTGTTTGCCACTTTCTTGGCCCGCTTTTGTAGTCTGTCCCCATATCTTTCTTCGAAATTTGCGAGATTAGCATCCATGCTACTTGAAACAATCAATTCTATCAGTATAATGATTTGTAGCCTAAGTTCACGGACTTTGTAAACTAATAGTAGATTTGACAAGACAGTAGGCCCTCCTGAAACTATAAGATCACCGACTTTGTTTAGGCAGTTCTGACGCACCTCGGAGCAGATTTCACTATTTAAGTCGGTCTCCATGATATTATCTTTGTGTCTTGCATCAAATTCGTCCACTGTCAACAGGAAATCGGCCAGAAGTCTCTGATACATGCTGCTACTACCTAGTTGCTCCTGATCTTGAGTCATGACCTTGGTCCTCGGCAAGTTTGACTTCACAAAGTAAGCGAGAGGGATATGAAAAGAAAACACGGTCTCATAATATTTCCTCTGGAGATAGATTCGGGGATCTTGGTTGCTGTTATCTATAGCTCCCTTGCGATTGCCGCGTAAAAGTCGCTTGTTTCTTGGGCCCATGTCTAGCTCGCCAAGCACGTCAGGATCCCGCGCAGAGTGCAATTGCCTGTCTTCTTTCCACAGATCTAAGAGGTCAGGAATTTGTAAATCAAACCAATTAGATAGCGTCGAGGAAATCCGTGATGAGGATGATGAAGTTGTGATTGCCCGCCTGTCCAAGGAGTTTGAGAAATCTAGAGGCACATCTTTGAGTTTCCAAAGCAGCCAGTACCCATCGACATAGTGCTCAAGGACGAAGTGAGCTTTTAGATCAGAACCTTCGCCATTTTGGAAAACGTACCTGCAGCTCCCTCGACCTCCACACAAAATGTTTAAAACATCAGAAGCCAATTCAGATTGATTAACAATTGCAGGGGGGTGTGTGTGGTCCACAAGTGTGTCTATAGCGTCAATATATGCTCCTGTTAATTGAAGGCTCTTTACTGTTTCGTTCGCAGCATGTGAGGGAGCAGGTCCGTGCGGCTTATGTTCTTCATTTACTTCATCAGTCTCCATTAACGGTGGAGATCATGCATGAATATTGCAAAAGCCTCAGGTTTCGGACGCAACAAGACTGTGATTTGGCCAAAGAACAGTTTACAAACGGTAATGTTGTACTACTATATCGCTAGTCTTATAATTCGGCTGTCAGTATCGTGTAATACGAATTGAGAGTTTCGCAAGCTCATTCATACCACTCGTTCGATCTGTAAGGAGGCCGTCCAAATCATAATTGGGTCTCAGAATTAACTCCCACTGATATTTGGAGCTTGTGCGTTCATTAGTTTGCTTAGAAGAGGAAAAATTCCGCTGCTTGAAAGCCAAGAGAGCATGCATAGTAGGCCAAAGAAGTTCACATTACCTCGATCCACGACATGCAACAATCGAAAAATAGAAAAGTGAGTATCTGGCAGCCTTCCTCTGATTGGACGGAGTGATTTTTCTTTCAGCTCATGACAATTCTGATCGTAAATTGATCATCTTTGGCAAAACTGGGATGAAGCCATGTGATTGTTGAGACGTATGTTACAACGCAATCCCAAACTTACCTTGTTTCGACAGTACACTATCGTAGTTGAAGTTGATATCTCGTCAATGAAAACTGCAGAACAGGGTTGGAATTTATTTGGGATTTCCTCGCGGTTAGATGCCATTACCGTTCATACAGTTTTCATTCGCGGAGGAGGCGAGAGCAGTTGGTCATCCTCTCACTTTCTCCTCCTAAGCCTGAATGATCTATGCACTCATAGGAGTTACTTCTCTTTTTTCATTAGATTCTTTATTTCTCTTGTCCGTTTCGATCTTGTTGTTTATCAAAAAGATGGCGGTTTGGACGCCTACCGGGGTTCCTCTAATAACAATTTTGCGCTCTTCAGACCCAGCTACGGGGTCATCTATCAGTATGGAGCAGCCAGTACTTTCTTTCACAGAGTTTATATGCTTTCCACCCTTTCCTATCACATTTCCGACGTAATTATTGTCGATATAGATTTCCTGTTGGACCAAGCCCAGTGGGGGAGTTATCGGTGAAGCCATCGGTGCGTTTGTGAGTGTTTCAGAAACCCTTACATTTTGAACGGCCAATGGCGGCACCAAAGCCGTGGTGGGGGAAGAGACAGCCGCATAGCCGTACGAAAAGTCTTGGTGACTAGGTAATGACATGCGGTAAAGTCTTCTTTTTCCATTCTCACCTGGGCGGTACTGGTGCTGTTGCTGGTGTTGTAAATTGACGCCGTAATCGTTAACTAGCACTGGATTTAGCAAGTTGGGCGAGTAAAAAATGCATTTTTTGGCTGCGAATGTCATCCTGTGATTTAGTATAGTCTGACCCAAATAGTAAGTTGCGATATGAATTGCATCTGCAACACCTGTAACCGATAGTATTCTATCATTAGACATCGGCAATGTTTGCGGCCCCGTCGAAAGCTTTGCAGCACTCAATTCTTCAATTTCTCGCAGGCGTAACCCTTGCCTTCCGATCACGCAGCCCATCATATGGTGTGGAACCAATACATTTATTGTCAAAGGTATAGAGTTTTGAGCAGGTTCTCCACCTTTTTCGCCGTTAATCGCGCGTACGATCATCCCAAATACCTTGGCAACGTCCTCACACCGGCCCCTTATGAATATAACTCGTTCAGGAACACCGCGAATATTATCGGAAACATTTATCCTTGTGTGGGTTTCAGATTTCATTTTAGATATTTTCTCCCCGCCGGGACCTACAATCATTGACGCTTGTTTCACCAGACACAACATTCGCAAATGAATATAGTCCTTATCTAGGTTGTCCCCACTGTCAGTTCCTGTGTCGGTCTGAGACGCATCAGTCACCTTATTTTCAACGTTTCGATCTTCCAACTCCTCTTCTAATTTGTCAGTTTGGTTGCTCTTGCTTTCTTCATCTGCATCATCAAGCGCGACCCTTTTTATCTCTGCCTCCAGCAGTTCTTCTTGACAGTCCTCTTTCTTACGCTTGAGAACATTTGAGGATTCTAAAAAACTATCAGAAATCTCACAATTGCTCATTGTTACCTGATCAAGCTAGCTACGGACCATCAACACCTTTACGTCTTTTTATTCCAAGTTGTGTGGTGGCCATCATTGTTGATCAGAATTATAATATAAGTTAATTAATTGTTGACTTTATCAAACATAGTAACTATGCTTCATAGTAATTGAAATCATTTTAACCAATGAGTTCTGAAGAAAGATTTGAGACATCATCTAAGACTGAAGGCCCTCTTCTTGACGAAGAAAGCTATAACGAAGATGAGGATGAGGACTTCGATCCATCTAAAGACTTAAATTCAGTTAACGAGCAAGACGAGGACAGTGACGATGATAATGACAACCAAGGACCTGATTATTCGAAGATAGAAAGTGTCCAAGGTGGCCTGGTACGAACCAGACGCGGAAGAGAGCTTGAAGATCGAAACTCGAGGTTAAACAAGTATGAAAGCTTGCGAGAAAGCAGCATCTCTCAAGAAACTAATTCGGTTTGGGATGAATTACAGAAGGAAAGCGGAGAAAGGATTCGTAAAAGTACGTCAGTGATGGACGAGTCTTTACAACGACAGGGAGGAGAGGGGTTGCAGGAGGAGCAAGTATTGATTGATCGCAAGTATGAGTTTGCAGGGGAGATTCTGCACGAGAAAAAGTGGGTGCCCAAGTCTAGTGCAGAGGCACAGGAGTACTTAAATAGCGCCAAATTCAAACAGAAGCAGAAGGACTCAACCGCTGTTACAAAAGATGTTGACAACGCTCAGGGTTCAAAACTCAGGAAGCCGCTTAAGAGACCGCCCATCCTGGAACAAATAATAGCAGGTGCACTAAAGCCAAAACTAACCACTTTGGAAAAGTCAAAGCTTGATTGGGCCACTTACGTTGATAAGGAAGGCATCAACGAAGAGCTTAATTTGCATAACAAGGACGGCTACCTCGCAAAACAAGATTTCTTGCATCAGGTCGAAAGTTTTAAGGACGAAAAATATCGCCAGATGCGCAAAAGCGAGCTGCAGCAGAGACTGGCTGGGACTTGAATTATTGTTCATATACATTTTGAGGTCTATTCTATAGGTGGGGAACGTTGTAACTGGTGAAAATCATGTTGAAGATGCTGCACACACCTTCTCCTAGCACAAGCCCAGAGCTGAACACTATCATTGAGGTCTTCGCTGAAGTATCACCCCGGTGAGTTCTCAACCACACGTGTGCAAAACAGCCCCCAATGACCCTTGCTAGAGTGAAACTAGGCGAGTTGTAGATACCTACACCCACTGCTACTCCTGATGGAATCCAGAGCAACCACTTGTAGCCTTTGTCTCGATATAGATTTTTCACCAGCGATAGGACCGCGAATATAGTACCTAGCACAATCGTGCATTCAAGAGCCATATCTGGAAGACCCTTTCCGGTCACGAGCCGTGCACAGTCGATCCATATCACTGCAGTTGGAACTCGGAACTGAGCGCTTGGTATCTCGTAAATACGATTGTAAAGGACATGCATCAAACTCGAAAATAAAACCGACCAAGACGCGCCGATGAGTTGGGCAAAAAACTGTGCCCTCGGGGAAGCCCCCAACAAATGGCCTGTCTTCAAATCTTGCATAAGGTCGCCTGCTTGCTGAGCGCCAGCCTCAGCAATACCACCCGCCACCAGATTCAATAAGACGCCGCCTTTCATTGAGCTCGGGGTTATCATCGCAAAAACCAATTGAGAGAGCTTACCGATCCCACTCACAGGATTCAAATCAGTCTCGCCTAAAGCTCTCACCGCGAGTACAGACAAGAATAACGCTAAGACTAGGGCGATCATTACTGATGACAAAGGCACAATCTGAGAACCAAATAGGTAAACCATGCATACCACGCATATGATGGAGGAAATGATAAGACCACTCACAACTGTAGTCAATTTTACAAGTTGACGCGAATCTACCTCATGATCATGGTCAGCACTCACCAATTTGACGCTACTTTGACGACGGTGGGAGCCACCGCTAGCTTTGTTGATCATCCTCTCCTCTTCCATTAACATGGATTGCAAGGAATCATCGATCATGGACTCCAAAGCATACCTTTTATCGTTACGGAGACAGAACCTTATAACAGATTTGGTCGTGAACACTATGAAGCCAACAACGGAGTCTACCACCATGACTGCCAACGAGCACCAAAGGATCCACCCCTGAAATCCGTTTTCCCAATCGTTGGTATCAGCGTCGGGATCGACCCATCGCTTGTGGCGCGCAAGAGGAGCAAGCACGCCCCAACCTAGTACGCATCCCAAAAGCATGTAGCTAACAGTTGGTAGGCCCATTATGATTCCTTGGCCTATATACGCAGGCGAGGGCTGCAAATTCCATAAGTATGTTGACGATAACCTTGATCCAAAAATGGGAATGGCCTTAATTGCAGGTGTAAAGTATGATAGGACAGTGTATACAGATGAAAGTGCGAAAGTCCGTATCAAGATTGTGATGTTCCTTTCATAGACAGATTTGGACTCGACGACGGAAGGTGGTGGTGAGCTGCCGTATATTGCAGTAGGAGCATATACTGGTGAATTATCATGAGGGCCCTGTTCACCTGGACTACCACTCTCTTCAACTGCACATCCCTGCTGGCGTTCCTGTCTGAGAGAGGTTCGCTCATCACTCGTTAAAACGTCGCTATACTCACGTAGTCTCCTTTCCCGCATTTCGTGTAGTTCCTTGGGTGAAATCTCCTGCAATATTTCGGACCCATTTAAAATTGCTATGAGTGTGGCAGTGGCACTTCCGCTGGGAAAAGGTAGTTTTTCCTTGACAATGACCTGCTTTCGGAGTGGCACAGCGAAGAATATTCCAAAAAACGCCAGGGCCAGTGACCATAGCAGCAAATGAGAAAGAGGAAAAGGCTCGCCTTGTTCTCGTGTGAAGCCAGATTCCTCTGCTGTCAGAAAATTCTCTATCGCTGGTATCACGCCCACAAACCCATACGCCAATGGGCCAGTTCCCACAGCGACCGCTAAGGATTGGATGTAGACGTTCTCGACATCTGTAAAAGGTTCCAATTGTGGGTAGACAGCTGGTAGTAGCTGTTTGAAAAGAGCACAGGCCAACAATGCTGACGGCAGTGACATCATAGACACCCATCCCGTTTGTAGCCCAAACTGAAAATTTGATATCAGGACGAGAGACCCAATGGCCAAGCCAACGACTGTTCCACGTACAGAGACTTGACGAGATGACGCCTTGCTCTCAAAGGGTATTTGATCCATTATAAGTGCCTCGATCCACTTCCACTGGCCATTCGCTTTTAAGAGATGAAATAATTGAGTGATACCAAGTCAGTCTCAAGTTAAGCGGCCAGAAGCACAATAAATTCACTTCCTGTCAAGCTGTTGACTGCTGCGAGGAAGCCGTTGGTGCCAAATGCGTTTCGCTACACCGTGGTAAATAAATACTCGTCGACTGATAAGCGCAGCTTTTATAGATAATTGATAAATTAGTAATGCTGATTGACAAATTTTGACACTTTTTCTAACGTTAAAAATTCCAACGGGATGACAGCAAAATGGCAGTTCGAAAGTCATTGAAACTTGAATATCGAATGCTAATATTCTAGACTGGATAATCTAAATAAAATGCTAAAAAAGTGGACGCTTGCTGTCAAATTCCTGTGCAGCGTCGAAATCTTAAAAAGGACAGCTTTCGGAGGGGCTGTGGACACTGTTGTCAACCTATACCCGTTAAGTTCAGACGTCGAGCGGTACCATTGGACGGCAACCAGAGAGCCACGATGCAAAGTAGAGCAGATCACCAGTAAGAGATCTTTTCCCTGCAATCTCCATAAGTAGAAAATTTCCCGTTCTACCCCATCTACCGTGCCGTTGACCGTCAGTTCTCTTCGAATAAAATGTAATTCAGTATGTCACTCAGCGTTAGTACACCAACTAAAAGACCGCTGTCGTCCACGACAAAGAAGCGATGAACTCGTGACTTACGGATGGTATCCATGATGGTGAATAGTTTGTCGTTCTTCGTGCAGGTGTAAACGCCCTCAAAATCGTCGGAGCGTCTCATAAGTGCCTCACCGACACTGAGAGAAAGGTCATTGTACATCCCGCCTTTAATCAACCCTAGTACGTCTACGGCCTCGTAGACGTTGACGAGGCGGTTTTGTTCATCCAAAATTGGCACGCTGGAAACTCCCCCTTGTGTCAGCAATTGAATAACGTCGATTACCGGAGTATGCATGTTACAGCTCAGCAGCTGACCCTCGGTTATTATCCCCAATTCTCCAATGGGTCTTCGCAAGCTTCTTGTTTCACGGCAATTAAGAGCCACGAATTTGAGAATGCGGTACTGCGTAAGAACGCTCACTACAATTTCGCGGTGAGTTTCTTCGTCCTGATCAATTAGCGGGATTCTCCGACTGCGAGACTCGATCATTTTGCAACATGCGTCATACAACGGTTTGAAAGGATGGATCGAGCCTGTATCTAGCGGACGAACACCTATGGCACGTTCTATGTCCTTCAATCCATCTAATTGAAGCTTATCCACAAGCTCAAACTTGTCTGGGTTCGAAAAGTAGTACTGAATGACGTTAATGAAATCCAACGAGGTGAGTAGGCCCGCAAACTTCGATGTATGCGAGTCCCAAAGAGGGGCGGACACAATGTTGTTCTGTAAAAGGATATTCAGCGATTTTTTCACCAGCAGCGACGTATCCATCACTATAAGCCTGTAAGATACGGGCAAAACGTCGTAAGAAGTCTTGGACTTGAGAAATCGTCTAATGGATTGAACAGCAAGTTGTTGCTCTAAAGAAACTGACTCTGTCATAATTTGGGGGTCGTATCAAGCCGAATGTCCTTTTCGGTTTCTCTGATGAAATGTCAATAAAGCCAATATACCGTCTGTACGTGCGTATTAGCAAACCTCGAGGCTCTTGCTGCTTTATAGGAGTTCGAAAGGATGAATTTAAACAAGGTACGCTTATTTATCTGGAGGTGCATTACATACGAAAGTGTCATTATGATGCTAAGCTCTGTCCAAATGGCTCGCAAGTTAAGAGAAAGTCGGCGAGAAGCAGTGATCTGGTGGTCAGGGTTTGAAAATACTGACTTTGTCACCATGGCAAGGATAATTTGTAAGGGGAATATCATTGTTACCAGCTTCGAATTCAGAGTCTTATAAATTGCCGTATTATGAGCTAAAATTGGGATTATCCAGCTGTTGAAGGCCAGACACATTCCTCTAGCACCTAAATTTTCAGCCTATTGAAAAGTTGCAGGTGTTCGAAGACGATTTTTAGGTGACATATGAAATTCATATTACGCAACGTACCAAAAATTGATCGAAGCTTTCAAAACGGCACATTTCCTTCCATTCTTTCAGTATTCATGGGCGAAGGCTAACACCAACACCATCCTAATAAGACATTTCATTTGGTCCGTCCACACCAAATTTTTTGTCCGCTGTGGAAGCCGGTTACATTTTTTGCATTTTCAAGCACAAATTACACTCACACCATATCGTGAGCTCCCGATGAGCTTCCACCCAACATTTCCTGCCAATCCTTATTTGCCCTTTCTTCGTAAATTCCTATGGCCTGATCAATAAAGGGCTGCAAATCGTCAACAGGAGGCTGGACTCTGCCAAAAAAACCACCCCAGCTGTTAGCCAGCTCCTTCCGTGCCAAAAAGGGCCTTAAGTACGTGGTTCTGAAGAATGAGTAACACGATGCGCCATCGTAGAAAAAGTAGGGTACTAACGAACTGTTGGCGTAAAAAATTGGGTTAAGCTTAGCAGCGATAGTGTCCCAATCTGAGATTTCAAAGCCCGGTTTGATACTCACGATCTCCCTCATAAAAGCTAATTTGTTCGAGGGCGATGTAACCCTGGTGTGGATTATAGCGTTGGCGACGAGTGCAGAAAGCAGGCATATTATAACTGCACCCATTGAAATCATAATACTCAAACCTATTAGATCATCTCCACTCGTATGCTGTTGTGCCAAGTTAAAGCAATAAAGTGCCACACAAAGTTCAGATGCTAGCGCACTCAAGACCAACCAGTGTCGCGTTAGCCAATACTGCAGCTTATAGCGAAAAACGTCGCGGGGAAGCTTTTCTAATTCTAACTCTACATGTGGAGTTGTGGAAATCATTTGCTGCTCGGACTCCTTGGTCTCCATCACACTATCCAGCGACATGGCTCAACAGAATATGGCCCCGAAGAGCGTTATACTAAGTCTATCTTCTCTCTCGGAATGTCAGATATCTTCGTAAGTAATGAACAATTAACAGGTTCATCAGATTTAAGCACAGGTGTAGATCAATACGCATTATAGGATAGCTTGTGCCGCCAATATCCTTGGAAAGCACCATCTACTGATTAAGTTTGGCTCAAGCTAAGTTTGTAAACTTCATGTTCTTCTTCGAAATTTAAGTAAATGAACTAGGCGCCTGCGCTTGTCCGCCATTATGTGATTCAGTTATGAGCCTCTAATGAGGTCTCAACGATAACAAGTTCAATAGTGACGGGAATGTCCACCTAAAATTGTTACGCTACCGACGGGATATGCCATTTATCTATCCTTGACCTTCAAGCCACAGCAAGTGGGAATGAGCATCAATTAGCCCTAGTCTCGAGTAGACCACTCAGCTTATGCAAAAGGGGGACAATCATCCAGGGCAATATTTAAGTGCCACCCATTGGAAACTCTACACCATCTTGGAGAGCCCGTGGTGTGGCCTGATCTACGTAAAACTGGTATTTGACATCCACTTACCTCCACGCCAGTAAACGTTCAAATTGTATCACTTTGTCATATTCTGACATGTTATGTCACATTATCATGTCAAGGCAAGGTTGGCCAGAGTTTCATTGACGAGAACTACTCTCCTCAATAAGTCATACGCGCTCAATTTCACACGTCTCGTCCCCCACAATCTATTTCAAAGCCCGTTTAAAGCCTCCAATCATTTGCAAATATGTAAATCGTTATTCTGGTCGCTATGCGTAAAGCTTTACTTTAGAGACATAACTGGTAGAAATTCCGACAAACGGAGGAGTAAAGGTTTGCGTAAGATGGCCGCTTTGAGTTGAAGGAGGTGTTGGTGGTGCCAGTAACTAGTCGATTTTGACTCATTTCGAACGATATTTGAACGTCCGGGTTATCCTTCATACAAATTTTTAAAAATTTGACTATATAAGGAGGTTGGAACTGACAATTGACCATCTAGAATCATTTTCAGTTTAATTCTCCTCTTTTTTTTTAGAAGACCAAATCTCTTTGCCTTTTGGCTTAGATCAAGTGTAGTATCTGTTCTTTTCAGTGTAACAACTGGAATGTCCTCAATGAGGATGTTTAATTCGTTACAAATCATATTTTTGGAACTTTCAAGAGGGAAGAGGGTGCTTGGTCGGTGAGATTATGAGGACTTGTCCTTGTAGTTTTGCCGTCCTGTCTGGATTTGGGATTTGCCCAGGTGCTTATTACTTCTTTATGCCCAGTTTACTGGAGAGGAGTCGCCGATTTTTGCCTGAGATGAGTCCTGGTCGTATTTCGATGCTGCAATATGGTGAGCTTGCTCACCTCCCAGGACTTCGGATCAGGTGAATGCTATGGTGCTCTGCGTAAATGAGGTAATGGGTGCTGTTATAAAGGCAATTCTGAGTCCGGGCCACTTGGAGGTGCTTTGGTCATTGCACGGTTTTATTCCGAACCATGTGTGCCTCTCGATTTGGTCTTCTCTCGCTCAATTTTTTTTAAAAAAAAACCTATTCTCTAGAATACCGCTAAATGAGTTCATCTGGCTGTTTTAGAGTTTGTTTTGACATACTGTCATATATATTGCATTGCAAGTGGTGGTGATCAGTCTTTCAACACTGCGGTCCTATTTTATCCTGAGCTATTACTTACCTGATCAGAAAGTCTGATTTGTTTCTGCGGGTAGGAGATCTCGACGGATCATCATCGCAGCTGTCACCCACATTCAGCAGCCCCATCAAACTGTCGCCATCGCACATCCCTTGTGGCCTCCTTCTTCTGGGTTCAAAAACTTTGTAGAACTTGAGATTCTCGTCCCCTCCCACTGTCGCCATCACGGTGCCATCTGGAGACAGCTCGCTGGAACAAATTCTAGCTTCGTGTGCATTCACTATCTCCGCAACCTTGAACTTTGTGTCATAGTTGTAGATCGAAATTGCGTTTTCAGGATTACCACCCGTGGCAACTATTTCCCGCTGTAATGTATTGTTACTGTAACTTTGACCCCAATGCAATGAACTTACCTGAGAGCCAGTGTTGATGCTGCCGGTTCTTGCACCGGTTGTTGTGTTCCAAAAATGAATATGTTTGTCCGTTTGTCCGCCTCCGGTAGCCAACAGGTTGTTGGTATCGGGACTCCATGCTAATGCCTTCACGGCTGCGGTATGCTGTCTTTTGATATGCTGAGGTAAGGACGTTCGAGTGTCCCAAATCACCACGGTGTTATCATTGCTACCGGACGCCAGCTGCAGTCCATCCGAACGATAGCTGATACCACAAACCTCCCCTCTATGCTCTTCCCATGTCGATACAATATGGTTTTTGATCCTCACGTCATTAATATGAATCTCTCCACTCTTTGCACCAGTTGCAATCAAAGTTTCGAGCCAAGACTGAGATCCAATACGAACCCCCAATCCTGACCTCATAGTTCTTACGTGGGACATGGTTTCCACGTCCCAGATTTCGGTGGCTCCATTCGATTTACCGATGGAAATATGGCAGTCGTCATCCGACCAAGTAACGCTTGTTATGGCGCCAGGCTGCTCGAAATCCACCAGTAGAGAAACATCACCGCTAGCGCCGTTCCAAAGATAAAGTGCACTGTCCAGTGCGATCGCGAGGACGTTCTTATTGGACCAGCTGACCAGATTCAAGTAAAAGTCGTCTTGAAAGCCGGGGGCATCCAGAATTCTCTCGGGATTAGAATTAATTTTCCGTAGTTTGGCCAATTCAGGGCTGGGTCCTGTACTTTGTATCGAGGAATACGAATAATGCGATCGGTTACCTATGGAATAAGACTGTTTTCTGTTGGAGGAATTCGGTGGTTTGGGCATGTACTGGAGGACTCGCTGGTTCATTTCGAGACCACAAGCTTCCGCCACGTTTTGTTTGAAGACCCGTTTGGTTTGCGCCTTCAGGTGGGTAGAGGGCGAAGCGTTTGGCGGTGGTGTCTCTTCCTCGAGATTGAAAGGGTCAATTTTCGAGTGGGAGAAGGAACTTTCCTTGCGCAGTGGGATAAAGCGATCCGTATTGAAGCAGCCGTCGTCTGAGTCTTGCGATCTGAGGGATTTCCGGTCATTGCATTCCAAATCCTCCTTGAAAAGCGACGAGGAGCGTTTCAGCAGCGGTGGTACATACTGTAGGGTAGGTCGTTGAGCAGAGCTGCTTGAGTTCGGAACAGTGTTGGTCACATTTGATAAAGTCGGGGCCGAATGGCCCGACGTTTGGCGCTTGCCGACTTTGCCCATGGGTTTTTTCGCCGTCATTTTCGACCAGTCCGATGACACCACATTCAACTTCGCCGGCGAAGTGAGGGAAAGCACAGATTTGCTAGCATTGTCTTTGCAGAGATATTTTCTGTTGTGATTATCCAGCATGAGACTGGACCAAAGATCGAGATGCCAATATGATGTTGTCCCGTTTCTGTCAAGACTTCTTTGAAACGTCTCAGTTCGCTTGGTCACTACCGCAAAAAACCAAGCACTTTTGAGCTGAGTCGTCAAAGTTGGCTATGCCCTGATGGATTTTGAGACCCAACTTTTAAGTGTTGATATTTACCTTTTTCCTACCTGGGTAAAGAGAGCTTAACATCAAGAATCACTTTCGAAGCGTGATCTTCACGTGGTTTAATGGACTGGCTCTAGTGTACGCCACGGCCCGCTGTGACACTTTCCATCGAGCTGGCACCGATAGTTCATGGACTACTTGCTATCACAGGAATAGATACTGTAAGAGAATAAATAACTATTAGAGAATATATTGCTAGTTTGGCCCTTTCTTGGTATCCCAAGTCCAACTCTTAAATAAACTTTCTCACGCTTAGGTCTGGGGTGTAGGTTTTGGGCCTACGTTGTTGAAGTTTCTGAACATGTAAACCCCATCGGCGGACTTGTCACTCTCCACATATTGACAAGATCTGGCCACTTTCCACAGAGATTTCCACATGTTTTCGCCTTCGTAGCGATAATGCTTCCCCATAACCTCTTTGATTGCTGAGGTAGCTTTTCTGGCATTGTAAAATGGGATTCTGCTGCAGTAGTGGTGCAGAACGTGGGTCTCGATAATGTCATGGAAGATGTGTTGGCCCACAAATCCGAAGTTTCTGTCGATAGTGGCAGCGGCACCTTTGGCAAAACTCCACTCTTCTGCGTCGTAGTGAGGCATGGTGGGATCAGTGTGTTGCAAAAAGGTCACAAACACCAACCAGTGGTTGACCCATAGCCATGGCAAAAACCAATTGATTAACACAACGTGGGCCCCGTACGCTCTGTACCATAGGTAGTTGACCGTCAAGGTGGAGATAATACCGATGTCACTGAGTATGATGTACCAATAGTCCTTGGCGTCAAAGACCGGCGACGTGGGCCAGTAGTGGGACTTGAAAAACTTGGGTACTCCAGGATACGACTGGCCTGTAGCATTGGTCGCCAGATACAGTTGCAAACCCCCGAGCTGTTGGCCAATAAGCTTGAGAAGCGTGGCTAACGGCGCTTCTTCTACCAGTTCACTCAATTTCGACTTGTTGCTGGCCTCTAAGTATTCCTTTTGTGTGTATGGCACGAACACCATGTCGCGGGTCATATGGCCTGTAGCCTTGTGGTGCTTACTGTGCGAAAACTTCCAGGAAAAATATGGAACCATCCACCACGAATGAAGGACCCATCCAACAGTGTCGTTAACCGCGTTCGAATCCGAAAACGCAGAGTGGCCACATTCATGGGCCAAAATCCACAGTCCAAAGCCAAACAGCCCGATCAAATACGACTGGACCATGTAAGCAGCTGCACGAGCGAGGGCACTAGAAGGAAACCATACGGGGATGTAATTGGTACCCACATACCCGATCAATGTGATCGCAGCTATGTCGCGCACCACGTAGTGCAGCGACCACCACAAATCTCTCTTGTAGCACTCTTTGGGAATGGCGGATAAAATGTCTTTGATAGTAAAGTCTGGCACTTCGAAAACATTACCGTTGGTGTCGATGGCACGCTTTGGCACCGTAACCTCTGTGGCAGCGGTATTGGAACTGCCACCATTCACGCCAGAAAACCCACTTGCCATGCTGATCGCTGTGACGCTTGCAAAAATTTGATCCGAGAGAAGATGCGTAATGCTGGCACGACCGAAAACCTGAGTAGTTGGAAGAGTTACCTACACCAGTACAAATATTATTTTATATCGACGAGATACCGATTTGAAATGCCGTTGACGACCGTCGCCATGTAGCTTCACCAATCCTTGTAAGAAGAATGCACATGGGCGATGAGGTGGCTTTTCTCTTCGAGGCCATGGAAAAAAAAAGAAAAATATGCCTGTGAAAATCGTCGATGAGATTCCGCACGATTGGCGGTAATGGGTATCAAAAAGCCATGCCAAACTAGGTGTTTCTGATACCACAAACGATATGAAAACTCTGGGATTTCGTGGGATCGGTGTATGCATGTTGTCGGACACATAATTTCTTGAATGCGACAAATAAGTACGAAGTGATATTGTGATTCGGATGACAGCATCGGTTCAAGATATTCGAACGACCGTACCAAGCCAACAATGACTTCGATCTTTTGAATGCATGCTCTTTGAACGTTCATTTGAAAAAATTCTATTTTTATTTTGAAATCCTATGTAACCGTCAGCTCCAACCTGTGTTTGGCCTCAAAACACTTTGCGGTGCGAAATCTTGAGTTTCGACTTTCGTATCTGCCGGTAGGTGCCGAAATCCGGTGATCGTATTGCAGCGGCCATCGCTTTGGAGAGGTCTTCTGAGGAAGATGCGCCGTTCTGATAGTCCTGTAGGATGAGGTATTCTCTCAGAGCCCTTGAACTGAGCATTAGGTCCTCAAACCACTTGGCATTGTCCAGAGTGAACGTCTTGATGCCTTCGGTAGTCTTGCAATCCATTTTAAAATGTTGACCGTCTACCGAACCCGTGTGCTCGGCGTCAATAACCAATTGGTGTAAGATGTTGTCCAGAGCCTGGAACCCATCGAATGCGTGACGGAATGAAGCCACATTTTCCTTCAGCAGATCTCTAAAAAAGTCGGGACAGGACGACATCTCAATTTGTTTGCTCAGCTGTCTCAACAGATGTACAAAAGCACTGTGGATATCCTCCAGCAGACTGAACTGCGCCTTGACCATTTCAATGTTGTCGATATTCGATACCAGCCTCAGCAGCAGCTGTCTTGTATGGACCGCATCCAACAAGCAAGCCATCCCCAAGTCTTGGCTGACAATTTCAGGTTGTTGTTCATCCGGAAAAGAGCCTTCCCCGCACAGTATATTCATAACAGAGTTCCCATTACCTCTTGGGTACATCAAAGACTCTATCACCAGATCTACAAACTCCGAGGCTGGGCTTGTCAACGACAATGTTACTTCCTTAGCAATCTTGCTCAGCAGTATTCTGTTTTTGGGAGATAACCCATCACTGGAGGTTACCATGCGATTTGTGTATAGAAACGATTTGCAGAAGACCAAAATACGACGGTTTTAATGGTACCTTGCTGATAGTCGAGTAGAGTAGTTTGGACGCTAAGACTACAGTTTTTTTTATATGTGGCCCGTGCCAGCGGAACTAGAAAAAATGAGTCAAGTTCCAAATACTAGAAAGGTGAGTCATGAGTGAAGACAATTAGAGACCATTTATACCATTAGTCAATGCGTGCTGAACGATAAGAAGAGCACTCTATATTGCACTGACTACCTGTTACCTACTTGGTCTCTCCGTTACGATAAAATAGTCCAGACTGGAAAGCCAAGCATCTTTAAGTTGGAGTCGTAAGTTTCTCTCGTGCTTTGGGTAATGCTATATTTATATTAATGTTTGCAAATATTCCTCAGAAATGAAGCGGTGGCTCAATGGTAGAGCTTTCGACTCCAGTTAAATCCTGGTCATGAGGAAAATTGCAATCGAAGGGTTGCAGGTTCAATTCCTGTCCGTTTCATTTTTTTATAAAAAAATAAATGTGGATAATTAGTCCTGGGGTAGCTCTCACGTACTCTTCACGCTTTTATGATTGCTTCTAATTGAAACCAACTTTCTAGACTACGCAAAATTCCGTTTTCTTATTCTCGCACTTGTCCTCACTTTATGCCGGTCATGGATTTTTTTTTGTTTAGTTCGATGCCTTTCACATTGAGTACGTAAATGCGACAGATACTCAATTACAATTGGTAACAAAGGATATCATCAAACTGTCTTATTTTCTGTATCGTAGAACTCTATATAAATTTCTCATTAACTTCGTCACTAGTCATACAATGCAAAGTGTTCGTGAAACAATTTGGCCATCGGAACCTTCGCCTGCATTCGCGCACAAAGCAGGAACACACCACTGAATTTCCTGTGCAATGAATAGGTTTCTTCCGGCGGAGGGCACAACCGCTCCCTCAGCATCAGGTTAATATTGCCTCTGATTCTGTCTGTCACGGTTTGTTGGGAAAAGTCAAAAAGTTGATCGGTGGGACCCATAAATGGCTCCGCCAGGGCCACAACCGAATCCACATGTGCATCTACCATTGCACGCGATTCCAATCCGGTGAGGTATCCTAGCTCCTCAGAAATTTGTGCCACTTTTACTCGGTCTCTTAAAGTCCCCGCTGTGAGTAAGCGACGATATGCTCTGATGAAGTCGTGAGGGAAGTCTCTGGAAGCTCCAAAATCCAGAAGCTCCAACGTTTGCGTGTCCTTGTTATAGAGAAAGTTGGCCCAATTGGGGTCGGTTTGCATAAATTCGAATTCTGCTATCTCACGCAAACACAATCGCATAATGGTTTCGGAAATAAAATTTTTGGTCTCCTGAGATGTGTCGCCAGGCAGCCTCATAATCTCTGTTCCGTGCATTTTAGTCATGGTAATAATGTTCTCTGTAGTCAAGTCTTGAAAAACCTTGGGTGTCACAAGAACGGGATCATCTTTCAGCAGGCCACCAAACTTCTGTAATGCGCTTGCCTCTCTCGTATAATCGCATTCCCATTTCAACTCTGTCCGTGCGTTTGCAACCGTTTTATCAAGGAAGAGACCTTTGGGAAGCAGCCTAGATGCCGTTAGAAACATCAGAACGTTGTTCAAGTCAGAATCAATTGAATCCTTCACACCAGGGTACTGAACTTTCAGCACTACTTCTTCACCAGAAGGTAGAGTTGCTTCATGCACTTGGCCTATAGAGGCTGCTGCAATGGGGATAGGCTCAAACTTGGCAAATTTTTGCTTCCAAGACGACCCCAATTCTTTACTCATGATGCGCTCTAGTTGTCTTTGGGGCATGTAATGAGCTCCATTTTGAACTCTAGAGAGAATAATATATAGTTCTTTGGGCAGAACACGCTCGTCTTGAAAGGACATCATTTGGCCGATTTTTAAAGCTGCACCGCGCATCTTGGAGAACTTTTGGGTAATGCGGTCTATATTGGCGTCAGAGAGAAGCAATGACTTTAAATCAGGAGATCGGCCCTGAACAGCCTGCGAGAGCCCACCTGTCGCAGCTGAAAATCCAACACCGGCTGCTAGGGATCCATAGTGGAAAAGCCGTGAGATCCTGGAAGATGGGACTTCAGAGCTCTGTAAGACTACTTTCTGAGATCATAAGAGAGTCAATTTATTAGTACTAACATTGAGAAATTGGCAATCTTTGTGCCATCTAAACATTTTGTCAACATACCTCTGTTTTGGCTGTGTCAAGTGGAGGAACGTTCTTCTTAGCATCTGTCGAATACATTCTAGTGGCACCTTTGGTGCCTTTCCTGCCAGTAGGTTTACCTCGCGACCGAGTAGCAGCACGCACTGATTCGGACAATTCCCGAGCCTTTTCCCACTCAGGATCGTAAAACCATCGAGACCTTGCCAAGACGGGTCTTGTAAGGGTTGAGGTCGCCATCCATGTCCTTAGCGACTCGCACCCAATGGAAGCACTGCCCTTGGCAACTTCCCTTAGCGATGATGCCACACAAAAGGCATGATACAACGTCTGACGAGAAGCCATCGAACCTTACTGTCCGTAACCCTGGATGCCATGCTAAAGTGCTGAGTTCGCCATAAATATCGACCAGGCCGATGGTATACAAAATGACCATAGTCACCATAAACGAACAATTGTGCAATATTGACATTTGGCGACTTTGCAGTGGTGAGATGATTACGCAATAATCAACCGGCGTCACCAGGCTCTCTACATTCTGCTGCTATCGTTTGCGAGTCTCACAATAACCGTCAAATCGCAAATTATTATGGTAAAGTCGCATGCCTGATCCTATATGGACACTATACTATCCACAAGATGAACCAAGTGCTGCGTCCGAATATGAGACACCACGACTACCTCCTCATCGCAAGGAATCTTATTCCCTCCATTCTAAAAATCAGATCATCTTGTACCATACTGACACTACAAAATTTAACGGCAGCGTCCGGTATGTGAGACACCATTGTGATACAAAGCTGTAATGAAACAACCACCCTTCAAGTCACTTGATTTCTCGAAAAAGCCATAGCTCAATCATCCAGTGGAGGTACTGCAAAAGATGGAATGGGAGCGTACAGTGAAGAATATCTCACGATCACGTACCAAGTGACATGTTATTAGGTTAAAATTTTAAGCTCATCGCGATGAGCATTGAATCCAAAAGTTGTGCAGTGTTAAACCCTTCTAGCGCATTGACCTTTCAACCAAGAGCACGCAACATGACATCTAAGAGACGGTTTTCCAATCAGAGTGACCATAAAACTGCTGTGGAAAGCTCTGTTCCCGAGCATGCTGCCGAAGTAGCAGAGGAATTGAGTAAGAAAGGACCTCAATGGCACGAGGAGGCTATGACGCACCACGATGCTGGTGAATTTGCGCAACTGCAGCGCCACAAAACTACTGCCGAACAAGCTGCCAAACTTGAGGATGGATCTCTCAATCCTTTCACTGGGGAGGCCTTCTCGCCCCGTTATTTTGATATTTTGAAGATCAGAAGGGAACTGCCAGTGCACGCCCAGAGAGATGAGTTTCTAAAAATCTACCAAGAAAACCAGATCATGGTATTTGTCGGTGAGACCGGTTCCGGTAAAACAACTCAAATTCCACAGTTTGTGCTATTCGATGAAATGCCTCACTTGCAAAATGAGCAGGTGGCTTGTACGCAACCTCGTCGTGTGGCAGCCATGTCCGTTGCCCAGAGAGTTGCGGAAGAAATGGACGTGAAGCTAGGAGAAGAGGTTGGTTATTCCATTCGTTTTGAGAACAAGACCTCCAATAAAACTATCCTCAAGTACATGACAGATGGTATGTTGCTGAGGGAAGCCATGGAAGACCACGATCTGTCTCGTTATTCTTGTATCGTTTTGGATGAAGCGCACGAAAGAACTCTGGCTACCGATATACTAATGGGGCTGTTGAAGCAAGTGGTGGTTCGCAGGCCAGATTTGAAAATTATCATCATGTCTGCCACGTTAGACGCCGAGAAATTTCAGAGATATTTCATGGATGCCCCGCTTTTGGCCGTTCCCGGTAGAACTTTTCCAGTTGAACTTTATTATACACCTGAGTTTCAGAGGGATTACTTGGATTCCGCCATTCGCACAGTCTTGCAAATCCATGCCACGGAGGACCCTGGTGATATTCTGTTGTTTTTGACAGGTGAAGAGGAAATCGAGGATGCAGTTAGAAAGATTTCCTTGGAAGGTGACCAACTCATGAGAGAACAAAACTGTGGACCAATCAGCGTCTACCCTCTATATGGTTCTTTACCACCTCACCAGCAGCAACGCATTTTCGAACCGGCTCCAGATGCTATTAATGGCAGACCCGGTAGGAAAGTTGTAGTGTCCACCAATATTGCTGAAACTTCTCTGACAATCGACGGCATTGTCTACGTGGTAGACCCCGGTTTCTCGAAACAAAAGGTCTACAATCCCAGAATTAGAGTCGAATCTCTTTTGGTCTCCCCAATTTCTAAGGCCTCTGCTCAACAAAGAGCAGGTCGTGCAGGTCGTACGAGACCTGGTAAATGTTTCAGGCTCTACACCGAAGAGGCTTTCAAAAAGGAATTGATAGAACAAAGTTACCCAGAGATCTTACGTTCCAACTTGTCCTCCACGGTTTTAGAACTAAAGAAGCTAGGTGTTGACGATCTGGTGCATTTTGATTTCATGGATCCACCTGCTCCAGAAACCATGATGAGAGCCCTCGAGGAACTGAACTATCTGGCATGTTTGGACGATGACGGTAATTTAACAGCGTTGGGTAGGTTGGCCTCCAATTTCCCATTGGATCCTATGTTGGCAGTGATGCTCATAGGGTCCGCAGAGTTTCATTGTTCGGAGGAAATGCTTACAATTGTCGCGATGCTATCAGTCCCTAGTGTTTTTGTTCGCCCTGCGAAGGACAAAAAAAGGGCCGACGATGCGAAGGCAATCTTTGCTCATCCCGATGGCGATCACATCACCCTGCTAAACGTCTTCCATGCTTTCAAATCCGACGAGGCTTACGAATACGGAATCAACAAATGGTGCCGTGATAACTTTTTGAATTACCGAGCTCTGTCATCAGCCGATAATATCCGCTCTCAGCTTGAAAGACTGATGACCAGGTACAATCTACAACTCAACACCACAGATTATGAAGATCCTCGTTACTTTGACAACATCAGAAAAGCGTTGGCTGCTGGATTTTTTATGCAAGTTGCCAAGAAGAGGTCGGGTGGCAAGGGCTACATCACTGTCAAAGATGACCAAGATGTCTTGATCCACCCCAGTACAGTGCTTGGGCACGACGCCGAATGGGTTGTGTACAACGAGTTTGTGCTGACGTCGAAAAATTACATCAGGACTGTTACTTCAGTGCGACCCGAATGGCTCGTGGAACTGGCACCTGCTTACTACGACCTGGAAAACTTCAGAAAGGGCGATGTTAAGCTCTCATTGGAGCGCATCAAGCAAAAGGTCGACAGAGTCAAAGAGCTTAACGAGGAGAAGGCCAAGAAGAAGAGCAAAAAGAGCAAGCGCAGTGATTAATCTCGGGTGCTACTTTCATACCCTTGGAACCACTAATATTTGTACATTAATAGAATAGGATGCATGTATACGGAAGATCATTTTAGGGGCCAAGGAGCCTTGAAGTTCACTGAAATTGTTCACATGGAAATTGTCAGCCGGGTTATGTCGCATTATTTAAAAAGAGCAAAACAACCTGTGACAGAGTGAACATTCTTGCAGATAGTTCCACCTTCTTGAAACGTAATTGAAGCTCGAAAAGGATCAATCGTTGATCCAACTTTCAAGAAACGATGTAAAACTGACAGCGTCACACTCGTACATTGTGATATATAAAAGGAACGTTTTGATTAAGAAGCTGGGAGAATTTGCAATGTTTAACGAAACGTTCATCCTCTTTTGTAAGCCATACGAAACTAGAATAAACCTAGCCACAACGATCGTAACGATGTCAGGGATCCAGGAAGATGTGGTCAACAACTTGAAGATAGTAATTGCGGAGACTTTGAAGACACTACCTAACTTTAACGAGGATGTTAATTATGTGGCGGAATACATCGTCCTGTTGATGTCTAACGGAGGAAACGTCGAGTCAGTTGTTCAAGAACTAACTTCCCTGTTTGATACAGTTCCAGCGGATGCCTTTCAAAATGTGGCGCAAGGTGCTTACAAGGCTATGGAGTTCTTGCAGAGCGGGGACTCTCTAGAAACCACAGTTGCCAAGCTGACCGGACAACACCAGCAACAGCAGCAGCAGCAGCAGCAGCAGCCACAAGAGCAATATCATAGTCAACCGCAACAACAGCAGCACCAACAACCACAGGAACAGATGCCACCTGTCCAGCAACCGCAGTCTACCTTTGGTACTGGAACTGCCAGTTCCATATATTCACAAGCGCCCCCAACCTCGCAGCCAAGGTCTGCGTTTGAAGGTATAGTTAATGTCTCCAGTGGCCCTGCTCGCACTGGTGGTATTTCAAAAGGAGGTCAGTCCCAACGTGGAGGTGGTGTCGGCAAGTCTGCTCGTGGTGGTCGCCCAGATCGTCCTGATCGCGGTGGACTCAGCAAGGGCTCAAGCAGCAAGAGAAATACTGCGAATCAGAATGCGCTGGCTCTTGCATTGGGATTGGATGACTCAAATGTCAATGTAGTATCCAAGAAACAAGGCCGTTGCCAGGTGTTCCCACGCTGTCCACTGGGCAAAAACTGCCCACATGCTCATCCCACTCAGGCCTGCAGAGACTATCCCAACTGTCCCAACCCTCCAGGAACTTGCAACTATTTACATCCAAATGAGGATGTTGACCTGATGAAAGACATAGAAAAGACCCGTGATGAGTTTCGCGAGAAACGAGCCGCAATCGCTTCGAAAGCCCAAGCCGCTCGTAGCGGCATTGTTCTATGTAAGTTTGGCCTGTTGTGCTCAAATCAACAGTGTCCATTCGGTCATCCAACACCTGCCAATGAAGATGCCAAGGTCATTGCTTTCGAGTGGTGCCCCGAAAATTTGAACTGTCAAAATCCAATGTGCGACAAGGCTCACAGCTCGATATCCAAGATCAAAGAAGTTACCCCGCTCGCTTCACGCAAGCCTCAGCGCCAACCCGTGGAAAAGTCGTTAGAGCAGTGCAAATTCGGTGCAAACTGTACCAACAAACGGTGTAAATACAGACACGCCCGCTCCCACATCATGTGTCGTGAGGGTTCCAATTGCACTAGAATCGATTGTTTATTTGGCCACCCAATAAATGAAGATTGTAAGTTTGGAGCAGAGTGCCGGAACGCTCACTGTCTGTTCAAACACCCTGAGGGTAGACAACTGCCTCAGAAGCCATCGCAAACTTCCAGTACGACCAACACGGGCAACACATGGGCTAACCCTGATTTAGCGTCCAATCCCCCTGCATCGACCCATGAAAGAGCTTTCGCGGTACCCGACAACCAAGTGGTAGAGAATGCATCAGCACAAGAGAACGATGCAATCATGGGATAACGACAGGAACATTCTATTTTATCTAATATTTACAACAAATGAAAGAAAAATCAAAAAGTAAAAATAAAGAGACCGGCACTTTGGTGCGAGCTGCACCAAAGCTCGGCTCGCCCCACGCCGGGTCTTATTTTGTATGTAGTAAAAAGTTGAAATTCTGATTCAAAAGGTTTTGAATCAAAAGTTCGACGACTAGGCCCAAAAAGAGACGGTAGTCCTCGAGTACATACTCTGCCAATAAAACCAAAGTATGGCTAGTTCCCCTGAGCGCAGGCACGACTGTGGAGACTACAGGTGTTCGGTTCAAGACAGTGGAGTATGAAAAGGATATTCCCAATTAGTTATAAATTACATAACTTAGAATCTCTTCTTTTGAGAAGAAGCTTCGTCAGCGTAGATGTCCAATGGAGACACTGGCAAAGGCTGTTGAGCCCACAAGTTAGGGGTCAAGAAACCGTAAGTGTTACCGATGGCAACGAAGGTAGCCTTCAAAGTGTTTTCCAAAGTTCTGGTGGAACCGTTGGAAGAAGTGTAAACATCTTCCAAACCGGCCAATTCCAACAACTTCTTGACAGCTGGGGAAGCGACGATACCCTTACCTCTTGGGGCTGGGATCAATCTGACGGTGACGGAACCACACTTACCAGAGGTCTTGGTGGCCAAAGAGTGGGGTTGACCCAAGTTGTTACCCCAGTAACCTCTTCTGATTGGGATGACGGACAACTTGGCGATGATGATACCGGCTCTGATGGCACCAGCGACTTCCTTGGCGGTCTTGATACCTAGACCAACGTGACCGTTGGAGTCACCAACAACAACAACAGCCTTGAATCTGGTTCTTTGACCGGCTCTGGTTTGCTTTTGGACAGGCTTGATGTTCATGACCTCGTCCTTCAAGGTTGGCAACAAGGTGTCGATGATTTGGACCTCCTTGACTGGCAAAGAGTGCAAGAAGATTTCCTCGACGGAAGTGATCTTGCCGGCCTTCACAAGTCTACCGAGCTTGGTGACTGGGACCCATCCCTTTTCTTCTTGGTCTCTACCTCTTCTTTGTGGGCGACCCTTGTTACGGCCACCGAAACCGCCTCTTCTTTGGCCTTCGGCTGGAGCTGGAGCAGACATGTTTGAACTTGTTAAAACTGTGTGAACTTGTCTTGTCGGAATGGGATCACGGAAAGTTGATGGGTGGTAACTTTCGATCGACAGTTGAGTGTTGGTCAAGAGGAAGAGACTAGAAGAGAGAGAGACTGAGAGGAAGAGACGGCAAATGGATACGCCAGTTGTGAAAAGTTTGAGATGGAGAGCTTGGAAGCTGAGACCATGCGCAGGCGACAGCGCACTAGATACACTGAGCACATTGTACGACCAGCGTTAGCAGGTGAAAAATTATCAAAAACGCTCACGTGAACCATCACCACAGACGGCGACTTTCGAAATGCGTCGCGTCGGTCAGAAAGTATCACTATTAACGTAAAACACGTTTTCGGAATAAACCGCCAGAATCAATTTATTTTTCGAAGTCAGAGAAAAACAGAGCGGGGTCTGGGTGTCCAGTCAGGAAAAGCAGTCAAACCTCATTCTCATAGACGTGCCAGATGATATGAGAAGCGACAAGACGTATTTCGAGTATCTCAGCATGCTGGCTATTCCACGGCAGCCAAGAGGCGGCGACGGTAGCTCATACCACTGTGGTAGCAGAATCAAAGCGCGGAAGCTAGCAGAACATCGCGATCGCGCTGGCTGCCTGCACCCAGACATCCACCCAGACACACACACACCAGGCACGTGACCGGAGGTGCGAGCAAAAACCCCACGACCTACGTCAAGAGTGACACAGTGCCATATTGCGAATTAAGGGAGCGGAAAAACTATAAAAGCAGGCAACGGGAGGGGGATGGAGACGGTAGAATCGTATCGGCCTGTTTAGGATATTTCCGCAAGAGTACGCGTCAGGGAAGAACATCCTTTTCCAAGCTTCTAGTTCTTCTGTTCAGCATCACACATATACACACAGCAAGCCATGTCCGAGTATGTTGGCTCTTTTTGATTTTCCGTTCGGTTCACCGCGCGATGTCCCGCTTTTTACTAACCAGCCGCGCTCGCAGCCATAACAACACTGAAGTGGACGCCAGCCATATCCCCGACGCCGCAAAAAAAGCTGCCCAAGAGCTGCGCGACGAAGCTCAGGATCTAAGAGAAGAGGCTGATAAGGAGTTCGAGGAGTTGAGAGACGATGGCACCTTCGAGAAGTACAAGAAGAACGTTGTGGCGTTTTTGCGCGCGGCCTCAGAGCGCGTGGCGGCGACTGGGGCGTGCTGGACCTCGTGTGCCCAGAAGACTGGCTCTTCTGTGCTCAGCGAGCTGCAGAACCCTGTCGTGATCGCCAACGTTGCCCTAGGCGCCGGTCTCGTGTCGTCACTTTTGCGGGGTTACGCCAAGCATCACACCAGATACCTCAAGGGCAAGTCGGATGCTGTGATCATCTCCACGGTTGGGGGTGCCGCTGCATTCTTGGCGCTCGATGCGTTTTTGTCCCTCAAGTACTACCCCAAGTTCGACAAGAAGAAGTTGTAAGCTACTCTCCAAGCTACGACAAACACTTTTTAATAGTTTTAGCCCCTCTGGCGCAAAGAATTGCATGCCAACTCCCTTCCCCACGCAGCATCTTATCATGTTCGTATCTTATTTTAGATAGTACGTACCCGAATCGAATCGAATCTTTAGACATCAGGAGGTACTGACGGTGTTACTACATCTAGCTTACCATAATATTGTGGCACTTTTGTATGGAAGGGGGTCAGCTACTTATCTCTCTGCGGCTCTTTAAAGCACATATCTGGTGCAGATCAGGGTATCAGAGCATGTCACCGTCCGTAGTACTTAACAAACTGAACTCTTTTTTTATTTATTCAATATGTTAATAGAGATCGGGAAAATATGAATAGTACTCGATATTAAATCTGGAGCATATCAGGCGGCTTCTCGTGGGCTGCAACTCTGGTCCATATCTCGGACCTATGGCCGGTGTTTATACAAAATTCCAGTGAGCATGATCTGGGTGCCGTTATGGCCGCATAATCCAACAGTTTTACTCAACAAGTGAATCGTTGGGTTGTTGGATGATTGAAATAGCTGACCAGGGCACCTATGCTCCTCTGACTTTCCAGTAAGTAATTATTGAATATAGCTTTTTTTGTTTTACTGACGCCCCTAGTATCACAGTGTACTATACTGACACCAGGTAGAGGTTTCCCCCAGTGTGCAGCTCAGCGCTATTCAAGCAGCACTAGATCACTTCTCTCACTTCTTGAACTTCCGCATGGCGAAACCCGCGCAAATGATCAGAGATACCGCAAAGCATAAAGATCCCCACGACGAGGGAAGTGTAAAGTATGAAGAATCTGTAGCTTGAGGTGGAACCTGAGCCAATGATCGCACCTCCGACAGGGATTACCGGAATGGTCATTATTGCCACTAGCAGGTAAGCAGATGCATACAGCTTGCCAAAATCAGCTGTATCTGATGTTTGGCCGATACAGACAGGTATCAATGTGAAAATTGAGCCTGCGAAAACCCACACAGAAGCGATTGAGCCCAAAGAACTTTCATGTTACCTCCAAATGGAAGCCATAGGGTCAGGTTCAGGATGGCTGCCATAGACACGGTAATTATAACCATATTGAATCTACCAGTGTACTTGTCCGCTAAATAGCCAGGAATATACCTGCCTAGGGCATTGGTAGTGGCATTGGTAGTGGTTATCAACGCGTAGGAAACTGACTGTGAATTTCCATGCGCTAACGAGTAGGAGGCAAGGAAAGTAGAACAGGCAATTATGGAATTTTCACCAAGCACATTCCTAGCGCGGCGAACCAAAACTTCAGGTCGTAAAAATAGCGCCAGCCCAGCGCAGATCTCATATACCAAGTCGCACCTTCGTACCTACTCTGGAATGGATTGGGAGCAGGCTTTTGTCTCTAATTCGCAAAGACGATAGAACATGAGAGGCAGCACAAACATACCAGTGCCAGATACCGGAAAACCACCATTTTACCAATGGGAAGGGGCCTCTGAAGTACAAACCATGGCTGGCTCATGAAGTAGCTAGCGATGCTAATGGTTTCCAGATTTTGGATTCATAGCTGATAGTTTCATACGGATATCGCCCTTAAGTTGATTGATCTACAACCTCGAACAACTAACTCCCTTCAGCACATCAAAAAGCGTTCATAATCGAGGATGCAATAACCAAATTGGCAGCTTCGCACTTCAAGATGGTCCAGGATCTCTGTGAAGACTATATTGATGACCGCCAGAGGCCTCAGTCAAAGACTGGGCCTCACACAGCCGCTCCTTCTCTATTGCCTTCCCCATTTTCGGTTGGCGTCACACAGCCCACGACCTCTGTGGATTTCACGTCGTCTTTTCCGGCCCCACCACAACCATTTTTAGAGGATCTCAGACCTTCCAACTCTAGTGTTTACATGGATATGGCGTCGGAACGCCAATCAACGATCACCTCGCATCGCGATTTGGAGCGCGAGCTCATGCAATCGATACGCTCCCTCGACCTCATGCCCAGAAGCCACGCTGTTAGCAACGAGATTCCGTCCATTTTTGAAACTGCGCATGGCTCACCTGTGGACCCATTGCCACAGGAGAAACAATTCTTCATTTTGTCGTCGGCAGGCAAACCCATATATTCCATGCATGGCCAGGATGAACTCGTTATGGGACTGATGGGTATTATATACACGGTCACAAACTACTTCAAAGTTAGCGACAACAAGGTAAAATCAATGGTAAATTCATGTGGGGGCCGCGTCCAGCAGAAATTTGTGTTTCTTGATAAAAGTCCTATAATATTAATGGCTATGTCGGCGCGAGAAGAGTCTGTGAACGATCTTTTGCAACAGCTAGACTTCCTATACTCTTACCTTATCAGCACAGTGAGTCGACGCCAGCTCACTCGCCTGTTTTCCAACCGCGACAATTTTGACCTGCGTCATTTCCTCACAGCGACAGACTTCCACAATCTGAACCACATCTGCGACTCCATTGCTTATGGCTTCAACCCTGATTTTTTACTAGGCGCCTTGAGATGTTTAACACTCCGAAAATCTACGCGGCAAACTTTACACAATATAATGTTAAGCCATGTTCAGCATCCGGAAGTTGCCGCTGACAGAGGAACCATTCTTTATGGAATCATTGTGGCACCAGGTGGACAGCTTTGTTCCGTTTTGAGACCCCGGGGTCACACTTTACACACCACTGATCTCCATCTTTTATTTTCCCTGATTTTCAATCAATATCAAGGGCTTCAGGATGACCAAGAATTATGGCTACCTATATGCTTTCCCAAATTCAACTCTAGCGGATTTTTGCACTGCTATATTAGGCTTCTGCCGCATCAAATTACGCAAGGCAAAACAGGTGAGCAGCACAGTAACTTACCTCAAAATAACACAGATGCCTCTAACAAGGCTGCATTAGTCTTGATCAGCGCACAACGAGAGAGCTTTTTTGCTATGAAAAAGATTGGGCAAGGTATCGTAACTGAGTTACTAAACAAGAATCTTTTAGAAACAATCACTGCAGCCTCTAGGTTCGGATTTACAATGGCCGACATTCCTGCCAAGTTCGTGCATCATTTCATTTACAAATCGAAAAAGCACGTTCAGTATGTGATGCCTCGTTTGGATATGCTCAACTTTTATAAGTCTGACTTTGACCTTGATTCAGATGATGATAATGGGAGCGTTTTTTCGATTAGCGATCGCAATGGTCTGGCATCGAGTGGGCCAGATAGCCTCGATCCGCACCTGGACCTCGAGAAGAGTAAGCACAAGGCCTACCTTTACAAGCTCATGCGTTATTATACTCATATTCGAAATAATGCTGTTGACGAGGAAGGAGTCCCTTTTAATAGGTCCACTCTCACCTTTGTGCAGTGGTCAAATGATCAGGCGCAACCTAGCGAGTTTCCTCAAGGAGAGGCAGTTGACATGTTGTCTCTTGTTTGGTTGACCCCCACATTCGAGCTTTTCTTGATTTGTAATAATGGTGTTAGCGACAGGAATGCAGTTTTGAAAAGTGCCAAGAACATAGTTGATTGGTGCCGTCGAAATGAGGATAGATTGTTCGTCAAAAATGGTGCAATTTTTTGACTCACGCACGGGCTTCTTACAGAGAGAGTCTTGAAGTATATCGATGAAGTTGTGACGCTCAGGTTTTTACCAACTATTCCGCTGCTTCAAAGCCCAGTCACCGGTACATCAAACAGTTTGGGAACTTTTCTATCGGCGCTGGAGATCTTTTTCCTATACTTCAATATCATCGCTGCTCGCTCATCGCCAAATTTTCTGACCAGCTTTTTGTAAAACAAGCCACACGCGTTGCAGAGACTTCTTTTTCCGTGGGGCCCTTTTCTCCATTCGGGCGTTTTCGCGGAATGACAATGTGCACATTGCACTCCTATTTTTTTAATACCACCTTCAGGTAGCGATGATTGCGAGAGCGTACTGACCCCTGTGCCACTTTGGTCGTACATGCGTTGGTGGTCCCTTGCCGAGGAATCATCACTCGTACGATAGTCTTTGCGACCCTCAGGTATGGCATCTACCATAGGATTGAGTTTAGGCAAGGTACCATGGCTTTCAGAAAGGTCTGAGAGGTTACTTGATCTTTTTTGCTGCGGCAATTTCTCTGCTGGATTTAATGGCAATCGAAGATGTAGCTTCTTATACTTTCTTTTCCACTGTTCAAGCATTTTCAAAGAGTCGTATGCGCGCTTTGCCATTTTGAGAGTTAGCTCCAGACTATCGGCCGATATGTAGTCGATCAAAAGACACATGCTATCTGTTGCAGCAACATCCTGGCTATGCAATGACAATGGCCACTCCTGAAAATTCTTGTACATGATTTGCAAACTTTCTAAAATTTCTGCAATTTTCAATTGGTAATCCCCATTGAAATGTATGATACTGTCGACTGCCCGATTACTTGTGATCGTATGTCGACCAGCTTTTGTGGATGCTTCCACGGCATAAGCCAGTTTCAACAAATCACCGCTTGGTTTCAGGATTTTTCCCGAACCTAGCGGCCGAGGTGTTGATCGATGCTGGTGGAACTGCACGAGCCGCGTGTTCCCGCCGCCAATATTTGCCAAACGACGCTGAGATATCTCAGATATTGTTGTATAGCTGCTGTCAAAATCGTGAGAAGGAGTTTCTGTACCACTAGCCAGATGTTCCGAAATCACGCGTCCCCCAGAGGGAAGTTCAGGCGTTTGTGCGATATGTCGCGATGACTTACCATGTAATAAGTCTGGATTAGGATATTTGAAATCTACGTGACGCAGGTGGATGTCCTGTAACAACTGTCTAATACTGGGCAGACTGGGTCTAATTTTGGATCCCTTTTGTGCAATTTTGATTCTGGGAAGTACAGTAAAATTTTGCAGCTCTTGAAAGCTGCCCTGCTGGAGTAAGGTTCCTGTGTGCATATTCAAATAATCTTATTAGCTCGAATCTTTTTGTTATGTGCTCCTGCCGCGCTTTTCACCAATTTCGACAATCGATAACGCGAGTGAACTAATTTGCTTGAGGCGATTGATTTGAAATGCAAAGAGTACCAGAGGACGCAACGCCCAGCAGATTTGCTTGACTGTTATATTATATTTGTGGGACAAGGTTTCGCCTGCACAGGAAACGGTAGTTTCACCTTACATTGGCGAAATATGTAAAGAAGCCAAAATAAGATTTGGAAAAATAGGCAATATAACTTCTTCGCTCGAACACAACTTTCAAGTGGCTCTGGGCCACTTGAATAAGCTTTGGCCAATGAGTATGATTATCTTATTTAGCTACTAGACGTTGCTCAATCAAATTGTTAAGAAAGGCCTAATTTGTAATCGTATTCTTAGAGAACGTACTCCAAATTTTGGCGAAGGCTTTCGAATCTTGGGAGCCCATGGCTACTTGGTGCGTTATGTCCTACGCTTGAGAATTACCTTCGCTGCCACGTTAACGATGATGTGGTTAATTTGTGACATCAATATTAAGCTTCATTCGTAAGGTTTCCCTTTATATGAGTGATCGAGAAGTAGTACAATTATCTCTGCTTGATGCTAGGTTCGCACTTAGCTTCAAAGCTATTTTTCATTCTAGTGCTTGCTAGCCATACTTTAGCTTTCACAGATTACTTGTTGAAGTCATGTTCGCAGTCAGGGTTTTGCTCCAGAAATAGGCATTATGCGAGGGAAATGGAAATGGCGGAGAAGAGCGCTTATTCAATTGATACACAGAGCATCCAGATGAATACCTTGAATCACACTTTTCAGGCCAACATTTTGAAAAAGGTTTCCTGCGGTCCACAATTAGGCGACAAAACGATAATACTGCCTCTATTTATCGACATGCTCGAGGGCGGCAAGCTACGTTTCAAGATAGACGAAGTTAGGGACGTGGCACCTGATGATGAATTGAGGGTTTTGAATCCAAACCGATATGATGGAGCATCTAGTTGGGCTTTTGACAAGCATGCAAATGTGTCTCACACCCATGTTGATGTGGCACGATCAATCTGGCCGTTTGGACGGTACTCACTTTTCATTAACAGCAAGGACTCAGCCGTTGCCGCTAAGATCTACCTGAAAAAATTCCGGCTCGAGCTGTTCTATCATGGAAAGCTCGTCTTGGTAGTGAACGATCGAATGCTTCTGAATATTGAACATCGTAGAACGCTGGAAGAAAATGCCCTCCACAAATTACCTGAGGAACTAGCGTTCAATGATTTTGAGGATACTTTTACTTATTCAAAGGATGACAGTCTGCCCTTCGGTCCAGAATCTGTAGCCCTTGATTTTACCCTCGTTGGCATCCATGATGTTTATGGGATTCCCGAGCACGCCGACAGCTTGCGGCTGAAAGATACACGCGGAAGTGATCCATACCGTCTGTTCAACGTTGATGTCTTTGAGTACAACCTACAGGCAAAAACACCAATGTATGGAGCAATTCCTCTCATGATTGGCACTAACGCAGAATACTCTGCAGGTGTTTTTTGGGTAAACGCAGCTGATACGATGGTTGACATTGAATACCATGATCAGGATACTAAAACTCACTGGATTTCGGAAGCTGGCATTATCGATGTGATGATTTTCTTAGCCGATACACCCTTACAGATTACGTCGTCCTATACTGAGGTAACTGGCCGGCCCCAGTTGCCAATGATTTCTTCCATCGGATATCATCAATGTAGGTGGAACTACAATGACGAAAAAGATGTTTTAACAGTTGATTCTCAGATGGATAAGGCAGGTATTCCATACGATGTCATCTGGCTAGACTTAGAATACACAAACGATAAGAAGTTTTTTACGTGGAAGCCCGATGCATTTCCAGATCCCCACAAGATGCTCAAAAAGCTATGGAAGTATGGTCGAAACCTTGTAACGTTGATCGATCCCCATCTAAAGGTAAAGTACGCTGTCAGTGAAATGATCGAGAGTAACAATGCGTCAGTGAAGAATAGTTTGGGCGACAGTTACCATGGACACTGTTGGCCTGGCGAATCAATCTGGATAGACACACTTGGTGCTTCGGCGCGGGAAATTTGGGGCAATTTTGTACATAACTTTCTGCGGAAGTATGACAACCTACACATTTGGAACGATATGAACGAGCCTTCTATTTTCAGTGGACCTGAAACCACGGCACCCAAAGACCTTGTTCATGCAGGTGGTTTTGAAGAGAGATCTGTTCATAACTTGTATGGATTAACCGTCCACGAAGCAACGTATGATGCCATGAAGTCCTCGTACAGCGCAAAAGATAGGAGACCTTTCGTACTAACGAGGTCTTTTTACGCAGGCTCACAACGCACTGCTGCTGTTTGGACCGGCGACAACGTGGCCAATTGGGACTATTTAAAAGAATCGATTCCCATGTGCCTCAGTAACAATATTGCTGGATTCCCCTTCATAGGTGCAGATGTAGCTGGATTTTCTGGAAATCCTTCTGCTGAATTGTTGATCCGTTGGTATCAGGCTGGAATATGGTATCCATTTTTTCGTGGTCACGCTCATATTGATGCCACGAGAAGAGAACCTTACTTGTTACAAGAGCCAGCTAAATCTCTGGTAAGAAGTGCGATACGGCTAAGGTACTCTTTACTACCGACTTTTTACACTGCGTTCCATGACTCAAGCGTCAACGGAACTCCTATCATGAATCCAATGTTTTACATGCACCCTCAGGTGGGTCAAGCTTACGGCATAGATGACCAATTTTACTTGGGGCAAACTGGGCTTCTTGTAAAACCTATCACTGAACAAGGTGTTTCAGAAATCGATATGTTTTTCCCCAAGGGTCTATTTTATGAATTCAGCGAAGCACTAACATCTTTTTCTGTTGATGAGCCAAAGATACTCACTATCGATGCTCCACTCGAGAAACAACCTATCTTTATCGAGGGAGGACACATAATTGTCAAGAGGGATAGATACAGGAGATCTGCGAAGTTGATGGAAAACGACCCCTTTACTCTGGTTATAGCTCCCGACACCGTAGGTCGCGCATCTGGTCGGCTCTATCTTGACGATGGGGAGACTTTTTCGTACCAGAAAGGCGCCTTCCTTGAGGTACATCTAGAGTTTGAAGACTGCATGTTGAAATCGCTAGTAAAGCATCAACCTATTGGTACACATAATTTCGCAGGCAAAGTCGACAAAATAGTGATCGCAAATCCCAACCTTCGTCGCCCCCGGCATTTTGCGATAATAAGGCAAGGAACAGAAGAGTGGAAACAGGAGCTGAAACACACAGAAAACATGGGTGTGATAACGATCGAAAATCCCCTTTTGGATTTCAATAAAGAATGGTCATTAGATCTATCCGTGTGAAAATCAATGAAAATGCCTCTTTCAATCTTCACATCTCCTGTCGTTGGAGTCCCTCAACCAAGTTGAATATCTGACGACGCTTGTCCAAAGAATACTCTTCTCGCACGATGGACAGTCCCCGGACTTTGGAATTAAACTTACTGTTCCGTTTTCCAGGCGTTCGTCGTCCAAAAAAATCCTATGGAGGCACCGTAAATGAGAAACGAAGTCGCATTTTTCCATAGGGCAAAAGGCAACAAGAGGCGAAGATCTCTCCTCATTACACTGAAGCTCGCGCTTCTGGTTCTCATCCTGGTCATCACTAACGTAATTGAACGTAACCTGGCATACTCGGCAGCTAATTTCCCCATGTGCAAGTAATGCGAGCTGTTGAGCTATACGCATTTGATCTGGGGCCAGCACATTCCTGAAAAACAATTCTACGTGGATCAAGTTTTCCACATGATGCTCATCGCAGGTTCCCAGCCCCAAGTCTGAGACCGTTTTGATCACCTCGCCGCCAATATTAAACCGATCTTGGTCCCATACTTTAACAGCCTCCGGGTCAAAAAAATGAATTTTCAGATCCATACGACTAAAAAATGCATTTTCAATCAGTAATCGAATTACACCCAACTTGTGGTGGAGACTGCGCCCCCCTGCCTTGTTTTTAACCAGACGCCTTTCGTCCTTAATGAAATGGGTTTGGTAGCTATGCTGCCAAGCGTGTTCAAACTGTAGAGCTGCAATCTTGCTGGTGAATCCATATACACAGGCCACCATTTCCCAGGGTCTCAAGCCAGCTCGTTTTGTCCTATACGCTGACCCATTGCTGAGATCTCCATTGTGTTGTCTCAACCTTCGCACGGGATTTGGAGTAGAACCAATGTAGAAAGATTGCTTCTTCGGAACTGATCTTAGTAAATAACAACAGTAAAACTCAGGGACTTTATGAACTGTCGCAACGCTGGTCATTCTTCATATTGCTGATTGTGCCTGTCCTCTCTTTTTGTCTAGGTGCAGCAGATATGTTAAATTAACTGTCTTTGATGGTTTACTACTTAAAGGAAGTGCTCAAAATATAATCAATGAGCAGGGTAGCATTGAGGGCGTTCACAACTACCCAGCCACTAAGATTTGCGGCTGCAAAAACAGGTGGATTTAAGTACCAAAAGATCCCTTCCCCTAAGGAACTGAGGCAGTTTCTGGATAACTACGTGGTGGGCCAGACCGTGGGAAAGAAAGTTCTGAGCGTAGCAGTCTACAACCACTACCTAAGGGTCAACGACAAGCAGAAACGATTAGAGGCAAAACTACAGAGTGAACTTTTGGAACAGCAACGCCAAGAAGATGACGAAAACGAGCCGATTTATTCAGAGAGCACCGAAGCCAAATCTGGCTACAGGCAATTGCGCAAGCAGTTATCGCAAGACATGGGGCTAGGAGATGCAGATCTAGAGCTTTCCAAGAGTAATGTGCTTGTAGTTGGACCGTCGGGCTCCGGCAAAACCCTTTTGGCTTCCACGCTAGCGCGTGTTCTAGACGTCCCAATCGCCATAACTGACTGTACACAACTGACACAGGCAGGATACATAGGGGAGGATGTGGAAGTGTGCATAGAAAGGCTTCTGGTTAACGCTGATTATGACGTTGCAAAGGCTGAGCGTGGTATCATTGTTCTGGATGAAATAGACAAACTGGCCAAACCAGCAGCCAGTATAGGAACCAAGGACGTTTCGGGTGAAGGAGTTCAGCAGTCGCTTCTCAAAATTTTAGAGGGCCACTCGGTGGAAGTCACCGTCAAAAAGCCTGTCAAGCAAAAGAAGGACGACAAGCAGAATCAGATTAATGCCAAAAAGGATGAAACCTTTGTCGTGGACACGTCTAATATCCTTTTCATGCTCATGGGTGCATTTGTTGGCCTTGACAAACACGTTGTTAAAAGGATCAATAGTCTCAGGGCTCAGTCGGCAGGTGAAATGCAGGAAGACAAAAATGACGATATAAAACGCTTGAGGTTTAGCAACACTATCGAAAAAGTGCAGCTTCCTAACGGCCAGAAGACATCTGCTTTGAACCTTGCGACCCCTTCAGATCTGGTCTCTTACGGTCTGATCCCAGAATTAATAGGTCGGGTTCCTATAATAACTGCCTTAGAGCCTCTCGAACGGTCGGACTTGTACCATATCCTCAGAGAACCAAAGAACGCTCTTTTGAATCAATATGAATACATTTTCAAACAATTTGGCGTAAAACTCTGCGTTACACAAAAGGCTCTCATAAAAGTTGCTCACTTTGCTCAAAATGAGGGAACAGGTGCCAGAGGACTGAGAGGCATTATGGAGCGCCTACTGTTGAACGTGAACTACGAATGCCCAGGATCTGGTATTGCATACGTTTTAGTTGATGAGAAGACTGTTAATGCACTAAAGCAGTCAAACCACTCTCTTTCATCGCATGTTGTTGCTAGATACTACTCAAGAGGCGAAAGAGATCGGTTTATTGAAGATGTGTACAAGGAAGACACTGAACAGGGAAAGTTATTAGACAACCTATACGGAAGGGTTGGCAGTCGGATAATTGAGGGCAAAGCCATTCATGAATAAACGAAACTAATTAAAAAGTATGTGTGTTCCATGCAGAGAATATTAAAATAGACATAAATCATTTTTTTAGGTTAACTAGTATCTGTCCCGACATCTGGTTTTTGAGCACTTATCAAAACAAACCGCAGAACGCCAGCGTTTTCGTCGGCTTTGTCCATATGTTCATTAATGTAGCGCAACGGGAAAGAAGCTAAGTCAGTACCAGCAGGTGCAGTTTTAGAAGAAAGAAAGTTTGCCCGCAACTGATAGTCATATTGGTGCATTGCTAGGAACTCAAAAAGCATGCCCATCTTGTTGGTCAGGTCACCTCTCTTGATGCTGACCACCGAATGCTTTATATTGACGAAGCCGACCTTTTTAAGGACTGGTACGAGATGCCTCATAGGGAAAACTTGGATACCGGTCCTAGCTGCTTCCAATGATATGGCATCCTTCAAGGCTTTCATCTCAGCAGAAGTAGAAAACTCATTAGCTGATTTTTCAAGATCATTGCAATCGTTTACAGTTGCAAAATTGCACGTAGAAGTCTCCAGATAGCCCCCCGGTCTGATACATCGAAATATTTCGCTGAGAAGCCCTTTCCACTTTCGAAGCTCAACTGAAAACCAAATATCAGGGCACATCACGACCGGAAGTGCATTGTCATTAAAGGGTAGCTTCACTTGACGAAAATCCTCCTGATAAGACCTTGTCTCTTTTACCCCTGGTGTTTTTTCGTGTTGATCTTGCTTTGATGTTACCTTTTCACTGAATAGCTTATGCGCCGGAGTGACAAGCTTTCTATAGTTGGCCAAAGTTGAAGCATAGTAGTCTTCCAAATATTTGTTTTGAATATTCAAAGGCACTTTGGCGGCTTCATGGGGTGACGATTGTCGAGAGCTGGCTGCCGAATCATTCTTTTCGACACCAGCATGCGAGTTCCTTCTTCTAAAGAAACTAGATAGCCCAAAGGCTGAAGAGCCGCGACCAAGCATACTAGTCTGTTCTTTCTTGCCTTTTCCTTTCACCTGTGGCTCGGAAAGACTCTCTTGACTTGGTGTCTCGGAGACGCTGGGTCTCCGGCTTTCAGCTATTTCCTGGTTTTGCTGCATCTTCGGTGACAGTTCAGCCAAATCACGCCCAACACAATCCTGAACTATTATTGATGAACTTTTTGTTGGTCGAGAAGACTGCAGCATAGACTGGGGTGGCGAAGAGACGCTTTTACTTCCATTGGGTGCAGGTGATGTGACGTCTTCTTGTACCTTCGCACCTGGTGAATTAGAATTGGACCCAGGCGAAGAGGCGCTCGAGGCCGAACTTGCCGATGAGCTGGAAAATAGATTTTCATCGTTTTCATATCGCAGCTTCAGAGTGTCATTGGGGTCATCATATCCTGTAGTGAATGAGGGTTTCCGGAGAAGTGAGAAATCGATAAACAGGTCGATAACATTCCAGTTAGGTTCGTCCAGAGCCAGCTGCCATCCTAGTTCTTCCTCGAAAGAGCATCGTAGAAGTAAGATATCTGCTCTCTGAACTGTTTCCTCGTAAGTCCGGGAAGCTGCATCTCCGCTTAACGGTTTGTTCTTTAGAAGCGCATATTTCTTGGGAGCAAAATCCACCAAATACTCTACAATATCCCTTGAGTAAAGAAAAGACTTTTTGTCTAACAAAAACTTCAGTGCTTGTAGGTGCCAGAGTTGGATAACTTCTCCGATTTCCTGGTAATTCACGCCTGAAGTAAATGACGGATAGCCACTAGCAAGAGCGTTCGCAGAAACACTGACATTAAATGGCATGCAAGCAGCTGCAAATCTTCTTGAATTGTGGTAGACTTCCAGAAACTTGACGAAGGATTGCAGTCTGGATTTGGCATGAACATAAGAATCCACGGGCGGTGACTGGGCGTTGAACATATAAAATATTTCAAGCTTGGGGCAGATGGGATTGTAACGAGGGTCATAGACGATTCGCCTAGGGGTTCCGTTTACACTATGAACAGCCACATTCATGGAATATTTGTGTTGATGCAAGGTTTCGCCAATTTTGGGAAGAACGTTCCAGGAACGAACGACGTCGCTATTCCCACGCTTGAGCTGCGGTGGCGATGAAGAAGAAGAAGCGCCCACTGGTGCAGAACGGTTTTGCATCGAGGCAACACTCGAGGAGGAGGAAACTCTCGTCATAGATTCCGGAACCTCTGGGGCCGGGAGCTCCTCCGTAATGGTGGAGATGGACGACGTCCACGAGGGTGACGATTTGGTGTCTTTACTAGAATCCGAAGGTACGCTGGCCGTCAAGCTGTTGCCAGCAGAAGACGTCCCGGACACTGACAAAGTGTCTGTAGCTTTCGCTTTCAAAGTCGAACCGCGATGGCTATTGCGCCTGGTGGAACCTTCCAAATCGCCAGTATCCATTTTGCGATGCAAGTTTTTGACTTCCATAGATCTGGATAGTTTTTCTTCCGGGAACGAGGCTGGACTCGCTTCGCTTCCGGGTTCTAAAATTAATGCCCTTTGTTGAAACGGTTACTTTGTGAAATCTAGCCGTAGGTAAGTGATTGAAAAAGCTGGAATTTTGAACTGCGTACATTAACGGCCTCTTGGAGGCACACTGTCTTTTCGGAACGGTTCAAACTCGACTCTTTGTGGGCCTTACTTGGTGTATCTCTTGCGTTTGTTGAACATAACACCGTCTTGTACATATAGCAATTGCTGCTGCTGCGGAAACCAAATCTTTACATGTCACTGTCCACGAATAATTGTTCTTTCTCATTACATAAGCGTTCTATGCGTTTAATAATGAAGCGGAGTACAAAGAGGCGAAGAGGGACCGGCGACTCGGACCAGAACTTGGGCAGCGGCATTGCCATCAGCAGAGCTGGTTTGGCTAGATGTGATTTAGCCAGGTCGCGAGCGACCTTCTTCCGCAAGTCTTCAGCGATCGCAGTTTTTAGTCGAAAAAAGCTCTGCTCTTTTATTTCATGGACGGCAGTTGATACGTGTCCTCATATATAGCTATATGTACAAGAGTGTCGAAAAGCTTGCGCAGAGCATTTCGTGTTCTTTGCCTTTATGTTGTTGAAAGCCAGTTGATGTAATCCCATGTTGAATGCAGAAAAGTGAAAAGTAAAACAAAAACAAACAGAAGGTATAGTGTGCCGCGGTGCCAGTTTGGTTGAGAAAAAAGGCCCCGCGGCAATGCAGAGAGGTTGGTACGACGCTCAGTACAAGTGTCTGAGACGGTCGTAAATGCGATCGCCCTCAGTCACAAAGTCGTTGTCGACGATGTTCACTAGAGTGTAATTCTGAATAACAGATTTTAGCAATTCGGCACTCTCACTGTGGCCTTGCTCACCCAAGATTGATCCCCACTCCTCCAGAATTTGGAAAAACTCCTCCTTCCAGGCCAGGAACGAGACTTTCTCAACGATGGTGGGTTGCAGAACCTCGCGCCCGGGGAAAATACCCCACGTGACCGCGTTAGCGGCAGTGTCGTCGGGATGGTTAGAGTACAACTTGTCAGTGGCATCGACGGCGAAGTACGTTAGAGTCGAGCCACCTTCCACCAGGTTCACAAAAGTAGAGAGCTTGTCTTTGGGTAGCAAGAATTCGAGGTATTCCTTTTGGAAAACGTAGCCGTTGCTGGGACCCCAGCCTATGACTTTATCGCCCGAATTTGAACCGTTCACGCGAGGTTGCGAGTTGAGGGTAAGAATTCCATTTTGATTCAGCTCCAACAGTTGCGGTAAAATGGAATCCACCTCGTGGTTCAAAGCGACATCGCACCAGGGCAGGCATTTTGTGTTACCTTGCAGATAAGCAACAACCAGACCGGTGAGATCGGAAAAGGCTTTTGGGGCCGACCACAATTCAACTGCACGTTGTGGAGATTGTCTAATCAAAGCCGAGCCCAGTAAATCCAGATCTCCGAACGCTGGGGAAGACGAATCACCAAATCTACCGTTGGGAAACTCATCCGCGGACCACTGTGAAGTACGCGCCACGTACGAATATGGCCTCTTTTGCCAGAAAATCGGACGAACAGACTCGTTACGGCGTTGAGGATGGAGAGACTTCCTCCAAGGCATTGGTACCACATCGTCCCGGAAAATGTCCTCGTCTTCCGTCAAGAGGCCCAGTCTGTCCAAGATCATGATTGAAGCTTTTTCTAAGTTCATCGTGTACATGTGCAGATGGGTGACGTAGCCGCTGTCCAACAACCTCTGGCACATGCCCGTCAAAAGTTGAGTCCCCACTTCACGTACAGCTTGGTCATCTTCTTTAACCGCGTCCAAAGCTGCCATAAATTCGTCAGGAACGTGGATTTGGCACCATGACGCCCTACGCAAAAATGCAGCGTAAGTGGTTATCGGCATGATACCTGGAATAATGGGGACTTCGATTCCGGCTTCGCGCACCTGACGACACCAATCGATGAATATGTCGGCATCGTAAAACATCTGGGTGATGATAAAATTGGCACCCGCATCGATTTTTTCTTTCAAGAACTGAATCAATTGTGGTGAAGCTTCTTCTTCAGGATGGCCTTCTGGATATCCAGCAACTCCAATGTCGAAATGATCCCCATACTTCTTTCGAATGTAGCTGACGAGATCTTTAGCATAGGCAAAGCCACCTTCGCACTGTTTCCACTCACCGGTAGTCGACGGGGCGTCACCTCTTAATGCTAATATGTTCTGACAGCCGGACTCGTAAGCTTTCGCCAGCGCGTCATCGATCAGCTCTACTGGCATATTTGTGCAAGTAAGATGCATACACGTTTCTAGCCCCAAAACGGATTGAGAAGTAGAAACTAGATCAGTTGATAACTGAGATAATTTACCTCCCGCATTCCAAGTTATATCAATGAATTGAGGCCTCGTTTGGTACATGCGGTCCATTCTGTCGTACAAGTTTTGCACACCTTGAGAAGTTTTAGGAACAAAGAATTCGAACGAGAAGGTCGGCTTCGACTTCTCATTCGATTCTAAATTCTTCTGCAATTTTTCGGATACTCTCATCTTTCCAATAAGCTTTCTGAGCCGTTTAAGACAAGTGCGATCGCGTCAAGTATTTCCAAATAAAGGCAGCACAACTGAAGCAATTGAAACAAAGGCTACTAGTCTCAATTCCCTTAAAAATGGTCGCCTTGTTTAGATTCCAAGCCGTTGATATTTGCAAGCAAATAACAGCCAAGAGTAGTTCGAAAGTAGGGTTCTTAAGCGGCTCGGTTCCCCAGCATATCCCGTTCTTGACATCCTTTCGTTTATATAGGCCCGCCATGTGAAATCCACCAACAAGGTTTCTAGTAAGGGTCGGTGTTATGACCCACCTGAAAGCCACCGTTGTGAAAGATAGCCGAATTGAATGACAATGTGCACGTGAAAACACCAATCACACCTGTGGCCCGGCATGATACTCGTCGGTAACCACACTTCTTGTGCACAGAACGTCGCTAACGGGGAAAGTACTCTGGTCAATGATTGTACTTGCGAACTTGCTAATGTGAATGCGGTGGATTGAGTACCAATACTGTGTGTTAAAACGGTCTTTCAAAAAAATTGATATAACCGGAACCGGCCTATTGCCGACAACGTGTACTGATGGTGACTAGCTTTACCTGATTCAACCCTAAGTACGTCTCTTTTAGCTGACCACCTCTGTAAATGGATTTAGCTTTTTAGCAGATAAGAAACACAGGCCGCCCTCTTCAACGTGCGAACTTGGACGCTTCTGCGTTTTTGTTTACAGTGTCCTCCATGTTAAGGTTCCGAAAATCCAACTTGTCCAACCTGCTACGAGTGCCGTGAAGAATTTCAGGTTAGGGAGACGTGGGATCGTGCCTTCTTGCAGAAACATAATAATTTGGACTTCACCCAATTTATGAAGTCCAATAGACCTTGGAATATTTTTTTCAACTCTTGCTGAAGTCCGAATCCAACGGGAGCTGACGTAGATAGCTGTTCCAGGTGCACCTAAAAACATTAAGCGCTTGCTTCACCGCCATACTCCATACTGCTACAGGATGTGCAGAAATAACAATCACGATTCTATAGGCCTTTGTTATAAATAGCTCGGCAAAACCAAGGTACGCTGTGTTTGGCCTTGTTGAGGGACCTCTCGTCGAAAGTCAAATACGAATGGAATCCCAGCTCATTCTGTAAAACGTGAAACAGTTTGAATTCTGGGAGGTCAGTGATTTGGTATTGATGGAATACCGTCGGATCGCGCAATAGGAAACAACATTGTGTCAGGATGGTACGAAATGATAAATCTCGCCAGCATACAAGCGCAAGGTGAATAATCAGTCCTCGCGAAACGCTTTGACCAGTCCAATCACTGTCAGCGGCTCAAATAAATCTTTTTTGGAGGGGGGAGGGCTGCATTTGTTAGGTCGTCCTGCTTTAAATGCTCCCAGATTATTCTCGCCAGAGTTTAGTATAAATGCCGCCTAAACGTCTTGGACATGGACCAGAGCGAGGCAACTTCGCGTCTTCTTATAGACCCCTACATCTAACGTCAAGTATTCACAATGCGAGGCATGATGCTTATCGGAAATTTGGGCGAACACTTCAGCAGTTTAACTCCTGTCGACGCGGATTCGTCCCGATAGAATCTGCGCAGGGTGAGTGGATAACAAAACTGTAGACCCCATTTGTGTGCCAAATTTTTCAGCATCCTATCTAATGGAGACAATGGTTTTGCTTTGTTTAAGTGAAGCACGACTTTGATGACTTTAATAACTTTGATAACTTTGATAACTTTGGGTGGGCGGCTAACTGGCCGGTTGACGAAAAATAAAATAGCTCCTTACACCCCTCTTCTGCTCAATTCTTGCACAATAATATTATCAATAATCGAGCAGAGCTCAACAGTAATGATGAAGCCACGGACTGATCTGGAATCATCGTGACTATCTTTTTATTTCTTCAATGTTGGTGGGATGCTTTCTTTGCAGACCCATCCTCGATGTAGAGCAGCATGTATTCCATGGCATTGAAGGATCACACAGACTATCTGCTTGAAGCCATGTCCACCTAATCAATTTCCTCAATATATTTATTAGAATGACAGCTCTCAAATAGTGCTGGGCCCAAGAGCTGAACGAGGACAAAGCGAGTATATAAGTTGGCGTGTATAGCTATACAAAAAGGCTCGCTGATTGAGGTTCATCGCAACCACGATTTAGAAGCCCCGAAGTATTGGTCCGGCGGTCACAGAACCGTTTCTCTATTCATCATCTTGGCAAATTTAGTTAGCCTGAGTCAATTGCTAGCTGACAAAATGACATGCGAGCTGAATCGAGACATCAGCCTACATGAGTGTAGCCAATAGCGAAAGCAGGCTTTAGACAAACGGCTGAAGTTTTGTATGTTTTTGATTTTGTTCTGATCTATATTTCTCACGCTAACTCACTTATTTCGATGTCTCACATCAGAGTGCAACACGTATATTGGCCATCTTAAACCAATGCCTGAAAAACCTCCTCCAGTGGGCGCCAGAAAGAGGACTCAAGAGCATTGGGAGAAATTTGAATATCGCAAAAAGTCAAAAGTTAACAATGAGCAGTCCGACAGTGTCGATCAGGTCAAAAGGAGCCCAAATATAATTGATCTGACGAGTGACAACGACAGTCCTGAAGAGACTTCTACAACGGACGTATCTTACATTGAACCAATACACTCTTCAGCGGATGAAGCTGACCAAAAGCTCCCTTCATCGAGTAATGAGAACCAAGAAACCACTGCTCCTTTCAGACTAATCAAGTCAGACATCTACGACTCCAATCGTGCTTCGCAACACTTCATAACACTGGAAGAGATATTCGGCGATAGAAGCATTGCAAAAAGCTGGCTGTTCAGCTTTCAGTATGAATTAGACTACATTCTACCTATGTTCCCACTGCACGCAGAAATAACCATTGTAGCACAGAATGGCACGATTTTGCCGGTCTCACAACCCAATTCGAAAGTCTTGACGCTTCTTGCGCGCCTGAAGACTTTGTTAGTGAATCTACCACCCTATTCCTGCCACCATTCGAAGATGGTCATCAATTTGTACAATAATGGAGATTGCCAATTATTCATCCCCTCCAATAACTTTACCTCGGCAGAAACCAATCTGCCTACCCAAATCGTATGGTCTAGTCCTCGTCTCAAGAGCTCTAGCTGTGAATCCAGTTCTTCAGCTTTTAAAGATTCTCTCCTGACGTATCTCAAAGGCTACGAGATCAACCTAAAACCCCTGGTGGCAGTGCTCGAAACTGTAGACTTCCTTCCGCTAGATGATTCTGGCTCACAGTTTGTGTATTCTCATCCCAAGGTGGCTGGGTGCGGATTGTCACAACTAAGCACTCTGTTGCGCGATAAGAAACACACTCATCTCATTGACCAGAGTACACATCATTATCTTTGTCAAACTTCCACCATTGGATCACCTATCAAAGCTGGGCTAAGGAGCCCTGGTAACTTGTTTACGCACTACATGATCCCATTATTCTCGGGCCTTTTGGACCCTAAGACTAATGCCAAGGCTAATCCTGGAAGGAAAGCGAATGAAATTCCTAATTTAAAGGAACGATTCGACACAAATCACATCAAACCATATATCGTGTACCCAACGGCGCAAGAATTACAAAAATCGGCAATGGGTTACCTGGCTGGTGGTTGGTTTCACTATCACTGGTTGCGGAACCAGGTCTCTCAAGATGTTCACCAACTGTTGAGAAGTTGGGGTGTTTTTCATAAGCGACAGACTCATACTACCGATGCTCGAAAAGCCACTCCCTCTCACACAAAATTCTACATGAAATCTACTGGAACTTGTCTAACTGATTCGAAGAGGTCGCCGTTGCGCACTCCTGAATGGGTTTTGTACACTACTGCAAATTTAAGCTTGAACGCCTGGGGAACTCTTACTTCTAAACCCAGAAATTATGAAGTCGGCGTGCTTTTCAAATCATCTGAAGATAATGCAATTGAACTTCAAAGTGTCACCGATCTTGTTTACAGTCCTTTCATTGGCACGGGTGAGACAATTGGTGACGGAAAGCCAGAATTTCTAAAACGTAAGAAGACCCTGGTAATGGTCCCCTTTGACATCCCACCAAAGCCGTACGGTGAATTAGACGACTCATTCTGCATTTCGAGGAATTACGTTGAGCCCGATTCCTTGGGCAGGTACCATCAGCCGCAAGGGTAAGTCCGTTCACTCACGTGCGTTTGTCTTCGCATTTGAGCCATTTTCCATGGAGCTTTAGGATATAAAAAAGGATCACAGCAACGACAGCCGGACAGTCAAGAAAGGTTTCAGTACTCTTCAAGTTACTCCATATATCCCCGATGACTATAGAAGATAGAAGTGTGGCCTCTTTTAATGAAAGTTTCAATGTTTCGTCCAATGTGGCGATCATTGTTCCGGATAAAGGCGTTCAGGTCACTTATCGGGACCTTTCCCATATGACGGGGCATTTTCAAACCATGTTCCACTCCCCCGACTCTCCACTATACGACCTGATTGGAAGGCAGTCTTCGGTAGCTATTTCAATGCCCAATGGTCTCGAGTTCATAACGGCATTTTTGGCTTCGACAATGGATGGGAAGATCGGAGCTCCTTTGAATCCCAACTATCGAGCCGAGGAATTTAATTTTTACCTGAATGATCTAAAGGCTAAAGCTATTTGTGTCCCCGAGGGAACAGTTCAAAAAGGAGCCGAGGCCGAAATCTTGAAAGCGGCAGCCAAGTTTGGTTGCTACATCGTGGAACTCGCCTTTAACATCGACAGATTCAGAGTAGAGTACACGGTTTTCTCCCCTAAGGATGGTTACAAGAGGAAAATATACTCATCTCTCGACAAGGCCGTATTTGTAAATCACAGCAATAAGTTTCCCGGCTACGCAAGGTCTTCGGATGTGGCCCTTATACTACATACTAGTGGTACAACGTCGGCTCCGAAGACTGTTCCTCTCTTGCATTTGAACATTGCAAGAAGTATGCGTAACATTGCAGACACCTACAAGCTGACCGCCCACGACCGCTCATATGTTGTTATGCCACTATTTCACGTACACGGATTAATCGGTGTTTTGCTGTCAACACTGTGGACCCAAGGTTCTGTAGTAGTACCACCCAAATTTAGTGCTCAGAAATTTTGGTCTGATTTCATTACCTGGGGCTGCAACTGGTTCAGTTGCGTTCCGACTATAAGCATGATCATGCTTAACAACCCTAAACCACAGCCAATGCCCAAGATCCGCTTCATTAGATCTTGCTCCTCTGCCTTAGCTCCGGCAACATTTCGGAAGCTTGAGCATGAATTTCAAGCTCCTGTCTTAGAGGCCTATGCCATGACCGAGGCATCTCACCAGATGACCTCCAATAACCTGCCTCCCGGAAAAAGAAAGCCTGGAACTGTAGGTCAACCCCAGGGCGTGGAAGTCTTTATTTTAGACGAAAAGGACAACGTGTTGCCGCAAGGGTCCCAGGGTGAAGTTTCCATACGAGGCGAGAATGTTACGCTAGGGTATGCACACAACGAGAAAGCCAATCGTGAGAATTTCACAAAGCGTGAAAATTACTTCCGTACAGGCGATCAAGGGTACTTTGACCCCGAGGGGTTTCTGGTGCTGACAGGCCGATTGAAAGAATTAATTAACCGTGGAGGCGAAAAGATTTCCCCCATCGAGCTAGATGGTGTAATGTTGTCGCACCCCAAGGTCGATGAGGCGGTCTCATTTGGAGTTGAGGACAACAAATATGGACAAGTAGTAAACGCCGCTGTAGTGTTGAAGACGGGGCAAAAGCTGGACTACAAGGAACTGTCAGACTACATGCGCAAGAGCTTGGCTTCCTTCAAAGTTCCTACACGTATATTCTTCGTGGATAAATTACCCAAAACCGCAACCGGAAAAATCCAGCGGCGGATCATAGCAGAGGTTTTCACAGGAAAGAGTAAATTATAGACAAGATCTCTCAGGTGAGCTGGTTATACGAGCTGGGAGCGCGATGGGAATACGATAAAAATGAGGTACTCTTTCTGCTCGGCAACGTGTATGTTTTTTTTTTTTGGACCTTACAGAGCGCTCACTTCTGCCTAGCTGTGTTGGTTGTAAAGCGCATGCAAAATCAATTCAAAGGCGCTCAATCAGATATTCTTAGCGTCTTCTTCTTGATCGAGTCTCACTCGCATCTCTTCGAGCATTACGATTGGTGCCGTACGAGAAGACATCTTCAACAATTTACCAATAATATTTTTCATTATATATAGCTGTGGCCCCTGGTGAAAATTGGGACCTGTTTACCAGACTCTCACAGTCGGTAACCCAAAGGAAAGGAGGTGCATTCATCTAGTGTTTTTGGTGAAAACTCGAGATCTCTCTTTATACACTCGACAGGTTCTTTTCTACGCGATATCAAACACCTCTAGACCGGCGTTAAAAATGGTTTTCAAACTCTCTGCAGGTGTGATTGGCGGTGCGAAACAAGTGGTTTCAATGAGCCAGCGCGGCTTTTTAGCGCAAAGCCAACTAAGAATGGCGTCTACCAAGACAATGACCGTCAGAGATGCTCTTAACAGTGCTATGGCCGAAGAAATGGATCGTGATGATGATGTGTTCATTATCGGTGAAGAAGTGGCCCAGTACAACGGTGCGTACAAAGTTACCAAGGGATTGTTGGATCGTTTTGGTGAACGCCGTGTGGTAGACACTCCTATCACGGAGATGGGGTTCACTGGTTTGTCGGTGGGTGCCGCTCTTAAGGGATTGAAACCAATTGTGGAATTCATGTCCTTCAACTTTTCCATGCAAGCCATCGATCAAGTTGTGAACTCGGCTGCCAAGACTTACTACATGTCCGGTGGTACCCAAAAGTGTCAAATTGTTTTCAGAGGCCCCAACGGTGCTGCCGTTGGTGTTGGTGCTCAACACTCGCAAGATTTTTCTGCGTGGTACGGATCTATTCCAGGTATGAAGGTTTTGGTGCCATATTCTGCCGAGGATGCTCGTGGTTTGTTGAAAGCCGCTATCAGAGATCCTAACCCAGTAGTGTTTTTGGAAAACGAACTATTGTACGGTGACTCTTTTGAAATGAGCGAGGAATCTCTGTCCACGGATTTCACTTTACCGTACACTGCCAAAATCGAAAGAGAGGGTACTGACATCTCTATTGTTACCTATACTAGAAATGTACAGTTCTCCCTTGAGGCAGCTGAGATGTTGGAAAAGCAGCACGGTGTTTCTGTGGAAGTTATCAACTTACGTTCCATCAGACCTATGGATGTTGATGCCATCATCAAGTCCGTCAAGAAGACCAACCACTTGATCACCGTTGAATCTACCTTCCCAACATTTGGTGTTGGTTCTGAAATCGTGGCTCAAGTCATGGAATCCGAGGCCTTCGACTATTTGGATGCTCCTGTGCAAAGAGTCACCGGTGCCGATGTGCCAACACCCTATGCCAAGGAGCTTGAGGACTTTGCTTTCCCAGACCCAGATGTGATTGCCACCGCTGTCAAGAGAGTCTTGTCTATTGAGTAAGCGATTCGCAAAATATGTTAAGCTCAACTGCCTTGCTACGCGGCTCGTCGTTCTGCAGGAAGATGATCATTAGCACTCCCAATTCTTCTGTGAACCTAGTGTTCGTCAAATTCACGGCTCTAGGTCTTTACAAATTTTTTTTTCTACAATATCACTGTACTTCATATCAGAAGTGCATGTAACTAAAGAGAGATCGTCAAGAATCTCCTTTTAATCACTTTTCCCCTAAGTGCCCCACCTTTCCCTTTCCTTTGAGTTCACGCATAGAGCTTGTCGCGCTTACATATCAGTTTCTTTGGAGAGAGCAACTGAGATGTTGGGTAATTCATTTTACTCGGAGCACGCCTCGTTCAAAAATCCGCAGCCCCCACCCGTCAGTTCGAGCCTTCACACGATTCAAGGAGAGAGGGATCGTGTTAAGCTCTTCTGACAAAACTGAAATGAAGTATCCAAATGTTATTTACTTGCTTTCGATCCAGATATTAACGTTTTTCCTCGATTCTTGATACCAAAACTGAGAGAGAGATTTTGGCAATCAAGGAGGGCCGACAATATTAGATTGGCATCGAAGTTTTTTGAAAATCATCTTTCATAAGTGTGCATTTTGCATCGTAACTTGGATATAGTTATATACATACCTTAAATAAATAAGAGCTTTTGTTTCCTGGTTTCCATGTTTTTCTAAGGTAAGCGCAAGTACAAACAAATGCTTGTGGTCGTAGCTCACTTGGAAAGAGATATATTGACAAGTGCTCAGTAATATATAATTAGTCAGGATTGTATTCTGGTGGATCAAACCTTCCTCGGGCTTCAAATGACCGTGCCAGATTGAACGGACCAAGGTGCGTATGCAGTGATCAGGTTGAAGGTTTATCTGTCTTAGCCAAATCTTCTACCACCGTTCATTACACGAAGGACCATCGCCAACCTTCCTAATTGGTCATAAGCATCCAGGATACCGAATCATGGGTGACCAGGCCCGCCAATTGGCCGAGCATGATAAGAGACCCTTCCTTCTTTTGGTTATGTTGTACTTCCTACAGGGTATTCCAATTGGCTTGACTTTTGGTACAGTTCCCTTTCTGCTCAAGTCGATGGTCAAAGAAACAACTTTTACACAATTGGGCCTTTTTACGATGGCCACCTATCCTTATTCTTTGAAGATTCTATGGTCACCGATAGTCGATTCCATGTATAATGTCAAGATCGGTAGACGCCGGTCGTGGATAATACCAGTTCAGTTGGTAAGTGGTATTATACTGTGGATCATTGGGATTGGGGTGTCGCGAAATGTTATTTTCGCAGGAGTAGATAACTCATTTCATCCAGAGAATGTTAGTGGTGGCGTCACAGCGTCCAAACTAAACATTACGACACTGACCGCGATTTTCTTCATTCTTATAACCCTCTGCGCAACGCAGGACATTGCAGTAGATGGGTGGGCATTGGAAATCCTTTCTCAAGATTCTTTGTCGTATGCATCTACAGCTCAAACCATTGGCTTGAATACGGGCTATTTCCTTTCGTTCACCATTTTCCTCACGTTCAATTCCAGTCATTTCATGAACAAATATATCAGAACAGTTCCACAGGAATTTGGTTTGATAAGCCTTGGTGGGTATCTTCAATATGCAGGTATCATTTATCTGGTGATTACAATTTATGTTATATGGTGCACTTCAGAAAGGCCAACCGATATTCCAGTTTTACCCACAAAGAAGAGCGATGAGAAAGTAGATGATTTTATCGACTACAATGTTGATACAAATCCTTCGCACATGAGTCTGGTGAATGTTTATCGATCATTCTTCGAAGTATTAAAGTTACCCAGCGTCCAATCGTTAATGGGAATTCATTTTCTCACTAAATTTGCATTTCAATGCAATGAAGGTGCCACCAATTTGAAATTGCTCGAGCGTGGGTTCAAAAGGGAAGACTTGGCCATTACAGTTCTCATAGATTTCCCTTTCGAAATTATCTTCGGCTACTACGTGGCTAAATGGAGCAATGATAGCAGTCTTTCCTCCAGACCCATGACACGCCCCAATGCGTTAACCAGGGCTCTTGTTGGCGAGACAGGTACATTAACACCATGGTTATGGGGATTTCTAGGAAGGCTGACTGCGGCATTCATGGCAAGCATCTTAATCGCCCAATTTCCGACCGACGGGCTGATCACCAAGAAGTACTTTGTGATGGTGATTCTTCAACACTTATTAGGATCATTCATGACAACGGTTCAATTCGTTGGCATTTGTGCTTTCCACACTCGGATTGCAGATCCTGTAATTGGAGGTACTTATATGACCTTGCTGAATACCCTGAGTAACTTGGGCGGGACGTGGCCAAGGTTTTTTGTTTTATCCATGATCGACCGCTTTACCGAGCACCATTGCATCCATCTTGGCAGAATAATGAGTGAGCACTCCGAGGAGCAAAGCTGTATCGCAATTGAAGGAAAGTGGGTCATGACACAGGATGGCTTTTTCATTACTAACGCCTTCTGCGTTACGGTTGGATGTCTGCTATATTTTGGATTCATCAAGAAGAAAGCGCAACAACTTCAAAAGCTTCCCATTTCCTCATGGCAATGTCATTAAATTATAAATACAAGTCATTATATAAGTTTCCAATAGACGATTGCCGCCACAATGTATGCGCACAATAGACCGCTGATTTGCTCTGAGAGCGTATGAAATGCAATGGTCGTTATCAGAAAGCTCCACCACCACATGAAGATGAGGGCCACTAGCAGAACCACAGGATTGTCCCAGACCAAATATTTTAGCGTTAAGGCTAAGAAGATCATGATCTGTTCGCAATTTTTGAAAACGTCGGTGCCAACCTGGCGGAGAAGTAGTTTCCAAGTTGTGGGAGGATCAGCAATTAGCTGCCTTAAACGATCTAGCATCAGAAAACTTTTGAGGTGAGATTGAACTAACGGCCAATAGGTGCCATCGGTCCTCATTTTTCTTAGGGCTTTCCTACCAATTACTTGAAGCTCTCCAAGTAAAAACATACACATCAACGTGATAAGGAAAATATGACCGCTAGGATCATGCCCCCCAATCCAATGCCCTCCCAACGATCTACATATATTAGAAGAATTAATTTTCCGCCAAGAATGCAGAGCTTCATCAATGTAGTTGTTTATTTGGGAAGGTGTCACCTCTATGTTTCTCAAATTATCCTTTCCTTCCGATATCCAGTATTCAATCTCAGAGACAGCATTCTGAAGCATCGACGAAGGACTAGTTGACGATCCCTTCAGAGCCTTGTATATTTTTCTCAAACTCGACTGCTTTCGAAACAGTGTATCTTGGAACTTCTCGTTTATTTGCCATGGCAAGGATCCTGAGGTATCAAAAACGTCAAAATTGCAGCGGCCTCCTGTAGCAGTAAAAACCAGATCCATCAAAGGGGCAGCTTCAGACCATATTGACTGTGTAAAAAGCATCCACCAGGCGGTTAAAACGCTGTAACGCAGTAGGGTTCGTCTCCAGCTGCCACGCTGGCCAAAGCCGCTATATCTGATCATACACCACCAACCTACAAGGCTAGTCCAGAACCAGCCTTGCTTGACGAAATAAATGTTAAACCAACTGTCCTTATCGACAACTAGCGTTACTTGCCTTGAAATCAAGTGCCCCACGACCAATGTTGCTGGACATAACGTAAAAAGGAAGACTTTATAATAGGACAGAACCATAGGGTTTAGCGTGAAGCGGCGTGAACTGAATGCCAATCCTTTAGATGAACAAAGCTGTGAGATACACCGCTTGGTGTTGTACGCAGCAAGCTTGTCAGAACGATGCCAAACGTTTGAACGTTAGCCTTAAGATTTTCGTTAGAAATGTGACAGAACTATAAGCATATTATAATATCTTAAAATAACACCCTGTCGAGTTCAAAAGTGAAAACATCATTACCGAATGAAACTCGAAATGGTCGATAAATAAAATCATTCGCACCTTAATGTGCTTGTTTGAGGTCCTTCCGCGTATTCAAATTGTTGAGGAAAATCAGACAAAAGAGCTAAGTATAAGACATGTGCAGCCATTGCCATCGTTGTAGTAGTAGAGATATGTGGTACTGGAAATCAGAATTGAAGAGCCTTTTGACCTCATGAATATTGTAGTTTGATAAGTGGTGTGTACTCAGCACAAAATGATAGCACTAACTTGGTGTTACTGGGTCGATGCGAGAGGTGAAAGGCTTGTAGTAAATCTTATATTTCCTGCTAGAGCAAAGGGCAAACCTGCTTCGAAATTTCAGTCACTGATAATACCCACCTTGGTAAGAGTTGCAGAGGTTGAATTCATCGAGGTGAGTCAGCGTCATAGGCCTCTAGCTGGGTGCTTTATCCAACCTGCAAATGAACATTATTAGTGAGCCAATCTTAGATACCCAAGGCTTGTGTTATCTCACTGTAGGTATCTGGACTACAATCTTGCCCCATTTAATGAAGCATATGGTCGTTTTCTGAAAAAAAAACTCGAGGTAGGTGCAAGGCTTACCGGGATTCTTAGATAACGTGTCATGAGCCCCAAGTTCCATAGGAAGACGTAGAACGTCCCTTTGGAACTCCATCAGAATGCCCCGACCATTTTTCATAGTGGCAGCTATTCACGTCCACCTGTCATTTTTTTACTGACACTGGGTACATCACTTCTTACAATACTGTCCAACACATTTTCACATGATAAGACCCGACGTGGTGAATCAAAATAAAATCAAACCAAGCTTACGTTCTCCCATTATGAATGGACTGGTACCACCGGGAATTATCCAGTGCCCCTAATTATACGTGAATTCAAAGTTTTGAGGCTCAACCTTAATACACACTTAAAACACCATCTGGAACTAATTATGGATATCCTCCCGTCATCTAAAGTGTCTTTCATCTCAATTTGACAGTATACAGGTATGCAATTCGGTCCTGTTAGGTAGCTCGCAAAGAGCACCCTAAGAATCGATAAAGGCTGATATTGGTCAGTGGTTTGACGGAGACCGCTTAAGCTGCGCGATCAAAACTGGCCTTGATCCTGAATAGTAGAGCACCGCAGCGGAATAGGAACCAAATCATGACTGTGTCACCCAATATTTAGCGAAAGAGCACGTACTCGAATGATATCTGCGGCCTGGAGTAGTCACAGTTACATCATTAGATACGTAATATGGTCACTAGACTGAGATCTCAGGTGTCAAATCGATAATGAATAGCACCTAAATGTTTCCGCGCTTGGCCGGATCTACCACCACAATGGAAAACGGTAATCAATCAGGCGATCTACAGCAGCCGGAAACAGTTGATATTCCTCCCACGCGTTTCGAGGTGGAATTGGAATTTGTGCAGTGTTTGGCAAATGTCCCATATGTGTTGTTCTTGCTCAGCCAACAACAAATCTGGCGGGACCCAAAGTTCAAAGCATATTTGAAGTATTTGGAGTATTGGTGCGAGCCTCCTTACGCTCAGTGCATCGTGTATCCTAATTGCCTGTTCATGCTCCGACTCTTGAACGGGTTCATGGCGTCAGCGACGGTTAATGAAGATGGTCTTCTGGAGGGCCACGAAGACCTTCCCAAAGTACTCCAAAGCCAGGGTAGTCAGTGGATGAACGAAATGGTAGAAAGGTGGAGCACGTGAAAATTGAGAAGGAGCACAGAAGCGTGGAATGTGGAGCCGAAACCCACTCATTTGCCCTCCGGCAACATAGCGATCCAAACTCTGAGGACCGACCTTTTCTCTACTCCGGACGTCAGGTCCAAGTCGAGAATTATGGCTTACTTACCACCGATCAAAAATTCACCAATGCGCAAGCAAAGTTCCCTAGGCAATAGCACATGTACAGGCAAGTGACGTCTGTATGATACAGTGGGGTTGCGCATGGCTTCTGGCAACCCACATTTTCGAAAAGCAGGCCTTCCTCTGATCCTCCAGCACTCCGAGCATGGTGCGCCTCAGACTAAAGCGAACCTTTTGTAACAACATGTGGCTCCTTCAACATCAGCTGCTCTCCAGTATAATTTTTGGCTCGACGTCTAACCATTCATGGCTCTTGCTCGCAAATTTTCACTGGCAAGAAAGCCGATGTCAACGTCTACTGTGCGTGTGGTGAGGGCTCTTTTTTTTCTTTATCTCGACAATGCAAATTTTATACACAGGCCTTGAAGAAAATCCAGCGCAAGACTAACAAAGTCGTGCATGATCATGAATTAACCTGCGATTCGTGTGACCGTTGCAATCATCATCACTCGAGCCTGTTCTGGTAACATTTTTACTATGGGAAGAAAGAGTCATCCATGGATGACCACTGTCGATGGCGAAACGAGATGTGATTGGTCAATGGAAAAGTGTCGCTGTTAACGAAAGGGAGCAATTAAGGTATAAAAGATACACTTTAAATGACAAGTCGATACCCGTGGAGCCTGTGCGACTCTTCTGCAGAACCACCATATTCAAGAGTACGACCTTAAGCTCCGGTAGCATCTTTCACACCCGCAATAATGTCTAAGCTAGGTGGTTTAAGGGACAGCTCCAACCTTTTAGGTGAGAAGAATAAGCTTCTGGTTGCTAACAGAGGTGAGATTCCAATTCGTATCTTCCGCTCGGCCCATGAGCTTTCGATGAAGACCGTTGCAATTTACTCGCATGAAGACAGGCTCTCCATGCACAGACTAAAGGCGGACGAAGCGTACATGCTGGGCCCTGAGGGCAAACACACTCCAGTAGGCGCATATTTGGCAATTGACGAAATTATCAAAATTGCCAAGGAACACAAGGTGGACTTCATCCATCCAGGTTATGGGTTTTTGTCTGAGAACTCAGAGATGGCGAGAAAGGTAAAGGAAGCTGGTATTACATGGGTGGGACCGCCGGCTGAAGTGATTGACTCAGTCGGGGACAAAGTGTCTGCCAGAAACTTGGCTGCCAAGGCTAAAGTTCCAACCGTGCCAGGTACCCCAGGTCCTATCGAAACAGTCGAGGAGGCGCAGGAGTTTGTGGCACAGTACGGATACCCGGTTATCATCAAAGCCGCTTTCGGTGGTGGTGGTAGAGGTATGAGAGTGGTCCGTGAAGGTGACGATATCTCAGACGCCTTTCAACGTGCTACTTCGGAAGCCAAGACCGCTTTCGGTAACGGTACCTGTTTCATCGAGAGGTTCTTAGACAAGCCTAAGCACATCGAGGTTCAATTGCTAGCGGATGGATACGGCAATGTGGTACATTTGTTTGAGAGAGACTGCTCCGTGCAAAGAAGACATCAAAAAGTCGTCGAAGTGGCTCCTGCCAAGACTTTGCCAAAGGACGTCCGCGACTCTATCTTGACGGATGCTGTGAAACTGGCCAAAGAAGCAGGCTACAAAAACGCTGGTACTGCCGAATTTTTGGTTGATAACCAGAACAGACACTACTTCATTGAAATCAACCCTAGAATTCAAGTCGAACACACTATCACAGAAGAAATTACAGGTATTGACATCGTTGCTGCTCAAATTCAAATTGCCGCAGGTGCCTCTTTGCAGCAACTAGGCCTTCTCCAAGACAAAATCACCACGCGTGGGTTTGCCATTCAGTGCCGTATAACTACTGAGGATCCAGCCAAAAATTTCCAACCAGACACTGGCCGTATCGAAGTTTACCGTTCTGCCGGTGGTAACGGTGTCAGACTTGACGGTGGTAATGCTTACGCGGGCTCCATCATCTCCCCTCACTACGATTCGATGTTGGTGAAATGTTCTTGTTCGGGCTCGACCTATGAAATTGTTCGCAGAAAGATGCTTCGTGCATTGATCGAATTCAGAATCAGAGGTGTTAAGACAAACATCCCATTTTTGTTGACGTTGTTGACCAACCCGGTATTCATCGACGGCTCCTATTGGACCACGTTTATTGATGACACGCCTGAACTGTTCAAAATGGTCTCATCTCAAAACCGTGCTCAGAAACTGCTTCACTATTTGGCAGATTTAGTTGTGAACGGCTCCTCTATCAAGGGCCAAATGGGCTTGCCCAAGTTGCACACTCCCCCAACAGTCCCGGCGCTTCATGACGCACAGGGCCAGGTTATTGACGTTCTTGCTCCACCACCGGCTGGCTGGAGACAAGTCCTTCTTGAACAAGGTCCAGAGGCTTTTGCCAAAGCTGTTCGTCAATACAAGGGTACTTTGCTCATGGACACTACATGGAGAGATGCTCACCAATCTTTGTTAGCTACCAGAGTCCGTACCTACGACTTGGCTGCAATCGCACCAACTACCGCTCACGCCCTATCAGGTGCTTTTGCCCTAGAATGTTGGGGTGGTGCTACCTTTGACGTTGCTATGAGGTTTTTACATGAAGATCCATGGGAGCGTTTGAGACTTTTGAGAAAACTTGTTCCAAACATTCCTTTCCAAATGTTGTTGCGTGGTGCCAACGGAGTTGCCTACTCTTCTTTACCAGACAATGCCATTGACCATTTTGTTAAGCAAGCTCAGGAAAATGGTGTCGATATTTTCAGAGTGTTCGATGCCTTGAATGACCTTGAGCAATTGAAGGTTGGTGTAGATGCTGTTAAGAAGGCCGGCGGTGTCGTTGAAGCTACTATTTGTTACTCCGGTGACATGCTGCAACCGGGTAAGAAGTACAATTTGGATTACTATTTGGAAATTACCGACAGGGTTGTTGCCATGGGTACACATATTTTGGGTATCAAGGATATGGCTGGTTTATTGAAACCATCTGCAGCCAAACTATTGATCGGATCCATTAGAGCCAAATACCCTGACTTGCCAATTCACGTGCATACTCACGACTCCGCTGGTACTGCTGTTGCATCGATGGCTGCTGCATCTATTGCTGGTGCTGATGTTGTTGATGTCGCAACCAACTCTATGTCTGGTATGACCTCTCAGCCTTCCTTAAATGCCTTGCTTGCATCCTTGGACGGTGAAATTGACACTAATGTTGACGTGTCTTTAGTCCGTGAGCTAGATGCCTACTGGGCCCAAATGAGATTGTTGTACTCTTGTTTCGAGGCTGATATTAAGGGTCCAGATCCAGAAGTATACCAACATGAAATTCCAGGTGGCCAGTTGACAAATCTACTGTTCCAAGCTCAACAATTGGGTCTTGGAGAGAAGTGGGCAGAAACAAAGAAGGCCTACAGAGAAGCCAACTACTTGTTGGGTGATCTGGTAAAGGTTACTCCTACTTCTAAGGTCGTTGGTGACCTTGCTCAATTCATGGTTTCTAATAAATTGACTTCCGATGATGTTAAGCGCTTGGCCTCGTCTCTAGATTTCCCAGACTCAGTCATGGACTTTTTCGAAGGTCTAATCGGCCAGCCATATGGTGGATTCCCAGAGCCATTGAGATCTGACGTGTTAAGAAACAAAAGAAGAAAGCTCACAACTCGTCCTGGTTTGGAACTAGCTCCTTTCGATTTGACACAGATCAAAGAGGAATTGCAAGACAGATTTGGCGACATTGACGAGTGCGACGTGGCCTCTTACAATATGTATCCAAAGGTTTACGAAGACTTCCGTAAGATTAGGGAACTTTACGGTGACTTGTCTGTGCTGCCAACAAAGAACTTTTTGTCACCTCCTACTGTTGGTGAAGAGATTGTTGTTACAATTGAGCAAGGTAAAACTTTGATCATCAAACCTCAGGCTATTGGGGAACTAAACAAGGAAACTGGTCACAGAGAAGTTTATTTTGACTTGAACGGTGAATTGAGAAAGGTTTCAGTTCTAGATAAGTCGCAAAAGATCGACACAGTCTCTAAGGTTAAGGCCGATGCTCACGATCCATACCAGGTTGGTGCACCAATGGCTGGAGTTGTTATTGAGGTCAAGGTTCACAAGGGATCTCTGGTCAAGAAGGGCCAACCTGTCGCTGTTTTAAGCGCAATGAAGATGGAAATGGTCATTTCGTCACCAAGTGACGGCCAAGTCAAGGATGTTCTTGTCAAGGATGGTGAAAACGTGGATGCCTCGGACTTACTAGTGTTGTTGGAGGAATCTGTCCCACCAAAGGAGTGATCCTTCAAGAGATTTTTACGAAATATTTAATCGTGTATAATAGAAACGCCCCAAGTCATCAAGCTATTTAAACTGTCCAACTCTCCATAAATATTGCACGACCCAGCAACCCTCGATCAACGGGTCACTCTGCTGCTTGCCCGCCCGGTCCTTCCGACAGGTTTTGATATTCTTGATGTGCTTCTAGGGATTCCACTTGGCTTTTTCATCAAACTTCTAGAAGGCGGTATTCGGCTTGTACCATTGGTCGCTTTTCTGCCTCGCTGAAGATAAGACCTCTCGTTGTTTCGGAGTTGCTGTCGCTCCTCTGATTCCTTTAATCGAAGAGCTTGCTCTTTCGCTTCGAGCAAATCTTTCAATTCTAAAACTTGAGATTGTTTTTGCTCAAGATACATTTGGGGTGTTAGGTTATCGTTATTCTGAGTCGTTGTGATGCATTCCACGTAAGAAGGATCATTCATAAGGTCATACGCATAGCCAGCTTGCGATTGGATACGAATCCAGGTATCCAGGATTCTATTTGACGACTCACAGGTTTCCCTTATTCTCTTAAGATGTTGGGGGCCAGCAGTATTAAGCGAAGCTTCTAACTTTTGGATTACGGGTATAATTTCATCCAGACCTTTGCTTTCCTCTAGAAGCGACTGGGTTGTCATACTAGAGGGTGCCTTTGCTGAAACAAACGGCTTGAATCCCGAGTTTGACGGAGCAAGACTGAGGTTTGATCGCATTTGATCAAATATCTCCGGAATGAGCTTGTTCATCGTTGAGTTATCAACATCGCCGATGTCCATGGTGGCAGGATTGACAACTCAAGCAAAGCGAAAACGGTCTAGACGTGTACGACGCACTAGTTGAATCGTTGATAACTGTTGTAACCTGCTCGCGCCTTGTTCGCGAAATATTTACCTCTTAATCGTCAAACATGACCCAAGTGGTCAAGGACATTGAGTTCCCTAGCGCATAGTCCATCCCGACATTTAAGTGAGCACCATGCCACCGTTCCCATCTTTCGACCTTCTGCCAGAAGATGGTTTACAGAACTTCCTGGGTTTGTACTTTTAAGCTTGTTCCAAGTCACACAAATATCAATGACATTAAGATCAGCTTGCTGACAACCTCATTTTTTGGATGGAGTTTAGTTCTTCAATGATTGTCACTTTTATGCAAAATGCTGATGATTCATCCACTACCGCTAACCAAATGCCACTCCATTACAGTAATTTATGATCAGTTCGTTGTTGACTTTGAAATGCTCCCATAAATCGCCCACCGACTGTTGAGGGGCTGGCGAAAATGAGTTATTCACGTAGCAGTAGACAGTCCTTAGTCGAAGCTTTCGTTTCAAAAAAGTTATCAGAACGGAAAAAGGTTGAGAAGATGAAATCTGGGCAACTTGAGGGGAGACCTGCGGTACAGAACCAATGGCCAAAAACTTGATATGTAGTTTGGTGGGCTTCTTGAGCTCTTTTTCCTTGACTTTTTCTATAGCTGCATTACCTGCAGGAGTCAGATGAGTTAGGATTGCGGAGGTGGTCATAGGTGCCTTGTGAGATGGAACATTCCCCGTCTTTATATCGCCATTGCTCGCCTCAATGCTCGCCGAGCTGCCGAGAGCCTCCAGCTCTGATTGATGTTCGCTACCACCATCTAGGTCTAAAAAATCTAGTTTTTTAGCATATTGTTCAAGCTCGTCTTGCATTGTATTGCGACTTCCCGTTGGCGGACTATCGATGTTGGTGGACATGGAGCCGGCATCGCTCTCACTCTCCAGCAATTGACTCATATCTGATTCCTTAAGCGCAATACCCTGGTTGAGTGCCTTTCGATATTTCACAGCATCGATGACTAGATAGTGAACAGGTGAATCATATATAAATTATAGCTATTTCACCTTAATTTTATACATGTCCAACTTAAGGCCACTCAAGCAGAAAATAATAAAACTAATCCATATAGGTGTTCAATACCGCTTCCACCATGGTAGATCCTGATCATAGCTTGAGTAAAAAGCTAGAACAAGCTTTCATCGATTATGAGGATGATAAAGATGCGCTTTCTCTAGTGACCGTGATAGACTTGTATGGAAGCGAAATTAACAAAGAGGGGACAATAAAAGAGAAGGCGAGGTTCTTGGAGACCATATTGACCAATTTGAAAAGCTCCTCAAGTGTCATTGAGAGTATCGGATGGGATCTTCCCAAGATGCTCATCAATTTTTTGGTGATGAAAAACGTGGATTTGGACCAGCCCCTCTCGCACAACGTTCTTGTGTCAACGACGCTGAAGTGCTTCAACGAAATCGCACTGCGTGGAAATGCTAAGGAATGCTTTCTAACGGGATGCGAACTGCTTGGTGGTTTACAACTAGAGACTTTTGAAAAAGGGCATTCCGGTTCTTCTGATGACGAAACGGAAGAGGAGGAGGCTGCTGAAAGCGAAACTGACGGCACAGTATCCAGTGAAACATTTCAAGAACATGTGAGCGTGGAAGAGAAGCCCTCAACTGAGGAATCACAACTTCCAAATTTGCTGAGGGAGCCGGAGGAATTCGCCCTGGAACTTCAGCTACATGCCTTGATGGAGCTTGTAAACACGACTTTAAAACGAATCCATACATGTTATCCTTCTCGATTTTTGGCAACGGCCGTAGGGGCAATTCTCAGCTTTGTGAAATTCAATGGTCCAAAGATTGACGATGTTCCCTTTATTCTTCGGAGGGTTTACAACTTTTGCAGAACATATATACCCCCTCAATCACAAGAAGAGGTTACCGAAAAGTTATCATCAGAGGAACACCTCAAGCTGATGGAGGACGAAGAGGCTCTGGAGCGTAGACTCCTCCAATGCCTTTTGACACACGCCTTGGGTCAGGCGGTGCGGGAGCGAACAATAATGTCGTCGCCACAATATTTTTTCGACCTAAAGAAGGCGGACAGCTCAAGGTTAGATTATGATCAGCGTCGCGATTTGCGTGAGGCGGTGTCAAGATTCCATCAACTTGCATATTCATTCGACATTGACGTCGAGAAAGAATTTCGCGCGCTGTGTATCGAAGAATCTAAGAGCATCTACAACTCTCTACCCAATGACTCGGAGTTTGTAAATGAAGCGGCCAAAAATGGAATAACCCAATTAATTTATCAACTCTCTTACACCTATGGCGTTCAAAAGAGGCTCAATGAGAAAAATTTGGCGTTAGATCCTCATGGTATCCTAGCTATAGCTACTTTTCATTATGAAGAGACTGGTCAAGTTCTTTGCACAGATGTTAGGGTCGATGAAGCGATTTACATGTATTTGAGATTTTTCACCCCTGAGGTAATGTCACAGACCGAGAGACATCGCTACGCGGTTGATTGTTGCCAGTTTTGGCTCTGGAGAGCCGTTACCAGCGCAAGCTGTCAAAAAAACCAGGAAATTTTAAGATTAATGCCAGGTTATCTTCTATCTACATTCTTACAGATTTTGTTGCTCAAGGCCTTCCATGAGACTCTAGATGTAGTGCGGATGGTCGCCTTCACCTTTATCACCAGAATGATGTGCTTAATACCAGAGGGTGTTTCTTTTGAATTTGTTAAAGATACCCTGCTCAACTGCCCATTTAGTGACCTAAAATGCTGCGTATTAGGAATTCTCAAAGACCTAATGTTAAACACTCGATACTCAGTCACAGATGTAACGGAGAAGCTATCGACTTTTAAGGTATCTAGCGATACACAAGAGGAGCCGGCTCAAGGTAAGCCTGCCCTACCTCCTCGATCTTATATTATCATCAGCGAAGACAGAATGGCTTCGGTTCACAGCTTAGCTATGATGAGCTTCGAAGAAACAATTACATCGCCTGTCAAAGCTAATCTCAGGTTGACCTTGAGGTACTTGAACTTCTTCATTAGTTTGAGACTCAAGTGGGACTATGTGCTCTTATGTGAGATCGAGAAGAAAGTAAGTGAAGTGGTAGAAAAGCTTGGTGATGATTCTCAACCGGAGCTGGGATTTATTGAGATAGCTAACAATAGCCTCCTGTCATACCTCAGAGAAAAAAAAGCAGGATAAAGGTTCTACCATTTAGGAGATACTCTCTCTAGCTTAAATTATTTAGAGTATTTTATTCCACCTCTTTTCATTGTTCCATTGACCCTTTCAAAACTTGCGTATTGGCCCTTCTCTATTAAAGGCCCAAAATACACGAAAAATCCATCTTTGGTCGATACTCGCTGTTCCTCCCATAAAAGTTCAGAATCGTCAATAAACAGATCTTCCGTGTCATATTTTCCTATCAAGCTTCTTCCTTTCATGGGGTGAGACTTCTTCTTTGGGGAGCTCGTTGGGGCTGTTAAGTTAGAAGGTTTGTCATCGTCCTCGACGTCTTCATCTTCATCATCATCTACACCATCGTCATCTTCAACCTCTGCCGCATCATCGTCTTCGTCCTCACGACCTTGGAGTTCCGATATCAAATTGCGTTTTGTTTTCCCTGATTGACCGAATTTGTCTTGCACCATTTTGTAGAAATTGAAAACCACTTGACCATTTTCATCCATGTAATTATTTGATTCTACAGGATATAATGGCACATCTATGAGAATCATAGGATCTTCATTATCATCAGGACCTTTCCCTTTATCCAGGGCCTCTAGTATTGAAGGAGACTTAAGAACTGGTGCGGGAAGCAATTTCTTGGGAGAGATTGGCGCATTTTTTGGGTCTGCTGCTTTTTTGGATGGCTGAGGCGTTGGTTCCTTTTTCTTAGATGTTGCATTGACCTTTTTAGTCTTCACCTCTTTTTTATTGTCGTCCTTGCCTCCCAGCTTAGCATCTTTGGGCTTACTATCCTTCTTATCGTCTGCAGCGGTGACCTCTTTCTTTGAATCACTTGAACTAGCAGGTTCTGTCATAGTTGTCTTAATGCCAGTCTTAGACTCTGGCTTGGATGTGTTTGACTTTGTTTTATCCTCGACGGGATGGGAATCCTTTTTACTGGCAGCTTTTGAAGTTTTCTTGCCATTCCCATCCTTTGGGCTTTTTTTCACCGGTTGATCATTAATTTGAGCTGCATTTGAGCCCTTCACTTCTTTCTTTGAATCAGTGCTCTTCACGGGGTTTTTAATCGCACTTGCGTCGGATCCTGCCTTAGGGGCAACTGGTTTCGAGGCTTTCTTAACAGGTTTCTTGGATTTGCTTTCTGGGGCTGAGATCTCCATATTAACTTTTGATGAGCCGCTATCCTGGTTCTTTTCCTGAGACAACTCACTTGCTTTTTTCTCGACCGGTAGATTTTTGGGAGCTGACACTTTCTGCATATCCTCAATTATAACATTTGCCGGCTGCACGTCAATAGTCTTAGTTTGCCTTGGATTTGCTCTACGTTTACGAGCGGCTTTTTGAGGACCTTCGTTTTCTTGCGATATCTCAATCTCTTCGTTAGTGCTCGGGCTTGTCTCCAGAGACACTTTGTCCGAGTTTTGTGCTTTGGATGAAGCAGCTGTAAGAGCAGTTGAAGACTCACCTTTCACAGTCCTCTGTCGTTTTGTAACACCTTTAGAGCTCGTTTTGGCGGTTGATTTGGGTTTTTTCTCCAAGGTAGCCACTGGTTTGGTGCTTCTCTCTTCAATTTCATTGGATAGTGGCAAGGATGAAGCCCTTCCTGCCTTTTGTGGGCTTTGAGAAGGTATCAAAGGGTTGAGAGTACTATGGCTTCGCTCAATGGAGCCCATGGGGGTGTTGGGGGATAAATATACGGGTGAGTTTGTTCTAGCCACCAGAAAACCCGCACTACCAGCATCATTTCCATTCGTAGCAGATTTCTGTCTCTGTGTCGGTAGTATTATCTTTGGAGCTGTAGCTATGCCTCCGCTAGTGCCGTTTGAATCTGGAGAAAGCAGAGATGAAACTCTCACACGAGACGTAGTGGCCAGGTGGCTCTTTTTGATATCCTGCTCAGTTTTCCCTTGTTTTACCGCAGTATCATCTTGATTCACTTTGTCGTTTCCTGATGCCAATGGCGCCGACAGGATATTTACAGGCGCTGTTCGCGGACTTGGCGAAACAGCTTTCGCTGCCGTTCGATTTTTGGCCAACTCCAGGGCAATATTCGGTACCTTCCGCTCTTCTAGCTTGGTCAACTTTCTGGTTTTTGCATGGTCTAATGGCTCACCCTCAGATGGTTCCTCACTACCTCTCTTTGTCGAACTTGGGGTCTCAATGTTGGCCTTAGGGCTAGAGTGCGCTTCCCCAATATCGGCCACTAACACAACAGAAAGTCAGTATATCGTCTCCGGTGGATCTTTATTAAAGCTGATAGTTGTCACTTACTTTCCTCACTCATTTGATTGTCTATATGTGAATTGTAGGTGTCTCGTAGAAGCTATATTTCTGTCGCATTCTCAATGTATATATTATTTGAATTTAAATTGATCCAGCTCTAACCTTCAAGTGCAATGTTCCCTTTGAATGATATCAAAGGGTGTACTCTGTAAAAATGGGAAAGCTCCTCTATACGAGTCCGGTGAGGTCTGCTCAGCGTAAGTGCGCTGGAAAATCTATTCGTTTTGAGTCTACATCCCATCACAGTCATATTTCTCAAATTCCAGACTTTAGCAAATATTCGCCAACCAAATCAATAAGTGAGCTAGCTCCGTATGTGTCATCAACTCTATGTGCTTACCCTCTACAATCAAAGTACGTAAATCAACAGCATTACTATCAGAACAAAAACATACTGGAAAAGCACTACCTGACCAGAAAGCCACATCCTGTGTCGCTGTCGCAGCTGGCCCAATATTTCGATGATTCAACCACCCTGACGAAGCAAAAAATCATAAACAGCGGGCGGTTCGTGCAGCAAGAGCTGGTCACTAGAATTGCACACAAAATCCACTTACTGCAAACGCTACCCTTCAATGTTGTAAACAATTTTCACTTCAGCCAAGTATATGAGTCATACTACAATATCTTTGAGCGGTTCAGACGATACCCAACGATCAAGACGATTGAGGACAATGAAAAGTTTGCGAGGTTTCTTCAAGGCATCCTGTCTGACTTCAATTCGCTTAATTTACCACACCTGATTATGGGTGCTCTAGAGTGTCGGATTCTCGATTTGCACCCCCCGGAAAAAGTTGATGAAGTGGTGTCAAGCTTGCTGCGGGCTCGTATATCCCGGCGCCTAATTGTAGAAGAGCACCTGAGTATAACTTCGAATTTCAACAGCGGGAAGAAAAAGAACACTTTGGTTTTGGGGGATATTTTCCAGGAATGCAGCGCATACGAATTTCTGTTAGGAGCCAAAGCTATGTGCGAGAAATTCATTCAGGACATGTACTTCCACGGTATAGCACTTCCGGAGTTCGTTGTTGACGGTAACCTGGGTCTCAAGTTTTATTTTCTACCGTTGCACCTGAAGTATTTGTTGGGAGAGCTCCTACGCAACAGCTACGAAGCTACCATGAAAGAGTACATCCGGCTGGGCCTTGAGAAACCTGAGCCAATAACTGTAACCATTGTGTCTAACGAACAATCATTCCTTTTCAGGATATCGGATCGCGCTGGCGGGATCCCCCACGATGAAAAAACTCTCTGGTCGTTCGGTAAATCAAAGGAAATGGCGCGCAAGTCTCTTAGCAATTTTCATAAGCTTCCGGGCTTACAAACCATATCATTGTACGACTACATGTATGATAAGAAGGCCGGTGGGCCAACGTCTCACCCGTACAAATTTACTTCCCTTGAGCCCATTAGTGCCTCTAATTTGCCAAAGGGTCATAAATTTGAGAAACCATTGCTTGGTCTTTTGGAGAGATCTTCACGCTACAAGCTGGGAATTGGCCTAGATATGTGCAGAGTCTACGCCGAGTACTGGAATGGTGATTTGACCGTTCACTCCATCAAAGGGCACGGTACAGATACTGTCTTAAAATTGGGTAACCTAATGTACCACACAGACAAGTTGCAATTAGACAAAGTATGAATGGTCAATCAAGCACAAATAGCTGTATTCAATACACTATGGCGCTACTTGACATAATGCCCTACATAACGAATCTAATCAGTCAAACGATTTCGCTGACATGTTAGTCACTTGAATATATCACTATATACGCCTGATGACTTAGCGTGATGGCAGTTTTCCTGTAGAGGCTCGATAGGTAGTTATCAAGTACCGTCATTGAATTGCCATCATTGATTGCAAAGCCAAGCCCGCGATAGTCAAGAAACGCCTGAGAGAATGTCAACGCCGGCTAGAAGAAGGCTAATGAGAGATTTTAAAGTAAGTAGTAATGTCCAATGGACACGAATGTCCAATCCTACACCCCACATTTGACGGTCTAGATTTGCTAACTATTTTGGTGTTAACAGCGAATGAAGGAAGATGCTCCTCCTGGAGTATCAGCTTCTCCATTACCTGATAATGTTATGGTGTGGAACGCCATGATTATAGGCCCTGCGGATACACCGTACGAAGACGGTACTTTCAGGCTGTTGCTAGAGTTTGACGAAGAATACCCAAACAAACCTCCACATGTCAAGTTTTTGAGCGAAATGTTTCACCCTAATGTGTACGGAAACGGAGAGATATGCCTAGATATTTTACAGAACCGATGGACCCCTACCTACGACGTTGCCTCGGTATTGACATCTATTCAAAGTTTATTCAACGATCCGAACCCAGCTTCCCCTGCTAATGTGGAAGCCGCGACGCTTTTCAAAAACCAAAAGCCTTTGTACATTAAAAGAGTCAAGGAGACCGTCGAGAAGTCTTGGGAAGATGATCTGGACGATATGGAGGACGATGAAGAAGACGAGGATGATGACGAATGAGAGTAACTGTTCTTCAGACATGCTGTCATGGTAATTCGCATACTGCATATACAAAAACTTCGTTGCATTTGGTGAAAAGGATGAAGAAAATGGCTAAAGCATGTTTTCATCGCTTCCACCACTGGAACCATTTTCTACTGGGGGAGCCATCCAAGCCTTTTGGCTGGTCGCTTGCAAGACTTTCCACCGAGAAATCGTTATCGGAGAGCTCTGTGACACCTTCCTCAGCAAAGCAAGCCACATTTGATTTACTCTCTTTGTCCTGGTAAAGTTGAAAGTCCTCGAAAGTTGCCAGGAGAGCTACCACAATGCCTATAAAAGCTACCATGCGTGTGCCTGGATCCAAACCCGTCCTCATACTATCAAAACGAGATTTTCTTTGCGGAATGCATGTCCAAACGTTCTGAAGCTGTTCTTTTTTTAGCTGGTGCACTTTTTGTTCAGACTTTAGCACTTTCGCTGGGTGTCGCCAAATAAAATCTTCTGGCTTGGAACCTAAGAAAGATATATTCTCTCGAGGACCGTAGGATCCATATCCAGTATAAAACAATAACTGTTTTTGAACCCAAGGTATTTCTTTCCAGTGTATATTTGGCGGAATGCAATTTAACGAAACCTCTATTAATTCTCGATCTTGTTGGGTAAGCCTAGAGTAAACTTGTACTAGACTAGCCGGAGGTATATCTAAGTCATTTAAAGAAGGCTCAGCTGCATTTAGATTGCCGCTTCTACGAGCCGAGAATTTTTGTAAGTACAGATTTCGTAGCTCGCCGCTGTCGATTCTTTGCATTACCTTTTCTCTTTTGGCAAAAGACTCGACTTCATCATCCTCTTGACTATTCCCCGAGGGGTGAAATACTGAGAAAATGTCTTTCAAAGATGTGACTATAAGTTGCGACGATTGTGCCTGCTCGGCTTCTCCTAGTCTCTTCGCCTGACGCTGTAGCAGGGATTTGGGAGGTGTCCTGAGATTTGTCGAAAGGCACCTGGTATCAACTATTCGCAGAACATGAACATTTTGCCCTCGGTGAACATTGAGCATCTCAAAGTGCCAAGAAGTCGTATTTACAGATGCCTGGGTACTTCAACTTGTCCGTCATTAATATTTAGTTCTGTTTGTTTTATTTAGCACCATAAACGGCGTCCCTCGGGTTACTGAAGCCATCTCTCATCGACGGCCGTACCGTGAAAAGCTTCTTCACAATGGTTGCTGCATCAAATATGTGTTATCAAAACAAGCTTTGTTGAATGGTTGTGAAAACTGCGATGATTTCTTCCACCTACGCTTCAAAACTACCAACTACGGTGAATTTATTCTAACCATTTTAACTTGACCACGCCTCTTAGGGTTTGCATTGGACGTACGTTTCAAAAGCGTTCGGTTATACACCCACACTACCCCTCTGCCGTCTTGCAGCAAGAGGATCAACTTTGGTATGCTCTGTTTGCCTTCTAGCAAAAAGACCTAGGATATCTGTCAGAGATAACACTCCGATTAGTTTACCGGTGCGATACTCCTTTTCAAAGAGAGGGGTCGACGTCGGCGCACTAGTTTCTTCAAAGCTTTTGACGCTGATTGGGGACCCTGACCTATTTGGAGTATCATGGTCACTGTTAGCGCTGTGAGCCGCATTCATGGCGGCAGACTGAGGAGAGTTGGACACTACTGACGAGGATGAAGGGGTCGAGGAACTTGACTTTTCTGGTTGGACAATCCACAATCTGTGGGCTTTCGTGGCAACCAGTTTCGCCATCGTCCTTGCTAGCGAACTGGTCGGATAAACATGAAATATGGGAAACGAATCTTTTCCCATTTCTAAACCTCTGGAATTCAAAATAACAGATATGAAATGGCGGCAAGTGTTGTGCAGGAGTGGGTACTGAGATGTTCGAGTGACATGTTTGACATCGGTGACACTTATGTTTCCCAGTAAGTTCCCATGATGGTCGACGACAGCTATAGATGAGATGCGTTCCGTATGCATTTTGTAAAGAGCCATTATTAGCTGTTCTTCACCTTGTATGGAAATAACCCGCGATTGCCGACTTGTGGGTGCGGTATGAGTATCAAGGACACCAATACCCAGGTCCTTCAAGCTAGAGTTCAACAGAGGCTGGAGCCCGCTAAATTGCCGCGCGTTATCCCACAGATACTTGATGAGCCGTCTCTGCGATAAAATACCCCTAATCTGTGTTGATGCGTTGTCCGTGATGGCAACACGATGCACACCAGACCCAAGTATTCCCATAGCCGTCGTTAAATTATCAAGTTCACGTAATTTGTGGAATTGGTTCTTCGGGGTCAATTTCACTATTTCACCAACTGGAACTGGTTTTCCCATCTGGCAGTCGCGAGCCACTTGTGGGTCATTGACTTGAATCTTGTTGAGAACCAGCAGCAAATACGAGTTCAGGTCATTGTAGTCAAAAGTGTAGCAGTTCATATCACCAGGAAATTGTTCTACAGGTAGAGATGTGAGGTTGTGACGGATTAAGGTATTGAAGGCTTCCTCCACGGACAATGTTCCGTCAACTGTCACCAGCTTATTCTGTTCAATCAATTGTGACAGAGGGGTATGCTGCCATTTCTGAGAGTGCACTTTTGTCAAACAGGAAGTTGTAGAGCTCATTTGTGATTCCAAAGACGAAGCACTGGCATTGCGTGATAAAGAAATGGACTCCAAGTCTGTTGTTACCGATGGTTGTTGTGGAATCGCAGGTGGAGTGGACAACAGCTCTACGATGGAAGCGTGTCGGGAAGTAGTAGAGGCGTTCTGAGCTTGATTAGCAGTTTCCTTCATCGGCTGAAACACTACGGTCAAGAATGTCTTCGTGGTTCTTCACTTACTTGATGAATAGTGGATAATTTTCATGTACTCCCTTGTTCGCAGCTGCCATGATTATATATATGTATCATCTACCACGGATATCAACGTTTCATTTAGGACATTCGCTCTTGAAGGTGAAGACCCTGGCCATTTAAGGACTTCATTCTCCTTTGGAGCTACCTTCACCTTCAAGTTAAGTTTATATAAATCTCCAACCAATACTTTTGATTTGATGATTAGAACCCGCTATGAAAAGATCGACTTAGAGAATTAGCGTTGACAACTTTTAACAATACCGGTACCGAATGCGGTCGCTCAACAAGTTTCATCCCCTTTCACAGTTCACTTGTGAAAGTTTTGTTACTGACGCATGTCAATGTAACATCACACACAGTCTATGTCTTTGTTTTCTGCGCTATTATGGGCTTTGCCCAACAAGAATATTGAGTAGCCGTGGCTGGTTTGGGATGTATGGCATTTGAAGGTAGCCGACCAGTTTATTGCAGTCCTCGAACAAAGTATCTCAGCGTGCCTTTCTATATTAAATGAGTTGTAGCAGCGAGTGCTGGTGACAGCAGTGGAATCATGATGCTGTCACGATTAGTGACACAACCGTGCCAAATGCTTGGAAGAAATGCGTTATCAGCGGGGCGTATTATGGCGGCAATAGCTATGATGGCTTGTTGGGTGCCCGCATCTCATCTGTGCTCATTATACTAGTGGTGTCTACAGGATTCACACCTTTTCTAGTTATCTCCCTCAAAGTCCCAAGACTTCGAATACCACATGATGTCTGCTATTTGGCATGTTACTTTGGTACAGGCGTTATCGTAGCTACCGCATTTGTTCACCTACTGGTTCCTGCATATGAAGAGATTGGCAAAAACAGCCGTGTGGGACAATCTGGGAACTAGACGATTTATCCTTGGTGTCCAGCCATCGTGTTGTGTATAGTCTTTGTAACGTTCATCGTGGATTTAATTGACGACATTGCGGTGCAACCTAAACGGTATATACCAAAATGGTTGCAGTGGTGGTTCTAAGCTGTCCTTGCTGCGAGGTCGAGCGATGGAGTGAACGACCGGTTAGGAATTGGGGACACGAGTGATAGTGAAGAACAAAAGGTACAGGAAGTGATGTCTAACATGAGTACAGAAATAATGACTCACTCGTTTCAAAGTCAGATAGGCGTTTTGCTTTATCTAAAATTCGGGATCATATTCCATTCGGTGATGAATGGGTTAAACCTAGGACCTACTGGTGAGAGATTCTCAAGGCCATATGCTGTATTGGTGTTCTGTCAACCATTTTGAGGGATTAGGTATCGGGGCTAAAATGGCGGCCGTATGCACTGTGTTGGTTATATGGGTTGACCACTCCAGTTAGTCTTGCAGTTGGATTGGGCGTTAGAACGAAATACGATGGTAACTCGTTCCCGCTGATTGTCCCTCCCGGCGTCCTGGGTGCGATCTCAGTTGAGTATGCAGGTTTGGATGCGTTTCGCACGTGATTTACTTGTTAACAAGTATGGAACCGCTAACATGGCCAAATTGTGGTTCATGGTAGCATACACATTGCTTAGAGGTATCATGTCTCTTTTTGGGGAAATGGCCTAAGATATCACACTGGTGAGTGTGTCAAGTCCTTCTCAGACGGCACGGGGACCAAACTTTATGCAGAAGACTGCGCCAACGTTGTGAGCCCACGAGATCTCCGCCATGTGTTCGAGATAGTGTACTGCTTCTGTGTTGCTCTCTCAGTAGCCACACGAGCGGGGCAACGTTCAGCTAGAAGGTAATTGATGGTAGTTGGGAGAAGGCAGTCCAATTTGAAATCTCTCGAGAAAAGTAAGGACTGTCGAACAGTAGATAGAGCTCGCTAGATTCTTTGTGCAACTTAGTCATTCTCGATGAATGTAGATCAAACCAGCTCAGCTTAATTCTCTGCGATTAGTTAGGCTCAAATGTTAGTTTGCAAGCAAGTGTGACCTATTTTTAGTTCACGCTGAAGAGTAAATTGTGTTACTCTGTACCACAGCTGTTTGACCAAACCTCCTTGGAACCAACGCCTCTGAGAGTCCTTTGGGAAGCCTCTGGGAAAGTGTGCGCTCCCGAACCATCGTTATGTTCCTGTTGACACTTTCCGCGATAGTCCTCGCCCTGCGTCAAGAGTGACCTTCGGAGTTCTGTATAAAAACCAATCTTCCCTGCCAATATCTGGCGTCTTCCAATCACCATCAGCGGCTAAATGACACGATGGTACGCTTTTCTTCAGAACGCTCACACCAGCAGTTCTGACAGCTGGCCAGTCCATGCACAGGCTTTAATCACCACTGGAAGTCTTCGAACTGCTTTGGTGGCCACACAGTTGATGCTCATGGTCAAGCCATGGGCCAAAGCCCCAGTAGACTACCCGGCGAAGGAGGAGTGTAAGTCTCGGATCACATAGGTCACTTGTGTTTTTTGCCAGCAGAGAAGTCGTGGGGCGACATCCTTAGCTAGCTGACCGCTTCCCTGTGTCGGCAGGAAAAGCCAACAGACGCCAAATACTTGCAAGATTTGGACGCATGGCAGTAACCCACCACTCCGGGGATCCTCCGATGGCTACGTGTTGGATGGAAATAGCCGTACAGCGTCAAGCCGAGGACTTGTGGGACTTGTGGGACTTGTGGGGCTTGTGGGACTTTTATGAAGGACTTTGCCCGTCCCTTCCTTTCGTCGGCGGGACATTAGGTAAGCTAGCAAAGACCACCCTCGGCTCCCAATGGCTAAGTGTCGGCTGGGACCAGTGTTCCTGGCGTTGTGTCAACGATTCTTCCGGCTGAACCCCGCTGTCGGTCACGTGCTGCCGTAATGTACTCGTACTCGTCACGCTTTCGTCATATATGACCAGGGTGTTTTTCGGGTTTGTGGTTTCCACAAATCCAACAAAAAAAGGAAAGCAATGGAAAAAAAAAAAGAAGGGTACAAAGGCTGGAAGTGCCACAAAATCGTTGGGTAATTAAGAGCATTGCACACGGAGGGACGATTTAAACGCATTGGCATGTGTTTGTATGCGTTTGTCTCTGCGCTCAGCTCTGTGGTGTCGCTTACGTCAGTGATGTGGTAAGCACGATCACACATTGGCGCTTGGGATCACGCCCAACGATGGAACACTCCGCCCTCATCAAATACATCTCGAAAATTCAACACTAAAAGCTATCGGTTATATGGTTAACTATCGCAAGAGAAACGACTACGTTTGCCTCTAACTTTTCTCATAAAGGTGACCAGGTTTTTTTTGAGTATTGTTGGAATCCGATCATACCACACAGTGACTCCACGCAGTTTCAGCAAGCATACAAGTGAAGCCCCCTTCTAAACGAGAGGGCACATATAAAAGCAAGAGTGGAGATCTAGCTTTAGGCGGATTATAATCTTCCTTCACATTGCTACCAAGCTTCACAGTCTTGAGTACACTTTCAACACACTTGCACAAAGATGACAGACGCTGTAGCTTCGTCCCCCAGCAAGCTAGAACAAGTGGATTTGGTTAATGCCAACATTTTGGCCGCTGGTGCCAACAAGAAGTCCGTGCGTGTGGTCAATGGCCTCGGGTCGTTGATGGGCTCCAAGGACATGGTGGACATGGACTTCAAGAACGACTCCAACATGGACTACCTGCTGAAGCGCGACCAAGAGGAAAAGGAGCGCTACCGCACCAAAAAGCACATCTCCGAACAGCCTTGGACCGTCAACAACTGGCACCAGCACATCAACTGGCTGAATATGGTGCTTGTGGTTGGTATACCGCTCGTGGGCTGGTACTACGCGCTATCGGGCCGCGTGCCTCTATCATCCAACCTCTTCTGGTTCTCGGTCTTCTACTACGTTCTGGGCGGTGTTTCTATCACGGCTGGCTACCACAGACTGTGGGCCCATCGTGCTTACTCGGCGCGCTGGCCCCTGCGGTTGTTCTTCGCAGTCTTTGGTGCCGCCTCCGTTGAAGGTTCCATCAAATGGTGGGGACACTCTCACAGAGTCCACCACCGTTACACCGACACCTCTCGTGACCCTTACGATGCTCGCCGTGGTTTGTGGTACTCTCACATGGGCTGGATGTTGACCCAGCCAAACCCAAAATACCGTGCCCGCGCCGATATCGACGATTTGACCAATGACTGGATTGTCAGATTCCAACACAGACACTACATTCCAATCATGTTGCTAAGTGCTTTTGTTGTTCCAGCCCTTTTGTCCAAGTTTTTCTTCAACGATTTGGCGGGCGGGTTTGTCTATGCTGGTATCATTAGAGTGTTCTGCATTCAACAAGCCACGTTTTGCATCAACTCTCTAGCGCATTACTTGGGTACCCAACCTTTTGACGACAGGAGAACTCCTCGTGACAACTGGATCACCGCTTTGGTCACTTTCGGAGAGGGTTACCACAACTTCCACCACGAATTCCCAACCGACTACAGAAACGCTATTAAGTGGTATCAATACGATCCTACCAAGGTTTTTATTTATTTGAACTCTTTGATGGGTCTAGCTTTCAACTTGAAGAAGTTCTCTCAGAATGCCATCCAGCAAGGCCTGGTACAGCAACAACAAAAAAAGATAGATCGTCAGCGTTCTTCTCTAAACTGGGGTACTCCGCTCACCCAGCTACCTGTGTGGGACAAGTCTCAGTTTATGGAGACCGTGAAAACCAACCCTGGTCTGGTTATCATCTCTGGTATTGTCCACGACGTTTCCAATTACATTACCGAGCATCCAGGTGGCGAGACCTTGATCCAAGCTGCTTTGGGTAAGGATGCCACCAAGGCATTTAATGGTGGTGTGTATCTTCATTCTAATGCTGCCCATAATGTCTTGGCTACGATGAGGGTTGCAGTGGTGAAAGAGGGTGTTGATGCTGCGACGAAATTTGCGGCTAGGAGAGGTGAGTCCTTAGAGGGTAAGAAATTGGTATGACCCATTTGAAGGCTTGGGGAGAAATCTCTTGGTGCCCTCTTCCTTTCATTTTGATTATAGGGCTGCTCGTTAGTAGGAGCCTACCACATTCACGTTAACCCTTTTTGATTTATCAGCCTATATATGATTTACCCGCAGATACACAATACATACTTTTCAAGTTTACTCTCGTTCGACTTATGTTGTGATTTTTTTTTAGTTCTGTGTCCCTTCCAGATATTCTTGTAACATGATTTCCCGCTCAGGCAAATCTAAGCTTAAATTCGCAAACATATTTGAAAACAGCTGTGTAGTCTTCTCTACGTCTATCTCATGACAATGTGTAACGCCAAACGCATCTGTACAATTACGGATCCACTCCATTCGATATTTGATCAGTTCCAGTCTATTCAGTTTTGAGTCTGACCCGCCTTCCGAGATATGGCGTACGCGAGATCTGAGATCGCCCAACTTGCCTACACTTGCACCTATCGGCACGCTCCCAAACTGCTGTTGTATCTCTTGTTTTAGCAGAGCAGTGAACCTAGGGGAGTTCCCATTTGAGGAGATTAAAATTTGAATTGGCTTCCCGCCATTCTCGTCGCTGCCTAATATTACGTTGCTGCCAAAATAAAAGTCGCACAGTGGTGGATTATCGGCAACGTTGCACAACACATGCTGTCCTAAAACTATCTTCGCACCACGGTATATTTTTTCGCTCAATTTTGGATCGGGGATACATGTTAAAATCAAATGCCATCCGGAGACTGCCAAGTCCAGGTTATCCGCACTTTCCGAGTCCAGCTCATCATTCAAGAACTGTTCCTTTTTCACGTTTGAATAAAGGCCATCGCCAAACAGTATGAGGTCTTTGTTATTGAACTCTCTTTGGATAATTTGATAAATTTTGTTTTTGTTCAAATTCCACTCTAGGTCCACATATGTGTCCGTTTTGGGGTCTTGAGTTGCATCAATGTGGCCCCACATGTCAGGGTGGATATGGGGTGCTATCACAGTCAATTTGCAACCCGTCGGCAAAAGTTTGGGAATTCGTGTCATTGCGACCTCACCAGCTCCTACTAGTAACACATTTTTACCAGCCAATTGATGCGCAAGTTGTAATGAAAGCATAATTTATCTAGCGTCCACTGTTTGTGCTGCGGTGAGCTGCTTTTCCCAACGTTTCCTGACTTCCACTGACTATTTTCACCATATCCAAATTTGATCACTTCTTGTATTAACTGTCGCTGACACAGTTAAGTTGATTGATTCAGTTAGAATGTCGGCGAATGCCAGTTACGACCTACCAAAGCTTGTGTATATAGTCATTATAAGGTTAGTTAGTAACTAGAAAGTCTCTGTATCTTGAGTTTTGGCCCTTGTCGTTTTCGCAGTAAGCCCGAAAGGAATGAAGGTTGGTGAACAAATCAATGTACCAAGAGTCGAGAATAACATAAAAACTTTAGTATAGCGGATAATTACAGAGATTAGCTTTAGAAACGAGGTCAGAAAGATCCGAGTAACAAGAGATTTGATGGATTGAAATAGAAGCGTGTAATTAATGAATTGACCTATTGGGGGACGTTTTTGATTGATTTTTTTTATCTAACTTGCACTTTTGAAAACCGCATAATCTTCTATCACAACAATGAGGGATGGACAGGAGGTACGCTGTTTACCTGATTAGAGGAATCCGGGCGTTGTGGCTGTGTGGAAGAATATGCTTGGGGTGCAGCGGCCAAGGCAGTGGCAGTGGTGTTGTTCCAAACCGGCGACGAGTAATTGACATTGACGTTGGAAAAAGAAGATGGTACGTCCTGCATGGCACTATGTCTGCCTGAGTCACTTGAGGTTCTACCCCAAGATAGTCTTATTGGGTTCCCGCCCACAATGAAGCCCTGCATGCCCTGGATGGCGGCTTCGGCGTCAATTCTGTATGCATACTTTACAAATCCGCAGCCTTTCCCTGGCGGAATTTTAACATTGACGATGGCACCAAAGGGTGCAAACATAGAGTGCAATTGGCGCTCTGAGATTTGAGCCGTCAAGCCTCCAACAAAGACGGTAGTGTTGTTAGGGTTGGTGAATGCGGAACGACTACCACTTTGGGGCATGGGGGCGATTCCGGATGCTCCGATTGTCGCTGATGATGGGATGAACTGATATTGTTGCTGATCGCTGGCGGTAGGGGGAAAATCAATGAGGTTATTATTCACCAAGGAGTTGGCAGTTTTCACGAGTAACGGGGTCTGACGGTAATCGGGTTGGGCCAATGAAGCACCGGTAGCAGCGTCATTAACCATGTAATTGCCTGGTAACGGGCGGTCTTGATAGCGAGGGAAGCTGTTAAACAGTTGATGCGGTAGCTCGTGCTGTTGTGGATGCTGATGGTGATGTGGATTGGGGGGAAAGTGTGGAAGCTGCGCTGGGGGGTGTTCTTGGTCAAACATGGGAGGGGGCGGGGGCCGTTGCTGCGGGGCCTGGTGCTGTTGGCTGGCCGGGTTGGGCTGCCACACGACGTTGTTGCGCGGAGTGGCGTAGGCGACCCTCAAATTGCGGCCTTGACACCAGACGCCATTCATCTCGACAAGCGCGCGGCGCCGCTCTTGCTCGTCGCCAAAGCGCACGAACCCAAAGCACCGAGACGCCCCGGTTATGGGGTCGGTCATGACGCGCACCGTTTTCACGCTTCGAAAGTTCTTCTGGAAGAGCGACAACAAGTGGGCCTCGGTGGCCGTGGGCGAAAGATCGCCCACGAACAGCGAGAACTCGGGGGTCGAGGGAATCGTGCTCTGCAACGTGGCGCCGGAGGCCCAGTTGAGCCTGAAATTTCGCAGTCCCGACGGATTGGTCGGCAACTGTGTGGAATGACTGGTGATGTTTGGCAGCGGCGTGGAATTGAGCGTGAGCGCCCAGTGTGCGTCCTCCAGGCTCTGGAACTCGACAAAACAGTAGCCCGCGTGGTGCAGCTGCGTGGTGTTGGGGTCGATGAACGACACCCCATTGATGTTGATTTTCTGGCCCGCGCCGCGGCTTTCGCCCTGCGTCGGGCCTGTGCCCGCTGCTGCTGGCTCCCCTCCGGCCTCTGCATCCGCCCGCGGCAGCTCATCCGTGGGCCGGCCTCCACCCTCGCCATTGGCCGCCTCGCTGAACGTGCTGCTGGTGCTACATGGAATCAGCAGGTTCTTTTTCGCCCGGATCAGCTTGACATTGACCTGTCTCTGCAGCTGTTCCCACAGCTGCTGGATCGTGGCTTCGTCGAAACTGGGATCCAAGTCTCCCATCCATAACGTCCTGGGAGGTTCCGACGACGTCTGCACTGTTGCCGATGGCGGCAGTGGAATCTGGGGCATGGCAGAGTGCAGAACCGATCTCAAAACCGATCACTCAGAGTTCTCAAAACCGTGAAGCAAAACCGATCACAAAACCGATCACAAAACCGTGAGCCAACTACCTGACAGATGGTGGTTCTTCCACTAAACCTTTTTTTTTCACAAGCTTAGGCCGTGGGGCCTCGCGAGTAAGGTGACAAGAAAAAAATTACAGGCAACTCACAGCCGAGCACCGAGAATTGAACGCCCGACGAGTACACGCGCCCGAGTACCACGGTCACATGCACACGCCGGAACTCCCCGTACGAAGTGAGCCGCTGGTTTTTGAACCAGGTGTTCTATAATTACCACCGTGATCGTCGCCGCGACGGCTGCTGTTGGTGGGTGCCCCTGCAGTGCGCGAGCGCGGCGGGTTCCAGGCGGCTCGCTGTTAGTCATCTCTCTGAGGTGTCGCGGCCCCCGGTGTGCGGGCTTGGCATTCCGGCGTTTGTAGCGGCACCGGCGCGTTTTTTGGGGTGCAGTGGGAAAAATTCCACGGGCCTGGAAGCGGACGATGGGCCGTACAAGAGCACGAACATTCTGCAGCCCGAAGGCACCAACGGCGATCACATATGCAGGGCCGCTTACGTGATGCCAGCGGCTCGATGCATGGAAGAGTGGATGACGTGGGGAGGACCAGCGCACGTGACCGTGCGGGTAGCTTGTGGGTAGACACGTGGTGGGTGGGTGTTTGTTGGGCTCCCGCGGGCGCCGCGAGTAAGCCGTCCTATAGAGAGCCTCTCCCGCTGGTTGGCACCAACAGCAGTTTAGCAGCTGGGCCTGGTCCACTCTGAGCGAACTCACCCAATATGCTCCTCGACAATTGTTTTGCTGTGACCGACGTGATGTTGACAAACACCACCGACGTGATGTTGACAAACACCACCGACGTGATGTTGACAAACACCACCGACGTGATGTTGACAAACACTGACAAACACTGACAAACACTGTCACAACACGCTGGGTCCGAGGAGCCACCCGGACTCTGGGAAGGACGCTAGAATTCGCTACATGCTGCACGGGCCGTGCTTTTCCCACATACTCATAGAATGTCAGTGATTTTGATGCTTACTACACGTGGTCCGTAGGCTTCTGCTCACAGCCCAAAGCAGCCTCACGGGATGGTGTGATGCTTAGGGCTCCTATGTACACTATGCTCATCGTATTTCTGCGGTGTGCTCAGTCAACCGGGGGGCGGCCCTCGTGAGTTTATTCAAGTTGGGGCACACAACTGTACAGAGAGACGCACGTCAAGCCACCCAGAATGTATTCGCGCTGCTTTCATCTTGCAGAAACGTCGCCGCTCTTGGTCAAATTTCACAAAATAGTAGAGTGTCACTGAGACACGTTTGTAGTGGAGCACCTAATGGTAGCTTTTCAAGCCTTGCTGCGCGGCTCGCTCATACCGCACCTAATGCTAGCTTTTCAAACCTTGCTGCGCGGCTCGCTCATACCGCACCCGACTGTCAAAATTGTCTTGGTCTACCTATCCTTCTTTCACTCGTGGCTGTTATCAAATGGTAAAGCGGTCTATGAGCAACTCAGTAGTCTCGGAAGCCTCAAAAAAAAAATACGGTTAAACAAAAATTTATAGATAGAGAACAATCCCTGTGCAATGATTCTTCTCCTCACAAACAGGTCACACTCTGCACGCAAATTAAGCCGATCCTTGGTTCTTCTCAAGGCTCTCCTGCGCCCGGCAGAGTAGATGTCATTTCACACCATTGTGTCACCGACCTTTCCAACCTCGAAACTCTACCTAGCGCCACTGAAGAGGTTCGACTGAAAACCGTTAGCCCATCGTCAAACCGGTTGGTTGCGGCCTGTGCTCATCTTCGCTGGAGTGTCGGTGTCAGTAAAACACGCATCACAATATACGACACCAGCGACTGTTTATCAACGCGCATGTTGTTCCCCAGGCGATGCTCACATCTCTCGCACAAATAACACGGCCAAGAGTCAAACGTCGCACTGCTGCAAGCCTGAGTCAACAATATCCGATGCTAGTGGACCGTCATGTGAAGCTACTGTCACGTCAAAGAGGCAGTGCCCTCCGGAAAGTAGAGCAAGATATCGTAATATCTCAGACCAAGAAACAAAAACTGGATCGACCGCCACCGTCACCCCCAGGTGAGTCTAGAAGGGAGCCCGACTCCGACTACCTATCCCCACCGACAGCGCTACCCGATGTAGACTTAGAGGGTGGTGGTTCTTTGCCATCTGAAACTCCCAGAATGTCCCCCGTGCACAGTCCTGAGCTTGATGGCCTGCCGACGTCTCCTGCCAACCCCTTCACGTCTGCTCGAGGATCTGACATTTCACCAGACCTGCCTATTTCAGAGAGCCCACTAAAAGGCACCGTGGACCCTTTTGCAGCGCCCATAGAATCTGTGGCTCCTCCCTCAGAACCGCATTTCGATTTCGATTTTTCTGAACTCCCGATATCTCAGCTCAGGGCCAATTCTTTGTCCTTGACTTCGATCGAGATTATATCCTCCGTGCTACACAATCTTTTCGAAGAACAACTCATTCCGCAGGCGTATGCTGATTTCGACACTGCCACTACCCCTGCAGATCAGGTACTTTACAAATTAGACATCAAACTGCTGTCCACATTTATCCACGGTGTTTTGGCTGACCTTCAGGACACGGTCGACATCAATCTGTCCAACAATGAACTCTGCTCGCAAGTCAAAGAGTGCCAAAGGCAGAAAGCTCAAAAGACCGAAAGCTTACTCGAACTACGGCACGATATCAACGAATGGGAAAATAAGGATGATAACGCAGAGCATTTTGATGAGCTGCGACGGAAATCTGCTTTGAACGACAAATTGCAAAACCTCATTGCAAGCATTTCTCAGGAACCTGCGGAACCAGTGCAGAGCCCTCTGCTGTCATTTGATAAGGTCTCTGACGACCTAATTCGAGTAACAGACCCCTGCAATGGCGCACTGGCCAAGTTACGAACATTTAATGATACTCTCGAAAAGCTCTTGGAATAAAAACTAGATATACATTGGATGAGTAGAGGTCGGATCGATATAACCTACAAAGACCTATATGAGTCGAGACGCTGCCGTGCGCTCTTCACTTCCCGCATTCGGCCCCTATGAGACAGATCAACAAACTGAGCGGCGGGTATGAGCAAAGAGTGTTCGGTCCAGTTTTCAACAGTACTGCTGAGATACCTAATTAGTCCGCGTCCGCAATCAATGCCATGATCATTCTGTATAGATAGAAGAAGAACATCAATAGGTAGAAGCCTAGTTTCAAAAAGCTCTCTTTCTTGTGTTTGCCCAAAGTTCTAAAGATCTCGGTGGCGTCCAAGAGTTGCAATTTATGATAGTGCTTGTTGGCGTTGAACGCAAGCAATGGTAAATTGATCAAAAACACAAACCAGTAACCTGTCAAGAGGAACAATACCGATATGGCACCATGTAGAATCGCCTCCGGGGTGATCAGCTTGTTTACTTTAGAGCATAGTTCGATAGGGTTGATGTAGTCGGCCTCCAAGTCCGCGTACAAGATCGTGAAGTGTACCTGGGCAAATAGATTTATGCAGTTGAGGACCACGGCCAACACAAAGAGCCACACACCGCTCATTCCAGACTGAATTAATTATAAGATCTAAACCGAAAATCAGTCCAAATGACTAGAACGAGAACCTTACTGTATGCAATTGTGATGTGATCTTTAAAATCGCTTCAATCGTTACCGACCCCTTTCAAAATTTTTTTCCCATAATCTATGTCTTTCTGGCTATAGAGCCGATCGTCGAAAGCGATACACAGCTGGCACATCCAAATGCCTAAACTGATGAATCGTCTGGCCAACGGGCTAGTGAACTTTCCTCCTGTGTAGCACTCTGAAATAAAGACAGGTACGTGCAAGTTTGATCTTTTAAATATACTAAAAATTTCAAAACGAAATCTGAAAAAACTCCGATACGGGGAGTCGAACCCCGGTCTCCACGGTGAAAGCGTGATGTGATAGCCGTTACACTATATCGGATGTCGGATGAAAAACATCTTTAAACATTTAATTCAATGTGTATAGATAGTCATGTGACTGTTTGGATTAGCGGATTAGAACTGTCACGATAACCACTAGAGATGTTATCCGTGATTTATGTATCCACGGGCTTGCTGAATTGGTTCAGACTATGGTCGCACTTGTTAGTGGTTATTGTTTAAGCTCATTAACTAGTTTAAACTAGATCAGAGAGCATTTTTTCAACAGATAGTATATACGAGATGAGAACACCCCGAGCCATGCATGGTCACGTATCCAAAGTATTCAATTAAGAGAAAGGGTAGTATCAATTATTCTATAGATTCTTTATTCCTCACGTTTAGCCTCAAAGGTTTGGCCATTGGCCAAACTTATAGCCTCTATTCTTCTACACTGTAAATTCGTCAAGGTCCAGAATATGCTCTTGACCTGACTTCTGTCCTCTGGAAACGTCAGCACTAGGCGTTGGACTCGACCACTTCCCAGGCCAATGCCCCAGAATCAATAGTGGAACCCTTGGTGGCAGTAAAACCTAGTGGGAACTTGTCAGCGTCAGAGCCGAACTTTAGCAGGGTTTTCCATTGCCCGTCCTTTTGCTCGACGGCTCTAATAAAGTTTACCCCTTTCAGGGAATGCTCCTCCTTCTTGAACAGTATGCCTTGAGCCCATTTACCCACAGTGACCACTAGACCCTTGAAGTCGCCTTTATCCACGCTAAATACGACAGAAGTAGGTTCTTTTTGCCCAGCATGCGCCTCATTTAGGATCACAAACTCAGCCCTCGTGGAATCCAAAGGTTGCCACAGCTCGAAGAAATCAATTGCCTGTTTTCCGGCGCCAAATGGGAACACTTGACCCCTTTCTTCCACAAGCCCGCTCTCCCACTGTTTCCAGACCGTCTTAATTTCACCTCTGTGGGTGTTTTCCTTGTGCAATTGAACGTTCGTGTCGAATTCAAAGTTGAAGTCAATGGCCTTGACCAATTCATCCTTTTCCGTAATTTTAGCGCTAGACGCAGGTCCCGCAAACGCCCATTCAAATGGAAAATCTAGTTCAGACTCCTTTGGTTGGATAAAAGGCCTCAACGATATGAAGTATCCTTCCGCAGACGTCGAGGACAATGTTAGCGTCCTTTCGTCTGCAGGGTTCTGACCAACCTGGAATGTCACTCTTCTGATGAGAGAAGCCATTTTATGAAGATCAAAGAGTGTACACGAAACGCAGGCCGTGAACTATCTGATATGCTGGCAAGATGATTAGTCGTTAATAGATGCGCCTTTATTAAGCGTCCTAGTTATATATCATTGCCATCTCGTGATTACTTACTACCTTTACCCGACAAATCAGATCAGCTGATGATCAGATCCAAGTTACGTAGGCATCGTCGACCGTATAACGACTGCAATCAACTACCTGCATTGATACCGGGTTGTTTGCGTGGCTGACACTCTAGTGTCCAAAGTATTTTTTCAGTAATATTTCAGAGTCATTACTCTAGGTTGTTCAAGCCAAACAAGAAACCGAGCTCACGCCGTCCTAAACGGTTGACTTCCTGAATCTTATCCGGATTCATTGCACTTTCAACAAGCTCCCTTTTCTTTTTCTGCAACTCCAAGATTCTGTCCTCAACAGAGTTCTTAACCAGCAATTTGTGAATCTTCACGTTCTTTGTTTGACTTATACGGTAACATCGATCCATGGCCTGCTCCTCAACATAAGGGTTCCAAAACGGATCTACGAGTATAACGTGGTTTGCACACGTAAGCGTGAGGCCTGCATTCCCCGCTTTCATGGAAATCAGTAGAATTCTTCGCTGTGGATTTTTGTAAAACTCCTCAATGGTAGCCGCACGCGCCTGAGCGTCCATTGAGCCATCGTACCTTAGATGGTGGACATTGAGTTCCTTGCGGATGAAGTATTGTAGCAAATCAAAAAATGTCGTGAATTGGGAAAAGACTAGCACCTTTTCATTATCAGAGGAAGATATTACTTGCCGAAAGATCTCCAGGCATTGCGATATCTTTGGCGATGGCTGAAGGGTATCGTAATTTATCTTATAGCCATTTTTGAGCCGGTCCTTTTGCGCTCTCATTTCAGCGTTATACTCTTCTCGTAATCCTTGAACGGTTAAGTTTTGATTTATAGCCTGGTCGTAAAGTTTGTAGGTCACAACCTCATTATCATCAATGAACTTGTTGCAGACAAGACAAGGGACAGCATAACCACTGTTTACGATTTTTCTTGCACCGTTTTGGATTCTGGCTTCTTCAAAGTACTGCTCTGCACAGCCCTCGCACATCATATGCCCGCATGGTGTTGTGACCACAGTAGAATCCAGTTCCATCTGTTCCATGCAATAAGGGCAAGACATATTTTCCAGACCTTCAGCAACGGCTGCATGGCCAATGCCAGGCATACCTCGAGCCAGCTCGAATAACCTCAGCCAATCGTTATCGAAATTTTTACCGTTAGCCACCTTTGATGTTTCGCTCTTGTGTTCACCGAGGATGACAAGTTCAGAATGACAGCAGGCTTGGCGCAGACGTAACAATAATGTCAAAATGTTGGAATAGTTGCCCTTACTCTGTTTGGCCATCAATTTTTCAGCCTTCTTCTTGTTTTTGAGCTCCAAATCGGTGTAGAAGTCTAGCTCGCTTCCCACCAATGTCTTTTCATCGCAAGAGATCGTCTTCTCTGGTAGTTCTAAAATTGGCTTACCATCAATCTCTGAGTCTTTAGTTCTTCTAAGCATTATAGCCCTTAAGAGGACTTGGACTTTTTTGATTGCTTGCTTTCGGTCAAAACTGTCGTAATCATTGGATGCTTTTCCTAGTGGATTACCGATGTCTAGCTTAAACCTCTGTTCCCGGTTATATGGAGAGATCCGCAGAAATCGAATCAAGGAATAAAGTTCCATAACGCTATTCTGCATGGGTGTCCCTGACAGGGCCCAACGGTAAGTTGCTCCTATGGCACAGCACGCTTTAGAAGACTGAGTCTTTTTATTCTTGATATTTTGGGCTTCATCTAATATGATTCTGTAAAATTGAGAGTCGTCACAGTAAAACGGCGACCAATACTCATTCCGGCTTTTCAGCGCGTTCATAGCTTTAATTTCTGGTACGTCGGCCATTATTTTCAACTCTTCTGCATCTTGGGTTAATCGGGCTGGCCAGTGCTTTTTCAGTTCACTTGCCAAAGTCTGATAGGACACAAGAACAACATCATGTCGAAGCAAACTCCGATAATTTTCAACTTTCGCACCATTATTACCACCAAAGATTATAACTTTCATTCCTGCAGCTTTATTGACCTTAGTTTTGATTTCAGCCTGCCAAACTCGGAGAACTGCTACGGGAGCAACAATAAGATTTGTTTTACATTTTGCGTCTTTGGATCTATTCGCAATCATCAAAGCTATCGCCTGAACCGTTTTACCCAACCCCATGTCATCTGCAAGAAGCCCTCCTCTTTTACTGGATTGTTCAACCTGCAGCAGCCAACGTAAGCCTTGGCGTTGGTGTTTCATTAGGTTGACAGTAAGTTCAGGAGGCGTCAATTCTTCACCTTCCACCTCGGCCTCCGTTGTCTTCAACCCCTCCAGAAGCTCCTGTAAACTGTCGTTGTCTTGTATGTTGTAGATATTTGATAGTTGTAATGAATTGGGCCCCTGCTGATTATTTTGGAACTTGGCTAGTTCCAAAATATCTGCTTCGGTTTCTAGGTCACTACCAGCAAGGTTTTTGAAATCATCTCCTTTAGCGCCATGAACTAAGTCGTACTCCATTGGATCGACGATAAACGCTAGGCTTTTTAAGTACTTGGAAACAGCCGGCATCTTTACGCCGTGTCGATATAATTCCGTGATGGCATTCTCCACCTGAAATTTAATTTTAGGACTATAGCGTTCTCCTCTATCGCAAGCCCTTCGGAACTGCTCGACAACGGCTAGAAAATGCCCCATCAGCTTTTTATTTTCCGACGACCTCACCGTATTCTTTGAAATTAGGTTTCGTGCCACTTCAAGAGACCTGAAAAATATTTCAGACTTTTGATCGGATCCGGTTGACTGTGGGGCAGTTAGAGTAGAGTGCGTTTCATTCAAGCTCTTATCTATTTCAGCCTTCCTACGCTTCATCTCAATGGCATCGATGGCACCTGTTCGGAATAGATGATCAATAGAAGATTTTTCCTCCGTCAGATTAGCCCTCTTTTCTACCATAGTAATGTGTAATTTGTTGCTTAACGCATTTTGCAAATCCAAGTGTGACTTTTGTAGTTTTGGACCATGTTTACTGAGAAAAGCACTATATTCATCCCCAGAAGCACGTTCTTTGTCTTCAAGTTTTCGCAGTCTCGCGCGCGTTTGTTCTCTTCTTTCCTCTAGTTTCCACAGCTCCTCCTGCAATTGAGAAGTTGATGGTGCTGAACCAGAAGCATGACCCTCGGCCAGTAGCACTCGCAGGCGGGAAGTGGTTTGTTGAATAAGAGCATCTCGCTTTTGAAGTTTGCCCTGTAATATTGTTTTAGTATCGCGACAGGTAGTCTTCATAGTCGTGAACTCTTCATGCTTCTGATTCTTAATCTCAAGGTTCCTATCATGAATGGCCCTAAAGTGGTCGACGCTTGCTGCCGCATCGGCTCCTGTTAGCGTCTGTTTCTGGCCGTCGCGCAAATTAGCAGTGTTCATTACATCATAATCATCATCATCGTCGTCGCTCAAGATAATAATTGGTGTATCGTTACCATTGCCCAAAACCGGAGGTGGTGTAGGAGTATGTTCTAGGGTTGTAGTAATATTGGTTTGTAGCTCTTTAGGGTCTTCTGACGTTTCTGAGCCATTTTGTTCCAACTTGTGATTAGCAAAATCACCTTTCAGCGTCGGTGGTTTCTGGCCAGCCTGCTCTGCAGTTGAAATTGTCGCATACTCATCATTATTTGCCTCAGGAATAGCATTTTCAGCATGTGGGGAGAAATTCAGTGAATCTGTCAGAAGTTCGTTCTCGCCATTGGGGATGTGAGGTCGATCCAGTTCCTGAAGCCTGCGTCGTTTAGACAACGAGTTGTCTAGTTGGTGATGGTGGGGATTCACGAAGAGTCGCTCATTGACGGCGCCAAGATCGGAGGCCTTTACCTCCCCATCTGTTCTCGTAAATTTTGCATGGGTTTCCTCGTGTGGGTGTGGGAATGATCCCGGGGTAGCAGTGTGTACTCCGCTGCGGCCATCTCGCAGCGCCGGAAGCCATGAGTCGCGCTTTTCTAGCGTTAGAGAATGGTGAGCAGCGGAATAAAGACCTGGAAGGCGCGTACTGGGCTGTGGTGCGTCGGGTAGGAAGTTATGACGAGTTGGGTCCTGCAAGTCGGACAACACAGGACGGTCGCCAGCAACGTCTGAATCGTCCAGTGTCAGGTCGATCGACGGGACACTACTAGACATTTCCCTTTAGGTAAACGACCCGCTTGATGACTACTAAACCTATGAGCAGCCTTGTCGTTGTGGTGTGGGTTAGCAGCTCTGGAAGCACAACAGATGAGATAAAGCTAAGGTGTAATTTGGTGTCACATTGGAATAAATTAGAAGAGTACAAAAGTACTCAAGGAATAACGACAGCTTCCTCACCGAACGACGGGATAACGTGGGTTGAAGATCGAAACCTAAATGTTCATCGATTTGTATATAGTTTCATATCTATTCTAAGTATGAAAGGAATCCGGGAACCAAAATTAAGAACCTGAACCGCAGAAACGAATTTAAAAGGAAGCGGAAGGTTGTGTGACTTTTTTTTTAGATTTTTTGATTGTTAGTTGCGAGCACTTTTGAGTGTGACATGAATCATGAATTATAATTATGAAGAACTCAGAGCAAAAGGGTGACTTGTGATACTTGCAAAAGCCCCTCAGATTCGCTTAAGAGCTGAACCCACACTGGTTAGGGAATTGTCTGTCAGTGACTGGCTGTGGGAATAGACCGTTGTACATCAAACGTTGCAAGTCCCACTCCAAAGAGTTTTCGGTCTTGTAGGTCCAGATCACCCAGCCGTTTCTTAGCTCAAAAGCATCCAATTGGGCCTCCACGAATTTACGGGTGTCTGTCTTGCGTTCGTCGGACCAGGAGTCAATGTCCTCGTTGTTTTGACACGAACCAATGTAGCTTGAAGTGTCGCTGCCCTTGGTGAAAGTACCATCGTAACGGGCACCAAACCCAACCCCGTTCAGCCACTTGGTACAATCAGTCAAAGCGGCGGCCCATTCGCCACAAACGGTCCAGTGCGCCTCGTCTAGAGTGCCGGAGCCCCATTGGCAAGCTACGGCGATTCTCTCGTCGATGGAACGCTGCAACTCGCCGTTGGAAAACACCTGGTAGTGGTGGTGGTCGAGGACCACGCCCCAGTCGCCCTCGCTGTCGGTCAAAGTTGAGTCCCAGTAGTTGAATGGTTGGAAGGCGTCGTGGATGACGACGATCTGGTTACTGCCCAGCTCGTTGCGCAAGTAGTCGTAGCCAAACTGGTAGTACTGTTTGAGCTTGTCCATGTCGAGGACAGGGCCCAGCGGCTCGTTGATGAGCTCGATACCGATGACCGTGTCGAGGTACTCGGATCCCGAGTATTTTTCAAGCATGTACTGCAACACCTCCTTGGTCACACTCAAGTTGCTGTCTTCCAGAAAGCCGTAGGAGTCACGCAAACCAGAGTTGTCAAAACCGTTTTGGGAGCCCGCGGCGCCGTGCAGGTCGACCCACACCTTCAAGTTGTTGTCAGCGGCCCACTGGATCGCCTGGTCGAGATATTTCTCCTGGTTGCCGGTCACGTAGGGGTCCGAGTCCAGCGTCTTGAAGGCCCAGTAGCCGATGGGGATACGCACGAAGTTCAACCCCGACGCCGAGATGTTCTCAAAGTCCTGTTCTGTGAACCACGAGCTCCAGTGCTGTTCCAACCGGTCTGCGGCCAGCTCGCTGCCCAGCGCCTGGCAATAGTGGTACTCGTCGGCGGGGATGCCGACGTCGCTGTCGTCCTGCGTGCGGAACGTCTCGAACAACGATGGCGTGATAAAGGGCTCCAGCACCAGCCAGCCTCCAATGTTCACCCCTCTCAGGACCGCGCCCTGGTAGTCGTAAAACCGTTTTTTGTTTTGCTCGTGTACAAACTGCACACTGTTGGCGTTCTTGGCCGGCACCGGCTGCGCCAGCGCCGCTGTGAAAAGAGAGACGACCGTGACGATGCACGATAGGGGTAGTAGCATGATGTTCAGCTTTTTCTGGTCCAGTGGCTGTCAATAGCGTTGGTCGTGGCAAGGCAAGTTATGCGACTACAAGCTCACAGAGAAAAAAAGCTCACAGAGAAAAAAAGCTCACAGAGAACAAGTGCTTTCCACGAATCCAACTCCGCTGCTTACGACGGCTGGATATTTGTATCTTGTGTACGTTGAGAAACTGCCGGCTCTCACTTCTGACGCGTCTCAAGTTTCGCGTCGCAATGTGAAACTGATGCACCTAAAAGAACGTGGTGGATAATCGCCTGCGCTGAAAATTAAGAATTTGCACCGGGATTTTTCAAAGCGAAGGGAACTAGATGGCTACCAGCCTAAATCTATCTATCTGAGTTTTGAGGAGCCTGCGATTGCCAGCCTCGAGGACGCAATTCTTCAGTCACTTAAGCTAGGTTTGATTCCCAGAACTTGCCAAATTTGGTCAGCCTAAATCCTTCTAATTTAACTTTGGTCCTTTATATACTTGCAACTCGGGCTGGCAAAGCCGGGTCTCTCTTTCTCTCTCTATATATAGGTTCCACATGGCCTGCACACGCACCTCCCACGTCTGTGGGCCAAAATAGGCGACACGGCCCTCGAGGTTAAAAATAAGACACACGTACGCCCCTTGCACGGCTTGCGGTATCTGCTATCATGACATGGCTTGCATAGAGAATGGGATCAACTAAATTGGAAAGTACTCGCAGAGAGGTTTTGTGGCCGGCTGGGTCGAGTACAGAATGTATGCAAGCGAGGAGAAGCTGATAAGTAGAGCTTAGGTGAGTAGGGAAGGAAGGTTGCGGGAACTTACATGGCGGAGAGTACCTACCGGTGTTGAGCAGACCAGCGTGGCTTGCGGCTGTGCACAGCGAGCAGTCAGGCGGACCTTGCGGCGAGGACCGCGATCACGTGACCGGAGGGTGTCCTTGCCTGAAAGGGGACAAGGGCACCGGCAAGAGTGCTGGCAAGAGTGCTGGCAAGAGTGCTGGCAAGAGTGCTGGCAAGAGTGCTGGCAAGAAGGGCGCGGCCACCGGCGGTGGACGCGGGTGTGGACGCGAGTGTGGACGGGCCAGTGTGCTAGCGCACACGCAGACACCGTGGTGCAGGAATCTTGAGACGTATATAGTGATATAGCATTCTTCGACCAGCCGTTTTCCGTGGATGCGGTATCACGTGCCCGGGGTCTGTTTCCATGGCTTCGGTGCTACTCGTTCTCAAGGGCGATCACCTCCATTTCCACATCTACGTTCAGCGGCAGCGCCTTAGCGGCCAGGCACGATCGAGCTGGCTTCAGCTCGGCGAAGTACCTAGCGTAAACGGTATTGAATTCCTCGAAATACTTCAAGTCCGACATGAAAACGTTGACCTTGACCACGTTGTGGAGCCCCGAGTTGGCCTCTTGTAGGATGTTGCTGACGTTTTTGATCACCTGTTCGGCCTTGTCACCCATCGAGCCTTCGATCGGCTTGAAGTCCGCAGTGTATGGGATCTGGCCGGAGACGAATACCATCTTATTGGCCTTAATAGCCTGCGAATACGGTGCTGCGGGCGCAGGTGCGGACTTGGTCTGGATTGAAACAATTCTGGACATGGCTCTGACCGAACGAGTAGCAGCTTTTCTCAGGGACATGGTGGTTTGCTTTTTTTAGATTGGTATACTTCCACGAAATGGGACCCCAACTCAAGGGCCGAGCTACTGGTGCTGCGGAGTATGCTGTTGCATGTGTGTATATATTATATATATGGGAGACGCACCCGGTTTTAGACTTACCGCGGAATTCCATTGATAAGAGGCCATTTCCGGCGATAAGACAACCTATCCGCCACAATACACTCAACGTATCTTGAAGTAGTACGAGAGCCTGCACCCTTCTTTGGTTTCGAGACTATCAGCGCTTTCCACCTTCTCTGTTCGGAATGGGCGTATCGGTATCGGTCGCGAGGTTTAGTTCACCGGCGCGTGATGTTCACATGACCAGCAACTATCTTGATAAGATATGCTGTGCGGGCCAGAATGCTGATTGATCGAATAGATAGTCGTCGAGGTAAGGCGAGGCGAGTTCGTAATTCCTCCGGAAATCGTCTCAGCTCTACCAACTTTCCAAAGTACATAAATATGTAACGAGGTGCCTCATGTCGTCGGCTCTCTTTGATGTAAGACGCCAAGTTTCCTTCCACCACGATGAGTGCTTTGACGTTCGTTTCACAGGAGACCACTGTCAAGACCCGCGGCAACAAAAAGCCCGTACCGGCATACTTTCCCACCTCGAAAAAGTCAATTTTGGTGCCAGACTTTGAGTTCTACGATGCTGTCAAGTCAGCAAAGCGCGGCCTGCAGGCCACCTACGATGTCCCCATTCGCTCTGGCAAAGCTTGGAAAGCTCCCAAAGGATCAATAGTACGGATATCAACCCCCGAGGGCCCGCAGGTGTGTGACTTCAACTGCTGGGAAGCAAACTCCGACTTCAAGGAACATTTATGGGCTTCGAGAACCAGGCAATTACACTCCGCACACGTATCAACGTACGACAAGCTATGGTCCAATTTACCATTTCTACGCCCACTACTCACAATAATAGACGACACATTGGCAGGTTACGGTCCTGACGAGCATGGTGGAAGAGTCCACGACTTGCTGGGAACACGGTGCGACCCCTACGTCGATAAACTCTTGAGTGGCCAGGACAATGACTTCCACTGTCACTCCAACCTATACCGAGCTATACGTGAGTTCAATGGGGCCGAAGAGAATGTCCACGATGTGCTCAACATATTTCAAGTCACGGGCCTCAACGAAAGTGACCAATATTTTATGGAAACTTGCCCTGCCCAGAAAGGTGATTATTTTGAGTTTTTCTGCGAGGTTGATCTCATTTGCGCAATATCTGCTTGTCCTGGCGGAGACTTGTCAAACTGGGGTTGGGGTGAAGGAGGCGAATCGGAAGAGGACAAAAATGTCTCAGATATGACCGGTGTGTGCCGCCCTCTCCGCGCCGAGGTTTTCAAGATAGAAGACGCTCGAGTTTTGGACTCCTGGGAACCACCAAAACCGGTTAACTATGAGGGAAACCATGGTTTATAGTATAGTAACGAAGCTGCATACGTTTATTAACCCGCTACGTAGACAGAGGAAAAGAATACGCAAAGGGGACAACGGAAGATACAGTTACGCGGCCTATTTTTGTAACCAATACGGATCCAAACCCCAAGGACTACAAGGACCATGAGTTTATAGGATAGGCGCCGTCCGACTGGCACGTGTAAAAAGCGAAGGGAGGCTGTAGAGGTTCAAGAATTGTTCAAAGTTTGGTTGCAGTTTTGAAAAGACACCACTTCAGATTGGATATCGAGGATACATGCAGAAGCAGTCAAGGCTGTGCTCTTGCGAATCCAAACAGCCTCGATTTTCCAGCAAGAGGCCACTTGCTTTTCACATAGAATAGCTCAGAAAGTAGCTTCTATTGATCCCTGTTTTTTTCTTCTATCATTGACCCTGATAAATATCCTTTTTGGCGCTTAGTCCCAATCTATTGTCAATGGACCGACTGTGAATTGACTACATTGCAATCACCTTTAAGTATCTTGGCGTTACTCTACGTACAAACCTACAGGTTTAGATTTCTAAAGAGTGTGGAGCGAAACCTTACCTAGTGAAAGTGAGGTAATCATGGAGTCAGACCACTCAAAGGTTATCATTTGTGATATAATGTTGCTTCTCTTTTCAATTGATATCCATTGTTTCCACATATCCATCTCCGATGTAAGCGCACTACCTAATCATCGGAAAAAGATAAGCACGTAGTGATGCGAGAACGAGCGCCAGACTTCCCTAATAGCTCAGAGAGCACTTTCTTTAAATGGTTTTCTTCACATGCCTTTAAAGTCCAGGTTAATCTTCTTGACTTCGGCGACCCACTCGCGTACTCGGGTACCTCTTTACGGTTTTAGATATAGATAGTCCACGGTCAGTCGTAACTGGACGTGGAGACAACCGCCAAGTTTCGACCCATTTTTAGGGCAGCCCACATCAAAATGACAAGAAGCAGAGCCGGCTCTTTAGTCCAAAGCATTGCTGTGAAGCCGCCTTCAAATCTGAATTCAGTATGTTTTACAAGATCAAAAACGCCACATTCTGAATAATATGCTAACAATGAGTAGGTCCCATCTCTATACGATGATGCAGATTTACTTCGCAAGCTCAAAGAAGTTTACCCACAAGATGAACAAGGTGAAGAGAGCGCGAAGGAAGTGAATGTGGAGCAAAAGGATAGAAATTATGAAAAATATGAAAAGTTCCTTCAAGACCTGGAGGGGAGAAGCTCTGACTACCGTCGGGTAATAGACGATACTCAGATGGTGAATGTCCAATTGAACTACATCATAGATAAATTTTGCGACATAACTACGGAGACTCAACAATTCACATCTTCCACCGGTCAGCTTTTCAAGGACCTTGAGCATCTCAAAACACTCCACATATCATTGAACGAGTATTTGAGCTACTTCGAGTCCCTTGAATTGGTAACACGCGAGCTTCACCATATATCTTCCTCTAGCGTTGTGAAAAAGGATTCTTTCCGGATGAGGCTAGGCAAAGTTAACTCATCTCTTCAATTTCTAGGCGAGCATGGCGATTTCAAAGATGCTGAAACCTACCGTATCAAGTTTAAACAATGCTTGATACGCTGCTGTAATCTGATGGCCAATTACCTGACCAATTCGATTAAGGCTCTTTGCGCAGAAGTTTCCAAGTCCCTTGAGACTACCACGCAGTCCGCAACTCGAGAGGCACTCTTATACAGCAAGTTTCAGGCTCGAGCATCTGATTTTTTTCCTGTCGCAGAGCAGCTCTCTTACCACTGTTCGAATAATGCAAGGTACAGGGATGATATAAAATCTATTCTCCAAACTTGTTACGAAGAGTACTTCCAAGTAAGAACAAGACTTTTACACAAAACTATCGTGAGCCAGTTAAATAATGACGCCGACAATGAAAGTTTTTCGCTGGTGAAACATGTTCAGGACAACCTGTTATTTTTCACTCAGCTTTGTGAAAACGAATACAAGCTCGTTATTCAATTCTTCCCTGAGGTGGAGGGTAGAAACGAGTTCAACAGGTGGCTTTTCCGGTTATGCGAGCCTCTCCATGACAGTGTTAGGGAGAAAGTTTTGAAGGAAAACGAGGTTGCAGTCCTATGTGATTCGGTAACACTGCTCAACAAATTCTATGAGTTTGAGGAAAACTCAAAGGAGTACCAGGCTCAATATAAGTCAGTTCAACTGGATAAAATACTTGAGCCACTGCTGCAAGATATTCAGTATAGATTGATTTTCAGAGCTCAAATTTATGTCGAATCACACATTGTAAACTTCAAGCCAAGTAAGGACGCTTTCATGATCAACCACCGGAAAGCACATAGTAGCAAGCATGAAGATAACAATGACATTGTCAGCTCTTTCCTAGATACTATTTCGGACTTTGAAGGTGAAGTGGAGGAAATTCGAAGTTGCTATCCACCAGTTTTAAGAGCTGTGGCCCTGCTTTCTAGAATCTATCAAATGGTTCATTCGTCTATTTTTGACAATCTCGCCCATCATATCGTGCACGACTGCATTGAATCACTGAGGGCCGCTTTTCGACTCGTGGAACAATCAGAGAATGCCCTGGAGCCAAGGTTGGCCTATTTGAAGAACTTACTCATGCTTCGCAAGCAAGTTCAAAATTTCGAAATTCAATATGTTTGCAACGAAAAGTACGTAGATTTTTCGGGGCTTACAGAATTCTTGAGATCTCTAGCGCGGGGCGGTCTACGACAAGACTCTGGAAACTCTGTGCTTGATTTAGCGTTGGAACGTCGACCTCGCGTGGTGAACGATATGGTAGATGCACGCTCCGAGCTTACATTGGAGTTGCGTAACGGCATTAAGATATTGACAGACACAGCAGCACGTGAAATAATTGGAAACTGTCTTGATGGACACGAAAACCTTTTGAGCAACAACGTAAAATTAAAGGACAACATAGAGACTTTACTTCCACGCATACATGAAAGACTGTGTAATTTCATTCAGAATGTCGAAGTAAGAGCACACTTAATCGATGCCATTCAGGAGTTGGTCATTCGATCTTATGCCAAGTTTTACGACACAATTGCTGAAGACGCTGAAAACGGTCGCATCGACAAAGCTGAGGTTTCCGAACTAATTTATGTTGATGTTTTGGCAGATTATATCAATAATGTGGCTAGTGCGCTAAATCAGATTTGACTCACCTTCTAGTCCGTACCGTCAAGTATACTCCCGGTCAGCGGCGGGAATGGTAGGAATGTGATAAGGAAATCATTAGGTATCTTGACGTACTGATCTTACATACAAATTACTTCTCACTATTATTTTATCTTATTCATGTTTCTTCTTCTTCGTCCAGCGCATCGTATATGTTCTGGGACATCAGCCTGTTGAGCTCGGCTTTGACAAAGTCTACTTTACTTGGATCAATCAGTAAGTGGGTGTCGTCAAGCTCCTCTAGGATGATATCGTTCTTGTTGGTATCTATTTGCACAATAAGCGCTTTGATAGATGGATCGCACTTCACCAGAGCTCCCTTCCTTGCTCGTGGCATTGACCTTGCTGTGCGGTTCTCATTGGAAGATAGTATTTTGTCGATTTAATCATAATGGCGAAAACACATACAAACCAACTTAATTAAAGAATGCAATGATAACTTTAAAAGGGCATGCAACCTCAAATATGAAAAACGGTACCCCCACAGCTCATCAAAATGATGTCAGCTCTGATGAAAGAGGTTCAGGTGATTTTGTGGCTTTAGCCAACGGAATGCCCTTGGATGTACAGTCAAAATCTGAGAATCCTGATGCGACTACCAATAGAGGAGAATGGAAGAACAGTTGGGGTTTCGACAAGGAGGACCACACCCAAAATTTTGTTGAGGGTTCTGAGCCTGATATACTCTCCGATGGACACCAGAAATGCCCTAGGCAAAGTGAGGAAAGTAATGGGACTGACAAGAGCCTTGGTGATCAGGATAATGGTGAAGGTGACGATAATGGAAAGGATCAGGAAAGTGAGGATAGCGAGAGTGGTGAGGGCACTGATGAAAGCGATGAAACTGATGCTAGTGAGATTAGTGAGGATGATGATGAGGAAGAGGACGAAGAGCCTCCAATACTTCAGTATTCTAGGGTAACGAAATTGCCAAAAACCTTTTTCACAAGAGACTCCATTTCTGCTTGCCAGTTTCACGACAAAGTATTCATTTTCGCAACTCACGCTGGTTTTCTGCATTTTACCGAGCCCGATTTTACAACAATCCGCACTTTTAAATGTCACAGATCGTCGATCACTTCCGTGTACACCGATGGAGAGTTATTTGCGTCGTCGTCCATCGATGGTACAGTTGTCATTGGATCGGTTCGTGATGGCTCAGATCTTCTTGCTTGTGATTTCAAGAGGCCAGTTCATGCTGTTGTGCTGGATGAAAAATACAAGACGACAAAGACATTCGTCTCTGGGGGCATGGCTGGCGAAGTTATCTTGTCACAAAGAAACTGGCTTGGAAATAGAGTAGATGTCACAATCGAAAAGTCCCATGGCCCTATTGTTGGAATATACACGGTAGACGATGTGCTCTTTTGGATGAATGATGCTGGAATCACCTTTTATAGCATCTCGTCAAAGATGAAGCTATTACAAGTCCCATTTCCGCGCGATGAACAAGGGACTAGACCAGACCTATACTGGCCCTCTGTGCATTTCCCTGAAACTGACCGCATAATTGTTGCTTGGGCCAAACACATTTGGACCTTCAAGATCTCGCTCACTAAATTTTCCACTCACGGTCACCATCTGGGATCCATTCTTTCAAGTGCTGCTTCAAGTTTAAGAGCTACCCCAGATAAAAAAGTTGAGCAGGATCATTATTTGTACCTTTCTCTCACCTTGGCAGGCGCGGTGGCTTTTCGCAATGACCAACTACTTTGTCTCGAGGTTGCAACTAGTGAAGGCTCCAAAGATAATATGAACTGTCCTCAGCTTAGAGTTATAGATATGCTCACTGGCGAAGAAGTTCATGGAGATGAAGTTGTGTTTAAGAATTACCAAAACCTGAATGTGAACGACTACCACCTAGGAAAGCATATTGGTAAGATTTCAACGGAGTATTTCATGATTAGCTCGAGTGATGCAATATCGGCCCATGAACTCTCGCTGCGGGAACGATTTGAGTGGTTTATAGATAATGGAAGAGACTACGATGCATGGAGGACTGGTTTGTTTGCTGTTGGCCAGAAAGAAAGACTCGATGCAGGCGTGCGTCACATCGAGAGTCTAATTACCGCCAAAGAGTGGGAAGAAGCTGCCTCAGCTATTACTGAAATCTTTACCAACGTCAATTTACAAGAAGAAGACGCTGAATTTACACAGAGCGTTCTCGATAAATGGCAGAAATTCATTATTATAATGATAGAAAATGATAGAGTTGGTGACATTGCACCACTTATACCGACCGAGCCACCGTTGTACTGCGATGTTTATGATTTTGTTCTGAAAAAGTACTTGGAGAGCAATCAACTCCCAATGTTCTCGCATTATAGTCACCGGTGGCCAAGGGAGCTTTGGAATAGTGCCAAGTTCCAAAGTACCTTAGAAGAGCTCATTGAGCATAACGACGAAAATAACTTCGATTACCGTAAGGAACTAGTCTTTTTACTTCTGACAGAGCAAATGGAAGTAAAAGCTGTTCCCCATTTGATCGTGATGAAAGATCCACGAGCCCTGGACATTATAATCTCCCACAAGGTGTTACCAATGTTTTCGAGCCAGTTGTTGGAAATCGTTTTACTCCCTTATAGTGACACAATTGAAAGCTTGCTGTCCCTAAGTTTGGAAGATGCACAAATGATATTCAAAAAGTCAATTGAACTCTTAGTACGCGGTACCCATATGGTTGATGTTTCTTTCATAGTTGCAACATTATCAGAATCCCCAGCCCTGCGGATTTTGCTGTTTTTGTTCTTGAATAAAGCATCTAAAGTTGAGCCCGTGTTGATTGCACCATATGAGGATGATATGGTCAAGCTTTACTTTCAGTTCGACCACCAACATCTACTAGACTTTTTGAAGGCAAAGAACAACTATGATATTGACAAGGCGATTAACATATGCGCTGCTGACGATAAGTGTTTCGATGAGCTCATATATCTGTGGGGTAGAGTTGGAGAAACCAAAAAGGCCCTTTCACTGATCATTGACAGGCAAAATAATCCGAAACTGGCGGCCCAATTCGTGGAAAACTCTGGAGATCCTGAGTTATGGGAGTACTTTGTCTCTTACAGTATGAACAAGCCGGCATTTATAAGGGAACTGCTAGACATGAGGACTGCAATGGGCAACGGGCATGCTGGTATAATACGACGTATACCTAGCAACCTCGAGATTGACGATCTTCAGCTTGCGCTGGAGAGTGTTACCAGAGAAAACTTTCTTAATATCAATGTAAGCGCGGGCGTTTTCAAGATAATCGATGATGAAACGACACAATTTGCACACGAATTCTTGAGGCTAAGAGAAGTGGGAAAATGTTTTGAGGTCGAAAATGCTTGAGTTGTCGTGATAATAATATTAAATATTGTGAAGTATAAAAAACACAAAAGTTCTTAGGGGATTTTCTGGCATGATTAAAACTATTCATTAGGATGATCTTGGGCTGCGAGTTTCTGGGCCATTTTGTAAGTGCGAGGACATGTCCATTGGTGGATTAGGCGAAAAACCTCCAAAAAAGGCATTGCTCCCCATCCCAAGGCCCGGCACCATATCCACTTGATTATGCAGTTTGGCAGCAGGTTGTGAACCTTGAGATATCAATGACTGTTCTTGTTGTATCATTTGACGCTCCAACCGCTGGCTTCGCTGTCGTTTATCAGTATTACTCAGCGCTTGTTTTGCTTTCCTGATTTTTTTTAAGCAGTTATTGTAGCTGAATCTGAGCTCACCCAAGGCACGATCCGACAATCCAACTTCTCTAAACTCTGCATGCTTTAGAATATTCCCCATGGATTTTGCAATATCAATATTGGTTTGTAGGGTAGTCATAATCACAAGGCGTTGATTACCGAAACCTGGTTCACGTTGATTAGCATTGGATTGCCCAAGATAATCATGAACTGGTTCGAGGTCAAAATCGTTGCCCAAATTTAAGTCAGGATCATTTAAGGCTAGAAAATCGTTCGGTGGTAAGCTGTTAGAGGCTGGTGAATTGCTGTCTGGTATTGAATTTTGTGTATGTGGAGGTAGTGGATTGGCGGGTTGCGCCACAGATGAGTTTTGTGGAAGAGTATTGAAAACCTCATCTAAATAAGCCGTGGCGGTAGATGCTGCACTGGGGGTGGAATAAATGTGAGTAGGGACAGGCTGCGGTTGAACAGTGGTGCTTCCGAGATTTTCTCCTTCGTCAGGTGACGGAAGAACTGTTGTAGAGAATAAGTCGCTTGTGTTGTCTATGACGTCGCTTACAAGAAGATCTCTATCTACTCCGCTGTCGGAGTTGGGGTCTATATTAACGACTTGGCCAAATGCGTCGGTGCCCACGTCCCCTGGACCAAAAGCATCCAGAGTAAAGCCCCCAGAGCCATAGTCGTCCTCATAAGTCCCTTTTTTTGGCTCTGGCTCCCAGTCGTCCACAATGGCGCTTTCAACAATCTCTTCGGAGCTCAAAAAATTTGTGTTCTTATTTTCAATGTTCAAGTCGAGTAAAATATCATAATCCCATTGCTTAACGCAATGGAATCTCTTACTGACGTCGTAGAGTTTTCTTTCCAATGCCTCGTTTTTTTTAAATGCCATGCTGACACTCTCATTTAATTGAATCATATGCTGAGGCAAAATACCGGAACTCTTCCAATTCGCTTTTATGGTATCCGCAGGTATTGCATCCCACGATTTCTCAATTAACTTAAAAGCGTTGGACATGTTTAGTGCACTTTGATCGTAAGTCAATACCTTCTTAACCCCTGTCTTCTTCGCAATTTTTTCTTGCAAGTCAATAAGAGCTTCGTATTGTTGAACGCGGTAGTGCGTCTTGAATTCGTCCAATACCCCCCAGTTAAAAGGTAAAAATTTACTGTTAGCAGAGGTATATACCAACCTAATATTTTTGAGTCGAAGGTTGATTATGCGATGAGAACACGAATCGTCCAAAACAATGCAAATGATCCTGTTATCAACGACAAGTCGTTTGTCCCACCATACTAACCAATCGTGGAACAGATTACTTGTGAGCCAGGATTTACGGTTGCTATGAAACGTCAACGAAAATTTGCGAGCCACTCTTTCGCCTAAGGACGTTTGTGATGCATTATCAGGAGGATCGTTGGCGAATTGATTTCGAAAACTCTGATAATTTTCATACTTTCCGATTACTAGAGGATTCATTTTCTCAGAGCCATCAAGGTTAGCACAAAGCATAACTGTAAGGACCCCAATTCGTCGTTGAACTTGGCTGGTTTCGTACTGCGCGTTGTCCATGGGTAAGTTATAGGCCAGAAAAGTTTCATCCAAGGTGAACAGATCTCGCGCGGGAATCTTTGCTAGGTACTCCTTTAATACATTTCTTTCTTCAAAAGTCCATACCTTAGGTGGCTTTGGGAGTTCTTCATCCAAGTTTGTAATGTTAACGTCCATTTTGGACAAAAAGTGGGTGATCCACTTGTAAGTGAAGGACCCGTTACCTTCTCGATGCTCACTCGGTATACGGTGCCATACGGATTGGGCGGTATCCTGTATAATTGGAGGTGTGATGGGTATCCCATTCCAAATACTTTGAGAAACCCATTCTTGTAGAATGCGGCGAACCAGTAGGTTATTGGGCTTCCTCAGTCGGTTAGCGCTTTTTTCGTGCTCTTTGGAGTTCATTAGCACACTTTTGCGAGCTAAAAGCCGAGAGATGGTTCCTTGAGACGGACAGGATGGCAATTGGTACGCTTCGTAAGCCCACCGTGCCAGTTCTAACTGAGTCCATCTCGGATGCCTTTCGGCCATCAGAATAATATTATACTTTTGCTCCACGGATAATAGTCCCATGCCAGTCACAAGTCGGGGTTTTAAAATATATGCGAACCTGTCTCGTAAGCTAGAGAGAAGTTAAGGTTGTGGTACTCGGCTGAGCCAGGGAGTCCAGATGTGCAGTGACCGTACAAGGCGCGTTTCTGTGTCAGTGCCTACGGCTTCTCAGATAGAGACAATTGTACACCGAGCCCTCCCTGTTCGCTAAGGATGCTATTTCGTAACGTTCATGGTCGGTCCATATCAAAATTGTTCCAATAGAAACTAATTACCCAGAGTACATGTCAACTACTCACGTGATCCTTCGGGGTTAGATAATCGGGCACCGAAACACTGTAATTCAAGTGTTTGACCAAGTTACGTATTTAGCTTCTATTGCTATTCTGATGTCTTTGACTAGAGTCTAATTACTTATCCTTTAACTAAAAAGATGCCGAACGACTGTTGAAGGTGCACGGGAGACATTACATTGTAAATGTCAGAAAGAAAACCTGCAAGTACTTCGAGTACCTTCCCGAGAAGAGTTCCAGCTACCTCTTGAAACCATCCCACCAGCAGAATGGTTTCTTTCAGGTGGCTTGGTAAAAAAAAAAATTCCAACTACTTTGGATAATATTGACACTAGCTGCCCCTGTAAGTTGTGAACCCATAGTTACTCAAAAGCAGTGGAATATGGTAGTGTCTGCTGTCTGTCACTTCGAATGCGATTTCAACAAACGGGAAAAATGTAGTTTTGCCCTCGCGCGCAAAATACTTTCCAGTTTGGAACCGAATTTTGTAAAAGCCTGGGACCAATATATGCCATTGCAGCCGCGAGTCTTTTTCAACAATCCCAATCTTTTCCAGCAGACTGCGTTTCGATACATCGGGAGTAAAAACCCACTCACCTATTCTGCCATCGGAGTTTGTTCTCGCTAAAGCAAAAGGTTCAGAGTCTGAGGTATTGTAAGTATGATCGTCACCACATGAAGCCTCTTCAACATGTAGCTTGAATATTGAGCATACAACGCCCTCTGCTGGGTTTCCTGTTGTGGTGTCAAGGATGTGACAGGTTACAGGGGGTCTGGTCATGACTCTGATTACTTAAAGGAAATTGGACACTTTACCTTCCACAGGCAACCTCAGAATATGATAAGAAAGAAGACTGTGCCCTCACCGAGGTAGAGCTTTATTTATATCTCTATCAACTTTTCTGTTGAATGATGAGCTTTCGTGGTAGCCTGGATATATATATCAAATATATATAAGATATAATTGATATGAACTTCTAACTTTTGATGCTCGGGTTAACCCGATCTATCGTCGTAAGGCAAAAAGGTGATGAATTAGCCCACATCAATGGCCCAGTGTGATTATCTGGTCTACCAAAACAACGATGTGAAGTTTTATATACCAATTGTATTCAAGGAATCGCCAACTTTTGACAAAGTTGTTCCATGTTGCGTAGCCGATGTTGTACGCGGCTATAAAAAATGGGAGCAAACCATCAAGCGATACTACCCTGCTGAGAGCGAATTTTGGATGCTAGGAAACTATCCCATGAATAAAATCATGATATGCGGACGTGCAGTTTCTTGGAAATGGAAGTTTATAAGCGGACTTGATCATGCTATGTTCAAAATAGACGACTGTTCGCGAGAGTCTCCAGAAAATTCTACTTTGTTGGGATGCAAATGTTCGAAAAGTTTAATATTACAATCAGGGCTACCTTTGTCAGATCTGAGTGGATGGGGGTTTATACTGTATGGAGTCGTGAATCGCTTTTTAGAATTGGAAGTTCAGAAGATTGAGATCATGAGCAATATGGTTCAAGAAGTGGATTTTTGGCGATCGACAGTTGAATGGAGAGAAAAGTTGAGTGATCCGTGGGTGGTTGATGCCGACACTATGAGATCTTCGTTTTCACAAGACGATTTACTGAACCGGCAAATAAGTTACAATTTCGTACAACACTTGGAACTTCAAGCCTACCAGAGAGAGTTACAGATCAGTGAAGGCCAAAACATTCCGTTGGCGAGCCCAAAAGAAATTTCACTTGTGCCTTCTGAACAACGATTTTTAGAGGTGGACTGCTGCGAATCGCCAAGTCACACAAAACAAGAGCTCTTGGTGGAGGACAATAAAGAAGACGATAACAAGATGTACGAAAGGTCCTTGATTGCAAGTGGATCAAGCAATGCTTTGCGAGCCTCAGATCCAGACCATGGTACTCGTAGCCACGTCCAAGCTACAAACGAGTCGAACTACATTCAGGGTAGCGTAAAGGCTGGCCTTTTTGACGTCCAAAATTTCCTCGCGCAAGGAAGGTCCAATTTCGACCTCCCACCACAAACCGCACACACCAACAATGGAGACAAACGACCAGTAATACTACATTCAGAGCTGCGGCATAATGGCAATGGACGATTCCCTTCGTACACGCCAAACGTGTACCTAAAATCACTGGTGGAATACATATTACAACAACCAGCAATAGAAGTATCAACTTTAAGCGCTTTTTGTGAACCTCATTTGACGATGATTCTGCGATCACTAGTTTCACAGCGGGAATGCCCAATCGAGGAACTAACCAGCACCATTTTCAGACAGGCTTTAGAAACGCTGGCCGACTGGGGCCTTATTAGGTTTTTTGCGCAAGGACGCATTTTGAACCTGGCCACAATCAAGAAACTGGCTACATCTGTCTCTCAGCGCCTGTCAGCACTGGTGACGCTACGTCTAAATACGGGAAAGTTCGAGTTCACTAAACTGTGTTATAGTGTCCACGTTGAATACCAGAGTCCAATGAACGCTATATTTATGGCCATTCTCAAGAGGGAATTAAGGAAGATGGTCCAGCGTCCCAACCAAACTCTGCTCACGTCGTGGTGGATTGAGGTTATCACCGTAAACTCGGTGGTTGTGCATTTTGAATATGCAAGAGAGCCAATAATCCTCCGATGACACTTTCAATATGTTGCGGCATACACCTTATAGGCACTGGGCAGGGCAGAAAAAAACATATACCTGGTGGATTTTCGTTCATCCAGCATAAGTGAACGAATTGCTACCGAGTTTTGGGCCAGCCAGCAACTCATGACTACCACGTTGGATCCATGCGACGTCTTTTGAATTTTTCATTTTTTTTTTTGCATGTGAACTGTAGTGACTAAGCTACGAAATTTGTAGATGTCCGTCCTGGCATCGATATATCCGTTCTTAGTTGAAAGTGTGGTGCTTTCAGCGAACGATCGTGCACTGCATCCGGCGCGGTGGGCTACACAGGAAGCCAAAAAGACGTCAAAAAACAATGATTTCATGATCCCCTTCTGGAACGTTAATCGACGAAGTCGGCAAGCTAAACTCCATACTTCCGTGGTCTCCATGCCGTATTTCTCAAATTCCATACTGTGGACGCACCTTGGTGCGTCCACTCACTAACGTGTCACGGAGTTAGCGGCGATATTTAATGGATCGTTGGCATGCGGATGTTCACTACTCCCCTGCAACCACTGTTGACTGAGGGATTTTTCGGATGCACCCTTCGTTGATTTGGCCTCGGCGATGATTTCTTCCTCCCTTGGCAGCAAGAATCGTTTAGCTGTCTTATGTGAGCTACGAAATGAATAATGCAATGCGCGAAATTGGGGCCTAGAGGGAGACGGATGTTTGGTTCCACGAAGGGCCGAAGCCCTGTGAGTTGGATGTGTAAGCTATTAGTACTGAAACTGACCTCTTTCTGCTCTCGGTTAGGGAAGCTAATGGCCCAGTTGAAGAAAATGCGTCGTTTTTCCTCTCATATTACAAATAGCTAACGATTTCGGTATGTAAAGGGACTGGGATACATATAAGTAGGTACAAGTGGTCAGTTTCCATTGAAATAGAGGTGACAGGCTGATTGGCTTGTATAATCGGAGTATTAGTTGGTTCCAGGTTGTATTGTGCAGGGCATTCACTTTCAAAAGGGACTGAGGGTCGCTTTTGACAGTTTCCCTCTTTCTAAGACTAGTTCGCAATACCTCAAAGGTCACAATATGATGCCTAGCGATCTAGGCACAATGTGCGAACTATACCACGCTCCTGCAAACGGTGGTGTGTTTGGTCCACTCCTGGACACAATAACAGGACGAACAGATGTGGAAGACATGACGGGATTTGTGGTTGTGTGGTTTGTGGTGAGTGTTGTGGGTGTGTTGTTGGTAGCGTTGGTGATGTTCGTGATAATTCTGATGATGAGATCCAGAACCGATACTGGCGACGAGGAAAAGGGCCACAGAGGAGCGCGCAAACAAGTACGATTTCTGAACGTTGAAATCGAGAGCTTACAAGACGATGACGGTGGGCTCCTGGATGAGAAATTTTGAGCCCAACCGTCCGTGGGGCCTCCCAGTTTAATGAAGGTTATGATTCTAGTACCGCAATTTGATTAATATGTAATGAGTAATACAAGGTTTTCTATTTGGGATTGTAGCGAAACACTGCGTCAATGCCGCTCCAGTCTGTGTGTGGCATCCCGGAGTGTGGTGGCGGTTGCTCGGTCGCTGGCCAGCAGCAAAGGAGGACAGGTGGGCCATTGGGATAAAGATGGCGGAGGCGGAAGTAGCGCCAGACTTCTAGCAGAGGTATAGTCGGGCCTGAACTTCTGGTTGCGCACGGAAAGAGCTGCTGTTGCACTGCCACCGCCGAATCCGCGCGAACCCGGTACGTCTGTATGATTCGGTTTTCTGTTAGCACGTTGGGGAGCACGATCCAGTCGCACGGATTGGCCGGTATCAAGTCTGCACTCCGGTTTGAAGACTTTCGCATACCCTGGTGATTTTCCATACAGTTTGTCCAAAACTTGTATTTTAGCAGATAGTTCTTGCGCTCTGATAGCATTGTTGCGACGGGCCATCTTTTTCTGGCGATTAGTAGCGCAGTGTAGCGGGATTTTGCGGTGAGAAATTCTATTCACGTCCTTACCATTCTGGACATGTCTGGTGTCCGTCTTACGAGTACGGGGAAAGAACTGCTGGGCGACTTGACGGGCTTTGTTGCAATAGTAGTCGCCGGCCAGACGTACATGGTTTTTACCCAGCAAATGGCTCTTTTTGACGCTGGGAGTATCGTGAGTTAGGTAGGAGTGGCAGTAGTCGCAGAAAAACCGTGGCATGGGTTGGAAATGGGTCACAGACGGGTTTTGGCACAGCTTTCGTGACCGCTGAGTTTGAGTATTCGACTGTTCTCATACATATTTTCATCGAAGTACTCTTGGTCGGCTGACATCCACCTACGAGTACTCAATTTGAGTAACTACTTATTAACACTGGCGCTTAGTCAATTACACCAACCTTATTAGAGCCCAACGATGCCTGAAGAAGGGCCGTTTGAAGGCTTTGCTACGAGCTGATGGAATGCTAAGTATTTTTAGGGAAAACACACTTCTAAGCGGCCGCGATCAAGGCTATTTGATGAAGCGGCATACGACAAAAGACTTCAATGCTTTTGGAGCCTATTTCCACCGAGTGAAAAGGACCTTCCAGCCTGTGTGTGCGGGTGATGTGTTTCATCACCTCGATTCAAGCTTTCCCAAAAGAAAGTCCATGTTTGCCTCACCTTCAGTCGCATTCTTGACGTTAATGATGTATGTTTGATTGTTTGGCAAAAGTAATGCGATTCTAGCAACAATTGAAGCCCCACAGACCTTTATGTCAGACCTATCCGAATTATGGCACCCTGAAGACAACCCGACAAGCAAGTGCTTCGGCCCAAAAAATTTCCATTAATCTCACCTGGTGCCGCATTAATCTAAGGATACTAATACTAGGTCTCGCTGTCAAGATATTTATTCAAGTCACTTTTCTGGGCACGATTTGTACCTTGGATTTGAGATTAGGTCCACAGCTCGTACTGGAAGCTCTCCCAAGTCACTTCTCTCAAGCACGCTGCAAGGTTTATTACTAGGGCTAGCCTCGCTTTCAGAAATTGCTTAAAACGATCATCAGAAGTCATTCTGATCTGCGAAGACAGATCGGCGAGGACAGATAACTACTGTTCTTTAGCTGATAACGCTGTCATTCGAAGTGTCAAGAACTGGATGTACTTACCAACGAATTGAGTTTAAAATTTTTTTCCGAGCAGGGAATATATAAGACTACCGCGATCCATCTACCAGTCTTAAAGTTTGGTGTTCATACCGAAGGACATCACGATCTTTATAGCACTTCCGCAATGTTTGCTGTGCCCCGTGTTTTCAGCCGTTTTGCCAGGCCGGTAACCAGAGGGTTTACCAGTTCTGCCATACGCTCGTACGCTGCTGCTTTCGATCGTTCTAAACCACATTTGAACATTGGTACCATTGGCCATGTCGATCACGGTAAGACTACTCTAACCGCTGCCATCACCAAGACCCTAGCCGTGAAGGGTGGTGCTGACTTTTTGGACTACGCTGCCATCGACAAAGCCCCTGAGGAAAGAGCCCGTGGTATTACTATCTCCACTGCCCATGTTGAATACGAAACGTCCAAAAGACACTACTCCCATGTTGACTGTCCTGGTCACGCCGATTATATCAAAAATATGATCACCGGTGCCGCCCAAATGGACGGTGCCATCATTGTCGTTGCTGCCACTGATGGTCAAATGCCTCAGACTAGAGAGCATTTGCTATTGGCCAGACAAGTTGGTGTCCAAGACATCGTTGTTTTTGTCAACAAAGTGGACACCGTTGAGGACGAGGAAATGTTGGAGTTGGTTGAAATGGAAATGAGAGAGCTGTTGACCCAGTACGGTTTTGATGGTGACAACACTCCCGTGGTTATGGGCTCTGCATTGTGTGCTTTGGACGGCAAGAGACCGGAGATCGGAGAAGATGCTATCATGAAGTTATTGGATGCGGTTGACGAACACATCCCAACCCCTCAAAGAGACTTGGAAAAGCCATATTTGATGCCCGTGGAGGACATTTTCTCCATTTCAGGTAGAGGTACTGTTGTCACTGGTAGAGTTGAAAGAGGTAATTTCAAGAAGGGTGAGGAGGTCGAAATCGTCGGCCACTCTGCCCAGCCTTTGAAGACCACTGTGACTGGTATTGAAATGTTTAGAAAGGAATTGGACAAGGCCATGGCCGGTGACAACGCCGGTATCTTGTTACGTGGTGTTAGAAGAGACCAGTTGAAGAGAGGTATGGTCTTGGCCAAACCTGGCACCGTTAAGGCCCACACCAAGTTTTTGGCGTCTTTGTACATCTTGTCCAAGGAAGAAGGTGGCAGACACTCCGGTTTCGGTGAAAACTACAGACCTCAGATGTATGTTCGTACTGCTGACGTCACTGTCGTCCTCAAATTTCCAGAGGCCGTGGAAGACCACTCTATGCAAGTCATGCCCGGCGACAACGTGGAAATGGAGTGCGAATTGGTCCACCCAACTCCTCTAGAAGCCGGCCAGCGTTTCAACATCAGAGAAGGTGGTAAGACAGTTGGTACTGGTTTGGTTACCCGTATCATCGAGTAATCTTTGATTGCGGTGCTGATGGATGCCCATAGATGATCCCCATGACATATTCTGCAGATACGTTACATGTATATAGTGAAAATAACAATCGATGACGATTTACATAATGACTCCCCAGCTTCTGTAAACGCTGTTCGCTAAAAGCTGTCCATGTCTGAGAACGGACATTTTTACGGTCTTATCTCATTCACTGTTATCAGCAATCGCTGCTCGAGTACTTTCTTCCTGAGGACACTTACTATCAAGGATACTGACAGACGAGATATATAATTACCTATTGCGTTCCGGCCAACGAGTCTACTCCATAACACTAACAAGAAACGGAACTCTTGTCGATGGTAGGTTGGCATTCACTATGGGCAGCCCTGCCGTTGATATGTAGCGTGTCAGCAATGCAGCACTTCTTTGTCGAGGATACAGATCACAATATCGATATCAAGCCGTTACCCAGATATCCTACTCTTAATCCAAATTCGTCTGAGGTTTTACGAACTGGGCGTCATGGAGCGGTTAGCTCAGACTCTGAAGCTTGTAGTCGAATCGCCGTCGAACAGGTATTGCAAAAATTCGAGAAGGCCAATGCTGCAGATGCAGCCGTCACGGTATCACTGTGCTTAGGCATGGTTAACTTCTTTTCAAGTGGGATTGGAGGAGGTGGCTACGCCGTCTTCCTCAGTGGAAACAAGCACGATTCTCCTTCTGACCCTTTTTTTGTCGATTTTCGTGAGCAGGCTCCAAAGTTGGCCCACAAAGAGATGTTTGCACACAATGCCAACGCATCTCAAACCGGGGGATTAGCGGTTGCTGTTCCAGGAGAACTGAAAGGACTGTATGAATTATTTATCCAGCGTGGCAGCGGTGGTGTTGAATGGAAAGATCTACTCGAGCCGGTCATCGAGCTGGGATTGAATGGCTGGGCCATAAACGACGTTACAGAGGCGGTTTTGAAAGTATATGAACCGTACTTCGTTGACCACCCACATGATTGGGGCTTCGTTTTGAACAAAGAAGGAAATAGGACGTTGAAAGCTGGAGAAACTATCAAGAGAACAGCACTAGCAGAAACGCTACGAGAGTTGGCACAGAATGGTACAGTGGCTCCCTTCTATGACCCAGATCATCGGATTGGCAAGTCTTTGGTGCGAAAGGTCCAAGAGACGGGTGGGATCCTCACTGGTGAAGACTTGTCGAGTTATTACGTCAACGTCTCTTCACCATTATCTGCTAAGATCCGTAAGGGGTGGGCCAACGTCCCGAACAACGATTTAGAGGTTTTCACGAGCAGTGGCTCGAGCTCAGGTGCTGCGCTCATGTCGGCCCTCAAAATACTTGACCATTTCCCAAATTCACAAGGAGGTGACTACTCACCAGAGCAGGCATACATTCTTGTAGAATGCATGAAATATATGTCTAGCGCCAGAAGCCGATTAGGGGATTTTTCCCTAAGTGGCAGTTTACCCGAGCGCATCGAAGAGGTATTGAGCGTGAACTGGACAGAGGCTGCAGTAGAAACCATTAAATTCAACATGGACACAATGTATACCTTGCCAAACTGGACTGATTATCACCCGCTATATGAAATGACAGATCCGCACGGAACCACCCATTTCAGTGTTGTGGATAAATATAATAATGCGGTCTCAATTACTTCAACCGTAAACCTTTTGTTTGGTTCCTTGGTTCATGACACAGAGACCGGTGTTATTTTGAACAATGAAATGGACGACTTTTCGCAACCTCGTCGTTCCAATGCTTTTGGGCTGGCCGCTTCCATATACAATTTTCCCGAGCCGGGCAAGAGACCGCTTTCATCCTGCGCACCTGTGGTGGTACTCAATGAGTTAGGCTATCCAGATTTGGCCATTGGAGCTGCCGGCGGCTCGCGCATCACTCCAAGCATATTCCAAGCTTTGGCCCGCATCTACTGGTACAATATTCCGCTCATGGAAGCGATTGCTTATCCTAGAATGCACCACCAGCTTCTACCCGACCAATTGGAGGTAGAAAGCTTTCCAATGCTGGGCAAAAGCACAATACAATCTTTGCGTCAAATGGGCCACAACGTGATTGAACAGCAACCAAAGAGTGTAGTGAACGGAATTAAAAGAGGCCTCGGGGAGTGGCACGCTGTGAGTGATTTTTGGCGCAAAAGGGGAATCGCAGTAGCCTACTAAAGATCATACCTCTAGCGGTGTACGCGTAACAGTCAACCAACTGGAATTATAATTGTCATATTCTACGGAATGTTATGTAAAGTGTTGAAACTAAACAAAACTGGATGTCGTACTTGGCGGTATCCAAGCGACTTCGAAGCATGGAGTCTCCTAAGCCCCTACCGAACCCTCCGAAGTCTACCAGGAGTGGAGCTTCTCCTACCAGAAATCAAAATTCACCTTCCAAAAGCGTGGATGAAGAAGACTTCGAGTTTTATAATGAGTTTTCGAGAGGCAACGTGAAGGATCTGATCCATGCTCTTACACAAGAGCTCAAGAGAACGGCATTGGACACCGAGTACCTGTTCTTACCGTTTCGCCCAGAGCAGTCGAATGAGAAGCTTTTAAAGTTTTTGAATCGTGTTTTTCCACTTGGAAACGGAGTCGCCGTAGCTGACGGAAAACTTGATAGATTGATCCGAGCAACTGATCAGTGGACTCTGTTTCAGGCACTTAAGTACATCTGGGCCAGACTTCCCGAGGGGCAGGTAGTAACATGGAGTGCTTACCACGCGTTTGAAGAACGTGAGAAAGCCGATGGGTTTTCTCCCAAAGCATTTTTAGAGCTTATGCCCAAATGTCTGGTTTCGCCTGATCACGCCTCCATTGTGTACGACTTCTTTGATCTCATAGTCACGATGGCGTCAAACTCTAAGCGGAACAAGATGAGCGCGCGTAAGATCTCGAAGATGTTTGGCATTTGGGCATTTGGGAGCGATGGCGGCAGAAATGCTGCAACTTCATATGATTTTGACAACGGCGTTGATAAAAGAAATGAAGACATTAACACTTTCCAGAGTGGGCTTGACCAATGGATTCCTGCATCTGATGCCATGTTCCATCTCCTTCTCGCGTTTATACGCAGTTTTGTTCCGCACGATTTGAATGATGCCAAGATTCCTACCACATTGAAGACTATATTATTCAATAACAACTATCCACCGAAGGACAGCACAGCATACTCTTCGGAAACCACTCTTACGGTTCCAATCGTGAGCCTGAAGACCACAAAATTTTCAAAAAAGCCTTGGCAACTTATTGAACGGTGTAACCAGCTATTCGACTTTGCAAATCACGATGCATTTGCGGCCCGAGAGGATTACGCTCTTTTGAAGTCGCTTTTCAAAAAGAAGAAAAACATTGAGGGCATTAGTCGTAAGATGTCGAAAGAGTCCCGTCGACTAATGAAAGAGATGTCTACCAAGCACTCTACATTTCAAGCTGGCTGGGCCTCTCAAACTTGTATTTCATCAGCTGGTGCATCCAAAGGTCCTAGTGAGCACTTACAAATGAGTCGCGTCAATATTGACGATTATTTTATTTGGGCCTGGCTCTCGTCTTTATCCCATGAACAGACATCGCGTAAGCGAAAAATATTTGGAAGATCTCTCATCTTAGAATTTGAATTTGACGGCTTTAAAAAGTGGATGGTCATCGAGGAATCAGACCTAAACGTGGAATTGGCGAAACGTCAGAAGTTTGATTCTTTAGAAAATATACCTCACGACGATTCAGCTATTCCCATCATTCAACAGGCAAAAAATGCGCGTAACATCACCCCAGCTTACGAAAAATTCCAAAAGAACGTCACTACGGAAAATTCCGTGGCCGCGGCCGAGAAGAAGTTACCTTTCGCACCTTCGATTGTCAATTCTCATGATGGACAAAATACTTCTCCTTCCCCCCAACCGAAAGACCACTTAAATGCGTTCAACTCAAACTCTAAGTTGAATTCACTTCAATCAATTTCCAAAACCCACCATGCCTCAAAAAAATCCCCAAGTACATTTCAAGCTCCTTTAAATGAGACCGGACATGAGCAACCAACTTATAAAAACCATATAAACTCTGACAATAATACCAACCGTCATGACTCAAGAGTTTTGAGTCAGTTCAGCATGTTGAATCCAGCTAATTACGAGCTGCCAACAGTGAAGCGTGAAGAGTTCAAGGTTGATTTACCCTCATTTGATAAAGAAAGTGAGGATTATAAAGGGCAAGGAAATGAATTTACGGAACCTGTCACCCTTTCTGTCACACCTCGTAACAAGGAAAGGGTGAAAAGCACTTGCATCGACGACTTGAACTTATTGGTTGACAAACTAAATCATCAAGTTTTGAATTCAGATCAAGAGGATGAAAAGTCAACCGAGCATGGTTCCGAGACGTTCGAAAGCCTTACAATGTTTGATAAGTATAAAAATATACCAGGCCAATCTACTGACACATTGGCAGAAAGCGCTACTTCCAGTGTTGCGCCTCTGAAAATTGGCGGCGGACAGTTTGATCAGCATTCAATGGCGTCTCAAACACCTCTAAGAATTAACAATCAGGATGGGCCCAACTCAAACAGCTTTGTTCACATTAACTCGAACGATGTAAATCCAATTGCTTCATTACCAGGGTCTGCGACGGACGTAAATTCTTACCATGACACGAACCCTTCTTTCGTTGCCAGAAAGAAGGTTCCCAATAGAAAGGAACCTGTCGCAGTATCGAATGAAATACCTCATTATGATATGCCCTCACAGACGTCCTTGTCAAAATCTTCATCACCTATTCTTTCAGCCCCTCGTGAAAATTTAGGGCCAACAAGAACAAAGGAGAGAGCAACAGAAGTGCATCATAATAATGTACAGCAACCTGTTGTACCAATCAAAATTTCAAGGCACAGTCCCGTGGTCGCTCAGGAACCCATGTATTATTCACACCAGCTGAACGAAGAACATCGCAAACAGCCAACAACTGGCATGGTAATGCCGCAAGCTCACGTTCAAGCTCAAAATACTGCACACTCTCAACAACCACAGGTATATCCACCAAACGTACATTACGCGAGTCGTCAAGAGGGACTGCATTCTCATGCAAGACCTCGACATGATTCCCCGCACAGGATGAAGCATACGATTGCACAACCCTATAATCAAAATCTTGTTCTCAACTCACGAATGGACAGCCCTCACTGGATATCGCAGCCAACACTTAATACCTATCCACCTGATCAGCGCCAGATACGAGCAGGGCACAGCGCGTCCGAGCCCAGTTTTAATTCTCCTACGTCACAAGCCCAGGGCTCAGCGCTCAAAAGTCCGCAATTGCCCCATAGATTTGGGCACTCGCCAATCTCAAACACTACACATTACATGGCACCCAACTACCAAAACACTGGGCATCAGCGTCCAGTCAATTCTAATCCTAGAATTGTCACTCAAAATCAACCTCAGCTCCCGAGCAATGCTATAACTTCACCCGTTGGGCCAGTCCCCTCAAGAACCCAACACCCACCCACATCGGCAGTACATGGCTATCCAATACAACAATCACCACGGATGGGTAGCCCAGGAACTTTCATCCCCCTTACAACTGGCCAACATGTTCCATATTCGTCGTCTCCTTCGCATCTCGGTTACGGTGTAATGCAGACTACAGGGTCTCCTAGGCCACCTATCGGAGGCAAACTACACGGTGGATTTGCAACAAAAAAAGATGACCGTAAGAGGCTTCACGACACAATAAGAAATGGTGCTTTTGGGATTTAAGCACATTCATTTGAGTCTTAAATCAAATGAATGGAACTTATTAAATCAGATCTGCATCAGCCGGATTTCCAAAAATTAACTTCATTGGTTACCACTATATAAGATATAATTTGACGTTCATTATAAACCCTAAATACTAGAAGAACAAAACGTTCGAAATAAACGTCGAAGTTTATAGTTTGTTAATAGCTTTCTTTACCAACAGCTCGAAGAACAATTTCTTCATTACAGCTGGCAAAAAATACTCCGATACGGGGAGTCGAACCCCGGTCTCCACGGTGAAAGCGTGATGTGATAGCCGTTACACTATATCGGACTCTTACAAGTCTTCATTGCTATTCAATTATTAGTTCCACAGCTAAAGTCAGAAGCTTTTTCTAGAAAGCTAATTGTTGACCAAATTGTCATGTCCTTAGTCGCATTTGATTGACGGGAGCATTCTGTCTTCGAGAGTTGCATCGACCATTGTGCTGTCCTTTATGTCCCAAGATCAAGCCCGTGAATCGAAGGAATCTCAAGACTCTACAGAGCTCAAGAGTTCAGGCAAGGACAAGCCTGAATCCCTTCCAGCTCTAGAATGGGAACACGTTCAGAGCAGTATTCCTGTAGAGAGCTTCACGAACTATGAGATAAACTTCAACGGATGGGCCAGGAAAGATCGCTTGAAGACTAGATTAGAAGAGCGAGCCAAACACCTTGAAGAAGAGGAGAAAGAACGCGCAAAGAAACAAAAGTTAGACCACGAAAACGAGGTAAAAGCTTCAGAAAAGCACAATGAAGGAGATGAAGATTTGGGTTCCGACGATTCGGAGCATGAGAGTAAGCCAGTAGCCGAAAAAAGGGAAAAAGATGTAGAGTCAGGTGGAACATTAAATGGGAAAAGCGTTAAAGAGGGCGACGAGAATTGCTCAAAAGATGTTAAGGATGGTTCGGTGAAAGATAGTGGCAGTGAAGATAATATGGTGGAGTAGACCGGCTCATTTTCCAAGACTATCTTAAACTGCTTAATAAACTCTGTGGGTTGGTGATGTAACGGACGTCCTTGCTTTTCCTACTCTCAGTAAATTCGGATAACAAACATTGGACACCAAAATTGATGACTGTTTATTTGCAAAATTATTACGATGGTCAATTATACCACATCGCCTAATTTTGAAAGTCCATTTTCCAAATCACTCCCCATTCGTCGCCCATTAGATAATTGGTGTTTTCCCGATCAAATAACGCCGAAGGAGGAAAAACTGGGACCGTTAATACACATGTGAAATATTCAAATAGAAAGATTTGTCATTGGAATCTATGGCATCGGTGCCACCGAGATCGTTTCAATTTGTGGCTTCACTTTATTAATGCAACATGGTGGCTATAACAAGGCGGCAAGAACAATGTGTCAAAAAGTGTCACTGTTCTAACGTGTTGCATGATAGTCTCTGTAATTTCACCAATTTCGGTATTCGACATGCAGTATTTATTGTTCTGGAGCGTATCTCAAACTACGCGAGATCTATCTGCTGCGATTGTCAAGACAAAAACTATAGAATGGCAATAAAGCGTAACTTGTCGGGCTCTATCCCCGCCAAGGCAAGCTCGGCTCGAAAAGGAAGGCAAAATGTTCTCATCAAATGATTACAAATTGCCGGTTATTTGTTCAATGTATATTATGGTTCATCTTGGCCAAAACGCTTGGCATATCAATTAATTATATAATTCGCATAAACAGGGTTCTCATCCTGAGTCATTTTAACTTCAAAGATCAAATTGTAAGGCATGTTGTACTTCAACGAACGTACATCATAGCCGAAAATTCACGCAATCGAAACATATCGCATATCAATAGTCACCTCGTGTAGCCTATGGCTCTGATACTGAGTTGCCGCTCTTTTCAGCAATAGCTTCCACGACAGAGTTTTTTCCGCCATGTTCAGAGGATGTACTTTCAACTTCTTCACCATATAAGAATACAACCTTTTCGCTTTCCTCCTTACCCATAACTTTCCGGAAGAAGTGATACAGAGCAGAGCGACTCTCATAAATGGGATAAAATGTGATGTACAAGAACGCAATGAACAGCCAAATAATACTGACGACCACCCATCCTTTGAAAAATCGTTTGGACATAATATATTTTTGGCCATACATTGGAAATGGGAGGATGAACGTGAAAGACAACCAGATACAGAAAACCCCCAAAGATGCCCATTTAAAGATTCTGTCTAGCTTCGCCTTTGTGGCTTCATCCAGTTGCATCAACTTCTGTTCGCTTGCCTTGGCATCATCACCGATCTGAAATTTCTCACCCAGATCTTCTAAGGAATTATCACTAGGGAATAGGTAGCTGACGATAACACAGTACAGCACAGTTGATCCAAAGGTGGAGAAGTTAGCTATGATAGTGGAATTGACAAGGGCTAGGTTATCCTTGTTGACAGCTCCGTAAAAGTGCTTACAGGCACCAATCCAGCAGCAAAGACCAGTTGCAGATCCAAGAGGTAACGCGTAATAGAAGCAGTACTTGCTCATTCTGGGCCAGAACAAAGTGAGAGTGATTCCGACGGGAGCCGCACCTAAAATAATACCAATGAACGTTAAAATCCAAGAAATGGTGATACCAATATAGTTGAACATTACGGTCAGTCCAGCGATGAATAGCGCAAAAACAACCACAGAGATATGAGAAACGGTAACAAGTTGCCTTCCGGTTGCTTCAGGTTTCACATAAGCTCTGTAGATATCATATGTCACCACTGAGGAGAAGGAGACTAACTCAGCAGATAACGATGACGTGCACGAAAGGAAAAGAACTAAAATACCAGCAGCCGCCCCAGCTTTTCCCATTATCGCATATAGACCATACAGTAAAGGCATGCCCATGTTGACTTCCATGGCCGGAATGGGATGTGGGTACGTTGGGGAAGCAGGGTTGTTGGTGAGGGCTAATGCAGCCAAAGCAGTTCCAAGACCAAAGCTCCAGGGAATAATGAACCAACATAAGGATCCAATAACGTAACCAGAAATAGTGGACATAGGCTTAGCAGCGATAGCTTTTTGACCATAAGATGGATCCGCAAACACAGTAGCCCATCCGCTCATTATTTGACTCCATGCGAGCATGACTAGAGCCTTGTTCGAAAACGTTAAATAGCTGCCTTCGTGACCAGCAGAAGGATGTGTCTTTGAGACCTCGTGCAGTAAATCCCACATTTTACCCGTAGATCCAATTAGATCAGAGGTGCAGTAGCAAACCAAGAGGGAACAGATAATCACCAAATAGATGATGACAGTGTGGATCCAATCACTCAAAAAAGTACTTTTCAAACCACCCAGCATAGTATAAGCAGCAACACTAATTGGAAATAGAAATGCGCACGCCACGATGTGGATATCGGCAACATGTGCAAATGCCTGGGAACAGCCAAGCAATAACATACTTGCGATAATGGTGTTGGTACCACAAGAATAGAATAGGTAGACACAATGAGCAGCTTTTCCAAAACGAGCTCTGACAATCTCCACGATTGTATGGGCACCAGTAGCCTTTCTTTTCATCTGAAGCGCAATAAGAGTGAAAAGCATCGAATGGCTGATACCGCTGATACCATACCAGTAGCCACCGGCGACACCATACCTATAGGTATAAACACACGAAGAAAGAAGGGTACCGGGCCAACACCACGATGACACCACGGCAGATGAAATTAAGCCGGATTTGATAGAACGCGACGCCGTCGAAAAATGCTCCGAATCTTGAACCTCACCCATGTATTTTGTCAATACTTTTGTGACCAGAATCATGATAAGTGCGAAGGCTGCCCCGAGGCCCACCACAAAGCCGTAGCCGTAGCCTGCGTCCAATATTTGAACCATATTGATGACTTTGTTGCAATTTGACTACTGTTGCCCCTCAAATCTCAGCAAAGCTAACTTGGACTTATTTCAGGAAAAGACCTGCTATTTATATGCAGCGGTGGTCGCACTTTAGCAGGGTGTGACAATTGTAATACACTGGTTGTGCTTGCTGTTGGGCGTTATCGATCTTATCACAATGTAGTCCAGATAAGAGAAGTCGTTACAGGATTTAGCAATAGCGAGAGGGTAGCTGTAGGCAATGGATGGGATGATAACTTTGACCAACAGCAGGGGTAATGCACCAAACGTAATTTTATCAGATCATTTTTGCTGGTCGATTAACACGACGTAGAGGTTTTCTGCCCGATTTGATAGTTTCTTATCTTATTTGACTGAAATTATTCGGATTGGCAGCCTTGTAAGGAAAATATTGACCGATTTTACCGTTCAATCTTATCTTAAATCTCGGTCCCTTCGGCAGATTCGGTCCGATGTTCCTATCGAGCTTATCTTGATATAATATAACCACTTATTAGATAGAAGGAAATTAGAATAACGAAAGGTTCGCCATAGCACTGTTTGTATTCAGTTACTTATTCTCCCAAGGTCTCGTTTGTTAGGCTAGACTCGGTAGGCCGACGTGAATTCAGTCAAAACACAAGGGAGTTCTACACATGTCAATTGTATCTTTCAAAGTTTCTGACGACAATCCTGTCACCGATGACACAGTCAAAACTCAATTAGGGAAGCTCAATGTGTCACTTTTGCCAGGAGAAGAAACTGATTTCAAGTCTTTTTTAGCCGCTGCCCATGAAACGGCCAAGTCCGTTGAAGCCATGAGTGATTTCAAACCGACGACAGACTTGAAGCGGTTTCCCAGGAAGAACATAGAGGCAGTAATGGCTAAGGACAAACTTGGGGCGTGGGTGTACAAGTTTGAGATACAAGACACGACTGAAAATGACGGACCTTTACGTGGAGTTTCCATTTGTGTCAAAGATTGTATTGGAATCGCTGAAATCCCTCAGGTAATGGGAACCGATTGTTGGGAACCATGGGTTCCTTCAGCGGATGCCACTGTGGTGACAAGACTTCTCCAGGCAGGTGCCAAGATCATTGGAACGTCGAATTGCGAACAGCTGTGTGCCTTTACTGGAAGCCATACATCATGCCTAGGAAACGTACACAACCCATATATGCACGGACATTCCGCTGGCGGTAGTAGCTCCGGTTCTGCCGCTCTCGTAGCGGCCGGCGAAGCAGACATGGCTTTAGGCGCGGACCAAGGGGGGAGTATCCGGATTCCTGCAGCAATGTGTGGTTTAGTCGGCCTCAAACCGACTTTTGGATTAGTTCCCTACACTGGAATTACTAGTAATGAGTACACACTGGACCACGTAGGACCGATGACAAAAACGGTGGAAGAAAATGCCAAGATGCTTCAAGTTTTGGCAGGCGCTGACTGCTTTGATGACCGCCAGGCTTCGGTTCCTAAGACGCTAAGCTATGATTTCAAGAAACCTCGCAAGCTTGTGGTTGGTGTCTTGAAGGAAGCGTTTCAAAATCCGTTTTTGGAAGAGGCTATGAAAGCTAAGATACTGGAAGCTGTTAATAAATTCAAAGAGCTTGATTACCAAGTTGTGGAGGTATCTGTCCCTATGCACGCGAAGGCTCCAGAAATCTGGTCCGTTGTAGAAAGGGTGTCTGGCCTTCACAGTCGCATGGGGCACGCAAGTGGAAGACGTTTGTATTCTGATCCTGAATTTTTCAAACATACACACTTGCTAGGTGAAAGGTTTTTCTCCAAGGCGCCGGTAAACGTTAGGAACAGTATGATCAATGGCCTCTATTTCGAACAACATTTTCCCGGGCTTTTTGCAAAAGCGACAAATCTAGTTCTCAAACTTCAGTCAGAATATGACAACGCGTTGTCCCAAGCGAATATTCTAATAGCTCCAACAACTCCCTTTGTTGCACCACCACACGGACCTCGTGAGGGTTCTCCCAAGGATAGGATAAGCAGTACTTTTGGAATAAACACCAATAGCTGCCCCCTAAACTTATCTGGAAACCCTGCTCTAAGCTTACCAATTGGGTTTTTGCCTTCCCATGAAGACTCTTCATTTAAACTCCCAGTTGGAATGCAAATCATCGGCAAGCATTTCGACGAAGAGACTATTTATACCGCAGCTTTTGCTTGGGAGCAGCATTGCGATTGGCGCTCTGAGTAGCAGCCTGACAGGTGATAGAGCAATACTCCAATCTTATATATGAAGCCAGTTCGGACCGAGTGAGGATCATAGCTTTAACTTGGTAAATAGAACACAATACATGAGTAGACATGAAATGGAGGTCACAATCGAAGAGGGATCTTCTTGGCGAGCGTCAGAGCTAGCATAGGTTCGTGATAGCGCACCATCTGACTTGCATAATAATCAACATCAAATAGTGCCAACGTATTACGAGGTGAATGTTATAAGGCCACTAAAATAAAAACGTACAGTGTAAGTCTCGAACTAATAGGATTGTGTTGGAACGGTATATGTTGAAACGGTGGGTGTCGGACCATTTGTTCAGAATGGTGTTAGCCACTAGGAAACCGATGGTGTGTGGGCCTTATCGCATAATCAGCGTCAGGAGATGTGTGACATACTGGTACAGAATGATCACACATAACAGAGATCATACAACTCGGCTTACCATCCAAGACAAGCCGAAGAGAACAACTGTTGTCCAATGGAAATGATTATTGATAAGAATTGGCATTGCTCGGCATCAAGCTGTAACTCATCGAGAATAGAATGATCTAAAACGGGTGGTTTATAATTATGTTATTCAGAGTCACCGAGCGAGAATTGTATAAATACCAGGCGTTTGTTAAGGTAGCTGAACCAGCTCTGATGCTTTAAATAATCAGGGAGAGATAAAAAGACTTTCCTAGATCCAAGTTACTCATCTTAAAATGACTACAAGACACATTTAGTAAGCCTTTTACTAATAAATCCGATTCGCCTCATTAGAATCAAAGCCCAAAAATCATGGAGAGAAAACCAGAAGTTGCCTTCAATGCTCAAGAATCAGTATTGAGTAGTCAGAAGATTGCACACGATGTATATTAACAAATTCAACAAAAACTCAGCAAATCACCTACTGCTAACGCTGACTCGCTCCAATATGAACAGTAACCAGTGGCCGAGATCGAGATTAATCGCTAGCACTTATGTGCATAAATATGCCTAAAAGCTAAGTGCCTACGCCGCTAGTAGTTAGTCGGGTTTACTTTCCGAACTTCTGCTTAAACTGAGTATTATCCAGTCACTAATTACGCTTGTGTCGGGTGTTGAATGTCCGATCGATCGGCTTGTAACCATGCCTATATCGGCCTGTAACGATTGTAACAGCCGATATCATTTACATTATTTTGAGTATAAGAACGACTATACTGATCAGGATCAATGCTGATGGTTAATTGAAACTATTTAGGAATTTTTAGCTCCTAGGGAACTCGATCTTTACTAGCACTTGAGTCGTTTGAGTCGTTTGAGTTGTTTGCCCAAAATGGACTCAGCACTGTCGTCAGTAGTATCTTCAGATATTGATAGCTCTAAGGCAAATCAACATACTTACGCTCCAGAGGCGAGAACCTTGGACAATGCAAATCTTATTTCCGAGCTGAAAAAAGTAGTGTCACTTCACTCAAAGTCGTCAGACGCCGAGGAACTGCACAAGATACTTACGCAGAACAGTCGAGGGATCGAAAAGACATTGGAACGATACGAATCTCAAACGCATGGCCTCGGACCCATCGAAGCGCCTCTCGATCTCGAACGAGAAATCACTCATCCAGATCCCAACTCTTACTTACATCCTGAGGACAAATGGAAATACGCGGTAGACCAAGAGACTGGATTAAGAATCGTAGATTTTGTGGAGGATGACCATGAAGATCCTAGAAATTGGCCAAAACGGGCAAAGTGGAACTACACGGTATTACTAGGGATTATTTGCTTTGATGTGGCAATGATGTCTGCCATCATTACTGGGGATCTGGACTCACCCGCTGCTCATTTTAATGTATCGATAGAGGTTATGTGTCTCTGTGTATCACTTATGGTGTGGGGATTTGGGCTGGGACCTCTACTTTTTGCGCCATTATCCGAGGAGTTTGGAAGAAACCCTGTTTACTTGGTGACGCTGCTCGTTGCGGTTGTTTTCATCGTGCCCTGTGGTGCGGCAAAAAACATTGGAACTCTGCTGGCTTTCAGATTTCTAGACGGACTCGCATTTAGTGCACCTATGTGCTTAATCGGTGGTTCGCTTAGTGACATGTGGAGAAGTGATGAACGTGGTGTCGCGATGTCGCTTTTTTCGGCAGCCCCATTTTTGGGTCCTGTGATGGGCCCCATTGTTGGCTCACTGATTTCAGTCAAGTGTTCCTGGAGATGGGTATACTGGTTCATGTTAATCTTCAGTGGATGCATTTATGCAGTTATGGCTGTGTTCATGCCTGAAACTCACCATCAAAAGATTTTGAGAAGCCGAGCTAAGAATTTACGGGATCTCACGGGCGATAGCACTTATCGGGCCATCAGTGAAATTAAGATCCGGAGTATGAAAGAAGTTGCAAAAGTAACGTTGCTACGGCCAATCATTTTGTTATCCGAATTGATTGTTTTCCTTATTACGCTTTACATGTCTGTGATTTACGGTCTTCTATACATGTTCTTCTTTGCGTTTCCCATGGTCTACACTGAAGGAAAGGGGTTTGGTCCGATCAAGACCAGCCTTATGTTCATACCCGTTGGTGTAGGTGTAATTCTCTCAACCGTTATATCACCTTTTCTCAACAAGGACTACCTACGGAGAGCGAAAGTATACACCGATAGAGGAGAGGTGCCTCCTGCAGAACTGAGACTTATTCCAATGATGATCGGATGTTGGTTTGTTCCCATCGGACTTTTTTCCTATGCGTGGTCATCCTTCCCCTCTGTGTCGTGGGCCGGTCCTTGCTTTAGTGGTCTCGCATGTGGGTTTGGGTTCTTAATGCTGTACAATCCGGCCAATAATTATATAGTCGATTCCTATCAGCATTATGCAGCGTCTGGCCTCGCTGCCAAGACTTTTGTGAGATCGATTTGGGGTGGTGTTGTTCCATTGTTCACAATACAAATGTATCACAGGCTGGGTTATGAATGGGCCAGTACCTTGATGGCTTTTATCGCTTTAGCATGCTGTGCGATTCCCTACCTTTTCTATTTCTTTGGTGCGAAGATTAGACAAAAGTCCAAGTATGCTTACTCACCTGCCATTTCATCAAAAAAAGATTTGGAATTTCAAACCGTGGAGGAGAATTTCGATACCAAAGAGACGAGCAGCTAAGTCCCAATAATATCCCGAAAACTTGCAGAATAACTCTTTAAGCGATCGCAAATTATAGGAGGCAACTGGTCGTTAACTGCTCGCACGTAATTTCCAAAACATAATCATTATAGCGTTAAAATGCTGAACATACTTAATTTGCAATAGTAAATGTGAAGAATTCTGCCGTAAACCACCGGCATGCAAACAATAGTTCGGCATTACCTCTTTTGTACCGGAGTAAGCAATGGCTGCTCAGAGTATTTAATTCAGCTAAGGCTGCATTTTTGAGCGTAGTTGAAGGGGCCCAGTGCGCCGGTGTGCATCCCGTACTATATTAGTTTTCTTATTTATATTGTTCACCAATGCCTTGCTGCTTGAGTTACTCTTGCACCTGCTCGCGCTTCATTTGCTCGCGGATTCGTGCTTTCTCAGCCTCAATATCTACGTTATACTCTTCTGCAATCTTTTTCTCTAAACGCACTCTTTTTTCTAGTCTTTCTTTCTTCATTCTCGCTAATTCGGCCTTGATTTCGTACGGTTCTTTAGGGATTTTATTCAGCGTTTCAGGGTCGGGCCAGAATCCTGGAACGTTAAGCTTCTTATCTGTATCAATACCAATGTAATACATCACAGCAACAGGTGACAAGAGACAGAATGCAAACCGAAATACCTCCAGTTGAGATCTAGTATATCTGAAGGGTAATTTCATGATGAACAAGAACCTTCTTCAAGTAGACAAACAAACACTGCTGTTCAAACCTCTAGTATATGTTTGAGTTCCTTTAAAGGGTGGACTGTTATAGTGACTATCTTGTAGTATAGGAAGTTGGTGTGTATTCAGGCATCTTATTTCATTCGAGTTAAAGAAAAATTTATTGAAGCTTATTTAAAATTTGAATCATCTCATCGCGATCAACTCACCCACTAATGTCAGTGGCTAAGAAGGCAAAAATCAACGTTATGAAGCAAATTTGTACGCATTCAGGATCTTTCCATGCTGATGAGGCCTTGGCAGTTTACATGCTGAAGATTCTCCCAGAGTATAAGGATGCTAAAGTGGTGAGGTCTAGAGAGCCTTCCAGATGGGAAGAAAGCGATATCGTCGTGGATGTGAGCGGTAAGTATGATGCTGAGAAGGGTCTCTTCGATCACCACCAGCGTGAGTTTTTTGAGACCTTTAGTGATAGCTTCAAAACCAAGCTCTCCAGCGCCGGGTTGGTGTACAAACATTTTGGCCAGAAAATCATTAAGACCATGCAACCCCAATTAGCGGAAACGCAAGTAGATTTTCTGTATGAAAAGGTATACAGGGATTTCATCGAGTCATTGGATGCCAATGATAACGGAATCAGCAATTTTGACAGTGAGGAACTTGGTGTGAAGCCTCGCTTCCATGACAAAAATATCACAATTCCAGGCATTGTTTCCGGTATGAATCCTAACTGGAACGATGATTGTACGGACGCTAACTTTGACAAATGTTTTTTCAAAGCGTCTGACTTCATTGGTGGTGTTTTCGTTAACTTGGTCAAAGGCTACGGTGAATCTTGGATGCCGGCCAAGACCTTGGTTCAGGAAGCTGTGGAGAAAAGATTTGAGGTTGACGCTTCTGGCAAGATCATAGTCCTAAAGCAGTTCTGTCCTTGGAAGGAGCATTTATACACCATTGAGAGGGAATTGGGTCTGGAGAACGAAATCCAGTTTGTGTTATTCGAAGACTCCTCAGGAAAATGGAGAGTTTCAACTGTTCCGGTGTCGGCTACATCGTTTAAATTTAGACAAGGTCTTCCTGAGCCTTTAAGAGGCCTCAGAGACGACGAATTGAGCACAAAGAGTGGCTTGCCAGGCTGCATCTTCATCCATGCCGCCGGATTCATCGGGGGAGCTCAATCCAGGGACACGGTATTGAAGCTTGCTCAGCTGAGCTTATAGATCTAGTCAGATTTCGACTGTTCTCTTGAATCGAGCCAGAACATTTAAAGACCCAGTGTCCCAGCTTATTGCTGGCAAATATTGCGGCTACAGATATACTACCTGTACATTAGGCTGGGAACCAATAGTTTAGATCCTTTTATTTATAAATGCTTTTACTCAATGCAAAGCATTATACACCTTTCTCTGACACTCTGGATTGGCACCGTTGGTATTACTCAACAGTGACAACCAGTTCAATCATTTTCACAGGCCACAAAACTTCAAAAGATCACTACTACCATGAGGTCTCGAGTATTTCGGAAGAACTAAAGGTGCACTTGTTTGCGACCGCCTTAACTTCCTGAGAAGAAGCTTATCAGCCGTTATAACTTAAAAACTTGCCAAAGTCTTTGGACTAAAGCTCTTGCAGGACATTTTTATTGTTGGCAGAGACGGACTGCACTGGGATGATCAGTGGCAGCGCGATGAACTGCTCGCGAACATTTGAATCCAAGCCTTCTACAAACTCGTTCCCCATGTCACTTCCAACAAAACCAGGGTGGCCAAGACAAATCTGTATCCCTCTGGGGACAGCTCTTGCTGCAATTGTTTGAAGGCATAGTTGAGACCAGCCTTCGACAAACGGTAACCTGAGGTAGAAAGACACATTGGCAAGTCCACAGAACCAACGATACAATTTATGGCAAGAATTTTCTTTATCGCTAAAGCCCTGACCTAATTGGACTCAAGGTGTTCTCAATAAAATGCTCGAGATAAAGGTCGTCCGTTAAGGCCAGGACTGGATCAGAAGTCTTGGTGATACCTGGGTTAATGATCAGGGCATCGATCCCATTTAGGGTAATTTCCTGCGTAATTTTGGCGGCGGCTTTCACACTGTCGGCAGATGCGACATCCAATTTCAAGGTGTTGACATTCGAGTGCCTGTCAGCTCAGGTTTTCAATTCTGTCGCTGCATTCCTGTTCCTAGTAGTGGCAGATACGGTGTTAGTGGAGTCTTAACTCAGATCTTTGACGAAAGAGAAACCATTGCCTTTGTTAGCGCTCGAAATGAAATAAGTCTTGGACATGTTAATGGTGTTAAATTGTTAGTTCGATGATGCTTATTGTAAATAGGTCAAGTGTTCTAATCTGTTCTGTTAGGGCAGGAGGTGGGACAGCTTGAAAAAGATTGAACCGCCGATTGTACAGTTTGGGGACTCAGTTTCATTTATAAAACTCGAGGATTTGTGGCGTGAAGATGGTGAACTGCCAGCTTCAAGATAAGTAACCACTTATTATATTCGAGTACTTGTAGAAAGCCTCCAGCCATACTGCGACATCGCCTAACGACCAGATCAACAAAAGGCGAGCGCTGGTAAGTTGACTCTCCATGTTCAACTATTCTATGATACGATACACACGCTCAAAACACATTTTTCGACCGGCTTAAATACTGGTGCCAAGCGTCTTTTTCGACAATTAGTGACATACCGTTGAGCAGACATGTGTCAGGCCAAAGAGGATAATTCTGAGATTTATAAGTCATTAGCAATGTAAATCGGAGTGAAACTTGGAAGTAAAACTACATGAGTAACCACAGCGTCTGTCTGAACTTATGTTCTTGACTGAGAATATGTGAAAAGATGATTATGATGAGCATTATGCTCGAGACCTAACGGCCGATTAGCAGAACGACAACGACTCACCTTATATTGAGGCGAATCTGATTCATCAGTAGAAAGCTTACTAAATTTGTCTTGTAAGTCGGACATAGTCATTGTTAAGATGATTAACTTGGATCTAGGGAATTCTATTTATCTCTCCGTGATTATTTTAGGCATTAGAGTTGGTTCAGTTACCTGAACAAAAGCCTGGTATTTATACAATTCTCACTCGGTGACTCTGGTCAACATATTTATTAATCACCAATTCTAGATCATTCTATTGCCCAAGGATTACGGCTTCAATGCCGTACACTACCGATAACTTATCAGTGGCCAATCCCATTGGACAACAGTTGTTCTCTTCGGTTTGTCTTAGCTTGTAACTCTATTTGTATGGCCTCGGTTGTGTGCTATCATTCTGTACCACTGTGTCACATATTTACTGACGCTGATTATGCGATTGGACGCACATCACCATCAGTTTATTCACATTATTCCCAACAAAAACAGAGTCCAAGCTGAGACTTTTGGCAACCTCTACACACTGTACGTCAGCTCAAGCAACAACTACCTATAAATCCAGTTACTTGTTATTCCTCAGCAAGGAATTATTGAAAAGTTATTGCATACATGTTACTAGATGTGGTGACTGTTTTTGGAATGGTACTAGTGTCTTGTGTTCTCAGTCCAAGTATTATCGACATATTAGAAGCTCTTGTTGCTAATAAAGTAGCTGGCAGAGCTCGCTTCAAGGATGTTGGCCTTGTGTTGTTCGTATACAATGCTTTATCAAGGGACTACGCCAATCAAAGAAGTTTTAGTTGGTACGTAGTCGGTGTGCCCAATCGTGAAAGAACAACCCTTACTTATCTCAGGGCAATTAGTCGAGGGTGAGCTTCTTATTTGGCAGCTACTCCAGCTTTGACTTTGAGCGCTTTCAGATTGGAAGGCGAGTCAAAACCGTCCAACAATCGGCCTGTCTTGTCGTGGAGGCTTACAGATCAAACGCGGTTGATATTTGTGGCAACCCCATAATAGCCATCTAGGCGTTGAAGAGATAGACTCACTTTTCTAAAATGAAGAGCTTGAGATGGACCAGCAAAAGTAGGAAGTCGTCGACGTCCGCGGCCGACAGCCGACACACAGAACATCACAAAAATAGCACGGATAATAATCCAACCAACTTCGACAGCAGCGAGACACACGAGGACGATCCAAACCCTCCACATTCTCAAATTTCGATTGCAAAGCGCCCCACCATTTTCAACAAGCATTTGACCTCCCCTCCGTCCGTATATCTGTCAGAGAATAATATCAAGTCAAACCGAAGCTTGTCTTCTGGTAAAGAGCCCGCCACCACAAGTGATCCCAACGAACGAGGCGATACAGGCCATGAAGATTCAATTATGGATGATGATCGCTCTACAATGGTTTCACAGGCGCGTTCTGAGCAACCAGGACAGCCCTCTGAACCACTGGGACCAACTACAAACTTCAACAGCGAAAACTATGACAACTACACTTTTAAAATCGGCTGGGTCAATAAGGCTGGTGCGGGCCAAGCGATGAGCAACCGCGATAGTAGGCTCTATATTAACGGAAACACGTCGATGGAATCCCAGTCTCACGGGAAAAAAGCTATGAATTATAGAATCCACAGAGCAACCCTACGAGGGACCGTGCTGAGCCTCTACAAAAGCGGGATATCCAACGTCAAATTCTTTAATCCAAATTTACCGCCACCTGCGCATTTGGCTGAACAACAGTCACGCGGCGGAGATTCATACCAGACAAATAGTTCCGAGCACAACCACCATAACGCCAGTGACGATCAGTCAACTTTGGTGGAAAGACAACGGAGGGACTTGGCTTACTTGAGCTCGGAGTTTCCGCATCCAGACTTGAAGTGTGACAGCGATGGGCGCTTGATCTCCGGATCTAACGAAAGTATATGTCATATGATTTTATTTTGTCCGCCATTCGATGATACTGACACCAAACGAATTATTGACATCCTTCTGATTTTACCGCTGATAGATAAATTTGGAGCATTTTTGAATATCTTTCAAATCTTCGGTGTTACATTTACCAAGCATCGCTCCAAGTTAGTCAACTCCGCAAGACAACATCACCAAATATCCGCAAAAGTTGACTTTTTAATGACAGAAAGATTGGCAATGGTTGTGAAAGCTGTCTTGGATGTGTTTTCTGGCTTTCTTCTTAATGACAAGCTATTTTCTCAGATTGTGGATTTAGTAGATGTCATATCTCTGCATGACGATGAGATCTCGACAAATTTAAAGATGGCCATAGTTGAGAGGCAAAATAAGTTAAACGCTTTATGTGCGTTTACTAAGCAAAAGGTAACTTCAGTGGATGTTCAGTCGCTAACCAGTAGGGACTATTTCCTGAAAATGGACTTAGACGATTTTGCTATCGGCGTTCATCAAATTAACTTGAAATTTATGGCACAATGGAGCCCTCAAGTGGATTACTCGTTACTCTACGAATCAAATTTTATTGACACCCATATCAATCTCAATCCCATGATCTTCAGAAATTCCGAAAACGTTCATTTTCTGGGTAGACTACTGGTCACACATTTATTTAGTGATCAATCGAATTCTTCGCAAGAACAAACCGCCGATGTGTTGAGCGCCTGGGTGAAATTAGGTTGCAAATTTGAGAAAATAGGTGATATGGTCTCTTGGTTGGCCATTGCCACTGTGGTTTGCTCAATTCCCGTACTGCGATTAATTTCAACTTGGGAACTAGTCTCAGAGCAAACTCTTAAAATCATATTCAAAGACTGGGTCCCCACTATAGTTCAACTAGACAGACGACAAATCTCCTCAAAATCTGCTAACAGTGTTTTCATACTGGCTCCTCCAAACCTCAACGAAGCTTATATTAGGGAAAATGTAATCCCATTTTTTGGAGACCTATCGATAAGCGCCAATGACCTCCCTACGGATACAAAGTTTAAGTATCTTGAAAAGAAAATTCACAGAACCAAAAATGCATTTTTCAAATGGCAGCAGCGTATTGATCAAGCCAGAAAGGATGACGCAGGAGGCCAGAAATTTCAAATCGATCAAGAACCTTGCCACAGCACTAACATTATTTATCGCTATTGGCAGTTTCATTTACAGCAAACGCCGATGAATATTGAAAGCATCATGAAGTTGAGTTTAGAGTTGCAGCCACCGGTCGTAAGCCAACAGGATTACTCCGCTACCAGCTCCAGAAGAAGTGCACTATTGACAGGAAGTTATCTTCCAATGCTTTTTAATGAATTGTTACCCAGTTATTCGCTATTTCCACGGGATTATTTGATTGGTGCAGCTGGAGTCACAGCTGATAGTGGCGAGTATCCCAAAAGGGGTGTCAACATTCGAAAAATCAGTGGACCACAAATCCCTGGTCATGAGCACGACTCAAGTGGGATAACAGGCGTTGAAAGGCTCGATGAACCTGTCGTCAAGGAAATTTCCTCAAAAACTTCTAACAAACAAAAGCTGCTCAAACTAATAAGGGACGCTTTTAATATTGATATGGACATGTTCCACATTTCGGATGGAATCATCTTCAAATCAGCAAATGAAATAGAGGGACGATCGAGGCCAGCAAGCGTCGTGATTGAGACTCCAAAACGTCTCTCCCAGCACTCGTCATTTAATGCCATGAGAGATTCTCAGGATATAACCCGCTTGGGTGCCGCAATAGAATCGCTTGATATCTTCAGCTCCATCGGTAGGTCTTCTGGCTCCATAAACGAGTGTCAAATTCAGGTGGTTTTGAAATCTGCCACCCTTGACAAACTTTTTGACGTTCTTGTCTTGACCACTAGCGTGTTCTCAAAAGTTATAGACACCGGTGATTTGGAAAAGTATTTGTCGCATGAGAGAAAACGCAGAAGCGTGCGTGACCAAACTCCTGACAGTGGGTCCGTAGGGCCCCTTGATTATGCTTTCGTAAGACTACTGATGGACAACGATGTTTTCACTGAGACCTTTTTCAATACCTATAAGAGCTTCACAACCACCACAGTTGTACTGGAGAATCTGGCCAAACGTTTCATAGGAGCTATGAGCGGTGCCGTTTCGATTTCTCGTGTCATGACGAATGACAAGCAGAAGTACGGCGGGACGTCCAATTCAAACAGGTTTTCGGGTTTTGTGGATGTCACTAGTAACAACAGCAGATTCCCAGCCTGGGATCTTAAGGTTAATGATACTGATGAGATCAATTTAGGGTATGTGGCCAAAATTCAAGTAGGTGCAATGGAAGCCTTACTCCATCTAGTGAGTTTGCACTATGCTGACTTTACCGATTCTCTTGCGAATAACGGTACGTTTCTTGACATTTTAAAAATCATGGACCAAGAAGTAAATGAGGAATGGAAGAGAAGAATAGAAGTTTTAGGACGAACAAAACACGTTCAGTTGGACTCCAAGGATGAAATCAATGAATTAGAGAATTTGCATACAACTTTAAAGACTTTGTTCAAAAGATTGAAGTCCATGTACCAGAAGCAGCTTTACAGGCCGCTAGGGGTCAGCAAGGCTCAGAGAATGACACAATTACTTCTCAAAAAATCTAAAGCAGTCTCTCTTCGCGACATGAGCGACCAACTGAAGGACGACTTTGGAAGTGGCCTTCACAACACCTTCAATACCTTGCATTGCGATAACTACACCGAACTGTCCAACTGGATCTATGAACTTGATAATATCGTGAGTAATAGGATGTCTCTCATCACTAACCAAGATTGGGTCGATACTTCTCAACTTTTGGATTTGTTTTCCAATGAGTCTCTAACCTCGTTATATCGGTATCCACTGCATTCAATATCCCAAAATATTGTTCTGTCCGGTGGGTCTCGGCTGGATGATCTTGAAATTATTAACGTCTTTAGCTGGCTAAGAACGCTTTCCGGAGATAATGGGGGCTCTATCTTTGATAAGCTTCCACCATCCATTAAGCTCATGGTCAAGCTCCATGAATCGCTCACGAACTTTTTTATTTTGCATATTGGACATTCTCATCATACTGCTGAGAGCAGAGTAGATGTCTGCGCAATCGTTTTACAACTTCTGGCTCTAACGCGCCTGAAAAACACCTCAATTGATCTGTTCCATGATAGCGAAAAAGAAAAATCCATTTCTTCCATTTCACCTCATGTTCCGTCATTTTTAGAAAGCTGCCTTTGCAACGCCGTTGTAGCACCTGATTCAAGATACTTTGAGATGCACTGGAAAAACGCCTATACAAAACTGCTTGGTTCAGACGCTACTGACGTTAGGGATTTCTCAACTATGCTGGCCGAAATAACAAAACAAGCTGAAAAGTTTGCTGACTTAGATCAATCCCAGCTGTATAAAACAAAAAATCTTGCACCATGCCCCGGTTGGCTAATAACAAGATTGTTAGAAATCTCCCAATTCGTTCCCAACATGAGTATAGAAAACTCGAAAATGATTAACTTTGACAAGAGAAGATTTGTCAACAATGTCATTATCAATTATAGGGAAATGATACCACACCCAGCTGGCCAGCACGACGATTCCAACCCGGGACTAACAAATGACTTTATTGCATCTGTTGAAATCGTTGATGCTGGAAAAGCTTTTAGAAAGCTTGCGAAAGAAACTGCTGCTGCAGAGGCCCGGAAATGTAGATACCAGGCCACGGGTTTGTTCAATCACTTGATTGCGGCCGAAGTAGACAAAGTAAAGCGCGACCATAAGAAAATGATGCAACTTACAGTACAAGATAATGACTCCAAAAGGAAGAAACTTCTGGAACAAGCTGTCAGACAAAGAAACAGATTGAGTTCGGCGTCATCAGTACATGATCTAAATAGCCACTTGGCTTATAGGGGCTCCTCCGTCGACTCTGACTCTGCTACAAAAAGAACATCATATGCTGCTAACTCGTCATCCAGGGCCTCTATGATATCTAATGCAACTCAGAGCAATGGATCCATGGGCAGGAAGCTGGGTGGTTTTTTCAAGAGACCATTTTCAATAGGAGGATTTTCGACTTCGTCCTCGGCACATGGGCTCAATGCGATTCTTTTAAATGGGGCCCAGTCCAATGGCTCGATCTCACCCTACGAGCTCCCAGATATTAACTCTAGTGTATTCAAGGATACTAAACCTCTCTACTCGATTCGGACTTTCGAAATCAAATCCTGCATCCCCGTTAATGGCGTTAATAAGCTCCCCGAAACTGACTACAGCTTCAAAATTGTTACGGAAAGTGGGTTGGAACACATCATCCAAGCTACAGACTATAGTGACATGAAGGACTGGTTGAGGGTAATCAATCTTTCTAAGAGATATTCGTTTCACTCTCAGAAATATAAGGGCAAAACGTCAAACAAAATATTTGGAGTCCCGATCGAGGATGTCTGTGAACGGGAAGGCAGCATAATCCCCAATATTGTCGTCAAACTTTTGGAAGAAATAGAGCTTCGTGGTCTGGATGAGATGGGCCTTTACCGAGTCCCTGGATCGGTAGGAAGTATCAACGCATTAAAAAATGCATTTGACGAGGAGGGCGCTGTTAGTAACACTTTTACCCTTGAAGATGATAGATGGTTTGAGATTAATACAATTGCTGGCTGCTTCAAGTTGTATCTTAGAGCGCTGCCCGACTCGTTATTCACTAAGGAGAAGCTACCGACTTTCGTGAGTTTAGCCTTGAGCTACAAGTCCCTTGAGATTGACTGGGTAGAGTTTACGTCTAAAGTAAGAGACGCACTGAGGAGCTTGCCTTTGTGCAATTTCCATATGATGAAAAGAACCTTTGAGCATTTGAATCGTGTCGACCAGCACGTGGAAAACAATCGGATGGATGCCATCAATCTTGCCATTGTATTTTCCATGAGTTTTATCGACCAAGACAATCTAGCATCGAGTATGGGACCGACCTTAGGAGCGCTGCAAACAATCTTGCAGCTGTTTATTCGCAAGCCAGACGATTTTTTCTAGTTCGGTCCTGTGCCTAATCATTACTGCTATAGCCAAACAGAACAGCAAGCAGATTGCATTTAAATATACGTTAATTAATGACCAAGATCTCAAGCATTCCTCACTAGATTATAATAGAGTGCAGCGTTACATTCTCTCCATTCGCTAATTAACTATGTACAGGTAATCATTATAGCTGCTATATTCAATTCTTAGTCTTCAATTTTTTTTGAAGATCGGACCTGCGAACAATTTTGATGGCACTGTTTGCCTTTTGCTCTCTGGTAGCTTCTTGCATGAGCTTCTCGTTATCCTGCATACGTTGTCTCCTCTCCGCCTGCTCCCTTGCCTTCTGCATGTTTTCTTTGAAAGTTTCAATGATACCCTTTGAAGGAGCATTGGTTGATGGTGCACGCTTGACAACTTCGGCGATATTAAGCTTCTGTCTACACCACTTGTTCCTCAATATCAGCGATTGAATGACTGAGCATATCCCATTCACCGCAAAGTAGAGAACCACGCCTGAAGACAAATTCATAGTGGCTGGAATAGAAAGTAGCGGCAAGACTGTGAAAAAGTTTTTCATGGTGGGAGAGAATTGTTGGGCGCCGGTTTCACCACCAAGTCTGGTAAATGAAATGAAAACCGATGCAGTAATGATTTGGAGTCCCAAGTACGGATCTGCCAGAGACAAATCTGAAAACCACGCTATACCCTGGTTCGTAAACCCGTCTACCGGATAATTAGTCATGCCTCTGATTCCGGAGAAAAATCCTAGTGCTACAGGAACTTGAAGAATGGGGGCGGCCAGGTATCTGTTTTTGATTCCATTGTCAGCTAGTAGCTTCTTTCTCTTAAGTGCAACTCTTTGGCCCTCAACCATGTCAGTAGAAGCCATAAGTTCCGTATTGATGGCATCTAGCTCTGGCTTAATCTTAGAATTACGAGCCATGGTGTCCGAAGATTTCACGTAAAGTGGGAACATGACAAGACGCACCAAAACGGTTGTAGCCACAATGGTACCCCACCAAGGTAGACCAGAGTACACGTGGATTTGTTCCATGACGTTTTGAATGAGATCTGGAGGCCACCACCACGACTTGGCCAGTCCGATGCTGCTCAAGTACCCGACATGACTCGACGCTTCTCCGACAATATGCGACGCCTGCTCAACTATCGTCGAGCTCATGTCAGCGACAGAAGAAGTGGCTTCGTCGAATGACGGCAACTGCGTTTGGATTTCTGTACTGGCTCTTCCTCCGTTTGGCACTCTAGATGAATTGAACCGCACAAACGACGCCCCAATGGGCGTCTGTTTCCAGATCCTCGATGCTGGATTGGCCTTAAAGAATCAGAAATACATGTTAATATCATTGAAACCTGGTAAACAGCGCAGCTCTTAGCAGGAAGCCCAACTACGCCCAGATCGGACTACAAATATCAAAAGTTGTCCCACTTCAACATACGATTTTGGCACTCCTAGTTGCGTAGGCTCTAAACATCTCAAAATGCCCCACAATGGAAATAATAGAGTGCGAAAGAGGCAGATATGGTCACTAACTGAAGCAGCGTTTGTTCTTGACGAAATTAGAACAATTTTTCACTCTTAATTATCTACCTTCAAATTAATTTTACATATACACAACAAAATGACTTATCTACTAGACTCATCGACAACATCAGTTGGCACACTTGTATTGTAGTTAAAGCACAGCGACATTCAGCGGGTCGCCTATTGATTAATCAGCTTTTCCCGCGTATCAAATTTGAAATCTTGGGAGCCTAGGAAGAGGTCATCGAGCTACCGACGGAGGCGAGTTCTGCTAGATGGTTAGATGAAACATACTCATATTGTGAGAAATGTGTCTAAATCGAGTTTGAGCACGTCTTTGCGTAAAAACCTGATCGCACAATGTCTGAACTTGGAGTTTGATAGTCTGCTTGAAACGGTGAGAAAACTGCCCGTGGATCGGTTGGATGAGAACTTTCTGCAATTATATCTGGCTATGGGAGTTCAACATGCGCACGTCCCATCAGTGGACTACCTGTGGTATAAATACGTGATGACGCGGAAGGTGCTGATGGTCAAACCTAGTACATTGTGTGGTATCGGTGTGGTGTCACTCAACGGCAACAAGCCATTTATCCCGCGACAACTGTGCGCGCACTTTGAACAATTTTATGGCCACGACGGCCATAAATGGGCCGAGTGCAGAGACGAGCTTCTCCGCATTAAAGTAGAGAGCTTTGCGAAGACCGCTGGAGCCAGAATGTCCTTCAGAGAAAAATGGAAAGTCTTTCTCGAGGATATCGACAATGTGGTGGATCCGTCTCTCAACATCTGCGTTTACGATTTCCCACACCTGACTGCTTCTCTCAAGGGAGCGGACCCCGAATTGCTGGAACAACTTTTGTTTCACGAAAATAAAATCGCCATCAAAAACAGCTCAACGCTGCCCACCCTGCTGAATATGATTTTGTTGCAGGACTGGCTGTCCGCCGACTTCAAGCTTCGCATTTTTGGTGCGTTTCGCGACTGCCACAGATCCCTTGGATACAGCGACAGCATTTCAATCATATTCAGAGTTTTGCGAGGAGACTTGTATCGCTCCACAAAATTCATGTCTTACCTGACAAGCAACCAGATGACGTTACCTCCTTTGGGAGCCAGGTGTTTTCTGGCTACAACCAAGGGCGAGCGCGATATCCCATGTGGAGGCAGGGTATAATAGATATGATTGATTCCTGTAAATAATGCTTATAAATAATGCCTATAATGATAGACCAAACCATAACCTTGTAATGATGGTATTGTTAAATGTTTGACGACAGAAACAACGGTCCGTTACACAGATCACGATAAAAAGCGGCTTTTTATAGATAGGTGCTGTTTAGAGCTCGAAAAACAATTCATGCTCGGGCCTGTCAACTTCTAGTCCATTGATCTCAAATAAAAGAGCCCCCGCATGCTAAACTTCTCCAAAGGCCATGCCCAGGTTCCTTTAAGATTCACTCAGGTGATTTTCAAGTAAAGTGGTTCTTGGGCTTCTACAAGTACATCGAAAACAAACAGTAAACAAGCATTGTGTACCCACGAAGTGGTTCTCGAGACGAGCACCTTTAGCCTCCAAGTCAAATGACCGGGCACCAGCACATCAGTTTCCTGAGGGGGTGGATAACACACAGTTTACTTCCTCGTGACGAGATTTTAAAAGCTTCCACTGAATTGTTAGCACCAAGCCTTCGAGAATACGATGACGACGTTGATAATCACCATCCACTAGTCTATGGTGTAGACAGCGGTTCCTTGTGGGTCCGGGAGTCCATATGCAATCTTTCCAACCAAGCATTCCGATTGGAAAACGACGAAAGAGCTAAAAGTAAGCCCGAGTATATCAATTTAACATCTGGTGCATCCTATGGAATGCTTAACTTATTGCTGCAGACTACGCTTCCGCACACGGGCTACACAAGGCAGGCCTTCGTGGTGTCTCCCACATATTTCCTTATCAACAACGCATTCATCGACGCTGGGTTCCGAGGCAAAATCACCGCAATTCGCGAGAAGGGCGATGGGCTCGATCTGGAAACACTTCAAGAGCGCCTAGACTATTTTGTGAAAGCTGACGAGGGTCATAATCACAGCGAAGACCCGTACTTGGTAAACCCCGCAATTGGCGAACCCAAGAAACTCTACCGTTTTGTAATTTATCTGATCCCCACGCACTCAAACCCTAGTGGTAAAACGTACTCCTTAAATTTCAGACTCAAGTTGATAGCATTGGCCCGCAAATACGACATGTTGATTATAACTGATGATGTTTACGACCTGCTCAACTACGAACAGCCAATGGGGCAGCTTCCATGCCCCATTCCTAGATTCACCACGCTAGATAGGGCTAGTTGTCAAGGAACAGCTCAGGACTTCGGAAACACGATCGTCAATACCACTTTTTCCAAGTTGATCGCGCCTGGTTTACGGTTTGGGTATCAGGAAAGTGTTAACGACAAGCTGGTCACCCAGCTATCGAAAGGGGGTGCAAATGCTTCCGGAGGCACACCGTCGCAGCTGAACTCCATGATTGTTGGTACGATGCTTCGGAATGGCGACTGCGCCAAGCTGGTAAAACAGATAAGGGAAACTCTGCGGGAGAGGTGCCAGACGCTATACGATAGTATAAAGAAATTTATGCCACTCGATACCCAATATGATCTCCAAACAGGAGGGTATTTTTCCTGGTGTACACTACCCGACGGCTACGATTCTAAAGAAATATGCGAAAGGCTAGCTTGTGAATCGAACGTCCTAATACCAGATGGATCTCGGTTTGAAGTTGTCGACAACTGTATGGAATGGGAAAAACGCAGCGTGCGTTTGAGTGTCAGTTACCTTTCATCAACAGAAATCGAAACTGGCGTATACCTGTGGGGACAAATGTGCAAACGCTATGCTGAGGAGCACCAGTTAAAGTTTTGAAGAGTCGTGTAACAAACAATTCATAACATATGTAGCATGGTTATTTTAGGCACTTTGTCTACTCCAAAATGTACATCAGTGGTGTCATGTCGATTCTGGCTAAATAGCTGACATTAAGTAATATCACTTCTTCTTCTTATTAGCAGTTTAAAGGTCGTAGTTGTCAAATGTCCGAAGAGCACCATATTGACTACTCACAACTACTGTCCCAGCTGTTGGATGAGAAGGGTGAGCTGAATGATACAATAACCTCATTTCTATACCATCTGTTTCCCGAGGAGCTGTTTGTAAGAGCCATGTCACTTCTCGACTCAAATGACATGTTTATTTATGTCTATGATAAACTGCAAACTGAATCCAAGCACATTAAGAGCATATCAACCGAACCAGATGAACCTGAGGCTAGAGAAGCGTTGTCAGGAACGTCGAATGAGATGCTAAAAACTTCTGAAGCTGCTGAATCACGACCTGATGCGGGCGCGAACAGCAAAGATATAGCACATCTGCTATACGAAGGCCGTGAAGCACCTCTGAATAGACTTATTGTAAAGCCGGAGACCCCCGAGAGCCCTCCAATATGTGTGGACTTGGACCACTGGTTCTGTTCGTGTGAAGAGTACAACTGCCAATTTCGAAGCAATCTGCTCAACGTCCCAGAACAACCGGCAGGCCCAGTAGATCTAGAGGAATCTTCTTTGTATTCTCGAGCTATAGTCGAACACGAGCTTAAGTCTCAGGCTCCACATTCGGACAGATTCGCACAGGTAAAAAGCCTACACCTCCAATTCCAACGATATTTTCGCCACGAACTTGCTATGTGCCCGCACCTGCTAGCATTTGCGATCTTACTACAAACTTCTTCGGCGATTCTCATGTATTTCACTCACACGAATGCCACTGTATATCTCATTACAGTGCAGAATCTCGATGAATGGCTCAAACTGCATTTAAATGTCATTCAATGATCAAGAATTCGAGTAAAAGGTCTCGCTATGATGACTGATCCTTTCCTAGAGTAGGCAAGCTAAAACCAAAGTCAATAAGGCATCCTAACGGTGGAAAACCCTACTTAAACGGTTCCCATCGTACTCCGGCCTCTTGAAAGATTGTCTTCACGTGATGGGCGACATACAAATTTTTTAAGCTTTAATGTTGGATCATGATCTGAAAAGTAAACTGCAAACTTAGCGAATCCAGTAAAGGACATTGGCAGCTGTGTTAAGGTGCCTCAACAAGCATCGATCGTGTTTCATTCATTTTGAAATTGTCAGTGTTTTTTTTGATCTCTGCGATTCTGAAGATTTTAAGTCCAGTAATTTCCCTTGCGAAGAGTATCACCAATTCAACCCGGTGAGCGAACCAAATTTACCTGGATATAACTCCAATTGTCTTTAAAAGTGAAACTTCATGTCAGGCACTGTGCCTAACGATAGTCAGGATGGCTCTTACTCCATGTACCCTCCTACATCTCCCGCAATGACTCCTGCCAGCATGCAATATCAGATGGGCGTTTACGGGAACCCCAACTTTGCGCAATATGGTTACGGATACCCAATGCCCATGGACATGTACGCTGGTCAAGGAGCTCCCTTTATGGGCTATGGCATGAATCCTGGAATGATGTACTACGGTGGAGGTGGAGCTGCTGCCGGCAGTGGCGGCGGGGTCTCTCCTGTAAATGGTGGGCAGAAGCGCAAGTACTACAATAAGCACGAAAGCGGTGGAAAATCGGGCGATGGCCAGTATCATAGTGGTAATGGAAAGTCTGAGTCTGTGTCCAGCGCATCCCCTGGTGCTGCGTCTGCGACCAACGGGACCAAGAGCGTTCCAATCACCATCAAAAACCAATACAAATTTGAGCTTGGGAACAGTAATTCTGTTAGTACCGCTGGATTGAAGCTAGAGTATCCGTTTTACGCGAATACGGATGCTAATGGGTTTCGTCAAGCTCAAGAGAAAAGAACTGAGATCACTTTGCAAAGACTAGGCGGTTTTTTTGAAGGTCGTTTTTCTAAGCCTGAAGTCGATACTGATAACTCACAAGAAGTAGCTGAAGACTTCCACACAGCTCCTGCTACAGCGCCATCTCCAGAGTCGAGTGAACCGCCGTCAGTCTTGAAGTCGCCGCCAACGTCGGAGGACCAAACTCAAGGCCAAGACGATCAGGAGGAAGCCATTCCCACTACGGTTGATGTGCCAGTAAAAGCTGCTTCTGCGCGCACGATAAAGTCCTGGTCTGCTGTGGCTTCTAGTGCGGCCGGTTCTAATGGAAGCGGAAAGTCTTCCAGCGTTACCAGTGTTAAAAAGGACAAACGCTATATCCCCCCCACCGTCAAGAGCCTCGAACCCCTCGGTGTGGTTGTCCTGAGGGCGTGTTTCGACCCCGAATACGTCAAATATAGTACTGAACATTCTAAAAGCAGCGAATTGGCGCTACATTCGGTGATTCCAAGAGGGATCGTCAATTCGGGTAATATATGTTTTATGAGCTCCATTCTACAAACGCTGCTATTCTGCCAACCGTTCATCAACCTTATGAATTTGATCAGCGCCAGAACCTCGGCTAAGATGGGAGGCACCGGGTTTTTGCTTCTAGACGCATGCCTTGAGTTATACAGAAAATTCGACAAGCAAGTGTTTGAGAGGGAAAAGGCTACGAGGGCCGAAAATGGCAATGGAGGGCCATCTGGTGCTTTAGCAGATGCTATCAACCCGGATGACTTTTACAAGACATTGTCGAAACTGTCGAAGTTCAAAGATCTGAGGTGGGGTCATCAGGAAGACGCTGAAGAGTTTTTAACGCATCTTTTGGACCAATTGCATGAAGAATTTGTACACTCGATCAATATTCTCTCTGATAATGACATTTTGAATCTAATCAAGAGCATCAATGATGAGGACTCAAAATTGGTCTTTATCAGAAACCTGGCAACGTACAAGAATGCGGAGTTCATTATCAAGCCTTCGAATGAACTCAAAGCTTTACTGGACAAGTATGGAGCCGATTCCGATGATCAAGACGAAAATCCTGAGAAAGGATGGCAAGAGGTGAGTAGTTCCAGTAAAAAAGGCAAAAAAACCAAGACTGCGGCTAAGAGAACGGTGATTGTAGAACCTTCTCCTGTCTCTGTAATCTTTGGGGGGCAATTCCGCTCCGTCTTGGACGTTCCTCAAAACAGGCAACCGCAGTCTATCACGCTAGATCCTTTCCAAACCATACAACTGGATATTTCGGATCCGTCCGTGGAGGATTTGGAGGGTGCATTTCTCAAGTTCAGTGAGCCCGAGCAAATACCTTTCAAGACATCTTCAGGGAACGTGGTGGAGGCTACGAAACAAACTTTCATCGATAAGCTACCTCAAGTTCTCATGATACAGTTGAAAAGGTTTTCGTTCATCAACAACACCGACAAATCCACCATTGTTAACTACAATGCATACAGCGGTCGCGTGGAGAAAATTCGTAGGAAAATTCAGTATGGCCATGAGCTCAACATACCCAGTGTGTCTATATCCTCACTTCATTCCGCATTCTACAGACAATCGGGCTCAACTTACAAGTTGACTGGGGTTGTGTACCATCATGGCCTGAGCCCCAGTGGTGGCCATTACACATGTGATGTTCTGCAAGAACCACTCAGTAAATGGTACAGAATCGACGATATTAATGTAAAGGAAGTGGATCAGCAGGAAATATTGAAAGGAGGAGAAGAGGGCAATGATTCGAGGACTGCTTATATCCTAATATACCAAAAGTTGTAAGTTTAGTAGGCGTGTAGCTAAAAAGTTAATGATAAAGAAATCATCGGATGAAAGAGGTGAAAGGGATATAAAGTGCCTGAGTTGCGAAATACTCTCCGGCAGGTCTTTAGCAGGGGCAGGCTACCAAGAATGAAGCAGCAAAAATTCAAAAAAATTGATTTCGCCCAGGATCGAACTGGGGACGTTCTGCGTGTTAAGCAGATGCCATAACCGACTAGACCACGAAACCAATTATTAAGAACACATTGTTTACTATTACACCAGCTTGGCATATAACAGGGCGTGCTATGTTGTGGTTATTACCACAAGCCCAACCTTGAGATAAAGCTGCACAGTTATCACTAGATCGATGGGTGCCACTACTATTCACTTTTGGCGTATCTTCATCTATAACTAGCCTCCTGTCTAGGTCTGCTCGCATCGTTTTTTCTGTTTCTCTCGCTCTGACTCAACGGCGAGATAATTTATACTAATGCACGAGCTTGAAACTTCCTGCCACCTGTAACGAAGCTACTATGAATTGGGACAAGGTTTCCTATGGGTGGCCCATGCCCGAAATAGATAGGTATTCTATTACCATTTTCATTCACTGCCATAATAATCATGTTGTACCACGGCAGCTACATTGCTGAAATTTTATTCTCTCTACTGTTCCTGGCTAACTAACAGCTTCTCCATGCTCCTCTTGGGTCCTAGTCTTTGGTGCATTACCCATTAATTTCCATCCAGTCGACGATGTTCAAAGTACACCTATCAAAGTACCGCTATTTGAAAGTACTTGGCGCCTTGATTCTCGCTGGCATCTAACAGGGCCTCCCACTTCTGTAAAGGTCTCATACTCCCATGGATCAAATCTACACAGTCTAGAGAAAGCGCTGTCACTGCCAGGCAGGGTGCCAATATAGTACATAATGATAGCACTAGTGTCAGTAAATTATGATGGCATAAATGGCGTTGCTGCGACACTGGACCGTTTGAGGGCAGTAGCATTAGTACGATTGCCCAAAGACACCACTGGCTTTCCAGTACGCAGGGGATCGAGTATAGTTTTCTGTGGTCGCAACTGGAGCCTTGTTACTCATGTGCAATAGGCCCTCCTTCTAGAGTAACCACGCAGACACAGCGAAAGCGAAGATATCTGTAGTTATCATAATGCCATCGGCAAAAGTATGCGAGGACGTGGAATGGAGCCTGGCCAATTAGTGTGCCGGATTAGCGTCGCACACGGACGCTCCCTCGGACGGCATTTTTCGTTTTGCACAACTATAACATAAACCATATTAATCATATTCATGTATATTTAAAGCGTGGGGTCCAACAGTGGTCGGGTCCCTGGAACGTTAGTCTCGAGTCGGTGCTCGCTGGCACCGAGTGAGTCCGTCAAGAATCGACCAGTATCATTGCGGGGCTCGGAGCCTCCGACTAACAACGAACAAATAGGTGTACGCATCGCTACCGCATGTAGCAACGCTCTTCGAACACACGCACAGGCGTCGTAGAATTTTTAAATCATTAACATTGCGGCTCGCTCCAGCACTACTCAGATCAACAAAGCAGCAGCCGCGGCCAATCCAGCCACACCGCCAACAGCAACCTTGTTGGCAGCACCACTGTAGGTAGACACACTTGGGTATGAGGTCGAGCCAGTGCCCTCAGGGATGGTCACCGAGGACGCAGTTTCCGTGGGCTCGGCGCTTTCGGAGGTGCTAGGCGTGCCGGTCTTGGTAATCGTGCAAGGACAATCGGTGATGGTCAACGTCGTGGGCTCCGACACCGTGTAGGTCTTGCTGTTGGTCGTGATGGTGGTGGGCTCCGGGCAGTACGTGGTGAACTCCGTCACCACCTCGATCTCCGTCACCGACGAAGGCTGTGGCTCCGGCTTAGGCACCGTGCAAGGACAGTCGGTGATGGTCAACGTCGTGGGCTCCGACACCGTGTAGGTCTTGTTGTTGGTGACGATCGTGGTGGGCTCGGGACAGTACGTGGTGAACTCCGTCACCACGTCGAAGCTGGTGGTCGTCTCCGTGGGCTTGGGGATGGTGCAAGGGCAGTCCGTGATCGTCAACGTCGTGGGCTCCGTGACGGTGACCGTCAGGTTGTTGGTCGTGAACGTTGTGGGCGTGGGACAGTATGTGGTGAACTCGGAAACGATGATCCACTCCGTCGTGGTTGTCGTGGAATTACCAAAGTACTGGGCCGATGCAGTGGCACCAAGGACGGCAGACAAAGCGAGCGTTGAGAATAGCATCGTGAGCGAATGTAGGTAGAAGCGAAATTGTCCGTTACTGATTTTCTGGAGAAAGAGAGAGAGACGACACACAAACCCAACCTTGTCATGATGCTCAATCTGCTTGGACCACTCGCCTTAAATACCTTATCGGGACCATACACACCCTGGTTGTGACGATGATGCGCTCCGACCGACCCACCGGTCAGATTTCTATAATTAAGTTCCCGGCACCTTGTGCCCAACTTGGATCTTTCTGTTGGATCTTTTCTGTCGCCTTGCGCGTAGTGCAGGTCCGGCAGGTTGGCCATACTCGACCTGCCCTTCACAGGTGGTGGGAACCGTTGTTGTCGTTCTGGTGGGTTGGAAAATTTTTGGGTGTGGCGACCGTGTGACACCAGTGGTGGCCAGTGCAGGGTCGGAGCGTTGCGAGGTGTTGCGGGCGTTGCAGACGCAGGGCCGCGCGGCGAGGGCATGTGCAGTCCAGATAGTTTGGGTATTTAGGCAATTTTGGTGATAAGGTGAAGGGCTAAATTTGGAATGAATGCATGGGTCAAGGAAGATGGGGTGCTGTTGGCCGTCTATGTGGTGTTGTCCGGCAGAGGTGTGAGGCCTTGCTGGGCGCACAGATCCGCCAGGCGCGGGGTGCAGGGCACGGCTTGCGAAGCGAGGTTGTCGGAGGCAGGTCGAGATCGTTTGCGAGAATGCGGGCCTGCAGCGGTGGTGGAGGAGGTGTGGGCGTCAGCGGTGGAGGAGGTGTCCGCGCCGGCGTCGGCGTCGAGCGGAACCGGCACGGTGGTGGTGTTGTGGCCGAGGTCGTGGACCACCGCGATGCGGTGCTTGGTCGGTATCCGGGTCCAGGGTTGGGAAACGTCCCACGCCCACAGCAGGGCCACGCGACGCTTGAGGAACACTTCCCACACTTGGTCGTTGTTGCCGACAGCGAGGTTGGCGACGAGGGCGCTGCGGAGTACCTGGACGGCGCGGCGGCGGGCGGAGGACCTGAGTAGGAAGGGCGAGGACATGTCGTCCGAGTACGGGACCAGATGGGCGGCCAGCGACGACGAGGACGACGACGCCGCCGACGATGGCGATGGCGGCGGCCCCGCCGCCACGTCGTAGCCCGTATTCATGGCGTCGTTCAACAACACGATCGCGGTGCGGTGCGCGTGCGCGTACTTGGTCATCGCGGTGAACAAAGTGATGAGACTCTTATTCTTGAACTGGTGCGTAGCCTCCGCCACATTCACGTAGTCGGTAACCACCTTGGACAGGCCGCGGATCACGATGAGCGCGTAGCGGTGATCGCCGTCGTCGCGTTCCTGGCCGGCGAGTTGCTGGAAGAAATACACGTAGTGTGAGAACTTGTCGAGCTTGGTGTGCTGGAGCGCGTCGAGGTGGTCCAGTGCGGTGCTCAGATGGGCGTCCATCCAAAGCGTGGGGCGGTCGGCGCGCACCGCGTTCGTCGCCAGTTGCACGCCGAGTTCCAGAGTCCCCACGCCAGGAGGACCAAACACCTCGTAGATGGCTCTGGGACGGAACCCGCCGTCCAGCGCTGCGTCCAGGGCCTCGCACCCGGTCGCGAAAGGCTTCGGGTTGTCCACGAGCAGCTGCGACAGCGATATGCCCAACGACATTGGTTTGTTGTGGGAAGAAGGAGGAGGAAGAGAGCACACCTGTACGGTGAAAAACAGCCAAGAGGGCGAGAGATCGCGGGCGGGCGCCGGTGGGCAGTGAGCAGCGGGTAGTGAGCGTGGCAGCGCTTGCGAATATGCTCTTGATGGGTATGTACGTATACGTTATGCTAAATCTATGGTTACAACGACGGGCATCGCGGGAGCGAGGCCGGCCCGGAGACATCCGACCGCCATCGCGGCCCCGCGCTCCGCTCACAAAAAGTAGTCCATCTGCGGCTTCTTGCTCGGTATGATCGCGTTGCCCACGTCGTCCTGCGCGGGCACGGCCTCGAAAATCATGTAGTTGCGGTCCAGCGTGTCCTCGATGCGCAGCACCGCCGCCACGTTCCCGCATCGGTAGCAGTAGTTCGGGGCGGACCACACCGTCACCAGCCCGCCCGCAAACATCTCCTTGTAGCCCTCCATGACCAGCTGGTGCGCGCGCGCAATGAGCTCGAAATCGTTGGTGTGCAGAAACTGATCCACCTCGTTCTTCCCGAACAGAAACCCAGCGCCCCGCGGCGACAACGACCACGTTTCCACATCGTCCGGATCGCTCCACAGCAGGTCGCACATCGCGCCCTCGTGTGGCACCTCTTGTTTGCGGTCGATCGCCCGGATCTGCTGGATCGTGGTCACATCCGGCGACAACCCACCGTGTACGCAAAACACCCGGTTGTTGATGATCGCCCCGAGCGCCAGGTAGTCGAACACCTCGCAGCAGTACCGCCACACGTTGCTGTTGCCGTATTTCCGCACGATCTCGTCGTAGAACCCGTACACTTTGGTGATCTGCCTTGTTTCGTGGTTTCCTCGAATCATCGTGATTCGGTCTGGGTACCGCAGCTTGTAGCACAGCAGCAGCAGAAAACTCTCCAGCGAGTAGAACCCGCGGTCCACAAAGTCCCCCAAGAACACGTACTTGTTGTGCTCCACGCCCCCGCTCTTGTCGAAAAGTGTCAGCAGGTCGTGCAATTGGCCGTGGATGTCCCCACATATTGTCACCGGCGTGTCCACATGCGTTACATTCGCCTCGTTCATCAGCAGCTCCTGCGCGCGCAGGCAGAGTTTGAACACTGTCTCCTCGGAGACGTGCTTGCCCTGTCTGAGCAGCGCGATGGTCTCGTCCAGCTTCATGTCCGCGGGGAGGCAGCTACGGACACCGTTGACACGCGATTTTCAGCAGCAAAAAAGGTTAGAGCCCGGCGAGGAAAAGAGACTGGGTTCTGAGGGGCTTGCGAGGCCGTCTTGTGGCTTGATAAGTGGCCATCGACACATAGTTATGGTTGTTGCCCGAGCTCATCGCGTGAAAAATTTCTAGGCGAACACACCGTCGCTCGTTACCAATAAACAGACAATCAAAGCTCGAGAACGAGAAGGCTCAACAAAACCGCAGATTGTCGGGCGCGAGCAGTGGCAGAGAGCATCAACTATGGATCATTCGAAAGTGCTGATTTGGAGCAACCGCAAGCTTTTTTCAGAATCGTCGTACGACCAATACCCGACGAGTTACGCGGATTTGAAGGCGCTGCTTGAACGCGAACCGGTGGGGCGGCTCCTGGAGGTGTCCCAAGGTCTGAACGTGGTCGATTCGGTACTTTATGGCGGCCAGGCTGGCGACCTGGATGTGCGTCAAAAACTGCGGGTCGAATACGCACTTTTCCGGGCTGGTACAGGCCAAAAACAGACACCGTCGGACATGGCTCACAAGGATGTCTTGTCGGGGCTTCACAAGTTGTCGGACGGGGCTCTTCTGTCGTTGTCGGGGCTTGCAGCGCTGGACGAGGCTAAAGTAGATAGTATTTGGAGTCTCCACCAGGATATGCAGACCACAGACGAAGATTTCGACCAAAGCATCTCGGGCAGTCGAACAGTACAGCAGTCGCCGCTCGACGAAGTAACGTCGCATCTGATGTCCAGCGCGCTACAGCGCGGACTGGAGCTCAAACCCAAGACACAGGCGCCGCTCGACGACGTTGCTTTCTTCAACCAGTGCGTCGACACACTTTTGGATATGGTTGGGAGTCCCACGCATGCGGGGTCCGCAGCTAGGAACCGCGATTCGAGCGATGACAGTGTCAACGACACGGCGACTGCATTGAAGGACCTGCAATTGGCGCACAGCTTTCTCACAAAGAAATTCGAGAACGATCGGATGGAGTATTTACACAGCATCGACAAGTTGACCAAGACCAACAAGGAGCTGTCGCATGAGGTCCTGGCCTACCACGGCAAGGTCGCAGATCTCGACCGCAAGTGTCAAGGCTTGACGCAAGAACGCTCAGGTTTGGTGGAACAGATTGACAATATGATAGCCATTTCCACGCCGACTACTATCGTCACATCGCCGAGCTCAAGCCCAGGGTCGACGGCCTCTAACGGTAAGTCCTACTCCATAGGGGTGATGCGAACGGAGTTCAAAAAAGCGCTCACCGAGACCCAAAGCCGGTACGAAAAGGAACTACGGGAAGAGAAAGCTGTGCGCAGACGAGTGGAACAGGAGCTCGAAGCACTGCGATCCAGATGAACGTATTCTATTGCCGGCTTGCGACGTGTGTGTGTGTCTGTAGTTACATAGCTGGTAAATAGTCAGGTTTTATACATAACTGTATGCGCTTAGCTTTTGGTGTGCGGAACCCTCCCAGGCTGTGCTCACAACTTCCGGAATTCGCTCAGCACCGGGTAGATGGCCTCGAACGCCTGGTAGATCTCCTCCCGCTGCTTTGCACCGGTCAGCACGATCTTCCCGGACACGAAGATCAGCAGCACGATCTTAGGTTTAACCATTCTGTAAATAAGACCCGGGAACAGCTCTGGCTCGTACGACGAGAAAGTACCGTGCGAAAACGCCAGACCTTCGAGACGGATCGGGAACTTGACGTCGCACGACCCTACAATATTCTGGATCTTGAAGTCCGTGAACTTGGCACTGAACCCGATTTTTTGTATAATCCGCGCATACTTTCTACTGGCCAGCTTCGAGTCGTCCTCTGACTTCGCACCAATCACCACCATTTTCCCCGACGCAAAGATCAGAGCCGTGGTCTTAGGCTCCCGGATACGCATGATTACAGCTGCAAACCGCTTGGGATTGTATTCTGCGTTTCTGGCGTGCAAAGCCACTGTTTTTAGGTCCAGCCGGCAATCCAGATTCACTGTCGCGACAATATTCTGTAGCGTGGGTACAATACCCGATGTGGTCCCACTCTGGGCGTCGTATTCCTCGGCTTTCGATCCATTTACTCCAGCATCAATATTCTTCTCCTGGGTTTCCCATACAGACCTCGTACTTGGGTCAAAAACAATCTTATTGGCTTCCTGGAAATCCTTCAAGCGGTTTTCTTCTGACATCAAAGGCAGGTAGTAGTTTCGAGCAAAGCTAGAAGCGTTTCTTTGTGGTGGAGGTTGTTAGACGATGAGCTTTGATAGTTATATTCTACTTATAATTAATTAAAATTAGTGTTAAACTGGTTAGTGACAGAAAGCATCGACAGCGTTCCCTCAGTACGAACGAGACCCACCACTGGGACCTGGAGACTTTGGGAATTTTCCTCTATTAGAAGTGTTATTTCTGGCTTCTCTGTCCAATTCAGAACGATCAAAGTTGACCCACCTGGCTTGGTCTACGAGGTAAACCTTTTATTGCAAGTCGCGATTTCATACGCTCTCAAGAACAACGCAACATTTATTCGCTTAAGTCTTCTGCAATGGGTGTACAGCATTTAGATCTCCAAACTTTGTATTCTTTGAGCCACGAGTATTCTGATAGCGCCCGGAAATTGGCGGTTTGTATAGCCACGGATTCGCAAGTGCGTCAGTACCAAATATTGATATACCACGCGATCCGAGCGCTCCAGATGATCAAGGACACCGTACAGCTAAGTGCTGAGCAGGACGTGATGGTGACACTGGAGTTGTGCGAGCTGCTGGTGCAGGAAACGCACGAGTTGGATCTCGTGGAAACCTATCTCTCCAGCGCGCTAGAGCGGTTGTACGGTACTGGTTTAGTTCAACAGAAAATGGTGGTAATAGCTGCTTTGGTAAGGGTCGCGCGGGCGAGGAAGTCTGCAAAACACACAAAAAATGCACTTCGTCTGGTAGCAGCCGCTCTGGAGGATGTCAAGTCGACCGGCTCACGCTGGGACCTGTATTTCCAGTACCTCCGTGTCGAACTCATCATTGAGGTGTCTCCCTCTGACTCTAGAATACCCGCTCTTTTTGGTACGCTTATCTCCAGCTCTCGATCGGTTCCAGGATTCGAGGCATTTGTGATATGTGCGTATATTGGTTGGAGTTTGCAACAGCACCATAAGATCGTGCAAGAATATCTCGATAGACTTGGTGAACTCAGCAGTGCCTGTTTGCCAGTTCAGTTAAAACTATGGAATAATCTTACAGAATTACTTGTCCTCATTTATCGCGACGCTAACATTACGTCCAAATTGTCAGATTTCAAAGCCTTGGTAGCCGCGCACAAGAATGAAGCCGTCGATTCTACATTCCAACTCAGTCTTGATGAAGAAGTCGTTCTTTCATTGGATAGTCCCACTTTTCGCTATAAAGATTTCAAACACATCATTCTACTTTTCCAAAGCATCAGTTATCTCACCAATTGTTATGACAAAAAGGCTAATTTTTCGGTAAAGTACCTGCCCAAAGTCAAGAAAGCTGCCTCGGAATTACTACTGAGCTGTGCGGAAGGTGGTGGTTTGGAGCAACGAGCTTATCGGCGGGCCTTTTATAAAACCATTGTTGATCTGTGCAATTACTACATGGGCTTGGAGAGCTTAATCTTGAAAGGAGACTGTTCTGAACTCGTCGGTGAGAACGACTATGTCACTCTCATCAGGTCGATGCGGGCACAAATCGGCCGTAACTCCGTATCCTCTTTAGAAGGTTACTCATCTCTACAACAATCGAAGAATCCTGAATTTCAATTGATTGGTCTATGTGGCGCGTTTGCGATTGAAGCTGCTGTCATGAGTAGGACTGGTGGCACCATTCCTTTTCAAAAATATGAGGACGTCAATAAGATATGGAGCAAGATCGAGAAGCTTTTTGCAATCCACTCCTTTGATGAAAACCACATTTGGCAAAGTACCAAAACTGTTCTTTGGATCTGCGCTCATTTTCAGCCTTTCACGAGCTCAGAATTATCAAAGGACAACGACATAGGCTATCTCGATATCCTAAAATCATACTTTGCAGCCAATAGCTTCGTCAACGGGATAGCCTCGTCCTCCAAAAAAATTGATAGTACTAAGAAATCTCCAGTACTTAAAAAATCGCTGCTTCTGCATTTGCTTCTAAATTATCTCTCGGGTGCGATAATCGTTCATGATCTTGAAGAAAAATGCGTTATTTCAAACACCTGTTACCATGTCGCAAGTCAACAACATATGCCTCTAATGGAATACATATCAGGGCTGTCGCACCTAATCAATTGTGGTTTGGCGATGAAGAATAAAGACGTCTCCATCGTTAAAAAGAAGTTGAATGACACGGTTCAAAGTTTGCTAAGCACCGGATTTGAGCGGGCTCAATAGTTGCTAAAACGTCTGGCTAGATATTTATTTTTGGTACTCTAAAGTAATATAGGTCATCCATCAACATAGGATTCAAAACGGAAACGGGGCTTAAGAGGCGTCCTTCAAGGAGGCTGTGCGCCTCATATTGTAGGCAACCCCAGCCTGTTCAGATTTCATGCTGCTTTCGCTATCCCTAACATGACCACGGTCGTCAAGCTCTACGGTTCCCGCACTTTGAAATAAGGAAACATCCCCGACAAGGAGTCCAAGTGTATCCAAAACTTGCTGTGGATCCGTTAAATGAGCCTTCGCGACAGTTTTTTTGGAGGCCGATCCGACAGTGACAGGGTAGAACCCATAGTGTCCACAATCATTTTTCCCATCTGGGAACTTTTTGTGCCAGACCTCTTCAATGTGGTTGAGCTGTGAAAACATATCTTCATCAGTAAAGTCGTCACCCAGACACAAAATGAATTCCGGTAAGCGATCTTTAGGAACGCTTTCATCAATCGTAAAGTCGTCATCATACAATTGTTTTTCCCCCAGCGGATGCCAAACTAGTCTTTTAACAATCTCACCCTTATTCACGAACTTTGGACGAACTTCGACGTTGGCTTTTCCCTCCATTACCTCCAAACCCAGTTCTGAGGCAAACCCGTCCAGAGTTTTCTTAAGCTTAGAGGCATAAAACTCACCTTGTTCGGGGTCAGCACGACGATAATGCCAAGTGAGCGCAACCTTTTTCTTCTCGACAAATGAACCAGGAGTCTGGATTGTAATCTGATCCATCACATCGTGGACTTTTTTCTGCCACGACATGTCAAATTTGGTTGTCAGATTGACCCACTCTTCACATGCAACGTCTTTCATGAAACATCCATGTTCGGCACTGAGTCCCAGTTGCGGCATCCTTGAGCCAAGCCATTTGGACAAAAATTGCTGGTCTCTGCCCGAAATGATCCAAATTTGATTATTTGGGTCAGCAGCTAGTTTCGAGAGGATTCGGAAGAGTTTAGCACTAGGAATTGCAGCGGCTGGGTCTTGTACGATAGGGGTCAAAGTACCGTCGTAATCGAACAAGAATAAACGGCGTTTTGCAGCCTGGTACGTCTTGAACAACAAAGGACGGTTCAAGGCGGGCGTAATCTTACTATCCTCAGAGTCCCTCTTTTCGGCTATTGCAACCATCCTCTCCAAGAAGCTTGTGTTCCAATCCTGTATAGTGGGTACTCTCGCCCAAAGTTTCTTCTCAAGGACGTCTTTTTCAGTATTTGTCATGGATAAGGCCCTTTTCAACGACTTGGACACTGCAACAGAATCCCAAGGATTGACAATAATTGCATCCTTCAATACTGTGCTGGAGCCGGAAAACTCGCTTAGTACTAGGGGATGCGCATAGCACTTGTCTTTAGAGGCTTTGCTCTTCACTGTGACATACTCTAGGGCAGTGGTGTTCATGCCATCCCTGACACTTGTGATCAAACAAACATTTGCGGCCCGAAGCAAAGAGTAATAGACGTCCTCTGGTATGCGCATGTGGTAATGTTGAACCGGAGAGAAGTTCAAAGAACCGTACTGAGAGTTAATTGAGTTGACCAACTCATTGACTTGTTGTTCAAGCTTTAGCCCATTCCCGGTTGACGTTGGCCTGCTGACTTGGATCAGGACAACTTTGTCCCTCCATTCCGGGTACATGGCCAAAAAGGCCTCGTAGGCCTGGAGCTTTTGGACCACACCTCGAACAGAGTCCAAACGATCTCTTCCAAAGATAATTTTCTTTCCTTGGTACGCGTCTTTGATGGTCTTCACTTTAGCATCGATGTCCGATGTAAATGCTTTACGTAGAATTTGCTCGGTATTCACGCCGATAGGTAGCGAATCCACCACGACGTCTCCCCCATAAGCACTGATCAACCACTCTCCTTTTGCATTCTTGTTTTTGGTGGACGTGGAATCCAGCAGTCTTTTACAACCCGAAACAAAATGGCGAGCAAAACCATCGTTCTGGAAACAGATACGGTTACTGCCCAAGACACCATCCAGCAGTTGCTTACGCTTCGACAAACACCTAAAGTACTCATTACTGGGCCAAGGCGCGTGGTGGAAATACGCAATCACCGCGTCTCCGAATCTCATGCGCAAAAGCTGGGGCAGCAGCATGAGATTGTAGTCGTGGACCCAAACGATGTCGCCGGGCTTGTAGATCTGGGCGACTTTGGCGGCATACGCCTCGTTGAACTTGACGTAATCATACCACCAGGTGTTTTCCTTCTGGCCGTCCGAGGGCGGGTTCAAAATGTAATGGAGTGCTGGCCACATTACATTGTCAGCGTACCCACGCCAGCGGCTTTGATCTCTGCGAAGAAGCCACACGGGATGCACTGTCATCTTGTTCTGCGAATCTTCCTGCGATTGCAACTTCAAAGCCATCACCTTTTTCTGCTCCTTCGAGAGGTACAGGGGATCTTCGTTCGATTCCTGCGAGTTATACTTGGAGTCTTCATTAGCGCTGTGATCGCCGCTCTTGAGAGACGGGTCGGTAGGCGCCACATACGCAAAACCGTTGCCCGGGTCGATCTCACCAGTCCACCCTACTACGTGTTCTTCCCAGTCAGGTGAGTCTCTCAACAAGTACAACGAAGAATACAATGCGCTGTTGCCACTGATGGGCTCCATGTCCCACTCGTCACTAGGATCATCGCCATTCAAGGCCGAGTACTGGTCGTTTCTGCTGATTCTGTAAGGCAACTGCGGCACGCAATTGATGATCCGTCCGGAAATGACCGGATCTTGGGCTCGTTCGCCCGTTTTGGTCGCTGGTGACTCGGGGTTCGGACCACCGTGCTTGGTGTCGTTACTCATCAATCTGGAAGGCCGTACGCGAGGTGTTCAGTTGCGGAAGAGTGCAGTGGAAGAAACACACAACTGCTAACTGTGGGTAAAACCGTAACCCCTTTCATTTTTTTACCATGGAGTAACGCCATCTTGCGCGATCGCGATCGCCGCTTACGGAGAAAGCAATAATTCGAAAGCCGCTTGTGATCACGTGCTCACGGTCATGTGACTGGTCAAAGGCACGTGGTGTCATGTGATGTGTGCATGTGACGCGATTGCCCACTTCACCACACCTCAAACACGCGGCTGGTAAGCAGGTAGAGCTTTGACAACACGTCCTGCGAGTGCTGTTGGATGGGCGTCTGCGGCGGGTCCAGGAGCGCCGGCTTGGCCGTCTGGACGCCCTGGTTCAGCTGGGAGATGCATTGGAGATTTGCGTGGACGCGTTTGAGGTACTGGGCGGCGATGTTTTGTTGCTGTTCCAAGGAAAACTGCGCTGGATTCGCGTTGATCTGGTTGATACGTGTTAGCAGCACGCTGTTGATGTGCAGCAGCAGCTGAACCTTGTAGTGGGCGTGTCGTGGGTCGATCTCCATGGGGTAGTCAGCCTCGTGCTGGTTGTGAAACGATGCGATGCTGTGCGCTTCCTAGATCAATTAATTAATAGTGATGGAAAAGCGAGATTATTAAGGCCCGGAGCGCTCGTATCTGGTGATACCCAGGAGAAACGGGCACGAAGCAGTCGAGCGAGCTCGGAGAGAGCTGTGGACGGCGGCCAGTACTCTCGTGGGACGCAGCTAAGCGGGCCAGGTCGTCTTGGCTCCGCAGTTTTGGCGCTTCACGCGAGCTAGCTGTTTTTATGGGTTTGTTGGGCCGGTGACGGCTAGATTATACGTGTAAACTAGAGGCGGATAGCGACGTTGGGAGGTTGGGGAGAGGGAAGGGCTATGTGGTGGTGTGTTCATTCGTTGAAATCGGGTGTGTGTGTTTTATTTTTTATGTATTGGAACCATAATGTGTAATTTATTAGATCTGAAAATCAAAAGATCTGACTCTAACAAAGATGGTTTGAGCACAGAGCGTATATCAATCTGACCACCACACAGTGCTCAGCAAACGGATGGTCCAACCATAGCGCTGCTGGCACCAAGACTCAGGCTACGAGAGTCGCTACAACATCAGCACTCCCGTATACAATGACATACACAGAGATATATATGGCGCGGTTCAGCGGCTAACGCTTTTGCTGAAGTTCATGTCACTGTAAGAGAGCAGAGGATGGAGCAGCTGGGTGGCTGGGTGGCCTACGGTGAGTGGAAAGACGCTGGGAGGGTGTGCGTGCCATTGGCGGCTCAGCAAGAAGGTACACGAGGGAAACAGGATTTCTCGCGACTGGACAGGTATGGACCGGTATGGACGGCATTCCTGACTACAACTTTTCTACGGAACTTACAACGTGCAGTGTAGAGAAAACAGGATCCCTCGCGACTGGACAGGTATGCACCGCATTCCTAACTACAACTTCCCTACCAAACCTACAACGTGCAATGTAGAGAAAACAGGATTCCTCGCGACTGGATAGGTATGCACCGCATTCCTGACTACAACTGTTCTACAGAGCTTAAAACGTGCAGTGTAGAGAAAACAGGATCCCTCGCGACTGGACAGGTATGCACCGCATTCCTGACTACAACTTCCCTACCAAACCTACAACGTGCAATGTAGAGAAAACAGGATTCCTCGCGACTGGACAAGAATGGACCGTATTCCTATCGCAAGGGCCGTGCTGGAAACTACAACTCATCTTGCCCTCCCACGACTTATCTGAATACTCGAGAGGAGCTTCTACACCAACTCATAACGCGAGTTCTTAGCTTCAATCGACAACCCCCGTTCCCGCAACCTGACGAGCACCGTTGGGCCGCCCTGCCACAGATACTACACTTCCTCTCCATGGTCCCCTGCTCTTCAACACAACACTCTCAAAGTCCTCTCCATGGGTCTCCTGCCTCGGCGCAAAGCCAGACTTTGCACATTCACGATGCCAGCATAGACCATAATGATCCTGCCTAAAGCTGCCAACAACCTCGAACGGCTAAAACCCAGTCGCCATCCGTGCTGTTGTGGCAGCTGCCCAAGAATGAACCCTTCAGCCCCGATGGAAACTCGATTCCGGCCTGCGTATCGAATGATGTTTCGATCGCGGGCAGAATAGACACCGCCCAGTGCTCTTTCCCGTCACAGTAACAGATGGCAAACGCGACCGCGACACGGCAAAAGGAGCTCTGCAAGCGTTGCTGATAACTCGAGTACTGCACACCTCTCCACCCTTCCTTGAATATCGTGGGCTGCTGGGGCTGTTACTTTGTTGATTGCCTCCAGGACGTGAGGCGCGATGGCCCACCTTGCAGTCCCGTGAATTCTTTCCTGCATTGGACAAAATTTGCAACCACCCGCGGACGGATCGCGGATATGTAAATTTTGCATAACACACCAGCGGCGGCGGCTCAGCTCGCATCGCAGAAAACGCAACGCGGAGCACATCTAACGGGCCCAGTGGGGGTCCTTCCGCATTGAGCCTTCATAGTCAAAGGCTCGCGCGTTGTGGGCTATGCAGCCCGCACGCACAGATACTGGTGAATGTTTGGTCCTCCATATATATGTCAACGACGACCAAAAACCCCAGGGTTTCCTGTGTTGATCCAAACTAGTTCACCAACCTTCCTCTCATTTACAAGGTTCCAACGGGTCCTGGCTTCCACTTATTCCCCCGTCGCCGCCTAGCCCTGCTTCGTGATGGCCGAAACTGTTGTATCGTTCTACTCTCTTCGATCACTGGCGTCCCTGCCGGTACAGTTCATCGTTCGGGTGTACCGAGGTGGACTGAATACCCGCAACATACCATCGCTCGTAGCCAACTTTGCACTGAACTTTTTCCCCGTGTTTATTTGGCTATGCATTTTCAAGAACGCTGGCGCCATCCCAGTGGACTGGCGGCCTACTATTCATAGTAAAGCTGCCTTTTTGGCAGACTGCTTTATGTTTGGTGATTTCACGCACGACCTTGAGTCGCAGTACGGCGAACGCGCCCGACTGCCCACACAACTCTCGTGGTTCACGTCTGCTCTGTTTATCGTGGTTGTATGCACCATTTTGCCCCTATCACTGTGGTACTACCTCTACTATCGCCAACGCTGCGAAAACAATGTAGTCGACCCCCACGCGAAATTTTTCCATCCAACCGTCCAGTTCTCCCCCACTAACCGGAGGGTTCTACTGCCGTTCCTGTTTTTCACATTCACAACAGTGGGGCTCAATTTCACGCATCTGTTCGCAGGCCAGGACGAATCCAACTTTACCAAGACCAAAGACATTTTCGCATGGGTCTCGTATGTGCTCCTCCACCTACTGGCTCCGATCTTCACAGCCGTCTATCTCTACGTTTTCCATCCTCCAGGGACCTTGAAGGCTTTTTCTATCGCCATGGGCATGCAAAATATTGCTGGCGTATTCACACACCTGTTACTGCCCACTGCTCCGCCATGGTTCATCCACATGTATGGAGTGAACGACTCGAAGCACGTCTCTTACGACCAACCAGGCTACGCTGCGGGACTTACGCGCGTTGATTCGCACCTGGGAACGCATCTCAACTCGAAGGGTTTTCACAAGTCTCCCATCGTGTTTGGTGCAGTGCCCTCTTTACACTCTGCGATGGCCGTGCAGTGCTTCTTGTTCCTCATCACCCGTGCCACAAGCACCAAGGCCAAATCCGAGACCCTGGCAAACAGCGTGGCCAACGACTCTGACCTTGTGCCAATCCCAGATTTGCAGCCCAAGGACTCCGCAGACAACTTCATTGAGCTCGAGTCTCTCTCAGACCTAACTTCAAGCTCGGCGAACTCGATAAATGGCGGCCCCAAGCCGTCCGCACAGTTTGGCACACCAGTCCCACCGGCCGCATTGAAGTCCAAGTGGCTGTTTGTTTTCCACCACGCGTTGTTGCCCCGCATATTGGGAACTTTCTTCCCACTGCTTCAATGGTGGAGCACCATGTACCTGGACCACCATTTCCGCTTCGATCTATTTGTAGGAATGTGCTACGCGGTCACAAGTTTCCTTTTGGTCAACTTCTACTACCTGCAACCCAAAGTTCTGAAAAGATGGTGTGATCTGCGGATGGGAGCAGTTGCAGACGATCGCAATGAAGCCAAGACCATGGGTATGCGTGTCTTCAAGGATACGAACGTGGAATGGTTCTTCGACCCATTTGCATAGAACTCAAAACACTGTCATCACAATGGTAAAAACGGATGACGAAGCTAGCTTTAGGGTACCGACAGTTACATTAATAATCAAAGTAAAAAGTTCTTCATCGTCAATCAAAGGAACACATCTGTTCGTCGTTGTATTTGTATATTCGAAAATCTCCCCACAGTGCTATATATTTATATGCATGTCTATTGTACACGTTTGCCTCCGGGCACCAGCATTGCTATATTGTTCCCGCTCAGTAGCATCTTGCCGGCATGTCTCTTAATCTCCTGATCGTGGTCGTACTCCACCACTTCCTCCAGGACCACATTTACGAAATCGTCGTAGCCCACCAACGTACCTGAAAACTCGCGGTGCGACGTGAGCATCACTAACACCGGTTGTCCGACAGTCTTATCGATGATTTCAAGCGGCAAGATTTCTGCAATCGACATACCAGGGCGTGTGAATGATGGGGCTCGATTATCGGTGTATTCAACAGCCGAATTGGCCAGTCAAATTGTGGTCAGAGTAGAGATTATTTTCCCACAATGGCTTGCTCCATACGTACATCATGATAAACCATCTGTCGTTCTTAAACTCCAAAGCAGCCGTGTTCAGTCGAAGCATCTAGCACCAAATAGCCACAGCAGCACTCCGGTATGCTGCACTGTACTGATAAAACGGCAGAGCTGGTCCCACTACCGTAAGGTTGATTCGTCGTCAGTCACTATACACGAACTACGCACGAACCTTCAGCCTGCCACAACAGAGAGACAAAGTGCATCACGGCTTCAGGGCGCCTCACACAGCATGATATGGGGACAGATTCAACAGGTGCAACAGGTGCGGAGCATAAAATCACACTTCCCCTGCCAAATGGCTATGTTCTTGCCCTGGGGTCTCACATCCAACTAGGAAAAATGGGCAAAATATATAATATATTTATTATCCGTAGCCTCTTCTTCAGTGGCAACAGCCAGACTTGAAACCTCCAATAGGTCTCAACGGTCCAGAATCACCTTCGTCATACACAAAGATGAGCTCGACGCTGCCGCTTCATATGTACATCCGTCCCTTGACGATTGAGGACACCACTGCGGTGTCCGCGTTGGAAAGTAGGGGTTTTCCACCCGAGGAAAGAGCTGCGCTGGAGACCACCCAGTACCGTCTGAATACGTGCCCAGAACTGTGTTCCGGGCTGTTCATCAGAGACGTGGAAGGATCAGAGGTGAAAGGCGAGAAATTGATCGGCCACATTATGGGCACCAAAATCCCCAATTCTGGGAGCACTTCCCAACCGTCCATGATCACGCTGCAGAGCATGGGAAAAGTGCACGACGAGGCCTCGACCACTGTCGGGATCCACTCCGTGGTCATTGCCCCGGAGTACCAGAAGAAAAACCTCGCCACGCTACTGCTGACGGACTACATCCAGAAGCTCAGCAACCAAGAGGTTGGCCAGCGCATTGTGATCATCGCCCATGAGCCCCTGGTGCCATTCTACGAGCGCATCGGCTTCTTGCTACAAGGCGAAAACGAAAGTGTCAAGACCGATCCGGCGTTCGGCAAGACCACATGGTGTGACATGGTGCGCGAGCTTGTGAAGGAAGAATATGAAAGCTAGATGTGTTGTAACAACAACTACCGAATCTGAGAGAGAAGAATATGAAAGCTAGATGTGTTGTAACAACAACTACCGAATCTGAGAGAGTGCTTGCTCCTGCTTTGATGGCCCAGACTAAGGTATATAGAAGGCAGATGAATATTAAAAAAATTTCCGTAAACAATCGTTCATTGAAGCGAAAGCACGATGGTCGAGACACCAAAACCGCTTCGAACTCTACTCGAAAAACGAGTACAAGGACCCACTACTTGCTTCGCCGGATCGCCCGTCCCCACATAAAATTCGGCCAAATTTACAGCTCTTTGTTCAGAATTCCAGCGCAACTGCACGTACTCGCACGGCCGGCCTAATCGTAGCATCTACGTAGTTTGCCAGGTGTCGCTTTGACGTTTTTCATGGGTTCTAAACAGTTAACGTATTTTGGTGGTTTGCGCTGAGCAATTGCGAAAGCACATGACCAAACTGGCATCAGGGGAACTTAGACAGAGATATAAAAGGGACGCAAGTGAACTAGGAGGTACCGGTCTCTACTCATTTACTCTTTCTCATTAACCTAGTTCTCGACGTTCAAGTCATTGTCACATACACTATATCATTTATTCATAATCCAGTCATGCTATCGCAAACTATCAGAGGTACCAGAGCTTTGCAAAGCTCCACTCTCCGCTCCATCAGAACCAGTATCGGCGTGAGAAGTATTGTTCAGGACGCCAAGTCCCAGGTTAAGTCGCCAGAGGGTGTGTCGCAGGCCGAATTGGACGCTAACAAGAAGAAGTTGGAAGACTTGGAAAAAAAGGCGCATAGCAAAGAGGGCCTCCAAAGACCTTCGCGCGAAGAGCTGAAGAAGAAGGGCGAAGACGCTCAGGTCGAGCAGCAAAGACCGGACGACGGGGTTTACTAGGTGAACAGAGCAGAAAAAGGGATAACGGCGTCTTTGAGGGAGGTGGCCGGAACTTCATATTCATACGTAACGTTTTATTTATGCGTTTATAGCCACGAATAACGAATTGAACAGATCAGCCTGGTGTTATCGGAGGGGAGCGTGTGTGGGCCGTGTGCGACAGGAGGTTAGGGTCGAGAGCGTCGCAGGGGCACGGTTAGGAGGGTAGCTTTAAGAAACCAGTGACCCAGCAGGAAACCATAACGTACCGACCGTCCAAGCATGCTAATGGCTGGCGAACACGGCAGGTTGGCAGTGTTCAACGGTGTAGCTCGGCTCGTCTCACATGAGGCGGAGTGTTAATATAAGGTTCATCTTGATATATTATTACATACACAAATTAGTTAGCATTACCAAAAATCAGGTTTGATCCGACCAGCCGACCTACAAAGGTATCCACTGATCGATCGTCCCGTAGCCTGGGGAGACGAGCCTGCTATGCCACACAGCCAGGTCTCACGACCTCGTTGCAAGTCGGTTAACCAACTGCTGAAAATAGCAGACAAATTTGTCCAACAGGACGGGCCAAATCAGGACATGGAGACGTTGCTACAGGAGGGTATAGATACGCTAGTGAATTACCAGGAAGAGTGCAAAAAGCTGCGAAAATGGGGAGCCCATCCCTCGGCGCTCGACCCTCGCGTTGCCGAATCATACGAAGCGGCCTACGTCTACTACAAAATTGTATCGCAACTTGTGCTCAACAAGATCCCAGAGCTCCCGCTATTCGTACAGGCCAAAAATAGTCCCAAGACAGAGCGCGAGAAGGGTTTAATAGAAGTGTACAACATGTTGGTCAAGACCCTGCTCACTGACGAGAAATTTGCTGAAATCCGGAGGTTTATAAAGGACAACTCCGCCAGATCTGAGGCGGTCGGCAGTACGAAGCAAGCATCAAACCGGCAGCACGCCCTTCCAAGCACTCCACCTACGTGGACAAATGGCCAGGAAGTGTCGCCTCAAGAGCTTGCCTCCCTGCTGAAGGCGCATAAAGTGCTGCTGTTAGACCTGCGACCCCGCATCAAATTTCTCGAATCTCACATAAAATGCGATACCATCATGTGTATCGAACCAATCTCCTTCAAGGATAGCTATTCTGATAATGAGATCACGAAGAGATCTTTGATCACATCGCCCCAGGAGGAAGTTTCATTTTTTAGGAGACGGAACACTTTCGACTTCATCGTTATCTACACAGACCAACAGGATCGAAACCAATTTTGCCAACAGAAGCAAAACAGCCTTGTTGATATTCTGCTCACAAAGTCCTTCGAGATACCGTTGGAAAAAACGACTGTGCTCACGCTGCAAGGAGGATTTCAAAGTTGGTGCCGTTATAATGGCCCTTGTGAAAGTAGCAGCTCTAGCATTAATGGTGGGCTTGCGGCAGATTATTCGATACCTCCACTACTTCCTCGGACGACCACATTGCCAAAGCCCATTCCTTCCACAAATTACTCATCGGATCGGGTCTCAGTTACTCACCCAATGGGTGGCTCCTTAGAATTCTCACCCGGCCCGCTGCTACCATTTCCAGAACAGCGACCCCCAAATATAAAGCGAAGCTCCAGTTTTAGAGAAAAGCTGTCCAGCATGTCTCCAAGCCTATCAAGAATTGGAAGTCCATCCTCGAAAGTTGACCTCCATCGCAATGAAAGCGCCACCTATCCAGAAACGCCACATCTATCCCCATCAGCGTTGCAGATGGAATCAGTTTCTCAGGCCAAGATTTTTGAAGGTGTTTCTTTGACCCCGCAGTCTCGCAGTCTCTCGCCGGCAAAAGTTAGTAACAGTCTTGCCGATGGAAGGTTTACTGACAGTAATATGGCGGACAGAGTTTTTCCCAGCGCGTCAGGTAACTCGCGGGAGTCCAGCCCACGTCAAATGTTAGGTAGTGGGAAATTAGACCATCAATCATCAAATTTTACACCCAGCAAGAAATTCCAGGGCTTCAGTATTGGCTTGGTTAACCTAGGAAACTCGTGCTATATGAACTGTGTCATCCAATGTCTCTTGGGGACCTATGAGCTCTGCCAGATTTTCTTGGATGATTCTTACAAAAACCATGTGAATCTAAGTAGTAAACTGGGATCTAAGGGCGTGTTAGCAAAATACTTTTCTCAATTAATTCACACCATGCAGCAAAAAGCGTTGATCGCGTCGAAGAGTTCCATGAAAGCAATCACAAGCGGCGATGAAAGGACCGCTGTTCAACCTATTCACTTTAAAGTCGCAAGTGGCTCCATCAATTCTTTATTCAAAGGTTCTTCGCAACAGGATTGCCAAGAATTCTGCCAGTTCTTACTAGATGGACTACACGAGGATTTGAATCAATGTGGGGGGAATCGATCACTCAAAGAATTGTCAGAAGATGCGGAAATGATAAGAGAAAAACTGTGCATGAGAATAGCTAGCTCCATCGAATGGGAGCGGTACCTCACCACTGATTTTAGCGTTATTGTGGATCTTTTCCAAGGACAATACGCATCTCAGCTCAGATGTAAAGTCTGTGGTCGCACGTCTACAACATACCAGCCGTTCTCAGTGTTATCAGTACCAGTACCACGAGGATCGCACCACGATATTGTTGACTGTTTCAAAGAATTCACGAAGGTTGAGACTTTGGAGAAAGACGAACAATGGCACTGTCCCAAATGTAAGATAAAGCAGCCTTCTACCAAAAAGATCACAATAACTAGGCTTCCGAAGAATTTGATCATTCATTTGAAACGTTTTGACAATTTGCTGAACAAGAACAATATCTTTATCTCGTACCCTCACGCGCTAGACCTTACACCATTCTGGGCCAATGACTTTGACGGAAGACTTCCACCCGGTGTGGCAGAGCTTCCTACCAGAGGTCAAGTAGCTCCTTTTAATTATAACTTGTATGCCGTTGCATGCCACTTCGGAACTCTTTATGGGGGTCATTACACAGCATACGTCAATAAGGGACCGTCCAATGGCTGGTCTTACTTTGACGACACCACTTGGAGGAAGGCTAAAAGCGATACAGAGTGCATTACGGCAAGTGCTTATGTGCTATTTTACCATCGTGTCCCTAACTTGTCAATAAATATCTAAAAAGTACATAAAACAATGATAATGATTTTAATGAAGTACATGTTAGCCAGTATTACTCCCAATCACCGTCATCTTCATCGTCATCCTCACTCTCCTTACCCTCAACTGTAAGTGGCTTTTTCTCTCTGGCCGAGTCATCAATGCTGGCGCCTGGAAGTGTTCCAGCCCCCGTTTTTGGCTCCAAAGAATTTGAGCCATCCTCGACCTCTACTTCGTCGTCGTCCTCGTCCCAACTCACAGTGTCCTCTTCCTTATTTTTGGGTTTGAGTAGCTCCTTCCGTTCATATTCCATGGCCAGTATTTTATCTTTCCTAGAGAAATAAATGCACCAGAACCTGGAGTAACTGATTTTTTCAGGCACTATCGAGTTCATTGTTTGAGTGAGCGTAGAATTGCTTTCCAGCAGTTCTGAAATTTCGGATGTTAAAGCGTCTACATCGAAATCCTTTTCATCTATCGCATCGGCGTTATCCAGATAGAGGCTTTTGTCAGAGGAAAGAAGCCTCAATTCGGCATCGGTTCTATTACCGGCGATCGGAGTTCCCGCCCTATCGCGCAAGCCCGAAGGCCCTGTGTTCGAAGCTGGATTTCCTCCACTCAATTTAACCACTTCTTCGAGCTTGGAGCTCAATGAGCCGGTCATAGAGCTCCAAAACGAATTATTCGACATTTTCTTCCAATAATCTTGAGCAGCGTTTTCAACATCGTGCAACTGTTTGTCAAGCGAGTCTAGTGCTCCCTGCGCTCGTCCAGAGAGCCTTGAATCCAAAGGAAGATTTAGTTCAAGGCCCTGCTCATCATTAATCAGATTCTTGACAGCTTTGGCGGTTTTTTGGTATTGCTTGTCTATGGAACCCTCAAATTTCTGGAAGGCTTCTTCGGTTGAATTGTCGTGTGCCTCCGGGACATCAGAGGTGCCATTCCCACTTTCGATTGCCTGTTCCTCGTAAAAGAACTCCATCCAGATGGCGATCTAGGAAGACCAGTACACGTTTACACTAATCGGATAAGTGTGCGGATAGCCACCATAAATGTGCCTTTTCGACATCTTACAATCAGTCTCATTGTTAACGGAATTAAATGACAACGAATATATATATATATATATATATATAATTTCTGCTGAGAACCGCCAAACCGCCAAACTAATCTTGTAAGTAACGTCTCCAGATTTGTTTACTAACCCAATACACTCACAAATCAGTTAAGTTGACCTGACTTTTTAATTCAGATGTGGTTTTGAGGTGTTGAGCCCCTTCATATTTTTGGATGCAGCTTCGGCGGCTAATTGTTCTTACTGAAGACTGCGGATGACCTGGCGATTGAAAATGAGAGCAGAATGTTTCAATTAATATTTCGTGTACATACCTGAGCAGGGTTTCCTGCTTTTGTGCCGCAGGTCGCCTCCACACCGCTTACAAGAGCTCTTAAAAAAGAATTACAATACTGCAGATGGTATCTCCCTTACACCAACTTTCAAATACATCAATGAAGCCCGAAAGAATAAGTCTTGAATTATCTATGAGTGATGCTTGATGGCCGTATTCATATTCCGTTGTTGTTTACTCTGCACTTTTCATTTGCCGAACACGGTTCTCTATTCACGACATCTGAATACAGAAGGCAACCAAAAAAAGGGCTTGCCGAGTGCATGGCGTAACAAAGAGGTTTGCAAGGGCCTCCTTCTCAAAGATCAGAGGCACCTTAGCTTGCATTAGTGTTCTTTGAGTTACAATCACTGTGTACGCGGATCCAATAGAATATGACGACTCCATGGGTGACATCGAAGTGGTAATTGGAACAATGATACGCATGGGCAGAAGATTCGAAAATATTGCACCAAAGGTCCCTTCTTCCGTTCAAGATGTCAGCAATGACACCATTGGTAACACCTCTGTCCTTTAGCGCGATACAAGCCAATTTCTACAGAGGCTCTTACCCCAGGGAAATCAATATCCCATTTATGGGAACATTGGGTTTGAAATACATCGTGTCCTTAACACCTGAGCCTTTAACCAACGATCCAAGTATGGACGCTTTTTGTAAGGCTAAAGGGATCCACAATATTCACATTGAGTGTAGTGACGAAAAGGGCGCAAAAGATAAATCCAAAAGCAAAGATAAATCCAAGGAAAAAGCCTCCACTAATGGCTCAGCACCAGAAAAGTCCACGACGAAGGTCAAACGTAAGAAAAAGCCTGTTCCGATTGAATATGATGTTGTGATACGATGTATCCAGTTTTTGATTGACAAAACGCACTACCCATGCTACATACACTGTACAAACGGCGAGCTGGTTACGTCATTAGTCGTGGCGTGTTTACGAAAGCTGTGTTACTGGAGCACTGTTTCGATTTTCAATGAGTACTTGACTTATACGTCTAGTATCAACATTTATGAACGCAACTTCATTGAGAATTTTAACTTGGAAATCGAGATTGATAATTTGGATATCAAGGACAAAGTCCCATGGATAACCATACGCGCCAATGACAATTTTGACTCAGGTAGCGCGGCAAATCACAGTAAGGAGACTAATATGAAGCGCATCGGCAGTTTCCCCGGCAAACTTCCTCGACTCAATTTCCGGACTGGCATGAAAAGCTAACCTATGTACCTAGCAACAATCTACTGGAATAGAATGGCCGCGGCAACATCGGCATTCCCATTTGCTTGTTCTAGGGCCGCTTCCACGTCGCGCTTTGAGAAACCAAGATCCATCAGTTGGTTAACTACCGCCACTGGATACTCACGAGTCGCGGTGCGATGGGGCCCGGCAGGGAGGGGTGTTTGAGTAACAACCGGAGGCTGTGATGGCGCCTGAAAATTGGTTCCACTGGCAGCAGTCGCCTCCAGCGTTTTGGCATCGAAGTCCTTGGGAAGTTCCGCTTCGCTAAGAAAGCGCGTTTCAACGCCGGCAATGCGTAGCACGTTGTCTTTGAGATCGATACAAGCCTGATGCCTTTTGAGCATGTCCAAACCAAGAAGCATATTGACATGTGTGTCTATCACAGTAAAGCTGCAGGGAATATGTTGAGTTTCGATTTTCACCTGTGCGACGTGAATCTTTCCCAAAATTTTTTGAACTCCGACTCCGTGAGCCTCGCCCTGGAAACGTTTGTCAATCAATCTAAACAGCCCTGTTTCTTGTGCCAATTTTGTAGATATGATGGTAGTTTGGGCCCCAGAATCCACGAACGCCTTTACCGGAGTACCGTTGATTTCTAGATTGATGTATAGCATATGAACTGGGGTAAAGACTTCCGGCGTGAATTCTAAGGCATTTCGCATCTGCTCGTCGATCTCCTGCTGGCTTATAAGTGTGTTAATCCGCTCCTGATTTGCAGGATCGTCTGGGTTTTGCATCAACTGCTCATACTCACGTTGGGGGATCCCAAAAGGGTTTTGGTGCGTCCCCTGTGGGTTCATACTTTGCAGTAAATAAGGGCCCGCTCTTTCGCGAAAGGCTGCAGGGTCGTCAATTATATTCGCAAATTCAGGATTGCTCGTGGTCAATTGCGAACGTACCGCTGAATTTTGTGCGACCTGCTGTCTAAATTGTTCCACTATCGTATCGTCCGAAACGTTTCCAGTTCGAGAAATGTCAGATTGCATAGCACCTGTTTTGAATCTGATAGCCAATAGCTCGTCATTCACCAACCCCAGCTGCTCCAATGTTCTTGTATCGCCGACTGCCAGGATTTGGTTGGCAAACCAAAGGTCATGTTTACCACGATCAAACCCGCAATCCAGCTCCAATAAAGCTACCAGATCATTGAGATCCATATCTGCACTGATATCCAGCGGTAGAAAATCATCTGTAATTTGATTACTGATGGTTATTCTCATATTGATTATTGTTCTACTATGGTGTGTTAATTCACCGATTGTAATTAGCATTTGTCAAACCTTAAATCTGAATTTCGAAGAATTAAGAAGCCGAATAAACTCGACAAACAACGTGAACTATTGACCAGCCGAGCTCCTTCTCTTTCTGCTCATTCATAATTCCAGTAAAAGTGCATCTTCTTTGGTCTATTGATTCTTCATCTAATCGAACGTTAGCTGTGGTCAACAACGAAGTGCGTCGGAACGCATTGTCAGGTTGCTAGAGTCCAAAGCAGAACCATAGGAATCCTTCGAAATTTGGCAATGAAAAGGAAGTCATCGATTCCTGCAGAGCTACCTGCGGATTTTGCTAGCAGACACATTGACCCTTTTAATAAGGGTTGTAAGGCAATCTTAGAGGTAGATCCCTCGCTGTATGAGACAATGGTCAGCCAGGACTTTGGGCTTTTTCTTAAGAAAGAACAACCAGAGATGACTTTGAACCATCACTTTACCAAGCTTGCTAGCAGCATATTGGCCCAGCAGATCAGCGGTGCTGCGGCAAAGAGCATTAAACAGAAAGTTATGGATCGATTCGGTGATTTCCCCACCTTTCAAGAAATGGCTGCGTTATTCAAAGAAAGTAAATCGCAAGACTTACGCGAGTGTGGCCTTTCGGCTCGCAAAGTTTTATACTTAGAATCCTTGGCGACCTATTTCAATGACAACCAAGAGAGCATAGCCAAGCTACTCACTAAAGATAGCGATGAAATTGCATCCGAGCTTGTGACGAATATCAAGGGGATAGGTCCCTGGAGTGCCAAGATGTTTTTAGTCACCAGTATGGAGAGAATGGATATTTTTGCTCCAGACGATCTTGGGATTGCACGAGGGTGCTCAAAATACTTGGATTCCCGCCCTGAGATCTTACAGGATATCATGACCAAGCGAGGGCCTGTAATAAAACGCAGCAAAATCAAGCACGTTAAAAATAACTGGAAAATATACGATGAAGATGTTGTAGAAAAGTGTGGAGACCTTTTCGCTCCATATAGGACCATATTTATGTTCCTGATGTGGCGAATGTCACAAACCAATGTGGAGGTCATGGCCAAGCGCGAGAGTGATTTTGTAGACGATAAAGACAAAAAAGCATAAATAATGATGTTCTAAGATGATATTTACAAGCATTGAAGAGTTTGAGTTTTTAAATAGCCTGGTATGGCCATCCTATTTGGCTGATCTAGCAGCTTCCACAAGTATACTGCTGTTGGGCTTTTGCACAACTTTGGTGGACAATCCGCTCACCAAAATTCTCATTGGAACTCGTGGCTTCCGCAACTGCGAAGCGAAAACTAGAGCATTAGTCAACAAAGCAATTGCTCCTGCTTGGTGTAGCGAGGCCAGTGGAATCGGAACCAAATATAATAGGGTAAAGATGCCTAGAGTCACTTGTAAGGATACGACTCCCATCATTGTGTGCATTGATTTGACCGCATTTTTAGGTAGAATATGCTTTCTCCTGTTGACCCACATATGCAACCCCAATATGCTGAAGAACGTTGTCGTAGCCAGAATTCTGTGGTTCAGTTGGACCGTGGTAGGATTTTCAAGCAAATTCCTCCAAAACAAATCGCCGGTGTCTTCTTTTCTAGCATAAGTTTCATCAAAAAGCTCTCTTTGACTAGGGAGCCAGTTATCTCCCATATGGGGAAAGGTGTTGTAAATTAGTCCAGCATCTAGTCCGGCGACAAGTCCTCCGCTCATCGCAGTGACAAAGGTCAACGCCAACAAGCCCAAGGAGGTTCTCCTCAAGGGTTTTAACGCAGGATTGTCAAGTTTAGTGAATTCAGACAAAGCCTTTGTCGGGTTTCTCACCCACTTTGCCTCCTTTAGAACCTCAATACCAGTCCACAGCATACCGAGATACAGTAGAAAGGCAACGCTTAGATGGGTCGTTAATCTATATTGAGACACCGTTGGCTTCGACTTTCTTTCATCAAGCTGTTCTTGATCAAGGCCAGATTTTACCATCCACCATCCAATAAACCCTTGGAAGCCAAGCAAACATGCTAATGAGAAAACACGTCTATTCACACGAGGTGAAGCCTTTTTAGCCACAGCGAAGTACACCGCTGGCAGCACAAAAACCGCGCCAATTGCACGACCCCACAATCTGTGAACCCACTCCATGAAGAAAATAAACTTGAATTCATCTAGATCAATGTGTGAGTTCAGCTGTTGAAATTCGGGAGAGTTTTTATATCTGGCAAATTCCTCGAGCCATTCTTTTTCATTTAAAGGCGGAATTGTTCCTGTCACAGGTTTCCACTCGGTGATGCTCAAACCGGACTCAGTGAGTCTTGTTAATCCACCTAACACGACAATACCAAAGACCAGACCCGATGTCCCCACGAGCCAGTATCCAACTGTTTTCGATGAGTTCAGGAGGTTTTTTGCTGGCTGTTTCTTGACAGCGGCCTCAGCCTGTCTGAGGATGGCACTGGAGTGCATATTCCTTTTGAGTGACGAACCCGACTGGGCCATGTGTCTAAAGGTCGTAGAGGTGCCATTGAGAGTTACCGTTGGGCGGGTCATCACAGACCTGCCAAACGTGAGAGTACCGTTAAATGCGTTCGCACGCCATTTCAGCAAAGTGCTTTTGAGCACATGTTTCAGCATCCCTGGTTCAACTCAAAGTTGAGAACTTTCACTGTAGAGTAGCCGTTGGACGTCTTAAATGTGTGAGTACTTATAGCTTGCCGAGCTACCGAATAAGCCAATTTTCAATATCACCACTTTTTCGGTCTCAATAAACGAGCTCATGTGCTGGACAAGAATGAGCAGACAGTCCATAAAGAATCAATTTAGTGAAACACAATTGATCGGAATACTTTGGAAACTTTGGGGCTTGGATGGTGAAGCACAATTGGTCGGATTGCGAATAAGGCTTCAGTTGTCCGTGACGAGCCAAGAATCAGCGGTGTCATAACAAACGGTTCCGGCATATCGAGTGACCGAAATATTCCTGGGCCTCTTGGCAAAGCATAGTCAGGACCTTGAATGGTGAGTCTTTGGTAATCTGAAATACCAATTCGCTAACAATTACTCAAAGCTTTCCTCAAAATTTGAAACCTCCGAGGTTGATGCGAAAGAAAATAGACTACGACACTTAGTATCGAGCTTTACCGTAGCATTGCTCGAACTTCCCTCGGTAGACTTCTTTTTAACTCAACTAATGCTACCATATCCTTTTGGACACCATCTTGTAGCGACCGACACTTTTAAGGCTGCGTTTTGAATCATGCTGCGCCCTTTTCTCGACGACACTAGGGGGAGCCAGAGCATTTTCTTTACCATTAAATCCCGCTTTGAAATTATACAACTTGGCACGAGCCTGCTCGTCCATTTTCCCCTGCCCACTTGACGGAATTCCTGGAACATACATACTTTCGTCCACCAGGAAAGTATGGAGGTTGCCAGGGTCCTCTAAGTTTTGAGACCACTTATTTAACAACAAATGTAGCACGAACTTCGACAACAATAGGCACACGAAGCCCATCGCGGCAATGGAAAAAGACCCTATCATTGACGTCGACATTTCAAGTAGTGCTATGTCTAGGGCCGGTTTAATCATGACAATAAAAAGAACTACCAGGGCTGGACTCGGTAATCCTAGCCGAGCTTGCAATTTTTGTAAGTTGTGAGTGTGGTCCCACGCCAAGATTCGTAGGAAAGTGTCATACATCTGTGGCCTGACACGATTAAACTTGATAATGTAGGCATGTTTGATCCAGTCAACAAGGACCTCGCTACCTACCACAGTTATGATAGGTCCGCAGAGAATCCCTACGGCAGTTGATGAAGTAGAGCTCCACGACCAAGAGTCGGGAATTAGAGTGGATAAGGAGGTTGACGAAGCAATAAGATTTCGGATGGCTATAATGGTTAGCAAGATGAACATCTGAAACCGTTCCATGATGTCTGAAATGGTGATCTGGAATAGGCCCTCCTTGTCAAACCGTTTGAAAACGCTTGCCTTTATTTCTGCAAATTGCATGGACAGCAACAGCGTGAGAAGAGAGTTTGAGTACGAGTTGACCGCAACATTGAGTGCAATGGTCTCGTACATCAAAATAAATCCGTGACACACCAGATACAGGATAGCGCTCAAGTATAGCATTGTAGACTGAAATCTAAGAGATCTGCTTGAATTATTAGATTTCTTAGCGTTCGCAACTAACATCAGACTCTGCCCAACTGAGGAGAGCATCTTGTCCCCCATCTCCAGCACTCCAAACATCATATATAACTTCACGGCGCTTTGACCCTTTATCCGATGGTATACTCTTGAAGTATCCACTCGAAGCAAAATTAACGATGCCAACCCTATCAATGCCAGCATCCGATGTTCCTTATTCGCATTTTTGAGTTTCTGATTGCGGAGCAAGCCGTACAGCAGCCTTGAGGGGAATACCGTGAAGTAATATAGAAAACAATCGAAACACGCCAAAAGCGAGAATAACATCAATTTCTCCATATGAAAAAACAGTCGAACCATGTTCAAAAGATGCTCCATCTCATGGTTCGCTTCGTCTATCTCTCTTTGATCTGCTAAATCCGATTCTCTTTTCTCATCCGCCGAACTATAAGCGCCCCTTTTGTGCTCTCTGGTCTCGAACTCGGCGAGCAAAAGTTCCTTCAAAAACTTTGAACGCGCAGATCGCTTGGCCTTCTTATTTTTAGCGACCTTGGCTGACATGGCCCGAAGCTTTTCTATGATTTTGAAGCATGTCCTTTATGAGATGGATATAAGGTAATTTGTTAAATATTTGAATTTCATCACCACTGGAAAATACAGAGGACAACCGAAACGTAAGGGCCACAAGTTGGTGCCCTGAGGACAGCTCTGTTAAACACCAATGACAACTATTGAAGATATAAAAAGGCAAGTTTTGGAGCCTTATCAAAATCATCGACAGTTAAGTATCAAAGAAGCAGATACGATATCATTGGAGTTACTAGATTTGTTCAGTCAGTCCGATTGCAATGACAAAGAAACTTTAAAATATTTGGCGAACTTCCTTACCGGAGAGATGTATAACGATCTAATGGAAGAAAGAAACCTGAACAAGAAATGTGGATATCCATCTTGCACACGCAGCCAAAGTCGAGTTAAGGATCCGTATGGTGGTAACGCTGTGGCAACGAGGTTTCTTCAAGAGAACAACCCTTACGCGTACTTGTCACAGTTTTGTAGTAAATTTCACTATCGCTGTTCCCAGTTTTACGAAGTTCAATTGACAGACGAAGCCTTATTTGTGCGAAGTGGAGTTCATCTTAATGATGACATCCAGGGCAAAGCTCCAAAACTGCAGGACGTTACCCTTCTGGAGGAAATGATGCAAGGGGAGGAGATTAAGCAGCACGACGTGGCGGCAATCATCAAGGGCATTGGCCAACTACACATCAACCGAGAGGGAGAAAAGGCGGAGGTGCAAGAAGAAGTACAAAAGGACCTGAGCGATTGGCTTTCTCAAATCAAGATTGCGGAAAAAGCAAATCCTCATCCACTAGGAGATTTTTTCGAAGAAAAAGGCTGAAAGTATAACAGTGTCCAGTAATTCGACCAGCATAGTGTTTGAGGTTAAAATTTGTAAGATTTCATTATGGAAGGAAGGTTTTGCTTTTTAAAAAAGGGTACTGTGAACTGCAACTCCTCCTGAAGCATTTTATTGTACCGGCGCTTCCGATTCATGAAGACTGTTAAAGCCTTCTCGGTGAAATAGTGGCGTTGTGCCTGCAGGACAGAACCATGCTTAAAGTTTTCGTAATATTTCGCTGCCGTCGTGCTTTGAGTGTGGAGAACGGCAATGGAATGTTTGATGGGCTCCAGCCATTCGTTTAATGTATCGTTGCATTCAGCCGTGCCGACCCTCTTCACGCTCTTGCTGTCCCAGCTCATGAATTGCTCGGGGCCTCCCGTGATGAAACATCCCGTCTCCATCAGGTTCTCCCATAGGGCTTCGTGCCACGCCCAATAGCTGTTTTCCTGGCAGTGCCCCCAATAGTCAAGATTTTTTTGGGCTTTCCTCTTTTCAGAACGTATCAGTCTCCCAAGAGCCCTTGATTGTCGCCTGCCTTTATTAAGCGCTGACCGCACAAACCATATCCGAGCCTTACCTGCCGCTGTATAGTTCAACGAGACCTTTGGTGGGCCAGCTGCCAACTTGAACTCAATTCGTTGCAATTTCCGGAGAGCATGTTCGTGGAGTGCCAAAGGTAAGATAAGTTGTGCCTTGTATTTGTCACAGATATTGCTCGGGATTTGAAGCTTGCCTTGTTTTTCGGTCAAATAGTCTGCTAAAATTTTGGAGCTTTTCACTCTTTCTGGATCCTGAGTGGGACCTTTATTTGTGGCCATGAAATCAACTGATGGCGATGGCCTTTTCTTCCTTCTCGACGATTTTCCCATGTAAGTGGTCAAAAGTCTCCAAACTTTTTCTGTCTTAGACTTGACTAGAAGGGAATTTATCCGCTTCATATCACGCAAAAGTTTATAAACGTTCCAGCTGGACTTGTCGCTTTTGTGCTTCAGCATTGTGACCTTGGTCACCCTCCTCACTCTCTGCTGCAAGTGAACTGAGTGAACATACTTAGTACAGTTTCGAAGCGTGTAGCGATACCAATGAAGAACATACGTCCTATGACGTGGTATTTGTGAGAAGTGCAGGACCATATACCCTTATGAAGAGTAAATAATCAATCTTACGCATCGGCATCGCCCATTGATAACTTAATACATATGAGAAACTAGTACATAGTGATATCGCGAGACACTGGAGAATATCTCCTAACATAGTTGAGGATTGATCGACTCTTCTCTCCATTGTACCATGGCCCAATAACCCTATTAATATACAATGCCAACATTAAAAAAACCAGAGAGCAGGCTCTTTTCAATTATAAAACTATGAACACGTCCAAATGATTTTACGAATTGCGGTAGCTCGTCTAGTTAACCAAAGCAGAAGCGGTGGCAGATTCGTACTTCCAGTTTGGAGGCAAGACAGAGACGGTTCTGTAGTATCTGGCCAATCTGTGGATTCTGGATTCGACCAAAATCAATCTGAACTTGGCGTCCTTGTCCTTTCTGTTTCTTTCCAAGTGCTTTCTGACAGAGACGGCCTTCTTGATCAAGTAGTATAGGTCCTCTGGGATTTCTGGAGCCAAACCGTTGGACTTCAAGATTCTCATGATCTTGTTACCAGTGATGACACGGGCTTGGGTGACACCGTGAGCATCTCTCAACAAGACACCGATTTGAGATGGGGTCAAACCCTTTCTGGCGTACTTGGCGATTTGCTCAACAACAGAGTCTGGAGAAGACTTGAACCAAGCTGGAGCGTTTCTGCTGTATGGGAGAGCAGAAGAGGAGATACCTTTACCCTGTAGCACAAACTGTTAGTATTTGAATTACATCTCGAGTGGCAGAACTTCGTAATGGATTGCAAGGAGGCCAAATGTCGGAGTTCCAGGGAGCATGCGGATGAGTATTGACCTGGCATGCCAAAGGAAAAAAAACCAGAGCATTTCCTCAGCCCACTATTAGAGGCCGGAGGACATTTTGAGCCTTTACAAGTTATGGGGCTGCACCCGCATCTAGATATGGAGTCACCCAGCTCATACACCGCAACTAGAAGCTTGAACTTCCTCTGTTCAGACCAAGCGATCTCGCCTTGATCTGTTGGTGTACACCGGACAGGAAACGCCAACAAACAAAAATGTAGACACAATTTTGTCAACTTGGCTTCCATTGCTGTGATCCGACAAATAGCATTAAAACAAGTCTGAAAATCTTCCGATTATTCAAGTCCTGTTTCAAACACCTTTTCCATTTGGATTGGTTTTCTTCGCCTGTCTTCCAGGCAAAGTCACAAGGACTAGGCTGTCAGGAAGACACTAAAATTTAAACGTACCTTAGAGTGCATACGAGCCATTTTGACTGATTTTGTTTGATGATCTGAGGACTGGAAATACTGTGAAGTGCGATGTGAAAGTAAGATGAGAGTAGTTATATCGTAAATTTATGTAAGAGCCCAGTGAGCTTGACGAGAATAGTCAATTGTGCGTGGAACTTTTTTGGTGACAGTTTGCTCACGTGGTCTTCGAGAAAATATTTTCACGAAAAAATTTAGACACGTGAAATAAACGGCAACTATCAAGGTGTATGGGTTTGATTGAGACAGTCACAAATGAGGGCCTACGCTAGTCTTAGAATCAGTAGTCAACTGCGAGGCCTGAGGTGTGTTCATCCACACGTTGAGATGACGGCAAAGGGTCGCCTAGATGGCTACATCGGCGTCCAGTAGACCGCTAAAGCCCGGGACTGGCCGTAAAGTTTGTGTTCATTGTCGATCCTGACCAAGCATGCTGGTTTTTGATAAGTTCGACTAGAGGCGATTTTGAGGGAGGAAATGCGCTGCCTGAGCATTCAGCAGCGTTGCCACGAGTCGACAAAGCTCGAATTGACCTCCAGCGTGTCGTCCTATCAAGAAAAATCACAATTCGATTTGTTCTCTTACCTCCTGAATATCTTCGTCGTCCTCGAGACCCGTTGAGACTTCTATCACTCTACTCACACCGCATTCATTTCGCATCATCTCAAGGGCTCCAGCGTAAAGCATTTTCCACTCCTGGGAGACTACTGTCGCAGGCTTCCAGTATAGTAGCACCAACGGCGTCTGCTTGCGACCGTCGGACGTGGTCATTGGGTAGCTTAAAAGCACATACCGGGGAGTATTATCCGGTAGTTCCTCGCCCAGTTCCTCCAGACTGTCGAAGCCTGTTTGTAGTGCTTGTTCGTCCTCGGATTCGTCTATTGTGATTTCGCACGAAGGTTTGGGCTGAATCTTTAGAACGAGGGCCTTCAATGTTTCGGTTCTTGCGGTTGCAGTACGAAACTTCTTTATTCTATTTTTGACATCTGTGCTGATACGGTATAGGGACGACATTTGTCCTACGTTCGTTACTGTACGCGCAAGTGTTTGGCCTTATTGAGAGCCTAATCCCCTTTAGTTTTCCTAAGACTACGCCAGTCCATCGTGTGACATGCTATCAATCTCTGCCTTGGGATAGGAACGGTCAGCGCCCAAGTGACGGCCCTCGCAACGCATACCGCCTTGCTTCTGTTATTGCAGTTTGAATTATTCAGTTTCGCTTATCAAATTTAAGACGAGATCTGCAGTTTTTTCAGCTTATCTTCACGGTCTATTCGTAGAATTAGAATTACCACGAGTCCCACGATCTTCACCTGTTCCAACTAATTTCTGAACGCTACAGCAGGCCATTCCAGCAAGCGTACGATTCTCTGCATCGTGTTGTTTGAGCTGGAATTACCAAGTGTGGAACTTGAAGGTACGCTGACCAAAAAAGGCTGTATCAAGGGTAATAGTTTTAAGAGTTTCAACTATTACTGTGTTGCTAGACACCCGCCGACCTATTAATCATTTCCGTCTCTCTTATCCAAAGGTTTTTTGGAAATATCATCTCTGACACATTTCCCCACCATGATTCCCTGGTCGGAAAGATGAATAGGTGCATCCGCATTGCACAGACAGTTTAGTATTATCAAATTTTGGTCGTCGATATTAGCCTTAATACTCTCGCCACATGAGAAATCCATGTAGAGTTGCCCAGCAAACTTGCACTGTCAATGGATAGCCGGCCGTGGCTTTTCTGTGAAATTTAAGAACGCCCTGGTCTATAAAACTAAGTTTCCGGACAAATAATCAATGCACGCTTTGTGGTAGAGCAATCCTGAAACTCTTGGGAGGAGATATTGCATAACCATTCATTCCTTCATAACTTTGAGCATCTTAAAACCGTGTAATGCCTGTCCCCATGCTCTTGGTATCGCATCATGATACTCACAAGGCTCTGCCTCAGTCTAGCTTATAGATAAAATGAGACGGGGATACTGGTGAAAGATAGTGCTGCCTGTGCGATGATCCACCTTAAAAAAAAAGTGGTTCTGCGTTGTGTTAAGCGTTGCGAACGCCAACGCCTTTCTCCCACCGATCCTGAGTGTGTTATCCTTATCTTTAGACACCAAGCATCTTGCGGAGCGCCAAAAGAGTTTGTCGTGCGTCACCCTTTTCTCTCGATAAGGAGTGATCGGCCAGAGAGAGAAAAGGTGCCACTTTGAAGCCCAGGACAACCAACGCACAGATCTAATATTGTTGGTTCACTGAGAGTACCATGATGATGATCAATTCTGGACGCCGAGAGCCTTACGCTAACTATTCAAGAACATCTTCCATCGTCTCCTTATATATAAATATACCATCGTAGTCTAACATTAAATGATTTTATAATCATCAATTACTGTTCTTAAAGTTCTTTGTGGGAATAAAGTTACGATAGCTTAAGGTAGAAAGAAGGGCTTGAGTATCTGCAGAATGCGCGCAGTCATGTATAGTGAAACTTCGCTGACTTGAATAAAACTTACCGAGACACGCGATGGAATTTACTTAAAAGTACTGAATAGTGGCATCTAACTTTGAACATGCATATGCGGGTTATTCTCCTGACGTTCGCGTTAGTCTCTTCATTTTGCCTTTTAATTTTGTATCGCCACCAAATCTTGCAACGTAGCTGATTCCCAGTACCAGCACCGGTGGAACAGGATTATAATGGGGCATCTGGCACTGGGCGTGGCCAACCGCAGCAGAAACATAACGGCCTCGTCAGCATGCCTAGGACATAATAGAATTTTTATAAACTTGTGACCAATTCAAGAATGTGGAACGGAGAGAATGTCAATTGACGGCGTAATGTGTTTCATCATTTAAAAAATGCCTTTACTGTCACTACCCGTCAACCAGGTTTGGCAATTGATCCTTCTTAGGCTCGGAAGACGGTGGCCTTCCGAGAAAAGCTCAAGCATTGCCGAATGCCAACTCAGTGCAAAATAGCTAAGTACTCTTAGATTCAAAGTATTTTATAAAATTAAAATGAGATTCAGTTTGCGAAGAATCTATCATCCTTACAATCGACAGGGGTGTGCTTAATCACATCCTCGATATCCCATCTAGCGGTTTTCCCAGAACTTACTTTAAGGAAAAGCTTTTCTCCAACTTCGTTGACGTGGCGTAGCAAATAGTCAATATCCTCCTTAGTCAAGGCAGCTGATACGCAGAATCTAACACGCGACTCAATCAGAGGGGTTGCTGGGTAAGCAACTACAACTACAGCAATCTTTCTTTGTAACATCATTCTTGAAAAAGCCGGCATCTTTGATGGGGCGTACAATAACATGGGGACCACTGGGGAGTCGGCGATACCGTAAACAATGAATCCTAATCTCTTCAAAGCCAATCTCAAGTACCTCGAATTGAATGCAATACGTTGTAGCCTCTCAAGGCCTTCACCTGGGTTTAATTCACCAGTAATGATTCGTAGGGATGTGCAAGTTTGAGCCAGGACTGCGGCTGGGACTGACTCTCCGTAATTGGTGGTGGTCAAGTCACACCTCAAACGATCAATGATACTCTTGTCAGCAGCGATATAGCCACCAGCCGCACCGAAAGACTTGGTAAATGTACCCATCATGATATCCAAGTTCGAAGGACTAATTCCGAAATAGTCGCACACGCCACGACCATTAGGGCCAATGGCTCCGATAGAATGTGCTTCATCAACATACAAGTAGCATTTGTATTTCTTTTTTAGCTCCACAAGCTTAGGTAGATTGCACATCGTCCCCTCCATAGAGAATAGGCCCTCCACGCAAATAAGGATCTTTTTCCATGGCCTATGAGTTTTGGGCTGACCATTCACAATTTGGTCTTTGATCAATTTCTCCAAAACTTCCATGTTATTATGCTTGAATGCCTTGACAGTAGCACCGGACAGACGAACACCTGTTCTGATGGAGGTGTGGTTCAGTTCGTCGGAAATAACTAAACACTTGGGATCTAGGATGGAGTTGAAGAAATTGGCGTTGCTGCCGTAGCCCTGAGAGAACACCATAGCATCTTCTTTTCCGACAAATTCCGCTACAAGTTTTTCAGTAGATATGTGTAGTTCGGAAGTACCGAGCTGCGTCCTGGGTCCGCCAGCACAAACGCCGTATTTGTCGATGCTGTCCAGGGCGCTGCTGGTACAAAGTCCTTCGCTCTGGGCAAATCCCAAGTAATTGTATGACGATAGGTTCAAGCACATCGTGGAGGTGCCTGGATACGTGTAAAAACTATTAAGGTTGTGTGCAATGCGGTCGATGCATGAAATAAACCTACCAGGAACCCCAGCAGTAGGTCTAGAGAAACAGTCATCAATCCTCAGTTTTAGTCTCCTCACGTAGAAACTTTCGAATTTGGAAAACCAAGGGGCCAGACCGTCCTTCTCCATGATGTCCTGGTGACGATCTTTTTGGAACGTTAAACCTAAAAAATCGTGGATATGTCCCAATATGAGAAGTATCAAGTAGTTTAGGTACGTGATGACAACGACGTAGTAAGGGGGGGTGTCTAGGATCAATTCTTGTAAAGGCTCTCCATTTCGCGATTTCATTTCATACAAATACTCCTTCGATGTTAAGGGCCCGAACTCATTAGCTTTCTTATCTTCCACGGATTGCTCCGGAAATTCGACTAACGGAACTTTCAAATTAGCTATTGAGCTCATGATGGGCCTGATGAAACGCGTAGATATGCCCACCGCAGCGCTATGTCCTAACTCTTAATTTGTTGAAATGTATTACTTCCTATCGTGTGTAAAACTAATACCTTCACATCACTTAAAGTTCGTAGAACATGATTTATACATCGTAGAGTCAAGAATTCGACCAAGAGTCTCATCACCCTTGTTGATCCCCGCAGCGCTGAGACGAATATTCAAGGTTTTCGTGTATGGAATTATCAGTTGTTAACTTGAACTGTGCACTTATTGTCCTGAATTTAGATACCGCTATTTGAGTCCTAATCATTAACTGGTTCCAGTAACTGCCTACGAAGATACGTTGTAGAAAGAACTAAGTCTGATTGTAGACATGAGCTTGATAGACGAGCCCGCGCTCTCTTATGCCGCGGTGGGAAAAGATGATTAACGATGTAGCATTGTGTTTGGCCTCTTGCGCTCTGGTCAGAAAAGATCTCGCAAGACGCTCTCATAATCACGTGAATATTCTTGAGCTGGATACTCAGCTTCAGTAAGCTCAAGGCGCATCATGATTAATTGGGTTTGCAATTAACCTCCTATTCGACATTTGCTTTCCATGTAGTCTGAACGACATCAGCAGCTAGTAGTGATGATATTGTATTTTTATCTGCCGCTGAATGAGTCTTGTACGGTTTTATAAAACTATGTATATCGAGCCCTGCTCTACCTACTACAACATTACCCAAAGGTTACGTTACCGATCTCATAATGACCTGGAGAGATGAGCCGTAAGTAGTGGTCGCACCGGGGGGTTTCTGCGGGGACGTGGGACACAACTAGCACAATACCTGGCCAGTAATCCAAAAATTGATGACAAAGCTTTACTGAGTCTTCCTCCATAGCAGAGAAAGCTTCATCCAGAATCAAGACCTGAGGCATTTTTAACAAGCTGCGAACAAATAAGACTAATTTCTGATTACTCACCGAGAGATTGCCATACTTTTCTTCAGCCACATCTTTCAATCCGAAATAATCTGCATAAACGTCTAAAATTTGACGCTGATGGGGACTTAGGTGACCGTAACATGCTAGAAAATCATTAGAGGAGTTTTCATTAAACCCTGTAGCCAAAGACTCCTTCACGCTTAACTTTGCGCTCTGCGATTTGTTGAAAATAGCATGCAATTCAGGAGAAGACATACCGATTCTCCGGTTGATGGTGAAATAGTCTGTGGAGCCTGTTTTTCTAGGAGATCCGTTTTCGACAATTCGCGAGTTCCACGATTGGGGGTGATCTGCAGTAACTAGTGATAGCAAAGTTGATTTTCCAGTACCATTATTTCCCCTTATATGCCATTTGGTTTTCTGCGCCACTTTCCAGTTCAATTCCTTTAGGATAGGCTCGCCTTTGTATGAGACAGAGATACCATGAAATTGTATTCCATCAGGAAGCTTGACAACTTCATGATGTGGCACTTGTGCTAAGGGATGATAGGATAATAGATCCTCGATTTTGTATTTTGTTTCTAAGTTTGTCCTCGCATTCACAAGCTCAAAGCGCTCCCTCGTCGACTTGATTAGGTCCCGTACACTATCTACATTTCCCTGGAAAACAATGCCCTCATCATTGACACAACAAACATGCGTACACCAAGGTGGAATTTTATCGTGATACCTCAATCCTATCACAATCGGGCTTCTGGAGTATCTTCCCAGAAAATCTGAAATAATCTTGGTTGCCGTCGGATCGAGACCCAAAAAGGGATCATCTATGAGGGCCAAATCTGGCTCCTTCAATAAACTGCGTGCTAGACGAGCCCTTCGCATCTGACCGTTACTGAGTCCCATGGCCCAGCGGTTTTCCAGCTCCTTTAAATGGAGCTCACTTAAAAGAAATGAATACAACTGTGGGTCAATTTTCCTGCTGGTGTGAGTTACTTCATAGTTAACAGACATTGATCCTATCGAATTATCTTGAATGAACTTGCCGCAGGTTTGATCGAAATCGTCTTTGAAGTACTCGTACCGAGCACTAATGTGTGCCGTGGGCATCACTCCTGTAAATTTAACAAACTCTATCCTAGCAATGGCATTCTTTTTCATGCCATATTGCAAGGAAAGAGACGGTACCGATAGATATTTGTTTCCTATCGCATCCATAAATTTAGACCTCTCGGCTCCCCATATTACCCATTTTTCTCCTGGTTTGATGTCGAATTTCTTTATGGGAACAGGAAAAACGGCTGGTGCAGCTCGCTGCAATGACGACTTAAAAAGTGCGTTCCTGATCTGCAGCACCGATTGGCTCATGACCCGCCTGAGCTTTGAAATGAATTGATACGAGACCCACCATAGCTCAGTTATTATATTCTATGACTCCTAAATGCTCAAATAAAGATCAAAAAAATTAAGTTGACGTCGAACATAGTACATATTGAAGCTCGAAACTCCAGGTAAATTATACCATACCTATTGAAGGACAAATTTGGAGGTTACTCAGGTAACCTCGAAGCGCAAGAAAGACGCTCATTAAATGCTAAGGAACAAGTCAAAAAACGGAAAATCTCAAGCACTATCTCATCCTCAAGGCTTGCGAGTAAAGGCCTGTTGTAAATAATCTGCAACCCAAACTTGATTGATGGCATTGTATCTAGCCCTTTGTTCGGACGAAAACATGAGAAATCTTCCCTTTTCATACACTTTATTAAAGGAGTATGGTTTGAGATGTCTTTCATAGCGGGCACAGTAGTAATACCCTCTACAGCGCCCGTCAGGTTTCCCCCAAGCATCACCCTTGTCGGCTGGAATGATACCGGCTTGCATATCCACAGCTCCTTGGTAAACTTTCTGTACTTCCTCGAATGTTGCGAACTTTGAGGACATGCGCAACCCCTCGTCTTCCCAGTCATTCTTAGCAACATCAAACTTGCAGTATTGGGTACCACCATTTACCCACAGCAAACCATCGCGAGGGTGGAGGTGGGAGATTGTAATGCTGCACACTTCGCTCTTTCTTTGCTTCAATTGCCTGTCAACGTTGCTTTGGTCTTGATAATGACCGGTAGCACCAGGTCTGGAAGCGTGGAAGGAAAAATGGTGTCCGGACACATAGAAGCCTAGCCAAAAGAATTCTTTGTCTCCATGACTGCAGCCGGCAAGCTCTGGAGTGAGGTGCATCAGTAGCGATATCATGAGCGGCACACTGTGAGAAGATTTGTCGACAACCACTAAGCCCGAGTCCATCTGATGCTTTTTGTTGTCGAAAAAAAAGTCCCTGAAGCCTTTCTCCTCTGGTGTCAGTAGATTTTCGCATTGAAACTCAACGTAGTCTGCATTGATAGATGGAAAGTGGTGGAAGTAGCGACTTTCCAAAAATCTGGGCGCTAAGGTTTCCACTTTGGCAGGACATTTGGGATCTGGAATGCCCTCGTTCAAGAAACGGTCTTTAAAGAATAGAGTACCGGTCTTGACATAGTCTGTGTTGTCAAAAAAATAGTTCATGTCAACGTAATTGACTGCATCAACATCGATGAAGACGTACTCTTCAAATAAATTGAAGGAAGTGGCCAGCCACTTGTTTTTGAAGCGCTCGAAACTATCCATGACGCCGGGGTCTAGAGTCGGGGACACATCCAGAAACCAGAGGTCCTGTTTGACATTTTGCCCGTCCTTGTAGTCAATGTCAGGGAAGACTAATTCATCCGACTGTGCGATCTTGAGTAGGGTATCGATGGTGTCGCGAGAAATATCGCCTTTCGTGACAACTTGAATTGGCAGCTTGTTTCCGGTAAATCTCCAATGGGCCAATAGCTTAGCCGCGAGGTAGAGCTGGCCGTCTCCAAAACTCAAAACGATGCCTCTGGGGGCGACCATCCCGCTCATGTGGTTCCAGTTCCAGAGAAACGAATGCGCAGCATCGTACTCGTACTTCACCGCATCGGCCGTGGTATACTTGCCGTGCTCGATTTTGGGCAGATAACCTTGCTCCATGATTCTACCCTTGGGATTGATGATTTGAGGCATGATGTTCTCGAACGTGGATTGGTTGAATCTGCGTACGATTGGGAACATGCGGTGCTCGAAGTCCCACTGGTCTGCGGCCTCGTCCGGGACACTGTCGAAAATCTTGGCCATGTCGATACGCTCGGCGACCTCGGACACAAAACACTGGTCATACATTCGCAGGCGCTCCATCCCCAGCGCCATGTCCACCTCGCGCTTGCGCGTCCTGACCGCCTCCCGAGCGCCCTCGTCCACGTCCACCAGGTGGCTTTCCTCCTCATCGTTGATAATGAAGTTCCACTTCTGGTAGTCGTTGCGCCAGCCTGGCGTCATGGTGTAGAGCTTGTGGAAATAGAAAAAACACCGCGCCTCCTGCGACAGCTCGTCGAAGAACTTGTACCGGTGCTTGCGACCCAAAACGTCCCACGATTTCTTGCGGTTGTTGGCCATGTCACTGTTGAACTTGGGAATGAGTTCCAGCGGCGACAATTTCAGGCCGGCAACATTGTCCACGGGCACTGTGGGCGCGAGGAACTCGTGGTACGCCGAGTCTTCCACGTTGAGCCCTGGCGTCAACTGCCCGGCATTTTCCGACGGCGTGTAGCCCGACAACTTGGAGTACTCGTCCAGTTTCGACGCCTGCACGTATATAACCATGGCTGCCAACATGGCCGCAACCGGCACAGCCACTTTCGCCACCATCCGGCCCGACGGCCACTTTACATTCCTCATCGATTGCATCACTATGCTTTTCGAGCCTCGCTCTTTAAAGTCTACTCACCGCCTCTAAATACTGCTAAAGTCAACTCCCAGCACCACAAACAAGTGCAGCACAAACCCCAGTTCCAATTGCTTTTAAAACTAGCAACAACAGCCCGACTTGGACTTCCGTACTAAACTTCTGAACTGGTCTCACACGTACCTTCCAAAACTATATATACTCAACACACTACTGTTACGCCCACAACACGACCGTGTTGTTGGTTTCCCGCACCTTTTATAGGTACGCCAAATTCCATATCTGCAGAACCTAAATAGATATTTCACGGCCCATGTGGTAGCGGTCCAGGGCTTTTGGTTTAAATTGACTACTCAACAATTACGGGCATCAGTGGTATCACTTTTCACCAAACATGTGCATGCTAATTTAAGTTTGTGGTTTATACTAATTATACTTGGCATAGAGTTCTGTGTGGGACCACCGTGACCAAGTGATACACAAGATTTTTTTATTCCGGCGCATCATAGTCGGTGGCTTTGACCTAAAACTATGGGCATGAGCGGATTATTCTAGTGTAGAGATTGAAGAAATGTATACGAAGGGTGGGGCGTTGTTGCTGCCAGTCGTTGATAGTTGTCAGGGAAAACTTCGTTGCTTTACAGCAGGTGCCGCAGGGGATTATGTTGCCTGGTCACGTTTGCGAGTGGTAGGAAGAGTGCACGACTGTGGTGACAGATGAGACGGCGCTGCAGATTTCTGACTAGGCAAATGGGTCCGCGAAACAGTTCTGTTGGTTGCGTTTGTTTTGGGAGGATCTTTTTTTTCGGTTCTCATGTGCCGTGAACCGTATTCAACGCAAGGGCGGAGAATGAGGGCTTGGCAGCGAGCGGTGTGTGTGTGTGTGTGTGTGTGTGTGTGTGTGTGTCGGGTGGTGTCCTTTGTGTTTTAGTTTCAATTACGTGATCAAAGGCACGGAGAATGCAAAGTTTTTTTCTTGGCGTTTTCGGTCTTGGCGGACCAAACGAGCGCACGCTGGGAGACGAAAAAGGCGCTGGGAGAGCCTTGTCTTGACGCCGGTGCTGGAAGCACAGCCGTGAAGGGAAGCCGGATGGAGCTGGCAATACACACGAGATCACGCGATCCCGCGCCAGGCTGGGCTCCTCCCGCGAGGTGTCATTGGGACAAGATTGAAAGGCACTATGGACGCGTTCCGGGTCCGAGGGAAATGTGCGACGGCACTCAAATCGCGGATCCTCGTGCCCATGACCTGAACTTTTCCTGACATTGCAGTGTATCATCCTGAACGGAAGAGTCGTTGGTAGAAACGGTTCCTTAAGATGACAGGATAATAATGCCGTCATGATGTCGGCAACTCGTTCCCGCTCTGAGGATCGGTCTCTCGCTGAGCGCATGCTTCGGTGGCGCTTCTTTTAGAACTCTCCACTAGTGGCTAGCCAGTCGGGACCGGAGCCCGAGCAATCTTCTATTTATGTAGCGTCAGATTGTAGTACGACATTATGCCGTTAAGGGTCAGCGCCTTCGTGCCTCCTCACCGTGACCAAAATTTCGCACAAGAGTCGCGTGCTGAGCTGGCAACACTTTATAATGATATGGATGTGTCGGGAACCAAAGATTCTCCCTGAGAATGGACTCACAATGGCCAGCAACGTGCTTAAATATCACATATGGAGCTTGCGGATAAAACTGTTATCTGCTCTCCTGCGGAGCAGCACCGCCCATCTGCTTGGTCCGATAAGCTTCTAAGGTAAGGTACAGATTCGCCTCAATAAAATAAAGTGTTTTTTTGTTTGGGACGAAAAGGGCAACAGCTCATCTACTGTATATGATTTACTGTCGTTGTGAGACTATTCACCTTGGTAAAGCCAAACGTAAATATTTGGGCTCGCTGAGCGTCGGCAGACTCATCATTCGCGCCAACCTGTTCTTAGGACGACAACAACCTAAAATAACCATGACCACCAACGATGTCACTCATCAGGAGGTGAAAGCCGCAAAGGAAGACAACCATACCACAGTTCGCACTGCGCGGCTTCTTACCTTCTTGCTCAGTTTTTCGAGAAACTACAAATCGGAATAATACGGCACAACCTACACACTATCTTTAGAGCTTATAGAAGTGTAGTGGCACTGCTTTTTTTTTGACTATCTTCTGCATTATTTCTTCCATTTGAATGCCTGGCTACCTGGCGTTTCAAAGTTGAATTATCAGGACGATTACCAAGCATAGCGAAAGTGACTAGGTAAAATATGAGCCCCACCGATTGGAAAATAGTCTGCCAAACTGAAGTAAGCATTTGTGTCTTTTTCCGGTGGAGAATTTTAATCCGAAAGCCACTGCGTTGGTAAACTCAGGGCAGCTTTCTATACACCAAGAATGTGAAACGTCAATGAGCCCCATTGGCAAAAGTGTTATTCAAGCCAGCTGAAGTTTCAGAGTTGTGCTTTGCTGTGTCTGATTCTCGCATCCAGTACAAACAATACGGCGAGGAGGCGATGTCTAGCGAATGATTTCTAATTATTGGCCCAATGGAAGCTACATAGTAGTCCTTTTAAAAGTGGTCAGTGGCCGGTATTTGAAAAGGGCCCTTGCCATTATAGTACAAAGCAAACCCGCCGTGCCAAGATAGGAAACTTCGATATGACAGGATAAAATCAATAATTCGTCTCAGAAGGTGTTTCAATATCAAAAAATTGAAGGGCCGTTCTCAATACGGCACTTTAAATACCAGTAGAGCTAAGGAGAGCCAAAAGTGGAAGAACTAAGCGTGATTACATCCATTCATTAACCTTATGCATGAAATCAAACCGTCTTACGAGAGCCACTGACACTGTATCAACAAAACAGATACCTTGCCTACAAGGATACCCTTCTGCTAGGTTTCAGAGACAGTAGCAATCGTCTTGACATTTCAAGCAAGCAGTAACTTAAGAAGTGAAAACGTTTTTGAAACTGATGCGCAGATAGAGAGCTGCCTGCCCTATGAAAATTCTCTTTTAATGCTCGCAATACCCCCACCAGCTAAACAAAGGTTACAGAGGAAAGATGATTTAAGTATCCCAACACACCTTTGATATCTGCATTATAGGTGAGTACACATTCAATGTCAATCAACAATTTGTATGAACTCGTCAACAGTTGCCGACTTTCGGCAATTACTCGACTTAGGCCAATGAAATTCTCAAAAACTCGGCAATGAGGGTGAGGGTAAATAAGAATTCTATGGATCACTCCGAAACTTCCCGAATCACATTAAGAAGTCGTGCTAATTGCTATTTGTAACGTCAATTTGGCGCCAAAAAACCGAAGCCACTGATCACAATCGTAGGCTCACCAAAACTCCGTGCGCCCATGATAAATTAATCTTCGAACTCTTGTAAATTTGACTGTTTACACAGCAAGTTGTCTACAACAGCCACTCAGAATCTTGTCGAAAAACAGACTAATCACTGAGATATTATTTATAAGGAAGTGAGGCATCCGAGCACACGTATAAACACACGGAAACCACCTAACGGGGAAATTATGTAGTAAACTGGACGCTTGACCAACGTATGTGAGAATCTGAGCTTTCCAGCGGTAGACATAGTCGCCATATACGAGATCCAGCTTCTCTACATATTATAATCTCTGGTTATTAACCGGAGTGCTGAAGGTACAAGCCTGCGCACTTACCACTTCTCTGCGTTACATTGCTCAGCCAAACTCGAGGCTAACTCATTGTAGAGCATTTATTATAACTCTTCCTACTTTGGCAAATCTCTGATCAAACTCATTGGTGATTGGAAGGTAGCCAGAGCTAATAATTCAGATGCCGTTTACGCCTCCTCCTGGATCCCATAAAGAATCACAACAGCAACCTCGCCGTCACAGCAGCTTTGATTTGATTGATACCCAGTTTGAAGATTCTTTAGAGGCAGCTTTAGAGTCTCTACAGCTCGACAACGCGGGAACCCTGAACGGCGAGAATATAGAAATGAAAAGCATACGTGGAGTGGACGACTACAATAATAGAACACATCGAAACTCCGACACAGAACCACTCATGAATAGTGATGAGGCCCATCTCTTGTCGCGAAGTCCCCACGACAATTCAGGAACGCGGGGTAGTGGCATATCATTTTGGTCGAAGTTCTCTCGAGCTTTAGGGACGTCTAAGGAAGGCAATCTGCCCCGATATTCCTATACCAATGGCTCCATTGAGCTTAAGGATGAGCAGCTAGAGCGAGAAATACATCCCAGCACAACGCCCATATATGATAGGAACAAATACGCTCCTAATGCTGTTTCTAATGCGAAATATAATCCATTCACATTCATCCCTATTATACTCTATGAGCAATTCAAGTTTTTTTTTAACCTTTACTTTCTGCTTGTGGCACTTTCGCAGGCAATTCCACCGCTGCGAATCGGATATTTATCGTCGTACATTGTCCCACTAGCGTTTGTGTTGACGGTTACCATGAGCAAAGAGGCCCTGGATGATATACAGAGAAGGCGTAGAGACAATGAGTCTAATGGTGAGCTTTACGAAGTCTTGAGCAAGTCCCACCTTGTGCCCAGCAAGGACCTGAAGGTTGGTGATTTAATTAAGATAGGTAAAGGAGCTCGCGCCCCCGCCGATTTGGTTTTGTTACAATCTAGCGAAGCATCAGGTGAGAATTTTATAAAAACCGATCAGTTGGATGGTGAAACCGATTGGAAATTGAGAATTGCATGCCCACTGACACAACATTTGTCACAAGACGATCTTCTCAATAAGATCAGCATAACCGCGTCAGCTCCTGAAACTTCGATCGGTCAATTCCTGGGAAAGTTAACCTACAATGAGTCGCAATCTCAGCCACTTTCCGTTGATAACACGATGTGGGCAAACACAGTTTTTGCCTCGACGGGCACCTCAATTGCATGTGTCGTGTACACGGGGACAGATACAAGGCAAGCCATGAATACAACGACTGCCAGTGTCAAGACCGGACTTTTGGAGCTAGAAATCAATCGCTTGTCGAAAATCTTGTGTGCCTGCGTTTTTTTACTCTCCATTACCCTAGTTGCATTTTCAGGGTTTGATAATAAGGATTGGTATGTTGATATCATGCGGTACCTGATTCTGTTTTCCACTATTATTCCAGTATCACTAAGGGTAAATCTTGACCTTGGAAAGTCAGTGTATGCTCACCAGATTGAACACGATAAGACTATACCCGATACCATTGTGAGGACAAGTACAATTCCAGAAGATCTAGGGCGAATTGAGTATCTTCTTAGCGACAAAACTGGAACCTTGACCCAAAATGAAATGGAGCTGAAAAAATTGCATTTGGGAACCGTATCCTATACTTTGGAAACTATGGACATTGTTACTGATTATGTGAGTGCTGCTGCAGGTCAAGCAAATGCATCTGCAGCTCCAAGTGCCGCCCGCAGAGACATGTCCACTAGGGTTCAAGACCTAATATTGGCCCTAGCGCTTTGCCACCAAGTCACACCAACTTTTGAAGATGGTGAATTAACGTACCAAGCATCTTCACCGGATGAAATTGCGATCGTCAAATTTTCTGAATCGGTGGGTCTCACATTGTTCAAAAGGGATAGAAACTCGATGACATTGTTGCACGATAAATCAGGAAACTACTTGCAATTTGATATTTTAAAAGTTTTCCCGTTTAATTCAGACAACAAACGCATGGGAATTATTGTATTCGATAAACAAAAACAAGAATATTGGTTTTACCAGAAAGGCGCTGATGTTGTGATGAGTAGAATTGTACAAACTAACGACTGGCTAGAGGAAGAAACGGGAAATTTGGCCCGCGAAGGACTAAGAACATTAGTCGTTGCTCGTAAAAAGCTCTCCGCAAATGCATATGAAAACTTCGACAGAGATTATAAGGATGCTTCATTAATTATGCTCAACCGAGAGTCTTCTATGAGCAATGTTGTGGGCAAACACTTAGAGAACAATCTTGAAATCTTAGGTTTAACAGGTGTGGAGGATAAGTTGCAAAGTGATGTCAAGACATCTATTGAGCTTCTTAGAAATGCTGGGATCAAGATTTGGATGCTGACAGGTGATAAGGTCGAAACAGCTAGATGTGTTTCGATTAGCGCGAAACTGGTTTCTCGCGGACAGTACATCCATACAGTAACCAAAGTAAACCGTTCAGAGGGCGCATTGAGCCAGCTTGAGCTCCTTAAAATCAATAAGAATGCATGCCTGCTAATAGATGGCGAGTCACTCGGCTACTATCTCGATCATCACCGGCAAGAATTTTTCGACATTGTAGTGCATCTTCCAGCCGTAATTGCTTGCCGGTGCACTCCTCAGCAAAAAGCGGATGTTGCTACTTTCATTCGGGATGTCACCAGGAAGAGAGTCTGTTGCATCGGCGACGGTGGTAACGACGTTAGTATGATTAGGTCAGCCGACGTCGGTGTAGGAATCGTTGGCAAAGAAGGTAAACAAGCCTCCCTGGCGGCAGATTTTTCCATAACACAGTTCAGTCATTTGTCAACTCTACTACTTTGGCATGGAAGAAATTCTTACAAGCGCTCTGCAAAGCTGGCTCAATTTGTCATCCATAGAGGTCTCCTCATATCTGTCTGCCAAGCTGTGTTCTCAATATCATCGAAGTTTGAGCCAATTGCCCTATATCAAGGCTGGCTCATGGTCGGCTACGCAACGTGCTACACAATGGCCCCTGTGTTTTCCTTAACCTTAGATCATGACATTGATCAGTCTCTGACAAGAACTTATCCCGAACTTTACAAGGAGCTCACTGCTGGAAAAAGTCTCTCATTTAAGACATTTTTTGTATGGGTGGCGCTTTCATTATTCCAAGGATGCATAATACAGGGTTTTTCACAATTATTTACAAGCCTGAAGGAAGCAGATTTTAAGCACTTGGTCGCATTGAGCTTCACATCATTAGTCTTAAATGAATTGATAATGGTCGCGATTGAGATATACACTTGGAACAAAACGATGGCCATCTCTGAAATTTTGACGTTTATCATTTTTGCTGCATCCATTCCTTTTCTTCAAGACTATTTTGAACTTACTTTCTTGACACAGCCCTCATTCTACGAGAAGCTCATGTTCATACTGGCCTTTTCAGTTGGTCCTGTATGGGCGGCAAAGGCGCTACACAGAAAATTAAATCCACCTAGTTACGCTAAGGTTCAGCAATTCAACTTTAGCGCATAGATTACTTTTACATTAGATAGTTGGAAGCGGTACTTTGTTGCTGTGGTTTACAAAATAGGCCACGATAATACTAAAGTGGAAAGGGACTGAGTTGGATTAGACAGTACTGTCCACTTCACTCTCACTAGCGTCACTTTCCTCTCCTTTATCCTCCTGGTCCGGACGGCCTTGCGGCCTTTGAAAGTCCTTCGCGTGGGCCCAAGGAATGGATTTGCTGAAGGTCTTGAATATTTCGCTTGAATGCGATTCACGCAAGGTTGCACTTCTGCGATAGGCCGCGTGAGGCAACTCTGGATAACTGAGTTCTGACATCGAATATCGGCCACTAGCTATCGAAGCAACATCAGCCTCTGAGCCAGAGCTCAATGTGCTCGGGAATGGAAGTGAAATTTCACCAGAAACTTTGAATAAATGTACGTTAGCAACGTGTTCGTTCTCGACACGAAATATCACCCAAACAAATCTTCGACACACCTCCAATGCCGCCAAAATAAATGATGTAATTGCGCTTTGCTGAATAGTTTTAGGTGCCACAGCATAAACAATCCATTCAAATCTGATGATCACATTTGCAATCATTGCAGCATAATAAACCATTTTTCTGGACCTGGAATAGGCGCCCGTCTTCCAGTTCTTTCTGCCAGCCAAATATAAGTCATCTCGTAGAAGCCAGTTTCGGGAATTTCTTTGAAGTAGCGACCAATCCATGACTACATCCCATAATGATGCGATTATGGCATATACGGTTCCGAACGTTATGAATATACCCCTTCTGTTTGACGTAAAGGAAAGGCGATATGCGCATAAAGAAGCATTATAGCAGATGCCCATGGCATATTTAAAACCGTTTAACAAGTGTGGGAACCAATCACCGGAATCAGCAAATCTCCGCAAGCACTGCAAGAATCTCCAGAAATTCGGTAAGCAGCTCAGAGCCCCCATGGATTTTGAATGAGAGGAGCCACACAGTCCATCAGGCGTATTTGAGTAAATGCAAAAGAACAGTGCGACGTCTGCCATGGAATATGTCAGTGACGCAAAAATGTCGCCCATAAAGAAGTCCCCAAACTGAACAGGGAAGCATCCCGAAAATATCAATCTAATAAATGTAACTGTTAACCATTTGACAGAAGTTGACAGTTTGTCCCAGTAGGGAATGCTCCCAAACTTATAACGATGGAACATGGGCAGAAAAAAGAGGCAGACTATCATTACGATCCATATAATTGAATAGGGACTTAATTTGCCAGCGTGGAAACTTAATACACTCAATACTGTCAGCGGGAAAGAGAGAACGCTTGCAAAGTAATAAAGGAGGGGGATTTTTGTGGTTGAGAAGTCATTGTTGAAAAGTACAGCTCCGTGTCGTGAGTGCATTTCCCCGAACATGATAAACCTGTAGTTGATGTTATTTTTGTGCCACACGTAACAATCAACAAGGTACAAAAATATCATCAAAAACACCATGTACCAACCACCCCATAGGGGAATATGCAATCGGTGTAAGTTAGATATTGGCGATGCTGTAAAACCCACAAACAATGTATAAGCCACTAAAATCAAGGAAGCACCTGTGAACAAGCCTCCTGCGAACATTTGAAGTATGGCCCTATTGAAACGATGAATTTTCCGCTCACTTAGAGAATACTCAAGGGAAAGGTTTTTCAGCCTGGCTGATTTTCGTTTGCGGTCTTTGGATGAAGTAGCTAGAATATCAGTATACCAAGTTGTTATGTGCTGTTCCCACATTATCAACGGATCAGTGGCCCGAAGGTGAGAGTCTAGATTGGCGGGTGGGCGGATCATTACGGTATCTCGCAAATTTTGAGCCATAGCATTGGCACTGGCATCTGCATCATGGAAAAGAGGGAAAGTTGCTTTCGCATATTCCATGAAATGCGGCAGTTCTGCTGTCGAACATGTTTTGTCAAATTTCTTCACTATTTTGCGAAATCCGGTCACATTCACCTCCCGATAGTTTTTGATCAGTTGAATTAAAAGATATTCTTCAATTAACGCATCCGAGAGACGCTGTGTAATTTGGTTGTTGCTCAATTTCGCTGGCGTAAATGTCTCCCCTTTTCCTACTACGGGCTCAGACTTACGATCCAACTGACCAAATAACCTTTTAAAAGGTGCAAAACTCGGTAGCGACGGCATGAGTTCGAGATCTTGCAAAGTTCGAGACAAGTGGGATGACCACGAATTGTTGAATTGGAACATAGGACGTGAGTTTGCATCTTCCAGTGCTCCATAAGAATTCAGAGTCACTTGTTTTTGACCCCTATCTATGTTTTCAAGCTGCTCCTTATGAACCTTGTACCTGGATATTTGGTCCTGAAGAGTATCGAACCGTTTCCCACATTGATTAGTCTCCCAGAGATAGAAATCATTACACTTTTCTAACTCTTGATCAATAACCCACTTCTCAACGAACTCTTTAACAAAGTATTTTTGGGCGTCGGTATAATCGTTGTGTTTACAGTACCGCGCATCCTCATTGGAAGGCGGGGAGCGTGGTGTATTTATTGCAGGAACATTGTTGACGAGAATTTTACTTGCGGCAATTGTCTTTCTGCAAGCCTTCAATTTCTTCTTACCAGTTTTGTAGTCAATGTACTTATCAATCCATTCTGGGACGGCCGACTCGCGCAGATGTTCGGCAAACTTCATAAGGCCAGAAATGAAATGTACGAAAATAGGAAAAGCACCTGTTTTCTAAAAGGGGAGAAAATGCTAGACTGAGGGGGGGGGGGGTGCACCAACTGTCAAGTGGAAAAGGACAGCAGTTATTAGATGGCTATATCTTAGTCAAAGCTGGCTCCAATTTGCGAACGTTGCTGGCAATATCCGAATTTGATAAATTCAAGGGAAACTTGACAATAAAGCGAGATAAAACTTGTAATATCTGCCGAAGCGTGGATTTAATGGCCTTTGTTGGCAAGACGCCTCAGACCTATTGAACTTCGTGGCGTCGTCCAAACCGGGGCTCCAGAGTAGCTCTAATGCCCAGGAGAATATCCTCAATATTCACGTTAACAAAAACAGAAATAGAGCCGGCCCAAAGTTACGAGATTGACGTAAATTGAAATCTAGTGGTTGTTAATATCGCATTCGAATGTGTGAGTTGAGCTGACTCGCACGACTTGATTGCGATGTGCGTGGGCATTATTTATCCGTGAAAAGCGACACAGAAAATTGTTCAGACAGGGTTTTTGGGATACTGTCGAATCGACTCCTAAGCTCCCAAAGTCACACGGCTTGAGTGCTAGACCTCGAGCATAGCTAGTCACCTTATATTTATCGTTTATACATCTTGCTATCATAAGAATTGATCCGAAACTTGTGAATATTATCACTTATCACCTGATTGACATTCAAGCACGTGTATAGCATAATGACACGTTACGATAAAGTGACATCGAACATATTTAAGCTTAACCTGTCGCTTCGACCCGACCCCCAATCTGAAACGTGAAAGTGAGGACATTGTCATGTGCTGCTATTTATTTCTGTTATACATCGTATCTCTACAACTTGTGCTTGTTGCGACCCTACGAACCTTGACACCTTTGAGAGAGGGTTCAAGGATCATGATTTACGAGTAGAAGTTCTCTGGTAGGTTATGAGCTTTGAGTGGTTTACCTGACGATAAGAAGCTGCCTTTTAGTCCAAGATAATGTTAGTCTGCTTTGGGTGGAATGTAGTTGCATGGACTTTCTACACTTTGTCTGTGAGCACATGCTAAAATTACTGTGAAGACGGTTCATTTCTGGAGAGAAAGACTCATTTTTCAACAATGAAAAATGGTCATCTTTTTTCAAGAAGTCGCACCAACTACAAAACTCTCCCGACCTTACGGTAGTAGTACCCACCACATATCATGGATCTAGTCAACCACTTAAGCGATAGACTGTTATTTGCTATTCCCAAAAGTATGTCGAATGCTGTTACCACGTAGTTTGATGCTTAATGCCTCTGCAAGAACAAGGAAATTGAATTGTACTAACTCATCTTCTTTTTAACAGAGGGTCGTCTAAATGAGAAGGCTGTCTCGATTTTGAACGGTTCGGATATCCGGTTTCGCCGCTCACAAAGGCTAGATATTGCCCTTTCTACCAACATGCCCGTGGCTTTGATCTTTTTGCCAGCTGCTGACATTCCAATGTTCGTCGGAGAAGGTAAATGTGACCTAGGTATAACTGGTGTTGACCAGGTTAAGGAGTCCAAAATGGACGTCCACCTACCAATGGATCTTCAATTTGGTAACTGTAAACTGCAGGTTCAAGTGCCTGCCAATGGTCTTTACACGGATCCCAAGCAGCTCATTGGCAAAACCATCGTCTCCAGTTTCACACACTTGACCCAAGAGTACTTCTCAGAACTGGAGGGTGTTCCTATCGACCAAATTTCTACCAAGATCAGATACGTCGGCGGCTCTGTCGAGGCATCGTGCGCTCTAGGGATTGCTGATGCCATCGTGGATTTGGTGGAGTCCGGCGAGACCATGCGTGCCGCTGGTCTGATCGATATCGCCACCGTATTGGAGACCAGTGCCCACTTGATAGAGTCCAAGAACCCCAAAGGTGACAGAGAGCTTCTACAAACCATCAAATCAAGAATCGAGGGTGTCATGACTGCACAGAAGTACGTTTCTTGTCAATATAATGCGCCTACCTCTATTCTGCCGGAAGTGCTGAAAATCACCCCAGGCAGAAGAGCTCCCACCATCTCCCAAATTGACGACGAAGGCTGGGTTGCGGTCTCTGCGATGATCGAAAGAAAACAGAAGGGTACTATTCTGGACGAACTGAAGAAGAAAGGTGCTGCTGACATCATGGTTTTTGAAATTTCGAACTGCCGTGTTTAAGTCTTTTACGCTAATGGTGACAAGTGTATTGATAGATCAAACCTTTGCGTATATGATTTGGAGATCAGTAGATTGAATGATTACATGTTGGACAATTAGTCGTAGTTGGAATGCTGATAATGCTGTGCGGACTCAAATCCTACAAAACCAAAGATTAAAATACATAAGTGTATATTTTGAAAACCCAAATCTTCCTGATTCTTGATTTCCTTCTGAATACTTCGACCACTTGGGGGCCAAACGACTGGGACCGACGAGCGGCAGTATTTCCATTAACTGACCATCGTCTCTTAGGAAGCCACAACATTATCAGGGCACGTGACCTTTGCTCTTCAAGATTTCATGCTAATGGTTAAGGAAGCTTATTTATCCGCAGCTCATCGCTCATGACCAAGAGTTTGACCATAGCTTAAAAGTTGATATCCTGTTTTTTCAACCTGGCTGGTAGCTGAGAAAGCTCTTTGGGTATCTGCTTATACAAAGGTCTAGCCTACTAGGCCGTCCTCGAACATTGGTAGATCATAAACTTTTCGTATCATTTTAATCAATACGGTTGCTTGCGAGTTAACAGATGATTGAGAAAATGCCTTTCGCACAATCCAAAGCTTCGGATATCATTGAGTCCAAAGGGAAGAGGACTATTGACCAAGTTGAGGGGACATACTCGAATGAACGAGATGCAAATGAACCGCCCGCTAAGCTGAGCATCAAGAAGACAGAAGGCTCGAAAGGTACATTGCCATCAGAAGCTTCAGGTAACGCAATTGGTACTGGTAGTAAGGAAGTGTGCAGACTGCCGCAGTATAATTTTCTGCGATTTTGTTACCGGCACAATCCAGATATGCAACAATCTCCGACTAATACTGCTCGGTTCAAACAGGATCAGCAACGACGTACGAACCTGCACAACAAGATAGACAAACTGCCCCCTGGAGACCAACGGCAGGTTCACGATGTTCTATCAAATTTCCTTGGATGTAACGATAAAATGCGCAAATTGGTATTGGAGGGCATCCTCACAAACTGTTGCTTCCCGCAGTTGTCGTTTCTAGCATCTGAGATTCACAGTCTTATAAAAATTGATTTCATTAGCACGTTGCCGGAAGAGGTTTCGCTCAAGATCCTTGGGTATCTGGACTGTGAAAGTCTTTGCAACGCTACTCAAGTGTGCCGTAGATGGAAACAACTGGCGGACGATGAAAAGGTTTGGTACCATATGTGTCAGCAACACATAGATCGCAAGTGTCCCAACTGTGGGTGGGGGCTTCCATTGCTACATATGAAGAGAGCTCGTTACATCGACTGCGAGGATACCAAGACGAGTTCAGACAATCCCAGCGCTTCTGTCGCACCCAAGAACTACAAAAAGACGCGGCCGTGGAAGATCATTTACCGGGAACGATTCCGGGTGGAATCCAATTGGAGAAAGGGCATTGCTCGTGTTCATGACTTTAAGGGCCACATGGACGGAGTGCTGGCCCTGCAGTTCAACTATCGTTTGTTATTCACGGGATCGTACGATGCCACTGTGGCGATCTGGGATCTCGTTACGGGAAAGCTAGTACGGAGACTTTCTGGCCATCGTGACGGGGTCAAAACGCTTTATTTTGACGACCAAAAACTTATCACCGGGTCGCTGGATCAAACGATCCGCGTCTGGAACTATGTAACAGGAGCGTGTGTCTCAACCTACAGAGGCCATTCTGACAGTGTTTTGAGCATAGACTCCTACCGCAAAATCATCGTATCTGGCTCAGCGGATAAAACAGTCAAGGTGTGGCATGTAGAATCCCGAACCTGCTACACGCTGAGGGGCCACTCCGAGTGGGTTGGCTGTGTGAAGCTGCATCCAAAAAGTTTCACCTGTTTCAGTGGTAGCGACGACACCACCATTCGGATGTGGGACATACGATCTAATACATGCATCAAGGTGTTCCGTGGCCATGTGGGACAGGTGCAGAAGGTCATTCCTCTCACCATCTCAGACCTGGAGAACCTGGTAGTGGATCCACAGAGTGATGTGGGGCACGCTAACGCAGGAAACGCCCCGGGCGAGGAATCTGAAGAACAAACCGGCACAGCTGGAACGGAAAATTCAGAGTCCACCCAGTTCACTCCCATGGACGACTCTCTACCCTATCCAACGCATCTATTGTCGTGCTCGCTGGACAACACCATCAAATTGTGGGACGTTCGTACAGGCAAGTGCGTGCGCACCCATTTCGGTCACTTAGAGGGGATCTGGGACATCGCAGCGGATACCTTTCGGATTGTCAGCGGCGCGCACGACAAAACGGTCAAGGTGTGGGATTTGCAGAGTGGTAAGTGCATCCACACCTTTGAGACGCACCAGGCTCCCATCACCTGCGTAGGGATAGGCGATTCTGAGTTCGTGAGCGGAGACGAGACAGGGTGCGTAAAGCTACACCGGTTCGACTAGAAGCTACACCGGCTCGACCAGAAGCTACACCGGCTCGACCAGAAGCTACACCGGCTCGACTAAATGCCATTGGATGGACGGCGCCGGGCGATGAGCTTCGGACCGAAACCCACCGTCGCGGCTTGCCGACAGCTGTCACGGGATATACACGTGATCCAACACCCCAGCTCGTGAGAAATGAGGCATGTGCTTGTCACACACCGTATCCATTCTTCACACCTTTCGCTTGCAGCTACGTACCGATGAAGCCTTTGAGGTAAGGCTACTTTTGCACACAAGTTAGCGCATGTTTTGTTTGACCGACAGGCGACCAGAGTCCGCGATTTATCACCTCGATTGCCGCGACGGACTTATTTTTCCGACGTCTGTCGCCTTGTTAGGGCGCCAGGTTGCTTGATACGAAGCCCGCCTTTTCAATTCCGGACACTACAAAGGGTATAATCAGATGTTTAAAGGCAAAGTTGACCAGGAGATGGTTAAAAAGGTGTGTTGTTTGCACTCATATTGGAGGTAGTTGGTAGCTGTTAACTAGCTGGTAACTAAGCTTCAAGCTGAGCGAATTGGGGCCCTTAAGAGATTTTCGCATTTGGTGCACCCCTGTTTCTGCATCTGATACATTTCCTACCTTTCTTAAGAAGGAGTGATTCACTAGGATAGTGAGCAGGTATCGCCATCCAAGTGAAGCCGGTATACAAGTTCGCAGGCTCATATACAGACCAGCAATTCGGGCTGTGAAAGGTGGACTCGATAGGTGCGGCAATTTTCCGGAGCTTCTCAAAGTGTCTTCCCCTTGAGAACCCTTTCTTTGAACGATGTACATCAGAAGAGCTCCTTCGACCAACACACACGAGTCTGGAGGTGGATCGTGTAGTTCCAAGTCTCTGTCGTTCTTGCACAAACCACAGCGGGTCACGCAGCCTCGGCCGTTTTACGCAGACGACTCTCTGCGACGGAACACCGACTTGAACCGAGGATCGATCCAAGTGGACCAGAGTGGTGGTATTTCAGACTGCAAGGTCACGCAACAGGCGCCTGATGCGAACCCGGACCCTGCCGAGGACGACCCAGCCTACTATGCGTCGCTGGTGAACCCTTACTTCCCATCGGAGACCTCTCCATGGGACTCACAGCCGAAGCCGCCTCTAGTGCGCAAGAAGTCCGGAGAAGTAGTGCGTTCCAACTTAAAAATGGCGCAAAGGTCCCGCTCGTTGCCGGCGACTCCGAGCGACAGGGAACCGGACCAAGGATTGGCTTTCCCGCTGCTTGGACCCAAGCGCTCCAAGAGTGTCCATTTTGACCAACGCGACGTGGTGTCGGTCAAGTATTTCCGCCAGGAGGACTCCCCGCAGAACGTGGCGTCCGAGGACATTACGGAGGGGCCGTTAGACGACAACAACGATAAAACTCTCTCAATGTCGGACGACAGTGCGGTAAGGAGAAATCTAACCAACAACGGTGCCGGGGCTGCAGAGCCGGTCGATCTGACGATGGCGATGTCCAACATGCGGCTTGAGAGACGGGCGTCGCAGGGATTTGGCCTCAGACGCAGCAAGCGGTACCAGAAACTCAAGGCCAACGACAGTGCTGCCAAGGGTAGCGGCCAGGGCCACGACCTCATCACCAGGCCTGGCCTGTACCGCGAGAACTTCCCCACGCTCAACGGTGGCGATCGCAACAGCCTTAAACTCAACATTTTCCTCAACATCGCCCACAATAGCTATTGTTTCCTGCAAGAACTGTGCCTGGTGAGCGACCAGCACTACTTGGTGGGCCACATTCTGGTCAAGAACATCTTCTACGATAAAAAGGTGGTGGTCAAGTATACCCAGGATCGCTGGCGCACTGCCAGCGAGGTCGAGTGTATCTGGACCAGCAGCGGCGACGACGTGCTTCCGGGTCTCGCGATGGACCGTTTTAAAGTGGTAATCGACTTGGCCACCCTATACAATGGTGTCACGCGCAGCCACGGCGCACCAGCAGTCACGTCAAACCCAGCAGCAGTTGCGCTGGCCGAGTCCATCGCCGACGACTACTCCAGCATGAAACTGGAGTTTTGCATACAGTACACGACGCGCAGCAGCGAAGAACGGGTTGAGAAGTGGGACAACAACAACGGCCGCAACTACGTTGTGGACGTAGTTTTCCCGAAGCCTCGCATGGGCTTCACCGATCCATTCGGCGACTCGTGAGCCCTGTCCACTACAACTACACCTACACCTACACCTACACCCAAACACCACCCCACTTCATCGCCGGCTCGATGACTTCGTCTCTGTTACCCACACATAGCTATAGACTAGATACTCGTTTTCAAAACAGACGCACTCACTCATATCCAAACTCACGCTCCTCCCACCACGTAGCAAGCAAGTCTAACTTACAAAGTGCTCAGGCTGCGTCTCCCATCTTCTAACGGCACACACACATGTAAAGCACCGAATTTTACGCACTGCCCTTTGCAGGTTCGGTATATCCGGCTCACAAGTGTAGTCTCGGGTCGTTTGACGAAAAAAAAACCGCGGTCATTGGTGCGTGACAAATCATCGACGGGGGTCCCCTCCGGTGCCTTGTAACGTCTTATTCCGCATCGTCCGCCTTTCAGTCGCTCTTTCTAACTGTCTCTATTGTCTTCTATGTATCTTGTGACACCGATGTCGAGTTGTGGTGGGTGGCATATACCGGAAGCCGAAATCACTATGATGGAATCTTAATAATACGTAGACGTGCGCGTTTTACCCGAAGTAGGACCAAAATCACAGGCCCTAGCGAAACCTACCGGAGAAACCCTCGGTACCAGGATCACAGCGCCCTTGCTGCTGTATTTTTCATTGTATTGCGGCGCTACAAGAACAGGGTAGAGAAATGCGCAAATTTGTCAGACATAGAGGTTCTCCCGGATGGTAATGTGTATTGGCGAAATACACGCAGTTGGCATATATATTTGAGGCTAGCAACATTGGAGTTGCTCTTCCGTAGCGGTGGCACTTGTAGACAGACGTATATATAATTTTGTTTCTGCGTGTCAGCCTATTGCGTCTCATTCATTGCCTGTCAGAGTCGTTATATTCTCCATACACAGACATATCTAGATCGTCTCAACTCGCGCCCGATAAAACAATGTACGACTTAGAGGTTTATTTTTCAGTGCTCGCGGTGGTGCTGGTGTTCTACATGCGTGCCCACAAGGCTACGATGATGCGGTACCGCGCCCAGGTGCCTCTTCTATAGAATGTGGACAGGGGTCTTGGGCTGTGCTGCTGCTCCAGCGACACGACGTGATACGATGCTAAGTCTTCACACACACACACATACGCACACCTATTGAACAGGATCCTACACCGGAGCCTGTGCTGGGAGGGCCATATTTAATACATAATGCTGGAGATACGTCTCTGATAATATTAATACATGCTGGATCGGATTGGATGGGATTAGGCAGAGCTGTGTCTCTGCTGATTGCGATGCACGCTGGGCCGGACGGGCAGGCCCATTTGTAAACGTCTTTCAGAGCTTCCAGGGCAGTGACACAAGCGTACGGAGTGACACCAGCCCAGCTAGCTAGCCCAATCACGTGACACAATTAGGGGTGCTGGGCGGCTTACGTCAGCGAGGTGTAGCCGCCGAGACGTTTTTGTGTTTGTGTTTGTATTTTTGTGGCAGGAACAAATGGACACTTGGCTATCCATCAAGCAAGACACTCCAGTTTAGGCGGCTCTCTGGATGTGTCGCGATATCGGGCTTGTTTTGAAGCTCCAGGAGCAGCGATCACACGGACAGCGTCCCGCAAGGCGCGGGCCGCAGTCCGTGTGATCGCGACCACTACAAGTTTCCAGGCGCCACGAATACTAGCGATTCTGTATGAAGTAAAGTTGATATGAAAGGGAAGTGTTAAATAGAAACAAGAGCTTCACGACGGAGGCCCGGAGTCCGCGCGCCGATTGGGACAGCGATGTATATCTTGGCAGAAAAAACGACATTGCCCTTCAGAGCCAGTGGATACACTCGAGCTTTTCTCACGCCAAAAGCCAGCTATTCTGTCTCAGACTTCTTAAACCGCTTCAAACCACCGATACCAGCCGTCATCGTCCACCACTTCCGTCGTGCTGGCAATCCGCTCCGTATGCGGCGACTCCTTCCAAACTGCTGCGGGATTATCCGCTCGTGTTGAGTTGGCCTCGATAGCAACCAAGCTGGGCCTATCCCACACACACGTACACACACACATGGATGGGGGTATATATATGCTTCGCCGAGGTAGGCCTTGAGTAACCTGACAACTGCTCCCCCACCGCTCAGTCACCCCGCGCTTGAACCCTCATGTCGCAAGTAACCGACCGCTCATCGATCTTCAACTCCCCGAAGCTATATTCCCTGGACTACTTCGCTGCCTGCACCCTCGGAGGTCTGGTGGCATGTGGCCCCACTCACTCCGCTGTAACTCCGTTGGACCTGGTGAAGTGCCGCAGGCAGGTGGACTCCTCGATCTATAAGTCGAATCTGGACGGCTGGCGCCAGATCGTGAAAACAGAAGGTGTTTCCAAGGTTTTCACTGGGTTTGGAGCCACGGCCATTGGCTATTCTTTCCAAGGTGCTTTCAAATACGGTGGGTACGAATATTTCAAATACCAATACTCGCAGCTGGTCTCTCCAGAAACGGCTCACAACTACAGGACGGGCATCTTCCTCGCAGCATCTGCATCGGCTGAATTCATCGCGGACATATTCCTGTGCCCCTGGGAGGCAATCAAGGTTCGCCAGCAAACCGCGTTGCCGCCGCCTTTTGCTCGCAACGTTTTCGATGCGTACTCCAAGATGGTTAAGGCCGAGGGTTTCGCCAGCTTGTACAAGGGTATCACACCACTGTGGTGCCGCCAGATCCCCTATACCATGTGCAAGTTTACCTCTTTTGAACGCATCGTGGAGATGATCTACGCGCGTATGCCCAAGCCCAAGAGCGAAATGTCGAGTTTGGCCCAGATCGGAGTGTCATTTACCGGAGGTTATCTAGCCGGTATCTTGTGCGCTGTCGTGTCCCACCCTGCAGATGTCATGGTGTCCAAGATCAACAACGAGAGACAGAAGGGTGAATCCATGGGTCAAGCCATGTCGCGCATATACAGCAAGATAGGATTTAGCGGGTTGTGGAACGGACTCCCAGTTAGAATAGTCATGATCGGTACGCTGACGAGTTTCCAATGGCTCATATACGACTCGTTCAAGGCGGCGGTTGGTTTGCCAACCACAGGTTAGATAGCAGTATATATCTTGTTGCTGTATCACTAATATTCATAAGCCAAGGCTGGAGATATGGGCGACTGCAAGACCGGCGTCAGAGTTACTACATATGAATCTATCTCAAGTGTAATACGCCCAGGACTATGACCACACGTTGCGGAACAGCTCATTGTCCTCCAACGAGGCGGCTGGGGTCGGACTAGGCTTACTGCTAGCACTCGAGGGCTCCACGGAACTGCTCAAACTAAATGCACTCTGAGCGCTTGCCACACTGGCCGAAGAGTTTCTTGGCTTTGAATAAAGCGACAAAATGGACTTCTTCAGGTCGGGTCTCCCGTTGAGCTCGCGAGGTGCGCCTTTGGAACTGGCGCGTGGTGTGGCTAGATTGAGATCGACCTGCGATGGCGTGCTAACCCTGCTCGGAACGGTGTTCACCGAAGGCGGCGCAGACTGTGTTGCAGCATCCCCCAACAAGTCATGAGAAGCACTGTGCACCGGAGGTTGGCTGGCCTCCACTCTGGGCGACGATTTCATCGACGCTGTCCCTGCCCACTTCTTTAACTCGTACTTTTTCCTGATGAAATCGTTCAGCTTTGAAGGATCCGGCGTGGCTTGCTCAAGTTTTGCTTCGTAGCGTGCGTTGGCGTTCTTGTTGTTGCCGAACTCCACTACTTTTCGCAAATGCTCTTCCTGCCACGTATCCAGGTCCACTGACTTCACTTTCGAGATGTGTGTCCCCAACGAACGATGAATTCCAGCGCAGCGTATACATATGAAGACGCCCAGGGACCAAGACGCCCATCTAGGGTGTGATGCCGTTTTACAGTCCGCACAGTTTCCGTTGCCTGGATCGCGCAGAAGAGTGGCCAAGGCCTTCCTTACAGTTGGTGAACTCATTCGTTTGGAGGATAGTTTATGATGGTAATGATGAAGATGGTGGTGGACTCAATACGCCAATTGTCTCGGAAATATATTATGTACAGATATTGGATAGACTGGATTTGTTGATAGTCTGTTCTACTCTAGATCATAATAATAAATTCAATCGTCAAAGTTTAGATGCTGATATGAAGAGAAAACTCGACAATAAAGAGAGAGAAATAAAAAGTAGACAACCAGTCTGGCAGCTCTATAGCCATAATCTTCAAATCCCAGGGCCTAGCCAAAAAGTTGGCTCAATAGGCAACATTTGGAGTTCATTCTCGCTCATATAAGATAAGTTTTGACTGAGTTCCAGTGCAATGAAGAAAGTACGGTTCTGCCTCGAAAAAGAGGCACTGGATGGGAGTTCAGGAGACCAAGCGGTGCTGCCGCTGGTACCAAAGGTGGAGCTGGCGTGTCACAAGAGTGCGGATGACTGTTGGATAGCGATACATGGGAAAATATACAACGTTAGTGGGTACTTGAGCAAACACCCAGGAGGATCGCAAGTGATGCTGAAAATGGCCGGAAAGGACGCCACAGCGCAGTTCGACGACGTAGGACACTCGCTGGAGTCGCTGATGTTTGACCTGGGGCCCGAAGCGTGCGTCGGAGTACTGAGGCCCTCTTCGAAGCCGCGTCCCACGCGGAGTTCCTCTACCAGCCCAGCAGAGACCAGATCCGGCCGTTCCTCGCCGCCTCCGGCGAGCACTAACGCCTCTCTCCCATCTTCAAAGTGGGAGCAGCTACGGATATGGCAAAAAACACACATGCCCCTGGGAGACCAGCGACTGCGTGGGAGCGACGCCCACCCCCACGGTGCACAGATCGCGCTGCCGGGTGCCAAACTGCGACCAGGACCCCCGCATTACGACGCTAAAAATGACGAGCAGGTCTGCCGCTTTTTCAGCACCGCCGGCATCAGTGCGGTAATGACCATCTGCATAATTATACTACTATACGTCAAACTACGATGCCCGAGTATGTTCGAGCGCGTCGTTTCCCACACGCTTCCGGAAGACTTGACTTCCGAGACTTTCGAAATCCCTGCATGGTCGATTTGAGCCCTTAGACGTCCCAATCGCCTGCTCTACGTGGACCTCCTCCCGACCCGCGACCTGCGGTATAACCTACCAATGCGATGGGTCGCAGCCACCACGTGTCCTAAACTAAGCGTTACGATCACTGTCTCGAACTTGGTCTACTTGGCTTTTAGTTTTTTCCTGGAAGTGCCAGCTCTTGTCACATTAGTGTCGTAATAACAAAAAAAGCCGGGTTCATTGTTAACAAGATGCGATGTTTGACCTAAAACCACAACTTAACCATCATGATTCCATTCCACTGATTAGATCAATAACCTGGAAACAAGTCCGGTACCGCGATGGTGCTATGACTCAATATGATTCTCAACTTGCCGGTGGAAAATTTTTTCGAAAAAGTATAAGACTGTGGCTAGGGTTAGTGACATTATAAAGAGAACGCTTCGGTTCGTCATGTGCACAACACAAACCTGTGTATTGTGAGATTATAAGAAGACGAAGTTACAAGCTGGTGCTACTGTTCACAACGTCGCGATCGAGAGTATTTGAGCGGTACCCATAACAATGAGTTCGAGGAGCAATTGGATAGTACAGAAATTTGGCGGAACCAGTGTTGGCAAGTTCCCAGAGCAAATAGTGGATGAAATCGTCAAGGTATACACGCAGCAGCTACACAACAACGTAGCCGTGGTATGTTCGGCCAGATCTAGCGACACCAAGGCGGAGGGAACAACGTCCAGACTGCTGAGAGCGTGTGACATGATCGGAAATGATGATGCGAGCTTTGCCGAAGTTGTGCAAAAAGTGCGAGACGACCACGTTTTGAACGCCAAGCAGCGTATCAGCAACGTGGAGCTGCAAGAGCAGCTGATCAGAGACACTGTCGCGGAGTTGGAGCTGGTGGAGAAATATTTAAATGCGTCTCTGGTTCTCAGTGAGGTTTCGTCGAGGACCATGGATATGGTAATGTCATGCGGAGAAAAACTAAGCTGTTTGTTTATGGCCGCGCTGTGCAACGACCACGGCGTTCCTGCTCAATACGTAGACCTTTCTTCGGTGATTCCTCAGGGATACGAATGCCCAGAGGGCACGTTAGACGCTAGCTTTTATGCTTTTCTGGTGAAGGCTTTCAGCGAGAAACTACAACCAATCCTGGCCTCGCATGCCCAGGGCAAGCCTGTTGTCCCTGTGGTTACTGGGTTTTTCGGGCAGGTGCCGATGGGTCTACTGAACGGGGTTGGTCGTGGTTACACCGACTTGTGTGCTGCATTGATAGCCGTGGGACTCAATGCGGACGAGCTTCAGGTTTGGAAGGAGGTTGATGGTATTTTCACTGCCGATCCGCGTAAGGTTCCTCAGGCAAGATTGCTCAGCAGTGTTACTCCAGAAGAGGCGTCCGAACTGACATACTACGGCTCTGAGGTCATTCATCCCTTTACTATGGAACAAGTCATAAGAGCCAAGATTCCAATCAGAATTAAAAACGTGCAAAATCCAAGAGGTGACGGCACGGTCATTTACCCCGACAACGTTGCCAAGAAAGGTGAATCGACCCCGCCTCATCCACCTGTGACGCTTTCGAGCTCGTTCTTTGAACACAAGAGAAGAGGGGCCACCGCGATCACCAGCAAGAGTGACATCGTTGTCGTTAACATTCATTCCAATAAAAAGACTTTATCCCATGGGTTTCTGGCTCAGATCTTTAGCACCCTTGATAAGCACAGATTGGTGGTCGACTTGATTTCTACTTCCGAAGTTCATGTTTCAATGGCGTTGCCCATTCCAGATTCCGAGTCTGCCAAAGCCCTAAAAAAGGCCGTGGAAGAACTCAAGAAGATCGGTACCGTTGATTTAACGAGGAAACTTGTTATCATCTCACTGGTTGGTAAACAAATGAAACACTTCATTGGTATTGCAGGAACTATGTTCAGCACTCTAGCGGAGCAAAATGTCAATATCGAGATGATCTCTCAAGGTGCAAACGAGATAAATATATCATGTGTTATTGACCAAGAAAATTCCGTGAGAGCTCTCCAGTCGATTCACAAAAAGCTTCTGGAAGCCGGCGATCCCGAAAGCTCATTGGGCTCCGTTGTTAATGAAAAACTAGAGCAGATCAAGAGACTAGATTTGTAAGCTGCTGGAGTTGGTGGAAAAAGTGCTGCTGAAAGCTTATTTGCGATTATTTAGTGGCCTTCATAGATATACATAACGACGGCATCAAGATCTTAATGAATTAATTGTATCGACGAGAAACACAATGAACTATTTAAAGTGTATTTGACAGTCGTAAACGAATGAAGTAGATACAGTGTCCAGATGTTCTTCGTAGTAGATGTCTGACCTTAGAACACAAAGACCTGATCGCCCATCTTCGAGATAGGCTTAGCCTTTTCAAATCCTAAAGCGACAGCGTTTCTCTTCACTGCAGAAACTAGCCCCGGTGGGCCGCACACTAATATTTGCGCTCCTTCGCCAGCTGCAGGTAAGCGTTCCTTCATGACATCTGCAGTCACGTAGCCAACACCACCTGTCCAGGTGTTCCTAGCAGGCTTATCCAATAGGTAATGTATCTTAAACTGTTCTGGGTTAGATTCCACAATAGCATCAAGCTCTTTTTTCAACAAAATATCGTCCTCAGTCTGACTACCGTAAATCACAGACACCTTGGTGTGATCCTTTGGATCAGAATGAATGGATTTGATAATTTGGTACATTGGGGCAATACCTGTACCGCCAGCAATCATACCAATTTCGGTGTTCATATTAGGAGTATAAGTGTAAAACCCCTTGGGTCCGCGGATCTTGATCTTGTCACCAATTTCTAATTCTCCTACCATCTTCGAAACGTTGCCTTGCTCATATGATTTGATCAACAATTCGAAAAATCCCACAGAGTCAGAATCCAGCGAGGTAGGTGTATATGAACGCATTATCTCCTTACCATCTTTGAGAAACCCCTGAATGGAAATATGTTGTCCAATGGGTAGTCCCAGCACGTCCGTATGCTTGGGAAGCCCAAATCTATAAACCGCGGTGTTATGGGTGAGAACGGTCTTGGCAATCAATGGGAATTCTCTGAACTCATCTTTCGCCAAAACTGAAGCACTCTTCGACTTCCCAGAAAATTTCGAAATTAGAATTACTACAACGGTAACCAGGGCACCTAAGATCAGTATGCTAGAGCACATCTTGAATACCTTGAAGTCTGAAAGACCTTTAATTGAGGAGTCCACCGATGATATAATATCTCAGAAACTGTTGGGAAAACTGTCAAAACTTTTACCGTTCAATGTGGGTTTTGAACGAATTATTCAGATCACGTGAATGTGATGAGTTGTCATTTAGTTAGAAACTGTTATGTGTGGGAGAGTTTATAGAACATTAGAAGCGATATTCAGCTATGTGAGCTTGATACTGTCAATTTATTAATTAACATGGGTTTGTAGAATCTTTTGCCTTTTTTTCCAGCTCGGTTTTGAGTCCTTTTACAACATCTCGTTTGGTAGAAAATTTAACAGGCCTATATTTGGCTCTGGCGTCTGACAAAAAGTCGATGAGTACTTCCAATTGTGTTGAGCTCAGACGGGCGGCATCTTCGTCTCCGCAAGTGAGCAACCACTCTGCGGTTTTGCCCATAACAACGTCAAATTGCGGAAATGTGAATTTCTTGGGAACTTTTGTGCGTCGCTCGATCTCTACTATCTGCAGTTGGGTTTCGAGGTCTCGCAGGGTTAGAAAGTTCCCCCCAATGACTAAGGAGTCTTCGGGCGTGTATACAGCATGAATATACCCGCAGGGAATCATAAAGAGGTCGCCGGCTTTTAATTCCATGGCAATGCCATTTTCGAGTTCGTCGCCAAGGAAAATCAGGTTTTGGTGAGTACTAGCACACCATTGGGTGTAGGCATGTAGGTTATGTGCAGTAGGTGGAAACAAGATGAACTTTTTGCCGCCAGACACAACTTTGTAGTAGACCGAGGTCCCGGCGAAGTCAAGGTGAAAATCGGTATAGGCGTTTTTAACAGACATCAAAACGTATTTTGTCACTTTTGGTCTCTCCGTGTCGTCGGGAATCCTATCCCAAACTAGATTTACTAAGTCCTTGCTTTCCACAATTTGGGGCCTTCGTAACTCTTTGCTAAATTTTCCTACGTCTGACACCTCCAAAGAAATAACATTCCGGATGCGATCTCGAGTGTCCGATGTTTGATGTGTAAAATAGTCATTCCATTGCAACATGGTCCAATTCGAATTCTGCTGCGATTGAACATCCATTACGTCTACTGGATATTCGTCGCCGAGAAACTTCGTCACTCCGTCCACGGTCAGAAGTCGGCCTTCCGGCCCCAGGGGTACTTGCATTCCTGAGTTCTCTGGATCCAACACTTTTAAAGGGTTTTTAATGTCTTCAAATTGCTGCTCTAACTCTGAGCTCCTCATCACATTCGTTGTGTTCTCCCACTGCTTGAAGCATGCCAGAAAAGGCGCTACGTGGGGATGTTCATCTTTCAGGCGCTTGGCTTCGCCTTCATTCAGCGATATGTAGTCAACTTGTTTCTTTCTGCGCAGTCCCTGACGCTTAGGAGTTGACTTTGGCGCGTCCGCCTCTTCCATCTTCCGCTTTGTCACTGCACGTCGACGAAGCTCCAGTACGGGCTCTTCGTGTTTCGAGCAACTGTACCTTTTGATCTGCCTCGAAGACGTTGGATACTTAACCGTTTTTAGTCCATCCTCATCCGTGAGCGACTCAAGCGGAACACATGTTACATGATCCCATTGGCCGCATATCTCGCATTGAACCCATAGGGCTTTATCAGGGTCGTCAGTTGAACAAATTGAGCATATATCACTTGTCATCAAGAACTTGAAATTGCAGGCCACTTGAAAAGTCGATCCAGGCGAGTGAACGCTGGTAAATTTCCCAAATCTGCCAGTAAAACCGCGGTTGGCTTGGAGGTTTGTATATTTATTCACATTTACAAGTATCTGATACTTTTGCACGTTGGAACCACTAATGAGTTGCCGCTACACGTTACATGTTCAAACGAGAAAGCTTGCAATATGATTCTCGGTACAATAGCATTCTGGATATCTGCTGTCTTTTGAGGATGAACAAAAGAGGAGTTTCTCGTTGATACACCCCACTTCCGGAAAGGCATTATTTAGCGCGATGAGTGTAGTTATATTTAAGTGGAAAACTACATAGACGAGATCGAGTTTGGTTGTTGGGTCATAAATTTCAACCAGTATATCTACATGTCAGTAAATGACACTGATTGAGCATCAGTAGGGCCAGGTTAGGTCTTAATTGTGTACTTACATTGACAAAGTTTAGGTGCCTCTAGTTAAAATAGTCTTGTTATGAAAAATTTCGAATACATGGTAGAGTTGAGAACATACAGAAAGTAACAAATACGTGGGCACAAACCGCCTTTAGGAAGCAGTCTCTATCTACCAATGATCTCTGTCAGAAATAGTGTGACTATGACGGGTAAGAGGGCTTTTAGCACCATCTTGCCCAAACAGAACCTGTCATTCAAGATCAAATTGACCCCCAATGAGAAATCTCAAATCAACTTCAAAGCTGGAAGCCAGGGCGCTAACCCTACAGTACCTAAGAAGATCGATTCCAGACTGGTGAAGAAATTTCAAAGTGGGACTACCTACGACCCTTTCGACTTTTCTCTGGCAAGACTTCACCTTGACAAGAAATTTGCGACCAGAAATTCGTCCAACGACCTATTCGAACTGAATGGTGTGGACCCTCTAGATCTATACACTAATCCTGAGTTTCTATCACAATTTGTCACATCTTCGGGTAAAATCTTGCATAGAGACGTGACAGGACTTTCGGCCAAAAATCAACGCCGCTTGAGCAAGGCAATCAGAAGATGCCAGGCCATCGGTCTGATGTCGAAGACACATAGAGACGTTTCCTACTTGCCATCAAGAATTATTGGCAAGATCTAACATAATAAGCCCAGCTTCGATTTCGTACATTGTAAATAATCATTTCTAAGGTTCATAAATAATCTGAACGCATCATTCATGACAAACGACACCCTAACAAAGAGTTGCCACTTAGTGCGTTGGATGACGTAGATCCGGTCCCTTAAGTTTTACGTAGGCGTCAGTACCCCATCCCCATAAGCTTTGTATGTCGAGCGTTCCATTGAACATTTCGACGTAAGCTTTACACATAGGTAGACCAAATCCCATACCGGATACATTGCAAACATCGGCCCCTGGCAAAACATATGCACTCATTCCGGTGTCCTTGGCGTCTGCGTCCACAGTGCTGTAAGAGTAATCAAACATCCGGTCCTCCACTTGAGGGGGGATACCACCGCCAAAGTCACGAATCCTTATCTCCAAATCATTCTCGCTACGGATAATGCTAACTTCGACCGCTTTCTCTGCAGTGTTGTTCTCTGGTGTAGAGTTCTCGATGTGCGCTCTGCTTGAGTTCTTCAAAAGCTCTGTGAGAACGTACTCAAGATCGGTGGGTACGCAAGGAAATTCTACCTCGTTTCCTTCCAATATAGTGATGGGAACTTGATGGTCATACTTCACAAAGCAAAGGTCACCTACAAATTCTTCAACACGCCTTACTAGCTCTGAAATTTTCATTTCCTTGTGAAGTACACCAACCACGGGAAGATCACCAGATACCTGAGCTGAAATAGACAAGTAATGCGTTGCTAATAACTTCATGGCAATGCGGTCTCTCAAATGCAGATTCAAAAACTGAAATACAGCTTCTTTGGGATAGAATTCCATGATTTCCTGAAAACCACGAGAGAGTGTCACTAAAGTATCCTGATGGTCATCAAGGAACTCGGTAAGGATTTTCGTCATTACCTCCTCATCATGCAAACCGTAGGGGTAGTTAATAGACAGCAAGCTTTCTAATGTCCTCAGATATAGCCTATTTGTTTCCTCAATATTCGGATTGAGCACTGCGATGTATGGAAGCTTTTGGACAGCATCCAGCCTCCTGCAAGTGTATGTCAATAGTAAGTTAACCGTCTTGATGGCTAGCATGTATTTTTCGTTTGTTGTCAGGGGGACTTGGTATTGTGTAAGGAATTTATAGGATATGGGCGGAATCGGTCTCTTAGCAAAATCTTGAATTAAGAGCTCGATGTTAGAGCGAATCCGGTAAAGTTCTTCAAATCCGACGCCTTGGAGTAAGGATTGTAAAGATTTAGCTTTCGAAGTGGCTTGACGTTTCAAGGCTGGAAGTGTATGAAGTTTACACCACACTTGTCGCTGAAAAGGATTGTGATCAAGCAAGAATCTGTATTGGAGCCTGGGACGGATTCTCGGTCTCATCATCTTGGTTAAGGCTGAATATTGCTCTTTTACACATTCAACAGCTTTGAGAAAAGCTGGGGACTTCTTGAAAATAACGCCTAAGTTCCAGAAGCTGGCAGTTTTAATGATTCACTGCTATAACAGGTCAAAAGATTACTCTTTCAGCTGGGCAACTTTTCCTTTCATTAGACCTGATATTATGACTTTTTCTGAAATTCATAGGTAACTTATCAAGGAGTTTCCCATATATCCTTACTCCATCTATCAAAGAAAAGAGCTTGAAATCATCTGACTGTGCTCTTATAGGTTGTCTGGAGTATATTTCGAAGTTTAAGAATCTTTTGCCATGTCTTTGAACGATTTCACGGGCTCTTTTAACAAGCGATTCCAGGAGTTCACTACCCAAGTCTCCCAGAGAGCCCAGGATGCTCAGTTGGACAAGAAATTCAAGGACTTGTCAGAGGCCCTTACACAGAAAACACAAGATTTCACGACTCAATTGCCTTCTTTGGCTCAGTCTACCCAACGTATGGTCCAGGAAAGGCTTGGCCAAGTCACGGATATCTCTCAACTGCCTCAAGAATATGTGGAACTAGAACACCGTATTGACAGGATCAAACTGGTTTACGAAAACTTTCTAAAGGTGACTGAGGTATACGAAAATGAAAGCTACGACTACCCTAACAATGTACGGGAGTCTGTTAACGAGTTCTCAGGTGTTGTGGCATCTAAGCTCCACGACTTGTCCCGCGCTAGCTCCACCGGAGAGGCACAGTCCGTTTTGATTGCTCCAGGCCCTCACCGTGATCCGAAGACTTTGAACTATGCTTTAAGTAAAGTCGCTTTGACATCTAGTGAGTACTTGAACAAGTCTGTCGGCAGCGAAGAACCTGATTTGTCCTCAACTTTACTAAAGTACAGTGATGTGCAAGCAAAGATAGCCCAGGCTAGATTGCAGCAGGACACCTTGATTCAGACTAAATTCAACAAGAAGTTAAGAGCTATCTTAGCGAAGGACTTGAACGAGGCGCATTTGGCCCGCAAAAATGTGGAAGCCAAGAGGTTGCAATATGATATTGCTCGCGCCAATTTGAACGGTGCCAAGCCCGAAAAAGAAGCTTCTTTGAGAGTACAGATGGAATCTCTAGAAGATGAATTTGCTCAGGCCACGGATGATGCCGTTGTTAAGATGCAGACAGTGACAGAATCATCAGAATTCTTGAAAGACTTGCGTGAACTGGTGTCTGCTCAAGCCGCGTATTTCAAACTATCGTCCGAACTATTGACTGAATTCTTGCCCCAGTTAGAAACAGTTTAAATATTTCTATAACTTTTGTATTGTAAATTCCTTTGAGCTAGTTTAACTTGTCTATTGAACATTGTTGTTCCCTATGTCGCTGTCGTGGTCATCATCATCATCATTATTACTATCGCTATCATCGTTTTCGTCACCCACAGTTTTTACGTCCCATTGGGCAGTGATGTCCCACCGGCTTGATTTGGCGGACCAGCTGACATACTTGATAAACTGCAAAACGCTTTCATCCCTCAGTACCAAATTGAGCGAGTTCCAGCTGGGGGGCTTATTGATAAGCACGGAATCACCAGAATCGTCATTTTTATACACCGCGGCGTCATCGACATCTTTGTCAAGTCCCTCACCTTCGTCCTGATTATCCATGTAAAGGTCATAGCCACCAACTTCGCCGGAGTCCCAGCCATCAGTTGGAGTTAAGCACAAAGTACCTTCCAAGACTGCTTCAACAAAACCTTCAACTTGTCCTAGCAGTTCATTTTTGTGAACCTGCGTAGCTAGCGTAAAGTCTTTCCCTGGCCTGAATCGTCTAATTAAAACCTGCTCGCTGAGAGGAGACAAGAAAGTTAGTAAGGCGAGATACTTTTTGAAAGTTGAACTTTTCAAAAACCTCACAACCTCGATAAGGCATAGTTCTGTATCATTTTTAGTTGCATCTAGCACCTGGGATAACAGCGTATAGTTCGGCGTCTCCTCAGTATTCAGTCTGTCCAAAACATCTTGCTCGTTGTGGAAGTTTTCATGAGATTTACCATCGATGTACAAATACCTCCACTTATGAGGTGGTATGGCAGTTTTCCATGGTGCTTGGACCTTGGAGCTTTCGTAAGGACACTCCTTTTCTAATTCATCCTTTTTGATGTGTCGCTTCAGAATTTCCGACTTCTCTTCATTCAGAAAGTCTTCAACTTGTAATTGTGACTTCTCTAAAAACTGCGACTGCAATTTGTGAATACCCTCCGCGGTCAAGTAATGTGGAGAGACATACCCAGCGAGATAAGAGACTTCTTTGCTCGATAGCAGACTTAAATCAGGCAGCTTTCCCTCGTTCATATCGTCTGAGGATTGAGCATTAATGAAATCGTCAACGTGTCTGATTTGGTGTAAGGGCAGTATATCTCTTTCAGATTTGGGAAATTCGTAATCTTGTAATACATTAGACTCTAGCTGTGCAAGGGTGCTTGTGTTGGTCTTTACCCACTCCTCTTCCTCTCCTGGGACAAACCCCCGTTCACCTTTCTGTGGAATGTGGTACCATCCTTGGATAGACAAACGATGCTTATTGACATGGACCTCTTCTACGTCATGGAACGAGAACCCAGGTTGAACTTGAAACAAAGCAATTTGATTGAATTGAGGGACAAGCTTGGCGCTGTGATCACTTTGAGGCACGTTCGCCACAATACTAGGGAAAAGACGCAAACCACCCCCATAATGATCCTTCCACCGCTTGTCAGGATCTGGGAGATATAGAATGAAACTAACCCTCCTGGAGCCAATTACGTCGTCATGCGTGAGCAGATGGCACCCTTTCGTGTAAGTGTTGATAGACATGTCCATCTTTTCACCTGACAGCTTACCAGCTCCTGTCACATACGAAATAACGTCTCGATAAACTTCCGAATACAGAATTTCTCTCAATCGGCATAGACTGGGTAAGCGCGACAAATCATCCCAATCCAGCCCTGACAAGTTGGCCAGGTCTCCGCTTTGATTGACCTTGTAGATGTCTGTCTCTTTGTTGGTGAAATGGATCTCAGTTTCGATTTCCTTTCGAACATTTCGCAGAAGCTCGTCATCCACCAGATCCCGAATTGTACCCCAGTTATAAGGTTGTGCCGATTTGATTTCGTGCTGCAAGCCCTCTTGGAAGGCCCGATCCCAAATTTTAGCGTTGAATAGAGATTTAACCTTGTCGACTTCCATGGTGGGCTGCTTATGAGGGTGTTCACTACCCTTCTGCGGGAGTCCAGATTCCCGCTTCATGCTGTGACACAATTTTTAAATCGACAACTGTGATGTGTTTGATACGTGAAAGTCGGGACGCAATTGCTACAGAATTGAACTACGTTATATATCTCTACTCATTGAATCTCAGGCTGTGCGAGTGATGAGATGATGTGTTCTGTGGAGTGATCGTAATATACTACCTAATTTGAAAAATTTTTTATTTACATTGGTGATAGCACTACAAACGAAAGACCTCAGCTTTGTAAACTTTGACCAGCAGCCGGCTGTATACGGCGTTAGCGGGCGTACTGTGTACTGCTGTTCACAGTCGGCGTATCATGGGAGGAGTATTGAGAGGGGGAAGACCAATATGACAGATGCATTGTAATCATAATGGCTAGCCTTTCCATTGGCTTAGGTCCGCTTAGCTTACGTCGCTGGTGTGACGCTTCTGCTCTTTTAGGGGCTCCACAACTTGTTTGTCAAAAGTATACATCTGAGAAATAGCGGACTGGCGTTTCAGTACTCCGAGTTCGCGTTGTGCACTGACAAAAGCTTCTTCTACGGCTTCTGGATCCTTCAAATCCCTAGTGACACGGAATCCAGTTTTGGCTTTGCGTAGAAAGTAGTTTCTGTAGCTGTAGTTGTTGAAGTTGCTGGCATTCTTAATGATCTGTTTATAAAGCGCCAAAACCTGTGATCTCGAAGGAGCCGGCATTCTTAGTCAAAGTGGATTGCGCTTTATATTACAAGTCGGATCGCTGCACAAGATATGTATGTGATGGTGCTTTACATTACTAAAAATCTGGGACCAGAACAATATTATCATCTATTACGGATATTAAAGTGACCTTATTTAACCGAGCCAGACGCTGATGCTGGAGGAGAGACAGTAGCGAGGCCATCGTGAGGTGCTAGTAAAGGATGGTAGTATCGATAGATAATTACATCGTCACACGAACGGGAAAAATGCCATACGGCATCTGGCTTGCCAAAAAAGAGGTCCTACCCGGATTCGAACCGGGGTTGCTCGGATCAAAACCGAGAGTGATAACCACTACACTATAGAACCTTGGAAAAGGCTTGCCTTTGAAATAAACTTTGTAGGGTATATAGTGCAATGTGATCTACTGATATAAAGGTTTTATAGAATAAGGTTATTAGCTCCGATCGCTCATCCCACAAGTTACTAGTGAACGAGTAGGTATATTACCCGACTACATCCAACAGATCATGGAGTCTTTACTGTCATTTACTCAGCAATGCTTGGGACAACTAATGAGCTACGTGTTTCGCTTTTTGAGCTGGCTGATTCCTGTCACGTACAGTTTTGCTCAAACACACCCAACCATCACCAACATTACTGGCTACCTTTTGGCGGCGTATATCTCCTGGAAACTACTGTGTCATCTATGGACAGTTATTAAACGGATCATGCTACTGGCTGTGGTAGTGCTGGCGGTGCTGTTGTGGTCTCGCGGACTGCACCAAGTGGTATCCGAGGATGTGCCTTTCGTGGTCCAGTACCTGGAGCGCAATTCAGACTTCCAAGATCAAGTGGACCGCTTTCTATACCATGCTCATCCCAGCTATTTGCGCAATTACTACTCTACTGCTTTTTGGTACCCTGTCGGTGAGCTAAGGGAAAGGTCGATTCGATTTTTGGCTAGTCTGTCGCAGTAGCCTTGCAACGAGTGGGCGGACTAAGGACAAAAATGGACACACAATTTGAAAGGTACTTCTTTGGGAAACGTTAAGTAACCTATGAGATGAGCTCTGTAGTGCCTGCCCCTCATGCTAGAACGCACATCAAATCTAATAAACTGCCCCGAAAGCTACACGATACAGTAGCCCCGCTTCACAGCTTTCCTCCCGAATGTTATCTGTCAAAATTCACCCTTGATATGAACAGAATCTTGTAAAGAACGAAATAGACGTTAGTTGTGGTCTGTATTTTTGTGTTGTTATAGCGCCTCTCTGAATTTTAAAGTTAATTTTAAAAATTGACGAAGTCGGCCGGACATTTATGTCTAGAATGAAGGCCCTCATACCCAAAAGAAAGATCCTACTGAATGGTGAAAGACACGGAATACTATGATCTCCTGGGTATCCAGCCAGATGCTTCGGCTACCGAGATCAAGAAGGCATATCGGAAAAAGGCCATGCTGACACATCCCGACAAACATCCCGATGACCCCGAGGCGCAGACTAAGTTTCAAGCGGTTGGCCAGGCTTACCAGGTCCTGAGTGATCCCGAATTGCGTTCACGCTATGATCAATTTGGCAAGGAAGATGCTATTCCACAGCAAGGATTTGAAGATGCAGGTGAATTTTTCGCCACAATTTTCGGCGGAGATGCCTTTCAGGACTGGATTGGGGACTTCTCTTTCCTCAAAAATCTGACTAAGGGTGCTGAGATAATGGGCGAAAATGAAGATAATAGCGGAGAAGTGGCGGGTGCGAATGCCTCTACTGATGTGGTACAGCACGACGGGAAATCGTCGAACTCATCGAAACACTCTGATAAACTAACAAAAGAACAACGCGGTAAGCTTATTGAAATGGAAAATGAACGTAGAGCAGAGAAAAAGAAACAGGTGGAAGAGCTTACACGGAAGCTTGACGGCAAAATGCATCAATACATAGTAGGCGTCGAAAGCAAGAACTTGGAGGATTTCGACCGTAAACTGAATCAAGAAGTTGAGGACTTAAAGCTCGAGAGCTTCGGTTTGGAGCTGTTGCACCTACTAGCCAAAGTTTACAAAACCAAAGCCAATAATTTCCTGATGTCGCAAAAGACTCGTGGATTTAGTAAAATATTCACGGGTGTACGCGATAAAACCAAGACGGCAAAGTCCGCCTGGGGCATCCTGTCATCCGCAATGGATGCTCAGACTGCGATGGGCGAGTTGGAAAAGCTAGATTTGGACTCAATGGATGACTACGAACGTGCAGAAGTGGAGAAGCTAATCACCGGTAAGGTTCTGGGCACCGCTTGGGTTATGTCTAAATTTGAGGCTCAAGGCAAGGTGCGGGACGTTTGTGACAAAATACTAGGCGACAAAAATGTACCCACCAAGCAACGTCTTCTCAAGGCCAAAGGTTTGCTTCACATTGCCGACAAGTTTGGTTCCGCGGAGAGATCGCCGGATGAAGCTGAAGACGCCCGAGTTTTCGAAGAAATTATCTTCGAGGCGCAAGGAAAGAAGAAAGCTAGTTTCAAGAAAAAAGACCAAACTGTTAAAGCTTAACTAAATACACGTAGTTCCCAACTTCAATACATTTTAAAACAGTATAGCTGAGAGTATCATTTTGTCTCGTCCAACGTTGACACAGTTCGAGATCACTTATTATTAAATTTTGGCCCGTTCCGAAAAATGATGGAGAGCACTCAACATGTTTAATTTTAAAAAAGCTCTAAAAAGGATTCATTGAAATGCTGAAAGTCTGGTTGACTAGGCTCACAGTGCTCACGACCATACTGGCGATTGTTTCCAATATTTACATTTTCACTTACCCTTCAATTTTCCCCAGTGAATGTTCCTGGAGGTGCAGCGCTAGGAAGGCTTCGTTAGATGCCGAAGATTCGCTCTCAGCTCTGGACAGAGCTATATTATATACTAGCAGATATTTGAGAGACGTAAGCGCTCAATTTTCAAAGGTCGATGGGGTCAAGGAGTCAAGGGACAGAAATCAACCAAGTGATGTTCATCTGTTGGCACTCGGAGATCCCCAGATCAAAGGAATTTGGCCTAATACTCCATATCTGAGTAGACTAGACACCTTTGGCAATGATTTCTATTTGGGGCACATATTTTCAATGATGAAGAAACGGCTTAATCCAACACATGTAGCTGTCATGGGAGATCTGTTCTCGTCGCAGTGGATCGGCGATTCTGAGTTCTACAACCGAACCATGAGATACACTAGCAGAATATTCCAGCGCAACGTGTCTGTGCTAGAGAATATCAAGAAAGAAAGTCACGATACCAATGGCCAGTATCAGATAGATTGGGTCAAATTTGCCGATGACCTCGGGGCGCGGCTACAGCAAACACCTAAGAAGTTCGATTTCGGTTATGAAGATGTATACTCCTGGGACCCCGTAAATGAAGATTACCTTTTTATGAATCTGACCGGCAACCATGACGTGGGGTACTCCGGGGACGCGACCTATCAGCACATGGCTCGTTTCCAGAGTCTATTTGGGAAGGACAACTACTGGATCGAGTATGATCGCGGCACAGATCACGCATGGAGAATTGTAGTGTTGAACTCGATGCTACTAGAGGGACCTCCTTTGCAGCAAGAGCTCATGGATGTTACTTGGGAATTTTTGTACCGCCTGTTCGAACGTCGGTTTGAAGGAAGCACTATCCTGCTAACACATGTACCATTTTACAAGAAAGAAGGGATATGTGCCGATAGCGAGCTGTTCCGCTATTATCCTCACGATTTCCAGCGCGAGCCCTACAAGCAAAACTTGCTCAGGTCCCAGAACCATTTGAGCCAGGGAACCACGAAACGTGTCTTGAACCTCATCTTCGACAATCACAAGCCCGGAATCATTTTGACGGGCCATGATCATGTAGGATGTGAAACCATATACAACAAAGATGACAAAACTGGCGAATGGTCGGCCGCAAAAGCGGTAACTTCCACAGATTTTTCTGTTCGAGAGATTACCGTGCGCTCAATGATGGGCGAGTTTCATGGCAACTCTGGCTTGGTTACAGGTCAATTCAATACCAAGACTAAATTATGGGAGTGGTCCTTCACCTTGTGTCCCTTCTCAGTACAGCATATTTGGTGGTTCACTAAAGTTGTCACTCTTCTAAGCGGTTTGCTCCTTTCCATTCGGGTATTTATATAGAAATGATCGACCCGCTCCTTAGGAACCCACTCGTAATGCCCACTGCAAGGGCTCGTTCGCCCAAGCGATCAATCTGTTACCAATGGGGCTGGTGAGTACTTTGGTTATATTCTTGAGTACTTGCCGAGTTTCTACAAGATCAAATGTTTCTATTAAAGTATGTTGTTGACGGGAAAAATAGCGATCTGAAGGCCAACGAAGGGCTACCTACAGGGAAGCTGCCGATATCAGTAGGTTATGGAAGGTATCAAAGATAAAAGCCTATTGACAAGATTTACGAGAATACGCAAGAGACCTCAACAGCCTTTAACAGACCTCACCGAGCTGTACAGTCGAATTGCTAATGAATCCATATACTACTTGAAGTTAGAGGAAAAGCAAGAGTACCGGAAGGCAGTACTTGGTTGGAAGGCACTAAATACACATGTCTTGTATGAGTTGACACAAATAGAACACCAATATCCTCACACACAACATTTCACCAAGGATGAAATCAGCATTCAGAATGGGGTACGAGAATTATATCACAAAAGCTTGCAGCACTTGGAACGAGTCACCAAGCTTCACCAGGGTGCTGAACCTGAAGCGTACTCTGCGGGGAAATTAGCATCATCTTTTTCAAGGAGACCAGCACCCCCGGCTTCGGGTTCTAGATCAATGCTCAAAACATTGAGGGACCCGAAATTGCAATACAATAAAAACCACACCGCGTCAGCTCCAGCTATCACCAATGGGAAGCCTAATAGCAGAAGCAACAGCCACAATGCGAAAATTAATTTCACAACTTCGAAGCCCTTGAGGGCCGAGAATGCCTTCAATGGCTTTGATGAGGAGCAGAACTTGATAGATTTTTCGGACGATGACAATGATGTAAGCTCCAAGAGTGAGCCTGTGCTCGCAAGTGATACAGCCAGTGACAATGGCATCGACTTTGATGTGCAAGACTATTTTGACGACTATTTGGACGTCGATCAAGAGGAGCTGAAACGGTTAGAGGCCTTCAATAACTTAGAAGGAATTCGCAGCGAATTTAACGACTTTTCAATGGCCACGAAATCATTGAGCCCTCAGGCAGCGGATTCGCAAGCGAAGCCAACCCGAGTGGCGTCACCGCCGGCCCGAGAAAAATTGAGACAGCGCCCTGCTCAAGCACCTGTAATCAGATCCGGGGCTTTGCCAAAAACAACGAACTCATCCATCAGCACAACTAAGCGTCCTGTAAGGAAAGATGCGGACTCTTTGAGTACATCCCGGCCGGTTGCCCAGAACTCAGCATCGGCTCCCATCGTTAAGAGCCGCGCTACAGCGGCGTCGACGAAAGACGTACCGATATTAAATAAAAGAGTCTTAAGAGCACCTAAGCCAGCGAGTGGGGGGAAGGTCTCTGAATCTAGATCGACCAAGTCCAAACAGCCTGTTAGGGCTTCCCCTATCAATACTATCAAGGGAGTTCAACAAAAACAGGGAGCCGCGTCTGCTGCACCAACAAAAGCACTACCAAAGCCCAAATCACCTCCCCCCTCCACTAAAAGCCGAGGAGAGTCTGTGGTTCCCGCGTCAGAGGACATAGACGAGAAAACGATCAAAGAAGCCCTCGAAGATGAAATAATCGAACAACTTAGAGGTATTGATAAGGCAGCGGCCAAACAGATATTTTCGGAAATTGTTGTTCGCGGCGATAAAGTGCACTGGGATGACATCGCAGGTTTAGAAGCAGCCAAAAATTCTTTGAAAGAGGCGGTTGTATACCCCTTCTTGAGGCCCGACTTGTTTAGGGGCTTAAGAGAACCAGTACGGGGAATGCTGCTTTTTGGTCCTCCCGGTACAGGTAAAACTATGCTGGCCAGGGCAGTAGCTACCGAGTCGAACTCGACATTCTTCTCGATCAGTGCCTCAAGTCTAACATCAAAGTACTTGGGTGAAAGTGAAAAACTGGTTCGTGCCCTGTTTGCCATTGCCAAGAAACTCTCGCCATCGATTGTGTTTGTCGACGAAATCGACTCTATCATGGGAAGCAGGAATAACGATGGAGAGAATGAGTCTAGTCGTAGGATCAAAAATGAGTTTTTGGTTCAATGGTCATCACTTTCGAGTGCTGCAGCTGGCAGTAAAGGTAATGCCGCTGGGGCTAGTAATGAAGAAGAGGAGGACGAACGAGTTTTAATTTTGGGTGCTACCAACCTTCCCTGGAGCATTGACGAAGCCGCTCGTAGGAGATTCGTGAGACGGCAGTATATACCTCTCCCGGAGGTGGAGACCCGAAAAAAACAGCTTTCCAAGCTGCTAATGCATCAAACTCATACTTTGACGGAAGATGACTTTACAGAGCTTCTGGAACTCACGGATGGATATTCCGGTAGCGACATTACTTCGCTGGCCAAGGACGCAGCGATGGGTCCCCTGCGAGAACTGGGTGACAAACTTCTTTCCACACGCCGTGATCAAATTCGGGCAATTACATTACAAGATGTGAAGAACAGTTTGAGCTACATCAAGCCATCTGTCTCGAAGGACGGCTTGGAGCAGTACGAGGAATGGGCCGAAAAATTCGGTTCCTCGGGTGTGTAACTGACGGGTACTAAGTAAGAATAATATTGCATTTCATCTCCCATGACTGGGTATTGCAGTGGGGCCTTACAATTGTTTTATCGGTAATATGTAGTAAATAGGTCATCTTTTCTGATAGACAGTCGCAGTCGCCCGCATCGCAATGACATTGAGGGAAAAAATTATATGCACCGAGCTGATCTGATCATCTTAGTCCACAACACTCAGGAAGGTACACACAAATGTTCAGTCGCTACTGATTAATCTGTCTTAGTTACATGGTTTGTCTAATTCGGCTCTTCGCCATATGAACTGACCTTTTATTTCGCTTTTCTCCGCTTCATGCTTACCGGCCGGCAAAACCGAAAGATAAGCCGTGATATCGATAAGATTACCATATATATAAGGGCGTGCGATGATCCACCTATACCAAACAACTTATCATTCACAGTGTTATACATCTAGTGAGCTATCCAGACTTTTGCCGGAACTAAGTACACAATCGATTCGATAGTGGACTGTAGGAAGTTGAAAACAATCTTCTCACTTTTGTTATAAATTTGCGAACTTGGAGCTGCCGAAGATGGCTATCGAAGTTACTAAGCTGGAAGGCCAGCCATTAGGAGCAACAATCAAGCTTCCAGAAGGTTGCAATGATCCAAGCAAACTTTCTGCTGAAGATTTTGACGATCTATACAAGGCACTTCATGAGCACTTGGTGGTGGTGATTCCGGGAATGGAGGACCTATCTCCCGAGTCGCAATGGAAACTGACAACCAGATTCGACCCTACCTGTGATCAAACTGGGAAGTCATATGGACACGGGAAGGAATTTCGTCATGACAAATCTGTGCTGAAAAAAGACGGGACGTCAATTCCTGACCAACCTCAAGTGCAGGTTTTGGGACAGGGCAGCTGGCCTGCAGGCCATCATGGCCTCGGTGACATTGAGCTCAGACACCCTACTCATTTTGACTTCCACCGTGATCCTCTTTCCCAGGAACAGGCGTACAAGCAGGATATGACTCGTTTCTACAGATGGCATCTCGATTCGGCATTGTACGGGCTCTCCCCACCTGTTGCCACTACATTGTTGGGAATACATGTACCTCCACACTCTAAAAAGCAGAAGATTTTATATGAAGACAACAATGAAGTCTTGGAGGTTACGCAGGGTGCGACGGCATTCATTTCTGGTGCCAGAGCTTTTGACCTATTGACTCCTGAAGAGCAAGACCGCGCCTTAAAAACTGTGGTGGAATACGCACCTCATCCCTATATCTTCATTTCACCTGCTAGAGCAACATCTGACGGTTTGACCATGGTTTCCGAAGGGAAAGAGATGTCACTTGACGAATTGCCTCCTTGGGAAGATGCGAAGGTTAAGCGCCTACCTATGGTATGGACAAATCCTGTTACCAAAAAGCATCATCTACAAGTACATGGTTGTTGTATCCACAAATTGCTTCTTCCTGACGGAACAACACTTGAGCTTGAGGAAGCCCGTAAAGAAGTCCACAGGATGATGAGGCCAGCTATTTCTCCAAAGTATGTGTACGCCCATGATTGGAGCAAAGGTGATTTGGCCATATTTTTCAACAGAGGTGTTTTGCATTCTGTGACTGGTCAGTTCTCTCCTGGCGAAAAAAGACTAATGCATCAATGCAACATAGCGTCTGGCAAGGATCCGCAAACAATTTTGGATGTTGCAGCTTAAGAAGGGTAAAAGCGCTGCTTGAATGCCTTGGCTTCGTGTTGATTTTGGATCGAAACATCACTATTCTGAAGACGAGGCTCTTCACCTCTAGGCTTGATTCATCATAAATACTAAATAATACAGTCCAGTTAACCATGTTATGCACAAACGCATTTTAACTTCAAATACTTAATCTTGTCTGGCCTGAAGGCGAGCAAATATTTCTTAATTCGGCGCAATGGGACCCTGTTCATCGCTGACATCGGCTTTCAGAGCAGAAGGCTCTTTTAAGCTGCTATAATCTAGCTTGTAGTTCAACTTGTCAATCACGGCCCAGTCATCCAAATTGAAGATTTTGTAATCTGCGATCTCACAGGTGTCGTTCGTAAATTTCGGAGGGCCGTGTCTACAATACCAATGTTCACCTGATGATGAAACTATCCAGCTACGTTCCACAAGAAGTTTGTAAGCAATGGTTTGCTCCAAAGGAGTAATGGAATAATAATAGCAGTAAAACAATGAAAATGTCTCCAGACCACGGAATTTTTCCAATATTCTATCCAAGTCCACAATTCCATCATTTTTTAACTCAGGTAACTCTTCTCGCAGACCGCAGCGTGTGATATCCCAAAAACTTGTGGACCTAAAAGCATCCAAAGGAGACGGAGGGTTAGCACCCACCGGAACATCGACAAGTCTTGCGATCGAGCAGGAATCGCATATTGTTCGTTGTTTACCACTGTTTTGATTGTTTTGGTAAGCATCATTTTGGACCAATGTGGTACTCAGAATAAAATCCTGAATCCCGCTAGGTAGTACTAATAGCTCCAGGTCCTCGCTTAGGTTCTTCTTTAGTTCTTGTAGTTTCAGGCTCCGGCCAACGAATTCTTCGGTGGTGTAGACTTTCTGCTCCGCAAGCTCCTCGAAGTCTTCTTCGGAGTAATCAGATTCATAATCATCGCTAATCAATCCTGGTTGTGGGCTCTCTGGTATGACAGTTTGGTCTTCATTGAATGGTTTTTGTTGTTGTGATATCCTATTAATATCCAGAGAGCCTACTGGGTGGCCCAGACCAGGAGGGGCTGCGGACGTCACTATGCTACTGGTAGATGTGGTCCTCTTTGGGAGAGTGGAAGCAAGAGGAAGTTTAGACATAACCGGGGTATTTGAAGCACTTGTAACAGTGCTGTTAGCGACCGAAGCAGAGTTAGATGTGGTCGCCGCCTGAAAATTGCTTAAAGACTCCGCCTTTTTATCCTTTTCAGCTGCTTGGGAGGCAGCAGCGGCCCATCTTAAGTCGCCAGCTGGTCTGATTGGTATCGTTGCAGGCTTTAAAGTGCTAGTTGTAGAAATGCCACTGAGAGACTGGTGAAACGTATGTCCCTGTGAATCCGGTGAGACTTCGCGCGATACGCTGCGGAGTTTCGGTAGAGGACCGGAAGCGGGTGTTTGAGCAGAAACGGCTCCTGAGGATGTCGATAGCGATCCATTAGGTACCTTATTAGGAGCTGTTGCTGGTATGCTGGTACCTGCTGACGACAAAGCTGGTGAAACTGACCTTGACGTACTTACAGATGGGGGGTCACTTTGTAGCTCGTTGTGCCGCGATTCGCTCTTGGGAGGTATCACAATTCCTGTAGCCTCAGAAGCATGGTCAGTAGGCAAAATCCCACCAGCTTTCGCGGAGGCTTTTGCAGCCTTCTTGGCCTCTCTTTCCATTTTTCGTTGTTCTTTCTTGGATATCTTGGAGTTCTCCTTCGCGGCGTCCTCTTCTAGCTCTTCATTGTGTTGAGCAGCAAATGCAGCGGCGACTTCATGTGCTATGGCCTCATTAGAAGTCAAATTTAGGCTGTCATAAATGGTTTCGTCTTCCACAAAATCTGCATCCATATTAGATTCCATGTAGTAGTTGACGTCGTCCCGCACGCCTTTGACATCTTCTGGATCAAGCTCTTGATTTTCTACAAGCCGTAGTGCAAGCTCCAGTTGCTGTAGATGCCACCTATACCTGCCTTGCAGGTCTTTTAGCTGGTTTTTGCGTTCCTCATTAGCCACAGTTGCAGTTTTCTTCTTTTTGTTTAATAATATCAGTTTGTCGACTTCAACTTGTAGTGAGTCGTACTGCCTCTCCAGTTCTTCAATGGACTGTGATAAATATTCGCACACTTCCCGTCGCTCCTTTTCCTGTGGATCCAAACTATCCGATCTTTTCAGGCTGTTATTAGAATATGCCTTCTCTTTAGAGGCTTTTTCAACTGCCTTGTATTTCTCCATTGCGACTTCTACGGATCGCCTATGTTCCAGAAGCGAATCTTTGTCTTTGATTTCTGGAGAGCTTTGCCAGGATTTGATCTGCTCTCGCAGTCTCTGTAATTTCTTCACTTCCCGCTTCAAGTCGCATTCTAGCTTATCCTTTTGAGACGGATTATTTGTGCAATTTTCATGTCTCTCGTAGTACATATCAAATATCTCCAACCCTTCGCTGATCTTCTTGAACACTCGGTCCACTTCCTGCTGTAATTTTCGATGCGCCATCTTGAGCCGGGAAGCTGCGTAAATTATGTCCAGTTAGCAAATGGCTGATCGATCGGCTCGATTGAATGCTACCTTCAATCCAAACCAAAATCTAGCAGCCCTCGAAGTGTGCAGTACCGCAATGTTCTACAAAGGCTAGCTTTCTTACGTGGAAAATTTTTTATATATCTTAATAGGTGCTCTCTCAAGTTTCTCACTGTTGAAGTGGGAAATTGAGACCTTGATGAGCAGTTACTATCACGTGCAAAAGCTACAGAATGATTCAGTGAATGGATTCTCCTTCCTTTGCTGAACTATGGAATGGCTGATATGATGTGCCAACAGCCTTCCAGTTATAATATCCACCTTACTAAAGTACTTCCTTTTTCAAAATCGTGAACAGGGATTTTAACTCAGTCTGGGCTAGACAGAGCCACAAGTATTCCGGCCAAATGGTGGAGACCAACGATACCGATGAGAGAATAGCAACTACGACGGTGCAATAGTTTGAAATTTGTTAAGTATGGGTGTTCTGGGTTAGCCATCTGCCGCTTATACATGCTATGGTCGTCAGTATCAATGACGCAGGAAAAAGAGGCCAGTAAACTTGAAGCCAACATGGACGAAAGATTGGTGAACGACGAAGGAACTGAATCAAGCTGAGAGGGTATGTGCGGCGACGTAAGTTGCACTGGGATTTTAGTATAATGGAGTTGGTCCCGCATTTTGGCATACGCAGTGGGAACCGTACCATTACCCGAGCCCCAAAGGGCATTGAAGGCTGTGGCATTTAGCCTGGAATTGACCTCCTGTTCAAACTCCCTACACAGTGCGTTGATCTGTCCTATTATGAGGTCATTATTTCCACGGTGAGTGACGAAAGTCCTCTTGGACAGCCGGTCGGGGTAGCTGTCTGAGTCCGCCAGAATGTTGAGCACTACTTGGCCTTCGATGAAGAAGCTTATGAATAAAGTCCAGAGAGCCGGCCCATTTGAAACCAGCCACCAGTGAATAATTTTGCTTACTACTTGAGCATTTATTAATCGCTTCTTCCTTGGGCGCTTTGAAAACACATGCTCTTCAAGTAATTCGTCAAAAACACCGGCGATCGGGTGAGACGTTGACTGAGTATATGATAGCAGAAGATCCTGAAGAGGACCACGAACTCGCAACCGGGCTTTGTACATGTTTACAGTGCATGCGCAGTCTTCTATGCACTTAATTTGCGCTTCAATGGTCTGTCGTAGTCGGAACATCTCAATCCGAAAGCCCAAATACTCCCGATACATCAACAACAGAATCGTACAAGCATGTACAGAAACGAAAATGCAACTCAGCCTTATGCACTTGCTTCTATAATTTTCATGGCTCTCCTTGGGTTCGCTTCTTTTATTGAGCGCCTTTGCTTGGGCCTGGTTAAAACTTTGCTTTAGCCCGTTCATTAGGTGTCCCTTGGCCTTCTGTATGTATTTGTCATTTTCTAGCCATTGAGTTAGGACCCTATCTGGAAGAATTTGAGGTAAATTCACACGCTTCGTAACATTGTAATGATGCATACTTTTCAACCCGGTAAGACTGGATGTTACGTTTTCAAAAAGTATCTTTATATCGGTCATGTTGAGTTTCAGTGAATCCAAAACATTTGGTATATCTCCTGTTGTGACAAGAAATCCATTGGTGGTGAGATAGTTAACTGACCTCGCGATATTTTGAGCTTGGTGGCCCAAATTTGAAAAAATGGTATCGTTATATTGTTTCAATGACTCATAATGTTGCTGCCACGCAGTTAATTGTGCCTGGACGGAAGAGTTCCAGTTTTCCAAGATCGAATCCATTTCCAAAGTGTAGTATTCGATCGCGGAGTTCAAAATTTGAGCGGAGTCGGTAGCTTTCGCTGAGAGATAGTTGTCAATGTGCAGTTCAAACTGTGGGGAAGATTTGAGGGTCCTTGTTGGGGTCACCGATGAGGCTAGGGTCGAGGACATTGCGAAAATGGAAGTTGTGGAGGCCACTGTCGGAATAGTCGTTGTGACCGTGTTGGTGGTGCATCCGGATCTGTCATTGGAAACTTGGCTTGCTTGAAATGCTGCCAACCCCCATACTGTTGTCAAAAATACGAAATTGGGAACCAACAAATATGGATTGAATATGCAGGCGACGAGTCTTAGTTTCAGCGCTGGAAATACTAGAGCAGGCTCGTGCATTGTAGTGTCAATACGAATATGATTTGAAGCTTTGCTGACTGTGTTTCCGTCAGGCTCTTAAATTTCCGTCAAGAGGGATGCACGATGTTTCAGTTTGAAACGCCTCGAGACAAGGTGTCATATAACCTTGGGAAGCTGGTACTGGACTAGTCGAGCTTTACTTTCTTTAAACTGAAACTGTTGTAGAATTCGCTTGAGGGCTGGCGAGTCTTGTTGCAGCATTTGTAGTTTCTCATCGGGAGGCAAGTTGTCTATATAAGCAACCACCTTTTCTGCTTTCTGGCGATCTAAGGGCAACTTTGAGAGCGCCAGTAAAAGCTTTTCGAAGCCTGAATCGGCTTCCAGAGAGGTAGAAGTAGATTCGACTGGTGACAGGGTTTCACTGGTTACTCCGGCTATACGCTCACTGCACGGGTCATTCATGGCAGGCGTCAACTCACGACTGTTTTCTCTTAATCGGACCCAAAAACGTTTTCTCACGAAGCCACTGGCAGCTTTCCAGCGTTTGCTGCGAAACCTCCAGCCATAAGTCCAGCCCTGGTCGTCCGTTTCATACATATTTCCGTGATCCATGGACACAAACCACTTGAACTCCTCCGCCTTGGAATGGAGATCTAGGGGCCACATACCCGCACCCGCTTTTATTTCGCCTTTCTCCACGCTCTGTCCGTCTGGGGATACTAACTGAAATTGTGGAGGATCCACTCCATGCAACAACAGATTGGGCGAGAAGAAAGGGTATCCCAGTACCATCATTCCCCGCTGGTGTTCTACGATTATATCCCGGGTGCCAAACACCAAATCTGGGCGCAGCTCATTGCCGCTAGGATCCATCTGCGGGTTCCGCAGTCCAAGATAATTCGACGCTGTAAACTTGGACCCCGCGGATCAAACTAAACGGCCCTTTGGTGGATATTGGCGTTTAAATCGCTAGTTAGCACGTTTGGGCTACTCTAATGCAGAAAAGCAGTGTTGGGATCCACTAGGCTGCTGGCCAGTCACTCGGTAGGTTCCGGAGCAGATCATTGTTGATATCGGCTGGCTTTGCGTTCGCAGGTAAACATCATAGCCAATATCTCTTTATCTAGTCATGTCACTTCCGACGGTTACAGTTCTCGAGCCAAACTCGATGCGCATTCACTGACACCATCGACATCGTTACCAGTGCAGATGCCGTCTTATTGCACCTTCGCCCATCTGCAAGTTGGTGTTTGAAATTGTACGCTAATCCTACCTTAGGAAAAGCTGCTCAGACTTATTTTCAATCCAAAAGAAACTTCAAGCATGGCCAACGGGCAAACGGCCACTCCCAACGCCTCTCTGGGCTGTAAACTCCTGCTCGTTGGAAAGCGTTGATGTTATGCACATCTCAGGTGGTTTTTTCGGGCCATTTTCTGCTGGTTACGTGATTCTGGACTTTTTCCATACGCACCAAAAAATTTGGACATTTTCCGGAAAGATGAGTAGGTTTAGGCCCACAACAACTGTCACTCAAAAGCGAGACCAGTATTGAGATAATAGACCATCAACACTTGGATTTTTTTGCTTTGATTACTTGAAAATACTTGTAGTGTTTTAGAGCGCATCGTTTAGCGGTGTCTCGACAGTTAAAATGAATTTAGTGCATATCAAGACTGAGGACTCTAGGAGCTTGCTCCCGGCAGAGGCCATGGGCGGAGGAGCAAAGGGGCAAGTACCCGGTGATAATCAACATCCAGATGCACAAGGTAGGTACGGACCTGTGGCGGTGGAAAACCGGATTCTTGGCCCGGCCGTTGCAGTTCCGGGACGCAACAGCAGCGAAAATGTCATGCGCAGTTTCCAGCAAGTACCACATCCAGCAGTCGCCCTGGGGAACCCTATCAGTACTTCTGCGAACTCTGGGCTGGTCCCAGATCCGATCCCCGCCTACTCGCACCCAACGGGGAACTATCAGGCAAACAACGGGATGTCAGATCCCTCGCTCCAGGAGTACCTCTCGCCCTTTTTCCAGCCATACGGAGTTGATGTCTCACACTTCCCTCTCACAAATCCGCCCATTTTCCAGAGCTCCTTGACGAACTTCTCCGACCATCCCAGAAGGCGCAGAATTTCCATTTCCAATGGTCAAATCAGTCAGCTTGGCGAGGCAGGGACCACTTTCGACGATCTGTACTATAGCCAGCCCCCACCCATGCCTACCAGACACGATTTGAGAGGCACGCATGTGGCCCAACAGCCGCAGCAACTTCCTCAAGCTGCTCAACTGCCAGCCCGTCCCCCGCTCCCTCACCAACATTCAGGCCACGCCTCCCACCTGGAGGTCCCAACTGTTCACCCGTCTCAAGCGCACTTGCAACCTAACATGTTAGAGCCTTCAAATCCGGTGGCACCCTCGCAGCACAGCCCCAGATCGCAAGAATATTCTGTCCTCCCGCTGCACTCACACCCACACCCCATTACGCCAATAATAAACGATGAGATCGATCCCAAAGATACCAGTGCTTCTCGTACTTTTGGCACTAATCAAGACCGCAAGGAAGGAATGGGCATTGATATGCTCAGAGATCATCACGCGTATGCGCCAAAGCGACAGGAAGTATTGCCTGGCACGCCTGCCTGGAAGAGAGCTCGCTTGCTTGAGAGGAACCGCATTGCGGCTTCAAAATGCAGACAGCGGAAGAAAGTCGCTCAAAAACAGTTGCAAGAAGACGTCGCCGTGCTAGCTGAGGAAAACACACACATTCGAAAGCGCTTACACTACTACGAAAAGCTGGTTTCTAAATTTAAGAAGTTCACTGAAATGCACATGGCCACCTGTGGCGGGTCGGAGCAACTCAGTATGATTGAAGAGCTGCTGAAAATCGACCACAATATGACCGAACTAAGTCCGGACGAATCACCTATTCCTGGCGATACTACTCCCCAATAGAGACAAACATTGGAAGCTTTTACAAGGGAAAAGGAATGTGTCGTTGCGTTAACGTTGGCGGAATTATCGATAGGGGCCAGCGTGCGGATGGTTAGATGGGCAATGGACCCATGTCGATTGTACATATAGATAAAATTGGCAGTCTGAACCGCGATACAATCAAAAAGGGAGTTATAGATGCTATGTGATTTTGGTGGCAAAAACCTTCACCATAATTGTCGGCTCAGGTTATACGTGTCTGTCCGGTGACAGAGGACACTTGATGTGTTCAACAAATGTAAATTAATTAATAAAACAACAACTATTGGTAACACCGATAACAGATCACCTCGAAGCAAGTAATTAATAGTTTCAGGTGTTCAGAGATGTGTCATTCACAAGATGAATCTTCCGATCTGTCAGAACTGGTAATAGTATCTCAATTTTTTGCATTATTTTGGTACCACCATTGATATATGCATGATTTACTAACCATCTCGCAAGGCGTTGGCCATAGTCAAACACCGAAACCCCACATTATGGAATGAAGTAATATCAAACTATGTGTGCAACTCAAATTCAGTTCATGCTCTTTCCAAGTCGGCAAAATTGCAGGTTTCTGATGGTACGTCAGCGGCTAAGAAAGCACAAGGAAATGCTAGCATAACGCTAGCCCATGTAGAGCCTTACCTCTATAAGTATGTGTTGAGTGGTAGTAGTGGTTATTTAGATTCTGTTTCGCAGTTTTTAAACGGCCATCGCCTTCGCTTTAGAGAACTAGTGGCAGATCTCGACAAGGTAGAGGCGCTGACTTCCGATTTGCCAAACTCGATGATCAGCAAAGAAATCGCTCCAAATTACAAGGTTCTGAAGTGGCTATGTGCAGTCAGCTCACCAACGAAGGAACGCTGTTTCACAGCTGTCCATGTTGTTCAGACTTTTCAGCTTGTACTTGTTTCATACTACGCCTTCTCGGTGGATGTCAAGAAGACGGTTATGGATGTATGCCAAGGTTTCATCTATAAATTCATCAAGCTCGAAGTCGTCGGATTCGGATCATCTAATCCAAGAGTAATTAAGCTCCTGCGCAGTCACACTAGTTTGGACTCTGTGGAGGTGGGCCACAGAAGTTTTAACAAGTTGTGCAATAACCACATAAAACTGATCATTCTCATTGTCAAGATCTTCATTCACAAAGAGAGGTATTCTGCGGTGATAGATATCGTGGGTTTTGTATTGAAGGTCATTGAAAGTTTGGTCGTCTGTCTCATCAAGCTTGAATGTCCTTCAAACAGCCGTGACACCCGTAGGGCGTTTGAGGATATATACAAAACGCGGTCAACCAAGATGAGTTACAAAATGGTGACTGAAATATTAAATGCATCCCATCATCTTATAGTTGGTGAAGCAGTTAAAAGAATTAAAATCTGCTTAGAATTTTGCCTCACTTTGATTGGGTCTTTGAATCTCAGAGCTACGTTTGGCGACAATAAACTTCGTGGTTTTCAGTTTCTTCAGGAGTATCGACAATACATTTTGAGTGGTTTCCTGACACTTGACAACTTGGAGTTAACCACCAAATTTTTGCACATTGCTTGGCCTGAAGTTAAAGAATAAGTTATTAGAATCATAAAGAGCTTTGATTACCATTTTACAAATTCCGAATAGATTACGTTTCTCTCCAGTTTGAGTATGTTTATTTGTATGTATACTCGCCATTTCTTATTGGACTAAACCAAGGGTGCTCCATAGCTTCTCTGGCGGTTAACCTTTCTTGATGATCATAGCGAAGCAAAGCGTCGACCAAGTCTATAATGTCGTCATTCCCAGAGAGATGTCTATTAGAATCGTTGACAAATCTGTGCCATGGCCTGCGAATATATTGATCAATATCGTGAAACTCTGATGGTAGCGTTATTTGGTATCTTTGCAAATAACTTTCAAATTCGTCACTGCCCAGTACGCGTACTATCTTGACCAACTGATCTGTATTGCTGGTCCCATGGAAAAAAGGCTCTTTCTGGAAAATCATGGACGCGAGCATAGTCCCGAAAGACCACAAGTCTAAAGAGTAGTCGTACATCCTGTAGTCAACCAAAAGCTCAGGTCCTTTGAAAAAACGAGAAGCCACGCGGACGTTGTACTCCATATTTGGGTGGTAAAACTCTGCAAGTCCCCAATCTATAAGTCTAAGTTTATGTCTGGAGTGGTCGATCATCACATTATGGGGCTTAACATCCCTGTGCATTATACCCATGGAGTGACAAAAGTCCAATGCCTTTAGAAGTTCAAACATATAAAATCGGATATCAAAGTCGCCAAATGTGGGGTAGAGATTGCGGAAATCCACATTTTCCACATGCTCGAAGACCAAGGCCGGAGTTCTAGAGACTTGGTCACGCACGACGTCCAATAGTTGAATTATATTTTCATGTCCATTGTGAGGCAGACTATAAACTTCTTTCTTGATGAACTCCTGAACTTCTTCTTTCTTGCTCTCATAGTATGCATCACGATCAAAAGGTTGAGCGGTTGAAGGATTTGATTGGTTAGAGAGGTTGGTTAGGATACTGATCTCGCGCTTTATCTTCTTTTTCTTAACAGGTTTTAGCATTTTAATCACAATTTTCGATTTCGTGGACAACTGTACGCCTTGAAATACCTCGGAATACTTTCCACGTCCTACCTTTTTTTCTATTTCATAAGCACCATTGTTGGAAACCCAATCTATAACAGTATTTTCGTAATCCCAGTAGGATGATCCGCGTTTTACATTGGCCGTAGTGTAAACCCTCGCCTCGCTGAAAGTTCGACTTTTCATCGTACGCAAAGCGTTTCGGCTCAAAAACAGAAAATCGAGAAAATAGGGGCGCTAGGACACTATGTGAAGTATAAGCTATCACCCTTAGCTATGTGCTTACTTGTGTGCCGTGCCTCCTTCAAACGTCTTCGTTCTTCCTACCGTCATCATCATGGGAATCATCATAATCATGATCATCTAATTGTTGAAAAATTACACTACCGTGCAACATGATATATCTGAACCATGGTCGGTCGGCCTATGATGATGGTTTGTTTGTGGTCCGCCTACATACATAGCAACAGCTCTAAATTCACATACCTTGGAGACCTTTCACGACCTGCTCGTGGGCCAAGCGATTGTCGGAGGCGGTGGCAACAGACGGATCCCTGAGTTCGCGATAGATGTCACGTGTTTTGTCGAAGTACACCACCTCCAATTGCGTACGCATTTGCGACTCGACGGCTTCAATATGAGATCCCAGGTTGGAAATATGCCAGACTTTATAAGCATCTGTGTCCTGTGCGACCGAAACGGGCTTGGTTTCGGTTTTTTGTGTTTGGCGCGTCAAGTTTCCAGAAAGTTGTGCCTCGCGCCCTGAGTCCAAATGCAAAATAATGGTGGTAGTGACGCGGTATTCCCATTGACGTGAGTCTTCGCCCTGGAGTGCTTCAAAGACGTGGATCGCGTCCCACGAGCTCTTGCTTTGGCCGCTCTTTTTGAACAACACGACTCCCGCGAAGTCCTCAACATCATCACCAAGATCCCACATGTACACTGATGACACGCCGCCCTCGTAGTATAGTTCGCGATAGATGTCAAAAGAATCGTTTGCGAGTTCCTCCATCCGTCTGACAGCAGCCGTGGGAAAGGGCGATTCCTCGAGATCCGCCGCCGAAAGCGGTGGAACGTACTGGTTGGACCATGGGGAACGATGAGAGTCGATGTCCCGATTGTAGTCGCACGTCAGAAATTCTTTTTGGGCTGCATTTGGATCCTTCTTCACTTGTAGGGGTGTATCGACCGACGATAGTAGGTCCTCCGCCAAGCTAGGATCTAATTGTATCAGTTGGCTCAGATGTTTCTCCACTTTGGTGGGATCTAGCCTTCTGAGCAGATCTAAGGCGGCGTCGAATGAAGACATGGTGTGCCAGACTGTGATCCAAAGTTAGGGCTCCGGTTTTAATACACACTCGCTTTATAGATGTGAAACTATCCTATTGGTAGTCACTTTATACGCGGGGTCTTGGAGGGTTCCTCGGCAGCGACCAGAAAGGTCAGCGCAACGCCGCCACTTGGAGTGGTCGTAAAGCTTCTACTATAGATCTAGTCCAGACTGAGAACCCTAGCTGTCTGAATCCATCAGGCCGCGTCAAGTAAGACAACCCGTAGACATAGTAAGGTGACATTATTGTACAGAGTGATAATTGCAGTCTCACAAGAGAAGGACTTCACCCTTCAGTCAACATCCAAGCCAAGTGGCATGCTTCAAATTGTCAGGGGTACCAGGTGTTGGTGATATATTACTGTTTGGTGGGAGGAAATGTTGGACTGCGATAGGCACTATATGTCTTTGACACCTCATCAAGCATTAAAAAAAAAAAAGTACGGTGTCTTTCCGAGATCTGAACTTCCCGAAGCGCAAGATAACTCGTGTGAGTTCGATTCTCTTCAACAAAAAGGGCCTTCATCGAAGGAATCTTTAAAGTCTTCTGCTCTGATGAGTCAGCTATTCCGCAACTCGACTTCAGTGAGCATTCTAGCACTATTCCGGGACGTTCCGACCAATCACCATTGGAGAGGTGCCCATTATACTAGAACAAAAGCTCTCCTTCGCTTCTTCAGTCCTCCGCCCTTCGAAGGTGTAAAGTCAAAAGTACTACTAGAGAAACCCTCACGCAAGAGGATGAAAGAAGCAAGTATAACGGGGCTTCTTTGACAGCCAACCGAAAAACCTACCACACACCCGTGGCTATTTACCAGATGCTGCTACTGCTTACACCCCATATCCAAACCACTTCAGCAACCCATATTGTTGTTTTCCATAGCAAAGTGGTGCGCTGACACTACTCCGTCACTACTTACGCTTCTTAATTCACTGTCTTAATAACGCCAGCAAATAGTCAGACAATACTGAAAGGAAGTTAATGCTTCAGCTGAACGCTCAGCGGTACTGGCGTTCGCTGGATTCCGGCCTTATCAGTCTGTCTTCTTGTCCATTTGTGTAGAGTAGCACACTCCATAGCAAGCGAATTAGCGTTAAAATCAACTTTCGATTAAGCGTCGAGCCGAGCTTGATCAACTGATGTTCTTTCGTGAAAGTAGTAACTGCAAAAAACCTTGTAGCTTCCTCATTCGCTTAATGAAGATTTGACTGTATTCAGATTGAAATTGCTGCCGTGTCACATCGTAGGTGCTAATTGCTGGAGGCGTATTAGAAATGTCTTTCACAAGATTGGCCGCAAACCATAACAGTTTTTGCTCTTATGGCTTATGTGACCTCAATTGTATATAAAGAGAGCTTTCATTGTTCACACAGCACAATTGAATCTGCTTTCCTTTGACATAAACCACACAGCTATCTCAAGCTAAGTAAAACTAACTACACAAACCTAACCACCAACCAAATGGCCGCCAAAAACTCCACTGTCACAGCTCAACTCCACACCGGAGCCACCATCCCATTGCTCGGGTTCGGTACTTGGCGTTCCACCGAAGAGGACGGATACAACGCTGTTCTTGCGGCTCTTCGTGCCGGTTACCGTCATATCGACACCGCGGCTGTTTATGGTAACGAAGCCGCAGTCGGAAGAGCCATCCGCGATTCCAACATTCCTCGCGAAGAATTGTTTGTCACCACCAAGTTGTGGAACACCCAGCAACGCGAGCCTGCCAAGGCTTTGGAACAGTCGCTCACCAGATTGGGCCTCAAGTACGTTGACTTGTACCTGATGCACTGGCCATTGCCGCTCAAGACCGAGCGTATCGAGGGCGACAACTTGTTTTCCGTACCCACCAAGGAAAACGGCGAACCAGATGTCGATACCGCCTGGGACTACATCCAAACTTGGAAATTAATGCTGGACCTCCCTTCAACCGGTCTCACCAGAGCGGTGGGTGTTTCCAACTGTTCCGTTAAACAGTTGCAAACCTTGATCGACGTTTCCAAGAAGGTTCCAGTTGCCAATCAAGTTGAAATTCACCCTCTATTGCCACAAGACGAACTTTACGAATTTTGCCACAAGCATAAGATTTTGTTGGAAGCCTATTCGCCTTTGGGCTCCCAGGGCTCTCCACTGGTGGAGGAACCCGTTGTAAAGGAAATTGCTGAAAAATACAGCATTGACCCCGCTCAAGTTCTGATTAGCTGGAACATTCACAGAGGTATCGCTGTTTTGCCAAAGTCCGTCACTCCATCAAGAATAGAGTCCAACTTCAAGACCGTTGACTTGACCGAAGATGATGTTTCCAAGCTAAATCAAATTCACAAGGAGAAGGGTGAATCTAGAATCAACGACCCTGACTGGTTCTCCTTCGAATAATTATGACCGCATATGTCCCACCGTGTTCTGTGGGGTGATCAATACAGTTTATGATATATTATAAAGTTTATACGAAAAAGCATAATAATTGATTGTCTAGAAGAACTCTCACGAATCCATAATTCTGTTGTATTTCAGTTTCACCCACTGAAGTACTGTTTGTCATTTCGTATACGAACTTAACTTTAAGTGTGGTTGACTGATCACGACCGGAGCATTCTATACTCAGTATACCCCTCAGTATACCCCATCACGCACGGCTGCCAATGCTTTCATTTCAACAGGTTATCGACTACACACAAAGCACTTTAAGAACAATGCCTCCCGGCTACTTACCCAGATGGCTTTTGTTCATTTCTGTGGTCTCCGTTTTCAATTCGCTTCAAACCTACTTTTCAGGTCTAACGCTAACGCGTAGGGTTTACGAACGCAAACCCTCGGAGACGACTAACCTCAGTGCAAGGACATTTGGAACTTGGACTTTCATCAGTAGCGTGATCCGCTTGTATGGAGCTTTATATCTGCAAGAGGAGCACATATATCAGCTTGTCTGTATCTCATATCTGGTGGCCTTATTCCACTTTGGATCAGAGCTGATTGTCTTTCGCACCTGCAAGCTCGGCAAAGGGTTTATGGGGCCTTTGATTGTATCAACTACATCGTTGGCCTGGATGTACACCCAAAAAGAATTTTACACTGGTTCAGGGTGGTGAAAAATTGACCGTGCTGTTAGCAAATTGGCTGATGAAGGTCGCTTGTTCAGTAAAGGTTTAATCGATGTAGCTTCCGGGGCCCTTTCACGAGGACGAATAGTTGGGATCTTTATATTTGCATATGTAAGAGTGCACAATAAAACAGTGACACAGGATTGATTGACAAAAACTGTGTGATGGAAAAGGGCAAAGTACATCCATCATACTAACAAAGAGCTTGCTAAATCACATGTATATGCTGCAGGGTGTCTAGTGAGCGACTCGGGTTGGGTCATTTAATTTCAGAACTTCCACAGCTGGGCCCAGTAGTCTTTGGAACCCACTCTTTCCCAAAGTGGCCACCCTAGTCTTCTTGATGGCTTTTACTGTGGCCTGACGTGGCAAGTCGTTTAGCAAAGCAACCTCTCCAAAGTAGTCGCCTTTCTTCAGATGTGCAATGATGCCCTCACCCTCCTTGGATACCGCAGCTTCACCAACTTCAATAAAATAAAAGTTCTCACCGATGTCACCTTCACGAATGATTATTTGCCCTGGCTGGTATACTTCCGTGTCAAGTGCATCAGCAAGTTTGGCACGGTCGTATGTGGTTAATGATCGGAGAACAGGCATCGACTTCAGCAATTCGTCGTATAGAACCCTCTTCTTGAACGAGCTTCCTAGAAGGATTCTTCTAAACGTCAATCTATCAAGAGCCCATAATACACAGTCAGTGGTAGCTACGACAGTAGCAGCTCTGGGACTATTGTACATCAGTGCAAGTTCACCAAAACTAGATCCAGGGCCGGAAGAATTCACCTTTTCAGAACCAACGAAGAATTCTACGGTACCTTTCTCCACGACGTAGAAGTAGTCACCTTCATCGCCCTGCTTAATGATTTCTTGACCGTTCTTAACAACTTTCTCCTCCAATGAGTTGATCACCAACCGTTTAGACTCCGCATCCAGCTTGTTGAATAGAAAGTTGTGCCCGATGGCCTTCTCTAGCCTCTCTAACTGTAAACCGGACTTTTCAGCGTAGTTTTCAGGAATCCAGTTGTCTAGGTTATCTGGCTTCATAGTTTCTCCGCTCACAGACGTTCTTCTCTGTGCATTAAAGTTCATGGGTAGGGGCCTCGGTGCGACTACTGATCTTCTAGGAGTGTTGGATGGTTGTGGAGATGAGCCAGAGGCTTCTTCTGCGGGGGCCATGGGGTCTAAGGGTTTTTTTATGTTCTTCTCCGTGCTTTGATTCACTCGAAAATCGTTCTTGAAGATACCAGAACCGAACCCTGTGTCTTCCTGCGCATGTCCAGCCTCGTCTGTTGCTGTTGGAGCGGGATCATGCAGTCTCGTGCCATGGGGGTCTGTCGTCTCCGAAAACGAAGCTTTGAAAAGCTGATCCTGGGACTGTGATTGTAGGCCTGCAACGCCGGCACGACCTGAAGCCACCACCGAATCGTTCCTCGTAGCGGAAGGAAACAGCACAATACCTTTGGAAAGGGCTACCGATTCTTGGTTACGAGCGAAGAATCTTTGTTGTTCAAGTCTTCTGTTGAAATAGTTTGCGGCGAACTGGAGCAGATCCTTTGGCTCGTCTTCGTAAACCTTACGCTGAAATAGATTCAGCTCTTCCAATTGACCCGATGATAATGGCATTGGTTCTATTCGTGGTCGATTTGAGATCTTTACTGGCCAATGTACCTAAAGAACAGGTAATGATCTATGCAGTTATGCTCTACAGAAAGGTAACGTAAGGGGTCTCTTATTTAACTTTTATATCGACTACACCGATATCGTCAAGAACGAAACCGTGGAAGAAGAGTGCTTGACCACTCTGGTGAGTAACTCTATGTAGAGATCTAATGTGGACCTCATAGTACGCTGAAGTAGTCTATCTTGATTTTAAAAGTACTAAAATGTATTTACTTTCGTGGCCTTCCGTTTTGAAGGTAGTCCTTCAGACAAGAGTGTGACTTTCGGCATCTTTCCTGACTCACAATTCAAAAAGTGTAAGAGCCCAGGGGCAACATTACTTATCTGCTGTCGTAGTCTCAAACATTCTTATATGGGGCCACTCTTTCTCTGCTCTGGCTAATTTGAAAGCCTCCTCTGAACGATCTAGCAACTCTTCCAATTCTTCAACCAGTAATTCACCATTATCAAGCCCTCGTGAAAAGCCAATGCTCGATTCCTCACTTAGTAACAGCTGCGAAAGTTCCTTCATTAGTTCCTTACTTGACGTCGACGTCTGATGCCCGTGGCCCGGAGTAGTACCTGTGATAAACGATTGGTCGTTTCCAGCAAGTCGCTTGAGATTACTGAATTTGCCCATCTGAATAACCATCTTTTCCAGTCGGCGCTTGCTGGCGGCACGAGTCAGAATTACGTGTTCAACAGTGTTGTCACAGCAAAGGCGGTATACAACAACAGGTTTTTTCTGGCCAATTCGATGTGTTCTGTCCATTGCTTGTAAATCTACTTGCGGGTTCCAATCACTGTCAAAGAGTACAACCGAATCCGCCGCAGTTAAATTGATACCCAGGCCTCCTGCTCTTGTGGAAATGAGAAATATTTTAAATGGCTTCTTATCGTCATTGAATTGATTTATGTGCTTCTGTCGAGTTTCATTGTCCATCGAACCATCAATACGGCATGCTAGAAAATTATTCAGCTCACACCAATCCTCTAAGAGATCTAGCATGGTCACAAATTGACTGAATATTAGAACCTTATGGCCCTTTTGGACCAATCGCGGAACCAGCTGTTGTAAGATTTGAAGCTTCCCGGAAGATCGCAGAAGAAAGTCGAGCGTTAGCTGATCCGGATCAATCAGTGGGAAGAAAAATAGTACCGTGGAGTCCACGATTTGTCGCAGTTGAATCATGGAATTTTGAAGTTTTTTATGCAAAAGTTGCCGATGAATGTGATCACAATAAAGCTTGTTCATCTGAGCGATAATGGGCTTGTCTGTAGGAATTTCCGTGTCCCCACTTGCTTTCCATATCAAAAAGTCGCGTATTGTCTTGTTACTGACTTGCCCGATGTGATCTTGATTCAACGTGTAAAAATCCTTCACTGCTTGTTTGAAAACAGTCTGCTTCAGCTTGCTGTTCAAAGCAGACTTATAGAATTTTTGTTGTAATGGTGAAAGAGGACAGTTGACAATATACTCTCGCTTTGCTGGTAGACTTTTGGCCAATACAACATTTTTCAATCTTCTTAGAAGAAAGGGTTTTAAGATCGTATGCAAGTTAGAGATCAAGTTCTTCTCAAGTTCATCATTTATAAGCTTATTGAAGCCTTCTGAAGAACTCTGTAAGTCTAAATGACTAAAGTCAAACCATTTATGAAAAATCTCAAAGTCTGCAAAAATATCAGGCAATATAAAGTTCAGAAGAGACCAAAGTTCACTAAGGTTATTTTGTAAGGGCGTTCCTGTTAGAAGAAGGCGATTAGATGTATTTATTCGCTTCAGTTCTTGTATCAATTTGCAGTTGATATTCTTGATCCTATGTCCTTCGTCGACAATCAAAAACTTCCAGTGGTACGATAAGATCAGATCAATGTCTCTTATAATCATTTCATAAGACGTCACGATCACACCTTCTCCCTTGGTATGTTTGAAAAACGTTTTGATTTTTGAAACCCGCTTTTGTTGTCCTTGTGAGTCGTAGTATTTCAAAACCTGAATGTCTGGTGCGAATCTCCTGAATTCGCTTACCCATGTGTCAACAGTGCTGAGGGGAGCTGCTATCAAGAAGGGTCCCTTGGTGTCCATCTCAGTGATAAACGCAAATAATGCTATACTTTGGAGTGTTTTGCCTAAACCCATTTCGTCCGCGAGAATCCCGTTCAGTCCATTTTCATAGAGCGTGATGAGCCAATTAACGCCTTCGAGTTGGTAAGACTTGAGTGTACAGTTACGAAGAAGAGACGGCTGTCTATGTGTGAATTGAACTTCCTGGGCCGGGGCCTCATTCGCTTTTTCAGATTTCTTACCAAAAAAGTCAGTTATCTTTTTCCGCTTTTTAGCAGGTCTTTCGGACTTGCCAGAGTCGTCCTGTTGAGGTCGTTCCTGCGACTTATTCAATAGCGTATCTGCAATGATTCCAGAGTAGACTTGACTTTGCTTCACGAACTCTTGGAGTTTGTTGAGCTTTAACGAAATACTAGCGTCATCTATCCCGTTCCCTGTCTCTTCTTTTCTCTCACCTTCTTTATTCTCTTGTACTTTAGCCAATTTGGCATCGATAAGCTGGTTGAGCTGGACGTCATTGGCATCCTCGTCAGAACTAAGGTCAACGTCGTGCTCGTCATCAGCTAGCTCATCCGAAAGCCAAACCGGCTCCTCATTTTGCTCCTCGCTAGATGAATCAGAATCCCATACGTCTGCTTCTAGGTTAGACTCCTGTTTTTCACGATAATTGATTTGTGCGTCCTGGGTTCGTGATCGCGTAGTTCGTGTGGATACCATCTATGTTGCTTGATCAATGAAGCTTAAAGATCTGGCCTTACTCCAGTTCAGCCGTTACGGACGAAAATTAAGAGAAATTTCACTTACTATTAATCTCAAACGACTTGTTTGAGCGTCCACAAGTGCCAATACGCTCAGTAACTAATCTCTTCTTGGTTAAATTGCCTCTGCTCCCTATTCAATCGTTCGGTATGCCGTATAATTGGTCCTGATCAGAGCATAAAAGAATGGAAAGAAAGATGTTATGCTCACTTCTAGTTAGACCAAATGACAGTTTGAATAGATGTCAGTTAATGCTGAGAATTTTGGTTTTTATGTTTCCATTATTATGAGCTTTTATTCTTGGATTGAGTTTTTATTCAAATTGAAATTGTTCATAGTAAACACCATCTGCAACGCTGGACAAAACTGTTAAAACCCAGCCATGGCAGAGTCACAGGAGACTCCTCAGGCAATCGAGCATAGTGCCAGTGCCCCTCTTTTACCCCATTTACAACAGCAGCAACAACAGCAGCAAGAACACTCCAAAATAGACTATGAGCAGGAGGCGAAAAAACTCGAAGACAAAGCAGTTCGATTTCTTGCTAAACAGGCCCATCCGGTGATCATACCTTCTTTCTCTACCTGGTTTTCATTTAGTGAGGTACACGAGATTGAGCGCCGTATGCTGCCCGATTTTTTTGACGAATCATCGCGTTTTAAGACGGAGAAGGCGTACCGTGATGTCCGGAACTTCATGATCAACACATACCGGCTATCTTCTTATGAATACCTCACCGTGACAGCAGTGAGACGCAATATTGCTATGGACGTTGCCTCAATTGTTAGAATTCATTCGTTTCTTGAGCAATGGGGGCTTATCAACTACCAAGTAGACCCTAGATCCAAGCCATCCATGCTTGGTCCTAGCTTTACCGGTCACTTCCAACTTGTTCTTGATACACCACAGGGTTTGAAACCGTTTGTCCCAACGCAGGTCGTCAAGACTGAAGTAGACCAGCTAGACGACTCTACGAACACTGTTGCCAAGAGTCCAGCCGACGGCGGGGATTCTGCTGTCAAAGTCGATTCTGAACAGCCCGCCAGCGAACAGCATGCTGAGAAGCTCGCTGGAGAGACTCAAGCCGGCTCGGATGGGATAACGTCTACAACTGATCCGAATACTGCCAGTCCAGCAAACCCCACTTCTGAGGCTGCTTCCCCGGAGTTTCCTGGAAAGCAAGAGAAGAATTTTGAGTTCATACAGCCAGAGAAGTTTCCGGTTAATCTGTCGCTGAGGAAAAACGTGTATTCCAATACCCAAAACTTCAATTCGTTACAGACTGACGCTCAGCAATCTAAACAGATTAATCGAACCTACATTTGTCACACCTGCAATAACGATTGTGTTGGAGTTCGCTATCATAACCTCAGATCCAGAGATACAAATATATGCTCTCGGTGTTTCCAGGAAGGTCACTTCAGTGCCCATTTTTCTTCTTCTGACTTTTTGCGTTTGGAAAACCAGTCTCAAACTAAGAAACAATGGTCAGATCAAGAAGTTCTTTTGTTGCTTGAGGGTATAGAAATGTATGAGGATCAATGGGATCGGATTGTTGATCACATTGGAGGTACTAAGTCTCTTGAAGCATGCGTTGAAAAGTTCCTATCCTTACCGATTGAGGATAAGTACATTGACGAAGTAACGCCGGCACCAAAGTCACAGATCTCGGGTAAAATTGCGCCCCAAGTGACCGAGGCTGTGGATGCCGCCGTACAGGCTCTATTGAAAGGTCTAAATGAGAATATCTTAAAGGAATCGGTTCCAAAAACTGCAAATCAGATCTCCAACAAGTATTTACAAGAAGCACAGCTAATCGTCCAAGATTTAGTAAAGCTCAACTTGGAAAAAGTGAACCTCAATTTCCAGAAACTCAACGCAATAGAAGTTACTTTAAATGAGGAGAAACAGAGGTTTATCAAGGAATCAGAAAGGTTGATAAGTGAACGCCAGTCTTTGAGTAAACAGGTCACAGAATTGAATGAGGAACTTTCTAAAATGAATGTTTCTAAAAAACTCATCATGTTATCGGAACAAGCAGATTCAGGCGTAAAGTTAGTTGAAAAAGATGAAGAGACTCAAAATAAAAACAGGCTTGTGAAGAACGTTGATGAGCTACACAGCGTATCACAGGTTGAACCCCAGCACTATAAAGCTTGGTCACTGACTTAAGAAGATACAAAGTTATGAAGTTTTTGAGCTAATGGTTACGCGAGGCCTGCTAGCTTAAAATACCCAGTTGCGTTGTAATTTTCAAAGGGCACCATTGTTTGAGCCAGCTGGGCTATAAGAATTTTTTCATTTTGAATGTACCAATGGCATCAGAAGTTAATACGAACTAGCGATCTCCCGGTAGAAGCATATTTGTGGAATCAGTATGTATGCATTGAAATTCGTGAGTGGAGGATCTAGCGTGTCACCTGTTCGAAACTCTCGAGCGAGTTGCAACATTATGCTGAGCTTAGTATTGTAATGTATAAAGATGTATTGAGGTAGTTATCAATATGCCTGTATCAGTCTATTTGAGTTCCGAGCTCAATTTTGAGAGCCCGTAGTCATTGTGAAACAGATCACCGGTGCTTTACTATCTTTCGATGTACCTATTGTCGTTGGTCATTCGATTGATTATATTTATTGGTTTGAATTGGTTTAATCAATCAGCACTTCCTTCAATTGCCTCCGGTTCATCCGACAAAAATCGCCACGACCAAACGACACTTCTGGGTAGTGGAATCATAGTTCACACCTCCTGCACTCTAGTGGACCGATGCTTTAAGAATGTCAGACATGGTTATAACGCTCGCGCACTTCTGCGATAAGCATGGGCCGAGGGCGCTCTTAGGAACTCAATGTGCCGAAGACGGGGATGCTTTGCTTCTGCCTGATTATCCAACGGAAGCGTTCTGTGCCTCCTGCTCCATGCATTTTCCGGGAGGCGACACATGTACCAGATCCATGCGCACTCGACTAAACTCTATGGACTATGTGTCAACTAACTATCCCGCAATTCGATACCAGCTACTGTCAACTGTGATTCGCCATATGTTCTCAGAAGAAACAATGACCTACGATTGCGCTCCACTGACTTTCTTTGACCAATCCAAGGGCCTGAACCTTGTGATGGGCTTCAAGCTTCCCGACGCAGATGCTCGAGGGGATGAAAGGCGCTACGCTATTTTACTCACCATCGACAGTCGAGACCAAGTAGCATCCATGGAGATTCTCAGTAAGCATTGGGAATTTATCACGAACAGCTTCAAGCGAGTAATTGATCATATCAAGCAAAAGCGTGAGACGGAGGTACGACGTAACGCCAAGAACTATTCAGGACAGTTCACTCCAATGGTGGGTACTTACCTGAAAGGCAATAAGTCAAAAGTCCCCCAAAACCTTGTGCAGCTCACGCATGATGACTTATTGTTCGTAAGGCTACACAAGTGGAATACCTTCATGCTTCACCAGCTCAACTCTCTCGAGTGACTATTTGATTAATTTACATACATAATCTGAAAACGCTAGCACCTAAACGCTCAATTTAACCTGCTCATCAGTGATCTTGCTTTGGAATGGAGCCAAAGCATTGGCAACATCCACTTCAATGAATTTGACAACTTGCTGTGGAGCCCTACCGACAAATGTGGATGGTTCTAGCAAAGAGTCTAACTCGTTCCAGATAGGCTCGAAGAATTGATCATTCTTAATACGTTCTATTAGATCGTTGTCCCCACCTTGCTCCTTGACGACAGCCGCAGCTTGGTGAGACAACACGCGGATGGCTTCATGAACCTCCTGTCTAGAGGCACCTTTTCCAACCATAGCCATGATGATGTTTTCCGTAGCCATAAATGGAAGCTCACTCATAATTCTTCTTTCAATAACCTTTGGATAGACAACTAGGCCGGAAGAAATATTGAGTAAAGTAGATAACAAAATATCGGCAGTAAGGAAAGCACTTGGCAATGAAATTCTTCTGATAGCAGAGTCGTCCAGCGTTCTCTCAAACCACTGGACAGAGGCGGTTTGGACGGCATCGTTGAACAATGATCCTAAGTGTCTGGCCAAAGAACACACACGCTCACAACGCATTGGGTTTCTCTTATAGGCCATTGCGGACGAGCCAATCTGGGACTTCTCAAAAGGCTCTTCGATCTCTTTCAGATTAGCCAGCAATCTGATATCAGTGGCCATCTTGTGAGCAGTAGCAGCAAATGAGGACAAAGGCGACAAAACGTCGATGTCGATTTTTCTGGAGTAAGTTTGACCGGTGACTGGATAGACAGTTTCAAAACCAAGTAGCTCCGTAACTCTCTTGTCTAAGGCTTCAACTTTGTCGTGGTCTCCGTGGAAAAGGGCCAAGAACGAAGCCTGGGTACCAGTAGTACCCTTAACACCACGCAAACCGAGATCATTTCTGGCTCTAACGAAGTTTCTCAAATCCCACAGCAATTCCTGGATCCAAAGGGTTGCCCTCTTACCCAAAGTGGTTAGCTGAGCAGGCTGGAAGTGGGTCCAGCCCAAGACTGGCAAGTCTTTCCATTCAGCAGCAAACTTGGCTAGCCTGTCGATCACATTAACCAGCTTAGGGATAAGCACGTCGTACGCATCTCTTAGAAAGATCAAATCCGCATTGTCAGTGACGAAGCACGACGTAGCACCCAGGTGAATGATACCGGCTGCCGATGGACAGGTCTGGCCAAAAGCGTGAACATGGGCCATGACGTCGTGCCTGACGATGGCCTCTTGCTTGGAGGCCTCCGCAATGTCCTCGTCAGTTATTTTCAAGTTTGCGCTCATTTCTGCAATCGCTTCATCCGTGATCACGGATAGGCCTAGTTCCTTCTCGGCAATCGCCAGGTTCAACCACAGCTTCCTCCAGGTTGAGAAACGGTTTCTCAATGAGAAAATAGATGACATTTCTTCGGAAGCATAACGGGATGATAGAGGAGTAGTGTATTTGTCAAAATCAGACATCTTGTTCGGTATAATTGTGGTTGGAGGTTATCGGTTTGTTACAAAGTGTGAATTGCTGGATAAGAGGTGTTCGGCCTTTGGTTTAATATAGGGCTAAATTTTAGGTTTTTCCTCATCTAATTCCATTAATTTTTTATCATGACTTCTGCACAGCAAGCGAAAAAAATAATAAAGGCGTGCGGAAGCTCATCGGTCAATTTAAGAGAGAAGTCAATATAATTCGAAGAATGGTAATAATCAAAGCTGGTAGTGAATCCTAATCGTTAGCCCCCTTTGAAAGGCAACGAGATTGAAAAAGAAGACCGCTGGATCAACATTTCATAGTTTCATAGCTTGTAGATGAAAAAAACACTGCATGTAGCGTAACCATATGGTGGCTTGTGCGTGATGGTCCTTTATCTTACTGCTCCACAGTCTGTTGTTGAGCCAACTTGAAGGCCATGTACGAGGCAGACGGTCTGAGACCCAGAGGAAAGGTTCCTGGTAGCGCGGAGTCCTCGTCCTCGGAGTCGTCATCGGCAGGGTTGTTGCTGTTGAAGTTGTTAACCGATGAGTTATTGTCCTCCTGATCGTCATTCATGTAATCATTGTCCTCGGCATCCACCTCTTCGTATTCCATTCTCCGTTTTTTGAACCACCGGTTCAGAGGGAGGTCAGTGATCTCGTTCTTTGAATTTAACAGACGCTCGGAAATCGCTACACTAGGTCCCCGGAACCACAACACTTCGCCCTTGCCACGTTTGCGCTTGGGTGGCAGCTGGTCTTTGGGTAGTCTTCTAGACTGAGAGCCGTAATCGCTGCGTTGCAACAGTTCAACATTCTTGGAAATCTGTAAGGGCAGAACGTAGGCCAAAGGCATGTCTGTCGATATTGTGCCCAGAACAGAATTATTGGTGCGAGCCTGGGCGGCCAAGCTGTTGATGATGGTTGGAGGTTGGTAGGCTGGCAGCTTGGGGGCTTGTGAACTCAATTTGATGGTCTGCGTTGGTGCTAGCGTGTTAACATTTGAAACTAAGGGGGTCTGCTGCATTGTCACAGGGCCAGTACTCGCTGACGAGACCTGACCCGGTGGAAAGTACTGTGACGATTTCATAGTTGGAGGGTTGTACACGGCAGTGTTCGTCTGTCGCATGCTGGACAAACCAGTCCCACTCCTACTTTTTGTCAGTGAAGCCAACCGTGTGGTTGAAGGGCTAGTTACTCCCTTGGGAAGGGTTGTAGTAGTTTGCGTGTTCGTCACTAACGTTCCGGTCTCCATGTCTACCTTTCCGTGTTCAACTGGATCTCCAGGCCTAATGATATAGCGAGGACAATCATCTGATGTGGAATATTCGCCCAGATCATCCTTTCTGACCTTGGGTCTCAAATAAACGGCTCCAACAAGAGGCGGTGCATTCACTGCCCCTTCAGTTGGCATCGGAATGCGATCGTTGACCGTAGCATTGGGTGACAGTAGGTGTTTTATAGGAGAATCGTATTTGAAGAACTTTCTGCCAAGTACAGGTATTGTAGCCTCTTCCACGTCCCGAATCTCTTCAGGCAAGCATCCTTTCCATGTACGAATTTTATTGAACACCTTTTCACTTTCATTGTATCTGAACTCACACACAAATAGTGGGCCTTCAATCTCCAAGTCTGGATCTCCACGTTGGAATCGAGTGAAATGACAAACGTAACACTTGCCCACAATTTCGTCCACAAGATGGTCCCTATACTGACCAGATTTGACTACTTCATTCTTGTAGAAAAGGCGGTCCACTCTGTGTACAGTCTGCTCAGGTCTTAGATACCAACACGCGTTCAACCAACGTCTACCATCAGAGGTGTGCCATAGCCTAAAAATTTGGGCTATTGTTGGCTTGGCGGAATCGTTGGAATTGTGGATCAAAATCCAATCACCTATTTTGTACGTTGTCCCATTGAGTTCAACCTCATTTAGTGGATACTTCAGTTCTCCATCTGTCATGTACTGCTCATCGGACCTTGATAACTCGTGTTTCGCCAGTTCGCTAAAACGCTTGTCAAGTTCAGAAGCACGCCTCAATTCAGTAGGTTGTGATCTATGATAGAGCTGATAATTGGTTATAGCTAATCTGAAATCTTGCTGGAAAGATTGGAAGGTTTTATATTTTCTTTGCTTAACCTTTTTTCTAATATCATCGATCGAAATAGGGTTGGAAATTAGTGAGTAATATTGAGGCTCGCGCTCCTCATCGGGTAGTCGATCTAAGGCAGCGGTAATGTTCTCACCACGCTCATTAGTGTCTTTTTTTAAAACCTTCAAGACATTTTTGATTCGCTGCTCATACGGCAAGTCAATTACTGGAGGTCTACCGCGTCTCATATGGGTCTTTTGTTGTTGATGTCTTTGGTATAGTGGTGAAGGTGTCATAGAGTGCGAAGGTGGGGCAAGCGATCCAGGACCAGGAGATTGAGCAACGGGTGGAATTCGGATCTTTGGTAATGGTTTCTTGCGCTCTGTATACTCGTCGTCCAGATCGTCTTCTTCCTCGTCATTCGACGCATTGAGAGTCTCAGAGTCACTGTTGTTGTTGGTGTTTGTACCACTTTGATCGCCACCAGTTGGAATATCGGAAACGTTTTGATCCCTGTGCTCGCGAGCCATGGCTTCAATCTCATCGGGCAGAGGACCTAAATTGGGGTACATTACACCTGGGTAGTCATTGCGCAAATCAGGGATTACTGTGTCCCTGATATAAGAATCGAAAATGGTCGCATAGGTATAAATGTCCGACTGCTTTGTATTGTAGGTCCTCGCATTCCAGGTTATTTGGGCCAAATCCTGAATAAATTCTTGTGGGTTAGTGTAGTGGTTATTGAGCCTCTTCTTGACAGTACTCAAAGACATTGGATGATGAATCAATCTATAGTAATCGGGGTAATCCTTTCTAGGTGGAAGGATTTGGAAAATTGGATATATTTCTAGCCCGCTCGGCTCTTTTAGAGTCATGATTTCATCGTAGAACGGCTTAAGCCGCTTTTGAACCGCCTTCTTTTCTTCTGTCATCTCTCAGTGCTACTTTTGAAGATAATCAAGGAAATTCGTTGGTTTGAATCGGTTAATGGTTGTAGCCCTTGCCAGAGAGAGTAGATGGTTTTACCGTGAAGGAAGTAAATGTGTAAACATTTAATTCAGTTACTTACGTGTGTAGTGATTAGTATATTGAGTTAGGGCAATCTGTTGACGAGTTTACTCTGTGCTACCACAAGCCTGCTTCATCTCCCATACATTGTTGATGGTTTCGATGTCTCTTCAATAATCTTGCGGATCCTTGGATATTATAAAAAACGTAACGAATTCTTCATTTTTTGTGCTGAAATGTGTAAGGAGTCGTAGCCACGGGTTGGGTTTGTATTTAAAGTGATTCGAACGTCTGAACTAAATTTCGAAAGACCAGGGGAAGCCTTATAGTCCCGCTATTTTTCTCAGTCAGAATGGGTATATGGCAGCTCCACATATATAGTCTTTAATGTGACAGAATGCCATACTCGACTTATGCAACCCATATGTATACCTTAATTCGCCATTATTGTTGAAATCCTTGATTAGTAACACAGACAAAGAGGATCAAAGTTAAAGAGACGCCGTGACTAGTATGGGCGAGAATGCAAAGGTAATGGCCCCTGTTATCGATTGAAATGTCGAGAGTAGGTTTTATTTTCAATTGGTGGATAGCGTTTATACCAGTCTTTGACTAACCAAGGATATTGAGTGTCTGTCGCAGTACATTCAAATTGAAAATAATTTATTTGTATTTGCGAGGAGGGCAATAGCGAAGAAAGTTTTGTTTGGGCCGTTAACCAGCCCGTCCTTGACGAGCCCTAGGCTGGCTGTGCTTACCAGAGGAATCCAATTGATGATCCTCAGCTAAATATTCTACTGGCTGAGAACCTCCTAAAAGTCTCAATTTCTCGACATTTTGGATTTTTTTAGATCGCTTGTCTCCTGTCGCCGGCTTTGGTGCTCCACAGCTCTCAAACAAAAAAATCTACAGCAGTCTTCTTCACCCGCTTTCGAGGCGTTCATACGTGGCTATTCGCCCATACTGAGACCCTCATAATATAGGAAACACGTCAACTCAACCCCCCTATGTGGCACGTTAATCGCAGGACAATTGTCCGTAAAATGGCTCCCGGGCCTTTGATTAGTTGCTATATGGCATCAATCCTCTGGGCCGAGGTGATCCAATCAACTCCACCTCATAGCATTTCGTGACAACGACCACAACAATTTTAAGTGCTCTTGCCTACCCATCTCTAGCCAAAGTAGTGGCTGACGCGCCCAATGGTCTAACTCTTACGTCTCAAAACCTGCTGATCTCGATGGCAAAGAGGTACTCAAAACATGAACTCAGATACGAAGATTGTGCGGTTAAGAGTGGATATCAAATGATGGTGAACCAAAGTCAAGGCGATTTTTGACTCATGAAAAGGATTGAACTTGGACTAAATATGTGTGCTCTTGGTATTATCGACCTTATGAAAAGGAAGTCACATTTCACGTTATCAGCACTACTTCAGCACTGCAAGATCATGCCCATAAGCAATACTTCTCGAACCTGCTGCTACCTCTGCCGTAGCCTTACTTATGGATTTTGATGAACAACAACTCAAGACTTTCCAGCATTACCTTTCCAATGCCAAAAAAGTACTCTGTATAGTCGGAGCGGGCATGTCTGCTAGTTCGGGCATCCCCACATATCAATGGCAACGAGGCTTGTGGCGTGGCTACACGTCCCTCGATGTTGCCACACCAGAGGCATTTCAGAACGATCCTGGGCTAGTTTGGCTTTTTTACTCTAGCAGGCGTCTTCAGGCGCTACGAGCGAGGCCCAATAGGGGACATTTCGCACTCGCGGAGTTGTGCCGTCGGTTTCCTAGCGGGATTGCAGGTAAAGCTGACAATAAAACAGACAGCGTACGCCAGGCGCCTCAACTTTCACCTAAGAATGTACTCGTGGTGTCTCAAAATGTTGACGGACTTCATCAAAGGGCTAGTCATCCAGAAAATTCTTTAGTAGAGCTTCACGGCAACGTTTTTGGACTCAGGTGCACGCAATTCTTCTGCAACTATAGCTCGAGGAATAACAGAGACCGATATTTGACCTCTGCTCTGCGAGCACACACTCCGGTAGACGTACCGCGCAAGAAACGGCTGCGAAAGTCGTCTGAAGATGAGGAGTCGGTCAAAGGCGGCAAAAAAAGGTTATTGGAAGAAAACCGATTTCAGACAGGCAATGTTGACCCAGGGGCACAAAGTGATTCTACAGATAGCACTGAATATCCTTCTCTGCCGACACTAGGGGCAGCTGATCTCCCAATTTGCCCTGCATGTCACCAGGGCATCCTGCGACCGGCTGTAGTTTGGTTTGGCGAGTCTTTGCCATTAACGCAAATGGACGAAGTGGATCGGTTTTTTAACGTAGGTGGTCCAGTCGATTTGGTGCTGGTAATTGGCTCGTCAGGTAAAGTGTGGCCGGCCATGGGTTACGTCGAGCGCGCCAAGAAAACTGGCAGCAAGGTAGCCATTTTCAACACACTTATTGATGACCTTGATGAAGTTCGCAAGGCTAAGGATATTTGGGGATTTCAGGGAGATGCTGCAAAAATACTGCCGAAAGCGCTTAAACCGCTCATAGGTGAACATTACTTACCTCGAGATTGGCGAAAACGCTAATTTATCTGATGTCGATACTCCTGTTATTAATCTAATACAATCTGCACATTACACTAACCTAATATTCTATCGTAAACCCTTATCCACTTAAATAGTCTGATTCACCCGCCACAGTCTTTCCAGACCGGGTGTTCTCAATGAATATACTCTCATTGGTGACGTCTTGGACCGAGAGCGGCTTCTTGACGATCTTCTTTCTCCAAAATCCATCTTCCCCGAGAATCTCGACTGCCTCAAGCTCATAACCGCCAAATTTAGGAAGAATTCGAGACCATACCAACCAGTAGATTGCCCCAACGGCAAATACGCCCCACGTCACAACACAGTGCGTCCAGTATGGCATTGAAGTGTAAACGGCATCGCTATCGTTGGTTGGTGGCACATATGGGGCAGCAACAAGATAAAGATTGGACAACATGAAAAATGTCGTGACAAAAACACCGGCCTTGATCGGAGGGTTCCATTCGACTTTATTTTGGCGTCTTTGCCAATATATCCACAAAAGACCAGAACTTATAGCCAGGTTTATGATGTTGAGAGGATAAGAGATCAAATTCAAAATAAAGTTGTAAGCGTCACCTGGGGGAGGTGCTATAATGGTAACCACACAGACAATAAAGTGCTGGAAAAGACCAACCAATGGGGAGTTGAACGGCTTTGAAGTAGCGAAGAAGCTTGAGAATGGAAGGACACCTTCACGGCCGAGCTGTTGGACAATTCTTCCTTGAGCAAAAATGACCGACATAACATTACCCACAGCACTTAAGCCAACGATGGCGGAAGCGGCCTTTTTGGCGTGTCCGCCAAAAACAATGTCGAAAAAATCAGCAGCCAAGATCAGTTTAGAAGACACCAGTTTTTCTTTGGGAACAACGGCGAAATAGGCGATGTTGACGAAAATGTAAATGATAGCCAAAAAGATGACAGAGACGGGACCGGCAATTTTTAGTGTTCTCACTGGGTTCTTAACTTCACCCAAGGCATAATTAACATTTGAATAGCCAATAAAGGACCAAATGACGTTGTAGAGAGCGTTGACTACGCCATAGGCCGTCGCATTAGTGGTACCTTCAAACGCGTTGGAAAAATTGTCGGTCCTCAAGTTCTTGTTACCCAAAGCAACCCATCCAGTCACAGTGATGAACAGCACAATAACAATCTTAAAAATCCCGAGTATATTTTGAATGTAAATGCCCAGTTTGACGTTGATCGCGTTGATGAGGAAACAGAATGACAATACGCCCAATGCCAGTCCCCTTTGGTTCCAAGTGGTGACTTCCACATCCGCAGCTGTCAGGAACATGACGGCGGCATTGACGGAGTTACTAGCGGCCCACCCGAGAAAAAACACGTACGAGGCATACATTGACGTGACGAAAAAGCGGGGCGTCTTGAAGATATACTCGAGGTAATTCTTTTCACCTCCATTACGAGGAATATTACTTCCAAATTCCAAGTACACAAAAAGGCCCGCCAGGGCAATGATTGCACCGGCGACCCACATGATGAGGGCAAGCCCGATCGATCCGCTCAGTGTGTAGATGGTCGACGAAACTGCAAATATACCAGCACCCAGCATACGATTGCAGATGAGCCCGATGGAGGAGAAAAGTCCCAGCCGTTTTGAACCTTGGTCCAGTTCCGCAACATAATACTCGTCCCCCGGAGCGGAGTTTTCCGGTGTTTCACCGCGCTGCGTGGAGGTCTGCACTCTGTGCTTCAGCTGTGATATTAAACCTGACATTATTCACCGCTTGGACTTGAATCTTTCTGACCTTTTGGAACTCCTAGACCGCTTACCTTTAACACTGGGGTTTTTATACCAGTATGCAGTAGTCAATACCACCTTTACCGGGACTCAAGTCTTGGCAAGTGTGGCATTGTAGAAGACTTTTTTGGCACCGCTCATCCCAAACCCACTCTGCGAAGCCGCTGGAGCCATTCCGCTGGAGACAAGCTATGCTTTTGCCCTAATAGTGCACACACATTCAGACTGTAAGGCGCTGGCCATCTCTTGGCGGAAAAGTATATTGAAAAGAGCCGCAAGCCGATGGATAAAAAGAACCGTGAGGGTCCTATTTTATGACTTAAAGTTGTTCTTGCATAAAACAGTACGACTGTTTCTGACAGAGAAGATGCCATGCCCATTCAGTTGCCATGTGAGGAAAGATCTTCGGCATCTAAAGACAGTGCCGCGCTTTAAGCAGTGTGGCTTCCTTCACACGAAGTACTCAAGGAAGTACTTCTTCATGTACTCATGGACTAGGTCTAAGACGTCAAACGAGAGCATGTGGCCCCAGGCGACGCCGGTGTCAACATATGGCTCCAGTATTGGGCACACATATACACATGAGTTAAAATGCAAGATCTTGGATCGAAATTCGGTTGTCGCGGCCTTAATCGTAGAAGCGTCTATATTTCAAACGGAGAAATTACCTTGCATGCGTCCTGCCCTTGCATGTTTGGCAACAATCGTAGGTTGGGCTGGGATATGAACCTGAAGGACAAAATTGTGTGTCTCTGATGAAGGGATTTATTAGATAGAAAATGCACTCGCATTCACACTCGGCGTGAGCTGGGTGGTATAGGGTGATCGACACGAAAAGGTTCCTCGTGGCAAGGTGAGAGGAGGCAGAAATCGTGATCGGTATCAAGCCCGTGACCGCTCACTGAAGTGTGTCAAAGCGGCTTCATTTGTTAACATCACATATGCCAGATGGAAACGTAACAACCAACCACGAAATAGCAGAGCCAAATGTAAGCAACACATATGGACTAGCTATCCAATAGAGCAGTTCAACCCCCCTTCTTGGCCTTTTGGCTGTCTCGTACCATCAAAATTGATTTACATAGATCAATCATGCGCCAACGCGACGATATGTGGTTCCTCGTCCTTTTAGGTCCACCGTTCACCTTAGCAAAGGACTCTGCGCAACAAAACCCCAGAACTCTCAGCGTTACCTTTAACAAGCGCTAACGTGATGTCAGAGGCGCAAGTGTGTTGTTTGTTTCGATTCTTTGTTGTTCGTGAAGGTTGGCGCTTAATTTAAGATGAATATATGAATATAACTAATTATTACATATTCCCGGTTAAGCCTAAGAATGCCAGACTCTTGAAAAGGCGCTATAGGTCGCGTGCACTACCCCTGCCAGCAGATTGGACGTGCTCTAGCATGAAGTTGATCGACTTGAACAAGCAGTAACATCCACAAAAGGACCTTTAACTTCAGGGCCAAAAGTAGACGGCGAGGCCAAACAACTTAACTTTTATTGCCACAGATTGTATTCTACAGAAAGCTTTCTTCTCTAAGCGACCACCATAGTTGAGCCTGGCAGGATGCTACAAGGTAGGAAGAATGATCACAACTTTGTAAGCAAAAAGAACAGTGCAGAAAAGACTAACAGCTACCTGTTAAAGAACTATGAGCCGATTCATGCGTTGAGACTGCCCATATCGAATGCTTTTGTGTAGTAATCAGTTTACTTTGGTCAAGCTGTAAGGTGGGACCGGGTTCCCATGGATCCTTGTTTTTATCTTACCCCATGGGCTGGCTACTAAGATGAATTGATATTTAACGAATCAAAGTCACAAGAGACACCAAACCACCAAGATAAATAAAACTAAATGTAAGACGAGCCTGTCCCACGGGTGGTAAGTGGCGTAGATTCGATCATGAAACAGCTTTCCTGAGCAGGATTTACACCTTCATACCCGCGGCACCGACTTTTCCTCCCAAACGATCAACTAGTTCCCAAAACAAAATGCACAATAGCTAAGTTTCAAGCTCAGGGCCCTTAACTAATTCCTCATTCAGCAAAGCAGAATATTCATCCTTATTTAAGATTTCCTCATCGATACCGTCCCTCAACTTGCCCATTGTCCTTTCCTGAAAGGGCAATCTGGCCTTAGCGCCGGTTTCTTGAAACTGTACCTGAAATCTACGAGATGCCCAGAACTCAAACCTCATTGATGGAAGGGTGCTACTCTGAAGATTATGGGAAGCTATAAAAGTGGGACCCACAGTGATGCGATCCAAGTTACTTAAGACCTCTCAATTTCATTGCTATCATTAGCTGTGGTTTAGTTATCTGTATCTTATCATTATTTTTCAACTGCAATGTCCCCATCTCGTTGGAATTCCCAAGACGTGATGGTCGTTTTCCAGTCTCTGTCTGGTGACCAGGTAGGGGTCAGCGCACAGCAACTGCAGGGTGTCGTGGACAGTCGGATCACACAAGGTGTCATCTTTGGAACCAGGATTGGTGCAGCTGTGATCACCATTGTCATCCTCATGATGGTGTCCAAAAACCGTAAAACTCCCATTTTCATCAGCAATCAAATCTCATTGTTGCTCGTGGTCATACAATCAGCTCTATACCTCGGGTACCTTTTCAGTCCCTTTGCTTCGATTAGTTTTACGATTGCGCTACTACCAAACAACATTCCGAAGTCTGACATACATCTGTTTGCAGCAGCCAACATCTTTCAAGTGTTACTGGTTGCCGCTATTGAGGCTTCCTTGATCCTGCAGGTTCGCATTATTTTCAAGAGTGACACACTAAAGGCCTTAGCTCGAGCGTTGGTGGGTTTTTCTTCCGCACTCGCGGCAGCAACTGTAGCTGTTTATCTGGTATCAGCGATCAAATCCATCTCGGCAATTTATGCCAGTGCCGAAGCTCTGCCGGATACAGTATTCTTTAATGTGGGGGTTATTCTTCAGTCATCATCAATCAATTTCATGACACTTCTGTTAACTATCAAATTGGCTCTGGCTGTGAGGTCTAGAAGGTTTTTGGGTCTGAAGCAGTTCGATAGCTTTCATATTTTGGCTATTATGTCTTTCCAGACCCTAATATTTCCCAGTTTGCTGTTTATTTTGGCATACGCATTATCTGGTGTCAAGGGCACCAACTCTTTGAATAGCATTGCAGTCTTACTGGTGACCCTTTCATTACCAATGTCTTCAATGTGGGCAACGTCGGCCAACAATGCAACAAGGCCTTCTTCTTTGAATACCTCCTTCACTCCCTCCATTTACGATGCATGCTCTGCAAAAATGGACGATCGCAGTTTATGCTCGTCCGGGCATGACAGGGCCAACCGACAGGCTTACGAATTGTACCCAATATCTCGGGACAGTAACTTCCGCCAGTGTTACGCATATGATATGCCTGATGGGGAAAAGGCCAATCTCCAATCATTAGCAGCCTCATTGAGTACAGCAGGTGGCAGCCTTTCTTCTGGCAAACCACACCACAAAAATCAGCAGCAAAGTCTGGATCAGCTCGAGCGCGTAATAGAACCTGGCGCTTACACGCCAAATACCCTGGACGATGAAGAAGCGCGTAATTTTTGGTCTGGCACAAAGCCTTGATTTTATGACAATCATGCGGTACAAACTCACTGAGGCCTTTAGCTTGTGTGCGTAGGTTCTTTTTTGACACGCCAAACTGTGGGGCGGAATATATTTAATGTTAGTCTATAAGGCGAGTTGCACTCAAGGATTTTTGTTTATGCTAACTTTTTAGGAACGAATCAAGAGCTCAATCAAATGTCCTCAAAAAAAGCACAGCACTCAATGTGTTGAACAGATGGTGTAGCCAATATAAATTCCTGGTTCCCAAAATAAAGCTGTAAGCGGACATATGTACTAAGCAGCCCATAATAGCTACGCCAACCAGACTTTTAGTTGGTGAAACTGCCGGCATCCGGAACCTAGCATTACTTTCGATAAGCAAAATAATAGGCAAAATGGCAAGGACATTGTGATGCGATTGAAAAGGTGTTTCCCACCTGATCGCAAAGTTGCGCATGAATACCATCACAATAGGCACGTTGATCGGAACGAGAAATATCATCAACATGAGAATTGAATTGTTGAAATTCTTGACGTTGTTACTGGTATGCCGTGAGCGTAAGGTTGATAACTTCAAGCAAAGGAAAGCCTGAACTATAGTCAGGATGATGAATGCAAATTGATAAGGAACGTAGAAAATAACACTGGTGACAATGATGAGGGCACCAATAGCTTGTTTCGTCCTTGAGAAGCGACTTTCAGATTTTTCAGACGACCATATAAAATATCGACCGCCCTTTGCAACCGCCCAGTAAGTGAATGCCTCCAAAGTCGCAATAAGACGATATGTCAGAAAAACTGATGAAATTGTCATCAAGAGGAAAACTGGGCCTAACCACCACATAAACATCTCATCAGTCCCCAGGAAAAGCGCACTGGTTGAGGAAGAGTAGCCCAGGGGGGAGAGAAATTGCCTTAAAAGGTGCGCATCGTCGACGTTCTTTTGTAAGCCAAGTAAGTTCGTAAACGGTATCAGTAGGCTTGTAGATATGAACATTGCCTTCCAATGATTCGTCAAGAGCCTATCAATGGAATTGTCAAAAGGAACAAAATCGCCGGTCGATTGGTAATTTTTAAACTGGTAGGCCATTGTCAAGGATACAAACCCAATAGTGAAAGCAGCAATAGATAAGCGAAATCTTAGAAGCAGCATCTTGACCGTCAAGGACCAGTTAACTTCTACCTTTATCTTGGTCTCTACACCAGGAGGGTTGATAAAAGTGAGCTTTAGCGACTTATCGTGTGTAGAGTTCAATGGAACAAAGGGGGCTACGTTATGGAAGTTGATGTCCTGCGGACCTTGCCTTAAATTGATATGCCACTTGGTTTCAAAAGGTTTTTCGATCGATTGTCTGAAGAATGGCTCAAATGTGTTGCTCTCCCCGGACACAACAGTTCTTACTCGATAAGATATAATGGATGAGTAGAGATTTGTAAATGTAAAGGATGAAACAAGATGTTTTGAATTTACAGACCTCTCTGCTTTCAGTAATCCTGTGGTGATGACCCCAAAAGGATTATCATGAACCGCTGTATTTAACGCTTCGTCCGATAGTTCGGCTACCACGAAAGTGTCTCCATTCAGAACTGAATTTGGTGTCTCAATGACAATGAGATCGTATTGCGATAAAGTTGGAGTGTCCACGAGTAAGAAGAAAAAAGGGCTTGAATTTCCTCCCCAAGATGAGTCAGAGGGATAATTGCTATTTCTCGAAGATTTCGGCACATTTAAAAGTTCTTGGTCTACGCGCGTACACTGAGTCCACCATTCTGATATCGATGATTCTTCTATTTGCTCTTCAAGTTTGCTTGATGAGTTCTTTTGACAAAATCTAATGTTAAGTGAGGGCTCATCTGTTAAAAGAGCAAAGTTCGAGTCATTCCTGTCCTTTTCTATGGAAATAACACTAAACCTTGAGCGGGACTTGGCTGTTTCTTTAGTTAACACAAATTTTTCGTTCATCCTCACCTTTTCGTAACCAGTTTGCAATTCAAAACTATTGCCAGCATTAGGTTCCGTTCTGTAGAGACTATTGCCAAGAACAGAATACCCTTCAAGCCCCGACAGAAGAGCTTTTCGATATAGCCGCATTCGCTCTTCTAACAACTTTGTCTTGCTTGCTTTTTTTGCATTTACAGATTCTAGTAAAACCCTCGCGAGAACATTCCTTAGTTGGTCGCACCATACAATTGCCAAATGATCAATTGGAGTCCAAACATGCGGAACGGTGGTGGTATATGTTGTAAAGCCATTTGTGTAAGGAATGATATCCTCAATAGTAGTAAAGTCTGCAGGTAGGATGTTATCCAAAACGCCGCCTGTTATTGAAATGAGACTTACGTTTTTGGAGAAGAAACTTTCTGAATCTTCAAACTGTGCCTTCCAAAACTTTGAAATACGCTCATATATTTTTAACATATCGCCATCAAATGTAACAGGAGCAAGCGCATGAGGAGCTGACAGAGTAATATACGAGTTAACCGATTCTGGGATATAATTTTTTAGGGTTGGCATTACCCTAGCGACAATGCCGCCCATAGAGTGTCCCACCACAATGACCGAGCTGGGAACGGGAGCCTCGTAGTTTTGGCTCGAGCGGTACAAAGAAAGGATATAAGCAATCGCATCATTCAAGTACTCCGCTTGATCCAGCATTGTTCTTCCGTGAAAAGCAGTAAAGTCCTCATTGAAGTCGGCAGTGAAGAAGTCCAGATTTTTGGTATCGTCGTTATCGATTGAGGAGCGTTCGTCGAAATAAACATTTGCACATGCGGCAGCGATGGAACGAGCTTGCTTGAAACTTCCTGCATTCCCCGGTATGAATAGTACAGGAATGCCGTCGAGCTGCAGAGCGTCATTTTCAAGTGGCTCGCGATCTTTGCCCTGCTCGCGATAAAGATAAAGATGATACTTTTGGGCCAACTTAGTATATCTGTGATCAAAACCGTCAATTTTGGCATATGATGGGTACATATAAACCGAGTGACATTGCGGAGTGTCTGATCCCGAAAATTCTTTGACAACACTGGTAGAAAGTGCTACTATGGTAAGTAACAATCCCACTAAAATGACCTGAAGTGAAGTTTTATGCAGCCCAAATCTACAGCTTCCGGTTTGCTCATCAGTGAGACCAGTGCTGGAAGCTTTGAGATCTCGCTCCAAGATGCCGCGAGCTGGCACTTCAGAAGAGCTGATGGATTTAGAACGATTATCGGACTTGCCGCAACTTTCAGCTAATATTGTCAATCCCCTTCGAATGAGAGCTTTGGCCCCCCTTCTTAAGACCATCAGCAAGCCAGAAGGTGTGAGTCTGGGGACGCTTTCGAGCACTTTTCGACCCTTGGTTATTTTATATTCTCTTATACCTTTAAACTTGACAAAAAAAGTTAAAACGACATTACAGTGAACGCAGTGTCACTAACAAAACGTTACAACGGCAAGACTTAGAGAATTGAGGTGGTCATTCTTCGAGAATCAGATCAAGGTTAATTGGGTCGTTAAAGTCATCAAATATATATAGTTATATGTACATTGTATGCCAAACTCGTGGGTTATCACTCCTCATGATAACTAGAGTCGAGGACTATCTGGTCTTCATAAATGCGGACACAGTCCATGTCTATTTTAGAATTGTTACAACGCGCCTCAAAAGGACGCAATGCTTCGGACAGAGCATTTAACTAGTTCACCGTGGTGATATGCGATGGCTTTGTTTTAGCATTTTTCTTGAGTGACGCAGAAGAAGAGGTCCTCGCGGGTACGGAGGACATGCCATTGGATGAGGGAGATGAGTCCTTTGATTTGGAATTTTTTTGTGAAATTGAGCTCTTTGGAACCCTGCGCTGGTGGTAAACCTCTTGGCGATATTTGAACGTTGCGTCACGCAACTGTTCGTACGATTTTGTGCCGAGCATCGTCCCAAAACGAATGGTTTGTGTTTCGTTCGAAATCTGGTTGAGGCGTGCCGGCTCGTGGGAGAACTTTGCTCCGTAATTTGTGTAATCGGAAGTGTGCTTCCATCGGTCTTGCAGTCTAGTGAGTTCATCTAGTCTGGAGTCATATACATCCAATATCTCATTTTCGCATTCCTGTTGCTCTACCTCAGTAATATTGATTAACCTAGAAAGAGGGGTAAAGTTCCCTTGTGACTTGTGCAAGTCGATGTACTCTAGCCCTAACCGCCCAACACGTCTTCTAAATTTGAAAGGCAACTCGCGGGTATAAACCTCGCGGTTGTCCATGAAAGGATTATAGAGCTCTATCCTGCGGTGTTTCGGGTTGCTTAGACGATCGCCATCCTTTCCAAAGACTGAGACGTCATCGCTGATACCGTCAAGGTAATCCTCGAGCCGCGGGACGTAATAGGATTTTTGAGCATCATATTTGGATGACGCTATAGAAGAAAACGGTGCGTTCGTAGCGGAGACGTTGGCAGGAATGGAGAGATCGAATACCGGATTGTAAGGATCATCAGTTAAATTGAAAAACTGGTCGCCATCCTCAAGCTTCCGTTTCCGCATTCTCTCCTCGACGTAATTGCGAGCAGTTTTCTCTTGATTTAACAAGATTTTATCCGCATCCTCAAGTAAAATGTCAGGTATCTTAGAGCTGGGTAGTTTGACGTAAACATGGGCAGCAACCGCGTTAGTCTGTTGCTTCTGTTGTTGCGCGAGTTGTTGCAATTGTTGCTGTTGTTGCTGCTGCTGCTGCTGTTGCTGTTGTTGTTGGGCCAACTGGTGTTGAGCTTGTTGAGCTTGTGATTGGTGCTGTTTGCCCACTTTTGAAGTAGAAGATTTGGATTGGCCTGGTTCGGTTTGAGACTTCTTGAGTTTAGGCCTGGCCTTCTTGGAAGTTGTCTCCGAAGGGGCATTCAGTACTACGTTGCTGACCAGTTTACGCTTTCTGCTATCCACAAGTAAAGAGTCGTCTTCACCTTTAATTCCTAAAGACCGCTTGACAGGCTTGATATCCCTTCTCATCTCAAAGACTCTCAAATCATCATTTATCATATCCAAAGACAGTTTTTCACGTTTTGCAATGAGTAGCGCTAATCTCTTGGTGTACTGCAGTTGTTGATCTAGGAGTCGCAATTTGTGACTATTTTGATAATCGACCCTCCGGGTTTTTCGTGCCTGTCTAACTTCACGTCTGCGAAAACAAACATAGGGGTCATTTTCATCTCGTTCTCCACCATGCCTTTCAAACTTCAATTGCGGACTGATCGAGTTGCCATGCGCTTCTATCTTGCGGTTCTTCCAGTGGGTGTAAACTTGATCGCCATATTTCCCTATTAATGTAGCAAGCGATCGGGTATCTTGACTGCCAGCGGTATCGAACTGGGTAATAAAGGCCTGTTGTGGTCGAAGACCTATTTCCTGAGCTAGGCGGTCCTTGATACCAGAATCGCCTACGTCACGTTTGAAAATGGTGGGTTTCAACTCCGCTAAAGACAAAATATTTTCTGGGTCGATGCTGAGAAAAGGTTGTCTCTCTTGAATTGCGGCCTCAAAACTACTACACATGAGCTCAAACTCGTTCTCACTTAAGGCTGTGACCGCACCTTTACCCCCCTTCGTGTTGCTCCGAAAGGTGTTCTGCAAAAACTCCTCGTCTCGTTCGTCCATATTATAGCTTGAGCCACAACAATCTTCAACAGTGGCAGAAAAGCGAATATATGTTCGAGGCTCTACAAAGCTACCCTGATAGAGTTTGGGATATTCCTGCCACGTCCTGGAGGCATCCGGCGTCGGAATGTAAAGATCGCGTCGGGCCAACTCGTTTTTCTGCAAAATTTGATGCAAATGCTCTTCTTTCTCCTCATTTTTGTCAACACCAGTTTCAATTTCCATCAATTCACGCTGTTGCAACTCATCCTTGTCTAGTTTTCGCAGGTCTGAGACCTTGTACACCTGCAGTCTCTGTTTGACGGAGATTTTCCGATGACGGAATCTGGTGTTAGCTGCCTCGGACGCGCTAGGCGGTGGGTTGGCCCCATTAAGATTTGCACTACCGTTTGTAAGAGAATCTCGAGCCATGGTGGGCTATGAAGCGGACTATGGCAAGGCAATGGGTGGCTGGGTGGAGGGCGGTCGGGGTCTCGTGACCGCTGAACTCGCGAAATTCCTTCAATAATAATAATGCACGGGTCTGGTGAACCCAAAAAGTGAAGATCCCTGAGCCCTTGATTTAGTTGATCCTTGTAGTGTCAGCTTGGCTTTCGAGAAGAGCGGCTACAGCTTGGACCAGGGCGCTACCAGCAGATAAGTGATGAGGCTTTCTGTCACGTGCCTCTTGAAACTCGCTATTCCGTTCGATATGACCTCCGGAAGCTGCTGATTTTCGCGTGAACAGGCCGTGTGAAAAGCTCCGGGGCAAACGGAAATAACAGTGAAAAAGAGAAGCCTAGCACCGGCTTAAATCGCTTATTCTCGTGAAAAAGGCTCCTAGAAGTGAGGCGGCGATTTAGAGCAGTACAAAGCCGTTCAACGTCTGGACCAAGAGACTTGCTTTCTCGGCTTGTTGTTTGGTAGTTTCTATGTTTTTCGCCACCCGGTACTCGTCGTTGTCGGGATATCGCAGTTTATAGTGATTCAAGGGTTATGAAAAATTTTATCCTCATTGAGCCCCAGCAGCTGAGTTAGTACAAAATGACAACATATTTCCTGTCACGTGTGTGGTACATTGCCAAGATGATCAAGAGCTTTGGTGTGAAACTTTGTTGATGGACACGGGTAGGTGAAGCCGCCGCGACTTGGCGATGTATGTGTATGTATGCACGAGCTACATACCTCTTACCCAGGCTACTTGGTGCTTATGGGTCAGGTTTCTTCTTGAGCAGTGTGCCAGGAATGGGAAACATTAGGTGATGGGTGGAAATGTAGTAATACTCTTGAGTGATAAACCTAGTACTTATACAGTATACATAAGTTCCTAGGGTGAAAACTAGAGAGTCCCCCATTTGAAGTTGTGCTGTGTAAGAACATCCATTCATGTAAGATTTTTGGAGGTTCAAGAGATGTCATAAAGTCATCAAACGTACTAGAAATTCGCCATAATTTCTGGGTCGTCGCGATGCAGAAGTCCACGGTATAGTAACACCCTGTAGTGCATGTAGTGCCCGGACGTTATTTAACGCTAATCCTGTTCATGACATACCCGTTCAAAGTTATAATGAGATGTATAACTGCGTGCTTCGTGCCAGATACCGAGGGTCATGTTCTTCTACCTAAGCACAACTTCGTAGTTAAATCTTAAGGAGTCGACGTAGGTGTTCTGGCGTGTACTGTCCTGAGCTGCTGTCGCCAAATCAATTATACACGTCAAACACCTTTTCGTTGCCGTGATATGTCAGTCTCGCGAGAATGAGCCTCTCATGCGTTATTCAATAACAATTACCTCCGTGATGAGTAGCCAGACTTTCGAATACAGCCGTCTCCTTTTGGAACTGAAACTCGAAATGACAGAACTCATAGGCATTCACTTTTGTCACGTGACTGTGCGCTTAGTTAGGCTTGATCAATATATTGTAAAGAAACAGGCGATGACCTCTCGGTTGATGCCACTAACCTGCTAGAAGCTCATTGTGTAACGGTCGCGACACCAGCCATAGAGACACTATGGAGTCACTTATAGATATCGTGGTCAAAACTTCCAAGAACTTAAAGGATAAACTGAACTTCTTAAAGGATCAAAAGCAGCAATATTTGGAAGTTAAATCGCATTTCATCAAGTATCAAGAGAGTGCAGCCTCCGCGGAAAAAGGATTAATACTGGGAGAATTCATTATATCGTCATCCAAGATTTATTTAAATATTGGGTACGAGTACTATGTGGAGAAAAGCGAGCAAGAGGCGCTCCAATTTGTTGGCGAGAAGCTACAACTGATAGATCAAGCTATTGATCAGTTTGAAGTGAAGTCCAGAGAAGCCAAAGAGACCCTGCGAAACTTGAAACAGGTACAGACAACAGAGGAGCAGAATGGGAAACCACTTGCGGATGATAGCGATTTAAATATACCACCGGCGGAAAATGACGAAGGACTGCCATTTATGGAGATTAGAGAGGAATTAGACGATGAGGGCAATATTGTCGCGAGTGCGGTCAGTCCAACGGCGGGCAATAAAGAATCGGCCTCAGAGACGCATTCTCAAAGTCGTATCGAGGAAATAAAAGAAGACAGCAATCATACGGACAGCGGCATCGCGGCTACTTCAGATGCACGATTCGATGAAGACTTTGAGACGAATATACGCGAGCGCACTTCAGGCAGCTCCCGCCCCAGTGCTAAGGAAGCGGATTTAAGTGAAGTATCTGTCAAGGGAAACCCAAGAGCAACTATTGATCATGAGAACATGTACACTTTTGACGGACTAGTGCGACAACTAGAACTGCAGGATAGCTTGGAAGACGGCGACCTTGACAATGAAAACGTCCACTACGACTTCAACTCGTTCCAATCTTCTAACGACCTTGACGATGATGGAGAAGACCTTTATGATACCGACGATGACTACGATGAGTACGCAGAATCCGAAATTCCTTCGATCGTCCCAGAAGTCGCCAGAAGTCGCTTTATGGAGCAGTTAAACGAGCTGCGTCGAAAAAAGGAGCGTAGTTTGAGTGTTAATGAAGGGACACCCGGGGCACCAGAGCCAGAGGCACAGAAGGAGGTCCCGAAACCTGCAAAGAAAGTTGGATTCGCTCCAGAACTAGACGTAATAGAGGTGGAAAATTTGAAAAAGGAAACTAAAGCTAATACGTTTACGGGAGCTATAGAACGCGGAACTCATATAGCCGCCAACGCGATCGACGACGATGGGTTCGATCCAGATTTGTTTGCAAAACTCATAGGCGCTAAAGGTTCTGATGAAATTCACGATAAATACCAAAGTGCCCAAGATGTTAAGCGCCAAGAGGAGCCTATCAAAAGAGGACCACGTGTTTCACGTTTCAAGAAAGATAGAAGTGCAAATCGCAGTTCAGATTCTGTGAAACCATCGGTGGCTTTGGGCAACGATTTGAGGGAGAACGACCCTCGCAATTTTAAGGAATCCGGTATTGTTGATGATGTTAAAGAAAACACAGTCTTACCGGTAACAACTCCAGAGGGCGTACAAAGTGTTCGTAGTTACCCTTCGGAAGTGCCTCGAGAAGCTACGTCTGGATTGAACCCTTCTGTTAGTGACGTTACTGAAGTTTTAGCGTCTGTAGATTTGGAGGGTGATGCAACTTCCACGCAGTCTTATGACAATGCTCCCAAGAATCAGACTCCGTTCAAATCAAACCTTCGCTCACTCCAAAAACCGTCAACAAGACGGCAACAAAAAACGCGCAGACCACGCCCTGTTGATCTTGAAGAAACAGAGAAGACCAAATCTGAAGACACAGCTACAAAGACCCTGCCCTCAGTTTCTGAGAGCAAGAACTATCCCTTTGACAAGACGGATACAGGTTCCTTTCCCGCAGAAGTGATCGCCCACATGAAAACTGATGACCTACCGGAAAACTTTGTTCAAAACCCCAGTGTAGATTTTAACACCTTGGGCGAAAATTTAGATGACATGGCCCGCGCATACATCTTAGGTTTGTACAACGCTGACGTTGAAGATCCAGGTACTGTCCTTGAGAGTTTGGATGATTTTAAAACGTACAACAAAGAAGCAGAGAGCTTGCAGAGTGAAATATCTACGTTTCTAAGTCAAAGTCCGACAGAAGATCCTGCTGATAGCCCCGTGGATCAGTCTCAGGAAATTGATGACGGGCCAGTATCTACAGATTTGATTGAAAGACAGACAGTTTCGCCTGCCGACTATGCAGGTGGCGATGATCCTGCGCTAAACAGTCAAAACCTACACCACGACGTTGCTGTGGAATATCAGCGCTTGCGCCAAAAATTGATAGCATCGCAGGGGACCACTGCACCAACATCAGAGGAACTGCAATTGGAACCTATTGACGAGCATGGCAATCCGATAAAGACGAGCAGGTTTAAGTCGTCCAAGCTGCGTTTTGACCGTCTCTAGGCAGTGCAAGTTGTGGCAAGGAAGTGGCAAGATCCGAACTATCGGTACTGTTCGCCGAAGTCCGAATCGGCGCCGGCCTTATCGCGTGCTGAGGCCCGTAATACATAATTATCACGCTTTTCTAATCTAATATCACGTGGTTAGTTGAATAAGCTCACATGGCAAAAGACATTATAATCACACCTCCCTACCAGTGACTTTCTGACCACCGGAATGTGATTGGAAACTGGAAAGTAAAGCCCAGCTCGATAGACTTTCTTTAGATATGTGGCTTTCTGGGGGGATTGAGGGTGGTTTGGCCAAGCCGTTCAATGCTGCCTAAGTACTGTTGAGCTGGACAGATAGTGTGTAGAAGTCACTTGTACTGAAGGTTATATCGCCCGCAACGTGCTTGAGCGTGCATTGACAAAGCAATGGCATCGAAGCGGCAGACTTTCGATCCTAATTTGATATATTTTGGCACACCTTTGAAAGACTGACGAGCTTGTCGCTGTGGTGCTCTCAAAGTGGGTTCTTCGGAGAAGCTATTAAAAGGCCTCTTTGTTCTGTAAGCGCTAGTAAAAGCATCAGCCCGGGCTCAACAATGGAGACTGATGACATGATTAGTACTAGTGAAAGGTTGCAGCTTCTCATGGATGATCACGGAGGAGGAAATGAGACCAATGGCAAACCCGCTGCATCTCTCTTGGACTATCTCGTCAGAAAACTGGAAAAGGAAAGGCTGGCTGAAGTGCAGCTAACCAACAGTGAAATGCCAGTTCGAACGCAAAAAGTGGAAAGTGACTTTAACGACGACATTATCGCTTCACCCGGTTCGCATTATACTTCCTTCATTCCACCTCGCCCGTACGCAGAGCACTTTGATTTCGATGGCGGGCAAGGAGACTTCGTGACAAGCAGCTCCGGAGTCCAAACTCAAGGATACAATGACGTGGTGTTGAGTGAACGTCATATCGAGATCGAGGACAGTAGGCCAAGAAGCGAAAGAGCGAAAGTTTTTGGAGAAAACGAGAACGAGGAGAATAATGACGGAGCTCCAGACCAGAATCTATCTCCTGACCATGGGCGCGAAGTAGACCTCCAAAGTAATGATATTGTGGATGAGGAAAGTGCACAGCTCGTGGTAGATAAACTTAACATATTCAAAAGTGAATTTCGCCGCCTCATCCAAAAAATCGATGATGCTTCGTTATTGACGCATATGTCGGACCCATTTTTGCCCGTAGATTCTGAGTTTAGTCCGAGGCCTATGAACAGTATGATGGCCGGAATTTTAGATACTTTGCAATCACTTCCCTCAACTGGTAGTGGTCGCAAACGTCCCAGAAGCTCCTCGGGCGTAGCTCAGACTGAGGGACCACCCCTCATGCGCAGGAGTCCCGCAAGAGATGCTCAGCTGAAAGAACCTCCGAGCATAAGTGAGATCGAGCAGGACCCATGCTTTGGTTTAGCCAATTTTGGAGTCGTACTTGTGAAATCCCCCGTTACTGTGGCACAATTGTGGAACGAGTACACTAAACTTCCAAGTGAGTGGGCCCTACCTGACTGGTTTGAAGTGGTTTCGCAACAACACTCTTCAGAAAAGCATGAAGCACAGAGCGCTGTTCAAGTGATGAAGCGACGAACTTCTATAAGGGACCTTGAGAGAACTTATGGATCGTCGTGGCGGAACAATGACAAAAACTTCTCTCGTCAAGTAAATCGTCGCAAGAAAATATGGCTTGCCATTGAGGAGGGCTTGCAGGATGGCATTTCTTTGAATGACTGTTTTCAGTTAATGGAGACTTATGTCAAGGAAAGAGGCAAAGGTTTAAGCTGGTATTATAACGGTGTTCCATTCAAAATAAAGGATCTAAAACGTGTGTAGCATTTTAGGCTAATGACTTTAAATCCATATCCGCGTATTTTCACGTTATGGTGTCCAGGTTTTTCTCGTCTCTGTCAAGATTCTACAGATAACATTTTGTGTCACTAGTCTTAAACGGCTAACATCCTATCACTCGCCAGTAAAGTACTACGTGAGAAGTACATATCCATTGCGGGAGCGAGAGGGCAAATAGCACTGTCTTCAACAATTCAAATGATAAATTCCCTTATATGTTTGATAGGTATGTATCACAGTTAGCAACACACGACCCTGGAAATAAGATATCAAATAACTGACACGAATTCCCCAGTTGGTGAAACACCTGCTACTCAGTTCTTGGCATGGAGGCTAAGCCTCTCGAATGCGTTCATTATCCTGGTTTCGAGCAATATTTCCAGCGATGGGCTGGTTGCGTGGAAGTCCTCTAAGCTGGGATCAAATTTTTACAGACCAAATGAATTCGCTAAGGAACTGGATGAACTTCAGTCAAAACTTGTTGATTCCAATGGGAAATTGAAATATAAAATTGATATAGTGGTGTTGTCATGTTTGTCCATCCCGGCTTTACAGCGGCACTGTGAAGTTCTTGCAAAATATGGTGACAAAGATACCGTGGTATTAGTGGATGCAAATTTCGGAGTACATTTGGAAAAGCTTGTTTTGGACCATTTCTCCAACACCTGTGCCTGCACTCTGTCCATTCTTTGTGATGTTGAAGGTAGGCAGTTGTCGTCCGGATCTTATGTCCTTGTGAATGAAACCTGTCAATTCTACATCGGGTTGACATATAGTCATGACGATGCCAGATCAATCGGCACTCAATATGAAATACTGCGCAACAATTTCGAAAAGGTCCGTAATGTCCTCTCCGATGAGCAATCCACCCTGAACGCTCTGTTGCAGCAATTGCAGCATACACAAGTTGAAGCCATTATAACATTTACCCCAGACTGCTCAATAGAAATGGCACTTACGGTATGGGAGTATATCATCCCTCGTATTTCACTCAATATTCTCTCCATCGTATTTGAAAGATTTGATTATGACCGACTCTTAGCTAATGCTTCTACTAAATTGGTGTTCCAAGACCTGGTCAAGGATCTTATAAATATCAGCTTTGCGCATTGTGGAAGAGTGATCACAAAGTACATGAAAATGGCATCGGAAGATTGCAGAGCTCCGATAGATCTAGAGGCAGATATAGATTTCGAAAAGATTGTAGAGCATACCAAGATTCGAAAAAGGCAAACAGACATTTTCACAGTTAATGAGTATCCAGAGTATTTGACCCTTTCGTTTGAGGCCTACTGTTTTTATCACAAATTGGAGTTCCCGGCAGATATTCTACTGAAGCAGCCCATTTTGATGGCCAATGAATTCGGGATTAAATACTCGAGCTTGAATTTCCTAATTCGATTTTACTCGCAACTCTTGTCATTGAGTGGCCTATGTATTGAAGGTGGTCCGCGTAAGTTATGCCCACCGTCGTTTATGTTTGGGAGCCGCACGCAGCTCAACACTAAAGGTGAAGCAGTACTGCCGACTAAAAACGATGCTGGAAAGAAACCCATTGACTCATTGCACGCCAAATTAAAGAGGGGAACGAAAACCGATAATAACAGCGTGCTCGCTACTAAAGACCCTGATTGCTCCAGAATGGATTACGCAGCTAAAAATCACGATACTGATACTCACGACACGCAAGGTGAGCAGAGCATTAGTTTACGTGAGGGGAACAACTCGAGATTCGCGTTTTTCTGTGATAGGGAAGATGGCGAAAATACTGGTCCTGGGGAGAATGACAGTAGCTCAATTGTGGATACCTTGATACAGCTTCCTAACTTCCGTAAACGGACTCCGGGTGGAAGAGCAGTCGGCGAAGTAGACGCCAGTGCAGCCCTTGAAAGAGAGATCCGAGCTAATCCCTTAACTATGGCATCGCGGTACTATTTCAAACCATACCATCTAGACCGGAAAAGCATCAGGTCTTTGACGGAAAAATGCGGCGACCATTGGGACCGTCCCAGCCTATGGAAAATGCAGCGTCAGTATTTGATCGAAAGGGGCCAAATGACCGACCCTTCGGACACATTAGTTACAGGGTCACACAGGCCACTAATGGAGCACATAAAATTACTAAAACGCCTTAACATGCGCGGAATTCTGAGCGTTACAACGAGTCGTTATGGCCATGTCGACACTTCCATGAGATTGTTTGACAACCAGAATCAAGGAAAAGACCCCTTGAAGAAACGTTCCTTAACTGCTCCCGCCGCGCATAGAACCCTGGCATGCTTCGCGCCTGGTACTGATTGCCATTCCCCATCTGTCTTGCCCGATGTTGATTGACTAATGGCGCCAGCTAACACATTATGTTTCCACTTTCCCTTTATGCAAAGAACAATCAAGTGGATGCATAAATGCGCCGCCAAGATCTCTTAGGCATGGAAGCTTTATATGCATATTAATGTTCTTATTCAATACTCACGTGTTTGGGTAATCTGACAGCGTTATTATATGTTGAGACGCTGCCTTCGAATTCAACCGTCGTGAGCATGGTTAGTCTTGCCAATTCGAAACACTCGGATTGACATTTTGGGCGATTGATGTCAAGGTGAATGAATGTGCATCTGGAGACACAACCAGACTCTGTTTCTTTCTATTATCCCGTGCTCCGTCGAGACCCAAATGAATGTAATCTATCGAGCGTGGTCGTATGTAACTAATCTCCGCTAAACTTAATAGCCGATATGCATACTGAGAAGCATACTGAGAAGCAGGTGGGCCTAAAAGGAAGATTTGATCAGTTTACCCCATTTTGGCCACGGACTTATTCATGGTGATTTTTCGCGAGTCTTTGGCCTAATCTGGATAGCACCCAGCTAAGTTTGGCATTAAGTGAAAAAAAGACGAAAATCTGCGAAAATCCATCGACCCATTAGGATGCAAATCTGCATAATCGATCATCTGGGGGAGAAATTGGTCGAGGTCTATGAGTAGTAGCGAAAATTCCGATAATCATATCGGTCAAATTCCGTCTTGTGAAGCGGCTTTTGTCTCGATTCTCGCCTCTATCTCGTAAAAGGTACTTCGAATCTATTGGTCACCCTGCCGGAGTCCATTAGTAACCGATTACTTGGTTAGGAAACTTCTTCTGGTTACCGGCGAACCCGAGACCCCTTGGGGATGGCCAGGAAGTCACTGAGATAGAAATTGTGTGTTTTTCGCGGGTTAAAATCACCAGAGTTACACTATAGCGATGTAGGTGCCGTGATGATAGTGGCCTATCTAATCAGACTACTACTCCCGGAAGCTTTGACATTTGAGAGCGCACCTTGGCAGAAATCAGGAGGTTCTTTATAAATATGGGCCCTTCCTGACGACGTAGGCTTGGTAGCGAGGAAGCTCAATAGCGATTGCTTGCTGCTTCAACAGCAATGATGATGTATGAATCTGCCAACTACGAGTCCAACCGCAATCAGCTTGGAAGTGCTCCTTTCCCGCTCAGCTGGGATGACAGCTGTGTCATGCAATCCTCAGACGTAGCGTGGATCGATGATCACAACGACAGTGCATCAGACGTTTTCGGCTTGATTTCATCCGGTTCTCATTTTGGAGCAACTCTGTCATCCGTTGAGTCTGGTTTGTTAAACACAGATCTAGATAATCGCTCCGAGGAGTTCGAAGGGCCCCTGTCCATCTTCCTAACAAGCGAAAGTGATTATGAGGCGGTAGAAGTTCCAAGGACGCAACCGATACAGGTAGAGTCCGGTGCGTGCTCAGCCTCGCTCGCGAGTGCAGAGGCCCAAGAGCTGTCCTCTCAGCCATTGCAGTCCTCTAAATGTTACACGAGACCGAGGTTAGCAACTCGAAAAAGCAACCCTTTTTACTTACCTTCCAAACATATAAGGAATATGATCGCCAAGGAGAGGCAACGAAAGAGCTCTCGTAAAATCTCCATTGGAGCTGAAAAATCTTGGGAAAGTTCTGAAGATTTGAATATGCATCCCAAGTATGAAAAACCGGGGCTGGAGAGACGGCAAACAGTTGGCTGAATTAGCTATTGGGACCTGGGTATCGGCGCTAGTGTTGTTTAACGTAGTAGCCTTGTAATGTAGGATTTATAGAGAAAAGCTGGGCATTTCACCTGCATATTGGTATGGATAATTAGTGGTACGTTTAATTAATATTGTGTTTATCACTTAGAATGGGGAAATTCATTATTTACTCGTACAAATCCTCATCCAGTCTGGCGGCTGGATTGGTTTCGATAAAATCGAGCGACACCTTGTGACCCAAAAGCTCTCTAATGTTCTGCACGCCGTACTTGATCATCGTTGGTCTTTCCAACGATAGACCCCAACCCAGAACTCTCATATTGGATGGTAGACCCATGGGTTCCAACATCTCAGGCCTGAACATACCTGAATTACCGATTTCCACCCACTTTCCTAGTCCTTCATGCCACGAAAAAATCTCCATCGATGGTTCGGTATACGGATTGTAAGTAGGTTTGAAACGCAAACCAGTAACACCCATCTTCTCAAAGAACCCCTCCATGAATTGGATTAAATCACCAAGAGTAATGTCATAGTCTGCCAAGACACCTTCCACCTGGTAAAATTCCGCCAAGTGAGTAGCGTCCACGGCTTCATTACGGAACACTCTGTCGATGGAGAACAATCTGGTAGGCTTAGGGTCTTCTGCCAATTTTTTTAGCATGGCGGCGGAGATTGCTGTGGTGTGGGTTCTCAAAACCAATTTCTGAGACTCTTCTGGCTTCCAATTGTAACGATAGCCAATTGAATCATATTTTCCTTGTTCGTGAACTGCCTTGATATTTTCCAAATATGAATTGTCGTCTGGTAAACCGCTTTGGACAGGGTCTTTCAAATAAAATGTATCCTGCAGATCACGGGCTGGGTGCTGTTGAGGGACGAAAAGGGCGTCAAAGTTCCAGAACCCCGTATCCACATACTGGTTAGAAGGCATCTCGGTGAATCCCATAGAGAAGAAAATTTGTCTGAATTCTTCGCGCACCTTGGTCAGAGGATGGAGGGCGCCAGACTCAGGCATGATCCCTTCCGCGTTGAAATTGTAAGGTTTAAACTTTAGGTCCTTGTAAGTGCCAGTAGCAACCATCTCAGCAGTTAAATCGGTTTCCAACTTGGTCAGCTCAGTTGAAAAATCAGCACCTTTAGTGACCTGGAAAGTGGTGTCTTTCTTGGCTACAATAAGCTTCCGCTTCTTGAGGTCGTTGAGCGTTTTGTCGTTAACGGATTGAAGCTTGCCTTCTCTGATGTTCAGAAGAGTGTCCTTGGTTTCATCCGCAACATCTCTTACCGATGAAATCTTGTCGCTGATAGTTAGTTCATTATCCTTGTTTTTAGAAATCCAGCCATTCTTGAATGCTTTAGCCTGTCCAATTTTGCCATCTGCACCCATGTGAGTGGCCACATCCTTGATTTGCAACTTGGTGAACTTGTCGACCAACTGCAAAAGTCTGATCTCGTGTGATCCCTTAGCCACTATTTCGTCACCTTCATTTGTTAGCGTATAGTAAGTTTTGTCCTCTTTGGTATATTCGAGCTTCCCGTGTGCTTTCAATGAGTTGAGAGACGATAAAATTACTTGTGGGTTAATGTTTGGAAAAACCTCAAGCGTTGAATTGATGGTTCCCAGTTCATTCAATTTTTGCAGTATATCCAACTGCAAATCAGACATTGTTGCAACTAAACCTTGCCACACTCCTTGGAAAAACGGTAAAAATTAAAACGGCAAAGCAACGATAGCCAATGCGACCTGTAATTTCTCTGAACAAATGACAGTGTAGTCTTGTTCCGAGGTTAGCATTTCGACGACTCATCATTCAGAAAATTTTCTTCGTTGTAAGATATAACGAAACTCACCTCGATAGTCGAACACTTAAGTGGGTTACCCGGCAGTAGAGCAGATCGGTAGAGGGATGATAGATGGATACTCTCAGTGAGTTCAAGGCTGATGGTGTACGCCGAGTACGCTTTTTAATTGACCGTTAACTGCGTTAGGTGCATTGAGCACTCCACATGGATACGACTGTTCTGGGATTTTCACTAAAGTCGCCTTAACGAACGTGCTGGACCCACGGGTAATTGGGTTTTTCAGTCCTACTGATCACAGGGTAGCGTTTCTTACCAAGGATCCCGGGATTGGCACATAAAAAGGAGGTTTTAGGCCGTCGAACAACCCAAATGACTGATGACGTGTTGGGTGATTTCTTTTGTACTCTACGCCGTTGCCTGACAGTGTGGACTCTGCTAGGTCAACTACGCGGGGAATGAGCACATTTCATTGTGTACCTTGTTGCTTATTAGCAGCCCGTCCTGTTCGTCGTCACGCATGGAGTAAAGATCCAGCTTCACGTTGGCGTCCAACATGAGCTCCTTCTTCAGGAACCATTTCTTTTCCTCCTGTAAAAGTGAGCGATACTCTTGCAGTAGATCGAGATGAACTTCACGGAGCCACTGCAACTGCTGCTGCTCGGAAGGTGGTTCTTTGTTAGCAGCTTCACGAGCTACGTGGGCAGTCGGGGTTGGGGTCGGTGTCGATTCCGAAGAGACTTGATCTGCCAAAAAAAGCTCATTCATGTTGTAGAGCCTTTTTTTATAGTAATTGGTCTTCATTTTGCTCACTTTTCCAGCTTTTTCCTTGGTAGTTTTGTTTTTCGACGCCGCCACACTACTTTCTATAAAAGTGCCCGGAGCGATTTTGACCATTTCGTAATTTATTTTCAAGTTATCATCCACTGTAATGATGTTCCGCTTGTGCCTGCTCTTACGCTCATCGTCTGCATCTATCAATTCACTCGTCTTGTACCGCCTGATCGCGTTGAGAGCGTATTTGACTTGTGCATCTTTTTCTACTAGATCATTGAAGTTCGCCAATAAGTCCGCAACCATGTCGGTCATAACCAGTAAGCGGCGAATGACAGGGTTTATGAGGCTCTCTGGTTGTCAAATATGAGATGATTTCTATCGAGGGAAAGGGTTATATCAACTACCATTTATATGGACTTAGAGTTTTAATTTGACATTAATCTGAAAAATTTTAGAAATTAAGCTATGCGATGAGCTAGCTGCCAGAGAGAAACCACATCCCAGAGTAGGCGTATAAGATGGAATCTGAGAGTATCCAAGACTTGTTTGCGGCTTTGAAGCACGTTGGTAAAAGTGGCTCTTCGAAAGCTGACGATAGCCTGCCCAAAACCTCATCAAGCGCCGGCGATGACTTTGATCAAGACAACATAAAGTTCGACGAGGATGCAAAGGTCGCAGAGCAGCAGGACACATTTAAACAGATCGAACAGCATTTGCGTGGTCTACCTCGCATGCAGACAGGATTCGATGGTCTCGCCAACGGTAAAGAGACCACCAACGCGATACAAAGGGTGGAAGACCCGGTATCGATTCTGCATTTGCGTAAGAAGGACGCGGAAACGAAAAAGCCAAGTTCTTCTGAACTGTGGTTCACGCTGCCAAAGCCGGAGCTTACACGTGAAATCAAGCGCGACCTGCTCATACTGAAACACCGTGCCGCTCTGGATCCCAAGCGACACTACAAAAAGGACAAATGGCAGGTGCCGGAGCGATTCTCCGTCGGAACCATCGTAGAAGACAAGAGTGAGTTCTTCAGCAGCCGCTTGAAGAACAAGGACCGCAAGAGCACCATGCTGGGCACGTTGATTGGTGACGACGATACCAACAAATATTTCAAACGTAAGTACAGTGAGGTGCAAAGCAAGAAGACAAGCGGAGCCAAGGGCCACTACAAGAAGGTACGTGCAAAGCGCAACAAGTTTTGAAGGAACAGTGCGATTGTTGAGCCGTTTTGCAGTTTCGGCAACTATGTAGCCATCTCTTTTCAAGGTGGGTCGTGATATCTGGCCAATGCCTATCATAGTTACCTTGACTTTCATCTTCTATTCTCCCCCTCAAGGCTAATGGCATCGGAACTTGACGTTCTGAGATACGGGCGAACGTATCCACGATGGTCGTCTCTTATATGGACCACGAGTTTACTTGCTTGTGCCCAGTGGCTGGCCTTTTGAAAGGTCGGTAGCACAAGAACCCGCAGTTGCTATTGAGTATCCGAGGTGCGGCTGAGAAGAGTCGAAGTTATGTCAAGGCTGATTGCATCTTAAGGGCCTGTAAGACTTTCAAGGCCCCGGACTGCGGGACGCAGCAAAAAGGTCATTATTAATTGGGTATAAAGCCTGAAAGCGAAGTGACACTAAACTATAACGGAAGGCCTCCTTGTCGTCCAGCTGGAGTCAGTTCTGGGCAGATAATGATCATGTTTCGACGCCGGAGAATCTTGCTTATTCTAGTGTTCTAGCCGCCGAGCTGTTGTTTTCAATTTTTCCAATTACTGGAGACCAAAGGGGTACTTATAGCCTCACTCACTGGAGTATATAAGGAGGCACATACTAGGTGTCTGTTTCATTTCGAGACTTGTACATACCACTACTGTGATCTAAAATTTAAATCGAGTAAACGCAATGAATAGAAACATTGGGTAGAGCGCTAGCATGAGATTCAAGGCGAACTGGAAGTCAACCAGCTCTTGACTGATGATTTTCTCCCGGCCCAAGAAGATTAGCCACTGGCCAATACAGGCCTTGCGGGCATGTGTTTCCAAGGCGTTCTACATCTAAGTTGTTCCGCTTAGCGTGGGTAGAAGGAGGCACAATGTTTTGAAGTGCCGCAGTTTCCAGATTATTACGGCAGACACATATCTCCGATGTTCCTATGCTGTGTTAGAGCTATGTGTTTCGAACTTTCTGAAGGGTTGCATGTGTATTCCAGCGCAATTTAGCGAGTCCTATTGGGAGTTTTAATGCGCATTTCTGAGACGCCAGTATCTTGAAGCTCGTTATATGCGTCGAGGCTCTTGAAAAGCTCGAGTTTCTGGCTTATCAGCAAGCCATGGTCTTTTGGCATTTTTCCCGATGGAAATATTGAGCATTGCGAAACCCACAGTCGCATTTACCATCTAACCTCAGTGCCATGGACGCGCTGTCACAGCGAGAGGACCACGTCACTACTCCCCTCAACTTTCCAAAGGGTTTTGAAAACGTTGGTAGCGCTACATGACAGTTACGATGTACGTACCAGCTTCTCCATTTCAACCGTTGCGGCGATAGCATTCTGACTCTGGGAAGGCGTACGATCTCAATCTTGTCGTTGCTGGAGGCAGATTCTGGCTTGCATTCAAACACAAATTTCGGGGAGTCACAAAACTTCAGATCAACCCGTAGGAAGCCACAGACCGGCAGATGTCGTCCACTAAACAGGAATGAACCGAAGCTGCCATTGAACAGTCGATCTACCACCATGCACAGATCACCTGCAAGCTCAGCGCAAATGCCGTCTGGTCTCGGCTCGCATTTACGCCATTGCTGTATGGCGGACTGGCGTTTACAAGCACTGCGTCGCACATTGTGTATGTGCGATCAAGCGAGCGAGAAAAAATTTAACAGTGCTATCCGTTATCGCTTCGCGATAAGGACTTCACAGAAGATGCGCATTTCCCATGTTTTGTTTTGCACAGGCGACGTAGCATCAAAATGCTGGTAGGACCGTCTGTAGTGACGGTGAGAGCTATTGACCGAATCTCGGCACTACTAGACCCAAGGGTATTCTCACAATATTGATTCTAAAGAGCGACTGAGAGCCTGGCCCCGCAGAGTGGAAGATTTAAAACTTTAACGTAACCTGAGGTAGTATTCAACCACACGGATTGGTCAGGGAAGCCAGGCTAAAGTCACAAAGACCGTCTAGCAAACGAATCGTCCTTCTTCCCTTTTCAAAAGCATTCTCACACTGCCTCTACTTCGTCACCTCGTTTGTTAGCCACCCTGCTAAACATCAAAGCGAGCGAGGGCATTATAAGCTAGAGGAAATACCTTGGCTTGTCACCTTTGCAGAGGGCCCAGATAGAGTGAGTTCGAAAAGTTGAACAGCCCCTGGAAAGGGCCTTCAACATCATCAGATATATTTATTGGCTTGCCGGCACATAATCGAAGAAGCAACATGGAAGAGCACAGAGACGGCGTATGGGGTCGCCAGGAAGCGAAGCAAAAGCTCATGCAGGCTGTTGAAGATTCTTCTACGGAAGCCCTTTGGCAAATGTACTCTAGTGCGAAGGCATCCCTCCCGTTCCAAGACCGGATGTCGAACTTGACGTGGAGAATGCTTGGACTTCGCGTCAAGAGGGCCCGGGTAGCGAAGAGGGAGCAAATCGGACTTGGTTCGCCTGCCATGCCTACGGTCTACAGTGAGATCCTTCACCACGACCAACCGGGGGCCCCTGACAGGGACGCTGTTCCAGGAGATCTCGATTACATAGCTGAGCTTCGTGACAATAAGGACGCAGAACGTCCATCCTCAACCCATTCCGCGTCAGCAGTGCCTATGGAATTACACACTTTCAGGGACGCTAATCATCCACCGCACGCTAATGCCAACGGCCACTCTGAGTTGCACAGAGATCACCCTGCTCATGAGCCGCCTTACCATCAACTAAAAACAACAGCAAGTCCTGCCTCAAGGTTCAACGATTCGAACAACTCAAATGCAATGGCGGGTTCATTCGCTGCAGGTTCGAGTATCATGAAACCGTTCTCCCAACAACAGGGAGACATCCATAGCCACAGCCTTGGGTTCCACGACCATGCACATTATGGATCTTTTTCCAATGTCGACCAACACGTTGGTTTCATGGCAGATGTAGATGTCGAGAGCTTTGACGTTTTAGGGGGCCACGATACAGTCTCTCAGCAAGGTCAAAGCCAGGATGACGAAGATGACGATGCAGCACTACGCGAGACGGCAGCTTACTCGTCACCAGCCCTCATTAGTGATAGCGGTGTGTCTTCCACTGGTGGAAACGGCACTTTCATCCCCAACTCTGCGAATACTACAGGTCTCAACAAAACGCACCCTTCCGGTCAACAGTTCAGCAGCTCTGTCACTATTGGTGGCCTTAATTCTAGTGTGCTGAACGGTCAAACTTTTTTTGACGAGCACGATTTTCTTCACTCTGTTGATGAGGGCCACGAGGAGGCTGAACTCCCGCCTCTGCATGCCACCAACTCCCAAGTCTCATTGCCTGATTTGTACGACCGCAATTCTAACGTCACACCGATTTCCATCACTCGGCCAAGCACGGCCTGGCAAGGATTGTCGGGCGGATTAGGGTCTGCCTCACCAACATCTGCTTCAGCCGTCGCTAGTTCATTACCCACATCCCAAGGTATCCGCAGATCAACTAATTCGAATTCTGTGCGTAAAAAGCAGATAAAAAGCTCGAGTTCCAGGAAAGGAAGCTCAAGTTTCGCTAATATCAATAGTGGTACTGGTATCATAGCAAGCAGTTTGCCACAAGATAATGGCTCGATGGATGGCCTTAATCGTCGACCAGCCTCCACCGGACCAAACTCGAGTGCAGGAACTCCAAATGCTGCCAACAAGGTCGAAACAAAATGCACCAATTGCCACACCAAGACCACACCATTGTGGCGTAGAGATCCTGAGGGCAATCCTCTTTGCAATGCTTGTGGTCTCTTTTTGAAATTACATGGTGTCGTCAGACCCCTTTCCTTAAAGACTGACGTTATCAAGAAACGTCAACGGGCATCAAACAAGATTTCAGGGTCAAACGCTGGATCAGCTGTAAAAGAAGATTCATCCTCAAGAGATGTAATACCCAAGGTGCGAAGACCAGGCTCTAAGAAAAAAATGTCATCGTCAAATGTTTCCAATGAATTGCAGGCACAGACGTCTAAACCCTCGAGTACAAGAAGAAAAATGAGGCCGAATGCGCTGGTTCAAGACATTGATAGCAATGTGACAAGCGAAAGTGGTTCTGATACTGCGACACCTGCTCCTACATTTGCTGCTGAGGCTCAGAGTAGTAGTGGCATATCCAGGAAAGGCAATTCTTCCGAGATGGAAGTTGACCACCCCTCTGGCGTAGAAAGCGGCATAGCGGAGTTTGCAAATCCTAGCCGTAACAATAATGGGCTGGACGCATTTTTAGATCAATGGTCACACCCGCAATCAGGAGATCATCAAATGTCGCCGGGTCACACATTTGGTGCCGATCACACCTTTGTCCATCCAAACCCTCAATCTGCCATGAATGATGACTCCGAAGCTTTGGGTGCTATGGACGAAGCGGCCACCGCTACAGGGAGAAATAACGCAGGTGAAAACGCCAACTGGGAATGGCTGACATTGAGCTTATAACTACCAAAACTTACGATAAATTCTCACTTCCATTAATTAATCCAATTTGCTCCTTGTTCTGAACTTCATGTTTTTAAGCTTCATTTCGCAACTGTTGTGTAAATAATTTTAATTAAGATATTTTAGTAAATGTCTTGATATTGTTTTCGAACCTAGAGGCTTTCGTTCTCTCTAATGGCTCTGTCATACGCATAATCATTAATGCTAGCTTTATGAGTGAAAACAATAAATACTTGGATGGGTGAGCACTCACATGAGCCATGACACAAACATATAGTTTGAACACTTTCTTAAATTCAAAATCGGGCGTGTGGCGTAGTTGGTAGCGCGCTCCCTTAGCATGGGAGAGGTCATCGGTTCGACTCCGGTCTCGTCCAAATTTTTACTCTACGTTGAACAATGAATTTTTATCTTCTCCTCCCGCGATACACACACAGCGAACGATAGGTGCACCTGAACGTATCCGTAATGGAAGGTATTCGTAGCGTACCGTATTGAAAAATAAGAATAATATTGATACGTTACATGATGTGTATTTACTTCGAACTTCAACAGCATTTTATTCGATTAGAAGTTAATAGATTTGGAGAAGGCTGCCAAGTTAGCTTCTTTGAAAGCCTCAGACAAGGTTGGGTGAGCGTGACACACACGAGCGATGTCCTCAGCTGAGGCTCCGTATTCAAGAGCTAGACCCGCCTCTGCGATCATTTCACCAGCGTTTGGACCAACAATATGAGCACCCAACAGGCGCTCGGTTTCAGCATCGATCAAAATCTTAACAAAACCTTCGGTGTCCATGTTGGTTTTAGCCCTGGAATTTGCCATGAATGGGAACTTACCGACCTTGTAATTGATCTTGTCTTCTTTCAACTGTTCTTCGGTCTTTCCAACCCAGGCAACTTCTGGGTGGGAGTACATGACAGATGGAATGTTAGCATAGTTGACATGACCGTGTCCTTGCTTCAAATATTCCACAGCGGCGATACCTTCTTCTTCGGCCTTGTGGGCCAACATAGGACCGAAAGTGACGTCACCGATGACCTTGATGTGAGGGAACTTGGTATTGAACTGTTCGTCAATGACCAAACGGCCTCTCTTGTCAACGTCTAGACCAAGTGATTCAGCATTTAGACCTTGGATGAATGGTCTTCTGCCAACGGCAACCAATAGTACGTCGGCTTCCAAATTCTCCTTCTTACCGCTCTTCACGTTTTCAACTTCGATGTTAACAACGTCGCCGTTTCTTTCAGCAGAGATGACCTTGGTACCCAACTTGAAGTCGAAACCTTGTTTCTTCAAGAACTTTTGAGTAGTGGTGGCGACTTCATTGTCCATGGTGGCACCGATCTTGGGCTGAAATTCAATAACGCTCACCTTGGAGCCCAATCTGGAGTACACAGATCCCATTTCAAGCCCAATGATACCACCCCCGATGATAGCCAATCTCTTTGGGACTTCCTTGAGATCCAAAGCACCAGTAGAAGAGACGATCCTCTCCTCGTCGATCTTGATACCAGGGAAAGGAGTGACCTCAGAACCAGTGGCAACGATGATGTTTTTGGTCTCCAAAATGGTCTCTTCCGCGATACTTCCTTCAATACCTTCAACAGGGGACACTTTGATACTGTTTTCGTTTTCAAAAGAGCCGAGCCCTTTGTAGTAAGTAACGCCATTCTTTTTGAACAACATTTCGATACCTCCGGTCAATTGCTTGACACAGGTGTCCTTGGCCTTTTGGAATTGACCCATGTTGATGGCAACATCCCCGTTGATGTCGATACCACGTTGCTTCGAGTCGTGCTTCATCTGATGGTATAGGTGCGAGTTGTTAAGCAACGCTTTGGATGGAATGCACCCCACGTTCAAACAAGTACCACCAGCTCTGCCACGCTTTTCCACACACGCAACGTCAAACCCAAGTTGCGCAGCCTTGATAGCAGCAACGTAGCCACCAGGACCAGCCCCGATGATAACCAAATCGTGCTGTTTCTTAGCAGCCAGCAAACTCGAAGTTTGGCTCAAAAACCTTCTCGAGGCCCCGCTTTGCAGTCTAAATCTCAACATTGATTTCTAATTCGCAAACAATTGGAATAGTGATGCGATACACGAACGAAAGGTGATTGATTCGTCGAATGTACACTTAAGCACAAAATTAAATTACTGCAATTGAAAACCAAACTGGATCTGTTCAGTTCAGTAGCGAATTGCCCCTTCTCTTACTCAAGTGAATACGGGTTCTTCTCATTGGACCTTCCGTATCGAAGATATTTTTTTAACCAGAAAACGATGCTCGTATCGAATGCCAAGATGAGAGACACTTTTCCCACGCCCGTGAATAAACACAGCATTGGGCCCATGGCATCTTAGGTGCACTTTAACAATTCCCCTAGACTGCCACCGGTTTTTGGTCTTTTCTGTATCGTGTGAAGTTTGAGTTCCATCCATGGTTTTTCATCGAATGACAAATACCGTTCGTGAAAAGTCGGGTCCGAGATCGAAAATGTGTCCATGCAGCCTTCATTACCGACAACAGAGGGAATTGTCGAAGAGGCGTTCGGAGGTACTGCTGGCAGAAACCGGAAGATGAGAGCTAGACCTTCTCAGCCAAAGGAATTACTTGAACAAATCTCTTGACCAGCGATGAGCCGTAATACATGATGCATAACAAGGTGATGATATCTGTAAGCAGTGTACTTGTTCTCGATAAAATGCTGACACTGCTGCTCTTCGAGCAAATTAACATCTTAGTTGGGGGGTGTGACCGGAGCTCGAGGAATCAGGCTCTCAATATCGAGCAAAGAATCGACCGTATCACTAACGACGAACGCACTGTTTTTCCAGTTGTTCAGCTTGCTTCACTTCCGCTTCAGCGCGCTTACCTACTCGCTGGGAACTGGAAGATCGGCACTGGCCCTAAACTCACAAGATCGTCTAATATGGTATCTACTCCGGAGCTAAAGAAAGTATGTGAACGTCGATTTTGCTTTATTTTCTTTGAGCAACCTACTAACGCTTTGCCCTCTTACAGTACATGGACAAAACAGTATATATTCAGCTCAATGGATCGCGAAAGCTGATAGGGGTACTTCGCGGTTTTGATATATTTCTGAACGTGGTGCTGGACGATGCTGTCGAGCTCCGTAAAGATGGTTCGAAGACCCCCATGGGATCACAGTCTGTGATACGGGGCAACTCTATAGTGTCAGTGGAAGCACTGGAGCCATTTGCCTGATAGGAGAGCTATCCAAAAGCATTTTTTACATGTATAATAGACTAATATAGCTTGGGAATAAATTCAAATGCTGTCTGCCCTTTTGTGAGCTTTCATAACCTGTGATCCATCTCTACACCACATCTGCGGTACCCACATTTCTCGTAAAAACCTACGTTCTTATCATCACAATCCAAAATAACCTTATAGGCTCCTTGATCATGCGCTAATTTGGTCAAATGCTGAATTAAAAGCAGCCCTAACTGCTTTCCCTGTTGATCTTTCGCGACTGCAATGTCTTCCACATGGCCGACCAACCCGCAGTCCCGTATAATTTTGCGCTCGATGAAGACTGTCCCCGTGGCTACGACCCGGTCACTATCATCCACAATTACATGCGGGTTGTAGGCTGGTATAGAGTGAACTCCGATTTTCACGGTGGTTTCTTTCCAGTAATTTAGTGTCTCTTCGAATTGGGATCGAGTTACATTGCCCACAACAGTCAAGACTTTTAGGGTCTCTACGACACCATCATAGTCTTGTGGTTCAAGTCTTCTAATTGTGTAACCTTGCGGCAGAACAGGCATATCAAAGGACGTACTGACTCGCGTTTCGGGCCATTACGCTGGTTAAATGCACTATTAGATCTAATAATATAGAAGTCCGCGACTATTCGTTCGATGTTACCAGGATCCAAACACTGATGGCACAAGGCAATGAGAAACGCGCCTCACAACTGGTCCACACTCCTTCATAAGCGGGGAAATTTGAAGAAGACTATGTAGCAGTCCCCCGCTCCCCTCTCGCTTCTGTTTCTCCTTGAAATTTTGTATTTCTTGATGAATAGTAAATTTTGGTGCGCACTCAATTCTTAGTCGCGCGCACTCATATCAAAGTTGTCGCAGCCTTATTCCACTCTTGGTTTGCGATAAGATAGACCTTCAAAGAATTTGCCTCCGATCAGTGGCCCAGGTCATAAAAGTGATTACCGACGTTCTTACCTGGTAATAGCCTGCTAGAAGCAATCAAATGAAACAGAGTCGTAGCGGTATCATCAAATAAGGAGCATATACCGCCATAAGTTTGAGCTTGTCCGAAGTTTCCAGCGGCAAATAGTTGTCACCGGGGTAGTGGCCATCGGTCCAAATTTTATACAAACAAAAGCAGGTTGTCAAGGCAGCATTCCAACCATAAATTTTCAACCCACGAACCAAAGTTCTTTGGCAGTTGGTCAATTCAGCTTTTTTCATCTTTTCCTGGTAAGCAGTCCTCTTCAGAGCCCAGAACTGTCTGAACTTATAAACAAACCAAAAAAATGCTGGCAGTTGCCCGACACATTCAACCAACACAAACCACCAGAGCCAGGTTGGTTTGTCGTAGAGCAAGAAATCGTTATTGAGCTTAATGTGGTAGTCAACAAGGCTTTTTGAAAAATGGAAGCTGTCAGGGACTACAACGATCGAGTCCACCACTACCGTGGTGAAAATGTGCACTATGAAATAGTAGTAATAAAACTTTTGCTGCCCACCCGATAACATTTGTTACTGGTAGTACCCAATCGGCAGGGGATTGTAGGAAGCTGCGGACCAGGTGATAATGGTACTGCAATGGCTATAGATGTAAATTACACATTGCTTCATTACTTTAATGTCATTCAAGTGCAATTTGTTTGGATGATCTATTTACACGAGTTTGACCACGATATATAAAGTGTAGATGTAAGGAGTAATTCTATTTACAGGCTGGCGTTTTCCTTGGAACGGCCACTGCGGATTTGTCGGGTGGCTTCATTTCTTGTCGCCCTTGATCTTCTTGAAAGTGTTGGTTATGAAGTCTTCCAATTTTCCCAAGGCGCCGGGCGTGTCGGGATTATTATTCTCAGGTGGGGCCTGACTGCTGGTTTGGCCACTAAACTTGCCGGAATCCTCCGAGGACAGCACCGATTTCTTCGCCAAGGTGTCACCAGTTACGTCCGCCAACGCTTCCCACAAGCATTTCTCGGCCTGGGACTGCGGTTTCTTTACCACAACGCGGTACTGGACCTTCATATCGCCACGCAACCCAAATGAGCCTCTGGGCACACCTTTTTGTGGGATAGACACCACATCGTGGTGTTGTGTTCCTGCAGAGACTTTGAGTCGTATTTGTTCTCCTTCTACAGTAGGAATAGTCACCACTCCGCCCAGCGCGGCCGTGGTGATCGGGATGTCTTGGGTGAACCAAATGTCATGCTTGTTCTTGATTTGGTACCTGGGGTCCTTGTCGACGCGAATGCGAATCAACAAATCGCCTCTCGCCAAGCGGACGCTGTCCTTCATTGCGGGATCGACTTGCATATTTGGATACGATCCTTTGCCGGTTACACGTATGGCGTCTCCGTCCTGGAGGCCGTGAGGGAGGTCAACTTTCAAGCCGCAGTCTCTGTTCACTTTGGCACCTTCGCCATGGCAGGTTTTACAATTGTCGGAGTCCTTGACCACCGAGCCTTCTCCACCGCAGTTGTCACATGTGGATGCCATTTGGAACCCTGCGCGCACATGGACACGAGTGCCAGTTCCCGAACACACAGAACAGGTGCTCCTCGAAGCACCTGGTTTCAAGCCCGTTCCCTCGCACGTATTGCAAGGATCGTACGCGCTGTATTTCAGCTCAACGTTTTTCACACCAAACACCGAGTCTTTGAACGACATACGGTGGGTTACCTCCACGGGACTCCCTTGATACTCACGGTACATGGAGCGACCACGGGCTCCACCGGCGCGGGCCGACCCGCCCGCGCCTCCGCCGAACGCCGCGCCGAACAGGTCTTCGAAGTTGATGCCACCGAAGCCGCCGCCAAACCCTTGCCCTCCAAAGCCGCCTGCTCCGCCAAACCCGCCGAATCCGCCGCCGAAGCCTTCCGCACCGCCTGCACCGCCGGCCCCGCCTTGCGAGAAGGCCGCCGCCCCGTATTGGTCCCATTGCTGTCTTTTGGCGTCGTCGGACAGAATCTCGTATGCGTTCTGCAGGTCGTGAAAGCGCTGCTGCGCGTCAGCCGCCTTGTTGATGTCGGGATGGTACTTCTTGGCCAGCTTGTAGTACGCCTTTTTGATCTCGGACGGAGACGCCGTCTTGGCCACCCCCAACGTGGAGTACGGGTCTTTCAGCTCGTTGAGCAGCGCCGTGCTGGCGTGGAAAAGTCTCGCGGGCCTTGCAAAACGGGCCGCTCGAAAGCTGGGCTTGGCTTTGGTTGGCCTTCCCAGCTCCTTCAAAAGCGAGTAGCGATACATTGTCTTCTTGCGTCGATGCCACAACTACCTCGGTTGCCTGAGTATACGCAAGATGCAGCCGACCGGTGGTGAACGTAAACGGGGCCTTCACGCACGCTAGCCAAGCAAACGTACACTTTTTATTAGCCCTCCGCCAGAAATTTCGAGAACCGCCGCCCGCCCAGTCGTCCCACACGGCCGGTCCCGTGACCGCCCGCCCCTCGTCACGCCACACGGGAGACCCGCTTCGACACCCGCTCCGCGACCACGTGGGTACCCGCAAAGTACCCGCGCCGCCCCGGTCACGTGCTGCCTCGCTGCTCGCCGTCCGCCGTGGCGCTCTCAGCGCTCCTCGCTCGTGATGTCATGCCGACGCCCGCCAACGGCCCAGCCCAGCCCATTGCTGTGGCCCCTCGTGCAAAATGCAACGGCTCGGGATTGCTCTTGCCTCTCCAGAACAGTCGCCAGAACAGTCGCCAGAACAGTTGCCGGAACAGTCTCCAGAACACTCTCCAGAACACTCTCCAGGCTGTTGCTCGCGACGACGCTGTCATACCCAATAGAAACTCAATCGCGGGTGACAGAGCAATGAGCGCCCGTAGCACCGTAGCAAACATCTACTGGGCTCAGTAGCAAGGCGTGACAGCGCAATGGCCCTTACAGCAATAGTGGGAGTACCCAAAGCAAAAGCATGGGGGGCCAAGCACGAAGCAGGATGGGATGGGAAAGGTATAAAAGGGCGTGGCAAATGGTTGGATAGAATTGGAGATTCAGTTGGATTGTTTATCTGTTTATTTTATATATCATCAACAGCAAGCTACTCACTTGTATTGAAAACCACTCCTCTACCAACTACACTTTAAAGTATCAATAATGTCCGACTCCTACAGAAAAGACTTTTCCGACAAAGCCGCCGAAAAGATCAAGCCAGAGAGCGAAAAAACCACTTTCGAACAAGGTAAGGAGTTCGTCACCGACAAGGCCGACCAGGCCGCTGCGCATTTGCAACCAGAGAGCGAAAAGGGCGCTTTCCAAGGCGTCTCTGACTCTGCCCACAAGGGTAAGGAAGATGCCACCGGCAAGTCGGTCAGCGAGTCTGCTGGCGAGTACGTGGACGCTGCCAAGGCCAAGTTGAACGACGCTGCTGAATACGTCAGCAAGTCGTTGCACGGCGGCGAAAACTAAGAGTGTCTCGGCATGCACAAGTAGAAGCAGCCAAGTGTTGTTGGGCTTGCTACTTGACCTCCGGTTTCTCACGATTGTACGAAAATATATGGATGTCACGTCTACATAACTAACTAACTCCTCTACTAGGCATATAGCATTTTAACGAGATTTACTACTAGAAGCGCGGTTACTCATGCCTACACAACAAACTCATTGTCCTGGCGTTTCGACGAGGTTTACCACCAGGAACACAGCCAGGGCGTGTCAATAACTGACCACTCTACTAGGCATTTCAACGAGGTTTTCCACCAGAAACACAATCACTCATGCCTACATAACAAACTCACTACCCTGGCATCTTAACGAGATTTACTATTAGAAGCACAATAACTCGATGTCAGTCTTGACAACAAACTCACTACCCTGGCATTTCAACGAGGTTTACCTCCAGGAACACAATCACTCGATGTAGTCTTGACATAACAAACTCACTACCCTGGCATCTTAACGTGATTTACTATTAGCAACACTGTCACTCGATGCCAGTACTTGACCACTCTACTAGGCATATAGCATTTTAACGTGATTTACAACTAGAAGCGCGGTTACTCATGCCTACACAACAAACTCACTACCCTGGCATTTTAACGAGATTTACTACTAGAAGCGCGGTTACTCATGCCTACACAACAAACTCACTACCCTGGCATTTCAACGAGGTTTACCTCCAGGAACACAATCACTCGATGTAGTCTTGACATAACAAACTCACTACCCTGGCATTTCAACGAGGTTTATCTCCAGAATCACAGCCAGGGCGTGCCAATAACTGACCACTCTACTAGGCATACAGCATTTTAACGAGATTTACTATTAGAAGCACAATAACTCGATGGCAGTCTTGACAACAAACTCACTATCCTGGCATTTCAACGAGGTTTACCTCCAGGAACACAATCACTCGATGTAGTCTTGACATAACAAACTCACTACCCTGGCATTTTAACGAGATTTACTACTAGAAGCGCGGTTACTCATGCCTACACAACAAACTCACTATCCTGGCATCTTAACGAGATTTACTATTAGAAGCACAATAACTCGATGTCAGTCTTGACAACAAACTGTCATGCCTACTTAACAAACTCACTACCCTGGCATCTCAACGTGATTTACTATTAGAAACACTGTCACTCAATGTCACGCCGACATAACAAACTAACCTCCCCAGTATCCTAACGAGCTTTACTACCAACACAACCCGCACGGATCGGCCCGACATGGCAGACTCCGCCGCTCCGCTGCCTTCGCAGCTAGACCAACAGCGCGACCGCCTCGTCCAGCAGCGTGATGCGCTTTTCAGCCAGGTGGCCCAGCTCGAGGCTCGCGTACTCCATGCCAAGTACGACGCGCTCCCGCTGCCACCGTCCGTGACAAGCCTGCGCGCCCTGCAAAAGTTTTACCCTTTGCTGGATATCCAGTCGTTCGACGCCGAGGAAGCCAACCGGTTCGCAGTCACGTTCGTCGTCGCTGGCGTCACGGTTTCTTTCCGGTACGTAACTTGCCAGGGCCGTGTCGAGAGCTTGCAGGTCCTGAATGTGCTGCCCTCGCGTGTGCCGCTCCAGCGCCTGATTCTACATTGCCAGCAGACCTGCAATCTGGCTTTCCTTCTCTCCGGATGCTACGAATACGCCCGGCTTCTCGACGCCAGATCCCAACTGTGGAAGCGGCTCAGTCGGGAGCATCCATACCTCGCGTGCTCTGCCAGGTCACCCAATACCTTGATTCTGGAGAATTCGGCCTATGCCCTGAGCCTACAAATACACTACCGCATCGTGTTCGACCGCCTTCCTTTTCCTAGCTCACTCCTATCTGTTACGCTCTCAAACGGCCCCCAACATATCCCACACGCGAACGACATCTGTACCGGTCTCGTCAGGGAGTATGGCATCGACCACGGTTTACAACAATTTATAAAAGCAGTCCTACTCTAAGATTCGACTTTCGTGGACACGCCCAGTTTACAACAATTTATAAAAGCAGTCTACTCTAAGATTCGTGGACACGCCCGGTTTTGTACTCATTTCAACTAAACTCGTATATATTTTCTTCCTGACTTTTCCGATTCAGTAGCATCGCCCTCTTAGCCCCGTTGATGGTACGAAGAAAATCTGTTTCGAACCCCAGGACGCCATCTTTAAACTTCTTCCTTTTCTTCCCACGCACTCCGATTACGGTCGCCATCGTCACGTCTTCGAATTCGTGGAACATCTTGATCAAGCCCAGCTCTTCCCGTTTGCGACGTACCACAGACTGAGCTCTTTCCAGCTCTTGCATAACCACATCCTGAGTACGATGGTCCGCAATTCTCTCTCGCTTGTCGAATTTTATAAGTTCCTCCATCTCATCTTTCATTTTCTCATCCAAAAGTTCACTCCCAGCCTCTTGCGAAGCCGGGGACGCTGAAATTCCCTTTTTTTTCTGTCTTTTCCGTGGTTGTTGAACCGCAGGCGGACTATCCGCGTGTGGAGTAATCCCCTTTAGCTTGAGTTCATCTTGTGTCTCTCCCTTTATCGTCGTCATATCCGCCACACTATCGTCCATCGAATCGGTAGTTCTCTTGACCTGTTTGCGATAGGGTCTCTTAGCTATCGCAGGTTTCGTTGGAGCTTTCACACCTTTCTCTTCTCCCTCCTCTTCTTGTTGATCGGCGGCTTTGGAGCTGACTCTTGAATTGGTCCTCCCTGAGGTTCTGGATGACGTCCTAGACCCCGCTTTTGGTCCTCTCTTCTTGGTTAAAGTAGCTTTACCATCTTCGATTGCGCCAGAATTCTCCTCGCCCATCTTTTTTTCGAATTTTGTTTGTTCCATTATGGATTTACTATCATCCTCACCTGCAGTTACGCTATGAGGCAACCGGTTGTTTCGCAACAAGAAATCCCTACGTTTAGTTTTCTGATCCTCTCCAAACTCAATTTCTGAAGTTGTGTCCTCATCAACATCATCGCTGCTGGAGTCAAGTTCGAATTTGCCGTCAACTCCAAACAGCTGCAAAGATTTGGCAATCTCTGGTTCTGTCATATCAGTCTCCAAGTGAACATAAATCAGCCATAGGATAATCTCTGCTCTTTGTTTGGGATCCAACGTTGGGTTCTCCAAAATGTCGAAAAAGGTCAAATCATTGGGATCTGCAACATATTCTTGGAGGAACTTCAGATTTACTAGCGCCGAGTTATCACACAAATGGAAAATCAGATTGACAGGGTTGGAATCCAGCAATTTGCCTTGCTCGGGAGTCTCGTAAAACTCAGTAAGCGGTAAGTTACCATTTCCTAGGGGCAAGTTTTTTAATATCGACTTTAAGCGAGGTGTGTCTTGCAAAGACTTGGGATCTCGGGCATCCTTTTGAAGGCAAGGTATAGAATGGAAGGTTCGTAATTGAGACGTCATTTCTAGGAAGAAGTTGATCGTCGTATTCAACCTACCTGTATTAACCAAAAGCGAGAGAGCACAGGTAGAGAAGGCAATATTCTGATCAAATAAAAGCTTGTCGCGAAGTATTTTAGAACACTTGGTTGATGACGCAATGCTCAAGAGGTAGCACTCTGAAAATGTCAGCTTTTCATTTTTTATGAATTTGCGTGCCACATAAGCATCATCTGTAACATTAAGATGCTCTTGCTCCTCTGCAGGGGAAATTGAAAATGAATCCTGATACCAATTGGTGAAAAGGGGCCTTCGATCCGAGCATAGATTGTGCAAAAATTCGTATTGTATTTCTTTTCGCGTGAAGTATTCCCCATCAGCCTTTTTCAAGTGGCGCATATATTTACTAGGTTCCCGCATCCTCCTTTTGTGTGGTTCAGCTCCATTCACAGAGTTAGCATTGTCCTCACTTTGAGTAGAATCTCCGTCATCGTCTGATCTTGGTCGAGCTAAATCACCCGAGGAAATTGTATCCTCCTGGTCCTCGCGGTTTTGAAATACATCGTGTATGGGATCATAAACTCGACTACTCATCTCAAGGTTCCGCTGCCTGCCGTTTAAACGTGTTTCTAGGGCGTCAAATGCGAACTTTTTGTATATTAGCGATCCGTTCTGGTTAACATTACAGAGACAACTTACAAACATTCTATACGAATGAGGACCTCTACATATAGTTTTTATGAAGTCCACTGACGCGTTGATATAGCTCATTCAGCAGGTAATGGTAATGACCCACTATCGTCTTTAATCTATCTAGCGTTCAGTGAGAAGCGACCAGGCAAAATAACCAGGAAGATTGTTTCAATGTAGGATTCAAAAATCACCGCCCCCAAAATCACCACCACCAAAATCACCACCGCCAAAATCTCCCCCACCGAAGTCACCTCCATCATATCCTCCGCCATCGTAATTTCCGTTATCATCATAGTAATTGTTTTCAACCATCGTTTCATGGGGCATCATGGCAGACGTTAGCAAGGACCCCGCTAACAGTCCTCCCCCTGCACCCAAAAGACCACCCATCATGGCGCCTCCATGTTTCTTGCGGCCCTGCTGTTGCTGTGGCTGTTGGTAGAAGCCCTGTTGTGGGAACCCTTGCTGAGGGTAGTATCCCTGCTGTTGCTGATAATAACCTTGCTGGGGATAAAAGTTTTGTTGTGGATAGTTTTGTTGTGGATAGTTCTGTTGTGGATAGTTTTGTTGTGGATAGCTTTGCTGAGGATACGCCTGTTGCTGCGCGGTGAAGTTACCACGGCCGGTCCCCCCTGAAGCGTTGCCGGAGTTGTCTCTTACGCTAGATGGTTCCCCCGAAGGCCGCGATTCTTTATATGGAGGTGGTGCGTCGCTATTCCACGTTGTACCCTTTGGCTCTTCCCACTGAGATTTGCCGCTCTTCAAGTCAACGAAGAAGTATGTTTGGTATTCATCATCAAGAACCGCTTTCCAGCCGTCAGGGACACTGGGTGGTGAGCTTTTTGAGTGCACCATTTCTGGTTTATAAGAAAACAAATTATAGGGCAGATCACCAAATCGAAGAGTGCACCTCGGAGGTCGTTGGCCGTTTTGCTTCAGTTCTTCTCCCTCAGCTTTTTTAAATTGGGAGGGTGTTATAATCATATACTGTAATGAGAAAGCCGTCCAGTCAATCATGCCATCCTACGAACACCACCGTAAGTAAACTACCCAGCTGCGTTATACAACAGAATGGGGTTGGCCCGCTACACATATGTCAGTTGGCAGCACCTCTAGGGGCTAATTCTAACGCTCCGAAATGAGTTTACGCTGGGCTTCTCGGTCATAATAAGCTTGGTCTATCACGTCTATGTCTACGTTCAGCAAGAGTGGTCTAAAGCTTCGCAAGCCCTAAAGTTTGGCCGTAAAGTTTTAGCGAGTGGTCAGCAACTCCAAAAGAAGTCTCGAACCCCATGCCACCTAGCCCATAAGCATGAATGATGGGTCCCCGAGAAGTTTTCTCAAGCTCAACACGACTACCCCCTACTCTGGCAGGTCTAAAACCGACATTGATGCGTTCTACCAAAAATTTATTTTGGACCATTAGTTCCGGGAACAGAACACGGCCCCTTTCAATAATTGCAGTAGTATCCATTTCGGAAGGAGTGACATTGTTATAATTAACTTGTTTAGTACCACCCAGAATGTACCGGGCTTGTTTGCCATGCAAACCAGGCCTTTTAATAACAAACGTCCAATTACCATTCTTGTCCTGATGCGTAACGGTGAGCTTCTTATATTTGGTGTCATGAGGCACTTGTAGGAGCAATGTTTGGCCCCTGATGCCAAAGGACTTGACATCATACGAGCCGTCGAACTGTAGTCCTCTCCCCGAGCAGTTGAATACTACTGAACAGTTGTTGCAGATCTCAAATACTTGGGACAAGCTCTGTAAGGTCATCCGCTTAAGCTCCAGAGAAACATTTCTCGCCCTACTCAAGCGACAGACTTGGTTTTGCAAAAACTCTAAGTATTCTGGAGCGTTGAGACAATATGTCTTGTATTGGAAGCCGGCTTGAACAGCTTGCGGCAATGCGCTCTCAGGCAATTCAACGAATTCTTCGAGACTTGTGGCGTTAAAGCCGGGACTTTGTCCATCATACTCCAAAGTTGGATTCTCTAGATAATCAATACCAGACATGAACTCTATTGTAGACTCTGGGAAATGTGCTGCTATCTCCCTCATGCGTTTATACGTGAGCCGGGTGTACTTCGACTCTCTGGCATCACTTTCGAACGTCTCCGGACGGTGTGGAAAGGGCCTAAAATGAGCTCCTGCCCAAGCAGACGTATATTCGTGGCTGATAGGAGACTCACCCGGAAAATGCTGAGCAATGATGTGAAGCTGTTTTACCTTCAAATTTGGAGAGGATAAAAGCTCATACGCGGTGCTGAGACCTATCACACCACTTCCTACAATGGCTACGGTTGACATTGCGACATATGAGCGACTAAATCCCACGCAAATTTGGCCGTGAAGCCCGGTTCTTCTTGAGTTAAAGTTTTTTGAGTTTTATTATTACGCATGAATCCAATCGGTGGTCGTGCAAACGAAATCCCAGGGCGAGTCAGTTACTGTTCTAACTGCTGACGAACAAAAAACCGACAGATCAGTAACATCTTTTAGCTCTTTTCTCAGTCAATATTCCTCTCTAAAACGTTCTCTTCTTGTGTTTGAGGTACTACTATCGCCTTGTCTGCCTACAGATTTGTATCACAAGGTCTTTACTTAACAAACAAGCTCAGAAGAATCTTGAACTTTCGTACCACTGCTTGCCTTGATAGAATTTGTTACAGCCACCGGACCTCAAAAGGTCACTCAAGGTCACTATCCGACGTGCCGCGAGAAGAAGTAAAGTTTGCTTAGCGCCAAACAAAAACACAGACACCCGTAGGCAGAGCTACATTTTGAGAGCCCAGATCCTTGAAGTATATAACTCGGCATGTACATCATATACAGGAAGTGAGTAAATGCCATCTACTTTGTGCCGTTTATCATAAACTCTTCTCAACCGAAATTGGTCCGTTCGTGTAAAGAAATCGCAGTTGTATGATCATCTTGTAAGCTACTGCATCAAATAAAAACCATAAAACCAGAGAAATACGGCCTCAAAGAGCTAAAGACCTTAAATAACTGCTGAAAAGGGGTAGGTCTTGGATTATGACTTTTGATGCTAAAGAATACCCGCTTTCAGGTATTGAGGTTCCTTTCCAGTACAGATTAAAAGAAGCCAATGACGAGCCTGCTGCCTTAAGCATAGAGATGGACCTACTATCTAATAGCACAGTTGATGAAAATGTGAGAAAGCGGAAGGGAAACCAGGTCGATGAACCACTTTTCGAGCCGAAGCGGATGAAATCCGGCGCACGAACCTGCGTGGACGATGAAATAGTTAGGACACCAAGCATGGAGTCCCTGTTGAACTACAGTGTGGAAGAAGACGAGAGCGTTTCGCACAGGCGAAGGGCTCCTAACCGGTGCGGAGAAAGTCCAAATGAAGAGTCCATCATTTCGGTGGCTTCGGTCGCGGCGGCCAATACGACCGCTCACGCCTGTGGCCAAAGCGAAGATGGGCTTCCCTTGTCTCCTGTGGCGTCTCCAAGCAATGCCTCTTCCGTGGAAGATCTCTATAGCTTGCGCAAATCGACATACCAAGGAGAATATCTGAGTGCCATGGCCTCCAGGGCCCAAACACAACTGTCACCTTCGGCTTATCGCAATCTAGTATTCCAACTTGTCAGTAAGCTTACTCGAAGTGAGCTATCCGACCTGAGCACTTTGGTTAAGGATAATTTGAAACGGGACTTTTTAAGCTCTTTGCCTATCGAGGTTTCAATGAACATCCTGACAAATTTGGAATTCGCCGATATTTCGAGTTGTCTTGAAGTCAATAAGTCTTGGAACTCGCTGATAAATAATACTCCGTACCTATGGCGGAAACTTATGGTCAGCGAGGGTTTCATGTCCCAACAAGTATTCAGGAAGTACCGTCAAGAGATTCCGTCAGTCACGCAAGCCGATCCCCAGACAGAGGATGAAGTTCGTCTAAGATTTCTGAAAAACCAAAGATATTTGAACAACTGCTACAGCAAATCGTTCAAACCTCACAGAAAGACCCTGAAGGGCCACTCGGTTAAGGTCGTTACGTGCCTACAGTTCGAGGATGACTATGTGATTACGGGTGCAGATGACAAAGTAATACGAGTTTATGACGCCAAGAATGAGCAGTTTGTAACCCAACTATGTGGACACGACGGTGGAGTATGGGCTTTAAAATACGCTCAACATGGGATAATAGTCAGTGGCTCTACTGATCGCAGCGTTCGTATTTGGAATATTCATAAAGGCAAGTGTACACATGTTTTCAAGGGTCATACATCTACGGTAAGGTGTCTGGATATTGTCACACATCAGGGAGAGAAATTCATAATAACAGGCTCCAGAGACCACACCCTTCATGTATGGAAATTGCCAAATTATCATGCTGAGGACTACAATCCTGAGGTATGCGAGGTCTACAACACCACCGAGTCCAATCCATTTTTTGTGGGGATCTTGCGTGGCCACATGGCATCCGTGCGTACTGTATCAGGTTATGGCAACATTGTGGTCAGTGGCTCTTATGATTTCAATGTGATGGTCTGGGATATTGCCCAAATGAAATGCTTGTATGTACTCACGGGGCATACTGATCGCATCTACACTACGATTTATGATCATGAGAGAAAAAGATGCATCTCTGCTGGGATGGATAGCACGATAAGGATTTGGAACTTACATGACGTCCAAAGCAACGGGCACTGTAGCACTATAAACTCGCCTAATAACGCATGCATCAAGGTAGCAGGTTCAATGTTGACATTGCAAGGTCATACAGCGCTAGTGGGGCTGTTGGGTCTTTCCGACAAATATCTTGTTAGTGCTGGAGCAGAAGGTGTTCTGAGGGGATGGGATTCGCATACTTACTCTCGCCAATTTGCCTACCACTCGAAAGACATGGGTGCCATAACGAGCTTCTACGCCAATGATAATCTTCTGGTCAGCGGATCAGAGGGCCAATTTAATGTCTACAATCTCAGAAGTGGGAAGCCGATTCATTCAGACCTGCTCAACGATGCGGATCAAGTGTGGGCTGTTAAGTTCAACAATAGGAAATTCGTCGCTGCTGTGGAAAGAGATGGGCATAGCTACGTCGAGTTTCTGGATTTTGGAAGGCCGCATGAGGAGAATGAGGGAGTAGACATTGACCAGAGCACTTCGCCAAGAGCCAATTTTTCAGCACGTCCTGTGCGTCTCATGGGCCAAGAACTGTGAAGCGCGTAGGCGAACCTTTTTCGGAAACATTACTCTCTCTAGTTGAGCGCTCTCTTCTTGCTCGTCATGTGCTCAGGACTGGTAGATGCCCAGAAAAAAAAATTGTGGGTGCAGTAAGAGTGCCTCCTCTGCAACCTTAATGTCTACAGTTAGGCTATTTAAATTAAACCAGTCTTAATGTGTTCGACAATCGGTCTTCGGACACCATTTTCATCTTGCACAAAATAGCTGTTGGAGCGATATCCCTCCGAAGATATCTCCGAGATGAACGACTTCAGTACCCCCTCATCGTCTACTACTCTGAGAAAGCGAGAATCCAATGATATAGGTCCCGCATTGACTGCCGAAGAAAGGGTATTTGGTCCCAGAAACGATTCACAGCTCTCAGCATGCAGAAGCACAGAAAGGTCGTCGCTGGGTGTGTTGTTGAGTGCTTTAGCCGTTGTGATTACCTCAGCCCTCATGTTTTTGCTCGGAGTCAATATCGTGATTCAGTATAGGACAATGGTCACTGATGACCGCTCTGGACTTGTGCGCAAGGCGACATATATTTTACTGAGCGGCTTCGCTATATTCTTGCTGAACAAGTTTAACTTGTGGTTTTATCGAAAGATGTTGTCACATTTTTCGGGCGCTAAATACCAACGTGTTGCTGATGAGAATGGTTTTGAGATGATGACTAGGCGAGCGTAAGAGCTACATTCCAACGGTCATGCATACTCACATATAAATAAATTTTTATGTATACTAATCGATATTACGTTTAATGAAAAGGGTGCGTGCGGGGAAACTGTCGATTCCATGTATGTGAGAACGAGACTATTCTTGATTGGCTCGTGGTTGATATTAACGGTTTTGGCAAGCCAATGGCCCAAGAAACGGAAAGAGTTAACATACCCTCGGACCGTCTGCTGATGTCAATTTTCTTTAGCATGAATATTTCATACCAAGGCATAGATTTTCGAAGATGGATGAGAACGTTTTCGCGGCTTCAACCCAATAGTTACCACAGTGAGGGTTAGCAGACTAAATATAGTTAGTGTTTGTGTGTTATTAGAGGGTTGGCTTTTTTTTATAGAACCTCTGGCAAGCTCCACAAATTCAAAGCACCAGGCATAAACGAAGCGACTTCAAGTATACAATCCCAAGTTCAGTAATTCTTAAGAATTGTGCTATATCAATTGTGGTTAATCCACCCCGCCTTAGGTTGATTATTTTCGCATAGAGTAACCTTTCATGGCAAGCCTAAATCGCCTTAAATGCTATTTAATATTGAAACATTGTTTTCAGCAGCTGAGCCGTTTTTTTAGATGTTACCATCTGTTTGGTTTTAAGATCCCACGCAGGTACTTTACGAAATCCATGCCATTTTAGAGTATAGTGATCTATTATTTATCAACGCGTAAGATTTCTTCAATATACATTTCTGAAACTGACGCGATAAAATTAATTACAATAGCGTTCATTATCCTAGAATCATTGCGCACCTTCCCCGAACTTTCTCCTCAAAAGCCAACACTACAATGGGTCGCTTACTAGGCTTAGAATTAAATAATTTCAAGTCCTATAGAGGAACGATAAGTATAGGTTTTGGAGATTCAAATTTTACCAGTATCATAGGTCCCAATGGCTCTGGTAAATCAAACCTTATGGACGCCATCTCTTTTGTGCTTGGCGTGAAAAGTGTACATTTAAGATCGCACCTACTCGCTGATCTCATCTATCGAGGCAGCCTCTCCCACGAAGAGGACAGCGCGACTGGAGCCGAAGTGCAGGGTTCCTCGAAAGATCCTGTTTCTGCGTATGTTAAGGCTTTCTACACTCCGACCAATCAAGCGGAGGATTGCGTTGAACTTTGCCGAACTATATCTAAGGAGCACGATAGTACATACCAAATCGATGGGAAGATAGTGAACTACAAGAAATACAGTGATTTCCTGGAAAGCCAAAACATCCTCATTAAGGCACGCAATTTTCTTGTCTTCCAAGGTGACGTTGAGCAAGTGGCTTCACAAAAGCCTCAAGAACTTACCACACTGTTCGAACACGTCTCAGGCTCCATTCAATACAAGCAGGAGTATGATCAATTGCGAGAAGACCTTGAAAGGGCAAGATCTGCGACTTCTGATGCAATACAGTCCAGGAAGCGAGCTCATGCCGGCCTTAAAAGCTTTAAAGAAGGTGCAAATAGGGATGAAGAGTACAGAAAATACATGGAAGAACGCACTGTGGCTCAGCAACGTTACATTGTCTGGCAACTATATCATCTGAAAGTTCAAAAGGATGCAATGACCGAAGACCTCGAGAAATCAACGGCAGAGCTTCGTGACTTTGAAGCACGTTTGGCTACTGAAGAAGACTTATTGAAAAAGAAGCAGAGCTCGTTTGCAAAAGCGCAGGCAATTGTGGCCAAACAAAAAACGAAGCTCGTTGGAAGAATAAACACCAGAGACTCGTTGAGCTCGTCATTGCTACCTTTGATGAGCTCGAAATCAGGCGTAGAGAAACAAATGGTTGCAGCAAAGGCCAAAATCGACATCTTGCAAAAAGATGTGGAGAGGCAACGTACCCTTTTGGAGCAATACACTCATCAACTCAATGTTGTGCGGAGGGCCAAAGATAGTTTTACCAGTGAAATTCAGGATATCGCCCGAACCCGTGGCAACTATACACTAAGCTGCGATGACCTTCAAAAATACGAAGAGCTACGAGAAGAATTTCTGAGCTCTGGCGGCTCCAAAATCGAAGATCAGCTCCTCCTCGAAAAAAACGATAAGAAAGAACTTCTACGTGACATTGAACTCTACAATCAGAAACTTGAGGAATCGATAGTCAAGGTCAATGAAGATTTGGGCGTGCAACAAGAGAACTTAGAGGCTGAAGTAACTGTGCTATCGAAGGAGCTAAACGAAAAAAATGCCGAGGTTTCAAAGCTTGTCAAGAAATTGAGGGAATGTCAATCGCGGGCCGAATCGAACAGCAATAGGGAATATGAGATGAATTACAGGCTGAAGGAAACACTTTCCAAGCTAGATGATATGGATGCCACACAAAGGGAAACGGCGAAGGAGAGGAAACTCAGAGAAAATGTGGCCACGCTGCGAAGGCTATTCCCTGGCGTCAAGGGCCTTGTACATGACCTTTGTCGTCCAAAGAAGGAGAAATATGCAACAGCAGTATCTACAGTCCTTGGGTATAACTTTGACTCTGTTATCGTCGACAACCTGTCAGTCGCGAGGCAGTGTATATCTTTTCTCAAAAAGCAGCGTTCGGGCATAATTTCGTTCATTCCGCTCGATACAATCTCTGTCAGTAAGGTTTCTATTGCGTCCGTACAAGCGCAAGGATGCTCGCTTGCAATCGATGCTATTGAATACGATCCCGAGTTAGAGAGGGCATTTCAGTATGTCTGCTCTGATGCAATGATCTGTGATTCACTCTCCATCGCCAAAGAGATGAAATGGAAGCGTGCCATTAGGTCCAAGTTGGTAAGTTTGGACGGTTCAATCGTCCATAAAGCTGGCTTAATGACTGGTGGCACGTCAATAATTTCGGGGAACAGGTGGGATAAAGAGGAATACCAAAGTTTGATTTCATTAAAGGATACTTTGCTGGACGAAATTGCTGAACTATCTAGATCTGCCCGATTGGATCTTGAAACAATTCGAAATTTTGAAAATGACCTTTCTGTGTTGAGCGCAGAGACCACAGAATTAAAAACACAAGCTGCCCATGCTCAAAGGATGCTGAAAGAAAAGAAAGTCGAAATAGACTACCAGAGAAAACTCGCGGAGCAAGAGTTCAAACCAAAAATCGAAGAACTGCAAAAAAGGCTTTCAGAACATGTAGAATCCATCACCAAGTTAGAGAAAGAGAAACTTTCATTGCAAAACACAATTTATAGCGACTTTGCCGAAAAGGTCGGTTTCACTGCCAGTGAATATGAAGCCCATTCAGGAGAAGTGTTGCGGAAACAGTCTGAAGATTTGCGAAAGCTGCAGCTGCAAATGGCGAGTAGCGAAAAGAAAGTAGAATTCGAAGCAGAGAGATTGAGAGTGACTCAAGAGCGTCAACAGAAATCGCACGTAGAGATAGAAAAGGCCAAAATAAAAATGGAATCACTTCTAGGCGACTGCAACAGTATTTCCGAAGAAATAACGGCAGAAGAAGCACTTATTGTTGAGGACGAAGGAAAGTTAGAAAAGACCAAGGTGGAGGCCAATAAGCTATCACTAGGGTTGAATGCACTCGAGGAAACCATTCAAGAATTGACCGATTCTCTCAATGTATGCAAGAGCAAGCAAGCGGCTGTGTCAGAAGATATTGAGAAGCTGTCTCTGGAGAAAATCAATATATTGAAGAACTGCAAAATGCTCAATATTAATCTTCCGGAAGGATCCTCGCCACTCGATATCATATCCCTTGATAAGGTTGACGTGAACGCAGTGGATACAGCAAACAGTTTTGATGTTGAATTTGGCAGCTTAAGCCGTAAATTGCGCCAAAACGGTGATGAAGAAATCGGAGCCGAATTCAAGAGGAGCATCGAAGAGTTAAACGAGCTCCTGACGGTGCTGCAGCCCAATTCCAAAGCCGCGGGGCGCTATGAGGATGCCAAGGTAAAGTACGACCAAATTTATGAAGAGACTGAGAAATGTAAAAGGGCTGAAAAACAGATCAACGAGCAATTTGTTAAGGTGAGAAATAACAGAAGAGAGGATTTCCACCGTGCTTTCGACCACGTTAGCGGAGTGATCGAGGAAATTTACAGAGAGTTGACCAGAGATCCGCATTCTACAGCTGCCCTTGCCGGGGGAACCGCTAGCTTAACCTTGGAAGACGAGGATGAGCCGTACATGGCCGGTATTCGATACCACGCAACTCCCCCCACACAGAGATTCAAAGACATGGAGTATTTATCTGGCGGTGAGAAGACCATAGCAGCACTAGCCCTTTTATTTGCCATCAATTCGTATCAACCCAGTCCCTTCTTTATATTGGACGAAGTCGACGCGGCGCTTGACATCTCAAACGTGGAACGAATTGCCACATATATCCGCAAACAAGCCCAGACAGATTTGCAGTTTATCGTCATTTCGCTTATCAACACGATGTTTGAGAAATCTCAGGCACTCGTTGGCGTGTTTAGGCAGCAGAGCCAAAACACTTCGAGAGCTCTAACCTTAAATTTGGAAAATTTTGCTGATTGAGTCCGCCACTGATGTTTGTAGACAGGGGTCAGCATGGAGGGAATGCAACTTTGCTGACCAAATTGAAGGGTGCTCAGTCACCTGGTCGGGTGCTGTCTCCAAATTCCCCGCAGTAGTGGATGGAAGAGAGGAGTATAATTGCAGCGTGAGCCAGCAGCTCTCTACGAATCATGTTTAGTTATTTACTCGCAATGTTATTCAAGAGGATCAAAACAACTCTTTACCACTACAGATAGCTAGTTAAAGCGCTTGTTCGCCATTTTTCTTTGATTTACAGGATATATCCAGGTCGTCACTTTTATTTTTTTATTGAGATTATGGAATTCTATCACATCGTAGCGCCATCGCCCCGCCAAGCTCATCAAAGACTTAGATCAGAATATCAGGATATGAAGACGACCCGTTCCAATTCTGGGACAGATCTGTCAAGGTCCAAAAAGGCTAAGTTTCCTCATAGCGCTTTTCAGATAGGTAACGAGTCGCCTGTACGGCGCCCAAAATCAGCGACGCCACTGCACTCATCCAAGATTCAACAACAGGAAGCATTCACAGAGCTCATCAACAAACGTTTACATCATTATAATTTAGATTATGTGGAAAGTAAGGAAGAGCACTTAAAGCACATATATGACCCCCTCTCAAGGTGGTTTTGTCGGGATGTGAAACCGGCCTTTGTTGTTGAGGACTGTCTTCCATACCGAATTGAGAGCCACAAAGAGCAAGCCAAGTATTTGTGCCATGTGTTGGTCAATTTATACATTTCAGTCAGCTCCCTAGACATCCAAGGTCTTATATCGATATCAAGTAAGGATTTGGCCGATCTGGAGGTCGAGATTGACAGCTTAGCACTCAACACCGATATGTTCAAATTATCCAGCGATGAGGATTCCTCATTTAACGATATCCAGAACTTTGATGAAGATGAGGATGACGAGTTTGACGAGTTCGTCGAATTAGACGGACTCAGTTTCAACGCCACTGGGAAAATCACCGCTAGGTCAGCAAGGGTAATCAATGTCAATCACTGGGCAAATGAACTTAAAAATTGCCTCCACTTTGAGATTCCCATAAGTCTGAGGAAGATCCTAGCCTCCATTTTCTATTGTCTTTCATTATTACAGGGACAAAAAGTCTATCGACCAATGTATGTCGACTTATTTGAGGCTCTGGTAAGTACTGACGATGAGGGCACGGATTTCACTCAGCTATTGCTAGAAGCAGGATTAGAAATAGATTACAAACCGATGAAGATGTTCCTCGATGAATTTTTGCCCTCAGCTGACGCGGAGTATACACGCTTTGAAATTTCTAGCAAGGCTGATAACCAGCTTTTTAGGCTGCTTCTAAAACTTGCCCACATGGCAAAGCCGTTTTACAACCACAAGGCTGACATTCTCAAGGAGACAATGGATCATTTTATTTCTAGTTTGTCGCCATTGACTTCTTTCAGCGTATTTCCTATTATAACTTCCTTCGTCCCGTACCACTATCAAGAGAACGTGAAAATCACAGACTATTTTCCTTTTCTCTTCACATTGTGGACCACAACTACGCCATCGATTGGCTTTGATACTCATTTTTATGACTTTGTTGGGTGCATCGCAGAGGATGCACACCATCAATTACTACAACAAGAACAACCCAGGCTAGAAAAAGTGAGTCAAGTGGCTTTTGGTGATTTTGGTTTGTTAACGGTGGACCAAATTGACTTCATTTTTAATAGGGTCCAGAACCATTTAAGAAATGATTTTCAAATTGTCTCATTTAGCCGGACTGTAAGGCCCCTGATCTACTCCATCAATGGTTTACATAACCAGGAATACTTTGCTAAGTTACAAGAACTTCTAAAGTCGATCGAGACATTCGCTCATCCCTCGAATAATGGACCGTGGACTAAGGTGATAGCCAAGTTCGTGCATGGATTTATCAAGATGTACCATCAGAGGGTCAAATTTGAATCAAATGATAAGGCGAAGTTCAGGGCTCCTTTGAAACTGAATAAGGCATGTCATCAGCATCTTCTGGGCATTTTTCGCAACGTGATATTCCTTGGGGCTCAAAATAAAAATCCTGATATGGCAAATTACTATATTTCATGTCTGGCCTATATGCTTGACATAGAAAGCGATAACAAGTACCTCCTGCTCGATAGGGTTCTCCTCGACTTGTACGATTCCCTGGGTGACCTTTACATCCATTCGGCCCACCGTCTAGTATCATCGCTTAAGCAATTTACGAAGGCGGCTAGGTTTATGATTGAAGAACCCTTGTTTCGCGTTCATATAGTCAACCTTCTATCCTTACTAGTGGCCAAAATAGATTCCAATGATTTGACGCTGACGAGTAACGTCATCAATTGCATTGTCTCCATTTCTTCATTTATACCATTGGAAAATTTGATATCTGAAGGCGAATATCTGAGCTTCGAATCCCATACATTACCGTTCATTCAAGAGCATATTTTCTTTATCAAAGAGGGCGGCTCGTCTCACGAGTTCCACTATGATGGTTCAGCGATGAAAGCAGCTTTTAAGGCATCGACCACAATTTTTGAAAACATACTCAAAGTTTACCTAGATAAGGTCGTACAGTTAGTTGACTGTGATTTGGAAGAGGGTTTTATCAGCAAGTTGAACCAAACTACAATGATAATGATTGAATCCATGTCTGATTCCACATTCAAGTATTTCGCCGACGCGCTAGAGAGAACTTTCTGGGAGAATGACTATTTCAAAGAACAGGAACCAAATTACGAATTTTTAACCATACCACTAGGTGCTATTGTGAGAAGAGACAGCACTTTAGGTAGAAGATTATTTGACAGCCTAGCGCTCAATATCCGGGACCAAATCCAAAGGGGTGCTGGCTCAGTTAGAAGCTCGTCTGAAATCCAACACCGAGATGTAAAGTTATTAACATATTTGACTGCTCTCAGCGATATTTTGAGACAGTCGCGCTCATCGATGTTAAACTACAAACATGAGATTAGAGAGCTTTTGTTCTTTATTTTTGATAACATCTCAAATCCTCCACTTGATGTACACACTTCCCTGATTTTGCACAATGTTCTGACAAGCTTATGCTCCACAGAAGTTGTGGATTATCGACTCTTTCCAAATGACTGTACTCTCTCCGGTGAAGAAAAGTGGGGAGGCCTACAATTCAGCTCTGTAAAGTTTTCTAAAGAGATGACAAGTTTCGAGTGGCATATTCCAACTGAACAAGAAGTGGAATTTGCCACGGAGCTGTTAGAAGAGTTTACCGACTACTGTTCAAGGAATATTGATGAAATGATGGCATCACCTGTGAAAGATTCATCTTGTAGTGATAGGATGAAAAAGTATATTTTGATCATCACACACACTCTTTCAGGATCGAGTTTATTGTTTGACGCCGAATACAATAAACACAAGACGGAGCTTTTTCCCGTGGACCCTTACAAGAATAAATTATTACTGCTAAAAAGTATCAGGGATAAACAATGCGATACTGAGGAATTGAATGTTGACGTTGAGCATGCCAGGAGCGACCCTAGTAACGAGTCAGATGTTGAATTGTCTGCTGAGCTGTCCGAAGATGCTCTGGATGAAATCCACATCACAGAGCAAGGTGGAGAAGTAGACGAAGCCACTTATATGTTTGATGACCCATCTTCCAATGTTCCTTCTGGAATTGCCACTCCCGAACCTGGTTTGCATCACGGGCACTATGGTGTAGATTCGAATCTAAGTGGCGCCTTGATGTTTAGAGATTTGGATATTTTTTGCTGCAACTACTTTTTTGGGCCCGATCCGCGAAAAAAGTTGGATAATAAGATGTATCTCAAAATACAGTTGACTAGGTCAAAGATTGGTGCTCTTTTTCACAAGCTATTTAAGTTCTTCTCTGCCCACTTTGAAGACAATACGATACTGTTTAAAATTTTGTTGCATGGAATAAAGGTCTGGTTCACTGACATAGGGCAAGAGACAATGTTCAATGAGGAACCGGCCTCGGTCTTGGACATGGACTTTTTGGAAAACATCCAGAACATATCTCATGTCCGCGAGCCTTACACTAGGACTTGCTTGGCCGCGAAAGCACATAACCTTCATGAAGCTAGAGTTCTTCTGCATTCAACTAACAGAGTACCTTCAAGACTAGAGAGAGTACTGCTAAGGGACATTTTAAAGCTCTCTATGTCGCTTTATCCCAATATATTCAAAGCCGCCCAAGGATGTTTGGTGCTGACCATGAAGCAGTTAGTAGGATCATATCCAATTGTTATAAAGCATCTAATAGAGTCTCTTGAGAAGGCCCTGAAAAATGGAGAACACAAAAAAGTTGAAGTTATACTAGAGGTATTGTTGATCAAGAAGATACATCGAAAGGTTATGTCGGACTTCAAAAATCTTGAGCATATTGCGAGACTTTTGATCTGTTGCTGTAGGGTCAAAGACTTCGAGGTTTCCAAGATTGCAGACAGAATACTGACCGATATTTCAGTCGGCTTGAAAATACCATCTAGTGTCTGCTTACTAGATTTGACCAAGATCGAACAACTAGGGCCAATAGATGACTCGATTACCCAGCAGGTTTCTGCTGTTCGCAAGGCGAAAGAGGGCAAACGTAAAAGCTTCATTGTGCTTTTGGAAAGGTTCCAAACTTTTTTGATAGGTCTTTTAGAATCTGACGAAGAGTTAGGATGGAAGATCCCTGTTACTGTCATGAAATTGACATCAAAATTGCAATCCAGCCTGGAACTCACTCCGAATAAAGACATTTTACCAAGGATTTTAGACCTCACCAAAACAAAACATCCAACCATGATTCATCTGGCAATTAAGAATTTCCTCAATATTTGCAATAAAATAATCTCACTAGGAGGTTGTCGGTATGATCTAAAGAATGCTTTCGATTTCAACTTTTTGAAAAGCGACTTTGAACTTGTCGACACAAGCGTTGACGGCTTCCGGGCCGCCTTTAATCGTGAAATGCAAAATTTTACAAATCCAAAGTACTACATTGATTCGAAAGCATACGTTGGATATGTCACTTGGGGAAGACCTATGAAAGTCCTTAAAAGTGATTCATTCTGTAAATTTGATTTGAGGGATCAAGAAATGAATTGTCTTCGAGAATTTGGGCACCTGATCAGTAAAGAATGGGTTGCAGATATCTGCCAGATTTTGATACAGGACAATGAGAGCAGAGGAGTTTTCAGCAGCTGTAATATTGAGTTCTTTGAACTGCTTGTCTCTTTGATCTCAAATTCCTGCACAAACCTCGAGTATGATGACTTGTTAGAACTTTGCAAATCACTTTACGATAAGAGCGACAAACCCTCGATGATCATGTCTGCAGAAATGATTGCAGGGCTTTTCATGGCTTCCAAGGTTACAACACAGCAGGACCTTCAAAAGCGAGATGTTTTTTTAATGAATTTCCTGGATGATTGTTTGGATCACGAGTTGAATCAGGATGCAGTGGATATATGGTCTATTTTGTGTTGGTGGCTTCCTACTTCTGTTGATGTAAGGAGGTGCTGGCCATTTTATAAAAAGATCTTTGACATAAAGGATGTCTTAGACACTGCTTCAGATTCGTCTGCTGATCAAGCTTCCAAAATTACGCTGTTAAGAAATACAATTTTAAGTTTGGACTTCAGAACGCCGAACGCAGGTGAAATACTATCGTATTTGGTGGTCGATCACCCATATGACCAAGTGCGTCAGGCGATTTCCAAGCTCTTGTCGACCCTCCTACAAAGCCAGCTTTATCCTTCTTTCCCCACCGTTCGTGAATTGGTACAGTATACGACGAATGGAACGGGACTGGGGCGAATGATAAGAAGGGTACCTCCAGAGTTTGATCAGAAGCTGAAGGACATGTTTGAGACCATAGAGGGAGAAAGACTGAAGATATTCGAACTCCCAGCCCACGAAATTCTGAAGACGAGATACTATTATTTGGCAGCGACGATGCTCAATTGGGTTTTGGAGTTAATGAAGGGACACAACAGTGTGGTTTTAGTCCTATATTTGGAACATTACTTGGCTCCATTCTTGATGAATCTTATTAAGATGAAGGACGTCTGCAACTTAGCCAATCTAGAGCCGACTGCGTGCTACATTGCTATTTCTTTCTGGTCGCTCAGGCAAGAATACATGCCGGTAGTTATGTCATTGATCGAGAAAATGCCATTGGAGACATCGCACGAACTACGTGTGCAGCTTGTGTTTGTTGAAAACTTCTATTCTAAAAACATGTTGCAATTATCTGCGGAACAAAAAGAGTCCATACTTAAGTTTGTGGTCAAACATATATACAATGAAAGTTTTGTGGAGGTGCGCTTGCGGGCCGCAGAAACTTTGTCTGGAATAATCCACACTTTGAGCGACACCAACAAACCATCGGAGCTCATCAATGAGTTCGCTCGTGGGTTGGGGTCACACTCTTTTGCGTCCAAAAAGAAGCTTTCCAAAACTGATTACAAAATCCATGGCTCTGTGATCGGTTTAGGAGCTGTCGTGTCTGCATTCCCATATGCTTTTCCATTACCTACATGGATTCCAAGCCAGCTAAGTGGACTTGCTTCATGGGCCAGAACTAGTGGCATGTCAGGTGCAGCCGCTAAAGAGATTATCAGCGATTTTAAGAAGGTAAGAGCAGATACTTGGCATCTCGACAGAGCAGCCTTCACTCCCGAGGAACTAGAAGATCTGGAAGGTGTTTTATGGAGGAGTTACTACGCTTGATTCTAGCTCAGATGAGCTTGGTGGCAAGAATGCTCAAAATATTGCTGTTACGCATTGAGCTTGTCATGCATTTTATGGAGTCAGTTCCTCCTTCGAATTAGCGCATATATTCTGTATAGCAAGCGTCACATATCATTCTTAGATACCACGAACTTCTTCCTTCACGTTTATCACAAAATTGCAAGGGGGTGGTCTCGTAATCGCGGTTGCTCCCGTACTGGGAGAAAGATATCTCAATAAGTTGCCACACGTTTCAATGTCTCTGATCTTTGTCGGTGTCTTAAATCATGCAGCTGAATATAAATTAAGATAGAATAGATCGCTATTTTGGATCGGGTTTGTAACATATTGGTGCGAGTCAGTGTCGAACAGTACTTACCTGGCTGAACTGCTCTTTCAATATGTTGATAGACATCATGAGTTGTTCTGAGCACCTGCTAACAAAAATTTGGAGCCTATGAAGCGACTTCGAGTTGTCTCTCCGTGATAATTTGAGTTATACGTTCCCTCCTATTTGGAACGTACGATCGGAATTCACACAAATCCTGGCGAAACTAACCTGGGTACCAGCAGAGCTGTATAATCCAACAACTCAACCTAACAAAGTAATTTTCAGGTTTTCGGGTATTATCAAAAGGGCTAGTCCAGGGACATGTATGTGATCGGCGATCGCTGTTATTCAGCGCCCGGTGGTCGCTTATTCACCCTATATAATATTGTTTTACTGACGTCACCAACATCACTTCTTACCATTCCGACATTAATGCGATGCTTCCTATGAAGCCACTCGACGTAACCCCAGCGGTACTAGCTCGATACCGCCTAGCAGCCAAAAAATTAATATGATTCAAGCCCCAGTAAGCAAAATACTATTCCAATCGCAATATGTTTCGTTAAGTTAAGCAATGAGCTCAGCAAGATATCAGCCCATGATGCTGACACCCCTCGAAAATGTTGTTAAAAATCATACAATGTTGCTCTGATCTGTCATAATCAAATTTTTTTAACCGCAATTCATAGTCAATGTCATCTCCTTCGGGGCTGGACCTTCCGATATACTTCATGCGAATTAACAAGGATGAATCCAAGTATCAATTTGAAAACAAACGCGTATATATACGTACTATCCGAAACTGAATTCAATTTAATTCCAGAAAATTAATAAAGCTAAGAAAAAATCTGCCAGAACTGCCTACTGGCTCACGCCTAACGTTCTTTCACAACTCAAATTGCTACGTTTGGAGCTTTGGAGAAATGTTAAACTTGGAAACGGTAAACAGATCAACGTCATAATAAAAACGGCCAAAAACAAAAGGAATTAATAACCAAGCATCAGGTACTTTGAATCATTCATGTACATCTTTACATCCCTCATCCTTTCTATTTCGAGGGAGCTATCTCGACGTTGTTTTAAAACTGCCAAGCGGTAGTTATTAAATTTTGACGTACAAAATTATTAGCGTATTAGGTGATAAAAACAGTAAGGAGAAGATATCTCCATCCTATGAGATCCCGTTCTCAAACCCTGTCCATAGGCCAAAAAATCACAGGAGACTTAAGAGAGCCCTAAGATTAAGACTATCAACTGAGGAAAAACCTCCGTCTTAGCTCAAAAGACTTCCGGATCTACCCAGGAATCCCTTTATAAATAAGCCAGGAGCTTTTGGCAACAAGGTATTGAAATGTCTGGCATTAGAACGGTTTCCGCGTCATCGGCAAACGTCAAGAGTTATGACTCCATAATGAAGATTCTGTTAGTGGGGGACTCCGGTGTTGGAAAATCGTGTCTTTTAGTGCGCTTCGTTGAAGACAAATTTAGTCCCTCTTTCATTACTACTATTGGGATCGACTTCAAGATTAAGACTGTTGAAATTAACGGCAAGAAGGTCAAGTTGCAGCTATGGGATACGGCAGGGCAAGAGCGGTTCCGTACAATCACAACTGCGTACTATCGTGGTGCTATGGGTATAATATTGGTTTATGATGTTACTGACGAGCGCACGTTCGCCAATATCAAGCAGTGGTTCAGCACGGTCAATCAGCACGCCAATGAGGAAGCGCAACTTTTGCTGGTTGGTAATAAGAGTGACATGGATACTCGAGCGGTGACTACCGAGCAGGGCGAAGCTTTAGCAAAGGAACTCGGGATTCCTTTTGTAGAGGCCAGTGCCAAAGACGACACCAACGTTAACGACATTTTCTTCCTGCTCGCTAAGTTGATCCAAGAGAAGATTGACAGTGAAAAACTTGTGGGCAATGCTGGACGTGACGGGAATGTCAATATTAATGGTTCTGGACAAGGCTCCAAGTCCACCAACTGCTGTTAATACCCTCAAGGGTTTTGTAAAAGTGTAAATTGTATATATTGTCTACCGACCAACTAATGGCGAATTTATGACTATTCAAGGAAGTTGTTCATTATAAGTCCGTTGGGGTCATCGCGAGTTGGTTGCGCGGCCAGATAATACTCCACTGAGCATCAATCACATCACGAGAATGAGTTCGAAGCAAGGAAACGTTTTTCTTCTCCGCTAGCGCCACGTCCAAATCTCAGATCCCAATACAACGACACGGTGGGCGTCTATAAGCATATTCATATTCATATTCCGCGGTCCGTATCCTTGGCATTTATAGCTTGGCTTCTACGAGAGCTTCATGTTCTGAAATCAAACTTTTTGGAGCTTTGATCGTCAAAAGGAAAGCATGCAAAGAACTACCTCAGTCCGTTGGATTCTGGTTAGGTATATTCGTTGGCGATGTTGATGTGCTACACTTTGTTTACGTCCGTATCATGGAGGTATTGAGGAGAACACTTGTAAATAAGTTTATACAGTAGCGCACTACGAGATTAATTTTCCACACGTGGGAATAAAAATCAAAAAAATGTGGAAGTATATATAAAGGCTACAAAATATTTGGGGGTATTTGGTATTTTACATGCTCCTACTCTAAGGACTCAGTCAGCCTTGACATATTGTGTAGTGGGATCATTTTAACTCTTGTTAAAAGGTGCCGGCTTCATTAAATTTGATCTTCCATATTGGGCACATTGCCAGAGCTGAGGTTTGAAAGTTATTCGAGTAACTCCATTAAATTGAAACTAATATGCTCTTTGGCGTGAAACTTGCCAACCAGATCTACCCGCCATGGAAAGACTCGTATATGGATTATGAGAAGTTGAAGAAGCTCTTGAAGGAATCCGTGATAGGGCAGGCCGACATTACCGGCAGGAAGTCTAATCGCCGAAATGATACGTGGTCCGAAAAGGACGAGTCGGAGTTTGTTTCCGCTTTGGATGCCGAATTAGAAAAAGTTTATGGTTTTCAGAGCTCTAAGTATAACTCGATTATGGAAAAACTTGTCAATTTGGAGCACCAGACCGATGATGAAGAAGCGATCAAAACTCTTGATTTCAAAGGGTTTCAACATGTTTTGGAGGGTTCTTTGAGCGAGGCTCAGGAGCTTGATAATTTCTGCAGAGTCAATTACACAGGTTTTATCAAAATCGTCAAGAAGCACGACAAACTGCATCCCAAATATCCCTCTGTTAAGTCCCTTTTACAGGTTAGGTTGAAAGAGCTCCCTTTTAATTCTGAAGAATACTCACCATTGCTGTACAAAATCTCATTTCTTTACAACATTTTGAGAACAAACTCCCCTACTGTATCCTCGTCTCTAGCAAACTCTACTAAGCTATCCAGCGTCAACAATCACGAGGAAAGTTCGTTTCAAAGTTACACTTTTTGGATTCACCCTGACAACTTAATGGAGGTGAAAACGAGAATTTTGAGACACCTGCCAGTGCTTGTTTACGCATCCCCACCCAACGAGAACAGTGATTTGGTTGACCGCCTAGAATCATCTGTCATGAACTCAGACGTGAATTTCAATGCTCCTTCTGCTAGCAGTAGTACATCTGAGGTTTCTTCAGATGCAAAAAGTTATGACCCAGTCGTCAGAACGATATACTTTGACAATGAGGCTTTGGAGCTTTACAATAATAAGCTATTGAAGTCGAGCTCCAATCCTACATTGAGGTTAAGATGGTCTGGCAAACTAGCCAACAAACCTGATATTTTCTTGGAGAAAAGAACGCTGGTTGAAGATCGTACAACAGGGTATACGGATTTCGAAGAAACGAGGATCAAGTTAAAGCCTAAATTTATAAACGGTTTCATCTTCAATGGCGATCAAGAGTATAAAGAAAAAAGCTTGAAGAAGCTAAAAGACCGCGGTTCAGCAGATGCCGAGGCTGACAAACTGAGCAACAAGTTTGACGGTATTCAACAGTTTGTACTTGAAAATGAGCTGCAGCCAGTATTAAGAGCCATGTATACAAGGACAGCCTTCCAGATTCCAGGCGACGACCGTGTGAGAATTAGTATCGACTCTGATCTTATGTTTATTAGAGAAGATTCGTTTGATGAGAATAAGCCAATAAGAGATCCAAAGAGCTGGCATAGGGCGGATATTGATGCAAATATTCCAAACCCACTCAAATATCTGAGGACGGGTGAGTACAGCAAATTCCCTTATGCTATTTTAGACATTAGGATCAGAGACCCTATTACTGAGTCCACCAAGAAAAACAAGGACAATCTACACGCTCAGCTGCCTGGTAAGCACTCCCAGTGGGTAGAAGAACTTACAAATTCCCATCTCGTGAAAGAGGTGGCCAACTTCTCTAAGTATGCCCAGGGTGTTGCATCGCTTTTTGGTGAAGATGAGAGTTTGGATTTGTTACCTTTTTGGCTGCCAGATTTGGAGACAGACATTAGAAAAGATCCAAAACAAGCCTATGAAGAAGAAAAGAAAAAGCTTGAAGAACAGAAAGCAAATCAAGCTCGTGTCGCCAAGCTCAAACGTTTGTCAGTGGTCCAAGGGTCCGAATCTTTCTCCACAAAATCTTCCCCAACGGATGCATCAAAGTTTGAATTGCGAGAGCCAGATTTGGAAGATCCAGAATCGTCATCTGATGAGGCCACCGAATCAGCGCCTGGTGCAAGAAGACGGAAACGCAATGCCAATTTTCTGGACCTTTTGGTAGGCAGGAACAGCAAACTCGCGAATGTTGATTCCGAGGATGAAGAAGTACTGCTCCCCCCTGGAGTTAAAAAACCAACATCGTACTTAAAGAATGCTGGCCCTGTCAAGGTGGAAGCTAAAGTCTGGCTTGCCAATGAAAGAACTTTCAACAGATGGTTATCGCTCACCACTTTAATGAGCGTCTTGACATTTTCAATTTACAATTCTGTCAGCAGAGCTCAGCATCCTGACCTGGCTAAGTTTGTTGCTTATACTTACTTTGGCATCACTATTTTCACCGGCTTTTGGTCTTACCACACATACAACCGAAGATTAAACGTCATCCGCGCCAGGAGCGGAAAGCATTTAGATGCACCCTTGGGTCCTTTACTAGTTGCTAGTGTGGTTGTTATCACACTTGTCGTTAATTTTGTCCTTGCCTTCAAAGATGCAGCTCAGAAGAGCAGAGGGGGGGTGTCAAGTACTTCCGCAGAAGAGGATTCTAAGCTACCTGCGCTCGCCGAACTCGTCCGTGGGCTTGTATTTTCCCTCGTGAGTTCTCAAGACTCTTGATAGGCGGTTGCGTAATAGTAACCCTCTAATTTAGATACTGTAAATTTACACTACTCATTTGCTAATGCTACTTCTTAATTTCAATATCTTTCGAAATATCACCCAACACCTCACTCTGGTGCCCATTGGATAATAAGAGTTAAAAGATCTGCCTTTGAGGTCCTTTCAGGGTTAAATTCGAGAACTCCAAAGTCGACCAAAAACCACCGATATAAAATGTCTTGAGCATTGAATCTTTGTTAATGACAGACGACGGAATGACCTCATGGGGCTGATTCACGAGCAGTAATGGTATAGCTTACAGCTAAGTCGTAGGAAGACAATTCTGCTTGCTCAAAGCATCTGGAGATTTTTTTACACCTTATACGAAAGTGAAGTTATCTTAATTAATATGTAATAAGTGAGTCTCCAAACCTACATTCTAAAGTTATAAGAGATCTCAGGACAGGGGCCTTGATGTATAACCCTGGATTGAGCCATCCTTCGAAGAGAATTAACGTCGAACACTATCATAAGCCAACCTACTCTGAGATAGCGACTTTTAGCTTTGCCAATGAACCCACTATTTTCCATGCTCGCAGAAAAATGACAGTTGGAGATCACCAGGGCGCCAATTATTCAGACACTAATGCCGGCGGACGGGTCATTCAAAGTGATTCATGCCCAGGATTTTATCAGGACATGAAAGATGCTCTCTTCCACGCTGGTCGGGCCATAATGACGGCAGTGGGTGCTTATGACGCAATGTCTGGCAAAACCGAGGTGACTGAGCACAATAACAAAGCCAATAAGCAGCAACTCCAAGATAATTTAGAGGGAGATGAACGAAGAACTTCCTCTTTGGTTCAGCGGCCACCTAGTAAAAAGCCTAAAGCAATCGAAAACTCGGCCATATTCGTAAAGGATACTCCGAAAAAACAGACGCACAGCATAGTGGACCTGGGCGAAAGACTCAACAATTCGATAACACCTGAAAAGCAAGGAAAAGCGGAGTTTTGTACAATGAAAGATCCTTTCAAGTGGCATCAGCAAGGCTCTGAAGGTCCAGTATCATCTAACAAGAGGGTCCCATACGGTAGTTCTTTCATTCGAAAAAAAAGCAGTAGAGGAAAAACTAGTATGGATAACATACAGCTTACTTCAAAAAGCCCGATGGAGGAAATTCGCTATCTAAGAATGGTTTACAATGGACAGTATAAAGCGCCTTCGCTCATAGAGAGCCACAAAGAAGAACAAATGCTTCTTCGAGAGCATGAACTCAAACAATACCGCATGTCTTCATCCACGCAATGGAACACGTTAACGGAAAGGATTAAAGCGATCATGCAGAAAAGTCTTAATAAACAGGACTTCGATAATGATCTTATACTTTTGAAAGAGCGTAAAATCAACCCCAGTGAGCTGGGTCAACAACGATTACTGGGCCGCGAGTTTAGGTTCGATACTTCAATTTTGACTTTCAAGGAAGAATTCGAGAGCTATAAAAGACTAAAGGAGGAGAGGGACCGAGTTCAACTAGAGGTGAGGGAGAGACGTGAACGGTTGAAGGTTTTAGTGCCGCAACTCACAAAGGACGACTTGCAGAAAGTCAAAAACACACAAAATCGCTCAGATAATGGTGTGGTAATGAATAAACACAACATTGAATTGAAAGTTCATGATTTCAAGACATTAGCACCCCGGAGGTGGCTCAATGACATTATAATCGAATTCTTCATGAAGCATGTTGAACTTACCACACCGCAATTAGTTGCCTTCAATTCATACTTCTACACTTCCTTGTCTCGAAACGGGTATCAGGGAGTAAGAAGGTGGATGAAGAAAAAGAAAGCTGAAATTGACAACCTGCACAAAGTTTTTGTTCCAATCAATCTAAACCAGTCGCATTGGGCTCTAGGTGTCATAGATATTAGCAATAGTAAGATCTATTATGTGGACTCTTTATCCAGCGGGCCTGAGTCTATGAGTTTTGCAATATTGAAAGATCTCCAAAGTTATTTGATGCAAGAGAGTAAAGGGACCCTCGGTGAAGATTTTGAACTCGTTCATGCTGATTGCCCACAGCAACCAAACGGTTTTGACTGTGGCGTCTACGTGTGTACTAATGCGCTCTATTTGAGCAAAGACGCTCCACTGACATTTGACTGCAAGGATGTGGAACGAATGAGGCCCTACATAGGACATCTCATTCTGTCGAGTGATTAAACAAAATTTGCACATCGATCTGGATTCAAAACTCCTCGCTAAGCGTTTGACGTGGATGCATTGTGAGGTGCAGAACAATACTTATTATATTTTCAAATGCCCACATGTACGACGCAGTAAAAAAGAGATTGCTTGATAGAAAATGACAGCCAATCGACGATAGTCTCCGATCCTTCACCACCAATCTATAAAAATAGCATTCCATTATCATATAAACATAGAGACTTCTGAGCAACTTCCTAATCTCTCTCCTTTTGCACCTCCAGTTCTTTCTCCTTTTCGCCCTTTTCACTGCCAGCCTTTTCCTCTGGTTCACGCTCATCTAACTTCAATTTCTCAAGCACGTCTGCCACCTTATCTAGTTTTAGATCTTTATCCTCGTGTGTAAAACAAGTCTCACGGTTTTCATCCTCCTGAAGCTTTATTGTAGTCATATTTGTCAGGATTTTTAGATCATCAAGCCACCCCAGTTCCGCAGCCAGTTGCTCTGCCGCATGGTCGGAAGATCCTAAATAGATCACGTCAGATTTTCTGGGATTATTCTTAAAGTCCCCCACTCGCTGTAAATTTATCAATGACCTATTGGTAATTTTGGGAACTTCAGTCGGCAATGATGCAAACGGATAAACTGCTAATGAGGTACCCGCTACGATTACAATATGATCTTCGCCCAGTTTAGCACAATCATCATCCCAGCTAGAAAAAAAAAGGGAGGGCAAGTTTTCTCCAAAAAATACTATCTGAGGTTTGATAAGACCATTGCAATGAACACATTTTAAGAATTCCTTGTCCTCGTTGATAGCCTGTTCGAAAATTTCCTGGACAAACACTTTGTGACATTTGATGCAATGGTTTTTGGCAAAGGATCCATGGGCCTCCACTAAGTTGTCCGGAAGAATCCCAGCAGCCCTCTCTAAAGTATCAATGTTTTGTGTGTAGACCCTGTGCAATTTGCCTTTGTCCTGGAATAGCCGCATCAAGTAATGGAAATTTGAGGGTTCGTAGTTGCCGGGGTACAATTCCTTAGCCAAAGTATAGAATGGCTCAGGATTTTTCTCGAAGAAATCTATATCAAAAACAGCTTCTGCAAATGGCAGGTTGAGCTTCGCTAGGTTGTCATACAGGCCAGTACCAGGCGACCTGAAGTCCGGAATCCCGCAGGATGTTGAGATCCCCGCCCCCACCATGAATATGACTTTGGCATTGGGGTTTTTTACAAGCTTTGCAAGCCGTTTTATTGATGTAGCGTTCTTTTCTGTCATTTCTCTGTGTATAGTCTTCCAATTACGTACATCGATAGTCGATCAAGAATATGTTACTGGCAATGTAGAAGCAAAGGTCCAACTGTAATAATACTTCAGGTTAGCAAGAGACAAAAAATTCGACCTCGGTGAGGATTGAACTCACGATCTTGCGATTAACAGTCGCACGCCTTAACCAGCTTGGCCACGAAGTCCCTTCATGTGAGAAGAAAAAATACTAAACTATATATTGACAGATTAGACTGTCGACTGTCCTGAACAAATATCACAACGTCCAGTTGAAGTATAATACTATTGCATGGCTATTAGAACCAGTAGAACTCGTTATTCTTCACCATTGACTTTATTATTTGTATAACTAATCTTCCGGTTCTGATCCACTGACATCTTTTGATATATTTTCCCTCCCGCTAACTCAACTCTGAGGAAAGTCAATTTAACGTACAGCGTAGAGAAGGCTAGCACCTTTAGCAAAGAAATTGCCTCACATTATCTTATCAGTGTCTTATAGGCAAGTGGGTCCGTAGGCTAGCCCTCCACATAGGTCCTATCACTTCCATCATCCCTGTCATAAGTGCCCTTGCCCTCAGTGCCCCAGTCATTGGCAATATGATCCCTGTTCCTCCACTTAATCTACATCGGTCAGTTAGACTCTTATAGGAGCTAATCGGCATGGGCACTACTTAAGTCGCTGAGCAGCTCACTTTTGTTTTACTGACGTCTTTAACATCACTAGGTACTACTCTGACAACTTCGTGGTGCTTACTATAGGGCAATCGGGTGCACTTCGGGAAATACAATACCACTGCTGTCTGAAAGTCCCAACAAGCTTATGGATCGATCTATAAGCTCTTATGTGTGAGAGGCAGATCTGGCCCAATTCGTATATAGTGCACATGACCAACAGCTATTAGTAGCTCGGCGCAAAATGATTTGCCATCTCAATTAGCTACTCGCAACTGCGTACAGTTAGGCAAAGAGAAGGTAGGATCATGAAGCAAAGAATTAGCTCACTAGACTTACAGATTCTTTATCCAGAATTGAAATCTCATCTGGAGGGCTATCGCCTTGCAAATATATACAACATTGCCGATTCTAGTCGCCAGTTTTTGCTTAAGTTCAATAAGCCGGAATCAAAACTTAACGCTATCATCGACTGTGGGCTGCGAATCCATCTAACGGATTTCAATAGACCAATTCCTTCCACGCCTTCGGGGTTTGTTGTTAAACTACGTAAACACCTGAAGTCTAAGCGGCTAACGACTGTCAAGAGGGTTCCAGGTGACAGGATACTGGTACTGTCATTCAGTGACGGACAGTATTTCCTTGTTCTGGAGTTTTTTAGTGCTGGTAATGTCATCTTACTGGATGCCGAACGCAAGATAGTAGCACTCCAGAGAATCGTTCACGAACATGAAAACAAGGTTGGGCAAACCTACGATATGTTTGGTGAAGATTTTCTCAACGATACGGGGGTCGTGACGGCTGAATCTAAGGCTTATGATGCTACTCAAGTCTTAGAGTGGCTCACGGAGGCTGAGGATTTAGCTCGCTCGACGCATATGGCCAAAAAGGGCAAGCTTTCTAGAGTTCCATCAATTCAAAAGCTCTTATTTCTCCACGAGCCGCATTTATCATCCGACCTTATATCCCGTAACCTTAAACAACAGGGGATAGCTCCAAATTCTTCGTGCCTAGAGTTCAAAGACAAATGTCAACTTATCGCTGATCTGCTGAACGCGACAGAATTTGAAGTCAATGACCTTTTGAGGTCCGGCTGTAAAAAGGGATTCATTGTTTCAAAAAAAAACCCAGCATTCGATCCCGAAAAGGGAGACTCCAATCTTGAGTTTATCTACGAGCAATTTCATCCCTTCCCCATCCAGTCACAGGAGAATGATGAGAGAGAAATGAAAGTTATCGAGGTTGCTGGTGAGTACAACAAGACTGTAGATAGCTTTTTCTCCACTATTGAATCATCTAAATATGCCCTGCGTATACAGAGCCAGGAGCATCAAGCTAAGAAGAGGTTGGCTGCTGCGAAGTCAGACAATCAGAAACGCATTCAAGCTCTGGTTGACGTCCAGGCTAAAAATGAAGCTCGCGGTCATGCTATCATTGCTAATGCCGCTCTTGTCGAGGAGGCGCAAAATGCGGTGAGAACCTTAGTTGATCAACAAATGGATTGGAAAACTATTGAAATCTTGATTTCAAATGAACAGAAGAAAAGGAATGAGGTTGCGCAACTCATCAAATTACCACTTGATCTTGAAAACAATAAAATCACGCTAGTGCTGGAGAGTATGGAAGACGTTAATGACCCTTCGGCTGAATCAGAGAAGGAAGAAGATAGTTCAAGTGACTTCAGCGATTCAGAAGAAGACACCAGTGATGATGGCCCTCTCTCTGATTTTGAAGCAGATGAAGATGGTGGGATTAAAGAGGCAAGAAGCAGTTTTACGTCCCCCAATTTGAGAGCATCCAAGTCCTCCGTCGACGCAACGATTGACCTTTCACTATCAGCTTACGCTAATGCATCCAATTATTTCAACTTGAAAAAGTCCACGATGGAAAAGCAAAAGAAAGTTGAACAGAATGCCAATAAAGCCTTGAGGAACATAGAGCAAAGAATTGAGCGCGATCTCAAAAAAAAATTGAAAGAATCTCATGATGTCTTGATAAAAACAAGGACGCCATATTTTTTCGAGAAATACCACTGGTTTATATCCAGTGAAGGGTTTCTCGTTTTGATGGGAAAAAGTGGACAGGAGAGTGACCAAATCTTCAGCAAATACATAGAAGATGATGATGTGTTCGTTTCCAATAGCTTTGACACTCGGGTATGGATAAAAAACCCTCACAACACAGAGGTGCCACCAAATACTTTAATGCAAGCAGGTATTATGTGTATGGCAGCGTCTCCTGCATGGTCAAAAAAAATGCAATCATCGGCGTGGTGGTGTTTTGCCAAAAATTTGTCTAAATTTGACAATCACGGAGGGGAAGTTTTGTCTCCCGGTAATTTTCAGCTGCTTGACGAAAAGGCGAAATCATTCCTTCCTCCTTCTCAGTTGGTTCTTGGTTTTGGTTTCCTCTGGAAGGTCAAAGAAAACTTATCTGAGGAAGAATCTGCTTTCGAAGATAATCGAGAAGACGCTTGTGAAGTGAGTATGATCAACCTTAATGGTAATCACGATCAGGAGGTAAATGGAGCTGTTGATGACAATTCTCCAGAAATAGAAATAGAGGCACTTCAAGAGGGTGTGGAGAATTTGGGCGTCATTGATCGTGGTAATGAGCCGGAAATCGTCACAGAAGAAGCTCAGGCAGAGGCTTCACATGCCCCTCATGACGTTTTTGCCAAAGTTGACAGCCCGCCTAAGATTGTCCGGGGAAAGAAAGGCAAATTGAAGAAAATGCAACGAAAATATGCCGATCAGGATGAGGAGGAGCGTAAGATGAGGCTTGAAGCATTAGGTACATTAAAGGGTGTTCAGCGACAGAAGAGTAAGCAACAAGAGGAAATGATGAAACAACAAGAAAGAGAAGAGAATAAAATGAAAAGAGAACGGCAGAAGAAGCAGCAATCGCTAAAGTTTAGCAGTAAGGAAAAAGTTGTAATCAACTATGACAAAGTTCTTGATGAATTGAGTCCCATAGCTTTGAATTCCGAAACAGTCAAAGAAGTTATCCCCGTTCTTGCACCTTGGCCTGCCTTGAACAAGTACAAGTATAAAGTCAAACTTCAACCAGGAAATGCCAAAAAAACGAAGACTTTGCATGAGATAATGCACTATTTTTCATCTCGAAAGGTTGACGCGTCGAGCGTCGATAAAAATTTGGACTGGCCTTGTGAACATGAACTAATAAAAACTTTGAAGGACACGGAGCTTGTCCCCGTTTTGTATACCGACAAATTGAAGGTCACCATTCCTGGTCAATTAGATTCAAGAAATAGCTCTAAGGGGGGGGCCACGAGTAAAGGCAAAAGGAAGGGCAAAAATTAGACTAGATAAAGAACGTCAAAAGCTTGAGAAACAGTAATTTTTTGTTAAATTTGAAAAGCATGAATATCCCTCTACCAATCATCGCATGTTTAACTTTCAAGGATGCATTCTATAATAAACACTATTATAATAATATGTTGATACCAATAGATCTCAAAATTTTGTCCAAATTCTCCTCAAACCCTGGTGATTGTCCTCATTTCGAGAGACGTCGACCTCTCCGCCTTGAGTTTCCTTAGAAATCGTCACTCGTCCAGGACATCGAGAAACAAATAGGTAGATCACAATGATGCTTGAAATAATTGTGTATATTTACGATATCCGCGGAGTCCTATTTTTCATGGCAGGGCAAAGATCTGGTTAAATATCTTCCTGAAAGGAGGTACCACGAATAGGTCAAATGCAGCCCTAAATGATACCCCACTTATATAATCCTCATAGAATCCTTAACTATGCCTCCTTATCGGCTTGAACGCCACTACTGGACACTTATTTTGGTTCCGCGCTGCGATCAAGTGGCTTGAGGGTTCACAAATGAAATAGAATTTACAAACCCTGCTGCAGCCTTTCGGCCAATTTGCTCTTAGCAAAGCCCCAAGCACTTAGAAGACCCTTCTCACTTAGCTCAATATTGATTGGGATGTCCTTCGTCGGAGGCTTGGTAACACGAGAAGCAATTGTGGCTGGATCCGTCTCCAAAATGATCCCGTCGTCCACCGTTTCGTCAATAGCTAATGCCACCATATCATAATGCTCCAAAATATTCTTTTTGTCTATACCGGTTACCAGCACCAAATCTATCGAATCTTTGACAGCTGTAAACGCTTGTTGTAGCACCAATTCGTTTTCATCAGCGGAGCCTATCAAATACAACGAAACGTCAACGTATTCTTTGTAAAGCACCAAGCTATCTTCGAAAAGTAAGATGTCTGTGTTTTGCTTGTGCGTCTTCTTGAAAAGCCTGCTTTCAAACTCTTTCTGTTGCTTCAACGATGTCTTAGGTTGTTGAGATGTTTGATCTGCCTTCTCATGTGGGCTGTTATAGTACTTCGTGTATATCCGCTTACCTTCAGAATCCAAAATTAAGAGTGCTTCAACAGCGTAAAGCGAGAGATCGGGCATCTTTCTGTCTTTAAGTCCAGTCAGAAGAGTTCTATTATTGTTCCCTGGTCAAATTTAAATAAAGGCTTACGTTTTTCAAAGCTTCTATCTGTCGCTTTAAACGATAATGATCGAAGTCATTGATGCTACCCGTATATCTCGCTGGGATTGATATGTTCCGACACAGTTCTTAGACAAGTTGTCCATGGGGCTGCTGACTATTTGAGATTAAATTTTTATTTTGCATCACTCCTGTCAGCTTTCGTCAAGATCGGCACCTCGCGTAAAATGGACACCTCAAATAAAGAGTTCCATTTTGGTCTTCTGCGGATCTCCATGATTCAGTTGCTGAAAAGCCAGGGGTTTGACAAGGCCTCCGTGGTGATATTAGATGCATACACCGACCTATACGTGCGCTTCCTGCAGCTACTTACCCTTGAGGTAATGCGGCTTTCACGAAGTAGAATGGACGAGTACGAGGATGTAGCCTTACAGGACATATCCCAGGCCCTATTAAATGTTGGTCTTTTGAAACCTATGAACATCCTTGACGTTTATGATGAAAATCCAGATCTTTTGAGTGATATGGGAATGCAGCGATTTAAGAACTGGTGCCTTCAGAATACTATGCCACAAGAGGCGCGTGCTGTAGCAACACCAACTGCTGACCTACTTCGATCCAAAGACAAGGCTTCTAAGCCTTTATCAATGATTCCAGAATATATTAATCAACTCGATAAGGGTACAGACAAAATAAGGTCTGACCATATTGCCCGCAAGGACGAAACGGTTGACCAGATGATCTCTAGCGGGGATATGGATGATTGGGTTCGTTTTCTCCTTCGCAAACAACAGCTTCAGTTTGCAGCGAAAGGTTCTGCAAGAGAAATAAAAGATTTAAACGCACTACCCCCTTTGCCGGGCCTGAAGAATTCCGTTTTATCAAGGGCTTACGCGCCAGAGGCAAATGAAATAACACCAGAACTGTACGATGCCGACAATGAGGAAAGAGTAAGGAAACATAATATGCTGCTTTCCAAGATGGTAGTAGATCACAAAGGCATGAGGCTAGAAAACATTCGGCTGTCATTCGAAGATGAAGATCTACGGAGTAGCGAACCTGGTGTCAACATAGACGACGTAGGATTTGTGGATGATGAGGCCAACGAAGACATTGAAGAGATTGAACGTTTTGAGGGCAATCTCGGTCTAAGCTTTGACGGGGATTCTGCCAATTTGCAGCTTGCCGAAGCAAATAGTCTCACAGATACTTTTCAGCGAAGGGACTCGTTGGATTTTGGGGATGATGTTTTTCAAAGAACTGAATTTGACTTCAACACCTTTTAAGAAGGCATAAGGGATTTCTTTAGCAAGCGCTATTATCATCCATAAACGCTGGTCAATCGTAAGGCGAAGGGCGTCTTCTACATTATGCGACCTGATTGAAGAGTCTATGAACATTCTGCTAATTCTATTGATATAAGTGATGCGAATTGATTATATGTACAAGATTAATAATAGGCCGATTAAAGTTTTCTCCGCGACTTAAATGCTGGAGATTTCCTTCTCTTTGTTATCTTGCTGCTGGTATTTTTAGAGCTAGGAATACCGCGTACGTCGTCGTCACTCACGGCACCATCACCGTCACCTGCTCTGTTACCTTTCTTGAACTTCAACTTGTTCTTCTGACCCCTCACAGGCCCTTGTTTAACAGCATCTAGGTAGGCATTAATACCACTAGTGCCTGAGCCCAGTATATCTGGATCCTGAAGCGCAGTGTTGTCACCCTTGAGCGTGAGCTTTCCGTCGGCATCAAAATTGAAGACTTCATTGCCAGCAGCCTTGTTTCTAGCCTTGTGGTCAAATTTCTTGGGTCTTGTTGACGAGATATGAGCCAGAGTCTGGGCATCCAGAAGATCTAGAGGATTCTCATTAGATTCCACAATGAAACGTTTTCCTTTCTCCTTTCCGCCAAGCGCACCATCGTCATTGAGCTCTTCATTATCAGAAGATTCGTAGATTGCCTCATCGAGCGCTGACATGAATCTTGAGCCTTTGCTGTTGGAGTCCGCTAGCTTTGGTGCCACTCCCGGTGTAGTTTCAGCTTTCCTCTTGGATCTATCACGAGTCTTTCTGATGTTAACTAACAATCTTTTATCTTCTTCAGGAAAATGTTGGTCAATATACTCATACCCATATCTCCTTATCAATCTTTCAATGATATGCTTGACCTTTGCTTTAAAATGGCCCGTATGCTCGTGAGACCAACGCAGAAGTTTTGGTAAGAGAGAAGGAATTTTCGGTTTCATCAATTCTTCTGGCAACGCCAAACAGCAAACCTTCGCAAACCCAATGGCACTTTTTACAATCTCTCTTGAGTTCGAAGTCAAGTACAGCTCGATCGTGTCATAGATGTCCATCAATATATCAGGGCTAACTTGACTCTTGAACTCAAATACCAAACATGAGTATGCTGTGACAGTTGCGCTAACCATATGCTGAGATTCGCCAATCAAACCAGCAGACGTGATCTTAAAAAACTCAGCCACGCTTGCTGGTTGTGGCGGGGTAGTAGGTTCATAGCCTGGAACCTTGGATAGCCTCATAGTACATCCATCCTGGCTCATTTTGTTGGCCATCGATATAAGTGTGTTGAAAGCAGCTTCCCTTGTTTTCTCGTTATTTTCTTTTGAAGCGAGAATAACCTCCGAAACTAATTGAATGATAACTTCGGCATGATCTAACGGGAGAAGCTGTACCAAAATATTTATTGCATTTAATCTCATGGCCCTTGCTGAAGTGAGAGTGTTTTGACCGCTTTGAATAATGATATTTTCAATGTCAGAAATGTAATTTAAGACCGCATGAGAGCTCTTTTCGGACTCGGAGAGTTTGGCGATAATCCTGTAGGCACGCTTCTGTGTCAATGCATCACTAGAATTCACTGTAGTATTAAAGATGGAAAGCAAAGCCGAGTATGAGGTCTCAGGAACGAAGCTAGTCATCGCGATGATGAGGTCAAGTAAGGTAGCACTCATTCTCATCGAGCTTGAGTTAGCTTTACCTTTACCATTTTCCTCATCAAATGCATTTTTTAAAAGCCCGCAAACATTATCAAAAGTCTTTGTCAATTCTTCGGCGGGTGTGATTTTGAGAACCACTTCCACAGCCTCTAGAATGTAACCTCTAGCATTCGGCGCAGTCTGTGTATAAACATTGAACAGAACAGCCAACAGATTAGCCGCCTTCGCAGACAAATATGCAATATTGGCGTCGGCCTCACTCCTCGGAAACTGTTGTTCCAGCAGTTTGTCCGTTACCCCTTCTTGGGAAATATAATTAGTATTGCTTTGAATTAGATTTTTTAGCGCATGACAGATGGTTGATCTAAGTTCGACGGTACTGTATAGCAATGAAGAAAGCTCAGCAGCAAATGTGTCAGTGAAAGAATCTCTGAGGTCTACGGGTAAATCACAAAAGCTTATCAAAGTCGACCAAAACTGACTGACCACTGTTTCAAAAATCTTCCTCTGGACAGAATCTTCAGTTAGCTTGGAAATAGTATTCTCAAAATGTCTTATCAAAGGCATGAAATCATTCGTAAAGAGTGAAAGGCGGCTATTTTTCGTATAGTCCCTGATGAGAGGAATTAACCAAGCTCTGCCTGGCTTTTGATCTGAGGGGGTCACTATGTTGAGGGGTAATGAACTAAGAATCACATCTGGACCCAAATTCGCAATTCCAGCTCCCAAAACAGCTTCAATTTCGCTCCTCAACTCCAAATAATTATCTTCAATCGTTCTCCACCCTCCTACGATCTCTAGGGGTGCCAAAAAATCTGGGTTAGCTCTAAACTTTAACTTATCTAGAACAGCGGCAAGGGTTTTCAAAACTTCTTGGGCACAATGAGCGTATTTGATTGAGAGAAAATCCACAAACGTATCAGATAAAAACAAAATCGTCTCATCTACCTTTTCGTAGACCTCGTCTTTCACAAGAGGGGGTAGCAGCAAAACATCATCGGGTATAGCTTCCACTAGGACGGCTTCAATGCATTGAGAGGCACTGATGTAGACTTCGGGAATCTCACTTGATAGATAGTGACTGAGGACGCTAACAAACTCTGGTAGAATTTCAAGGCATGCTAGGGGTTTGTAAGTTCCAAAGGTGGTAACTCCTTTGGCAACAACAGCAATCCAAGCGCCAGCCAAATGAGTGTCCGTATTTGATGGCTTCAGAGAAAATATGATATCTAAAACCTTGGAAAACTTATTGTCGGCGAGACCTGAATTAGTTGCAGATTCTGCGATCGCTTGAAAGAGTGCCTCAAAGCACTCGAAAGCGTTTGACACCAAATATTGGTCGGATGATCTTGATACCTCGAGCAAAAGATCGCACAAGGTGTCGAATCGCGACGCTGGCCATTGTTTGCTGGCCAGAACAATTTTGATTAACTTTAAAATATTGATAGACTTCGAGATTATCTCCTTAGCCCCCCCTTGAGAGCGAATCTTTTTATTCGAAGCGGATAAAGCTTCCTCCACGGAAGAAGCTAAAGCCTTTATTGTAAACTCGGATACCAGAGGAGCAGCAACATGTTCCGCCGATGGGGAGGCAGGGGGGTTGCACATAATGGCACCTATAGCATCCTGGGCTCTCTTTCGAACTTTTGGGCGAGGATCGAGGGAAAGTTCGAGAAGACCATTGAGACCTCTACTGGGTGAAATGTTGAAATTTTGGGTATTGCTCCAAGCCTGTGCGTCTTGAGCCACTAGAAGGGACTCTAAGCAGCCGATGGCAGGCCTCACCAAAGGAGCGCCAGCTTTCTCGTCAGTAATGCATGGTGCAATTTTGGTCAAAATTTCTGAAAATTTGGATTTGAGCAGCTTTTTGGGAACGTAGCGGAAGATTACGTCTAGTAGATAAATAACAGAGGTAGCCAGTTGCATTTCGCTAATTTCGTGTGTTTTTACATCGATCGCCTGGTCCAATAGCGACATCAGAGAGATCAAATAATTCACGACACTTTTGCCCGCGATGTTTTGGTCTTGTTCCTCCATGTTCTCTTCCACTGCAGATAGAATAATGGCAACATGCTTCTGATTATCGAGCTTTGAGTTCACCTGCTGTCTTATCTGGGACAGCTTGTCTTCCAACTCCAACAAATAAGCGACCTCATCTGGATTCATTATGTGTGATGGTCAAATAAGCTAGTGTCAATCTCCACAGTCCTCACTTCAGTTCGGATGGCTCGATGTTCTTGTAAAGACCTGATCAAAAGGAGATTAGATTCGGTGAGACGGGATGTGATGAGATGAGGCGATCAGAAGGGCTGCGCGATGAGGTGAACTATTTAGAAAATTTTTAATGGCTACTGATTTTACTGGTATCGTTTGTGACGACTAAGAAAATTTTGGATACTATAACAGCAGAACCTGCAACTCGAGCTGTGAAATCGGGTTCCTCAAAGCCAAGATCAACATGTCTAAGGGCCTTGTGAGGATCAGATTAGCCAGATTTGGCCGTAAACATGCTCCTTTGTACAATATAGTGGTTGCGAATGCACATAAGGCACGCGATAAGACTCCCATTGAGGTGTTAGGCACTTATAACCCAGTTCCCCAACCGCTAACCAGGCGTGAGATCAAGGAAGGAGTCATTCCCACAAAAGATGTCAAGCTAGACTTTGGTCGTACACAGTACTGGATCGGTGTGGGGGCGCAACCAAGTGAGACAGTAACAAAGCTTCTCATCAAGAGCGGCATAGTGGGCCCTGAGTGGGGCAAGACACACAATACCAATCAAGCGGTAACGCTACCCCGGCGGGAGGTATTAGAATAATGAAGAGGCATCGCAGTAACAAGCTTCCCGTACCTTTTGATGTGCCATACGTGTATATATATGTAGTTGATGACAACCAACGGATGTTTAATTAAAGTTAACAAGAATTATCTTCCTTCAAGTGTCTTTTTGATTAGGTGTCATTGTCCCTGGGTGGCGGTATGTGCAATACACTACTACAGATCAGTAACAGCGGTTTTTTGATGGTCGTCATTAGAAAAAGACCAGCTTTCCCTTAAACGATGGCTCTCCCTTACATGCCCTCAGCTCTTCCCTAGCAAGTTCCAGCTCAAACTTCGAATGCTACTGAGTCACTGTTTCTCTGTCTAGACTCTGCAGGACGTTGTATATCGCCCAAGATGGAGTTTGTGGGCGTCAAAGCAAAATAGCCGTTACTGCCTGACCTCGATCTCGCAAAGCCTGGTTCCAGAGAGGAAGACGCTTGTATTTGCTGAAACGGAGCTATATGGCTGGATCCACTACGACTGCGGCCCATAGCGCTGATAAAGCTGTCATTTCTGGAGCGTTGTAAGGTCTTTGGTATAGAGGGCCTATGCTCGAATGGCGTTTGTAAGGGCTGTTGCTGCTGATGTAATTGCTGCTGTCCTGAACTGCAACCTAATAGCTGAAAAGGGGCCGACAGTGGCTGCTGAAGTTGATGTTCAGGCTGCATACTAAAATAGTCAGAGGAAGCAGGAGGTGTCATATCGGCCGCACTGAATAATGGCATAGGTGGCAGCGACACCATTGAGTTATTGCGAGACAAGTAACAATCTTGGCGCACCTCAACTTGTAGTCTCTGTCTGACACTATTTATCAACAAGGCGCTTTTTTCGCGTCCATAATCAATCCCATTAACCTCTGCTCTTGCCACGGCCACCTTAGCAGTTCTATTCAATATACCAGGAGGCGGATTGGTGGTGTCGAAAGGTGTTGCAGTTGGATCGGAACATACGTCTTGGTAAACGTCCATCAGAAGGCGCATGAATTGTGGAGAAAAAGTGGGCGCTGAGGACACGCTGCTTCTACTGGGACCTGCTTGCGAATACGGCATATCTGAAATAGAACTGGCAAACGAACCCACGCTATCCTGCCTTTTCTGATTCATGAACATGTAAGGTACTATTGGTTGGGCGGAGGGTGTCGTTACAGGCGTCGAGACGCCGCTAACTCCCACAAAACCACGAAGATTGTCAACGTGGGTATTTATGCTGAGGTTTCCAGCACCTTCCTCTGGTTTGACGTCTGCCATCTCTTCGTCCATGCTCACTTCCCCCACGGGTACTGTTGCGTCGTCCTTGTGTGCATTTGTTTCGCTGCTGGAAGAACTCTTCGAGTGCTTCGAGAAACGCGACCCGTGCAGTTTATTGTGAAATCTTTCTAGCAGCATGCTGTCTTTTTCTTACAGTGAGGTCGAAGCAAACTGCAAAATTGCAGGTGAGTTTCTAATGCCTTTGGATGTCTTCAAGTATGTTCGAGTTCTCGAAAAAACCTTGATTGTCTTAGTTGAAAGCCTGACACTCTCCAACAAGCGATGAGCTGATCCAGTAAGTGATAGCTCGGGCTAAACTTAACTTAGAATAACAACACTCTTAGTATCAAGCAATGATAAGTGAATTGCTATGCAATTTACAATCCCAATGCAAAGAACTAAAGTTCACGATTGGCCACAACTGAACTCAGGTACTCTCGCTCCTCGACGGACCTTGGGAACTGAAATAGTCAGTAGTATTCTAGCCGACTGACTTAAGATGTATATAGCTTAATCGCCCACCGAACTCTGTTCGCTGGCCCTATGATGTCTGGTGTCCCCGCTGGGCAGTTTAAATGTGAATTATCTCCATGAGGGAAAAAAAAAGTACTCGCCCGTCGGGGTAACAATTAGTTACACGTTAACGCGTTTTGTCTTACGCGTCGTTAATTACGCAAAGTGCACAAGTACGAGGCTAGAATAGCAGTGGCAAGCTGACATCGGTAACTGATTTCCTAAAACTGTTCATTCGCCTTGCATACCCCGTGTAGATAGCATGTCAGGCAGAGAATGGAAATTTTCCACTGGTGAAAGCCAACCTCGATAATGCATCCCAAATCAAGGCATTTGTCCCAGTGCGCGCAAATGGCACCAGATGCATCAAATTCGATAGCAGTAATGGTGCATGTGGGTAATTAGTTCCTTTATAGTCTGGCAATGACGTGAGGAGCCGACACCTCCATCCCTCATACCGGCCCAAACGATGAGATAGAACACTGTAACCTTGTGTTTCGTTTGCGCAAGAATCTCAAGAAACGCACGATCGCCGCGAAATCCATAATGACCATCGTTACTCGTTGTGCGCAAGAATCTGCCGTATCCGCGAGGTGGAAGCACGCACCTTGGCGCTCAGCAATGGGGTCTGCAGGAATATGGTCTTTTCAGATAGAAGGCCCTGGGCCGGGATGGGTCGAAAGTAGTTGTTCGAGGGTCAATTGCGGGGTGCCGTGAAACAGGGGCCCTGGAATCGCTTCATTGACCGTATAGTGAGTGACTTTCCAAAAACCAGCAGTGGGCAGCTTAGCAGAATGCTTTTTGTTCGCAAAGTCCCAGTAAGTATGGACAAAATTGTTTCCACAAGGGCTGGCCTTCGGTGGCTCTTTCGGATGAACATTTTTCGTATTGATTGGGAGCTGTAAAAAACGTAAACCCCTCCTCCTCAATCTCAGGCAGGGTTTTAGATGCGGGGACAAGCGGCACGGGGCTAGGAGGCAAAGACTAAACAGCCCTTGGCGCTTGAGTGAAAGGTCTTTTCGAATGAACATAGAACAAGGCTTATTTGTGGCTCTCTTCCAAAAGCATTCACCCAAAGGTTGTCGAAGAATTAATGCTTCATATGTCAAGACGAGTGTTTGAGGGCTAGAAACATTGAGAGGACGTGGCGTTGTGGTATCGAGAAAAATTGTGTCTTTATTCGACAAGGTGGTTCCGTGAATATGTGTTTCCGTTACCAGTAATTTTAGCGCTTTCTATCGTTGGTTACAAGTAATGTAATTCAAACCACATTAGCAGATCAAATAATCCAGCTTCTGTGAACCCCCTTGACTAGGCGCTGGCGGTTAAAACGAGGTCTTGAAATGGTTTTGATCCATCTGTGCTAGAAAAAATCAATAGTTTCAAATGTTAATGTAAAAATATTTTCAAACCCTTCCTTAGCCAATAATTGATGAGCAACCGCACAGTGGGCCCCGTCAGTACCCAGAACTCATGAGGCCTTTTTCAGAGTCTGTTTCTTGGAGTTTATTTAATAAATTTTGATAGAGATCAGATTCCTAGTCTAGTTTCGGCCGTCGGTGAAACAATAAACAACGATGGCTTCCAATAAACGAGAGAAGTACAACCATCCGTACCAGCCTTATCATATCCAGCTCGAGCTTATGGATCAGATTTACCGCATACTGGAAGAGGACAAAAAAATTGGCATTTTTGAGAGCCCGACAGGTACAGGGAAGACGCTGTCGTTAATTTGTCCGACCGTGACGTGGTTGAGAAGGAACAAAGCCCGCTTCGTAGATAAACAAGATTTTTCAAAGTCTGCCTCCGGGGAAGATGAAGGCTCTGACCAGCAGACAGAAAGTGACGATGAACCACCTTGGGTCAAAGAGACGTTTGCAGAGTCTGTACTTAAACAAAAATTAAGTGCACTCGAAGAATATGAAGAGTATCTAAATTCTCAGGCTTTGACTTTAGATGTTGCCACTGCTTTATCAGATCAAGGGAAAAATCAACCAAGGCCCAAGAAAGCTCGAGTCGTGGCACACACTTCAGTCGACTGTGAGGACAGCGCTTTTCTCCCAGATGAAGAAACCGATCCGCTTAGACGACCGCCGGATAACGATAGGAAAATCACACTCAGCAACGAGGTACAGACTATGTTAGGTAGATTCAATGAAGCCAACAACGCAGTGGAAGACAAAAATCCAGGTTTGCCTTCTCCAATAAAGATTTTTTTTGCATCGAGAACTCACTCGCAACTGTCTCAATTCGCAGCACAACTGAAGCTCCCAACTTTTCCCTCTTCAATCAACTCTCTTGCATATGAACGTATAAAGTTCACGCCTCTGGCATCTCGAAAACAGCTCTGCATAAATTCTTCAGTTGCAAATGCCCCTAGCCGTGAGATTAATGACAGTTGTATGGACGCAATCAACAAGAAAGAATGCCTCCCATATGCTAGGGCCAGGGACCCTGGAAATATCAGAACCTTCAGAGATTACACTTATCATGATATCCATGATGTTGAGGACTTGGCCACCATTGGGCGTGCTACGAACACATGTCCATATTACGCCTCACGAGAACTTCTTTCCGATGGTGTGGAGATTGTCACCCTTCCATATCAACATTTATTGATGAGCAGTACTCGCGACGCTTTGGGGATCAACTTGAAAGATTCGATCGTAATCATCGATGAAGCACATAACGTCATCGATACTATAAACATGCTGAATTCCTCAGAAATCAGCCTGAACGATTTACAAAACGCTAAGGAGGGGATAGCTGTCTACTCTAGGGCCTTTTCTCGTCGATTGAGCCCTCGTAATCGGGTTAATTTGAAGCGGCTGTCAACTTTAGTTGATATCTTGATTCAGTTCATTCAAAAATGCTACAAAAATGGGCGCGAATTTGAGAGTCTTGACATATTTGAGGGAACTAACGCCGACGTCTTGAACATTCATAATTTGGAGCAATATATGAAAAGGACCAAGATTGCCTACAAAATTGATAGTTATATCGAGCATCGTAAAAACGAGAAGGACCGCTCAAATGTTGTCTCTCAACCCATCCTATTCCAAGTCGCATCCTTTTTGAAAACACTAACCAATCCCTCCAAAGAAGGAAAGTTTTTTTTTGACAAAGATTTCACAATGAAGTACATGTTGCTCGAGCCAGGTCACAGTTTCAAAGAGGTCGTCGAAGAGTCGAAGTGTGTTATTTTAGCTGGTGGGACCATGGAACCTATCTCCGACTTCACATCTTCCCTTATACCCTTTGTGGATAAATCTCAAGTGATTTCTTTCTCGTGCAACCACGTTATACCAGAGGATAATCTCAACACTTTTATTGTGGGTGGAAATTTCGAATTCACTTTTGATAGGCGGGAAGAGATAATAATGCTAAGTCAACTTCATGACTTTATCCTCAAATTGTCAACAATTGTTCCTGCCGGAATGGTGGTGTTTATGCCCAGTTACAAGTTCCTCGACACTGCTCTGAGATTTTGGCGGGAGAATCGGGCTATGAAAGATAAAATGGACAAAAAGAAGATTATCTATGAAGAGCCGGGCGTTTCTGATACTTTTGATCGCTATGAAGAAGAAGTTAGGGCTGCTAAAGGAGGAGCCGTTCTCTTCGCGGTAGTCGGTGGACGTTTGTCTGAGGGCATTAACTTCCAGGATGAACTCGCGCGTGCGGTGGTGATGGTTGGTTTGCCTTTTCCAAACGTCTTCAGTGGCGAGTTGATCATCAGAAGAAAGCATTTAGAGCAGAAGGTGATTGAAAACGGGGGTGATACCAAGGCAGCAAGAGTAGCATCTCGTGAGTTATATGAAAACATCTGTATGAAGGCTGTTAACCAAAGTATTGGTCGAGCGATAAGACATGCCGGCGACTATGCTAATATTTACCTTGTTGACAAGAGATACGAGTCATCAGGAATTCAACAAAAATTATCGAATTGGGTTTATCAGAGATTATACAAGCCTTGTAGCCTAGATGAGGTGTATCACACTAGCGAGAGTTGGTTTTCAAAGATGCAGATGCAACGCAAATCCTGAACGAGCGTTTAACGTGCAAGTCAAGGTACGTTCTTTGCTTCCGTTATTTACTTCATTGCTTTGAGAGAACTCTATATCATTTTCGTTCCGCTATAAATGCTTTGCCTGTTGGAAAGCTGCAATAGTGAAGTGGTGAGCCATCCGTATTCGTTGTAATGATCCTTCTGCAAGTCAATCATTCGGAAACCTGTCACTGGACATATTTTAACCTCAGGAGTTAGTAGCGGAAGAAAGGTAGCCGCACATCGTTTCCATACATGGCCCTCCATTGACCGTACAGTTTCTTTTTCTTCTCCAACTGCCGCCGTAAAGGTTTCTTCAATAAACTCGCTTTTCATCACATAACAATCTATTTCAAAGGGGCTAACCAGTGCCAAAATGTGAGAGATCGATAAAACACAAGCCTTATCCAGTACATTGGTAATCTTATCTCTGTGCGCCATGGCGTACTCGTATATGGCCTTTTTGTAAAGATGATTATCCGGCTTCTCTCCAAAATAGTTGGAAAATCTCAAGATATTCATGCTGTCACTACTCATCAGTTCTCCAAGAAACGTCGGAAATTCTACGGTCACGTTCAGTTCGGGGCTTGGAGCCTGTTCAGTGTAATTTGATGGCAATTTCTTGCCATATATCTGGTAGTTTTGATACCATGCTAATCCAGAAGATTCGGGCCTGATTTCCCAGTCATCGGCAAGGGGCAAGATACAGATCCTGTAGACCTGCTCAGAGACAATCCTATATCTTATCGATAGTCTATCAATGCTGTAGAGCAGTGCCACAGAAGCCCCATCGCAAGATATTGATATGCCATGTATCAACAAGTTAGTCTCATAGTTATTCAGTTCATTAAAATAACTGTTCCACCGCCTGAACTTGGTCTCCAGATGAGGAGCTAGTATTTGATCCTCTGATAATCGAATACCTTGATTCAGTTCAAGAGTGCAACTCTTTGTGTTGGATATGATGATAGCCTTATTTTGCTTGGGAACTGGAACGATGTAAAGTTCTTCATATCCATTCCATGGAATGACGTCGGCTTTTTTATCAGCTAGTTCGTATCTGTAAACCGAGCCAATTGTCGTGATAAGTATGTTAGACTGAATAGCGCATAGATCGAAAATAGCGAATCTGGATGGTTCTTTGATCCGGGTATGAGTAAAGTCGCAATTGATAAGAAAGACGGCATTGTTGCTCAATGCAGCCAGCAGGTTTCCATCAACCCACTTTAATTTGGTAACCCAGCTTTTAGACTCATCATCCAAATTAATTGAAGACTTGAATTCAAAGCAAGTACCCTTTGTAGTGTTGCATGAAAACAGAACCACCTGTCCGCATTCGTTACCGGTAGCGATCATTGTTCCGTCATGGCTCCATGAGACTGAATGATACGTACGTTCATTGAGCATTTTCCCGGGCTCATCTAGCTGGGAAATCAAAAAGTCGTTCTCGTATATGCATACACCTCCGTTGTTTGTCACAACTGCCAGCAGATTGTTAACGGGAGAGGCCTGACACTGGGTAATGAAACTTTCCGGTAGCGAATTTAGCATGATGTTTTCCTGAGCATTTTCAAACTCTAGTTTGTTGGGTAATGACAATTTGTGTTCTTTGACATGGAATAAATCTATACTATTGTTGGTTACTGTCTTGTTGTACACCGGTTGGCATCTTGTAAGGTCCGGTACCGTAGTGATATATAAAGTACCATCCGGTCCCCAAGCTAAGTTATCTGTCCATCCTTGTAAATCTTTCCTCAAGACTGTTAAATCGCGGAGGGCCTTCATTCGACTTCTTGGCAATTGGCTTGATTTATGTTATTTTGCCCAAAACATCGTCAATTTTAAATTAACTCAATTAAAGTTCTTGCAATGTGCAGATGGCTATCCCCTTAGAACAGGCAAAATAATATAATGTTGATGAGAAGCACATTGCTGCTTATACTCGCTCAACTAAACTTTTTTTTTGACTTAGGTCTCTGTTCATTCGATAGTGGAAGCTCGCCCGGCTGCTCTCTCTATGGAAATTGTGGAAAGAAAAGCTTGTTTGGCGATGAGTTACCATGTCCTGTTCCAAACACATTCGTGCCTCGCCAACTTTCTCATAGAGGCCAGGATCTTTTAGTGGAAGTATGCGGCGAAGAATGGAAAGACAAAAGCGACGTGTGTTGTAACGAAGACCAGATTAACAATCTTCAGAGAAACCTCAAGAAAGCTGAGGGGCTGATAATGTCCTGTCCTGCTTGCCACGAGAACTTCAAAACCTTATTTTGTCATTTCACATGCTCTCCCAATCAGCGAAGTTTTACAAATGTGACTGAAACTCAGACATCTACTGATGGTAGAGAAATAGTGTCTACCATGGAAGTTTTGCTGGATCCTCACTGGGCATCAACGTTTTACGATTCCTGTAAAAATATTAAATTTGCTGCGACTAACGGTTATGCGATGGATCTGATCGGTGGGGGAGCCCAGAATTATGAGCAGTTTCTTAAGTTTCTTGGAGATGAGAAGCCCATGTTAGGCGGCTCTCCTTTTCAAATCAACTACAGGTTTGAATCTTTTGACGAAGACTGGCAACTCTTCAACGAGACCGTCTTCACTTGCGATGATGAAAAGTATAAATGTGCGTGTGCTGATTGCAGCTCGTCATGCCCTACATTGACACCGTTGATGAACAGATCGCGTAAGATAGCAGGACTACCTTACTTTTCATTTGTTGTTGTTAGTGTATATTCCTTGCTGTTTGTCCTTATATTCGCTTGGCATATTTATTACGCCAGTACAAGGAAGGATCGCCTTGTCCTTGAGCATGAAGTGGAGCAAGTACTGGACATGGATGCGAATGACACGATATTTCAGGAACACACCTACAGAATTTACGCGTTCGATAAAGCAGTTGCTGACTATATGAGTACAGTAACCAACTTTTCACAGCAAAGGCCTTATTTGGTCCTCTTGCTCACATTTTTTGTGGTTTTGATACTTACCAGCTGTGCTTGGCTGTTTGGAAGGCTTGAAACCAATCCTGTGAACCTTTGGGTTAGCCAAAGTTCTCCAAAATATCAAGAGAAGCAGTACTTTGACGAAAAGTTTGGACCTTTTTACAGAATCGAACAGATATTCGTCGTCAACGAAACAGGCCCGGTTATGAGCTATGAAAACCTTGAGTGGTGGTTCAAAGTTGAAAAGGAAATAACCGAAAAATTAGTTTCTCACGAAAACAGGGGGTATCAAGACCTGTGCTTTCGGCCCACAGATGACAGCAGCTGTGTAGTAGAATCCATGACTCAATATTTCGGTGGACAGCTTCCTCAAGAAAGTGATTGGAAAGAAAAACTTCTGTCATGTACTGATTCTCCCGTCAACTGTCTTCCTACTTTTCAACAACCGCTCAAACCAAACCTTCTATTCAGCGACGAAGATGTATTAAGCTCCAGAGCTTATGTGGTCACGCTATTAATCAGTGACCATTCTAGTTCAGCTTCGATTTGGGAAGTGGAGCTCGAAAGGTACCTTCTGAGCCTAAAACTTCCCCCAGGGTTGAGGCTTAGCTTTAATACTGAGATGTCTCTGGAAAAGGAGCTGAACAGGAACAATGATCTTGCGATCATCTCCTTATCTTATTTGCTAATGTTCATTTACGCTTCTCGGGCATTGCGGACTACTAATGGTAAAAACCGTTTTTTGCTAGGATGCTCTGGCCTTCTGATCGTGCTGGGTTCTGTCACGTCTGCTGCAGGCCTCTTGAGTATCATTGGTGTCAGTTCAACCTTGATAATTGCAGAAGTCATACCTTTCTTGATATTGGCCATTGGAATAGACAACATTTATCTGATCACGCATGAATTTGATAGCGTTATGGACAGGAGTGAGTCCGGGGATATCGCACAGGCAATGGAAAAAGCCATTCGGAGAATTTCACCCTCTATTATCATGTCCCTCCTTTGCCAGCTGAGTTGCTTTTCAATAGCAACTCTCGTGGAAATGCCAGCTGTTCGTAATTTTGCGATCTATTCTGCTGTGTCCGTTATCATGAATGTACTTTTGCAAATGACAGCGTATGTGTCTATATTGACACTTTATACCGGCTTTTTCCCAAATAGACAAGCACCCGCGGCATCCGAAACTCCTTACATCAAAAGAATAAAAACTCTTTATAATGGTTTTTTGGCCAGAAAGAGAAGGACCTGTTTTATATTTGTCTCTTGTACACTACTCTCGCTGATATTCCTACCTTACATTGAATTAGGGTTGGACCAAACTTTAGCTGTCCCTCAAGATTCCTACTTAGTCGACTACTTCCGTGATGTCTACGAATTTCTGAACGTAGGACCACCTGTGTTCTTTGTGGTCAAAGATCTTGACCTAACTCGGCGGGACAATCAGAAAAAGATCTGCGGTAAATTCACGGCCTGTGATGAATTTTCGTTGGCTAATATTCTCGAACAGGAGCGTCATAGATCTACAGTTGTAGAGCCTTTGGCCAATTGGTTCGATGACTTTATGATGTTTCTGAATCCTCAATTAGACACCTGCTGTAGGTTGAAAAAGGGCACTGGGGAGGTATGCCCGCCTTCTTTTCCAAGTAGGAGGTGTGAAACTTGCTTCGCTGAGGATGAATGGTCTTACGATATGGATGGTTTTCCAGAGAGCTCGAGCTTCATGGAATACTTTGATATTTGGATCAACTCCCCGAGCGACAACTGCCCTCTTGCCGGAAAAGCACCATACTCGTCGTCGGTGGCGTACAACGAAAGGGGGATAAGCGCTTCGACGTTTAGAAGTGCGCATCGCCCTTTGAGGTCCCAGGAAGACTTCATCGAAGCTTTCAAGGATGCAGACCGCATCAGCAAGTCATTTGACAATCTATCAGTCTTTGCATATTCTCCATTTTACATTTTCTTTGCTCAGTATGAAACCTTGGTAAGCCTTTCCTTGAGGCTACTTGGTTTTACTGCGCTAACCGTGTTCCTCATATCATGGCTATTTTTGGGCTCCGCTATAACTGCTGTGCTACTTGTTCTCACTGTCGCAATGATCTTGATTGACATTGGTGCGCTGATGTTCGCTCTAGGTATAACTCTGAATGCGGTTAGTTTGGTTAATCTCATTATATGCATTGGGATTGCTGTCGAATTTTGTGTGCATATCGCACGTAGCTTCACTATTGTGCCGTCTACTGTCAAAATTGATCGCCAGTCGAGAGTGGAATTTTCCATTAATACGATAGGGGGTTCAGTATTCAGTGGAATTACTATGACAAAACTGATTGGCGTTTCTGTTCTAGCTTTTACACGGTCCAAGATTTTCCAATTGTTCTATTTTCGGATGTGGTTCATCCTCATCGTGCTCTCAAGTCTCCATGCCCTGCTCTTCTTGCCATCTCTGCTCTCTTTAGTTGGCGGCAGTAGCTATGCCCATGTTGAGTCTGGAGAGACCGAATAGTTATATCACATGACCTCTGCATGTCTACGCACTACTAGAGGTTGCAGGCAACAAAACTTGTACAGCTGGTTAGCCATCTACGCGCGCCCTTCTACTTCCCCTTCTACTAGTTATCGCACTTATGGCGCAGGAGCCATGAATCGATTTATTCGATCGAACATCAAAAGTATATTAGGTGCAATTTATTATTCTGTGCCTCTCCATCAGTAAATCCAATAATATTTTTCGGCACGAATATACATACAATTTGACGACTACCAAGACAATCTATCAAAAGAACGGTGCCCATGCTGTTCTGATATGAACATCCTTGTGACCCTGGGACATGGAATAGCCAAGAACCGGATAAAGCAACCCTTTCCGGCTGTGGAGAAGGGAATATACAGACAACCGTTACGGAAAGCTGACCCGTTGAGTCAAGCTCAAACGAAAAAAACAAAAGGTAATCGGGCAGCAGCAGGAGGAAGCGAGCCTTATTCTGATGAGCAATTGAAACTGGTATCAAAGGGCTCATTCTTTGAAAGGCGAGCGGTGCAAGACTTTTTAGGCCCTCACCACAATCATCGCTTTGCGAGACATAACGTAGAAGCTGCGTACGATGTGAGCCGCGCGAAAGCTAACTACGTAGCTCTGAAGCAGCTTAAAAACGCAGATGATTCGACTGCTCTTTTATTCAACAAATCCCAAAGATATGTCGAAGAGATGATCCCTTTACTGGTGCGTCTTACACCACCCGAAGTTTCGGCGGGTCATTCGAAGAGAATATTTAGAAATGAGCAATTCACAGAAATTCCTCCCATACCGAACTTTGCTACTCAGCAGCATCTCCTGGGGAATTATGTGAGCATATTGTCGCACACGACTTTTTACTACAAAAGATCGTCCTCTCTCAATGGAGTTATACCCAAAATATTGCGTAACATCATGCATCCTTCGAATATTAAAACCGCACACTTGAGAAATACCGAAGTGTTCAACGATGTAATCTTTTTCTTCAGTCAGAGGAGCGACTATGCTTCATGTCGAGAACTCTTTTCACAAATGAAGTTGGAAGGGATCGCACCAAATACTAAAACTTTCAACCTTCTGCTTCGTAATGTCCTGAAAAATTCGCATATCAGAAAATTGAACCACCCTATCCAAGATGCAGTATACTACCTGAAACAAATGCAGTATCATGAAGTGCAGGCAGATTCGGTCACTTGGGTAACATGCTACAATCTGCTGCTGGAGGATCTTTCACGCGACGTGTTTCTAGAAAAGCTCATAGAATGTAAGGTACCAATCACACCTCAGTTGATCCTTTCCGTCCTAACCTCAAGCTATCAAAATTCTTCACAAATACTTAGGTTTTTGTCCAGCAGCTTAGTTCCTCTAGATACTAAACTTTTTAACTTCTGCTTGAAAAGGTTGCTACAAGAAGAGAAATTTGATGTTGCGTGGGCATTCATCGACCATGCTCAAACTAACGCTAAATTCAAAATAAATCATGAAAGCCTTAATATCTTCTTAAGGGTCTTCGCTGAAGTTGGACGACTTGACTTGGCTCTGTTGACATTTAATTCCATCACGAGGCGATATAATGTGTCAGCTAATCTTCACTCATTTGACATGCTGCTGAAGGCTCTTGTCAGAAATGGTTATACAAAAAATTTCCCCATCATTTTAAAATACCTGCAAAGAATACGAGCTGAGTATACTGAAGGAGTCCAAGTTTACAGTTATTGGCTGTCAAAAGCGCAAGCAGTGGCAAAATTCAATATTGCTCCTAGCCCTGGTATCAAAAACTTTGAAAAGGCTAAACAACTTTTGGAGAGCATTACATGGGATACTCAAGGAATGAGGTGGGAGTGTTGGCAGAGCTGCGGACCTTCAGTTCGTAAAGTTTTTAGATTCATGGGGTGCGTCCCAAATGCCGTTAAAGCGCAGGGCAAGCGTCAGAATTTTTTTACGGATAAGAAGGTTGTCCTCAAGAAAGCGGAATACAAAAACAGAATTCGGGCACTAGCTGTTCACAGCGCTATGGCGAAGAGGGTACCATACGCTGAAGATCGGTATTCGGCGTTAAAGGAAGAACTGCACGGAAGGAACATATTGCGTTGACAGAAATATAAGAATGTATAGTTCAAATTATTTTATATGGGTATTTGCATGTTCGGTAATTATGGATCGCAAACACTTTACCAACTAAGAACTGTGTCAAATTTTCTAGCGCCACAGATTTACAGTGAATGTTTTGATCCAACAGAGCTTACCCAATATTCCTTGGCTCATACAAAATATAAAAAAATTTGTGTTATAATTTTTAAAAAAATAGAGTTACAAATGAATAAGCGCCGCTACTTTTGGCAGTTCATCCCAAACTACTGATCACTGGGTAGATGTTCGCTAAAAAGTTCCATGTGACATTCGTTTCCTGTCGCAAAACAAGAACCAATCACATTTGTTTCCTCAGTGCCAACACCTTAAATTCTTGCGGCAGCATCGGCTTCTTCTTCATGACCACCTTCGTGCTCACCTGCCCATTCTTCTTCAGCGACGGCAGCCTCTTCCTCCTCCGCGAGCTCGTCTTCGTAAACGTCGTCAACCGTTTGGTGGAAAGACAAGCTTGGTTTAACAGCAGCAACGTCTAGGGTCCAGCCTTCCAAAGCAGTTTCGGCGTCCACAATGATTTGTCTAGAGGCATCGTAACCATCGTAAGCTAATCTAGTTTCACCTGGGGTAACAGGAGAGTCATCAAGCAACTCTAAAAGAGCCTTACCGTAACCTGCAATCAAAGCAAACTTCTCGGCTAACTCGCGGATGGAGTCAAACTGGTAGTTGAAAGCAGCCTTTAGCTTTTCACGAGTAATGTTGGACAGCTGGGCCTCAGCAACAAGAGATTCAGCCTCAGCACGCACCAGCTCCTGCTCCAAGACAGGAACCTTAGGAGAGTTTGGCTCTTTGTATTTGAGACGGGCAATCTCATCAGTGATTTTTTGCTTGCGGTCTCTGGAAGGTTGCACTGAGGCCTCAATGTTCCTGACACCCTTGATGGTCAACCGATACTGATCGTATTTGTCGATAAATTGGTCTTGCAGTTCACCCAGCTCGTAAATCAAAACACCAAGCTTATCTGTGACGTCGGAAACATCGTCATCGTTATCCAAACCCCATAGGGACAATTGTTTGGCAGCGGCACGACGTTCAATGGCAACCACCTCTAAAGCTCTCAAAACTCCTTTTTCGGTCTTGACCAGCTGTGACAACTTCCTGGCCAAATCAGGGCCGAAGTTACCAGCAGCATTCTTGCGGAAACTCGTCGCAATGGAGGCTTTTCCGAAAAACTTGGATCTGGTGGACGACGGAGGAGGCGCTGGACTGGCCAGTTGCGAAGCGGTAGGAGCTCTCTGAGCTCTCAAAGAGTAGGTTCTGTGCATTAAGAAAGAGAAAGATAGGGATTAAAGACCTGGAAAGCCAAAATTAAAAGTATTGAGTTTACGTCTGCTATCGAAAGTTGGCTTTCTTCGTTCGGTTTTTCACGTTTAATATATAATATATATAGTGACCCCTATTTCTTCCATTCATCTTATACGAAAGACCCCGTTGCTTTAATAGATAAGTGCTGGTTTCTGAGCATCGTTTTGCCCAAATAGGAAAAGAACGGGTAAAAATCATATATTCAAGTACGGACTAGTAAGAGGCCCTAGGACTGATCGGTATACCATGATGAACTCACCGAGAAGAAACTTTATTGGGATAGCTCAACTATAATTGGGAAGAGCCCAAAAAGGCAATTATGGTGACTTGGCTCGATCGTGAAATATCAGGGTTGATAGTTCGTCCTGGCAGTCCAAACGAATGAAAAAAAAATTTGTTCGGTGCAGCGCGTACGTAATTCATTTTGTGCTTGGCGCAGATTAATTTTATACACACGGTTGGCAGGAGGAGAAAGTCATAGAGTGATGGCTCAAGCTAAGGTATTGGCTCAGTATTTCTTGCCGCAAACACGTCAATTTGATAGTTGGTGGGATGACTATGCTTTATGACACGTTTATAACACCTATGAAGATGAGCAGTTCACTGGGCAAAACAATGTTAACATAGGAGTTTCAAGAATGATATAGGGTCACTGGTAAGCAACTGTGCGTATGACTGTTGGCGGAGAAAAGTTCAGCTGTTGAAAAAAGAGTTTATTTTATCTTGCTAGCCATGCCTTATCTAGAAGTGCCTGGTACGCCAACGCCTGTTAATCTTAGAAGATTCGCGAGCAATCTATTGTTCTAACGAAAAGGTATTTTGAATTTAAGTTGCCAACACAATGCAACTGATTGATATTTCCAATGACCAACTTGTAAGAGTGTATCTTCCGTACATCTTTTACTATTATGTTTGCACCACTACGATACACAATGGGTGGCTGCAGCCAGATCGCATTCTTACAAGGTGAGAACACCCATCACAATAGCAAATGTCGATGAGGATTGAAGCCCACCAATCGGACATGATTTATCCCGCAGGGCACAGTAGATCTTGGGTAGTTATTCTACTCAAGACTTATACGGGGGGATGTGAAGGCGTCAGAGTTCAAAGCAAACGTGTACTGAGATGCACTTCGGCGATATTTCGTCGATGTGTAAGTCTTGACTTCTATTGTACTTTAAGCATTGACGGTAAAGAAAATACAGCGACATTTAGGGCTCCCAATTTCATACCTTAATATAGAAATTTTTTGCGACATGTATGAATGTAATGAACGAGTAACAAAGTGGGCCTTCCGCCAGTAGCGATAATCAGCTCGAACATTTGCGCCACACAAAAGTGAGAAAGCAGCCCTTTCAAAATCTCCAGGCACTCAGCATGGCAGTTTAAAGGCGTTTACCGAGGGTGGGGCCATCCAGGTTGTCTTACTCTACAAGCGATCCCAGTTCGTATTGACATGATTATTAAAGAGGGCACCAATTTTTGAAAATTAATATACCTTACCAAATTACACTTGTAGTGCCCAGACAGCCGTCACGCGATGGACAAATTCGACAGACAGTTGCGATTATGGGGCTCTCATGGACAGTACGAACTTGAGACTGCCAAGGTGTGCGTTATTGCGTGCTCTGATCTTGGAACCGAAATATTAAAGAACTTGGCACTGCCAGGATTAAAACAATTAACATTCATACAAGTGAAAGCGGCCAATGATGTTGGCGGCCATAACAGATTTTGGAATCTGGCAGAGTGGAATGTCACGGAGATTATTTGGGATACTCCTAAAATGAGCCACCAAAATTTTTGGGATGGTTTTTCCCTCGTTATCGTGGCTTCAGGGAAGCCGGAAATTTGGACTACCCTCAAAAATGTCCAGGTGTCTCGAATGCTGGTGTGCCGCACATTGGGAAATAGAGGGATATTATCCTTCGTTTCACGAGAGCCACACTTTGTAATAGAATCTCACCGACGGCATAAACTCCCAGATCTTAGGTTAGACCGCCCACGCAAAAAGTTGACGCAAGCTTATCAAGCCTTGCCTCGAGAAGACTCAGAGCTAACAAAGCTGCCCTATGCAGCTCTTTTATTTCGAGTTAAAAAAGAACTTATTGATGAAAAATTGGAGGTAAGTCGTGAAGCATTAAAAAGCAAACTAACTGCTCTACAGAATAGGTGCGCATCAGCCCAACAAGCTACAAACCTGGTAGAAGCCCAAAGACATTCTCACCTCCTACTTCAAAATTCACAGGTCTTACCGGAAAATGTGTTGCACTGCCTTCAGCTCAAAGATGAACCCTGTCAGGTTAACTTTAATAAAACCACCAAGGTCTTGATTCAAGCTCTAGCCACCTACTTAAAAATTCCTTACAGCGATGAGCAACTCCCACTTTCAGGTACAATCCCGGATATGGAATCTTCTTCTGAGCAGTACAACCACTTACGCCAAGCGTATGCGGCCGCTGCAGAAGAAGACGCAGCGGTGTTTCGACAACTAGTCACAAAGGAATCTTCTAGCATCCCTCTAGACCAAGTCAATGCCTTTTGCAAATATGCTCATTATATAAGAGCGGTAGAACCACTTCAAACACTCGAGAGGCTTGAAATAGACAGTAAGACATGCTTATCAGCACAAGATATTACAGTCCCAGCGAATTTGATTGCAATGCCAACCGCAATGAGCGACGATAATGAATTCCAAAGAACTGACTATCCTACCGTTTCCTTCATGGCTGGTGTGGCAGCACAAGAAGCTGTGAAGATCCTGACGCATCAATTCGTACCCATCGAGAATTTGCTATTTTACGATGGGGAGTCCAACAAAGTTTGCCACTTCAAATTATAGACCTCATCTATTTTCTTGGCTTCCATCAAAGATTTGAAAACAATCCTTGAACTGCTGCAGAGCTCTTCTGTTTCTTTTTTCGTCTCACCATATCCTTCCAGTCGTCCTCTGCCTCACTTTCATCTTCCTTCTCTTCTTGCGCTATTCTGTCCTCTATGATTTTTCTTTTCTGGGCCAGCTTCAGCTTTCTCTCCCCCTTTGTCTCTTTAGCAGCCGTTTTGTTAGACCAAGCAGCATTTTTCTTCTTCAGTTCGCTTTTGAGCTTTTTCTGGTCATTAACCTCTTTCGTCTTCTTCAAGTTTTCAAGCCTCGCGCGCTCCATTTGTTGGTTGGAGAAAGCGAATTGATCTAGGTCAATCGCAGGATTAACGAGCCATCCATCGATGGGCATTTTGCTGTCTTCTAAATTTTTGGTAATTTCGGGCATGCGCGGTAGACGTATTAACCCATAAAGCCTTGCAATTCCAATGTAGTCCAGCGAACGGAGCCTAAATATTGAGGATGCAGTATGTTTGGAATAGTAGCGGATAAATGCCACGTAGGCCTTGATGCTGTGCTCAAACCTTGCCCTATCTTGCAGTATCCATAATTTGAATTTGTTATAAAACTCAGCATTTGGTCGAAAGTTGGCTTCCATTTCATTCAGCTCAATTTGTTTAACCTGGAGAAAGTTGACATAATCTTCCTCCCTCCCAGCATTTAAAAAAGCTATTGCTTTCCCCGACCTGTTTGCCCTTCCGGTCCTACCACACCTGTGAAGAAACATCTCTGAAGAAGTCGGTGGATCAAATTGAATGACCAAATCGACCTCTGGAATGTCAATTCCCCTTGCCGCCACATCAGTTGTCAAAAGAACTGAGTTATTGAAAGTGCTTGTGAACTTTTTCAGCGTACCTAGTCGTGAGCTTGTCTGCAACTTACCATGAAGCGAATAAGTTTCTAGATCGTCCTTCATATCGCCCGATTGCGAAAGATATTTGATAAAAGAATAGAAGTAAGTGACCGAGACACAAGTGGGGAAGTAAACAATACACTTCCGATACCGAATGTGGTTTAGAATATTAAGAAGGTATTGCAGTTTGTCTTCGGGTTGCAATACAACGTAACTAATGTTGAGGGATTCAGGATTTTGGACCTTAGATTTAACTGCAATTTTCACGGGGTTTCTCATGCCAGTCCTGAAGATCTGGTTGCCGGCACTGCTTATTGTAGCTGAAAAAAGACCGGTCCGCCTTTGTTTGGGAAGAAGATGCAAAATACTTTCCACGTCTTTCTCAAAATTAATATCCAATAGCTTGTCTGCCTCATCTAAGACTAGTAAACCACAGGATGTGCTTTTGACTGCCCCGGCCTTCAGAAAATCAAGTACTCTGCCAGGGGTACCTACCAATATCTGCGGTCTCTTTTCCATGAATGCGTTGACGTCATCTCTAACCGAAGAAATACTAGTTCCCACAAGCAGCTGGGATTTGATGGGACCTGTTTCCTCTGGACAGAACTTTAAGAAAGTGTCAATCACATCCTGTATCTGACTGGATAGCTCCCTCGTGGGAGAAAGGACAAGTGTATGAAAATGTGCCTTCCTAAGTGCGCTTCCACTTAAGACCTCCTTTATAACCTTTTCCAGAATTGGTATCACAAATGCTACTGTTTTCCCAGATCCAGTTACCGACTCTACAACTACATCTTTATTTCCCGAAAACATGGGTATAGTAGAGGCCTGAACTGGCGTCATCGTCTCGAATCCCAAGCTATCAATAGCTGTACGAATCCACGGCTGAATTTCATATTTCAAATCGTCCCAGGATAGTGATTTCGCCATTGCTGACAACTCTTCATGCTCTTCGAAATTGGTATACTTCTTTTAATGGTTAAATTTTTCATTAAAATCCATCATCCATCCATCACCAGAAAATACATGCATGTTGATCTGTTGGATACAAAGTCCTGAAGACAGTAGTTAACCTTGTTCTACGCCCCAAATGGGATTTATAACGAGAATATTAAGGCTTGGACGTAACATTCGGAAACCACTTCCTGACCGTGTCGATTACACGAAGTGGAACAAAGACGAGCTTATCAATAGAATCATAGAGTTGGAAGGTCAAAAGAAGCGCAAGGCAGATGAAACAGATGAAGTAGAGACCCAAATTGCCAAACGACCAAAGCCTACCAAAGAAATAACTAGAAAACGCAAGAAAAAAGATCGGCCATTCAACTTCTCGAAGTACAACACACGGTTCATAGCAATAAAGTTTGCGTATCTCGGCTGGAATTACAATGGCCTTGCAATTCAGAAAGAGCCAACCCCGTTGCCCACTGTGGAAGGCACAATACTCAAAGCCATGAATGCTTGTAAGCTTGTACCATCGATGAATCCTCAAGACTATAAGTTTAGCAGATGTGGGAGAACGGACAAGGGAGTTAGTGCCATGAACCAGGTTATATCGCTTAATGTGAGGTCCAGTTTAACACACGAACAGCAACAAAATAGTTTTTTTGATGACAAGGAAATAAATTACGCTCATATCTTGAACCAAGTATTACCAGATGACATCCGCGTTTCTGCTGTCTGTTTACGTCCTCCGGAGAACTTTGACGCCAGATTCTCTTGTCAATACCGTCACTACAGATATTTGTTCAGGGGGGATGGCCTTAACATAGAAAAGATGCACGAAGGAGCACTGTTGTATGAAGGTGAACATGATTTCAGGAACTTTTGTAAGCTCGATGGTTCAAAACAGATTACAAACTACAAGAGAACTATAAAGTCATCACGCATTATTAAGTTGAGTCATAACTTATATTGCTTGAATCTCATCGGCTCAGCATTTTTATGGCACCAAGTTCGCTGCATGATGGCCAACTTGTTTCTCGTGGGTCAAGAATTAGAAATGCCCTCTGTGATCACCGACATGCTAGATATCGAAAAAGTGAAGCAAAAGCCAATTTACGACATGGCGAGCGACATCCCACTGATACTTTACGACTGCAGCTTTCCGGAAATGGACTGGACTAGCGCCAATCAGGGTGACTTCAAGTCTTTACAATCAAATAGGCGGGTTTATTCGATGGCTTTGGACTATGGCTTGAAAGCTGATATTTCCGATGTATTTGCTGATGTCCTTTCTGTTGATCAACAGGACCTTGGTGGTAGGACGAGAATCAATCTAGGCGACGGTAAGGGGAAAGTAGTAGGAATTTATGAATCTTTATTGAGAAGAGAGGTCATGGACTCTGTGGCCACGGTTAATGAAAAGTTCAAACGTAAAAAGTCCAAAAAAACGGACTCTTAGCATAAAATGATATGGGGGCTATCAATCGTCATGCGAGCGCACAATCCACGCGGGATCCCAGTAAATAGTTTCTCCAGCTGCTTGGCCATCAACCCAGAGCATGCCTTTGGCAACCATCTCTTTCAACACGGCGTCGCTTCGAACCGGCATCCAATCCATATTTATTCTCAGAAGAGATACACTAGCGTAACCTAACACGGAACAGACCTCGAGAATTTTGGTATGGTCATTTGTTAACTCGTTGGGTACGCTGCGTAAATATTTCTTGTTCTTTATTGTGAAGACTTCAAGTCCCCCATCCAAAGTTTCCAACATTTCTACTGCCTTTTGCAAATCTGCCATGTCGACTTTAAGCTGTTGAAAATGGCCTTTGTGCAACTCATCGAAGGATATCACACCACCGTTCAGATCTTGGGTATGCCGGCAAAGCTCTATGACTTTGACGCAAATTTCGTAAAAATAATCGTTAACGTCAAACAAGTGGCGTTCCTTGTCAAACAGGCAAATTGGGTCTATTCCGATGGAGCTACACATCTTGATGAACTTCACTCTGAAATCTGGATTGGCTTTTAGCTCTGAATTATGATCTTTAGCAAAATCTACTAGCTTTTCTTGAAAAGCATTCAATTGTAAATCTAATTCTCTATTCTGCCGGCTCAATAAAGTGGCCGTAGCTTCATAGTGCTCGGAACGTTCCGCATTGAAGGCTGCTAGACCGTGCCTCATTCCCACACCCCGAAGCTTGTACCTTAATGCTCAGCTCAATATAAGGTGTAAAAATATTTAGATGAAATCATTATAAAACATGATAGAAACAGCCTGGAACCAAAGCTGAAAACAAAAAGCTCTTCCAAAATGGATGCGGCAAGTCAGATGAAGCCAGATGCTTGGACTGTTTCTTCTAATGAAGCGTTGAAGCTATCGCTTGTTGACGAACAAGGTGCGGTTCAATTTTGCCCCATCTTCACCTATCCGATTTTTGGTGATTCAGAGCAGATATTCGGTTACCAAGACTTACAAATTTTTCTAGCATTCGATTCGATCACATTCAAACCCTTCTCTAATGTTAGGTATTCCGCCAAGCTTATGGACACTGTCGATGACGTTCAAAAGAAGATTTTGGAGTTTTTACCTCCCAATGACGTTGTTGTAAAGGATGAAATAAGCTGGGTTGACATGTTTACCAAAGAGCGCCTATCTTTCAACCTACCTGGTAGTCACTTGAGGATAAAGAGTTATGACATTGAAGATGAGCAATTCGCAATTTACAAAGTTCAGCTTCAGGACCCTAAAATCAAACTTCTCCACAAACGCATGCAAATATTCACACTCTTCTTCATTGAATCAGCTTCGTACATCGACGACGAAGACGAAGGATGGGAAATATTCCTCACTTTCAATGTTAAAACTAAACAGTGTATTGGATACAGTACTACGTACCAATATTGGAAATACACCGGTGGTCCTGAGTTTGATATTGACGCGAACTCGTCAGCGACAGGAAAAATATCACAATTTCTTATCTTCCCCCCCTATCAAGGCAAAGGCCATGGCTCTTTGCTTTATAATGCCATTTTTGACATATGGCTAGGAAGTCCTAGCGTTCGGGAGATAACCGTTGAAGACCCTAACGAGAGCTTCGATATTTTGAGAGATCGGAATGACTTTCTCCGGCTCCAGGGCACGGGCTTTGCCGAAGCTATTCCTGATCAGCTCCCTTTGGATCAAGAATGGCTTAAATCCCAAAGGCTTTCGCTAAAACTGGAAAAACGGCAGTTTATGCGACTGATAGAGATGACACTCCTTAATAAATCATCTCTCAATTTCCGGCTGCAAGTAAAGAAGCGACTCTTCGAGAAAAATTTCGAAATTTTGAGTGACTTAGATATCGCTGCGAGAAATGACAAGCTTCAGAGTGCATTCATTTCGGTTAAAGAAGAGTATGAAAGTATTCTGAGGTCTCTTAAATCTGCGAAGCGTCTTGGTGCTGATCATGCCAATTCAGCTCCCAAGAGACTAAAAACGAACTAAATAAATCTTTATTAATTCACAACTTTAAAAAATATATGAAGATTGATATTAGTCATCTGATCCCTTTATGTTTTAAATTAAAAAAGTGTTATAAACAATATACAAATTAAAATATAATGCAAGCAAAATTAGAAAAAGTTGTTGTGTTAGAGGTCCGAAACCCGTTTTTGTGGTGTAGGACTGGAGTACTTCTCTTACCACTGAATTATCAAAAAGATGTTTACCTCAAATAAAATATACAACTTTGGTCAGCTCCACCCTTGGTTAGAAGTATCGCCTTAAAAATGGGAAAGTTAGTCCAGTTTAATCCTCCATAAGTTCTCGTGATTGTTGGTCTCATCGTAGAGTTTGTGTCTGTTAATGTCACATGAATATACAAAATAGAACTCAGTATAATACTCTTCGAAAAACTTTTCTAGTCATCTCTGTCCATCGATACTACTTATAATATCCCAAAAGCCAGAGCGACTTGTGGTGAGGATGGCAGGGAAGCAAACAAAGACGGCCAAGCGTGCGAATAAGCAAAATGGACAGAGGGAAGTTACTTCTGAGGTGTTTCAAGATTCTCAAGCCAGAAATCAACTCATAAATGCTCCTAACCTTACTGAGAAATCCAAAACTAAGAAACCAAGTAAATTGAAAGTATCGAAAGAGCAGGCTCTCGCACGGCTCTATGGCTCGAAGAATAAAAACACCAAAACGTATTCGGACAAGGAATTGAATCTGCCGACATTAAATCGGGCAATAATTCCAGGTGTGAAGATAAAGCGTGGTAAAAAGGGCAAGAAGTTTGTTGGTGACCATGATTCACTTTTACTAGAAAGGCTAATAAGCACAATTGGAGACAAGGATGAGGAGCTTACCGAGAGTAAATTAGAAAAGGCTCGCAGATTGGAGGAAATAAGAGAATTGAAAAGACAAGAAATTGAGAGAAAAGAGGAGGCGAAGAAGGATAAACTTGATGCGAAGAAAGGTGAATTGAAGAAGAAGGCATCTGTAGCCAGATCTTTGCGGAGGAAAAACAAGAGAGAAGAAGAAGTTAACGAGAGGAAGGCATCTGGAAAACCTGGCATTGAAGGAAAGCGAGCAAAGAAATCTGTCACTTTTGCATAGAGGCAGTTTTGCATATTTTGGTAACAAAAAATAGTTACCTATCTCAGGTGACCCTCATTTCATCGAGCACACTTGCTACTTAATTTTGTATAGTAAAAATGTACCAACTTTGGTTGCGCAACGTCCCGATCCCGTTATGTAATTGCTGGGATGACGCTTTCTCGTGAATCTCTTGTATTGATCGTTGGCTATCGAGAGGAGAAAAAAATTTATAAAGTTTCATGAGCACTTAATTATCTAAACAAACAAGACCAAACCAGTCAACCTGTAATAGGCAATGAATGCGGACAAGGGAGCGGGTATTAAGAGTCTTGGGATCCATGATAGCCTTTCCAAAGACTCTGCGAAAGTTTTCAGCAATTTGATTGAAACCGCGAAGAGTTTACCAACCACCTCTTCAGAACTTGGGGCAATACAATTAAGCGTCAATGAGATTAAAAAGAGGGCTCATGAACTAAGAGCAAAAACAAAACCTAAAAATGATCATACCAGGGCTCATTATCTACTTGCGGGAAGCGGTCTAGCTATCCAGGATGTCGAGTCATCTCTAAAAGCGCTCAAGTCAAGGCAATTGATGGAGCAAAATGTGATCAATAGAGCAGTTGAGGACGATCTCGACACTTACTTGAAGACAAAGAAAGATGAAAATATATTATCTTCAATTGAACAGTCACTAGCATCTGCAGCTAAAGACTTTGACAATTTTATCAATCAGAACTTCAACCTTGACTGGGAGCAAAGAAAAATCGAAGTTCGAGAAAATTTTGGCATTCTAACGAAGAAAAGAAGGAGTAACAAGCATTCTGTCGAAGTTCAGTCGTCAATGCTACCTCCAAAATGGGGAGGAAGTGGGCGTAGCATCCTAGATGGTGATTCTAGGCTCAATGTCAACGAAAATTTTGCCACAAGGGCCAAATTCGAAAAGTACGCCAAAACAATCAACAGTTTCAACAACGCTCGACAAGGTGGCTACGACTTTTCTTTGTCACATGAGGTCTTGCAATGTTTTACCGATCCGACCGATGCAAATAATAGACAACTTCCAGAGGCATGGAAAATTTTGGACCATGCACATAAGGTCAAGGACGTTGTCTCTTCTTCTAAATCATTCCTTGAAAAACAGTTTTTGGATTACGTTGGGCTGCTGTACACAAAAGTTGCGGGCGAGGGCCTGCCTACGAATGTGAATAAGGTTAAGGCTTTCATCGATCACAAACTTAAAAATGTGAACAACACCTGGAAGTATGGAAATTTGACTATTGTTAACGGTGTACCAATATGGGCATTCATCTTCTATTTACTTAGAGCAGGCTTAGTTCAAGATGCTTTGGAGGTCGCCGTCGCCAATAAACTGAGTTTCAAAAAGGTAGAGCAATCTTTTCTGACCTTTTTTAAGGCGTATGTTAATTCGAAAGATCGAAAACTCCCTAATGAGTTTATCTCAAGATTGCACACAGAATACAACCAGCATATAAAAAACGCCTTAGATGGAGATCCATTTAGACTCGCGGTCTACAAGATTATTGGACGGTGTGACCTGACCCGCAAGAACATTTCATCGATCACTTTAAGCATCGAGGATTGGATTTGGATTCATCTTATGCTCATAAAGCAAGATGTATCAAAAGAAGACCCAGTGTACGAAAAGTATGAATTGACAGATTTTCAAACAATAATATCATCGCATGGGGCATCCATGTTCAATGGCTCCTATTTAAACGCCTTGATGTTGAGTGGAATGTATGAGTTAGCAATTGAGCATGCTATGACCATAAATGAAATTGACGCTGTTCACCTCGCTATCGGCTTGGCGTGCTACGAGAAACTGAACATATCGTCTTCCAAGGATGGCAATAATAATGAACTCGTATCGTGTCAAGATGGCGAAATGAAACTAAATATGACCAAGTTACTTGGAAACTACACTAAGTCTTTCAAATTTTCTGACCCCAGAATTGCGGTCGAATACCTGGTTCTTATTAATCTAGGGGCAACTCCCGAGGGCCCTGAAGTATGTCACGAAGTGTTGAGAGAGCTGGTGTTAGAAACTAAAGAGTTCACAATTCTTTTGGGTAAGGTCAATCGTGATGGAACTAGGATTCCTGGTGTAATTGAAGAAAGACAATCTTTGATTTCCCTGACCGATGAACAAGCCTTTTTGCATAAAATTACAGAGCAAGCAGCAAGACGTGCGGATGAAGATGGCAGGGTTTTGGATAGCTTGCTATTGTATCAACTGGCTGACGAATACGATATTGTAATAGGTATTGTCAACAAGTTGCTAAGTGATCTTCTGAGCAACACCGACATATCCCAGCCCTTGCTAAATCTGGACGACAATAGCGAGACAAATCCGGTATTAATCGCTAGGAAACTGATAAATGTATACGTGAACAATTTGGAGATCGCACAAAAGATTCATGCAAAGCGTAAGGAAACGTGTATACTACTACTGAAAATGGTAGACATCCGAAAAGCGTTTTACTTGCACAATTGGTCACTAACGCTTGAGAAATTGGAGGGGATTGATATGATACCTTTTGCAGATGAGTTGTCATCACGTAAAAGGGCCCAGGAATTCTCCAATCTAAGTTCTGATATCAAGAAGAATATACCCAATCTCCTAATCATCGCCATGACCTGCGTGTCGAAAATAGTTGGGGAGCTAAATAGCAGCGAGTATCAGTCACCGGCCAAGGCACAGCAGGTAGAGGCCTTGAAGAGGCTGGCTAAAAATTGCATGATCTATGCCGGCATGATCCAGTATAGTATGCCTCGTGAAACGTACAGTATTTTGATCAACATTGAGGTTGCCCTTTAAATGAATGGTAACCACGGTCGTTAGTGGAGGCTGTTGGTGGCAGATCAAGATATATGTACTACTTTTGTTGTTGGAGGATGCACTTTGTAGCCTATGTATGCTACATAGATTTAAAGAAAAAACTCGAATAGAAAGTTTTAGCTTTGTAGAAACGTCCGGATTCTGACCTAGTTCATTTAAGTTTGCCTTATTCGTGATTGAGTGTAATCCGGCTGGACTTCATAGGCGTTCGGGCTGGAAGACCGTTTTTGTTCCAACTTGCGACGGCGCCTTTCCTTCCTCGCTTTTCGCCTGCTTTCTAAGTCCATTCCCTTGGAAGCTTCGCTGTCGGACTCAGAAGATGATGATTCAGATGACTGGGACGAATTGTGATGGGGATGGTGATTGCAATCCTCATTGTCGTCAGCTAGATCCTCCAGATTTTGCTGAGGATGGAATATACAACAAACTTTGGATTTCTTCTTGTTCATGTGCTCGTTGTCTACTACATCATCTTTCCAACGAACTTTGTTTCGCTGATCACCTCTCTTAGATGTGTCACTTTGGGTTGGGCCCGTATGTGGTACATCTGTACTCCCGCGTAATTGTAAAACGGGCAGAGATTGCGAGGTTGTCACTACTGTTCCTTCTTTACGTTCTTGCATTCGATTATGTTGAATTTCTGTGCTTGGAGAGACAGTTTGTCTAAAGGACTAGTCATGGGTAAAGTGATGGATGAGATCTCTGTAGTTTCGTACAAAAAATGTTAATTTGCAGAATTATAGTAGGCGATAATAACTTTGTCGTTTTAAACTGAGCTTAACCTTAGCAGGGTGGCAAAACGGCACATACATAAGGTGGAATAATACCTCGGTAGCTATAATTTCTCCACACTTGAGAAAAGAGAATTGAGTTGCTTGTACAAAAATGGAAAGACTTCAGAGATTGATGATGAATCAAAGAGCAGGTGTTATGGGAGGTGCGGCAACAGCCGAATCGCCTATGGATGACACGAAAGAGACAGTATACATATCGTCGCTTGCTCTGCTTAAAATGTTGAAGCATGGTCGTTTGGGCGTTCCTATGGAAGTGATGGGGCTGATGCTAGGCGAGTTTGTTGACGATTACACAGTAAGCGTGGTTGACGTTTTTGCCATGCCTCAGTCCGGAACAGGAGTATCGGTAGAAGCTGTTGATGACGTATTCCAGGCCAAGATGATGGATATGTTGAAGCAGACGGGTAGAGATCAAATGGTAGTCGGCTGGTACCATTCCCACCCTGGATTTGGGTGCTGGCTTTCTTCGGTAGACGTCAACACGCAGAAGTCTTTTGAACAGCTGAACAGTCGAGCAGTAGCTGTCGTCGTTGACCCCATACAGTCTGTTAAGGGAAAGGTTGTGGTAGATGCTTTCAGGTTAATCGACACTAATATGATAATGAGGAATCAGGAACCAAGGCAAACCACATCGAATGCCGGGTTGTTAAACAAACCAAATATTCAAGCTTTGATTCACGGTTTGAATAGGCACTATTATTCTCTGAACATCGACTACCATAAGACAAACGCCGAGACCAACATGCTCTTAAATCTGCATAAGGAACAATGGCAATCCGGTTTGAAAATGAACGATTATCAAGAAAAAGAGCACAAGAACCTTCAAGCTACGCAGGATATGCTCAAGATTGCAGAGCTCTATTCAAAGAGAATCGAGGAAGAAAAGGATTTAACGGAAGAAGAATTAAAGACACGATATGTAGGCAAGCAAGACCCCAAAAAGCATCTTTCCGAAACGGCTGAAGCTGTACTAGAGGATAACGTTGTATCAGTTCTGACAGCGAACGTCAACGCATTTGCTTTGAAGTAGATACTTTTATAATGCAAACTCTTGAAATCGCAATTGCGCATAAAAGTTTCAAGCAATCACAATAACTAAACATCACTTCAAAAAACATTGATCCCAGGTTATTCCATGGCCTCCCAGACTTGTATGCAGCTTTCCTCTAAAAACAGTAGCTCCTTTTCTTTTATCGTTATACTTTTATCGTTTACCTCGAACCATTCTTCCAGACTTTTCTCGTAAACAATAATGCTCCATTGGCTTTCCTGGTCTAGCTCGGTCTCATCGCTATAAGTCCCTCGAACTCCCTTGTGTGAAATGATCGCAATAAGTTTGAACTTGGAGCCTTTGACCTTCAGGATGGAAGGAAGTTTGACGATTGTTTGGTTGCGATTCTTTATCGGGCACTCAACAGCTCGATTGAACCTATTAATGTGCAATATGAGAAGCCTAGGAAGTTTTGATAGGCTAAGTGCTATCGTCCCCTGCTTCGTTTGTGCTTTCTCGACACCATTGAACTTAGTCAATAGGTCTTCCAACCTTACTTGAGGGATGCTATTTGTATCGAAACCGTCTTTAAATAGTGGCATGGGCGGAAGGTCCAACGTCAACGTCCAGAATTTAATTTTTCGCCGCGTGGTATGAGAATTTTCAAGGGACTTCGTATCTTCTTGTTGATTATCATGACGGGGAACTTCCTGAGTAAGCGAAAATAGTTCACCCCTCATCTCTTTACTCAATAATTTCTTCATGGCAGGAGCAGCACCAAATAGTCGATTTATTATCCACAGAAAGATATCTTTAGGTTCTGGCGTATTTTTCGGCGTTAAAAGGGAGCTGTTGGTGAGAGATAAGTGGTGAAGAATCTCATGGGGGGAAAGATGACACTTTAGCAAGTGAGACGACCAAATTCTCTTAATCAAGAGAGACAAACGGTTTAGCAGTTCATCTTCAAATTTATCTGAAGCCGTGAGTAGTAAAAAATCTCTTATCGGAGGTATTCGTGCTATTAACTGTAAAGCAACCGTTATATGAGATGAATTGTTGTTGTCGTTAAGGCGAACTAAGCCTGTCCAATAGGCATTGTTGAATATGTCGAAGCATTGAACTGGAAGCTCAGAAATTTGCTGAGGTGTATATGAGGGGGCAATGAAAAGCCTAATCCTCTCAAGGAGTGGATTATCGCCAAGTTGGTAATTTTCGGGCAATATGTATGCTTTTCCTGTGTGTAAATTCATGAACGCGTGATGATCTTCCTGAATTGAGTGCTGAAATGCAACGCTGTTTTCTTTGCGCCCTTGCAAGAACTTTCCACACTTGAGGCAAGCATATACATTTAAGGGCGACAAAGTAATTGAACAGACTCTTTCCCTGTCGATGTCCAATTTCTTTAAGTCAACTTCATCTAGAACTCCCTGCCCCTGTTTGAGGACTCTTTTTATTCTTTTCGGAGCTCTTTCCACCTCATCGTTTGATTCCCTACTCGATTTTATTGTGTATGTACCATAGCCTGTCATGGTGCCTAAGTTGTGTAAACTGTGCCATTTGACCTTACGGATGCGAAAGATTTTCTGGATTTCGTCAGCATAATTTAACATTCATGTCTATATAGATAGACTATGTTATATCATCAGCGCCTTAGATGGTGGATTAAGCAGCGGAAAACGCAGCAAGCATTGAAATAGTGGGTAAACGTTCAATTGTGTTTTTGGATAATATACAAAATGTCTATTTCACTGTTGGGCTTAGTCGTTTGTACAGCGGTCCTTATATTTAGTGCGATAAAGCACGCCAAGAGGTTTCGCGGACCATATGGGGCTAAGCATCATGCGCAAGTCGAGGAGAAAGTTAGCACTATCTTGGAGTCCCTTGAAGGTCATAAGTATCCTGCCAAGAGTCATGCTTTGAAGGTCAAGGGCTTCTTCTTGGGCAGAAAGGGACCTAGTCATGAAGAAAAAACTGCCTTATTTATCGCGGGCGGGACTCTGGAGAGTATCAAATACTGTGACCAAACTAAGCCATTCAGACAGAATAGGTATTTTTATTATTTGACGGGTGTCGACATTCCTGGTTCTTCACTTATCTTGGATTTCCCTACTGAAAAGCTGACGTTGCTGCTCCCCGATGTCGATGACGACGATGTAATGTGGAGTGGTCTTCCAATGAGCGTAGACGAGGCATATGAGAAGTTTGATGTTGACCAAGTTCTCTATATGAAGGATTTGGATGCAGAATTCGAAAAGAAGGCTGGCTACAAATTATACACCACTGACAAGGATGGCGTACCATCTTCAAAGTTGAGCGAGAAGCTCATTTCTGCGGACCCGGACCTATTCTATGCTTTAGACGAGGCTAGGATGATCAAAGACTGGTATGAAATTCAGCTCTTACGGCGCGCGGCAGAGATAACTGACAAATGTCATTTAGCAGTTATGTCCGCCTTGCCAATCGAAAAAAATGAAGGACATATGCATGCCGAATTTACGTATCATGCTATTCGTCAGGGCTCAAAGAATCAGGGTTACGACCCCATTTGTTGCTCCGGTACCAGCTGTAGTACCTTGCACTATGTCAAGAATGATGATTCGATGGAGAACAAGCACTCTGTACTAATCGATGCCGGGGCTGAATGGGGAAATTACACTGCAGATGTCACTCGCTGTTTCCCCATAAATGGGAAGTTCACAAAGGAGCATAGGGAGATTTACGACGCTGTCTTGGATATGCAAACCCAAGTGATGGCCGAAATGAAGCCAGGGGCTGAATGGGATGAATTGCACCTACTTGCCCACCGTATCCTGATCAAACATTTTCTTCGCCTCGGTATCTTCAGAAGTACATTCTCTGAGGAAGACATTCTGAAGAGGAGAGCCAGTCTGTGTTTTTTCCCTCATGGACTAGGGCACTTGCTAGGCATGGATACTCACGATGTCGGAGGAAGGGCCAACTACAATGACCCAGACCCGTTATTTCGTTACTTAAGATTGCGCAGAAAGTTGGAAGAAGGTATGGTGGTTACTAATGAACCAGGAATCTACTTTAATCCATTCTTGATCAAAGAATTTCTGGAGAATCATCCCGAGAGACTGGAGGTTGTCGAGGAAAAAACTATGAAAAAATACTTGTACGTCGGAGGTGTTCGTATTGAGGATGACGTATTGATCACCAGCTCTGGACATTTTAATTTGACTGGTATCACCAGCGATCCTGATGAAATCGAGAAAATAGTTCGAGACGGGCTTTCAAAAGGTAGATCGCACTTTCACAATGTAGCCTGAGTAGTTCATACAATTTTCTAACTATATGTTAAATATATTGCCATTCGGACAAGGCTGGTGAACAAAAATGCGAATTCTGTGGATCGAACACAGGACCTCCAGATTTCGGCGACCGAAGTTTTCTTCAGTCTGGCGCTCTCCCAACTGAGCTAAATCCGCTAGATATGATTCACGTGAATCCATGATGCTAACTGTACGCTTTTTTGAATTTGTCATTTGCCGTGTCTGTTTTCTCTACTTATGACCGGCCACCAGTATGAGAGTGCTGGAACGGCCTAAGAGTACTAGCCATCTTATTTTATCGGCGCGATTCGTAGTCGGCAGGAGTAAACTTGCTGAGTTGTTCGTTGAGTGTGTTGGTATACATCGTGTATAACATCAGGAGTACTGGGTCATGAATCTGGAGCTTGTAAAGCAGAAAGTCATCCTTCTGTAGTCACCTGGGCTATTAATCCAGAATACCAACATATATATATATATAATATATAAATGGTTCTTGTGCGAATCATCTTGGTGCCGTTGGAGGTGAATAATCCAATGAGAGCACCAGTAAATGGCCCGTTGGGCTGATAATCAATTAAAATTGCTGATCAGGATATTTCTTTAAATTCCTGCTCTTCTAGGCACCACTGGCTGGACCACCTTGCACTATCTTATATTTATCACGTCTTACTATACTGACACTAAGTTGATGATGACTATTATGCAACTCCAAGCTATTGAATCAGTGATAACACCACCACTCGATAGTTTCAGCATAATTACTTTACTGCAGAAAATTATATGGAAGATGTAAGCTGTTGGATAACTTGGGTGTAGTGCACCTGAACTTCAGAGTTTCGGGGGCGAGGCAAGTTGCAGCCAGGATGGAAACCTGGAATGTCACGAATATTTGAGGTTTCTCACAGACCGCATCATGGCCCCTTTTCCTTGTGCAAATATGATTTTAGTATGATACCCTCAGATCAGTATGTGGGTAATTACGTCCGTAAGTATCGTCACTGCAATCAAAGTCCGGTGAATTCAAGGTTATGTCTGGCGCTTGACTGGATTTTGCCAGGTGGCTACATCTTTGTGAATTGAGTGAGCTTTTTTCTGTCACTCTTAGCCCGGTGTTCGGGGGGCACATATGAATGGCTTGCGTATATCGTTACCAAGTATTGTTGAGACCACGTTAGTCAAAAGTGTTGGTGGTAGTTACGGCCAAAACCTCGATTGAAAGAGCGGCACAGTTGCTTAGGAACCTCACAAAATGGGTATTAGAAAATCGGCGCTTATTTTGTTCATGGTAATATCGGTTTACCGCTGAGTTTTTTTGTTTGTTTTTCAATAACTACAAAGACCTTCATGAGCCCTTTGCCTATTGATCCTTACGAATAACCCCAAACGTTCACTTTTCTTTGGTGAAAAATAGTAAAGAGTCACGAAGAAAGTTCTGGGGCACCAGTTTCAAACTTGTAGACGATGCGCGAACCATAGACTTCTCCTTGCTTTAGAATAACCGAATCTCTCCACTCGTTAACGTTGACAGCGTTGATGAACCTCTCAGGCTCACAGCAGAAGCCGAACCTTTCTCCGTGATGTTTTATGTACCCTGGTCCTTTATTGTAAAACTGGAAGCTGGGTTCCGTTGTTAGTATGGTCAGTTTAAGGCCAGAGAGTGGATGTTGGGCTGTCAGTACAGGTTTCAAATCATTGGTCCGAGTGTCTATGGTTGCCTCGGCATCTGTTACAAAGCAAGTATCGAAATGAGGCCCTGACGGACTGAGAATGAATTTTGATGCATTTCCTGGGCTGACAAATTTACCAGTGGGTTTGCCATTTAGATCTATCTCAAGTACCTTATCCGATAAAATGTTAAATTTGGTGCCATCACAGCTGCTATTTTGGAACATGTTGAGATTGAAATAGGAGTGATTTGTTAGGTTCATTACGGTCGCGGGGCCTTTTGTCAAGTGGCCCTCGTACTCGACTGTTAGTGTTTGTAATTTTATGTTTATTCCGTAAGTGACAGAAACAACAACGTCACCTGGAAATTGAGTCCCTTTGTCAACCAGAATGTACTTCACAGTATATTCATTTTTGTTGAGATTGACAACGAGCGGACCCAAAAATCTCTGCTTGTGAAATGATTGTAGAGAACTATGCAGCGTGGCGTTCTTTTCGTTCAACGCTAGCTGAACTTTGGTGCCTTCTAAAGTAAAGCTCCCATCGTAAATTCGATTTGCATAGCGCCCTATGGTGGTACCCAAATATGGATTAGATTCGTCAAGATACTCAGCTTCATTGGCAAGCCCTATTACGACTGACTTCCCATTGACATTCAGGTCCACCAGCGTCGCACCCACGTTGGTGAAAGACGCCTCAAACCCCGATCCTCTTCCAACGGTAATTAGACGAGAGCCGTAATCTCCCGGTACGTTGAAAAATGTGTCGACGACGCCCATTATTTGGTAGCCAAATGGATTTCCCGTTGTCCAATTCCAAAGGTCTTTGCAGGCATCTGCTACACACATCTCCGTTTTCCATTGCAATTCCTTGGTAGCTCTATCAGGTTTGGCAGTCAGGTTGAGAACGTCTCCTGTCCTGCGGCCAACGACTTCAAACGGCAGCTCAATGCCACAAGCGAGACAGAATGCTTTGTAGACTTCGATAACAGTGGAACCTGTCCCAGATCCCAGGTTCCAAGCGCGACAAATTCCCTGTCCGCCTCCAATCTGGTCAAGATATTTTAGCGACGCTATGTGACCACGAGCCAAGTCCACTACATGAATGTAATCTCTAATTGGCGTGCCATCTCTAGAGTCATAGTCGTTCCCGAATATAAACAACTTCTCTCTTCTTTTCACAGCTACTTGAGCCATGTAAGGTAGCAGATTGTTCGGAATTCCTAATGGATCCTCGCCAATAAGTCCCGATGGATGGGCACCTATGGGATTAAAATACCGAAGGACTGCAAACTTCCATTTTTCAGGCTCACTAGCGTGTAGATCTGTCAGTATTTCTTCGATTGCTAGTTTAGTTTTCCCATAAGGATTCGTTGGTTGAGTCGGACACTCTTCCGGAATGGGTATCATGTCGGAAAACCTAGTCGCGTCGCCGTAGACAGTTGCGGAGGAGGAGAATACAAGTTTCTTGGTTCCAAACTTGCGCATAGTTTCCAGCAACACAAGCGTTCCGACGATGTTATTATGGTAATATTTCAGCGGGATACTGGTAGATTCTCCAACTGCCTTTAAACCGGCAAAATGGATGACCGAGTCTATCGGATATTGCTGAAAGATCTTAGACACACCTTCTTCATCTGTGAGGTCAACTTGGAAGAACGGAATTTCAGTCTTTGTTAGAACTTGTAGACGGGCGATCGACTCGTAACTTGAATTGCACAAGTTGTCCACTACCACACATTTGTAGCCATTTTCGATCAATTCTACCACCGTATGGGAGCCGATGTAGCCAGCCCCACCGGTCACCAACACCCAATTTGGTTTAGACAACATCTTGACGTCTTTACTTCTAAGAGATGTTCACGAGCTTTTTGATACGATGATCTTAAGCCTGACGTGCCCATCAATAGTGAGATAAACGACAACTTTTCACATATCCCACTCTCTTATATGTCTGGCGGCTTGAAGGATACCTTTGCTTTGTTGCATGGTAATCATCCCACAGCCGGAGATTTATGGCCCGTTCCTATTGTATATTTTTGTACAGTTCGGGGCTCTGTGTTCCGAAATATTATTGCCGGACCAATGTTCTCCGTCAGGTACTCTTGATTTTCTGAACTAACAAACCCGACCCCACAATCAATGTCCATAAAATCAACTACCAGGCTAAGAAGAAGAGTAGCAAGGACACGTCAGGTCGTATAGAACGCATCGGAGGCAGGTTTAGAGAGTGATTCAAGCCATATCGCGTATAAGAAGGGATTAGAAAGGAACGTCAGGGCCACTTTTTGTCGTAGAATGATTCTTTCTAACGAGCTTACTAGTCTAGAGCTCTCGATGTCAGTCCCAACATTCAACGATAGTCATATTCCGGAATGTCTGAAACCAGTTTATGCAGACATCAAAACAGACTTCGCAGCTATATATGGGCGAAAGCCTGATTTTGTCACAAGATCACCAGGTAGAGTCAACCTGATTGGCGAGCATATTGACTATGTTGATTTTTCAGTGCTGCCAATGGCAATCGAAATGGCTGTTATGTGTGCAGTGAGAGTCTTGCCTTCAAATGAAATCCCCTCGGTGACTCTGACTAACGCAGACCCTCTTTTTGCACAGAGACGGTTCGACCTCCCTTTGAATGGGGCAGATATATCTATTGACCCCTCTGTGTCTGACTGGTCCAACTATTTCAAATGTGGGCTTCTTGTAGCACAGCAATACCTCAAAAAGAAATTTCCAGCCAAATTCGAAGAAACTACACTCGGGGGGCTCGAAGTATACGTGTGTGGCAATGTATTCACCGGGGGTGGGCTGTCTTCATCGGCTGCCTTCATTTGTGCCGTGGCACTAGCTGTGATTCGGGCTAACGCAGGTAAGTCCTTCGACGTTCCAAAACAGGAGCTCACTCAAATTACAGCTAAAGCCGAACACTACGTTGGTGTCAATAATGGTGGCATGGATCAGGCGGCCTCTGTGTGCGGAGAGGTGGATCATGCTCTGTATGTGGAGTTCAAGCCGGAGCTGAAGGCTACGCCCTTTCGATTTCCACAACTGCGCAACTCTGAAATCCAGTTTGTAATAGCCAACACCACTGTAGTTTCCAATAAAGTGGAAACAGGGCCAGTCAACTACAATTTACGAGTAGTTGAAGTTACTGTAGCAGCCAATGTGCTTTCTGCAAAATATGGAGTCGTCCTTCAGCGGGTTGGTAATCTGGAGAAAGGCACTCTTCGCGAGTTCATGGACGCATACTATGGTCGTTACAAAGGGGCTACGCAGCCTTGGGACGGAAATATTGAACAGGGTATCATCAGGCTAAATGAGATGCTGAAGCTTGTGGATGAAACTTTAACCGAGCGTGAGGGCTACACAGTACAACAGGCTTCCAACGCCATAAATTGTTCGGTACAAGAATTCACGCGAGACTACCTCACGAATTTTCCTGTGAGGTTTCAAGTGTTAAAGTTGTACCAAAGAGCCAAACATGTTTTTTCTGAGGCGCTGAGAGTCCTTGAGGCGCTCAAACTAATGACACAAGGTTCTTTTACCGACGATGCACAGTTTTTCGATGCCTTCGGACAGCTGATGAATGAGTCTCAAAAATCTTGCAAGGAACTCTACGAGTGTTCGTGCCCCGAGACGGACGAAATCTGTAGAATCGCTAGAGCAAATGGTTCTTATGGCTCTAGACTCACGGGGGCCGGGTGGGGAGGGTGTACTGTGCATTTAGTTCCACAGTCTAAAGTCGACAGTGTCAGAAACGCTTTGGCAGAGCAGTATTATGCCAAACGAGACTTGAAGGGCTTAACGTTGGATGAGGTCGTATTAGTATCCCGTCCGGACTTAGGCAGCTGCATATTTGAAGTGAGCTGATGCATAGAAGAATGTACCAACGCTTTCGGCGAGGACTTTGCATTGCGATAACCGCGAATCCCTCCGTCGATAGTCCATTTCGACTGACCAGATAGACACAAAATTTTACGTAGTTATGAAGTTGTAATTGACCATTGTTTGATGCCGCATCATACCCTAGCCCTCAGTTAATAACTAGCCATCTGAAGGGCCAGACCGAAGGTGCTTCTCGTCTGGTAAACCTTCGGTGCTTCACGACTGACACTCCAGGAGCTTCTTTAATGCTGAGATGCATCCCTATGTGCTTATGTCATAGAGGCGCATGATACCCACAAAACGATTTCCAATGTCATCTCCAAATGTCACATTTATTTTTGATACCACCGAGGTTTGCGCCAACACAGCTCATCTCGCCGTCTTCATTTTCTAAGGAGGCTCGTTTCCCCTCTAAATGAATTTCCTTGGGCCGCTTCTTGGAGCTTTTCTTGAAGCAACGGCGAGTTTTTGTCTACACTTTCTACAACCAAGCTTCATTGCCCTGTCTCTTCACTCGCAGGTTCCAGGTCCACTGCATAGTTTTCCAATCTCAAAATGCTGGTAGTCGAGCTAACCTGATTGAATTACGGTCACCCATACGGTTGTCATACGCAAGAAGTAACTTAAAGTTGGGCCCTGGGTGTTTCTACCAGGTAAAGTGCCAATTTCGGAAGCTTTAAGCTCTGGCAGCGTCACGTCCTTAATAATACCATACGTTGCAGTGACCATTAGAGTTCTCGCCTCTTCAAGTTACAGAGTCCGACGACTTTCGGTTTTCGGATGCAATGATGGCTTGAACTGTTTTTTTTCACTTTTCCGGTAAAATCCGTTGACAAAATTCGGCAAATTAGTGATTTAACAGCGTGAAAGCCGAAGAGAAGAGGAGAAATAAGTCATCACTGTAAGCAGTTGATATACATTTATATAAACTCCTCAAGCTTGCCTTGCCTTTGGCTCCGATTCATCTTATACCCTTTCTCTTGTTAGAATCAAGACACTTTTGCTAGCAGGTTGGGACTTTTTGAAACTCGACATTATCAAACGTTGACTTCCAGGACAGACATTCCACTCAGCGTGTAATAGTTGCTAAAAATCACTGCTTAGAAGGGCGAGAAACGTTGCTGTTTAATAGCATTTTTTGAGCTCATTGGGTATTCTGTATTGGAAATTCATCCAACAAATATGACACATTCTGATTCCTTTGGATCCTCTAGTGGAAAGTCTGTAGAAGATGCAGCTTATGGGGGCGAGGACCAATTGGCTGAAGGACAACATGATAGACGTAACCCAGTACAAGGCGCTGACCACTCGTTTCGACGGACAGATTCCTCTCGTGACGATGCTCAGGCCCCGCTGGATCAATTAACGAGACTAAAGACAAATCACTCGACGTCAGGACAGAGCGTACTGGATCCAGAAACTGTTTCTCGAGTGGCCACCTTGGCCCGTACCTTGTCGAACCATCGTGCCCGTGATGGTTCCTTAGAGGTGGACACCGAGAACTTCGACGCAGAGCAAATTATTAGATCGTTCGTGTGTGATAGTAAAGAACAGGGAATACATTTGCGTAAGGCTGGGATCATCGCCGAAAACTTCACTGTTGTAGGGCAAGATTGCTCTTCAGCTGAAGGCCAAACTTTTGAAGACATTTTACTGCTGCCCCGAACTATTTTCCGGGGGATCCGTGCCGCTAAAAATGCCAAGACAAGGGACATTGTTAGAGAAGCTAATATGCTTGCAAGACCAGGTGAAATGATATTGGTCCTGGGAAGACCTGGAGCCGGCTGTTCTTCCTTTTTAAAGACCATTGCTGGTGAAACTACTAAATTCAAAGAAATTCATGGCTCGATTTCCTACGATGGTATTCCCCAAGCCGAAATGATGCGCAAGTATAAGACGGACGTGGTGTATAATGGAGAAATTGACGTGCACTTCCCACATTTGACTGTACAGCAAACCTTGGACTTTGCGCTCGCATGCACTACTCCGAAAGTGAGAGTTAATGGAATTTCGAGATCTGAATACATCGCCACCATGCGTGAACTGTATGCGACCATATTTGGTTTAAGACATACTTATAACACTAAGGTTGGTAACGACTTTGTTCGCGGTGTATCTGGCGGTGAAAGGAAACGTGTTTCGATTGCTGAAGCTCTGGCGGCCCGAGGATCGATATATTGTTGGGATAATGCCACTCGTGGCCTTGACGCCTCAACCGCTTTAGAGTTTGCTCAAGCACTACGACTCATGACTAATCTACAGAAATCTGTAGCTCTAGTGACAATTTACCAGGCGAGTGAAAATATCTTCGATTGTTTTGACCGAGTAACCCTCCTCTACGATGGTCGTCAGATTTACTTTGGTGACGTCGATAACGCCGAAAAGTATTTCGAAAAGCTGGGATATCTGCGTCCAGCCCGGCAGTCTACTCCAGAGTTCCTTACCGCTTTGACAGATCCCAAAGGGCTACATGAGTTCGTGCCTGGTATGGAAAACAAGGCTCCTAGAACTGCAGAAGAATTTGAACAACGTTGGAGAGATTCTAGCGAATTCCAAAGTCTTCTACGTGAAGTTGAAACTTATAAGAATGAGATTACTGCCGATCACACGAAAGAACTATACGATAAATCTCTATCGCAGGAAAAGTCTTCTATGACTCGGTCCAAATCTGCTTATACCGTCTCCTTTTTGGAGCAAGTTCGTCTCTGCACTCAACGTGGCTTTCAAAGAATTTATGGTGACAAAGCTTTCACTGTCACTAATATCATTGCTTCGATTATTCAAGGTCTTGTGACTGGGTCTTTGTATTACAGTCTCCCTTCTGGCGTTTCAGGTGCATTTTCCAGGGGCGGTGTTTTCTATTTTGCAATCTTGTACACTTCTCTGATGGGTTTAGCCAAAATCAGTTTGGATAGCAGACCTATTGTGGAAAAACACAAGACGTATTCTCTGTACCATCCTGCTGCAGAGGCATTTGCCAGCTCTGTATCAGAGTTTCCTTTCAGGTTCATAAGTCAGACTTGTTTTTACATTTTGATCTTTTTCCTTTCAGGTATGACCAGAGAAGCGGGGAGGTTTTTCACCTCATTCCTTTTTCTGATTATTTGTGCAGAGTCTATCAACGCCCTTTTTGATTTAATCACTGCGATGAGTAGTTCAGTATCTCAAGCAAACTCCATTGCCGGAACCACTTTGATGGCCTTGGTTCTATACTCGACTTATATGATTCAGCTGGCCGAAATGCATCCCTGGTTTAAATGGATTTCCTACGCCATTCCCATTAGATATACTTTCGAGAGCATGTTAAACTCTGAGTTTCACGGTAGAAAAATGGACTGTACTGGCAATGTAATACCAGTGGGTTCCTCGTACAGCGACATTTCTTCTCGTAATCAGGTCTGTGCCTTTTCAGGTTCCCGACCTGGCCAGTCTTACGTTGTGGGAGACGATTATTTGAGCACAAAATTTGAGTACAAGTATACCCACACCTGGAGGAATCTGGGAATCTTGTTTGCGTTTGTTGTTTTTTACCTTTTTGCTAAGTGTATTATTACCGAACTAAGACCATCATCGTCTGGTGGGGGTGATACTTTGGTCTTCAAGAAGGGAGCCAAGCGATTACGTTCACAACCTGACGAGGAAAATGGCGAAAAGTCGCTCACAATGCCCGAAGCCAAGAAGAATGTGGAGAGGGGCAGCCTAGCTTCCTCCAGTGATTCTTCCAATTTCTTTGAAGGCTTGAAAAGTGAAGGAGCTTTCTTATGGAAAAACGTGTCTTATACCATTCCCTATAAAGGAAGCACCAGGAAATTGCTTGACGACGTCAGCGGTTATTGTGTTCCTGGAACATTAACCGCGCTGATGGGAGAATCTGGCGCAGGTAAGACAACTTTACTTAATACCTTGGCTCAAAGAAATGTTGGTATCATAACTGGTGATATGCTTGTGAATGGCAATCCAATTGATGCCAGCTTTGAAAGACGCACAGGATATGTTCAACAGCAGGATGTTCATGTAAAAGAAATGACTGTCAGAGAATCTTTGCAATTTTCTGCTAGGCTGCGCAGACCGCAATCGGTTCCTGATGCAGAGAAATTGGAGTATGTCGAGAGAATTATTGAAGTTTTGGACATGGAAGAATACGCCGAGGCCCTTGTTGGCGATGTCGGTTACGGCTTGAACGTTGAACAAAGGAAAAAGCTATCTATTGGTGTCGAACTAGCTGCAAAGCCGGATCTCCTCCTATTTCTTGATGAGCCCACCTCGGGTTTGGACTCACAGTCGTCCTGGGCTATTGTTCAACTGTTAAGGAAACTGGCAGAAGCAGGACAATCTATATTGTGCACAATCCATCAACCTTCAGCTACCTTGTTCGAACAGTTCGATAGACTGCTTTTATTGAAGAAAGGCGGACAAACAGTTTACTTTGGACCAGTTGGCAAAAACTCTCAGAATTTGCTCGAATACTTTCAGGAGAATGGCGCTAGAAAATGTGAAAAATCTGAAAACCCAGCGGAGTATATTTTAGAAGCCATCGGTGCTGGAGCTACCGCCTCTGTGAAAGAAGATTGGCATGTTATTTGGAAAAATTCTCATCAACGGTCGAAGGCTGACAAAGAGTTGGACGACTTCTTGAAGAAGTTTAATAGCACGCAAAGCAACACTGAGGGAAATCAAATATCGAAGTACGCAACGTCCTACTCTTACCAGTTCAAAGTAGTTTATGCTAGAAATGCAGCGGTATTTTGGAGAGATGTCAATTATTTGATGGCTAAACTTATGCTGCATCTGTGTGCCGGGCTTTTCATTGGTTTCACATTTTATAACGTTGGTACTAGTTATGCGGGCTTGCAAAATGCCATGTTTGCAGCCTTCATGGCTTTGATTATTTCGGCCCCCGCCATGAACCAAATTCAGGCTCGTGCCATTGCCTCTCGTGAACTCTTCGAAGTAAGGGAATCCAAATCGAATACCTTTCACTGGATGTTTCTCGTCCTTTCACAATACCTATGTGAATTACCTTACCAACTTGTGTTTTCTACTGTATTTTTTGTTGGTTTTTACTTTCCCTTGAGAGTTCACTACGAGGCCCGTTACGCAGGAGTGTTCTTTTTGAATTATTGTATTATGTTCCAGCTCTACTTTGTTGGCCTTGGTTTGATGCTTCTTTACGCTGCTCCTAACTTAGCCTCTGCTGGTGTGATGTTGAGCTTGAGTTTGTCGTTTCTAATTTCCTTTTGTGGCGTTGTTCAACCTGCAAGTTTGATGCCTGGCTTTTGGACGTTCATGTGGAAAGCGTCGCCCTACACGTATTTTGTTCAAAATACGGTTGGAATTGTCCTCCACGACAAGCCTGTCATCTGCAGAGCTAAAGAAATGTCATATTTGAACCCTCCATCTGGTCAAACCTGTGGGGAGTTCCTCAAAGATTTCTTGGCAATGGCGACGGGGTACGTCGAAAACCCTAATGCTACTGAAAATTGTGGCTATTGTCTGTTCACAGTAGGCGACGATTATCTCAACCAAATAAGCTCCAGCTACAGCCATATCTGGCGCAATTTTGGTTTCTTCTGGGTGTACATTTGCTTCAATATTGTGGGCATGGTCGCACTTTATTATATTTTCCATGTCAGCAGCTTTTCCCTGAAGGATACCAGAGTGGGAAAGACAATAATGGGGAAGCTTAAAGCCGAAGAAAAGTAATACTATTAAGATAGTTCATGAGCTATATATGATTTTTTAATATTTGTTGATGGTATAAGGATAGTAGCGGCGTGATGATGCGTGAGAGTTGACTTGTAGAAAAATTATTGTTTTTTAAAGACATTGCACCCTTTCAGACTAAGATATATTAAGGGATCACTACTCCTCGGCAGAGATCCAGACAGACACAAGAAATCGAATTGGAGAATGTCAAGTTCTACAATCAACTACGTGAGAGGTAACTGCCTCCAACAGACTATCCTGCACCCCCGTATTCTTATTCACTCTTGCAATTGCAATGGATCATGGGGTGGCGGCATAGCATACCAATTAGCGGTGAAGTACCCTCGGGCTGAGAAAGATTACGTCGAGCTTTGCAATAGGTTTGGAAATAGCCTTTTGGGCAAGTTTGTCTTGATTCCCAGTTACACAGACGCTAACTTGCTTATTGGTTGTTTATTCACAGCATCGTTCGGCGGACCCAACCAGGGTTCTGAACGCATATTAGATTTCACAGGACGGGCCCTCACAGATATGAAAACGAAGTTAACTGTTGAAGAGATTCCCGACCCGAGCGAGCTAGATCACTTCTCTAGTCAATATATAAATGCTTTCAAGAGTCATTCGCGCATTCCTCTGCAAGACTACAAGTTAGAGTTGCCCCAAATAAACAGCGGCATTTTTGGTGTTCCATGGCCAGAAACTGAAAGATTGCTTAAAAAGCAGAAATCCATGTCCTTTACCGTCTACGTGCTTGACTGAAAAAAGATATTCGAATGAAGATGAGCTATAATGCCCTCTTAAAGTTTATACTTAAATGCAAATTCTTAAAATACGATAGGGTGTATGATACCGTTCAAGTGCTACGAGCTCGCTTTCAAACGTGTTCAGTTCTGGTACGGTGGGGCGGGCAAGTTTCCAGCGGGAAATTTACGGCATCAGATCCAAGTTCAAAATCGAACCGAGCCTTGAATGTTGGCCTTGGCCTTGGTCTTTTGACTTCAACCTCTCTTCCCTTTCGAACTCCCTCCAAGTTCTCATTCTGATTTTCGAGTGATCAAATTCTCCTACTTCTTCGTCATGAGCTTTCTTATTTTCACCGGCAATAGTTCTGGTATCACCCCAACTGAAGTCGTCAAATTTCCAAAATGCATAAACCGGCAATACGAAGTTCCATATTGGCAAAGCGATGATATAGATGACCATCCAGAGCAAGTATGACCACCTTGTGGCCGTGACCACGATCAAAAGACCTGGGAGACCTAAGATCACACCAAGCAATACTAATGTGATAATCGGAGTAGGATGTGAGACGATTGCAAAAATAATCACATATATGGTAAAACAAATGGCCAAGGGCAAGACCAAAGTACCGATCAATTCCATACCAATGACGAACTGCATAGAAAAACAGAAGCTACCACATAAATCCTTGATCAGAACAAGTTCCATCAAATTATGAACTGTCGAATTGATCCATCTTCTCCTTTGTGATAAGAGAACCTTAAACTGATTAGGAACGACAGTTTTGCATGCAGCTTTGGATAAGAAGATTTGTTTACGCTTGGGAAACGTTTTCAACATCAGTGAGGACAAAAATCTGTCTTCACCCAACAATAGCAAATTCTTTTTATGTAGCGTCTGAGTATCATTATCAGAGTACCTTTCAACAATATCTGGATTTGATAGAATGGGCACCCAATAGCCATCAGCACCTTTTGGGGCCTTAATCCTGTAAATTGAGAAACATCCTGGCAAACATGTCACACTTCCAAAGACAGTTTCAAAAGCTTTGGCCTGATGATGGGAGATGTAATACTCGAAAACTTGAATCCACGATACCCATGAGTCTCTTTTGTTGGCAATTTTGGTTTCACCACATAGTCCCATTATCTCAGGGTCTTTCACCATTTCTGCCGCCATATGCGTTAGAGAATCCGGGAAAACCTTCGTGTCAGCGTCGACCATCAGAACTAGCTCATAAAAGTCGGCCATCAGACCTGTTATTTGCCAAATGCTTTTTAGCAGGTGATATTCGAACACAGTCATTCTTTCTTCAAACGTAAGCCTTTGAAGAAAGGACATCAGTAAAACCTGAGAGTCACGCTTACCTCTATTTCCGGGTTTAACCGATCCCTGCTCATCTGGGGTACCACACTTAACAATTACAATCATAGGAACTCTTTGCTGAAGATCAGGTTCTATAGTAGCATCATCATATTTGTAGAAGCCGCTATAAACTTTAGCCATGTTGTGTCTCTTAGACCCAGATGCAACGGCGACATATGAATGAGGTTCAACCTCTGCGGGGGGAATGACAAAATCTTCAACCATACTGAGTGCAATTTCTGGAGTAGTTAGGTCAGTTCCAGAGCCTTTGACCATACCATCGCAAACGACCATCAGTAGTTTATTCGAATTAGGGTAGTCCGTTGTAGAGAGAGAGTCCAAAGTTGTTCTAAGGCCGCTCTCATCTTCAGAGTAGCAGGTGACAAAACAAATAGTGTGGATTAGCGGGAAACCATTAGGCATAAAATCTACCGGAGGTTGAGCAACGGCATCAGGGTGAATAATAGTTGCATCCAATGTATCCAGGTTGTTAACTGGAGAGGTCAGGTCGTTGGTGAAAGGCGATTGGAAAGGAGCACCAGATTGATCCGAGTGGGGATTGTTGGATTTCAGGTACGACTGAGTAGTCATGGTGGTCATACCGCGGAACTTGTCTCCTGAATCGGAATTGTCATTGAGGAGCATCATAGAATTACGCTTGATAAGGTCAAGTGTAGACATTCTACGGTGTCCTTTTGGTCTATTAGAGGGTTCAAAATTTTTGATTGGCCCTCTAGCATTAATATTCTCTGACCAATCTTCAATATCCTGTGCGTGTTGATTCAAACTCTTGTTGCTGACGGTAGAAGCACCCTGCCGCCTCGCAACGACCCATCTATAGTAGCATGAAATGAGAAATTTGAGGAGAACCACTGCTAGGATGAACACGAGAGATATATACAGTACCACTTGAGAGGCCAAACAACCGATGGTAGAAGAATCAATTTCGCCAACCCGGATAGTTTCGGACAAGCATCTGGCAACTTTTCTTTCAAATGAATCCGACAACACCAATGAGATATCATAGCCCTGAAGCTTGGAGTCCCTTAGCTGGTCAAACAATGGTGGGTAATCTAAATCAGTGGTTTGCAGCCAGTTCAAAAGGTCCAAGTCAAGCACATGCCCGTTGTAAACAACTAAATTTCTAGTGGAGTTTTGAATATCACCCCAGGTAAAGTATACGTCTGCAGCGACGTCAAGCGAATAGAAAGCATCACGCGCACTTTGCGAGGTGTGGCAAGCCCAACCATCATAATATTCACTTTTGGTGAAATTAGGTTTCGTTGAGCCATCTTGTGCAACTACCTTACAGGGAAAATACCATGCAAGATTTCCGTCGTCATCATGAGGAATAGTACAATTACTCTTAGGTTTGATGATACCCTTGCAATTACCGTTCACGTTTTGAAATAAAAACGAAGCGTCCATCCCTCCTGCGTTTATAGGCGGCCACAAAACGTTGGTGCCAGCATCAATACCCGCGGCTGCTGGATGAGATGAATGATCGAGCCCATAAGATTTACCATTGATAATCAAGTAACTGGCTGAAACCTCATTGTTTCGTAAACGGAGCACTTGGCTGCTGCAAACGGTCTTCGTGAAACCGAAAGTCAGATACGCGACAAATGTACCGGCATAAATGATGACCGAAAGCAGGGCCATTTTTTCTCTCCAAGCAAACTGACGCTCTTTCTTGTCCATACCAAAAAGCGACAAGAGTGGTGCAGGAACCCAAAATGTGATGACATAGCAGTAAACTTTCCAAAACGAAAGATCTGATCTTTTTGATCTTGAAGGAGTGCTTTTGTGGCGATTCAAATTAAGATCTGCTAAAGGAATGGACTCCTGGACACGGACCTGTCCATTCCGGCGCTGTTCTTGGGTCTTTTGAGCATAATAGTGATGAGGATTGGACGGGTCTGTGAAATCATTTCTGTCACGTCTTACTAGCGAGTCTCCTCTCTGTACTTTCGAATTGTTGCTGGTGCGAGACCGCAGCAATGATTCGTTGTCAAATGCATAGTAGTCATCATCCGCTGCCATCAGAAAAGAGCTTCAAGCGCTGGTGAAGGAGAGACGAATGAGACAACACACCTTCGATTGATCCCATATATATATTAAACCTGAGAATTTTTTTGGCGGCCCAATATACCGCTATTTATATTTATATGTCAGACAAGGAAGAAGTGATCCTACTTTTGAGTTAAGAGGACAAACAAATGAACCAAGGGTTGCGCTATTCATCATCTAGACAGTTTATGCAACGACTAGTATACTTCTGATAAATCAGATCTTACAGCTACCTTTTGAACTCTGTTTACTTGAGACATGATGTATAATCCTCGCTGACGAGAACTTGTTGGGTGGTGACATACTTTTGAAGTGAAGTGAAGTTTAGCACGCGCAATTTGGTGGTCAGCTTCATTATTCACCTTGTGAGCCAATTTAAGGTTCCCTCGAAGGACGAAATTAGATGCAGAAGACGAATGGATGAAGAAAAAAATCAGATCTCCTGAGGCTCAAATACTTCTTGTTAATCGTAGTAGCCCGGTGCCACTTGGCATCCAATAAACTTCTACACGTTCCATGATGTTACCTGCGTCAAAAAGGACGCTCTCGATGTGCGGCGAACGAACGGCGTTGAACAAAATTAAGGGTTTCGTTTCGATAATATCACGGTGGGCTGACAATGCATCTGCTAACTCATGAACTGTGCATTGTTGCTATCCCGGAGGCTCGGCCTGAAAGTAAATTCTTACATGAGCATAATCACAACCATAACCCTCGTATATCAAAAAATATACCCATCCGGGTGTCCCTTTCAAAATGCAACCTTGCTAGATAATATATTTTGTAGCAGCGCTCTTTTAATGATCAATAAATTACCTATGAAACTCTCTCGTCATCTTGTGGGGGGTCATCATCGCCCATGGTCTGCATTTTCGTTTTCTTGACACCCAGAATATACCTTTCCCACGAAGCTGCAACCGTCACGAAGTATGCATCCGTTTTTGCCTATGCCTAATATCATTTTCCAGGGACTGACTACTGTAGTAAAGCCATTATTAGAGACCGATCATGGGTAGGATTCTACCAGGTTCTGATCTCAGTGTTTGAATTTCTACGCAGAAAAAAAACCGATTATGTCGGTGAAACGAGACGAATGGCCACAATGGTCTTCGATAAGACAGATATAAGTTCCAATGAAGAGCGGTAAGCACCAGTGCTATAAGCCAGGAAACTAGAATATCGCAATGGTCGAATGGGTTCTCCAGAGAGTCATTCGCGTCAGCCAAACATACTTCCACCGGTTCTTATATGGACTGTAGTGGGCCCACTAATATTCTCTGTCGCGATCAAATTACTCATGAAAGAACAAACAGATTGATGGAGCTACTAATCAGATATCCACACCCGACCCCAGAACGGAAACGTAGATCTGACACCGAAGACATCTCGGCCCATGTTTCCCTCGAAAATAAGCGGTAGTAGCCTTCACGCTAGGTTCGGCGGTCGGCATACCCAATTAACAGTATGGCTAATCATATTATACAGTAGTGGAAAGCTCTAGATTCTCGGTGTTTATCCATTGGAATTATCCGAGCCAGTCCCGAGTCCGTATGCTTTAGGCATATCGGCCCGATCTATGTTTTCTTATCATTCGCAGGATCTTATCTTATCACACGGGCATCAGGACAGCACAGACTAACCCGATCAGCGGCGGACGTGGTGAATGGTCGGTATAAGATCAGCATTATTTGAGAAGTAAGAGCGTATTCGCAATTTTTGATGGTTGTTGCTCATATTTTCACCCTTCCAACTTAGGCAAGCCCACTTTAACTCAATACATATGTCACAAAATACAGCTACTCAGACCACAACATTGCCAACTTCAGGCACGCTGAACATTCCGGCGGTGGCCCCACTACAAATCAGCCCAGGAAGACTAAACCAAACCATTTTGGAAACTGGTACGACTTATGGAGGAGTCGCCAGATGGGGTGACCTACCTCACGAGTTTGGTATGCGGAGGTTGGCTGGCACAGCAGAAGATGGAGCTATGAGGGACTGGTTCATTCAAGAATGCAAATCTCTAGGTTGTCGGATCAAAATCGACCAAATTGGTAATATTTTTGCCATATTTCCCGGGAAAAATGGCGGTAAACCTACCGCTACAGGTTCTCATCTGGACACACAGCCCGAAGCGGGGAAATACGATGGTATCTTGGGTGTCTTGGCCGGGTTAGAGGTTCTGCGGACTTTCAAGGACAACAACTACGTACCTCATTTCGACGTCTGCGTCGTTGTTTGGTTCAATGAGGAAGGTGCTCGATTTGCCCGTTCCTGTACTGGGTCAAGTGTCTGGTCCCACGATCTATCGCTGAAAGAGGCTTACGAGCTTATGTCAATTGGCGAGAGTGAGCCAGAGTCTGTTTTCGAGTCATTGAGCAAGATCAATTACATCGGCGATGTCCCAGCATCCTACAAAGAAAACGAGATCGACGCCCATTTTGAACTTCACATTGAACAAGGTCCCATTCTGGAGGATGAGCAGAAATCAATTGGTGTCGTAACTGGTGTCCAAGCTTACAAATGGGAGAAGATCACAGTGTCCGGCGAAGGGGCGCACGCTGGTACAACCCCCTGGAGATGCAGAAAAGACGCTCTCTTGGCCTCGGCTAAGATGATTGTCGCTGCTTCTGAAATTCTTGAAAAACATCAAGGGCTCCTAACCTGTGGTGTGATTGACGCCAAGCCTTACTCCGTGAACATTATTCCTGGAGAAGTGTCATTCACGCTCGACTCTAGGCACCCTTCTGATGAAGTATTAGGAAAAGCTCATGCCGAAGTCTACAAAGAATTTGACAGAATTGTTAAACAAAATGTGTCGGGTCCTTTGTCTTATACCAGCGAGACTCTTCAAGTTTCTCCTGCCGTCAAATTTAACGAAACTTGCATTGAATGCGTGTCAAGATCAGCACTTGCACAATTTCCTTCCCACAAAGTTCGTCAACTTTGGTCAGGGGCAGGCCATGATTCTTGCCAAACAGCACCACATGCACCTACCTCGATGATCTTCATTCCATCTAAAGATGGGCTTTCTCATAATTATTATGAATATTCCTCCCCGGAGGAGGTAGAGAATGGATTTAAAGTTTTACTTCACGCTATTATCAACTACGATAACTACAGGTCCACAAGAGGACACTGATAGCGGTATTTATAATTTGTTTGTGAGCTTATAATAATGACAATAATAATAGAGCTAAATTTTGCTTGGCTTTTCGAAAAGTTGCTTTGGGTTTGGAATTTTGAGAGAGCCATTATCCTCTGCTTTGTGCTTGAAGCTCACAATCATGCGAAGATACTTGACAACGAGGAAGGTTATTGAACCTATTGCTCTAAAGAGAGCTAATACTGCAACGGACCATAGAATGAAAACCAGATATTTGTTTTTTGCCGTATCCTCCGGGCCATATGCCTGAGTAACAACCATCATCATAACTAAATTGGATAGCATCCAAAACATCACGATACGCGTTCTGATGTCACGATAATAGTCATTATTGCGCTGAGTTTCATCAATTTTAGGCTCAATGAACTCTTGCTCCTTGAGTCGATTCTTTATTTCAGTAAATTTTTTGTCAACCTCCTGAGGCCACTCGGTACCTTCCACAATCTGTTGCCCATCAGGGCCCTGCTTTACTGTTGCTTCTGATTTAGGTTTGGAATCATGTGTGGAACCCTTAGTACCCCATGAGACATCATGGGTGTTGCAAAAGGCAAAAATCTGTAACGTACAGATGAAAGATGGCAGCATCAGTAGATATTGCACAGAAGATGTTATCAAATGCCAAGGGTCGAGGTAGAGAATTGAAGTGAAAGCATATAGACCGTAAGTTGACAACAGCGACACCACGATATTAACAAAGACCATGCTGCTCTCAGTTGGATCCTGTAGAGTTTTGATGGAAAATACCAGTCCACAAACCAAAGCGTAGGTGGAGCAAACAGACAGAATCACCATAGAAATGATGAACAGATGATTTGCACCTTGGGGGCGATTTCCCATGGAGATTATAAAAAGCGCAGCGAGATCGCAAATGATCAAATACTTGAAAAACGTAAAGAGGACGGTTCCATGCTTAATCATTGTATTCATAGACCCAGCTAAGAAGTAGAACGTCAGGAAAAAATTTGAAATGGAGAACCAGGAGAACAACATTTGAACAAATTGATAGAAAAACTCTAGGTGGAAAAACAACTTTCTTGTCACAGAGTGTTTCGTCTTCCAAATTTGTGTAAAATGTAGCTGAGCATACAGAGCGGCAAACATGGCTCCGTTTAACCAACGACGTCTTTGTGAGATAAACTCTGGAGGCTCTTCAGGAACGTCCGTCTCGCCTGTTGCCTCCTTCACATACTTTAGCACCCATTTAGCATTTCTCTTCGCGACCAGCTCCCAACACAGAATTCTGTCTTCGGCGAGGTACATGTTAGCAGTAAAGACATCGTGTTGTCGTCCCTCTTGGGTCTCCCCAAGGAAGTACGAGTTGAGGGGACCGGTACCATCTTCGTGATTTTTCAAAGCGCGATAACGATATGCTGATAAGGCACCAGGCAAAACCGATATATAACCAAAAACACTCTCCAAAGGCTTATCTAGGATATTCGACATTTTATACTCGAAATTTTGAGAAGCGACAAGCGGATTGAGAAGCTTCAAACCCCACTTACCCTTCATAGTTTTGATCTGGCCAGCAGCACCTGCGACATTAGAATCTCTGTCGAATGCCTTCCAGAGATGATAAATTGCCGTGTCATTAATTCTAGTACCAACGTCTATCAAGACGGCAACTGTAGGGTCCAAAATAGGGCAGAATGCATTGAACAGCCATCTATGAGAATTGATTTTCTTTTGGTTTTCCTCCTTCAAACAAAATACGATTTGAACGGGTACGACATCCTTACTGACGTAGTCCAGGTCACCGTCGATTGAAATTTGGGTGGTAAGCTCAAAAATATGAGCCTTCACCGGCTCACCATTAACAGTCGACTTAGCCATATCTTCCTGGTAAACACCAAGTGCGCTCAGGTAATCCAACGAGCCTTTGTTAATATTTCTTCTACCATCACTAACAATTATGACTTGAATCTTCTTCCAGCCATTGGGACCCCAAACGTGTGACTTCTTGCGCTTACACATATGCGATACATTTTGCATTACTGAATGTAGGGTGCTTGCTAAGGCAAACTTGTCTTCGTTGTACATGGTAATGCAAATCGCAATCTGGCACTCGCGACCAACTTCTGCAAATCTAAGCGAATAACCCTCATTCACATAATTATCTGGCTCGGAAGTACAGGCGGTATATCTCATCTCAGTAAATTCGGGTGAATCACGCTTGGGTAAGATCTCTAAAAGTCCTCTTGGGATAGGATTATCAAGTTTCAAGATATTCTTTTTGGCGACCACTGGTGGAAGTTTTCTGATCTCAGACTTCCCACGTTTGATGTAATTGCGCTGAGGATGATTGACTTGAAAGTGCGTCTGTTCGAAAGTATCACCGGAGTAGACGGTGCTACCATCGTCCAGCGATTTACGATAGCTCTCAAACGAGAAAGTTGAACGGGTGCCTTGAGAAATCTTTCTGAAAGGCGAACCAATATCCCCTTGGGTATAGGCGTCATCTGTTTCATCTTCGTCATTTTCAGAGCATTCGTCAATTTCGATAACAGCGCGACCGTTACGCCTCGGTGACTCTTGCAGGTTGGCGGTATAGCGATCTTGGCGTAAAGGGGTATTAGGTGTACTATCACGAGCGAACATAGTTCTGCGTTGTGGGCTGTATTTGGCCGCTGCCTTGGATGGAGAAGGCGGTTGGACGTTTGTGGCTGCGGGAAATCCTTGGAACGCAGTTGACAGGTCATGGTCATTCTCATTAGATGAGTATTCGGTGTACTGAGATCTCCAAGGTGACTCCTGACGTCTAGCTGCCGGCTGGGGTGACCTAACCGGCGAACCATGGTGTGGACTAGCCATAAAAGGATTATAGTCCATCGTGCGCGGGGTATGAATCGGACAGAGGACCTGAGTTTGACTACCACTACTAACACGCAAGCAAAATGAAGTGAACAGGAGATGAAGGAAGCAGGAATCGCTGAATTTCAAGTTTCTGCAATGTTTGTCTTTCATCGCTTAAATTCCCAAAATGGAAATCCATAAATAACGAATTCTCGAGCTGCAGGAATTGGATCGGCCTTTCATCACCAAAAGACGGCATTGAGGACCTCAAACACTAGCCGTCAGAATGCAAAATGCGTCATAAACATAACCATGGCATATTGCGAAGCCTATCGACTTTCTTTCAGGAGATACAGCGAGACGTTGGTTGGGAATAGCCTTTGCTTAGCAACAACGATCCCACATGGGTAACATCAAAGCAGTAAGCTCTATCTAAAATCTGCAGTTGACAGAACCACTCCCGAGACGTTTCGAGTGCCTTACAAGGTTTGTGGCTATGAAATCAAATATCTATCGATTGTTGAAGATCAGGAAACCCTTGTCATCACAATCACGTGACACATCACATGGACTTTAGCCGCCTTGGCGCGATATGTTGGCCAGGCGGCTTTGTACGGATAAAAAAGAATCCCAAAACATAGCTAGATGGAAATTTAGTAAGACCCTCCCGTTTCTTTCGTAACTGAAGTTGAAACAAGAGCCATCAACCCATGTGCGAAATTGTGTTCTTAAAGTATACCTGGACTTGAAATATTTACTGCATTCCCCTCATCCACATCTCAAGCTTCCATCAAAGTTCGACAACGCCAAGCTGCGTGATTCTCACGGTTGTTGAGGTACACTTCAGTGAAGACACGAGGAAAGGACCTCAGAAAACCAAGGTACCTAAGCCGTTAGGTTGAAACTTTACCTATCAACAAAAATGGTGCGGAATGTTAAGAGTTGGTATAAGAGGCGGTTGTAATATGGGGCATGTGGTTTTAGAGAATAGAGCAGTAGTGCTTCGGGACTCGAATATCGTAGGCCCATCTATGGTCTCATTCTTAATATTTCCAACTCGTATGATGTGACATTACAAAGTCCACTAACAAGACATCAGCACCATCATTAGAACATATGTAACTACGTGGAAATGGTTAGCACAGCGGTTAGCATTTCACTCTCGATACACTGCACACAATGCTGTCCAGAGTAAGCATACGGTCCGGTTTAAGACTATCGAGCCAGGCAAATAAACTGGGATCGAGGAATTTGATGGTATACCATCGTTTGCACAATGTTTCATCTGATGGTAATTTGCAGGGTCTCAATGAGGCTAAAGATGAAGTAACCAAACGTAAGCCGCTCAGTAGGATTGCCATAGGCGGCACTGCAAGCCAGTCTCAAAAGGCAAGTGGTGGTGGTAGCGGTTCTATCGAGTTTGCCACTTGGAAAGCGACAGCTCTTGTGTTGACTCTGGGGGGTACACTGTACTATTTTTTTGCCAAAGAGAAGCGAAGATTGGAAATCGAAAAGGAAGCAGAGGCAAACAGAGGGTACGGCAAGCCGTTGGTTGGCGGACCTTTCAAATTGGTCGATTTTAACGGTGATGAATTTACCGAACAAAACCTTTTAGGCAAATTCTCTATTATCTACTTTGGATTTTCGCACTGTCCAGACATATGTCCCGATGAGCTTGACAAGCTGAGCGTCTGGCTTGACGGACTGAAAAAAAAGGGTATTGAAATTCAGCCTATTTTTATCACCTGCGATCCTGCCAGAGATCCACCACATGTTCTGAAGGAATACCTGAGTGAGTTTCACCCCGATATGATAGGTCTGACGGGCGACTATGAAGCAGTTAAACAGGCTTGCAAGAAGTATCGCGTATATTTTTCGACTCCTCCATCGTTAAAACCGGGCCAAGATTATTTAGTTGATCACTCTATCTTCTTTTACCTGATGGACCCTGAAGGCCAGTTTATCGACGCCTTAGGGAGACAATACGATGAGCAAACCGGGGTTGCCAAGATTCAAGAACATGTCAACGCGTATGCTCCGAAGGAACAACGTGAAAAACGCAAGGAAAAGTGGTATTCATTTCTTTTCAACTGACGCAATAATGACAGACTGAATGAGCTGTTAGGAGCAGTGCAAAGGCTATGGAAAATCCATATTATTCTTGTATATAAGTGTATACTTCAAATGACATTGATTTAAATGATAAAGTACAGGTAAAAAATCATATTACTTATAAATGGGATTGGCAGTAGGAATAATGAATGAAATAGCAAGGGGAAACAGTCCGTCTTAGTTCTTACCAGCACCGGCTCTGAAGTAAATCACGTCGCCATCCTCAACAACGTAGTCTTTACCCTTCTGTTGCATCTTACCAGCAGCCTTAATCGCCACCTCATCCTTGAGTTCCACAATGTCTTCGTATTTCATCACCTGCGCTAGAATGAAAGTGTTCATCAAGTCATTGTGAATTACACCAGCAGCTTGTGGAGCTTTGGTACCTCTTCTGATAGTCCATTCACGAACTTCGTCGGCACCAGACGTGAAGAAAGAAATAAGATCCAGCTTTTGTCTCATGGTGGTAATGATCTTTGGAAGGGACGACTCAACGCCAAGGTTCTTCAGCTCTTCTTCAGCTTCTTCCGTACTCATGTGGGACAACCTTTCTTCCAAAGAAACGGAGAATGGGATAACCAAGTCACCTGGGGAATACTTGTCAATCCATTCCTTGATTCTGAGCAAATGCTTGTTTTTCTTCCTGATGAAATCTTTCTCTGACAAGTTGATCAAGTAGATTGAAGGCTTAGCGGTCAACAAAAACATGCTGTTAATGACCTCGACTTCCTTAGTAGACCAGGAGTGGTTGGCAACTCTCTGACCAGACTTCAAAAGTTCGATGATCTTCTCCACCAAAGCGGCCTCCTCCTTCTTCTGTTTGACTTCAAGCGATTGACCTCCTCTCTTGGTGATTTTGTGTACGCTTTCCAAGTGTTTTTCAGAGAACTCGATATCCTTGAGTCTCAACTCGGTGTTGATGATGTCTAAGTCACGCACCGGATCCACGTCACCTTCGATGTGGATGATTTCAGCGTCGTCGAAACAACGGACCACCTGGTACAGGGAGTCCACGGCTCTGATGTGCGAAAGGAAAGCATTTCCCAGACCTTCACCGGCAGAAGCTCCCTTAGTTAGACCGGCAATATCGTACACGGTCAGATTCGCTGGCACCTTAGATGCTGGCTTGTAAATTTCACACAGCTTGTCGAATCTTGAAGAAGGCACAATGACACGGGCTTCTTCAGGGTCGATGGTGGCAAAAGGGTAGTTTGCTGGGTTACCCAAAGGACATCTGGTGATGGCTTGGAAAAATGTAGACTTACCGACGTTAGCAAGGCCCACGATACCGGCCTTCAAGTTGTTACCTGGACGACCTAACAATAGTTTTTTTTCTTCAACTTGTTTCTTTGGAGGCATACTGTTTGTTAGCTTCTATGGTAAGTGTCGCTCGATTGAAGTGCACGAACTCAAATCAAACGCTGTTAACACAATTGATCGAAGAAAGATGTTGAAGTGGAAGTTTGGATATTTTTCAAAAAAATGGAAACCCTACCTACCGAGAGGACAGAAAGTACTCGAAAAACCCATTGAAAATTTTTTTCTTGTATGACGAGAAGTCTTTCCGACTCTTGCGTATAAGTCGTCATATGATAAGTAGAGAGACTCAGCAAGATGACAGTGGTTAACTTCTTATAGCCAAAGGGCAGGTAGAACACTGTGGTAGAACAATGTGGTAAAACAATGTAGTGAAGCACTTACACGACGAAACCGACAGTTTGACAGGCATAGTCTGTGGTAATTTCTCACTGGGGCCTTGGGATATCTGTTTTTTGAGCGCCCTCTGCTCGCGATTTGACATGTAGATGAACAGCGACGTTTTACGGTGCTGGTTCTTCGGTAGATGTATCAGCAAACAGCTTGCTAACCATTGCATTAGCTACCTTTGAAAATCTGAAGGCACATGACTGTTTCAATGATTATAGTGGAATCTATTTTTAAATGTTAATATAATTGGTTTCGTGGTCTAGTCGGTTATGGCATCTGCTTAACACGCAGAACGTCCCCAGTTCGATCCTGGGCGAAATCAATTTTTAACTTAATTTTACATTTTTATATTCTTCTTGGATGATACGGATAGAAGTAGTCTTTCTTCTTGGCCAACAAATGATAGAAATATTACAAAAGGGTCTTTTCCCGCACTGCGCTTCGCAGTAAAATGTTGTCTTTACCTCTCTACATTTTCGTCCAGGTTCCATTGGCTTCTGTCGCTGGTTGACAGACATTTTACAAACGTGTTGTGTTCTCTGCTCTTCCAAAAAGAAAGAAAAAACGTGAATTCTCTCTCTCCGGCAAGGGAGAAAAATTTTATTATACAAATGAGCGATGAGCATCTATCTCATCTCATATCCAAGCCAGCTCATCTTTCTCGAAGTGTTCTTGGTTAGAAAAAGGAAACCAGTAGTATCCACGCAACAATACTAACAATGTCTGATCTATTGCCATTAGCTACTTACAACTTGAAAGTTGAGCCTTACACTCCAACTCCCGCCATTGATGTAACCGTTCCAGTGACAGTCAGAATCACTTTGGCCGCTGTGGATCCCGAGGCTGTTGACGAGGAAGACAAACCTTCGACTTTGAGAATCATCAAAAGAAACCCAGATTTCGACGACGATGAGGATGATCTGTTGGGCGGTGACTTTGACGAGGACGAGCTAGACGACGAGTCCGAAGAGGAAGAGGAAGAGCCTGAGGCCGTGCCAGAAAAGTCCAGCAAGGCTAAGAAGAGCAAGAAACAGCAGAAGCAACAAGAGGAAGAAGAAGAAGAGGAGGAGGATGAGGAGGTTGACGAAGACGAAGAAGATGACGAGGACGATGAGGAATTCCAGGAATACGTTGTGCTGACTTTGTCTCCAAAGGTGCAATTCCAGCAGACGCTGGATTTGGTTATCGCCCCCGAAGAAGAGGTCCAATTTGTTCTCACTGGCTCGTACCCCATCCACTTGACCGGTAACTATGTCAAGCACCCTTTTGATCAACCACAGTACGGCGACGAGGACTCTGAGGAGGACTCCGAGGACTACGACAGCGAGGATTACGACCTGACCCCAGATGAGGACGAGATCCTAGATGATTTGGAGGATGTTAGTGACGTCGAGGGCCGCATTGAAGAGCTTGTCCAACAGGAGCAAGAACAGAAGTCCAAGAACAACAAGAGAAAACAAGAACCAGAGGTCGAAGAGGAGGTTGCTGAAGTGGCTCCCAAAGCCGCCAAAAAGGCCAAGAAAGTAGAATCCAAGAAGGAAGAACCCAAGAAGGAGGAGTCTAAAAAGGACAAGAAGGAGAAGAAGGTTGAGTTCAAGAAAGACCTCGAAGAGGGTCCTTCCAAGCCAGCCAAGGAAGAAAAGAAACCCAAAACTCAGGCCCTAGAAGGTGGTATTATCATCGAGGACCGTGTCGTCGGTAAGGGCAAGGCTGCCAAGAAGGGTTCCAAGGTTGGCATGAGATACATCGGTAAGTTGAAGAATGGCAAGGTCTTCGACAAAAATACCAGCGGCAAGCCTTTCAACTTCAACCTTGGCCGCGGCGAGGTCATCAAGGGCTGGGACATCGGTGTTGCGGGCATGGCTGTCGGTGGTGAGCGTAGAATCGTCATCCCAGCTCCTTACGCTTACGGCAAGCAGGCGCTACCTGGCCTTCCAGCCAACTCCGAATTGACTTTCGACGTCAAGCTAGTGTCTATGAAGTAAGATGCGAGAAGTTGGACGTGTGTAATAGCTGAGTAAAGATAATAGCATTTTAGCATCCAGAAAGTCGTGACGATAGCTTGGTTTAAGCCGAGCTCTGACAGTTCTCAGAATCATCGTCGACGAATCGTGCGTTTATGTTTCTTGTACATAATATAATATCAAGCAAGAGGCTCTAGATACAAGATGTACCCTTTACTAACCGTTGTTTAAGATAAAATGTCCGCTATATAATCAACGACTGTGATCTTCTGACTTGTGACAGCTATTTCAATGCACATTGGAGCTTAAGAAGGAGGATGTCAAAAAAGGAAGCAACAAGAAGATTCGTTTCTGTCGTTTCAGTCTAGCCGCCCACACCTTTTATTGGGAACCTGAGTTTCCCCAAAGTTTTTTCGCTCGTACTTCCGAGCAAGCTGGAAGAAAGAGCGGAAATATGGAAATCGTTAGGAGAAAAGAGCTCTAGTTCGACGCTGCCTGGCTTTTGTCCTCTCACGCATTCGTTGGATCAGGCTCTCACTTAACGGCACACGAAAGTTTGGTGAAGCTGAATATCTCCAATCACTCTGAACGTAAAGTAGATTCAACAAGTGGAAAAATTATTCAAATATCGCGTTACTGGTGCGCATAGGCTCGTTCAAACGGTATAAAAGTTTTAGGTATCATCACCCGATTGAGAGAACGAGCCAATTCGAGCTTCTATTTGTCAAGCATAGGACTAGCCTCACTTTAACGGCATAGCGACAACAATTGACCTTATTAGTGAGAACTGACGTGTGGGAGATTTTTGTGTTGTTCGAGTGCGTGTACCATCCTTTACAATTGGGCAGCCCGACCTTGTGTTTGTGATACACTATGCCGCTGTTGTCAAAGCGATTCAGATCCATGGCCAAACCGCTTGCCATTGCGTCTAAGTACTCTGCGAGGCATCCGGTGCATGTTATCCTTATTACGGTTTTTGTGACTGCGCTGGCGTATTTGTCTGTTATTCGCAGTTACTTCAATGGATGGCAACTAGATTCCAAAAGCATATTTGCTGGAAACAGTGATATTGTACAGCTACAAGATGAGTGTGTCCACTACTATCATGCTGGCAGCTCAGAGTCGTGGACCCAGCTCTCCAACGACGAATTTTCATCTGCTACATTCTCAGAGCATTACTATCTCATGCGTCTGGAATTTAAACAGCAAAATCAGTCGCAGGCCGTACCACCCCTGGATAATCTGGTAGTCGAGGAAAACGACACGCGTTATGTGCTACAAGAGGGACTATCACTTCCAAAGATTTTACAGTCAGAAGATGGAACCACCTGGAGGCTTCGGCCCCATAGGTTTAGGCTGAATGACACAAGACACATCTTGACGTCATCTCTCTCCTCTTTGATCGAGAAGATTCAGAGAGCAGAAACATTTGACGTGCTTATCATCGGTACTGCATACATTGCAATGTTCTATACCATTGCAGGCTTGTTCGTTGCGATGAAGAAATGCACAAACTCCAAGTTGTGGATTGCGTTGGGAGCTATCTCGTCATCGACCAGCGCATTCTTTTTAGCACTCTACACCAGTCAAGTTTATCTCGAGAAATCTGTCACGGCGTTAAGTTTAATCGAAGGCATCCCATTTATTGTTGTCATTATTGGCTTCAATGACAAAATTAGACTCGCATCTTTCCTATTGCGCTACTTTAGATTACATGGCATTTCACGCCAATGCGATGCTTCGGCTCTTGTTCACCTAGCCATGAAAGAGGAGGGCGGTCGTCTGCTGCAGGACCGTTTGCTATGCCTCCTAGGCTTCGTCGGTGGTGCCCTGTACGCTCACAATTTGGAAGTCTTGAGAAATTTTTGCATTCTCGCTTCGTTGGTTCTCATTTTTGACCTCATTTTGACCTGCACGTACTATGCTTCCATTCTAGCCTTGAAACTAGAGATTAATATAATTCATCGTTCCACCGTCATCAAGGAAACTTTGGAAGAGGATGGGGTCATCAAAAGCACAGCCGAATCTGCATCCATTGCCGATAACACGGCAGGAACTTCTGTCTTTGGCTCTAACAATAGCATTATTTTCATGAAGTTTCTTGTCGTCGTGGCCTTCGTTGTTTTTAACTTCTGCAGCTTTGGCGCAAGATGGACATACCAGACATTTTCCGCACTGTACAACAAACCTACAAGCCAAGCATTACCAGACTTCATTTATAACAGTGTCAAACAGAATTATGCAAACGGCGTTGTTATTTCTGTCGTTCCTCCCCAGTATTACCATCCAATGAAGGCTTATTTCCAGGTTGAAGATTTGATTTTATCAGCGTTGCGTTATGTGAGTGTTGCTATCCGTGACCGCTTTATCAGCAAGATTGTGCTATTTGCTTTAGCGATGAGCGCTTCTATCAACATCTACCTGTTAAATGCTGGAAGAATTCACACCGAATTCACTGCTAAAGAATTGCAAAAACACAGCGCAAAGAGTGCGATCTCGGCGACGAAGTTAAAACAAAGCAGTTACATGACTAATGGAGGATCTGCAATTTCGACAATCTCATCCGCAGCTTCTATCGAGACACGTACTGCTACCGAGGAGGAAACTGAAAGCGATGGCGATCACAAGGTTGTACGTCCTTTGGAGACTCTGGTCGAGGAGATGAAATCTGGTGGCCTAAAGAGCATGACAAATAAGGAAGTCGTTTCTTTGGTTACCGGCGGAAAATTGCCACTGTACGCCTTGGAGAAACAGCTTGGCGACACATTGCGCGCTGTTGCTGTTCGTCGTCGAGCCTTGGCTCAACTAGCCAACGCCCCAGTTTTAGAAACTAACCGCTTACCATACAAGTTTTACGACTACGATCGCGTACTGGGCGCTTGTTGCGAGAACGTCATCGGATATATGCCACTTCCTGTAGGTGTGATTGGTCCACTGGTGATAGACGGCGTCTCTTATCATATTCCGATGGCAACCACGGAGGGCTGTTTGGTGGCTTCTGCTATGCGTGGTTGCAAAGCCATCAATGCGGGTGGCGGCGTTACCACAGTCTTGACCAAGGATGGTATGACTAGAGGACCCTGCGTCAGGTTCCCCACTTTGACCAGGGCTGGTGCGTGCAAAATTTGGATAGATTCTGAAGAGGGTCAGAATAAAGTGAAGAAAGCTTTCAATTCGACTTCACGCTTTGCTCGTCTACAACATTGTCAAACTGCATTGGCTGGTGATCTGCTATTTATTCGCTTCAGAACAACTACTGGCGACGCGATGGGCATGAACATGATCTCGAAGGGTGTGGAACACTCATTGAAACTGATGGTCGAGGAATTCGGATGGGACGATATGGAGATAGTATCTGTTTCGGGTAACTACTGCACTGACAAAAAACCTGCTGCTATCAATTGGATCGAAGGGCGGGGCAAAAGTGTCGTTGCTGAGGCTCTTATTCCTGGTGATGTGGTGCGCAAAGTTTTGAAGAGTGACGTCAAGGCGTTGGTGGAACTCAACATTTCTAAGAATCTTATCGGATCTGCCATGGCAGGCTCCGTTGGCGGGTTCAATGCGCATGCTGCTAATCTCGTGACAGCTGTGTATCTTGCATTGGGCCAGGATCCAGCACAAAATGTCGAAAGCTCAAACTGTATCACTTTGATGAATGAGGTAGATGGGGATCTAAGGATTTCTGTCTCGATGCCCTCGATTGAAGTTGGCACAATTGGCGGTGGAACGATTTTGGAACCCCAGTCTGCGATGCTGGATCTGCTGGGGGTCCGCGGTCCCCATCCTACCTCCCCTGGTGACAATGCTCGGCAGTTAGCCAAAATTGTAGCATGTGCGGTGTTGGCGGGTGAGCTGTCCTTATGTTCTGCCTTGGCCGCGGGCCATCTGGTGCAGAGTCACATGATTCACAACCGTGGAAAGGGCGGTCCAACGGCCGCGCCTCCTGCTGCGACCGCCCAGGACAATGTCGAGAGGCTGAAAGAAGGCAGTGTGACCTGTATTAAGTCTTGAGTTTGCAGCACCGGCCTGCATCTGACGGACAGAACCTGCTGCCACCACCATAAAAAAATGAACCACGCGATTCAAAAAATACTATGTACTAATAATATCTGCATTTAGACACAAACTTAGAGTTATTCGATACCACCTATTTCCCAGCCAAGGGTGGCGGGTGCGAAAGAACGGAAACAGAGGGAACGACAGACGAGAGGACAGAGGGGAAACTGTTTTTCTGATAGAGTAGATGTGCATTTTTTAAAAGCTAACGGAAAATACACGAATATATAACAATGTAGAATAATATAAGATGCGAATTGAATAGGCCATAAAGTCATCAATTGTGACGCCTGCGCCCGCGAAGACTGACCGAAAAGCTTGGAGGATCTCGACCCCTTACATTGGCACGAATGAGACCCAGTCGTCGTCGCTGTCTTGGATCAGACCTTCGGCGTCAGCGGTTAGAGCAAGCTCCGAATCTAGCGGGATGTTTTGAAGGTCGTTGTTGTTCCAGTCCCTTAGCACCAAAGAGGAGTTGGAGTAACGGTGGATCCATAGCCCCGTAGAAGCCAAGAAGTCGGCGGCGTCGTAATTCAGACTGAATGGAGGAATTGCGGAGAGCAAGTCTGGGATAATAACAGCGGCGTCAGCGACGGCCAAAAGGGAGGTGGCGAAAACAGCAGAGACGGCGAAGAACTTCATTGTAGATTGTGGAAAGCGTGTGGAGAGCTGGAGAGCGATACAGAGGATGATTGTTATGGATTAAATAGAATAAAGAAAATGAAACCGAACCCAATTGTCCTGCATGGAACAAAGCTGTCCAGCTAGCTACTCTTATACCATTGTGAACTTTCGAAAGCCAACGGCCCTTCCTGGATTCTGCGCGTCTGGAGGTTCTTACTAACCACTTAGTTCTCCATCAAGCGAGCGAGCAATAGCAAACTTCGTAACGCGGTGCAGATCGGTGGTCCCACTTTTGATCTTCATTGCAGGCCAAGCAAGAAACCATGTACCGAGCGTGCTTGTCGAACCTACAAGTTCCCTGACTATAGCGAAGATCTGCTTTCAGCCGACACCACATCTCTAGATCGCCATATCGCCCTATACCACCCGGTCCCCAGCCTGGTCTGATTTCGGCAACTAAACAATCCCTGCCCGATGGACTGTGCGCCAGTCCAAACGGTCCTGCAGTGGTCTGATATTGTGGTGTGCCTGCCACCTTCCGAGCGCTTGGCAGCATGCTGCATTATTCTGCAGAGGGAAAATCTCAATGTATTTGGGCACCCCTTAAAATCCTCTCAGTCATATGATCCGACACCAGTACCGGTCGGTGTGGGTTGCTGTGAGATGCACTCGGGAAAAGCCGGCGGGAATACTGGTTTTTTGTTTTTTTTGTTTCCCTAACGGCTTAGCCACGAGAGCCGTTATGCGTATGGTGCTACATGCGCGCTCCTTTTTCGGCACATGTTTTTGCTTTCGCAAGGCACAACGTTTTTCCGCTCAGGAAAATATGCAGGAATATGCGTATACACAGGCACAGAGGCGTGCTTACAGATAGAGGATGTTCCGACTTGCAGGTGCTGTGCCTGTCGGTGCTTATTGTCCTTTTTGGGCTTTTTGTGTTTCCCTTTACAGGCCGCTGCCCAGAGCTTATTCCTAGGTGTTTGGCCACCATGCACCAAACAATGGGGAGTTTGCGTTGCTCATTGACACGCTCTGTAGCAAAGACAGTATCCTGTAAATCCGCACCTCTTTCAAGATCCCCACTCCCACTGTAATTGCCATCGCAAGTTTCGGTCCTGCGATGCCTGTAAAGCAGCACTTCCTTTCAAATTTTCCCTCCTACACTGAATGCCATCGCGAGTTTATCAATAAGCGGATTTTTTTGATGGCGGACATTCCCCTCTGCATTCTCCAACGTCGTGTTTTGCCGTACATGTCGCGAGCTCGGTGGTATGAAGTAAATGAGTATTGGCGAGTAAATTGACTCGGTATAACAGCAGGGCCCTTTTCAGGCCTACAGTGATCAAGGATGACGAAGGAGGCATGTACGTGTAAAAGAACAGCGAACTACACGGCCAGGAAACCTAGCGACTGCAAAGGGATAGCGAACGCCAGCACGGGACCAGATTTGGATGCATGTGTGTTCTCTGTGGAAGCTTCTCAGCGTTGATTGAGGCCAGCGGTGATGAGCTCACCCGCAGAGGTGTTTGTCACGTTGTTCTACGCTGGGCCCGTGAAAATAGTTCGGGAAGGTGGAATTTTTAGATCTGCACGCAGAGTCAAAAAGATCGATAGCCAATTGTACTTTCACATGTACGTGGTGGTGAATATGGGTTTGATACTACAGTTTTAGAAGCACTGACACTCAGTTTACTTTGACTGCTCTTCGTTTCACTGCTGCTGCTACAACAAGCTCGCGTCACAGTGGAAAACAAGAAGAGTTTAGGCTTGTTGTTGGCATTCGTAGTGGACGCACCAGCGGACTGGCCAGTTAATTGCGACATCCGTGGTTGGCTCTCAGCTTGGGACCAGCAGAGTGTGTAGACAGTTGGGTTTTTTTCTCCGTTGATAGGGACCAGTGTCTCGCGGACCAGTGTCTCGTGGACTAGTGTGTGAGTGTTACACTGGGAAAAAGGCCGTGAGAAGGCGAACTCGCGACAGGGATTTCGCTGCGGCTAGTGGTTGATTTTTTCGCGCTCCTCACAGCAGCTCTTCCAATTGTGCGCCTCAGGGCTCGTTTCTGCCACCCACCGTCAACCGCCAGTTATGGAGATCAGAGATGCAGACCTGCCGAAGCAACCAGAGGGTCACAGGCTACCGATCCCGTTGGCCAATCCGCCGTACCCGCCCGCATTCCTGCCGCCCTTTCCATCGTCTTCGCTATCGCCGCAGTCTGGCACAGGACCCTTGAACCTGGGCGAATCTGCGGGTGCTAGCAAAGCAGTGATAGTCGGGATTCCACCAGGAGACCCTCGCCTGATGCAGCCGATAGCGCTCGACACCTCTTTCACCGGCGTAGCAGGCAAGATCAAACGCAACACTTTTGCCTGCACAAATTGCCACTCGCAGAAGTCCAAATGTGTGCCCTCAGACGTCAACGATATTTACGGCAAGCCTTGCGTTCGCTGTACCAAGCGCCACAAAACTTGCACTTTTGACTTGTCACGGAGAACAAGGCGACGCAGACGAGACAGTGACATAATAGCAAATCCAGAGCCCCCACCGATGTCCAGTATCCCAATGGCTTCCGTGCAAGGATTCAGCTCCCCAGTTCCTAGGATTGATGCACCATATCTCAATAACCAAGTACCTCCTTTAGTCAGTCCTGCTTTGAACACTGGCCCGACCACTGCTTATCCATTCAAGGTGCCTAGCTCTTCGATGTCCTCAGTTTTCAACTCAACTCCGTCAATTTCGACATCTGATTGGTCTCAGGGAAACCCGCATTCTATTCGTCCATCTTCGAAACCCGCCGAAAGTGGTGCCAAAATCCAAAAGACCTCTGGCGCATTGCCCATACCGTTAGAGCTCCACCCGTCATACAGGAGCTTGAAGAATGAACTTCATTCGTTACTATCCTTCCAGCGTCAGAATTTGAATGAGGTGTCTGATAGGCTTACAGATCTCTCTAGAAGGTGGAACGATGTCATAGAAAATAGTGTTGGCATACCACTTGCCTTAGACCCGGTAACTTTAGGCATCATCAGTAAAGAGCAGGCCCAGCATAGACTTGATCTTTATCGTTATGAAATATCGAACCGTCACAGGCTCCCATTTGTGAAGATACCGCCAGACCAGACGCTAGACGACCTGAGACAAGAAGAACCTATCCTGTTTGTAACCATAATGTCGATTGTGTCGCCCATGCTGAAGGCTCACGAGTCCACTGACGATCAAAATATGAAGTTGGATAATTTTACTTTGGGCTTGATTTCACACCACATGATGCGCCTTGGCAACAAGTCCTTGGAGTTACTGAAGTCTTTACTAACCCTGTGTTTGTGGTATAATTTCCCCGAGTGGTCCAATAAGACAAGATACTACTTTTTCAATTACATCTGCTGTTACCTTATCAAAGACTTGGTGCCAGTAGGAAGACCTCGTTCATTGGCCATGATCATTAATAACAAGAACACTACTGCAGAGGACGAGGCGGCTGCCACCGATAGGTTCCTCCTCCAAAACGGGAGCTATTCTCGCTTGGTGATTCTAGTCTACTTTTCTGCTCTCAATATAAATATCTTTCTCCGGCAGCCCATCCAAAATCGATGGGGTTTACTGCACGAGCGAGCGAGCAACATTATGTCAATGTTTGAATCGGGCCCCGTTTCGATCTACGAGCCGGAAGAGGATGAAATTTTGTTAGTGTTTGGTGAGTTGAACCACGTATTAGAGAAGATACATGTGAAATTACACGAGGCGGAAGAGGAATCAACTAATTACAAGCATGGCCTGGCTTCTGAATCGCAAATAAAACTTTCCGAAACATTGCTCGATGAGTTACGAGAGATATTCGTAAGATTACCCAAGGAGAGGACGAGAGCATTGGCCTTTTACCACTCTGTTGAAGCATACTTGCATGAGTGGATGTTCGCCCGATTTATGACAAAATTCGAGGATCCTATTTCGATCAAAGAACTGCCCGCCATGGTGGCCGAGTCTTTCCGGGCACTTACACAATCCTGCCTAGACGCCATGCACGAATTTATCAAATTACCACCGGAGCTAATTGCCTCCTTGCCACTCTTTCACACTTCAAGAGTAATCTACACAGTTGGCATGCTGTTGTTACGGGTAAGGTACACAACTATAACCGTTCCTGCTTTTGCAAGTATGCGACCGCTCACTTTACCTGCCATTGACTTGGTAAACAAAATATCAGAATCTTTGGACAAAAGTGCGGCCATGTATCCATATAACAATTTCCTGTCCAAACTCAGGTATGTGGTGGCACTTTTTGTCCAAATCTATGCCAGTAAAGTCAAAACCTTTGTTGAGACCAAAAAGGGCGAAATAGATTTCTCTGTTTCACGAACCACTGAAATTGATAACAAAAATGTAGCTGCGCAAAACCAAAGTGCCGTTCCAAGATTACTGAATCCACTTTCTTCCGATGACGATCCTTCATTTAACAATCCGGCCTCTTCAGCATCGAGGACCTCCGACTTCAAAGAAGCCTACCCTGATGACCTGATAGATAGCCTAAGCTACCAAATGGCTGACATGAGCTCATTAGAGCTTGGTTTTACCGCTTTGAGTGGTGAATTTTGGACGGACGTTTTCTTCGACGGCATGCAATAGCGCCAATCAACCCTTTGTCCATGTAACATTATAAAAAGATAACGCCTAACTCTTAATAAACGTATGTACTACCGACCTCAGTTGATCATGGGGCCCAAAAATTCTTCAACTCGTTGGAGGAAGTTACGGTTGCGTATCTTTCGGGTACCCCGACCCCTCTTCTCGGCCTCCGATTCTGCGAAGTCAATGGGCGATAGCCAGTTGTGCACCACCGTTTTGATGTATATTTCGCCATACAAGTATCGAAGTACTTCAGAAAGATTCTCTCGCTTCAAATCACTGAGCAAAATGAACCAAAGGCCCGAAGCTGTGCACAGGACATGAGCTCTATACTTACCTGTGGCTATTGTCCTGATTTCGTTGTGTGGCCCCTGCCCTGCTAATTTTTGTGAAATTGATCGGAGGGAGAAGACCATGCCATATAAGAGCTTCGCAGTGTCTTCATTGAGCTTAGAGTTAATTGTTCCACTCGCATGGTTCGACTTCAATGTCCACTCGCGGTCGAATATACAATTACCTGTTCCAAGCAAGCGTCAGTTAGTAAAACAAAATCGACACTTTGTTGATGGCTCATAAAGTCAAAACCACGTTTGTTACATACAATGCTTGTCAAAGATCCAAAAGGAATATATCGCCATGATGAATTCGGGCTATGGCTATGGACCTCTGCTTTTTAGGATACATACTTTGTTATAAGCTTTGATTCAATATGTTTATATTGGGTCCAATCAATGTCAATGGGCCTACCAGCGTGCATGATGATAGTAACTAGGTCAAAAGCTCAATAAGTCCAATTCTTGGTTGTTAACTGCTGAAGGGGCCGCGGAAGTCCTTGCTGCTGCTCCTTCAAGTTCACCAAACTCGTCATCTTCATCATCATTCGCGTGATTATGTTTGGTTTCCAGGTTGTTGTCCACTGAGGAGGGCGTAGTATATGGGGCGGATGCTTCTTTCGTTTGCTTGGCGTTGGCAAATAGCGAGCCAAATGGATCAGCCTTCTTTTGAGCAACAGCGGGGACAACTTCACTGGTGGAGCGCGGAGTGGAGACCGCCGAAAATGAAACCAAATTATCCCGGTTATTGGAATTTGATACTTGAGGCGGTACGCTGGTATAAATGTCCAGAATTCCTTGCGAGCTGGCGGTTCTGGGCTGTTTCACGGGTGCTGCACTTTGGAAGTCAGCAAAATCGTCGTCCTCGTCAGGCGCGCCCATTGAAATCTCGGTCACTTCACCATTGCTAGCATAGCCACCATTTTTGGCTGCTGCGGATGAAGAGTCATCTCTGAATCCCTTGGACTCATTTTCTTGGCGAATGTCCTCGTCGTCGCTGTCAAAGTCTGCACTGACAGAGATGCCACGACTCGTGGATCTGCCGAAACCAGCTGTTTTGTTGATAGCAGAAGGGGGCAAATACGAAGAAGGAGCCCCTCCTGCAACGCCCTTGTATTTTTTAGCGGTTTCACGAGCTTTTTTACGTTCCGAGCGTATACTGGAGTCGTTTTCCAAAAGAGAAACTAGCTCCAGAGCCCTGTTCCTCACGTTGATTCCTTGGTCGCGGCCCTGGGAATCGGTATAGTGAAAACTTTCCAGCATTTTCACCAAGGATAAATTTGCACGTATATCATCGATAAATCTTTCAGCACCGTGCCGCACAAGATATTCTAGCAATTGCAGTGCTTTATAAATCTGCCGCCATTCGCTAGCTGTCTTTTCAGTAAACCGACGGAATATCATCCCTAACACTTCTTCACGCTCGCGGTAGTTGTAAGTACCCTGTGCAATCTGCTCCATTAGCGTGGAAGAAGCCCCCCATGGCTCATTGTTCGTAGCCTCCCGGACTTTTGCCTCCATCTCGGTGTAATTGAAAACTACATTCTGTGCTTTTCTGAAATACTTCTTGGCATCATAGAGACTTAAATTGCTCAATCCTTGATCCAAACTCATGTCTTTGGTTGCAATAATATTGGTCCAGTTGTCCCGGGAGATGCTCCAATTTTAAGCAATAAGAATCGGTTGGCAATCAAGATCTGGCCAACACCGTGAACCGTTGAACGGGCTTCACAATTTGGATACTCAACCTAAAATACCTGAAAAATAGGTACTATTAGTCGATTAGACGTAGTCTCCTTTTCTTGTCTTCCATCTGAAGGATCCTTTTGAACATATAAATCAAAGGCAGCATATACAAGTATGATAACATTAAGCTAGTATATAGTGATCCCATATTGGTGAAGACATGACACTTGACTTTAGGTAAACTTCAAACGAGCCATCAATTTGCCACTTGACAAACTTCTGGCTTTACGTGAGACCTAATGGAGTAGTCGACTGATTTTTTTTACAACTCACCGGCCTCCTCAACAACGATTTTTGCGCGAGGTCTGCCGGACATGGTTCCGTAGGACTCAATGACTTTGACTACTTCCATTCCCTTGGTAACTTCACCAAAAACAACGTGCTTGCCATCTAGCCAAGGACAAGGCACCGTCGTGATGAAAAACTGGGACCCGTTAGAGTTGGGACCGGCGTTAGCCATGGAAAGAAGGCCGGCCTTGTCGTGTCTCTTGGAAAAGTTCTCATCTTGGAACTTGTTTCCATAGATGGATTTACCGCCGTATCCGTTAGTTAAGTCAGTGTCCCCACCTTGCAGCATGAAGTTTGGAATTACTCTGTGGAAAGGAACGCCTTTGTAACCAAAACCCTTTTCGCCTGAACAAAGAGCTCTGAAGTTTTCAGCAGTCTTGGGAACGACCTCGTTGTAGAGCTCGAACTCAATTCTGTTTTGCTTGGTTCCATTGATGCTTGTGTCGAAAAAAACCTTCGAGCCCAATTGAACGTTTGAGGTGGAGAACATGCGCGATTGACGCAACAGAGAGCGGTTAGCGGTAGAAAACATTTTCAAACTAAATAAAAGACTTTCAATGAGGCTAAAGTTGTGCAAAGTAAACCTTTTCAGCGTTGTCTGCTCCAAGCTCATCTATCGAGTTATATGTACTTAATTATTTTCCACCTTCAGCCGACACCACGTGACTGTGTAATGTCACTCTGGGTGATCATGATAGTAAGCAGCTTAGGATGCCAGCAACTCCTTGACTAGACGCATTTGTTTGTGGAGTAAATGAAGCCATTCGAGCGTTTCCTGGGAACTGCCCCCGAGAACGGCCTCATGCAGTCCTGGTAGAACATCACCCTTATAACCCAGCAGCTTATCGGGCCCAAATATAGCGTGCTTCATCCAGTCTCTGTCCTTAAGCCCTCGGTCAGTCAGGAACAAACGATCTAGCCGTTTGAGCTTGGCGTTCAATTTGGTCAGATTGATGTAGATAGAGATTTTATTGTGAATCTTGTACCATGGATAGTCCCTCACGACTAGCTTGCGAAGTGAGGCAGTCTGATGGTCGAAAGCCAGACTCTCATGATTCACAATGTGCGTGATTAACGTCGAAAGATTTCGAGCTTTCTCCTGCATAAACTCGTTTCCGGTGAATGTTTGGTTCAACATTTCGTACCAAGTTTCATAGTAACGCCCAATGTCTTTAATGTAGTCGTGTACACTGAAGTTCACAACCTCGTTCTCACTCAGCTGCAGAACTGCCATCCCTGTGAAAATAGCCATGGTATTATGTAAGTGGTAGCCAGGATCTCCGTACTTTTCCATCCACGTATATGTGTCGTAGTTAGTGTGATACTGGTAAACAGCATCGTCGCGACCGTCGGCCACGAACTTAAAATTTGCCGACGGGATTCCCAGGTGGTTCTGGAAAACTGCAAAATCCGTACCAGATCCAAGTATACCTACATGGCCCTGTGATTGGCTCTCCCAGACGTCTAGTAACGTGTCGTCTGGCTTACCTGAGAAACGGGTGGATGCAGCGGACTTTCTCAATAGTTCTGATAACAATGGATTGGCTTCACATTTGAATTGGGAGCCAGAAATTGCGGTATCGAGATTAAAATACGTCAGAACTTGTTTTTGTAACCTCGATGCATGGTTTTCTCCATATTCAGTAGAGCCTAGCATTGCTGGTTCTTCACCGTCCCAGCTCACCAACTGAATGGTTCGCAGCGGCCTCCATCCCTTGGATACGAGCTCACTTAGGCCTCTAGCCACTTCCAGTAGTATACTACTGCCACTGTTAGGATCTCCTGCTCCCCCGACTGTCCACGAGTCCCTGTGATTTCCAATTATAATGGTGCTGCCTCCCAAGATACCGGGGATCTCGGCAATCACATCAGTAATTTCCTTAATTTTGTATTCTTGCTGATTGAAGACCCTAACTTGAACGTCAGGATCCGAAGGCCCACTGAAATACTCAAAGCCCTTTACATTACCCCCAACATCGAAAGCGATGCCCTTATTGTTCAAATGAGGCAAGAGCTTGGCGATATCACGTTGACTCATAGGGATCGATGGAATTGTTGGTATTTTGCCCATGGGTGATGTCCGTTTGGTATTCGGTGATTTGGAAGCGTACCCTGGAGTCGTAGGGTCACCTGGAAATTCAGTAAAGTACTCCACTGAGCCTCTCTGAAAGCCACTAGGGTTTCGGGCGGGTCCGTGTGGATATGCTTTGTAACCATTGGCCTCCGTGACATTTCCGTCATCAAAAGTGTCCGTGTACAAAATGACAGCAGAGGCGCCGTGGGCCTCGGCGTTTTTGACTTTGAGACCACGAAACATGGAGTCGTAGCGAATAATGTGAACCTTACCTTTCAAATCAATACCATGGTCCTTCAAAAGATCGTAGTCCTCTGACTTCCCGTAACCACAGTACACAAAACTTGCAGTCACATTTCCGTTGGCCGAATAACCATGGAAAGCCCTCACTGGATGAGGGCCAGAGCTGGATGGATCTTCGGCCACAAAGTCCTCCATCATTTCTGACTCAAACACGGTGTTTCCTCCAATAACTAAAGACATTCCAGTGTCTACCGGTGTATTGAGCCAAGGATAGTATTTCTCTAGTTTTAAAGAAAAACCGAGTGCTTTAAGCTCGTCCACCGTGTATTGTAGAGCATCTTCGTCACCCGTCAGATGCCTGTGCGAAGTATAGGTCCTCAGATGTTGTTGTGCGTGGTTTTCTCGTTGCAAGCTCTCGAGATATATGCGGTAAGTTTCTGCCTTTGTGAGTTTGCTGAAGTGGAGCCGTCGGAAATCCCGAGACAAAGACGTTCTAGGCAAAAATGCAAGTGTGAAACCCAGATATAATAGTGCTGTAGCCATAACTGCGTACATAAATTGCACTCGATGTCTCTTAACAGTATCATACCCAGTTTTTAGTCCATTGATTGTGTTGCTCCGACCGCGAGCAAAAATGGATGCAACAGAATTCTCCCTCGTTCTGCCATGATGAATCAATGGTTGTGATTCCTCGTTCCCATTCGTCGGATCCTCTGTGTTCATTTGTCGTCGACGTCAGTTATAGCGATGAGTTGTTTCTTTCATGGGAGCATGTTATTCCCTTAATAAACGAATACAATCGTAACTGGCGACCAAGTAAAACAAAAGTGGACCCACATTTAAGGTTTCCTGATAAGTATGATTCGCGAGACTGTTCTTAGCGATCAATTAACATGAACTGTTCTTTCCGGGGCCAACTATCTAAATTATTCATCAGTACCGTCATAGAGCTGATGTTTCCCCCTTTACGATTATTACACTTCGGTATTACGGGACTACACGTAGACGCATTAGCTGCCCGAATATTACAGTTTCACGCTCATATTGAGAGAAAGTGTCCGCATTGCCCAATCGTACATGTACTACACTGTCACGAAGCGGCGCATTATTTTGTTGTAAACCGAGGTCGTGACAGTGGTGTACGAAGTGATTAAGTCAAGTGTCAGTGAAACAAATGTAAGCTAGATCAAACGACAGTCCATGAAGGACCGACATCTCTTGCGATGACTTTTCCGGTTTACGACAGACTATTCGAGAAGATCTGCATTTAACTTTAAATTTGTATAAAGTCTGATTTTTTGATCCGTGAGAAAAACAACACGTATCTCAAATAATCAGGGAGAGCTAACTTGAGTTCCAGATACCTGATTTTAGTCAGATTGCAATGGTCATTGATAAATCGAGCAGAAAGGACATCACTTCATCGATTGGTAACGACCTCGACAAGAAGATATTAGTTTACTTGCCGATCAATGTCAAGAAACGTACCCACACAAATGCACGGTATACATCTTTACCGACGTTCAGAAGGAAAACTTGATTTTCAAAAATACAGCAAATAAGGGGGATAGTTTTTCGCCAAGAGGAAGCTTCTTTCTCTTCATATAACGTTGCATTCACAGTCAATAGTGTTGGATCGAGTATATGCAGTAACCTCCCCTCCTCCAGAAGAAAAAAATTATCCTTCATAATAATGGCTTGAGTTCGAGGGCCCGTTGCTCTCCTACCAATTCTGTAAGTGCTTCAGAACCCGGGAAAGGCTTATAGTCGGTATATTCAAAGCCTGGAACCACTACTTCGCTAATTAGCAAGCCATTATCAAATTCATCATTCGGAAGCAGAAAGCTGGCTTTCCAAACACCACCAGGAACAACCCATTGAGATACCTCGCCCTTTGAGTAGTCAAATCCAACTTTGAAACTTTTGACTGTGCCATCTGGGTATATCAAAACATATTGTCCCTTTCCGCGCTGCAAAATGTGAATATTACGACTAGTGTTCATGATCATCTTTGACACAGGTGCATCTGGCGTCAATAGGTAGTAAATAAGGGTCGAGTAATTGCGGTCCGATTTGTATTCCGGATCCGAGGAATTTGTGGGCATAACGCTAGCCTGCTTCTTTGCCTCTTCTTGATCCTGCTCGCTACCATACTTCAACACGAAGGGTGATCTATCGGTTTCACAAAAATATCCATTTTCGGCGTGTTTAACAAGTTTATAATGGTTTATAAACTCTTGAAGGGGGTGGGGAGGTTGCGTAGCTGGAAATCGTACGAATTGTGGGAATTCGATGTCAGCTTCTGGAGCACTATCGATCGTGGTCGACTTGAACAGGTCTGTCATACTCTCAAGGATAAGGAACTACTGCAAGCTTTAACCTTCAATGACCGATGCCGTAGCAATTCATCTAGCTAATAGCACGGAGTGCTTTTAATTCCAAAAATTCCCTTCCGTATATAAGTATATCAGGATAAAGTCTAAGCAACCAAAGTCTGTTCATTCGAAGTGCTGGATGCTATTTCCTCCTTCCGCTTCTTATCCTGATGCGAATCAATGACATTGGTTTCATTGGTTTCATTGGTTTCATTGGTTTCATTGGTTTCATGGGTCCGTTTCAAGGCTTCGACGACTCTTTTATCGCTAGTAACACCGTTTACTGGCCTAAAATAAGGTTGGCATCTCCAGTAAGGCACCTTTTTGTAAGAACCACCCCACAGTTCCAGCTTACCAGTGGTTACTGCATCCTGGATTTCAATATCCGGCTGTTGAAATATCTCTTGCACAACTTCTTCAACCTTAGAGACAACCTTCTTATCCCAGTCTTCGAACTCCGTCTTCGCATTCATCGAAGCCAAATTGGCTCTAATGTCTGTGTGCAAAGGCAAAAAGGGACGCAGAATCTTGAAAAAATGGGACTTCATTGCAATGCGCGACGCATTTGATCCCTCGCAGCTCTTGACGATCTCAAAATACTCCCTTAGTAATTTGTCTACACGAGGAAAAACTTTGTCCTTATCATTTGCATGGTCTGTATTGAAAACCCCAGGATTGTATAAATTCCCTTCAGCGCTCATCACTGCATCACAATGTATTTCATTCATGCATCTTGAAATATCTTCTGGATATAGAATGTTCCCGTTCGCAAAAAAAACTGTATCCTTCGGCAGGTTATCCCGCAGGTAGCGTATAATATCCCAGTCAGCTAAGCCTGTCTTCTGACCTTTTTGCTCGCGAAGACGACCATGGACCGTCAGGAATTGAGCTCCCGCATCCAAAACCATTTTGGCATACTCCAAAGTTTTCTCACGCTCAGGGAACACTCGTATTTTTGCTGTAACTGGTACATTCAAATTATCATGGAGTTTGCGAATGAGCTTGTGAATGAGGTCCCACTCTTCCATCAAGAAAGATCCGTAGCGACCCTTCTTGGCAATACCCTGTGGACAGCCCAAGTTGAGATCCACCGCGTCACATTTGTCTTCCACCAGCTTAGCGGCCGCCAAAAGGTACTCGGGATCATTAGCGCAGAATTGCACCACCAGTGGGCGATCTACATCATTACACCCATCTTGATTGCACCACATGTCGTTGCGATACTTCTCAGAAGTGGCAAAGTTTTTTGCGTGAAACATTGGCGTATAAGCCAGCGTGGCCCCATATCTCCTTGATAGGATTCTCCACGCAAGCTCAGATTGATCTACCATGGGGGCCACAATTTTGGTGGGCTTTCCAATTTTTTCGAAGAGAACTCTTCCAGTAAGTTTAGCATTTGGACTAGACACTAACGCCCCATTTTGAGCTGCATCACTCACAGTCATTGAATAGGCCCTTTTGATGATACCTGATAAACTGCACGAGGTAGTGTTCTTAAATCGTAACCTCCAAATCTTGAATGTTGGAAAGATGAGCGGATAAAGTCAAGTTATACTGATCAGAAAATGAGCTAATATCTCGATCAATACCTCCGCGCTAGACTTTGCGGTCAACTGTTATTCGTTTGGGTCTTAGCCTTATTATGGTTATGCTACTCATCGCGATGAAGATTTTCCACGGTGCAGTTGACATTTATTACTTTTTGGATCATTTCTCTTGGTCGGACGTCGTCTTCGACGACAGCCCATGGTTGGCCAGGTTGAAAATGGCTCTGGATTGTAAGGCATGAGCAAATAGTAAAGCGATTGGCCAGATGGGGGCATCTCCTAGGATTCGCACTCCCAGGTAAAGAGAGCGGGACGAGATTCTGGCCTTTAAAATTAAGTCCACTGTTTCTGCGATATCGGTATTCGGACTCATCGCTTTGCGCGCCAAATCGTCATCTAGAGCCTCAACGTCAAGGGCCCCATTTGCTTGTAGTCTCAGAAATTCCGCATATGATTGCATGTTATATCCTTTGGGCAGAAGGTGCTCTTCTATTTTTTTCAATATAGTCTCTGATTTTAGCCACAGCGTTCTGTCCACAGCTTTGAGAACTTCAGTAGATTGTCCATCGCGGTAATTACCAGCCCACATTTCAACACGTTTCAGATATTCCGCAATAATGAGAATTGAGGTAAAGATGCAAGTGATGGAAAAAATCGGAGTTCGGAGAGATGTTTTTTCGGCGTTTTTTACAATAAAGACAGTGTCCACCCAAAACTTGACGATGTTGAGAGCGTAGTCGGTGGCCTCTCGTAAAACTTCCCAATCGCGGTATTTTTCTAAGCATTCATTCATTCCCTCCCAATCTTTAAACCATATTTTTTTCATGATGTCAGTGATAGTTAAACATTTGCGTATCTTGGCAAAATTGAGAAGCGGTATGATCAACCTTAGTGAGGGATTAGAGTTGATAAACGCAATATTTCCCTCGTTAGCTATAATCACACCACCATTTTTTAGGTATAATGCTTCCCAATACTTGAGCAAAGATTCGATGATGGGCCGGCAATTCATGCGCCACTTGACGTCTAAGATCTGTTCATTTGTCTCTTGTCGCAGATTGTACTGCTCTATGAAAATTTTCTCATGGATCGAAATCAATAGAGAAAGTAATGTTTTAAAAGAGACCTTTTTATTCTCATAAAAGAACTGGTAACCATTTGTAAGGTAAATAAGACAGTTTTTATAACTCTCACCGCCGTTCGAGAGTTCAATTAGAGAGAATTTCGAGTCAAGTGAAATGTGGTAGCCTTGTAGAAGACTAGCCCACTGTTCAGGGCTCTCGCAGAAATAAAGATCTTCGCGGTAACAAGGAATACCACATTTTAAGTCAATCGAGTGAAAGCAGCAATCAAGCCCCACTAAAGAGTTGAAAAGATTGGATATAAGCAAAACTGTGTGACAAGTTCGTATCCTCGATTGAGCAAGCACAAAGTAATTGTAGTTGCGCTCGTTTTGTTCTGGTGACTCATATTCTTGCCTCTTTTTTTGCAACAGATGCGGATTATCTTGGTAATCAAGTATGTGGTCACTGTCAATTGGCGGAGTTAGGATTGTCTCCAGTGGCATATTCAATTGCGTCATTTTGATCAACTCTATCAGTGACCTAATTTGTGTGTTCATGATCAAGGTGAAAGACACATCATTGTTAAATATGCCGATAAAAATCAACAAAACCATGCTTTGTATGAGCCAAAGTGGGGATTTTTGATTATGTCCAACTGTCCTTTCCAAATATTCTCTGATACGGAATCGACAAATGTTGAATAACAGCAGAGCATGGGATGAGTGAAAACCGTAAAGTGCACCGATCATTGCAATAGACAACAAAAAGAAGTAACTATCAGCAGAGGGCCTGATTGAATGAAGGTGAATAAAGCCGAAATAGCGATGAAACTCATCCTGGTATAGATTCACATATGTGTTGAGCTCAGTTAAAGTTGGAAATTGATCAGCCGACAGATCATTCGATTTCAAGATATGATTCCTCAACTCCTCAGTAAAAAATTGTAGTCTAGTTCCTTTCCTCTTGCGTATGGACGTCCGCTCAGAATTTTCCGGCATTGGCGAGGTAAAATCGTTTTGGTTCTCCAAGATCTTTTTGAACAAATCAATTTGGCGCGATTTGAAAAACATGGGTAAGTCGCTTTTTCTGTGATACTTCTTGGATGGCCTTGGCGCACTCCTCGCTGCATTAAAGTTTAGATCCTCGAGACTTCCGTCGGCGAATTTTTCGATGAGACCAGGAATAAAAGCTACTTTTGACTTGTCTTCCATTTTTGAAAGTGGAGTGGCCGCATTAACGGCTGGTGTCGAATTTGTTGTTGTACCTTCAGAGTTAGAGTAAGGAAAACCAATTTCATTAAAATCATTCACGTCCACTTTGAAATTTCCGTCGACATGTGTATTGATGAACTGGGACAGCCAATGCTCGTGTCGATCCGAATGGGAGCCCGTTGGTTTTTGCCTAGAAGGGGGTGTATGCTCCGGGATTGAGTCAAGAGGTACGGGTTGCGGGATCTCAGAAGATGAGTCGTAGCTGAAGAAATCTAAACTCGAGTCTGTAGGAAGGTAGCCTGTAAAACCTCCTGAGCCACCGACCGATGATCCTATTTGCAGAAAATCCGAGAGCCACGGCGTCGTGGTAGCAAAGGCGGAGCGAATATCGGGAGTTGAACTGTGCTGATGACCCAGTGTGCCTGAAAGTCGGTCCTTTTCTTCAAAAGGTTGGGGTGGAAGAGTTTCAGGTGGTAGAGAATGATGCTGGTCCCTGTTGAGCGAATGATCGACAACAGCTTCTGGAAGCTCTAACAAAGATGGGAACGGCAGCATTTCGAGGTCCACGCCGCTCTCAAGTGCCTTTTCGACCAGCTCCTGGGCTGAAAGCTGCGGTGTTGAGAAGCCCACTTGGTGTGGAATATCGGGAATCGCGTTGTCTATGATACCAGGAGCGTCTTTGGCCTGGGTATACGTAATTGAACTGGCAGCTGAAAAAGAAGCATGCCTTTTGCGTTTGCGCTGCTTCTCAAGCAGGTCGCCGTGCTCTGACGGAGCATACGGAGAAGAGTTCACGGCAGTGGAAGATACAAAGGGACTATTATGTGCGGCCGACGAGACCGGTGTGATGTTGTTCTTGTGAGGCATCGGCAGCATGGTTTGCTTGTTACCGGTGATGGTTATGATGTGATCTTCATTCAAATGTTGTTTGGCATCTCGCGAAGCACCTTTCTGCACGGAGCCGGGCCGAGCAGAATCAGACCTAGAGCCGGAACCAGCGTCCATAACGGAAGAGTGCAATTTCTGTTGGTGTCGAAGAACCAGGTCGCGCCGCGCAAAACACCGGCCACAGAAAGCACACAGATATGGTTTTTCATTCGTGTGAGCCCGCTGATGACGCTTCAGATGCTCTTGACGGGCAAACCCTCGCGTGCAGATTGCACATAAAAAAGGACGGGGCCTGTCGGTCTTGATCGCACGCGATTTTTTTGGAATTGGCAGAGTTGCAGGAGTGGCAGACGCAGAATCAGAAGCAGAGTCAGAAGCAGAGGCGGGGCCAGACGGCACCGGCCCGCCAGGAGCACCGATCTCATTGTCCCCAGAGACTGCTTCAACAACACCCGTCGTATACAGTGACCCGCCAACTCCGGCCAGGGCCGACGTTGGACTTGCCGTGGCAGACATCGTGGAGCATGTCGAGGAGCCTACAGAGCTCGTGGTGGGTCCAGTGCCGGTCTCTACAGCCTGCTGTATGGGATCTCTGGACTTATAAAGCGCCATTTGGGAAGCCTCAGATAGTGCGTCTGGAATCGTGTCGTACGGGTTTTTTTTGTTGGCTGTGGGTGGACCTAAACAATCGACAGTATATCAGCAGCGATCAAAGGTGAAAACAGTGAGAATCCGGCTAGGATACCACACTAGTTGCGTTAATACAATACTAAGGTAATATATCAGCTTGCTGGCTTCATTTAGAGGCCCCTAACGCGAGGTTTCGCCCACTTAATTGCGGTGTTTCCTTTCAATTCGTGTAATCCAGAGATGCATGTCTGTTAGCGGCTTTAATTTTGCCCTAAGACAGTGTAAAGGAAAAAAAATTTTGATACTATGGACGACGAGCAGACGGGTTACCCAAAGAGAGGGAAAAAAAGAGTATAAAAGGCCGGGAAGAAGAGCTGTTTGTCGACTTGGATTTGGGCAGGTTTTTGATATCTCTTTTCCTTCTCTTCTTTTTTAGAAAACCATTAACTTTGTCCAAAAGTACTCCACCGCAATAGACAGTACGACGGCCGAGCCTAGATTTTTTGTGCGATTGCAGAACGCCGGGGATTGTTCTAATTCCTATGTTTTGTCAGTCCGGGATCCTAGGAATTTAACCACTCGTGCTAGCTTCGTGATAAGCGTGTGGAGAGATTGATTGCCATTCTATAAGAACCCGAGAGGACTGCAAACATGATGCTTGGGTGTCAGAGAATGGCGACATTGGTTACACGTAGAAGTGGAGACTGGCAGAGTCGGAATGGCATGGAGTGACGGGAGTACACCATCACTCTGAACGAGCGTGTAGTCGCTGTATATGTGTAGAGATAGAGAGTGGGACCAGCTTAGATGCTGGCGCCGGCGGATGGTCGAGGACCAAGCCTCGCGGGCGGGCGCTCCCTCCACCGTTGGAGGATGGGACGACGAGTAATTTGTAGAGGACTTGCCAATCGGTGGGTTTGGTACTCGGAGCCCCGGTGTGAACGTCGCAGCTGCGGTGTGAACGGCGTGCATGTAATGCGCCAGCGTGTCGCTGACCTGAGCTCGCATCGTTTCCGCTTGGTTTTTGGCCATGGCTGGTAATCGGCATTGTGACGCCGGAGTGGGTTGAAGAAAATTCGAAAACGAAATTTGTAGTGTACGCACTCGAGCGCTGAGGCATCGTGGCCAATCCATGTGCACCCTAGCCGGTAGTCTAATTTTCTTGACGTATCGGGGACGCCGCTGGCGTCCCACGCTGCTCACTTCTCAGCTAGACTACAAAGTAGCTGTGGTATACGAAGTACCCGGCCCCAAATGCAAACTAGCCTTCAGGTGATGCGTTGAGCTGAAACGTTTCAGCGTTTATGGGCGCACGATATCTCTGCTTAGGAGCCCTTTATGATTCTTTCGATGCCGAGGAACGCTTTCATTAATGCAACATCGTGCCATACCAAACCTAAATGCACCAGCAATTATCATCGTCTGTACCAGTCTCCCGCTCATACATGCTCCACTTGACCTCCCAAGTCTAGTCCCGGTGCAGCAACAGCGTCTCCTCAATAGGCCAGAAACGTGCGTTGACTACGGAACCATTGATCACAGAGTTTAACGAGATTTAATAAATACGCCACCTACTTACCTCCCAATAATTTATCCAACACTGAACACATACATCTAGCTCGAAGACTGTTCACGACGTGGCCGCGTATACTCTTTCCCAAAATTATCGGCACCAGCATTTTTCATGGGTAGCCTAACTTGACCCAACGAACATGCAGTTATTTTGTGCCAGCACAAAAATCAGTGCCATCGAGAATATTTCGAGCACAAAAGTGTCATTGATTCATGATACACCAGCGCTTAATACCTCTCCCAATGACCACGTATCGCCTACATGCCTCCCAGCGACACATACGTACGAAGCGACTGGCGCGCTACCAGTGCATATCTGCCAGCTGTCTGGTGGTTTGGCTCACCTGCCCACTGCCCGCACAGTCGCCCTTGCATTTTCCACAGCACTCTTTCCCTAGCTTAGCTTCTGCTTTCTGCCGTTGATGTTCTACCGCGGCCGTGCCTTTGGTATTTTCCACAGCAACAGTTTGAACTTCATTTGCCACCACTTCCGTCTCTCTCAGAATACTTGGCAAGGGCCGGTTATCGTGCTCTCTGGCGATGAGCGTATGGCATTCTGGGTCGTGCGACTTATGTTTTAGATAGATATAATTGTGCAAGGCCATTGTCCGGGATGATACCAAACTTCTCTCTGTCCTGTCCTCCCAAGCCTCCATCAAACAATGCCCAATGTCTACATTGTGCTTCTATTTAAGCGTTTATAACCTTTGTACGCGTGTGTGTCGTTCAGGGCCATACCAGTGGTGTTACTCGGATTTCAATCCCAGGTGGTCTGACATACCCGTTGAAAAAACTGCCTGGGCCCACAACATTGGCAGTGAATATGGTGGGCGACCTGGTAAGTGCCGCACGAGCGTTGACCTCGCATAGCTAAGGTCGATATACGAGTTGAACCATTGTCCCCGAGGGGTGACTGTGTGGTTTGATGGTGCACATTTTGTAGCTTATCTGCTCAGTGGTGTTGAATCTTGTAGATACGAATCGGAGCTGGATCAATCGGTTTCTCGGCGATTATCGAGAAATCGAGACCGCGTAGTGAGCAGCACGATTCGAACGCAGCAACTGTCTCTTCGTTTCTCACTGTTGCGGCTATAAGGGCAAAGTTTCCAGAATTTTGGTGAACAAGAGCCGTCACAAGACACTCGACCAGATGAGGGATGACAGAAGTGTCGTAGGTGACATCTGCAGCTAATATTAGATCCACATCAGGAATCTCGTCTTCCCCCCACCACAGTCGTCGGAATATGTATTTGTCCTGGGCAGTGTCAAGACCATTGAGCGCGAAATTATTGCGGGCACTTTGCTCGACTAGCGTAGAATCTCCGTCTGTTACATACAGCTTTTTAGTCTGCGACCCATGCAGTTTTGCCCAAGCAATACTTACTAGGCCAGTTCCTGCACCCAGCTCGAGAACCCGGTGTTTATGGCTGATATCTTCCAGCGCGGGTGGACTCTGCGCTAAGAACTCCGCCAGAAACAATGCGGCTTCCCAGGTCCGGAAGCCAGTAGTTCCCGAAGCACACAGCAACAGTGGCTGTTCCTGAACGTCAACGGCCAAGTTTCGGCTAAAAGTGTAGCGAATAATATCTTTGAACATCGGCGATGGAGCACCAACAGACAAGAATTCTACATACTGCTCGAAGACCCATTCGTTCAGTTCAATAGGTTCCTGGTTTAAAGTGGGGCGATGAACAACGCTCAAGTTCCGGTTGGCATCTTCATCGAACAAGTGTGTATTTTCCGAAAGTGCTTTTACAAGTTTCTTTGCATAAAACGGATTTCGAGACCGCACAAGTTCGAACTCCACAGTGAGCTCCTCGGGTACAATGCTCTCGGCTTTCGATAAAGCATCCAAAACTTCCGCCAGTGGTGCTCTCTGGTGGATGAGTTGATAGAATCTTTCCATTGGTGAGATCAGCCTGCTTAAGACCCATATGCGAACATCAGTTACGAAGTATTAACTTTAGCCTAAGGTGCGTAAGACAACAAACAAATGCACCATCTCTGTATTTTGTGTCCCAAGTTTTAACAAGACTGAAGTTACCACTGGGCAACGATTCAGGCTTGCTCTTTTGCCACTGGTCAGGTTCATATGGTCTCAGTCTTTTAGAATATTTAGTGTGAAATGCACGGTATATGTATGGCCCTGCTGGAGGGATGTGGAATTAGTTACCAAAAACGCGGATACGCTTAACACCACCATCTGGAATGATCGTGAGCTTGACGTGGGTTATGGAATCCTGTAAACCATTGACGTCGAACTGGTGCTCAAAATCTGGACCGGTCTGGGACTTGTCGACGATAACAAACCAGTTGGGATCGTCATGAGTAGGGGCCACCGAAGAATCGATGCCATGGACTGTGACATACTGAGGGAAGTTTCCTCTAAAATGGGCGGTATCTACAATAACGCTGGTAATGTTGGAGGTCCGTTTCCCTAGCTGGATGATGGCCCAATCGACGTGGTGTGGCACACGGGAGCGCTTGGTCTCCCATCCGTCAGACATATCGTAGCCCCGACCTGGTAACAGCAAATTATCGGCAGAACCGAAATGCTGATCGGACACACGCAGAGCTACCCCACCATTACAGGCCGAAGCAAGATCAATTGTGTCCAAACTCTTCAGAACCGCATCTGACGGAGGAACCACGCGGCCATAGAGCCTAAATCTCGCAATGCCGCCGTCCGGGTACATTTTAAGTTTGATGTGAGTGTATTTTGCATCCGTGGCCTGTGGACGCAGCATAAAATGCCTCTGGGAGGGCCCACACTCTTTCCTCTGGATGACTTCTTCCCAACGCGAATCGGTTTCTGCTAGGTGGCTCTCATTTTCGGCAAACAACGCCTCAACAGAGACTTCAGGCGCATGGTTCCCGTTAAAGAACGCAGTGTCCACTTCGCAACCCACGATATGCGCTGCAGCTACACCCATCTTGAGAATCACCCAATCGTACTCTTCGGTATTGTGACGACGCGTTTCCCAGCCATCGTACCACGCGCCCGAGTGCACAAACTTGGTGGCATCTCTGATGGGAGCTTTTGGTTCGATCAGGTTCTTGGCCTCAGCAAACCATTCATTTGAACAGCTTTCTACTGATCCGCCTAGTTTGCGGCCGATTACGTCGACGGCCATATGGTCGGCAGCCACTGTTGCTAAAAATTCGTCCGCTTGGTCCTGGGAGTAGTAGAGCATTTTATATGGTCGAATTGGTTCAATCACCGGTAATACACCAATACTGGAAGGAGTCTGGTCAATGCTTCGAGAAATCAATAATCAATATTATTATCGTCGTCAGCCGCGTTATCTCACACTGCTTATATACTGTAGGTCCCGTTCCATTGAGTGGGCTGTTATCCACCCTCTCCTTTAGTTTGTAGTGATTCGCCGATCCCTGGACGCTAATGCTCGCGGAGTTCACCGAAATGAAGTATAATCTCAAAATACCGGCTTAGGCCGAGTGGGATAACAGATACTACCGAATGGCGTATTAAGTCACCGAGGAGTAAGCAGGCTATATGGGAAAGGCGTAGAGGGCAGCGTCTCGAGTTGCAAGGGCCCCTACTGTGGTGCCCATTGTTCATCTTGGCCAGATGTGCAGACAATGTTAGAAGTCATAGAAATGTGTGGTGGCGGACCGTTGAGCTCCAAACGAATTTAATCATGTGCCAAATGTAGTCCTTTCTGCGGGCCAACCCGAGATAAGTCATGGCGAATGTTTCGAAGAGACGAATTGTGGGCGAATGAACTGCAGCAGCCAAGAAGGGTTGCTGGGATTGCTCCTTTGCGTCTCAAGTGCAAGAGTAGCAGCTCTCACAAATCACCATCAGCTGTGATCGGCGCGTGCGATGAGAGCATCGCGGCGTAAGCCATTGCAGTGTAAGCGTTCACGCTGTCAATAATAGAGCGCGGCGATCGGGCTCAAGCGTCACGTATTGTTACATACTATCGCTTAACAGCCCAAAGCTGAAGAAAACAGCATCACCTTGCGGCAATATTAGTATCTCGTATTCTGCTTGTATTCATCAACATAACATGTTGAGCCCAGAAATCATTGTTTTAGGCTTTAAGCACCACAAAAGCACCACAAAAGTACGGCTAACGAGCGCTATGCTTGCTCCCATGGTACAAGGCCGGCTATTGAGCTGATGGGGTATTTGAGATTCCCTGCTTTCCGTTTAGAAGTGACAAAGAAGGAGAATCCGCGGCTAACTACAAATGGGGTCAGGTTTCCAATGTCATGTCATAATGGTACAAAGTGATGTAGATCAACCAGGTGGGATTTATCTGTATTGGGTGTATTGGTCTGTAGCGCACCGTATCAGGCCATCTTCAATCTAGAACCACGCTTATAGCATGGGTGAGCTATCCATTACACGCCTGGAAGTTAACTAGAAATCTTTGCCTGTTGCGGAGCTATATATTTGGAGCTACCTATGTGAGCAGCAACACTCGATCACTGCTTGTGCGAGACGCATTCAGAAATGGTTTGCTTCTAGCACCCACATTTAGCACTTCCATCTTTATCTCAGTTTTTGAGTCGTTTCAGGACTTCGAGAAGCTTGTAGGATGATGGCCAATCGATTGTGAAATTGATCAAAAAAGTCAGAAAAACGGAAAGACTCGATCTAATCTGTCAATTAGCAGTGGTGGCTTTAAGGCACTATGTTGACGCTGTGTACTGAATTGCCCAAATCATGCACCAGATTTCGTGACTTCAGCAACTGGCAAAAGGATGTGCTTGGTGAAACCGCCGCGATACCTGCTTGAACCAACCTTGCATTAAGCTATTTGAATCGAGTCCCGTAAAGTTTCTTTGGAGAAGACAGCATAGTGGCGTCATTCCGTGGGGAAGGAAATAAGATAAAAGCAGTTGATCAGATAAACAAGTGGCAGAATCCGGTGGATGCATCCATTAGAGCTGCCATAATTTGCATAAGTCAGCAACGACCGAACCACACAAATAACGCCATGATGTTCGTCCCCAGCCGTGGATACATGCTTAGGCAGCCCATCAACCCATGTGTCATCACTATGTACTAGTATGACGCTACTCGGCGACACAGTTTCCGCCAGCTTTTCCTGCCGTCCACCTAGTGATCACTGATCCATTTCAACAGCTGTTCCGAACATGCTACAGATACCAGGAGTACCATCACCCAACACCTCCATCCAGGAAAGAAGGCTTTATCGAGAGCATCGGTAATCACTGTGTACGTAAGGGATTGAAGGTCCTGTCTATCATCAAAACATGGCTTTCCCGTGTGTTGCCCAGCATATTTCTAGGTACGATGGGAAGGAGGCTCAACTGCATTACAAGCGCATTCCCGCTCCGCCGCGAATAATCGCATTGAAGTCAGGTTTGATTAAACGCCAAGTATCATCCTCACCTCTTACGATCCAATCAGCTGGCCAGGCCGGTTCCCTACAAAAAATTTTGAGATTAATACTAGTTTGCCAAATAAAGTCCTTAGTCTTGAGACGTAACTCGTAAGCAACACAGGTTTGAGCTCACATTTTCCATCAATTGTGCAATTGCTTCGCTAAAGTAATGTTCAAGAGATTTTCCACTCCTATTTTGAAGCCATACTGGCCATTTTTCGTAGGCGGAGTTGCCGTTTACTGGGCTGTTGGCAAAGCCGCTAGCGCTTCTGCTCAAACCTCTGAATTCATCAATGATCCCAGAAACCCACGTTTCGCCAGGGGCGAAAAGCCTGTGGAGTTGAAATAAACTCGAGAATGCCATTCAGGGTTTCTTACGAGAGTTTATAACTAAATGAACAAGCCCGGGCCGGAAATTTGATTGCGCGATACGGCAGTCTCTTTCTTAGCTCTTTTAATGACAGATTGTATATATATTCAAGCACGTACAATTCAAATCAATACACACTTCGGTTAAGATTCACCTTGAACATGCATTCTCTCAGGGTCCGGCTTTCGTGGCCTTGGCAATCGCCTCTGAGAAAGCCTTTTTAAGCGCCTCCGAGTCTTCAAGCCCCACACTGACTCTCACTAGCGCCCTTTCTACACCGTAACGTTTGACTTCTTCTAGTTCTTGGTAGTGTGCCAATATCGCGTAGGGACACGCCAGCGTAAAATTCGTCCCTAAAGAAGGGCCCTTACAGAGATTCAAGGAATCGAAAAACACTTGCGCTTGGGACTCGGAATAAAAGGTGAGTGAAAAGAGCCCACCATAGCCTCCTTTCCTACATTTTATAGCGTCAAAGTTTTTCTTTGTTTCCTCCGAAGTTAAACTCGGGTAAAATATCTTCTTGAACAATTTGCCCTCTTCAGGGATCAAAACGTCCTCCAAAAGTTGCTTAGTGTTTTCATTGATAGTTAATGTCCTTGTAACAAAGTCTCGCGAATTGCGTTCAAGATATATCACGTCTTCGCACCACAGCAAGTCTTCAAAGTCGCCATTTTGGAAAAATTGCTGAGCGAAGGAGTACAGTGGTGATCTAGGATTGAGGACCAAGGAACCTGCCATAACATTTGAGTCACCACTAAAGATCTTGGTGAGTGAAGAGCATACTATATCGGCGTGAGGTAAAACGTCTATGTTAACAAAGCCCCCTGCAGTCTCGTCGACCACAATATAGAACCCATACGCGTTGGCTAACTCTCGCAATTGCTCTAAGTTGCCCATTTTGAGCAATGGATTTGAAGGTGCTTCTATGAAAACCGCTAAAACCTGCTCGCCAGAATGGAGAATTTCTTTAAGTTGATTCATAGACTTTTCATCTCCGTCTCCAAGAAAATGTGTATGGTTAAACTTTCGCAAAATAGACAACGTATCAGTATAAGGAAAACCAAACATGACTGTTTTCTTGTATGGGTCTCCATATCCCACAACGTCGGAAACTCCAGAATTGGGCGGACTTATGACCTCTTGGCGATCTGGCTGCGTGATTGTTCTTCGGCGCACACGGCACACATCCAACGATAACAGAAGTCTATGTGCAGTAAAAATCGATGCCATTCCACTGGGGAAAAGGTGAATATCGCGCTCAGCAATGAGATGCAATCGTTCATCTAAAGATGGCGGGTTTGATTGATGTTCCTCCTGCTGAATAACTTCCGCTGGTATGGTAGAATTATCTGAGATGACCGTTGTAGCGTTCCTGCTGTCTTCTGCATCGGGCCGTATCGTGAGTTCTTGCATTTGGGTGGTCTCGTCCTCTTCGTCATCGACTTCAACTACTTTGCGGGCAATTCTTCTTTTTATCACAAGCTTTGCATTCTCAGCAGAGGAGAAATCCAGATTTCTCCCAAACCGTTTTTCAACAAACTCCTCCTTATCTTTAAAATCCGTGCTACCCACCTCGGCAGTGTTAAGAGAGCCTCTGCGGGAGTTCGACTGCTTTTCGAGCAAAGCCAATTCTTGCAAAACGTATTCGGCCATTCTGCTACTAACAATCTCGCCTGTATGCTGCCAGTATTGTTTGAGTAGCCCGAAGCTATCCTTAGGCGTGAATACAACTGCTATTTTGCATTCCCGCCTCCACAAACGTTCTTCTTCATTGGCCGGAGGTTGGGTAGCTAGCTGTAAGATTCTCACACGGGCCGATTTGTCACCCTTTACTCTGACAAATTCCCTACATCTTTTAGCTACCTGATAGCTTGGAAAGACCAAGCAAGTCTCATCTTCTTTCGCAAACTTGGCTGTCAAGTTGTTGCAAAGCTGCTGAATTGACTTGTGAATAAAAAACCTAGGATAGCCCGTGGTCATAGAATCCACGACATTCTGATCGCCCTCTTCGTACCCAATGTTCGAGTCCCACGTTGGCAAGCAAACAGAAACTGCGTGCTTGGTATTTGGAGGAATCGATTCCCCCACTTTTGTGGAAATCATCATTTACACTCACTATTCAGACGATAATCCTCCGTCCCTTTATGATACTGGGCCAATATTAAACCAGGGTTGATTCTCCAAGAGCGCACTTGTAAGTTGCCTACTCAATGAAGCGCTGGGAGTAGGACAATGGTCAGTTGGGCCCAGCTAGGACTTCTATATATTGCTAAAACGGTGTTCTTCTTTGAGAGTACATTATGGAGAATTGACTAACTTTAATTAAAGATGGAAAAAGTTCCACAAGCCTAGAAATTTCGATGGACGACATCAAATTGGTGAGTAACAGGTTTCATTTATCTTTGAATCAATCATTAAGTAGCACGAAATTTCTCCGATAACTGCACCGCGTACGCTGAAATCATTTGAACCCTCGGCGCGTTTTACCATAGCTTCCATATATCTGGGTTGAATCATTTGGTTATATGTTATCACTTTGAGAAAAGTCCCAAAACTCACTTCAGCGAATTGCTTGGCATTACTATTAACCATTTAGAGGAAGCGGAGAGGAAATACTTCTTTTTATACTGGTTTCCGATTGTTCTTGCTTAATTTCCCACAAATCTGAAGTTTTAGCACAAGCAAGGCCCGATTAAATATGCTGATAGTAAAGAGCTTGATAGGATTGGTGACAGCGGTTGCCACCTACAGAATGTTTTTTGCCAGCCAAGAGAACTCCGCAGAATACAGAAGGAATCAGATCGAATCGGTATTTTTGCAATCTTGGCGAGACTATTGCAAGCATGGTTGGGACGCAGACGTGTACAAGCCCGTCTCCAAGGAAAAGTCCAATATGTACGGCTCTACCGACAAACCGTTGGGTTGGATCATAGTGGACTCCATTGATTCTATTCTAATTATGTACAACTCCAGCACGGCAAATAAGGCGCAATTTGAAGAGGAATTTTTGCGTGTCGAAGAATGGGTCACAACGAAACTGGATTACGACATAGACGTTCATGTCTCGCTATTCGAAACCACCATCCGCATGTTGGGCGGTCTTCTGTCTGCCTACCACCTGTCGAAAGAAATGAACATTGGTAATTCTAGCGTGTTCTTGGAAAAAGCTATTGACCTGGCCGACAGAATGATGCCAGCGTTCGACAACACCCCAACAGGAATTCCATATTCAAGCATCAATTTGCATACGGGCGCTTCCGAGCGAAACCATGCCGATAATGGTGCATCGTCCACCGCTGAATTCACAACGTTGCAACTGGAGTTCAAATACCTAAGCATAATCACCGGTGACACAAAATATTGGAGTGCTGTGGAAAAAGTATACAGACCGCTATATGAAAGTAATCGCCTGCTTGGGCATTATGGGGGGCTAGCTCCAATCTATGTCTATCCGGACAACGCAAAATTCAGAGGAAACAATATCAGATTGGGTTCGCGGGGCGATTCGTTTTATGAGTATTTGCTGAAACAGTACTTGCAAACCCGAGAAACTCTATATTATGTGCTTTACCGAGCGTCGATGGAAGGCGTCAAACAACATCTGGTATCCAAATCGCACCCCAGCAACTTAGTATACATAGGTGAGAAGGAATATGGTTTGAGAGGTCCCTTATCACCTAAGATGGACCACCTGGTGTGCTTTATGGGGGGACTTTTGGCGATGGGTGCAACCGAAGGCTTGCATATATCTGACGCTAGACAACAACCTTTTTGGAGCACCCAGAGGGACGAAGATTGGGCATTGGCGCAGGATCTCACGTATACGTGCTACCAGATGTACCACCAAATTCCATCGGGCCTCGCACCTGAGATTGTAGTGTTCAATGACCAAAGTCAGCGAAAGTCCGGTACACGCCAATGGTGGAAGTCATCCAACGGTGATTTCTATGTGAAGCCCGCAGATGCTCATAATCTGCAGAGGCCCGAGACTGTTGAGTCCATCATGTTTCTCTATCACTTGACGAAAGACCAGAAATACCGCGATTGGGGATGGGAGATTTTCAAGTCTTTCCGCAAACACTCCTCGCTATCTTGTAAATCTTCTGACCATGATTGCGCTTACACATGTATGGGCAATGTTTTGGCAGATCCGCCCACCATCGCGGATAGTGTCGAAAGCTTCTGGTTTGCAGAGACGCTCAAATACCTCCACCTGCTATTCCAAGATGATGTTGATCTCACCAAGGTTGTCTTCAACACAGAAGCTCATCCGTTTCCTGTCGTGAAAAGCCTGAACCTGCGGAACTAGACGGAGCGCACATATTGTCGGCCCCAAAGTAGAGTGAATAGTTGCATTTACCTATATAAAGAATACCCACGTATCTGGAACAAAGCCGGATATTTTTCTTGTATCCTTTACATTATCGGGAGCGGTCTATCTTTGAAGGTTATCTTATACCGTATTACATCTTGTAGCTTGACAAGGCCCGTTGAGTGTTCAAACTTTAGGAGACCCAGTGGGGTTTCGAGCTTTACGACGGATCCTAACAGCCGTTGTTTTTCGCCAACAAGCATGGTGGCCTGGGTAGACCCTTCCTCGAGTTGAAGAAGGCCGAATTGAACTATGTTTTCGTTGTTATGTACGCCAAATTTCTTGCCCACATCATTAGCGGGCGGAACCAAAGGATACTCAAGTTCACCTTGAATTTCAAGTAGCGTGTTTCCCAACCGTGTTGGTATAGACACAGTCTCACTATTTTCGAAAAGGGATTTGAGCTGGGACACCGAGATTTCCACGCTAGGCATTTTTGATGTATCTCTTCCAAGATCAACAACATACAGTAGATGATGATGATATGAGCATTGAAATTTATAAAGTTAAGGTCTAAAAGAGACGGAAAACTAAACAAACACCTCTTCACAAGAACTGGCCATCGATGCTTGGCGAAGTCATGGGCTTGTTTCGGGCTCAAAGTCAAGAGAGCGTCATAAAGCAATACACCCACGATCTAACTTCAATCACATCCAAAATTCACCAACTAGACCAGTCTCTAAAAAAAAAGGACTCCAGCAAAGCCAAATGGCTCAGGAGATGGTATCTTCAAGGTACAAGTTTTTTGGTGTTACTGAATGCGGCCCTTTACGTTCGATTGGCCGACAAACATCTCATCTTTGCATCTATCATCGTGTCTGTCTTAATGTTGGTAGCAATGAAATGGGGAACAGAGAAATGGTATGCGTTCTTCACACAACGGACGCTGCGAAGGATGGACCAACTGCGGGCTGATCACCAGGAAAAGCTGGAGGCGTTGAAGCGAAAAACCCATTTTTACTCTACAAATTCGTTAATTCAGAGATTTTCGTCGGGTGAACACCAGGCAGAGGACGCAGTGACGTTGATGGATGAAGAGATGAAAACCAAGTATGAGGAACTCAACAAGCTAAGGGACGAGCTGAGCACTTTTCAAAAGCAAGGAAACTCTCCAGAGTCGCAGGTCCAGAGAGATAAATGGTTTGACAAGGTGTTAGACGTCATTTCGGGTGGTGATGTTAACACAGAGCCTCAGATGAAACCCGTGGTTTGCAACAAATGTCAGAAGCACACCGGCAGCTACACGGTACCTGGTCTGCCGCTGCAATATGTGTGTCCCTTATGTAATTGGCGGTTCAATAGTGATGAGGACACAAGGCCAGAAACTCGTGAAAAGATGGGGGAAGAAAACCCAGCCGTTTTGCCAGCTAGTCCCAAAGACAAGGTTCGGATCACTACAGAGGAATCATGACAAATTGAACACTTAAAAAGCCTAAATACAAAGAAGTACGTCGAAATATGTGCACAATTTTTTTCGCTAGTGAATCAACTCGCCGTCTTAAGACAAAGACATGATGGCATTGACAATGTCAGAGTTGTTGTCACGCAAAGCCTTGACGGCCTTGGCTCTAGAGCAGTTGGCTTGCTGGACCACCAATTCGATGTCATCCTGGTTCAAGCCGCTTTCGTCGGCGGATTCGGAGTCTTCTTCTTTCACTTCCGACAACTTGTTTTCCTTGGCGGCAGCGAGCATGTCGTTTTGAATGGATTGGGGGTCCTTGGAGATGGCGTCAGCACCAGCTGGGGCAACACCCTCGCCTTGTCCTTCACCGGCCAATTGAGCTTCTTGTTGAGCCTGGGCCAATCTTTGAGGGAAGTCGTCGATCTTGGCCTCGCCGAAGACGACGAAGTTACCACCGTGCGATCTGTAGACCTCTGGCTTTTCAATGGCGTAGATCTGGTTGTTCTTCTTTCTGAAGGTGACACGAGAGATGCCAGGAACTTGTTTTAGACCCAATTGGCTAATGAGTTCTCTAGCTTTTTGCTCGTTCTTGGCGAAAATGGAAACGTTGGCGTTGGCTGGAATTTCAGACATAGTTGGTACTGGTGTGGTATTACAGAAATGTGCAATTGAGTCTGTTCGGAACTGATATGTAGAGAGCACAATCGGTGAAAAATGTTCAAAGTTTTCATCTTCATTTGCCATTGTACTGTGAGCTCATTCGTATATAGCGACCAGCGTACTGCTCGTGCCAAATTACTTCAGTGTAAAAGTAGCCAAGCTCTGCCTCGGTGTATTCATTCCAGCAGATTGTTCACCAGCTAGGCCTTCACCCTTCGCAAAGCTGTCTTAATCAATCTACCGGAGCTGTTGGTTTGGCCTGTACCATTCTTTTTTAGGCGTCACGATAAAGTATAGTGATCAACCCAGAGTCTGATGTGCAATCGAGTCAGTCTAGAGGGGTCGTGAACTAGCCACACAACGGAATGCTGAGACGTGGTGACCGATATAACGACAGAGTATCTAAATGCACACATTGCGACAAAAGGATCCCTTCAAATTTCTATGACGTGAAGATTGGGAAATTCATTCTTGGCTACAGAAACAATAAAAGTGTGGGAGAGCTAGGTTCGTGTATTCTTGGAAAGTAACTGCGTTTTCTTTTCAACAGAATGAGACTGATCTTAATTATATAATCTCCCGATGCACCTTTTCGCGCTTCCTCAGACTTGTAATTAACTAGTGCTATCGAAAAGTAGAGAAAACCGATTCAGTGCTTGCTTCACACTGTGGGCAATGTCTATTCTATGCCGAACAGCCAATCCTTCCTTGATTCTTTTGTAGGTATCGAAGTTCTGTAACGAAGGCTAAAATAGCCAACTTTGAACTCACCACGAAGAGAATATCCGACAGCTGCCAAGTAGTCCTCTTCCGTCTCACTGTATGACGGAAACTGCTCTCAGTTTCCTTTTCTCGAAATATTTCGAAGTTTATCGACTGCGTCGACGATTATTGCTTCTTTCGCGCGTGTGCATATCTATCAAAGTTCCCGCAGAGTTACACAGTGGGTAAAAGATTACAAAATAATAAGCAAATGGTCATTTTCTGGGGCATCGTCCAACCTACCAAACCGCTTTGCGCAGACTCGTCATGTAGCGCTTTCTTGTGATGACGTATCACTTTGTACAATAATGTCTTGATGTCAGTATATGTCGTGATACAATTTGGCTTAATATTTACTGACAAATAGGCGAAATCACACTTAGTTCTCTCTCTCTCTACGACCAGCTATCAGCCAGCATGGAGTTTCCATTAGTTGTGCTTATACTTGAACTTCCCGCTGAGCCTATATCTGAATTGTCCTTTATACACCATCTGACACCTTGAGGTTTCCTATCCTAATTCGACATTACACAGTTTCACACCTGCCGGTGCAGAAACACCCTGAAAAAAGCGTGCTCGTATAGGTTCCGTAATATAACAAAAGGGCTTGAATTTAATCCGTAAATGCATAGATAAGTTACGGTTGTAAATCTAATGCTATAACAAAAAAATGCGAATTCTGTGGATCGAACACAGGACCTCCAGATTTCAGCGACCGAAGTGTTCTTCAGTCTGGCGCTCTCCCAACTGAGCTAAATCCGCTGTTAATAAGGACATATATTTACAAACTAAAACATACTGACAGCTACAACATGTGTGGTGAGCTTTGTAAGCCAATAGTTGAAGACGGCTGTGCGTTGAGCTACTATCCCTTCTAATCAATCCCGAAAGTCTTTGGTGAGCACCACCCCTATGGAATTCTCTCTCGAGGCACTGCTGGGTTCTCAGGAGTCGTGACGGTACACTCTGTTTATCTCATGGTGCTTGTTTTCCTTGGTGGATCAACTACCCACTTGAAGTGAGCACGTGCTACCGAACCGCTATAGTAGCTCGAACTCCGCTGTGATCCATGCTGTAAGCATCAAACTGACTTCTACTTATATAATCAGACCCACCATCAAAGATCTATGTAGCTCTAAAAATTAGCATCGAAGCTAAACGGGGTGACATTTTTCCATTCTTTTGGCGACTTTTGATTATAGTTTGGGCTTCACAATGACGCAGTTGTACTTAAGAGTCGCTTTCTTGGCCTTTGTCGTGATACGATCGGGCTTCATATATATATGATATATAGATCAAATCACGCTTAGTTCTCTTTACCTATGAATAGCTACCAACTATCAAGTAGTTTCCATTAGCTCTACCCATACATGAGTTTCCAGTTGAGCTCAGACCTCCGTTGAGAACTCCTTCTCATTCCAAAGACATTAGTCCTGATAATATATTGTGACGTTATAAACATAGATTTTCCAAAAACTTGTAGACCTCAAAGAAGGGTTTGGACTTGATGATGCCGCCAATCACATCAATCTAGATTAAAAGTAGTACTTAATTTCATATAAAACTTTTTGGCTTCAGGTGGATTCATACTGAAGTAAATATATGCTACTTTCTGTGGTTTCGGCCGTTTCCAAAGAGTAGAGGTGATCGATTTTCAAAGACAATTCAATGTTGTAAAATAATCTAAATCATCATGGTATCGCTCATGGCAATCACAAATACCATGCACCAGATGACTTATGTTACTGATTTCGTGAACAATTTTTAAATATCGGAAGTTACTCGAGTAGGGAGACACGAAACGAGGAATGGCATGAAGCACTCAACCTCACAGCCAATTACAAAGATGAACTTCTCAGCGGTCTGTTGTCAAGCACCGGCTTCTTTAGCAGGATAAATTGTGGATGATGTTGAAGATAGTTAAAAAACGTGACCTGCACCCTCATTTCAAAACAGAGAACTTGGTCTAATTCTGTAGATCAACGGTCTTTACGAGGCCCTGAAGCGATATTCACATCATAGGGCCGTCAGTCACTCAGATTAAAATAAATTAGGACCAAGATCTACAGTCTGTTTGGTGAAAAGTCACACGGCGCAATTGACCTTTCGCGCGCAATATTTGCTATAATAATCACCCGAATACAAACCTTTGTTAGCAGCATTGGAGGCGCGGAAAGGTTTTGACTATGCACAGGTTCGCTTTAGCCAAGAAAACTATCCCCCAATGGAATGGAAAACTCTCAAGAAGCTCCTGGAATGCCGCTGACAGGTTACTCGTGCGAAATTTTGGGCTAAGCTCTTCGATTTCAACACAACGTATCTCAATACGATGGAACGCTCAAAGGGATTTCTCAGGATCTCTCAGTAGTTCGAATAAAATGAAGGAGGCAAAAAATGCAAGCCACTCGAAGCTAATACATGAAAAGCTCAAAGTAGCAACCAGGGCTCCCCCACATGCCTTCAAGCTTATAACCGAAAGGGACAGACTGCTAGTGCAGGCCACGAGCATGCTCCAAAGGCTCAAAATAAACCTGAAGTGGACTCTCACGAGATCTATGAAGCCATTCAACTCTGACGACATAAGTGCTTTCATATCGTGGGTTCTCGTAAGTAACGTGATACTGATCATTTTGGGGACTACCACATTTGCATCGCTGATCATTTATTTGGTCAACACCGTTTTAGCCCAAGAGTACGTGGCGACTCAGGTCGGAAACCTTTTAACCAAAAATAGTTCGGTTTCAGTGGTTTTCGAGAATGCCATAGTACCGAATTGGTCGTCGGGCAAGATTTGTTTTAATAAGGTTTTCGTTTCTCGCAGGCCGAAGTTGTCTCACAGTTTCACAAAAGGGTCCCAAAATGAGGCTGCAGAAAGGGCCAAACTCGCTATTACGGAGCAGCTGCTTGTTAGTAGAGAGGATTTCGATGACGGTAATTACGCACAATTCGATTTAACGATGGAGAAAGTTGAAATATCATTGAGTTTCAATAAGTGGATTAATGGGAGAGGTATTCTAGACGAGGTGACCATAAACGGCTTACGTGGGGTTGTTGATAGGACTCACGTTATATGGAAGGAAAACGACGATGCTAGAAACTATCTTAATGTCCATCAACCTGGGGACTTTGAGATATCTAGGTTCGAAATGAATGATGTTTTATTTACGCTATACCAGCCTAATGGGTTCAGACCTTTTCAAGTGAGCATTTTCAACTGTGAGCTGCCGCAGCTACGAAAGCACTGGTTATTTTTTGATTTTTTGAATGCCAACAACATTAGTGGTACTTACGATAACTCATTGTTTTCGATACACAGGAAGTACAAAGCAGACGACTCCCAGATGAACAAGTCCTCTCCGTGGAAAAAAGTTACGCGTATGCGAGTGGACAACTTAAATATTGACCATTTGAATGCTGGCATTGAAGGACCATTTGGCTGGATCACGGAGGGCCAAGTGGATATGATTGGCGATATTTTGCTACCGGATAAAGATCCCGATGCCTCGCAAATGAGCGAGATGTTTACAGTCATCGGACAGCGTTTGCTTAAAGAGGCTCGTCGCCATTCGTCGATCTTACTCCCAGAACCATTTCAGCTTCCGCAACAGAAAAATATTGACCCACAGCAGTATTTTATCATGGACTACTTCTTAAGGCTTCACAATGTTACAGCAGAAGTCCCGCTCTTTGACAATGCTTTGAGTTACATCAATAGCGCGCTGATAAGACCCATTGTTGGTTACATTAACTCTAGAAGGACCTATATTCCTATTAGATGTCAAGTTGTCAAAGATTTGTCAGATTTTGAAGGGTCCTGGACAATATACGACTGCAAATTAATGGATGACCTTAGTGCTGAGGTTTATGATGCTTTCGCGGATTACGTGGCGGACGATGATCGTAAGTCACTTCGTTTGAAGAGGATTGGGTTTTGGTCTCTACAGCTGATGGCTCAGCTGGTCTTACTGAGTTTGGGATCGATCGCTTGAACTGGCAATTTCTGTGGCCCAAGGGTGTGATCAGCTACTCAGGAAATATCACCATGTATGTGGCTACTCTGTCCTCCAAGTGCTGTCCACTTGACTGACGTTGCAGTGCAAGAGATGCAGTCTATGTAAATACATTGATGAGTGGCACCCGCCTGTATCTTTTATCTGAACAACGTATTTTATTGCATATACGGAGTAACGATTCATCTGAAAGAGGTCGACAACTCTAAGCCTTGCACAATGTAGATAGAAGTAAAGAGGTACGATCTGTCTCAAAATAATATTAGGATGGGCAAGGTTAAATAAGTGCATTGGGGTGATGGATTATCAACATCGTTATTTCCCGCTGACTACGACAAATGCCTATTTTACTAATGGGAATATACGAAGGACCAATGCTGAATGCTTGTTTGATACACTGCACTATTATTTTCTAGTACTTTGTTGTCCCGCTAGGAAAGCTCTTAAAAAGTCAGTACTCATACATAAACGTGTGATCCAGCATAAGCAAAAGATCAAAGAATTGAGATAGCTTGGACTCGGAATTAGACATCGTCAACCTGGGCTGCTAATCCTCTCGCAAAGGCTGAAGAAAATTCAGACCCAACTGAAAAATACAGGTTTTCTAAGTGTTGACTTGACTTGACTCTTATGACAAGGTACCAGCGTGGCAGGTCATGAAAGCCATGCGTGAGGTCAGTAAAAGCATCTTTCCGTGTACAAGAATAAAGTCTCAAGTGTGGGAATAATTCTCAGTCCACACCCCCATACCCAGCAATACAATTGCGATGCGAGCTGGCCTCAATCATGAGAAAAGGAGTCAGCGCACTAGAATTTGAGTACGAACTATATCATGTGTGGGATTATTCCTCCTTGATGTCTGCCCTACATGAAAGAGGTTTGATTATCTCCCACCCGGTTGTCTTCAACAAGGTATATCCTATCTTCCTCCCACTTATTCCTGCCAAAAATGGTCTTCTATGGGGGGCTAACCCAAGAAGGTGTGGAAATACCCTGGTGGTCACTTCCCGTTGACAGAATATCTCTTTTGCGGAAGACAAACTGCTTGAATGTAGTGAGATTCATTGTAACATTGAGTGAGCCATTGGATCTAATGGACCTATAAAAGTCAGGAAAAGGATGGGTAGATCTTAGACGCTGGGCTTGATTGGGGACTAATTCACTTTATTAAGTGTTCAGAGTTCACATTTCCGCGACTCAAATTTTAGAATGGCGCTTTGAAACAGGGAATTAAGAGAGAAGCGCTCCTAGTTCTGCAGAACTAAAGAAACAGCAGCGGGCTAAGAAGTGTGGGTGAATACTCCTTCCAGACTCCAGCCTTACCACGTCCCTGAGCAGAGCCCAGAAATGGTAGTCATGTTACACGGGAGCGTCGTTCCTATGTCTTCTGTAGTAGAAAAGGTGCGAACTTGGGCGTCCCACAAAGCACAACTGATCAAAGGGTAAAGGCGTCTGTGACCAACACAGCGGTTTGCTGATTCAATATGCATGATCGTTCTTCTTTACAAAGCAGGCTTCTATTTGGCATACCCGTGGCGCTCGTCGCAGGCCTTTTAACCCAACTTCAAGTCCCAATTCCAACATGGCTTCATTTGACCGACCACGAAAGACCGCCAGTGAGCAGTGCCATTTCTCCCAAACATATGAACTCCTATGACCTTGTCCACATATGCCACTGTCCAGAGCGCTCCCTTGAGTGGCGTGATGTATCTAGGTTTTTACTGCATCAACTACACTTCGTAACGACTGATTGGGCATCGTTAGCCATGAATCTGCTCTTTGCTTTGAACGTGCTAATGTGGATTGCGCAGTGGTTGGCAAGCTGGAAAAAGGCCAAGAACCTTTTGCATGAGGAGCCAACAGCGACCACCCTGGATAGCACTTTCCAAGATGAACGTTGCGCCGCACTGTACACCGCCAAAGAAAGAGCTCTGCTGCAGTTTCAAAAACTGAATTCGCAGCCGCCTCATTTTGTTTATGGATTCGAGGATCCTTGGGACTGCGATCCGGATGAGTTGCTACCTCCACTACGAAGCAAGGGTACAGAAAGCGTGGAAACACTGCATCCGAGCTCAAGGCCGAAATCCTTATCCTCAACCCAGACACCAATTACTGGAAAAACGTTGGGAAAAGCCGTTCCAACCGGTGCAAACACAAACCAGAACCCCGCCATGAATGTGCATTCTTCGAGTATCCGTACAGTGGTTTCCCGTTCATCACTTACGCCTGACCGCCACTCCGAACCGCCTATCAAGCCGTCATGTCACACGTCTTCCAAATTGAAATTCCATGCCGTGACAGTTCCTAGCACTCCTATTCACCTAGAGCGATCCAGCCCCGAGAAAAAACCATTGGTTTCTACAGTGGAACAGTCCACCGAATTGTCTTTACCGGAATCTCTTGCGGCATCGCAGGACTCGTCATCAACAAGTTCTCATGCGAAAAATCAAACTCTAACCCCCGAAAACTTACCTCTATCATTTCACCAGCCCTCGCCTGCTAAGTCTACTATCTTGAAGACAGAACTGACTCAAGAGCAAGTCTACTCTCAACCATTTATCTACTGAGCATTTTAAGGTCATCAAGTTCCTCGTGATCTGCACAGGCCGGCACTAAAATTTTTGGTTCATTTCAGCTGAGTAGCGGAAAGGCTAATGGAAAAAAATACGGTGAGATGAACTCATCTCTTGATCTTCACACATTTGATCTTGAGAAATCATACTCAAACCCGAGCATGGATCCTTCAGAATTATGGCAGTGTTTTGCCCGGACTTTAGACCATGATCACAACGTTCGTTCTCAAGCGGAAGCTCAACTGAAACTTGCGGGAAAAGCTCCAGGATTTCTGGGAGCATGTCTGGACATCATATCCGCGGCTGATATACCAGAAAATATCAAATTATCGGCATCCTTGTACTTCAAGAACAAGATTTTGTACGGATGGAGTGACAGACAGAGCAGCAGAAACGAGCTCCTGGACGTTGTGGTGGACAACGACGAAAAGCCAGTAGTCAAAGATATGTTTGTGAAAGCGTTGCTGCAATCGTCAATCTACTCTCCCAATTGCATTAGATTACTACAACCAGCTCTTAGAACGATCGTCTCGGAGGATTATCCGAAGAAGCAGTGGAATTCGCTTCTGGAAAGTTCGTTCGAGCTGTTGGGGTCCAATGACGTGAATTCGGCTCATGTTGGACTGCTGTGCCTGAGTGAGGTGTTCAGAACCTTCAGGTGGAAAGAAAATGACTCTAGACAAGACTTGGAACACATGATCATGCAGCACTTTCCTCCGCTGCTTGAATTTACATCTACCACGCTTTTGGATGGCGGCAAAAACATCGATAACCCAAAAATTGGAGACATGGTGAAGCTGGTTTTGAAAATTTACAAGTTTGTAACATACCACGACTTGCCCTTCACCCTACAACGGCCCGAAAGCTTTATTCCGTGGGCTAATTTGCATGTTGCAATCATTCAGCAACCATTGTCAACTCAAACCATTGCGTCTCTCGAACCTAACAGTCGAAAGGTTCAACCCTGGGTAAAGGCCAAGAAGTGGGCCTACGCCAATATGTCAAGACTTTTTCAAAGGTACGCATCGACTTCATTGTCGCGGAAGTTTGCGTATGATGACTTTAAGATGCTGTTTTTACAAGAGTTTTTACCACAGCTACTGCAGCTATATTTTCAGCAAATTGAGCAATGGAGTAGCGGATCTGTGTGGCTGAGCGACGAGGCCATTCATCATATCTTAGGCTTTTTTGAGCAAGCTGTTGTTCAAAAAGCTACATGGCCTTTGATCAAACCTTACTACTCTATAATTTTGGAGCATGTAATTTTCCCATTGCTCTGCCCAACAGAGGATACGCTAGAGACATTTGACTCTGACCCTCAAGAATATATTCACAGAAATCTCGAAACTTGGGATGATGACTATTCTCCTGACTTTGCAGCCCTATCGTTGCTTTCTACCTGCGTGGCTAAACGCGGTAAATCCACATTGCAACCAACTGTGTATTTTGTGACCGAAAAACTGAACAATGGCATAACGAATCCTGCCAAAATATTTGAATGCGAGTCTTCTTTGAGAATTCTTTCGAATATTTTGGATCGCTTATGCCACAAAAGCTCTCCATTTGTGAACGACGTGGAAAACTTACTTGGATCACTTGTTTTTCCTTTCTTCCAGTCTTCCCATCAGTTTTTGAAAGCTCGTGTATGCGAAATATGTTCTAAGCTGGGAGATCAGCAGTTTAAAAGTGAAAAGACTCTTCAGACCATTTACAATGGTATAATTACATGTTTCATGGAGGACAACGACTGCTTACCAGTAGAGCTACTTGCGGCTCTCGCGGTTCAGGCGTTTATCCACGTTCCTGAATTTCAGGGTCCAATATCCTCGAGTGTTGTGCCAATGACACAGAAACTACTCCGCATTTCTAATGAAATTGAGTCTGATGCTGTGTCTGGTGTCTTACAGGAGTTTGTAGAGTGTTTTTCTGAGCAGCTACAACCCTTTGGTATTGAACTCATGAACGATTTGGTCCAGCAGTTTTTGAAGTTGGCCATAGAGCTCAACGACTCGTCAAATTTTGACATCAATGACATCAACGACTATAACAATGTACCTGATGATACGGATAAGCAGATGGCCGCTCTTGGTATACTGTCGACATCAATTTCGATCTTACTCTCATTCGAAAACTCTCACGAAATTGTGAAGAATCTTGAACAATCATTTTACCCCGCAGCAGAGTTTATACTGAAGAATGGTATGGAGGATTTTTATCGCGAAGTATGCGAGTTTTTGGAAAACTCCACTTTTCTGCTCAGAGATGTTACACCTTTTTCGTGGAAGATACTAGAGCTGATTGGCGAGTGTAACAGAAAGGAGGAAAGCATGGTAGCATTTTACTTGGAAGACTTCATGCTTGCTTTTAACAACTATTTGGTTTATGGACAAGAAGAACTGCGTAAGAATTCTTTCTATTCGAATATCTTATTCGAAGTTTATTGCAAAGCTGTCGCCAACGAAGACAACACGCTCGATGATATGGTACATATATTCGAATTATCGCAGAAAATAGTGCTTGCTCTCGGTTCAAGTACGAATAATGTACTTTATGAGAAGCTGCTGGGGGACGCATTAACATCCATCAAAAATGAGGCAAACGATCTAAAGAAGAACATAACGTTTGCAGTCACTTCTTTCAACGTGGTGATTGCCTGCTTCGCTTGCGATCCTTGGGTCACATTACAGTATATGATCTCCCAGAGCGCTCTGGAGTCGTTCATTAGCTTGTGGTTTGAATATCTCATTCCCAACTACAAGCGGGTATACGATATCAAGTTATCTATCATGGCTCTTTTGAGCATTGTTAGCGATGTGGCCGCTGCCGACATCCAGGCCATATCTTTTGAAGTCGTAGTGACCAAGTCAAGCTCTTTGATTATCAGTCTGTTGACCGTTTTTCCCCAGGCCCTGAAGACGCTTGAAGAGAAGCGCAAAACATACTCTGCAGAAGAGTTTGGCCGCAACTCTGCAGAGGACGCCGATTGGCAAGATTTCCAAGACTACGGCGATGGAGGCGACGACGAAGATGAAGAAGATGATTTCGAGGGCAATGAGGAGCAATACCTCGAACTCTTAAATAAGCGAGCTCAGGGCCTTGAGTTTGTCGACGGAAACACTGATATTTTTGATAGCGGCGACAGTTTCGAGGACCTTGAAGAAGATCCTCTCTCTGGCTCTGTTATTGACAATGTTAACGTTTATCAAGTCCTTAACTCAGTTCTGACATCTCTGCAGAGCGACGAAGCCAAGTACCGAATGTTTACGGCCGAATGGTCGCCAGAAGATCAAAAAACCTACTCGGGTCTAATGAATCTTTAAGTTCTCGAGATCAAGGATGAAATAAGCTTGGGCCAACACAATCTGAGTGCTCTCTCAAGGTTTTGATGATCGATTTACTGCTGCTCGCCATGTGTCGATAATCCATGGTGATCTTTTGCGGGTAACATTTTCTTATAGAAAATTTTCAATATTGAAAAATTCAATATACAACCATCAGTTCGCTCATCTGAGCTCATCGCCAACAGCTATAATTGAAGAGGTTAGCCAGAGAAAGGTTTCAGCCTCTTGGTTTATTGGCCTACCATGATTTCCGATAGCGACATCATTGCTACCTTCTCTCCAGATTCACAGACGTTTGCCTTCAGATCGAATGGGCTACAAAGAAAATATGTGGACTTGTATCCATTGAGCGAGGCAAGCGATTACAAGGTGACAAGTTCACTTGTCAATCACATCGACTATGAGAGTGGAGACTTGAAGCTAGAGGACTTGAAGTTTACGACATGGTGCTTGAGCAGCGTCGAAAAAAACGAATTATTTTCGGGGAAAACGAAACGTAGATATTCCGAGAGTGAAGTGGATGGCAAGCTAACCGAGGCCTACTTCGTCAATGCTTTTAGCGGTGGAAAAATAGTTGTGTTTTCTACCTCAGGGAGTGAAATCGCCAATATCATTCAGAATAAGCGCGAGATTCTTGGCATGGAAGCTTCAGGCGCCTCAATATGGATCGTGGATGATGAAAAAGTTGTGAAACAGTTCGATTACAAGTCTTCAAAACCTTCAAAGACCTTTCACCTCGTGGACGGCAAGTCTGACGAGATTACCAATTTTCAAGTACTGGAGTGGCAAGACAAAGTACTACTCGCTGTGTTCACGCCGACGAACCTTTATATTGTGGATCCTTCTAAGAGGCGACCTTCCACGGTTGTTAATATGGATCTTCCTAATGGCAGGTGTTGCGTTCTGGGATCTGACAGTCAGTTAGTGGTCGCCGGGATGGAAGGTATTCACATTGTTGAATTGCAAAGTGGCAAATCCGTGTCTAAGTGGCCTTTTCAGGCAACAAAACTAAAGTATCTGAACGGAAGAGTGTATGCGCTATCTGTTGAAGGTTTTGTGTCTGTATTCCAAGTAGGAGAGCAAAAAGAAATTTGCTCGATCCAATGTCAGCACTCTGAAATTCTCCAATTCACTTTTGTGAAGTCTAGCATAATCATCGCATGGCTCAATGTAAACGAGCCCAAATTCGAACATATAACGACCGAACAAATTGGTCACAACAAAGAAATCATCTTTCGCCAAGAGGAGGAGGTTGTTTCAGCGTCAACTATAGACACCGGCGTCGAACCCACCGCGCTCTTGAAGAAAGACTTGCTCAAAGTAGGTCAGTCAGGGGATGTTCACGAAGATATCGTGAGTGTGTTTCTTCAACAACTGGACGGAAAGGACAACGAATCCACTTTGCTCCAAACACTAAGCTCAGACTTGTGGACTGATCGGCAAATTAAAGAAATGGTCAATGGTAGACTTAGCGACGACCATATCAATAAAATCTTCGCCGTTATATCAAACGAAATTGCGCGCAATGCCTGGGCAACTCTCCCTTCCTGTGCCCTTTGGTTCAAGTGGCTGCTTACGCTTCGTCATGGAACCGTAATTAACGCTAGCGACAGTCGTTCAAGCAAGAAGGCGAAACAGATTCGGGCATCTTTGAGAGCGAGCAGCGACGTTTATTCTTTGTTATTGTCGATGAAAGGCAAACTCGAAATGTTAAGCGAGCAAGCTAAACTTCGGGAGGAGTTTGCCAGTATGTCACTCGATTCTAAGGCCTTGGACGGCGGTATCAACGGTATAGAGGGTGACCAACAGGCCGTGGAACCGATCTACGTCAACGGGGAAGGTGACGAATATGTCGATGCTCTAGACTATGCTGGCTCGGCAACTAAGGTCAGCAGTGACAAGTAATTTTGCATCCATACAGCTTAACTGTCTTGGTAAACCGGATTGATTCATGGCAGCTCACTGTAACACTCCCCTGTACATTAAATATAAGAGCTACATATCACCATTTAAAGTAGTTTGAGATCGATTCACGGTCTTACGAATAATATTTTGGATTTCGTTTCCTCTAGTCAAATGTTTCCATGCCTCTTCCGCTGAGTATAAAATTTTTCGAGCGATGAGCATCAAATCTCGGCGTCAAAAAAATATGTCAATCTGTTAACTAGACACACCAACCAACCATACTTCAAGCTTGGCGAGTTATACTCTGGAATAGTTTCAAAATGGGTGGAACTGTCGAAGATGTTCAGAAAATGTATATTTCTTACAATAATATCCACAAATGCTGTCAAAGAGTGGCTGCTGGCATCATGGCCAAAGGAGAGAGACCAGATGTCATTATCGCCATTACAGGTGGGGGAATGATCCCCGCCAGAATCATTAGATCGTTTTTGAAGAGCCGCGGTCAAAAGAACATCCCCATCCAGGCCATCGGACTGTCCCTGTACGAAGACATGGGCCTCGACGACCAGGTTGAGTCGATCGGAAAAGAGGTCATCAGAACGCAATGGCTCGACTTTGGCTCTCTGGAACAACATTTTGATTCCCTCATTGGTAAACGGGTGCTTATTGTCGACGAAGTCGACGACACCAGAACTACTCTCCACTACGCGGTTACTGAGTTGGAACAAGAGGTGAGAAGTCAACAAATTAAATTAAACAGAATCGAGGAGAAGACCATTTTCTCTATTTTCGTGCTTCACAACAAAGATAAACCCAAGAAGGCGTCCTTGCCTGAGGAGATGATGAGCGAGGATCGTTACCTGGCGGCGGAGACGGTTCCTGATGTATGGCTGTGCTATCCATGGGAGGCCATGGACATTGAAGAGCACACCGAGCTTGCCATCAAACAGGGGAATAACTGATTGTTTCCACGCGTCCCATCATTGTATAATGAACTCTAGTAAATTTAATTGTCTCATCACCTTACCTGTTCTTGCAATTCTACCATTTGCTGAACTTGCATTTGCATCATCTCCTTCAAATCATCAACGTCGTTTTCTAATTCGTCGACGCGCTCTGTACGTTCCTTCAAAAGCTTTGTGGTCGCTTCCAACTCTTCCTCCAACTTTTTTGCGCGCTCGCAAGATTCTTTGAGTTGGCCCTTTACTTCAGTCGCCTTTTCATTCTCCTCCATAAGTTGGAAGATCGTATTGTTAACCTCCTGTTTTTCTTTCCAAAGCCTATCGTGCGATGCCTGAAGTGACGAAAGTTCCGTCTCAAGTCTCCTAATTTGACCACCTAGCCTTCCTACCATTTGAGCGTTCAACTGAGTACTTTGCTGACTTTGAGTTAAGTTTCGCTGTTGCTGTGAAGACGCGTAATCTAGCGAAGCCATACTACTCTTCCTCAAGAACATTGGCGACTCAGCTCCATCACCGGGCAGCAGCTCATCTATATCAAATGGATACTTATTGCTGGTCACTTCTGCTTCTTCAGCGTACGAACTGTCCATATTTTGCAAGTTTTGCAGCTCCCATTTAGATATTTTGTCGAGATTCTCCTGAACTCCCATAAAAGGCTCTTTGTTTTCATTGGTCACAGAAGCCACCTCCGACGTCGCATTTGATTGAGACACTGGGTTTATCAAACGAGATTCAAGTTCACCTTTACTAATCCTAAACTTCTCTTGCCAGAGCTTAGCATCATCTCGAGCATTATCAAGGTTGTCGGTTAGTGTCGAAACTTCTTTGTTGAGAGCAGCTATCTCCTCAGTCAAGAGCTTCTGCTTTTGTTCCAACTCGTGAAGGCGAGGCCGCAAGTGATTATTCTCATCTAAGGTGGCAGCGAGCTGACGATCCGATGCATGGTGGGACTCTTGCAGTTCCTCGTACTTCCTTTCGGAATCCACCAGTTTTCGTCGCAATGCAGATTCCATTTTGGCCGCTTCATCGGCGCTAACTTCAAGACGAGCTTTAAGTTCCTTAATTTGTGTCATTAAATCATTTTGTGTGCTCGAAACCAGCTGGTCAGAGTTTTTCGGACTCTTACTTAACAAAATCCTTAGCTCTTCCAACGATAGCTCTAGTCTCGAGATTTCCCCTTTTGAAGTCTCACTCAACTCTTCATACTTCATTGTTGACTTCATGTTGAGAGTCTCGAGTTGGTCGCGGAGCCGCTGTTTTTGCAACTCCAAGGATTTATTTGTTTCTTGTGCCATCTCTAGTTCTCTCTGCACTGTAGCTAACTCTCCATACTTTAATTTATCATGGCTAGCCCTAGCGTCGTTGCGTTCTTTAGTGAGATTTTCGCTTATTTCTATCGATTTGTTGAATCTGGAAGTCAAATCTTTGAGCTCAGATGACAAAGCACCCAATTTTTGTTTCCCTTCATCGAGCTCCTTCTTGCAGCGCTGCGACTCAAATTCTGTGTTGTTAAGCTTCTCTCTTAGGCTCTTTATCGTTGTAGTATGTCGCAATTCCAATTTCGATAAACTTTCACCTTCTGCCCGGAGTTCGCCTATAATGGAATCTTTTTCCTTGATTAATTTGATTAGACTGCTGTCACTGTGCTCTTTTTGTACTTGGCTTTTCTCGTGGGGCCTCTCACTTTTGGCTTCTCGAACAAGATGAGGCTTCAAAGCCTGAAGTAACTCTAGAACGGTCATCTTGTCGTAATTCGACGGCAAGATATCGGCGATGTCCTCTATACCTTCAACCGGGCCTGTTGCATCATCATTTCCACCGAACGTTTCCTTGGACGTCCCGTCACCTGCCTTTAAATTTGATTCTTCGTCATCAACGTTGGTTTCAAGCCCAACTGTTAGTGGCGATGGAGAGTCCAGCTTTTTACCCTTTTTCCGAGACTTGGCTCGCGCGGCCAATGAGAGTCTCTCCTCGATGGAGAGCTTCTTGCTACTATTAGTAGTCATTGACTCGAAGCGTAGTCGTTAGGTAAAAGACTTTTGGACCGGTCTTATACCACTGTGTAAACTAAGCTCTCTAATCTCTGATCAAAACCGTTAGCATCACAATTAATTAACAATGTGATGATTGAGATTCGAACTCAAGATCAATTGAAGATAAATATATCTGACCATCACGCCAAATTAGGGGGACGCGCAGAACAATTAGTCTCAGAGACAGTATCCCGGTCACATGACCTGAGGGTAGTATTCTAGCTGTCCTCACTTTAGAATGATTCTGTCGATATCCCAGCACTGATGACCGCACTGAAGTGGTTAGTGCTGGAATTACCTTGTTGAGATTATCGCGCCGTGCTAACAGAGCTCGTTTGTTGTCAATCAAAATCGAACAGAATTCAAGGCTACTTTGTACACAGACCGGGAAAATGCAAATACTACCGTCGTGCTGAAGGACTGTAAGCCATTCCAAACTGAGTAGCCGAGATCGACCATAGAATTCATTCTTGGCGGGGCGCGCCAAAACGTCACTTCTGGCAGTTTAGTGGTGGCATACTTTTTGGTCGAATGGCTAGTTTCTATTTGAAACAAGCAAAATACTTACATGAATAATGAGAACGTCAGCTGTCCACATCAAGCCGTAGTAGCCAGTTAGTAAACTTCCATTTCCTCGTCTCTGCTGTCATACAAATAGTCCAGCAGAAATCTGTCATCCACGTATACAGTGACTGACAAATTTCGATGCTCATCGCCAGGCATAGCGGAAAATCAAAAACACACTCTCTACCACTGAACCGCAGCACAAGTCTTATATACTAGATCACCCATCTTGGTCATTTAACCGCATGATGGACCAAGAATTTCCATTATCGAAGGTCGCGAAGACTTTGGAGTCTGCCTCTGGGTACGAATTTCAAGTTCTTCTGAAGACAATCTCGTCGCCCAAGTACGCTGACGAAAAACTTTTGAAATCTGATTTGGCAGTGCTTGTGGCCAAGATCCTGAAGCTGTTGCGTTCTAGTGACGATTATGAGGTTTGGAGAGGCTGCCATCTCGCAGACGTTCTCTGCGCATATAATCCGGTTGTTTTGTGCTCTCAAGCAAACGTCCTCCTTACAGCTCTTTTCAACAAACTAGAACAAAAAGCAGGCTATTATAGAACTACTGTTTCGACTCCTCAGGGAAAAGTTTTGTTGAGCACATTGGTGAGGTCGGTCGATATTTTAATGGATTTAATACGGGGAAAACCTGCTCTAACTCGTGAAGTCCTCACTCCACGGCTACCAGCAATCATATCCATTCTCGTAACGCTATCTCAATTCGAACCAGCACTGTGCTGCCCCATTTTGAAGAAGCTATTAAGAAAGAACCCTACTACATTCAGGCCTCACGTCAACAAATTCAAAAATGTTCTTGTAAACTTGATGGTAAAGGACTATCATCATTTCGATGCTGCTACAAGAAGAAGCATAGTCGACAATTATGCTCTGTTGAATTTAGTAAAACAAAACACCGGTCCTAAAGACGAAAGCAAGAGCCACCAAAAGTCATTTGCAGATGAACAGTGGAGACACGGCTTTATGGCTGTTCTGTACAGCTTCAAGCCAATTGTCAATCTTTGTGGTGAAATTCTGGATTTTAGTGCTGATAGAGATATGCAGGGCCTAATTCAAAGATTACCGTTCCCCAGCAACGAGAAGTTTGAAGAATTTCTGCCCTCAGTGAATGTGGATCTGAACAAGCCATTAACTTTGTGGGCAATTGCCGAGAGGGTTGGTCTTTTGTGTGATCTGACAGCTGCGTTTATTACCCAGCCAACCCAGTTCCGCATCAGAATTCCTTTTGGGGGATTGGTCGCTATCACAGAAGCTCTTTTAAGTCTTACTACCAATTACTTGCCTTTACAACGCACTTTACGTCGGGATGCGGAGCTCACCTCAACAGTTCGGATGTTTTTACCGACACTACAAGCTAGTGCTATCTCCTTACTTGGTCAAATTTCTAAAACGTATGGCAAGAATGTCCTTTCCTACACCACTTCAATCTTATCCTCGCTTGAACTTTTCATCCCGACAGGAAAAGGCTCTACAGTGATTGATTTTGACAAAGTTGATACTCTAAGGAGCTCATTTTTTGATCTTTTCGGTGTTGTTGACCTATTTTTGGCCCACCTCGGACATTCATTCAGCGAGACCACCTTGTTCAGTAAACTTGTCAGCATCGCATTACATTTGACTAGAGACTCAATGCCATTGAAGTACATATTTCAACAGCATAATACAACTAACAACAAAAATATGCCAAAATCTAAGAAAGCCGCCAAGCAAAACACAGGGTCAATGTCGGATGTGTATTCACACCCTCTGTCCTTCGTCAATAAAAATTCTCTGAGAAGCTTTGATCTTTTGAATAGTTTTCTCACAAGAATTGTATTGAATTTGAAACTGCCCTCAGCAGAACAAATCAAAATTACAAAATATGCCATCACTACTGCCGTTAAACTGCAAAAGGAGCTTGGCCATCTTCCCGAGACTTTTGTAAGTCTGTTGCGTGCTATAGTAGTACATCCCGGTTACGAAAAAATATCCATTCTTCCAATTGCTGTCAATCTCGTTAAGACTCAGGGCGACGAACTTTTTGACATCTTTTGCAACCCAAGGTTGCCGTTTGGATCGATTCAAACAACCCGGAAAGAGGAGGCATCAACAGATTATGAAGATGCCGAAGTTCATGGCCCTGAAAGTTTGAAGACGAATGACCCTGCCATGCTAGAGCCATCTACTGGCTCGGAAGACATAGCAGAGGAGGTTGAACTTGAGGGAACAAAGAAACTTGGGCAATTTGAAGCCTCGAGAACTAGCATGGCTGCCAACATTGAGCGCATTGCTAAAGAAGAGCCCGGAAAAATCATGAGAAAAAGGGCAACTGAAGTTGAAGTACATGGTCCTGAAACTAAAATCCATAAGACAGACACTGACGTGGGCATCGAAGTCGATGAGATTAAAGAGCCCAATAGCACAGGGGTAACGCTTATTCCCGTAGAAGTCCAAGAGGAAAAGGAAGTGATTATAGACGTCCACGAAAGTGACGGCGATGACGGCGACGACGGCTCTGACTTTGAAATACCGGCCATAGATCTCAGTGACGATGACGAGTGAACCTACCCACATCAAAACTCTTCCGAAAAATCCTGGAGTTTGACAGTGGCTCCGTCTTCCGATGTACTTACCAATTTAGCCTTAAGTAAAAGTCGATATAGTCCGGACGACGGTCCTTGGAAGTTCTTCATATAAACCACTCCACTTTTCTTTATCATGTGCGTTAGTGTGGCACGCATTTCACTGGCGATCGCCTGCGGATCTGCATCTGGTGGACACAGGTCTACGGCAACAAATCTCCCCACGAGAAGATTAAGGATGTCCCACAGCTTGTTATTTTGAGTTTCGATCGAGTCGGTAATCTCTGGTCGAGCATCATTTTCATCGTTCGAGGCCCTCTGATGACGCATCTCGCCTGTTAACCTCGCACTCAAGAGCTCCAATAAGGTGGCCAGTCCCTGGTTAAGAGACTCTTGTATCTCAAGCACCTGTTGCAGCATCGTGAGCGACTGGGACTCATTGGACTCCAAGAACTGCCGATTTAAATTCAAACGGTTTCTGTTCTCGCAGAACGCGAGACTCACACCCACTGGGTCTGACCTATCTGGGAAGAACATGGGGCGTTTCAAGAACTCTTCCCAGAGCTTTGGTTCTTCATTTGAACCACTGTCTGGCTCCCTTTCCCTCAATTCTGCTAACAGCTCTGTCGTCTGCTGAAGAAAGTACTCTTTATTTTCAATTTCTCGGATCAAACTCCGTTTGTAAATAGCTAGCTGGCCCTCATCATCCATAACCTCTATTACAGCGTTCAGTCGAAGAATAGGCCTCGAAATGGCTCCTTGACTCTGTCGATTGATGTCCAATTGAGCATTATTATTGATGAATTGGGTGATTGATGTGTTTGTATCCGTATACAGTGCCAATAATACGTATTAAATTAACATTTGAACGATACAACGAGTATACCGTCCAAAGTCTATGACTCTGAGCCCCAGTCCTGCGAAAACATACCTAGTCCGCTTGTCACCAAAAATGTCTTCAATCACTCAAAATGATTTAGCCAGCCTTGACGATGGCTCCAAGAAAGAGATCATGAACTTCTTAGAATCTGAAAACTCCAAACAGAAAGTTCAAATGTCAATTCATCAATTCACCAATGTTTGCTTCAAACAATGCGCTACCAATGTGAATAACGGCAATCTAAGCTCTCAAGAAGAAGGTTGTTTGAAAAACTGCGTCAATAGGTTTTTGGATACCAATATCCGTATTGTCAAGGGCCTGCAGAGCATCCAGTAGGTTTGCCCACAACCTGGGTCATGTAAATATATATATGTTAATCGTTTTTCTCTGCATCAGTGCAACGACGTCTAATAAGCAACTGGATTGGGCTTGAGTTGCTGTTCCTTGCGATAATCAAATATTGAGTTTGCCCCACGAAAGCTTTCCACTCAGTTGTTCTCGTTCTTCTTGTTCCCACTCGCACCCTCTAGACTTCAGCAGAAGCACAAATTCATGAAAAGATAACGCAGTTTTATCGTCGAGAGTTCCTTCTGAATGGCACTTCTCACTCAAGATTAATACACAGCCCAAGAAGTCATACTTGTGAGCGGCCACTCGCTCTTCGGGGCAAGCTATCACGACTTTTGTCAAAGTTGCTGTTATTTGGTGTACTAGTGGCATGAACAGCGTAACAAAGGCGTTGCGGACCAAGTGCTCGCCTATAACGTAGATCAATCGTTGCATATGCGCCACCGACTTGGGCCCTAAAATATCAATCGTGGAGTCTACGATTTTCAAGACCTTAACCGTCAAATCTGTATACTCCACTGCTATGCGAGGAAGTGTTGCCTGAAGTATGGTCTCAGATAGAAATTTATGGACAAATCGGTGATACTGAGTGGGATCGTAAGCAAATTGCACTTGGTACAAGGCAAGAAGCGTGGAGGACACAGTTTCCCAGATTTTCCCGCTAAGCTCAGGGTCAGTTGACGGTGGGAAATGATACCAGAGGGATAGAAGTATCGGCTCGAAGAGTTTGAAAAGACCAGATCCCGCGAAGTTGAATTGCGCTGTATGGGTCACGTCAACCGTTTGTGTCAAGAACTGTCGCAGCAAAACAACGCCTTGCAGTTTGATACCCTCCAGCTCCGACGTATCGTCCAATATATTCAAAATACCAGGCGTTATCCACCACAAATTCGACGATATCTCGCCATGCTCAAGTTGCCCAAGAACGACATAAAATAACGGTATGGATCTCTTCCCACCTTGTGCGGCCCATTCTGATCTCACTTTATCGTCTGTAAAACTGAAACCCCTCTGTGGTTTGAGCATAAACGTCTCTTCAGACTTGAGCCTCCCCTGCGCAGAGATTTTCTCGCGTTTTATCTGCATAAGCATGGCTCGCAAATCGTGCACAATTGTAGAGAGGCGCTCTTTATTAGTAGCCCTTTTAATATCATCAAGAACCTTTTTCCTTAGCTCAATCGTATAGGTAGAGTTCAAACAGTAGTAGCTCAAGCATTTCACAGTATTGACGACCTCCTCTTCTGTTAAATCATTATGATGGCTAGCCAAGCTACTGGATGCTTCCAAAAGCTCTTCTGTCGAGGGTAAAAATTCGTACGAATCTTGAACACCACATCTAAACTTGTGGAGCTTTTGAATGGGCTCCATTGAAGTTAGGATTTATTTTATAAGTTGGTGAGTATTTCTAAGTATCAACCAAGCGATGAGATGATGATATTAACCTTTAGAATATTTAAAATAATACAAATGATATGTCCACTTGAACCAACGTAATCAGTACTATCGCGCCGACTAGCGAGTAAACGTATCTGATGTTCAGGCCTAGAATTAGCTCGCTGGCTAGATTTAAGAGAGCTGTTCATCAGTTTAAAATTTCAGATGAGGTGAAAGATGCCTTATCAACAGGTAAGCCTGTTGTGTCATTGGAATCCACAATTATCACACATGGATTGCCATATCCACAGAATCTGGAAATGGCCAGAAGCGTGGAATCGAAAATTCGGGAACATGGTGCAATTCCGGCGACAATCGCATTCATGGACGGTACACCCAAAGTGGGCATCGAATCGTGGGAAATAGAAAGATTGGCCAACGCTGCTGGATCTGGCAACATCAACAAGGTGTCTAGAAGAGATATGGCATACACAATGGCCAATAAACTTTTGGGAGGCACCACCATTTCGAGCACTATGATTCTTTCACAGTTGGCGGGAATCAAGGTTTTCGCTACAGGCGGTTTGGGCGGGGTTCACAGGGGAGCGGAAGTGACAATGGACGTTAGTGCTGATCTCGAGGAACTGGGTAGAACACCCGTAGCAGTGGTATGTGCTGGTCCGAAGGCGATCTTGGATATCGAGAAAACAATGGAGTATCTCGAAACTAAAGGTTGTTTGGTTGCGACCATGGGAACACCTGGATCTAACGTGCCGGGATTTTATACCAGAGACTCGGGTGTGAAGTCACCATACAACTTCGAAACTTTTGAGCAAGCTGCTCAAATAATACATGCCGGCAGGCAGCTGGGCCTCGACTCCGGTTATCTAATGTGTATCCCACCTCCTGTACAAGTAGCACTAGACGATACCCTCATAAGTGGGATTATAGAGGGGGCTACATCCAAAGCCAACAACCTAGGTATTCGAGGCAAAGAACTGACACCTTTTCTGCTAAGCGAAATTGCGCGTGAAACCCAGGGTGCCTCAGTTACAAGCAACATACAATTTGTATTGAACAATGCTCGTGCTGGTGCTCATATCGCCTCGGCCCTTTCAAGATTGAAAAATCAAGGTCATCCTTACAGTGGGTTACAGCCGTCACAAGTTCTGGTGAAATCTAAGACTCAAAGTGGTCCGGATACGAACACTACCGTTGTTGTTGGTGCAGTGGCCTTAGACACTCAATGTTCCATTGATAGCCGTGTGCGTATGAACGACTCTAATCCTGGAAGGGTAGAGTCTGCGATCGGAGGAGTAGGTTATAACGTTGCCTTGGCAGCCCATTGGTCCAATCGATATCCTACAATTACAACGAAGCTCTTGACAAGTGTTGGAAACGACTTAGCCGCATCTTCTATCCTCAAAGACCTGAAACTGCCATCGGATACTATACACATCGATCAAGAGAACCCAACTGCACAATATGTTTCTATACATTCTAAAAATGGAGAGCTTGTAGTTGCCTGTGCGGATATGGATATAATCACCAAATTACCTGATGCATTCCTAATCAAACAACTCCAGACTTTGAAACCAAATGTCGTAGTTGTGGATGCAAACGTGTCTGTTGGTACACTACAACAGTTAGTAACTTTAGAGCGCGAGTTACAATTTAAGCTGATATTCGAGCCTACCTCCGGCTCGAAGGCCAGAAAGTTGAGTTTACTAAAAAATCTTCGACCCTTTCCTGACAATTCGTTTTTCCTCATCACACCAACTCGCTCAGAGCTAGAGAGCATCTTCACCTCTTTTGAAAGTGAAGGTAAATTCGACGTAGATCAATGGTTTCCTATCTTAGATGCCCTTCAAATTGATGCTGCTATGAGGGCTAAAAACGCTGTGGCTTTCGAGAAAGGGCTGTTTTACGCGAAGCAACAAGGCATCTTTCACATGGCATGCAACCTACTGCCATATTTCCCCAGAATTGCGGTAAAGGACGGCGCCAACGGACTTTTCGTTTTCACTCTCAAAGAAGATATCGGAGAACAGCATAACAGAGAGTCTCTTGCAAACGCATCTTTTGCTACAAAGGGCTTAAGCTTGAAAGGAAAATCTGTGGGCATGATGTTTGAACACTACGAAGTGCCCCTAAAAAGTGTCTGCGTGAAAAATGTGAGCGGTGCAGGAGACACTTTGCTGGGAGTTTTGTCTAATGAAATCTGCCATCAAGGCGACATATTCAATAAAACTGCTTCTATCAGGCGGGCGTGTATGGATCGAGCCCAAAGTGGTGCCAGGCTGAGTGTAGAAGATTATGGCACCGTTAGCATAAAGCTCAAAGAGCTTGCCTAAGTATCTTGCGGATGTACATTATTTCAAACTAGATTCAATACACTGATGGCTAAATTCATACTAGCGTCTTTACCCTGGAAACAAAGGAGTCTCTCGTTGCAGGGCTCAGTGGCTTCTTCCCACTAAGATATTGGCTAAATAAGAGGCGCCCGATCATTGGCTCCTCGATTGAACCTAGCAAGAATTTTTCATTGGACTTGCGTGAAGCGTAGAACAATTGCAAGGAACCATTTATCTGAAGTTCAATCAACAGGTCGTCATTCTTGGGAACAGAACCCTTTCTGGTAAAGGCATCTCTTAATTCCTGAATACCGCTAGATACGGCTTCCTGGTTAATCTTTGCATCTGGATGGTTGAGAATAGATTTGATAAGACCGTCTTTCAAGTGATTAAAATCCGTGTTTCTAATAGGTGTAATCTTTGCCATCATCCTTACACCACCATCAATTAGATTATTGATTAATGCTCTTGATTTAGTGGGATCTTTGAGAGCTAGTTCGATATTTTCGGCATGGGAGTTAGAAATGTCGGTGTCCAAGAACGCGTTCGACATATAGCTTGTACTTAAGATTTCGGGAATCAAACCCAAATCTTCGCTGGCTACATATATCCCCAACGCATATACCTTGAAGTTGATGAAAGTCACTGAGCGGGCCCCAAATCCCAGAAGCGTGTAGTTAGTGGTAAATGGGAATTCGGGCGGTCCCAATCTTGTTGGAAATGGAGAAACTGCATTGTCTATCTGCACTGACGCATCTTCTTCCGAAGGGCCTGTATCGTTTCCAATAAGCCGCTGCTGCCATGCAAAGTAGCCCAATGTCGCACTCGTTGCTCCTAAAGCGAGTGTAGTCTTCCAAAAAGTGTGCTGGGGCCCCGTTGGGAAATGCTGAACAGTAAGAAATCTCCGAGAGCTCAACCGGCGAGGTTGAAAAAAGCGGATACCTGGAAATCGACTTATACTTCTGTACATATTCGAGGGTAATTGCTGCATTGATGGATTCTTTGGAAGTATTAATTAAAGTGCATCTAATTTATACTCAAATCAAGTCGCTCCATCTACCAAAGTCTAATAATAATTATCATCGGTTTAAACTCTATACGTAACAATTAGCCTTATAAATAACAAGAATGGGTCTCGAGAATGCCCTATCATAGAGCATCCTCCGAAACATCGTCATGGAAAAACTTACCTTCCAAAGTCGGCTTGATTACATCGGTTCTGATAAGGAAGTCACCGAAATGTTCACCGTCCCGTCTATGCAACGACCAATTTTTGAACATAGGCTTCAGGATGGCAATAATTTCCTCTTCCTTGATAGAAGCCTTGTAAAGCTTGTTTAACCTTTGGCCGTAGTAGCCGCCCCCCAGCATCAAATTGTACGTGCCAGGCGCCTTACCCACGCAGGCGACTTCGGCAAGCCATGGCCTGGAACAACCGTTGGGGCAACCGGTCATTCTCATTACAATGGAGTCATGGCGTAACCCGTATTGCTCTAAAATATCTTCAAGCTTAGTGATCAGAACAGGCAAGTAGCGCTCGGACTCCGCCATGGCCAAGCCGCATGTGGGTAATGCGACACACGCAGCAGACGAAAGCCTTAGTCCACTAAAGTCAGTATTATCCAGGCAATGGGATTTCAACAGCGACTTCACATGGTCCAAATGCTCGTCGGTGATGTCGCTTATGACAACGTGTTGATTACCAGTTAACCGGAAGTGACCAGCATTCGTCTGCTTCATATAAGCAGCAATTTTAGCCAAACCAGTTTTCTGAGGCAAATCTGGAGAATTCTCTACCCTACCATTTTCAATAAAGATCGTAAAGTGATTCTTACCAGTCTCGTCCTTAACCCAGCCGAAGTAATCAATATTGGATTTGATCTCGTAAGGCTGTTCAGGACCAAACTTTTTGCCCCAGATCTCCTCTACCTTTTGTCTATAGCCATCGACGCCTAGATCATCAACAGTATACTTTAGTCGAGCGTGCTTACGATTCTGACGATCACCGTGATCTCTTTGGACCAGCATAACTTTCTCGATAGCAATATGCACATCCTCAGCATCTACATAGCCAAATGAAGAGCCTGTTCTAGGATATGTCTTCTTATTGTTATGAGTGCATCCCATGCCACCACCAACATACATGTTGAAACCCTTAAGAATTTGGGTATCCTGATCAACAATTGCTATTAGACCAACGTCAATCGACCAAACGTCGACATCATTGTAGGGTGGGACCGCTATATTGATCTTGAATTTTCTGGGCAAATAGGTAGGACCGTACATTGGTTCAACATCGACTAAAGCGTTTCCCCCAACTAATGTCTTTTTCTTTATAGGACCCTCCTTTCTGTTTTCAAAAATGGATGGCCAATTAGGATTGTCGTCGTTAGAGTCCGCACCCTCTAGCCAAATTTCGTGGTAAGCGGTGGTCTGTGGAAGCAAGTACTCGCTAATCTTAGCCGCAATGTCAGCAGCCTGCTTGTGTACCTTTGCATTAGCTGGAAGAGCCGAAACCATAACGTTTCTGTTGACATCACCACACGCCGCGACAGTGTCCATGAGAGTGGAGTTCATAGCCCGAATTGTGTGCTTCAAGTTTTTCTTTACCACACCATGCAATTGGAAAGTAGCCCTTGTGGTAATCTTAATCGTACCATTTCCTGTCTTATCAGCCAGTTTATCTAACACCAACCACTGATCAGGTGTGGCCTTACCGCCCGGCAGTCTGATTCTGCTCATGAAGATGTAATAAGGTTCTAAACCCTGTGCTTTTCTAGTATCCCGAATATCACGGTCATCTTGCATGTAGATACCATGGAACTTTGTTAGTTGTTGGTCAGACGCGGAAATGGCACCTGTAGAGTCGTCTACTAGCGATGCAGCTATTGTACCACGCAAAAAGTTGGACCCGATCTTAATGTCTTCGTTCGTGATCGGTTTGGGCTCATCTGGAACAGCAGCCCCTGAGACGCCCAAAGATTCCCATAGTTGAGGCTCCCATGCGCTGTAACCAGTTTGGTATCCATCAGCATCTTGATCATCACCCAAACCAAGTGGAGCCAAAGGTTTTGCAGAAAGAAGTTCTAACCGCTTGAACAACTCTTGGGCAGGCTTGTTATAGTAGTGTTTATCCTCTTTGCGTGGCCAATAGAGGGAATCTCCGAGACCAAATACTGCAACATTCAAAGAAGCCAGATCTAAGTCTAAAGTGGCCTTCAAGAGATCCCAAAAAGCTTTACCGTCTTGAGGAAACTCACCTTGACCCGCAGTAGAAGTAATGAAAACAACATTTTGTTCCTGTGGAAATACTTCAAGATCAATGTCATCCATGGAAAGAACAGTGGATTTTAAGCCTCTAGCAGCAGCTCGACCACCCAATCTTTTGGCCAAATTCGCAGCATTTCCACCGTCAGATGCGTAATAAATATGTAGCGGAGGACCTGACAGACCCTCTAGCAATTGCTCATACGCGGCCTTCGCTCTTCTTTGTTGTTTGGCTTCGATACCGCTGCTGGCGCTGTGCTTTAAATTGCGAGCCAAATCAGGGCTCTTTCTAGTGAGAAGAGTTAATTTGTTTTCCCTATCAAGAAACTCTTGGAGTTGACGTCTAATAACAGAAGACTCTAACTTGAAAGCATCATCTGAATTTTCTTCTCTAGGATTGTATCTGTACAGGGGCCAGTAACCAGATTCTACAGCTTTTTTAGTTTCCTTCAAAACTTCTAAAGGTGTGTCTTCTTCACTTGTGTAAGGTAGATAAGCCAAAATGATAGATGGGCCCGAGAATTTAGCAGCCTCAATTATAGCGGTGAGGAGTTGGGTGTAGGATGCATACACCGCAACCGATGCAACGTAGGCTTCTCCAAAGTTCAAAGCATACAAACCAACGTCTTTCTTTCTCAGCTTGGACTGTGAGTTTTTGACATTCTCATATGGTTCAGAGTCAATGATAAGCATATTGACGTCCTTTCTGGAGGCTAGGACGTGATGTACGCCAGAGTTACCGAGGTCATAAGACCAAGCATCTGAGCCAATTAACCACTTCGAGGCAAATTTGAAGCTTTCGACGGAAGGGGCTGCCTTCAAAAGTTTTAGCGCCACAGTGGAATCTTGATTTTCTTCAAGTAACTCGTAAATTTCTACAGCGATTTTGTTTGCTTCTTCCAGAGAAGCCTCCTTGAACTCAACTTCATTGAAGCGCAGCCACTTAGATAGAAGTTCCACGATACGTGCACCTTTTGGGGAATTATAAGCGCCAGAATCAAGAGAATCCCGGACTACCATGATTAGGTCTTGCCTTTCAGATTCTTGCTTTGTTAAGAGGCCAAATCCATACTCGGGGCTAGTTGCATTGACGCTTTTATCTTGGTAGTCATTCAAAACTTGAAGATTTGAAGAAAATACTTGTTGTAAAACCTTCATATAGGCGTCCTCTAGGGAGAAGATGTTCTTCATTGACGAACATAGTTTCTGTGTTTTGGACGTAAAGCTAGCAGCCTCCCCTATAAATAGAGTTTGGTCAGGTTTTTCACTCTTGACATTGGCGATAATCTGATTTAGGGACGCGGCAGCGTCTTTCAGTTGTCCGATGTTGGTGACTAAAAGCTGATCAATACCTCTTTCAACCAAACTATTGAAATCAGCAAAGAAGTCCAGTAAGACAGGCTCAACGCCGTGTGCCGAAAGCCTGTTATTAGTTCTCTGGACTATAACAATCTTTTGAACAGACTTGGGTACATTTTCAAAGAATCGCTGAAAGGACCAAGGCCTGTAAACAGAAATGTCAATTAGCGCAGCATCCAAGGGCAATGAGTCTGCAAATTGTTGTGCATAAGGTGACAGATTAACGACAAGAATGGATGGCGACTTGGAGGTGCTGTGGTAAGTCAACTTAGCAATGTCTTTTAAAGCAACGCTTTCGAGCAATGGCTCTTCTGCAACTTTAAGGTCTGGAATTTCAATAGATGACAGTTCACCCATTCTAGACAAATTGACAAAATGGAAGACGGGCTGGAGTGTTTCAGCAGCACTTTTGGCAGCAGCCACAGCGTGATGGCACAAATTAGTACTAGAGCTCGAAATCAGAGTTGCGAAGGACAAATCCTTCAGAAGCGGCACCGTGGCATACTCATTCAATGCAAGCTCGATTGTGATAACCACTGGAAAACCTTTCAAGGCGTACAGATGAGGCAACGCATTCACCAAAGTAGTCTCGTCAGTGAAAACGGAGGTGACACTGGTTTTGTCAAGGCATTCTACTACGGCTGCAAATGGGTCCGCGGAATTCAATAGCTGTGTGCCCTTCGCCTGCAGGTCAGCCAGCGCAGCGGAGAATTCCGACTCGATGGCTTTAGTATCCGTGGTATAATAAATATCCCCATTTCCAGCTTTGGCAACTTGTGCCAAAAACTGTGCTGGGCTTGAATGGGCCATACTAGTGCGTTGTTGTCAGAACAAACCTCTCTAGCCAAAAGTTTTGCCCAGAGCCACTCTCGTTTTTATATGGGACCCACAATACTTTCTTTCTTGAATTTGACCAAATTGTGACACTCACAGTCTGTATGTACACAACTGTGGCATATGGGAGCATCCTAGCACATGCGCTTTCTTCAAGAGTTACCAACGTGAAGACGGCTCAGATACTCATCAGCATATCACGTGTATTTGTTAATGTAGAAGCAGAGCCATGCGCGCTCACTTGGAAAAACCGCTGACATGTTCAGGCTCAGCATTGGTTCGTTGATGATCAACGAATGCTTGGTGTGAAGTGTGTCGTCGATTCCTTACGCACCATGGTCGGTCTCCAGGATTTTTCCAGCCCTATTCAAATCAACGGATGGTTTTACTGGAGCTTTAGAGAGGGGCATATCTGTGGTTCTCGTGGCTAATGTAGGGACCGTTTTGGGGGCAACCTGTAGGTCAAAATTCTTGGCACGTATTTGGCCACTATCAGGGCCACCTCAATCTGTATGCAAAGATCAGTGTATATGACGCCAACTATGAGAAGGTTTCGTCCTTCTAAAATGTTGCCTACGCAGAGGTGGCTACGCTTATCGGAAAATGGGCATTGTGTGTCTATGTATACTTTCTTCATGTTGAGGCGAGTGGCCGGGAAACTCTTCGTTTCTAATAGGCGGCTAATGATTCAGCATTGTCTATCCAGATAGCCTCCAGATCATGTTGGCAATATACAAAATGGGCCGGTCGCGCCGTGCTCCTCTTTCAAGCACAGCGAACAATGAAGAGATCTTTAGTAGCCCCGATGGAGTTTCGCATTATTTGGAAGTTTCTTAGCTGTCTAACATTATTTAAACATATGACAATAATTCTTATAGTAGCGGGTTGCTCCACGGATTCGCAAGTAACGTGGAGCTTCAAGGAGGAAATGCTGCCAGAAAGAAAATCGAACCGACCAAAGGAGCACGGTGGGTCGGGCAATGAGTCGGACGATGAGTAACGCGTTAAACGAGCGTCATCTTGCGTCCATTGATCGGAGTTAGCCTAAAAAATGCACCGGTAGTCATCAGCTGTGGATGTGATCTTGTTTTTCTAGCAGCTCACGCAACGGCGCTGCAGAGACTCTTCAGCTCTTGTGAAATCACTTTGTAAAGACATGAGAAGTTCAAACACAATTGAAACAGGTTCTGAGGTTAATGAGTACCATTTAGGACTACACGATAGGAGTTTGAGGAAAAGCACATTGGTATGAGCTTAAGCGTAGTTCACCTGATAAAGCACTTCGATACGTCTTTATCTGAAACCAAGCAATCTTTCTGGGAAACGCGGGAAAGAGTAGCAAGCGCTGAGCAGGTGTAACGTGTTTCAGTCGTGTTGTGCAGCTTCATTAGCAGGGCCTGAAGCTACATTGAAGAGCTTTCATCTAGCTTCCTTAAGCATTTTTGCCTTCACGTTCTTGCTTTAGAGTTTCCTCGATGGTCATACCACTATTAGCAACAGCAAATTTCTTCAAGTCCGCAGCAACTCTCTCCAATTCCAACATGTTAGCATCTCTGATTTTCGAACATTCCTGCAGCGTGGATTCTACTGTGGGTCATAGTTAGTGACTAAAAATCGAGCAAACGAAAACCATCTTCCTTGATTCCATAACAACACAAAACCATACATCTTGTCTCTAATTTTGTCAGCACGGCTTCTTTGATGCGCTTCTTCTCTTGCTCGCTCAGCATCTTTGGTACCAGACGATGGAGATCTGACACTATCAATAACGTGCCGGTGATAATCACACTTTAACTGGATCTTGCACGTGATACATCTCGAAGAACTTCTGGCCCGTTGGCCAAGAAAGGTTGATAAGATTTGTGATCGACGGTGTTGCTCTTCGGAAACTTAGCGCTCGAGGGTATTTTTGCCACTACCGCTCCAAGTCGGTCAGAGTTTCCCCTCTTTATATCATATAAAGCGCCTTCAGAACTGAAAAGTGCGAGCACATGCCAGACATAACATAACAGAAATCATATGCCTCTTGAGTGGCAAATCCCACATTTACAAACCACTGGCATCAAATTGGAAGCTTGATTTTATAGCAAGTTGTCCAAAGTTGTCGTTATATACTATAGTGTCGTTGCTTGTTCCAGATCTCGGTAAACAACAAGGAAGCCTTGAGCATAAGCCAGAAGCACAGTCAAAATTTTACTGGTGGTTCATATTAGCCGTAGTCGAGCCTTTTTTTATGCTTTCGGCATTTCAATGCACTCCATTTGCGTGTTCGTTAACTATCGCTGTGATTCCTTTTTGCTTAGCGAAAGCACTAAATGCCTGTGACTGAGAATCATTTGCAGAACAACATGTTTTGACTTTACAAATGTATGCGGGTGCTTCTAAATGCCCATAGTGTTCTCTATTCACCAACCCAGTTATGTCGGAATGCCTTTTAAGTATATACGCGTGAATGGTTTACGAGTTCTGGCCACTCTCATCTAACTAATCTAGGTTAGACCCTCAATATTTCACTATTGTTGGTGTATACTTGCAAAGCGATTAAACCTGCTCAACGTATACTTCCTTAAAGACATGATCCGCTGACAAGAGGTTTTCAAGATACTTAGTAAACATATCTTATAACATTTCAAGTGATGGGATCCATGCGTTGCAAAGTCTCCCAATTGGTCGTCTTATACAGTGTCCGACTGACAACACATTAACATTTTCACCAATGTTATTACATATCAAGGCAACTTTCACAAATCATTTGGCCATTATTGAATATTCATAGCCCAAATCTTACACCGATATCCAAACCAGAGCGCTCGATAGACGAAAGCTTCGCGTTGGATGCGTACCAGGATGGCCAACCTCTCCGGCCATTATTCATCCTGTCATCTAATAAGTGTCGTATGATACGAACAGTCTTGAAATACTAAGGTCTAAATTAGGTGGCAAAAGGTATTGCATGTATGTCGGCCTATAGCCTGCACCAACTTAATTGAGGGGAATCAAACAGTAGTGCCTTACTGAACTCTAACCAGTGCACAAGCTACTTCCAAATATGGTCCTGGAAGCAACCGTGCTAATTGTGGACAATTCAGAGTTTTCTAGAAACGGAGATTTTCCCAGAACCAGATTCGAGGCGCAGATCGATGCCGTTGAATTCTTATTTCAAGCCAAACGTAACAGCAATCCAGAGAATTCGGTTGGATTGATTTCGGCTGCGGGAAGCAACCCGCAAGTTTTGTCGACGTTTACGCCCGAATTTGGCAAAATCTTGGCAGGACTCCATGAAACCACGATTGGTGGTGAACTAAGACTGAGTACGGCAATTCAAATAGCGGCTTTAACTCTGAAGCACCGTCAAAACAAGGTCCAGCATCAGCGTATCATAGCATTTGTGTGTAGTCCGCTGGGGGACGATAAGGATGAACTCATCAAATTGGCAAAGAAACTGAAAAAGAATAAAATAGCTGTGGACGTGGTCAACTTTGGTGAAATTGACAGCAACACTGCTGTTTTAGAAGAGTTCATACAGACTGTTAACAATCCACAGGAAGAAAGCAGTCATATCACAACGATATCACCAGGCCCAAGGCTGCTGTACGAACACATAGCTGCCTCGCCCATAGTGCTTGAAGAGGGTGCAGAACCTGGCTTTGGCGGTATGGGAGGCTCTGGAATGGGTGGCGGAGATGACTTTATGGACTTCGGTGTCGACCCCTCCATGGACCCCGAGCTTGCCCTCGCTCTACGTTTGTCCATGGAGGAAGAACAGGCTAGGCAAGAGCGGCTCAGGCAGCAGACTGAAAGCGGTGGTGCGAATGCCAACTCATCAGCCAACTAGGTACGTAATATCATCGGAAAATGCAGCATTCTTTCCTACAATCATCATTTCAATCACTCTGTAAAATATATAACGATCCGAAAGATGATCTGTAGCCGTTAACCATTCTGTGAGCGATCTCCCGGGCCTTATATATCATCTATTTGAGGACAATCATCTCATTCGCGATTTTGTTAGGATATCTGGTCATCTAAACATTATCTGTCATTATAATTATCGTACCGGTTGACTGGTCAGAAATGTTTCTGCATCAGGATCCAGTGGACTAACAGAAGCAAACGAAAGCACAAACCCGTCCACATTGAGGGCTGAACTGTGCCAGAATATATGTTTCACAATGGTACCAACAATATGAAACGATCCGGAGATCAAACTGAGATCCTAGACTCCCTGCAGGGATATCTGCTAAATAAGAATGATAGTAATAATAACGTTCGGCCCTTGAATACAGGGACCCTGGGCTCTAGAATGAATATTGGCAATAACACTTTAACGATAGGGAGAGCGAATGACTTGAAACGCCCGGAAAAACCACGATTGACTTTGAATTCAAACCGTAGACGGCAAATGATACAGCCTGAGATTGGCATTAGGTCCGAAACGAAGTCACCTACCAGTCCCAAAGCTAGCGGGTTGGTAACGTCGGAACCATACCAAACGCCAAAAGATGCTAACTGTGCTAATAGAAGGGCTAAAAAAAGCGTTCAATTAGAACTTGGGCTTCATGAAGCCAGATTTGCCGAAGATTTGGTCTTGCTAGATCTCTCAACAGTTCGAGGATTGCAAGATGGAGACTTGGCCGAATTGAAGACGTATAAAGGGAAGAATGGCACTGGCAAAGACAAAAAAATTTACTTTATAGTGAAAGACTTCAGCAGCGAGCTACGTCAACGATACAAGAATCCCCAAATCTCAATTTTATCAGGACCACTTCAACAGTTGATAGGACTACCTACAAGGTCCAAAGTTTGGATTAAGGCGAAGGATAAAGATAGATTTCAAGCCGACGTTGTGGAGCTCAATATTAAGGATTGTCTAGTTCATCGTGGTGACATGTGGGTGTTTTCTTCCAAACTAACAGGCAGCTGTATCTTCGCTGAGCAAAAGCTTACGTTCATGGATAGTATACGGGCGACTGTCAAAGAAATATTTCGAGACGGCAAGAAAGTGCTGTCAGGGTACATTGGAGAAAAAACGAAAGTTGTCTTCAGATCGGAATCTGCCAGGCTAGTTTTTATGATTCAAATCACAGATGAGATGTGGCATTTTGAGGAAAATGGCGAGATTTTCTTCTACAAGGTAGTCAATTCGCTGTTTCCAACGATCTTCAAGAAATGGAAGGACATAGGGACACATCATACGATTACAATCGTTTTTACTGCATCGCTGGATCTTTCTGAAACTCCCTTCGTGGATATTCCAGATGGAGAAAGACCAAAAAATACAAAGGATTATTACCGCGTTGTCGTAGACCAGGTAAATATCGTTCACTGGACTGAAATTATGATGACGCTCAGGAGAGAGTTCAAAACGATTGCTCGAGACTTAAAAACTACAAATACTGATGATGGAAACTCTGTCATAAGAGGAAGATTCTGTCCTGCTATTAAGTCTAACATCTTAGAGACCATTTGCTTAGCTACCACGTTTTTGACCAACCCCTTTCGGCAACCTGATCTTCGGAGAACAACCGCACATGCCATCATTATCAGTCCTGGGACTTGCATATATGATGTGAATTACGATCTTCTGAAAGCAACTAGTAAGAAAGTCCAATCAATTGAATTGTCTCTCGACGTAATATGTTTGAGTCGACCGCCATTGCACGTTGTTCCTTTACTCAGGTACCGCGATTACGAGAATCGACTCAAATATTGTGCTCCTTCGTGGATGAATATATCATTTTGGCGGTATTCTTCGTACTCTAATGATACTTGGAGCCCGCGGTGTAAGATGCATGATCTTCAAATGATGGGTCTCACTGAAACAGAAATGAAAGAGGAAATAGCGATCGACTATATGACTTCTTCATCTACTGTTAAATCTGTGACAGATCTTATGAAACAGTACGATCATGACGCGTTCACGGATCAAAAAGTGCGGCGGGGAAAGCATCAGCGTACTTCCTTTTCGTCGGATTTCGTCAATGATTCAAGGCCGGAGTACACTAAAAGTGCTCCCCAAAACCCCGCTAAACTGTCACTTGCATGGAACCCACCCAAATCGGCTTCTCCGATGGTTCAGCCGACGGCCACTCTGCAAGTATTCGGCGATCTAGCTAAATCGACCAATGACGATGAAGACCCCGAAGAGCCTGATAGTCGGATTCGAAAGTCTGACGGTGAAGAAAAAGCCGAGCGCAGGTCGCTGGCTGTTAATCAGCTCAGAAACGTTACGAAAAGTAACAATATCGCTCAGCGTATTGTATCGAGGTTCCGAACGGACTTTGAAAGAAAGTCAAGGAGGGACACTGACATTATTCCTGTTCGTAGTGCACCTCAATCTCAACTATCGCGGACAGATCTGGATTTTGAAAGTGATAATTTAACAGTCACTTCATTTGGCCGTGGGCCAATTATCAAACGGAATCTCGCTTCAATACATAAACCTCTTGCTACTAAGGGGCCGCTTAACACAAACATCTCATCCATGCAGTCTCTGTCGGGATCCCCGCAACGTCATCCTAAGGAATTTTTAACGAAAGTTTCGAAGAAAGATACGTTGGAAGACGCAACAGCTAATCTGTTCAGTTGGCTAGAAATTAAAAACCCTTCGATAGCGATGAGCTCAGAATTAGCGAGTACTTTTATTGCCCCACAATATAAGGACGTATTTCCACAGTTTGTCGCAAAGAAGTACAGTAAGTGGAGGTCTCTGACAACCCCAGCAGAGTTGCCAATCACCATCTCCTCGTTCCCTAGCAAAGAAGATTTCGAAAAGAACTTTATATTCACAAACCATTCGGTCATCCTAAATCCTGATCAAGAGGTTAAAAATCAAACTGCATTTGATCTCTTAAGAGATATGATATATGTCAGACTACTAGCAGGGTTCCAAATCTGTATTGGAGACGGTGTCGAAAAGATGGAATCAATAAAGAGTAATGAGGGCGACGGCCGAAAAATCGCCAAAAACCTCACAAAAGGTAACTATATGGATGTCAAATTCTGGATGATGTTTTCAGAAGAGATTCATAAGTTGAGTTGCGACTATGATGGTTCCATCAATGTCCAAAGGCACGTTCGGAAGGATTACAATAATACTGGAAATGGGGTTCCAACTTACGACCCCCAGATCAAGACAAGATACGAAAGCTCTTACCGTGAAACAATGACTGATCCTCTTAAAATGCATAGAGAAAGGTATAACTGGAATCAACTGGACCAAATGCTTGCGGGTTACGAAGATGCCGTGATTGAGAAGAATAAGAAGCAGTTCCGCGCCAAATTTGTGGTACTTCCATCTGATGTTCCCCAAAATACTCACTCATCAACCATCAATGGCCGCTCAGAAACTTTAAACGCAGAAGAAATTCGACTGGAAGGACTCAGACGATTAATTTCCTCCGTGTACCGTTCAAGGCTCAAGCCAGCTGATTATAAGCACCAAGCTATATCGCGAAAGGAAGAGATCGCACCTGAAATTTTATTTTACACCGGCTCTTTATTCAATTTTATTGAAGAGCACGCCGAAATTCTTAAAGTATCGGAAGCTCATCAACCGGAAAATACTTCACAGGATGGTGGGACTTTATCTAAAGAGATTGACTTGCGATGGCTTGCCTATGAAACGCAATTTGGCGAACATCATTTACGTCTAGTGAACAGAAAGTGGCACTGGAAGAAACATTACAATTGCTTTTTAGGTTCTGAATTGGTAAATTGGCTCATAGAAAATTATTATGATATCGACACGAGAGATGACGCCGTATCTTATGGACAGGATTTAATGAATCAAGGTCTGTTTGTACATGTAGAAAATCGCCATGGATTTCTTGACGGTCATTACTTCTATCAGATAAGTTCGGAATACCTGGAAGCCAAAAAACCTGCAACAGATCATGGTCCGCACAACGCTGCTGATGTATCAAAGGTCTCTTCAAACTCAGAAACAAATTCCTTGAATCATCCTGGAAACAGCGAACGGTCGTTTGAAGCTTCCTCGGACGGTCCTCTCTCAACAGAAGTATCGAAATCAACCGTGTCACTCAGCAATGTAATAACAGTTGACGCTGATACAGCTAAACGATCTTACAAGCCAGAAATTTGTAAAGTTCATTATGATCGTGTTCACAACCCTAACCATTGCTTTCATATTAGACTTGAGTGGCTAACTGCGACACCAAAGCTTATTGAAGAGCTTATTAATAACTGGGCCAGGCTATGCAAACGCTACGGCCTCAAATTGGTTGAAGTTCCTTGGGTGGAGCTCTGCACTATCCCTTTGTCAAATCCTTTTCACACATTTGTTGATATAACATTGGCCATTGACCCGTGGACGGATTCAGAGTTTAATGATGAGCAGTTGCTGGCGCAGAGTCCTTTCTACTATCATACCTACCTTCTGGAAAAAAATGGATTTCTTATCGATAATCGGGCTTCATCGCTATTACGGAAAGATGTATCTAACTATGAAGTGGTGTACTCTTGGGGCAAGCCAAAGTTTAAGTACGCCCAGTATATCCACTCCACTGGTGCTTACATTGCCGAAATCAGAGAAAATGGCAATCTATTTCTAGCACCTAACAATAGGCATCTGTCAAGAGTCAACGTCGATTCGGTCACTTTAAAAGCCAAGCAGACCCCAAAGTTTGCACTCGATGCTGAGAAAATCATGCTTGTTTTTAAGAAAACTTGCCTCGATCATGATAAGCTACGTGCCATATTCCATGAAGCCCAAAAAAGTTGGATGAATGGCACTAATGCGTCAGGACAGCTCACCGGTTCAGTTGAGACTTTGGTAAGAGCGTGATGTTGATTGCCACAGAAGTTATATATGAAACAAGTTATACTCTAACTGCAGCTTCCTCTAAATATCTTCATGTACATGCTTGGGCAGCTATAGCCTTTGGGCGATTTTCAAAACATCCGCAAGAACACCAGCAGCAGTGACGTCGGCACCAGCACCGGCCCCTTGAATAATCAGGGGGTTTGGGTACCGGTCCGTTTGAATAGAAACAACGTTGTCCGATCCTTTCAAAGAAGCGAAAGGATGCGAAACATCGTACTTTTCAATCCCAACGGAAACTGTATTATTGGGGAAATCAACTTTACCAACAAACCTTAGAACTTTATTATCTTCAGCGGCCTCCTGTTTCAAGTTTTCCATTTCTTGATCGTAGTCTGGCAGTTTCTCCAAATACTCGGCACCGGACGACACAGTTTCCAAGGGTTTGGGGATTAGCGAATGAACAGGGAAAGAAGTAGGAGACTCTACTTTAAAGCCTGCAATTCTGGCTAGAATAGTGACCTTTCTGGCCACGTCTAAACCATTCAGGTCGTCTCTAGGATCAGGCTCGGTATAGCCTAAATCCTTCGCAGACTTAACAATATCAGAAAATTTGTGATCAGAAGGGGAAGTGCTCGAAAAGGTGTTCAAGATAAATGAGAGACTTCCTGAGAAGATACCTTCGATCTTCTGGATCTTGTCACCAGTCTGAATCATATCGTTCAATGGGCCAATGATTGGCAGTCCAGCGCCAACGGTGGCCTCATGGTACACTAAGCCCTGCGATGGCTTACCGCTGAAGAGTTGATTCCACAATGAAAGATTTGAGGAAAATGCCTTTTTGTTAGGCGTTGCGATGGAGATGCCATTCTCGACAAGTTGTGGATAGAAATTGGCAATTGATTCGTTGGAAGTATTGTCAACAAAAATGACCGGTTCTGGAGACTTCTTCAAGTAATCTAGCAAGTTGTCTAGCGAGAGGGGCGCCTCGGTAGTCTTGACCAGGTCAGATTCCCAAGACTCCAAATTCAAAGGCCTATAGTCCCTCGAAATTAAAGCCTTCTTTGACGTGGAAAGGAGAATCAAATTGAAAGAAATTTGAGATTTGGCACCCGCCAACTGTTTTAGAAAGCTAGATCCAACAACACCAGCGCCTGGGGTACAGGAAAGTCAGTAAACTAGCCCATCGAATTTTTCGACACATTGAAATGGTATGCAGGAAACTCGATGAAAACCATCAAGCTCAAGGCCGGCAAACCCTAACAACCCGCAAGTATGTTATACTTTTTCCATATTCAATCACATACCAATAACAGCAACATTGATATTTTTATACGCCATTCTGATCCTGTTCACGATAAAGAGTAAGTTACGATTTAAGGTGAGTTACTGGTTGCCGAGTGTGAGAAGTATATTTTATACTTAAATTAGTTACTTTTAACTAAACGTGACTTGGGCAACCGTGTGTAAGAAGGCATGCCACAGTTATTGGTATTTACTACTCTTTCATGAGGCCGCAAGCCTTCTCGATCGGCTAGACTTCCAATGACATTTACAGACGTTTGCTCGAGATTTTGATGTATAATGCAAGACTTTGTGCAACTCACGTACTTTTTAGGCTATTTTCTTTTCAACCAAAGCTGTTATTTTCTCAAAGGCGTCCTTTTTGCTTACCTTTTTCCGGTTTGTGACCGGTTTTCCTTTGTGAGGTGTGTCAGCAGGTTCACTGGCGGTAACTGATCCTTTTGCATGCTCAAATTGTGGGTCCGGCGTTGATTTTATTTGATCGTTTTTGCTTGAGGCAAACGGCTGGTAGATATGCTTGAAATACAGGGCCAGGCAAATGCCATCGTAGCCATTATTGCCTTTTTTAAGCTGCAAAGCATGTGTAAGCGTTTCAAGAAAGTCTGTATCGTGTTTGGACTTCTCGAAAGTTTTGAAGATTTCTTCACTGTACTGAATAAATTGTGTGTAGCTCAAACCTGGAAGAAGCTTATCTGTCGCATGTTTTTCATTGACCTCGAATCTTTCCTGCACAAGTTGATTGAACAGCTTCAAAGCTCGATCTGAAGCGAGATTTACATTTACCATGCCAGCGCTGAACTTTTTGAGCTTTTTAGCGACCAATGCAATGCTAATGTAATCTTTGCGGCAAAAGAGAAGATCGAGATAAAACACAACATATTGGTATGTGTATATGAAATGTTTTCCTGGCCGTTCAAACTCAGGTTTCCAGATGTTGACCAAGCTTTTGTTGGAACTCTTTAGGAACATTATCTCGTCCATTTCGGCAATGGCACCGTCGGTATCGTAAAACTGTTCATAGAGAATTTTTGCAATACGATATTTCGGTCTGTGATGCCATTTCATTTTGTCAACAGCAACCAGACCTCTTAACAAATCAAGGATTCTTCTGTAGAAAACCTCTCGTGAGCTGTCAATATCAGTTTGGACTCCGTGAGGCCCTTCGTCCAGGAAAAAAGAGTCCTCTTGCTTGAAAACAGAATTATCTCTGTGCAAAATCGAGAGAGCAGTGTGAGGCCCGATGACGTTCTTCAACACCATCTTGAAGGATGAAACAACCAAAAAATAATGTGGTTCTAACACAATTTCTTTTGCGTTGGACATATCGTGCGAGAGTGTGCAAGCCTCGAGTAGTAGTTCGATCCCAGAAGTTTTGAACTCGTGAAGGCACCTTTTAAATATTAATCTAGCAGAAAAATAAAAGTTCTTCCAGTTTGATTGTATTTTCTGCGTCGCTAAAGGAGTTGTATCGATTTTAATAGCTCGTGAAATGCCGGCCAAAATCGCCTGCTGAATGTTATAGTCGCTGACTGTTTGAGCTCCTGTGGAAGGCTTTGAAACTAGCTCACCATCCATTTTGAGCTTTAAAGTGCTAGGCACATCCCATTGAAAGCAAGACTTATCCATGGGCTTTAAATAGCCGTTGAGAAGCTCCTGCGATAACGTTTCATAAATTTCCTTGACAAGAACGTCATAGTCACTTCTCATCATTTCGTCCGTGATGTTACCTTTCTGACGTAAAGCAATCCCTAATGCCATCAAGTGGCAGAGAATTGATTTTCGCTGTATCGCGGTAGTTCCTTTTCGCTTCTCGTGCGTAGCAAGTTTGTCGGACGTCCAAATGAGATCATCTTCAACAATGTAAGAGTAACATTTCCCCAACAGATACCAACTTTCGAACCTATCAGTTTTGTAGATAATGTCAGTTTTTAAGCTTGAGATAATTGAATCCAACTCGGAAGGGCGGGCTTGTGTAGCCTTTTTGCGTGCTTTGTAGAGATTCAAAGCCTGAATGCTTGCAACATAAAATATACCGGTATCAGCGACAACTTTGAGCGAGTCATGCGGGTTAATAAGCTCTAGAGAAATCTCGCCTGAGTAAGCTTTCCTCAATACGTCTGTTGTTATCATAGACTTCAAGTATTGTTCCAGAAAGAACTCATTGCGGGCCAATACATGGTGGGCTGAAAACTTGACGTCTCCGATAACTTGTATGATGCTGTCCAAAACTTGTTTCATATTTGTTTTGTTCCCGGAAACAACCAGGGGATTTCTTTTTTTGTAGTGAGAGTCAATGAGAAATTTGCCCACGGAAACAGCACTCCTCTGGTTTATGTCGTGGCCCTTGGTATTGTGCTGATTCAATGAATTGTTCTCACCACTAATGGTAAAGTGGTAGCGACACCACAAAACTTGTCTCAAATGCCTGAAACCGTTTTCGTCATTTAATCCGTACAAAAGCTGTTCTACCAAGTTGAGATAAGACCCATCAGAAGCGTCGCAGAATTTGAATTGAGCTAACAATTCATGCGAAGCCTCCACGAGGTTTAAAATTCCAAAACGTCTTGTTGGTGTCGGTGAACAGCGAGTCTCTAAAGTATGGCAAAGGTAGATGATCGTGGTAAGGACGTCGGTAAATATTTGTTTTAGCTTGGCGGATGACCTGACGGCTTTGTTGAAGAAAGATTTTAATGAAGTATCTCTCTGGCAAATGCTCTCATAAAACACAATAGGATATAGTAAGTTCAGTCCCAGCAAAAAGACCTTCAAACCAGCTTTTGCCTCTGTCGGTTCTATTACCTGAGAATCTACGTCATTAGCAACCATTTCCAAAAACTCTCTAGAAAAGCTTCCCATGCAGCTGATCGTAAGCAGAAGAGTTTGTTGTCGTTGCAAATGCGATTGGGCCTTGTAGCTTTCTGAGCAAAGCCTCTCATAAAGAATCTCAAAGATCCTGAGTGAAAGCGAGGCTGCCAGCTTCTTGTTTTTGCGACTGTAGTATGATAACAGAAGACGCCATAACTTCACTTTCAGAAGAAAAGGTGAGTTTCTTAAGAACTCCTCCATTGAAAGATCCTCATTTAAAGAGGACGTGACCAAGGGCTCATCTGAAATAAGAGCTCGCCTTATTGAGTCTATTTGCTGTTCCGTAGCAATGTCATTGTGTTCTTCTGAGGCGTTGTTTTCGATGGAAGTTATTTTTCGTATAATTTTGAGCCTTGACAGTTGACTTTGCACTGCAGCAAGGTTCAACTGTGGAATTGTATCAAAGTTCGAGTAGGGCACATTCACAGCGGGTGCGTTGCTCTTTATTGCTCTTTCAATGTCTTGTAAACTGTCAATGAGCTTGTCATCAGTGATGTCCATCGTATATTGCAATGAGCAAAACTTTGCCCATAAATATCTGAAACAGGCGCGTTCATCGTCCATTTTGGTATTTTCTAAAAGCAGTGTCCACCTGCTGATTTTTCTTTCCAGCTTGTTCTTTTGTGTCTCCAATTCGTTGACTTTTTGACCCTGGAGCTTCTTAGCACTGATGTTACCATAAATGTTGCCCATCATGTTGACTAAAATCTCGTAGATTGAAAGTCCCAAGGTCATAAGTTCTTCTGATCTCTCAGACAGAGTGGAAAAAATGCTGCTATCAATACTCATAACTAGGGATTCCACTGCTTTAAAGAGGACTGGGCTCCAGAACGTATCGATGATGAGGCAACGGCCATCCCCATCAGTTGATAGTAGTACATTCAACAGGCGAAGTCTGACCTCTTGGTAATGCATGCCGTCCTTGTTTACTTGATTCACGAAATCCTGAATTTCTTCACTTGGCAAATCAGTGAGAGATTCTATGGGGCAGCTATCGCCCGTCAAAACGCTTGTCCTTATTACAGCATTTAGTTGAAACAAACTTTCCACGTCACTTTCCGAGTTTTTCGAACTTTTGGACTCTGTTTGATTTAGAAACTCGCTATGTTTGTTTGTCCAAGAGCTCAAGCAGTCATAAAAGTCTGACATAGCACTAAATTCAGGCGCAGCTTCTTCAAGATCCGATGGACTCATCCGCTCGGTGCTCAAATTGAAGTCGAAGCCCATAGTAAAGGCTAGATCGTTTATAACAAGGAAAAAGTACTCATGGGCATCCATGCTTTTGAGTGGAGTATCTAATATGGGCTTCTCTTTAAATCGCTTGCTAGATCTTTGCAGTGGTTTATCGCCGCCATCTGCAGAATCTATCAATCGCTTTACTCCGCTAGCTTCAGCTATAGGTTGTCTATTCGTTTCTGCTACATCCGTTGTAGGAGGTGGAGTAGCATCAGCCGCGACTTCACTTCCCAGTACTTTTTTATTCGAATCAATGCTTCCCTGCTCTGTCTCGTTGAGTTCTTGGCCTTCGGCGTTGTCTTTCCTTTTGAACTTGAGATGCTCAATAGGTTCTTCAGCTTCATTATAGGGGTCTGAAATGCGGCTGAAAAAGTTCGAAAGTTTGTACTTTGGCAGTGCAGACGTGAGAGATTCGGCGATAGCTTCCCAGCTAAGCTCATTGATTTCAACACTCACCACATTAGGACTCTTCAGATTAGTATTGTCCTCACCTCGCATGATCTTGATCTGGGTCAAAAAAGGAACCAATTTGCAGTTTCCGTTAGTTTTACCATGGATGTCATCATCATGGTCGATATGTGTCGTACGACCTTGCAGAAACTTGCCCAATTGCGAAACAAATCCTGCTTGAAGCGTTGAGTGATCATCCAGATCTTTCAAAAGTCGTAAGAGCTGCCGAATTACATTTCTCGTTTCCGGGAGCACTGATTTGCGCCTCAAAATGCTGATATTCGTATCTGAATCTTTCAAAAGTTCGTGTTCCAGCACGTACCTTTGCAATTTCGGGCTTCTAAAGCTGGCGAAAATATCAAACAACACCCTGGTAACGACAGAGTCACATTCCCCGTGCTGCATTGCATCCAAAAGGTCTTCTACCGTTTTCAAAGTAAATTCCACAATATCCTGTGGCTCCATAGTCGTGTACCTGTCTTGCAACCACTGATAGTAGAAGATGCCCCGATTTCGATAAGCCAGGTATCGCAGTGAATCCAAAACAACTGTGCTATGCTTGTAGGAGCCCCACTTGTCCGGTTTGATTACGTCTATGCTAAACAGTTCCTTGAACTTTTCCTCTGCTTCCTCGAACCTCTTAAACTTCATGTGTAGTAGTGCATTTTGATACACTTCGAAGCTTTCTTCCACCTGTAGTTCGCGCGAATGATGTTCGGCCTCTTGCTGAGCCTCATCCGGAGTGAAATTGAGCGCTGTAAACAGTGACATGTGGAGCAGCTGTATTTTACAAGGTTTGACGACAGGTATCCGTGGTTTGTTAAATTATGTTCAATATAATATATATTATATACATACATCAGCGTTAACTTTAGAGAAACGTATAGATGCTCGACGATAAATGAAATACCTTATTGAGCATTTGCCTCGAATTGGGACTATAGTGGTCATTTTAGAAGATTTTAATAACGTCCGCGTAGAGCATTTACGGTCTGAAAGCGTGGAGTTGGTGGATAGCAATGGAATGACTACAATTTTGGAACTACCTCATCGCATAGACATAAACAGTGGCAGAAAAGGCTTACAAAAGAATGAAGGAGGGGTCAAAACTCTGCGTTTGAAGGCAACTAGAGATGTGGAGAATTCCGAGGATTATAAAGACCGTTCCATCAATAGGGCAATGCTGGCAACGCCTCAAAGGTGGATGCGCAAAGACCTGCTGGCACCTACCGCATTCGATATTGAGTGCCGGGCGTGTAATGGCTCTTTAATTTCCAGTAAGGACTGCTCGGCTATAAACGAATTGCCGTCTGAGTTTTGGGCCGAACTTATGGACTACTGGCATTGTCACAAACCCACGGTTCAACATTCAGTTCAGGTTGATCGCTACAGCAAACTTAATCCGCGCTCGAGCGAACTCCTGGTAGGAAATTCGGTGTTCTGTGTGAACAGTACGTGGGTGACAGCGAAACTGTCTTTCACGGCACGCTACGTACGCTGTTCAAAATGTAACCACACTGTTGGTCAAGTCTCTCAAGATGGACACCTTTACAACATCAACAAATGGAACACACGTCTAGTGAAGGGTGAAGGTGTAGAGTATTTCTCGCCGGAGCTGCATGTTACGGCGATACTGGTCAATGCGCTTAATTCCAACGGCACCCGCAAGATCCTATTGAAAAACGCGCACAACGAGTGCGGCATACTCATTTGGATGTTCGTTGTTGGTTTAAACGTAACAATGACCGGAAATCAAACCTTCAAAAATTGCATAAAAGTTTACTATAAACGCACCGTAGACGCCCCGTCTTTGAGCAAGGCACAAAATATCGAAAGTTTTGTGATTGACAGCGTTCCCCTTCAACACTTCTCGCAAAAATTGGATGCTGTCAATGCACAGCTGCCCCATTTCTTGAAGACTATGGACTCATGGAACTTGAGTTTTCTGCATTGCAGCTAGGCACATGCGGCAGTATGTATCTTTTTTGTTCATAGCTGCCTGCAAGCTTCCTCCATGTAGGGCACCACTTGTTTGCGGCTAGCATTCGTGTTTTCCTGAGCATAAAAGCGAAAACGTTCATCGGGAATGTCCAAAATTTGGATGGGTCTCAACTGCAGTTTGTCACGAACAAGATCCGCCAGCTTGCATACCGTCTCGGTGTTTTGCTTCGTCTCCGCATAAAATGCCAGTTGTCTCGAAAAGCGGTTCTCGTCATCCGTCCAGCTCGTTAAAATCAGCAGTACGTCCTGATTTCTCTCTTTTAAAAACTTGCTGCTAGTGGCCTTGAATTCCTGGTCTTGGAACTGTCGTTCGAGCCATTGTAAGGGTTTGACCACAGACGCCATCCCACATCGAATCGCACCTCCGCGGCCCTTCAGAAAATCGAACTCTTTATAATCCTTCCGTAATACGTCCCGCAAGGGAAGGCCAACAATGTCATCCTTGGCACGCCTTATCTGCGCGAAATATTCGTCGAAATCCAGGTCCCGAATCGATCCTCTGAAAGACTTATGAGCTTGCACATCTGGCTGCTCGACTTTGTATGACATGTTGCTTGTGTCGATCAGTAAGGCTGCCAGCCCTAGGCAGGGCGCTCTGGTGTCCGCTCTATTCATTTGCGGACCTAACAATCCATTCCAGTAATTGTACACCAAAGATGAGCAGCTTCCAGCTTTCTCGATGATCCTGGGACCGCATTGGCGCTCCAAGATATCCTTGTGCAAACCCAGATCCTCGTGATGATCGATAATTGCAATCACAGAATCAACTAACTCTCTCGCAGTGGACTGAGTATCGTTGTGGTCAACAAGCACTGCATCAATTGGACAGTTAAGTTGGTTCCGCAGTCCTTGGATATCTTCCTGGAAGTACAACAGTCCGTATGGAATATTGCGTTGCTTCAATACCCAAACAATATCTCTGCGCAATTCGAGGTCCGCTCTCAAAATGTTAAGCACCGGTAAGAACGGTCTGCTGGGATCCTTTATATAGCTAAAATAGGCGTAAGTAATGGCCGAGACTACCGAATCCAAGTCAGCACTTTCATTTCCACAAACTATTTGTAAACGGGGGTTTTTACCAGCAATTCTTGAGAACTCCCGTAGGTACGAATTTCTCAAGTAGTTGAGAAAACCAACCACAGTTTCTCCCATTATTGGGGTCGTTAGAGTTTTGTTTTATCATCTTTTATATATGGCAGAGATAAACTAATAGGATAACAGAATTTGACATTCCTGCTCGGTGACTTATATATATATATGTATATATATATATATTTACAAAGCATCTGTAATGACAAAAGTCGTTCTGGAGGGTGGCAAGGAGATCCTGATACGGGATATTCAAGATGATTTTTCGTTCCTAGAACTGATAGACCGGGTTGACACCTTTCCGCTGGATTATAGCCACAATATTCACTTCCAACAAAATGTATACTCTGTAAAGGCTCATCATGGGGAGGATGTAGGTTTCGTGCTAAAAAGCGTCGTCCAGAAAATGCTTCAATTGGCTGATGTGGAGTTCAATGCCGTCTTTGACATCCAAAGGGGGGACAGACAGTCAATCTGCTTTAAATCTCATACTTTTGAAACTCGAAACGATAACCTCAATGCTTTGGCTACTAAATTGAGGGCCCAAAATGCTTTCGAATGTCTTTTAGGCTGGAGAAATGAATTCTACAGCGTTTATTGCAACCGAAAACCGTACGTACTGGTGGAGAGAGCTTTTTCTGGACTTCTTGGAATTATCACCTACGGGGTGCATGTGAACGGATATACCAGAGATCCTGTCTCCGGGATTGTCAAGATTTGGGTTCCACGCAGGTCAGCCACCAAAGCTACCTGGCCATCAATGTTGGACAATATCGTGGCCGGTGGTCTGGGCTATCCGCATGGGGTATACGAGACCGTAGTGAAGGAGAGTTTGGAAGAAGCTAACTTGCCGCAGGAGTTCATTGAGTCTCGCATCAGACCTGTCGGGGCCGTTTCATATTTTTATTTCCAGGGGAACATTGAAGAAGACAAGTTCCAAACTGAAGAATCCCTGATAACAGGCGAAGTTGAGTATCTTTACGATCTGGAATTACCACCAGAAGTCATCCCACACCCTAACGATGATGAAGTGGAAAGCTTCAAGCTAATGACCTTACAAGAAACGATTGATGCTTTAAAAAGTTTTGAGTTCAAGCCCAACTGCGCTTTGGTTATGTTGGAGTTCTTAATCAGACACGGGTACATCCACTCTGAAAATGAACCCAATTTGTTGGAAATTATGAACAGAATTCATCGCTCTCTCCCATTTCCTGTACGGAGCTAAATTTTGACCTGAGCCTTTTATAGTTTACAGGATTTCTAAGCGGTGTATGTACTCATTTGGAGAAATGAAGCTTCATGTTGAAAAACTCTCTGCTCTTGACCTCGGCAACGCTCAATCCAACATTACCGTAGACAATAGGAGCAAAAAAGATGAAACACCAAATCAAGGCTACAGAAAGTGCAAGTATAAAGACGGACAATGGGATCAAGTTGAGATGTGGGTTTGGGTCATGGGGGACATTTGGATTCTCTTCATCTTTTTCGAGGTCCAAGGATTTGTTTTCGGTGAAAATGAGTTCCCAGAGGGCAGCTGAGAATATTGATGCGATCAAATGGGCAGGTAAGTAGTGATGCAAGAATTTTTGTCTACCCATCAAGAAGAATGGGAGATAGTGGCACAACCACCCAACAAATAAAAATGACAGGGGGCCATACAATTTTTCCCTGGCCAGCTTGTTGAGCGGATGCAATCCACGTCTTCTGGCAACCAAATCAGCAGCAACAACACCACAAAACAGTGCCATTGAGACAACTTGGAACCACCACCCAATTAAGTTACCAATGAAATAAATTTGTTTCCGATCCTGATCTTTTGTCCAGAATGATACACCAGACAGCGAGCCGGGCCATGATTCGGGGCTTGAAGCGAAGGGGTGCTCAGATGATAGCTTATTGTTGTGTTCAAACATGAGTCTCTGTAGTTCAGACCACTTAGCAAAAAAAGAAAGTTTTCTCACTGGCTTAGGAATATAGACCTTACGGGCTTCGTCGATGTTAAGAATAGTGTCTATCATCCACGAATTCTCGGGATCCACAATTTTTTTGTTACCATTGACCTCCTGTTGGCTGAACCCCCAATCCGGAAGGAAAACGTCATTGTGAGTCCATAGGGCGACAGTGGTATCGGTATGAATGATTCTGAACAAAGAAGCTTTCGATTTTAAGATTTGTTCGCTTTCACCCTTGTTTACCGCTTCAAGGCGGAATAACGTTTCATGGTAATTCTCTCCGTTCGCTTGCTCTTCACCTACCGTAGTGACTTCTTCATTTGTTGGGTAAAGTGGAGAAGCAACATCATGGGCTAACAAGAAAGTTCCGGTGACAATGTGTCTTAGTCTAACAATGTCATTCAAGTGCACAGGTTGTCCAAGTTGGGAAGGTAGCTCCTTAACGGGCAAAATTTCCCACTGATTGTTGACATCATCGTGAGAGTAACCGGTCACCTGCTGGCCATTTGATGAGATACGGCCATCATCGTAGCGAAGAGGGTAGCGTTCTGAGTGTGAATGTAAGAATGCATTGGTGTTTTTGTGCTTCACACTGATAATGTCAAAATAATTGACTTGTCGAGCTTCTTTCGCGAGTGGAGAATCGGTCAAGGTTTCTTGAAACTTTGGTGACATGAAGTCATCCCCCGGCCCGGACCCAGTTAAAATTGCGAAATGGATGTAAAACCAGAACAAATAGATGACAAAGGGAGCAAAAATCAGCCCATTGAGTCTTTGCACAACATGCTTAGCAAACTGTCTTATAGACAACCCTGCTCTAGCATCCAAGAGCTGCCACAAGTTCGCGGCCACCCCAGCGCCAATCGACGCGTAAGTTAACAAACCAACATATTTCGTAGACATCACGAACGACAATGAGACCCCAGTAGCGTAGAGCCACGTATACCAGTGTGAAGAGAACGGGGCTTTCAATTGCGCTTTGTAAAAGCGAACGTAGCAGTAAAACGACGAAGCCACGGCAATTATCAGAGTAGCATCCAGGAGAATTAAGCGTGAATCGATGACATGAGCACAGTCAACGGCAATGAGCAGAGCACCTAAGAGACAGGTGACGGCTCTCATATTGAGTTCTTTCAGTGTATTGAAAACTAGTGGCACGGTGAGCGTTCCCAAAATGGCGCTCAGTGATCTGTAGGCCACAAATGGAGCAGGATTGCTGTCGTAACTCAGCCCAATGTCATCGAACTTGAAGGCACCCCTGTACCCTACAATCCACCCGACAAGAGCGATCAGCATCTTGGCAAATGGTGGATGAACATCAAAAAAAAAGGTTCTCTCAAGGTAGTATGATGCGAACTTCCCAAAATGAACCTCGTCAAACACCACCTCGCGCGGGTAGGAGAGTTCTCTGAAACGAACGAAAAATGCTACTAGAGTTACAATCCACTGCAATGTTGTATACGTAGCAGCTTTATCAGGCAATGGCTTCAAAAGCCAGCTTTGGCCCAAGTACTGGTAGGAGCTGGCCGAAACTGCTGCTGTTTTGCCATTTTTGGACTCAGCCTTAGTCTTCAACTGTTTCGAACTGTTGGAAGCAGCCATGCCTAGCTATACACCGTGTATTGTATCCGATTTCAATGGTATTTCCATATTTAGTTTTTGTTTCTTGTTGATGTGTACTTTTCAGATGGTTTATTAGCACGTAGCGCACGACCAGATCATCGAATAAAAGTTCGAGTCGGGTTCTCTCTGTCAACTAGAAGTTTGAGTAGATGGCGCTAGACCATTTCCAGACAGAACAATGCAAGCGAGCAACCACGTTGTGAATGTGAGGTTGGCTGAGTATGCGAGGATTTGGTGAGTATCGCGAGAGAAATTTTGAGCAAATATATTGATCTGAACTGCACAAACCGCATCAACGAGACCTATCCATAACACTCTGTTGGGGGAAGTCGAGTAAATGAATCAATGCTCAGGTTCTATGTAGATAAATAGGCGGTAATGTTGGGTTGTTAAGCTACTCGGAAATCGGTAGACTGACACCATTGCAGCACATGTGCAGGTACAGCAACGCATGAAAGCTACAAAATTGATTGAAACGAGCGCAACGACCTTCGATTATATATATATATATATACTCTCAGGGTCATATTATCCTTTCACGGAATTTGCGTGCCCCTTTACCCAAAAGTGCGCTTCTCTGTTAGTATCTACTAGTTTATCTCACACAATATTACTACTACTCTGTAATTCTATCAATAATGTAAAATAAATAATTTGATGCCCTGAAGAAGAAACACCTCGAGAAAGGAGCTGTGTGGTGAGATCTTCAATTCAACGCTTCGATTGAGAGGATTATAGCAATCCGCATTTGTCTAATAGTGTGATGCTTTATAGTAAAGTGGCCCGCGGCTTGGGTTCAAGAAGCGTCGTTACAGCAGTAAAGAGAGTGGTCAATGCTAAGGCTCCCATTTCCCCTGTGAGGGATGAAGAAAGGGCGAGTTTTTCTGCAGGGCAAAGCGCGGAACCCCCAGTGCCACTGGCAAAATCTGGTGGCTACGGAAAACCCCTCAGCGATGCTTTTAAAGGATACGCTCTCGAATCCAATGCATCACACAGCAGTCCTTCGACAATAGTACCGCAGTCTTCGGAGGTCAATTGGGCAGTATCCTTCCAAGGTCTGGGTTCTCGTCCATTTGACGATGTCGTGCAGTCAGAGCTCAGCAAGCCCATCTCTCCAGAGGATATTGAAGTCAAACCCGATGGCTTGATATACTTGCCGGAAATCAAGTATCGTCGTATATTAAACCGAGCTTTTGGTGCTGGAGGCTGGGGCCTGGTACCTAGATCGGAGACCATCGTCACAGATAAGCTCGTGACAAGAGAGTATGCGCTGGTGTGCCATGGACAGTTGGTGAGCTTGGCGCGTGGGGAGCAAGATTATTTCGCGGACTCGGGAATTCCTACGGCCACGGAGGGTTGCAAGAGTAACGCTTTAATGAGGTGTTGTAAAGATTTGGGTATTGGGTCTGAGCTATGGGATCCCGTGTTCATTAAAAGTTTCAAGAAGCAGCACTGCGTTGATAAATTCGTAGAGCACGTTACCACAAAGAAGAAGCGTAAGATCTGGTTGCGCAAAGACCGGGAGGTTGAATATCCTTATAAATAGTTTTGTATTATAGTTTTGCTCAACATGAAGTGGGTGTGCCCTGGGCAAATCCCTTATAATACTTTCAGGAATGTTGCGTCATAAGTAGAAAACATAAAAAAATGGTGAACCTCAAGAAGAAGCAACGTATTGATATAAGGAAGAGATATACACAATTACATGGGGATGAATCTTAATGGATCGCATCATCGCGGCCCTGTACTTGTTTGCAGCGTACTTGTCTGTGGGACTAGGCTTTCAGCTTTATTTAGTTCACGTGGTAAACGATACTTTGACACATTTCTCATGCCTGGCAATTGGGCTTTATACATGCTGCGCCCAAGCGTTTACTTTCAGCGGTAATGATGCAGACCTTAAATCCCTTAGTTTTTGCGCTCGTGAGTTGTTTCTCAAGTGAATGTTGGCAACCCTCCCGCCTTGATAAATTTTATGATGACAATGTGTCGGGATGTCATTGAACGACAGGTATATATGCGACTGCATCACCTAAATGGGTCCTCCGGACATGTTCAGGATCGAGGCGCAATAAGGTTAAAAGCACTAAGGACACACTTAGCCACTGTCAAAGTATCCAGATGACTCCAACAAGATGCATTAGAGTCTTCTTATGAATACCGGCTTGTAGATAAAAGGAAATATCAACACCACATTTTGAGGAAACCCCAGTTAACTCAGGCCTGTGAGAGGGCAACCTTAATGGCAAGTGAGCATCACTAATTACTACGAGTGGAGGAAATGAATTAAACATCATCATGTTATCGTAGCTAAGAGTCATAAAGTCAGTATGCTATTTCTTTTCAACGTGGTGTTCCGATAGTGTAGTGGTTATCACGTAACCTTCACACGGTTAAGGTCCTGGGTTCGACCCCCAGTCGGAACATATGTTTTTTGATACTTTCAACACAGTGAAGTGAATGAGTAGAAGGGACGTAATTATGAAACCTTGATAGACTATACAAAGGCCGGTCCCTCAGCGAGGTAACGATTAACCGTAATTTCCTGTTGACGAACATGCATTTCGGGCAGCTGTTAGTCGTCTTAATAACATGTACAGGGCTGGGGCTCGCTTTGCCTACCTCTGACCAGCGAGTCTTGCAGCGCTTCCCTTCCCTGGAGCAGGCCGCGCCCAGGGAATTGGAAATCGGAGAATTGAATTTCCTACATACGACAGATACACATGGTTGGCTCGGCTCCCATCTGAATCAACCTAATTATGACGCTGATTGGGGCGACTTTGTCTCGTTTGTTGAGATTTTTAGACATAATCGAATCGGCGCCTCTCGCGACCTTATTTTGGTTGACACGGGTGATAAACACGATGGAAACGGACTCAGCGACGCTACTGTCCCCAATGGGCGGATATCCACGGAAATCTTCAATAAGCAGGACTACGACCTGCTTACGTTGGGTAATCACGAACTTTACACCGAAGAAAATACGATATTGGAATACCACAGGACGGCACAGTCGCCGAAGTTTAAGGAGGCTTATGTTTCTAGCAACGTCGAATTTGTCACGGATGATGGGGACATTGTCCCCTTCGGCTCTAAATATCGTTATTTTGAGACAACTAATCGAAAGATCCGAGTCTTGTCTTTTGCATTCATGTTCAACTTCCAGCGGGCCAATGCGCGGGCTAAAGTGACACCCGCTGTGGCCATCTTCGAAGAAGATTGGTTTCAAAACGTGGTACGTCAATTTCCTGCTGAAAAGGTAGATGTGGTGGTCGTATTTGGTCACCTACCTATAACGGACCCCGAGGACCGCGAGATCAATCAAGTGCATACCAAATTGAGAGAAATCTATCCACAAACGGTGATCCAATATTTTGGCGGACATTCACATATCAGGGACTTTGCTGTCTTTGACGATAGGGCGACAGGGATACAAAGTGGGCGGTTTGCGGAAACCGTGGGATTTGTTTCTATTGATCAAGTCGGAGACGGCACACCAAACTTCAGCAGACGCTACGTTGATTTCAGTAAGAATTCATTTTCACAGCATGCCAAAGCTCCACTATACACCACGCGTGGGTCAGAATTGTCAAATCATATTCAAAGCATTCGGCAAAATTTGGAGCTGAATCAAGTTGTGGGATATGTTCCGTCGTCATATTATATGTATTCAAAGCCCACCACATCAAAACACAACATCTACAATTTGTTAACATCGCAAGTATTACCAAGATTAAGATCCGACGAGACGGACGAGTCGAAGTCGCGGTTCATCATCATCAACACTGGTTCTATTCGTTATGACCTTTATAAGGGTAACTTTACCAAGGACACTGAATACATAGTGTCGCCCTTCCCGAATGACTGGAACTACATTGAAGTGCCACTTTCGCTGGCCGAAAACGTGGCAGATTATTTGAATGATGGTCCGGTTTTGTACTCTTCAATGGCTCCTCCAAAAATCAGTAATATGGTCAAAGGTCCTGCTTCGTGTCCGTTCATACATGATCCCGATTTGAGAAAGGGATATACTACCAGCGACGATTTCGGTTGTGACGGGGATGATATGCTACACAACACGGAACTATACTTTGAGGTCCCCAATGTAGTCCAAACCGTTGAACTGAAGCAAATAAAAAGCGAGACCGCCGTCCATTTGATATTTTACAGCTTTATCGAAAGTGACATACTTCATGCCCTGAATGAACTCAGCAAGAGCCAGGTAGGAGAGACGAAGCTATTCACTGAGAATGACTGTAAAAAATACGGCGGTGCTTCTACAAAGCAATTGCTGAAAGAATACATACAGGAGCTGTCATTACATACATAGAGAAGCATGCGTGACTGAGACCTTCTTAATATAATGAGAAGTTTAAATTTAAGCTATTTATTGCACAGATTTAGCAGTTTTTGTTTACAAACCTTGTTGAGCTCTTCTGCGGTCACGCTCTTCAGAGATGGACAACTTGATACCCTTACCCTTTGGCAAAGAGATGTAAGGCTTACCAGCTTCACCAATGACGAAAACGTTAGCCAATCTGGTAACGAAAGTGTTCTCCAAGGTGTCCTTGATGTGGACCAAGTCGAAACCACCTTCGTGTCTTTCTCTGTGAACAATGGTACCAACACGACCCAAGTTACGACCACCAGTGACGTAAACCAATTTACCGGTGTCGAACTTGATGAAGTCGGTGATCTTACCAGAAGCCAAGTCGATCTTGACAGTGTCGTTAATCTTGATGTTTGGGTCTGGGTATCTTAGAGTTCTACCGTCGTGGGTAACAACGTAAGGAACACCCTTCTTACCAACTTGGACCTTCTTGACCTTACCCAACTTGTAAGAGGCTTCTTCGTCGGTGATACGGTGGACAGCGAATCTACCCTTGACGTCGTAGACCAATCTGAAGTTCTCGTTGGTGGCTTCCAAAGTGATGACGTCCATGAAACCGGCTGGGTAAGTGATGTCGGTTCTCACCTTACCGTCAACCTTGACGTGACGTTGCATGGTGATAGCTCTGACTTCACGACCGTTCAAGGCATACTTTAATCTGTTTCTCAAGAACACAATCAAAGGCAAAGACTCACGCAACTTGTGAGGACCTGGAGATGGTCTTGGGGCGTAGGTCCCGGACAACTTGTCCAACAACCAGTGGTGTGGAGCTGCTAATCTCTTTAGATGCTTCTTTCTGTGGAAAGGTAAAAAGTTAGTAAAACGATATTCTGCAAAACAAACAGGAGCATGTTGGCACGGGGTGTGACCAAGAGACGCCGTTCACGCCCCGTCATCTTCCACAGTCCGCTGACCTTGACTGAGAACAACATCGGAGCATTGTCTATGCCACACTTGTTCCACTTCCAAGGTGTTCTCGTTCTATGACGCTGCTCTTCGTTCATCGCTGGTCGTCTCAACACTTCCTTCCTGCTGCCAATAAGCACTTATTCCATGGTTCACATACGGTCCTCTAGCCATCTTGTCTTATGGGATTATGATTTGCTTCTGGAAAGTAAAATCAGTTAAGCACACTGTTAGATGTAGTATAAAGAATATGCTAACAAAATTTCAGATTACCCAGAGTGCGTGGATGGTAGCGGTGATACCTCCACCGTGGCTAGCGGCAGTGGCAGCTGGCAGTGATGTGCCGTAGTACGAGGCGAGGATGTAGAACGGAGTCGGTACGCTAGCAGGGAGTGCTAGGCAGGCCCAGCCTGGAGCTAGGCAGGCCAGCTGCCTGAGCAGAGCTGGTGTGGTAGGATCACCCTGCAGAGAGGATCCTGCCTGGAGGGAGTCTGTCAGCCGAGCATCTGTGATGGTTTGGAGGACCACCAGCTGTTCGTTGATGATAACCCAAATAGGCAAAAAATAATTTTGCAACATTTTTTCAATAATTTTCGTCTTCCTTTCCGAACAGCATATGTATGGGTGTATGAGATAGCAGTCCAATGGTACTGCTGGTCACGAGGGAAAGAGAGTCAGCCGTGTACAATGTGGGACATATCTCTCAACAAAAGACTGGGAGTATAGTTGGTTGTTAGCATACGTGGTTGAAGAACGTTTCAGCAAGAACCGAGGCAGCTATTGAGCTGATAAGTAAATGGCAAGTTGGCTTGGGATCACCCACTTACGTAGTTGTATATAGTAGTGCTTTTGTGGGGTAACTAGAAATTAGCCGCTGAGGGCTCGATCGGGGAAAATGACACCATGAAGGCGAAGGTTCAGGATAACTACGACGAATTGTAGATCCATGCGCTTCAGTTTTTATGTAGACAAAGCCCTATGTGTGTTTCCATGTGCGACAAGAAACAGGATTTGCGGCTGCTAGAGTAGGTATTATATCCACCACTGACGGCTTGTTTGTTGGCTGGAGCCGTTGAAACCATTTGAGATAGACTACGAATTGAAGACTTGCCGCTTGGGTTAGACTCTCACGCTTTCCAGGCGTGGCATTACGCAAAAAAAGCCATCAGGCTAGATGGGGCACCTGACACAGTTAAAGTCCATGTTTGACGAGCATTGAGTGACGTAGTGAGTGGTCGACCACAGCGAAGCCCCGAGGTTCTTGTCAAGCACTGGCTGCGGCGTGCATGCCTCGCCTTTGCGATTTCTGCCCTGACTTGGCGATGCTAAATTGACTGATCAATTTTCCTAGTTTTTCTGTGTTTCCATCGCATCGCTTCGCACAGTGCACAACATGCACTCGTACCACGGGAATGCGTATCATTTGGTCTTTGACACTGACTCTATGGATCTCGCACCAGTGTTTTGGGTCAGGATTCCAAAAATCGTCGTTCAATCGCCATGAGCTGCACCACTGCCGTCAAGAAGCTCAGTCTCTTTTCTACCACGCATACGATAACTATCTCAGATTAGCCTACCCTGACGACGAACTGTATCCGATCAGATGCCGTGGGCGCACCAGAAATGTAGAAAATGACGCCGATTTGGATAGGAACGACGTTATGGGTAACTACTCGGCCACGTTGGTGGATTCCTTAACCACACTGGCCATAATGGGCGATAAAGATCGCTTTAAGAAGGCGATTGACTTGATTCGCACCGATCTCGAGCCGGAATTCAAAATCAATGCCACGGTCCAGGTCTTCGAAACCACAATCCGCATATTGGGTGGTCTTTTATCCGCTCACTTATACGCTACAGATCCAGCGAAAAGGGTCTTCTTGGGGAGGGAATATGACGGCATTTTACTACACAGGGCACACAGACTTGCCGACAGGCTGCTACCTGCCTACTTAACCAAGACTGGACTACCACTGCCTCGCATTAATTTAGCCACAGAGTACCGCAACGTTCCTCCGGGGTTTTTGCAAGAAAATAATGCCGCCGCTATGGCTTCGCCCATGTTGGAATTTACGCTTCTTTCGTATTTGACGCATGATGATAAGTATAGGCAAGTTACAAAGTATGCTTTCGATAAAATCTGGTCGTTGAGAAGCGAAATTGATCTTGTGCCCATGTCATTCAGCCCCCATACCGAAATGGCGAATAATTTTTACACGGGGATAGGAGCATCGATCGATTCATTTTACGAATACGCCCTGAAGGGCGCCATTTTGTTTCAAGATGATGAACTGTGGAACGTTTGGGAACTTTCTTACAATGCTTTGCGAAAACATTCTAGAGGCGATTGGTTCTTCTCCAACGTCGAACTCATGAGTGGTCACGAAATTCTACCCTGGATTGATTCACTCAGTGCTTTTTTTCCCGGATTGCAAGTTTTGGCTGGTGACGTTCCTGACGCACAGAAGAAGCACTTGATGTTCTTAAAGTTATGGAATACGTATGGTGGGATTCCCGAAAGATGGGAATTTGACCCCCGGGAATTTGAAAACAACGAGCAGGAATTAAATGCAAGCTATGTACCTTTACCATGGTACCCACTACGACCGGAATTTGTCGAGACAACTTATTTTCTGTATCGTGCAACGAGGGACGCTTTTTACTTACAGGTTGCTCGATCGATTTTGCAGGACTTGAAAAACTATTTTATGACGGACTGCGGCTTTGCAGGTCTTCAGGATGTTATGACGGGCCAGTTCCAAGATCGAATGGAAACTTTTGTACTCAGCGAGACGCTGAAGTATTTGTATCTCACTTTTGATGTCGATAACGAATTACACAAGGACGGTAGCAATGTCATTTTCAGCACCGAAGCGCATCCGCTTTGGCTGAAGGCTGCTGATTTCAAAAGGTATAAGTCCTCCTCTTTTTTCGAGGATACTCGCTATCGTGATCATTTACTCCGGGTTCAGCAAAGAGATGCCAGTTTGAAGTCTTCTAACATTAACCGATTTTTCCATGACATATCAAATTTATTGCTTTACAGAGCCAGGTACCCAGACCGTAACTCGACCTTAAATCGCAAAGGTATATCCACAGGTACTTGTCCGATCATGCGCTCTGCTAATGACTCGTTCCAATTTTTGCATTCAGATGTGATTCGCCACTGCGAACGCCTTTTTGAGATTGATTATAGGTATGCAAGCAATTTGCGGAAGCCATCGAAGCTCATTGATAGAGTACCAATAGAGTTGGAATCTTCTTTTTACCACATATGGGGCTCTCAAACAAGTCCCCTACCTAAGTGTCAGTTACCACCAACAACAGACTCGTTCGACGTTATATTCCGGGTTGGATGGTCCAACTCAAAAACACCACCAAACTCCCAACTATCGGGGGTTTATGGCCCCATTAAAGATTCTATCACAATTGAATCGTTGATCGGTGTTAGGCTGCAGGTGGAAGCCCTTATTCCTGGTGCTATCGACTTACACGGAGAAGTCGTGGATGCGGACTACCTGGCTTACCTTTGGGAGCTCAACTCTCCTGCGGCACTCGGGTTTCCGAATCCAGGTCAGGATTTCAAAAATTCCGCTTCTAATGACCCGCGCAGACCGATATACCGTGTGTCCATCTTAAATGGCATTCAGTTAGCACACAATGCCACCGTTTGGATCAATTCAACTCTGGACACCTCACCGTCAGCCTTAGGTATGAACCATAATGGAATGCTAATGCTAGACAAAGTACCTGTGGTAAACGCATTGTTCAAGAGTATGTTTTAGTCTCGTTCAAGACAGAAACTCTCCACAATGCTGACACTTCCACAACAGATCATAGTCTGAACTACCACATATTGTTAAATGAATGCTGCCGGGCAACACAGCAGTTGGACAACTGCTTTTTGGTTTTTAAACTAGCTAGACCTTCCTCATTATTTGACGAGAGCAAAACAAATGCAATAACTTTAGTCCCGTCTACTAATCCTGGGCAAACCAAAGCTGCAAGCAATTTCTGTTCCTTTATCCTCTTCAGTTATCGTGAAAGTCGCTCAAGGGTAGCCAGCTAGCCATGCCAGATTCCGATCCTCTGATCATCCGTCCACTGTGATATTAAACTTCAATGTTTCTTTTTCACTGCTAACGGGGGGGTGATAAAATCATATTTTAACAATGACGATGATGATGATTAAGAGAGTTCCCGGCCGGATCACAGATACAACATTGGCTCGGTTATTGTAAGCTCATTTCCTAAAACTGAATTAGACTCAACATTTGGACATTAGGACTGAGATATTTCTTAGTTGCTACAGCTCATCTCGCCAAACTTTGACCTTGTGGGTAAGGTTTATCTAAATTTCAGGTTCGAAGACAATCAAGACTGAGGTCGTCAAGGGTCCAACAGGGGAGCGATCAATTGACATTGGTTCCAGGCTCTAGTGTTCTTTACTACTACCTTTGAGCGGAGAAACTGCTATCGAAAAGAGCGTAGAGGTTTTCTCAACGTACTTCCGGCCTATTTAGGAGACGTCAAAAAGATAGTGAACTAAGGAAGGCCAGAGTGCGAAGCGATACTTAGCCTGATCGGTTGTAAATCAATTCTGAAATGATCAACTTTTTCGGCACAAAGAGTGTTGAGTCGCAAGCACAAAACAATGACCAAGGCCGGCTGGACGGTACCAAACCTCCTCCATTACAATTACAGCAGCAGAATATGCAATCGAATGGTCTTTTTCCAAGCTTCACTGCCCAAACTGCAACCCCTACCACGGCTCTGTGTGACAATTCCTACGCCATGGGTACTACCGGGCTTGCGTCAAACCAACCGGAAACTGCCCTTACGCAGATGAAGTCCATGAGCAGTCAATCAGAACTACACTTGCAGGCTATGAAGTTTCCAGACCAACAGCAACAAGACATACCGTCATTGCGACCAGCATCTGCTAATGGTAACGTCAAGACGTTTCCCCAGCTATCGCAACAGGCTAACCAGCACGTACCGTCTGCAGGATCATCGAACGGAAGTACTACGGAGCAACGCGATGCCATCTCAAGCCTGGATTCTGATCCAGCCGAAACAGGCATCCCCAGAGGAAGGCTTGAGGTTACGATAGCAGAGGCTCAGGGTCTTCTAACTCGATCAAGCCAATCACAACCATATGTGGTTTGCACTTTCGAAAGTTCCGAGTTTATTTCTGAGGGTCCTGAGTCAGTAGACAACAAACCCGTCACTCACAATACAATCAGTGGATGGACAAATGAACTTCCAGCAATTGCTGAAAAACACAAGAAGCCTTTATACACCCGCCAATCGTCTTCTCAACTTGACAAGCTGAACAGCCAGTCAGTCGCTACTAACAATAATTGTTCAAACCCCATATGGCACCACGAAACTACTTTTGATGTCCTGGGAGCCCACTCAGAGCTTGATATTTCTGTTTATGATGCGGCTCATGACGATATGTTTCTAGGACAAGTACGTCTACGCCCTGACCTCCACACGAGCTCACTGTCGAAACACGAGCAGTGGTACAAGCTGCAGAGTAGAATTGTTGGTGAAAGCGTAGCTGGGCTCATCCGGGTGAAGTGGCATTTTAAATCGACTAAGAAACGTCAGTACGGTCCACAAGACTTCGAAGTACTGAGACTTTTGGGTAAGGGCACCTTCGGCCAGGTATATCAAGTTCGCAAGAAAGATACCAAGAGAATTTATGCAATGAAAGTGCTGTCCAAAAAAGTAATTGTCAAGAAGAATGAGATAGCGCATACTATCGGCGAAAGGAATATTTTGGTACGTACCGCTTCCAAATCGTGCCCATTCATAGTTGGGCTTAAGTTTTCCTTCCAAACGTTGGCTGATCTTTACTTAGTGACTGATTTCATGAGCGGTGGTGAACTTTTCTGGCACTTGCAGAAAGAGGGTAGGTTTACAGAAGACCGCGCCAAGTTTTATATTGCAGAATTGGTGCTAGCTTTGGAATATCTGCATGAAAATGATATTGTTTACCGTGATCTCAAACCCGAAAACATTTTATTGGATGCTAACGGTAACATCGCTCTATGTGATTTTGGTTTATCCAAGGCTGACTTGAAGGATCGAACTAATACGTTTTGCGGAACGACAGAGTATTTGGCTCCAGAGCTGCTTCTTGATGAAAGTGGCTATACCAAGATGGTCGATTTTTGGTCGCTAGGTGTCCTAATCTTCGAAATGTGCTGTGGCTGGTCACCATTTTTTGCTGAGGACAATCAAAAGATGTATCAAAAGATCGCCTTTGGCAAAGTCAAATTCCCTCGGGATGTCTTGTCACCCGAAGGTCGTTCTTTCGTGAAAGGGCTATTGAATCGTAACCCAAGGCATCGTTTGGGGGCTCTGGACGATGGAAGAGAACTTAGAGCACATCCATTCTTCGCAGACATCGACTGGGAAGCTCTGCGGCTCAAAAAAATTCCTCCTCCCTTCAAGCCACACCTATCAGGTGAAACAGACACTTCGAATTTTGATCCAGAGTTTACGCAAACATCTACTTCATACATGAACAGACAGACAATGGCGGCAACCCCGCTATCCCCCGCTATGCAAGCCAAGTTTGCAGGCTTCACGTTTGTTGATGAATCTACAATGGACGAGCTTCACAACAACAATTATAATAATCGCAAATTTCTACAAAACTCATACTTCATGGAGCCCGGCTCCTTTATTCCAGGTAATCCCGAATTGCCTGCCGACGAGGATGTGATAGACGACGACGCTGGGCAAGATACTGAGCTAGGAGATGGGAAACCTGCTGGTTCTCACGAGCAAGTAGATTTCGATGGTGACCATCACATGGACGACGAATTTGTAAGTGGTCGTTTTGAAATCTAAAACGGCGGTCACTAAAAGAATCTGACACCGTGCACCCGAAATAACAATTCCATTATCCTCGAGACCTTGTTTCTCCTTTGGCGTAATCTTTTCAGCGACCTCAATACCGTTTTTCGCTCTCCTCGGAATCTCTGATGAGAGAATTTCAGCGATAACGGGTTATTGTAAGGAAGGTTTAGACGTTACAACGAAGCTTGAGGAGCAAAAACGTTTATTTATGGGGTATCGGGACAAGGCTCGCGCGCAAGACTTGAGGAAATTTTTTGGGCTACCGAAAAATACCTCCTCCAGCTCGTATCCTCTCTGTTATATAATATTAAGTCTAGAATTGTACATTAAGGATAATATAGCCCCGGAGAAGGACGAAACTCTAGTCATAGTAAGCTCTCCCCAAAAGTCTTGCAAACAGGTCAAATAAAAAATTGGGCATGTTATCTAAAAGACGTATAATAACAGGCTAAACACATCTATCAATCACTTTCAATAGTGAAAAAGACCACCTTTGTTAGTGTAATGCTGATCGATTCTCCTACTGATCCGAGGACAGTTGGACAACTTCATCTTCCGTCACTGTCTACGATTTTACAATTGTGGTCTAAATATCATATAATCAATCCAGAAAGCGCACTGAACAAGGCCGTTATATTTAAAAGATTAAACAGAGACAACCGATCTATTTCGAAGAATTAGTTTCTCATTTAGAATCGAAGAGAATACTCGGCTTCTCACAGTCATTATACCAGGCACGAGGAAGAAGCTACAGAGCACGACATCAGTCAAACAATCTGGTCGAGTATCATAAGCCTGCCCTGCATATTTCAAAAAAGAGAGAGAGAGACAGATAGAGAGAGACAATAACAAAGATTCGACTAATAAAACGGCCGTGAGGGACTCTTTGAATACTGATATGGAGACAAGTGAAGATTTACCGAGCTCCAATGGAAACGATGTGGTTGGAGTTAACAAACTGGGTCAGAAGTCAGGATCAAACGACTTTGTACGCAAGCTGTTCAAAATCTTAGAAAGTGGAGAATACACCAATATAGTGCAGTGGACTGATGACGGTGACAGTTTTGTTGTGCGGGATACTAATGCCTTTACTACCCAAATTTTGCCGCAGCATTTCAAGCATTCCAACTTTTCTAGCTTTGTGCGGCAGCTAAATAAGTACGACTTCCACAAAATAAAACGAACGACCGAAGAGAAGCAAAACTCGCAATATGGTGAGCATAGTTGGGAGTTCAAACATCCAAATTTCCGCATCCATGATGAAGAGCAACTTGATAATATCAAAAGAAAATCCGCCGTGCAGAGAAAAATAATGTTGGATGACAACGTTATGTTGGTCAAGAACCAAAACTCTAATGACAATGGAGTCAGCAGTCAGTTCGACTCTGCTGCCGAGATGATATTGAACAATACGGTTAACAAGCCTAAATTTCACCAGTTGAAGCGCAAAGTTGAAGCGTTAGGCCAAGAGGTGAGTTATCTGAAGAACGAAAACTACGAATTGAAACTCGGCTATCAAAAATCACAGTCTCGATATAATACTCTAATGGAAAACCTCATATCCACGAGAGAGTTCAGTAACATGCTGGTCACCAATTTAAACATCCTTATCAACAGTTTAACTTCACAGGGACTGGAAATTCCTGGTAACTTAACATTCAATGCCACAATGCCGATTGTGCGCCCAGTCCAGGACGCACAATCCCCACAAATGAGCTCTGTGGTTCCTACACTTCCCCTACGAAAGCCGTCAAGTATGGAATCAGGTCCATCTTCCACTACCCCCCAAGTGATATCAGATCATCCGATACTACGACCAGGGTTTCACGTTTTACTTGTGGAAGACGATTCTATTTGCATCCAGTTATGTTCCAAATTCTTAATGAAATATGGCTGTACTGTGGAGGTGGTGACAGATGGCTTATCAGCTATTTCCACTTTAGAGAAGTTCCGTTTCGATCTAGTACTGATGGACATCGTTATGCCTAGTTTAGACGGAGCCACTGCCACCTCCATTGTCCGGAGTTTCGATAATCATACACCCATAATTGCTATGACGGGAAATATCGAGGACCAAGATTTAGTCACCTATTTACAACATGGGATGAACGACATTTTGGCGAAGCCGTTCACCAAAGACGATCTGCATTCGATGCTAATTAGATATCTGCGAAACAGAGTACCTCTTTCTGAGCAAAGAGCTGGCTCGCTATCGAAAAATCCTCAGTCACCCCCGTTACCGCATGACAACGATGTCACAAATTTAATTCGTGAAGAGCCGCCTATAAAAAAACAACGCGTTTAGGCTACCATCGGGAATGTTAGCTTCGAATGATCTGAACCTTTTACGCTGGTAGTACTTTATAAAATATTTAGTTGATATTTCCTATCAAAGGGTTTAATGTTTATCATAATTTTCTGAGTTTACGTAACACTTTGTGAGTTTATTCTTCCAATGCAACCATCACTCGATCATCAAATCTCACCGACTTTCTTCTTCGTTCCAACCTCAAATTTTCAGGTATCTCGAGGTCGAATTCTTGGCCATTCTTTAAAAGCTCCGACAAATCGGGCCTAGAGGCCTTTATAGAAGATTTGCGTCTAGGCGCTGTTAGCTGATCAGGTTCCTCTTGTGCAAGCTGCTTTGTATGGGCCTCCTGTCGAGACTTAAGTTCTTTCTGGCACCGGGAACAACGGCAAAGAAACCCATAGTTTACCAAAAGTTCTCTACGTCGTAGTGTGACTCCATGTAAAGGGTTCACATAGGTTGTAAAAAGCTCCTCACCTTTCTTGATATCCTTCCTTGCGAAGAGCCGCAAGCCCGTCTTGCCCTCGAACTCATATCGAACGTTCGGTTCGCATTTGTGATTTAGATGTGAATACATGGTGAATATTTGACCATCAAGTTGATTGATATTGTACTTTCCAACATTCTTCAAAAAGGTGTCCATGTCAAAGCCTTGTTCCTGAGCTTGAGGAAATGCGGTGCAAAATGATTTGAATAATTCATTCCAAACAGGGCCCTCTTCTGAATTTACCGCACCTGTCGTTTTGTCGAATAGTCCACCTACATTAGTTGAGTCTGCAGCCTTGGTCCGCAAAAGTTGGCTTACTTCTGCTAAAGACTCAAGCTCTTCCTGAATGTGAGCCCCGTCTTGCCTGTTGAGTATAATCCGCGCGTATACTATTCCGATAGCGTATGGAGCTTGTAATCCATGCTCTTTGCACAGCTCTTCAAACCTCATCCATCCAGATGCTGACACCAGTTTGCTTTTGCTGGTCGGGTGTTTGAGAAATCCATGTGTACTAGCGTCTAGGCGTTTACAATGCTTGGAACACCAAACAGCGGAGCACGCTTGACAGTCGAGCAGATTTTTCAGTGTGAACTGGGAACTTTGGGTAAGTAATTGGCCACATAGGGAGCAAGATCGACCTTTAGAAGCGAGAGAGGCTTTGTCCAAGGGCAAAATCGGCGTCAATGGTTCGTGCTCATAAAAGATGATCTCGTCTCGTCGCAGGTCTTTCGCCGCAAAAAAAGACCACCTGCCACTTCTAATTTCCCGCAGTTCCATTTTATCCACAACTTTGGGGTTAGGTTTGGGAGGGTGGCGGCTCATGACCTCATCAGCATAAGTAAAGAGCTTGGATTCATCAGTGAACAACAAGTTATGGCCTGAGAGCACTTGCTCCAAATCTTCTCGGGATAATTCCCATTGTGGATTTCTGCTGATAATCCTAGTGAGCAAATCTGCGGGTCCCAGGTCCTCGGACGCTGGTTCTTGGCGCCATAAAAGTACAACGCCGTCGCAAATTTGTTTATCAGATGGCACAATTTTTGGCTCTTTCAAATCGTTCGTTTCTTCCTCAGCGTCATTCAAATGTAATTGTTCTAACTTGACTGGCATAGCACTCCCAAGAGCTACTTGTATTGGAAAACTGGGAGAACCTTTACTCTAACTCTATTTCGTTCAAAGAGTTTCGATTGATAGCAGATTCAATTATTGAATATAAACAAACGCTAATAATAACCAAGAAAATCAAGGAATCCTCCAGGTTTGTGAATAGAATTATCAAGACGATTCAAGCACTTCTACGGTGCTTGCTTCAGGACCAGAGTTGGAACATCGTCGCTCCAATATTGAGAGAAGTTCTCTATCGTGTTTAACGAGGGTTTGAGTTATCTTTCTAGATATCTCATCGCTCAAGCTTCAACACCCTGTTAAACCTTTCCTCAAACCTATCCTCGAACCTATTCGTGTTGAGCACACAGCGTCCGCAATGCTGAGAGCGGCTTTAAAAGTGGGAATCAGATGCTATTCAAATGAAACCAAACGTTTTGTAGTAAGGCAGCCCAAAAGCTCGAACAGAGGACTACTGATAGGTATATTTGGGGCGAGTTTTGGATTAGGATGGTTTGTTACACAACATATGACATTCACGGACTTCATGGCCAAATATATGTTTGATAATGTACCAGAAAACGATGAGGGTCTTTTGAAATACAAGGCGCAACTGCAGCATCGTTTGGATAACCTAAAAGTTGTGCAACAATTGAAACAAGTAGGCTACACGGAGATTTTCCCCAAGGCACAGAACAACAAGGCCAACAAGACGCTGGTTGATAACACTCTTATGGTGCCAGGGGGTATAGCTATTGCTCCCCGGTTTTTCTATGATGCCAAGACCAAACAAACTGTAGGTATCTACCACCTGGGGATGAAATTAACGGGATATCCATTCTTGGTGCACGGCGGTATCTTGGCGACCGTTATGGAAGATCTCATGCGAGTCTCTGTGATGTTAGCGAAAGGAGTGAAGTCTGAAAAAACGAAAGATCTAACCCTGAACTATAAGTTTCCCACGCTCGCCAACCAGTTTGTCGTCGTGAGGATTACACAAGTGGAGGAAAACGGCAGGAACATAAAGCTGCATGCGGAGCTCATGGATCAAAGTGGGGACCGTACTTTGGTCAAGGGAACCGGACGTTTCAAATGCTAATGTGATGGTCATTCCTTTGCTGAATATATTAATGTATATGACATACGACTCTACAGCCTCTTTGTCTTGCCTACACGACGTGATATGAATGTAGTCTTTCTCACGGGCGGTCGTTGAACCAACGGACGGTTCCGTCTCCGCATACTATCCCATCCATGTGATGGTCGTGTGCCTCTGTAGGTACTTCAGGCACCAGCTGTTCTTCCAGGGCGAGGCCAATAAGCAGCGGCCGTTTGCCATGCGTGTCTAGCGTTCGATGGATGAAATCGTCATAAAACCCAGCGCCATGGCCCATCCTGGCCCCAGATAATGGACTGAAAGCGACGCCCGGCACCAGCACCAGTTCCAAGTTTGGAGGATGTGGATGCGGCTCCTCCAAAGGCGGTTCGCGAATTTGATATTTGCCCTGTGGCTCCAATCTTTGTACATATTCGAGAGACGGCATCTCGTGAAAGGTCAGATGCGGATGGGACTCTACTCCTGGCCGGAGCACCCGATGGCCACTGATCTGGGTGTCAGTGCATCGCGGTAGAAATACATGTTTCTTGGTTTCGAACAAGTGGGAAATGATGGGCATCGTCCTGACCTCCCCGCGGCCCATATCGAGGAAACACGCTACCGAACAAAATCTTTGTAGTATAGGCTTCAGTGCATTCAAAATAAGCTGCGATTGGTGGTCCAGTGTAGTCGATGAAATTTGACGAATGCGCTTTTTGATTTGCGGACGAAGAACTAACTTCGAAGTGGTCATTGGGATACTCGACTGTTCACGAAATCCAGGTTGATTGATAGGTAGTGGAGAGAGGGAAGGAGTATCCCATATTTGCAGAACACGGCCCGGGACTACACATATTTAAATGAAAGTAGTGTAAGCAGACGAAAACACTTAAATGACACCCAAGTATTCGAGTACATAGTATATATCGACGAAGCAAGGCTAAATTGACGAACTAGCCACAATTTTACCAAAGCGACTGCTCTCCGGCCTTCTTCCCATTCAGAGGCGGGCGGAATCTCCGCACCATAATCGAGCAATCGAAAAATCAATTTCTGCACGCGGCAGTCAGCTTGACGACTCGCTCCACTTTCTTTGATCTGTAGCTCGAGCACACATTAGCATACACGCGTGCTCTACCAGTTTGCAGAGTGCTTGATACCTGAATGCTCTCGCCAGAGGAGTGTGTGTGACATAATGGTACAAAGTGACATGACATTGACGTGCACGCTTTTGAAAGTGCTAATAGCGCTGCCTTCGATTGCAGGTACTCCGCGGCTCAGCATAGAATTTCGCAAGCATTCAGCAATGATGGTGTTCGACGGCGTAGCTCCGAGCCCTACCTACAATGTCGTCCCGGGCCGTCACCAATATAAATACCGTCGTTTACGTCACGTGCCGTCCAATTATTTTCACATCGTACCAAACTACCACATTTTGACTCCGGAAGCCATCATCACGAACGGAAAAAAGAAGTCAAAAATGACTTCGGCAAATGGCACAAAATCGCGATACACGAATGGCGGCCCTATATTTTCGCCAATATCCTACCTGATGTGCCCTTCATCAGATGCATATAAAGTTGACGAGTCTCTGCCAAGCACTGCGTAGGACAAGTTGCGTTAGAAGCCTGAAACTCTGCATCACGAACATTTTTCCGCCAACCTCCTGTCTCCCATGTTTCGTAACTGCGCTCAATCGGTTTTGAAGTTGTCATCTCGTTCAACACCCCGCTTGTTCCTCAGAGCACAGTCGACCAATGCGCTCACCAACACGCAGGTCCCTTTTACATTCTCTAAGTCAGGTCCCCTGGCTGTGAAGTACACGTCGCAGCACGAATGGATTGCAGCCCACGAGGACGGCACCGCATTCGTTGGAATCACAAAATACGCTGCGGACGCGCTGGGTGATGCCACATACGTCGAGCTTCCAGACGTCGACACTGAAGTAGAGGCTGGTGACTCGCTAGGGTCGCTGGAGTCAGTCAAGTCTGCGTCCGAGATATACTCCCCATTGGCAGGCACTGTGGTCGAGGTGAACGAGACGCTGAACGACTCTCCTCAGCTGATCAACGAGGATCCTATGGGTGAAGCTTGGCTCGCCAAGCTCAAGCTAAGGAGCTTGGACGACTTGAGTAACGACGATCTTATGTCTCTGGAGCAGTATGAGGGGTCTCTCAAGGAAGACCAACACTAGAGTGCCAGCTAAGAGAAGCTCCCCACAGTCTGCTGGGCCTTCCAGGACGATCGTAACTAGGGTGGTTGCTGTGCAGGAGTTTTCTACGTAGGCGCGAAGAGGAACATGCATAAATAGAAGCTGTACTTTTTAATCACATTAATGGTTTGCAGTAGAACCTGTTTCCCGACGTCACCATTGTTGTCACCGCTGCTGTCACCATTGTTGTCACCGCCGCTGTCACCGCCGCTGTCACCATTGTTGTCACCGCTGCTGTCACCGCTGCTGTCACCGCTGTTATTACTGTTGCTGCCTCTTGGCATGCTCTGCTGGAGTCCTGGTTTGCAGTTGTAGGGCGTGCACACCTTCTTTCAGCTCGACATCCAACAAATTGTAAACCAAACGGTGCCTTTTCGGTAACGTCAAGCCTTGAAACCCATCACTTACAATTTCCAATCTGAAGTGTGACTCGATCTTGTTTTCCGCTTCCGCTATACCGTGGTGACCAGCATGTTTGTACGAATCATTGAACAATGCAAAGTGCGTAAGATCTGGGAATTTCGTGCGGACTTTCTTAGTTATACTTTGGGCTATGGGACCCTCAATGCTTCTATTGGCAGCCAGACTCATTTGGCGGGTCAATTGCTTGTAAAATAGCATTTTACAAAACTTCAAAGTGTGGTGTTCAATTTAAATATTGGTCATCATCATCATCTTGAATCTTCATCTTAAAGAGGTGGAAAATTTGAAAGCGAATAAATCGGTTGTTACTGACACGAAAGCAGCTCCAAAACTATGTTTAAACCAGCGTTTAGCTTTGCCCGATTGTCACGCAGGCTGTTGTCTTTTACTCCGGAGGAAAAGCTCATCTTTGACAAATTGTCCAAACAGTTGGAGCCCAAGCAGATCGACGTACGAGATGTCAGCGGTGGATGCGGTTCAATGTTCGCTATAGACATCACCAGTGATAAGTTTAATGGACTTTCGATGGTCAAACAGCACAAACTGGTCAACAAAATTCTCGAGGACGATATTAAACGGTGGCACGGCTTGCAACTGCGTACGCGAAGCAAATAAACTGACAAGTCTCTATAAAAAAGCTGGTAAAAGCACTCTGAGCGAGATACTATGTTGAACGCTACAGATCTATATTTATAAAATTCCAATAAAATTGCAAACTGTAATAAACTACTCGGATGTTGCTGGTTCGTCGAAGCTGTCGATTTGCTCCTCTTTCTCTTCCAAAATTTCCTCCTTGATTTCCTCCACAACTTCGAAGTCTTCGTCTGCTGTGGAGAATTCAATCTGGTCGAAGATTTGGTAACCATATTCATGTTGCATGGAGTCGGTGATTTCGTCTCTGTAGTTGTTCCATTCTTCGAATAGGGAGCGACGTAGCAGAATCAACTCTCTCATGGCACTGTCAGCTTGCATGGCATCCAACTCTTCGAATTGGGCGGACCACTCCTTCAGGTTCTTTCTCACCTTCTTCTTTTCTCCATTGGTCAAAAGCGATTCAGGCCTTGGTCTCCAAACGAAATTCTTGAAAGCTTCGATCATCTCCTCTCTAACCACTTGACCCGCAACAGTGAAAACTTTGTAACCATTTTCAAGCTTGTGCTTAACTGCGGACGACCAGATAGCAACGAATCTACCAGATGGGTCCCACCGCAAGTCTGTAGCACCATAGAAGTCAGGATGAGCTACGGCCTTCAGCTTCGCAGCGACATCGGTGCTGGTGTTGTCAGTCTTTTCGCCGGTGAAATCCAAGTCGTAAAAGTCAAAATCGGCCTTACGCTGGTCTGGGGTTACCAAAGTGGCAACCACAACAAATCTACCAGCAGGGGACCAGGATATGGTGTTGGAGAACTTATCCGTGACAGTTGCAAAGGCCTTCCACTTTTTAATATCGTCCTTGGCTGCCTTTTCCTTTTGTTCTGGTGCGAAAAAAGTTACAACGTTCTTAGGGATGGCTGGGTTATCGTCTACCGACTCAGTTCTTGAGATGGTGACAAATCTTTGACCAGTTGGTTCCCAGGCAAATTTGATTGCGAGGTCCTTCATTTCAACTTTATCAACTGGAACATCCTTTTCGGTAAGTTTACAAATTTCCAAGTTGGTGAAAAAGGTTTTCTTGGACTTGGAATGACGATCGACCTTAACACAGAGATATTCGGCCTGCTTTTGCCAGTGGAGAGTCACGTCGGAAACTTGGACCAAATTAACAGTTCTCAAGACCCTTCTGGTTGGGATCTCCATAATAGTGGCTTTACAAGATTGGTTATTGGATTCTGGTGTCCAGTATGCAAGAACAGAAGACAGGTCGTTGTTTCTGTTGACAGCTAATTTGACTCCAGCTGGGGCGAAGGAGAAATCCATGATGTTTTCAATCTTCAAAATCTTACCTCCTAGCAGTTCGAAATTGTTTTCGGCGTCGTAGACCGCCAAAGCGTTAGGACCTAGACGTGCACAGTATCTGTCGTCGAAAGACCATTTGATCATAGGCCAATGGAGGCTCTGGTTTGGAGGTAAAGCAAAAGTCTTTACCGACACACCCGTGGCTATATCCCAGACACATAGTTGGTGACCATTAGACTCGGGTCCAAATGGGAAGTCTGCAGGCGCGTCTTCAGGAACTGAGATAGGGTCTGGGGAAAGGGTGACCAAATACTTCTCAGTAGGAGACACCGCAAGCGCCTTGGTGTTAGGATGGAAGTAACGTCTCAAACGCTCAAAGCTCTTACCACCCCAAGAGGCGACACCCTGGTTATGAAAGGAGAACAAATAAGTACCTCTTGGCGAGAACTTCACCGTGGTGTTGGACCAGTTGGTTCTGGGCTCGACCGCGTTGTCGGGTTGCTGCGTGTTACGGTTCCAGAAGACACCGGTCAGCTCTCCCTTCTGCAGAACAAACTGGTCTCTTCCCTGCTCGTCTTGCAACCAGGACTTCAGGTAGTCTGTGGGCTGGAATTCGGGCAACTTAGGCTCGCGGAACTCGCTTTCGAAGTCGTCGGACCCGTACTTTTCCACGTCGTTCAGACTGTTGACTAGCAGTCTGTGCTTGACATCCAGCTTCTTGCCGTTAAGTAGCCTGATAGCTTTCTTGGCAGACGCCGCGGATTCGAACTCGACAAATAGGTAGCCCTTGGTACACTTTTTGTCCTCGTCAATAGGCAGGTTGATGTCCACGACTTTGCCCGCTTGCGAGAAAAGCTTTCCCAACACTTTGGACAACATTGGCACCTTGGCCTCGGGAGCTACGGGGGCTCCATCTACTACCACGAAGTTTTCAAAGTTCACCTCAGAGTCCACCTGGAACTGATTTTCCAGGTCCGAAAAATCGATGTCATCAACTGGGATATCTTCCAGTTTTATATCTTCAACAGAAGCGGCTGCCATTTTGAGTTGCAATGAACTAGTAAGGGCTCTTGACCTTTCAATGGCGTGATGGATGTGATGATATCAAAAGTTGTAGTAGTCGTTGCCCCAGTTGAGTGGAAAATTTTCTTAAATCATCGCGAGTACGCGAGTACCACGAGACTCGTCCAAGACGACCAAAAGCGTAAACGAGTTTATTCGAATCAGTGACAGTGACATGGAGTGCCAGCCGTGAAACAGTGAGAGTAAAGAACACAGCGAGTTCTGGAGGAGGACTTATAGATGTTCTAGCTTCGAGATACACCGTCAGAATTTAATATAAGGATCTGGGACTTTTTTCCAAATAATTTTAGGGCTAGATTGGCCGCTGCATTACAAGGACCGGATTCAACCTGAAATGGACAATGATTACGGTGGAATCAGCCATTTAAGCTTCCTTGATATGACAAAAGACAGCAGCACCAATGCTGGGGCCAGCGCTGGAAGCGCTTCCGCAGCAAGCAACGTGGCGTTCTCTCCACAATTGGGCGCGGCGGGTCAGGACGAGGACGATGAAGATGAAGAGAGCGAGCTTGACGTGGGCCGCGAAGATTTCGCGGAGCATGCTCCTTTTGGAGGCGACATACCGCGATTGAGTGTTTCCATGACCCCTTGGCGCAGAAAATCGTTGCCCCGACAGTCGAGTGCCTTGTCGTTTGATCATAGCATGCCAGACTCCAGACAGGTCTCTGAAGCTGCAGGCGTGGCAATGGACTCGGCGTCGCCTGTCAACTCTCGGCCGCGCACAGGAAGCTCACTTTTCTCAGAAGACTATCTCTCAAGTGCGCCCACAGCCATCGTGTCTGCTTCTGGGAATAACGAGGTTGAACATCTACAGAAGCAGCTCACGGCATGCAGGTTGCGCCTCAGGATCTTGACAGAACTTTTGAAAGAGCGCGATCCGGTCGCTTCCGAAACAGGTTCGCGGACTCAAATTTACGAAAAGCTAATCAACACCCTGCCAAAGCCAGAAACAACGAGCGAAACCTCCAAGGAACTTACTAACCTCCGGCGTAACCTGGAAGATAAGAACAAAGAGCTAATCGAGCTCAAGCAAGAACTTATCTCAACTAAGAACGAATACAATACAGTTCTGGACGATGTAAACTCTTACATTGAGCACTCTGATGTAATTGCTGGCAATATAGATGAACTTCTGGTATTGTTTTTGGAGAACTTGACACTTTCTGTCGAGGAAATCGACGCGCTAGAGAAAGCCCGCGGAATATCAAACAACTTCATCGACGTCAAAATGAATGCTCTCAGGTCTACGTTGATAAAGTTTTTGAGGGCCGGTGAGCCTTCGCCAGACGTTAAGCCCATCAAGGATGCTGATGAAGATGCAAGTACCACCTTCTCTGAGAAGTCTCAGTATCTATCTCAGACATTAGATACGCGGTTAGAGGGTGCCATTGAGAGTATGCACGAGGAATACCTTGCATTCCTCGAAAGTATAGAGGAGAAGATGGCTAAGTCTGCCTCCATAGAGCAGGATCTTGGTGTTCTCTTGGAGAAGCAAAACACCCTGATTTCCCAATTTGGGGACGCTTTGTGCGACCGTGAGGCTGCAGCAGAAAATCAACTCGCTGCATTGCGCATAGAGGGTCAAGGCTCAATGGAAAAGCTGGCCAACAATGTCAAATTGGTGGAAAGATTTGGTGAGAGGGATATACACGCCAAACAGGATGGAGCCTGCTCCGATTTTGATGTGACTGGAGGAAGTGTCAATGGCCTGACGAAAACCGACCTGAAAGATTTGAGCTCTGATTCTCTTCAAAAGAAAGTGCTGTTACCAACACAGAGATCCCGAGATGATTTGAAGCGGATGCACCAGCAGGAGCAAGAAGAATGGATAACGGAAAAACAAGACATCACGAATCAATTGTGGGCAGCAAGAGGTGAGGTGGAGGAACTAAAAGGAACTGTCCAGAGCCTACAAACTATGGTTTCATCACAACAGGCTGACTCTGATAGCATAATAGAAAACCTCGAAAAGACAATAAAGCGGGCCGTGCGGAAGTCTGGACTCTATATCAACGAAAACCGCAATCTGCAGGAGCATATTACCGTCATTGAATCGGAGCTTAAGGAGGCAATAGAACAAAATAGAGAGCTAGAGAGAAGTACCAACCGTTATGGTAAGGAGTTTGCAGAATTGCAGCAAGAATTTCAAAAATTACGGAATCACTTGTTGCTACACTTGAATAAAGTCTTTGATGTATTTGATAAAATTCTACAGAAGCACTCGATCGATCAAGCAAGAAATAAATTAAGAACTCTGGAGGGTCTCAGTCCATATGACAATTACCGAGCGACCCACGCCAAGCTAGAATCGCTATACGTATTCATTGAAACCGCTATCAATTCAGTGGTGGGCGAACACACCAAGGTAATTCTAAAGCTAAAGGAGAGACCATTGATGACTGATTCAAGTCAGGGCCATGATTCTCAGAGTTCTCAAATTCGCATCGAGCTTTTAGAGAGGAAATGGGTTGCCGAGCGAGAACGAAGAAAATTAGACGCCGATGCGGCTGAACACCGAATATCGCAGTTAGAAGAAGAAAACAAGATGCTTCGACAGCGGCTCCGCGAAAGCCTTCACAGTCGTGTTTGATGAAATTTTTTTGAGGTCGGGCAGTGTGGCTCTCTAATGCCCACAACTGACCACTTCCACTGCCTACTTCCAACTGTTAGCTACTTTTCCTTTCTCGTTTATTTCTTGGTTACCTAAAAATTATCTATTCTAGTTGAACGTCACCTTCAGCATCTTTCTTTTCGTTACTGTTGTCGTTTTCATTTTCGTTGTCGCTATCATCGCTAGACTGATCACTTTCATCGCTGTCGCCACTTTCTTGTTTGGCCAAAGCAAGTGCCTCGTCAAGAAGATCCTTGGGCACCGCTTTATGAAGCCCGTTCGTTTCGGAAACCGAACACCAACTCATTTCTAACTCAAAATCTTTTTCTTTGTTGTCCTCGTGAGCCAGGTGAATTATTCTGGCGGCTTCTTTAATCGCTTCTCTGCCGTCAAGATCGGGTTTCGAAGTCAGCACCTTCTCAAGTTCTGCTTTGGCCGACTGTCTTCCCTTTCCTGTAGCCGCGCCCGTGTAGCCCCAATATAGACCGCTAGGCTCTAGCATGTACAAATGGACCCCATCATCGTCGACGCCCCCAATTATGGCCGTGATACCAAATGGTCTAACACTGTTGTATAGAGTATGAGCTTGGACATACTGACCCAGTCTGTCCGCTAGAGCCGGCAATGGGATTGGGGTCGCATACGTTTTCCTGAAATTTTGCGCCTCTTCACGTCCTCTGTTCACGAGGTGTCTGCCGTCCGGCATCAATCCAGAGTATGCGCAGCCGATATGACGATCTATGGTTTGGATCTTCCTGTTCTTACCTGGCACTAGTAGTTTACTGGTAATCAACTTCTCTACCGCAAACACGACACCGTCTTTAAATTTGATGGCAACGGAACTCGCCCCATTCTCGGTGGCTTTTACTGCATACTCAACTTGAAAGTTCCTGCCATCTGGTGAGAAGACGCTATTAGACAGATCGTATCCAGTACCAATTGAAGTCTGCAATTAGCATCAAGGCAATGGAGTTAGTAAAATGCCAACAAAAAACGCTTGAATCAACGACTTTTACGTACCATATTAGAACTGCAGCGGAATGTTAGGCTCGATAGAAAGATGTTTCTTCAACCGTTTTCAAAAGTGTTCAGCTCTTTTAAGGTTTGCCACCCAATGTTGATGATTTTAGATTTCTAGCTCCTTCGTACAAGAGTATCCATGTATTTCGAGATCGTTAAATGATCACTATATTAGCCGATGAGCTAGGTGCTAGAACTTGTACCCAGCCTTAGCTGTCAAGATACCAAGGCTGGGTGTCAATCTGAGCAGAATCAAGGTCAGAGCAGGCTCAAAGAGACTCAAATCCATAAAAAAGATTTTTCCAGTGAATATACGGCGCGTTTAGCTTATTCTGGTGAATGGCAAAAGAACAGATTAAAGTGGTGGTGTGTGGAGATGATGGGGTCGGCAAAACAAGCCTCATAGCATGCTTAGTGAAGGATCAATACATACCAAATCTCCAAGACAGATTGTCGCCCGTTACAATTCCACGGGACTTTTCCTCGAGCCCATTCTCCCCCAAGGCCAGTGTTCTAGTAGACACCACGAGCTACGATCTGCCGCAGCTGCATTACGAACTGAAAAGCGCCGACGTGATATGGTTAGTGTATTCGGATCATGAAAGTTACGATCGAGTGGCCCTGTACTGGATGATGATGTTTCGTTCACTGGGTGTCAATCTCCCTGTCATTTTGTGCAAGAACAAATGCGACACCACTTTGCATGGGAGCGAAGGGACTCATGCCAAGGATATCAATGCTGAAGACAAGGCTTCGGAGAACACCAAGATCGAGGACGAGGAGTTCATCCCAATCTTGCGAGAGTTCAAAGAAGTTGAAACTTGCATTAAGACTAGCGCCAAAGATAAAATGAACGTCAACCAAGCGTTCTACTTATGTCAAAGGTCTATAACCCACCCCATTGCCCCACTATTTGACCCCAGGGTGGGTGAGCTTAAGCCACTAACCGTTTTGGCCCTCAAAAGAATTTTTTTGCTCTCCGACAAGGACCAAGATGGGTTTTTGAATGATGAGGAGCTATCAGTCTTACAAAGGCGTTCTTTTGGGAAATCAATCGACACACAGGAGCTGCAATTTATAAAAGAGACTTTGCTTAATCTTTCCATCTCTCCTCAGGAGTATGCCAACTACATTCTCTTCGTCCCTGGCAAGGGTATCACTAAAGATGGGTTTTTGGTCCTGAACAAGCTTTACTCGGAGAAAGGGAGACATGAGACGACATGGGGTATTCTGAGAGCTTTTCACTACACAGATTCGCTGTCCATAAACGATAAAGTACTCTACCCTAAGATGGACATTTCGGACAGTGCTAGCGTTGAACTGAGCCCACTGGGGTATCGTTTTCTCGTGGAACTTTTTTTGACGTTTGACAAAGATAATGATGGCGGCCTCAATGATCAAGAACTTGCTTTCCTTTTCAAGACAACTCCCGGTATTCCCAAGCTTTGGACGGAAACAAATTTTCCTTTTTCAACCGTGGTCAATAATCAAGCTTGTGTAACCCTACAAGGGTGGCTAGCACAATGGACTATGACAACGTTTCTGGACTATAGAACTACTACTGAGTATCTGGTGTACTTGGGTATTGAGAAGGACGCCAGATTGGCCCTCCAAGTGACAAAAGCTCGCAAAAAGCGCAGAAGGAATGGAAAGTATTACAGAGCTCCAGTTACTGATCGTAAAGTATTTAGCTGCTATGTGATCGGCAAACCACATAGCGGTAAAAGTTCTTTGCTCGAATCTTTTGTTGGAATGTCGTTCTCGGAGTCATACACTCCAACAATCAGACCTCGAATTGGAGTAAATAGCTTGGAGTTAAAAGGCAGTAAGCAATACTACTTGATTCTGCAAGAATTTGGCGAGCAAGAACCTGCAATTTTGGAAAATGTTGAAAAAATGAAGGAGTGTGACGTGCTGTGTCTAACGTATGATTCTAGCGATCCAGAGTCCTTTTCGTATTTATTTGAGCTTATCAACCAACATCAACACCTTCAAAACCTTCCCATGATATTCGTGGCTCTCAAAGCTGATCTGGATAAGCAGCAACAGAGATGCTACATTCAACCCGATGATTTCACAGACCAATTGTTCGTCGACCACCCACTACATGTATCTTCAGCATGGTCTAGCTCACTTAATGAGCTATTTATCAAATTAACGGAAGCCGGTCTTGAACCGGCCAAAAACACACCGGGGCTGGCCCCAGATACCGCAAGGGAAGAAGTCGACTATTGGCAATACGCGTTGGTCGCAACCTCTGCAGTGGGCTTCACCTCTTTATTCACCTTTACATTCTTCAAATTGTTTCGCAGTTTGCGGAGCGGTTCGACGTGACGCAGAGCCAGGTTAGTAGTTGAATTGCCCAAAGATAAGTAAGAATTGGTGACAGCACTTTAAAAGTGTCCCTTCCCTCGAAGTCACGGCGGTACTGCGTCCACAATCTGAAAATTTACCCCAAGGTGGCAACTTGAAGGAACCCCAATTCGATGCGGCTAATAGGACTATGTTTCACGCGGCAGCATCTCTCAGTATACCTCTAAATTTCTTCGGCTTATCATGCCAAGAGGTAACGAGCAATATAGTAGAGACCCATAGCTTGTCTCTATCTCTATTCAAAATTATACGAAACGAATATTGTTTTTTTGACTTGGTCCAATATGGATTGCCTCGATAGTTTTCCGTTAAGTTGTTATATTATACAGATATTTGTTGTATGGTACATGACATGTCTTCAGATATGTCAATCATAGGTAAGACTGACCCTTCGAGTAAGGATTTTGGTTGGCGCTGTTGCCGTGATTGGTGGAGCCCACGTATCCCTGATACGATGTGTCACTATTGAAAGTACTTTCCGGAGCACGAAGACTATGGGCGCTGCGGCTTGTAGGTGCGGTTGGAAGTTTTTGGTATGGATTACCAAATGCACTAGACCCCAGCACCGCTGACGTTGGCTGTACAGCCTGGGGCTCACCACTATAAGCACGCTTTTCCCTAGAGCCCGACTGGGTTTCGAATTGCGAGCTGTCGTCTACCTCGTCATCGAAAAGCAGTTTCCGAGAGCTCTTGTTACGTGAGCTGTCACCACTGGAAGGATAGTTCGAGGCTTCGTTGGTGACCATGGCAGCCTTACCAAGCTCAAATAGCTCGGCTTCAGATTTAGAGGCTGCTCCATTTGTCTGAATCTTAGGAATGAAAGAAACGCGATCGTCCTTCATAGGTTGGTATCGAGAATCTGGATTCCTGTGCACCAATGCTAGCGCGCAAGTGACGATAGTGAAAATCAGCAAAAAGAGAGCGAACACTGCATTCACAACGAAAAGAACCACGGCCATAACGGAAGAAACAACCTGGGGCTGCCCAAAGAGCTCGGAGAAAAATAGAAAAAACAGGGCATTGAACAGGTTGACCAAGTGAATAACGATATTGAATGCATTCGTCCGCTTATCCAAATAAGGTCTCTTCCAGCAAAGCGCTACAAAATAAACCAACTCAATGACAAAGACAACCATCGCTTGAGGCTTGCCCATATTTTGTAGAACAGCGACAAAAATGGATCTGAGCAAAGCATAAGCCATGAATGGCACTAACCACCAGTACAGATCTGCCTTGAATTGCACATACAAGAAACCATATCTGTTCAGGAATGTAGAATCACCGAATAGCATGTATGCTGGAGTCTTGTATAGCCTCTTAGATTCACGGCCCCTCACAATAACTCTAGTGACGCCATATATTAGCAATGCAGTAACAATCACGAGAATAACGGCGGCGTTAACGACTGCTGCAGGAGAGTCTCGTTGGGTAAACTCCCAGATACTCAAAATCGAAAGTTGAGGAAACGCGATTATGCAAAGCCTAAAAAGTGTGCCTTTGATAATATTACTCCAGCTTTTCCTGTACTCAAAAAATTTGGAAGATTCTGCCATAATACGAGCTCTCGTAAGCAATTCGACCAATGCTTTAAAGAACATCAAAGCGATCACAATAACGAAAATGAAAAAAAGGGTAAACACGGCACCGGTCAGAAACAAATTGGACAGTTCGATATCGGCTTTGAATGCTACACGCTGAATACCGTGCAACACAAGAGTCTTCGATGCATAATTAGTAGAGTTCCTTTCATTGGTAGTGTAAAGGTTTGTTTGATTCATAAAGGAACTGACGTCGAAACTGTTAGAGGTGGATATGGAGATTCTTTTGTAAAGGTGCTTTGCGCCTTCTACAACTGCTCTCTTCAAGCGCCTCTTCTGCACAGAAATAGACAACACGTCCTTGTTTGCCACAACAACAACGGATTCTCCACCAGTGGCCTGGATGTACCAATTGAAAATATCCTGCATAAAAGAAACGTTTATTATTCCCATCGACCATTGAAAGTTTTGAGCCCAAGCGGCGGCGATTGGAGGAACTCTAGAGACACCCATCATAGAGGTAATGGCGAGATTCTGGAAATAAATGAAAAGAGAAATGGAATTTGAGGCGATATGGGCAGCTGTGGTGGAGTGGCCAAGGACCGAGACAAACCCAGAAGTAAGAACACCAATACCCGAGATCGCCGCAATTGGCCATGATGCGTACTTAGTCTGCACTGTCTTACCATTGGTCAAGGGGGCCACCACACAGGCGAGGGGGTTTTCATGATCAGTGTCCTTCGACGCATACACCATTACGCGCACCTGAGCATCCAAATCAGGAATCGTATAGGCTACTCCGGGAACCTGATTCACCAGATCAGTGTCCAGCACCTGCTGGGAGTTCACGTCAATACGGCCGGCCTGCAGAGGGCACAAGGATGTCTGGCCCAAAGAACAAAGGTCAATCGAAGTCTCCATCACGTTCAATCCATATACAACAAGCTCGATTTCAGCTGTAATATTGTCCTGGATGGTCGTGGTCGCGTCAATGTTGAAAAGCACGGTCTTGTTACCAGGATAGTACTGCACGTCGAAAAAAGACGCTGTGAATTGCGAATTCTCCATACAAGTCAGAAGTGACCCTGTTCCTACATGTCTTGTATTGTTTTTAGCACTGACAGGCATCACTAGGAGGGCCTGAAGCAGCGCCCCGAGGAACACCAAAAAGTGCATTTGACGGCTTCAAAGCTTTAATAATCTCACGGAAAAAGAGAGAGACCGATACCAACAATTCTGCAAAATTCTGAGATCAGAAAAGGAGCCTTGTTCTGCAGTCAACGACTACTATCAAATCCTTTACCTGTTCCTCAGTAGTTGGTAGATGATGAAGTAGGCGTTGAAAGTTCATTAATATAAATCAGCCAGCTCTATAAATAGTGATCTTCAGCACAGCCGAGTTGACATGTGATCAAATAGACGTCACTAAAAGGTTGAATCGAACTCTGACGGCCTGGTGATTCAGGAATAGGCCCAGATATACTTTGAATAGAGGTGTTGTCGAAGCCGCCATTTGGTAATGATAGTACAGTTTGAAAAACGTCCAGTTGAATTTTAACAAAAAATCTATCTAGTGTCACAATAGTACGGACTGAGACTTGCCACGCCAGTAGATAAATAATGTGCAAGGCTAATATGACATGTGAAACTTAAAAGAGTAACTGTTACATGGGAACGACATGGCCAGTAATTTGTCTGGTGGAAATCTGGGACTATCGAGTCCTCACTCCCCCCCGAATTATCCTCGCCTGGATTTTCCATGAATCTCAGCTATAACTCCCAGACATGAGCCAGATCAATAGTCCAAATTTATCCAGAAAGGCAAGCTGAATGTGTTCCATAACGCTTAGAAATATTATCCAATACTTGAAATTAAGATTACGATATCTATCAACGAACTGAGCGAACGATTTTGACAAGCTAACCACTCCTGATTAACTTGTTCCAGTAGCTCTTGAATTTTTGAAAAGCTAATTCATAAAACTCATGGACGCCCTAGACATGGAAATGTGGAAGGGTGATTAGAGCCTCACACCGCAAAAAGAGGGATCTAAAATAGAGTGCTGCATGGGAACTCACTCACTCTAAAAATGTAGGGTTCGGGGGAATATGACAGAAGGTATATGAAGTGGAGTAAAGCTAAGATAGGATAAAGAAAATATCCACAAAAAAATCGAATTAAAACTATTACGAGATTCCGTCCCCCTGCCCTCAGTTGAGATGGTTCAAGCTCCAATAGAATTGCAGTAAGATTATGGGTACACACCTAAAAATGAATCGTAATATCCCCTTAAAGGTGTACTAATGAAGCTATTGAACGGTGTTTACACGATATCGGAACTCGAAACATAAACACGTACGAAGCCCATCACGTCCGCCCAGATAACATAGAGTTAGACTCCACAGATATGCTAATTTATGAGATAGCCAACCATAAATACATCTGTCCCACCGCTAACCATTAAAGACTCGAGTAACTAGCTATTCTTCGTGGTTAGTTCGATATCGTATTCCTGACATAATTGTGTCACTCTTTACAATAATGGCGCCGCAGGGAATCCTTTTTACCATACATTTCCGAGAGGACTACCGCTGTGGGAGCGCTGCCAAGGGACCAAGGAGAGAGAACTAATCCTCCTAAATATCCGTGCTAGAGGCCGCATATTGACTTTATTCTAGATTTTCTGAGGGATATCTCTTTGCAATGCCATAAACAGGGAGCGAGAAGCCCCGTCAACGAGTGATTGTCGCAGACAGGCTAGATTCAGGTGCGGAAATTACCAAAGTGGTGATGACATGATCTCCAAGCAGTTGATTAGGGGCCTGTAAGAATTAGAAGATAGGCTCGGGCAACTGATGTGTACGGAATGACGTGAAAATGACAAGTTGACTCATGGTTTTACGCGCTTTCAAGTTCGAAATACAGGCATTTTAACGCACGCATGCTCGAATCAGCCTCGGGGATCGCCTCATTCTGTGTGACGACACAAGTTTCTGCCGAGCGCATGTCGAGTCGCGATCCACGAAAAGCTCATCTCATGATAGTCAAATTGGTGCAGAGGGTCCGAGGCGACAGAGGGCCCTCCCATCATTGATAATTCCCATCAAAGCACCGTCGTCATGAGCACAATTCCACAAACTAGTACCGGTGACGTGACTTCACTTGACCAAGATTTACAAGAGCTTAGGAGAAACAAATTTTCTTCAGATTCCATCCTAGAGATTGGCAGGTGGATCTTTGATACAGTACTCGGCGAACCTTCGAAGGTACCTAGCGCTTCGCAGTTACTAGATGACCTGAAAGATGGTACCGTGCTGTGCCGTCTGGCGAACAGGCTTCATCAGGAGGACTCACCAGGAACCTCTCAGCTTCTCAGGTACAAGGAATCAAGGATGCCGTTTGTGCAGATGGAACAGATTGCGCAATTCCTCTCGTTTGCACGCAACTATGGCGTTCCTGAGGACGAGTTGTTCCAAACCATAGACCTTTACGAGGAAAAAGACTGTGCATCTGTATTCCAGACGCTCAAGTCGATATCTCGCTACGCCAACAAAAAACACCCGCAGACTTTCCCAGTCCTAGGGCCTCAAATAGCCACCAAGAGGCCTCGACCACCTAAAGCTGCAAAACCCAAGCATTTGCAAGGAACCGGTTGGAGCTCAATGGAATATGGGTCTTTGAAGGGGGCGTCACAATCTAGCGAGAGGGTTGTCTTTGGCCAGCGGAGAGACGTTGCGCACTGAGGCGGATGTATATTAAAAGCGGGCCTTGATAGTCAAGAGCTCGCGCTCTGGTCCCATGGAAGGTTTTCGATTGGCCTTGAGAATTTATAGATATCACTGGGAATTTGCTCGATCTGTTGCTTTTCCACGATAACCACATCTTTTCGTAAATGTCTCACTACGTACCACACTCCTTCATGAGTGCTACAGCGTATAACTCTATGCTTCGGGAACAGATCCTGCGCGGGCGCTTCTTTAAAGTCGGGTGTCAAAATGACCACAGCATCCCTCTCCGAAAGCCTGTTCCAATCTACTCCCTTGCTCCACAGACCTTCAGATAAGATCAGACATATTGATTGGTTTTTCCCTGAGTTCCCATCTTGGGTTAACGACGAGGATCCTCGATTGAACCATCTATAGGAAGCACCGACAAGGAAAGCGGCGACTATGCCAGCAAACACCAACCTCGGGGCTTGATCTCTCGTCTTTCTCAAACCCATTGGCAGACAGAATACAATTTTATGCCCTTGGTGGTGATTAATATGTGCTTCTTTTCAAATAGTGTATATGTAACGTTCATTGTGCAATCAATTATTATGTCTTCCTAACTCATCGGACATTTGAACAAACAATAAACAACAAACAAACAGCCAAATAGCCGCCCAAATACGTTGTGAGGGCGATGCTTGATCAATCACCACTTTTCTCAGCGTCAACAGTCCACTTGGAACACATTACCACAGCTTTAAATTGTTTAAGGCCGTTTGGCACGAAGGACGATGTCTTGATTATAATCGACAAAGATGGACTTTCGTTTGCTAGGGAAAACAACAGAGTAATAAGCATCCAGCTTTATTTGTCGAAAGAGCTCTTCATTTGCTACCGGTACAATGCTCAAGATGACAATCCAGACGCTCACACAAAGGTCTGTCTTAAAATCAATCATATACTGGATAGCGTGAGTGTGGTTAGTCGTGACAAGGATGACATTGTTGAATGCACGCTTTCCTACGATGGTGAAGGTTCTCCATTTGTACTTATTTTCGAAGACTCGGTGATCACTGAGAAAGTGGAGTATTCAACTTATTTGGTGAAAGAGTGGGACGCTACGGGCCTGGAGCTTGATACGAACGCCGTAACCTCAGAGTGTATCATGAAGGGCGATGTGCTGTACGGAGCATTGCAAGATTTGAAGGAAATTGGTTGTAAGGAGTGCTATACGTATGCAAAATCATCAAAGAGCGGGAAACGGGTGTTTGCACTCATATCGAGGAGCCAGCTCGGGTTATCCAAGATAATGTTGCCGGGTGAGAGGTCAATCTTAGAGAAACTAGAAGTCTACGATGCCACTTCCCACGAACAGGTGTACGATGTTCCAGTACTAGGCTATTTTGATTTTTCTACGCTTGACAAGATACGACCCAGTGCCAAAACTGCCAGTAAAGTTATGTTGCGGAAGGACGCACATGGGCTACTGAGCATTAACATGCTAAGTCAAACAGATGACGTTATACTGACGGACGCCCGGAGGTCGAGGTCAACAAACTGGGAAAGAGCATCTTCGTCAAACGATTACCCCGGGATCGTGATCGACATCTCCATCGTGGAGAAAGTACGCATAGATGAAGCAGATGATGATTCCGAAGCCCGCTTTTTGATGGAAAGTAGCGAGGACTCCGTAAAACCAGCATACTACCCGACATCTGTTCCTTCTCGACCACCGGTACTTACCGCCACGTCACACACAGAGGAGTCGCTACTGTTTGGCCGCCAGCAAAGATCCACAGAGCCCGACGCGGGGGGAGACGAGGATTATATCCCAGCTACTAACGATATTCCACTGTTTTTTTGAAGGAGGTAACATAAACTGAGGTCCAATACATTTTGAGTATGCGAACATAGTGAATTATTCCTACAAACTTGCGTTTATATAATTAAATGTGCACTTGCCAAACTCTGCATCCGCGGGGAGCGGACTAAACGCAAATATACCTGAGAGGTTAGTGCGTTTACTGGGAGAAGTGCTCCAAGATCATTTGGCGCTCTTCAGTGTCAGCACCCCAGTTCTTGACAACAACAACGGAAGCACCAACGACCTTTCTGGCGTTACCTTCACGGTCGATCTTACCCAAACCGGCCCATTCACCAAGTTGCTTGGCATCAGCAACCTTGATCAAAGGAACCTTGTTTTCTGGGTCGTTGGCTAGACCTTCAACGAGCTTGATGATGTTGTCTTCGGTGACAGAGTCGACCAAGACAGCCAATTGAGCCTCACCTCTGGTTAGAGCCTTGGCGGATTCTCTTAGACCTCTGGCCAAACCATCGTGAACCAAAGCGGTTCTCAAGACAACCTTCAAAGCGTCTTCAATGGTGATGGATTCAGTTGGTTGTTCGACAACTGGAACTTCTTGAACTTCTTCGACGTCAGACATTTCGTATCGATTGGAGAGAGTTTGGAGAGAAAAGTGCTAGTATGACTTCTTCGACAGGGAAACTGCTCAGTGGAGAGGGAAAAGAAGTCTAAGAGAAAGAGAAGTTGAAAGAAACAAGATGAGAAGATGAGCTTTGACAAAAATTGTGAAAAATTTCGACTGAGAAAAAAAAGCGTGGGTCGAATCATTCGTTTGTAGTGACATGTACATGCGTATAAAACGACAATATTATGGCGGAGTTAAGATGGATTTAATACGGATTTAAGAGGAGTTAACTTAGAGTTCAAAGAGTGAAAAGTCCAATGGAACGACTTCTCTAAGATAGCCATTTCTGCGTCTGGAGGATGTTGACCGACGAATTGTCGAGTGTCATCGTCCTGGGGTCTTAGTTGATTTCCGTCGGTGGCCTGAGTACCGAAATGGTGGACATCTTAACTTCACCAAACTTTAGCTGCGGGGATTCACTTGACCACTAGCGAAAGTAGTGAAAACTAGTTAAGCCTTCTGACTTACCAAGTATATATCCTTATCCTATAGTTTATTTGCTACAACTTGTTTCATTTTACTAGATTATTACACGTTGTCGTTGTTTTTTTGTCTTGGATTTTTAGACTATCCATATTTCATGTCATATTTCCATTTCGCCTGCGAATTCCACGGGTTCCACACTCATTTCCACATCCAGTGCCATGTTCATTTTAGCATCTTCATCATCGTCGATGACAGCAGATTCGTTGATCTGGTCCTTTTCGTCATCATCTTCGAAGTCGAGATCGAAAAAGTCGTCGTCGCTCCCTACAATTGACTGAAACAATATCCGTGCCGCTGTGATTGCCTCATCATATGATACCTCCGCCGATGGCAGCGGTGTATATAGCACACCATTATCGCTAGCACCCGGTATTAGCTTCTTGGTAGCCAAATTGTTAGGTTCATTGATCTCAAAGATGGATGGATCAACCACCTCGAAAGGGGGAGTGGAAGTAAACTGCTTGTAATAGAGCTTCACAATTATCTGCAGCTTATCTCGAGAGGAGTACTCCTTGAAGGACTGACCCAGCTTGACCGAATTCAATGTTAGATGCCCGGAATTATCCATCTCGACCAGACCTTCGTCATTTTCTATGTCCGCGGATGATTCACGCATTATACTTTCTTCCAACGCTCCTAGTGCAGCATCGAGGTCCATTTCACCGCGGGGACCAGTTTCCGTGGAGCTCAAATACCAAACGGACGTTCCCCGAGGACAAACGTCGCTTCCAGCGCCCATTATCAACGCCTGTACCGCCTGACGATTACCTGATTTGAGGGAATTCGGTGGGAACACCACGACCGAGGCGTATTCGCCCTCACCAAACCACTCAGAACAAGGTTTGTCTACCACACAAGTTAATCTTTGAACCTCGTATTTCTGTTCTGGCACGTTTTGACTATTCTCCGGGCACTGAGTAGGTGCCACAACTACCTTTTCGGAAACGCTAACCCTAGAGCCATCACCGAAAATGGCAATTTTAGAATCTGGGTCGTAGGATACCAAGGTCTCATTCAGTTTGTATGTTGCTCCCGCCACAGCAGCAGATCGACAAAAACCCTGCGAAAGTTCTCCAGGACCACCATATTTCGAGTACAGCACGGGAAATGGGCCGTAGACGTCAAAGCTCGTTAGGTACCTGCGAATCCTTTGAAGAGCCTCAGGTGTTTTCACATTGATGTTGTAACACATCCCAATGGAAAAGATCAGTTCAAAGACCTGAGCCTTTTCGAGTTTGAACTTGTCTACAAGGAAGGACGCCATAGGCTGGTCCTTGTAAGATTGCCACACCTCCGGTTGATTTTCCCAGTCCAACACAAACTTTATGAACTTCATAAGATTGCGTTTCGTCATCAAAGGAAGCGACGGATTCGTAAAGATCTCCTGTTTTGTGTTCGTAAGCCTTTCAAAGGAGTCGTTTTCATACGTGTGAAAGTTCGACAGCGACTGGAACTCCAAATATTGGTGAACGCGGGATTTCAGCAAAATCGACAGCAAATCTGACTTCGCAAACAGAATCTTGGGTGACAAGTCGATGCCAAAATCCCGCGACCGGTACACGCCTCTGCCCATCATGCTGGAAATGTGCAGTTTCGCACTTTCGTAACACTTCATAGATCCCTGGTTCACGTCTTGAACCCATTGCTTGAGCTGGTCAATTGTGAGCGTGGCGGACGTGTCGCCATAGTACGAGTTTGAGTCAATTTGGAGAACTCTTGAGCCTTGCCACGACAGTGCCGCCGCCAGAATACTTTCCACCAGCCCTGTCCCTACCAGCAGCACGTCCACCTTCTCCGGCGTAGTCTCCGGCAATGGGTCTTCAATCCCCGCCAAATGTGGCACCACTGTCACCGAGCCCTTGCGTTCTGCACTAACAGACGAGCGGTCCAATGTTGATGGACGCCGCTCCGCCATCGAAGCACGCCTTTCGGAACTCATCATATTTCTGTCCACCGGTAGTTACCTCAAATTTGAAGATGCGTCAGTAACGTTTGGTAACGTTTTTTTACAGCAATAAGCGCTCAATAAAGCAATTTCAGTCCCAGAGATGTTAATTCGAAGCAACGAAAGATTTGTCGATTTGTCCGCGAGTCTAAATGGCCTGAACTAGTTCCAAGAAAGCTTCCGAAAGAGCCAGTTGACAATCTAGTTGCTCCCTAAACTGGTGTTTTAAATTGGTTAGTCCCTCATGTCAAAATTTTTTCGATTGTTGACTGTATGACGAGAACATCAAATTTTTTCTTGGAATTAGTCAAGGACGAGTACCTTGCACCGAAAGTGCCACGAGTACTCGAGCGAGCCTGGCCACAACGTCTTCAATGTATAACCGAACGGTTATATGTGTCACAATGGGCAGTAAAACTTGCTGGCACGGGTGGACGGAGTTGGCAACAGCTTGCGAATACATACCCAATGAGTTAGTATGGCAAAGGCTGGATGATTTGTAATTTTGTAGGAAGATGAAGGGAAAGTGAGCACCGGTTTAGTGCATCGTAGAGTGCTCTTGAGAGATGGGAAGCGGTAGTAAAGGGGTGGCAGAGTTTCGAAGAAGTGCCAACCAATGTTTCGAATGGTCGCGACTGGCTTGTAGTAGTAGGAAACTCATACCAGGTCTACTCTAGGTGTGCTTAAAATGGGTAAAGTGCAGTTAGAGAAAGTACCACGTAAATGCACGTCGCCAAGGTCGCTGGAACTGCACAGCAAGCCACCCACGAGATGCATGAATCCATTTTTGTACACAGCAGAGGTAGATAGCATCCGTAAGTTTTTTTGCCAGGTAGAATTGGGACTGTCATCACGGTGAATAGTGCTATCGCCAAAGTAGAAGCGCCCGATGACCGATGTTTGAAGGTCCAGCAGATGCAGACACGGTGCACACGATATCGGCAATCCAGTTCTTTCAAACTCGGGAGCCTTTTCGTCGTATTTCCAGTGCGTCGTGACATCCTGCTGATTGAAACCGCCCATAAGAACGGCACAGGACGAGATCCGGATTAACTTATGCCCGACGAGCGTGAAATCGACACTGCCACCCTCTCGAGCTGCATCTTTCCCCTCTGCGTAGGTCTTGACTCGGGTCCAGGTCTCTGTGTCTAGGTCGAACCACCACATGTCACCATAAACAAAGTCCTTATTCGAGCCGCCATGAATCACCAACGTCTTGCCAATCCCTTGGGAATAGACACTGGGTTTTTGGTTGGGCCAAGTGGGGAAGGTTCCGGACTCCTGTTGCCCAGGTGGCTGATGCTGCTGGTGATGCTGCTGGTGATGATGATGGTTATGGTGTTGTTGCTTATATGTCTCAAACCGGTTAGATAAAGGCAGCGGCTTTTCATTTGGACTCATTGGAGAAGTAAGGTCAGACTCAATGTGGAAGTTTGCCCTCAAGTTTTCTAGTAACTTTGCTTCAGAAGACTGTTTCTTCAAAATCGCCGTGTCGTAAATATCACACGCCTGGAACGCCCTTCGGGCTGGCCAAGTCTTACCCTCGGCATCGTCGGGTAGCTTGGTAAATGGAGTCGCCAGCGCGGTGTCCGCAAATTTGAAAAAGTTGCGTTTCCCTTTTGCCATGACAGTAACTTCAATCTTCCACAGTTCATTAAGAGTCTCATAGTCGTCGCCATTCACTTGACCATAGCCCCCAGTAATCAAGATAGTGAAGGCACCAACCCCTGGTGAAGTGCTCCTATTGCTCATGTTCCTTTCTGTCAGAAAAGAGCTTTCAGATTGCGACCTCATATCGAGTGGTTGAGATAGAGGCGACGAGGGTGAATCTGCATCGCGCCTAATTTCACCGTTCTTGCCTTCTATATTCATATTCGCTGCACAGGTAGCGCACTTAGGGGCACTATTGACCTTGACTGATACCTGCGAATGGCCAAATCGTGGAAGCATAGATGGGTAAGCATTAAATTTGGTTGGCTGAGCAACTAACTCGACCCTTGTAAATCTCGAGGTCATGACATCCAATATATAAGCTCGCTTGTGAAGAACTGCCCTTTTCTTCAAGTAGAATCCACCGGTATCATTTATGACAGTTTCCGTTTTGATCTCGAACCCCCCATAATAAAAAATATGGCGCTTGGTGAGGGCGGATCCAGTCATACACAACAGGGGAGGAGGGACTTGGCCCGTCATATTGGCCTTCTGTACTCTCAATGAAGACGATGATACGATGTAAAGATCATGGTTGTTCACCATGCTAGGATTGTTCACAACGCTATCCATCAAAGGTGGGGGAAGATTAGGTATTCCGTCAACGTAATAGTTGCTCAGGTTTGGCATCTCATCAGTGTAATAGTATGATGGTGTGAGGCCACCTAGTGTATAAATGTTATCTCCCAACTCTACGGTGCACTGATAAACCATCGAAGGGATCTTACTTTCCCCAAACAGGGGAGGGATGCTGGTCGACCCCGTAAATGTATTCGCGACACCAATATCTATAGCACGATAAATAGAGGTGCTCGTGTGCAAATAAGAGGGGCCAGTCGCAATGGGGACTGAGTGCGGACCATCACCAAGCGATTTTTTTGTCGTAGTGTCCCACTGCATGATAGGGATCCACATATTGTGGCGTTTGAGAAGCTCAGACCGTTTTGAGCCCGGTATGGGAAGCTTAGAACAATAGCTCATATAGCCTGTGGACAATGCGTCAGGGTTGTATCTATAGTCGTCTGCGGCCTCGCGAAGAGGCGTCTTATGTTCACTACCACTTTGAAGGGCAATCTTCGTAGCATGTTTGGTTCGCGGACTTTTTTTGGATCCGTCGCTTGTTAGCGAGAGACCTGAAAGACCACTAGTGATGCTATCGTTACGTAAAGCGCGCACTTTGGTTGAATAATATGATATCAAAGTTTGTTCGTTGTCAGTTTTTCTGCACTCGGCAGGCAGATCCATGAGCTCGTTTCTGATGCTGGAAATGTAGTTATTCATGTATGGAAAGGCTTTATACTGCTTTTTATACTGGTTCTTATCCCAGGGAGTAGCATCGTTAGATTCATTGAGGCTGTTTGCAGCTCCATTGGTAGCTTCATGTGCGAAAGATTGACCACTGGCATATGAGTTAGCCGCACTCGAGAATGCAGAGCTCATATAAGGTATGGTAGGATAACTCGGAATTCGTCGTGGCTTTAGCAAGCACCGGGGGATGTCTCTATATCACCTTGCCGAGGATATTACAGATAAGGTTTAATTTCTTGATTGCGCAGGGAACAAATATCGATCGATTTAATTAACATTCCAGGTCACGTCTTGTGCGATAAATATGGATAATGACGATAAGTGTTAGGGCGGCCAGTGAAGTCAACCAGTACTAGAGCACCTGAATTTTGGTTACGCGCGATATCGAGATTTATCGACTATATATTAATTTCAAGGTTTCTTACCTGTGCGTTGCATAAAACTAATTCGCTTGGCAACCAACATAACAAATTGCTGAAGGACGGGCCATACACGATATATTCCCTAGCAGTTTATCTTCATGGAAATAGCCATATCGTCTACCGACAGGTGAATTTCCTCCCTTTTTCCCTAGTCTTGTCCTCTTGCAAGAATAACAGCTCGACACAGACGGGTATTGCAGCTGCTTGATCAGAGATTAAATTTCCTATTTAATACAATACAGCTCTCATTAAATATACCATTATTGTTCCTGGCCCAGTCCCTATTCATCTAAATCTGCCAAAGCTCATTGCGAGCTCGGATGCCCGCCATGGTAGCCGATTGAGAAACTGTTTGCTTGTGACAGTTTCTGCTTTTTACCTTTCTTCTTGCTTCCTGCATCACTAGTAGATACAATTTCAGATTGTGACCTCTTCAGCGCTGGTTTGCGTTTCTTGGTCCCTGATCTGTCACCTACTATTGTACCTCGCGTCGAATTGAAAGAATTGGCATTTGTGACAATTATCTGAAACTTAGGCTGTTTCCGCGTAGTCTTTTTCGTCGTACTCGGCAGGGAGGAGCTCGAACCACTCTCACTTCTGAAAGACCCCATTTTCGGCAGTTCTGGGATCTTGAGCTGTGTGACGTCTACGTCGTTGCTACTAGCAGGCTTTGGCGTGGGTGAAAGAGGGAGTTTGCCTATTCCAAACAGACGTTCATCAATGTTTTCTCTGTCGTCCTCGCTAGATCCGTCTTCTTGGTATGGCATAGGGGGGCAGTTGGCGATGAATCCTAGTTTGTTCCGTGAGGATTTAGTCACCGACGAGTTTAGTTGTATTGTCGTTGGCGAGGATCCGCACTCTTCTAAACCGGAGTCGTGACCAGTACCTTCCTCTAGCGCATGGCCATGTTGTGCTTCTGCGGAAGCTAGATTGTGTTTACTCAAAGCGTGACCGGAGCTGACGCTAGCCTCAGTACCGCTGGGTGAAAAAGTGGGCTTTTTGAGGTGTTTCTTGGAACGACTGGCACCTTTACCCTTGCGATATCTGGGTGAAGATTTGATGACATCCTTACGCGCTCGTTGAAAATCAACCAGAGCACTATTAGAAGAAGCAAGTAGCTTGGCATAGGGGGTTCCTATATCCGAGAGAATTCGCTTTCCATAAGGAGTCAGCGAAAGGTACCGTTTGGAAGGTGATGAGGCTGACGTGGGGGCAAGCTTGTCTTTAGAGCTGAACATCAGATTTACGTCTATGCTCCTGAGAGGAGTAGCCATGTTGTGAGGGTTCTGCGATCCAGTATTCATTGAATCAGACTTACCTGCCGATGGATTCCCGGCAGAACCGTTGAAGAACCGAAGCGGCGTCTTGGCAGGAGTGCGATGCCATAGGTTAAAGCCTGCGGGAGATTCGAATAGAAACTCCTTGAAATGATCCGGAGACGTAAGCATAAACTCACTCCCCAGCTGTAGAGCCGAAGATGGCTGTACATTGACATCGCTGAGCTTCGCTGCTCCCCCCTGGCCATTCATGAGCATACTGTTTTCCACCATGGATTGGTTTTCCACTGACTGCGAGGCCAATTGTTTATCATCAGCATTGCTGGTATTCTCACCCAATTGTTGGTTCTGTTGATGTTGAAGTAGTTGTTGTTCTTGATGTTGCTGCTGCTGGGAATACGGAGTCGGAAACTGTGTCGTCGTTGGAACAGGACTTGTGAATGCAAACTTCATGTTCTCTGAAATGACGCGGAAGAAAGCTTCTTCCTCGCTTGTTGACTCCATGATAGTAATTTGGAAATGGTAACTGTCTCAGCACAGCCTTGTTTGGGTCTTCCAAAGTGTGTATCAATTGTGTAGTCTGTTGTGAGTTGTTTGAGTTGTTGTGGTACCTATGTCATGTTCTACACATTGTGTTTATTTTAATATTCGCGAATGGAGGGTAACAATATTTAGCGCGAAACGTGTCGATGGAGGATCTGGGGACAGCGCTGAGGGAGGCTCTTTTAAAACCTTTGCTAGGTTTTGGAAACGTTATTTGTTATATTCTGAAGGCGAGCGAGGGCTAGGAGCAGTGTTGAAAGTGCGGACTTAGCTTCAAAACACGCGATCTGATTTTTTTTGTTGCGAGGTTGACAGCTCCAAGTAAAGACCTCTAGGTATAATACCTTTGCGGAAGTTGTCTGTGAACGAACAGGTCTGCTTTTCGCATGGCTTGCTTTCCTCAATTGTCGACCGACTTCTTGGCGCCAACTGTCCTAATTAAGATTTATATCGTGCGCAATATCCATCGGCATATTGTCCACAATAAAAACAGGCAGTGTAGATGGGCTTAGTTTCACATAAAAATAGATGGAACGAGTAGACTCGATTTTAGCAAATACCTTTATCTTTGGGTTTACTCAACACCCTTCAGAGGAGAAATTGTTGTCGGTTTTCAGCGTCACTTACAGGACTGTTGTTTCCGAAAATAGTGTATCTTACCACCAAGAAAGCCAGCAAATTTCATTGTACAGACAACAGCCCTCGGTGTTCACTACGCGGTTCTGTTTTTATGGCATATCACGGGAATGCTTTTCAGTTGTTGGGCAGTCATTGGGAAGACATTAGATATAAGTGATGACAATGACAATTGCGACAGTAAAAACAAATTGTAAACGAAGATCCATCACACTTAAGTGTCAAGAGAGATACTTTGGCTTAAAGTGAGGCAATCTCTCCTCCTAGATTTGAGGGCATATTCAGATGAGCTATGACTCACCCAACTGAAACAATATTAGCGGTGCATTAGAAAGCCTAGCCAGGGATTGTGAGGGTCCTTATTTCTTTCCGATCTTTGGTCGCTGAAATGGCGCAAGGAAGAGGACAAAAATTGGGAAAGAGAAGCGCTGGCTTGCTGATTAGTAGTAAAAAGGCTAACTAGTAGAAGAGAGCGTCCCAGCACTGTTTGAATAGGGTTGGGTTGCATATTAGTAACTCTCAACATGGAGTCAGAACACTACAGAGCTTGATACTTGGATGTCAGTATAACACAAGTGCTCTCCGCGAATGGTCAATCAATTTGATTCCTAGAATAGTAACGAGGCACCGACGCCTGGCCAGTCATTCTTATTCTATAACTGACAAAATATTATTGCTGCTAGTCCAATTGTTGGAAATCCCAGCCAGCTCTTGCACTCAAATAGTTCTGGCCGGATTTATACACAAGTGCGCGTTACACGTCCTTGATATGCACCAGATGACTGGTTCAAAAACGCAGAGAGACACATAAATTTCGTCTTATTGTAATTCTTTTGTCCAGCACACAGAACCAAAATCTGGATATCTAACGAAAGGTTCATTACAGAGTTTGGCAACCCAACTACTGCTGACGCTGACTCTCTTCAATAACCTATCGTGTTTGGCACATCTAAAATGGAACGCGGTTTGCCAGATATATACTACTGAGCCAAGATTTTCTCATCAAAGGGCACTACTTGATTATTGCAGAGCCTGCGTAGTTGCAGGACCACCAATCTATAAAGGTCAAATAAGCGTTAACTCAAAGACTCTCTTCGTATTTACCGGTAGTGGATCATACTCGTATACAATGTCCTTGCTGTGGGCGGTACAAAACCTGGCTCAGAAAATATAAACACTGATATCATTACTTAACGTGCTATGGAACTGGACAAGCATAAGCAGTTTGATATCGCCACTAGCTAGCTGCGAGCTCCATGTCAACGGGATCGTCGCCGTCACGGCTGCTTAGCGAAAGTTTAGGAAATTTTCACATCAGCTCGCCAACAAAGTTCAAGTCCTATGTCGAGAACGACCAATTCGAGGGTTCCAACTTCAATTCGCAAACAAAAGACACGACCAGTGGCAAGAATTACGTGCGCAAACTTGGCAACTGGTCGGTTAACTACGGTACTGTCCAGCAGCATGGTACGGATGCTGAAAATGCCGAACCGCCACAATGGAAACAGTATATGGATGAGCAGGCCGCTCATCAGGATCTACACGATAAGGACAGAGATGCCCTTGATCCCAGATCAAACCTTGTGGTGACGTCTTCCTTGAGTGACATCTCTTTGATTCCCACTAACACGTTCAAACACCGTGCCCCCAAGCCTGCAAATGTAGATTCCAATATGGATTCTGAATACAGTGTGGTACGCGATGGAGATTCGGCGGTAGATACCGACGTAGATCCAGCTCGGGAAGCGCTGGGGGTCTTCAACAATGTCTTACGGCATCAAAAGTCTAATTTCTTCTCTCAGGAGCCAGAAAATATGAATGCTAAATCTATTTCCGAAGAATACGATTCCACAAGCTCAGCAGCGTCAACCTCATCCTATGATTCTTTTGACCCATCACTTTCTCCGAGCTTGCGCCAGCGCCCGTCCGAACCGCCTAAAGCGATGTCCAAAGGACCCTCGAGGCCACTCCAACAGGCAGGCTCTCCCAGAAGAACATTGAAGTTGATAACCCCTGAAGACGCAGGCATGATCTTCAATTACAAAGAAGGCGTGTGGGATCAACCTTCCAACGCAGCCGATATGTCTACGAGCGGAGCGCAGGACGAGTCTTCGCAAAGTAAAATCGTTTCATTCAAGCTGCCGCGCACTCGACCCGAACGTTCCATAGTGGACGACACCCCACTCTCTACTCCGCAGGTTGATCGTAAGTTCCTCTCCCAAGGTGATTTTATCGAAGAGTCGCAAAGCAGATCCACATCGGATAAAAGTACTTCTACAATGCGCCATATATCACCCATGCCGGCTGATACTACTCACAACCTCGTAGATAATGTCACAAGTGTATCTGAGGTCGATTCATCGTTTCGAATTGCAAAAAGTGCTGTCATATCAGCTTTAGTTGACACGATACCGAGAAAAGAGGCTTGGGAGCATGTTACCGAGCTCTCTTTAAAAAATCGCGGGCTAGGTAGCTTGGTGGGACTGAAGGAAATGACGCCTGGGCTTGTGGAGCTTAATGTTTCCGAAAACAACATCAATTCGTTACAGGGAGCCCCTCCTCGGATTGTTAGACTGTGTTGTTCTAACAACCGGATAGGCTCCTACTGCAGGCTGGATGGGCTGGAACATTTGGAAGACTTAGACATGTCACATAACCTGCTATCCACAAACCTATCGTTACTGGCAGGCTGCCTTCACTTGCGTGATGTAAATCTAGCCCAAAATAGCATCGTATCCCTACAGGGGCTTTCGGAGTCGAGAGCTAGAGTGGAAACCTTGAACTTAGCACGCAATAGGCTCATTGGTCCCTTGGATTTTGCGGAGTTCGTTTCACTAGAACGCGATCGACCCAATTTTTTGACCCACCTTCGAGAACTAGATCTATCTGGTAATAAGATTACAAGGATCAAAAACTTACATCTACTGAAAAACCTGAGGGTGCTAAAGCTGGACGGCAATCCGTTGGAGTCACTGACGGGAAACAACAGCTCAAGCTTGAGGAACCTCGGCTTGCTTGGCTGCAGTGCCCTTGAATCTCTAGGGCACTTTCCACAATTGCGCATTCTGCGTGTAAGCGGCGAAAGCTTACAAATAAAAGAACTACCAGAGACATTGGAGCATTTCGAACTGGTTAATTCGCCTCCCGAAGCTATACCGTGGGACATCCTTCCAACGGTGCTTCGCAAGCTTCGCCTCACTCGTGTGGGGATCCAAGAACTGCCCAAACAACTTGCCACGAGGTGTGCTGGCCTGCATACCTTGTCAATAGCGGAAAACGACCTCAAGAGCTGGGCGAGGCTGATCGAAAGACTGCCGGGAAACTTGCAAATGCTGGACATTCGTAAGAACCCATTGTCGCAGTTCCAGGAGGAGGCCGACCGCAGGTCCATGACTGAGGTGGTGGCACTAGCGCTGCCGAGCCTCAAGCGAATCTGTCTGTGATGGCCCTAGGTCGTGCGTACATAGGTGATATAGATAATGACTGTAGTTTTGTAATGAGTAATGCAAGAAGACCAACTCGCTGGCCCACGCATCTTCCCACAACCGATAGAGCTGCTGGTAAATCCGGTTTTTGAGAATAAGGCTGTCACTACAATGTGGCCTGTCTCGTGGAGTCCGCTTAACGTGTTAACGTGGGCATGGCATCCCGCCTTGGCACGTTGCGTGTTGCGCACTCCCCGAGTACTTTTCCGAGTACTCCATCACCGGCTGGTATTCAAGCCGCACCAACCTCGGAAAGCTTTATGTTATGAGCCAAGCCGGCTTCCTCCTTTCAATTCCGTTGTCCGACTACATGTGCCCTGTGTTCTACAGCCCAGGCCGTTCCGCCATTGCCGTTTTTGGAACCATAATGAAATCAGCCCAGGTCATTCGCGAATTGGTCCACCACACACCAGTCGCACTGACCAATTCCTTTCACGTTTCCTGTTTGTCCCGTTCTTGTGTTTTCTCCCGTTCCCATCCACTGCAAACGTCATTCGTCCTCGCCGAGGGTGTAATGCGCTAATGGCCTGTTGGTTATTCTTCTCCCGTACGAAGTTGGTACCACATGGTCCTCAGCGTTTTACTTTGCTATGTGATGAGAAATCCCAGACAGTCGGGGAGACGCCGCACGGAGAGGGTAGAGATGGTTTAACACCAGAACACAACGTTGTTGAGCAAAGTGATGACACTTATCTGATTGTTTGCTCGATGAGGGCTGTATTTTACGGAGCGTAATGAAGACTTGCGCAAAATGGTCAAATGGCAACCATGCTATAAAAGAAGTCTGCAGCTCGAAGTCTGCGAAAGCTACGAAAATATTTCCAAGAACCAACGTTAGTCCAGCAGTATCAGTGGATAACTTACACTTGCTTGAAATTCTCTAGTTGGTTGATCACCCAATCCTTTAGTCCAAGTAAAGAAACGACTAGAGGTGCCCGATTAAAATTTCCGTTAAAGTCCGTTCAGCCTTTTGTCACATACAAGAGCACTTTTAGGGGGCGGAGTTTAAGAACCGAAGATATAAAAGGGCCAAGGAGAATAGCTACCCCAGGTTCTTTTCTGGCTACCACTTTAACGCAGCTACCACAAAGCGAACAAGAGTAGTATTGCAAGTCGGATTGTGTAGCGTGAAACTGATGCTCTCGCAAACATTACTAAGGTCGACGATTCCGGCCGCCAGGCTCGGTTTGCGTTGCTACGCGCAGTTGCCTTTGCGTGTTCCTGTGAAAATCCCCAATGGGATCGAGTACGAACAACCCACGGGTCTTTTCATCAATAACAAGTTTGTGCGGTCCAAACAAGGCAAGACGTTTGAAGTTTTGAGCCCCGCTACGGAGGAAGAAATCACACATGTGTACGAGGCGCGGGAAGACGACGTGGAGGACGCCATTGACGCCGCGGACAAGGCGTTTAAAAGCGGTGTGTGGTCGCAGGCCGACCCGCTGGTCCGTGCCAACGCGCTCAACAAGCTCGCGAACCTCATCGAAGAACACCAGGACATCGTGGCCTCCATCGAAACTCTGGACAATGGGAAAGCGATCACCAACGCTCGGGGCGACGTTCAGTTGGTGATCAACTACCTGCGGTCGTGCGCCGGATGGGCCGACAAAGTCGATGGCCGCGTAATCAATACTGGCTCGACTCACTTTTCCTACACCTTGAGACAGCCTCTTGGTGTTTGCGGTCAAATTATCCCTTGGAACTTTCCGCTGTTGATGTGGGCCTGGAAAGTCGGTCCTGCGCTCGCCACTGGTAACACTGTTGTCCTGAAGACTGCCGAATCTACTCCTTTGTCTGCATTGTACGTGTCTCAGTTTGTCGCTAAGGCTGGGATTCCTCCGGGCGTTTTGAACATTGTGTCCGGTTTTGGTAAGATCATCGGGGAGGCCCTCACCACGCACCCTAAAGTTAAGAAAATCGCCTTCACTGGTTCCACTGCCACGGGTCGTCATATTTACCAGAATGCTGGTATGAACTTGAAAAAGGTCACTTTGGAACTGGGGGGTAAATCTCCCAACATGGTCTTTGCCGATGCTGACATGAAGCAGGCCGTACAGAACATCATTCTAGGGATTTACTTCAACAGTGGCGAAGTCTGCTGTGCCGGTTCGCGTGTTTACGTGGAGGAGTCTGCCCACGACCAACTTTTGGAAGAGTTGAAGATTGCGGCTGAGGCGCTCAAGGTTGGTGATCCATTCGATGAAGCTACTTTCCAAGGCGCTCAAACCTCTCAAATGCAGCTCAGCAAGATCCTGAAATACGTGGAAATTGGTAAGGACGAAGGCGCCACTCTGGTTACCGGTGGTGAGAGACTTGGCAACAAAGGCTACTTCATAAAACCAACTGTGTTCGGCGGAGTCACCGAGGACATGCGCATCGTAAAGGAGGAAATTTTCGGACCTGTTGTTACTGTGAGCAAGTTCAAGACCATTGATGAGTTGGTAGAACTGGCCAACGACTCCGAATACGGCTTGGCAGCTGGTATTCACACCTCCAACCTCAACAAGGCCATCGAGGTCTCCAACAGAGTTAACGCCGGTACCGTGTGGATCAACACTTTCAACGATTTCCACCACTCCGTGCCCTTCGGTGGTTTCAACGCCTCGGGCATTGGAAGAGAGATGGGATCCGAAGCTTTGGAAAACTACACTCAAGTCAAGGCCGTGCGTGCCAAGTTGAACTTGTCTTCTTCCACCAGCTCGTAATCCTGCCACTTTCGGAATCTGAGTAAAGTGAGAATTCACGACCCTATACCACAGCAAGCACACGCCCGGGCTGTATGATTGTAGAGCTATAAAGGGAATGTTGCGCAAGCTTCTCTTATGCATGAAAAACTAACTAACAACTGTATGTAACAATGTAACGAACAATTTATTTGATATTCATTGATATTCGTCGTATTCTCAGGCACCACAGTGCCAGGAGAACAAAGTTATAGATTAACAAGCTCCTTATGAACATGCGTGAGAAAGCACTCCCACTCGATCCATTTTCTATTTGGTGGATTGCACCTCTGCCTCAACATCACGAAGCCTCTTCCGGTTACATTTCTGGATGGTAGCGCTTAATCACATGACCAATGGCTCTTTATGCTACACCGGGAATCTACACGGCGATTCATGACAATCCTATCTCTCACTTTTCTTTCGCTACATTGGCTCTAGTCCTCCTCCATCACCGAAATCTCCATCTCCTCTTCATAATCGGCGCTGGACCTTATTGGCACAACCTTCCTCGATAGAAGATGCGCATGTAACTCTTGTTCTTCCTTCGAACCTTTCGCAACACCCGTAGCAGTCCCACTGGACTCCTTTACTGCAGCTTTCTCCTCCACTTCTGTGGTATTTGGCTCACCTTGGCTCATCAAGGTCGCCTTGATGAACAACACAGCGGTGAATATGGCCAAAAACACCGCCCCCACGCCGAAGATCAACCCCTTCACAAGATCGTCTAACACCATAAACCTAGAAATAAGAGCTTCTGAAAATAACTTGGATACACTGGTAGTCTTCTCTGATGACATTTTTATATGATAACTCCCCGGTTGAGAGTTCCGAGATTATGTCCCTTCAAAAGGAGTTCTTATAGCGCGAGTTCCCCATGATCGCAATTAGGCGAAAATATCCCGCCCGACATACAAAAGATGGGGGAAATTGCGGAAGACAAACAAAGCCCGGATAGAGGCAGAAAAGAGAATTGTATGGTGTAAGACCATGGTAAGTCAGAGATTCCAAGCTTGTACGTGTATTCTTGAAATCGCACTCTTTACTTGTATAGATTTTAACTTCCCTGGCTGTTTTGCGCTATCTAAGGTCGGCGATGTAATAATCTTTACGCTCAGTTCTTCGTTGCTAATTAGTGTACAAGGTGTTGTTATTTAGTGTGCTTCGTGTCTGCTACCGTCTCTCTGTAGGGATTGGATGTGTGCTCTGGAAAGTGCTGAACTGAAGTCAATTTGAAAACATTCCGCAATACTAAGCATGGTCTTTAGGCCTCCACGTCGTCGGACAGAAGACCGAACACATTCGTGGAGACAGATCTAGTCTCTTGCGCCTGGCTTTCTTGGCCTGATTCGTCTTCACCAGCATCATCGTCTTCCATGGCGTCTTCTTGGCCCTCTTCCCCACTATTTTCTTGCACTGCCTTCTGACCCGTCAGTTTAGCCAAATCTCTTCTTATGCTTTCGTTGGTACTGTCCCATCCAGCCTTGCGGGCACCTTGGACATACTTCGCTCTGGATTTGGCCCTTTCTACTTTGCCATCTAATCGGTGGGAGACGTTCAGAGCCCGCGCGATTCTCTCGTTGTCCAGATTTTCCAAGGCACTTTTTGCAGCGACTTTCTTGCCAACTTTATTAGCTGTTTTCTGCTTCTTTTTCATCTTGGCCTCTAGAAGCTGCTCATTCTTCGATGCCGTTCTTATCAGTTTGTTGGTTACGTCCAGATTTTGAGCTCGAGGTAACTCGGCCAGAGACTGGGCTTCCGTATCGGTGAATTCCAGCCTACGGGCCGCTCTTGAATGTTTAGAGACTTTTCCAGCTTTTTTAACCATTGGTGGGGTGTGGCAGGCTCTTATTTGGGCTGACAAGGCAACTTGGAACACTTTATAAGCGTGGCCGATGAGCCAGCGATGGGCCAGCTCATCGTGTAGAATTTTCACTCTAGCTCTAGGTCAGATGACCCTGCTAGTGCTCGAGTCCGAGCTTACCTAATCCTTCCACCTAGCATTTACCAATTGCCACTATCGATGCTGAAGACATAAAAGCCAGCTTGTTGGCAGTGCTAAGTGTGTTTGGTTCACCTTCTTTCTAGCAAAATCTTTGGCATCAGCTTATGATTAGTGACAGTTTAATTTTAAGTAATCTATGATTTCCTCGTGTGATGTTTTCTTTGGCAACGAATTTTGGCTTCGACCTGACTGCTCAAAGGCCTCTCACAGATTTCATTAGACTTAGCATCACTGCATAGGTATCCTTTAGTACCCCAAATCAACGTGCCAAACCCTTTGGCATGAGACGGCTTTCAAATTATATAGGATTAAATTGAGTGGAACTAAGGTTGCACACATAATAATGAGATGCTAAACATTCTCTAAAGACTTTAGTATGATGTTTCCACACCTGAGTCCCTATCACGTCCCATGATGGTATTGTCGCAGTTGCGAGCCCACTCGAAAACTTGTCGAAATGTGAGTCCATCTCCATGACGTTTTGAGTCTGCCAGGAATCATCATCAGTAGAAAGCACACATAGTCACTTCGCTAGCGGTCCGCACTATAGGTCAACTTGTGCGAGTTTGTCGCACAAGTTAAAAGAGAGTCAACCCTGGTTGGAGTACTCTAAGTATCGTTCAGAAACGAAGACATTTTTACACCGCGATAACTGTGAGCTCTTTCGGCAATTTGTTGTACATTTTCTATGGTGTGAAGTTACAAGTTCTATGATATGAATTTGATCATCTGCATCGCGCGCGAAAGCGCAAATAATTACCGCTGGCTATGATGAAATTCCCCAAATTTGGTGCGCATTTGGCAACGTTCTAAAATGTTAAAGAGATATGCTTAAGATATGCTTAATCTGCGTCTTAGTCGGTATATTTGCTACGTCAGACTGTTCATAATTGATTAATTTACCAGCAAATAATCGCATGATTTCGCGATAAGTAGCAGGACAATTGACGATATCTGGTAAGTCGACCATCATAAGTTTCTCTACATGGGTCTGGCGGTCTGTAATCAAAACATTTTTCGCAATTGCATAACCTCTTTTCAATAATAACGTTGTAGAGACCAATCGCGCGAAATGTGATAATTTGGCTAGAATTTCGAATGCGCCTAGTGTCAACCCCAATAGCGGGTTGGTCAGCCAATCATCATACCCTTTCATGTTATAAATATAGCATTTTAGCACCAGGCTTAACGCTTTAAAAGCGCTGCAAGGATGAGGAAGGTCAGAGATTTCTCTGGGGAATAGTAGAGATATTGAGTAGTGAAATACATCGTTTTCAATAAGCATTCTCTCATGAGGTCGAAGAATAATGCAACTACGCAATGGTAAGTTGCAAACAGTGGCCTGGCAGCTGCTCAAAGGAAATTTACATAGTATTTTTCACAAGTTATTGTGAATGCTTTCCCTTAGTGCCAAACACATCCATCGACAGTCGTAGCGAAGGAATTTTCTATCTCTGATGCATAATAATTGTAAGGCAGCAGGAGGTCAATCATTATCAGCAAAGCTTTCGGCTATCTCGAGATAGTTCAGAATCTGACTTTTGCAATTGATGTAAAGTTGCTCGGAACACTGAATGTCCCACTATGCCAAAGATGTTACACCACAACAAAGGGATACGTTGCGAACCAACGAATTCCTACATGCTAGAGGCTTAAAGGCGGCATACGTTGTTAGGCTCGGATGAGTGTATTGGGTATCAAGCCTCGGGGTGAAGCCCTTCACACAAGCGTAAAACAACAACTGCCCTAGGTCGGCTTCCTTCAGATGAGCGTCAGTCACCTGCCCACGCGCTTTATAGAGAATTAAAATATCTTCATAAGCAGGAGAGATTGGCTCACTTGTGCAGTTGTCAAATTCAATCGCCGCTGGATGTACGATCAAGGCGTCGGACGGAATATCCACCAAGGCAACCCCACTTTTTTCCCAAATACATATCAACCCGTCCATCTATGTGAATAGCATTCAGCATTCAGCATTTCAGAGATATCAAGCATCGACTTTGGGGGCTGGAAGTCTAGCGGCTTAATAGTACAGCCAGTCAAGGATGTAGCTAGTTCGTCGAGCTCTGAATTGACTTGGCGAAGATACCAGTAATCCTTACATACTTGCTGGTCTTGGATTGTACGTAGTAAGGGCATTTTCGTAGTTTATAGAATAGCGTTCGATTTATCAGCTTGATGGCCGGGGAGTAGATCCAGTCACAATCTCCTTTACGCAGAGAACAACATGGAACTGCATTTGATTTCGATATGAAGTCTAGTTGTTTCAGTATCCTCAGGAATCTTGATTACGACCATGTCTTATGCTTCAAAGACCATTTTCAAGAACAAATTGTAAAAATTGATAGCGGCGGACACCAGAAGCATTTGCTGCTAATGACTGTTTCAGCAAAGGGTCAGTACTAAGCTTCATTTCAATACCGATGTTAAAACACAATTCATTTATCACTTTACTTAACCTGTACAAATCATTATCAAGATGCATGCTTAAAAGACGTCACCTTGGTCGAACATGGCGTCGGCCACTCTGATAAATCCAACCAAATTGGCACCCTTGATCAAAGATGGCAAAGATTCTGCGTTACCTTCGTTGGAGTATTCACGAGCAGTCTCTAGACAGTCGTTGAAACAGTTGACCATGATCTTCTTTAGCTCCTGGTCAACTTGTTCCCTAGTCCAGGACATTCTTTGGGAGTTTTGGGCCATTTCCAAACCAGACACGGCAACACCACCCATGTTGGAGGCTTTGCCGGGGGCGTACCAGACGGCAGGTGCGGAACCCGACTTGGTGGACACACGTTGACCTTCAAAGATGTGAGCGGCCTCAGCAGTGCAACCCATGTTAGAACCTTCAGCAACGAACTTGACACCAGCAGCGACCAAGGCCTTAGCTTCGTCGCCGGAAACTTCGTTCTGAGTGGCACATGGCAAGGCAACATCAACCTTACCAACGTGAGTCCATGGACGGGCGCCAGCAATGTACTTGACAGTGCTGGAGGAGAAGGCAGAGTATTCACCAATAATGTTCTCCAAAGTCTTGAATTGGACCTTGGCGCCGATAATAGCCTCGATTTGTTCAGCGGTGATACCAGTCTCCGTGATGATAGAGCCCTTAGAGTCGGAGAGAGATACAACGGTACCGCCAAGCTCAATAACCTTTAGAGCGGCGTATTGAGCAACATTACCGGAACCGGAGATGGCAACGCGCTTGCCAGCGAACGATTCTTTACCCTTGCTGGCAAAGTCAATCATTGCTTGAGTGTAGTAAACCAAACCGTAACCGGTGGCCTCTGGTCTGATCAAAGATCCACCCCAGTTCAAGCCCTTACCGGTCAAGACACCTTCCCAGGAGTTCTTGTACGTCTTGTAAGCACCAAACAAGTAACCGACTTCACGGCCACCAACACCAATGTCACCAGCAGGGACATCAGTGTCTTGACCAATATGTCTGCTTAGTTCTCTCATGAAAGAGTAGCAGATTCTTCTGATTTCGTTGTTAGATCTTCCCTTCAAGTCAACACATAGACCACCCTTACCACCACCAAGGGCTTGGCCAGTCAAGGCGTTCTTGAAGATTTGCTCGAAACCCAAAAACTTTAGGATTGACAAGTTGACACTTGGGTGGAAACGTAGACCACCTTTGTATGGACCCTTGGCAGAGTTGTATTGAACTCTGTAACCGGTGGCAACTTCTTGTTCACCATTGTCATTTTCCCAGGCGACTCTGAACTGGATGATTCTCTCAGGAACAGAGACAACTGGCAAGACCTTCTTGTACTTTGGTTGCTTCTCGAACAAAGTGGAGTCTTGCAGAGAAGTGACGACTTCTTCGTAAGCTTGTTGAAATTCTGGTTCGTAGGCGACTGGAGACATCTTATTTGTCAATGGACTGGTGAAGAGTACTTGGTGTTTTTGAAACCAACAGTACTTTCTTGGTTCTTAGACCCATTTTATCTCTCGCTTTTATACAATACTCGAGCGCTAGTCCAGCGCCACCCAATGCACCACCCACTGCAACTAACTGCCTACCTACACCTTTTCATTGTCGACACAGTGTGGATAAAATTTTTTTGTCCAATCAACTACAGATCTCACAACCAAACCAAATTTCCTTTTCCTCTCGTCAGCCTTCCCCGCTAAAACATTCGCTTTTGACCATACTGACGCACTTTGATAGGCGTTGGTTTTTGTCGACGTCCAATAGTATTTCGGCCTAGGGCGATCGAGTTACAAAATAAGAAAAAATGGCTCTAATCTTTGTTCGGGCATCTGCCGACATCACGCAAATTTCAGCTGTGGAACAACATTATCCAATCAGATTGATGGATGCATCATGATAAGCCTTGCGCAATCGCCGTAGAACCCCAGTAATTATTGGTTGTAAGAATCATGGACTACGTATCAATAGGCATTTTTGGTGCATGTTTCCCTTGGTAATTTCTTGTGGTCAAAAAACAAATTAGCGGGCTCACCCTACCACCGGTACCGGTCAAATTTTCAAGAAGGTGCACACCAAAAGTAATGCACGCATACACCGTTAAGACCTAACGGCCACATCCGCGAAAAGGAATATGTAGCGTTACCGGCGTGTTTTCTGTGGCAGACTGTTTAAGAATTTGTGGCTTGGAGGGTGCACACTGACGGTCAGCTGCTTTCTTCATCAGCATGTGATGATCATGATGTTTGAGTCATCATTCTTTTGGCGGTTGATTGTCAAATATCCAGGTCTGACTACGTCTGGATGCAGAAGAAGATCCACTGGACGAGTTAGCAAACGTAGCTCGCTATTCTTGAATTGGCACATGCCATCTTGAAGTTATTAAGCCTTTGACAGGCGGCCCTGAAAGATGAGTTGATGCCAGTTCAGTGGCTGTGATGTTGTAAGAAAGTAAACGAAAGGTCAACAGCCGATGTATCGTAACAGTAGAACAAGGCGGCAGAAAATGCACATACTGATTGAAAATCGAATCAGTCTTGAGAATTTATAGAGTTAAAAAGGCCACTGCAGTTAGATATACTTCTCACCAGTGGCCGCAAAGGTAGTTCCACACCATCCTCAAATATGACTTCAAAGACGAACATTGAACTACTGCAATTTTTGGCTTGTACACGCCTTCACAGTTCACTGATTACTGCCAGGAAATGAAGATTCTCTTTTTATCACAGGTAAGGCAAGTCCAGGAAGTGTTTACTGGTAACTATGGCCACATCAGACAATATAATCCTGGAGTGATGTGGTTTTGGTGATATCTATCAGGCTGTGCATCTTGTTTCTTTCGTAATGAGGAGGGCCCGAGTGGTATGACGTTGCCGAAATAATACCAGTGCGACACGTCGTGATTGCAAAAACTCAAATACCCAAACGTTCCATATTTCCAATAACTCCTTTGTTTTTTGGAGTGCAACTATGTCATTCATTTTGACTTATGTCGAATTAATGAAATGTGCATAAAACAATGACCACGTAATCTAGACTGTAGAAAATTCGTAGAAGTTCAGTCGTCAACCGGAATTTATATATATACGCGGCTACAGATGGGCTGGCTCTTCCTTGTTTATGATGGCCCTACCATTGAATGGATGCTGATGGAACAAATAGTAGCTATTCTTATAACCTTTACGTAACCGATAATTGGGATAACATCTTTTGGCTCAGTTCTAGAGCTCAAACTAGTAGGTGTGCTCACTGATTGAAATGATTCGGAATTCAACGCCGACTTCGTAGCCGATCCCTACAATTCTATGTTTTATTTTTATAGTAACCAGCCCTACTTGTTTTCACAATAATCACTCTATAAAGTCTTGTGGTGACTACAACATATGGGTTATGGGATGCTACCGATGGTTTTACGCATAATGGTCTATGCACACGTGACGTTAAAAGGACTTCCCAATTATGTGGTTTTTCTGATTTCATGTCTGTTATAATGAAACTTATGTTTTTATCACTTTTATAATGTGCGTCGTTTTTTGCTGATGTTGTCAAGAAGTTGAAATTATACCTAAAGTCAAATGTTGTTGCAGCGCCGCAACTAGAGAGCCATACCGCTTCCGTCTGTAGTATATGCTATCCACAGGTGGACTGCATTGAGCCCACTTGAGGATCGCATTAATGCCAAATTCTGGGTAACACTGACTCTCAGCTGATAACATAGCTGGATTTCAATATTAGAAATATGGATTTGGAAACAAGCTGATTCCAAAGTGACATGAGACTAAAGGTTTTTCATTATAACCCGTATTAATTGTATCCTACTAAGCGTATTATGTACCAAATCATTAAATCGTAATCCATTCTTGTGCACTTCGTGCTCCTGTCATACTGCTGTCCCATGCGACATTTGACGGGGAGAAGAAATATCCAGAGTATGCTCTTCATCCTCCTCAGGAATGGATACGAGCAGCAGGTTCCCATTTGAGATCTTCATCATTCCTCCATCACTCGCCAGCGTGTAATGGCCCGGTCTGCGAAGTTGAGTGTTACGGCCTAGCATTTTGAGCTCTTCCTCAGGATCACTGAGACTATAGTCGTCGTCATCGTCGTTACTTGAAAGGGGCTCATCGTCGTCGTCCTCGCTGTCGCTATCACTATCGCTGTTATATTCGTGCACCGTCTGCACAGGAACGGAAGGCAAGGAAAACGTCACGTGTTGTTCTCCCACCACGTAACTACGATCGTCGTTACTGAGATCGTGAGTCAATTGCACGGGCTCGATCTCGCACTCGTCGTCACTTTCACCGGACCCGTCTTCTTCTTGCAGGGTTTCCATCACCTTGTCCAGCAGGTTGGCGTGGCCTACCAGCACTCGGAGGTCTAGATCGCTCTTTTTGGATTGGGAAGCGCAGCGAAGCAGCTTCGTGCGTGCTTGGCTCGCTAGAGCGTATCTCTCAGTAACTGTGTTGTACGCTGAGACTCTAAACATTGCGTGTGAACTTTCTCTTCAATATGATGATGTCTTGTAAATTACTGTTAAGAAACCAACTCATGGCTAGATGCTAAACTGATTGTTAACTTATATGCCAACGATGCCAAGGCTGCTTGGTCCTTCGCGCAGGTAACCATTTGTCAGTACACCTATTTGTGATTGTTTTTACTCATCGTCCATCCGCTGCGCTTCCGAAGCCCGCGGTGCGGACATAATGGGCGACGCTTACCAGTGCTGACACAACTATGAAGTGCGTCGTGCGAAAACCATTATAAATCACCGCAGCACACACATCTCGGACGGAACGGCCTGACAAATTCCGGGCAGGAAAAAAAATTAAAGAAAGAACACGGCCGAAACGGATTTTGAAATTGTAGTACAAGATGACATGGTGATGTCAGACCTTGATTATAAGCACCTCATCACCATTTGGGTTGTTGGTAGATAACGCAGAGAAAAGCTAGTGAATGAATGCAAACGGGTGTTGTTCTCGACGCTACCCAAATTTGTGGCGGCCGAACTGTGAGTCAAGAATCTAGACGCTTGTAGATTAGGTGTTGCAGGTGTTCAGAACACCGTGAAATAAACGTGCAAGGACTCTTCATTGACTACCAATTCTTGGCGGAATGTCAATGCTTGCGGCCGAGGAACCAGCTTACTGGCCGAACAATTCGGAAGCAGCTTAGACATTTGCTAATTGCGAGTACACCCGCTTCCGTTGTTCTGCCTCGTTTATAGTTATCAAAGTGGACAAGGCGGAATAATTTACGGCCGACACCGGATCGGGAATGGAGCGGAGATCCTGTAGAACCCAGCGAAAACCCCGGCCTCATCGGCACATGGAACACAGCGGCAAACTAACTGCCGAGTGAAGAATTGACGAGAGAAGAGAAAAGAAGATTGAGTGGCTGATTTTATGTCACGTGTGTATATGCAGAGAACGTGAAGTGTATAAGATCGGCATTACATGAATTACAGATGCGATGTACATGGCGCAACAAGTATTCCGACAGGTGCAAGGGCCTTTGATGATTTAATCTGTCTGCTCTTCAAGTTCACGCTGTAAACCCTTAAGTACACCAAATAGGTCAGCTATGAGATCGTGAATGTCCTCCAGCCCGACCGACAGCCGCAAAAGTCCTTTGTCGATGGATGGGTCGCTGAGGGATCTCCACTCTATTAGCGATTCCACGCCACCCAGTGACGTGGCGTGCTGGAAAATTTGAACACGTTTGACCAGTTTTTTACACTGTTCGGGGTGTTTCAAGATGATAGAGAACACAGGACTGTAGCCGCCTTGATTCAACTCCTTTACGTATTCTTCAGGTTGCAAGCTGCCGTGACGTACATGAGCTAGTACTCCAGAGACCTCGCCAGCATGGTTTGCCAAATGTTTGACAAGCGCCTCGCAGTTTTCGGACTGTTGCTTGACTCTTACCTTGAGGGTGCGCAGTGAACGTAGCAGCAGGAAACTTTCCAAGCTGGCTGGGATTGTTCCCATAATCATCCGCTGCATTTTTATTTCAGCCGCCCATGATGGATCCTTGAAGCATAAGACCCCGCTGAGCAAATCAGAATGACCACCCAGATACTTTGTCCCCGAATGCATGACAATGTCCACGCCAAATTCCCAGGGGTTCCTCAATGGAGGAGGAGCCAAGGTTGAGTCGATCAATACAAGTCCGCCTTTTGCATGGACCTTCTTCACGAGCTTGACAACATTGCAACTCTCGCCGAAAGGGTTCATCGGATCTTCTATGTGCACCAGGTCGTGAGCACTGCACTCTTGATCAATGTCCTCGAAGGACAAGATTTGCATACCGCTAACTTTTGAAAATAATTCTGCTGCGAGATGACACCCGTGGTAGCACTCAGCTATGAACAGCTTCTTGGGGCGGAGGTAGGTCAGAATTGCATAGTAGGCCGACAACCCTGAGGCATATGCCAAGCACGGACCTCCTAGCACTGATGTAAGTACAGCTTCCACACGAGTTGCGTTAGGGTGACTTTCTCTTGAGTAAACAGGCGGCTTGTCGGTCTCAATCGATCCGCTAACCTCTCCTGAGGGAATAAGCTTGTCGTTATCGTACCGAAAGGTAGTGGAAACATTGATTGGAGGCGCAACGTCAGTCACCCTGTTCAAAAAGTCATCAGCATGAATCGAACTGGTGCTCAAGTTACCCATCCTATGCCTTTGTCTGGGTTCCAGACAAGTATACCAAATCCTTTACACTTTACGTGTGCTTAAAAGATCTTGGGAATCTCTTTTATATCAGAAGTACAAAAAAAGACTTGATTGTTATCTGTTTAACAACAAGCACACAAAAACACTTTTAGAAAGCTACGCAAGCAAAACGTGGCCAGCCAGTATGATCAGTGACTATATGGGTTAGCCAAACACATTTATCGTCCACTACAGAAAACTGGCTTATCAATAAAGACAGGCTTTTTCCAATAGCGCTTGTTGCAAGTCCAAGCAAATTCCACAGCAAATGGCCCTGCTGACTCTTATGGGAATATCGAACGGTCAGGCTTCAGAACATGTTTATGCAAAGCTAGTGGGTTCGCCTAGCTCAACTTTTTTTTTTCAGCACTGTGCAACGCTAGCCGCTATGGGTAACGGCAGGCGAGGTTTACTCAATTGTACATTAAAATGATATACGGGCGTTATTTTCGTTATCAATATTGGGCAGTGGATGCTATGGGCCGCTCCGCGCGTGGCGGATATTGCACATCAGTCGGTTCTGATGCCCCAACAACAGCGTTAGCTGGAGGCTCCACATCTGCTGGTGGCAGATTAGCTTCATTGGTAGGGGGTACGATCTCTAAATCTGTGGGCGGTAGGGCTTCCACGTCCGTATGAGGATTCGTGCTACTTATGCGGAGGTTGCACCATCGGGTGAGAGTAGCTTCACTGCCACTATAAAATAACTTGCCTCCTGTGGCTAACCTAATTGGAGCCATAACGTTCAGCCAGAACAATGTTGCAGTGATATCAAAAAGCCAAAATGCAAAGAATGCCATAGCGATAGAAGCTTGGCCTGCACGGCAGTATTCCAACCAGCCACTGCTATAGACATATCGATTGCTACAGTTTATACCGCCATGGAGCGCCGCCAAAGCGACGAAAGCGGCAAACCATAGAATAGCGAGGATAACCTCACTAATGAGAATTGCCAACACACAATCGCTGAGTCTGAGTGGTATAACAGTGACAATCGCTAAGTACACGAAAGTCATGACCGAAATTGCAACCGCATACCCCGTGGTAGCATGATTGATGCCAAAATCTAATACTTTGGCGCTCAAGCCCAAGGTGATAATAGTAAATACAAACTGCCCGATACGGAGTCCCCAGAGGAGATAGATGTTAGAATGCCACCGGTAAGGGGTAACAGGAACAGAAAGCTCAGACTTGACTTCAGATTTTGATTCTTCGAAGGACATAGGGATTGGTCTCTGGAGTAGTTGATAAGACCAGTCTGTGGTTCATATAAGAGTTTCTTATATAATCGCTGGGGTGCGAGTTTCAGACTTGAAGTTTGGCGGGCCGTTCTATAATTCCCTGCAGCGCGTATATGCTGGGATATTCTAGGGAGGTACGTTGTAGGGTTTTTTGGAGGCTTGAGCAAAATCAAGGGTTTACGCCTCCCTCACCCCGAATCAAAGGTATGTACCACAACTTGAGATCCCATCGGCTAGATAATTGGGGCTTAAGCAGATTAATTGTTTCTTTTAGTTTTGATTAAGGGCCCAAACCCCTAACAATAGCGAGTTTACGAGAAATAACAACGCCCTTGATGGCAAGTCATTACAGATTTCGTAACGTGAGATTACGGCAAGGAGGTAGATTTATCCAGAGGAGCCAAGGCGATGCGATGCGATCTCGGAGACTTTGCTGCCTCTATTTGCCACACTAGGCTGCTGAAGCGGATAAAAGTTAAAGTGTACGTGCCTTAACTACACTATACCCCGTGCAATTACGTTCTCAACCGCCCCAAAGAGATAGGCGTATTACACATTCCAGAGCTTATGTTGATGACTTACGAACTGAACCCCGATTTTGGTCCTTAGCAACAAGCTATTTTTTTTTGCCCGATGAGATAGGAAATAAGTAGTCACAATGCACACGTTTTGAAGGGAGATGCAACCCCAATATGCGCGAAGGCACAGCGTTTAGCTAAGGCACAGTCTTTGAGCGAAGGCACAGTCTTTGTTATATCCAGTGTAGTCGTCTGAAAGATAAGGGGTTATCAAGGGTCCGGATAGGAATTTGAAGGCACCTCAAAACACTAACGTTGAGAATGTCCTCCTGGACTATGCATTACTTTTTGTATTAGAGGTTCAGGCTCATTTACTTACATAACAAGGTATAGCAAATGAGCACGCGTGCCTTTGGGAGGCACTGGCAGTATACTTTAATATCTCGGGACAACGGCGTTGGTGAACTCCAAATCGTTTGCAAAGGTGCAGTACCCCATTTTTCAATAAGGGATTGATACCAGTAGCAACTTTAAATCCTTGAATACAAAACCACTTGACCATAAAAGTGAAATTCCAGCTTTCTTAGCTTCTCGGGTAGGAAATACTAATATACTGACAGAATTCTGTCCAAGTCATGTCATAGTTGGCTATCCTTTGGTTGGGATCGCATGTTGTCTTGTTAACGTATCGCTAAGTTGGCCCGTTCTTCTGGTAAATTTGCTACGACATTTTGACTTGACAACCGCGATGAATAATTATTGACCGTCGAACTGCTGTGAGTACCTGGCTGGCTTTAATGAGGCGACCAATGATTCTGCAATCTAATCGCGAGTAAATTATTGCTCATGTGTAAAGGGTAGTCTCTTGTACTCATCGATATTCTGTGCTACAGGCTACATCCTCAAATGTTGCTTTTTCAATGTTCTCTTAATACTTGGCACCTCATTTTATTGCTCGATCCACTGATACTACCACTCTTCATATTCTGTATCGAAAAAGATAGGAAGTAAACAGCTATCTGAACGTAGTATGATATCTCCGACCCTCCTCTTGACTTCGGATAATGAGAAAGAAGGCGCCAATATTATTCGAAACGTCTAACAATGGCATGCCTCTTCTCTCTTTCGTGTCAAGATATACGAGCCTGAGTCTGATTCAAGTTCATGTATATTAGAGAATTGGATAATGAAACCCAGATTAAATTAGTTCACCATGCCGCTGTCAAGGACAAGATCAAGCCACAAACAACTATCACGCAAGAAAGCTTGCATACCATGCTCTAAGGCGAAAGTGAGGTGCGATCAGCGCCGTAAGCACTGCTCGCGGTGCCTTGGTCGTAGAGTATCGAGCCAATGCCGCTACCCCGATTCACTGGACATCGATACCAATGATGGGCGCTTGCCACAAGACAACTGCGAGAAAAGTGTAATTACTCCTTTGAATGTCGCGCTCTGTAGCGGTGTTGATAATTTTAATACTGATCTCGTGGGAGCACAGAAGGACTTAAAACCCGTTGTACCAGTACCAGTTTGTACGGCCGACAAATACAATTGTGGAGAGATCACCCCGTCTACGCTGACAGAACATCTCACTGATGCAAATAGATACCATCTTGAAGATGAAAAACCTTTCAGATTTGAGGAACTGGATCTTATTTGCACGGTAAACTACCAAGAGATACAAAACAGATGGCTCAACAATTATATCCCACCCTTGGATCATGAAGTTAAAAACTACCCTTCCAATGTAACGTCTTTCATTTCCAAAATGCTTCGTGCATATTCCTCAATGCCAATCAGAAGAGAAGCTTTTCCGCCTTTTGTTCACATCTCTCAAAACTCTCCGGTTGATCTGCCAACCCCGCTAGCAGTGTGTCTCAGCTTAATGCGAATGTTTCATAATAGAGTTCCTTCTCAGGACTTTGTCATAAAAGATGCCCTCGCTAGGGAAATGTCTCGTCTATACCAACAGCATGGGTCCTTTGACGAGGTTAATCTCCTAGCCGCATTCCAAGCTTACTTAATTTATTCTATGGCAACTTTCTTTGAGTTTGATCAATGCAAACCAACAGGACTACACCAAGCTATGGTAAACCTACAGAATATAGCATGTGAAGTCTCAAAACGTGGCATCTGTTGTTCGGCCGAAGTAAGCCGTTCAATACCAAAATGGGAGTCCTGGATTGTTGCCGAAGCCAAGAGGCGTACAATATTCACAATGTACTTATTTGATAGCCTACTCTGCTCACATGATGGGCTACCAACGTTTTTGGCCAAAGAGCTCAAAGGCACCTTCGCACCCTCTAGTGGGTCCTTATGGCGAGCTACAACAAGGAAAAGGTGGAATGAGCTATATCAAAGATATCTATGTGAATGGGGCAGTGATGGGCCTCTGGTAATTGATGAGCTTTGGCCTGTGCCATCTGACATATGCGGTCAGGAGTTGAAACGAAGGCGAATAAGAATAGACCACTGGCTCACAGAAGTCGACGACTATGGAACTATGCTTTTTGCGATTACGTCATGTACTCATGGTGACCAATAAGCGGTACTAGTTAGCAGATAGTGTCGAGGTACAGGAGCAAGATGGGGACAGGAGTGGAGAATATTGAGTGACTACGAAGAGCCACACCGAGCGCTCACTTCTTGAAAAGTTTGCATTCTTTCGGGCGCTCCTTTCTAGCGCCTTGAAGTACCAATACGTTATGCAAATATAATGAAATTGCCTCCTCCGATCATTTTTCTTTCTTTGGCGATACGTGGTAGATTGATTGACACTTCAACTCAACGCCAAAAATCCGGTGATGGACCGGTTTTTCCGAAAGGCCCTCAACTTTGCATTCTTCATGTGGAGGTTATAATATGTGGACCAAACGTTTTGATTACGGCAACCCTTTTTTTCTTACCTAATTGCATTTCTTGGCAAGTGTGGAGAGCAGCACAATACAATATCTCACCCCTCTCTCTTGATCAGTGCATTCTCTGCAGTCACATATCACCCAAAAAGATCCTGACCGAAGGCACGATAAATCTCGGCCTTTTGTGAGGTTATTTTTTTTTCTGTTCTCATATTTTTTTGTCCCTTAATGTAGGAAGTAGTTAGGACTACGTACGTAATGAAAATATAATGAAGGTACTTAAATAAAAATAAATTTATATATATGTACCGATCGTAGTGATAACGCTTTCTGATTAACACTACAAATGAGAGATTTCCCGCTCACTTCTTTACGAAGAAGTTTTTCTCAACAATTGGATTTTGTTTGTTAACTAACAATGGATCGTGGTGGGATACCTGCAATCGTATTTTTGGTCCTTTATTTTGTGCTGTTTTCATGGGTTACATTCTTGCTTTTAACCAAGCGAGTTCTCTGGAGATCTCGGTATACATCCATTTTTGTGCACACACTACTTCGTCTGGCAGCTCAAATCTGTGGAATTGGATATGGAGTAGCAGGTGTTGAGCATATCAATTGGCTGATAGCCTACCTAGTTTTTGGCGCAGAAGGCTATTTCACTCTAGTTTGGTGTGCGTATCGCTTTTTGATAGCCTTTCAGAACGAAATTTTGGGCAATTCATGGATTGAACCCAAAAAAGATTGTGGATTTTGGAGCTACTACCGAGTTTTACGTGCATACCCAGTTCTTTACATCTACTATCTCTTGGCGGCTGCTAATGGCCTGATCATTGCCGGATCAGTTAAGGGAACCAACAGCAGCCTTTCAGACTCATCTAGGGAGCACGAGCTCCGTGTTGGACGGGCGCTGCGCGACGCGGGAACAGCAATCTTTATGGCACTGGTTGTACTCTTTGCAGCATTCACTCAAAAATCGTATATGGCTCGTAGGGGTGCGTATACTCGGGCTCAGTCTCATTTTCTCCTAATCTTAGGGCTCACGGCAGTTCCGCTTCTCATTAGAGGTGTATATGGGATTTTAGGAACCGAGCTCAGGTCGTGGAACTATGCCTTACCCGAGGCGTACGACGGAGGCGGCTTGAGAGCTGGTGCTCTTGCTGCGGAATATGTGCTGGGTACAAGTATGGAATGGGTTACTTGTTTAACGCTTTTATCCACGAGTTTTATTTCGATTACCAGTGGTGCAAATGAACCACTGGACTTTGATGACAAAGCAAGGATGAATTCTAAGGGAGAATTGGACCAAGAATTAGATGAAGAGGCAAAGTAGCAAACTTTGCTTGCCATGTAAAAGGAATCATGCTAACCGGACTATCATACAAGTGAATTGTAAAATTTTCTCGAACACTAATTTCTGCTTAGCGTCGCGGGATGGAGTACTGAAAAGATATTTGTACAGACAATAAGGTTGAAGAGAGTAGTTCAAACCCACAAATTTTATTCAATTTCTCCGATGAATCCCTAATATCTTCTCTCAATTGTTATTTTATTACACAGGACTTAATAACTCAAGCTAATTTTTTGTCAGGGTGGCCAAAGGTTTTTGAGCTTTTTGCTTGGCAACAAGTGTAGTTTTCAGGCCTTTGCCCCTTTTCATATGTTTTATCTTTGCATAGCTCACTTTATTTGTTTGTTAAATAGACTTGTAGAATCACATTATGTGAACTATTCTAAGTCTCAGCTAGAGAAGCTGTAAAGAGCCGGGACGTGAGCATAAACTTGAAGGCTGGAATTCTCCTTGTTAGTTGCTTAGATGTAAACAATAGCACTAACCGCTTTATTAGTGATCAATAGTTCGCTAAAAACGTATAGTATTTTAACATATCAACTGAAATTAGTTCATAGTAACCTTTGAGGGGACTCAGTGTTTTCGTTGGATAGTTCACCGAGAAACCTGGCAACAATACAGGTTCTAGATGTCTGTAGTTTGAGCTATATCTTGATGATAATTTGGACCTTTGTGATATTGGTTCACCCAATCCATCGAATAGGTTGTATTTCAAACCAAGATTAAAGCTAAGAGTAATCTCACTAGTGTCTGCAGAAACACCTGCAATATATATTGAAAGTTATCGGCGATTATTCAGACTATGTTAAGAGAATCATCCTACTACTAAGGCCGAACGCTCCACTATTCATTGACTATTCATACTCTTCTCACTCCGTTAACTGACACTAGTCTTGTCACTTTGTAATTAACTGTTACGAATTATTATTACAACCATGTAAATTGGACAATAAGATGGCACGAGATGGAGACAGTTGATACATAGATATTTAAATATTTTTTGCTTGCTTATTTGAATTATTATTGTTGGGAATGATGTGAGTTATAAGGAACTGATGGTGATGTGCGCCTAATCGCATAATCGGCGTCAGGAAATATGTGACACAGTGGTACAGAATGATAGTACATAACAGAGGCCATACAAATCGACTTACCATCAAAGACAAGTCGAAGAGAGCTGCTGGTGTCCAATGGGATTGGCGATTGATAAGTTATCGGCATTGCGCTGCGATCCATCGATAATAGAATGATCTAGAACGGGTGATTAATAATTGTGTTGACCAGAGTTACCGAATGAGAGTTGTATAAATAACAGGCGTTTGTTCAGATAACTGAACAGCTCTAATGCGTAAAATAATGACGGAGAGATGAATCGAATTCCCTAGATCCAAGTTACTCATCTTATAATAACTATGTCCGACTAACATAATAAATTTAGTAAGCTTTCTACTAATGAATCAGATTCGCTTCAATAATTGTCATGGTGTGTTTAGTGTAGGTAAAGAAACGCAAAGCTCATTATTAAGAAATGCGGTGTTAACTCCACGCTGGTTCTCAGAAGTAAGTTTAGAAAAAATGAATGTTTCCATACAATAGCTTGCTCTTTTGCATGGATCAAAACTAATAGGACGAGAATGGGCTTAGGCTGCGTTTGAGCAATCAGATAATCAGATATCATCAGAGATTTGTCGATCATAGAAAAAATTGGACCTATACTCTGCATGCCCACGTATCTACACGCTTCTTTCTCATGAAAACCGTTAAGCTTATCAAAGCTTGACAAGAGATTTATGCCAATCTCCTCGAGAAAATGGTACGTCCGACACATATGCTAAATAAATCTCGACAAATCAACCTTTAACCAGGCTTATCGCTTTTAGACGGATAAACATCGTCAAAGTTAAGCCATCAAATATATTTGTGACTGACTTTGGGGGCAGTTGAAAATTTCCAAATTCTCACAGCATGCAGCCAATTCAAATTTCAAAAATCAATATTAATAACTTACAAGAATGCGTCAGTTGCCTTCATCAGTTAATTATGGAAAGGTTTTTACAAACCCGAGATTAATCGAGTTTGTTCCCAAAAAGCTATCTTAGCAGCTTAACGATATTTATCTGCCTGTAAAGAAGCCATTAAAAGAGTTCCATCTAAGAGCCTCGGAAATTGAACTTTTCCTTAAAAGTTACACTAGTTGTACTCTCCAAGTCATGGATCAAGGCTTGAAAAGAGACATAATAATTAGTACGTGGATAAAATGGCTTGGGGCATCGTCGCTCTTAAGACAAAGAGCCAAATTCAAGATCATATAGCCGTTTCGATGGACTCGCTAGTACAGAAATGAAGACACCAACATGCCGCCGCACCATTGGCCTATATTTTAATTCAGCTTCTTGCCCATTATGTGTACCGTTGCAAAATATACCCAAGTACAAATGAGGTTGGTAATTCGCTTGTTGACGGTAGTGCAGTCAACAGAATAAAGTAAACAATCAAATTTTCAAGTAAGCTTGCCCCACTCGAGTTGAAGTACATTTTTTTACAGTTTGATGGGCCCTTGTATAACGTTGATTTTGAAATGGAAAAATGAGCAAAATGTACCAGCTCCAAAGGGGCCCTCAAGCAACCGTTAAAATATCTCCACCTTTTGAATCCGCTTGACTAATGGTATTCCACTGTTTGTGTCATTTTTTGGACAGTAGAGGCTTTCTACTGGAATGGTTCTTTCATCGGTGAGGTAATTTGTGTCTACCTTAATACGCTTCAATACGTCTTTTCCAACTTTTACGTTAAATTTGGTGGTCTTAGCCTAATCTGTGCCAGAACGCTATAAAATGATTTTTATAGCTAGCGATACTGATGAAGGTCTAACCATCCGTCAAATTGTTTGGCCCTAAGTCAAACTGAGCGCCCCCGCGCCCTTTGGCTAAGTTCTTGTTTCTCGTTGGTGGTAAGCATTCCTCGTTATTGCACAGGAATTTTCACCCTCGGATCAGGCGGCCGAAAAGGCCAATAAGTTGGCCCAGGTCTTAAATCTTAACATAGATCAGAGCTTGGAATTTTAAATTGGTTGTAATTCCAGACGGAAGCCCGAATTAAGGTCGCGCCGGAAACCGACCCTACTTTTGATGTTTTAAGGGTTCTGTCGTAGCACCGGAGGGGAGTTTTGATATTCAATCCGATGAATCGCATGCATATAAACATGGAGTCAAGGTTATGCTATATGCACAGTTGAGTATCTAAGCGTTCTTAAGAAATCAAAGCCTGGTCTCATAACATGGAGAAAGAACTAAAATTTGATGCGATTGGAGTTTTAGACTTCGACCACTGGACCGACGCCAAAAAGTTTTCCTACTCTCCTCCTTTGTTAGGCCCCAACGATATCGAGTTGAAGATTGAAGTTTGCGCTGTGTGTGGATCGGATATCCATGCTGCAAATGGTGATTGGGGTCGCACGTACACACCTCTTGCTGTGGGCCATGAAATTGTAGGTAACATTACCGCTCTTGGGGACAATGTAGACAAAATAAAGTTCAATTTAGGCGACAGAGTGGGGGTAGGAGCTCAAATAAACTCATGTGGTAAATGCTTGCGCTGTTTGAGAAACCGTCAGCAAAACTGTAAAGACTTTGTTGGAACATACCAAGGTGTTGACAAAAAAAATGGCTTTGAGACTCAAGGTGGTTATGCCTCCCACATAAGAGTTAATTCTGATTTTGTTTTCAGAATTCCTGACCAATTAGATTCTACCATTGTAGCTCCTTTGCTGTGTGGGGGTATTACGGGATTCAAGCCACTAATTACAGGCGAAGTGAAGCAAGGAAGTAAGGTAGGAGTAATCGGAGTGGGGGGCATAGGGCACATGTCCATCCTCTTTGCTAAGGCCTTAGGTGCTGAAGTGACGGCGATATCGAGATCTAACCGTAAAAAAGAGGATGCTCTAAAGTTGGGGGCTGACCACTTCGTGGCTACTGCAGAAAAGGGCTCATTAGATAGTCACGTCGATACGCTTGATCTACTCGTCATGACGGCGTCATCGTTCTCCGAAAGTGATATCGATCAAACGCTGTCTTTATTGGTAGCAGGTGGCCGTGCCATTTTTATCACTAACCCACCAGCTCAAGAGAAACTCACGCTTACCCCACCAACTATGCTTAGCAATGAGTATCACATTGGAGGATCTGCAATTGGCTCACCCCATGACATTGAATACATGCTGAAGCTTGCAGCCGAGAAGCAAATCAAGCCTTGGGTACAGACAGTAGATATTAATGAGGAGAGCGTGTCTGACGTGTGGAAAAAGATGGTAAAGGGTGATGTCAGATATCGGTACGTTTTCACGGGTTATGACAAATATTTTAAGTAGAATTTTGGAGGTGTTTTATCGTAAGCTAATTAATAACATTATGACTAGTTACTTGTATGTACCAAATGAACGGCTAGTACAAGGAAAAACAAAACATTAAGTTTGAATACAGGTAATAGGAGTATTGGGACTGATGGGAATGTCGGGATAATCAAGAAATAATCAAGAAATCTTATGTTGGTAATCAAGAAGAGCCACACTAGACCAGTTCGAAATATGGGTTCAATCTCAGCTTGAAACATGATCGTAAGAGAGGCGCCGAAGTCTTCAAAAGAACTCTGAAGCTTCATTCTAATTTTCTGTAGCAATTTGCTGAAACAAAGCCTTTTTTATCCAAAACCCTTGATTTCGCGTGCATGACGGAAAGCACACAACGTATTCCAGCAGCTGAACGATTAAGTAAGGGCTTTAGATTGCACTCAAACTAGTGATCTATATACTTAGCGATCATGCTGATGTAAAACTTATCATTCATATTTCGCTTTCAACATTCTGAATTCATTTTGATCGAAGATCTTTTAATCTTGCAGCCATCATAATTATTGCGCCAACGGAAAGCTCAGCTTTCTTAACAAGGCCTTATTGAATTATTTCCACTATTATTCCTTTACTTTGAAGTAGTTTTGACCAATTTCCTTTTTTATCGAACGCTTCAAACATCGCGCGGCAATTGTCGATTATGGCAGACAGAAAAGCCTAAATATATGGCTTCTTAGGATGAGATACATCGAGAGTTTGTAAAATTACGGTTCTTTTGCGGAAAAAGCTTAGGAAGCACAAGTGGTCAGGCGTGGATACACATGAAACAAGTACCATGCACATTTGAAGTAATATGAGCTGCAAGCAAGATCAAGGCCATAATATACCCTCGAGCTTTCCGGAGGCAGCTTCCTTGAGAATTTTTAGATTTAGGCCTGAGCAAGGTTCAGAAAAGCGAGGTTATAGGTAATGTTTCATAACGCAGACAAATAAAAAGTGGTTTATTTCACAATTCATTTGGTCAAACGCCAGTCCACACATAAAAAGTCAGTCTAGATTCTCCTTATTCCCAAGCTTATCCAATGCCACAGAGTTCCTTAGTTAAGAGCGAGATCTCAAACCTAACCGGACCACATCTCTCCAATAATTGCATCCCAAGGAAGCTAGTAGTTGAGTGATAGTATAACAGAACACGAATATTGAGCTGACTGATTTTTTGGACTAAGGAGCTGGTCTGCAGTTAGATTAGTCATTCGCTTACATATCCGACCTCAATTGAACATTATAAATGTCATTATCGATAGAGAGCATATGATCGAACTGACTGATATGGATCAAGTGACACGACGGTCAATTTGTTTTCCGTTATAAAGCCGACATGCGCGACGGAACAAAGATGGCCATCAAAGTCGAATGATAAATACGTGAAGAGCTTGCAAAAAGTCCAGGAGAAAGGTGTCGACTATTAAAGGAAGCTAAATTACTTTGAATATAATTTATGAAGATTAAAGATTATTGATGGCGCACCGTCATAGGTTTGTTTCTTCTCATTTTAAACAATCACCCCAATGGCTTTAAGAAAAATAGTTGTTGCCGGAAGCTCGGGAACTCTAGCTGACCACGTACTCGGTGCTCTTTTGGACAGCAAAACGGCAGATTTTACTGTCACAGTTCTCACTCGCCGCGATAGCGGTAAAAATGTTTCAGTCCCTGGGGCTCGTGTGGTGCAAGTGAATTACGATGACAAAAATGAGCTTATTTCGGCAGTTGCTGATGCAGATGCTATCATCAATCTTGTTTCTGGTAAAGTGGGGAGCGTGGTGGACCTGCAACTACTCGACGCTGCTAAAAAGGCCGGGGTTCGTAGAATCTTTCCTTCCTCGTGTGGACTGGACATACTACATCCCGTGGCTACTTCCCTCTTAACTCGGTCAGATGGCAGCGCCTTGGGAAAAGGTGTAGCCCCAATTCAAAATGCTCGTATGTTTCTGGCTCTCGGCGAAGAGAATTCTTCTGTGAGTTTTACTACACTCGTGCCCTCCATCTTCCTTGACGCCGCTCTCGAGGGTCGCTTTGGCACCATCGAGCCCCAGAACCGCAAGGTTACGGTTTTCAATGGAGGGGAGGAGTATTTCACGGGCTGTTCGCTGCCTTTCTTGGGTGCATGTTTTGCCGCTGTTTTGCAAATGGATGAAGAGAGCACTAAGAATAAGCGCATCCGTGTGGCGGAGGTGCGCACTACCTTGAATGAGATTGTAGACACATTTGAAAAGGTTGCAAAAGTGCCCTTTGAAAAAGTACCAGCCAGCCTCGAAGCAGTGGCTGCTAAGCGTGAGATGCTACTGTCAGAAAACCAAGCACTCCCAGCTTTCCATCTCAGTCTGCTCATCTCACTTTTTAACGGGTGTGGGGCTGGAGATATCGAAGATGGGCTAGAATTTGACGGCGAAGGCTTTTTAGTAGGCAAAAGGAAGTCAATCGAAGAACTTGTTGCTGAGGCTGTTTCTAAGGTCAAAGTAGTTTGAATAAGATGTGCAGTGTAGTGAATTTGTCGGGAATAGTGTGAGTTATTAGGGAGCTGATGGTGATGTGCGCCTAATCGCATAATCAGCGTCAGGAAATATGTGACACAGTGGTGAAAAATGGTAGTACATAACAGAGGTCATAAAAATCGACTTACCATCTTCAATAAGTCCAAGAAAACAACTGGTGTCCAATGGGGTTGGCGGTTGATAAGTTATCGACACTTAACCACAATCCAGATCTAGAACAGGTGATTAATAATTGTGTTATGCAGGTTCACTGAGCGAGAACGGCAAAAGTACCAGGTTTTCGTTCAGACAACTAAACCGACTCTAATGTCTAAGATAATCACAGAGAGATAAATAGAATTCCCTAGATTCAAGCTGCTTATCTTTCAATGAACATAAACGACCTACCCCGCTAATTTAGTAAGCTTCTGACCGAAGAGCCAGATTCGCCTCAAGAACTAATTTCTACTGGTGTAGACAACTCTCATTTAACCTCTAACTATCTAAAGCAATAATATTGATCGATAAGGTGGCCACATCCTTCAGTCTGCACGCTTAATCAGTTCATCCTTAACTTTGTTCAATTTTGTTGTCAGAGTACACTGTTCTTGTGATCTTATTGTCTCATTTGTTTAAAGAGTCCGTTGTTCTACAAATTTTGTCTAATAAATTAAATAATGGTTGCATACACCACTATCCAAAGTCATCTATCGCAGTTTCTAAATTCTAAATGTGGTTGTCCACTAGAACAACTGAGCCCCGGCTATGTGACTAGCAATTCGCAGCACGGCCTGTCGAACAGCCCACAATAAAGTTGTCATCATGGTTATCGGATATGGGCGCGTTGTATCTAATATAAGTTCCGAAGGCTCCGCAATCTATAGAAAAGTCATCGCCTACTGCAATAGCAGTGCATTCTTGTACCTGGATGTCAGCCCAATACATCTTTTGCTGGCCGTACATTCTCAGAACGGAGTCAGCTGGAATGTTACATGTCCACGGCACACATTGCTGATGCTCTTTTGAGATTGTATATTGGGCCAATGCGCTGAGACCCGCGAAAACCACCCCTCCGCCAGTGGTCACAGACCAGCCCGTGGTGTCGCATACCTGCTTAGTTAAAGATGCCTCGTAGCCCAAACCCGTATAGAGACACGAGGTGATCGGGTTCCATGAAGGCCACCAGGTCCCTGATTGAGCCTTACGTGCCTGTTTCCAGGATGTGATACCTGCACCACCGGAATAATCATATCTATAGTCTCGTTTTACATTGACGGTGCTGTTGGTGACATTCGTGGTTACAGCGTAAATTAAAGTGCCGTCGCCTAACAAGTACCTGCTGCCGTTGGTAAGCAACCCCGGGTTTATCGCATGGGTCTCAAGACCACCATAAAGCTCAACAGGGCTAAGCGGACGAGACAGACCAAAAAATCATGAGAAGCAATAAAATTCGCAACCACCCTTCCCGTTTCACTGCCACGTGGCTTGCACCCGAAGTGGCGGATGACATAGGATTAGCAACAGAGTTATTAGGGTATTTCACCCCCTCCAATACGCCGCAATTATAGATCCATGTGACGTTTTGCGTCGAATTGACATATCCGTTATCTCCACACCTGAAAAGTGTCATTTGTGCCTATTTCTTGAAAGGTAAAGGAAAGAATCATACATGTTCGGACAGGCAAGGGCTTACATCTAATTCTTGCTTATATATGCATAACCGTTGGAGGCAGATTTTTTAAATTACCGTTTCCAGAGCATGTGATATGTTGAAAGGAAGATAAGGAGAGATTGACCAAGAACATGGCGAAGAAAATTCCCGTGGTAATGCCAGGGACCAGAACCCTGACAGATAGTTTGATGAACCACCCGAACTAGGGTGCGGCAAAATTGCTGGGTTCGCCTGGTAAGAGTCAGGGCGCCAGAGGCGATTGGATGAAAACTTTGTTCAAGAAAGCCACAACACATTCCGTGAAGGATTTGAGATCTGCATTATTACCGTTAGGAAAAGTTCGGGACTTAGAAAAAAAAAACTAGCAAGATAAGGGTGCAGGCTGGACCCTTCGGAAAATAAAATGGTAAAAGATCGCACAGTTTTCGTGAATTGGTCGTGTAAATCAGACAATATTTCAACGGATTCATAATATGGACTTTTATACTCTGGCCTAATCATGGAGACGAATACGGATCTTGTAGGGAAATTTGGCTTAAGTGCTTATGAGTGTCGTCTCAAGATGAGTTTGAGGTTATTCACTTAGATCGGAAGAGTTGAAGTTTATTGAGGCGAGTCTGGCTCTTCGGTAAAACGCTTACTAAAGTAGTCTTGTAAATCATTCGTAGTCATTGTACGATGAGTAACTTGGATCTAGGGAATTCTATTACCTCTCCGCGATAATTTCGGTACTAAATCGGTTTAATTGTCCAAACCAGTCACCATTACCGATAATTTTCTATCTCCGTGGGTTTGAAAAGCACATTATTAACCACCCGTTCTAGATCATGCTATTATCAATGATCTGAGCCTCATTAGTGATAACCTGTCAAGAACCCTATTGGGTTGGGCACTATTTGGTTGCATTGACATGACTTTGTTGGTAATTCGATTTGCTTCGTTTTTGTTGGGAATGATGTGAATAAACTGATGGTGATGTGCGTCTAATCGCATAATCAGCGTCAGTAAATATGTGACACAGTGGTACAGAATGATAGTACACAACCGAGGCCATACAAATAGAGCTACAAGCTAAGACAAACCGAAGAGAACAACTATTGTCCAATGGGATTGGCCATTGATAAGTTATCTGTAGTGTACGGCATTGAAGCCGTAATCCTTGGGTAATAGAATGATCTAGAACTGGCGATTAACAAATATGTTGACCAGAGTCACCGAGTGAAAATTGTATAAATACCAGGCTTTTGTTCAGGTAACTGAACCAACTCGAATGCCTAAAAAAATCACGGAGAGATAAATAGAATTCCCTAGATCCAAGTTACTCATCTTACAATGACTATGTCCGACTTACAAGACAAATTTAGTAAGCTTTCTACTGATGAATCAGATTCGCCTCAATAGTCACGATTTGGCGCCTGTATTATATTTCCTCATTCATGTGGACGAGCTTTCAGTTTCAGCTGCTGTTCTGAATAAGCCTAATGTGTCACCGTCCCTCCTCATGGAGAATCTCGGCAAGAAGCACAAGGTTCCGGAAAAGGCACATCATCTGCGCTCTATCTTTATCCACTTGCTTCGGGACCTTGCAGCCTCAGATTTTCTTTTTCTTCTTGTGCGGTTGTTGCCTTACAAACTGGGAGCATACACGGAGGGCAACATGGAGCTCGAGACAGTTAGCCTGGTACTTAGAAAAGTAGTGGCGCTAAAATCATGGATCAAGTTTACGGTTTTTTCTGAACGTGCTGGCGATGACTGTCTTGAAAAGTTGCTGTACTCCGAAACTCCGTGTGAAACTTGGACGACCCTGCAAAGAGTCTATCGGAGCTTAAAACAGGAAGAAAGAGTAGTTCAACGCTTGGAAGTTGAGTATATCGAACCAGATGCTGCGCTGGTGTGTGGTAAAGTGTTCAACCGCACTTATATCAGGAGCTTCTACAATGACGCTAAAGACAAATTTGATGAGCATTTGGCAGCAATCAACAAAGTGTATCGCATGCCGGGCGTTGAAGAAGTTGGCAAGATCCTATTGGAAGGGGGAAGGGCCCCATCTGGAGAAGACCTACAAAACCCGCATTTCTCGTTCACGCAACTGTTTCCTATGGATTTGAAGGATCAAATATCTCCAATCAAAAGACGAGATTCTGTTGAAGAAATTGAGAGGATTGATGTCCTCGATGCTATTCAAAAGATTACCGTGCATCTCGTGTGGATGATATGGTTTGCCATTGCAACTCCGTATCGTTTTCCTGAGCTTAATATTCTGGCGTTTGCGGGAAAAAGGAGGAACGTGTTTGTTGACCCTCAAAAGCGTTGTCTGCAGCTGTACACATCATACTGCAAAAAACCAAAAGGTGATAAGCTTGGTAAAGTGGTTGGATAGGAAGACATCGCGGTATCTGTTGTATTTTATCATGGTGCTGAGGCCGTTACAGAAGTACCTCCTGGGTACGGATTATGACAGAATGGAACCGCCACGGAGCGACACCAAAGTTGACCTGGAAAGTGAGTGGTGCTACATAGAGGGTAGCGGCAAGATGGATAGGAAAGTGCTCTCTCAGATGGTTCTTTCCCAATACCTGTTTCTGGACGTGGAGGCCGGCAGAATGATTAGTCGCGACCGGTTTTCCTACTGGGTCAGCCAATTCCCCAAGACGTTTTACGACAGGCTTAGTTTTAGGGAATTACGGCAGGGAATGATTGGGTTGGTGCGTAAATATGTGGATGACGGCCAAGCAATGAAAGGAGCGTTGTGGGAGGCCGTCCGCGAGCTTTCTGCCGGCCATTCAATGCAAACGGGACTGCAGGTATATGGAGTGGATAAGTTTTCCTTTGAAGGAGTTTCTGCGTCCACGGCTCATGGCATGCAGCGAGTGTTAAGCGAGCAATACATCAAATGGGCCGATTTAGCCGAAGAGGGCAGCGGTGGAGCTGAAGCGGCGCAGCTCGTAGAAAAGAGGCCATTTGTCCCGCAGTTTCGTAGGATCACAGACCTCAGCCTCGCCGGTCAGGAGCTCTACGGAGAAGCGTTCCAATTCAGGAGTGCTGAGCAGCTGGAGGCTGCTTCTTCCGTATACCTTTCCGATGAACGTGTGCTCGCGATCCAGGCCCCCACTGGATATGGCAAGACTCTTCTCTTTGAGCTGCCTCTAGTGTGTTTCTCCGTGAAAAAAGTGGCTGTGGTCTCATTTGTGTTTGTGCCGTACATCGCACTGCTTGCTGGCACGGCTTCGAGGCTAAAGAAGAAGCTGCATGTGGGTAATGTGGCATCGCTATTGATGGAGCGTCCGTACGGTGAGCACACCTTTGCCGATGTGTATGTGGGCACATTTGATGATCTGTGCAAATCCGAATTCAAGGATTTGGTGAACCACTGGGAGCAACGCATACGCAGTGCGTCTCTGGGCCTCCTTGTAGTGGACGAGTTCCACAACCTGAGCGATGAGATGAGTTTCCGTGGAAAGCAATTTGCTCGATTGAAAGAGGTTGACTACCAACAGTTTTGGAAGGTGGTGTTGCTGACAGCGACTGGGGCCAATGGGTCTGCTGCGTCGTCTGTCAAAATTCTTGGGCTAAACAAGACACTCAGGGAGAAGGATGCGTTAGAGAAGGAGCACAACGACTCAATTCGGCTTTCGAACTACATCAAACAGCCACCGTTGGGTCATGTGTTCAAGCACCGTGAAACCCTCCAGGACGATGGCGTGAGCCAGGTGCTGATCTATTTGCGAAGGATGTTCAAATTCGACCCCAATGCCAAAGCAGCAGTGGTTCTAGGGCAGCGAGATGCGGTGGAACCCTTATTCTGTAGTGTGAATGAGGAGTTCCGAACGACGTACCTGCATAGGGAAGCTCACGACGGAGCAGAAGGTGCAGCGGACGAACTTGTTCATCGAGGATAACAGGTCACAGGTTCTGATAGGCACGAAGCTGGTATCACAGGGCCTGGATGTGAGTGCTTTGAAGATGGTGATCATCTTTGACTACGGACCAAATATATCAGAGTACATCCAGTGCGTGGGAAGGATACGGACTGGCGGAGTTGCGGTTCACCTGCACGGTCGGAAGCGCAGTGGCTGTATTACGCAAGAGATGTGTGATTATTATAAGTTGAAGTACGAAGGACACCAGGGCTGTTGTGCGGATTTCTCGAGTGTGTCGAAAGAGACTCACGAGTTGTTTAGGCACGTAGTGCTTGGGCGGGACGAGTCGGAGGAAGTAGTGCTTGGGCGGGACGAGTCGGAGGAAGTATTGCTAGGGCGGGACGATTTGGAGAAGACATTGGTGGGGCGGGACGATTTGGAGAAGACATTGGTGGGGCGGGGCGATTTGGAAAAGACATTGGTGGGGCAGGACGACCAAGGCCCTGTGTCTCCCAAGAGAACATATGCGGCCTCGACCCCCGAGCATGCTCATTCCAAGAGACAGAGTACCCAGAGTGGTGGACCGCAGGCTGAGTACAGTGAGCCTGCTTTCCAGGGTTCTTTGTTGATGACGGCTGGTATTTTGTCTGACAATGTACCAGCAGCCCCAGGCCGCACTCTGTTCGGTGCCTCTGCGTCTAGCAAGAGAACGGCACTGTTCGCACAGAGTAACAATGGTGGCAGCTGCCGAATAAAAAGCTTGGTCAGTACCAGGAATAAAGAGCCCCGGTCAATGGCTGCGGAGATAGAAAGGCTGTACCGCGGGCACCGGGACATACTTCGATATATGAAAGTGGAGGGCGATAACCGGATAGACCTGTTGATGTACGGTCTGGACGACAGCTACTTTAACACGCTCGATCTCTCCGCTCACAAGGGTCGGTGTTGGTGGTGTCTTGAAACGCAGGAGCTTTGCTGCTGCTGGTCGACAGGTCCACAGGGTAGTGAGGCGTCGTTGAGATCTCTGGCCAAGGAAGCATTGGTGCTGGTGAGGTGTATGCTCGGCATGACAGAGTATGAGACCGAGGTGAGGTACTGCAAGGATCGGGGGATCCCAGGCTGGCTGATCCGGTTTGCAGATAGTTTGCAGAAGAAGGTGCTGGAAAAGCACGCGACGCTTTATGCCAGCTATCATGGCTTACTGCGAAAGAGGCAGCAGTTGGAGATGCCTTGTGATGCACAGACAGCAGCAGCCATGTACAGAGAGATGTGGGGTATGCTTGGTGGAAAAGACCTGATAGTGTACTTCAGCACCGGAGAGAGAAGAGAATGTCCGAGAGGAGGCTGCAACTATGTATGTTTGGAGACAGAAGTCAAAGACGGAAAGTGTCACTGGTGCGAGGATACGACGATCGGCCGGAGGCACTTGCTGGCTCAAATGTCAAGCAATGCGGAGAACAGACACATTTACGACGAGCACCGGGAAGGGAAGTATGCGAATGTATCGTGCTTCCAGTACAAACTGATGCTGTTCGCGCTGTTCTACAACCGAAACTTTCGGAAATTTGTTTGGAACACGATGCCGGGCCTGTCGCAGGTTGACTTTCCGACGTATTGGTACCGGTTGATGGCCGTGACAGTGGAGTGTGACGGTGGGGTGTTGCCTCTGTCAGTTGTGGTAGGGGCAATGTACTACGAATGTAGTGTTAAGAGACATGTGGGCTAGGAAAGAAGTAGGGTACGTAGAGGGAGATGTAGATTGAATCTGTGCGCATGATATGCATGTGCTCTCGGATATACTTAGGCGCGAAGGTGATGAGATAGCGAAATGAACGAGAGTGGCGACCGGGGCGGGCGGTCTGTGTCATGAGCGTCATGTGGGGGTCATGTGTCATGTGCTAGTCAAGTGAGCGCTCTAGATGCCGGGAAAGGAGACACGTGTACACCACGGGGTGGAATTCTGAAGCAGACTGGAGGAAGGGATGAGGCGTGCTCGAAGAGAGACTGGGAGACGGGTGGAGGGGGGTGGCTGAGGTACTCCTGAGGGTGCATAATATGGTAGAGGTCGTAAGTTGAAAAATAGTGCGGGAAGTGTGGAAACCTCAAGGGTCTAAACAGCCGAGGTACGATGGTGTCTGGGTGGAGGCGGTAGGAACGGGCGTAGTGCTCCCGTGACCGGACAGCGTATGGCGATGGGCTGGCAAGTCTGGGACAGGGAGCTCTCCCAAGGCAAAGCTGCGGGATGCTATTTTCGGGCGCTGCTAAAATTATTGAGTACATAACATCCAGGAGAGGGCGGAAAAAATGGCGAAATCTGGAGGGTCTAAACTGCCGAGGTTCGTGTCGTATATAATGATGTATAAGATAGCAAGGACGTTATAGTGTGGTGTGGGAGTGTACTCGTGTATGGGTGGGGGATTTCGAGGCGGTGTAGCCGAGCGAGCAGGAGTCAGGGAGAAGGGGGAGCGCTGTGGGTAGAGTAGCAGTCGTCTCGTTTATGTATTTCATGTCTTTGTGCACTCTCTGTACTTCCGCTCCGTGAGTTAGGGAAGGGTCGGAATTGAGATTTTAGGTCTGAAAGTCGAGTTCAGGGAGGTAATATGAAAAATGGATTGGCGTTGGAAATCGGATTAGGTATGGCTGGGGAGAGAAGTATAGATGTCGTGTGATAGGAAGGTTAAGGAAGAAGAAAGATAAATGCAAAGTTAGGAAGCTCACGGCAGGGCGGGGAGGGTGATGGGCGAAGAGAAGAAGAAAACAGAGAAGTAGAATACAAAGTTAGGAAGCTCACGGTAGTAGAGAAGGAAGGCAGCTAATGGTTAGTAGTAGTGGTAGTGGTAGTGGTAGTGGAGGGCAAAGCTAGGAAGCTCACGGTAGTAGTAGTAGTAGTAGTAGTGGCAGTGGCAGTGGTGGTGGTAGTAGTAGAAATAGTAGTTGAAAGAGAGTAGTGGAGGCTGGTAGATTGAGATTTTCCGTTTGAAAGACGAGTTGAGGGA